TCGAGACTCTTACCTCTACGCCGCCATGCGATCTGTCGGCGCGGTCAACCTTGCCAACCGATCACCAACAGTTGACATGCGCGATATGATCGAGCTTGAATACGCTCGAGCGGTGTCACGCGTCACCGCAGCGCTGGCAGACCCTGACCAGTATCTGAGGGACGAGACGTTGGTCGCAGTATGGCTGCTCGGGATCAGAGAGGTGAGCGAAGTCGATTCTCATGCCCAAATCGTGCATTAGCCTGACATCCATGCAGCTTCTTGCCGGCGTCAACGGCCCACAGAGCAAATCAGCGCACCAGACACACGTCGATGGAACCCTGATGCTCCTGCGTCTCCGTGGCGAAGAACAGTTCTCTACTCCAGCAGGCCGGCACCTCTATGCCACTCTCCTCTCAGCAATGGTATGGGCACCAGGTAGGACCTTGAGCATGCTGAGCGCTGACCAGTTTCAGCATTGGAAGCCTATGTTTGCCAGTGAAGAGCCCAGCCAGGAATATCTCGCGTTGGAAGCACAGCTCCCACGAGCCACAGCTGTGCCAGAGGCCTCGTTGCGGCTGCGGAGTTTCTTCCACGGGGTGACGAAGCTGCGTGCACGGATCAGGAATTTTCTGTCCATGCAAGACGATACCACGGTGGACAGGGCACAGGTCGTGGAATCTTACCTGAAGGCGGCAGCCAGGTTAAAGGAGAAGGTCAACGGATGGTGTACGGACCCGAGCTGGCTGCCTCGCAAGGTGCTCGCCGAACAACCACCACCCCAGCGGCATCTCGATCGCAACCCGTGGACATCGGGCACGCTCCTCCGACTACACTGTTTCGGCTCGTGGGACGCATTCTTTCACTGGAACCGATTCTTCGTCGCAAAGGCGTGCCTCCATGCGGCGCTCCTCGACGCCCTGTCCACGCTTCCCAAAACCCAAAGCACGCGCGTCAGCGGGAGAACCATCGACGACCTGATCATCTCGAACACCGCCGTCCTGCAGGAAACAGTCCGAGACTTTATCGGTCAAATGGCATACGCTCTGGGGGACGTGGATGAGACCGGGCAATCACGTTCCGTCCCCACGGGATTCGTCACCGGCGGCGCAGCGAGCGAACTTCGTGGCGTCGATGTTCCGTCAACGCTGCAAGTGCAGGGCCCACTGTCTTATTTGATCATGTTGAAATATCTGGGGCCGGGGCAGCGAGAGGCAATGTTCCTCGCGCTGCAACGCATTCGGGCGGAATTCTGCATCAGGTGAAAGAAGGGAAAAGGACAAAAAAGAACCGTTACGGACCGGGATTTGGCATCAGGTGAAAGAAAGGACAAAAAGAACCAGCGTCGGATCAGTCCTGTCTGGATCACAGAACTGCAGGTCAGGGGTTTTCAAAGTTACATTTACAGAGCGACTGATAGCGTAGAAGCGAGTTTAATACCCAATTGTTTTCAACCAACCACCTATCTACTCGGAAGGGACCAACGCTTTTCCAAAGGGCCTATGAGTGCCTGAATGTTTAGAATCAGAACATATCCAGATCCAAGTCGTTGAGGTCCATCTCGTTCCCCTCCAAGCCGTACAAGGTATCGAAATTCATGTCCGCGTCGCTGGTGTCCAAGTTGCCCATGGCCGCGACTTCGTCGAGCACCTGGTCGATGCCGTCGGGTTCGCCCTGCTCCGCGGCCTGCATGTCCACCACGCCTCCTCCCCCTCCTCCGGACACGGCCGTCGCGGCGTCGAGGTTGGGATTTGCCGTGTCGATGTCGGTCAGCTGCTGGCCGAAAATTGTGTCCAGCCCCATCTCCTGCACGGTGAGGAGGTTCTTGTACGCTTCCACCTGCCGGTAGAGCCGCACGACGGCCTCGGCGGTCAGGGTGTCGCCGCTCCTCAATGTGCCGCCCAGATTGTGGTACAGCAGGCGCAACGCGGCATGGAGGCCCTCCCCACCCATACAGATCACGGTGGTGACGGCGTCGAGAGCGAACAGAAATTGATGGCTGTCGCTCAGCTGCAGAAGGACCCCGATCAGAGCCCGCAAAGCTACCTCTGCGCCTCGGATTTCCACGGTCCGATTCATCAGGGCGGGAATGTCGTGAAGGCTGACTTGCTGCTCGGGATGCAGAGTGTTCGCGGACGTAATGAGGGTCGCCAAGCTGTGCTGCAGGAGGCTTACGACCCCGGGGCCTTCGTTCTGGACCTCTCTTTCGGCCGCGAGCGTGAAGTCCGGGCATTTGTCGAGCGTTGTGAGGACGGAGCCGATGTTGCTGTCTTTCGAGGCCGAGGTCGTCAAGCGCAACTTCAGACGGGGTCCGCACATGGCCAGAATGGTGTGGTGTATGTCTCGGGACTCTATCGTCCCGGGTGCTTTGGTCAGCACGTCCAAGACCTTCCCGATGACCGCACTGTCCTGATGGAAGACTTCTCCTGCCCAGCCCAACGCCGAGATCAGGGAAGGTAATAGGAACGGTTCCAGAAGATCTGATATGATTAGCTGGCAGTCTCCAGATATGGTGTCTGCACTTACAGTCCAAGCCAGCTTTCAATGCGTCGTGCGTGAGTTTTCCTTGCTGGTATGCTGTGACTGATTGCCGCAGAAGAGTGGGGATAAGCAGGTAAAAGTCGTGCGGACTGCAGGAGGTGAAGAGTTCATCACTAAGGCCTTCAGCAAGGTAGAGGGCATTGATCCAGTTCCCCAGGTGGGATTTTTTCTCCTCCGACAGATCGTCTAAGCTGTGTTCGTAGTTCTCGTGCCTGAGGTACTCAGACAGGAAGCCGCCCTTCTTGCGGATCCCCAATCCCGAGTTGGGCAAATCCAGCCGTGCCTTGGTAACCAATATGAGCAAGAATATCGCGCCGAAATCATCATATACGGGTTGTGCCTCGCCTGATCAAGGTTAGCTGGTGTTGGTGCCAGTGGCGAATGTTACTCACCATGGATCTCATCCCACCGCCAGTCATCCAGGAGGCTGCACAGAGGGCTCAAGAAAAAGGATGGACGGATGAAGAGTGCAACACAGTTGATCGCAGCCGGTTTGCGTATGATGGCATTGGCGAGTTCTTTGAGGTACTGGGTCTCCTTGCTTTGGCAATAACTGTGCATGATCTGGAGCCCCGTCAGCTTACAATTATCATCTCACTGATTTGCGTACCTCCACAATCGCCTGACTGATAAACCCTGCACTGCCGTCGCCGCGGATTAGCTCCTCGACGAGCTTTGGTCCTCTGGCGTGGTTTGAGTTGACGCGTTCGACAAGACCGTCCTTAGTGTAAAGCCCCTTGCTCAGCCCTTTCAGAAGGTCTTCATTCCCGACAAGCTGAGACACCATCTGTCCTGGTAACAGATGGATCAGAGAGCAGACATGTAGGAAGTGGGCGCCAATTGCGAGTAGATCGTGCTCGGAGAGGAGCGGCACTACTTGATGCCATGCGTCGCTTATGGCCTGTTCGGTGCTGAAACCGTTAAAGGAGGTTGCGGAAATCATTGAAAGAAGCGCCGGCAGTTTGTTTTGAATGAAAATCTGGCATTGTTGCATGCAAAGGTTTTGCCTTGGTGTTGAGTTCTGGCATTTCAGAATCGCAAAAGAGGTGGTGAAAATGTCGCTAAACATTGCCTGGTAGTCGTTGTGGTGACGAGAGGAGAGCCAATTGACAGCTGTCCCGTCATCAATTGTCGAGCTTGTCAGGAGGAGGCTCGAGAGGAAAAGCATAGTACCGGCCTTGGAAGCCACCAGCTGACTCTCGGCGATGGACACCTGGAATTGAAGTGCTTGGATTTCTGATGCTTGGGTCGACATGTTGCTCTCCTGAGGCCGGCCGCCGTCGAGAAGACTGATGTGTTTCAAAACAGTGTTGATTCGCTCCACGAGCTGCGAGGAGAGAACAGAGTACAGTGGCAGGCATAGCTCAAAAGCCTGCCTCATCGAGGCTCGCAGGTCGCTCAATGGACCATCCAATCCCTCTCTCTTCGATGTCACGTTGGGGGACAGGGCCTCAAGTCCAGCATCAGTGGCGGCTAGAGAGGCCACGAAAAACGCAAGCGACTCGACTGTAGCATTGTACTCTAGGCCAGTCCTCTCGCCGTCTTCTCGCGAAGCTTGACGTGCCACAGCCGAGAGCCATCGTGAGGAGAGCGACAATGCTACTCGTGCCTCTGATGCTTCCAATTTGTACTTAGGGCCGATCATGATCATGGTTAGATCCTGCACCGTCTGGTTGTAGCACGCAACGACATCCTGAGAAAGCTGCCCTTTGGCATTGTTCCACCGCTTCGTCAAGACTAGTAGCGCGTCAGAGACAGAGATGGCCCCAGTGCTTCCAAGATGATCAATATATAGCGAGACGAGAGGATCGCCAGGCGCACAGAAGGATTCACGACAGTCGACCAGAGCATCGAACAAACGTCTCACTGCAATTTCGCCATCGTGTGCCTGCAACAGGTCGCCGAATTGTTGAACAGAAATCCGACGGCGAAGACATTGGCGAGCTATAGCCGTCCATTTCGAAACAGTCATGATAACCCGGGAGAATTCATTCCAGGGACGAGGTCGTCCTCGAGACAGTTGCTCCCTGACCACGAGATGAAGGAGGATAGACCTCAGGGATCAGACCCAAATTCCAGCAGTCCCAAGCTCAAGCGCCAGATCATGACCTTGCCATTACTGCAAGCCCTGATGGACACCAGTAACCGAACGAGGTGGTGGTGGCAGTGATATTACGCGTAGTCAGTCAAATTAAAGTGTGAGAGAGAATGGAGTTGCATGCCAACATCCCAAACATGGAGATGAGCCTCTGACTTGGATCTCCAGCAATCTTCAGTTTCCTATGAAAGGCGACCACATAACGTGATTGCTGCAACCCGTGGCGTCCATGATCACTAACGACGGCAGGTGCTCTTGAAGCAATGCTACATAATATCGTTCCTCTTGTCCACGAACAAGCGCTTTCCCTCTGGCAGCCCCCATGAAGCGCCTTTTATCTACGCCGCAGCCAACGCAGGACGGCTGAGACTCGTCGCCAGCAATGGCTGAGGCGCTTCGGATCAGCCTGCTCCCAGGCGATGTCCGCGCCAGAATCTCGTCAACATGTGATATCACCACACCGGAATCTGTCATCGAAGAGTTGGTCAGAAATGCCCTGGACGCAGACGCCCGTTCGATTGTCGTCGAAGCGGATTTTGCGAGAGGCTACATTGCCGTTTGCGACGATGGCAATGGCATCAAAGAGGTGGAATTCTCGCAGCAAGGGCAACTCGCCAAATTACACTGTACAAGACAAACCAAACCCATTTTGAGGACGAAACTAACTGAAGTTCAGGCTCTTCTAAGTTCAATGTGCCGCTGCCATCGTACGGTCGGTACGGCCGCTTTCTCTCCAACCTCTCGTTCATATGTCTGCTGTTCATCGCCTCCCAGCATCACTCCGAATCGACCGCAAGCCGGTTGGTCCTTCACCGCGGTGTCGCTGTGAATCGCGAGGTGCGAATGTGCAAAGAGGAGGTTGGACTCATCCGACAAGGAACGAACGCCGTGGTACACAACCTGTTTGGCGATATTCCTGTTCGACGCAAGCAGTTGTCAGTACGCTACTCTTCTGCGCTGGAGACTGAAAAGGCGTTCGAGCGGGTAAAGAAGATGCTTGTCGGTTACCTACTGGCATGTCCTCGCATGGTCGAGATGCGGTTTACTTTGAAAGGCGAAAAACAACACGATCTTCGTTGCAGCTCGTCCCAGGTGGGCAGTACGCCGTTGTCGCTGGAGTCTACCGTGTCTACTCTCTTCCAGTCAAGGTTCCTGGGCACCCTAGACACGAAGCGATGGCGTTCAGCCTCTGTCCGAACAAGTCACTTCTCCATTCGCGCCGCTATCTCGACACGTCCAGCACCGTCCAAGGCAGCGCAGTTTATCTCAGTCGGGCAAGTGCCAATCTGGCGTAGCAAGGGAGCCAATTCTTTATTTGAGACAATCGACCGTCTGTTCGAGGCATCAAACTTCGGCGCCTTGGATGCCAACCGGAGTATATCAGGGAACCGAAGTCGCCGACGGGAAGGGGATCAGCCCATTACAGAAGCCAGCAAATTGGGCAAAGGCATCGATAGGTGGCCTATGTTCTACCTTCGAATTGACACCGAGCTGGAGCAAATCGCCTGGTTGGTGGGACAGAATGAACCTTCGGCGGATGCGATCCCGGTCACAGTGCATCTGAAAAAGGCATTAGAATCGCTTGTATCCCACTTCCTGACCAGCTCTGGGTTTGCTCATCGACCAAAGCCAGGAGACGTGAGTAGGTTACGCAGTGGTACAAAGCACAAAGATGACCCTGGTGATCAGTTGCAATCAAGGCTGCCTGTTTCTGAGCTTTCACGAAGTGCAACCGAAGCTCGGTATCTGAGCTATTGGCACAGGGTGAAGAGTGCGTGGCCATCAGAGGAGAATTTCCGGTACGGCTTAGGCCTTGACGGGGCCGTGGATGACGTCCCATCACCTGCAGATATTCTAGAAGCGGATCGTTCGCCTGCCGATGCTCGTTTTCAGGAGAGCGAACCGGCAATAGGACTGCATAATGCACATGTCGCGAGTGCTGAGGGGGCCGACAGTACCACCGACCTTTTGTGGACGAATCCACGCAACGATCAGATGATCCATCTCAATCCTCGCACGGGAGCAATCGCGCCTACAGCAGGACCGCAGGGTGACGGTCGTTTGGAGGGAGGTTGCGGACATTCGAGCCGAGCTCGGACGTTACCACCTAATACACGATCCGGTCATACAATGCCCCAACCAAGGCCGCCAGCGAAGACCCTTCAGAAATACTTTAGGACAACTTGCGTGCAGCTGGCTGAAGCACCTGTTGCAAGCATTGCACGTGAGGAGTGTCCAGCTCTGAGAGGAGAACAGCTTGGCCCCGGACCTGCATCCAATGTTATTCCCTCCTCTCAGGCTGTGACGACGCGCGCGCTTTCTGCGGCAAGGGCGATCCAACAGGTTGACCAGAAATTTGTGCTCGCTGCTGTCGCGGCTCACACCAAGCACAATGAAGGCATTGAGAGAAGTCTGATCGTTCTTATCGACCAGCATGCGGCTGATGAGCGGATCAAATTCGAGCAGTTGTGCCAAGAGTTCTGCAAGCGAACCTCTACTACACTTTCCAGGCCACTGCTCTTTGAGGTCGACGAAACTGAGGTACGACTTCTTGAGGAGCAAAGAGCGCATTTCCAGATGTGGTGCCTCCGCTACAACCTCATCAAAGTCCCGCGGGACTCGACAGACACCTGCAAGCCTCCACTGCGGATAGTAGAGGTCACCACGCTGCCAAGTCTCCTTGCGGAACGTTGTCGAGTGGACCCAAAACTCCTCATCGGTCTCATGCGACGAGAAATATGGTCAGACCGGGTTCGATCTCATTCCCTCGCGGCTCACCGCGTCGATCAAACTTCGCAGAACTGGTGGTCAGACCTCGCAGGTTGTCCCCAGGGTATGATCGAAATGCTCAAATCTCGATCGTGCCGCACTGCCATCATGTTTAATGAGGTTTTGAAACCTGACCAAAGCCGCGAGCTAGTCCGAAAGCTTGCTCAATGCATTTTCCCTTTCCAATGTGCGCACGGTAGACCCACATTGACAGTGGTGGCGGATTTGCAGGATATGAAAAGCCTCATCCCTGCCATCAGCGCGCACACGCGCATTAGCGACTTCGCTCTTGGATATGGCGATGTTTGGAGGGATTGGATTGATACTAAGTGAGGGAGGCATCTTGGATACGGAGGCACCCCTTGGAAAGCAGCCTACAATTTAGACACTCTGGCTTACTTCTTTCTTATTCCCGTCTCTTCCTACTCGTGAAGCTTCGTTCATGCACCTCGCGGCTGGGCGGTAGACCAACGTAGGCGCCTCGTAATCTATGATGGGTTTCAAAATGCGACGGAGGGGCCAGACGCGCGCAGAATCCGTCGTCACACAGCCGCATCCAATGGTGAGTCGCGGCGCGGCGTCCGGCGTGATTGTGCAGGGATCAGGCGGCATTCTTGCCAGCGCGGCTTGCTGGCAACCGCAACTCGACACCACATTCGACAACAAGCGCCCAATCGTAGCCTCTGATAGTCCTCCATCACATGAGTCAAACAGCTGCCTGAGGCCTGTTTGGGACGTGTGTCTGCGGTGACCGACGTGCGGCTCGGAGGCAAGGCCGGCGCAAAGGACATCCACAATTCTTCGTGGCATCCAGGTGGCGAGAACGTGGGAAACGCTGAATGAACTGCTGCCGCGATGGTGGCGGAGCTTTCAGCAACAGTATGGAGAGGCTCTGTGACGATTAGCATAAGCGGTGGACAACGACCACGATCTGTTGTCTGTAAAGGACTTTCTGAACGAGTATGAAGACACAACTGCCGCGCGCTGTGGGCTTGGGATCCGGTGGCCCGGCGGCCCCTGGCGCAGCCGAAGACTCGAGGTAATTCCAGCATGGGCGCCAATCAGCGCCCGAAGCTGGGCTTTGAACGATGCGGCTAGCGGCAAGCGTCTTTCCCCAAGCGCCGGGGGGTGTCTGTGCGGTTCCCTGCCAGTTGCAGCTGCCTCGTCCAGCATCAATGAATGGTAGCGTGAGAGCAGGCTTATGCTTCTCTCCCCTCCTGTCTCTCCCTTCTTCGACTGCATGTAGCTTGATACGGGGCTAAGGGCGTTCTGCTGGAGCAGCACTTTACAACTGAGATCTTCCTCCTCGGTCTCCCCGTCCTCCTTCAACTCCTTTGTGAGACTGCACGCCGGGGCCAAATTTACACCTAAGGGCGGCTCCCTAGGCGTTAACCGCTGACTAACGCAGAGTCAAGCAATCAGCTTCCACTTGATCTTCTCTCTGCCGCCCACCGGCTGCGCTTCTCGCGGCTTTCGCTTACTTGACACCATAGAATCCCCCCTCTCTCAGCGGCCGACATTGCAACATTGCACCTTCAGAGCTGGATACCTACTAACCTGCCCTATTCACACGAGAAAGTTCTGCGCAACCTCTTCGGACTTTTCACCTTGCCGAGGCGTGGCACCCACGTCCAGTGTTCTTCCATATCAGCCTCGTGAGCGGTCCCGGGCGCCTACTCTTCCCCTCCAGGCTGTGACGGGTCATAAGCGCCCACTCAGATCTCTACCTTTCAACCGCGCGCAACGCCCGCTTGCAAGATCCAGACTCTCAAACAGGATCGGACGAATCCAAGCTGGGGACGACGTCATTCGCCCTGCTCCTGCAGAAGGGGTAGCCCTCGGAAGCGCCGACTTTCGTGGGAGGCTCATTGCCCATCTGATCCCTTTTCCTGGGTTTCTTCAGGAGTCGAACGGCAAAAGGGGGATCGGAGGCGGTCCAGGAGCACTTATACCACGCCGTTTGGCCGAGCCTGCTGGTGAAGAGTTGGACTGAGTGGTTTGCCCAGAATGGTGCTCACCCCTCCAGTCAGTCACAACAGTTCAGAATATGACATAACTTCAAGCCCGGATGCTGGCTCACGACGGTTTGTCGCAGTCAAGGCCGCTTCCGATAACGGTCGGTCACCAAGTTCCCCGACGAGGTACGCCCCTCCTGACGAAGCCTTAGAGAATAGTGTCTCCAGCAGAATGTCGTCCCCACGAGAGCAATCTCGGAGGGACAGCGAACGTCCTTCCCAAGGTCACGCCGGCATGTATCCACAAATAAATGGGCAGGAACACGCGGGCCATAAGCGAAAGCGATCCGACATGGAAGAACCTCTGCCGTATTGTGACCAGCGCCCACATGAGTACAGCCCGTCCGCAAGACCAGAACCGCAACACATGGCCAATCGTGCACTGCATGTCCTTGGGAGCGGTAGTCACAGCGCAGCACCCTACTATCAAAATGGCAACGAGCAGCACAATGGACATACGTGGCACTCCGAGGGGCCCGTCCAGTCACATCCACCCGCAAACGGTGTCAGGCACAGTACTTCGGAGGCGCAGATGGCGGAAGTGTTGCAACGGGAATCAAGCGCGTCCGAAGCACCGTCTCGGTCGTGGGAGTCTCAGCCCACAACAAACGGACAGACAGCAAATGACCAATATGGTCAGGAAGCCGTCACGCCCCCAACAACGGTCGCCCTGAAACGGAAACGGAACTTCAGCAACAGGACGAAGACGGGTTGTCTGACCTGTCGAACGCGGAAGAAGAAATGTGATGAAGCCCGTCCACGCTGTGAGTTTCGCTACCTTTTGTCCAGATAGCTGTACTCGGGTTACTAATGTTTCTTTTTGACAGGCGATAACTGTCTGCGGGGTGGCTTTGAATGTAAGGGCTATCTTTCCGCTAAGGGGGTCGATCCGACCCAGGCCACTGGGGTCAGAACCCCTGTGCCGCTACAGTCCAAGGATGATCAAGGTGACGTGTCCGAGTCCTCGCCTTACACTGCGCCGCACATGGACGCCCTCCACGCCGGGCGCCCACCAGTTCATCCTGATGGCGGCCAGGCCAGACCGGCACCCATGAACGACAATGATGGACCGCGTCCAGCATCCTACGGGTCAAGCCCACCACGAAACGGGCCTCCAAACCGACTGCAATACCCTGGCCAACCACAACGGCCGCAACAACACACCCCAAGTTCTTATACCTCTGACCATCTTCCCGCTTTGTCTGATGCCAATAGATCAGAGCAACCTCTGAGTGCACGACCTCACGCTATGCCTCGGCCGCCACCTCAAGGTACACCTTACCCTCAGCATCCCCCGCCCTCCCATCAGGGCCAGACTTCTATGCCAATGCAGTATCCTCCTCAGCATGCAGCACCACCGGCCCCAGCTCCTACTCATCCTCCACCAGCTCCTCCACCATTACAGCAACCAAGCCAGTGGAATCAGCGGGCGTATACGCCTACACATCCTCCATCCTCAGGTCCCTCGACGACACCAATTCATACGCGGATGTCGTCTTCTGGCTTCGACCATCCGAGGTCCAGCTTCAAAGTCTCTAGTCAAGAGGACGTTGAAAAATCTAAGATGTTGAGGTCGGTCCATTATAACTACTTCGATGCGACATTGCTGTACGAGCGTCAACGGTGCGACCGAGCTGTCGAACGGTACAATGCCGCTTGTAAGCTGGACAGTGGACTTGGCGAGCAAGAAGTGCGCAATCTCTTTCTCAAGGTCATCGATCCAAGTCAAGACACCACCCATAGACTCCCGTCTCACAACCACAGCAAGGGCCATATTGGTCCCAACGTCAAGATCGAGGCGCCGTTCACATGCACGTACGGGTACAACCTCAAAGTTCAAGAGGACGTGTATATCGGCAAGGGTTGTTATTTCGACGATTCTGGCACAATTGAAATCGGGCCTCGAACTATCATCGCTCCCTTCGTCACCATCTTGACGACAGACTACGGGAAGGATCTGGTGCACCGGAAAGGCACCCGCGGTCCCCACTGGAGCGCTGGCGACGTCTTTATAGCTGCTAATGTGATCATCGGTGCCCGAGCTGTCATCTATCCAGGTGTGAGGATCGAAGAAGGTGCCACAGTTGAACCGGGCGCCGTCGTTTGCGAATCGCTCACGACGAACCAGATTCAGCGAGCTAGCCGGGCCCGAATCGACGATGCGATTCCTCTCTAGGGACGAGGGAGGAGGGGAGACGGCCTGTGCTTTCTACACGGAACGATGGTGCTGGTCTGTTCTTTCTCTTGATGCAGTAATGATCTGAAGCGTTGTCATTTTGCCAATGTGGTTATGAAGTACGACTGAATTGCCTGTTCCCGCTTTTCTGCGGAGTATTGATCCCAAACGGATGAGCCCGACCACCGATTCTGGACCTCAATGGATGCGACTGGCGTATCTTTTTGAGTTTGGTGCGCACGAGCGTGCCTCGGGCCGCTCTGAGGACCCAGGGCAAGGTTGAAACGCGGGAATTTCCTTCAATAGTCATTGACATAAAGGCTTGATGTTGTTCTGGGGGTGTCCACCTAGCAAACATTATTGACCGGCAAAGACGCAGAAAGCCATTTTCCCAAGCATGGCGGTCTATCGCCTTGGATTCTGTATGTGTGATGATCGCATCTAGCCATCGTGCTTGTGCGAAGCCGGATGCATTTTCCCAGCACGCAGAAAACACTCACGCTGTTTCTGTTTGGTGTCTCTGGCGACGACTCGAAACACGAGGCGCCGCGTCAGACTCGTTTCGGGTTGAGGAGGCCAAGGCGAGGTAATCGGCGATCTGTCGATGAGTACGCCGTACGTAGGCTTTGCTATGATTGTTGACCTTGATCGCATGGCTGTGATATGCTGGGTGTTTCTTCGTTCCCTAGTTTGAATGTCGCTGTCGGCAGTGACAGTGAGGCGGGATCGCCGTCCCAGACTGTGTGGATAGATGCTCACCCGTCGGGCAAAGCCCAGTACACAATAACCCTTGTTGACGCAGAGAACCATGGACCAAAGAGCTGTTCGTCACCCGTTGCTTGTTGTTGGGCTCCGACGTGAAAGTCTGTGACGAGTGCTGATCTGCCGAGAAGCGGACATCTGACTGGCCGACCTCGCCGACCATCACTCGAATTATTGTTTACAGAAGCGCAGATGTAAGATTGCGGTGGGCTGAGCGTACGGACAAGCACAGAGCAGTTGCGTGTGTGGCTACCAGGGCCAATAGACCGAGCTTCTGTGTACAGATGACTTCGCGCTGCAACGTCATTTCCGGCCCCTCCAACAGGTACGTACCTACAGTAAGAACATAGTACTCGGTCAGTCTACTCTTAGATACCTCCCAGAGGTCATGACTCGACACACGATGTAGTGAGGTGAACGAAAGGTCCAGACGGCCTAGAACCCTCAGTCCCAGGCACTATTGGCGGGTAGCAGTCGGTCCAGGCGGCACCCAAGAGAGTTTGGTGGCTGTTGGAGGCGTGAAGTGGCGTGGGTGGGCGTGGGCGTGGGCGTGGACTTTGCGCTTGTGGGCCGCGGGCTCCCACGCATCTCACCTGGTAGGCTCTCGAGCAGAGGGAGAGAGGGAGACAGCCCGCTGGCACTGGAGATTCTTCCCAGCGGTGCTTTCCTTCCTCGGTCATGAATATTGGCACTTCAGCTTCGATTTCCCTTTTGTTCCGAGTACGTACCTAATAGATCATTTGTACAGTGCATTCTTTGTCGTTGCTTGGACGTCACTTCACATCACCATCTGATTCCGATCAGAACGACCGCCAGCCTCATTCCTGAGGCGTCGTCTGGTGCATTGATCCCCGAGCCGCCCAGCTCCTCCTGGTCCTTGCAGACAGTGTGGAAGCCACCACCCCTCGCTTCGCCTCGACGTCGTGCTATCGCGCCCCTTGTCTCATTCTCGACACAGACCAGAGGCGATCGCGCTACCGCGCCGAAACTCCGAACATACTTCTCAGGCTCATCCTTCTGTCGTCGACTCCGTGTGATATGGCCTTGTTGCAGGCGCAGGTACTGTCCTGAACGCCATGATACCCGGAGTACTGCACCAATATGCGCGAAACCCAACCTTCTAGCATATTCATTGCACCTCTCAGAATTCGCAAGGACAATGACGACGACAGCCATGGCGCGATGGAGGAGTTGGCATTGGCAGAGGCCATCCACAGCCCGAGATCAATAGATTCCCTCGACGACATGAACTCCTCGCCTGCACGCTTCCACAACTACCTCCGAGCTCTGTATCCCTTCCAGCCCTCGTCACCGCATTCGTCCACCACGGTCACCCTCCCGCTCAGCGCAGGGGACATCATTCTGGTGCATTCGGTCCATGTCAACGGTTGGGCTGATGGCACGCTGTTGGAGACCGGTGCTCGTGGGTGGCTACCGACCAATTACTGTGAGGGCTACGACTATGCTGCCATGCGACCTCTTTTGAAGGCGTTGACCGAGTTCTGGGATCTGGTGCGCTGCGCAAGCGAGACAAATCTAGGCCTCTTTCGCAATCAAGACTACATGAGAGGCCTGGTTGCCGGGGTACGCGCTCTCCTGGAGCGGTCCAACTGTCTGACTCGGGATTGTTTCTTGGTCAAACAACAAGATGGGATACGCAGAACGCGGAAGAGTCTGCTATCTGACCTGGCGCTCCTTGTTCGAGCGGCCAAAGAGCTGCAGCAAGTCGTCAGCGTCGGTCAAGCACCCGACAAAGAGATGCTCGACATCAGGCTCGATGATATGCTCCTGAAAGCCTTCAGGATCGTCACGCGTGCCGTCTTGTTCTATGATGTGTGGACCGAGCAGGCAGATGCATCACCTGGAGCTGCAACAAGGTCAGCCGAGTCATCTTTGGAGTCTATCGCAGTCGTAGCGTCCCAACAGTCAAGTAGGTCGCACTCTACCATTCGCCGTCACGTATCGACGTCGGTCCAGGCCAAAGCTCCGGCCGTGAATGGCATGTCGAAGCATAACAGTCACAATTCAACAGTCAATCCAACACACGTACGACGGCACTCCTCCATTACACATCGCATGTCGTACACTCGCGCCCCGACACAGAAGAACTCCAACCTCATCTCCGACTTTCTCCACCGCTCTTACGACGAATTCCTGACAGTGCTAGCTTCATTTCTCGGCTCGCACATGCAGTCCAGGTCGTCGTCAGAACTATTGCTCACCACACAAAACGCCGTGCGAGCATGTCGTCAGCTCTTTGCCGTCGTCGAGACGGTCATTGATCGAGACTATAGCACCTCCAGGCCGCTGGTCCAGGCGAAGGACTCCATGTACGACGCCATTACTGAACTGGTCCACGCTGCTCGACAAGTGTTCAAACCCATCCGCTCTATGGATGATGATTTGATCTATTCGCCAGACGAGGCTCACAACTTGGTACAGGCCGCTACAGCTTGTGTCAGTGCCGCAGGGCGCTGCGTCACCAGGACAAAGACAACCTTGGAAGAGATTGGTGACTTCGAGATTGAAAATCTCAGCTACCTTCTGGGACGCAGCTCTGGTGCTTCAAGCACACCGGAGCCAACAAGTCGGAACATTTCCCCTGATTTTCCCCCTTCCGGAGCCTCAATCCCTGTCACAACGGAAGCCCACAAGCCGCATGAGCGACCTCGCATTGCCACCAATCAGCCGTCGCTGACACCTCCCCTTTCCTTCCACACTTCGGAGTCTCCCTCCACTGGCACTGGTAGTATTCCCCCGACCCCGCAGGATGAGGCCGTCGCGGGCATTATCCGCTCCTCCCCTGTAGAGAACCCATCTCTACTTCACCAGAAGGCGGCTCTGGCGCCTACGGCATCGAAAACACCCACCGAGGTCAAGCACCACCGGCCAAGCGGCCATGTGGTCAGAGGAAGTATAAGCAGTAACAGCAGTTTCGAACGAAGTGATCGGCGGTCGAATCCCAGCAACGTTTCCTCGGCGTCCACACGCGTCACTTCATTTCACGAAGATCTTGGCAACGCATTGAAGCCGTCCATTTCCAGGCGCTCGCATGATGCGCGTAGCGACTCAATTGATGTGGCCGACGCGGAGGCTGAAATCTTGGTGCATTCATTTGCACAAGAGCTCGTCTTTAATCGAGAGGGCGTGGTCGTAGGGGGCACGCTCAATGCCTTGGTGGAACGCTTGACAACACCCGAATCAGCACCTGATATCTTCTTCGTCACGACCATTTATCTTACTTTTCGCCTCTTCACAACACCGGTGGACTTTGCAAATGCTTTGCGATTCCGGTTCGAGTATGTCGGGGAAAATGCAGACATTGCAGGGCCTGTCCGACTCCGGGTCTACAATGTGCTTAAGGGATGGATGGAATCTCACTGGCGCCATGATTGTGACGACGCAGCACTCCCAGCGATTGTGGGCTTTGCGAGGGAGTCTCTGGCTACTTCCCTGCCGATGGCGGGTAAGAGAATTCTCGGGTTGGCGGAGAAAGTTGCAATGACCCATGCGGCCATCGTCCCGAGAGTCGTGGCAGCCATTGGGAAGACAAGCACATCGACCGCAACCTATGTTGATCCGAACACTCCGATGCCCGGTCCCATCATCTCCAAAAGTCAGCTTACTGCGCTCCGAGCCTGGAAAATGGGCGGAGGTTCGGTCACGATCCTCGACTTTGACCCACAGGAGATCGCACGTCAAATTACTCTAAAGGCTTCGGGGATTTTCTGCTCCATCCTCCCCGAGGAGCTCTTGGGCACGGAATGGACGAAACGGAACAGCTCGCTCGCTGTCAATGTTCGGGCCATGTCCACACTCTCTACCGACATCTCCAATCTGGTGTCGGACTCTGTCCTCCAGCTGGAAGAGCCCAAAAAGCGAGCCGTCATCATCAAGCAATGGGTCAAGATTGCAAACAAATGCTTGGAGATGCACAACTACGACACTCTCATGGCGATCGTCTGCTCACTGGATTCGACCAACCTGAAGCGGATGAAGAGAACCTGGGACTATGTGCCCCAAAAGACGAAGACAATCCTTGACGACATGTGCAAGATCATTGATGTCTCGAAAAATTATGCGGTCCTGCGGCAACGCATTCAAGCCCAGATACCGCCCTGCCTCCCGTTCATCGGTGTCTACCTGACCGATCTTACAATGGTGGATTCCGCCAATCCCTCCACGAGACCGTTGTCGATTGACGGCGGGGCGACATCCGTGATCAACTTGGACAAGCACATGAAGACGGCCAAGATCATCTCGGACCTGCAAAGGTTCCAAGCTCCTTACCGGTTCGTCGAGGTCTCTGAGCTTCAGACGTGGATGCAGGACCAACTCATCAGGGTCCGATCTGCTGGGGACAAGAGTTTCCAACTACACTATCGTCGATCCCTGATTCTGGAACCCAAGGAACCCAACAGAAGCCCCAACCCTGAAGCCGGGTCCGGGAAGGACAAGGACAAGTTTGACTTTCTCACCTGGGCTCACTTGGCTCCAAGGGAAAAGACACTTTCCATCTCGGGCTAATCAGAGAAGCGGGGTCCGGCCCTGGGACACAGCAATGACCAACCGCTGCGCCGTTCTTATGATTTGATGTGTTCTTGAATTTTCGTTCATCAGTACCAGTTTATTATGATACCCACCACGAACGTTCTTATTGTCTCGATGTACTCGCTACTTGCTTTCTAGCGTGGGGTGGGATCCGGTGGCGTGTCGGTTCACGGTCATTGTATGCTTATCCTTTTGTGTGTGTTCTATGTGTTTATGGGGTGGCAAGACTCGTTTATTTGCGCCTTTAGCGGACGCTCTTGGACTGTATTTGACGCGCATGGGCATGGCCGATCATATGTGGGGATGGGGGAGGGAGGAGGTGCAACTCGATCGACGTTTGGTTGCTTTTGGGCGGGCAATTCTCCATACAGAGCCATCACAGACTATACTGAGACCCAGAACGCATGTCATGGACAGGGCGGAAAATGGTCCTCACAAAAGTGCCATCGAAGCCAAGTATCTACCTGGACCAATGTTACAGAATCTAATTACTACTGTTGTCTACTGTCTATCCTTGAAGTCGTCTAATGAAACAGGCTCTATGGTTCCCCCACCGCCACATACAGCCAACACAGCCATGCATATGTACCTAGAGGATGCTCTCAATCATGGAGAGCCTCAGAGCGTAGTTCAAACAGGGGTAGCAACTTCCTCGCAATCAAAGAAGAGGTTGCCACCGCTCATACTGTACCTGGCACTCATTTCTTATTTTAGCGCCAAGTTTTATTTGGCGATCTTGAGTCAAAGGATAGACTGTACCTAGGTAGTAGTCTACCATCTCGTGACGGTTGAAGGGTTGAAGGGTTGGGTCTATCGTCAAAGGCGGGGCCACTGTGGCGTGGTCCAAGGTCTATCATACTGTACTTACTATGTATGGTCGGACCGGGAAGGGATATACTGTGGTGTGACAGGCCCGTGGAAGCAAGAGTTGTAATTAACTGGATCTGAGCAGGTAGGTACGCAGAGTAGAGTATTGTGTATATGGGATATGGTATATGCAGGCGATGTGGGCGTGGGTTGACCAATGGAAAGAACCTCTGGTTACTAAGTATGACACTGGTCCAGATCACAGGCTGTTATCCTGCTGGCCTGTCGTGCTGCCACGAAGCCCGCGTTATCGTCCGTGGAAATGCTTCACTTCGTGTGTCCTCTGTTTAGATGGCATCAAAAAGACAGACTCGAACAATGAAAGCCTTAATACATAGTACTATTCAGGGAGTTCTACTCTGTACTAGGCGACGAATATGTTTGTGCAGGAGGACAGAACAGAGGATACCAGGATTTGGGTAAACAAGTGCCATCATTTTGCGGAGGGAATGCTGCATGTATTCCAGGCATTTCCTCGTTATGCACAATGACTATGACCATATACTGCAATGAGCTACTACAAGTACTACTGCACGGTCATACGAGATCTTGAGAATGCCCTCCAGGGTTTTGGACGGAATCTGGGAGAACGTATTAGCGTCCTGGAAACTATCATCAGAGTACAGCAGAACTTACAATCAGTCGTCACAAACGCCCTGTCCACTTCGGTAAGTGCCTCACAGCAGTACTGCAACGTCTCGGCTATGTCGTGCGTGCGTCTTAGGGGCGTCTTTTCCTCCAACAGGATGTCGAATTCCGCCCAAACGCCGTCTCCGGCATGGTACGCAGTGACGGACTTGAAGCCCGAAACGACACTGCTGAAGCGGTAGGCGAGAAAGATCAGTTTCTTCTGCAGTGAGTCGTCCACGGCCAAGCCGCACAACCGCGTGACGTTCTCCAGACACGTATCTGCCCAATCGTAAATGATGTACAGCGACAGCAGGGCCGCACCCAGGGGATCCAGCCACCAAACGCCAGCGTGTTTCCCAATCAGCGGAAAAAGCAAACTGAGGGTGTTGAAATATACGTCTGTTTTGCAATCCTGCACCAGGGCTTGCACTTGGGTGGTTTTAATCCTCAGGCAGCCCAGACCGATTAGGCCTTTGATTCCGACTGTCCCGGCCATGGAGGCAATGGCCAGGGCTGGCAGTGTGGCTATCGAGTGATCTCCATTCGGTAGCAGCTTCTCGACAGACTCCTGCAAGATCTGGATGAACGAAATGACCATGATAATGGAGAAGACCAGAATTCCGATCGGCTCCAGTCTCCGCCGACCGACGGGGAACTTCCGCGCCAGAGCCGAAAGCCTCCATGACACCAGTCTGGTGGTCGTCCAGACGATGACGGTGCATAGGAGATCCAAAGCAGAATCGAGTAGCGAGGCGATGAGCGACAGAGACGACGACTTCAGCGCTGCTATGCCCTTGGCCACGAGGAGAATGATATTCGCGATGACGTTGATGTTGACGGCCCATCGGGCGTTTCGGTCGGCCTTTGCCCGGGCGCTTCGAACGTCTTCCGGCAACAGCGCGTCGATGTGCTCCTCCACGTGTTGCAGTCTGCCTTCTCTCTCGCGGATCCCGTCGTGATCAGCGTCCGTATTCATGCTCTCGAGGACCTCGTCCGCCATGGCCAGCACGATGGTGTCGACTTCAGCCCAGTCGTTCAGCACGGCATTCTGCTTCTCGTAGAATTTGCGAATCTTCTTGTTCTTGATCTTCTTGATCTGTGTCACATGCCAACAAACACGTCAGTCAGCATCGCGTCCTCCTTGTGTGTGCAACATTGAGTTATTGCTTGTAATATGTACCTCTTCCCCGCTTTTCCTGTACTTCTCAAACTCTCTTCTGTCGACACCAGTCCGCAATTGTTCCTTCAACACGGCCGTTGTTCGGCGATCGAGGGCATATTCCACGGCATCTTTGAATCCGGCGAACCGTCTTTGCTCATGATGGCCCGATTCCAGATCGGGGTTCCGCCAGCGGTCCTCTGCACGCGTCTTGGTGGTGTTGAGTGTTCGCTTTCCAACCATGGGACCGGGTTGCGATCGAGTCCTGAACTGCAGCGAGGAGGATAAGCGGAGATCTGGGAGGCCGGCAAGCAGCGTCGAGGACGGAGGAGACCTGAATGTTCTGAAGCAACCGGGGAAACACAATAGCGAGGAAAGAACCAAATACAGAGTAAGTACAACTGGCTCGATGGCTGGGCATTGATCTTGATCTTGAGGCTGCTGTGGATCTCTAAGCTTCTCTGCATCGATGACGGCATTGAGCCAACCATTTCCCTGTTTCGCCCCGGAAGCCGCGTGGCGGGCTACCGCCGCTGCCGCTTAGGGACGCTTGCTTTGGCAAGCGATTGCTTGAAAGTTAACCGACCCCGTGCTGGGCTTACTGTACAAAGTTAGCCTGCGGTATCGCCGCGAGATCTCAGATTAGCCGGTAGATCTAGAGTCCTTTTGCATTTTTGATGCTTCCCTACGTTTTAAAAACGCACGAGTCCGCACTGTTCGAGGCGGAGACTTAGAGTCGTGCCTAAGCACTGAATCAGCATGTCCAATTACATATAGTAAGTCCTGGTCATGGTCTTGGAGAAAGCACCCTTTGACAAAGAACACGTTCAAGGCCTCATGCTTCTCCTACATAAGTCCTTTCGGAGTGTTTTCTCGTCGGCGGCCGGCACAAGATCAGCCAACAACTGTCACAGGATCACTCCTCCATCAGCTGTTCTTCGAAATGCAGAATTTTGTTTGTTTTGTCCTGTCACGCTTTCAGGTTTCCCTTATCGCTGCCTGACTACAATTACCTATATATGCAGTCTCCCAGAGTATGTACCTACGTGACATTTCCCAAGAGAGTTTGGCTGAGCGATCTCAATCTGGGGCTGTACATAGTAGCCATCCTGTGCCCTCCGAGGGCCAGCGCTAAGGCTTGCGACCTGATGGAATGTGACGGACGACTTGCGCTCTGCATTTCAAGTTGTCTTAACTTGAGGAAGCCCTCTCTTTAGCGTCTACATGGAAAGTTTGTCCTCGTCTTCAGAGAGTAAGTACTTAGTATGTACTACTACAGAGTGTAAGTAAGTACTAAGTACATCTTCTAGTATCCTGCGCACTCAACTTTGGCTGTGTCGCATCGTTGACAACTTGGTTTTCTTTCGTCACCTGCAAAAGTCTGGCATCAGGATCTGCCGCGCTTGCTGGAGCTCAGCGGGAAGAAATCCGCCTCGAATTTCGAATGAGGTCTCGGTCGTTGCTTTGAGATTGTTGTAAAGAATCTGGTACCGTGGTGATAGTCGAAAATCACAGGCGGGACTAAGCAGAAGCGCCGGCAACAGCAAGTCGCACACCCCGTTCGCCGCCACCTCTTCTGTTCCATTCGGTTCCTTCAAAGGTTCAAAGATCCAAAGAAGCAGAAGCCGATATAGTTCTTAGTATTATTGCTAGTTCTTGGTACGGAGCAAATGACACAGGAAAAATACGCACTTTCTGCCAAGCTTGCTTGGCACCCGATGCTGTTAATACTAAGTACTTACTGTATACAGTAATCCGTTTCGTGCATTAAGCAGGCTAAACCTACTAAAGCGAAATTAGTGCTCTCTATTGTAGTTTACCCGTACTATATTGTAATCAAAGTTCTTCTCTGTACACACCGTAGATGAAACTGTACTGTAAGTCACTACCTAGAATCTCGCAATACTAAGTAAGTAGTAGCCCGATCTAACCAGTAAGTATCGGCAGCTGCTCTACAGAGATGGTTCAGTACCGGCTTGTGCTTTATAAGGGTGCTCACTCTGGGCAAGGACTTGAAATTATGAGCGGCGAGAAAGAGCAGCAGTGACTGGAGTGTAGCAAGCTGCACTGTTGTTGAAATGCATTGATTGATATCCGAGGCTGAAATTGAACATTCAGTGTCCTAATCATCCCGGCCTCACTTTCAACTCACTTACGCTCCATTTTCGTGACACACCTAAAATTCGCACAAAGTATGAGCAGAGGCATTTTGTCAACCACCGAGCGCCTCGAGATGCTGTAGCTTCGATGGCGCTTGCGACAACCTCAGAAGACTTTACTATCCGAGGAGCGGACACGGTTCCGACATGTTATCTAAAACGTCGCACAGATGAGCTCCCACTCACAGGGCTCTCAGAGCATCCGCATCGGGATTAGAGGCCGCAAGCTCATGCGCGTGATCTCTTAGCCTATCATCAGTTTCTCTTCACGACGCTGCTCCTGCTGTTCCCTGCAGAGCACTTGGAACTTGAATTCAGGAGAGACCTACTAGTGGTGTGCGAAGAGGCATGGGTACTACAATAAGTAAGTACTTATGTACTTGAAGTCGAGTACATGTTCCTGACCATTGGTTGCACTCGGTGATGCCCATCGCCCAGTGCTCGTGACGTCGACTCTCAATAGGCCTGAAACAAGCCGAGACTTGGACGCGAAGATCGGTACGAACAACGGGGTTCGTCGCAAGTGGGAAGCCTCCGATACGAGCCACGACATTTAAACATACAGTAGTAAGTAAATAAAAGTTTTGTTACGCTTAGAAGTTTGTCTGAACCACCGTCGCTCCGTTGGACGGACTTGCCAACTTCAAATTGTTTCAAAGCAGAAAGCAACATTGAAGCTTTGAGGCCATGTCATTCAAGTTTTCTCTCTTCGTGATAGATGCTGCCGTTCGCTGAGGCTGAGCGATGCGAAGTCTTCCTCTGATGTCTCGCCGGAATACAACCCTACGGTAGACTGACAGAGCCGTACCGGTGCAGGCAGTAAGTACACCATTGATGAAATAGGATTGCGCAGCCCTGAGTCAAACAGAGGCCCGGCTGTGCAAGGGAACTGTGCTACTGTCTTGAGGATGGTCATGTGGAAGAGCGTGGAACTATCGGTGTTGCAGCGGGCGACGTCGAAGAACAACTTGAAGATTCGCAGGCCACGGGCGAAGCTTGCCCACTGGATCGTGAAATCTAAAAGCTGAGCCGGCATGCTGGACTGTGGACAAGCACCTTACACCGCTGGCTCCCCGGTTCGCAGCCCTGCGAAGCCGAGGATGCATTTCCGGACAAAATCAGCCTCATTGCCGCTTGTCTCTTGGACATTCCTGCCATCATAGCGAGAATAGAGGTCTTAGTTCAACATCTGAACCCTGCTCTTGCAGATGGGATGGCATTCGGCAGAGCATTCTACCCATGCAGATACAGCCACTTCTCACTGTGCGCAGATACATACTAGTGGTAAACAAGAGCTCTCCGGCTGGTCTTGTACCAGCATTCCCAAAGCTTCACCCCGTAGTCCTATAGACGACCTGAGGTACTAAATACTTAAGGTACTAAGTACCTAACCCCAGTCCACGCCTGCGAGCAGGAAATCCAACATGGCATTCCAACACTACTAAGTCTAGTATCTTCAACATGGCGTACCGGCCGCGGGCATCTCGCACGGTGTCCTCATGACGGACTTGTCACTCTCCCCGCCAAAGCACCCTCAGCAACCCGGATCAACCGCCGTACTTCCTCGACTTTCTTGCTGTCGAGGAACTCGAGGATCTGCTGAATCCTCTCACCGGCACGGTCGAAGGTGAATATGAAGACATATTCCCCCTCATAGGTCCAGTCGAGACCGGGATCACTGGCCTTTGCTGTTTCCTTGAACTTCGTTTTGCCGGTCGCCCAGACCGTGATTTGATGGTTCCCCTCGTATATGTCCTTAGTTGTGACGTGAATGCCTTCGATAACATTTTGAAGGGACTTCACATGGCTTCGGAATTGCTCGTTGTTCTTTCTTTCTATGCCCAGCGATGCTGGTGCGAAGTAATGCTGGCAGTCGGGCGTGCGAAGACTGATGTTGGCCTCATAATCGAGGTTCCTGAAGCTATCTAAGAATGCAAGAGCAACTTGCTGCTGTTTCCACATTCCGCGGCTCATAGTATTAGGTGTTGATGCTGGCTGACACAGTCTTCAGGTAGGTGTTTCTCGACTCAGTTAAGGAAAGGCCTAAGTCCGCTTTGTTCCTATCTCCGATCTGTTGTCTTTCAATCCATTTGCTTGGCCGAGCGGTGGCCCAATCATCGAGATGGGGCGAGACGAGTCGAGATGGAAGGGGATGAGAATGGACTCTGCTGAATCCCGAGTCCTGGCGAAGCTTCAAAGCTGTGGACAGAAATCTGCACTCAGATGCTATACTGTACTAAGGGTTAATATGGATTGGATGGATCCAACCGTGAACTACTCCGTACACCTAACTGTCTTGAATTCTGGGGAGGAAAGTTTTCGTTGCCAATGGCTTTCGCCAAGGACTCGGGAGGCAACAAGTAGAGCGTTGGACTTCCCGAATCCATCTGCTAATGACTATCTAGGTAAGTTGATCAACTTCCTACCTTACGATACGTCGAGAAACCCTCCTTGTATCTGACTGTCATACGACGTCTTTTGTAGACGGGCAAGCTAACGCTTTCCTTTACCTTTGATGGCTTACTGATGGACTCGAGGACAGGCTCGGGGCGTAGGGAGTGTCCGAGTACGAGTGCTGGGTGAGTGTTCCATCTGTAATTAACACCTAGGTAGGTGAACGGTGGATGAATGATGGGTAAATGAATGCCGACTCAAGGTATGACATCATCGAGGTTTCCATCGCTGGTGCCGCACCCGCGCCTACGACGCGCACGAATTAACGCGTCGCTTCGCACGGCGCCAAAAATCTTGTAAGAGTTGTGCCGGCACGCCAGATCAGTTCGCTTCAGTGCAAGTCTTGCTTATGGCCGTCATCTACCATGCCTCCATTGCTGAACCTCTCTACGATGCATCTCGCTACGTCCTTCTCCTCGCAAACCGTCATGAAGCCCAAGGGACCTGCTACCCTACGATCAGCTTGGTGCTCTGAAGTCCAGTCTCCCTTGACTGAGATTCCCCAGGCAAAATGTCTTGTAGGTTTGTCCTTCAGCGGGTGTCCATCCTTCTGCGAAAGAAAACATACTCCTCCGCAGCGCAACTTTCCGAGGAGCTGGGAAACAATATAGACAGGGGGTTGCTCCTGCTCTTGTCTCCCAGCTAGCTGTATCTCGATGTGACTTTTTGGCAACGTCAAACAACCGGAAGCAAAGCGAAATGGCAATTACCTGCTGGCATGGCTGCCCATGGATGGAACATTCCATGCCCTTCCGGCCGTCAGCGACCCTGCTGGACATCATTCATGAGCACCGCCAGTAGTCGGCTGATCGTCTTAGGTCAACTATGGAATTACGTCGTTGATACATTGTTTTCGACACGAAGAAAAGGCCTTCTGTGCAACCGGAATACTTGTACTCGCGAATCATCGGAGATCGAAGCAATCTACATGAACAAGCACCACACTTGAATTTAGCACTTCTCCAACACCGAAGATTGGCTTACTGCTCATTGACTTGTTATAGGACAAAACGTGTTCCTACTGTTGACGGAGCCAGCCTTCCTGGCATCACCTTTTCGATCTCGTATTTCGCCCTCCATCCCGAACAGTGCCCAGGCATCAGGATCCGAGGATCCAGCTCCTTAAGGTCCGCCACCGTGTCTTTGATCCATGCTTCGTTTGGACCAACGAGGTGGTAGCCACCTATCACTGCATATAGCGGAACATTCTCACCAGCCAACTGCAAGGCGTGCTTGACTACATTCACCACTCCAGCGTGGCTACATCCTGTGAAGACCACCAGCCCCTTGCCTGCACTATCGTCAGCCTCGCCCTGAAATCGAGGTGCCACTCTTACCCTTTACATTGCACATGAGAAAGCGCTCGTCCAAGATCAGCTCGTCATTTTCCCAGCTGTTTGTCTCTTGATTGAATCTGATCCCACGCTGGAAACCCTTCTCGTACGGAGTGACACGCGGGATCTCGCCAGAAACAAGGAACATACTCTCTAGAATGGTGTGCGGCTGATCGTTCTTCATCACCTTGGCTCCGACGGCCTCGATTTCTTCGAATGTCGGGTCTTTCTCAAGCGAAACAGGACCGAAAGGCCCCAGAAATCCTCGGTATGTTGGTCGGTTTGGGTGAAGGTCGACAGGGATGCCCGTGGTCCCTCTTGCCTCATTGATCATGGACACTGCTTTCAACATTCCCCCTGAATGGTCACGATGCCAGTGAGAAAGTTGGATCCACTCGACGGACGCAAGCTGGGCTCTCAGTCGTGTGGCATTAAGTTTCCAAATATGCTCTTCGGGTGCAGTGTCGAACAAGACAGTATGGCGCTTCTCGCCCTTCTTTGACGTCTAGGACAACGTCAGCTATAGCAGCTCCCCGGTATCAGATTCTCACAATCATCAATGACAACCCATGGGCACCACAGCAAACATTGTCAAGCCGGATCTCGAACTTGGCCCCGCCTCTGCTTCCCTCCGGTAGTGGCGCTCTAAGGGCCACATCTGGCAGCTGACCACCGACCTGCAGGTCCGGGTGTTGGTAAGAAGAGATGGGGTCGACCTCGTTATCAACAATCACCAAGATCTCAAGCGAGTCGATCTCATCGAGCGCAGCCATGATTTCGACGAACTGCTGATGGGGTGATCCGGGGTTGTAAGCGACGCGGATGCACGGAGATCGGCTCCAGCACTTGGCGACGTCACTTGACAGGCGTCCTTAAACCTTCTCGTTGATGATGTGTCCGAGTTTGGTGTCTTTTTTAATTTGTCAACAGCGGGTATACCTATACGATGTCGCAGCGTCGCACACAAGACTCTAATCATGAAGAGAATGACAAGCTCGCATTTCCGGCACCTGTCATGCCGATGTGGGTTCTTGTGACGTTCAGCTGCTGTTGGGACGGTGTGTTGGGGGCCTGAGCTGAACGCCTCGCGAGGACGGCAATGAACATACCCTGCCATTAAATAGATGGCCACGTTCCCTGCCCACATCAATAAGCAGGTTTCTTTCATTCCAACACGGCATGGATCACGAGCTTGCGAATCTCAAGGCCTTGGTGTCGCCGGATGAAATTCTTACAAGAAATTCGCCCGGCTTCGAAGAAGAATCCAGAACTTGGGCAGTTCAAGCGAACCGGCATCCTGCGACTGTGTTCATTCCAAAGACCGTCGAAAAGCTTAGCGAGGTCATCTCTTACGCAAATACCACCAGTCTTGACATCGGCATCCGCTGCACTGGTATCGGAAATGCCACAGCGAAGGATGTCTTGATCTCCTTGTCAACATTCAAGTCATTCTCTTTCGATCCGCGTGAGGAGACAATCGTCTTTGGCGCGGGTCATTGCTGGGGGGAGATCGACCAGAAAGTGGAAGAGCAAGCACCTGGTTACGCAGCAGTCAGCGCACGATGTACCTATGTCGGTGTTGGCGGCTCTATTCTCCACGGCGGACAAAGTTGGTTGAGCTCTGAGCACGGTCTAGCGTGTGATCCACAGAACTTACTCGACGCCCAAGTGGTCAAGATGGACGGAAGCGTTGTCTGGGCAAGCAGTGAGCCTGATCTCCTTTGGGCATTGCGTGGCGGAGGTGGTGGCTTCGGAATGGTCACCGCCTACAAGATGCGGGTCTACAAGTACCCTTCTTCCATATTCAGTGGGCAGATTGTTTACCCCCCCGAAGCACTGCACGATATTGCACGAGAGACTGCCGCCTTTGCGTCACGATGCAGCGATCCCAAGATGGCTCTGCATTTGTACTGTCTGGACATGACTGCCGGGACTTACGCTGGGAAGGAACCCAAACCCGGGCTGGCGTTCGCCGTGTTCGACGCTAATGGTCCTGAGCACGGAAGAGGCCCAGATGGATTCAAGTGGGCGTTGGACATCCCCGGGGCGGTCGATTTGACCAAGACAATGACCCTACGGGAGGTCAACCAGCAGTTTGATCAATCGAAGGCCCCTTTCGGAAAGCTCAATACGTGGGCAGCCGGTGTGACCGTTCCAGCCGTGGATGAAGATCTCATCTTGCGCGCCTGGCACTGGTACCTGCACCTCTTGAAGAAGGACCCGAGGTTGGTCATGGGCACATATGTCCTGATGGAGGTGATGCAGAAAGTGAGGAAGAAAGAACTCAGACATGACGTTTCCCACCACTGACAAGGCCAGGCTGTATATCAATCGCTCGGGTTCCCAAGCCGCGTATCGGCATGGCCGCACACCCAGAATCAGCACAACCTCCAACTGGGTACTGGGGTCGTACCGGGCTCGCCTGAGAGTGATGCCCTGGCCTACAAAGCTATGGCAGAAGGACCATACGAGATCCGGCCCGGCCACACTGGCGCAGATTACTTCCCGAATTTCATCGAGGATTTTGTCGATCCGAAGAAGGTACGTGACGAGTGACTTTCGTTTGTGGCAGTGGAAGTTTGGTTGGCTGACTGATGAATCCAGGTGTATGGCGTCAACTGGAACAGACTAGTCGAGATCAAGAAGAGATACGATCCAAACAACAAGCTAGGCGGTCCGTTCGGTCATCAATGAAGGCGTGATCTTACGCCGAGACATGAGCTCGAAAAGAAATTGTGCTTAGGTCTCATAGATGCCCTACAGCCGGAATGCAATCGTCGGACCTTCCATGGTCCAAGCGAGGCGGATGGTGTCCGTGCGAGCGCTGATAGTGATGACATCTGATACGAATTGTCGTCCACTGCTGGTTGAGAAGTTCCAGGTGCCCGGCCCTCTGCCCGTAGTCATCCCTCTCGACCATGTCGGTCTGCGCTCGTGAACTCCGCCGCAGTCTTACTTGGCCAGTAAAGACGGACGACCACAAGGCTACCATCCGAAGTGAAGGAGTGGCGTCTGAACCGCACGTCGTTCCGCACACACGTAGTGTCGGTGCTTTCAGAATTGAGATATTGGCAGGCGGGATCCCTGCAGGCTCAAGCCATGTTTGTGTGATTCATTCGATCGTCAAGGAGTCAGTCTAGGATAATGATGACTATGTACATGGTACTGTACCAGGCACGTGTACCGTGCACGGTGTACCTCCCACCCCATACATTGTCCGCATACTCTTACTTGGAGAACGGAGTCGTTTCCCATGCCATCGCCGACGTCGGTGACGGCTTCCGTTCTACGAAGGGGATCTCCAACTTCCCCAACTGACTTCAATACTCGTACATATTGGACCGACTCACGGTACGTCTGGATGAAGGTATGTATCGCTAGACCCAGTGACCCTGTATCCCATCGACCACCACGCTTCCATCCTGGAGTGAAACTGCCGTCGTGCTCTACCCGCACCACTCTGCCCGGTCAAGATGAAAATCTCACTTGAAAAAGCCCAGCGTCTCGCCGACGACGCCCTCCAGCGCATAGGTTACCCCGACACCGACATCCCCACGATCCGCGACCACCTCCTGGACAGCGAGCTCCGGGGCTACGGCATCGCGGGACTGGCACGGATACTGAGCATCGCCGACCGCCTTGCCGCGCAACCACAGTCTGCCACACCCACACCGACCCCAGCCTCGTCATCATCAATCACCACGACATCCGAATCCGCCACGACGGCGCAACTAGACGGCAAGGACGCGCTCGGCTACCTCGTCGCGCACGAGGCGACGAAAGTGGCCATCGAGAAGGCGAAATCCTCGGGCATCTCGGCCGTGGGGGCCCACAACACGTACTACACCGGCATGTTGTCTTACTATGCCGAGATGGCGGCCGCGGCGGACCTGGTCACGATCATCGCCTCGAACTGCAGCCCCTGGGTGGCGCCCGAGGGGACGTACAAGCCGCTCGTGGGCACGAATCCGTTCTGCATCGGCGTGCCGGCGCCTACCGACGAAGCCACACCCATCATCTACGACATTGGCACGTCGCGGATCATTCACGCGCAGGTCCTCCTGGCGATGCGCAAGGGGGAGCAATTGCCCCCGGACACCGCGTTCGATGAGCACGGCAATATGACGACGGACCCCCACGAGGCGCTGAAGGGCGCGCTGGCAGTGTGGGGCGGTGCAAAGGGGAGTGGGCTCGCGATTGCGGTGCAATTGCTGGGCATTTTGGCCGGGTCGCCTGCGTTGCCGCCTAATTTGGAGGACTTTGGGTTCTTCATCATGGCGATTGACCCGGCGAGGTTCAGACCCATGGGCGATTTCAAGCGTGAGGTCGGGAACCTGATCACGGCGTTTCACACGGCGCCGTCCATGACAGGGAATGCCCTAAGGCTGCCGTTTGAACGGTCCAACCGGCGCAGGGCAGAGACGAGGGCTGGAGGGTTTCTGGAGGTTGATGACATTGTAGTGGAGAAGCTGGAGAAGTTGATCTCAGCAGCTCAATGACCTCCATGGACTGTTTCTCATACTGGTCACTCAGGACGAGTACCCTAACGTGAACAGTGCAATGCATTCTTAGCCTTCACGTACGGCCGATAGACCGGGTCCCACATCTGCGCCTCCACCCACTCCTGCAACTCGTCGTCAGACTGCGGAATATCTGGAGTCTGGGCCAATCCTTGCTCCTCTGCACTTCGAATCACCGCCATGGCAATCTTGACACTGACTGCCCGGGCGTGCTCCACATCCGGCACGAGAGCCTTCTCTGGATCGTTCATCGCGGGCGCCTCTCTGGCCAACGCCGACACAGCTGCCACGAGCATCTTGTCCGTCATCAACTTCGCCCTGCACAGAACACCGCCGAGTCCGATGCCCGGAAAACAGACGGAATTGTTGCATTCCGCCACCTCGATCTCCTTGCCGTTGTATTTGACGGGCGGAAACGGAGAGCCTGTGGCAACCAGAGCACGGCCGTCGGTCCAGTGGATGAGATCTTCGGGCTTGGCTTCGTGCAGCTTCGTCGGGTTACTCAGTGGCAGAATAATCGGCCTGTCGACGTGCTTGGCCATTTCTTGCACGACTTCCTTTGTGAACGAGCCAGGTTTCGTTGAAGTGCCGATCAAGACGTGCGGTTTCACCTCGGCGATGATGGACTGCAGGGATTTAGTGTCTTTCCCTTGCCACTCTGATGCCCTTCGTGCGTAGGGTTTCTGGGCGATGGAAAGTGTGTCTTCCATGTTGTCGAGCAGGAGCCCGGGCTTGTCAACGCACCTGAGACGCTTAGCATGGTCACAAGAGGTAAGCACTTATAAACTCACCATATCTGCTTCGCAACCTCTTCCTTGCTCTTCTTCGATTCAGTGGCGATAGCTGTCTGCACCTGCTCTGCAATCCCGCAGCCAGCAGTTCCAGCACCAAAGAGTACCACTCTCAGATCGGTCATCTTCACTTGGTTGATATGTAGTCCGGCCATGATCGCCGCGAGCGTTACACACCCTGTTCCTTGAATATCATCGTTGAAGACACTGTACTCGGTTTGGTATCTGTCCAGCAATCTGCGCGCATTCGTGAGGCCAAAATCCTCAAAGTGAATATAAGCGTTCGGATATAGCTTCTTCGCCGTCCTCATAAACGTGTCCACAAAATCGTCATAGCTTTGCCCACGAACGCGTCTGAAACGATGGCCCAGATAGAGATCGTCATTCAGCAGCTCCTCATTGTTGGTACCAGTATCGAGCACGACCGGAAGAGTTCTGTCAGGGTGCACCCCAGCGCAGATCGTCATGAGAGCCAATTTGGCCACGCTGATCAGTATTCCTCCAATACCTTGGTCGCCAATCCCCAAAATCTGCTCTCCGTCACTGACGACTATGTAATCCACGCCGCCGTCGGGCTCGCCTTCTCGCACGAACTTGCTCAACCGCTCCTCGACTTCTTCTGGATGCTTGATGCTGAGGAAGCAGCCGTCGGGTCTGCGGAAGATTCGGGAATAGTTCTGGATGGCATCGCCTTCAGTGGGGGTATAGATGATGCTGAACATTTCCCGCAAATGGTCTTGGATCAGGCGATAGTACAGCACCGAGTTCTGCTCGGCCATTGAGGTCATGAACGTGTTCTTGGCGAGATCATTTGGTTGTGCCGAGTACTGTTGATAAGCCCGATCGACTTGCTCGTCCAGTGTTTGGATATTGGTTGGAAGGAGGCCCTTCAGATGGAAGTCCACCCGTTCTTGCGAAGTGAAACATGTTCCCTTGTTGTAGAAGGGATTGTCGAGGAGCAGGCGGCCAGAGAAAGGTACTTCGAGCGGGCCTTTCTGAGCAAGGGGGAGGTGCTCGAATTTCTTCTTCCCATGTGTCATGGTGGTCAACGACCGGACAAGGTGGTGTCGTATTCGTGAAGCGAACATTCGCACAATGAGGTGGTTGAAGAGACTTTGCTGGTATGTACTTGTAGAGAATGATGTCAAACAAGACCCGGACAAGCTCTAAGCAAGCCGCATAATGCATAGACCGGGGGGCGCCGTTGATTGGGCGGCGGATTTCAGGCCCGAGCGTGTGGAGCTGTAACCCAATCGGGGGCCAACGGACGCCGCATCTGCCAACATCATGGCCGGTGCTCCGCAGATGGGAAATGACGGCAAGGATAAGATGCAGCCGGCCTTGTCAAGCCTCCACCTGTTCAAAGAAGTCGTTGGCCATGACATTCACGATCATTGCAACCTCATCGAGAGATCGGACCACCTTGACGTCGTCCGAGATGCCCTTTAACTGGTCCTCCTCGCGTGCAAGATGAAGTGCTTCCCAGCCTGCGTTTGTTGCTCCAACATAGTCCTTCGAGTATTCGTCTCCGACATGAATGCGCATCCTCTTTGCGTCGTCAATCCGATACTTGACAGCCGACGCGGTCTTCCAGAATTGGCTTCGAAGACTTTCCGCTGGGTCAACTTCGATGCTCTGTTCGCCTCGAGAGAGGCCCGTAGGATGAGCAAGCACCTCAGCGTGGTCCCATATGCGGCCGCTTGGCTTCTCGGCGTCCGCATCGTAGCTCGTACTGACGATATCAAAGTCGTTACTGATATTGTAATATCCCCGGAAGACAGATTCAAGCGGTGACCCGGAAGTATCGCCTGCAGCTTCGCGGGCCATTCTGGTCACGTCTTGGAAGTTGGGGAGCGCAGATGGCCCTACCCGAAAACCCAGGTCACGCAGCACCACGGCCACTCGCGGATCAGAGTTTGTGACGACGCCAGTAAGAACGATCGGTCCATCAGGGTCGGTGAATCGTCTCTTCAGCGCAGCCATGCTTTGCAAAAAGGGCTTCACGTCAGGGAACGGCTCATATGCAGCGCCGGATGAAAAGTGCTTGTAGAGTGCTGAGCCCAGGTTAGACGGGAGAGCTGACTCTCCTCCCTCGACAAGCTGACTGAACGCTTGCTTGACGAGCAGATGCCACCAGACCTCGGGGCTTTCCAGCTTGTTCTTGCCATAGTTGGGATACGCGCTGTTGTGATGCTTGGAGGATTTCCTGAAGGCCTGGTCTAGCTCCTTGGGATCGATCTTCGCATCCAGACCGCACTGTCGAGCAACTTGCAAGTATTGCACTGCTACTGGCTGTCGGAAGGTGTACAGTGTGCCCAGCGCGTCGAGGGTGACTAGAAACATAGGGAGTTTCTGAGGCTTCACGAAGGTCCTTAACATCGAACCCAGTAGACCCATTGCTGCGGCGTGTAGTTTGAAGCTTCTGTCCGTAAAGCATAGTCCGAAGGCCAACCAAAGCGAGCGAAGCAGCGTAGAACCAATGAAAGACAGGACAAGCTTGATTCCAGCACCGATGCCGTGACCAGAAGAAGCTCGCGAGACCCCTCGGGTATGTATTACATGAGCAAGGGGTGAATGGTGCGAGCTTGAGTCTCTTTTCTGCGCCTCGCTTCGACCCGCAACCCGCCGCGGCGATTCTGCGATTTGCAATTCAATCCCACAATTTGTCAATCGACGTCGCTGGAACCGCTCGTTGGATCTCTGAACTTTCCTACACCCTCTGTATAAGGACTCGGTCTGCTCTTGTTACAAACACCCGCCAAACTGTTCTACTCGAAGTTCCACCGTCTCTCGCGACCTGTGCGCTCCTCGTTCGGCCTGTCCCTCGCCGCTACGACAGCCTCTCTCCAGAAACAGCACCCGCCCGCGAGCTTTTCCTCCTCTTCGCGCCCCATGGCGCCGCCTCACACCAAAGTGGCCATCATCGGCTCTGGCCCCGCCGCGCACACTGCCGCCATCTACCTTTCTCGAGCCGAGCTCAAACCGGTCATGTACGAGGGCATGCTGGCCGGCGGCACGGCAGCGGGAGGCCAATTAACCACCACAACCGACGTGGAGAACTACCCCGGCTTCTCAAAGGGCATAGGCGGCTCAGAACTGATGGAGGAGATGAAAGCACAGTCCCTGCGTTTCGGCACCGAGATCATCACGGAGACCATTGCAAGGGTCGACCTCAAATCTCGGCCGTTCCGTCTGTGGAGAGAATATGACGACGCAGAGTCCGACGAACCCGCACATACCGCCGATGCGGTCATCATTGCTACGGGCGCCAACGCCAGGAGGTTAGATCTCCCAGGAGAAGAAACATACTGGCAGAACGGCATTTCCGCATGCGCCGTCTGCGACGGTGCGGTGCCCATTTTCCGCAATAAACCCCTCGTCGTCATTGGCGGTGGGGACTCGGCCGCCGAAGAGGCCATGTTCTTGACCAAGTACGGCTCACACGTCACCGTGCTGGTAAGGAAGGATAAGCTGCGGGCGTCCAAGACCATGGCGAAACGGTTACTCGCGAACCCCAAGGTGACGGTCAAGTTCAACCACGTCGCGACGGAAGTGCAAGGGGAGAACAAACCCCGCGGCCTGATGACACATCTGAAGGTCAAGAACGTCGTCACGAATGAAGAAAAAGTGCTGGAAGCCAATGGGCTGTTTTACGCCGTGGGCCACGACCCAGCGACTGCGCTGTTCAAGAACCAGGTCGATACGGACGAGGATGGATATATCCTGACGAAGCCGGGGACCAGCTATACCAGCATACCCGGCGTCTTTGCCGCCGGCGATGTGCAGGACAAGCGGTACCGGCAGGCCATTACAAGTGCTGGAAGCGGGTGCATAGCCGCACTCGAGGCCGAGAAGTACCTGGCAGAGTTGGAAGACGACGACGTCCCGGATATTGAGAAGGAGAACCAGGCCAAGAAGCCCGAAGTCAACGGCGACGCTGCGCCAGAGTACCGGTCGAATCCGCTGTTATGAGCATGTACATTCTATGACTAGAGTGCATAGAGGATAGACATTATATCGAAATCCAAAAAAGGTATTTTTTGAGTTGCGCAATGCTTTTCTTCAAAGCACATGATTTCTAATCGGCGCCCATCGCTATGCGCCGTAGCCAGTAGTTGTACATGGTCCAGCCTAATATCGACAATCACTTCACCTCCTTCTCAAATACCATGCAAAGGCCGAACCAAGAATATCCACCGGATAGGGACTTGGAACTTCAGCCATACCTGGCCTTGCCACCGGATGCCTGAGGTACACCGCCGCGCATATATTGTGGTTCACTTCGAGGAAGCGCGGAATGAAGGCAAAAGCGCTCATGTAGTCCCGCGGCATCCAAGGTGTGGCATAGGGCTTGGAGTCATCAACAGGGTTCTCCTGCATCGACCGGAGGGCAGCGTAAAGCTCATTGTAGTCGGCATCGCTCAGGATTATTTCTTGCTTGGGTTCAGGTGCCGGGGTTTCGACAGACTCTTCCTTGGGAGCCTGTTGCTCGCCATCCTGGGCCGATGGGAGTGATGTAGTACCGGCAGCTTGGTTTTCTCTTCTGATGTTTAGCTGGTGCTGAATTTCCGTGAATTGGGCTTCCAGACTGTCCGTGAGAACAGTCGATGATCCGGATCGCGAAAGCAGCTTCTTGATGGCGGTGCCAAACGCTCGAAGGTCTTGTTTTCGTTTCGCGCCAATATCTCGTTTCGAGGTAGCTAGGATGCTCTTCGCCCTGGTTCGTAGGTCCTTCAACACTTCCCGGGGATCTCGATCCACGTCGACCGCCTCTTCTTCTTCGACGAGTTCCCCTTCAGCAGGCCGTGACGTGCTCTCTTCCGTAGTTTCTTCTTCACCTTCACCTTCCGCTGGGGCCGCCTTTTGTGGGACTTTGGTGGCGCCGGTTGCCCACATCACCCGTTCGGGGTCGACTTGGAACATGTCCCCGGGGTTCAGTAGGTAGCCAGGGTACCGCATCTAGGACCGTGTCAGCATAGCTCACGACAGGTAGCAATCAATCCCACCTGCTTGCCATTTACTTTGACTGCTCCGTGTACCACAAATTGCCTCGCTTGTCGAGCACTGCTTGCGAACAGGGCTCTGAAGATTGCAGTATCCAACCTCCTTTCCATCGGCGCAAAGGTCATTGACATATATGGAATAGGGCTGTTCACGCGCTGTTTCCCCTTTTTCTCCAAGCCCGAACCTCGACCAGCAGATTCCCGCGAGCCATCATTTGCGGCGAGGTATGCTGCATCCATTGGAATGACCGACCGAATCCGCCTGTCAAACATCCGCAGCCACTGCTTTTCTCGAACATGCTCTCCATGATAGTTGCGGGCCAGGGACTTTGTTGCCCATTTTTGTTTGAAGAAATTATGAAATCTGCCGGAGTAGGGTGTCTGTCGCGCGAGATTGTAGAGATTGTACTTGCTCCATGATTGCCGGACTTTCTGTACGTTGTCAGCAACGTTGCCCGATGTCTAGTGTTCGTTCTTGCTAACCACATCGGACAGAATGTTTTTCTTGACTTTCAAAGGTGTCGGCGCCTTGCGCGGCATGGTCGAGATGGACAGTCTTGCTGGTCGGTTGCGTCGAAGAATCTCGTGCTTTGCTGCAGTAAAAGACCTAGCGGAATGGAACATCGTCTCCTTCCGCCGAATCGGCACGTGCTGCGCTAATTTGCTTGGCAGGACACCAGTATATATTTCCTGCTCCTCCTCCATCCTTCTTGAACCTGATCATACTTGTAAGTGTCACTACTCCGAGCATGATGTGTTGAAATCCGACCGCTAACATTTCTCTAGACCTTGTGGGAGCGACTGAGCTCAAGCATTCAGCCTGCTATGGCGGTGTCCCTGCATTGCACATCGCGGTGGATATCGCCTTCAAGTGTCCTACGGGGCTCTTGTCCGCGCATTTTTTGGCCATCATCACAACTTTTTCATCATGCATCTTTGCCTTGAGCAAGATCTTGGAGAAGAAGGCAGGTAGAAGTGAGTGCAACTCTATGATCTCGTGTTGTCTTGTCGGTCAGTCGGTGGTTGATCGGGACGCGTGAAGTTCGTGTTACTCCAGGCTCTAGCGGTGTGGCCGACAACGACCTCAAAGCAAGAGAAGACGAGAAGGTGGGCGTGTATGGATGTTCGAGGTTTTGCTGTTGTCGGAGCCTACAGACATCAAGAGATTGCGTCCGCGAACAGCATCGTCATCGCCTTGGTTCCTGGTGACCAAGGTGATGAGCTGGTCAGCTGGAGGCCACGTCTTCAGAGGTTCTGACGCAATCGCAGGCTCCTACTGTCAGCTGCACCTTGGATGTGGACAGATAGTCTTCTAGTCCGCTGCAACCTTCGACGTAGTACTACTCTTCCGAATGGGCAAGGTGTGCTCTCTTGAAACGTCGAACACAACATTGTAGGAAAGTTTGCACGAAATGCCCTTGGCACAGCACAGCAAGCAAGATATTCTACAGACCTAGTCGACTTGGTTTGATATTGTAATTGCACTATGAAGCTACTTTGCGCAATAGTTCATGCCATCCAGGTACCATCACGAGATCCCAAATCTTCGTATCGTCTCAAGTCATCTAATCGTCCTGACCAACCCTAAACTCCTCGCTAAACCGCACACAAAGCAGCATTCATCGATACAAGTCAGCCTTGCATTGTCTGCCAGAAATAGTCTGCATAGAACGATTTCGGAAACTTCGGGTCAATGTTGACAACATGTACATCCCCCTTCTTCTTGTTCGCAATCGTGGCCTTGTTGTAGTTGCCTGCTTCGTCCTGCTCGAGGGTAATGCCCAGGGATCTGTACAGCCAAAGCCGCAATCTGTGACTCTCGTCAGTAAAGTCGTAAAATATTCATACTCGTCAACCGTACATGGTGGGATCATCCGCCTCCCTTGACCGTCTTGTGTTCTCATCTCCCTCAACGCCTTGCTCCTCCAAATCCGCGAGCCGCATCTTCAGCCTTTCGAGTTCGGCTTCTAATCGTTCGCTCTCTGCCTCTAGCTCTGAAGCTTGTTTTGCGATTCGGAATTTCTTCGTGTCGAGCTGGACGATCTCGCTGGCATGTCGGCCGCTATCATGGCTGGAAATCGTTTCTCGATGCTGAGAGGAGAGTGTAGATAACTGACGAGACAGCTTTCTCAGGGCCGTCTCTGCATCTCGGATTCGCAGATCACGCGATTGCTGCAGGGTTGACAAGGAATCGTTGACACGCGACAGCGCTGCTTTGTCCGGGGCAATGTTGAAGTTGGAGACGGTGGCGCGGATGAGCTGTGATAATTGTTATTGTCGTCCTCAATATGCGGCGTGATGACTTACCGTCGCTGGATCTTCGTCGAGCAGCATATTCGAGGATAGCCTGGAAGATGTGGACTGGTGCTGAATGCTGAACTGTTCTTGGATCTCGCTGAGTAGATTGTTGACGCCGCGCAGTGGTGGTTGCGGGGAGCAACTAGCTTCCTAGGCAAGTCGACGGTCCCTAACAACCTTCCAGAAGGCCCTGCGGGGCGGCGCGTCATGCCTGAGCCACCTATCAGTGATGCTCAGCCACAGAGGGACCCTGCAGCTTTATTTCACTGCAGCAGTCGCCCGAAGTGCACGTGCGGAGGCAACAGCAATCATCCTCGAACCAACTATTCTGTCGCCCTACAGCATCAGTCACTACAGTCGCAGCGGCCACAATGCCTTCAAACCTGCCGTATGCGGCAGATGCAGAAAGGTTTGTTTCAGCAGCTGTGTACCTGAACAGGCGCATTTGACACTCCGCAGTCCTTTAAAGCCTGCCGAACTCCAAGTCCTCCGCGCGCAGTACGAAAAGGAAGGCGAGTACGTGGGAGTCCAAACGAAGTTCAATTATGCTTGGGTATGCTAGTGGCGCTGCGACAAACTGTGAAGCTCGTTAACAACTTCCAGGGATTGATCAAGTCCAATCAACGAGGCGAACAACAGCTGGGCGTCCAACTACTCTCGGATATCTTCAAGACGACGCCGGAGCGGAGGAGAGAGTGTCTATACTATCTGGCACTGGGGAACTACAAGTTGGGAAACTATGCTGAAGCCCGGCGGTACAATGATCTGCTGCTGGAGAAGGAGCCTGGAAATCTGCAGGCCAGCAGCTTACAGCAACTTATCGACGACAAGGTATCGAGAGAAGGCCTGATGGGTGTTGCAATCATCGGCGGCGTTGCTGTCGCTGCAGGAATCGTTGGAGGCATGTTGATGAGAGGCGCACGGAAGCGATGATGTTGCGAAGCGTTGCGCATTCTGGATTGTTCTTCGGACATGCACCGGTTGCAAGGAGAAACTGTACGCTAATGGAGTACATAATGATCACTGAGGTCTGGCTGGAAGGATAGAAAACGACGTGGAAGAGCAAACATGAGCAAACCCAAACAATTATCGCCTTGACTGGTCGTCATCACGAGCAATACAACGCAGAGTATCATACCTTCACGGTCACTCCTCGCTCGTTGTGAGCCGACTGAAACAGGTTTGGTTTTATCGATAAAGCTGGGCCGGTGATGCAATGCTGCGGAGTGACACGCATGCAGAACGGAAACCTACGACCTTCTCTGTAGTTATCGTTAGGTCCTCATTAATATTCCCCGATATCAGTCCATTGGGAGTTACAGTCCTAGCATTCCCTTGTGATCGACAAATTCGCCGCACCCATTCGACCCTCTTCCCACAGCAGCCGCCACGTTCCCCAGATAAACCTCGAGCGGACACAGACACGAACTCTCCGCTCCGCATTGCCACACCCGAGTTCCTGGTGCGCATGACGCACAGCCTCGCCACGGGTCTCTCACGCGGCTGACGAACTTCCTCTGCGGCTGGTGATCACATTCGTCCTTTATCCTCACAGATTGCCACCATGTCGCGGATACAGGGAGAGCGAGTCTTCTGTCATCAGTGCCAGAATGAATGGGACAGAGCGCACGGCGGCCTGATCTGTCCCAGATGCGAAGGCGACTTCACTGAGATCGTAGGTACACATCAGGCTCATATGAGTGGACGCTGATGCTTCAACCAGCTTGAACCGGGTGCGCTTCCATCTACCTATGACTTCAACCACGAGCCTTCACCGTCAGCCTCTCCCGAACCGCCCTTACCACCCCTTGAACCCCTTCGAGACCATAACCCATGGGCTGATACCACGCGCACCGACGATGATGGGAATTTCACGACCTTTGAGTTCACGAGCAATGGTGGAAGTGGGAGGATGATGTTCAGTACACGGATGTGGAGCCCTGATGGCCGTAATGTACGACTTGATGACCTGCTTGATTCCGCTGTTGAAGATGTAGAGATGGAGGAGTTGCTTACCCATTTGGTTGAACAGCAGAATCGAGGCGGACCCCTTCCATTCAGCCCACTTGGATTTCCCGGAGCAGAGGCCGGTCCAGGTCTCCATGGCCCTCCACCACATATGCAGCCAGCAAGCCTCCAGGAGTAAGTTTGACGTTTCGTCGCCGAGGCTGTCTGCTGATGTGTTGCAGCCTGTTCTCGCTCATTCTGCAGTCAATGCAGCCAGGTATGATGCCAGGTCAAGATCCCGACGACCGCCGAAGACTCGGACAACCTCCCTTGCCATTCGACCTTCTCCATCATATGTTGAATCCTGGAAACGCTCGTACCGGCGATGCGGTCTATAGCCAGGAAGCCTTCGACCGCATCATGACGCAGCTGATGGAGCAGAACAATGCCGGCAGCGCTCCTCCGCCAGCTTCGGAAGACGCAATCCGATCACTCAAGAAGAAGCGGGTAGATAGGGAAATGCTGGGTGACGACGGCAAAGCTGAGTGCTCGATATGCATGGACAATGTTGATGTAGGGCAAGAGGTGACAGTTCTTCCTTGCAACCATTGGTTTCACGGAGAGTGTGTGATCTCATGGCTTAAGGAGCATGATACGTGCCCGCACTGCCGAAAACCAATCACGAATTCCGAAGAAGGACGACGCCCCGAACCCTCGCGACGAAGAAGCCGACGGGCATCTTCGGTATCAAGTCCTCGCGCATACCAACCAGAGGGCAGCCGATACAACCCAATTCCCGTTCCAGAAAGCCCCAGCGCGCTCAGGGATGCAAGACAACAGTACTACGGAAGAAGACGAGACTACGAATCCCATCGTCCTGAACATCACAGACATTCGAGCAGCCAGAGTGATCTTAGGAGGCACAGCTCGAGAAGTCATCATGGGGGAAATGGAGGCAGCCGGGGTGGTGGTGGAAACAGTGGGGGTGGAGTAACAGGCTGGATCAGAGACCATTTGCCTTTCTCTTGACGACGGCAGTATTCAAGACTCGAACAGAAACATGCTCTGAAATGAGCAAAGAACAGACCTGTGCATCACGCATCCATAGGGCGGCACCTCGTAGGCGCAGGACGCGAGACATTTCCGGCGTCTATCGGCGCCCTTGGATCTCTGCTTTATCCAGGCCACCCGCTTTAGCAGGGATATTGACCATATGCTAGCCGAAGACATGCGCCGAGATCGTGGTAGGCAAGCTGCGGGCGCGTATGCAAGAAGCAGAGGCGCTGTGAGGTCCCCGGCACCCTGTAATGTGGGCTTGTGTGACAAGGAATAACTTTAATGCACGAGGGAGGCGAGCGCTGAAGGTGAAGGTTGCGGTTACGATTCGGGATGCCTGGGTAATGCTCGATAGGTAAAAGATTTGAAGCGCATGCCTCTCTCTACTAATAGAAAGGAAGTCTCGTCCGCTCACCTGGTCAATAATTAGATGCACCGCCTCGATGCTTTCACATGCGCGTGCGTCACATGGCCTTGCGTAACTTTCACATGCATTTTTCGGCCCGCCAATGCCATCCGTCTCGTTCGCCGGTGCGGGCTCAGCTTCAGGTACCGGAGCAGGACCGCGTCACAGATCCTCATCTTCTCCTTGCGTATGGTCACAGGTCACACGCCTTGTCAGCTGTCGAGCTCGATGCCTCTGTTCCCGCGTCTTAGATTCTCGAATTCTTTCTGCGTACACAAGCACGAACAGTCCGTGTTTTGGTATGGCGTTGCCTTGTTTCGACGTTCCCTAACACTTCCGCCCTTGAGACCCCTCTCCATCCCACCTGGATTCTCGGTATCCGGTCGTTTCCAGCTATGATAGGTGCGTTCCAGAAAGAGACATCACATGGGAGCTCCAAAATGACTGACGGATATGGGTAGACCATGTACTCGGAAGGCCTTCTTCGCAGTTTCGCAAATACCAAGTCGTTGCCGTCGTGTCATTCTGGTCGCTATACTTGCTGAGGTTTGTTTCCCCTCTCGCTACTTCGGGGTCGACATACTCACTTCCTTGCAGAGGCGACAAGCATGGCCCGCCTGTTCTTCGATCCCTCTCGCAGCGCGTCGCGAAACGTCTCACCCCCTGGCGGTCCGTCGTCTTGACCTTCCTATGGCTGTACATGTGCCGGAACTTCGGAAAGATTGTCGGCCTCGAGTCCCCAGAACCTCTGGCGAACCTGTACAGCAGGGCCTTCTTTCGAGCAACATGGGTCACGACGGCGCTGGATGCTGGCTTCTGGAGTGCCATGAAGATACGGAACAAGCCGTTGAGAGACCTGTGCTCGATGATCTTCACGATATACTACCTCTTCGCGGCGGAGCAGGCAGAGGAGAAGGTCCGCAAGGTCCGAGCAGTGCTGACCGTCGACCACTTGCGTGTGGCATGGAACAAACCCACGACGCCTTACCTGAAATTTTTCACAGCACTGATGAGGCCGCGGTTCACAAAGTACAAGCCACGCCGGATTCGGATCCCCCGACCGAAGCAGTCACACTACAAAGAACCTGTCGTTGCGTGGATGTATTTTGACGGCACGCTCGCAGAGCTGGAAAAGCAGGAGAACGTGGTGCTCGACATTCCCGGCGGAGGTTTCGTCGCCATGGACCCGAGGACGAGCGACGACAAACTGCTCGCTTGGGCAGGGAGAACGGGCCTGCCCATCCTGAGCTTGGACTACCGCAAGGCGCCCGAGTATCCTTACCCGTATGCCCTGAACGAGTGTTTCGACGTCTACACGCAGATCGTCGCCACCCGAGGCCGATGTATCGGCATGAAGCCGGATTCGTGCCCCAGGATCGTCATCACAGGCGACAGTGCCGGAGGGAACCTAGCATGCGGGACGACTCTGATGGTCATTCAATCCAACCAGACGGGCGCTTCTTCTCGCGGGATCCTACCTTCCCCGGCCGGCCTGGTCCTGCTGTACCCGGCCCTGGACTTCAACATTGGCAGCTGGATGGCGGACGACCAAATGGCCTTGATCCGCAACCCACGCACGGCCAAGAAGTACGAGCGGTTCATCAAGCGGAAGAGCGAAGACATCGACCGCCGATACACGCCCACGACGCCCAAGCCCACCAGCGACGACGACGACGACGATCCGAACCACGACTTCTTCGCCCCTCGTGGCGGAAAGTCGGAGATCCAGCCCGCCGGGCGCCAGAACGCAGACATCGAAGCGCAGAAGCAGGCCGTGCAGACGTCGAAGCCGCAAACCCTCAGAACCCGCCTCGCCGTGTCCAGCATCATTTCTTACTTTGGCGACCGCATCCTCACGCCGGAGATGATGCGGGCCATGATCATCCTGTACGTCGGCCCTTACAACCGGCCCGACTTTACGACGGACCACCTCCTCTGCCCGGCCGTGGCGCCCGAGGGCCTGCTCGCCAAGTTCCCCAAGACGTACTTTTTGACCGGCGAGCGCGACCCGCTCGTCGACGACACGGTCATCTTCGCGGGCCGCCTGCGGCAGGCCAAGCTCCACCTCTTCCGCGACCGGCAGGAGGTGGGGCTGGAGAAGTCGACGACGGAATTCCACGAGAAGGACCACGTCGAAGTCACGCTCATCCCGGGCATCAGCCACGGCTTTGTCAGTTTCGTGAGCATCTTCCCCGAGGGCTGGACGCACGTTTTCCGCTGCGGGAAATGGATCGCCGACATCTTCGCCCGGCCGCCGCACATGTTTGAGGGGCCGAGCATCGAGGCCCGCCTGCGCAACGGGAGCCTCCACCATGACTCGAGCTCGTCGCTCGAACTTGCGACCACCGAGGCGAGGCATCATAGCCGGCGAGCCACGGGGGAGAGCATGGACGACGACGCCCCCCTCGTCATGTCGAGTCTTACACAGCCGAGCAAGGATTCGACTGCGGCGGGCCACGCAGACGGCGCGGTCAAGGGCGAGCATTCTTGGCAGAAGCAACACGGAGCAAAGGACAGGGATAAAGAGAGGCCGGCCCGGAATAAGAGCCTCGTCAGTCTAGGCAGTGAAGAAGACCTGCTCAAGCGGCGGATGAAGGGCCTCACGGTGGGACTGTTGGGTTCGCAAGATACGTGATTCATGACGTGATTTTGGTAGTGGCCATTCTATGACATGTCAGCAGTATGTTCTCGCCTTGTACGATATGGATGGATATACACGATAGGTAGGTAACTATGCATACCGTGGGCTGGCATGGCATGGCATGACATGACACCTCGAACGAGAACCCAGAACTAGGAAACCAGAACCCGGAGTCGATGTAGTATTGTAGGTACATACGTCGCTAGTTAGGGGCTCAGCAGAATAGTGAAGACTAATAAAGGACTATGAGAATTATCCGCGCAGAGCATAGAGTAGCATAGCGTTCGAGAGGGCGAGAAGATGAACTTCGTACTCCGCATACGTGCCCGCGCTGTAAGGTATGCATTGCATGATGTGGCGTGGCGTGGCATGAGACCTCGAATCAGACACCAAAAACCAGAACCTGGAGATTACTGGAGCATTGTAGGTACATACGTAGCTAGGGGTGTTTAGAAGAGAAGTGAAGACCGGTGGAGTTCCATTCGAATTATCCGTGCATAGCATAGCATAGCATAGTGTTCGAGAGGTCGAACAGGGTCATCTTCGTACACAGATGTATGTACGTATCCTAGCTTTGTCGAGTGAGATATGAATAATGGTTTAAATCAGGACTTTCACGGTGGCTGCAAGCCATGCCATCACGGACGCCATGCCATGTACTGTCACCATCGCTCGAAATCGAGATATCCTCCAACTCCACGCCGTGCTGAGATACGGTACAGTACAGTATACAGAGCCATCAACCAAGATACGAGGTACCGATACCTATACACGAACGCCGCATATACAGATACACACACACACACACACGCACACACACACACACACACACACACACACACACACACACACACACACACACACACACACGTGTCTCTGTCTGGCTTTTTATTCGTCACAATGCTAATTAAGCTACCTCCGAAGACTTCATCCCACCAGCTATCAATCGGACGAGGAAAGAGAGGAGAAGTAAGCCATGTCAGCCATACCTCTCCACACCTCCGGCTTTGCTGACGCTGGATCGGCGGATAAAGCCCATTATACCAGCGCCTTGAGGTGTATGCGATTGTGATTGCGGCTGCGGGTGCGGCTGACCCAGAAATGGCTCTGAAGCGGCCATCTCGTGAACGTGAGGAGATGGCACTGCGGTGTACATGAGTGATTGATGTGGTGTGGAGTGCCTGTTCCCGGTGGTTAGTCGCTTTTCTGAATTGAGATGGACGGGGCCAACACTTACATGCTCTGTGGCATCCCGCCAGGATAGGCTGGCACGGAATACATCTGGCTCGGACTTGGGCTGTGCGGTGACGCGATATCACTTCCGGGACCCGTCGGTGCCGAGCCAAGTGAGTCGCTGACGGGCATGTATGCAGGATATAATCCCGGCGACATGGCCGGATCGTGTGGTGGGACGTATCCCGGTAATGCTGGCGATGGTCCCAAACCAACGACACTGCTGTGCACCGACATGTGCTTGTTCGGGTCGGTCATGTATGACATGTGGCCTGCCGCCGGATTATAGGACATTTGGGTAGCGTGACCTGTGCTCGGACGATCGTCGACATGCTTTGTGCCGCGACTTCGGGATTGACGACCACAGAGATAGAGGGCAACAGCGGCGGCAAGGGCCACTGCAGCAGCTCCAATTGCAATGCCGGCGATAGCTCCACTGGATAGACCCGAATGGCCGTGGCCGCTGGAGCTGGCTGCGGTGTCTGAGGCTCCATACTCTGCGCCAGTCGCGGTTGCTGTCGGACTGGTAGTCGATGCGGTCGTGGTGAATGGATCGTCGCTCTCCTCGGGCCATGGCTCACCCGGCAGGAGCATGAATTGCGATTGTGAGGCGAGGTCTTTTTGATGCTGAAGCGATGTCGTGGCATTGGGATTGATCACTCCGAGCATCTGGTAGTTGATACATGAGCCCGGAGCGCCGCAGTAGAAGAAGATGGGATTCGTGTCGTTGACCACGATGGACCACTCGGGCGGCTCATTCAATATTGCATCCACTGGATAAAAGCCGGAGAAGAATCCAACTTTATCGACACCCGTGTCTTCGTATGGAATGCAGGGAAAGCCGTATTCTGCTCGGATGACGGAATGGTTCGTAGGGTAAAATTGAAACAGGATTGTGTCGCCGACTTTGGCGAGCGTAACGTCAGGCACAAACGTGTGGCCTCCCTATCGACGCAATTAGCACCATCCCTGCCTGCCAAATACGCTCTCATTCCTCGTACCAAAGCGACCGCGACCGTATGCGTTATCGGTTCCTGCGACGTGCTCGTAGCATTCGTTGAATCGGTAGATCCGGCGCTGTCCGCACTCGAAGTTGCATCTGTTGGTGAGGGAGCTGGAGTGATCGAATCAGTAGGAGTAGGTGTTGACGAGTCGGTCGCAAGAGCAGTCGTCGTGTCTTGAGCGAATCCCACTGCGGCGAGACCGAGAAAAAGGACGAGCATCCGACGCATGTCGAGCCGAAAGAGCGAAATCGACGGGGACAGTGTCGAGGTCGGGCTGTGAAGATGCGTTCAGTGGTCCTGGCGCGAACAAGAGCGACGAGAAAGAGAGCAGCAACGACAACAAGAGACAAGAGGGAATGAGGTGAGGAACGTATTCCCGGTTCCAGCTGTCCTCCAAGCGTGTACCAAAACGCCCTGCCGAGCAGCTGACTGCTGGGATCGTTCGTTTGGTGGCGTGCAGGCAGTGCGACAGGGTAAGAGTAGCGAGCAGCGTCCATAGCCCGGCAAGCTGCATACGCGATGGAATTGCAGCTGCAGCCTCATGCAGGTACCGACGGGTTAGCCCGGTTAGCTTGAGGTAGCGTCAGGGCCAGTTCTGCAAGGCCAGCCAGATTCGACCAAACTCGGGGTGTGCCTTTCAACGGCGCAAACTGGAGTCCTGGTCCCCGGTCAGCCCTAGAAGACAAAGTCGTAACAGTACTATTTCAGTCCACCGAAGCTCGCCGGAATGGGTAAGATGCTGTCAGCTGCATGGGCATCCGCCCGAAGGCCTGAATTGCATCTGATCCTTCACGAGGGGGGAGAAAGAGACTCATGGTCCGACATTGTTGCGCGCCTGCGACTATGCGTCTTTGCGGCCCACGGCCCGTGTTATGACTGTTTGATGCCATGCTCGGCTGTCAACACGCGCGGAAGCACGCAGCAAAACAACGAGGTTGTGGCTTTGATCAACGATTACGGAGCACGGTTACGGGGGAAAAGGAAAGAGACAGGCGGGGAGCGGCAGAAGGCAAAAAGCCACTGGGAGCCGAAGGAGTCACCTGGATGCGCTAACCAGCAGCGCTGACGCGCCAAACTTTCCCGGGGAGCTCACCAGCAGCGCCCGTCCAGTTGGGCTTTGGTACGCCTCGTGTCTGAGCGGGCCCCCAGATTCGCCGCGAAATTGGCAGATGCACGCCTAACAAGGCCAGCTCAGATCTTTTTTTGGTGGCTGGCGCCGAACGTCCGGGGCCCGAGGTCTATGAGAAACAGCAGTCTTTAATGTCCAAGCTCGCGTTCACCAATACTAGGTTCGGTAATTACACCCTTGCATTGACCAAGAATACATCCACAACTGGGATGTCGTACATTCCTGTGTAAGAGTAGTGTCATGCAACCTCTCCTAGAATACTCCCACCCAGCAGGGGCGCACCTCTCGACGCCCTCAACTCGTTGCTCCTCATGATGATATCCTTGTCAAACACCCACCACCACGACTTGAACACCTTCTCACCGACTTCCCAATTATTCGCCGAGTAAGGATCATCACCGGAGACTCTGACGCCCTCTGCGCTATCTTCCACGTCATACACAAAATCCAACAAGGCCATAGGCGAGGCGGCACTCGGCGGTCGAAACTCAGGCGGCTGCGCCAGGATCTTGATCATCCGGTCGCGTGTCGACGGCCAGGGTAGCAGGTCGATGATGGGATGATGCGGCACGGTCAGTTGCAGCAGGCTCGGTCGTAAGTTTACCGGTAGATGATTGAACTCTGCTATCGCTGTTGCTGCCGCTGGATTCGCAAAGGGGGACTGTGCAGTGAGGGACCAGACGGTGTCGTGGACGTTTAACCGCTTGGCGATCGCCATGAGTCCGCGGAGCAGGTTGAGCTCGGTCATCTCCAGGTATGCTTCGTCCGGGAAGGAATATGCCATGCCGCCGTTGGCGGCCAAAGCTGGTGGCTGTAACTGTGGAGGGCTCTTCGCCGCTGCAGCAGGTGTCAATGACCATGTCTCGCTTTCGTCCGTGGACGAATGCCGTGAAGTGGACAGCGGCGTGCTTGGTAGCGAGGGCAACAGGATCGAGGTGTCCCACAGGGCTTGGTCGTCAAGAAGAATGTTACTGAATGGATCCCCAGGAGAGACAAGCGTTTGTGCTGCCAGATTGAAATCATCCGGCAAGACCTGACCGTCGTCAGGCACGTAAAGGTGTGCTGCCGCGAACGGACACTGCTGGTGCTGGATATTGCTCGATGTTTTTTCAGCCACATCTTGTAATGCACGTGGGTCGTTAAAGCCGTTGGACTGCGGCGGCTCTTGCAATGCACGGTGGTCTTTGGAGCCGTTGAGCTGCGGCGGCTCCTGCGGCTGGTCAGCGACGACAGCTTTCGCTTCAAGTTTGCGGATGTGCTCCTTTCGCTTTTGTCGATACCGCCTCTGCGCAAGCACGTTAAGGACTCGCTTCCTCTCCGCGGCGTCCTCGCCGGGCTCCGGTATCGCCAGCGGCACAGCCCTTACTTGACCCTTCTGGACCGGCATAGCGTGGAATGTACACTGGCGAGACTGAGAATGGCCACGATTGTCAGAAGACGCAGACGTTGTGGCCGCGTAGATTCACACGAGGGGCTGAGGGGATAATTAATGGCTAGACCGGTCTTCAGTGTAAAGAGCAGGAAGAGAAGATGGGAAGAGTGGCGGATGAGCCGTTTTTCTTTTATCTCTTTCTGTCCTGTCTGCTGCCCGGAAGCTGCTGGTCGGACCCGTGTAGCCTGCTGCTGCTCGGAATCACCATGGCGAAGACCCTAAACAAACAGCCTCGAAGTTGATATGAGCACCACCCAGCATAACGTTATGGTTGCATGGTGGAGAACCGAGCCGAGATAGACGAGGACAACGGACCGTCCGATAGGCGGTGCGACTCTTGCCCAGACCCCCTCTCACGCCCTTTACTTTCCGAATACGAAAGCGAGGATATCCTCCAAGACCTTTGCCGCATGTGTGAGGTACATTCCATGCGCGGCCCTTTCGTAGATCTTGACTTCGGCTTGCTTTGCAAGTTTCGGAATGAGATGAGCGGTGGCTTCAGCGGGATTGCCTACGACGCATTTCGTCAGTTCTAAAACGGACCGTCATCTGGACGAAGGTGAGTCTTACTCTGGTCGTTGTCCCCGTGAATGACAAGTAGCTTTACATCTTGCCCGTTGAGCTCCTTCAGGTCTTCGGTAAAGTCTCTGTTCGTGATGATCTGGACGCATCTCTCGACGGCGAGTACATCGGCCTGTGCAACGATTCCTTCAAACTTCTGCAGCACCGTCTCGGGGACTTCAATGCCGATATTGAATGGAATCCCAAACACGCCCGGGAGCGCAGCTCTGGTAAAGCCCGTTCGATCTTCTCGGATCCCGGTCAAGATCATATCCCATAGCGATCGGGACGGCGCCTTGGGGTTTGCCGCGGTCGCCAGCGGGAACGGCAGGGATGGACCCAGCCATATGAACCCACGACATTGCTTCCGAAGGTCTGCTGGCATCTGGAGGTAGGCCAGGAGCGTCTCGCCGCATCCCATGCTGCTGGCTACGAAGAAGAAGCTCTGCAGCTTGGCAGCCTCGATGACATCGATGCTGTCCTGGGAGAAGGTGTCGTATGTGACATCCTTGCTGTCGCTGGTGTTCCAGTCGCTCTTCCCGAAGCCGCGTCGATCAGGGGCGATGCACCGGATGCCGTAGGTTTCGCACAGGGGTAGCATCAGATGTTCGTACATTTGATGGGACATTGGCCATCCATGGATGAACACCAGTGCAATGTCGCTCTTGCTGTGGTCTTTGGCTGCATCACCGGTCGGCTGGAAACGCGGGGGACTTGCTGCTGGTTTATAGTCGACGTAGTGCAGCAGAGTGTTATCGAGGCTTGAGTGGATGAAGGGCATTCTTGCTCTTTCCTTTGAAGGTTAAACACTGAGTGTGAGACACTGAGAATATGGGGTCTGATCGCTTGAGAGCGTATGAAACTCGACTGATGGGCGGCATTTCCACGCGTATTTGTATCCCTGCGTGAAGAACGGCAAGTCACAGTGTGTGGAGACATAACGAAATCCTTGCAGACCAAAAGGCACTTTTTCAGAATCAGCTCGTTGGGCACAATTCATCATTATGCAGTCGAATAATATGTCGTAAGGCTATGCCAGAAACAACCCCGCTAGCCAGCATCGTCACTTTGCCTGCTCACAGTCCCTTGTCTGGTCGGCGTTGGCGTAGGACTCCCATCACGGTCGAGCCCACGTATCGTAGTAGAGCCAACGCTACCCATCGGCCTGACCCTGCTTCCGACGAAGCCTTTGCGATTTCTGCCGGTCCGGCCACGGCCCAGCCAGTTCAGCTTAAGCTGCTTGTTGAGCTCCTCCATCTTGGATTGAGCATCGTCTCCCGACTGAATTGAGCATAACACTGACAGGCACTGCAGCATACGCCCCACCGTCTCGGTGACATGGGAGGACGAACTATCGCTGGGCCTCGCTGCTGGGGGCGAGCTGAACGACTGGAAGGCCACATCCTGCGCAGGATTGCTCACCACCGAAAGGTTCGACGTGGCCCTAGACCTCCCGCCCGAAGTCATGCTACCAAGTAACGTGCTGCTCTGTGAATTATAGCTTCCGTATTCCATGCCTTGTGCAGTGCCCGGTCGGTCGCTCCCTCCGCTGTTGCCGCGATTCCGATTCCCGCCGTCATGTTGCGTGAGTGAGGCATTGATACTGTCGAGGCTGAGCCGGGAGAACGTCGATTTCAAGACTTCGTACCGCGGTAAGATGAGGTTGTCTCGATAGCAGATAAGGAGAATACGTCTGACTTCCAACTCTTCTCCGGCGGCGACCACAAAATCAATGCCTTCACACGTTGAAGGAGACGAGGATAGCTTGCCGCCGCTGTCGTGGCTGGGAAGAGCGCCCCAGAACTCAGCAGCCATCAGCGGACCCGTCAAAATAGTACCTCTTCCTTTGAACTCTTGGTCGAGCGGGAGGAACACGGCTTGCATAAACGGCAAAATCTTGCCGAAGACCTCCATCCACGTCGCCACAAGACGTGGCACCAGGCTGCTGTCGCTGACACCTCGTAATGTGTGGTTGAGGCTGAGAAAGCCAGTCTTCAGCAGATCTTCCAAGTCACCAATGATAATGCTCGGGTCCTTCTTTTGTACGCATCTCTGCACATGAATTGTTACAAGCTTGTTCAAGTCTTCCACGGCGATCCGAACGTCCTCGCCTTCAAAGACCACCAAGATTTTTGCCCTGAGTAGATCCCAGGCATCATCGGCCGACATGTTCGAGAGGCCAAAATTCGCACCTGCTTCTTTGACTTCGCTATAGGTGTTGAAATTGCTGACCGATTGGTTGGTGAAGCTCGTCCCCAGAGAGGGCCATTCAGAAGTATCGCTTTCTCCACGGCTGTAGACAGGCTCGAGATTGGCAAACGCCGCTTGTTGAGCCTTCTCTTCCTTCTTCTTCTCCCTGAGCGCACGACCTCCATGACGAAGGTCTAGACCAGAAACAGATTTCGCAAAGTTCGAGGTTGGGTTGGGTGACGGAGGGGCAAAAGAATACAGCGACTGGGGGTTGTTGATGTCTACAGGCCTCGAATTTGAGTTGGCCGACGACAAAGGGAGAGCATAAGTGTCGTCCTTGTCCTTCAGTTTCAGCTTCTGACGAAAACCATGGTGTTTGTGCTTGTCCTTCTGTTCCTTCTGATCGAGCAGAGGTACAACGGTCGAAGACAAGGGGTTAGCAAGTTGATACAAGGAAGAGTTGTTGGACGACAGCGATTCCGCCAGGCTCGCGTTGGATGCGTTCATAACCTTGGATAGGCCACTAGGTGCTAGTCGGCTTGGTGAGGGAAGAGACTTTTCCTTCGGCTCCTTGTCCTTATCCCTGGAAAGCACCATATTTTTTGGCCTGAATCGCTTCAGACCCTTCTTAGACTTCTCCTCTTCCACTACTGACGTCGTACCAGCGGATGCGAAGTTCTTGGGAAAGACGACGCTTGCTGCTGTGGCGGCCGCGTTGGTGCCGATTAACCCGTTGCGATACTGCTGTTCGGGTGCCGGCGCAGGAGCTTGACCTTCGTAAGACCCAGCCGACCCTCTACTATTGCGTCGGCCCTCCTGCTGATTCTGCTCCTGCGGAAAAGGCACTGTCTGCGATCTCTTGCGTGAATGGTTCGTAACATTGAGGTGCTGCATCGCAGCCTGTGCAGCAATCTGAGAGGGGTTGAGGGCCGGCATGCCGTGTTGATCGTGGAGCTGGGACTGGCTTGCGAGTGAGGCGGAGGGCATAGAGGGTTCGAAATAGCCTTGCGAATGTTGGCGAGGACGGTGCTTCTGTAGATGCTCTGGAGGGGGTCCAAGGTTGTGCTTTGCAGCGCCATCTCTGGGCATGTACTGTGCCGATGGCCGAGTATGAGACGCTAGCGAGGCATTACTGGCATTAGTATGCGACACGAACGTGGGTAGTGGTTGATTGTACGGAGAGCGCTTGACGACAGAGAGACTGGACGAGCCAGAAGTGTCACTACCACTCGAGTCTGGTCGATTGCTCTGCTTCGAGCCTGAGCGTGATGGGTTCGGCGACGCTGTGGAAGCAGGAGGTAATGGCGACCGGGCAATCCGCCGCTGGGTAGGAGGCTCCATGGTTGAAAAGGCAGGCGAGTGATGTTCCTGCTGCGACGTCGTGAGAGAGGGGGATCATCGGACTATGCGGACAACAGGCATTTGCGAGGAAATGTGCCTGGACATCATGCTGCTGTCGATTAGCGTACTCAGAACGGGCAAAGGTGTCGCGTGAAGACGTGGATGATCTTCAGTCACAGCTTGAAGCGAGCAGACAAGTCGTGACCAGTGTGACAAGTACAAGAGTACCTCGAGTTCGGAGGATGCGTTTCCTGCCCGGATCCCCGCCGTTCGATCGTCGCTTGAATCTGTTTCACCAACAGACTCGATTTCTCTTCTCTGCCCCAGCTCGGCCTTAATAAAGCTACTCGATCATGGCTCCCACGACCGGAAGTTCGTCCGCCAGTCTCAGCGCTACCTACGACTCGCCGTCCGGGCACAAAACCTTCGCAGACACAATCACTAGCCCACCGGTTGAGAACGATGGCTCCATCGACACAAAGGCCAAGACCACGTACCTATCCGAGCTGCGGGCGTCTACTAGGAGACTACAAGGAGACATCAACAAGTTCTTGACTGAGAAGATGGAGGAAGATAAGAAAGCCGCTGGGCAGGACGGTCTAAACGGCGCCTCTAAGCAGAAATCAAAAGATGAGTTAGAGGAAGAGAATTACGGCGAAGAAGATGCCGAGGACGATACATGACAAGTTTATGCTAGGTTATGGGTATCTCAAAAGTCAGTGGATGCATGGTCTTCAGACCACCTTTGCGGTGACCTCATTCTGCTTGCGTACTGCGCAACCGAGGTGGACAACAGAGTTGCTGGCAAACGTGTCAGTAACAGCTGCGCGACATGACGAGACAAAGCTGGACTTACTCGGGAAATACGCTGATGACACTGCTACCAAGTCGCTTGTAGCAAACGCCGCACACACGGTCTTCGTCGATACGTACTTTTCTCCCTCGGCCACCTGACTGCACGCCTTCCCCAAGTAAGAGAGCCGCTTGTACTCGCACGGCATCGACCTTCCTCAACCCGGAGACGATCATGGACTCGTTCATGATGCTGTTGGCATTACGGATTCGTCCACGGAAGTAGGCCTCGAACTCCTTCACGAGCAGATCTTCTGGTATCAGCTCCAAAGTTGAATTCGCTGGCAGTCTCGGTCCGTGGCGGGCCATCAGCTCAATAGCTGGCCCGAACAATGCCTTCTCACCTTTCGGAGGATTGAGATATAGGTTGAGAAGAATGTGGTAGATTGATGGCTCCTCATCCGTCGGATCAGTAGTGGATGATCTCCGCCGGCCAAACGCTTTTGCGGTTCCTTTGCCGGCCTCCTCTAAATGGGTCTGGTTACAGTATTCCTCCGCCTTCGCTGGGTCGCGAAGTTTGAATACGTAGATTTCCAGGGCTTGTTTGTGATTTCCCATCTGGCTGAAGACGATGGCCCTGGCTTCATAGAAGGTGGGATCGTCGCGCGGCAACAGGCCCAAGGTCTTTGCCGGAGAGTACTGGTCTGATGTTCTCAGCAATGTTAAAAACTTGTCCAAATGCTGGTCCCGATTCGGAAGTGATGGGATTTTCAAGTCCTCGAGGTACAGTGTGACGAGCCGCTGATGCAGGTCGGGAGTCTGATCATCCAATTCGTCCACCACATGTTCCAGGTACCGGAGTGCCAGTTCTTTGCTGATCGTTTCGAGAAACCCAAGAACTTTCTCTCGCGGAAGGGATTCGGCGTTTTCTGTGTCCGCCAGGAACAACTCCATAGCCACCTCAGGGTCCGCCTCCAGGGGCCACTTAGCAAACTCCAGGATTAAATCGATCAGGTCTGGCCCGAGGTTTTGGAGATAAGCGATTGTCCTAGCCGGACCGCGCAGCTGAGGGTCGACTTCCTCCGTCTTTTCAGCTTGGCCGAACTTTTGAAGTCTTTCCAATGCTTGCCGGTGGAGTCGCTTTCCGTAAAGGAATTCGATCAAGTCATTGTACCGACCTGTCTCTTCGAGCTTGGCCATCACCACCTCAGGGTCACAGAAGTTGGAGATGCGGAAGAGCGAACCAGCAAGCGAGGGTGTCGCGTACATGTGTGCTCGGAACAGCGTTGTATCAACAAATCTCGCAACCTCCAACAGCTTGTCTGCCAGGTCCACATCGTCCAACGAAGATAGTCCAAGCAGGTACTCGGTGATCTGTCGAATGTCCTCGGACTGCGCTGCACTCTGCACCTCGGACAGACTGCGAACGGTTTGATCAGGGTTGAAAAACCGTTGTAGGCGGCGCCGAACATCAGCAAGGAATGATTGGAGTTCTCGAACAGCAGTCTTGAGTTCCTTCTCCGAAAGTCCTTCGTTGCCCGTATTTTCTGCAGTCTTCGTGCTACGGACACTTGCCGTGTCAGCATCTGAAGCAGCGGTCTTTGTTTTTTTGACAGGGCTGGGCACACTGTCAGACTTTTTCGGCGTCTGTCGAGGACTCTCCTCGTTCTTTGGCGTTTCTTCTGTCTCAGATGTGGCTTTGCCCCCGTCGTTTGCTAGATCGCCCGCAATGACGGGAGGATAGAGCTTGATGACACGCTCAGGAGGTGCAGAAACTTCCCCAAAAAGGTCCAGGGCATCTCGGAACTTTTTCTCGTCGAAGAGTTGTTGAGCCTTTTGCATTTTGATCTCCCTTAGTCTGCCGCCTTTGTTTTTGATCAGAGTTTCCTCGATCATATCCAAGAGACTGATGGCCTCGTCAAGTTGACCGCCTTCGACCAGTGCATCGATCTGAGCATCATAATTCAGCCCCTGCATCCGCCAGATAATCCGCTCACTGGCAACCAGAAACCCCTTGCCTTGATGAGCAAGGCTAATGTTTGGATTGGGGACCTGTAACAGCACGGCGCCAGGCAGATCAATCGACTGAAGGAGAGTGAGTGTCTGGGGATTGCGCACTTCAAGCACACCTTTACTGGTTTCCTGCAACGCTAACAGGAAAGGATATGAGTATCCGATCGCTGAAGGAGGTACACGCCATGGTATCTGTCGTCGTCCGATCGGGTCCCCATTTCGGTCAATGAAATGGGTGTTAATGTCCTTGGCGAGTAGCATTTCGTTCTCTCCCAGCCCAGTCGCCAGGGGCGTTGGCACCATCGAGCCCATGCCAATATAGCTCATTGTCCCTCCTAACCTGCTACTCTCTTGACCCGGTGTCCCCCCGATGCTTCCAGGCCCTATAATGTCCTTCACCTCACGCGAATCGATGTCGACAATGACATAGTTTGCAGTCAACCCAACAACGATCTTTGTACCCGTCGCCCAAGCCAGCGATTTGATGCTGTTTGACAGCGCGAACTCCACGGCATCGCCTTCCAGCTCTCCCTCATGCCATGTCCATAGTAGCAACTTCCTCTTGATGGCTACAGCTAGCCGACTGACAAGGGTTGGGACGCCGGTCGAGCTGTCCTTCACGATATTGCTTGTTGCGGCGAACGTGCTTGCACCTTTGGATCTCGTGAGTTGCTCATGGGGCTCATAAGTGCCCAGATCGTGTATGGATACGAGACCGTTGCTCAGTGATATGAGGATATTCGCTTCGCGGAAGACAGCCAACTGCTCGATCTTGTACTTTGCGAACTTTTCGTACTCTCTCAGCAATTCGGTCGGTTTTGAAGGAGTAGCAGGAGTGCGTGCGACAGGGGCGCTCCCTCCATCTTGGTCGGAGGATTCATCAGGACGGGAGGGTGGGCCTTTGATGCGGTAGATGCGGAGAGCCCCAGTGTTGAGGCCGACAAGTAGCTGATCGCTGTGAAAGAGGACGGACTCGATCTTTGACTTGTCCCGCTGCTTCAGCTCTACGATGGGCTGAGCAGTAAATGCCGAGAGCATCGGATTGTGACTCTCGCGCCCACTGCGAGACTAGTGCCCACAGCGAGCACAAGGAGATTAAGATGTGCAGACTGCGGGCTATATTTCGATGGTCGTTGCGGAGAGCGCAGCCTTGTGATTCGCGGAATCACATCTACGTCATGGGTCGACCCTCAGCCTTGCAAAGGGGGGGCTCGTTCTGGTCCAGTCACTGCACCGTCAGAAACGTTCTAACGCGTGTTTCTATCATTGATGCGAGGCTACACATGTGGTGGCCATGTGGCGGTCCAAACAGCTCGTTGTAGGCAGAGGTTGCACAGCCTCATTTGGCAGTGAACGGTGGAGATGGGCAAGCAAAGTCGGCGGAGCCTTCGTATCGAAACAACTAGGTAGCTTTGCATGGTGAGTGCCGACCAGCATAACCCTTCACTCTATCCAACAAAACCAGCTTGTTCAAAGCCAAATACATAGAGAACGGTAACCATATCCAAACAATGTCACAACTGCCAGATTGACGTTCAGGTCGGCTTTCCGCAGTCGGTCATCGTTCATCGTCCCGAAGGCGGATGTTCTCCGGCGTTTGTTTCTGCCAGCTGCCCCTCCTCTTCCTCCTCTGCAAGCCTCAAAGTTTCTTCAATCATTGCCATATCCGCATCGAGATTTGCCATGATGTCGTCTAGATCATCAAGTCCCTTCAATTCCTTCTTCGTCTTGTCAAGCAGTTTCTGGACAGAATCATTCTCTTTCGCAAGACTTTTGGTCTCCTTTCTCAGGTCGTCTTCCTGCTTGGTCAGAGCCTTCGCATTGGCGTGGATGTTCTTGGCTCGGGACTGCAGCTCCGCGTCGATACTGGCGCCGACAGAGTTGAGCGAAGCCGTGAATGCGTCCTTAGCTTCCTTGGTGCGTTGTGTTGATGATACTGCCGGCCTCTCCGGGTCCGAAGTCACCGAGGCAGCTGTAGACATACTTTACAGCAATTGCAATTGTGGCCTGCTAGTCACTGGTGAAAACGAGAAGCTGTCAAAACATTGTTCATGGGGGTGAGTAGGATACGACCCTAGGTGACATTTCGGGTGAGGACAATGGAAATGAGGACAAGCGAGTTGGAGAAAGAAACCACGGAGACTGAAATGCATGGATATAGGCTTGGCACGTTGATATGAGAGATCTGGTGCCATCCACGAAGTCTATCAGCCTAGAAATTACCTGGTCGGTTCAAGCAGAGTCTAGTTAAAACGACTGCGCGCTTCATCAAACATCAGAATCCAAGATCCAATACTCTATCTTCGTGGCAGTTAGTGTGCATATTGAGAAGGATTGGCGACGGCCAGGGCTTGTTGAATGTCTCTGGCGTAAGTAGGAACGAAGGAGGATTGGAAATTCCTAAAACTGATGGTCCACCAGGCAGTCAGGTCCATGGCAAACCCAGCTTGTGCATCTCCACAGCCAGCTGGAACAGGTAGTCCAAGCTCTCGCACTGCGTTTTGGCTTTGGCGACATTATCACCCCAGACGTAGCTGTATCAGGTATGAGCAATGCCTTCTGGCAATCGGACAATGTACTTACATTCCATGCCGCCGCACCAGCACCGCGTACGTGTCCGGATACTGCTCCATGGCCTTCTCTAAGAACTCCGTTAAGTCCTCCTCGAAAGGAGTGTTCTCGATGATGGGGATTCGCAAGGTGTCATGAAATCCCAGCATGCCCTTTCCCGGTCCTTTTGGTATGCCTTTGATCTGCTCTATGTTGCTAATTTCGAAACACGCCTTCCTGCCAAACAATTTCTCGACAAGTAAAGTGACAAGAACCGCCCATTGAGAATGTGTATGGATACAGCAGCCAGCTCCACGTTCGAACGCAGCAAGGAACAGGGGCGTGCACGCGGATGGCTTCAGATCCAGAGGCTTGCGAATGTACTGTCGAGCAGAGGGAGGGTACTTGGGTGTCGGGTATTTGAGCACAAACATGTTCTCAGATTTCATGAGTTCTTTTTGGACTCCAGAAGGAGCAATGTAGACATGTTCATCTTTGCGAATGCTGGTGCCGCCGCCAGTGCCAGTGACCCATCCTTTGAAGGGAGTCAGTTTTGACGGCCCGCGTAGACCACTTACCACCTTCACCTACCAAGAGTGTAGAATTGTTTGCATAACCTGGGAATCAGGTTTGCAGGGTGCTCAGGGTCTTCCGATTGTACCAGGTGCTCGTTTCCCAGATCTGCCATGTTTGGACTGCACTGTCGCACAGATGAATGATAGGGGTCCAGAGAAGAGGAAAGAAACTCGGTGAAAATCGACGAACAGCGCAAATGCACGCACGTGATCCCCCGCCTTTGTGCTAATTACTGCGCAGATGGCAGGAGCTTCACCGATCTTTGGGTCCTGAGTGACATTTGAAATTCCCCCTAGTGGAGTTCGGGTTCGTTAAAGACACCTTTCTTTAAGCCTCCCGCCGCAACTCAAAATATATCTGTCGCAGAGGTCGACTTTCACCCGATCTTTCGCTTTGACCTCCTCCTCTCCCTCGACTCCCTTCTCAGGTTCTGGGTCAATTGCTTGTGCACTCGTTCACCACGCTCGTTGCCCGCCATGAGGTTCAATGCAGCAATTGCTCCGGCCCTTTATGCATCGGCTCTCCTCGCCGGCACCACATTGGCACAAGAGGAGGTCGAGACCTCAACGAGTGCCGTTGAGCGCCCGACCTTCACGGTAAGTGAATATGTCTGCTACGCATCGTCTGCGCACATACTGACCTCATGGTAGCCGACAAACCTTAAGGCTCCCTTCCTCGAACAATTTACCGACGATTGGTCCTCGAGATGGACCCCTTCACATGCTAAGAAGCAGGACTCCAAGAGTGATGAAGACTGGGCATATGTCGGCGAGTGGTCTGTCGAAGAGCCTACTGCCTTGCCCGGCATTGTCGGTGACAAAGGTCTCGTGGTGAAAAACGCTGCTGCTCACCATGCCATCTCTGCCAAATTCCCCACGGCGGTTAACAACAAGGACAAAACTCTGGTGGTCCAGTACGAGGTCAAACTTCAGAACGGCTTGGAGTGTGGTGGCGCGTATATGAAGCTGCTGCGCGAGAACAAGGAATTACACGCTGAAGAGTTCTCCAATGCATCCCCCTACGTGATCATGTTTGGTCCAGACAAGTGTGGTGCGACCAACAAGGTGAGTTTGCCTACGATATCTGACTAGCCTATCTGATAAATTGCAGGTTCACTTCATCTTCCAACACAAGAACCCCAAGACTGGCGAGTACGAGGAGAAGCACCTCAAGAGTCCTCCCCAGGCCAAGACTGGCAAGCTCACCACCTTGTACACCCTCATCGTGAAGCCGGACAATACCTTCGAGATGTTGATTGACAACAAATCCGCCAAGAATGGCTCTCTTCTCGAAGACTTTTCTCCTGCCGTCAACCCTGCCAAGGAAATTGACGATCCCAAGGACAAAAAGCCTGATGACTGGGTCGAAGAAGCCCGCATCCCTGATCCTGAGGCCACCAAGCCAGAAGACTGGGATGAGGACCAGCCATACGAGATTGTCGATGAAACCGCCGAAAAGCCTGATGACTGGCTTGAGGACGAACCATTGACGATCCCGGACCCGGAAGCGGAAAAGCCAGAAGATTGGGACGACGAGGAAGATGGCGACTGGATTCCCCCTCAGGTTCCCAACCCCAAGTGTGAAGAAGCTTCTGGCTGTGGGCCATGGTCTCCACCAATGATAAAGAATCCCCTGTACAAGGGCAAATGGACTGCTCCTTACATCGAGAACCCCCTCTACAAGGGCCCTTGGGCACCGCGCAAGATTCCCAACCCAGACTACTTCGAGGACAAGACCCCTGCCAACTTCGAGCCAATTGGCGCTATCGGCTTTGAGATCTGGACCATGCAATCTGATATCACCTTCGACAACATCTACATTGGTCACTCCGTCGAGGATGCTGCCAAGTTCCGTGAGGAGACCTACGACGTCAAGCGACCCATTGAGGAAGCTGCAGATGAACAGAGCAGACCCAAGCCGGCCGACATTCCCAAGTCTCCTTCCGACCTCAAGTTCACCGAGGATCCCGTCACGTTTATCAAGGAGAAGCTCGACCTCTTCATCACCTTGGCAAAGAAGGATCCCATTGAGGCCATCAAGTTTATGCCCGAGGTTGCTGGTGGTATTGGTGGTGCCCTAGCCCTTCTCATTGCGATTGTTGTTGGTCTTGCTGGTGCCGGTGGTTCCGCCGCTGCTCCCAGTAAGGAAGACATCAAGAAAACAGCACAGCAGGCCAAGGAGCAGGCCGCTGATTCCGCGGCCAAGGTCAAGGATGCAGCTACCAGGGGCGCAGAGACTGTCAAGGCGGAAGTCAACAAGAGAGTCACCCGGTCGACTGGCAGCTCCGAGTAGGCTGATATAAATCGGAGAATGTGTCTGATGGCACGGCTGATACGCGGTTCGAGAAGAGGCAATAGAGTCGAATGTCTGACCTTACGGTCAAGATGACGAGGATCTACTGGGAGGATGCGCCACAGCTACTTAGCAAATCGGCGGCAGCTCGAATATGCCGAACCTTGCGACGGAGATATGTCTCACTGTACATCAGAATAAAAGCCGAGCCAAGGGGAGCGAGCCTGTCTGTTGATTCACAGACAGTAGGACTGCGTGCCGGAGTGTTTATGAGATTATGCAGCATCAAAATGGCATTCAAGTTCATGTTATCAAATACACTTTTGCCCGTTACATTTGCGATTGATCGGATATGTGCCTGGACAGCCAGTGCCGTGTTCACAGGCACGACGAGGACCACTCCTCTCCATAGCCCACGTCAGTGTAGAGGCGTACAGAATGTGCTTTGGTCATTTTGTTCCTAAGACACTTTCCGCAACTAGAACAAGCCGCTTCGACCAAACGCCCTTGTCAAATGGGGGTTCTCAATTTCCCAGATTTACACAAGTTGATAACCAGTCAAGTCCTAGCTTTCACCTTCTTTGTGCGAAAGCCCCTCCTTCAGCCACCCGGCTAAGAGTGCGTCGGCATCGCAACCTGCTTGTCGGTGGCCAAGGCGTCCTCGGCCCGCCACAAGCTCGTGACGGTCTTCCACTGCGTGTAGAACCTGATGCCATCCTTGCCGTAGAAGTTGGCCAGGCCCGTCCCGGCGACGGACTTCTTGTTGCCCGTGAAGGAGAACATGGGCAACGGCACGGGGATGGGGACGTTGATGCCGATCTGCCCGGCCTCGAGCTCCTTCTGGAACAGGCTGGCCGTGGGGCCGGAGCGGGTAAAGACGGCGGCGCCGTTGCCGTAGGGGTTGGCGTTGATCAGGTCGATGGCCTCCTGGGTGGTCTCGACGTTCAGGCAGACCAGGACGGGACCGAAGATCTCCTCGGTGTAGCATTTCATGTGTGGCTTGACGTCCGTGATGACGGTGGGGCCGACCTGGGGGGATGTCAGTACGGTAGCTCATAAAAGAGTGAGGAGCAAGAAAAAAAGGAAAGGAGGGCGAGAATGAGACAGATTTTGGTGGTTCGAACTTACCCAGTTGCCATTGGGATACTTGGGAGGGTGCTGCCCTCTCCCGTCCAGGAGGATGGTGGCACCCTCGTCCTCGGCGCTCTTGATCAGGTCCTCGACGCGCTTCTTGCTCTCCGGGCTGATCAAGGGGCCGAGATCCGCGTCGGGCTCGAAGCCGCCGTTGATGGTCAGTTGCTTGGCGCGCTCGGCCAGCTCGGGGAGCCATTCCTTGGTTTCGCCGACCATGACGAGCGTGCTGAGAGCCATGCACCTTTGGCCGGCGGCGCCAAAGGCCGCTCCAGCAAGGGCGTTCAGGGCGTGGTTCTTGTTCGCGTCCGGGAGGACTGCGGCGTGGTTCTTTGCGCCCAGGTTGGCTTGGACGCGCTTGCCCTGCGCGCTGCCCCGGGTGTAGATGTACTCGCCTGCGCGGTTGGAGCCGACAAAGGAAATGGCCTTGATGACCGGGTCGTCGATGATGAAATCCACCGTCTTGGCGGACCCGTGGACGATGTTGACGACACCATCCGGGAAGCCGGCCTCCTTGCACAGCTCGGCGATGATCATGGCGGCACCGGGATCCCGTTCACTGGGCTTCAGGATCAACGTGTTGCCGGTGACTGTCGCCAGAGGGATGCTCCAGAGAGGGATCATGGCCGGGAAGTTGAACGGGCAAATCGCTGCCGTCACGCCCAGGGGTTCACGGTAAGATCGTGTCTCCATGTCCTTTGCGACCTCGATGACCTCGCCCGTCAGCTGGGTTGTGATGCCGCAGGCCGTCTCACAGACTTGCAATCCGCGGAGGACGTCGCCCTTTGCGTCGGCAAATGTCTTTCCTTGCTCGAGCGTGATGGACGCGGCCAGGCGGTCCATGTTCTGCCGGATCAGGTGCGTCAATTTGAAGATGATCTGCTGCTTGGACATGATGGATGTGGCCCGCCATTTGGGAAAAGCTTTTTCTGCCGACGCAACAGCTGCTTTCAGTTCTTCTTCGGTCGACTGAGGCACGCGGGTGACCATGTTGTTGGTGGCGGGATCCTTGAGGTCGATCCATTGTGACGTCTTGGAGGGCACGAACTCGTTGTCGATGAAGTTGTGCGTGTCGACTACGTCCTTGATCTGCTCGTGCGAGGTGGGATAGTCGGCGACCGCCGTGCTCGTGGCAGCCAGGTGCCTTGTCGTGGCATGCAGCCGCCGCTTCGCAATCTGCTCGTTGGGCGACATTCTGAGGGTCCTTGAGATCTGAGGTGCTGCTGCTCGTCTGGCTGTCAATGCGGGGACAGCTCTCATTAGCGACCGGCGGGCGGCCATCGTAGGATGTGATGGGAAGGTGAGTGGAGAGAAAGAAACTGGTTCAGATACTGTGCACACCCTCCAGACAACAAGATCTCTCCGTCACAAAAATATTTCGCAAGCAGCACCAGCAAGCAGCTTATTGAAGAGAATCCGTGATGAAATGCAGCATCCGAGATGCGGAGAAACCCCCAAACAGGCGAAGAGGCGAGAAAATCCCGTCCGAGGTTTTCTTTGGCCGCAATCCGGCTGTTTTTCTATTGGCGGCCAAGGCGGCTGCAGGGCCTGAGGGGGAGAAGACCGACCGAGACCGACTCACTGACTTCGGGCTGGCATTGTCATGACAGAGCCGGAGATCGGTTGTCCACGGCCTATCGGCTACGAGTCAGCATGGGATTCTTGGTACGGAGCTCATTTTGATATAATGGTGTTATTCGTATTAATACAGTCCCCCATTATTCTTCCCAGAGTCCAACCACAGAGGCGCCTTCAGAAACCTCTTACTGACCGCGCATGGTACAGTTCAGTATCTCATGACCATTCCAAAGCGTGCTGCCTCTTCCTGCCAGAAATGTCGTCGAGCCCTTTCAGCCTCGAAAGCACTGGGTCTGCTGTGTTTTCTGACGATACCTTGGGATACCCATTTGGCGTATGCTTTCGCTTGAAGGTCGCGGGCAGAGTTGCGGCGACGGGGTGATTCCTCTTCACCTTCGTTGTTGTGATGGAAGAAAGACATTGTGTGTGATATACTGGTGCTACTGTATAGTATGGAAGATTAGATGCTGGATTGGTTGTGACGGTTGTGCTGATTTAGTTCGGTTTATCCGCTACTGGAGATCTTGTTCGTGTTGATTTGTCTGGTGGACAATGATGCAGCCAAGACGAGGTGCAACCTACCTTTATATAACCATCTCGGATGAGTACTCTAGTTACAGAGCCTCGCCGCTGGCAAATTATTGTACTCTTTTCTGAGGCATTTGCACGCAGCTGACGCCCATGATTTTGTCAAAAGGAACATGCGAGATTTCTGCTGCGAGGTCAGGGCCGATGCGATTGGCCGTGCACGGCTGTGCGAAGGTGAAAGCCTCGCTCAGATGCGCGTCGAGCACCAAAAACGGACTAGAGCTCGGCAGACTTTCCCCAAGATGAAGGTCTCGACAGGCAAAATCGCGCAACGACGTGGAAAAGTGTTCGACCGGTACTCCATAAGTGACGTCGACTTGGATACTGCTCTGGCACTGGGTACGCACGGTGCTAGGTGCGGCAGGCCGACGCGTATGCTTCGCGTCGCAAATAAACGATACCTCTCGGGTAGACGAATGATCAAGGCACAGCCTCTTTCTATTGGGGAGTATCTCATCATCTTGTCAGCTTTCGTGGCTGGGGCATACCGTCGCGCCTGATCCATGCTCAAAGAAGAGCACACACACAAGGAATCTCGAGCCTGCCAGCAAAATCTATCTCATTAACGAGCATGTGCTCGGCTTCACGGGTATCGTCGTCCTTCTGTTCATGTCTGTTCATTCCTCCCCATATGCAAGATGCGCTTCGTCATTGTCCTGCTTCTCAGGCGGTCCCTTGTAGTCATACACAAGTCGGACTCTCTGGAACTCGGCATTCTTCCAGACCACAACGCGTCGGGTATATCGCCTCTCGCCGTTGACTTCCTCAAAGCCCCAGACCATTTCAGCCTGCCACCCTCCAGCGTCGTCGACATTCTTCACCAAGCTCTGGACATGTTCGTCGTCCAAGAACTTCGAGTCTGTCTGGCCGTCCTTGAGCTTGTGAGCCTGCAAGAACGCCGCATCCTCTTCTGACCCAGGACCCTCCATCTTGAACTCGCCTGCCTTCCATAGCCGTGACTTTCCTCGACAGTTGCCGAATATTCGGTCAGCGTGCTCTCGCTCTTCCCAATCGAGTGTGCGGTTCTCTTGCGTCGTGGTCAGGCCGGAGGCGACTGAGGTGATGTCGATGTGATAGACGTCGTCTTGCTTGTACTCTTTAATCGTGAGCTGTCCAAAGTCAGTCTTGACACTGGCAGTTTCGGTGTGCCCGACGTACCACGACCGTTGCCAGGCGGATTGCGGTTCTCGTAAGCCAGCTCAGTCCTTGGAGTGCAAGCATAGGGTCGGTATCGTCCGAAAGCGATTTGTTCTCCTCTCTGTCAGCAAAGTCCCTTCCTTTCGGTCAGAGTGATGAGTTCTTACCATCACGAACTTGCCGGAGAGGTTGGTGCAGGTGATCTCAGTTGGTGCAGCCATGGTCGCGCAATTGGGGGAGGACTATGTGAGTGGTGATGATGGATGTACTGTTGCTGCTCCTCAACACGAGGCGCGAAGCGATTCTAGAGTTGATGATGCCTAAAGAAGGAACATAAAGATTGGAACATTGATGTGTAGTTCAAAACGGACTGGCAGCAGCGGTGTGCCTTCTTGACGATTGGCGTTTGACGTGTCAACAATGCTGTAGGCGTTTACCCCGCCATGGTCGCGTAGCAGCTAATTACAGAGTACAGTGCACGGAGTACGTACTCGGCATCTATCTTCACAGCCTGACTGAACACCGTCCATCGAGAACTTCTCCATCGCGTGGACGAACCACTTTCGATACCTGAGACATCGTCTATTGAAAGGAGCAATGGCCATCTTGTTCTAGGTCGCCGAATCAACATCGTGGGTAAAGGAAGCAATTTTCGTCCACTCCTCCTTCGGAGCTTCGATCCCGTCCGCCTCCTTCCAAAACCCGTCAAACCCATACGAGTAGGTCGACTCTGCCTTTGTCGACAAATCCACAACCCGCAACGCTCTTGGGCCCATGAGTTGTGAAAGGCCGCAAAGCTGTCGAGAGCTGCGACTTGTCCTTGACACGGGTGAAGAGGGCGTGAAGTACAGCTCCATCCTCGATCGCCTGTGCTGCTCCATTCCCGATGAATGGGAACGTTGCGTGAGCAGCATCCCCGATCATGACCACGTTGCCTCTATTGAAGTATGGCGCTGCGTCGTGGTTCTGTATGGCCAAGACTTCGTCCCCGTGCTACGCGCTTCGCACCAGCTGCAAGTGAAGAGGTAAGCATCGTGGCCGTCGCCATCGTCATACGGGAATGGCAACTATGCTCCCCCATCTTTACACAATCAGGATGGTGGTCTAGGCAGTCGTCCGGGTCCAACAGCTATACAATTTCCTCATCTGTCTGCGCCTTCTCGAATATACCGATAGTCATCGCCTTGCCGTGCTCAAATGGCATCATATTGAACAACCCCTTAGGACCACAGAGGATGGGCACAAACTCGAGGAACTGCGGCGATAATGTTTCCTCCACAACCTCCATGTGAATCTTTGCTTCAACCTCGTAGCACCGTCCATGGTTAACCGGCTGGGCAGCAGGATACTCTGCCGAGCACATTCTTACTCGCGAAGCCTTGAATACTGTCAGCCCCAATGAGACAACCTGCCGTGGCTGTCGAGCCGTCCGAGAATATGGGGCCAACGCTGCTGTCTTCTACACGTTCAATCCCTTCTACTCTCCTCTGCAGGAGTACACTTTCCTTGGGGAGCAGCTCCTGATAACCGGCCATCAGATCCACCCTCGCCACGGTCTTCCTCCCCTACGCGCAACCCAGCCTAGCAACCACTTCACCCTTATACTTCCCTTCCGCCATCATGGCCTGCGTGGCGAATTCCCCCTCGGCACCCTCGAGCATACTATTTGCCTTTCTGAAGAACGCCTGCTTAATGACCGGGTCAATCAACTCCATCGCGGCAATGGCATCGGCGTGCAACGTGAGAGATACTCCTTTATTCTTATGCTGCAGTACCTGCTCGTACCCGAGGACCTCAACCTGTCAGTACTGAAGCAATCCTCGGGCGAGGCACAGCCCGGCGATGCCCCCTCCTTCTAGGGCCTTGCGGGTCATCATGTCCAGTCTGATGGTGGTGGTCCGAGGGTATCGTGCGTCGACGCAGCCTTCAGGCCCGAATATATAACTCCCCATCCTTCTCTTTCTGGCGTTAACGTTTGTCAGCCAAGCCTTTAGATCGGCCGTTCCCCAGTTCTGTATCATGTCAGCCTCGTGGGACGCCATTCCGCAAAATCGTCCGGCGTCAATGGACGCCTTGTAGAGAACCCAGCGCAGCACATCTACTGGCCTGCCGTGCCTGACAATGACTCAGCGTCACCTATTGTGCCCGGTCTTGATACCATCCCTGATCATAATATTATACCTGCTCTTGATACCATACCTGATCTTGATACCATACCTGATCTTGATACCATACCTGATCTTGATACCATACTGATCTTGATACCATACCTGATCTTGATAGTATTCCCTGGTCTCGATACTATCCCTGATCTTGGTACTATACCAGATCTCGATACCATAACTAAAAATTATGTACCTACATACCTACCAAAGCCTAAGGTGGCACTGGACTGAACACCTTCCTGTCCCGTTTCTGTTTCTGTTTCTGTTTCTGTTTCTTTTCCTCTCTGTCTCCGTCCCTCTTCCTCCTCCTTTGCTTCCTACGTTCTCGCTTCTGACTTTGCCTCTCCCAGAGAGCGTGTAGCATTATTGGGATTGGTTATGCCCCCATACACAGTACATAGTATACATTGTACAGTGTACGGTATCCCAATATAATACTTTCCTGCGAACAGTATACAATGTACAGCGTATGGGCAAGAGTACGGTAGACAGCGTCCAGTATGATGTGGATCCCGGACCGGACCATATGTATCCCCGCACCAAGGCCTTCACACTGCGCTGCCAGAGTCATCCGTCATGCATAGGTATATACGCACATACAGACACATACCGTCCTAGACACAGGACAACATACACACACATACCGTGCTAGACACAGGACAGACAACCAATCGAGGACATGCCCCCAGGCACACATGCGCAGCATGCGAGAGTATCTGGCGAGCACTCTTGCCGCCACGCCTGAGAAACGGAACAATCGAAGGTCTCACCAAGGTACATAGTGCGGCCCTGATAGCGCGGTCTCGTTACATGCATGCATGCATATTCTCCTTCCTGTCTTCCCGCCCGACACGCGCTGCATCGACGCGGCTTCAGATCCGACGGTATGCGGATTAATCGAATTCTCGAATACAAAACGTAATTACTCTTTTCTCCAGGCTCGTCCCTCCCTTTCCTACGTTCCTACCTAGGTATCTAGTACGCCCTGTGCTTCACGCTGAACCAGCAACGCGGGGCTCGGATTCGAAGTCGAATTCATCTCTCCCTTGATACATACGTGCACAGTACACGAACCAGCTAGCGAGGTCGCCAGCCAGCCCCCTCGCCATCGTGATTCCACCGCGGTCCATTCTGCCCTCTCTGCTTCCTGTGGTTCCTGTGGTTCCCGTGGTTCGGTATTAGGACATACAAAAAACACTGCTCCGTACCGTCGATCGTAAATTCTAGCGCGCAGTACAAATCCCCAGCCTGCCCGTCTATCAACATCAACGTCAATGCGCCACGTCAATGCGCCACGGCCATGACACCACAATAGTATTCCACGCCCAGAGCTCGCGCGTGGACCAACCTCGCGTCCGCGGTGAGTGGGAGATCGAGGATCGATTTCTAAGTCACAAAGTGGTTAGCAAGTCAGTCCTCCGTAAGCGTGCGCCTGCAGCAACGAAACCCACGCGCTGTACACTTCGCACGGTACTTACCTGGTGGGCCATGCCGGTGTCATCGCCACTGTCACTGTCCGTCTCACTCTCCAGCTCAATCGCTCTGGCCACGGCCCTGCCCATCTCGCGCAGCGCCACTCTTTCCTCGAGCTTCTCTCGGTCCTTCGCCAGATCCGAATCCGAACCAGAGCTGCTTGTGCCCGATTTGAACCGCGCACTCAATTCCCTCAGCCCGCCTTGTAGTCGTTCAAGCAGAGCGGTCTTGTTCTTGCGCTTCTCAGTTGTGTCTTGACCTTGACCCGACGCGCGTGCGGGACCTATGAGTGCCATTAGGTCCACAAAGTCCGCATAGACGCCTCCCCCGCTCTTCCATTCTGGACTCGTGTCCTGCTCGGCTGAAGCCGTGACGGTGGCGGCGGCGGCATCGACTTTGTGTGCAGCATCCTCGCCGAACCGCGCAAGCACGTTGCTTAGTCCCTCCCAGTCTTCATCAATGACGAACCGGGGCGCGACGCGGCGAAGTAAGCACGCGTGAGCTTGGGCATACTCCGTCGCCAGGACGAGACAGTGGAGTTCGGCGAGCGATTCGTTGCATGACCGCGCGTAGAGCGCCTTTGAACGATACAGCCATGTGGTTGGGATGTGGAACGCCGTGGTAAGAGCAGTCCAAAGCGGCCGGGACTGTGAAGATGGTGCCGGCAGGCTCGCAGCGTGGCGATCGAGAAGGTCCTGGATCTGACGTGCTCGCATTGTCGCGTCGCTAAGGTGCAGAAGCGCGTATACAGCCTCCACAATGTTTCCGCGGGTCGAATGCTCAAACGCCAGCGTCAGGGCGAGGGCGTCGGCTTTCTCTTGGTCGATAGAAACATCAGGGGACAGCGCCGCGGCGATGGCGTTGTGCAGGCGGCACGTCTTCTGCGAGTTCCATGGCTCAGACAGCGCAGACAAGGCCTGCGGCAGAACCGGTTTCTCGACTTTGGCGGCGGCGTTGGCAGCATTTGCTCGGCTTCCCTTGTTGCCCTTGCTGGTACTGCTCGCAAAAAGCCTCAACACGACCCATAGAGGATCCTCGGATCCGTTGGTGCGCACCGGGGTCGCCGACTCGAGGTTGGAGGTCAACTTGGTCTGAAAGTCCGCGACGATCTCACCGATGTCGCCGTTCTTGTGTTTTCCATACCACAAGCACAGCGCAAACGCCTGGATCCAATCCAGCTCGAACTTCTCCGAAATGGCAAATGTCGAGGCACGGTCCTCGACGGCTACGTTCTGCCGACCCTGCGCAATACTAGTATTTCCCGAGACGATCTCGTACAACGCCCTAATCTCTTCGCTCATCTCGGAGATGACGGCCTGTCCGCGCCAGTCGGAGATCTGAGTGGCAATATCTGCCTGAAAGGCCGAATCAGCTTGCTCGATCTGCGCCACGAGCAATGTGAGGTGGAAGTTCTCCTCCTGCATCAGCGCATCGCATGCGGCGTGCACGTTCTTCGCAGTCAACTGGAGGATGGCAGCGGTCGCGGCATTGATTTTGGAGGCTGCCTTGATGCGGTCCCCGTGGCGGCGCCAGACAAGGTCGGCCAGATACTTCGACAGTCGGTCCTTTCGGATCCGCGACGTATACTCTTGCTGCTGTTGGCGGGACAGGCCGGTGGTGAATTCGTCTTCGTAGTCATCGAACAGGACGTGCAGCAGCTCGTAGACGTCCAGTTCGTCGGCCCCACCAACTTGCTGGGCCAGGTGAGCTTTGACTTGCGAGAATGGGAGAGCGTCGTGTTTGATAAACGGGACGTTGTCCTTGACAGAAACCTTCACATCCGTTAGAAGGACTTTGACGTCCACGGCGGCCTGGATGATGAGTTAGCAAAAAATCGGTACGAGTAACAGTCTCACGCACGTCCTCGGTATTGGCCGCCTCGAGCGACGCAGCCACAACTTCTTTGCCAGTCGCTTCACTGTGTGCCAATAGCTGCGTGGTCCGGCCTTTATCACCTGCCAATCCGTCTGACTTGTAGATGAGCTTGTTTGTCGGCGTGAAATGGGGCTTGAAACTGGCGTGCCAGTGCTTGTCGTCTTCCCCGAGTTCGATCGCATCGGCTTGAGCTTGGTCGTCGAAGGTCTTTGCGCGCTTGGCATATGGAAACTAGAAAGACGAAATGTTTCAGCAATGTGTTTCATTTGAACTACCTACATATCTGTGCTATGGGGAATATGACCGTGCCCTGGTCTCTGATCCCTGGCACCCCTGTCTGACATTCCGGGCATCAAGTTCATCCCGTCACCTGAGCTTTCATTGAATATTCCAACCCGCCGCAGGGATCAGAGCACAAGGGGTCAAGAAAGAGTGATGGGGGGATAAAAAGAGGAAATTCAAACCTCGAAATCCGGCTCAGTCTGCGCCTTGCCTTTCCTCCCTTTCAAGTCCGCCATTCTCTCCTCATGTCTGCTGAACAGAGAGTGCATGATGTCGATGCTGGTTCGAAAGTCCTTCTTGTTCGCAATTCTCGTCGAGCTCGGCTTGATTGGTTCATATGCACGATCCAGCAGCACCTTGCTCTGGACCTCTCGAAGCGCATCGCGATTCTGCTTCCGCGGGCTGATGGTACGTTGGAGCTGTTCCGCCCAGTCGCCATCAATGTTAATGAGGGCTTTGCGGGGCGTCCCCATGGTGCTAGCCTTGAGGATGGGTTTGGCAGGACTGGCCGCTGGAGGCGGGTATGAACCAGCCATGCTCATTTCGTCCTGGTTTTCTTCCTCATAGTCGTCTTCCTCCATTTCGGAATCTGCCGAACCGTCCTCGACTTCCTGAGCTGAGGGAACATCACGCTCATACTCGATGGCAGACTGGCGACCATAACCACCAGGCAGCGTCTTCTGCTTGAATGCGAAGGTATCGTCGTCATCGTCACCTTCATCCTCGTAATCATCGTGTCCTTCGCTGTCAATGTCCATTCCCGAGTGGTCCGCAGATCGGGAGCTTGTCAGTGAGTCGGGCGGAGCGGAGAGTTGGCTCTGGCCCAACTCGTCATCCTCATCGTAATCCAATCCGTAACGCGTGTAATGAGGAACTCGGAAGGTCCAAACGCCTGTAGCCACGTCGTAGCTCACGAATTCAGTACCGTTCATCTTCTTGAGGCGATTAACATGCTTGTCAAAGATGGGTCCGCTAGTGGCCGAGGACGGCTGGCCGCGAGCCCGGGGCCAAGAGTTCTCGATCGAGATGGTCGAAGGAACGTTCAGTCCCTTGCCAACTGGCGGTTTGGAGCTCGCGTCGGGATAGACTGTGACCGAACGGAGGCGAATTTCGACGATTTTCTCATACAGATCGTCGAGTGGAATGCTGGTCAGGTCGACCGGGCCGTTGAACACGACTTTACCGCATCCCTTCCGGCCCACCTCGAAGCCAACAAACCGCGACAACTTCTCGCGCGGAAGCTTACTGAGTTCGGCACGAGTCGGCTTCATCCAGTAGTCGCCAGGTTGAGGATCGGGCTTGGCCTGCACGGTTACCTTTCGGGAGGATACATCGCTGGCCTCACGATCTTCCGGGACAACAGCAAGCTCATTCCCTCGGACAGGCTCGGCTTCAGGTGTGGCACTTCCGTTCGTGGTTCTGATGCGCTCGTGCTCGTCTTCGTCATCCTCGACCGGCACCAGAGCACCAGCTTCACCGTTCGAGGCGCCATTCTGGCCCCCCGCGGTATCTTTGTCAAAGCTAACTCGCTTCTTGAGCTTGTTCGCCGGCTCCGCACCTGATGAGTCGAGATTCGTTGGAGCGAGTGCGGTATTGGCGTTGGTGGACTTGTCAAGGCCGTTCGTCGGAAAAGCGGGCAAGGAAGGTCGGCTGAAGAGATCGTTTCGTATGCTCCGATCAATAGTCAGACGGCGCATGCTGCCGCCGGACCATCTAGTATTGGTAACAGCGAAAGCATCTGGACTGAGGACGCCATTGCCATCTGCATTGAAATGAGACCGCAGATTGCTGACAGATGCACTCTTTCCAAATGAACGACCGAAGCTGCCGCCATTGAAGCTCCGGCTACCATACATGCTGCCACTCAAGCCACTGCCGCCGGGTGTGCTGGCTGCGCTGTTGGGGGTACCATATGTTGAGTACGAGAATCCGAAGCCCGACCGACGAGGTGGGGTCATGTAGCGAGACTGGTTCAATCTCAGACTCGGTGGTGGTTTGGATTGACTCTCCTTCATCTTCTGAGTCGCCGACAAAGGGGTGAAGAGTGGCTTGGAGTTGTCAGGCGTCGGGACCGGCAGCCCAGTCCAGATGGACGTCTGACCGTAAGGGTTGGGATCATTCAAGGACGACGTCTTGAACTCCGATTGCTGCTGGTTCTGTTGAGTGCTCTGGGTCGGCGCAAAGAGGCTGTTGCCAAAGCCACCTTGTTGCTGGTTGGTGCTGGTCCCGAAAAGCGAGCCAGTCGCTGGCTTGTTGGCATTGTTACCGAAAGAGAACCCTGAACCAGTGTTGTTGTTGGTACTTCCGAACAAGCCGCCTGACTGCTGCTGGTTGTTCCCTCCGAACAGACCTGTGCCTGTATTGGAAGCGTTGTTGCCGCCAAACGTGCTACCTCCGAACAGACCACCGGGCTTCTGCTGGTTATTGGAAGTGCTCCCAAAGAGACCTCCACCAGTGTTTGTACTGGGCTGGCTTCCAAACAAGCCACCACTGGTGCCAGTGTTCGTATTGGCATTGTTGCCAAACAGACCGCCACCAGTGCTGGTATTTGTGGTGCTTCCAAACAAGCCCCCAGAAGGTTGATTCTGATTTGTCGAGCCTCCGAAACCACCCGTGTTGGTGCCGAAAAGCGAAGGCTTCTGCTGTGTGTTGTTATTGTTTCCGAATAGTCCAGCAGACTGCTGCTGATTTCCACCAAACGCACCCGTGTTCGAATTGTTGGTGTTGGTGCCGAATAAGCCGCCGCCCGTACCTGTGGTGGAGGTGTTGGTATTGCCGCCAAACGAGAACGAAGAGCCGGTGTTGCCGGTGTTGGTGCCGAACAAACTAGGTTTCTGCTGATTCTGGTTGTTGTTATTCCCAAAGAGCCCTCCGCCAGATCCGAAGCCGGTGCTGCTGCTGCCGCCGCCTCCGAAAGCATTAGTTGATGTATTGTTCGAGGTCCCGAAGAGGCCACCTGAGGGAGCTGCTGAAGACTGCTGGCCGAACAAGCCGCCACCAGCAGGCTTGCTCCCAAACAGGCCACCACTCCCACCACTCCCGAAACCAGTCGTTGAGGTATTGCCGCCAAAGCCTGACGAGGTGGTAGCCGTAGCGCCGCCAAAGGGATTAGAGTTGGTATTGCTGCCAAACCCACCGGTGTTGCTTGCTCCGAAACCACCAAAACTGTTCGTCCCGAATCCACCAGCCTGGCCAGTGTTGTTCCCATAACGACGACCCGCATTGTAATCTGCCAGTCGAAGCTCTTCAAATGAGTATTTCTGGTATGGGGGCATAAAATTGATGCTCTGGTAATTGCTCGACACGCCTGCGGCTTCTTTCTCCAAGGTCGGCGCATACGGCGTCGAGGCTGTGCCTTCTGAGGGAGGGACGGACTGATTGCTCAGAGCAGTTCCGCTACCCGCGGCGCCAAAGGGGCTTGAAGACGAGCCAAAGCCACCAGTTGTGCCTGAGCCACCCTGGCCAAACAACGGGGTAGAATTGGTAGTCGAGCCGAACGCAGGCTTTGTCGCGCCAAAGCTAAAGCCTGAACCACCAGTATTGCTGCCGAAGGCATTGTTCGTGGTGCTGCTTCCGAACCCGCCTCCTGAGCCAAAGCCGCCAGTGTTGGCTGTTGAGCTGCCGAAAAGCCCCCCGCCGGTATTGGAGGCTGTCGAGCCAAAGGGATTGGACGCTGGCTTGCTGCCAAAAAGAGAGCCGGTGGTGGAGGTGTTGGTCCCAAAGCCTGCAGAGCTGGTCGTTAGTTTATCGGTGTCCATTTGGTGAGACGAATCTCCGTCATCGGAACGACTTAAATAGATTGGCGCATTGCGCTTTGAAGCTTGCGAAGGCTTGCCCCATCTCGACATTGTGCTGTGTCCGCATTGACCAGTCGGTCGAGAAAGAGGTTGGAAGCAAGGTGAACCGCGACATGAAGGGGAAAAGAATTATCGCCAGGTGAGGCAGTTGAACGAGTGAAGCCTGCTGCCTGCGCGCATCTGTCACGTACCTCCTGGGTTTGTGTTTGACCCGAATGTGCTGCCCCCGAACGGATTCGAGGTCGCGGTGCTGGAACCGAAGCCACCAGAATTGCTCGTATTCGAACCGAAGCCTCCTGATACCGTATAGTCAGCCTTGCAGCCTCATCGGAGGGGGTGACATCTGCTTACCTGTGTTATTGTTCGTACTGGCGCCAAAGCCCCCAAACCCACCACCCTGATTGTTGGTGTTACTCGCACCAAACGAAAATCCGCCGCCGCCGCCACCGCCGAAAGACATGCTGGCGGGGATTGATGCGCGTCGCGCTATTTTCGAAAGGGAAAGGAATCAAAGGGAGCACAAAAGAGCGTACGAAGATCAGGTGTGTAAGGATGGGGGAAGGAAATTCGTGGGTGACGCGCTGGGACGAGCTTTTAGTCCGAGTCGACGGGCAGAAGCGATCCAGGCAGCACGGCTATCGGCGGAGAGATTGTCGTGCAAGACGGCGTCTTCCCACTACCAGCATGCCACCGGATCTCCCTGTGACGAGAAGGATGGATCAGACACGAGCAACGACGCGCTAGGAGGTCGAAGTTGATGAGTTGAATAGAGCCTGCGCTTACCAGAAAGCGGGTCTCCAATTGAGCTGGACAACTCGTCAGGTCCAGGGACGATCACATGACCGCCATCATGATGACTCAGCGACGGCACACTTTCACCACTTCCACCAGATACTTTCTGGTGCTTTTGGTGCGTTGACCACTTTCAGCACTTTGGTGCTTTGGCATCGCGTCAGGCACGTACGGGATGGATCTATTTACAGGCGGCGCATTGATCGATTACGGTCCAGAACAATACGTGGCTAGGCAGCCGGCCCGAGAATTGTGAGATGCTGCAGAGCTATCCAACTACGAAAAGCTATGTGCTTCCTTCACTGCAGGCAGAAATCAACCAGAGGCAATGATTGGGTATATATATATAATATGGCTGCTCCTTCACTTCTTCTTTGACGACTTGACAGTCTCAATGATCTTGTCAACCACGCTCGGGTCACTCAGAGTCGAAGTGTCTCCAAGGCTGTCCTCCTCGCCGCTCAGGATCTTTCTCAAAATTCTCCTCATGATCTTGCCGGATCGAGTCTTGGGAAGGTCGTCGACGACGAAGATGGCCTTTGGTGCGGCGAATGGCCCGATGGACTTGCGGACCTGCAGGACGAGATCCTTGCGTATCTGCTCACCGGGATCGACGCCGTCTTTGAGTGACACAAAGGCATTGACAGCCTGGCCAGTGAGCTCGTCATTGATGCCAACGACGGCAGCCTCGGCAACACCGTCATGCTCGATCAGAGCAGCTTCGATTTCTGACGTTGAGAGACGATGGCCTGATACATTGACGACATCATCGACACGTCCACGAATCCAGTAATAGCCCTGGGTCATCATCAGTCTTTGCTCCTGGCGATAGGACAATCACAACGAGGACATGCGGAAGTGGAAAGGGGGAGTACGTACTTCGTGATCACGACCAGCGCCGTCACCAGTGAACTGTCATCTTGTCAGCCAAACGTCTGTTGCGGCGCTCGAACAGAAACCCACATAATAGCCCTTGTAAACGTTCAAATATGTGTCCATGTATCTCTGGTGCGCACCCCACACGGTTCGGGCCATACTCGGCCATGGCTGCTTGAAAGCCAAGACGCCCTCAACGTCATTGCCGTCAATTTCCTTGCCCGACACCGGGTCGATGATCGCAGGCTCAATGCCAAAGAAAGGCAGAGATGCGCTACCGGGCTTCGTGGGGGTGATGCCAGCCATCGGTGTAATGACATGAGAGCCAGTCTCTGTCTGCCAATATGTGTCCACGATATGGGCCTCCTCTTTGCCGACGGATTCAAAGTACCACTTCCAGACTTCGGCTGCGATGGGTTCACCTACGGAGCCCAACACGCGCAACTTGTGCATTTTGTGGTGGATGTGCTCATCACCGGCTCTCTTCAACAGACGCAGTGCAGTCGGCGCAACATAGAACTGCGTGACATTGTGCTTGTCGATGACGTCCCAATAGCGAGAGAAGTCGGGGTAGGCTGGGGTGCCCTCGAAGACGACGGTCGCAACACCGAGGAGGAGAGGAGCATAAACGACGTAGGTATGGCCGGTAATCCAACCAACATCACCGCCGCAGAAGAAGACGTCGTCGTCGTGGATATCGAACACGTACTTGCCAGTCGCCGCCGCGCCTAGCAGGTAACCCCCAGTCGAATGCATGACGCCTTTCGGCTTGCCGGTCGAACCCGACGTATATAGCAGGAACAGAGGATCTTCGGACGCGACGGGCTCTGGGGAGATGTAGGAAGGGTATTTCGCGGTCTCTTCGTGCCACCAGAAGTCTCTGCCCTTGGTCCAGGGCACGTCCGCACCTGTTCTCTTGTAAACCAGCACTCGGTGGACATCGGGGCATTTCTTGAGAGCTTCGTCCACGATCTTCTTGGTGCCAATCAGCTTGCCACCACGCTTTCCCTCGTCAGTGGTGATGACCACTTTGGAGTTGGCGTCGATGATTCGGTCCGCCAACGAGCCGGAGGAGAAACCGGCAAACACAACTGAGTGGACGGCGCCGATACGGGTCACGGCGAGGAAGGAAATGACGGCTTCAGGAATCATGGGGAGATAGAGCGCAACGGTGTCGCCCTTCTTGACGCCCATCTGTGTCAAGGTGTAGGCAACCCGTGAGACCTCGCGCAGAAGCTCGCCGTAGGTGAGGACACGGCCTTCGCCTGGCTCGTCGGCCTCGTAGATGATGGCCGGCTTGTCGGGGTTTTTAATTGCATGGCGGTCGACGCAGTTGTAGCTGGCGTTCAACTGGCCCTCCAGAAACCAGGCATTGTCGCCGTTGGCCAGCGTACCGGAGTGGACTGTCTTGAAGTCCCGTTGCCAGTCCAGCAGTTCCCGGGCCATCTTACCCCAGAACTTGTCTGGCTGCTCGATAGACTCCTTGTACATGGCCCAGTACTCGTCCAGGTCTTTAATGTGGGCCTTGCCAGGGCCCTTCTTCCAAAACGGTTTGGGGACACTGCGACCGAATTAGCACGAGCGAGTCAGTGGAGGACGGGCGCTGTGCGAGCATACTGGTAGGTATCGACCTGGTGGGCTTCGGCCTGCGCGTGTGCGTGGTCAGTTCTACAGAGAGGCACGAGATCCGGGTGAAAGGAGCCAAGTCTGCTTACCACGACGGGTCCATCCTTCTTGGGATTTGGAGGCGGGACGTCACCTTCGGACATTGTGATGAGCTGCTCGGTGAGCTGGTACTAAAGGTGGGCAAGGGCTGGGGAAACCGGGAGAGTAGGAGTCCAGCTTGGAGCTACTCAGGAGCGGGAACGAGCTTATGTTTATATCGTGACTCGGGTACTGGGGGCTCTAGTTGCGCACGACGAGTGCGAGTGGACACCAGGAAAACAGGACCCGTGCCACGGCGGGGAGACCAGGAGCTCTAATATAGAATGGTGTAACACCGACTCTCAACGGCAGGAAATCCTGATGACGCTACGCCGCACAGTCACCAAGCATGGAGCAAAGGGAGGCTGCTTGATCGAGTGACCTGCACGCCTGGCTGTGTCGAAGATTCGCGCGGATTTGCATTGGCATATCGTCACCCCAAGAACGAAACAAGACCGTTTTTACGGAAACAGCTTGGGACACTGCGTCGCGATGGGCGCCCCCGCAAAGCGGCACCTGCTTCGATTGGATCTTGTCGGCCACCAGCGCTGCCCCTCGATACAGGGTGGAGTGCCCTGCGAGCACCCCTCCAACCAACGATACCAGGTAGGCCCCGCCAACATCCCTTTCCTTTTATCCGCCATGCAGTGGCTGACGCGCCAGAAAAGCCCATCCGCAGTGTGAGATCATCCGTATCTTTTCGTCCATGGTCAGGAGACAATGGCCCCAATCTGTTTCGACGAGGGCCTGTCCCCAACCCAAGGCGTTAATGATCAGACGTCGTTGAGATTCTTTGGCGGAGGAGCCGTCGAGGGACAAAGCACGTTAAGTAGAACCCCGCACGCGGGGTTTCTCTCAACTGTCACGGGTAGGAGCCTCTCACGGTCGGTTACACAAGTCCTCGACCTTGCATCATCGGTCGGAAACCTCGTCGCGCCTAGGCCGGCAGCTCGTAGGCCTCCGAAAGTCTGTACGGGGTACACGGGCCCGGTACATAGGCACAAGCGGACACCAAGGTCGGTTGACAAGCAGGCCACGCCGTAGCGTGACCTCTTGGCCCAGTACTGTACATATCGGCACGTCAAATTTGTCCATCGATAAGAGTCTTTGCCCGTCAAGCCCGCAACTTCTCAAAAACCTCATCTGACCAGTGTAAAACCTTTTGCCACTGCGCTGTGACCGCAGTATTGTCTCCTTCTAAATTCAGACTCTTCCTTTGACCCAGGCCGCTAGCCCCAGGCCGAAGACCATAATCATGCCATCTCCGAATAGTTCCTTGCCCATCTGAATCCACAGCCCTATTCCCCTTTTGCCCGATCCGCCTTTGGTTACTAACCTTGCACTTTGCAGCAACAGTTCTCCGGTCAAGAACACGATAAACGGGTTCTGGAACGTTGCGGGAGCCGGGGGATTCTCGCCATACGTCTGAGTGGAGTTGTGGATGTTGAACACCAGATACAGCCCTGCAAGTATTGCGAATACCACATGGACGATCTTCCAGATCCGCGTCGCTTGGATCTCGGCCGGGCTAGGTGGAGCCTTCTGGTTGCCCATCACCATGTTCGTCAAAAAGGGAGGAAGGCCCGTCGCCTTTGAGATGTCATCGGGAGACAGCCCGGGAATTGCACCCATCCCGTCCGGCGCGCTTGGGTCAGAGGCGCCGTCCATCCCTCCCATCATGGCTTGCAACATCTTCAACATCGGATCTTCTTGTTGTGTCTGACCTTGTTCTTGTCCTTCTTGTGGTAGCGGCTGTCGTAACATAGCCCTCAAATAGTCCTGCTGCACATTCACTTGTTCCGGTGTCAGTGACGCAGTCGCAGCTGCGGGCGGCGCCGATGTCTGCGGCGGTGGAGTGGAAGTGGCAGGTGGTGTTGGCGCGGGCGATTCATTTCGCACTGCGGAATTTGGAGTTAGCTTGCTTGAGCTGGCTACAGACAATACTTGAATGTAGGGAGAGGCTGGTGCGCCCTATTGATGAGGCCAAACGACCCCATTCTTGAAAGACTCACTGCTTTCCGGAGTCCTCCCACTAAGCCTCGTAATCTTGTCCAGTCTTTCCGCCGCAGTGCCCGTGATTTTGGCTTCACGCTTCTGTCGCCGAATGCGCGCCTGTCGCTGGGCCGGTGTTTCTTCTGCGTCCGCCATAGCGATGCTGGACTCAGAGTCCTTGCTCAACAGGGAGATCAAGGACTTGTGGCAGCAGAAGCGATGCTGGACACAGAGTCCTTGCTCAACAGGAAGATCAAGGAGTTGCGGCAACAGAAGCGATGCTGGACCCAGATTCCCTGCTCAACAGAGAGATCAAGGAGTCGTGGCGCGAGAGAAACGCCAGAAGGTTGTGGCTGCCACTGGAAGGACAACGTGGCGTAGACGCTGTGGTCTTTCGGGTATCGTGCAATTGCAAATTCCGTGCGAGGAAATCCCGAAACCGCGTGAAATCTGGCAAGTACAGCAATAGATGGTGATGAAGCGCCACAGTAGTCCAAGAACGGCAGAGACAGGGCGTGGCAACTCTACTTGTCGCGTTTGCCGTGACACTGTTCAGTGATAAATTACTGTACTGTGGTCCCGAAGAGTTGGAGAAGCACGAAATCCGTACACAGATGCCGATGACGTCGCTGTTGCCGGTGCATCGATTGACCATCAACATTTCTGTCTCTATTGCTACACATTCGAGTCCCTTCTTCTCCGGTGACTTTTGCCATTTCGATTGCCCTGCACCCTAGCGACCCTCTTTCCGGTCCTGGTCGGAGCATGTCTCTGCATGTTGCCCCGTCAATCCAAGTCATGCCATGCCCAAAATACCCGCTCCCTCCCGCGCTCGCTTAGCGGTCGAATTACTGCCAGACCCCCAGCAGACACGTTTCCGATATGCAAAAAGATGGATGGCCCTGACACTCCCCTTGGTCCTTGGTCCGACATGAGATGTACTTGTCGAAGCCCGATTACCTTGATCTCGCGACGGCCTTCATACGTCGACTCCCTCCCGGATATGACCCTGGGAGATGACTTCTGCGTAGCCCAGTTGAGATACGGGATCCCAAACCACTGAGAAGGAATCTCGTACGATTTCTTGTCACATAGTTCCGTCTTCGGCGCTTGTGATAACCTGAAGACAAGCTAAGATAGAATGGCCGTGCGGAGGATGCACTTGTCTTTTTCTGGTGAGACGCGCTCCACGACTTTGACCATCACATATTTTCTCGGGCTGAGTGAGACATGTAAGAGCCAAGGACGGTGTGCTGCTGATCCGAGAGGGTGACGCTGCTGATCCGAGAGGGTGAGGGCCGGTGAATGAGGACGCCGAAGCCGGTACTGTCGTCCACCAAACCTCCACGGCATCACGCCAGATGCCGGCAGGGCACGCGTTGTGGTGGAGGACGCTTGAGCTTGATTAGATTACCACAAAGCCAGGCCAGGACAGGACGATGGCGCAAGTTCTCCAAGATCCCAAAGACTTCGAAACGCCGTAGCTGGCCAAGTTCAATGCAGTTCCAGTTCGCAGCCAAAGCGCCAATGCCAATGGTCATGGGTATCGTCACGTTCGTCAAATAGGTGTTGCAATCTCAAGACCACTCACTCTCATTGCAAACAAATCGCGTAAAACGCCTCCTTCGCGACACTGCCCGTGCCATCGTAATCAAACTCCTCAATCATAGCGTGGATCTCGTCCTCCGTGAGCCCCGTCTCGCCCAGCTCGCGTGCCACGCGCCGTATATCGTCCACCTCGATATACCCCCTCTGCTCCGGGTCGAAGAGGAGCAGCGCGCGCTCGACCTCCTCCGCGGGATCACGCTCGAAGATTTTCTGGGCTGCGATCCGCTGGAAGGGCACCTGCGCGAGCAGCAGCTGGCTGACGTGGTACGAATGTGATTGTGTGGCATTTCGCCCCAGGCCCGATCTCTTGAACCTCGGCTTCGGCACGCCCTGCGTGTGCATGATGTTGGCGATTTCGGCCTTGGGCACGGTGAAGCCCAGCGAGCGCAGCGCGACGCGCACCTCGTGGTAGTCGAGGTGGCGGTCGCGGTCGAGATCGAAGAGGGAGAACTGGGGACGTGGGAAAGTGGTCAGCATTTTTCTTTTTCGACATTTCACGGGGAGGCACGCGCAGCACCCACCGATTCATTGATCTCGTCGCGCTGTTCCTCGCTCAGCTCGCTCAGCGCGTTGGGTTCCTTCTCGGTGGTGCTCTGTCGGCCGGCCCCGGGCATCGCATGCGCCTGCGCCTGCTGGTGCAGAGGCGGTGCGTACTGATATGTTGTTTGGGTGTCGGGCCGGCGCCCGAAGGTCGATTGTGTGTTGTGTTGCGGCTGGGGAGGCGCAGGTGCAGGTGCGCCAACTGTGCCGGGTCTCTGCGCCGTGCGGTCGGGCAGCTTGCTCGAGGATGCGTAGACATTGCGACCCGGGAAGGCGGCGAGATTTCCTTGCGACATTGGCGGCGCGGGGCATCCAAGCGCCAACTGTCACCTGTACTGCCTTGGTCGCGGCATGAATGTGAATGGTGGCGGCAGGTGCTCTGTAGTGTGCTGTGTATGGGATAAAACGGGTGGTATGTAGGTACAGTATTTGTTGTTGACCGGACAAAGGCCGAGCGAGCTGGACGCGTGCCGCCGCAAACGGACGCGACTCGGGAAAATGCCGATGCCAAATTCCTCTCCCAGTCTCCAACTGGTGCAAATCGGCGACCGGCAAACCGGGAAACAAGGCTGCTATGTACCATCGAAGAGCAGATATGTTCCCATCTAAATCCCCGTATTTTGCTGTATCTTCTCCTACATGCTGGCATTCTAGCATCCAGCCTGTTCGCCCATCCTCCCTCAAGCCATGTACTTCTTCAGTCCCCTCAACCGCTTCTTCGCGTCCTCGAGAACATCGTCATTCTTACACACGGCAAACCTCATCCAGTCCTCCGCAAGATGTGCCCGTTCGTCCGTGTAAAACTCCGTGGGTGGGATGGCCGCCACTCCTAGCTCCATGATCAAAAACCACGACATCTGGAAATCCCGCGGCCGGTCCTTGACATGGTCCGGGAATTCGTATCCCTGGGGCAGCTTTACCTTGGACAAGTTCGCGAGGACAAAGTAGCCGCCTTCCGGGATGGAGTACGGGAGTCCCAGCTCGTCAAAGACCTCGCAGAACCGGTCCACCTTGCCCTTCATTTCGGTGATCTGCTGATCCCAAAAGCCGACCTTGTCGGCTTGTTCAAAGCCAATGGCCGCGGCCTCCTGTAAAGGCGAGACACTCGAGTAGCAGATGCGCGTATGTGCCGCGGCCACGTACTTGATCAGCTCCGGCGGGCCGATCAGATATCCCACGCGCCAGCCCGTCGCGTAGAAGTTCTTGCCCGCCGACCCCACTGTGATCGTGATCTTGGCCAGCTCTGGCGATAGTGTGGCCATTCGCGTAAAGGGGACGTAGTACAAGCGGTCATAGACCTCATCGGAGAGAATGAGAACTTGATGCTTGAGGCACAAGTCGCCGATCCGCGTCAATTCCTCCTTGTTCAGCACCTTTCCCACCGGGTTATGCGGCGAGTTTAACACGATCATCTTCGTCTTCTCGTTAAACGCCCTTTCGAGCTCGTCAAAGTCAATGGTCCAGTTCGCGGCCGAGGACGTCCGTTCCGCACCATCCTTCGGTGGATGCATGGGGACGTATCTGATTGTGCCCCCTGGCATCTCGATATTGCTGAGGTATTGATCGAAGAAGGGCTCGAATATGATAACCTCGTCGCCTGGCTCGATGAAGCCCATGAACGCGCTGAGCATGCCTGCACAGTGTTAGGGATATGTACCACATTTTTGACGACGGACTCTTACCCTCATTGGCTCCCGTTGTAATGGTGACCTCGGTCTCCGGATTCAGCGTCCTTCCAAAGAACGGTGAATATGCATCGGCAATGGCCTTCTTCAGCCTCGGGCGGCCTTTCGTAGGCGAGTACTGGTTGCATTCGACTCTGTCCAGTGCGCTCTTCGCGGCGTCAATGATGAACTGGGGAGGGTTGTAACCACTGTTGAGCGCGCTGTCAGAAGCATAATCTTGCGAACTGCGAGCGTGTCTGCATACTCACAAAAACCCTTGGCCCATGTTGACGATGGGCTGTACAGGCGACGCAGCGGCCGCCTCGTTTACTATGGACCAGACATCCTGCTTCTGCCCGGCCACCCGCTTCGCAGGCGCAAACTTGGCGTCCATCCTGCGGTGCGAAGAGAAGGTGCGCGACCAAGTTAAGCGCTGTTCCGCACGTACGACCTGGCGACTGACTGACCGAACCACGAGTGAGCTACCGTGAGTAGGCGAGAGGTTGAAGTTCATGCCGCAACTGCAGAGTCGACGTCTAGGGGCATCAAGGGGACACTACACTTCAGGGCGCACACGTGCCAGTCAGTGGTGAGCATCCACGATTGAGAATTGCGTGGACACAGGTACTCTAACATCTCACCAGTGAGGGGCTGCACATTGTTGCGAGATCGGACCGGGATCATTGCAGCTCCGCTTACTCCTTGGACTGACGACATCTGATGCCAAGCAGAGACTCCGTACGGAGTACGCAAAACTCCATAGACTCGGCTATCCGACCGCCACTGATTGACCAGAGCGACTGGAAGGGAGAGACAGCCAAACGGCAAGAGAGCACCAAAAGTCCTCGTATGTTCATGATTCACATTTATTCATCAGAGGGGGTCGTAGCTACAATGATCCACAGGCATATGAACGCCAACCAAATATGCAATGCTTCCAGCCTTGACAGGCATATCCAAACTTTACAGATACCTCCTCAGGAGTGCTAGACACTGCTCGTGTCCTCCTCTAGTAACAAATACCTCAGGCATATCTAACAGTGTGCCCGTTCTGGGGATACCCACCATAGCCGCCCGCGGCATAAACAGGCGGCGGCTGAGGAGGATACCAGCCTTGCGGCGACGTCGGCTGCTGCGTCGGGGGTGGTTGCCATCCACCTCCATACCCACGGTCTCTCATCTGGTCCGGAACCTGCGGTCCATCCCATCCACGCGTGGCGTTGCGGTGACCGCCGCCTCTATGCCTATGAGCGCCAGGCACGACGGCTTGCATTCGCTTCCCTCTCGGTCGCCTGCACGCGCGAACGCAGCATCCGAGGACAGCAAGGAGTAGAAGACCTCCCAGCGCGCTGGCCAGGGCGATCACCAACGTCTTGTGATCATCAATCCATGACTTCACCTCCCCACCGATTGAGCTTCCCCTACAGACGCCATTCTCACAGCGTCCGCCACCACCACAAGTTGTGCCGTCCAGGAAATTTTGTTGCATACTGTAGCAGACGTTCGCTCCAAAGTCCGGACTGGCGCAGCTCAGGGTACACGTCTGACTGTTGCAGGCATAGGTGTCGTTGTCGCTAGTATAGCTACCCATCAGAGTCTTGCATTGCAAGTCTCGGCTTGTGCATTGTCCGCTGGCACATTCGAGTCCGTTGCCGCAGTCCGTTCCATCGGGTGCTGTGGTGTCCATCGGGCAGGTTCCATTGGTACCCGAGCATGTCTCTGCAGGATCGCATTGACCTGTGCTGGCGCGACAGACCGTTCCACTGGAAGCAAATTGACACTGCGGAGTACAGCATCCTTCGTTGCTTGGGTCGCAGACTGCGCCTGTGTTGAATTTGCAGGTGGTAGGGTTGCAGCATGAATTACCCGCGCAAGACTCCTCACCACCACAATCACAATCTTCTCCCTCCTCGACGATGCCATTACCGCATTGGTTCCCACTGATAGTTACAACGCCCTTGTTGTCAGTGAGACATTGCGACTGGACCGAGTTGCGTCCCAGAGCTGAGCAGATGTTGCCGACTGAGCAAGGCGAAAATCTGGTGATGCCAGGGGAAGAATATGGGTTCATCATGTATTGCGCGCTGGCGTCACAGCTAGAGGATGACAGGGGGCAGCATTGTCCGGAGTTCACGACGTTTGAGTCGGCGCACGTGCTGGAATCGCAATCGTGAACGGCGCCGAAGGTGTGGCCAGTCTCGTGCGCAAAGACTTGCCACAAGGTTGAGGTCTTCGCAATGACATTGGCTCCAGTCACGCTCTGGGTATTGCCGCTCGTATCTGTCTGGGAAGTTGCCCCGTGATTGCACAACTGCCCGAGCCACGCGAGGCCGACCTCGGCCCCGGTGTTACAAGTCGTAAAGAGGGACCAGTACGCATTATCGTCGCCCCGCTGTCCACGCCACGAGGAGAACAAGTTCAGTCTCTGCGTGATATCCGTGCTGCTTGAACACCCCACATTCCATGGCGTCTGGGTACTTGGTGTTCCGGGACACTCGGCGTCAGAGACTGTCAAGTTGCGGAGACCAAGCGTGATGTTGAACGTGGACTGGTAAAGCTCAGAAGCAGTGTTGACAACACTGATAACGTCCTGCCGCAAGCTATCGGTGGAATTAAAACTCGCCGTGTATGTGCAGTCACTCGCAACGCCGACAAGGGCGACTTTGCGTGTGGTTGGACAACCGGCCGTGCTTCCAATGGTGGAAGCCAAATTGACACCAGCTGAATTACCCGAACCGACACCGCCGCCGTCAATGTTCTGGCGCTTTTCGAACATGTTGTTGATGGCCATAGTGCCCATGTCGCTCCAGAAGCCATCGTCTCGTTTCAACATCAAATCGCGGTAGATGGGATGGTCGGGATGAGTATTGAATTCCAGCTTGTCGGAAGCACAGGTTAGGCCGGCGCTGCGTTTAAGGTCGATATGACTCTGTCGGCTGACATCGGTATCCCTCCAAACGGCCATATACTCGTCGTCATCCTCTTCCAGCTCGGGATCCAGTTCATGCTTGGTGGCCATATAGTTCGACTTTAGCTGAACATGATGGTGATTGCCCATGACGGTGAAAGCACCCTCAAAAAGAGGTTTGACACCATCTCTTCTCACTGTAACTCGGGCCCAGCCGACATGTTGATTGACGCCGTGCTCGCCGACAACGAATGCTTGACCCTGAAAGACTTTGTGATCCTCCCGTTGCATCTTCTCCGCATGTCTGACATTGCCATCTTTGTCCACGAACTCGATGTACGAATCGTGATGGAGGATGTCATGATTGGGCTCAAGACTGAGCCGAATATGCTCTGTACTTTTGTGGAGGTCAAATGTAAGATCGAAGCTTGAGGTACAGTGTACCCTCTGTGAAGGCGTGTGTATTCGAGGGTTCTCAACTAGCGATAGGTAGTTCAGTGGGTTTCTCGATTTCGAGTGTGCATCGGCGGTGGACGTCAGGTACAGGCACGAAGCGACGACCGCCGCAAGGCTTTGAAGAATGCGCATGCTGCGCTGAGCCGTGAGGCTGAAGGTCGGGTTGTAGGGTGCTTATATACTCGATACGGTTTGCATTTGAGCACAAAACAAGTCGTCCAGGCCGTGTTCTGGTGTAGCGAACGTTCGTCTGAGGGTGGATACGTGTACAGACTCTTGAGAGGTGGTAAAGGATCGGTTGCTGTCAATGTACACTTCCGTCGTCAGTGGCGAATATCAATATCCAATGCACAGCTCAATTAGTGTAACACTACTTTTCTCCGCGAGAAGAAGAAGCACCGAAGAGTGAATGTTGTCCACGGAAGGATGGGGAGAACAAAGATCGAGAGTCAGCGAATGTATAGCGTTCTGTGCAGTCTTGTGCCCAGACGGCAAAACCGGACGAGGTTACAGTCAAGTCACCGACGGGATGCCTGCGATAGAAGTTCAGGGAGAAGCGGGCGGGCAACTGGCGACTGGCAAACGTTGGTGCGGGCGATGGGCGCAGCGTTGTGGAGGGCGCAGCCACCTCGACGAACCACTGACCGAATCACTGGGCGGCTGGGCCGCGTCTTACGAGGCCGCCAAGCACTCCGGGGCTATCACTGCCCGGTTACAGAAAACTCCGTCCGCTAAGTATACAAATATTGCACGCTCAGGCAACCAGCAACGCAGCCCAAAAACCCAGCAGCCAGGTAATAACACAAGCCAGGGGAGCAGGTCGCTACGATACTGCATGCCTGCTGCAGTTATGGCGAAGCAACCATATCCGACGGCCTGCTTGCAAATCCTGATGGCGGCATGAATGAATGTCTGGTGGGTGACATACCTACTGTGGTTACGCATCACTGCTCGCTGACGGCCCGCATGACGCGCAAACGTAGGTGATCCAAGACAATCCTGGCTAGCTATGTCAGCTCCCAAGACTCCAAGCCCTCTCCTTACGCTTTACACGCGGTGCTTCGCGATATATTCCGACAATTGTGCTTCTTCCTGCTGAAGCAGTGGCCGGTACACGGCTGTCTCAGAAGCTCGGTGTTCGGCATCCCGTCTATGGCATTCACAGGGGCCCCGGCGGCCGAGCGGCTGTGTCGCAGCCTTTCCTCGAGCAGCCTCAAACGTTTCTGACACAGCGCCCATCACAAGTGGACAACTTTATTTTCTTTCTTTCTGTTACGAGGCATGCTATTATCCGAAGTTCTCAATTACAAGATTCCGCCTTCGTACGCCCTTTTCTTCACTGGGAAGAGTCATGAAGCTGGAATATTAGTACTGGTCAACGCCGCTTCAAGCCTCACTCTCCACACCAGGCTCTCTGCCATTAAGTCCGCCCATGCCAAGTTTCTGCTTCAGTTTACCCATCCCGATCTTTGCCTCATCTTTGGCAAACTTGACATTCCTTGCTGGCTTCCACTGCGACAAACCTCGGTGTTTGCGCTCTTCGGACCGCTTCCCAGCTTTCTTCTCAAAAGTACTGTCACGCTTCTGCACGGGCTGGACCGAGTTCGTTGAGGTCTCTGTCATGGTGGTGTAGTCAGTACCCGCTGTGGCAGTGGTATCTGCACTTGGCCGTCCATTTGCGTAGCCGTTTGATTCGTCACGGTTCCCATCCAGTCCATGGACATCCTTGGGACCCTTGCTGAACTGGCCCTCTTGGGCGTTGGTGCCATCGGTGATACCCAAGTCTTCCGAAGAGTCGTCGTCAATCGGCTCGGCGTCATCGTCATCGTCGTCTGATGGGTTGAAAGGATCGTGAGGTGGCGCATCCGTTCCCGGCTCAGCAATCTTTTCGTGATTCTTGTTCGTGTAGGCTCTGGGGTCATGGCTGAAGGCTCCGGACCAGTCTTCCCCAGACTTACTCCTCCACATCCGCTTCTCCCTCTCCGAGAGCTCCTTATTCAGGATATCACGACCTTGCTGTAGAGAGGCCTCGTGGAGTTCTTGAATCTGTTCGGGCACCTCACTCTCGACAACTCGCTCGCGTACACCCTCGGTCAAGCATGCCTCGAATGTTTCGTACGTCTCGCGAGTGTCGTTGTCTATGATATATTCTCGGTGGGACTCATCCATACCAGCTTTGAAGCGGCCTCTGAACTGCAGTCGCCCAACCTCCTGCAAGTCCTCCAAGCCTTTGTCGATGAACGCCTTGGCGTTTTCCTCGGTGATGTAGTTTTGCACGAGTCTATTGCCATTCTTGGTTGTCCAAATTGGGATGTCGATGGAGGTCTCTTCGTTGTCGACCAAGTTCTGGAGCCAGACGGATGCATAGGCGGCCGCCCCACGCTTGCCAGTGACATGGAATTCGAAGATGACCGGTGAGCGGTATCGGTGTTTGATGGGCAAGCGAACATGGTTGTTAGCTTCTGCGGAGACGTCGAAAAAGACGCCGTCCCCTGCTTCGTTACTATGGCAGTGGTTGCGGGGGATCTTTCCGGTACTTCCACCGGTTCTCAGCTTGAGCTTGGTATTCGACTTCCAGCCTGTAGCCACAATCCTGTCAGAGATGAACTCAAAGGTGCCAACGTCCCAGCCAAGCATGTTGGGAGGCAGGCGAGTCTCCACGCTCCGGAAGAGGAGCGAGATTCTGATGCGGCCGAAGCCAATGCCGCCATCGAGAGGATACCATCTCGTCACCTGAGAACTGGTCGTGAGAATTTCAGACAGTCGAAGAGGCACCACACCCAGGATGGGATCATGTTCGCGGTTACGTTGGTCACGGACAGTGACGGTAACAATCCCAGATCTCCAGTCCCGCATGAATCGTTCCGTACCAGCGTTGAAGATTGGCTTGCTGCTAACGGCTTTGGCTCGAGTGCGGTAGACCAGCGCGTCGTTGAACAATATGGTGCAATAAGATGTTGGCAGTTCTGTTGAGTAGTCAGCACAAACCCTGCACGAAAATCACCTACAGGACTTACTGTTAGACTCCTCATCTGTTCCTTCACCATAAGCCTTGGCTGGCTCGAACTCTCTACCCTTCCGATTCCCCTCGCTGCCCTTGATGTTCTCCAGCTCCAAGTTGACAATTTGGTGGACAATGACACTGCAAATACCGCTTGGCCACAAGGGGTCAGGAGGGGTGTGAGCAACAGCATCTGCATCCTCGTTGTCGATAGTACCCTTCTCGTCTTGGAACCTTTCATCGTTTTGGAGATTCTGCGGCAGATTCTTGTCCTTACCGTCGGTGCGAAGAGCAGGGCGGAACTTGGGCTTGCCGAAGTAGCCGACCTCCCAGTGCAGCTCACCGGGCATCTCTGTTCCCTGTTGAGTACCAGCAAGTTTCGAGATTTGAGGATACATCTTGCCAGGATGTTGTATCATTTTCTGCATGGAAAGTTCGATCTTGCCGACCATGTCATCCGCTGAGTTGCGATCCGAATCCCACAACTCGACACTGAGCTGTTCATCGGCTTTGATGAGTTCCGGTGTGACGAGAAGAGCGGCAGTTTCTTCCCAAACCGGATTGAGGTCGTCGGTAATAACACGGGTGCAGTACATCGGCTTGCCATACTTGGAAAAGGACAAGTTGATGTAAGGGTCACTTCCACCATGTTTGCTGCCGCGTCGATCCTGCTTGCTGAGCCCGATGGCGCGATGAATACGTATCCACATCACTCCCATCGCCTGGGTATCCTTGGTTATGTCGTCACCTTGTAACATCGACTTCAAGTCAAGCTGCATGGACTTAGGGGCGACATACATGCTGGCAGCTGCGCCAATTGCATAGTTGACAAAGTTCGAGATCAGTGGCAGGTTGAGGATATTAACCCCTTTCTTGACCATTGGAATACAGCCTGCTTGGACATGAGGTACACCCATCAATGTGAAGGTGAGGCTCTTCGCAAATGGTGGCTCGGGAGTCATCTGCAGTCGCAAGCGGACGGTGCCAACAAGCTCTTGCAGCTCGACGAAGATGGGCAAGGGAACACCGATCAGTCCCTTGATGCCCAGATAGAAGACAAGATTCATGTGCATGTTCCTTGCTCTGGAAGAGGCAGAAGCACCAGCTGGTTTGGCATGATAGGCGAAGGCGATCTCGAGATTGTAGTAGTCACCGCCTTCTTCGTCGGCGGCGGCTTCTTGCGGATCTTTGGTCTTTTTGTTCTCCTCGTGGATGCTCTGCTTCAGTTCGTGCATTCTCGAGTCAGGAAGTGCTCGCAAGCTCAGAATTCGAATCGGGTTGCTTCCTTGGTCAATCTCGGCGACTCTAACGTTGTTGATGACACCTGGAACGGACGCTTGCATGACGTCCTCGAGCGTGTCTGCCACTGCGGCAAACATTTCCGGGTTGATCAACCCCCAAACGATACTCAGGAAGGTGTTCATCCATTCCACGGACTCTGGGAGGAGGTTGGCCACAGCCTGCACATGTTAGTGTCCCTTCGCGGTAAGAGTTGGAGTTGGTCGGACTTACAGTCTCCCCTCTGCTCTGCTCACTGCTCCACTCCACCTCCCTACCGCTTCTGATGACCTCCTTCATCCAGAGCCATATACCCGAAGCGAGGCACATGCCAAGCGGGATCAACCCTTTGAGTGAGCCACCGAACATCTTGCCGAGGATGACGACGGAGAGAAAGATAGCGATACAAAGACCGCCTGCTCGCTTCTCAAGAGCTTCAAACATGGGCTCATAGCTGACTGAGGGAGTAGGATGGAAGAGAATATTCGTCTTCTCGCCGTGGATTGGCACATCTGAAGTGCTCCCCTCCGCGATGGGGTCTGGAGGGGCGGTGATATCTTGCTTCTCCTTGTATTCGGGGTTCTTCTGGGAGGGATCTGTGCCAACCGTGGTTGGCTTGCCGAGATTCTGGTTGGGGACAGATAGCTAGCATGGTGTTATTCTGGGAAGAGATCATGATTGGATGATGAGCGCAGCCTTACCTGAGGACTGTCTGCTCGCTCCATATACTCCTTGCCCACATCGGCGACGACCACTTGGTTGCCAGTGACTGGATCGGTCACCGTCTTCCCTTCTGTCTTTGGCTTCTCATTCTTGTGTGGCTGGACTTCGGAGGAGTATTTCTGCGTCTGAAGGCCCTTGTTATGTGCATCGATGTCTTTGTCTCTGCAGATATCCATCAGCTGCGCTGCCCACTACGGAACGAGTACAACGACTGCTCCAGCAGCGGCGGAGTCGTCAAGCGCAAGAGGAACCCACCGTGTCGCCTTATCCCTGTCGAGGCGGTCAACGAACTCCTTGATGTTAGGTATCCGATTGGTGCCGCTCCACGGCTTGCCAGATCTCTGCTGCTCAGCCATCTTGATCTCCGAGCTGGCACCGAGGCAAAGGAAGCCAACGTGAGAGTACGATCAGGGGTATTGGCCACGCACAGCCGGTTTGGCTCAATGTCAGACACTTGATCACGGAGGAAAGAGAAGAACGAGAAGAACGAGAGAATAAAGCACAACGAGCGCAGTCCTGGCACGACTGCAGGAGCGGGGACAGGGCCAGCATTGTCGTTTTCAACTTGGCTGGCATCCGCAATTTCTCGGGGATGTCTGTCCATATCTGTGTGACGTAATTGTGCTCTCCAGGTGAAGCTTGAGTGAAGCTGAAGCCAGGAGTGGAGTGGCTCACCGACCGCTACAGACGCTTGTGGCTTGTCTCAGCGTGCTTCAAGCCGGATATGCCCATGGAACGCGTCAGGCTGGGCGTTCGTGGGCTGTTTAGGCGAATCGAATCGCCTAAGGACCGATCAAGATTCGAAGCCGCCTATGCAATCGGCACCATCGGCGAGCCGAAAAACATGGCAGGCTGCATCAAGCTAGCTGAAGGTAGCCGAGAGTGGCTGATAAGCTTCCCTAACAGGAACACTGGGGACAGCCACAGGCGCAGCAGAGGCTCCATAGAATGGTGATCGCCCTCATTGGGTTTGGGAATCTCGATCTGCGTTGAGCCGTGTCAATTCAACTGTCATGCTGTGCGTTTCAGGTTGTCTTCCTACGATGGACTCGTCCTTGAATATTGTATATCTCGTGGATGCTCGCTTTTCGGACATCATGCACTCGTACTTTCCCAGACCTTGTTACCGCTGATCCACGTCTCCAAGACAGTTCCCTCGCTATCCAAGATAGCGAAGTCCGCCCTCCTTCCTGGCTCGAGCTTTCCCCTCTTCCTCTCGCCCATAAGATCAGCAATGTTCTCTGTGACACATTGCACGGCCTCAGCCAGATTGCAGCCGGTGAATGCCACAGCATTGCGCACACATTCGTCCAATGTACAGCAGCTGCCGATCAACGTGTCTGTGCCCTCAATCGTCACCCTGTTGCCTTGCTTGAGTTGCCGTTGTGGTATCTGCCCGTGCCCGGGGTGTAGCCCGTCCGGCATCCCGGCGAGTTCGATGCTATCTGTGATGAAGACACATTTCCTCGGGTCGGTACGCATGCACAGCGTTACCACGGAAGGATGCAAATGGATGCCATCTAGAATGATGGAGTAGTGACACTTGCCCGTGCTCATGAGTCCTGCAAGCCCAGGAAGGCGGTGGTGCAGAGGATTCATTGCATTGAAGACGTGAGTAAGAGCTCGAGCACCCAGTTGCATAGCAGCGATGCCCTCGTCATACGTGGCAGATGAGTGACCTAGGGAGATGACGATGTGAGGATATTCTTCCTGTAGCTGGCCGATGAGTGCAATGGCTCCGGGCAGTTCGGGCGCCAGTGTGATCAGCTTGACCGCTTCACGGAGGCTGCCGTCTCCATACAACTCGGAGGGAGATATTTGAGTCGGCTCAACCAGATAGGATGCGTTATGTGCCCCTTTCTTCGACTCATTGATGTATGGCCCTTCAACGTGTGCGCCGAGCAAATCTGCCCCTGAAGTGAACGTCCGTGGTTTCAAGGTTGGCAATATCTAAGATGAGCCGTTTAGCGAGAACCTTGTAGAACGCCTGGAGAATATCTTCCTTGACTGCCAGGTATGGGGCACTTGTAGAATAAGATATGAATGCGTCTCGCATGCCTACCTCTTTCCATTGATGCCTATCGACCGTAGGTACAGTTGCCCACCAGCCCGTAACTCCGTGACTGGCTTCCATCTCGCTGACCTCCTGCAACTTCCGCTCGTCGTCCTCGAAGCCATCACCTTGGGCCAGATGAGTGAAGTGCACACCTTTCATGCCATTGGGTTGCAAATCCAGAAAACCCGGTGACACTATTTTACCGTCCAGATCTATTCTCTCAACTCCTTCTTGTCTGTAATAGTAGTTCGGAGTGATGGTGCCTTGCTCTGTACTGAAGTAAATGTCCTGGGCTACTAGTTCGCCTGAGACGCAGAGGAGACAGTTGGTAAAGCATTTGAGCGTTCGGTCCATGATACCAGACGTAGAGCTGTGCAGGTCAGAATCGTGGCAGACTGATGTGCAGACTCGGGAAAGCCAAACAACGAATTTGGAGGATTCGGGGCATCGGGAAACCGACCGGAGATCTCAGGTGAGACTACAACTTCTACGCTTTTCTGCAAAGCTGCGGTATGGGCCAGGCGACAAACACGGGAGAATCATCTGCTCATGACCGAATGTGCACATTAACGGAGAGAAACTTCTGATATCATTGTGAATGCAAATCTGCAATCGTCATAGAACAGATTGAGCACCTGGCAGTGAGAGGCTTGTAGCCTCATGAACAGGCCCCAACTTTTCCGTCTCCCTGGGAGCAGGAGGTATCGGCAGTTCCATGCCTGTTGACGCTTGGTCTCCTTCGACATCTTCAGACTCCTTTACTGGCACTGAGTCTTTCGAACTCTCGGCCCCTTCCAACTGTATGGTCCATTCCCATCTCCTACGCCTCCGTTTCGATCTGCGAGTTGATGTACTCCGTGACATGTCTTTCCTACCACGGCCAATCTCAGTCGCAGGAGATCGAGATAGCGCCACAGACTTCCGTTTCCTCCTCCCTTTTACCGAGAACTCATCTACTCGAATCGTTGGTCGGCCCTTGCCAGCCTCTTCATCACTCGCTGTGTTACTTCGATCGTCTGCCTCTGATGGGGCTGATTCGTCTTCCGAGGAGCTCAAGTCGACGTGGCGCTCTACATAACGCTTCGTGACAATTTCATCCTCCAGTTGTACTCGAAACGTTACTTTCTTCGGTGCCGGAAAGAGCACTTTTAGCCCAGCTAACCGCGGGCTTGCGCTGATCGAGGAACGGCGAGTGTCCTTCCAAAGCGGACTGTTCTTCAAGATAGGATGGACTCCAAATGGCAGGTTCAGATTGTAAGGCTGATTGGATATCCTTGTGTTGGGCGATGACGGATGTATGCTTGGTTTCGACCGAGAGTGGGTCCCTGGTGACGACACTGTAGACACCGGGGATGGTCGATATGTAAGATCAAATGTGTTGTTGAACGTGTTCAATGTGGTGGGAGTGGCAGTGGAGTTCGTGGTGATGCCACTTTGCCGGCTTACTGTGCCATGAAAGGTTGGGGCGAGATCGGCAGTGTTCAGCGACAATTTCGGTTTCTTTGTCGGCGACAAAGGCTCCAGACGCTTGACATTTTGTGGAGGGAGCATCGACAACGACGTTATCGGATCATGTTGATAAAGAAGGTGCGTCAAAGGCGGGACGGCGGATATTGCCATCATTTTGGGTTCTGAAGTGCGAGCTGAGGAGACCAAAGGTCCACTCATCAGATCAAGCAAGTGATCTTTTGCACTCCCCGTTTCTCGTTTAAGTGTCCTGTCCGTACTTATGCATGAGCTAGGCGGATAAAAAGTACACAAGCGAGAAGGATTAATCGAGAACAGGAACTTCTGGGGGTGGCACATAAGCACGCCAGAGGGTGAGATCGTCTCCAAATAGTCCTAGACGCTTCAGCCTGAGCGGAATGACCACGAGGCGGCCGTAGAAAAAAGGGAAAGGGTAATCAGGGCATCCATGGCATCACATCAGCACCAAGCAGTGTATATGCAGCCGTAAGAGAACTCTTGACTTAGTCAAAGGACATGAGCAGCTGATGAGCTGGAGTTTAAAAGAGACACGATGGGCGCGTGCCCACCACGTCATCTGGCCAAGAAAGCCACGATGTGAGATCCTGTCCGGAGTATGCGTGTGGCCATATTTACCGCCACTGCCTAGCTAAGAAGAATCCTCCATGGCAAGATCTCGCGTGCTTGGGGCTGGCAGCAGCGGAGTTGCCGTTCTGGCTGTGCGCGGATCAAGCTCTTGCAAAGCGGAGGGAAAAGATGTGGCTGCTGGAATTGTCGGGGTCGGACGCGGCTGCTGAGCTGGAACAGACACCGGGCGGGTGGGATGCTTAGCTTGCAGTGTCGGCGCTTCCTTTGGACGAGCAACAGGATACAGGGACGAGATTAGGATGTGATCAGGCAGAATGTGGCCGTCGAACGCATATCCGTAACCGCTGAGCTCTATTTTCAGCACCAATCCGCCCGGAGTAGTGGAATGGCAGGATGGGCGAGGCCAGAACAAGCGGCTGAGAGATGCTATTGGGGCGAGAACATCGAACTCAAAAGCTGGTCGGCGGAGAGCTGATGAAAATAGCGCTCCAATCAGCCGCTCGCGTTCTATGTGCTGTGTAGGCGTATGGGGAGTCGTGGTCCCAAATCCCATGCGTCCTACATAGGAATTAGGCAGTATGCTACGGAGGACGTATCAGTTACTTCGGCTCCTGGCTACGCTCGTGACTACATAAGCCACCTACAGTACTCGTATGCGCGGGATGCCGGCCGGTAGAGCCGCTGCGCCGATGTTCACTCGACACCCTACCACAGTACATGATTACTGGAGTGTCTTGCCATTTGATGATGCATCTATGCCGCACACTGGAAGAGCTGGTATATGTGTCTACACCGTATTTAACCACCTAACTCATGAAACCTCCGATGCGCAGCGAAGGCGTACGCCGGCATGATGCTCTGACAGAACTCGCACCGTTCCCAGGCTTCGCGATCACTATCTTCCGTGTCCCACCCATCAGCCACAAGTACTTCGCCCTGGGCTTCAGACCGTATCTGTTCAGGTGACTTTTGAGGCACAACAGCGGTGGCGTAGTTGGGATGGTCGTCGACACAGTCCGGCTCATCCGTGATTCTGAAGTCTTTCAACACCTCGTCCTGCCGCCTGAACATCCTCCCAATGTCGCGGCCTGCACTGTCTTTGCTCTCAGCCGCGGTCTCTGCCATGTTCGTCGCGGCGATGTTGATCAAGCTCAAATTCCAGCCAGCCTTCTCGTGATGAAGCTTCCGAAACATTGGTACTAGTGCTTCATCAACCAGTCTGGTCGCAAGAGCCGTGGCTGGATCATTGAGATTGAAAACGTAGTTGGGCATCGGAGCTGATCGAGAAATGCGATTGAACGTCCTGGCTCGCACGCCATCTGGACCGGGCGGAGGACGAGGTCTGGTTGTCAGCCGTAAAGTACGTGGGTGAGCCATCCAACGACGTCGTGGCTCTGAGCCAGTGTCTTCGCCTTCGTCTTCATCTTCGAGAAGGTCCATTTGCATACGCCGAATGAGGCGTTCACCCAGCAGCTGCAACTGTTTCTTAACTTCGTCGAAGGTGTGCAAGTACTTCATATACGAGTCCTCCTGGCTGATCTGGGACGGAACACGCTTAGCCATGCCGACCTCTGTGTCATCGATGCCGTGAATGAGCTCCCAGATCTTTCCACCAATTCCCCTTGGTGCACCCGTAGTACCAAGAATCTCTTCCAGCAGGTCAGGTCCCATCCCAGGGTACGTGCGAACGTCTAGCACTGTAACGGATTCCTTTGTCGCTCCGTACACCAGCCCTTCGGAGAAGGCTGCGTCTCGACCAAGGACGTAACCACGGATTCTGTGGGCCAGCTTGAATCCAATTCCAGGGACCTTACCGATGTCGTGCCCATCAAGGAATTGAGTGACTGTCGCCTCAACGTCACCCAACGGATGATAAGGCGGCACAATGGTGGTTTGGTTTTTAGGCTTGTTGACATTGCCAACTAACTTGGAGAGCAATTTGTTTGTAGCAATGCCAACAGTTGCGGTGTACCCCTTCTGAGACTCCAGCTCATGACGGAGGTGCCGAGCAAGATGACTTCCAAGCACCAGGCGCAGTCGCAGACCCACATCCTGCTCCGAGAGCTGGAGGAGGCCTTTTGAGGGAAAGGTAGGTCCAAAAACATTAGATGCGTCGTACTCGAAGCCGATGGTAGGATCATCCTTGCTCAGGCAAAAGAAGGAGTGAGCAAGATCGTGGCGATTGAGCAAGCCCATGTTGTAGTCCACCATGTCGCTGCAATCTAGCCTGTCATTCCAATCAGCATACTGCAGGGTATTGGGGCAGATTGGCCTACCAGACTTCGTCGAAGCCCAGTCGTTCTGCTCTTCCACTCCATATGGACTCCCGCAAGAAGTTGTACAGCACTTTGGAAGCGTCACGAAATCGCGTCAAATCTTCGCCTAGGACGATGACAGCGTCGGGGCAGACTTTCTTGGCTTCGGTGATGAGCTGCAACTTGCGGAGACCCCGTCGACGCGCTTCATAATTGCACGTCACCACAATCTGTTTCTGCTGGATAGCCAATGGCACCGATTTCAGCGCGGGGTTTTCATTCTCGACCACAGACGCGTAGAAGCAGTCGTAGTCGAAGTGGATTATGAGGCGCTCATCATTCCGGTGCAGACGCCGAACTCTCTGCATATCAACGGGACCATGGTTGTCTGTAGAGCCTGAAGGGGCGATGCTTGAGCGAGGGTTGGCTTCAAAGCAGGATGGATGGTAGACTCGCGTGGCTCGGTACAGTAAGATGCTCAGCCTCGTCGAGGGCGGGGAATCCACTCAACGCGCACTCCACCCAACGTGCACTCCAACGCGCCCGCCGCGTGTTTTGTGACATGGTGGACCATCCCCAACTCTCAGGTGCGCCTCATGTGTTGTTGATCTCCTGCTTTGCTGCAATTACCAATCGAACCGCAGGCCGGACTATGCAGTGTCAATGATGGTCGCGTGCCCCATCTGCGGCAAGTCTGTCAAACAAGCAACCATTAATGACCACATCGACTCGAACTGTACTGAATACATCGAGCAGGAAACCAGCGCATCGACTCCGGGTGCCGGGAAAACCTTCAAGACACCGGCCACCAAACAGCGTGATGCATATTCCTTCTTCTCATCCAGTCAACCTCTCCCTTCTCCGAGCGAGTCCAAACCGACGGCGGTGAAGCGATCGTTTGACTCCTTCTCCTCGACGCAGTCAAAAGATGAGGACTCGCAAGCCAATCGCCAGAATGAATGGTCGCATCAGAATGGTACGGCCGACGGCCAAGTACCACCAGTGAAGAAACCCAAACCAAATGCATTCGAAAAGGCAGCTCCTCTTGCTGAGCGCATGCGCCCAAGGACCCTGGACGATGTCTGCGGACAAGATTTAGTAGGTCCGAATGGGGTGCTGAGAGGCCTTATCGAACAAGACCGTGTACCTAGCATGGTGCTCTGGGGCGGTGCAGGGACAGGGAAGACAACGATTGCGCGAGTCATCGCGAATATGGTGGGCAGCCGTTTCGTCGAGATCAACTCGACGAGTTCAGGCGTGGGAGAGTGCAAGAAGATCTTCGCAGAAGCGAAAAGCGAACTGGCCCTGACCGGCCGAAAGACCATCATCTTCTGTGACGAGATACACCGGTTCAGCAAGAGTCAGCAGGACGTCTTTCTGGGTCCTGTCGAGGCAGGGCACGTCACACTCATAGGCGCCACGACGGAGAATCCCAGTTTCAAGGTCCAGAATGCTCTGCTCTCCCGGTGTCGCACATTCACGCTACAGAAGCTTACAGACGAGAACATCTGCTCGATACTGAATCGAGCGCTCGAATCCCAGCGTGACAATTACAACCCTTCAGAGCTGGTGGACGACGAGCTGATCAAATACCTCGCCGCCTTCGCTGACGGTGACGCTCGCACAGCCCTCAATCTCCTCGAATTGGCCATGGACCTCTCTACGCGACCGAACATGACCATCGAAGCCCTGAAACAATCCCTGACCAAGACGCTTGTCTACGACCGTGCAGGAGACCAGCACTATGACACCATCTCAGCGTTTCACAAATCAGTACGCGGCTCGGACCCGGATGCGGCGCTGTACTACCTCGCGCGCATGCTGCAGAGTGGTGAAGATCCGCTGTATATAGCGCGGCGGATGATCGTGGTTGCCTCGGAAGACGTTGGACTGGCTGACAATAGCTTGCTCCCGCTCGCAACTGCTGCATACATGGCCTGTGAGAAGATCGGTATGCCGGAATGCAGAATTAACCTTGCGCACGTTACTATCGCTCTATGTTTCGCACCGAAATCGACCAGGGCCTACAGGGGCCTTGCCAACGTCATGCATGCATTGCAGGAACCGGGCGTGGCGGGTTTACCTGTTCCCATTCACTTGAGGAATGCGCCGACGAGACTAATGAAGGAACTGGGCTACGGCACGGAGTACAAATACAATCCAGACTACGTGAACGGCAGGGTCAAGCAGGAGTATGTGCCTGAGGCGATGAAGGGTAGAAAATTTCTTGAGGACAGGGACCTGGGCGACAAGGTGGATCCAGACATCGAAGACGAGATCAAGCTTGAGAATGGAGGTGCAGCCGTCAGAAGAGAGGCCGGCTGATGGGAGCATCTGGATCTGGTAAAGGCAATTCGAAGTAGGATATGCGTGTCCGCTAGAAGGGCTCATGCACAACCGCGCAGGGCGGATTACCAGCCGTTCTGGGATCATCCTGCCCTACGAGGGAGACAGAGGGAGAGGAAGAGGAAGAGGAAGCGAAGGTCGAATCCCCGCATTGCTCATGCTTTTCTCCCTACGAGGTACGTTTCGCCCGACACGCACAGGAACCGAAGCGAGCAGTGGAGGAAACCCCACAAATGCCATCGAAACCCTGGCACTCAGGCATCCGGGGAAATGACGAGCTTGGTGATCATCCACTTTTCATTGGACATTACCATCTGTCGCCGTTGTAACGTCGTTGCACGCCACTGACGATGGGGACCAAGCGGAGCAGAGCCTCCCGTAAGCATGGGTACATAAAGACACTGCAGAGATCCAAGTCAGTGGCCTCTCAAGATGTACAGGTTTGTCCGAGTATCGCCATGTTTTCTTCCGGCGTCAGCTTTCCACATGTTCTTCACCTCGCGTTCGTCTTTCTCTTTCCACTGTCCCTTGCACAGCAGTCCGCAGCGCGCACTGCGTCAGTCCTGCCCTTCAACATCACGACGTCCACCAGCCTGAACACAGCCAACTATTCCGCCCCGATCTTCCCAATAGCCCCATTCAACAAATATGCCAGGAACCCGATCTTGACCCCCAACCCATCCGCCAACTGGGAGTCGGCCTTCCTGTACAACCCGACGGCCATTGTCCTCAACGAGACCATCTTCCTGCTCTACCGTGCGCAGAACTCGACCAAGACCTCGTCTATCGGCCTCGCCTGGTCGACCGACGGCGTCAGCTTCACCCGTCTGAACCGGCCGATCGTGTACGCGACGGAACCATGGGAACAGATCGGCGGCACCGAGGACCCCCGCCTCGTCCGCGTCAACGGGACATTCTACATGACGTACACAGCCTACGACAACGTGACGGCGCAACTCTGCCTCGCGACCTCGATGGACCTGCTGACCTGGAAGAAACACCCGCCTTTATTCCCGGGCTTCCAGGACGTCGCGTACAGCGACATCGACGTGCCGTCGCCGCGGCTCAACCACACCAAGTCCGGCGCCATCGTGAGTGAACCGACGCCCGACGGCCTGTACCACATGTACTTTGGCGATTCGTTCTTCTACCACGCCACGTCGCCGGACATGCTCAACTGGACGGCCCTCCCAGCCGACAACTACTTCGCCGGACCCGTCAACCCGTGGGAGAACCGACTGATCGAGCCCGGTCCCGCGCCGATCAAGACCCGCGACGGCAAATGGCTGCTCGTCTACAACGGCATGACGACGGGCCGCGTCGGATACCCCCAGAACCAGTACTCGGTGGGCCAGATGCTGATCGACCCGTCCGGCTCGTTTCGGCCGACCCTGAACGTGAGTGATGGCGTGTATCAGCCGGCGTTGCGGGACGGGCCTGTTGCGCGGCTGGAGAGGCCGATCCTCGTGCCCGAGGCGGGCAACGAGCAGCAGGGCCAGGTCGACCAGGTCGTCTTTGCGGAGGGGCTCGTGCAGTTCAAGGGAAAATGGTATTTGTATTTCGGTAAGTCCAGTCCAGGATCAATTGTGGCTGGATGGCTGGATGGCTGGATGGCTAACAAAAGACGACAAACAGGCCAAGGGGATAGTGAACTGGGCGTGGCAACTGCCGATGTGCAGCCTTGAGAAATCCCGGGAGGAGAGGCATGTATACAGCACATGTGTGTGCCGAGTAGTCATGGCAGAGCCGAGCCGAGCCATACTCTTATGAACTCGAATATGCATGTCCATGCCCAGCTCCACCGCTACCATTCCAGCCTAGACAGACTGGGCTGTACGTTGCACGGATTTCGATAATCAGCTTGCTTGCTGTATGTGTGACAAGTGGGGTGGATTAATACCGATAAAGGCGGCGAGGACTTGTTTCCTGGTGATAAAGGAACTTCAGCGACCGGTGTCTGACACCAGAAGCGCAACTAATTACCTGACTCGTTATGAGGCTGTAAGCATGGCTCGTGGTCAGGTCTACCGCACAGGTACCAGAAACTCAAGAACTCCCGGCTTGTATCGTCTATTGAGGAGCACACAGCAAGCCGCGTCCACGTACAGTACAGTAATTTGTCAGGCTAGAGCTGGATATTGGCATCTATCCACCTATCCATCTATTCGACTATCTAAGTTGACTAATGCGAGCTGCAATCTTCCTTCGATCCGTGAATGACAACCCTTCAAGGAAGACAGACAGATAAATAGATAGATCTCAGACCCCAGCCCACGGCATTTTTCTTTTTGTTTAGGGGATTCAGGGGTTGGTTGGTTGGTGGACTCGGGCAAGCCACAAGTCCGTCCGCCTCGACGCATACTTCTGCATACCGGTGGCGTCAAAATCTGCATGCTGGAAATTGATGCCACCAGAAGCATGTGCAGAGGCGGACCTTCTCCGAAGTAGCTTCTCTGGCTTGTTGCATATGTACATCAGCCACGATTCGACCGGAGTGCAATGGTTCGCCAAACTTGATATGCGGTGCGAGCGGACCTTTGGTTTTCGGGAGGTGCACACTGTCGAAGAAGCCGTGGTGAAAAGGAAATGAAAACAAACAAGCCAGATGCCCACTTCGAAGGGGGGACTCATCCACAGGGTGGGAGCTCCATCCTCTTTTCCAGTCTGCCCTTGTCACCCGAAGCCGCCTGCATCCAACGTCTCCGAAGATCGGTGAAGAAACACGGCGACCACGCGTGAGCACGAGCAAGCTGAATGAGAGGAAGTGGCCCTCAACCGCGGACGAGGGTCTCGACATCCACGCGCACACCGCAACAATCATGAGATATCCCTCGAGTCCATAGCTCGACAACAGAGAATCGGTCCGGGTTGGAAGAGCCAACACAACGACACCCCCACAGAGGGGATGAAGGGGGCTCTAAGCCAGTGGATCCCAGAACATCCTCGTGCAAAACCTGCTTCGTCCCCGAGATGCCACCTGCACCAAAGGCAGATGGCATATAGATCGTTAGGACTTATGATTCCACTCCATCACGCGACTCCAGCTGCGATAATACGGCACAGTGCCTGATCGCGGCACCGAGGCCTTGCTTGACACCTGGCCGCACAATGTAGGGGCAAGGCGCGACAGCCACTCTGGGGATCGAGGGCTATCGAAAGGTCGGCGGAGAAACAGACAAGGTAGTCTTTCCACCGGAGGAAGAAAGAACCGTGCTGTGCCACCGGAGAAGCTGCCTTGTTGTTAGCTGCGGTTTTGACGAATGGGAGGAGACGAATCACACGGAACAGGTTTAGAGGAGTGACTCACGGGCAGGGAAGGAACTCTAGTCCCTCAGTCGTTGACCTTGAGGCAAAGGTCTTCTTTGTTCTTCGGCGTGGTAAAATGGCCAGGTGCTTTTGTTTCGATCCTGCGCCGGGCGGTTCGGCAGTCCAGAACAGAGAAGAGAGCTTTTCGTCCACAACGCATTTCATCATTCAACATCACAGCGCACAATACCATTGCCACCCATATGTGTGCTCATTTGTCGCGGTTATGTTTCTGATCGGAATTCCATAGTTTCTCCACAAGTGTCTCATTTGCTCTCCACTGTATGGCAACTCTGGCCGGTTTTGTTCAGCTCAGAATAGGTGGAGGTCTGCTCAAGATGGTAGAATATTTGATCCTTATTTCTCACTCTGGTTTTCTCAACACAATCTCGGTCCCAGTCTCGTATTTTCATTCCCAATTCCCCTCAAATAAAGCCGTGCTTGCTGTTGTGTCGCGCGCTGAATCCCAGCTTTGAATCCTGGTAATCGTCCTCATGTGGAACAGACTTTTCTGGTGGACTGTATTCGGGCGCAGGCGACATTGGCCGATTCTTGTTCACGTTGCTCAACGGAATATCGGCAAATCCCGCGTACCGGTCTTGGTCGTCGGAGCGAAAGTCATTGCCTGGTGCAATGGTCGAAGCATTCGCGGGAGCGCCCCCTTCGCCTCGGACCTTGTCGCGGCCGTACCAAAGCATCAATGCTCGGGCAATGCCAAGGAATACGACAAAGATCCAGACAAGCAAGATGACAGTTGAGATTATCGCTTCGGTACGAATGGCCTCTTCCAGCTCGTCGATGAATCTGGCGACAGCTGAGGTAACCTTGTCACTAGCAGCATCCCCCGGACTGGCAAGAAATGAGTCCGAAGGATTGCTAGAGTCTGCCAGGCTGGCCACAGCACCTGTGCTAAAAGTGTCATTCGGAAGCAGGGGAAAGTCAATGTGCGCATTGTCGTGAATCCAGGTAAGTCCCTTCTCGATCCCTTGAATCTTGAGCAGAACAAGGCAGTTGAGGACTTCCATGATCGGGTCGTACAATATAGTGCCGCCAAAGGTGGTATTGAGGACTTTCGTTGTCTGATCGACGAATGCGACAAGTGTATCATTGATCGCAGTTGTCGACGTATTGACCCAACCCAGCATGTTTTGGTTGATGTCCTTGTTCGTCGCCTCGATGGCCGCGTTAGTACTAATAGCCCACTGCTCAGATGCATTGTTGAGTGACGCGATGACCTTGTCGGAGAAGGCTCCCACTTGATTGGCAAGGTCTGGCACTTCCTTCTCCAGCGAATGAAGTAGCATAGCTTGGCAGGCGCAAGAGAACAAGCCGGCGATGGCCAGTGCAAGGACGAATAATGCTGCGTCAGATGTGGCGTATGCGACAACCCAACGTACCAAGTCCCTCTTTCGCTGCGACTGTAAATTGTTGGAGAGCTTGACGCCGGCGGAGGAGGTGTAGGGTCGGCTGACCAGGTACACAACATCCATGGGGTCTTGAGCGTTGGAGCCGACCAGTTGGCTGCGTTCCTGCATCTTTCGGTATCGCTTGATTTCGCGCCACGCCATGGGGATCATGACCAGGATTGCGAGGGTAAGGAGCACCCCGATAAAGACTCTGCGTGCGAGAGCAGCAAGGTCAACCATGCCGTCGAAGAAGTCGTTGATCCCGTCATTGTCGCTGCAGAAACTGAGTTGTTCTTTCTGTGGGATGGGGAACAAAGATCGATCGAAGGTATAGTTGCCCACATATTCGTTCATGAGCTCCTTGATTTCCTCGAACGGCAGGCGGATGATGCTTTCAGTGAAATTTTTGACCTGATCGAATGTAGGGATTGAGTTGTTGAGTTTCTTGAGATCGGCGTCAAGATTTGCTGGGAGTTTGAGATTTTTCAGCGCATCCATCTCCGAAGTGAGATTGAGAGGAGATGGCTGATCAACAGTTTGTCCGAAAGCGATGAAGCTCTCGAGTTTGCCGATGAAACTGTTGTATGCATCTTCGAAGGTGTCTACGGCGCCCGACAAATCCTTTCCGAGCGTCTGAGTGAGTTTGTTGAGACCATCTTGAGCGGAGTCCAGCACGCCAATAACTGAGTGCAGGCTTCCGCTGACAGCAAAGGTGATGAGGCAGAGGTAGGTGTTGGTCATCATCCCGATTACAAACACCATGATTTCCTCAACAGCAGTTACGCCCATCGTCGACATCTGAATCAGGCCGTTGACCGATTTCTCAATGCCAGTGGCAGCCAGCTCGTTCACGCCTTGAGACATGTAGTGAGGCATGGAGGCCATGGCAGAACCCATCGATTCAACGTCTGAACATGCCGAGAGAGCTTCGCGCCGAGCGGATGCCAGGTTGTGGTCGATGCCAGAGATTGCGATAAGGGTTCGAGCAAGGACAAGTAGGAGAAGGATGGTCCATCGATTGATCCATATTTGCGATAATCGAGCCCGGAGGCCAAGGTAGGGTGTGATGGATGGTGCAGTGTGTGGTAGCGACCGAGGTGGGCTTTGGTAGGAGTAGTAGTCTCGTACCTCATGACTGCCGGCAGGCATGGATGGAGAAGCGCCAGCCGCGAAGGCCGACGGGGCAGACATGGCGCTGAGATCGACAGGAAATTATCTGACGTTCGAGTCCAAGTAAGTGTCTTGATCGTGCTATAGGTGCTGCAGAGTGTTGCAGGAAGATGATTTGCAAGATTCGAAGGGAGAAAGCCACAGAGCAAACAGGCAGTGATACAGTCGCAGGGCGGATTAGGTGACAAAGGCAGTCATCGAGACATGCGAAAGAAAGATCTATTATTGACAGCAACAAAGAAAATTCGTTACGCCACAGGAGGCAGAAGGAGTCGACAATGAGGGACAGGTGAAGGGAGGGTTATTGGTAAAGCTTTGTGCGGGACGGTGACAATAAAGAATAGCAGCAGTGAACAATGAAGGGCACTTCTGCCAGTACGTACCGCTTTTCCAGCCGATCCCCGCGCCAGGCCGCAGACACACCAACAACATGCCACAAGAGGCCCTCCCGAAATACTGTAGATTGTCATGTTTCGAAAGAGTTGTTGCATGTTGTGGTGCAAGAACATCGGCTGGTGGTCGATGAATCCAAACTGGACGTTGGCGCGCAGCCCAAAAACAGCGCCACCAGGCCGAAGAAGCGCCCACCAACCGTCTCATCCGAGCCGCTTCCACGCCAGACACGCGCTCTCACGTGGAATTCAAACTTGAAACGAGATCGCATCGGGAAATGAGACGGCAGCGCAGGCGTTTCCTCAGCCTACTTCGTCGTCTTCCCAGCTACCACCAAATCCCGCTGCAGCGCTGCCAGAACCTGTCCCGACTGGTGGCGCAACACCGACAACATTGGCGCCGGGCACGTCTCTGGACATTGTAGGCGGACAGGTGCAGTGCCTGCAGCGGGATAGCCGACAGCTGGGAGGGGGAGACACCACGAAGCAATCCGATGATCTCAATTGTGTCTACAGAAAAGAACGCCGGCCAACTGACGCGGAGGCAGGCTTTTATGAGATGCTGGCAGTCAGCCACGGGATCGGCAATTTGCTGTGGCGCTCGCTAGCGAGACTGAGATCATTCCCTGTTTTAATCCCTGTTCGATGCGCTAGTCCCTGTATTCACTAGTGCAGACGCAAAGTCCCCTCGCTTCCCCACTGTGTCCTTTCGAATACTTTCAGCCTTGCGTCCACGAGGCTCGAGGCTCGAGGCTCGAGGCAACTAGAGTGCCCACGTAAAAGCATAAAACACCGCGTGCTGCTCTGTGCGAAAAATTCCAGGCTAGGTCACTCATTGGAGCGGCGAATATCAGTACCAAGCGTTGCTCCCCTCCAGAATCGCGTCTCGTTATTCGATACGTCTCATCACATTGTCTCTTGCCCTGGTTCAGGCGAGAAAGGTCTTGCCCGTCTGTAGGCGAAGTGCACAGTGACAGATTGGCCATAAGGACGTCTGCGCGTAGAAGACGACATGTGCGAAGCGTCGAAGCTGTAGGATTGCCGAGTCGAGCATACGATGATGGTCAAGGCAGAAGGTGCCGCAGCGTAAGGTCCGCTTCAATGTGCAGAAGTTTCAAGCATGCCATGGTGTGCGAGGTCCAGTCAGGTTCAGATCAGGTCACAGCATGTACAAATCGACCGGACGAAGACAGCGTGCGAGCGAGAGGTTATCGAGAGGTCCATGACACGAAGCGGACTTGTCGTATCGATCAAGGGGTCATCCAGCAAAGACGTCGAGATCCACATGCACGAGCTCACGGTCGGTCACCTCAACGCGTCCTCAACGTTGCTCACCTTGACCCTGGCCACCTTGTTGTTGTGCCATGGCGGCGTACCACATTTGGAGGTAATTCTGATAGCCACCATAGGCGGCATAAGGGTCTGCAGCCCCAGCAGCTGGAGGAGGTGCTGCCACTTGCGCAGGGAGGCCAGCCGCAGCCGGATAGCTGGCTTGTTGGCCCGAGTACCTGTCTCCATAGTCGTCCCGACTTTCACGTTCACGAGCTTGAGTTCGAGCACGCTATGGCATGTTAGCATGTGCACGGAAAGCAATCGTAGGCCGTCATTACCACAACGTCCACCTTCTCCATAATAGCACGCTTGGCTGCATCGATCGCGTGGCGGCTGCCAATAAGTCCGATTTCACGTTCAATGTCTCGTCCACTTGCAGGCGAGACGTTGATCTTGCATCCTGTTTGATTCTGCATATCACGGATAGACTCACCCCCTAAGCAGCTGTTAGCGAAACACGTAAAAAGACTTACTTGCAACATGCCTTTGCCAATGATCATGCCCACTGCGTCGCCGGGCACGACGATACTATCGTTGATCTTGCCACCACCGCCGCCCGCACCGGCCCCACCGCCGTGCGAGTCTTCTCGTTCGCGGTGCAGGTCTTTTACGCTAATGCCCTTCTGATCACTTTCCACGATCTCCAGGATCAAATCTCGCGCGTACTGCTGCGCTGACGCACTCCCAATCAGATTGACAGGTCGCATTCCATTGATGCTCTTGTTCTCTCCGACAATGTTAACGTGACAGCCGCTCCGGTCTTGCAAGTCGCGGATGGTTTCACCTCCACGTCCGATGATCAATCCAACAGTCCGGTCAGGAACCATCATTTGGAGACTGTCGCCTTCTTTCGTTGTCGTGACTTTGCTCTGGTGGCGGACTTTTTCTTGAGCTGGGCCGCCTCTCTTTGAAACCTCGTTGTCATCGATGATTCTGAAGATTTCATTCTTGGCAGCGGCACGTGCAGCTCGGGTCCCTGTTATCCTGCAATGTCTCTGAGGACCCGGGACTTCGGGTCCGTCCATAAACTGGACACGAGCACCCGTGGTATTTTCGACCCGTCGCAGATTTTCTCCAGATCGCCCGATGATGAGCCCGACCACGCCTTTATCTAGAGGTAGAATTTCGGATTCACCTTCACCTCCCTGGTCGCGCCCGGGTGATCTGTCATCTCTGAATCTTCCCGGAGAGTACGGTGCAGCCCGTGGGGACAAAGAGCGATCTCTGTTGTATCCGCGGTCGCTCGCCCGTCTGTCGTCTCTGTAGGGATTATAAGCATCCCGGTAGCCGTCTCGCCGTGGAGGGGATCTGGACGGCGACCTCGAGCGTCGATAGCCTCTGCTTCCGGTTCTAGGGTCGGGATTGATAGGAGCTATTCGTACGTAATCAATTCAGTAAGCGTGGGGCAGAGCAGAGAAATGTCTTACGTCGACTTGGGTCATAAGAGAGGCCTTTTTCGGCGGCGATTCCTCGAGCTTTGGCTATCGCGTCGGCAATGCTAACAGACCCAGAGCTGATAGGTTTGATGCCCCCCAGATCGACGCTGCCAGAGTTGATTGGTTGAGGAAGGCCATAAGGCGCAGCGCTACCAGGAGGAGAGGCATATTGAGGCGGTGGATACGGCATGCCAGGCACAGGTGGAGGAGGAGCTTGTGAGGGTGTACCTCCTTGCCTCTGCGCTGCGAGAGCAGCGAGGATGTTGCTGAGATCAGCCATGACGAGCTCGAGAACGAACAACAGAGGAAAGCGTATCAAGAGCACCAGGGTGGAAAAAGTGACAGCCTAGTGATTGCCCCAAAGAGATGCGAAGGAGAATTGTGTGAGGGGTTGGTGAGGTTCCAGTTTGGAGTCTCTAGAGAGAAACCAAACCTCGAACAACGTGAAACCGCGTCCGGCGAAAAGTTCCCTCGAATTCCGTTCATCACGTGATTGAAATGGTGTTTTCCACGTGACGTCCTCTCCCAAAGAGTTCCGTCCCCTGAATCATTTTTCCAACTTCACTCACTTAACCCCGGACCCAGCCAAAACCTGGCGAACATGACGGAAGAAGACGCTTCTTAGGCGGGAACAGCAGAACGCCAATAGCACCAAAGGCCGCAGAACTCTTGTACCGCCGAAGCTTCGGCTATTAGAGAACTTTGTAACAAGCCGGTACACCCGTGGTATAATTGTGAGCAGCTTGATGCGGCTCCGTTGACCACTGCTTCGAACTCTTCCAAAGATGCTCGAGGATGAGGATGGATGCTGCTTGCATGGAAGGGCAGCTTCCTCTATCTGACCCGGAAGCCTCCCTTTTCGACCCCTGTTAAGGTGAAAATGGTGCCGAGGGCCTCTATCGACTTATTAGGCCATATGCATTAACACAAGAGGGAGACACCAGGCATGACGGTAGAAGTCTTTGTCGGGTCGGGCTGGTCCTGGGTTTGTATCGTGGCAAACAAATCCCAAGAATATCCCCACAGCAATCACCAGTGAGTTGTGTAGAGCAGGTTCCCATCCCATGTTGTCCCCCTTCATCTGTCTAGCGCTAAACAGACCGCACTGTCCATGGTTGTGAAGCAGCGTCAGACATCGGGCGCACTTCGGGTATATCACAAGCCATTGTTTGCCTGCGTCTCTGAGCAAGTCTCTCTTAACCAACATCCACACCACCTGTCGACAATGAGTGCCTCAGAGGCACCGTCAATGTTCTCGGTAATGGCGCCAAGGTAAGCTCTGCCCTTCAATTCTCATCACCACGCGCTGATGCAACGGGATCTGCCAGGGGGTCGATGGCCTACATCTCGTATGCCAGAGCCTTGAGTGACACGATGGTCTTCGTGCCATCCCCAGACCAGGGGGTTATCGAGACCATCGGGTGGAGAGGGGGGCGCCTCGAATTTGAGCAGCGTCGCCTGGTACGGCTTTCTGCGGAGGCTGCTGGCGCCCTCCTCTTCGCTTTCTGTGTGGGGCTTGCTGCGCCTGACGGGATGTCGCCAGGGGAACTCCGCCACGTCTGTGGCATCCTCCAACAGCTTCTGAGGGCCTTCGACGGCAAGGGTGTCTTTGCCCGTGACCGTTTGCCCCTGGGTATCCAGGGAGTGAAGGAGCTCGACTGGACGAAACAGAACGACCAGTTCAGTCCGCTTCGGGAAGAGCACCGCGCCAAAGGAAAAGAGCCAGAGCATGAGAACCAGTATCACACATGGACCGGTCCGAAAGGCAACAAGTACACACTCCACGGCTGCCATGACGAAGACTTAGTGATCGTGGATGAGTCTCTGAAAGAGGCTGGACTTTTCAAACTTGTGTGTCACAGCTTTGATGTTCCTGGTATGAGCCAAGTCAAATCGTCGTGGCAAGTCTTTGCAAAGCTCGATCACCCGGAGTTTGCGGCTCTCTGTCCTGGGTACACTGAAACTGAATTCGTACGGACTTTGACGCCCTTAGAGACTTCTTCGTGTACTGACTGTCCTCCAGCAAGCGTACGGAACTCTCGTCCTGGCAAGCCTAAATTTGTTCTCTGAGTGTCGATCCGCTCACGAGCAACTCTGTCGACTTGGGGAAGGGCGCATGCTCCAGCAAGAGATTAGGCGTGGAGAGTTTCTGGGGCTGACGACGATCGCCTCAGAGACGGTCGCTGAGTCGTCCCACCGCAGTGACGAGAAGAACCTTCCGGCAGGCTGTGACAGTGACTCCTTCGCCGACCCAGATTCGCAAGTACAAGAAGAGAACACACGCGCACGATCTTCATCACAAATCTCATCTTCCTCAACACTTGACGCCATGGACGCGCCGCCAATTGAAGAGGCGACGGCCAATAACCATGAAACCTCAATGAAGGCAAAGAAGCCAAAAAAGAAGAAGAAGAAGAAGCCAAAGAAGCAGGCAGCCACGCAGTCTTCAACCCCTTCGGAAGGAAGTGAACTACCTCCAGCAGAGCGTGAACCCGGTCTCCCAGTCGACGACATGCCGAGTTCGATCGCCCCCAAACTCCCCTTCATTCCATCTAGCCTGAAGGTTTCGTCATCTGCACAGCACCAGGCACAAGCAAATGATGGGGCACCGACTTCAGTAGACCAGAAGGTCAGTCACCTTGCAGGCGACATAGCCAAAATGAGACTTCCTACTCGTCCGACAATACCACTGCCGCCCAAACCTCCCCCAAGCGCAGTGTCGCCTGGTGGGCCATATAAAGGTTCACAGTACTCCCGAGACAAAGACCTGCGTAAGAACGAAGACAGAACGGCATTCTCAAATGTCCCAAACAAGTCCACACTTCAGTCGACTTCTTCCAGCGGGCCGCCTATGCCTACTCCACCCACCACACGCCAACAAACTCAGGAGGAGAGTTCAGGCACAGGGGCAGCGGCATCGACACCCGAGAACCTCAGCAAGAAAGAAATAGCAGATGCCAGCGAGAAACCAAATACCGTGGCAGTCTCAAAGCCATGCGTCGATAAGAGAGCTTCTGGAAGAGAAACCGACATACCCTCTTCTGCCAGCAGTCAAGTGGGTCCTCATCCATCGAATGATGCTCTGGATGTCAAATCAGCAACTGGAGAAGTGCAAGGAAAGCAACCTGCGAAAGATCGAGATATTAATCAGAAGACCGAAGAAGCGCAAGGTAAAGGCCCAGAGGGAGTCCGCATGGTTGAAAGCAGGATTAAGAAGGAAGGCGTTACAAATCCTCATGTGAGTTACTGAAATTATGATACTTTTCTGTTCATCTCCAGCTAACAACCTTCCGCAGAGACACAGCCTTGGTCCATATGCGACCTCAAACCCCGCCCCTCCTCAGCCCGAGTTCAAATTCGACGGCTTCCACCCGCTGTTGAAATGTCCCAAGCCCGATTGCCGTGCCATGACAAGCTGCTGGGGTAAGTCTGATGTGCGCAAGACTGCATCGTCAACGCTTAGTTGCTAACACCCAGAACCTGTCCAGATCGCAACGTGGTCATCTGCCCTGCCTGTGGGACGTCGAGCTTCACCCGCTACTGCAAGAAGCAGCACCTCTACGATGACATGCAACGACACTGGGTGTTAGAATGCCGCCAAAGAAAGATCACCGGACCAATTGACCAAGACACAATCCGCCCTTACCAGATCCCAAAGCGTCCCTATGTCATGGGGCAGATGCCTAACCTCATTGAACGCCACAGACAGGCAGTGTACCGTGCCATGGACGAGGCAGACTACTTCATCTTTGCGGATTTGGACGAGATCGACCCTAGCATTGCGGAACCTACGCCAGCACAGTGGAACGCGGTTCGTGGAACAGGAAAGCTGGCGGTGCAGGTCAAGTTTGAACTCAATGAAAGTTTGGGATGCGAGGCCCGACTATTCCAATACCACATCCAGCGCATCCTGGCGGTGGGGAGACCTGCTGCTTTAGACAGCTGTAACCGGGCGATGATCATGATTCGGAACGCGTTGATCCGGTCTGGCAATTGGACAGAGGATGTCCTAACCTATCTGTGCATGCAATTGCCAGGAGAATGGGGCGGCTACAAGGTGCCGGACTCCTTCTACAACGTAGCCGAGGTGAACGCTATGTGGAACCTTCAGCGCACGCTGCCTGCGATATGAGACAGGGACCATTTGGATAGATGGTCAGCTTGTGAGATAATATGAACAGCGTCTGCTGGAGAGCTGCTTTGGAAACGAGGGCCGGAGGTTGGAGGGTCAAAAAAGGCGATAGTTGCTGTACCCGTCTCAGTGACAAGCTGAGTTGAGATGAAAATGAAGGCCATTGGACTCGTACAACCGGATAAGGCATCCCGGCTGTCCATGCTTCCTCTGTGTTTTCGGTATTGCTCGTACACTTATGTACTTACTCCGTACTTACAGGCTTTTGAGGACGGCCGACTTCCAGTCAGATGAACGCGCCGCTCGTACCATCGGAGGTCGCCGCCCGCAGAAAGCCACCACCACCGCCGCAGCTGCAGACAGGCGGGACCAGCTCTCAATTCCATGGGAGGCGATTGGCCAGGACGCCGACTACCCTCTCCCCTCACTAGCGATCCATGTCTAGCTATCTTGACGAGTATCTCAGTTGTGCTGCAATTGCCCCCCTGTGATTCGTGCGTCAAGGCGTCGTATCCCGTTTCCTATCAAAATCGTATGAAACAGATTGCTTTTGCATTGATGAGTAGCCTCAGGCCGTTGCCGATAAGAGGCTGTAGTGAGTGCCTGCGGGGAGTTTCGTTTGTCTCTTCCGCCTCTTGAACCCCGCCACACTTCGGCTTGTACGACATCTGCCTCTATATTTTCCTCGCCCGTTTCCATTCGCCTCGACTTGTGCAAAAGCGACGTGGGATGCTGACCTGACAGGGCCGCTGACTTTGCTGCCTCCTCACTCTTGTTGACAAACTCCCGAGGCGAGATGGCTCCGGGCGTTCTTGAGCCAGCCGGCAGCGCGGAGAACGTCATCTCGCTCACCTCACTGACCGAAAGCTACGACGACACACTCCGTTTCTACCTCAATGGGACGAGGGTCGAGCTGGATGCGGTGGACCCAGAACTCACCTTGTTGGAGTATCTAAGAGGCATCGGCTTGACGGGCACAAAGCTGGGATGCGCAGAAGGTGGATGTGGTGCGTGTACGGTGGTGGTCTCACAACTGAACCCGACCACCAAGAAAATATACCATGCCTCAGTCAACGCTTGTCTGGCTCCCCTGGCCAGCGTCGATGGCAAGCATGTGGTTACTATCGAGGGCATTGGCAATTCCAAGAACCCTCATCCCGCACAGCAGCGGATCGCCATGGCAAGTGGGAGCCAGTGCGGCTTTTGCACACCGGGTATAGTCATGAGCTTGTATGCTCTACTGAGAAATAATGGTCCTGGGGCATCAGAGATCGAGGTCGAGGAAAACTTCGATGGCAACCTGTGCCGATGCACGGGCTACCGACCGATCCTCGACGCAGCTCAGAGCTTCAACAAGTCTTGTGGCAAGTCGATTGCCAACGGCGGTTCTGGCTGCTGCATGGACAAGGGGGGTTCCTGCAACGGTGCCACAAATGGCGCCAGCGACGTGGACGCTCCTGAGAAGAAGTATACTCCGCCATCTTTCATTCACTACGATCCGTCAACAGAGTTGATTTATCCTCCTGCACTAAGGAAGCATGAGCTCAGGCCGCTCGCGTTTGGGAACAAGAGGAAGAAGTGGTACAGGCCCGTTACTCTTGAGCAGCTGCTGGAGATCAAGAACGCTCACCCAGCTGCTAAGTTGATTGGTGGTAGCACTGAGACCCAGATCGAGATCAAGTTCAAGGCAGCCCAATACTCGGCCTCAGTATATGTAGGCGATATTGCCGAACTTCGACAGTACTCGTTCCATGATGACTACCTGGAGATTGGTGGCAATGTCGCCTTGACAGATCTCGAAGACATCTGTGACGAGGCTGTCAAACACTACGGCGAGGCCAAAGCACAACCATTTAAAGCCATCAAGAAAGCTATCAGGTACTTCGCAGGTCGACAAATCCGAAACGTTGGCACTCCCGCGGGCAACTTGGCAACAGCTTCTCCCATCTCCGATCTGAATCCAGTCTTCGTCGCCACAAACTCGATTATGATTGCCAAGTCCCTCAAGAAGACTACAGAGATACCTATGGGCAGCTTCTTTAAGCGCTACCGAGTGACCGCTTTGCCTGAAGATGCTGTAATCGCAGCGATGAGAGTCCCCATCACCGCTGAGAAAGGAGAATACGTCAGATCGTACAAGCAGGCGAAGCGGAAAGACGACGATATCGCTATTGTCAATGCTTGCCTGCGAGTCGCGCTGGACGACAACTACAAGGTCAAGAACGCCAACCTGGTCTACGGAGGAATGGCTCCTATCACCATTGAAGCTAAACAAGCGTCTGAATACATCGTGGGAAAGACCTTCACAGATCCACAGACACTAGAGGGAGTAATGAGTGCCTTGGAACACGACTTCAACCTTCCATTCGGCGTGCCCGGAGGAATGGCCTGGTACAGGAAATCCTTGGCTTTGGGATTCTTCTACCGCTTTTACCAAGAAGTCCTTGTTCAGATCGAAGAAGCGAGCAAGGAAGCAGATACAGAAGTAGTCGGAGAGATTGAGCGAGAAATCTCAAAAGGCCACAAAGACCACGATGCTTCTGTCGCTTACTCGCAGAAGGTTCTTGGGAAGGAACACCCGCATCTGGCGGCACTGAAGCAGTGCACCGGAGAAGCCCAGTATACGGACGATATCCCTACACAGAAGAACGAGCTTATCGGCTGCCTCGTTCTATCGACCAAGTCACATGCGAAGCTGATCAGCGTTGACGCCAGCCCGGCGCTCCAACTCCCAGGTGTCGCCGCCTGGGTTGACAGGCACGATTTCCCGAATCCCAAGGGAAACTGGTGGGGTGCGCCTGTGTGCGACGAGGTCTTCTTTGCCGAGGACGAAGTCTTCACGGCGGGTCAACCCATTGGTATGATTCTGGCAAATACGCCTCAGCAAGCTTCTGCTGGTGCCCGTGCTGTCCTGGTCCAGTACGAAGAACTGCCGGCTATCTATACCATCGAAGAGGCGATAGAGAAGCAAAGCTTTTTCGCGCACTACCGGTACATCCGCAGAGGTGATGTCGACAAAGCGTTTCAAGAATGCGACTATGTCTTCGAGGGTACTGCCAGGATGGGTGGGCAGGAGCACTTCTACCTCGAGACCAACGCTGCTCTCGCGATTCCCAAGCCAGAGGATGGTGAAATGGAAGTCTGGAGCAGCACGCAAAATCCGTCAGAAACGCAGGCCTATATCGCAAAAGCTCTGGGCGTGCAGTCCAACAAGATCGTTTCCAAAGTCAAGCGTCTCGGTGGCGGCTTTGGCGGCAAAGAGACCCGATCAATCCAGCTCTCGACAATCTGTGCTGTCGCAGCAAACAAAGTGAAGCGGCCAGTTAGATGCATGCTCAACCGTGACGAAGACATCATGACCTCTGGCCAGCGACACCCGTTCCTGGCCATCTGGAAGGTCGGAGTCAACAAGGACGGCAAGATCCGAGCTCTGAGATGCAATGTCTTCAACAACGGAGGATGGTGTCAAGATCTGTCGGCTGCGGTCGTGGACCGGGCCCTATCACACATCGATGGGTGCTACAATATCCCCAACGTAGACGTCGACGGCCGGGTGTGCAAGACCAACACTGTCTCAAACACAGCCTTCCGTGGCTTTGGCGGCCCCCAAGGCATGTTCATCGCCGAAACGTACATGGAGGAAATATCGGATCATCTCAAGATCCCCGTCGACCGCCTCCGCGAAATCAACTTCTACAAGGACGGCGAGCAGACACATTTCAAGCAAGCCCTCGAGGACTGGCATGTCCCGTTGATGTACAAGCAAATCAAGGAGGAATCTGACTACAACGCGCGCCGCAAAGCCGTCGACGAGTTCAACGCCACGCACAAGTGGCAGAAGAAAGGCCTTGCCATCATCCCGACCAAATTCGGCATTTCTTTTACGGCACTATTCCTCAATCAAGCCGGCGCACTCGTGCACATCTACCACGACGGTTCGGTGCTTGTCGCCCACGGCGGCACAGAAATGGGTCAAGGTCTGCACACCAAGATCTGCATGATCGTCGCCGAAGCGCTCCAAGTGCCTCTCACGGACGTACACATTTCCGAAACGGCAACCAACACGGTCGCCAACTCATCCAGCACGGCAGCGTCGGCCTCATCCGATCTCAACGGCTACGCCGCGTACAACGCATGCATGCAGATCAATGAGCGGCTGGCGCCGTACCGCGAGAAATTCGGCCCAAAGGCCTCGATGCACCAGCTCGCCACGGCAGCGTACTTTGACCGCGTCAACCTCTCGGCCAATGGATTCTACAAGACGCCCGAGATCGGCTACATCTGGGGTCCCAACCCCGATGACCCGACAAAGGAGAACACGGGTAAAATGTTCTTCTACTTCACGCAGGGCGTGACGGCGAGCGAAGTCCTGATAGATACGCTCACGGGCGACTGGACGTGCCTGCGCTCCGACATCAAGATGGACGTCGGCCGCAGCATCAACCCGGCCATCGACTACGGGCAGATCGAGGGCGCGTACGTGCAGGGCCAAGGACTCTTCACCACGGAGGAGTCTCTCTGGCACCGCGCCAGTGGGCAGCTCTTCACGAGGGGTCCGGGCGCCTACAAGATCCCCGGCTTCCGCGACATTCCGCAGGTCATGAACGTCTCGCTGCTCAAGGATGTCGAGTGGAAGAATCTGCGCACGATCCAGCGGTCGCGCGGCGTCGGCGAGCCGCCGCTGTTCATGGGCAGTGCGGTCTTCTTCGCCATCAGGGATGCCCTCAAGGCCGCGCGGAAGCAGTATGGTGTGGAGGAGGTGCTGAGTCTGAGGAGCCCGGCCACGCCCGAGAGGATCCGGATCAGTTGTGCGGATCCGATTCTCAAGAGATGCGCCGTAGAGCCGAGGGAAGGGGAAAAGAGTTTCTTCATCTCGATCTGATGCGCGGTGGAGCCGAGGGAGTGGGCGAAATGAGTTTCTTCATCTCGGTTTTGAGAGGTCAAGGTGAAGAAAGGGGACTGAGATAAATTTAAGCTGTGCTGTGGCGGTCTCCAGTGTGTGTTTCCACATGGGGGCGTTCACGGTTTCACCATGGCGTGGTCTCACAGGACAGAGTCCGATCCGTCCGTCTGATATGTATCATGACCTTTCATTGGGGAGTATTCTCCTTGGCATGGTCTCACACGGCAGATTCTGACACGTCGAGCTGGTATCATGACCTCTCGTCGTCGTGTCGCTCGGCAACGGCTCATGGCGTGGGATATGGTTTGCGGGTTGTGGTTTGTGATATGTTAGAATGGAGCTCTTATCATTTGTTCCAGTTCACTCCGGAGATATATGCTCAGCCATTATTCGGTTCTATATCTCGTCTCGCTCTATGAACTCCGATCGCCTGGAATAAAGCTCACATCTGCGTCGTCAACGGCTTTTGACGCGCCCTTTACACTATCTCTGTTTGATTGTATTGTAAATGAGCAAAGTTCAAGAACCGTTGGGGCTTTTCTCAACGTCATCTTGCCCCTGTCAACCCGGCCCGATGAGCAAGAGCTCAAGTAAGCATTCCTCCGGAACCAGGACCAGGCCCAGGACCACGATTAAAACAAGGACCCGTACCATAACCCGTGCCGGAACCAGAACTGGGGTCCGACCCAGAAGTCGGGGACGTGTGACTCGTAGCCTCAATCATGAATCCCACGCTCTTCTTCGGCTTCGCGGTGGTGACAGGGGAACCGGTGCCACTACCACTACCACCCCCAAAGATCGAGGACCTCGTCTGCGCGGCGGGCGTGACTGGCGGGGACAGCAGCGTGTCCGCAGCAGCGGCAGATGCCACGGTCTTTTCCGAGCCCTTCCCACCATTGTCCTTTCCTGTCTCCTTCCCCTTTGCTGACCATTTTCTGCGTTTCTTCGGAGAGCGCCCGCTCTCGAGGCCTACAATCGAATCACTGTCTTCAGTGCCGTCTGCAGAGAATGGTCCGTCGCGTCTTTCAAATAGTGGGACCGGTTCATCTAGCGTTCCGCCCTTCATCTGGTCTTTCTCGTTGTCCGTGATCTTCAGGAAGCCCTCCCCGCGGATAACACCATTCATTGTGTCGTCGTCCAGGAGGCTCTTTTCGGCTTTCACCAGCTCGGCCTTGCTCATTTGGCGGCGCCGTTTGAGGATTTTCTCCTCAAGTGTACCCTTCAGTACTAGCGTTTCTACATAGACAGGCCGTGTCTGTCCGATGCGATGGGCCCGTTTGATCGCTTGGGATTCGACGTCCGGCTGCCAGATGGGGGACACGATGAAGATGCGGGTGGCGGCAGCGACGTGGAGGCCGTGCGATGCTTGTTTCAAGTCCATGAGCAGCACGCGGAACACGTCTGACTGGTTGAATGTCGCGAGGTACGCGGCTCGACGGGCCACCGCCAACGTGTTGGCGTAGATGAGGAACTTGACCGAGAGCAGTTCGAGTGCTTCGGCGATCCAGAAAGCAATGTTGTTGGAATCATAGAAGATGATGATCTTCTCGCTCTTCTGTAACGACAGCACGCGCGAGCACAGGTAGTTCAACTTTGCGGATGTGAAGCCGACGACCTTGGTTTTGGCCAGAGACGCTGTGACCGTAGCGCCGATGGTCGACAAACTGCGCTTGTGGCCAGCAACCAGGAGTGTTTCGGCCTTGGAGGAACGGACAGGGGACGAGAACGTAGATGCTTGGTTTTTGATCTTCGGTTCTTCTGCGGTCCCGGCTGTTGGAGGCTTGCCGTTCGGGCTCGGGCGTGCTTTCTCTCGAGCCTTCAATTCCTCGGTGGCTCGTCCGCGCGCTGCGAACATTGCTCGAAATCCTGCTCCCACAAGACCGAAGCTAGGATCGCCGCCTTCAAGATGCTTCAGAACATGCTGCTGTGCTTCTCGGGCTTGCTTGGTGCCAAGGAGGAGTGGATCCGAGGGTTCGTTGTTCAGGGCCCAAGCTTGCGCCGCAGCGCTGGGGAAATCTTTGACGTAGACTCCTATCTCATGGTAGAAGGAGAACGCTCTCCAACCCGAGTCGTTCAGGGCGCGTTCGCCATTCATGATTGCTTCTGTCAGGAGCGCGCCGTCTCCATCGGAGACGGTGTCCAGATGCTCGTCAAGGTATTTTCCGCTCACCCTCACCGTTTCTGCGACTTCGTGCGTAGTGAAGCCCACCCAGTGAAAGCTTGAGCGCCGCTGGTTGTTGATGAGTTCGTCTAGATATTTGCGGTTCCTGGGCTGGAACATGTAGTCTTCGTCTACTCTTTCAGAGGTGACGGCGTTGGAGGTCAAGACCATTCTGAAAAGATTCATGCTGAGTTTGTCATAGTAGCTCGGCTCGAGGCACACGGTGGTATTGTGAAGCGGAGGAAGACAGAGATCAGCATCGATGTCCTCGATCCGGTGTCGGATGATTAGCGACTGGAGGATGGCCTTGAGAGCTGGCGCAAAACGTCGATTTTGTGACGCATCGAAAGGATGCAGATACTTTTTCCAGTCGGCATAGTCGGCGCCTTTCTGATTTGCCCAAGGTTGGACCTTGAGAAAGTTGACGATGATGGCACGCAACCGTTCCATGTCTTTCAGCTCGTCATCTACTGCCTCCTTAGCCCTCCGTCGTTGCAAGGCTGTTTTGATCGACTGGTCCCGTGATAGTTCGTTGAAGTTATTGGTCTCGTTCAGTGCTAGATTGACCTCAACTCCCTGGAGAGAGTGCGACGGTGTGCCCGATACGACCCACCGACGTTCGATCGACATCTTATCCAGCATAGCCACAGCATGTGTCTTGTAGCTTGATCCGGCAAAACCATGGCCTTCATCACAGATCACGCGTAGCCATCGCACTTCGGTCAATTGGGAGCGAAATTTCTCTGAGCCTCTGAATTGCCTAGCCTGGTTGAGGTGATCATCTCGGTACTCCTGCTCGAATCGAGCTTTCGTGATGAGCACAATGTCGTACTTCATCAACGACTTCCAGGGCGGTATGTCCTTTGTCGTCGAGTCGAGCACAAGGACGTCAAGTGCACCAGGATGAGTGTGTTTCACAATCTCGTGCTGCCATTGCACGAGCAGATTCAGCGGGACGATGAGCAAAGTGGCAAATGACTGACGCAGCATCCTGAAGTCTTCCCGTTTCTTATTCTTGCGGTCTGGGGTAGTAGGGTGGAAGATTGGTTCAGCATATTCGCCATCATACTTGGCCAACTCCTCCGTGCAGCTGTCAAAATGGTACCCCTCTGTTTCTAAAGCGGCAAAGTGCGACTTCCAGGGCACTCCAGCTTGTTTGATCTTCTTTGCAGCCAATGCGAGTAGACTTGGTGTCCGCTCGTTATATTCTTCGGGAACGGTACTGATCCTGCCTTCGGGGATGGCAGGATAGTGACCTCTTGTGGCTAGGACCAGTGCGATGCAAATCAAGGTTTTGCCGTAGCCCATAGTCTCTGCCAGGATCCCTCCGCGACACTCACTGTACAGATGTGGGTGACGGAGAAGGACACCTTCATGCGCATCGAAGTAGAATTCGGTACCGTTCAGGTCTCGAAACCGGGGCTTGCGTGGATCACGGGACTTGGAAGGGTGCACCTCTTTCCGTAGCATCGCAGCAAGCGACCGCTTCTGATACGGGTATAACTGCGTCTTGAGGCCAATGATGCTGTCCTGGAAAACATCAGCCATTGCCTGTTGATTGTGCACAAATGTCCCGGCGTCACCGAGAGTTATCTGTGGCGAAGCCAAGGTGTTGAAGGTGTAGAAGAGAGATTCTTCCTGCGAGAAGTCGGGTTCCTTGTATGTTTGCATGGGCGAGTTCGGGTCGAAGCTGCCATACCAAGCCTCGACAGATGTGTCAATCAAATCGGCAAGCAACTTCAGTAGCTTCCTATGGTGCTGTATTGACCCACGACTGCTTCGATTTACATCTTCTGGCAAGGCGTGAACCTTCAATGAAGCGTAGGCAGGATCGCTGACATGTGGAATAACTGAAGTCGTAATCCATCCTCGTGCCTCCCCTTTCGTTACTTCTGGGTGAGGATATATCGTGTACTTGGGTCCGATCATGTGCCAAGCGCCTTGTTCACCATTTCCTGTACGTCGGACTAGACGGATTGTACCAAGCGCGAGATAGTCATCTATCGCATCCGGTGACGGTGTATGATGCTGATCCATGTTTGAAGGTTCAGAGTCATTTGAGCGACCGGCAGACCGTGGAGTTGCACCTCGCTCATGAGTCTGGAATGCTTAGTGAAGATGCCCCTGAGAATATTATATGATCTATACCTTTCGATCTGGCTGGGACAAAGACGGTTTCTGCGAAGCTTCGGCTGGATCGTTAATGTGACCGTCAATTGTCCCGGGTCCCAAGAAAAAGTGACATGTATCAAAGGGTTGATCATCACCATCATCAGGACGATGCTCAAGACGTGAGGGAGGGTCCGACATCCTCAGGGGAAAGAAAGAGTCTATCGCCCGAGAAGATGGGTGCTATCACGTTGTGCGTCGGATGAATGGCTTGCAAGTCAAAGGGGAGCCTCGTTTGAAGAGAGATGGATAGTTGATTTGGTCTGACAGAAATATAGGCACGAGATTCGCTGCAAGAATCATCGCCACCCAAGGTCATGACGACGGCTTTTCCTGCAGGCTGAGATGCGGCACTGCAGCCTGATCGTTTCAGGGGCCAAAGCAGAGCTAAACGTTCCGACTACATATTCCACCAGGTGAGCTTCTCGATCAAGAATCGATGTGCTCCCGATGGACGTCTGAGTAGCTACGTGTAAGTCGCCGGTCGGTTGCAATGAAAAAGCCGTAGCTACAACAGTCCTTGTCGGCCTCAGTGACTGGCTCCGCAACTGCTAATCGAACGCAAGAGCAGACCATGCTCAGCTTCCACCTGCAGAGTCACTCTGCGATGATGCTTGTCTATCTCTTTGCAGAACCAGAGCGGACAGCGAAATGCAGTCCTCCGCAGGCCCGGAACAGATTAGCCGAAGCCGAACTCCACCCCCAAGCGACAGTCGTGGCTGACAAATCCATCACATCTTGACGACCCTCGGTTCTCGTCGTCGTCCAGAGAAGGATTCGAAAGTGAACCATCGACAACATAAAAACCCAATTAAGCCCCCCATTCCTCGGCGGAGCATTTCCATAACTGATGCGCTTCACGCCCACCCGCCCCCTCTTCGCCAGAATGACAAACTACAACATCACCATCACCAGCGACATCGTGTGCCCATGGTGCATGATCGGCCATAACCGCCTGTCGCGCGCCATCGCCGAACACAAAAGGCAGCACCCCGACGACAAGTTCAGTCTGAAATACCTACCCTTCTACCTCCAGCCACCACCTCAATTAACCACAGGCAACGGTCCCGCGCCACCGCCCTTCCCGGCCCCCTCGAGGCCGCGAAGGGAGATGTACGCCGCCAAGTTCGGCCCCGAGCGCGCGAAACAGATCGAAGCCATGATGACGCAGACGTCCAAGGCTGAGGGGCTGAATTTCAAGTTTGGCGGCATGACGGGGCCCAGCCGGAACGGACATCGGCTTGTCTACTGGGCGCAGGGCAAGGGCGGCGAGCACTCGCAGAATGAAGTCATGTTGGGCCTCTGGAGGAGGTATTTCGAGCAGGAGGTCGATATCACGACGCTTGAGACGCTCGTCGAGGTCGGGCTCGAGGCCAACCTGGGCACCAAGGAGGAGATCACCGAGTATTTGACGTCGGGCAAGGATGGGGAATTGATCGATAAGATGGCCGAGGAAGCTCATATGAAGGGGATCAGTGGCGTGCCGTTTTACGAAATCAATGATGTCTGGGAGGTCAGTGGAGCGCAGGATCCGTCGGCGTTCAGGAGTCTGTTCGCGAGATGGAAGACTATGGAGGCGAAAGGACAGCTGCCAGCGGGTGCTGGAACAGGTGCCAGTGGAGACTCATGCTTGTGATGTTCGGAAAGTCAACGGGACGTGAGTAAAATTACAACGAAATCAGCAATGACATGTCGAGATGGTAGTGGGAGATTTCTATTACCTCAAGAGGGTATTCAATATCCCCGCAGACAGGCTTTAAAAAGCCGACTGTCGTGACGGGCCAAGGTGTTTTGTACAGATGCTTGGATATACAGTTGATGGTGCTCGGCACTCTTCAACCCAGTCCTGACCATCTCGCTACCGCTCATGCGAGAACACACCAAAGCGTGAGTTACTCGAACAATGGCTAACTTTCGGCGCAGTACTCGCCGGTCTATTGCCTGGGTGTCACTGTGCTCATCGCTTTGTGGATTGGGGCACATCACCTGTCTTCTCACTTGTCCCATGTCTCCGAGACCCTTTGTCCTTCTTCATCTCCTCTCGGGCTGCTTCAAGGTGGTTCTCAGCATCACGCTCGGTAACTTGTTGATCGATTTTGGCAACGTGGTCCTCGGCAGCATTTGCCAGCAAGACCTCCGCTTTGTCGCCCAACTCCTTATCGGCCCTCACAGTCGATGCCTCAGCTTCAGCATCCTGCGCATGATTCCTTATCATCTGCTTGACGGCTTCAAGCCGCATCTCAATGCTTTGCGCGTCGTCTTTTAATGGATCCACCCCGAGATCTTGCGCCTCCATGCTCATAGTAACCCCTTCGATTGAGTCTTCGACACGTGAAGGCAGGTCATCCGATAGCCTGGTCTGCTCCGCAGGGCCTCCGGTCTCCGAGCCACGCTCGCCCGCTACCACCTGAGCTCGTGTCGCCGGGGTCAATTGCTCATTGAATGTTCTGAGGCGCCTGTACCTCCCCTCGATGATATCCGGTTCCTCTAATTGCTCCGGCAGACTCAAATTGTAGACGCTGCCTCGGTTGAGTGATTCTAACTTGGGGATCTCATATGACTCTTTTTCTCCGTTGTCGACCCAGTTTTTCTGGACATGCTTCTCGAAGCGTTCAGCAGCCTGGCGCAAATCCTGCCATGCGGCCTCCTGTTGTTCGATCATCTTTGCTCTCACGTTCTCGTCGTTCCATGCATCTTCAAAGGTGCCTTCTAGGGAGTAGTGCTTTGGGAGGTTGTATTTCTGCAGCTGCTGTTCGTGCTTAACGCGGTATTTGGGAGATGTCATAACGAGCCATCGGAGCTTCCAGCCTAGCAATCCCAGCTCTTTTATCCGCGCCGGCTTGATGCCCGTGACATATGCATCGATGCCACCGCATTTCTCGATAGTCCTCATGACACGGGCAGTGATGGGCAACTTGAGCTCTTTTCCCAAGGCTTCACTTCTGACGGTCTCGACCCGCACATTGGGAAACCAATGCCGTAGTGTCTTGCCCTTATTCCTGCCTTTGGAGATCTTACTCCCAGACTGCACCGTTGCACCCCCGTACAGACCAAAGTTCGCTTCGGGGAAATGCATGTTCTCCCCGTAGGGGTATGGCGGCATCAAGGGATCTGTATGTCGCCATTTGTTTTCTGCCAGAAGCGTATGTTGTCTGTCTTCGAGCTTGAAAGTGAATCTAGGCTTGAAGTACGGGTTCGAATGTTTGACCTTGTGCTTGTAGGCGAAATATTGGATCGTGCTCGGACTGCGGAGTACCTCTGGGAGCTTCGTGATCTGGGTCGGCGCCGCCATCTCCACAGCGAGCCCCGATCCGAGCTGCGTGAAGGCCGGGAGAGGAGGTGAAGGATTGGGAGCAAGGGGAAGAGTCCTCTGCGTACAAGTGTGGTTATTCTGTACAATGGAAGTGGAATGCGTGGTCTCGTTCGATTTGAATTTCCCAAATTTTAGCGCGATTCGGGCCTGCGCTCCAACTCCATTTCCCTAGGATCGCGACAACTACAATTCATTACCGCGACACCCCGGACCTAATACTTCTTCTTGGGCTTCTCTCGTCTTCTTGAAGCAATATCTTTGACCCGTTCAAACTCTGTGCGACCCGTCCGGCGCCATGGTCAACATTAGCGAAGTCAAGGGCAATGCGCGCGAAAACAGGACCGCGGCACATACTCACATCAAGGGCCTGGGTCTGAGACCAGACGGCACTGCAGAGCCGTCGGGCCATGGTTTCGTCGGTCAGGCCGCGGCTCGCGAGGCCTGCGGAGTGGTCGTGGACCTGATCAAGGCGAAGAAGATGTCCGGAAGAGCAGTGCTGTTGGCCGGCGGACCTGGTACGGGCAAGACAGCCCTGGCCCTAGCAGTCTCACAAGAGCTGGGGACGAAAGTACCCTTCTGTCCCATCGTGGGCAGTGAGGTCTACTCAACAGAAGTCAAGAAAACAGAGGCATTGATGGAGAATTTCAGAAGAGCCATCGGTATGCGGTTCGCGTTTGGCTGCGCTGCGAGCTCAGGCTAACTTCAACCAGGCTTGCGAGTGCGCGAGACCAAAGAAGTATACGAGGGCGAGGTGACCGAACTCCTCCCCGAAGAAGCAGAAAATCCGCTGGGTGGCTTTGGCCGCACCATTTCCCACCTTGTCATCACCCTCAAATCCGCCAAAGGCACCAAGAAACTACGTCTAGACCCCAGCATATACGAAGCCATCCAGCGAGAGCGAGTCACGGTAGGCGACGTCATCTATATCGAAGCCAACACCGGCGCGTGCAAGCGAGTTGGCCGATCAGACGCCTACGCGACCGAATTCGATCTCGAGGCCGAAGAATATGTGCCCGTCCCCAAGGGCGAGGTCCACAAGAAGAAAGAGGTGGTGCAAGACGTGACTCTGCATGATTTGGACATGGCCAATGCGCGACCTCAGGGTGGCCAGGATGTTATGAGCATGATGGGCCAACTGATGAAGCCGAAGAAGACTGAGATCACAGACAAGCTCCGCGCCGAGATCAACAAGGTGGTCAGTCGGTACATTGACCAGGGCGTGGCCGAGTTGGTACCCGGTGTCCTGTTCATTGACGAGGTACGTAGTGGCGAGGCCTTGGGGAGGAAGCAGATACTAACATGCAATTCAGGTGCACATGCTCGACATCGAATGTTTCACATACCTCAACCGCGCTCTCGAATCTCCAATCGCCCCAATTGTCATTCTTGCCTCGAATCGGGGCAACACCGTCATTCGTGGTACACAAGACATAACGGGCGCTCACGGTATCCCTCCGGACTTGCTTGCGCGTCTTCTGATCATCCCAACCCATCCGTACAATGCCCAAGAAGTTCAGACCATCATCCGACTACGCTCAAAGACAGAGGGTCTTTCAATATCAGAGCCGGCACTGGAAAGGGTAGCACGACACGGCACGAATGTCAGCTTGCGGTATGCTCTGCAGCTGTTAACACCGAGCAGTATCCTAGCGAAGGTCAATGGGCGATCGGAGATCTCCCCAGACGACGTCGCAGAATGTGAAGACCTCTTCATCGACGCGAGGAGGAGCGCGAAGGTCGTAGAGCAGGCAGGTGGATTGTTTATCAGCTGAAGGAAGAGAGGAGATTCAATTGGATGGAAAATTACGAAGCTCGGCCGTCAACCACCAGAAGCAGTGGTTTGAGCCCAACTAACTGGCATCGCCGAATCTGATACGTGCTACCGCCTAGTATGATGGCCGCACGCCAGCGGGTTTGGGACCTGTCGCGCGCCGGACACAGCAACAAGGCTGCCACCTCTCAAGCCGCGACACCGCCCAACAACCGAAGAGCAGCGGTCAAGATGAGGTGAAGTGCAGAGAGTGCCGAGCGAAGCGTATGTAAAACAGTCACGACCACGCAAAGGGAGCTGAAAATTTCATCGTACTTGAGCGGCATCGTTTATGTCCCAGACTCCACGCGGTTGTAGGAAGACGAGCAGAACATCTTTTTATTGATTTCCTATTGGAATTCCTCCTTTTAGTCTCCGTATGCTCTTCTCGTGAAGCTAGCGATTCTAAACGGGACGTCTGCCACGAAAAACGCAGGGCACCTCTCGCGAGACTTTCCGAGGGCGTGAAAAGACGAGATTACCTATGGAAAAGGCTAGTCAGCGATTGAACGATCGGACGAATGTCAAATCATGTGTTTAGCTGTGATCCGTAAGACATCCAAGGAAGTGCAATCGCTCAAAGACACCTGGACTTAAAGTAGGTTCGCATGCCAGGGCTAGCGTGGAAACTGCGAATGTGGAAAGGTTTTCATCATAGGAAAGCATTGCTAGGGTAGGTCGACGGAAGGGCAGGAAACTGAGGGCGGACCTTAGTTTAAATAGCTGTGCCCGGAAGCGAGGATCGTGCGAGTTCTCATTCAAGAGATTAGCTGTGCTCGGGAGCGAGGATCGTGCGAATTCTCGTTCACGAGTCAGGATCTGCAACCTCAATCAGTAAATAGCTCGCACTCATACTGTGCCGGGCTGAGGAGGCAAATAACAATATCAGACATGATATACTGGCTAGTAACAGACTGTCCAGCGTTGACAGTCCGGATGTTTCTTCAAGGACGACTCAGGGTAGAAAGAAGTATTTGGGTTTTGTCATCTTCGAGGTGGGAAAGAGAAAGAGGGAATTGGGGGGGGTGCTTACCACGTCTACCGTATACATTGCGCTGTCAGCACCATTGTCGAAGATCACAAAGAAGCATCATCTCGAGAAGTCGAGGAGGAAGTGGTCGGAGAAAAATAGGTGCTGGTTCTGGTAGGAAAATATATTTCTGAAACCGCAAGCCGCTAGTGCTCGAACTGGCATAGGCTGATTGCTTGGCGGGCCAAGTGGCACTGGGCCGCCAGCGACGCATCGGTGGGTGGCTCTTTCCCCCAGCATCCTCCGTCTGTCTCTCCTGCGCACCTGCAGATCCTGAATCTGCACCTGCGACTTCACCAACTATTCACCTCCGCCTCGCCTTGCTCAAGTCCTTGAGGCCGGACTCGCGATACAGCTTCAACTGGCGCATTTGATCTCTTGTCGCTCTTTTTCTTATCATCAGCACAATCTCCCTCGCTCCGGGACGCCATCTATTAATTCCCGCACCCTTCGCGGCGTGACTCTCTACCAGGATCAGCGGATCACGGGTACCAGCAACAGCCCGATAACACCGCAACCACGCCCGCAGACAACTCGGATCACTTATTTTCACACAGCTCCTCGCTTTTACACCTCGTCCTCCTCTTCCACGATGCTGGATAGAACATGAAACGTCTACGCGCATCGGTTCCCACTGTTGCCGTCAAATGATTTGATTGTCCTCCTCGTCGCGACACTTGGAGAAAGCCCCGTAAGCGACTCGAACCCGGGGAAGTCATCATCCCATACCACTTCTCCCCAAAACACCTGCGCGGCATTCCGTCTGAAAGGCGAAAGAATACCATTCCGACCATACTCGACCATCAAGTTATTCAAATGTAATATCTCTTTTGCAGTTCCAGACATTACATCGTCTTTCCGGCCACTGAAGTGGGGCCGAAGGAATCGGAGCCGGGAAGAATAAGAGAAGGACAAGGATAGTAACGGCTATTGTGATTACACTTCGATCACGTTTGCGCTTCGACACCTCATCTGTCAGCGTTCCCGAAGATGATGGCCCAACCTTTCCCCCACCATGCGGGCATTGCTCCTGGTCATCCTGGAATGCCCACAGCTCATCCCATGGGTATGCAGCATCCTGGCGCCGCTCACATGGGAGGTCAACCTGGGCCTGGTATGATGCAGGCCATGCATCCAGGAGTGTCTGCACCTCAGGTCACTCAAGGTCCGATGGTGACTGGCATGCCTCCTGGCGCTGGGACACCTGCGCCCGGTCCTATGCATAACGGCATGGCCATGGCGCATGCGCATCTTGGCCCACAACAAGCTATGTTTCAGCAGAACCATCCGCAGATGAACTATGGTCAGGGCATGATCACGCCACAACAGCAACAATTCATGGCGCGACAGCGCATGATGCAACAGATGGCCCAGGGGCAAGGGATGCCGATGGGTATGCCCAACGCTCAGGGCTTCAATCAGGCACAGCTGCAACAAATGAAGATGGGTATGGGCATGCATCCGCAGATGCCAATGAATCCGAACCACCCCCAAATGCAGAGCCTACAGCATCAACACAACCAACAGCAAGCGCTCAGAGCGCAGCAAGCTCAGGCCCACGCGCAACAACATGCGATTCAGATGGCAGCCGCAGCGCAGAATCAACGGGCGGCTGCGCAGCAAATGCAAATGACACGCTCACAAGAGCAGACCTCTCAACCTCCACAACCACAACCCACACCAGCTCCTCAGACACAGCCTACCCCGCAACCTCCGCCCACAACACAACCTCAACAGCAACCCGCGCAACCCAAGCAGCAGCCCCCCCAGGGACAACCCGCTCCCAGTTCACAGCCAACTCAGCCAGCCAACCCGCCTGTGAAAACGACAGAACCGGAAGAAGAACCCCAGATCAAACAGCAACCCGATGCTCCTGCCAACATGATGATGCCCGACCTCGGAAAACAAGACGCTTTCGGAGGTCAGTGTATCCTGCGACTGATCATGTATCAGGACCTTCTGGCGAATCCAGAACGACCACATGATCTGGAGTATTGGGAACAGCTCATAGGTCAATTCTTTTCACCTTTCGGATCTTTGAGGCAACAGTTCTTTAGTAACAAGTCCGGAGGGGATAAATCATTCCAGCTACAATTTCCCTCGCTACCACGATATTACCACTCATACTTTGCCGCTGGTGTAAGGCAGATCCTTCTGCAATCTTATGAACACACGCAGACGAAGACGGCCAATGGCGGTGTTCACATCACCAGCAGCAATGCGAGTCTTACATATGTCTTTGACAACGACCTCCGAGTGACGACGTCCGGGCAGCTACGCGTTCTGTTCAACGATATGCAAGTGATCGAGCATCTCAACATCAGTTGCTCGGGGTGGCAGGAGTACATTCCACGGAATGCGCTCTTGCAAACTTCGTCACCAGAAATGAAACAGAGTCCCAAGATCACCAACAAGAACGTCAAACGGACACAAGGCAAGGCCAATGGGCCGATCATGGGACCAGTGATACCTAGCTCGGGGGTTGGTGAATGGGGTGTGCCGCAACACATCTCTCAGTTCTTAGAGGTATGTGGGTTGTGGAGTGAGTGAACGATGACTAACCTATGCGAAGATTGCCGAGGTCATGACGGCCATGGGTCCGCTCATGGAGTATTATCACCAGCATCCAGGCATTTCGCCCAAAGACTCGTTACTCCGCGTCACGCAGGAGAATGCACAAAACATGGCCCAGGTCAACAACGCGCGACTCAATCAGATGGCAAGAGCAGCCAATGGGCAGATCGCGTTTCCCAATCAAATGAACCCCGGCATGAATGGTCCTAACATGATGAACTCGCCGGCAATGGGACACCTCAATGTCCCCCAAGCCCAAGGCTCACCTATGATGGGTGGCCCTGTGCATACGCCCAGCCCTGCGCAAAACCCTGGTGTAGGGGGTGTGGCCATGATGCACCAGATGAGCGCTCAAGGGTCAAATCTTAGCGGCAGTCAAGGGCCCAGTACGAACACGAGCCCTAATGTTTCCAACAAGAGGCGCCGTGCTAGTGTTGTCAAGCTGGAAGATGAAAACGCCCAAGGGGAACCGAACGGACCGAATAAAGTCAAGGCCAGTCCGAAAGTGGGCGGAAAGAGGCAGAAGGGATCCGCATAGACGGCAGACTTATCCAGGCCAATCAGGAAACGCCGCTTTCTGGAGGCGGTCTCCCGGCGTGAGCCTGCTCCGAGCCTGCTTCGAGCAGTACTACTACCATCTGCTGACATGGTCGCACGGCAATCAGACCACGTGGACTATGAGACAGGAGGCGACGGGTTGCACCCTCTTGCTGATCCTCCGTCTTCTGTTCGAAGTGTAGCATGGGTCCGGGATGGGCAGATTGACAATGCAGCCTGGCAGGAAGTCAAGTGAGCCACGAAATAGGGGGGCGCCTGCGTCAGTCTGCGGGTGCGCTCGAGCAGGGCGTCGGATCGGGAGTGTCCGGTATCAATCGTCGTTGTCTATGTTTTGAAGTTGCATATACCCGATTATAGGAATCACCTGTGGGGTTGGGTGTCGGTGTCGGAGTTCAAGAACAGAACGATTGGCATCACTGGACATGTACGGCTGGAATGCGTCGATCACTAGATATCCCCTGCCCAACATACGCCATTGTCGGTTGTCCTCGGCTGCCATTTCGATACAAAGGCTTGCCGATGGAGAACATGGGTGGATGGACATTTTTCAAGGATTCTGTATCATATGATTTTGTGTCTCGCCTTTATTTTTGCGATTTTGCGAGCTTCGTCTCCATGGATTCGGCGGTCCTACGAGGGCCGATCAGAATCCCTCGCCGTCTTGGACATACGACGCCCGAAGCGACACGAGCATACGAGCTCAAGAAGTTTGCACTCAACGAGACATGGGGGAGCAGGAGCGCGGCGAAGTCGATTCTTCATGAAAACGGAAATGGTGGCAACGACGATCATTGTTTGGCGCCGGGGAGAGGGTCGTTCATGAGCAGAAGTACGATTCTGCACGGGCGTCGGGTTGATACTGAGGACAGGAGGTCATGTTGATTGAGTCTTGCTGCTGCTCGCTGACAGATAGATCTGGGATTACCCTGATGGCAATTTAATGATTGGAAAGACCAGCTGCGGCATTTTTCTTATTTGTGAATACGAGGAGCCCGCGGATTTGCGAATTGCTACTCCAGCTGGATCTCGTGGGTTCACAATCCAGGGCCAGAAGACATGGCTTCACCGGACGTAGATGGAGTGGCTGGTGATCTCGACGTGACGCGGTGAATGTTGTCCTCGATGTCCGCCGAACCCTCGAGATCTGCATTTTGAAGGTGTGTCCAGCGGCTGAAGGGAAGCCTCTCCGGTTCAGCGGTATCCAGTCATTACTGGCAGGGCCACTGGGTGGTTGCAGTACGGAGTACGAGGACGCACAAAGGTACGTAGTGTATACAAGGCACGCCAACTGGGGTATTTGTGGCCGATAGTACCTCGTTACTCGCATGCATGGGCTCTGCCAGATGAGGACATTTCAAGAATACCTGAGCCTTTTGCCGCGCCACCGACGACGACGACGTCGTGGCACCAACAGGGCTGTGAGAACAAGATGCAGAACAGAGGGGCTCAATGGGCATTGCGTTGCTTTGTATTGATTTGCATAACCTCTTTAGGCCGATTGCTCGCATGGTGTACTGTGTACCTAGCTACTAGTATGTATGGTACGTATTTAGGGAGGTACTGTACCTATGTATGTGTGTATACATTCCGCGTGCTGAGCACGTATCGCGTGTCGTCGGCCCAGTGAGGCAGAGACGATGCTTCTCGCACAGAGAAGGAGCGTACAGACAGCAGACAACCAGGCCGGACAATACCGGATATGATCCAGGACGTCACGGCCCACGGACCTCACAGTACGGCTTCACCACATGTCGATTAAAAGGGAGTCGGCGGGACGATGCATCAAGATTTTCCTCGAGATATGAGAGGTGGTGGAAGTGGGGAGCAGCGGTGTGAGATTCCAGCTTCTCGGCGTGTTTGCCTCGATAAGCAGAGCATTCGATGACATCGCGACACGCCGTCGAGGTATGATGCATGTGACGCATAAATGCAGTGCCGCTTCAGACCATGATTTGCTGGTCTTGGAGGACAGTCATCCATCTGCCATCCCCGTCGCAGGCGATACAGGGCACGAGAACTGGCTTCGTCAAATGCAACATGTCGCTCTCTACGAACAACGCTCTCACCATTCTCGAGCCCAGAGCCAACCCAATCCAACCCAGTCCACCCCAGAGGCGTGAGGCAGCCGACGGTTTTCCAAAGAAATAGTAGATGGTTGCTTCACGTCCAGGTGCCAGGCAGTTGAGTCGAGGAACCTCAAAAAAAATGTACAAGTCCATCTTCTTGATATACACATGTTAAGAGTTGCGAATGCCGTGGTGGTTCTGCTAGTATTAAAATGCCTGGTGAGTCTTCCAGCATACGACCTTCGCAGTCTAGCATGACGTGGCAGCTCCTGAAAGCCTATTGAATAGATAGTAATAGTGATTTGGGGATGAAGGTGAAATCAGATTCCAGCCGAGCCAGCGCAAGAGTCAAATATAGTTTCAGCCAAGCTTTGTCTCGGCAGATTTAAGCTTCAATGTCTCAAATCCCAATGAGGAGGGAAGCCTCAAGACGTCGCTGGTCGGTCGTGAAGGCTCGAGACCCGTCGTCACTACCACTGTTTCATAGACTTTGCCCGGCCTTAGGCTTCAGATCCAGCCAGCATATCGGTGCTTGAGAGTCCCATTCTGTCGTCGTGTTGCCTACGTTTTGGTTTTCCTCTCCCGACCCCGCCGCCGGACGTCCACTCCGTGAACCTCCCAAGATCTGCATCCGTACCGAGCAGGCGACAGACTTACAGGTCCGTTCTTCTTGTAAGCCCCCGGTCAATTAAGTCTGTGCGACTAATTCACCAAGTTGCTGGCTTCGTGCCCGGCGTGCCGCAAACCTCCGCCCCTCCCCAGCCATGGAGAAGCCAGCATCCATTACTCAACGCCAGCATGAGGATGCCAATAATCCACAGCCCGAAACCCGGAGACAAGTCCAAACCATCATCATCGGCCTCTCCGGCCCATCATCCAGCGGCAAGACCACCCTCGCCCGGCTGTTGCGCGAGATTACCAACCTGGAATCCCCAGGGCTAAGCATCAGCCTGGCGATCCTGCACCAAGACGACTCGTACAAGACAGACAAGGACATTCCCACCGTGACTGTTTCTTCCGCCGAGTTCGGCACCCGCGACCTCCAGGACTGGGATTGCATCGGCTCGCTTGATCTCCCTCTGTTCGAATACACGCTGAAACACCTTCTAGCATATGGATCCTTGCCCGAGGACAGTGTCTCGAAGGAGGACCAGAATAGCGTGCCGGAGACCCACGTGTCGGCTGCGGATGTGGAGGAGTGGAAAGGGAAGATGAGGGCGTGGTTGGATGATCTTGCGAGAAGGCGTCCTCCTGGTGCAGAGCACGAGCGTGAGACCGGAAGCCTAAACATCGACACGAGAGAAATCAGGATCTACATCGTCGATGGCTTCCTGCTTTACCCTCCTCCCCCTCCGCCGCCGCCTGCATCAGAGTCAGGAACCGCGTCGGGTCCTCCATCCACAGCCACAGCCGGCGCGGCCCCCACGTCATCAGATCCACATTCTCAAGACCAGCTAAACCATCTATACACCTTGACTCACACCATCATGCACCCCAAACTGTTCATCCCCTCGACGCGTGCTCAGACGTTGACCCGCCGTGCCGCCCGCACGGGCTACGTCACGCTCGAAGGCTTCTGGACAGATCCGCCCGGGTACGTCGAGGACGTGGTCTGGCCTAACTACCGGAGATATCACGCGTGGATGTACGAGGCGGGCAATGTCGATGGGGAGATCCTTGACGAGGAGGTGTGTGCTAGGGAGGGCATCGATGTGTGTCCGGGCGGTGGGCACTGGGGGATGCATCAGGTGTTGGAGTGGGCTGTCGGGAGGGTGAAGGAGGCGGTGGAGGAGAAGGTTGGGGTATAGACAGACAGAGGGGATGGATGGAAATAGATAAATAGATAAATAAAGTAGATGCAATAGATGCAGTCGATACAGTAGCTGTGTATGCTGATAGCATATTCTGAGACGGTGACCGAGACCGTGACCGAGACCGTGACCGTGACCGTGACGTGCACGGCGGTCCCATGTGTGATGGGCGTGGTAGACACGAGCAGTGTGCGTCCACCCAGCATCTATATAGGTACATATACGTGTGTTTGTGTATTGGGAAGTAAAGTCGACCTCGATGTGAGAAGAGGTGTGTCGTTGCTCGTTACGAGCAGTAATCCTGTCATACTATTCTTTCTCCTTGCAGTCCGTGTTGAGGACTCAGAGGTGGCTTGACAAGAGATCTATGCATGCTTAGATCTCGGGCGCTCTGTTGGAAGGACACCTACAGCACAACAACACCGGTAGATGCGATACATTTGCGGACGGCCTGCTTTCAGCCAGACTGCCACGAAGCTGCCTGCTTGGACCGGGTTTCGACTAGCCAGCTGCGTACTACGTACTCTATCATGGCTGACGGTTTTGGAGCTGCAAAGACCTCAAAAAAATCTCAAGTCACAATAGCCTCTCCTCTGCCACACCAGAGTACTCGTCTCGACGTGCCGGAAACGCCATGCACAACCCCGATTAGACTGAGTCATATCCTCCCATCAATCCCTCACCTTGATTGTATCCTTCTTTTTATCCTCCTTGTCCACCGGAAATCCCAGCCTGGGCACCTTCTTCTTCTTTCCTCGCTTGTCGCCGTACTGCTCGTCGAATTTCTTAATGTCCCGCAAGCTCGACATGTCCTCCGAAATGCTGGCCGAGATATCCTCCAGAGCTTTGTCAAAATGGGCTTCCGTCAGGGTCCGTCGTTCGGGGTGTTGATACGGTTCCTTCCCTTGATGCTTCCTGGCCAGTTCATTTTCCTCGCGCACAGCATTCAGCGCTGCCGCAACGGCCACGTTCTTGAGATCGGAACCAGAGTAGAAGGGAGTTTTCTTCGCGAGCTCTTCGAGGTCGACATCATCAGCCACAGTCTCATGGCGCAGATGGATCTTGAGGATCTCCAACCTGTCAGCCTCTGTCGGCAGGTCCACTAGCAGTCGTCGCGGCAGACGGCGCAACACTGCGTCGTCGAGATCATGCGGCCGGTTGGTCGCGACCATGATAAAGGCACTTGCCGAGTCATTGCTCATGCCGTCCCACTCCTTGAGGAATTGGTTCAGCTGTTCGCGATGGCTGACTCGTGGGCCTTGATTGCTGCGAGCTCGAAACATGGCGTCCGCCTCGTCCAGGAATACCACGCACGGGGACAACTTCCTGGCAAGGCTGAACAGCGCTCTGACGTTCTTCTCGCTCTCACCAACGTACATGTCATTCAGGTCTGCCGCGCTGACTTCGAGCATGGTGGCACCAGACTCTTTTGCAACGGCCTTGGCGGCGAGCGTCTTGCCCGTGCCCGGTGGTCCGTAGAGCAGGAGGCCCGGGATTTTATTGGACGCCAAAACGCCGTACTTGAAAGCATCCGGTCTGGTCAAGGAAAGCGTGGTCAAGGTCTGGAGGGCGTCAATCGTCTCTACTGGCATGTGGACGTCGTTGAAGGTCGTGGTGATGTTCTTGGCCTCGATGATGCCGCTCAGCAAACGCTTCTCGTATTTCGATGCCGAAGCACGTATTCTGGCGAGTCGGTTGTCTCGGGTCATATGCCTTTCTGGGACTTCCTTCCTTGATTCTTTTGACTGCTTCTCTGCCCAGCGTATCTTGGTGTTATCGCTGTGGTTGAGGTGCGAAGTGGCCGCGCTGATAATAGGTACTGGGGCAGCGTCTGCTGCAATCTTGGCATCCGTGGGGGCAGCGCCAGCGATATAGCTAGCCAATCGTTGCACATATTGGTAAGTCCAGACCTGCGGCTCGAGGCAAGCTCTGTCACTCGGAGTCAAGAGGTGGGAAAAATCCCGTCGCCAGAAACCTGGTTCGAAGTTGGCAAAGACGGACGGTTTCCAGAATCTCAGCATTTCCCAGAGATGCCTCATGTTGATTGCGGCGATGCGCTGCTTCCTGTCGTGAAGGAGGGCGAGCTTTGAGGTGGTGTTAGGGAGGACGGGCGTGAGGATGATATTTTGCGACTTGCGTTCAAGCCAGCCTGCCTGCGATTCGTGGATGCGCTCCTTGGTGAACGGCTCTTGGTCGTCACGAGCAGAATCGGTGCCAATGAGCAGGAGTCTTTCGCCCTTTGCTCGTCGTTGGGCGAGCTGTTTCTGCATATTCGCGAGAAAAGACCGACCGATGCCCACGGTATCTTGAATAGCCTTGTAATCCCTGATGTGGACAATCACCGCGCCTTGGGGCACCCCGCTCTGTTCCTCGGTCTTCTCGCGCAGCTTTTTCAGGTCAGGGGCCTGCTCGTCACTAGATACTGGTGATTGTGAGGTTGGTCGATCGGATATGGTCTTCAACATCTTGTAGATGACTCCAGAAAGGGCCCCAGCCTCGTCACGAGGTTTCTGAGGGTCCAGAAAGTCTGGCACCATGCGAAACATGCTCCCTTGACCTTCGGCTCGTGTACTTTCTCCCATCTCTGGAAAGCGCCCGACTAGAGACTTGATGATATCGCCAGGCCGTGCAGTCAAGATAGACATTCCCATCCGGGGAGAGGTCTGGGGTGAATCCATGTCGTCCATCATATCCTCGAGCTCGTTCTCTTCATCGTCTTCGTCGAGCTGTTCCTGCTTAGCCGGCTCTGAAGGGTCGGGGAAGGCAGTTGTCAGAACGTCGTAGCTGAGCATGCGACCGGCCTTCGCGGTAGACTGGTTCATATGGTTCCGGCTAATCAGGTCTGCAATGTCTTGAGCATCTACCACCATCACATCACAGCCGAGTTTGCGTGCAACTTCTTGGACGAGATGGTCCAGAAGCAAGTCTCCGTCCTTGCCTGCATATTGAAGATGAAGATGATCTCTGTAAGATTCGACACCATTCGAGGTCTGATTCTGCGACATTTGTAAGAGGCCCCTGGCGGTTCTCAAGACCTCATCATACTGCTCATCGACAACGTAATATCTTGAAGAAGCTGCAGGGCTTGACTCGGATCCGGCAGAGGGTGATGGCCCCTCTAGTTCTGAAGTTGTCTCTGCCGGCGACCGTCCTCCTTCCACCTCCCGGATCGAGCCAGTACTGCCATCTTCACCGTTAGGACCCGATGGAGACGACCCGCCTGAATCGGGGGAGAAGTTTTGCTCCAGAGGCTCGCCGGTAATCAAATCTGCAGCCACAGTGTGGACTTTTGAAGGAGTCCCAGGAAGTATGTCCACGCCCCATAGTGCTATATTATTGTCTTTCGACCATTCTGGAGCTTGGAGATCCGTTTCCGGCTCCTTGCTCATGCGACTCCGTAGCCTCCTCTTCGCTGGAGAGCCATAGAAATCCCTGGATCGCGCAGCGTCGGCAGGCTGAGGGAGGGCGGGAGCCTGCGGTTTATGAGTGAGAGGGGACGGTTGCTGCTGATCGTCGTCTGCGTCCTCCTTAACTATGTCCGATCGAGCAGCTCCATGGCTCTTCGCATCGTCGCCAATACCCCTGCTACCGAGCGAGCCTACATTTGAAGATCTCGGCGTTGTCCTCGGGCGAGGCGCGGTATGAAATGAGCGGCGGGCGTTTCCTGGCTGGCGTTGGGCGCAGTGACGACAAGTCGAACAGATAATCTGCGAGAACCGTAGTTCCGCCTGCAAGGTCGTTTTCATTCGAGCGAGCGACGGGGAAGAATACCTCCTGCAAGAAGGAAGACGTGTCTTTGGGTTGGGAAAAGAACGAAATTCTGTCCACAACTTCCGCATCGGGACGTAACACTTCGCCGTAGCGAGACTGACGCAAAATGCCGCTTGCACCGCCATAATTTTGGAGACATTCGTTCGCCTCGAGTCGAACATCAAAACCTGTCCGGACATATATTTATCTGTCGTGTAAGACGAGCATGCCCCCATTTCCGTGCGAGGTCTGCAAGGACTCGCGAGCAGCGGTCATTCGACCCAAGAACTCACAGAAAATCTGCAAGCACTGCTTCATATCTGTCTTCGAAGACGAGATCCACGAAACCATCGTGAGTAATAATTTATTCCGCCGTGGGGAGCGCGTCGCCATCGGTGCCTCAGGCGGGAAAGACTCAACCGTTCTCGCTTCTGTGTTGAAGACACTGAACGAACGCCACGACTATGGACTGGATCTTGTGCTCTTGTCTATTGACGAGGGCATCAAAGGGTATCGAGACGACAGCCTGGAAACAGTGAAACGAAATGCGGCGCAGTACGACATGCCACTTGAAATCGTGGGATACGACCAGCTCTATGGTTGGACCATGGATCAGGTCGTGGCACAGGTAGGCAAGAAGGGAAACTGCACCTACTGTGGCGTCTTTCGCAGACAGGCACTGGATCGAGGGGCTGCAAAGCTGGGCATCAAGCATGTCGTTACCGGGCACAACGCCGATGATGTCGCTGAAACTGTCATGATGAACCTACTGCGTGGTGATCTGCCCAGACTCGCCAGAGCTACTTCTATTGTGACCTCGAGTGCTGCCAGCGAGATCAAACGGAGCAAACCCTTGAAGTACGCATACGAGAAGGAGATTGTTCTTTATGCACACCACAAGAAGCTGGACTACTTCAGTACGGAGTGCATTTATTCGCCGGAGGCGTTCAGGGGCAGTGCACGAACATTGATCAAAGACCTGGAAAAGATCAGGCCTAGCAGCATCCTAGATATCGTCAGGAGTGGAGAGGACATGGCTGCACTTGTTCCCCCAGAAGTCGCAGGATCCGCAGCCTGTGCAGCGGGTGGCGAGACAACAAATGGTTGTGGAAGTCGCAATGAGATTGGCGACTCGATGGCTCAGATGGAGCAGACTCTTGTCGCCAATGAAGCCGCCGCTGAACGAGAGACCGAAATAAGAGCACCAACTACGAAAGCCAATGGTCAAGTGAGCATCCACGACAAGAAGAAACGAGGACGGCGAAAGGTTGTCAAGCAAGTCATGGGTCAGTGTGAGCGGTGTGGTTACATGTCGAGCCAGAAGATCTGCAAAGCTTGCACACTGCTGGAAGGTCTCAACAAAAGCCGACCCCATACTACGATTACGGTGGACGTGGAAGAGGAGGAAGGGAGCACGACTTTGATGAGGCAGGTCGCAGACCTTGCCATCGTTGCAGGATGAAGTTCAACTCGTCTTCTTCGCTAACGCCGTCCGCCGGTTCAAAAGCGCAGTCCTGGCGTGCCACGCTCGTTCGACCAGCAACAGAGCTATCTGGAGCAGAAGGATAACCAGCCTCAGCAGATGATTTTTCATGGTCAGAGTAGGCCTCTTACCCCTTGAGGAAGTCGAGTCTATGAACTCGAACGGCAGCTTCGCCCCAAGATGATTGGTCGCCACCGATAGACCACTGCTAAAGCCGTCCTCATGGAATCCATACCCGGTCCATGCTCCACAGTAACTGATGCCTCTGATATTCTGGATTTTGGGCAACAGTCGCTGTGATCTGATCGCTGCAGCATTGTACAGAGGGTGAGAGTACTCCCAGATACCCTGTGCTAGCCTTGGATCTGGCATGTTCAAGGGATTCAGTGTGACTAGCACCGGGCCAAACTTGTCCTGGGGGATATGTTGCAGCAGATTCATCCAATAAGTCAGGCACGTCTTGGGGGCGGTCTGGCTCCTCAATGGCGGAAACGGCGACTCGGCGATGTAATTCCAGGCTGACCAGGCGACCTTCCTCTTGGGCATGAGTGAGACATCGGAATGCAAGACCGCCACAGACCTGGCGGTGCGAAATCCACTCAGGATCTCAGCCTCCTGAGTACTCGCAATGGGCCGAAGGATCTTCAGCGCTTGGTCACCATGTGTGGCCAGTATGACATGGTCAAACACATAGTCTCTTTCATTGGCGGTCAAGATGACAGAGCCTCTCTTAGTGGGTGTCAAGGCGGTCACGTTGGACTTGAGGTGTACCTGATCGCTGGGAAAGTGCTCCATTACAGCATCGATGTATTGGTTCGATCCTCCAGAAATAGTCAACCAGTCTGGACGCGATGCATTCGTCCTCAGCAGATGGTGGTTGTGCATGAAACGGACAAATGTCGTGGCCGGAAATTCTGAGCTCTTATCAGGACTTGTGCTCCAGATGGCCGCAGTCCTGGGGATGAGGTAGTTGTCGCGAAACTCTGGAGAGTAATGCTCCCGGTCGAGATATTCTCCAATCGTTTCCTCTGGAGCCGGCTTGCCAGTTGCCTTGGGCATACCCCCGGCTGCATCTCGCTCACTTTCTGGTTGGTCCTGCAATAGATCAAGGGCAAACTCATTGAAACGAATGACGTCAAATAGCAATCTCCACATGCCAGGATTGAAGATGTTTCTCTTTTGTGCGAAGATGGACGACAAAGACGTGCCAGCCCATTCGAAAGTACCTTGATCGCGGGAAACGGCGAACGTCATCTCGGTCCTTCTGGTCGGTATACCAAGTACCTTGAGGAATCGGATGAAGTTCGGGTAGGTAGCAGTGTTCATTATAGTGAAGCCGGTGTCTACCACGACCTCCTGCCCATCCATGGCTTCGTAGGTAACTGTATTCGTGTGTCCGCCCAACCGCGAGGCAGCCTCGAACAGATGGACCTCATGATCAGTACCGTTCCGGAGAGCCCACAATGCAGCAATACCCGAGCAACCGCTACCCACGACAGCCACACGCTTCCCCATTACTGCAAATCATTCAGGCCGCTTGTACACTGCACACCCAGGAGAGACCCTGCCGCAGCTGCTCATTCATCAAAATGCTCGGAGTTAGCCTACCTTGGTCTCATCACCACGCCGAGCGGACCTTCCTTTCACAAACTGAGCAGAGCCTCATGACGGGAACTCGGCAAGAAAACAAAGGTGCGCTCGAGCTGTAAGTCTAGAGACTTGTCGGGTCCGCGTCGCTAGTGATCGAGCTGAGAGTCATGGTTCAGCTGGTCAGGAAGATCCTCTGCCGTCATCCAATCAGGCTGAGTCTCTAGAGCGGCGGCAGCTCCTTCCCAAAACGGCTCGCGATCTGCCCGCGGCCTCGTTGTCGACGTCAATCAGCCGCTGTCTGAATGCTTCCCCCAGAGCATAAACGTCCACATAGTAACACCCAGCGACGTCACACCAACCTCCTCGCGACGCAATAGCGATTTGATCTACTGAACCACCTTTTCGAAGCCCACCACTAGCCCTCTCTTGACTTTCCCCCGCAAGCGATCCACGTTTGAAACTCAACTAGGCGCCACTGAATCCCGTCCACAACTCTTGCGCTTCCCACCAGTTCTCGGAGGTTGAGTTACCCACAATGTCGAGCCCTCTCGACACCGACGCCGGCTCCGAGTTATTCAGCACGTACGAAGCCGAGCTCAAACTCGTACAGGCAGATGTGAATCAAAAGCTGGACCAGATCCCCGAACTGGCGGGCGAAGAGAAGAAAGCAGCCATCCGCGGAGCGGAACGAGCCATCGACGAGGCGAAAGAGCTGGTATGTATATCTCGCGCCCACGACCCACAGCAGAGGACGGCACACACTGATCTTTTTGTCTATAGCTCGACCAGATGAACCTCGAGAAATCCAACATTCCCACTTCGCAACGCTCCAAGGTCAACTCGCGCTTCCGCAACCACCAATCCGACGTTGACGCGCTCTCACGAAAACTGAAATCCATGGCCGACAGCGACCGCAAACAGCTCTTCGGCGACCGCTACACCGATGACCCGGAATCCGGACCGAGGGATTTGCAGTTAGAACAGCGCCAGCAGTTGCTCTCGGGCACGGAACGCCTAGGACGCAGCTCCGACCGGCTTAGAGAATCACAGAGGATAGCGCTCGAGACGGAACAGATCGGTGCGAGTACGTTGGCGGATCTACACCAACAGCGGAATGTCATTGAGAACACACATCGGAATCTGCTGCAGAGCGAGGGTTACGTGGACCGAAGTGTCAAGACGCTGAGGGGAATGGCCAGAAGGTAAGATATCGTCCTGCGCCTCTGCAACGGGATTACAGTGAGCTGACCTGCCATTGATTTTGGCTGTAGGATGGCCACGAATCGAATCATCACGATCGCCATCATCACGGTGCTGGTGCTTCTTATCATCGGCGTTATTTACAGCAAGTTCAGATGAGCCCGAGACGAAGGGGTAATAGCTCGAGTGGTTGCACGGCAACCGCCATTCTTTTTCGTTGTACATAGCTTCTAGGAGTAGCGGGAGCAGGAGAGGTCGGTCATTCCATGGTGATCAGGGGGCGAGAGCGCCCCTTTGGCAATAGGTTTTGGTTGCCTCCCAAAAGCTTCACACTATAAACATGGTTCATGCCTCGCGCATGTCTACCGGTTGTTGAGCTCACCTCCATACCTTATAAGCCTCAGTTTACCGATCATTGAGTTCACCCTCCATACCGTATAAGCCCCAGCCCAATATTCAACAGAAACCCCACAACGACAGCCATCTTGCGCCGTTGGCTCCATATCCCCTCCTCCCTGACCCCCCACATCAGACACCCGACCGGCCAGAAGAACCCCATGGCCGTGCCCCAGATCATATCGTCCAGCGCCCCGGCCTGCATGTCGTCGTCACTAGCGCCCATCCCACCGCCAGCCGTGGTGCCGTCCAGATCGCCCGTAGCGCCCGTCGAATCGTCGAGCCACCGGTCCTCCATGTCGCGGAGGGTGTTGGGACTCGGCATTGTGTCCGGCGTGTGCGTGTGCGCTTGGATGGCGAGGAACTGGAGACGTAGCGACTGCACCTCTGCGGCGCTAAACCCCGCGTTGAGAAGCCTGTCGAAGCCGCGCGGCGCGGGCGTCGTTGTCACTGACTGTTTCGCTTTGGGCTCGTCGCCAGTGGCAGTTCCATTTCCATCCCCTGTCACCTGAACCGCTGCCGCCGCCGCCGCCGCTTCGTCCGCGAGTTCCTTGCCCGAGAGCACAATGTCGCCTATCGAGCAGTGGATGTAGATTCTGGGCTGATGGGTCGCCGAGGGGGGATCTCGGAGCGGTTGTTTGCCTTTGTGATCACCACCGTCGGGTCCTCCTCTAGTAGCATTTGTAGACCCGTTGTTCCTCTCATCGTACGGTCCGGGCGTGCTGATCCGACTGGGTGGCCTCGAGACATTTCTTTTCAGAGTCGTGCTCAAGGGCACGTCGTCCGCGAGAGCCTTCCCCGCATGGATCAGGCGGATGCGATGTTTCGCGTACCGGTCTGGGATGCGCGAGCGGATGAGCTGTTTCAGTGTCGCGGCGTTGGCGTTCAGAGAGGCCGGCACGGAGAGGAGCAGGTCTGGCAGCGAGGCTGAGAAGCGGATGGTGAGCTCGTAGTCGGGGTCGTGGGCGTGATCGTATGGTTCGTCATGTTGCGGGTGTGGGCGCAGAGGCGGTGGTTTTAGGGACATGGAGGCGGTGCGCGTACGGGGACGGACACTTTGGCTGCGGGCATGCTGTTAAGCAGCGGCGGCGACGGTGTCGGTCTGGAAGATGGTGCGTGTCGAGGGTCGTCAATTGCGCGTCTGTGAGTGAGCTTGAGATACTGTCTCACTGTGTACTCTATGTTCGCCCGCTGTCGGCGAGTTGGAGATGCGCAGGTGGGAGGCGGGCAGGTGAAGCGAGTGTGAATCTTTACATCCTACCTGACCTGGGTACTGTACCAAACTTGTTCGAGTATGACATGTCTTACATTCAGTAGGTAACTCTCTTACACGCGTTGAACCCTGCTGGATTATCGTCCAAAATCTACGCCACAGGAACAGGACGCGGCAACTGGGCCTGTCCAGCTTGCAGCTCCCTCTCCTTCAGACGCCTCTTCTCCTCCTCGAGCATCCTTGCCTGCCGTCTTACTCTCTCTGGTACAACCTCCGCTCTCTTGCCCTGGATTTTCCAGCCCCGCAGCTTTCCTTGTCCTCCGATATCTTGGATCGTCTTCAACTCGACAAGGCTGTATTGGCTCTCGTCCTCCCTGTCAAAGTTGAAAGGCTCGACGAGCGAAACCGGCGGGTTCGTAATGATCCGCGGTAGGCGGCGTCCGTTCTTCGAGGCCGAATGCAGCATCAGCGGATGAAGGAGGATCACGTCTCCCACCGAGCCGGTCATCTCGTGGAATGAGGATTCTGCGCAGCTCTGTACGAGCGTGTTGTAATATTCCAGGCCGTCTTCGTAGTTCTTGGGACCGCCGCCGACCGGTGTCATGCGTGGGAGCACGCCTTCGGGATGCTCGTACAGATACTTTCCTATCTTCTCAGGGCCGTCCGAGCATACCCAGGTGCCGCCGCCGTTGGGGAGAATATCCGTGAACAGGGGAATGACCAACAGCCCTTGCTCTGGCGAATCGAGAAAATGCACAAAGAAGTCTCCGTCGACATGCCAGCCCGTCAACTCTTTGGGGTGCGCCTCCTGGCCGAAGTGCTCTTTGGTGCCCAGATTGACGATGAAGCTGTCCTTCCATACCTTGGATGGCTCTGTGATTCGGTCTTCTCCTCCGATCAACTCACAGATGGCATCGTAGGCTTTGGGGGCAAAGTCTTTGATCGCCACCTCTTCATGTGACGGCATGTTGGTCCTTTCTGTGGTCCAGGTTTCTGGGTCCTTGGGATCAAAACCAAGCCTCACCCAAACGTTCTTCGTCCATTCCTCTGCCACCTCCCGCGTAAAACAGCCCGGGATTCGCAGATACCCATGCTTCATGAAGCTCTCGACTTGCTCCGGAGTCAGGTGTTGGAACGTCCTGCCTTCCATATCGGTGGCCGACAGCTATGTGTGGATATAGGTGCGCTTAGATGTAGTACTGCTGGACTTTGATGTCGTTATTGATCTGCTACTGTCGGCTGTTATGCAGGGTAGAAATGAATATGATCGTATATTCACTCTTATCGCCTGAGGCCTGATGAGCTCAAGGACCCGGAACTCATTCAGCCCTGCTAACGGATCGATTCTCGACTCACCAATACGGTGCGTCGAGAGCGTGAATTTAGCCGGAATTCGTGATTAGACTCACATGATGCTGGCGGACCATTTCGCCAGACGGTTCCCAAGCCCAACGAGCCGTCAATTGCAGGATCAGAAGTCCGAGCGGACAGGCGGCCACCTCTCCGTTCATGTGGTTGTCGCTCCGCATAGGAGAGTACCTACTGCCCCGTTGTACTCTGTACACAAGTGCTGTTGCGGCTCTCTCCACCAAGTTGGGGAAGCGCCCTCGGCGCCACCTCGAATTGCGGAGTCCGCTGGCTAGGTGGCTGGCCCCCGCGTCTTTTGAGGACGGATCAGCAGTGCCGTGCTGCGTCGATCGCGTTTGGACAATTAGATATCTCCTTCCACTTGATAGCACTGAGCTTAGAGCCATGATAATTATCCAAGCATTGCACGAGGAGAAGCCAACAGTGGAGGAATGAACTTGGAAGCAGCCGACCACGGTCAAAGTTTTGCGCGCGTTATTACAGTATGAGCGGAAACTCCAGAATTTATACTCAGATCACGAGCCTGTTCGTCCAAGAGTGTGTTGGTCTCAAAGGTGGCCAATTTGGTTTGCTGGGTTATCAAAGATGTGTTTACCGCATGCGGCTAGTACATTCCGAACTCGGCAATGCCCCTGAGTGGCTTCCAGCTCGAGTCTTGACCATTTGCTTGATCTGTCGACACATACACCTTGTCTAAAGTACCAGAGTAGAGTTCCATTACAATCGTTGCGGGCTATGTGCCTGCCCTTCGCGTACGTGGAAGACATTGTTAGATAGTCCCACCCTGCTCCGTATGCCGACGCGCCACCTCGACTTCACCGGGGCTAGGTCGGCTCGCAGGGCAGAGCTTCCCACAAGCGATGCACGAGACCATATGCCATCCGCCGGCTATACACTTCGTGCCTCCGAGCCCAAGTGGATCCTCACGCGACCCTGAGCCTGGGGACTTCTGCAGCTTGGCAATCCTGCCGAGTTTCCGAAGCTTTGTCTGGCTGCACAGACGAGCGAATAAGATGACACCCGTACCGAGGGTCTTTGAGCTTAATGCAGCTTGACCCTGGCGTCGAGTGGACGTGTGGACCTGGGGTAGACATGTCCCCAACCTCCACAGCAAGATCGACATGTTAGACACCATATGTCGCCGCACAGGTCATTCTCCTATTAGCCTAAAGCAGGCTGAAATCAGGTATCTCCATTGTTACACACTTACGCGGGGGATTCTTGAGCTCGTGGCAGGTTCCGTTCGACACATGCTCGTGACAGCGTTGGCTACAGCTCTGCACCTCTCCGGTAGCGCGCATACTAAGAATTTCGGCAATGTGATCAACAGGATGGGACGGAGAACATATATGCGCAGCGAGGATGGAGTTCCTTGTCGCAGACACTACTGCCAATCCCTTCTCCTGCTCGAGCATCCCGCAGAGATACACCCGTGTCGACTGATTAGCAAGAGCCGCCAACATGGTCGGAATCGTTGCAGTGCAGCCGGTGCACAAGGTGGAGCGAGAGGTCGCCGTCGCTGAGGCGCCTGAGCTGAGACGCGTAATCTGGTACAAAGACCCCGGCCTGAGGAAGCTCTATGGTCTGGCGATTGCGCTCTTCTTCGCCTCGGCAACCACTGGATATGATGGGTGAGGGCTACTCCCGAGCCTTGTCTGACCGCACGGCCGTACTGACAAGACCAGTTCCATGTTGAACGGCCTCCAAATCCTGCCCGTCTGGCAAGACTACTTCAAGCACCCTACGGGGTCCATCCTGGGCCTGTTTGGGTCGATTTACAGCATCGGAAGCTTGGCTGGCCTACCATTCGCGTGAGTTTGCCCCCTTCGAGGGCCGCTTGCCTGTGTTGAGAGTGCCCTCCAGACCGTATCTGTGCGACATATTTGGTCGACGCATCGCCATAATGGCAGGATGTATCTTTCTCTTTGTTGGCGTTGCCATCCAGAGCGCGTCCCAGAACTTCTCCATGTTCATCGCTGGCCGCTTCTTCGTCGGATTCGGCAACAGCATGGCTTCCAACTCGGCGCCTCTGCTCCTCACCGAGCTGTGCCATCCGCAGCACCGTGGCCGAGTGACCACCGTCTACAACCAGCTCTGGGACATTGGCTCCATCGCGGCGACCTGGATCACCTTTGGCACCTTCACCATCAAGGACAACTGGTCGTGGCGCATCCCCTCGATCCTCCAGGCTTTCCCGACTTTGATCCTCTTCTGCTTTATCTGGATCATCCCAGAAAGCCCGCGCTGGCTGATCTCCAAGAACCGACACGCCGAAGCCCTGACCACGCTGGCAAAGTATCACTCCAACGGCGACGAGACCGACCTGACCGTTCAATTCGAGTACCGCGAAATCAGGGAGACGCTGCGCCTGGAGTTCGAGTCAAAGAAATCCAGCAGCTTTCTGGACTTTCTGCGGACAAAAGGTAACCGATACCGACTGTTGCTTGTTATTGCGCTAGGCCTGTTCTCCCAGTGGAGCGGCAACGTGAGTCGAGCCGAACTTGAGTCTGTGAGCCTGATGCTAACTTGCTACCAGGGACTGACCAGCTACTACTTCGCGCTCGTCATGAAGAGCATCGGCGTTACGGATCATAACGAGCAGTTCGAGATCAACGGCTCCAAGACCATCGTGTCCCTGATTGTTGGACTGATCGCCGCCGCAGTGGTGGATAAGTTCGGCAGACGGCCGCTTTTTCTCACCGCCACATTCGGTAAAAGAGTGTGCTTCTAGGGCCTTTGCGAACCACTCACTGACCTCTCCCAGGCATGTTCGTCTCATTCGTCCTCTGGACCGCCTGCTCCGCGCTGTACGACCTAGAGGGCAACCTCGCCGCCGGCAAGACGGTCATCTTCTTCATTTTTCTACATGGCGTCTTCTACAACATCGCCTGGTCGGGCTTGCTGGTCGGCTACACCGTCGAGATCATGCCGTATAAACTTCGCGCAAAGGTGGGAGAGCGAGCACCGAGCGCCTGGTAACAAACAGCTGACCATGTATCTCCACAGGGACTGATGCTCATGAATTTCTTCGTCCAAGCCGCGCTTGTGTTCAACCAGTAAGTGGCGCATTTCGTATCAGGACATATCATACCTTAATCCTGTCTATGGCCTCCCCCTGCTATGCTAGACAGTCCCCGCTCAGAAGACATGCATGCACACTGACATGCTCACCAAACAGATACATCAACCCCATCGGCCTGAGCCACCTCCAACCCCGCTGGAGATTCTACTCCATTTACTGCGTACGTATGACCCCAAACATACATGCCCCCTTCCAGCCTGCATTGTGTACTACCGCCCTGCGCTACCAAGTCGCCTTCCCATGCTTCCCCAATCATACTGCGAAACTGACTCCATGATTTTTCGCAGGGCTGGCTGCTCTTCGAAGCCCTCTTCGTAATCTTCTTCTTCATCGAGACCCGCGGCGTCACGTTGGAGGAGGTGGCCAAGATCTTCGACGGCGAGGACGCACAGGTCGCCCACGTGGACCTCGACGCCGTGGAGGAGAAGATGGCGCATGAAGTCGAGGTGACGGAGGTGGAGACCGTTAGTGCGCCGAAGAAACAGCACGTTTAGTGCACTTTAAGCGCGTTTGAGATGGTGCAAGGTGCAAGGTGCAGGCACCGTACCAACTGTGGGCGCGGTGCTGGAAGGAAGACGTGGTCACGCCCTCACGTAGCCGTCGGTGGTGGCGTCAAGTGCATGTCCTACAGTACGGGGTCATGTCCTACCGATTACAGCCCGGGGAAAGCCATATTCTCACCATGTGAAGCTTTTCCTGGGGGCGGACTACTGTAGAAAAGGGATCTAGATGTGCATCGAACCTGAAGGGAACTTGACTCTGCGGTTTGTGCGGTGTGATGTCATGTCATGTTTCAAGCACGTGCTCGTCGGCGCTGGGCTGGTGGTATCACTTTCGCTGTGTTGTCTCTGAAGTCCCTTATGGCCTACGCCTGGTGTGCGATATGCACTATGCAACGCATCCTGCCTGCCTGATGATCATCACGCCAGCTTTCCTGGCATGTCACTCCTTTTCGTTTGCGGACACCCCCCCCCCCCTCCTCCTTCAAACCTTCCTCTTCTTCCTCGCCGCCTCCGCTTCCGCCTCCACCGCCGCCGCCCGCGCCATGCTCCTCGTCACCCTCCTCTTGTCCATCTCCTCCCTCCGCGCCATCGCCCTCGTGGTGACGTTGGGCCCAGTCCGCACCTGCCGACGGCGTGGCCGTCGTCTCCTCGCGACGGGCGCCAGCTGCGTTGCTGCTGCCTCCTGCGTGGCCGGCTGGACGGGGAGGTTACCGTCCGCCGTAGCCGCCGCGACAGACACAGCAACCGCACCGGCAGCCGCATCTTGAGGGGCCAATTGTATGACCGCCGCCGCCGGCGGGGCGTCCTCGGCCTGCAACGTCGACTCCACCGCCTGCTTGGCCAGCCTGGCCAGCCTGGCGCACCACGCTTCGTCCACGCCGAAGAGATCGTCGGCCAACTCGTCCGCTACGGCGGCATTCAGCGACAGGGCTTCAGACCGCGCGATGAACGTGTCGATCCCGCCAATGCCGTCCACCGCCGTGGCGACGAGCTGGTCTTCCATCTCGACGTCGTCGGCGTTGACGTGGCGGCCGTTGGGCAACTTCCACGGGTTGTCGCTCAGGCGCGGTACGTGCAGGTTGAAGGCGTGCTCCTCTACAGCCTCGACGCGCAGCACTGCAGCTGTGGCGACCGTTCGCACACGCGCGATGCGCCATGGACCCGGCACGGCGGCCGCCTGGCGGAGCAGCTCCTGCCTTGTCTCGAACAGCTGGACGCTGGGAGACGGGGCGTGCTGCCAGGGCGCTTTGAGCCGCTGGTCGGCCTCTGGTGGAAGATGTTGGTTGTAGAACGTCCACGGGTGGGCTGCGACTTGCGCGTCGCTGGGGGGCACGTTGTCTCGGTACCGGTCCTGCCGTGTCCACTGCAAGTCTGGCAGCTTGTCGGCCTGTTGGCGCGCCTGCTCCGCCCACGTGCGGATGTACTGGTGGAGGTCCACCCACTGGTTGTACGTGCCGGGCCAGATGTTCTCGCGGGCGGCGTACCGTTTGCCCAGTTCGCGCAGCCAGTCCGAAAAATCGAGGCGCAGCGCGACGTACTTGGCAGTTTCTGGTTGCTGGTGGCGGCCGACGAGGGAGCGGTGGATGATCTCGTACAGGTTGCTGATGTCGTCGAACATCCTGTTGACTTGTCGTGTGCGTGTTTCGGGGGGCTTGTCGGCAGCGGTCGGCGTCCCAGCGGCTTGACGAGCAGCGAATTGCTGCTGCGCTTGGTCGTCTTCTTGTTGGAGCGAGGCCAGGTCTCTCATTCGCCGTCTGACGGGATTTCCAGATACCTCGAACAAGTCCTCTGCTGCTCGTCCGGCCAGGCCGAAATCTCCTAGGAGAAAGTCCAGGAGCTTGCTGTCTGGGGTGGGGAAGTGGAGAAATATGTTGCCTTCGTGGACATCTTGGTGGATCACGGGCGGCTCACAGTACCGGTGCACAAAGTCCACGGCCTCCATCAGGTGGTCAAGCAGTTGCAAGACCAGAGCTTGTGGTGGCAAAATGCGTTCTCGTTCCAGCACGGCGAAGAAACGGTCCAGCGAGCCTCCGTTGCAGTAGTCGAAGATCATGGCCGTTGACTTGAAGTCACTGTAAGAGGCGTGGTCTTTGGGGAGGACATTGAAGTCTTGAGAACACACAAGGGCTGGGATCTTCGGGAACTCTTCGTACAGCTCGACTTCTGGGCACCGGATTCCATCTCTGTGGCTTGCTTTTGCTGAGGTCGGCTTTGTCTTCTTTCTCACATAGTTCTTGTTGTTCGTGATGGAGCGGACGATCGAGGTGACTCCCTCCATGCCATTGCCCAGCGGCCGACAAAAAAGGTAGCCATCGCCCTCGGGGAAGAAAACTGCATACTTTTGTGCAGACATTATTGAAGAGAAATAGCAACAGTGGTAGATTCAGGCTGAGAGACGGTATGATGTGACAGAGCAGACTTGATATGCGAGGCAGAGATATCACTGTGCTTGAGCTGAAGAAGGAGAAGAGTATGGTTTACAGAACGCTCGACGAGGACTGCTCTCTTACCCGGAAATTCATGAAGCGGATCATTGGTGTGCATCATGGATGCTGTCTGAATAGTGCATTGAAAGTCGCACACCTCAACGATGAATGAGCCAAACAATAGCATTCAAGCTAAATTTGGTGAACAGGTCAGGCAGAACAAGGAGATGGGGAAAAGGAACAATAGTGCGCCATTGTTCCCACGTGACGGTCAATGAGAAATACCTTTTCCCTACCAGGTTAAAGAAACATTCAAGCATTCACTTGACCTGTTCGGTGGAACGAATCATGGCGTGGGGATTGTAGACTGTTCACATCGACGCCGTGGGTGTATCGATAGAATCGAGGAAGATAATAGAGGTCCCCTATTTGGAGCGAGTATGTCTGGCAGAGACTCGATTGCAAGTTCACCGCCACAGCTGTATCGAAGCGGCAGGTTGATGGGTTTCGTTGACTTTTGTCTGTGTTTCGTCTGAGCAGAGTGTGAGAACGTCGTTCAGGCATGGTTGTCATCTGCGACGGGTCAGCGCCAATTCGGATTTCATCCAACCATCAACGCTTGAATTGGGTCCAAAGCCCTCGTGCTCTACAGGCACCGCTGTGCTGCCCGATCTTGTGCTCAGGTACTGTAAGAGCTGGTTTGAGCGCAGTCGAACGTGATTTTGAAGGTGATGGCGTGGGAGAATCCACGCGTCAGCTATAGTGCGCTGTGGCTTGGTGCGCGAACCACTCAAATACTTCGAATCTGGCTTAGCTCCGAGCCTGTCACGTGCGCGCGTGCCTTTCGAAGATTGCAGGTTGTGTGGCTTAGGCGCGATCAGGAGTTCTCACGCTCAACTGTGGGTGGACGGTTGAATCGAGCACAATCACACTCATCGCCCTCAAGAACTTTCCACCCACCGAGACGTTTTCAGTCGGAGTATTCACCATTTTATGGGTTCAAAGCACGAGTCAGGAAAACAGTACTGAGACCGTTCGACAAGAACCCGGTACTAGATCGTATGTTTCGACCATTGAAGGGCCAAGCCTAGCATCCTGGGTACGAAAGATGCCCAAGGATATGGAAGGTCATATACTCTTTACTTTAGCTGGATCAGAATGCACGAAGTCCAGGTCACTGAAGTTGTCGAAACACCCTAAGCTGAAGTTGAAGCTCATGCCCCGCAGAGTCCGAAAAGGCAGAGGCCAGCTTTGACTCGTAGTCCCGACACCGAGGGTAGGTTCGCGCTATCCTGCGTCAACCGCCGCATGGTCGTCGTGATAAGCTTCTTTCGATATTTCTGCGCCTTGGGCGCCTGTCGGGAATGTACGCCGTCCGTATGTGCCTTCGAGCGGCCCTTCAAGAATGCCGTCTGGCCGTTGACCCGCAAAACGTGGACTGGACGGGCAGCAGGCCAGGGGCCAAACCTTCCAGCAACATCCCGCTTAGTCAGCTTCGTACAGTCGGGTGTTCAGTAGGCGTATGATGTGGGTGCACGAGGAGCAACAAAGTTCGCAGTGCGTCTCTATGGATGTGTTGGAACGGTAACAACGAGTACCCCGGGGGACCTATGTGACATTCCTGACTTAACGCAATTTAGTTGCGACGACATTCCTGACTCCATGCAACTCAGCCGTGACAACGAAGACGCTAATGGCCTCTGGCTTCGTCCTTTCCTTTTCAACAAGTTTGCTATACATCTGCGTTAACATACTTAACCACATATCAGCTGACAAGTAGCTGGCAGGAGGGTTAGGTTGTTTGTTAGGCTCGGTGTTGGATAATTGTTCAAAAGGAGCCATCTCGACAAGTGATACCCAAGACGCAGGACGAGTATGTGGTAGATTTGGAGAAGTGTCAGGGAGGAGGACGTAAGTGTGATCCACAAATTAATATGGAGCATTGATTCCGAAGCATCTGTCTCTTCATTTGTCGAGAGGGACAGCGGTGATCGAGGACGACAGATCTGCTGGCTGCAAGCTGAATGCTCGCCGGCGTCCAGTTAGCAGCCCTGTTGTATCCATTGTTTGAGTTCCGATGTCCCATCGATCTGTGTACCGCCCTATACTGCGAACATGAAGCAATTACGCTGGTCTGATGGGCTGCGATGCCGCCAGCCTCTCAAGTACCGCGCTCAGAGCGGGACCACTTTTCAGTAGGCTTTGAGGGACGGGACCTGCAAAAATTAGGTAGGGAGTGACATAGGTTACACTGGGTCTCGACAGGCGCCTTGTTTGATGACCCTCCATCTGCAGTGTGGCGCCGTATACAAGAAGGCGCAGGCTGCAGCGAAGCCCATGAGTCGGGCTGACAACATGTCTTGCGCGTGGAGGGCGGCCGTTGTGGCGAGAAGAATCACCATCGACGCCCTCGCGATCTCAGGTCTTGCACCCTGGGGATTCGATTCGAAGAGATGCTGAGTGAGCCCAGATGACAGAAAGCCAGAAAAGAACAGGTTGCGGCATTGCAAAATGTGGTCTCAGGTGGCAGATTGCGTCCGACCGGATCATCTCGAAGAAGGCGCCGGAGCAACCGTCACTTACCTCTGGTATTGTCCGGTCGATTGCTAAGAATGTATATGTTGCATCGCCTCCGCCGAGGCCGAGACCCGCTTTCGACCTCACAGTCGCACGCCTTTACGTACCAACCACATTCTCGATTCTTTCACCTGTCTACGCCCCGCCAAGCCCATAAGGAGACGTGATCGCAGCCAAATGGGCCCAGCGCTCGTCATGAGCCCTTGCAACCTGCTCATTCATATCCATACGCGGGACGGGTGCCTGAAAGAAAGTGTGCTTCGAGAATGCCGGCGAGGACGTAGACAAAGGACGTTTGGGATCTTGGACGTGGACGTGGACCGGCCTGATTATCGAGTGAGTCAGGAGTCGAAATCTTAATTCAGCTCTGGTGAAATGGCACAGGGTCGCCGGTCTGAGATGAGACTCTGGGCATGAGTCTCAATGCCGTCTATCCGAGTAATATGTGGTCATGAATCTGATAGGCAGCCACTGCTTCTTTCTGATTCATGAAACATACTTGGTGAGGGAACAGACTTTTCTACTCCCTGCAGCCTAATTTCGCTCACTTTGACTTCTACCACCCTCGGAGGCGATTTGAGTCTAAATCACCGTTGATGCATAGAAAAGGTCCCAAGAATACCACAGCTCCTTTGTTTGCCCCCGGTGATAACGGACACTTTGACTTCACCGAACTCGCTACACTTTTGGCACTTCTGGTAGACCCAGGCAGTCGTCCTCCTATCTTTCGCGATTGGCGGTCCACAGCCCGCGGAAAGGCGAGGGACGGGACAGGATTTCGCACAGGTTGCATCAGACACAAATTGGAGAGACAACAAGCAGTCTTTTTAGGGGGCTGGAGCCGGAGCTGCAGCTGCAAAAGAAGAAGTGGTTTGCTATCTTGTCTGTGTATGGCTCGGCCGATGGTTGGTCGACCTTTCGATATGCATCATGGGCTAATCCGACGTATGCCGCTGCTCCAACACTCGAAAATTGCAGTGACATGTTTCTCCGCAGATGACAGTACCCTTCTCGAGTGCTGGTACCGAAGTCATAACATGTGGAATTGGTGATCCGGAATTCAGAACAGTGGGAAGACCAGAGCACCCTGCGCATCCGCAGCCAAAACCTCGCCGAGGTGCCATTTCCGCTCCGTGTTTCCAGAACGCGCAGGCAAGAACGAATGGAAAATCTCGATGTTCCCGTCATGTGGTCTGCGACACCAAGCTGTATCAACACACGGAGCCTGGTGGGCACGTGGATGGAGCACAGGCTCGAAGCCCGGGGCGCCCGTCCCTACACGTAGTACGTGGAACACCGGTGCTGCCGAACCGCATATCGCATCGCACATACCGCGAATCCAGTGCGATCAGTGACAACATGAACAGTGCAGTAGATTTAAACTGCAACTATCGAACGACTCAGAATCACTACCTAAAAATGCTACAAAAGTCCCACGTCGGAGAACATTCGTCCTCCAAACTCTCTCTCATTCTAGCTACCATGGAAGACCGTTCAAAACCCACATAATCGGTAGTGGATAACCCACGCACGCTTTTCGTTTGTATGCACAAGATTTCCTTGATGATCCCTTTGTACCGAGCCAGTGCTTTGCTCGTGCACGCCATCTATCAGTATCGCCGGCTCAGGGCCAAAATTCGCTCACCATGAAAGGTATTTAAACACCACTTCCTCCCCCTGTTAACACAATCATGGACCCCAGTTGTCCATGCCACCTCCGAAGTACTGGACGTCCTCTTGCTCCTCCTCGGCGAAGAATACAGGCACATAAGATGGCACCTGGTTCCCGATTGCATCAATTGGCGCCATCGCCTGCTGGTCGTTGGCGGTTGCTTCGAAGCCAGACGTGGCCGCCGCATACGTTGTTGGCCAAGTGCACTGCATACGAGTCTGCCACGCTTGTGGCATGCCTGAGGCCGCCTCAGGAAGCGGTGCTGATAGCAATGCGTCCAGGGAGCCTTGACATGTAGGAAGCGTAACAGGAGCTGCTGGGGCGTCGGATGTTGCGAATAGAGAATGGGATTTATGCTGATGCTGATGCTGATGCTGATGGGCCCATATCGGCTGCTCCGTTGGTGGCGACGTCCAATGCTGTTTTGGTGGCGCTGGCCACTGCTCTGTTGAGGATGCTGCCCATTGTTCCGATGGTGGCGCCATCCACCGCTCCGTGGGCTGCCACGTTGACTGTTCCGATTTAAATTCCGTTGCTAACTGCGTCTGTCGTTGGTGCATCGTCACACGTCCACTGATGTCGGCGCCTTGAATGACAGCGACATCTTGGGGCCCGTTTTTGCAGTAGTTGGCATAGCCCAAATGCTGCGTGCCAACAACGCTGTCAGGCATTGGCCCAATGTGTGTGGTAGGTTTTGGAGCGGTCCAGTCAATTTTTCCTCTGTTCTGGCGTCGTACTACAGTCTTCTTGAGCTTTATTTTGACCCCGGATTCTGCCAGGTCCTTGGATAATTGGGTTGATGGCGGTATCTGAGGAGCTTTGGGATGGAACACAACTGCAAGATTGTAAGTCTCTCTCCAGGGGTTCGTAACAACATGACCCATGCTAACCGGCAAATTGAGGGGACCAGACGTCTTTGATGACGCGTGCGAAATGGCCATTCTCTGGACTGTTTCCGTGTTAGCAAGAGGAGAGCGCAGACAAGAACATGGCACTTACTCGACGCGCATATCTAGGAGTGTGAATTTGAACTTGTATGAACCAGCTGTGTCCTCCTCGAACTTCGGGATTATGTCGGTGAAAACGAAGAAACCGCGTTCTGCTTGTCGTTAAAGACCGTCAAGGCAGCAAGGGTCCGGAAACACATACTCTGTGGGAAGTTGGGCAATTTGGCTGCGCTCAGAGACGAGACCAATGAACCAACACAGGACGTCGGAATGGGTCTACCGTGGGCGTCGATTTGATAGAGCTCCGCCACGAGGGATAGATAGGGGCTGAAGAGCCAAGACCGGGTCTGGTCATCATCGTGAACTTGTAGTTCGACGACGGGTGGAGGTTCGATCCAGGCTCCTCTGCTGGGCATGTTCTTCTTGGCTTTGCCTGCTGCGTGATCAGCATTGAAAGTGGGTAAGGCCGCAGTTACTGACCTATGCGGGGGCGCTGAGCTTGCTGCGCTTGCTTTGCAGGACACTGAACATCAAAGACACTAGGTAGCTGTCGTACTGTAAGCGCATATGCATCGCTGTTGTACAGGTATTTTGTCAGTTTTGCTCCTTGCAACGACGGTATCGTCTGCATTTCGGGATGTGTCTTGCTAATAACCGACCTGTATTGCGCCGCCCTTGTGTTGACTTGGTGGGTGAGGTAGGGATCACGCCTGTGTCGGTGTGGGATGGTTGGGGGCCTCATGTGGTTGCCTTCGGCACGATCAGGATCGTGGCTGACGTTCATGCTGGAGGTAGAGCTGTCGTCAACTCAAACAATGTTGGAGAATTCACTGGAAGAGCTTCCGTAGCCGCGCTGGTGGAGGAAGTTGCTGCGCTGAAGTGAGCTCGAGGTGAGTCGAGCCGGGTCAAGCCAAAGAAAACTGATGGTCTGGGGGAAGACCAAGCCCGAAATCACAGGTAAAGTGGTAGAGTGGGAGCGAGGACTTTGTCCTAATTGTGCGGCCGAGCAAATGTGGTTGATGGTCCTCACTGTGTGCGCGGACACCTTTTGCCTTGTTCTGACGGGCTTCAGACAATCAGCATGCGATTCCAAGTCGTGCTGTACCCGGTAGACCGGTAACTTTGGCGCCTGAGTCGAAAAGCGCAAGGAAAGCAAACGCAATTTTCACACAACCAAGCTCTTGTCCAGGCATTTGACTCTGAAGCTCTCTAGCGTGGGCATGTCTGTGAAAAAGGTCCTCTGATCAGAATGCTAACAATTTGTGAGGAACCGTGATCGTGGCGATTGCGAGCTAGCTCTGTGGAAAGCGAGAAGCTTGCGATTTTCCAACGGTGCAAAGTGGGGGTTATAATGGCAGAATTATATCGCGATATTGCTGTAGTGATGTTGAGTGCTGTACATAGATGTGTTGGTAGACGTGACCAAAAGGCCTGAGCAGACGCTGGGCAACGCCTGCCTGTTGGTGTGAGAATCGTTTATTCCGCGCAAGAGCAAGCGCGCATGCGGATGAATGACGTGCGAATCGTGTACAGTCGCAAATGCAGGCCGAGTAGTATGGTAGGACATGTGTCGAATCCAGTAGATACCTGTCTTAGTCCGGAGGAGTCGGGTCCGTCAAGGCAGGTGGTGACCACCGCAGCAAATGCGCCGAGAGCAGTCTGAAGATTTGCAGTTCTTCTGTCTATTTACTTGTACACTCGGTTTGGAGGGGATAGATTGCGCGACGCGCGGCACAGGGCGGGCAGCGTGGAATAGGACGGTTCTGCTCGAGCAGCACGCGCAGGTTTTCTGCAACAATCTCAAGGATCGCTGGGGAAACTCCAGATGAGGTCGTCAGGAGGAGGCAAGACTCTGGCCTTTACCACACAGAGGGCAAGGATTGTGCCGAAACAGCGGAGCGCAGGGAACACGAACTCAGCGTGCTCTCAAGCCGGTGTAAGAATGAATAAGGACAGGGCATGGAGAAGTCCTCGACAATGGCTTGGACGGCGATGCTAGCTGGTGCGGCGGCGAGGATATCATGCTGCAGGGTCGTAATTGTCGCACGTAACAGCGTTTGAGCCGACTCTGGAGAAGTTGATGACCATTGCCTCGGGTGCAGTGCTCATCGAACCTGGGCAACCCACGACCCCCCAGATTCGCTGTATCAGCATGCACTAAAGGCCAGAGAAGTCCACAACGTTCCCGTTCGCGAGCGCTCCACCGGCCCTTTTGTGTCCCTCCTGTACAGCAGTGCAAGTACTGGTGGCTTTCGCTGTCACAACAGGGCAACTCGTTGGGGACGTTGATATCTGGGCGGGCTGCAAGACGCAACGCTGACACGCAGACGCGCAAGAGCGAATCCTGCAGGAATGTGATCGGAGGTGTGCTGCTTGAGGCAGTTTGTCCAGGCCAAGCGATGCCGGTCGAGATGATGCCAGAGGAGCCCAGGTGATCGGGAGAATGAGCGGCTTCATCCGGGATCTTGTGCACCGCGTTTCGATGTCTGACGAGATTCGGTCGTCCCCAGGGAGTAAATACGTGAAGTCAGCAGGCCGGGCCGAAGCAAGCCACTTCGTGACCACTGGGGGTCGGACCAGGGGGGATCAAGCCAGCAGACAGACTGCACCTGTAGATGGAGCTAGAGCAGGGCACAGCTAACCATGGTCTAGCACCATCCGCCCCTTCCCCTTGATCTGCATCGATCCTTCGCGATCAAAGGGTGAAGGCTGCGAGATTTTACGTGTCTCCTCTTGTGCTATTCGACAGCATCTTCCGGGTTTGAGGCTTGGGAGCCGGCGACTGCAGGCGGAAAGCAGGAAGACCACGCCAAAAGTCCATCGGATGCCCATCCGAACGGCAAGGGTGTTTGACACCAGGCTTGTCGCACGTGGCTGTCCCAGATAGCTCGTTCCTGCTGGCGTGGTCGATCAAAGGAGAAAGTCCCGTCGCCAACTGGGCCATGATCAGGACCAAAGAGGACTGCTTGGCGGCAGTCCCGCTCGAAATAGGTTAGATGGGCCTACAGATCGACATGTTGGTTTTGCCAGCCATGACATCGATGCCCTGCTCCGCCCTTCCACGTTAACAATCAACAGGATCCGTGGGCAGAAGGCTTCTGTCTCTATGGAGACGTCTTCGATGCCGAGACCAGCTACCATGCAGAGCAGTCGGCCAATGACAGAGGCTTACGCTCAGTCCGTGGGGCTTGACATGGAGGGGTTGCGCGTGAGGGCACAGTGGTCATCGAGGCGATACATACTCGTACGAAGATGCTTGAAAGCTGGCGCTGGGGCCAGTGGCGGTAATGCGGACTTGATCGTGCGGCATGAGTGTGACTGCCTTTAGCGAGGCGCACTGGCGTGTTGAACCTGAATAAACGTGCAGGGGCATGATCCAGCTATCCTGATCTTCGCGCAGGATCCGAAATCGCGGATGTTGTCGATATGCAAGCAAATGGACACCTGACTGTCAACTGTAACGTGGCAGCAGCGTGGCCGCCACGGGGAAAGCTCTGACCAGTCGACACCCTATCAGGTACGAGTAGTCAGTGTCTCTTAGAATGAGAATACGGGCGAGACTGATGCACCAGGGGCTGTCAAAGTCCCAGGAGGAGCTCTCGTATGTTTCCCTTCAACCTGGGAACAGCCTCCGGGAACGATGCTGGTGGTTAAGGGTCCTCGGGGGACAGGGGGGCCTTTACGGAGTAGTCTCCTGCAAATTTGAGGAATCATGCTCCGTATGCAGGTCGCTAATTTGGACAGTTTCGCCCTTCGGCGACGCGATTGGCCTCTGGTCCGGAGTGCACAAAGCCACCATCGACGTCAACGACATGTCTAGTTCGGTATCCTACGAGAACTGTTGTCCACCACAGGATTCGCGTCCGAACCATATCGTTTCGGGGTCTTTCCTGCATCCAAGCCGACTTAACCGTGTCAACGGGGGTGGGCCACCGCGCGACGCGGTCCTGCTTCGTCCGGGCACACAGTAGAGCCAGGGGTGTCTCTTCGATCGAATCCTATTTGCCCCACCAATACGGAAAACTTCGCCGCCTGAGGATCGTCCAACGGCGATCCAACCCCGAAGCAAGTCGGAAATGCTTTTCTACCCGGGCTAAAGAGCTAATTTTCACCTCGTTCAAAGGCGCGTCGGGTTCTCTCACGACGTAGGGCGCCTTGGGACAACAGGCGCTGGCCTTCCAGCCTTGCGCCTCAGCCTGACCTCTCCTAACGCCAAGCAATGACGGAAAAGACAACCCGCCGCGAACAGTGGCTTGGGCCCATGATGGTCCAGACCATGTAGCATGCAGCCTGACACAGAACCTGTCATACGGACCGATCCAGACTCAAGGTTGCATGTGCCATACTGTGGGAGATGCAGCAGGAGTCACGGTTCGAATCCCTTCGAAGATCTCAGATGCGTCGCAACCTGTTCGATCTATCTATCGGCTTGGGTCTGATTCAAGGAAGAGCTTTGACTTCTGCAAGCCACAAACAGTACCCACTGGCATCTACTGTTCAGAGGCGTAGCCAAGCTTGTCCGCATTCCCGTTCGGTATGAACGTGCAATCTTGGAGCTCTCCGGACCCCTGTGTGTGCCAGATCGGTCTATGGGCGAATCGGGTCGCGCCAGGCGCTGACACTGTTCTCCTTGCGTTTGTGGGATGGTTGGGGAACGTCTACACAGTAGGTACGATGTGAGTACAAATTCTTGGCTTGCTTTGACAGTCTACCTCGTGATGTCCTCTTTGGCGAGAGTCGGGTGCACCGACTGCCTGATATGGGCGGCTTCGTATCCAACTCTATCGTCGAGAAGTGATCGTGAACAAAGACTCCCACGTGGTTGCCAGGGGTTGCGACATGGCGCACGCTCGAGGCGCACATTGACAGCATGGCCACCAGACTCGAGCGACACAACATTCGATCGATCATCTGCATGGAGCACTCGATGCGGCAGCCCAGGCCTCCAGGACATCTGTATCCACACAGTCTAGACTCGAGGCCCAGAACCGCTGGCTTGATTGGACGATTGACCTCCTCGTTACTTCAGTCAGCCGGACCCCTGCAAACCCAATCTCCATCTACAATTACGCGATATTGGACCTGCGAGCCAGCACGCCAGCCAAATCCGACCTTGTCCAAAAATGCACACCTCGCTTCGGTGCGGCATTGCGTAGGTGGCAGCCACGCTATCCGCCGGAGCTTCGATCGAGTTCTGCGGATACCAATGCTCAAAGAATCAACTGGACAGATTGATTACGAGCTTATACGACAGATGCGCCGTCAATGTGGCCGATCGCTTGGCAACAGCGTGCACCTGACAATCGAGGACCATGCTTCCAAGCCTTCGAAATCTCACACTGTATCAGGAAGCTGCAGCACGTACGGAGTACTGATTCGCATAGAACGAATCACTGCTCCGTCCCCATCCCTCTTTAGTCTCTCCGCTGGATTCTTCATCACAACTCCAAGGATTGAGGTTTGGCGAGCGATCTGAAGAGCGATCCGGTGTAGCCACACGTCTTCCGTAGTTTCTGGTGGCCCATTGACCACGCTGGGATGAGACACTTCGCACCCGCATGGCATGTAGGAATGCTCGTGCATTATTTGGACCTGGTTGTCTGGATTACTACCCCGCGTCACGCGGGTTCTCTCGCCCATCTCATCGTGGGAAACCGTATCGTGAGCTGCGACCTTGTGTCCCGGTCGATTACATCAGCTCAGCCATGGGCCAACTTGGCCATACCAGCCATTTAGATCTGCTAGCCATCTCAGAGGTTGCCCATGTCGTGTTCGTAGCAGCCTAGTTTCTATACACTTGAATCACGGTGTGCACATACCCCTGCCTCCCACCTCCGTTCGTCGTTTGGCCGGCTCTCACCCCTCACTCTTTACCTTTGCCGGCACCAAAAGAGCGTCGAAGGACTACTACTATGCAAGGACGTAGTAAAGGAAAGCATAAACAGAATGGGACTTGAATCATCCTACGGTGCAGTCCAGAAAAGCTGAATATTTGTGGTTAGGAAGGACTTGCGGCCATCGCGGGATTGCTCCCAAAGGGAATCGTCCACCTCACCAGAGAATGAGATACTCCGGACTTTACTCAACCCGATGAAGCCGGAATTAGATTAGTCCGTACTCCGAGTGCCAACTCTTCGTAAGCCGAGGTTGTTCCGAGATGCCCCAAAAATTCGGTGGAGCATTCTGGTCGGGTGGATCAAAACAACCACAGATCTCACGGGGACTACTACACGTGCTGTGTACCGTGTAGGTCTAAGCACAACCTCCTTCCTACGTGATATAGAAAGGATGAAAGGACTGTGGTCCAACTATGGACGAAACCGACCTCTTCTCGCCCTCTTCGCTCTCTTTGTTGTTTGGAAATCTTTAATCGCTCTACTCGTTCTGGCTGCCCCTGGTGTCGGATACGACACGTCGACCAGTCTCCTGGCCGCTCGCCCTGGCCGCGACAATGTCGCGTTCAATAACCCAGAACCGATGCCTAGCTCCTGGCTAAAGTTCGTACGCTGGGATGCTATATACTTCACGCACATGTCCCAACAGGGACACGTCTTCGAGCAGGAGTGGGCGTTTGGAATCGGCTTGTCAACAGGAATATCTCGAACTGCGAGGTGTATGGTCGCCAAAACAGACATCCTGTTTTTCTGCTGACAACGTCTCAGTCCTTTCTGCGCTGGGCGTAAGCGATCAACTATCTTCAACACTCGCTGGCATTGTTTTGTCTCACACATCTCATTGGCTATCTGTGCTTCAGCTTTGGGCTTTGACCAAGTCTATTGCTGAAGAAATGCAATGTCTGAGCTACTCTAACGTACCTCTCAATGCTGCGGCGCTGCATATCATCTCTCCAGCAGGGGTTTTTCTCTCGGCTCCATATTCAGAAAGCCTCTTCTCATTCCTGGCCATGTCTGCCTTTCTCAGCTTTGTTTATGCGCTTCAGCGGTTCAACCAAAATCAAACCGTAGCGGCATCTACGAGTATGGTCCTGGCTGGTCTTACATCATGCGCCGCCACTATAATTCGAAGCAACGGGATCCTGGCTGGGATACCATTCCTCTTCGAAGCGATAGCTACGGCATTGAGCATCCTGTACCAGGGTCTTTCGACGGTGCGGATGACCAAACTTGCGTCGCTCGTCGCTGGTGGACTCTTGGTGGGTATTGGTCTGGCGTACCCGCAGTTCTTGGCTTATAAGGAGTACTGCTATGGCCGGGAACCTGACGACAGGAGACCTTGGTGCAACCTGACGCTCCCGTCTATCTTCACTTGGGTGCAGTCTCATTACTGGTACGCCCGTTCAAATCTACCTTACGATCATGCTAACACAACGCCCTAGGAACGTAGGCCCATTCCGCTACTGGACGGTGCCAAACCTCCCGTTGTTTCTTCTCGCCGGTCCCTCGCTTTGGCTCTTGACATACTCGGCGGTCGATGCCTTACGGAACCCTTCGAGTCTGGTGCCAGGACTGTCTTCTGTCTCAGCCGCATCGATCTCATCTATCCAAAAACGTATCATAATGAGTCTTGCGTTGCCGCAACTTTTGCTGGCAATCCTCGCCCTGACGAGTTATCATGTACAGATCATCACCAGGCTGTCATCCGGGTATCCGTTATGGTACATATGGCTGGCGTGCAAGCTGACCGACGAGCCGAGGACAGCTTCGCTGGCTATCCGGTGGATGGTGCTCTACGCCTTTATCCAGGCCGGGCTATTCTCGTGCTTTCTTCCCCCAGCTTGAAAGTAGATTGCTTTTGCGGAGCGTTGCATGCTTGAATTGTCCTGCTCGAGCCAGCAGATGCAGTCGTCAACCCCTCTTCCACCGACTCCACATCAACTCGGATAATGTTCATGTCGACCTCTCGGTACGAACACGGCATAGCGAGCTTATCTCCCTCACACTGGTTTCGAAACAGCTCGAATGAGGAATGCCCGTGATTGGCTCAGTTGACTTGAACATATAATCAGGGAAATGGGCAATCCAAGACCTTGACTCAAGTCGGTGAGCACGGTTGCCCATTCAACATCGTGATCAGTCTTACTTGGTCTTTGTTGTAGCCATTGTGCGTACTTGCTTGGAGCACAAGCACGAGCCGATGTGACGACTTACACATCAAACATCGGCAGCTAGGATGGAAGAACGTCGACGATTTCGGAGGAGAGAGCCACTGGGACTGAATGAAGAGCGGCTGCCTCGCCCAGCCTCGAAGGGTCAGGGCCGATAATGGGGCAAAAGCTTTACCTCTCTCGCAAGCCAGGTATCCCATGCGCAGCCGGAATTGCTGACAGCATCCTTGGCAGTCATGGAAATGTGAGCATTGTATAACAACTTAGGCATGAAAGGTTAATTTTTATATGCTGGAGAGTGTTCGGCATGACTTCGTTACTCATATCTCAAGTTTTAAGTTGTTACGTACAATATTCGTAAGATATTGCGTGTACTGTAGCTGTAGAGAGATCCGAGATATACACAGTACATCATCACTGCAGTTACTACTACACAGCTTGTTTCTTACCGTAAAACTTGAGGGACAGGTAGAGAAGTCATACTGAACACTCCCCAGCATATAAAAATGAACCTTCATGCCTAAGTTGTTGCACAGTGCTCAGATTTCCGGGATGCCAAGACCTGCTGTCAGCAATTCCGGCCGCGCATGGGATACCGTGCGGTTGATTCGTGGAGGGGGAGGACCTTGCGAGATATGCACCAAGTACATTTACAACAAGAGGTGCTCTACAATGCCATGTTGCGTAGTTAACTATAGGAAGAGAAGGAATGGGTCTGTCGTCTGCGATCCTCGGGGTCCCTTGAGTGCGTGCCGACGAATTGCAGCCACAAGAGTGCGCCACAAATTCGTCGTGCGGCTGTCATTACAACCCAAACGCGCAACATTTGGATCTGGAGTGACTCAATGCAAAGTTCGGACGACAATCCGTTCCGCAATTCTCCATCTCCCAAATTGTACACTCCAACTTCAGTCCTCGCAAGAAAACAGCTTGCCTAGTGAGTGGAAGCTTATATACTCTCAATTACCAGACTTGAGCTGGGCTCATTTCACGCGCTTCGTTCTTGAAACTCCTCCGAATCCAGGCTGTCCGCTACAGATCGAGCACATTCACCATGGTAGGAGGCATGTCACAGGCAAAGAGGAAATGCGGCGTATTGGGAGCCACGGGTCCGTAACATCCATCAGTCTATATACGTTTTTGGTTGAACTGATGTTGTCACCAGGTTCTGTGGGACAGAGGTTCATTCTCCTTCTGGCTGATCATCCTACGCTCCATCTACAGGCTGTTGGAGCCTCGTCAAGATCCGCAGGAAAGGCCTACGGCGATGCCGTCAGGTGGAAGCAAGCAAGGCCGATATCTCCAGAGCTCGCAGGTCTCGTGGTCAGGGAATGCAAAGCCGAGAACTTCCGGGATTGTGAGCTCGTCTTCTCGGGTTTGGACAGCGATGTAGCGGGGGACGTCGGTACGGGGCCCACTCACGTCTACGGACTCTGCATTTTCGGCTTTACACTAACTTTTCACAGAAATGGAGTTCTTGAAGGCTGAGATCCCCGTGTTCTCGAACGCAAAGAACTACAGACGACATGAAAAGGTGCCGCTGGTTGTGCCTACCGTCAACCTGTCACATCTGAGGTTGATCCCTCACCAACAGCAGCACTTCGGTCTCAAGAAAGGTTTCCTCGTGTGCAACTCGAATTGTGCTGTCATTGGGATCGTTATCCCCTTTGCAGCACTTCAGGCCAAATTTGGACCCGTCGAAGACGTCGAAGTGTTCACAGAACAGGCTGTCTCAGGTGCGGGTTATCCCGGTGTCGCCAGTATGGACATCATGGATAACGTCATTCCATATATTGCTGGGGAGGAAGACAAGCTTGAGACCGAAGCTCAAAAGATCCTGGGCTCGATCAACTCAGAAGCCACAGCGTTCGAGGAGCAGGCAGGCCTGACCGTGGGAGCTACATGCACTAGAGTCGGGGTCACCGATGGTCACATGGCATTCGTGTCATTGAGGTTCAAGCAAAGACCCCCACCAAGTGCGGAGCAAGTTAAGGCAGCTATGAGAGAATACGTGGCAGAGGCACAGAAACTAGGGTGTCCATCAGCACCAGAGAAGGCTATTGTGGTCTTCGATGAGCCAGACCGCCCGCAACCGCGACTTGACAGAGACATTTCTGGCGGATATGCCGTCAGTGTCGGTAGGGTCCGCGAAGCGGCGAAGGGGTCCCATTTCGATATCAGATTCGCAGCCCTCAGCCACAACACTGTTATTGGTGCAGCAGGGTCGTCCATCCTGAACGCAGAGGCTGCCATTATCCAGGGCTTACTGTGATCTGCGGCAGTCCTGCTCCATCCATACAGGGCTCCTTGCTATTCAGATTTGGGATGAACGAGATGCCGAGGAGATATTTGATCAAGCTACAGCATCAAATCAATTGACGGTAGGACAGTCGAATTGCAAATGAGATCTCTCAAGTTCCTGAAGCCTAAAGTCGCATTTGGAAGAAAAGCGTCGAGGGTGAAATTTCAAATGACACATTGACCTGGTGAAATCCGCACGGAGAAATCTTGGCAATTCTAGCCGCTTAGAGACTAGCCCACTTTTGTAAATCGAACCTGCGACCCGCGAAATCAATTGTCTCCGAAGGCTCGTCTTGCGATCGTTCACCTCTTCTATCACCACCAATATCAGATCAAAATGGGTCGCGGTCCGAAAAAACATCAGAAGCGTCTCAGTGCGCCTTCGCACTGGCTTTTGGACAAGCTCTCGGGCGCCTATGCCCCGAAGGCGTCCCCTGGACCTCACGTTCGTCGTCCTCAATATTGCGCACAGGACGCAGCGGCTGACAGAAAGTGTACAGAAAGGCCGTGACTGCCTCCCTCTGATCGTTTTCCTCCGAAACCGTCTCAAGTACTCCCTGAACAACCGCGAGACGAGAGCTATCTTGATGCAGCGTCTCATCAAGGTCGATGGCAAGGTCCGCACAGATATCACCTATCCCGCTGGCTACATGGATGTCATCTCAATTGAGAAGACCGGAGAGCACTTCCGTCTGGTCTACGACACCAAGGGCCGCTTTGCCATTCACCGTATCGAACAAGCTGAGGCAGAATACAAACTCGGCAAGGTCAAGAGAGTGCAACTCGGCAGAGGAGGCATCCCATACTTGGTTACGCATGATGCTCGAACGTAAGTCGCATCTATCAGCCGTTGGACCAAGCTGTGGTCGGAAAGAGAAGACAAAAATGCTGACGTGGATTAATAGGATCCGATACCCTGACCCGGCCATCAAGGTCAATGACACCGTCAAGCTCGACCTTGCTACTGGAAAGATCACCGATTTCATCCGCTTTGACACCGGTGTAATTGCCATGGTCACTGGTGGTCGTAACATGGGCCGTGTCGGTGTCATCACTCACCGAGAGAGACACGACGGCGGTTTCAACATCGTTCACATCAAGGATGCCATTGACAACTCGTTCGCTACTCGAGAGAACAACGTCTTCATCATTGGCAAGGAAAAGCCGTGGATCAGTCTGCCTAAGGGCAAGGGTGTCAAGGTATTTCTTCCCTGTTTTTCTATAATGACACTTCTCTAATAGGTGAACCTAGTTGTCTATTGCCGAGGAGAGAGATCGTCGTCGCGCCGTTCAGATGGCCAAGGGTGGTGCTTAAATTTATCACGGTGGCTTGAGCATACATGTACTGTATGACAATTGAAACCCAATAGCAGGCAGAAGTACTGCCGTGTCATAGCCACATCTGCGATAGATTCGAAGCTCTGCAGAATCAAACGCGTGGCACATTGAAAAATGTCACTCGGGCGTCCCACCGACTATCGATCAACTCAGCAGGTGTGAGCTGAGAGTCAAGACATGCTGAAGAAGAACCAGCCAGTCCGCTGCGCTGAGAATCGAAGACACCCTTCGCAAACTGAGACTTTGGACACAATGTTTTTGTTCTTCTGTTTCCACTCCTACCGACTCTTCTTACTGGCATCTGTACCCGCGCCCAGCTTGCCGAACAATCCGGCCACGGTCAACAGTCTATTGATGTGCAAGAAGACGCTGACACCAACGTTTGAAGCTGTCATCTGATTCCATTGATTGAGGTCCCAGAAGACCTTGTCGCCTAACGCCCCGTACACCGAATAGATGTGACCCAGATCTGCCAACGCTACTGCAATCAGATATCTCCTTGCGATTTCCGCGTGAGTGGTGAAGCAGCAAATGACTGCCATGGCTGCAAGGAGCAGGAAGACGTTGCCTAACTGTAAGGTCAACGAGAGGGACTGGGGCGCAAAGACATGATCCGAGCGCAAGCTTTGAGGAGCTTGATCGGCGTAGTATTGTTGTGGATCGTAGAGTGTGATGAAATAGGCCCAGACTCTGCTCATCGGTCAGTGTGCAACTTCAGCGTCTTCATGGATGTACTAAATCATACAGCGCGGCAGGCTCAAGGACGCCGAAGAGAATCAAAGGCCAGGCGGGGAGTGCTGAGATTGCCATCATGTCGCGGTGCGATATTCTTCTCGTTCAACACTGAAAAGAAGGAGAAACTACTACTGCAACGAGGAACGAGAGGAAAAGCAGCAATCATCTGTCCTCACATGTCCTGGCACCCTGGGTAGAAGCACCAGGATGTATCTCAGGCCTACCACTCCCAAGCCTACATGTAGTCTCACAGTAGAGTAAGACCGTTGTCAGCATTTAGCGTGCGGGGAGAGCAGAGCCGCTTGAACTTCGGTAGGAATGGCCGGCCTGAGCCTCCACTGGGGTCCTCCTTTGTTTGTTTACGGTGTGCATGGCAACCATTGGCCGTCCAATCAGCATCAACGACATTTGCGGCTCTTTCACTTTGACACTTTTGACCTTGACGTTTTTGATCCAGCATATATCGCGCGACAATACATTAACGACAGCAAGGGTAGCACTACAGCCATATACAGCAGCAATGGCCGCCGCTGTCGCTACTGACAGTGACCTCATTAACTTCGACATTATAGAATCGCATAAAGAGAACATTCAGTCCTTACCCAGTGGCCGCTCGGCGAAACAGCTGGCGTCGGTCCTCTCACCACTACCCTCAGGCAGACCAGGGGGTGCAGACACAGCACCTACATTGGAAGAGACGAAGACACTCAATGATGCGATCCGACAAGAATACGAAATTGAACTGCAATCAATAGCAGAGTCGGACGACCCGCTGGACATCTATGACCGCTATGTCAGATGGACTCTGAACTCTTATCCCTCCGCCCAAGCAACACCCCAATCACAACTCTTACCACTGCTCGAGCGCGCCACAAAGGCATTTCTTACATCCTCGCACTACAAGAACGACCCCCGTTATCTAAAGTTATGGCTGCATTATATCCGCCTGTTCTCCGATACTCCTCGGGAGACATTTGCATTCCTTGCTCGACATGGCATAGGCGAAGGGCTGGGTCTATTCTACGAGGAGTTTGCAGCCTGGTTGGAAGGCGCAGGGAGGTGGATGCAAGCAGACGAAGTCTACAAGCTAGGCATTGAGCGCGAAGCCAGACCTACAGAAAGACTGGTGCGAAAATACAATCACTTCCAGCAACGGTTCGATGCCAGGGCACAGAACGACAATGAGCCCAGTTCTCCAGCATTGCCGACTGTTCGACCAGCATTGGCTGCCAAGATTGATCCTTTCGCCTCTGCTCATACGAGTGAAGATCCACAAGCAGCTCAGCAACGACGCGCTGCAGCACCCTCGCGTTCAGGCAAGCCCAAAATGGCCATCTTCTCAGATTCCACACATATTCAGCAACCTCCTCCAACTGCCGGTGGTGCCAAGGGATGGGATAGCATTGGATCTGTCAAGGAGCGCAAAAAGGAGAACACCATCGAAGCTCGACCGTGGGCAGGGGAGAAGCTGAAGGCTGGCGGCAAGGTGGGGGCCGTACCAAAAATGGAGGTCTTCAAGGATCCGGTATGATTGATCTTTCTGTGCCTAGACTCAGACAACCTCAATCCCAATTTCCGTTGCCCTTCTGCCTCGTACCTATCGTATCCGTTGACTAGAAAGCGACTGACCTGTTTCCTTGTAGGCATTCGCAGTGCCAGCTGAACAGTGCAAGCATTCGTCGTCCAGGCTAGAAATGAAGCAAGCCAGCCAGGTTGTCAATCCACGAACCGGCCGAGCAGAACGAGTATTTGTGAACCTGGAAGCTGTCTACCCGCCTGATAGTGATCTTGAGTTCAGCTTTGAAGAACTTCGAGCTATGTCGCGTGGCTGGGCGCTGAAAGCACCGAGGCCGCAGAAAGACTTGTCTCCTCTGAAGCCAGCAACTGGCAATCCAGTCGCAAAATCCAGATCCAAGGTCACCAAGTCCCATGAGCCAGATGATATTGAGAATCTCACCCACTCATTTCAACAAAAGGCTGATCTGAACAAGGAGCCAGACTCGAGCTTTAACGTTTGTGATGTGTCCACACAGTCAATGGTCGGCATGCCTGAGGCTGGCCCTCGAGAATCTTCACAGCCAGTGAAGAAAGAGAGAAGACTCAAGGTCCGAGAGGTCAAGCAGGAAACTCAGACTGTCAAGACTCGATTGGATTCGCCTTCCGGCCGGAAGCTGAAGAGAAAGCACAACCCAGCAGCCGAACCAACAATGACCTTTCACTCCAAGGCCGCCACGAATGAGATCTATGATATGTTCAACCAGCCCCTGCGCAAACCAACAGTAGCCAAAGATGATACTCAGAGCGGTGAAGACACCGAATTCGCCGACGACGATGGGTATAGCACCGCGGGCGAGAGTACAGGTACTGGGCGGGTCTCCGCGCCCAGCAGTGAATTCGGTGACGATACCTTGGCATCCATCCGCAGAGGACAATCACAGAGTGGAAGCCAATCTGAAAGTGTCTCTTCTTGGTCCGAATTCTCTGTCAGCAAGGACATGCCGCGTCTTGCCAAGGACAAAGCCTCTTCAACCCGAACTGTGAGGAGACACAAGCAAGAAGATCCATCTGAGGAGATGACGGAAAACGTCGACTCGTCCAGCCAGAATCCCACTCAGACTTCTGGTCTGATGAGTGGGTTCGACACCCAAGCGATCGCTGCAATTGCCGATGGTGATTTCGACGAGTTGGACACTAAGGCCATTGCCCTGATGGCTGGTGATGTCGACGCCGATGCCGATGTCCCTGTCGAGGGCGTCGACGATGAGGCAGCCACTGCAGCTGTCGATGAGGTTGGTAACGACAAAGCCGTTACTGCAGGCACCAACGAGGGCGCAGGCAAAACAGGTCCACCGCGCGTCGCTAGAACCCACAACGATGAGTCTCTGGTGACCCCTACCGACAACGACTTTCCTGAGCAGGTCGAAATCCAGCACAAGCCTTGCTTCATCCCGCTGCCTCCTGTTGACTACGAGCCGACGCCTGCTCGACCATACCGTGACCCTGCGTTGATGGCTCAGAACAAACTGCCCTTCATGACACCTATTGCAGAACGCACAGAGTCCTCCCTTGCCCCTTCCACCGCTTTCAGCGCTCCAGGCTACTTCGATGCGAAGACGCCCAGCAGATCCAAGTATGACAGTCCGTCAAAGCTGGGGGTCGCAGATCTCCTCCTGAGCAGCCCACAACAACAGGCATCGACCCCTACATCGGCATCCCCAGCGAAGAGAAAACACGGGGAAGTTGGCGCAACTGAGGACGAAGTGACCACTTCATCACCGCACAAGAAACCCGTCAGCAAGTCTACCGAGCTGGAAGCCCCACTCGCGTTGTCAAACATTGACACAGATGCCGTCTTCAAGGCTCCTGCTCCTTTGTCGACGACCCAAGCGACGACCAGACCACCACTCACAAATATCCGCAAAGGCCCCATCATACCAGACCTACAGTGCAATCCATGTGATGATGCCGTCCGCCAACAGATCCTGACTGCGGTCTATCCCCCATTGTCAACCCAGAAGGGTTTTTACGATCATTCCACCACCACGTCCGGTCGCTACAACACTCTCAAGTCCTTTGCCGAAAAACAGATGAAGGCGAAAACGAAGGCCAGCCCACGAAAGAGTCAGAGTGAGAAGACACTTACCAAAGCCGTACCGCCTGTCCTCAAGTTCGAAGGCACCACTCGAATCTTTGCAGTCAAGCGAGAACTGGGAGAAGGTGCCTTTGCACCGGTGTATCTGGTGGATAGCTATGATCCTGGAGAAAGCCAAGAGTTGGATGAAAATGACAAGGAAAACAAGAGCCCACCAACCTTTGACGGCATTGCTTCAGGCCGTGAGAATCTTGAAGCCGTGAAGACCGAATGTCCTCCTGGCACACTTGTCTGGGAATTCCATATCCTGCGCACAGTCAAGCAGCGTCTTGGTTCTGCAGCTCGCATCATGCAGTCAATCGTCCTTGCTCATGAATGCCACCTCTATCGTGACGAAGCATTCATCATTCTCCAATACAGTCCACAGGGAACATTACTCGACCTCATTAATGCTGCCCGAATCGACAACACCAAAGGCGGAAAGCCAGCTGAGGGCGTTGATGAGGTTGTCGCCATGTGGCTCGCCGTTGAGCTCCTGCGGGTTCTTGAGGATCTCCATCGCGTGGGAATTCTCCATGGCGATCTGAAGGGGGACAATTGCCTTGTCCGTTTCGACACTTCCGCCGACCTCACCGCTCCATACTGCCCCGAAGGCAACCACGGCTGGAACAGCAGAGGCATCAAATTGATCGACTTTGGCCGAGGCATCGACACCCGCATGTTCAAGCCCAATGCACAATTCATCGCCGACTGGGATTCTTGCCCTCAGGACTGTGCAGAGATCCGCGAGTGTCGTCCCTGGAAATGGCAGATTGACTACCACGGCGTCGCGGGCATCATGCATTCTCTACTCTTTGGCAAGTACATGGACACTGTTCCCGTACCAGGTAGCTCCCTGGGCCCTGGCCAGAAGAAGGCGTGGAAGCTCAAAGAGAGTTTCAAGCGCTACTGGGAGAAAGACGTCTGGGGAGACGTGTTCGCAACCCTCCTGAACCCTGGCTGTGTGGCGGACGGAGAGGAGATGCCGATCCAGAAGAATCTCGGACGTGTGAGGGCGAGGATGGAAAAGTGGCTAGTTGACGAAGGCGAGAGGGGCGGCCGTGACTTGAGAGGAAGCCTGCGAAAGATGGAGCGCTTGGTGTGCAAATGAACGACTTGCTCGGTTCAGGTTGTGTGATTCTTTCGGCGTGGCCGTTAGGACGGGGCATCACACAGGAGAGGCGACAGTGCCCTTGGATAGGCATGATTGGTGTTCTTCTTCATTTCATCATACAGCATCGTGTGGTTGGAAATAGTCACGAACGAGCAAGCAAGGCGTTGGAGGTGTTGCAGGTGTTGTGGCTTGCTCGTAATCACCGGGAGATTCCTCAGAGAACATGGCGAGGTTATCTCGACAAAGACATGAGTTTCGACAGGCAGAGAGAGAAACCAGCATAATGAGACTTGGAACTTGGAACGTGGACTAGGCATTGATTCTCCAGTCTCCAGTCTCCATTCTCGAGTCTTGTCTCGTTGATCTTCTCCGTCTCTCCCAATGCGGGGGAGATTCCCGACTTCGGCTCTCCCCAAAAGGCAGTCCATGTACTCCGTACCTCGTACTATAATTCCCGGCATCGAGTCGCACCTGAGTCGTGTGTCCACCAAATTAATTACTCAATCGCAATTGACATCACCGCATGCCCAGGCGCGGCGGCGAAGTCCTTGATGCACGCTCATATCGTCGGTACCGCACTAAGTACCTAAGTCGATTTACGAGCTACTTCGTACCGAGCGTGTCGAGTCCTTGATAAGGAACGATCGGGTGCTTCCTCCGTCTCCCCGTTCGATAGCAAGTCGGAGACTGCTCTCACACCGTCCTGAAACATCGTCTGCGACACGTGGCAAGCAAGCAGAGCAGCGCAGCACAACATGCAGTGTCTACGGTGCTGACATTGGCGTGACCAACGAACAATCCAACCAGCCATATCGTCTACACTACGCTGTCATTCTCGATTTCGCCCAGCACAGAACCTCGGCCTCCTCCTTTGCCCTCGAGATATCGTTCCACACCGCAACGCAACGCAACGCAGCAACAGGAAGAGGCGCAGTATCATACTATACCCGTTCCTACTTCCCCCTCTAGACCGAGACTCCAAGAACCTAGGAATTCGCGTCGATAGCCCGCCAGCAGCCGAGCCAGTCAGCATACCTATATACATCACCAATCAAGATATTGCCCAAGTCTTGCCTGCAATCCCATAAACCTCGTAGCTGGCGAGTGATCGCAATCAGACAATATGGGCGACGCGGGCCCTCCGTCGCCGGACCCAATCTTGCAGCAGGAAAGCGCCGTGCAAGTCGGAGAGGCGGGCGCGGATGAAGCGACACCACCAAGGGAGGTCAAGGTGTTGGTCACCGGGTTCGGGGTAGGTTTCTTCCTTTTCTTTTTCCTTGTCTTTCTTTGGATCTCCCACGCTGCTGGCGGCCGGGTTTTGCGCGGTCTTGGAGATCATGGTGTGATCAGCGAGCCGTATGACTCGGCATAATAAGAGGCAAAGAGGCGGTATGAGGGATAGGGAACGAAAATGCGGAAACTTGGTTCGCAGCACAGCAGGGCACAGCAGGGCACCTCGTTCTGCAGTACTACATGCCCGCGCATACACACTCCTGCACAGTTGCGTTTGGCGTTGAGCATCCGCAGCATGCAGCATGGATGCTTCCTTTCTCGGGCTGTATCGATCAGCCGCGCCCGAGCCTATATACCAGGGGCGATGTCGTCTCATTCTACGCAGTCCTTTTCTCCTCGGAGGGAACCACGGACGTCACTTTTCCCGTTCCACGCATCTCAGAGACAGAGACAGAACCATGCTAACCAAACCATCCATTGCACAGCCCTTCAAATCCTTCCTGATAAACCCGTCATGGCTGATCGCCTCGGCCCTCCCGGACGAACTCTACCCTTGCGCCACGTCGTCCACGGGTACAAAATCCCCAGCAGCCTACAAAATCACACTGATAGTCCACCCGTCCGCCGTGCGCGTCTCGTACTCGACAGTCTCCACGACGGTGCCGGCCCTGCTCTCAACCCTGGACCCGGACTTCGTCCTCCACATCGGCATGGCCGGTGGGCGGGACTGCTACAGCTTGGAGACACGCGCGCACAGAGACAACTACCGCATCAAAGACGTGGATGACGCGGACGGGCTGACGTGCGGCGAGCAGCGGTGGCGGCGGGAGAACGTCCCGGACGTGCTGTACGTGGGGTGGGAGGAAGGGGACGTGCTGAGACGGTGGGAAGAGGGCGTGAACAGGGGCCTGGCGGAACGGGGGTTCTTGGGTAAAGCCGAGATGGACAGTACGCAGACCCAGAATGGACGCTCACCTGAACCCGACGCCCGTTCTGTACTCGGACTGCCACGCACTCACGGCCATGGCCCGGTCCATCTCATGTGGGGCACGAGCAATGTGCCCGCGAGCGCGACCAAGGCGGACGAACATCGACGGAAGGCCGTGGTCAAGCTGTCGGCGGACGCGGGCCGGTTTCTGTGCGAGTACGCCCTGTTTGAGAGTCTGAGTCGGCGGTGGCTGGACGCGCGGGGAGCGGAGGAAGACCAAGACAGAAGCCCGGCAGTGGCGGAGGCGGCGATGGGTGCGTCGGCATCGGCATCGGCATCTGCCTCTGCCATTGCGCAACGGGGCGAGCTCGCGCGCGAACGGCTGGGCAAGGTCGCGTTCCTGCACGTACCGGGCTGGACGGGCGTCGAGGACATCAACCGCGGAGTCATGGTCGCCGAGGAAGCCATCCGCGCGCTTGTGGGCAGTTGGGAGGATGGGTATCGAAGGAACGGCAGGGTCGAGGTCGCGGCCAAGGCGTATACGAAGCAGCATTCGGAGGACAAGGGCAAGGTCGCCGCGAACTGGAAGGCTTGACGGGCGTGGAGTGGACGAAATTGCAGGGTCAGGTCACGCACGAGTGAGTTGAAATGACTTGATTGTTCTCTTCCTTATGCGCGATGGATGGGATGGAATTATAGAGATCAAGCTTCGGTTTATGGATGATATGATGCGATGTGGTGTGTCCACGTAGACACTGGCTTTCCAGAACTCAGTTCAACGACAGGTGGTACATACATAGACGAGCATAGCACGCTCCATTACGTTGCCAGCATTGCTATACTGCGTACTTCGTCTTGACTATTGTGTAGGTTATATCATACTGTGTACTCTCCTGTAGTACAGAGAGCCCGGGCCCGAATACACGATACGCGAGCCTGGATTTCCCATGCATCGAGTGTCCGGAGATAGTATCCCATGCTCGAGTGCCGTGATCCCGGATCGCAGTCAAGCTGCGAGCTCAAGCCGAGACGGCCACGGTTGGCTGGCCTACAGCGCAATACTGGCGTATCGGTAGTCCGGATGCATACCATGTAGCCGGGAGTTCATCAAGATGTTGCACTGTACATATTAAGCGAGGTGCACACGGGAGTCCATCAAGATCTTGCACTGTGCGTCGTAAGCGAGGTGCGGCGCGTTCACGCACATACGTATCAGACTTTTAGCTTCCTGTACCCCGTATTTCGGCTGCCGCAACGTCAAGGTTCGAGTCACTTACTCGGACCTGTACTGAAGTGGGCGCTTGCAAAGCAGGACGCATATCCTGCCGAAGCTGCCAAAGCATGGAGCCTAGCAGAGATGCTGACGTCGTGGATATGGCTGGAAGTGGTCATGGGGAGAGTTCAGTGTTGAACTGCTTGTGTAACCACCACTCACTCTATCCATCGGTTCGTCTATCAAATAGCATTCCTTTCCTTCTTGTGTACGTACTGACAGTCTTGGAAGGGATATGACATGTTATGACAGGTGCAGGAAGGAAGTGATCCCACTTGGATTGTTGACGGGAGGCAAGGGCAATGAGACATCTCGAAACAAGGTTATTGTGCCGCTCTGTTATGAAGGGAGTATGGTGTGAGTCCTTTATCGCGACTGAATCCGGGGCATGAACTCCACTCTCCAGTACTTGTACTTGTTTGCTCGACCCGTGTGTTTGTTGGTCGACGACGAGTGCGTCGTGCGGCAGCTGGACAGGGACAAGGTTTCGGGTGGTTCAACCATCGAAGGGTCGAATCGAATTGCTTTTCACCCTTCAATTGCGTCTTCCCCCAAGAGAAAAGTGACATGCCGAGCAGCTTGAAGCGCAGCGGCATGCCCGATTAACTTTGCTGTCAAGATGCCGCTGTTGTTGAACAAAGTTGAAAGATCCTTGCCATCAGCGGCTTTCGGTCCGTCAAACGAAAGAAGCGCATGGAGCTCGCAGTCGAAGGTGGCGTCAGGGCCCTTATAACGCCACTGATTGGCTGCCGTAGAGCCACTCAGGCTTTGTTGGAGCGCTGGCGTGTTGGTTTCGCGTCTGGTGAAACCTACAGCTTGACGCGTCAATGATGGGGCTACCAGCCGAGCACACGACCACACCATGTCGTACCCGGCGTCTTCGACGTTGACGGACCAAAGACTCGGAGTCAGGGCTATTGGCAGACCGGCTATCTACTGAGCAGAGCGCGTAGGAAGTAAGAAGGAGCTGGGCAAGCTGGACGGGGGCTGTCCATGTGGTCTCCTGATACTGGCAGAAGGGCAGCATAAGAACAACGCGCGAGTCTGTGCTGTGCATCGCAGCTTTGTGTTGGGCAGCTACAAGTAGGCATAGCGGACAAAGTGAAGCGGGCACTCACGAGGACGGCATCAGGTCTCGTAAGCAGTAGAGGATGAATTAGTGGTAGTGGGTTGAGGACAAGCGCAAACTTCGTGGATCGCTCTTGCAGTAGCAGTAGGAAAGAGCTGTCGAAGGGCGATTCTTCTCGACATCTGATATCCACTTCGATGCAGCGTGCAGCGTGCAATGTAAGACAAACACTACCAAACACAGTCGATGTTTTCGAGTGGTTCAGGTTCCCTGGTGGAAGCATCGTCGATTTACGCTTGCTTCTTCGCCTGCAGAACAACGCTGCAAGCACGCTGAACACTGACGCGGGACATGATGAACTTCCAAGGCCATGATATGTAAACCGCATTTCTGAAGATTTCCTTCCCCTCACTTGTACTTCACTTCCACTTCACTTTCGGCTTCCTTGCTTCTTGAGATCACTTCTTCTTCTTCTTGTTTCGGCACTCACTTCTTCCGGCCGTTGTGGACGTCCTTGAGTCAATTCACACCAGATATCACACCTTCGAAGGCTATGGGTGCCCTGCGATAGGCGCGCCACCCGGTCGGCGGTTCAAACGGGCACGAGCCCCCATCCTTGGTGCCCCCGTGACTCTCCACAGCACTTGGCCCAGGAGCCCACCAGAGCGTGTGAGACCCTGAACCAGACAGCTGCACTCCAACAGGGCCAGTCCCTCCTCTTCGCCCTCTTTACGTCCACCTTTTTCCACCTCCAGACTGTCCACTTCCAACATTCCAATCCTCACTCCGAAACACTCACATCCCTCCTCACGTCAACAACTTTGTAAACAAATCCTTTGCAAAGCGACCACATTTTCAACTGCCTCTCTACACTTTCTACCACTTCTCTCACGATCATCGCCGTGGCCCTGTTCAGATCTGAACCCTAGTCTCACTACCCTGGTTCCTCCAATTTCTCCCAATTTTCCCAGCCACCGTCATTTTCCCAACTGCACTCGGCCTGGCTCGATCTTCCACCTCCGATCTGACGGCGTCGACAACCTGCGCGTCCAACACTTTCTACCGTCGCATTAGACCACCCTTGAACCGAACCGTTCACTCTCATCCTCCAATCCACGACAGACCTCTTCTTCGCTTGCCAGCGAGATCAACCACCAACCATCCCGGCGCTTACCTGTCAACCGCAAGACAACCATGATCGCATAGCTGCATAGCCGCTTCCCGCACGCGTTGCAGCAGCATGCTCCCGTAACACTCCGTATACCCAGAAGCCTGCAGCAATCGGGTCTGCGCGTTTCCTGTTCGTCTTCGTTGCTATCTCAGAATCAAAATACACGAGTCGCAAAACGCGTCGAGCGCGATGGCCGACCGAGAACTATCACCTACAATTCTAGCCTCATCGGCGCAACGCAAATCACAGATGTCGATAACGCTTCCCCGGAACTTCGCACCTCTAGGACTCACCGGCGCTGACGACCCGAAGACTCCAGACCAGACTTTCGCGGAATTGAAGCTGCCTCCTCCACCGCACCACTCGACCTGTCGGTTGCGCCGGTCTCGCTTTGGAATTGACAACTTCCAATCGCGCAACAACGCGCTTCCTGCCACCCTCTTTGCTTCAGACATCCCCATCCCGTCGAGCTCGCCAAAAGACAACGATGTGTCGGACGCGGACACGGCTTTACCTTCTATTGAATTCCACCATCATCTGACCAGACCGTCGTGTACGCACAGCTCTACAGATCCTACGCCCAGTGAGAGACTTAGGCTCTCCGCCTTGAGAGACTCTCAACTGCCGCGTACTCCGATCGCTCAAACCAAGGTTGCTCCGATTGACTACAAGAACGGTGCATGGGAAATGCGTCGATCTGCGTCGGAGTCTTCATTTTCGTCGTCCGACGATACGTTCACCACTCGGCCGACATCATTTGATGGCAGTGCAACAAGCCCCGAAAACGAATGCCTCGACCCGTTTTCTCCGACCAAGGTCAATATCATCCCTGATACACCATCCAGGAAGAACAAAAAGCTGAGGGTCAATACCTTTACATCGAAAGCCAATGTGCAGTGGAGTATCGAAATGGACAACCACTTGTTCAATATCTACCAGATGTACCTGGCTGACCCTACTGTCACCCCGTTCAAAACCGTCCCTGGCAGTATTCCGCCCACCGGTGTTTGCCATCGTGTTGCCCGAAGAGCCAAGGAGACGTGGTCGAAGGCCTCGAGGGTGTCTAAGCCAATCATCCAACGGTACAAGATGCGAAACATCATTGAGTCCAGGAGCAATTTTAGAGACAGAACACCCGAGCCAAATGACTTCCTGCGTACGGACAATGATGCAAGGGGTTCTTGGCCTTCTGAATCCGCGACAAGAAAACGCCTGAAACAGCTCTGCAAGGAGAAATTCACCATTACTGCTCATTATCAGCGGTTGCGTGAATCGAGAAGCCCATCGCCTTTCCATGAGCAATTTCCTCGTCGACCACCGTCGCGGCTTGCTCGGTCGGTTTCTGCCCAAGACGCAGCGTCCACCACATATGCTACGCGAGAATTGGGGATCTCTCTCGTCGCTAGCGGTGCCACTGCACCTCTAGCACAGCTAGTGACAGGCGACTCTCCTCCCAGTCAGCGGATGTCGGATGATTGGTTCAATACCCCGGTGAACAGCTCCTCTGGCAGCATGTCCATATCGACAAGTACGGGTCTGGGGATCAACCCGGAGCCCGACAAGTTGCAAGTAGCGAGCAACATTCCGCGTCTGGCTTCACCTTTCAACTACAGCACGTGGAATGGATCGAGTAACTCAAATAGCCAGCACCGTCGTCATATCAGCCACAACCATTTCGAGACTGTTCATGCGACAGGAACAAGGTTGCTATCGCCTTTCAAACTCGAACCGGAGTTATCGTTGAACGTGAACAAGCGACGTGCCCAACACAATCTCGAAGATGAACTGAGTCCAAGTGGGAGCAATATTGAAAAGTTGAATGCTGAGCTGAACAACCTCCCTACGCCTACGACGTTCATACCCGAGCCTCAGATCCGACCGGAGCTGGTATTCACCGGTGCCGGTGATCTGAATCAACGAAGAATCCGAGTCCGCAACCGGGGTGCAACGATGGGATCTATGAACAATCGGGAGCACCTCGAACGTCTCTTCACTCCACCGATCACTCAAACTCCAGACGGCGACGGCATTCCGCCAGTGCCGCCGCTGCCTACCTCGTTGACCGCGCTGGCAAACTCCAATGTGCAAGGTAGACCTGCTGGTCTAGCTCCACCAGAGCCAGACCCGGCTCAGAAGCGTCTGGGCAGTCCATTTGAACTGGATCCGAACAAGCGGAGCTATCGAGCGAAAACCCCTCGCCATGTGCCAAGTCTGAGCGATCCTTTCATCAGCACGAGTGCCTTCGCCGCGACGCCCAGTCATGGGAACGGAGCCATGAGCATCGGGGAGCGACTAGCGGGATTCAGTACCTTTCACCCCACTCACTTTTCGCGTCAGATTCCGGACTATCGACCAAAAGACGACCCTTTCACTTGAAGAATAAGGGCGGCCTGGGATAGGGTCTCCGTGGGGATGGATGGTACGAAGTGGAGGAGCACGGTTTCTACATTGGTGGATTATCTACTGGTTTGAACTATTCGCGATGGCGCTGGCAGGACAGGTTCTATGTGAATGATTGATTTCGAAAACATGACTAGGCCACACCACAGAAGATCAACAGGCTTGATGACCGACGTGTTTGAACATACAGAGGGGGCCTCCCAGCATGACGAATGGTGGCAATGCTTGGTGAATGGTGGAGCGTTAGTGGTTTCTATCAATGTATTCTACCATTGCACAAATTGGGCCGTTTGAATGGAGAATCGCCTCGCCCCATGCAGACGGCCGGCGAGTCGTCCTGGGAAGCATTGGAAACGTGCTCTCCCATCACGAGATGATGAATTTTGACGTATGAGCGGAAGACACCACACAGAACCAATGCCTTGCGTACTTGATGCCAATCCTTTAAGCTAGCACTAAGGCCAGGTTGGATGTTGCCTTGGGGAGCTTATGCCAGAATACAGGTTGTTTGCGCTGTCGCAAGGCATTAGTGACTTGGTAGCCCTACGCCACTCGCCTGGCGACACCCCGTGCTGCTGTTGGCAGAACTGTATTCCGTATACACGGTACGTATACAGGAAGTGCGCGACAACAACGAGGACAGGACCCACTGCTCCACAGCTGCCCGCAGCATACAGAGTACAGAGTGTGTACTCGTACTCGTGTGTATGCTGCTGTAGGTGCCTGCATGAACACTGCTGGTTTGGGCGAGCTAGATCCAGCGATTAGCCTACCTAGGTAATTACCTAACCTGACGACTGGCTCGTACCCAGTCGCAAAGTCACCGTACAATAGATACGCAAGCCATCGATCCGGCTGGTGCAGTCTCTGGCCGCCTTGTCTCGATCTCGCTACTCCGAACCTACCACCCTTCCTACTATGGAGGCTGGTATCGCCCTGTGAGCTGCCCCTTCAGGGACAGTGCATAGCCAGACACTCGCCCAAGAAAGCAAGATTCCCTAGCTGCATGACCGTGGCCGCGATGACTAAGTTCTCTGGTCATCAGCCTCAATGCGCTGGTCAGCCACTGGCCGTGGGGGGCGAGGAGTAGGGATTTCGCCGTCACTAATGCTGACCGTCCCATACCATGTAGTGGGACTGGCCACAGCCTGGCTAGACGATGAGAGCCGATACTTCTTCTACACTACATGAGCAGACCTCGAGGACCTCAATGGGAACCACTTCGCTGTCGCCGCCGTGGGTATGGCCACCTCCAAGCCCGTGCTGTTCATGAACGCGAAGACTCCTGTCAATTTCCCATGCAAACGACAACGGCAGGAAGTCCGTGCTCTAGCCTTGCGCGCCGCCTCCTTCTCCCGGCCGAACAGGAAGAGGAAGAACGCCAAGGGCAGTGAGGATTCAGCATCAGCGTCAAGTCGTGAGGCGTCCTCGTCACGCCGGCAGAGGCGTCCATTGCCAGTGACGCCGTCCAAAGTATGTGAAGCAGAACGATCCAGCCTGTGGGATGCCCCTGCTTAACACACGTTGCGCAGGTTCCAACCGAGGCGTCGGATCAGCAATTCGGCTACTGCTGCTTCTGTGGCAAACCTCTCGAACCAAGCCTGGAGGACATCTGCCTCGTGTCTAGCATCGTCCACCCTTCCGCGCCATTGCATCAGATATGTAGAGGACATCCTCCTACGGATGCCTCAACTTCTGCTGCAGCATGTCTCCCTACACCTGGACCTCTGCCGGACGCCACGTGCGACCCCTTCGACGCCACGCCCCTTGCAATCACAGCCGACAATCACGACGTCTTGAACTATATCAAATCATTTACCTTTGCAATCAACTGGCCTGACGAGCTCGAAGCCTGTCGCGAAGGATGCAGCTTGTACAACGCCCATCTGCTGCTGTACAGAAGGTATTTCACCCACCAGGCCCCCATGAGCGGACTCCTCTCGTACGTGTACAATCTTATGGCCATTGCACAGCCCGAAAGGGCGGCATACCATCGACAGACATCCATGAAGTATTCGCTGAAGTGCTTCAAGTTCCTCCGGGAGTTGATCGACACATTGGACAACTCAGATGAGCAGCTGATGCTCCTCGTACAAACGATCTGGCCCCTCGCGAGCGCCGAGTACTCCGAGTCCATCCGAAGGGGCGGTGACCGGAGCCTACAGCATCGAGGTGCGCTCCTGCGGCTGGTACAGCTCCTGGGCGGCTTGCAACGACTTCCCTTGGTGTACCGGGAACTGTTTGTGAACTTCTTCGCCAAATCCGCCGTCGTGAAAGACACAGCTACAGAGATCGATCCTGCAGCCTGGGACCCCGGTCCTTGGCAAGGGCAACTCAGTGACGATGCCTCTCCGCTGGCGTTGGAGGCGAATCCGCCCACCAAGCCCTTGGCCGACACTCCTGATACCTTGTCCGAGATCCTAGCGGCTCTGCGCGAACTGGTGGCCGTCGAGAATATAAAGCGGCGTGGCAAATGGTCAGATGATGATCACTTGGGCCCGGTCTTCCGCTGGACCTATCTGCGCAGGATGGCCTTGAAGATGCGGCTTTGGAACTTCCTTCACCCTCATCCACCCCGATGTCCATCGTCATCAGAATATCCTATCCACCAGATCTCTCACTGTCAATCCGTAGAGGAGTCCACGCGGGTATCGCGGGAGTCCTGTCTGTGTCTTGCAGCACAACTATTCATCTACCTCAGCTTGGAGACCCATCCCGTCAGGCACCCAACGTACGCTGCGCCCACTCAATATACAGACATGCTGGCACGGAGCAAGATCCTTGACAGCTTGCTCTTTGGGTACGCGGAAGGATGCGGCACGGTCGGATCTCGCGGCGTATGCGGCCTTGACACCCCGGCCCTTGGAGAGGAGCAAGCCAATGCGCAAGAGCCAGCACGAGATCTTTTGTGGATCGTGGCAATCGGAGCGTGCTTCGAAGCAGACGTGTCTAGGCAGATGCCTCACAATCTGATCCCCGGTTTGGCCACGACGGCCAAGGCAGCTGGCTTTTGGGATCAGAAAGAATGGAAGGTGGCGCCGTGTGCGGACGACGGTGATGACAGTGTCAGCGGCAGCACACAGCAAACGGCACGGCCGTGGTTCTCCATGCAGTTTGGAGGACTGGCCAGGCGGCTCGGGTATCTACAGTTCAGTTGTGTGAAGGAGCTGTTCTCCAGGAGGTACGTCTACGATGAAATGATCATGGAGGAGACCTTGAGCAAGTTGTTCGATGTTGGCCCGTCTAGTTGAGATGAGGATGAAAGCGTAGGGATTCTCGATCTCGCCGGCGGGGCAGCGCTTGGGTATTCGCGATGGGATGGGATGTATGTGCCAGCCCATCACCTCGTACAGCGCAGTGAGGTAGCCTAGAGAATGTGACCCTGAGTCCATTTCAGCACTAGGATTCGACGGTCGTTACAGGCCATTAGTTTCAGTCTGTTACGGCGTGAAGATGCCCCCGCTCACTGGCTGGCGTGATGTATCTTACAAGGCATGACGGATACACCTGTATTACAGCCTGCTCATACATAGTCGTACATACCTAGTGACATTGGCAGCGCTTCCTCCACCGCCGACTTGCTGATGTTCTGGCCGTCACTCAATAGCTTAGCGGCTCATGCATTTCAACCGCCGTGTCCAGACCAGCACACGAGCATATACGACCTTTAGTCCACAGAGCCATCGTCCCCAACAGCGGGTTCAGGGCTTCTCGGCTATCTGCATCCTGCTGATACCGTCTCCACCGCTTAACCCCGAGCCATGCTGACGTCTACTGTGTAATTCACAATCGACCCTCCAGACTTGGCTCTGTTCTTCTGGTCGCTTTCGACCACCGCCATCAGACCGCCTCATTTCCTCCAGCGTGAGAACCAGCCTCTATCAATACCCAAGACATCGGCTTTGAGTCTTTCCCCGCCAGCACGATACGTTGGTTGCACTAAACTCCCTCTCCTTGGAACCAATCCGCGCCAACGCTCGTCCCTTCACACTAATATCCAGTCCCACGATGGTGAGGCGCAGAGGTTGTTGCGATGGTACCTTGACTTCAGGTTGTGCCATTCTCGGACGGTGAAAGGAAAAATGACTGCCAATAGACATCAGTCTAATCACTTCATCCTGCTGCGTCCCGTCGACGAGTTGCTTACCGCCGGCCCAAGGAGTGGTCGGTGACCCGTTAGACTATGAAAGACTGCCTTACAGCTCTTTGTGGAGGATGATGCCTTTCCCGAGAGAGAAAACGGCGCTGGACGCATCGTCATGGCCGGGCTCTTCTCATCGTCTTTGCCCACACTTCGCAGCCACCCAATCTTCGTGCAGTTGAATTGCTCGTCTGACCGGACTGGCCCGATAGTGCGGTACGCACGTGTTCCGTGGTCTTCGAGTGGCCATTGCTTGTGGGGTCGATGTGGAAGCCCTCCATGCGAATCTCTTCACCTTGTCTCCGCCGTATTGACGTTGGCGACGATCGGGTTTGAGGACGAATTCTGATGTCCCATTGCTTTTAGCAGTACCAAATCAAGAGACCGAAAGGTTGTGACAAAGTGAGTGCGGGCATTGAAGAGCTACTCGCGGACATGAGGAGGATATAAGTATACCCTCCTGTTTGTCCGCCACTTCACTTGCCTCAACAATCGAGTTGTGGAAGTGATTGATTATCTCCTACAAGTCCGGTCTCCAGCATAACGGATCTGAGAGGGGACTCAGGTATGTCACCAGGTGTGGATGATCGCGAACTCAGTCATGTCACCGGCGTCTGGCTGGGAGGTATATTGGAGGAGATGGCGCAGGATCGTCAGGTCAGTAAGGCACCGAGATCGTTGGGCAGGACTTTGCTCGCACCGAACAACAGTTCCATCCGGCGGGAATCAGCATTCCTTCGAGCCGTCTTCTGGGAACGGACCTTCTACGACAAGCCTTGGACAGAGGCACAGTATTCTCTAGGCTCCTCGCTGCTCAAAAATCCACCCTACCGTCTGGCAATTGGCTCGCTGGAGGCACCAGAGACAATAGTCCACCCACCGATGATTCGATTCTTCAACCAGAAGCTCCTTGATGGACAATCCCCGACTACGTAGCACTCTTAGGAATCGATCAGGGGAAATCACGCTTGTCGCTCCGGCCCTGTGTGTCCGGCAGGCATACCAAGATTCCAGTCTCACGCATTTGGCCTTCGCCAGCCCAGCCATACAGCCAGCCGGTCAGCCAGCCATCTAGCCACTCGTAAGGACGACTCGGCCGAGGGTACCCTCATCAAGCAGTGTCAGACACGCCCGACCTCCGGCGCAGGAACACCACGCTTGATATATACCCTATCACCGGCGTAGGGGCAACATTGCCTCTCGAAGACAGAGGAGCAGACGAACAATGCTCAATTGGTTACACATGACGCTCTGCGGCATTCAGGTTTCCGCCGTCGCCAGGATCCTCCACCACCAACACGCCAGCCGGATCGTCAGCCAGACCGTGGTGTCACCGCCCATCCACCTACCAGGACAAACACAACGCCTTCAGTCCCGGTATGCCCGCCAGAGCCACAGTGTACCCCGTACTGACACGCTCTAGGTCATTGGACTTCGACGACCACATCATGTGGAAGAAGATCCCAGGACCAGACCAGCCTCCCTTTACCCGCTGCGCCAGACTCACTACTCACTTGCTAACATCACGCAAGCTGAACCCGATCTCCCTCGCATCTTCAGCACCGATCCAGATCCCCACGCCCTCTGTCCCTCCCATGGGACAAAACTCCTCATTCGCGGCAGCCACCCAGGCACGGGCTCTGATCCGAACTGGGACTGCGTCTTGATTGACTAGGAGTGGTCCTGTCACTAGGCCTCTCTCGTTGCGTGACCCAGACACCTCAACATCCCCATCGCGCGACGCATGGAGCCCCATCCCTTTATCTCGGCCGGTACGGACATCGACCACATCGCGCTCATCTCGCCCGAGTCCGGTAGGACCCTCACCATGAACCTCGACCTGAACATCCTCCCCCTGCAAGACAGAGAACTCCACCTCCACTCTCCCCACAATGCGAACCGTATGTTCGGGTACCGACCTCCGAACGTCGCCAGGAAACGTGACGACCCGTTCTTCGCATCTCTCGACCTCACACTCCCGACTGAGACACGTCCAACCATACATGCCCGGCATGAGGAAGGGTTGTCGCACGATGACGCCCCGACCTGGGGAAATACAGACGGGGAATCGCCGCGGCCTGGTTTCCAGGCCGGTGTAGTGCCGGTGGAATATGACGTGGGCGTTGGGGGCGGTGGGACAGGGAGTTGTAGGATTAGGGATTGAGATGGCGCGTCTGGCGGTAGCAATGGTATAGGAGGAGGGGGGTGGGGATGAGATGACGGATGGTCTTGTGGTGATCGGATCGAGAGAGGGGGGGGAGCCGTGCTGGTAATGGCGCAAGCGGGTGGAGAAGGCGGAGGGTGAGATGAATGAGAAGGTGTGATCCGCGTCGGTGTCGGTGTCGGTATGTGCGTGGATGAGGACAGGGTGGTGTGTCGATCTGTAAACGTGGTGTGTCCTCTCCATGGTCACGTTATGGTCTCCGAGAGATCCATGTCCACATAGAGTCTTCGTACAATTATCTATTTCCATCTTACTGTAATACGTAAGGCAGAACAGCCGGCGAGACAGCTATTACCGACGTATGTAGTCTAGATAGGACTGTATCTGCAGAATCCCCTAAGAGAGACGGTACGTCAAACACATTTTTCTATCACTGCAAGTCCCGTTCGGACAGTAGTCACGCAGACCATCGGGTGAACAGTCGTTTGCAGGATCGAGACTACGGGCGTACAGGTATATATCATCGTACGTCCCGTTCGAAGTGTAGTCACGTTCCTACCTACCTGCGGGTCATAGTGGTGATTGTCGTATGCGAGATCGAGGCTACGTGCCATGCATGTGTCTGCGTGCATGATCACTGTGCAAGTCATTCACCGAACCGGTGCTGACTTACTGTAATGAGCCGAGGTAGAAAACCAGATAATCACAACAGTACAAACAGGTGTTTCACGGAACCATGCGTTCTTCGTTTGAGCACTCAAGTACGTACCTAGGTAGTGAGGGAGTCAATGATTTCAATGATCCGTATCAGGTCACTTGGCGGCCTGGATGCACCCAGGACGATCACGGAGCTGTTAGGCTCCTGACACTGATACCAGGACGAAGTTGCCGAAGAGATCCAGGCAAGGTCGGATCTGACCAAGCGATAGTTGAAAGAACGGAAGGACATGCTTTCATTATAACAAGATTTCCCATGGTGAGCGAGCTGACGAAGCCTACACATGTACCTGAGATATGTACGCTGGAGCTCATCGTCGACAACCCTCGCTCACAATTCCGACATTGCTGACCTTGCCGACCGGGCCGCCCTAACGAGCTCAAGCAAGCTGTTTGCAGCCTCGCCCTTGACAACACTACTGGTGAGAGCACGTGGCCGTAGCTTGTTCCCCTTGACAATCTCATTCTCATCGACGTCGCGTTCAAGATCACAAATCACAGAGCTTGATAAATGTTCGGGCGTTTTCGGTTCCGCCTCCCCTGACTCTTCAGCGGCATCTCGCGGACCGACGTCTACAGGCGGACTACTCGGTAGGTCCTCCTGGGCGGGGCCCGTACGTTTGCTTTCGCGGAGGCCGCTATCTTCGTCATTCCACCTGGCAGAGAACGCGGTGGGCGTGATTTTCGGTATGGGCAGTGTCGACAGGGCGCGCACAGCCGGTCTAGGACCCAACGTCGCTCGGGCACGTGCCAATGCAACTCGAGACTCGGGAGATATGGTTGTAGTTTCACTATGGTCTGGTCGTACGGTTGACGAGGACCGTGGGGAGGACGACAGTGCTGGTAAGCTGGGCGACGACGATCTGTCCTTTGGCACTTGCAGGCGTGCAAGTGGCGTCATGATCTGGTTGGTTTGTATCTTGTAGAAGGCGAGCTGTAATCGCGTGCGCAGGGCTTCTGCTCTCTGGGGTGATGTCAGTACGTTGTGGCTGATGTCCGAGCAATGGATGGTCTACCTCGAGCATCATCTCTTTCCTCGCATCCTCCTTGGCGGCGGCTACCTGTATAGGTACCTCAAGCTCCTCGATCATGTGCATGTCCTCCTCTTGGGAGGAGCGGTTGTTGTCAAAGTCGATCAAGCTTGACATGCTTAGGCTGACTTGAGACGATTCTTTGACCAGGTTTGGACGCAGAGGCGGCACGAGCTGGGACGTGGTTTGCGCGAAGCTGACGGCGTGCTGGATGCATGGTTAGCAGTTGTTGTCTGTCCGAAGTGATAGAACATACCATAGTGTCTAGTGTCTGTTGGCTGGGCTCTTCATGTATGTGAAACTCGGCCTCGACCTGCGATGGTTCTTCTTGCGAGCCACGGAATGAGGCAAAAGATGTGTCCAGCGTTGATTTGCTCCAAGTCATCGAGGGCTGCGCAGTCTCCTCGACCTCAGACACCGCATCGCTCTGCATTGCCGTGACCTGGGATAGAGTGTGTACACTGATTGTTTCCCGCGAGTCCGCCTGTGTAGACTCATATACTTCTTCCAGCTTGCGTTTCTGACCGGCTCGGGGACTGGTGAGAAGCGACCCATTCGCGGACACCCTTTGTGAAACGGTGTCGACAATCTGCAGCCCCGGTCTCGACGCCTTAGAGGGTTGTTGTAGAGGCGCGTTCGGGTCTTTTGGCCCGAGGACGCGTCTGGCGGGGGAGGCCGCGGTCGTCATTTTGCGCGAGACACGATCGAGCTATAAGCAAGGAGGAGTTCGAGAGGTCGGCTGCTGGCGAGAGGAAACACCAATCTACTCCAGAGCGCGAAAATCAAAGACAGAATACCAGTTGTGGTGGTCGCGTTGGAAAGTATCGAGACACGCATCAACATGGAATGAAATGCAGGTGCAGAGGCCCGAAGATCAACCAAGCGTCAATCTTCGGGCTCTAACCGTCGGGCCTTGCCATGCCTGAAGCGCGCCCAATTGGCCGCGTTGGTTTAACGTTGGTGCCCTGCAGGTTGTTAGCAGATCGCGTTAAGTGGGCCGCATCTGGAGAATCTCTCAGCTCGCTTACGAGGCACGCGAGGCACGCATACACAGCACGGGATACTCCGATAGGTACAATACTCCATTTACGACTGCGTGCTGGGAGCTTTATCCTCATGGCAGCAATGATTGGGCGACTTGCGTAATCATTGCCGTGCCAAATATAATCGACATGAGAACATCAAGTAAGCAATGCTGTATAATATTGCAGCACACAACAACAAGAATGCGCGCGTATGGGTGACCGCTCTTGTACAGCACCTCTGAAACAGGCAGCCTCGCCGGTGAGCCCATTGCTCCAAGCACTGTGGAAATGTCTAGGTATCCAAGACGGAGTGCGTGCGAAGTACAACTGTGCAGTGCTTCCAGCATCCAAGACACCTCGTCTGTCACCGCCAGTACCCATCTGCATGCCCAGTGACCTTCGAATAGCAGGATACAAGTGTACTTGGAAAATCCATGCCCACACGTGTAACGACCCATTGTTCACCTGGACGTGGTGTAAGAACCGCTCTCTCGAAGTAGTCGGGAGAATAGTTAGGTTGCAGAGGCTGCACGGTCCCGCCATGGAGGATGAGACCTGACGAAAGCTTCAGTGAGGATAGCGTTCTGACCGATGAAGACGGCAGAATAGACGGCTGGACGTTGCACTTGAGTGTCAAGCAATAGAGCAGTATGTCTTTCTCGAGGTATGCCTGTTCGCCCTTCAAAGTAGCTGTGTTGATCGCTACGCCGAGTATTCTAACTCGTCGCCCACAAGGCGAACGCCCTCATCCTGCACATGCCGGCTCAAATCATATTGCAAGAAAAACCCCCATCTGTCCGCGCAGTGTTGTCGGTTTTCTGGAACGGAACCATCTTAGCTCATGTATTCCTGCACATGGACGCCATCAGCAACCTCGTCGTATAGCTCCCATCCTGCAGGAAGATGAATGTCTGCATTAGGCTATGTAAGTAGGGGTCCACGTGCCACCTACTGTATATTGTAGTGCAAGGAAATGGGAGACTGTCCCCAGCGTACAAACACCCAAGAAAATTATGTCTTTTGCCTTCTCGAGGTTTCAAGGATTGTTCCTGGTTGAAGGGCCCTTTTGCCGAGCACGGTCAGCAGCGCGCAGGGACATTTATGCCCGTGTCACCAAGGTAAAACAGTCGCTGCGTTTGCTCCCCTCAGTTTCACAGGTCGATGGACGCATGATTAACGGAGAGAGGGATTAAAGGGGTGGATATCGTTTTGCCCCTTGCAAGGTTGCCGGCTGCAATCTTTGCCGACTTCTCTTATGGTGATGCCTGTACATGGCAGACAATTACTCATGAGTACGACAAGGGGAGAGTCATGAACAAGCAACCCGATTCAATATAAACCGGACCGACTGACGTGGACAGTCATTATCAAGTGGGCGCCACGAAGGCTTTGCAGCTTCGCATTGGTGATAAACCGAGTCGGGAACCCGTGGGCGTTGCCCACAGCTATCTTACCAAGTATATAAGCAGCAACCCACCTTGACTGAGCCAAGCCTGCACCAACCACTAGAGTCTTGTGTCCGGGAGTGGTAGGGAAGTATTGGCTCCCAGTCTGCTGCCTTGGCGGACGGGACAAAGATACGTAACTTGCCGCTCTTCCTGTAACTGGGCTGGTGTGATGGCCGCAGGGACGACGACATCGCTTATCTGTCGGAATCGAGCATTCATTCGAAACTCAAAGACACTAATGGCTAGATGCCATCAGTCTATGCAAGCTACCTCTCATGCGCTTTTTGGAATTTCGGAACCTGTCCGATGAGAACTGTCTTACACAGTGAAATATCTTGAACTCCCAGCGTCCTCCATCGACGCAACTAAAATGTCTCTGGCTCCTCGGCGCCGTTCGCTTCCAGATCCGGAATCTCAAACCCTTCCTCTGTGCTATAGAGGATCGTCTGGATATTCTTGATCAACCCGTTCTCGTCTTTTTCGAGGGAAGGATCTTGTTCGCAAGCAGTTTGGAGTAGCAGCTCGATGTCTCTCAATTTACTAAAGTAAAAGTCTCTCTCCTTCTCCAGACCGCTGATTGCTTCCTTGAGTTGATCGTTCTCAACTTTGAGTGCGGCGGACCCAATGGTAGCGGTCCCTGAGCTTCGTGGCCCTGGTCTGTTGACGGGCGTTGTTCCCGTCTTTCGAGTCGTGCTTGACCCCGTGCTGGCTCTTGGCGGTGCCGCAGCGGGCGCGGGCGCGGGCGCAGGTGCGCCGACGGCTTTGCGCCGCGCCACAGCGTCGTATTCGTGACCAGGAAAGTATTGATCCCAGTATCTTTTTGACCACTGGAGGAATTCGAGGTTGTCTTGCATTTTGCACTTTACGAGAGACTCGACTGGGACGGTTCGATCGATACCATGCTTGGTGAAACAATCTATCAAGTGACCGTCAGTCGGTGTTCGATCAGAGGAGAATGCGCCCCGTCTCGAGGAGAAACGTACTCTGTAGTATCTTGAAGTTCTGTATGTAGGCGTACTCTGTATTCACATTGAACTTGACTCGGCCCATTGGAACATCAACTGTCATCTGATTAGCGCGCACTCATAGTACACCGCTGGTAACCTACGGAAGATGGAGTCGAATAACTGGCAGAGAGCGGCGCTATCGATAGGAGATCAGTATCGCGAAGTCCAATGTGGTCGTATGCCATACCCTGTCCCACATTGCTCTACCTTGGTGATGTTGAGTTGTAGTAGGCCATTTAACCAAGCGAGGAGTTCTTGCCTGCAAGTGAGTTAGCGATGCGTAATGAGCGGCGGGTTTGGCCAGAAGTTGTCCTACCTTGACTCGCCCATCGTTGTGCGCAGGCGGACTACTGTAGAGACAGACAACAGCACGGTGATAGCAAAGCTGAAAAGTAGCTGATCAAGCCAAGACAAGGCCTTTGAGTCAGGACAACACGATGGCGGTTTTGTTGCGGCGGTGGTTGCTGCGCAGGGAGACGAGGACGCCGTGTTGACCTGCAACCGCCAACGCGCTCCCTGAATTTTGGGGATTGAGGGCGAGAGGGGCACTAATTTGCTACGGGGAAGTGCAGTATCACTGGTGTTCCCACTGCCTGTGCTCGCTGTAAACAGAGAGTCACGTGAGGGTGAAGACTGAGGCACATGTCAAAAAATATCACCAAGCCGCTTTTCGTAGCCATTGTTATTACATTGAAAAGGTCGTTGCATCTATCTCCCTCACTCGGCCAGATTCAACCATCGTTTACTTCGTCGCCTCGCTCGCATCACTCGCGGGTTTGGCCTTGCCCTCATCGACATCCTTCTTCGCCGATCCTCCTGCTTCGGCTTCAGCTGGCGACTTATTGGCTTGCTCTTCTGGGACTCCCTTCGTTTGCGGGTTCTGACCTTCTACATCTGGATGAGGTGGCGCGACGTCCGATGGGTTGATCTCATTGCCTTGCTCATCCACCAATTTTGTCCGCGTCTCGTACTTGGTCTGGAATGACGCTTTGCCCTCCGCCAAAAGCGCTTGGACTTGCGCCTCGTTCAGCAAATTCCCATCCTGATCGCGATATTCGACCTTTTCCTCTTGCTCTATCACTCTTCCTTCGCCGATTTGCTGAGAAATCGCGGCTCCAAGTGTATCTTTACGCTCAGAGTCGATCTGGACCGACGGAACTGTGGGTGTTGCGTCTCCAAATGGTGGAGGAAGTGGTGTTGAATAGTTGGCATACTATCCTCGGTTAGCGCAGGTCATCCTCATCAACATGGCCACTTACATCAGTATGGAAGGTGTTGCAGTCAAAGTCCCAGGTATCAAACAGCTTGACAGCTCTGCATTGTTCTTGTGTCCACGGGTTGCCGTAAATCAGAGGAGCGTACAAGGTAAAAACACCAATGGCGAATGCTACAAATGCGACCGCGACACCACAGGCAAACTCAGGTCGCTTCTTTAGTCCAAGAAGGGAGATGCGATTGAAGACAAAGTCGAAGATCTGGCACATAGCCATGATGGCAAAGTAGAGTGCCGGAAAATAGTGGTGTAGGAACAACTGTCTGGCCATCAGGTAGAAGGGGAAGTAGTGGAATGCCCATCCCAGAACCGTCTGGCCGACTTCGTAGTCGAACCGCTTGAAGTTGATGTTGGAGTAGTCGTTGCAGCTGCGTTGCCAGCGGAGGACGGAGAGTGCCTTGAAGACCACATAGGTCAAGATGGCCAAAGTGGAGGGCCACCAGATGGCCGGGTTGCCCAGCAAATAGACCTGGCGATGGTCCTTGCCCCAGAAATTGATGCCACGTCTGAGAATGGGCCACGAACCTGGACGAGAGTCCCAAGCGTGTGTCTCGACCAAGCCGGCGTTCGTTCTCCACATGACCTTCTGTAGTTCCCAGAACTTGCCTAGGAAGCCAGGGTGCCTGTAGTTGACCTTCTCGGCAGTTTCATTCAGCATTGGATGGTGGTTCTGCTCGATATACCACACGCTGTTGGGAAGAGTGCCGCCCTTAGCGCAGGTAACCTCCTGCTGCTCGAAGCCCCAGTCGGGTAATTTCACCTTGTGCGAGAAAAGCACGCAGCCAGTCATGACGTGCACCAGCTTGAACTTGGACTGGATCGTTCTGAGTCTCTTCTTCGCCTCATCGCCATCGGACATAGACTTGACAATCTCGACGCGGAATAAATCGTTGGCATCGCCTTCAAATCCTTCATAGCCGTAAGCTGTTACTTCTTGCTGCCACTCGGCTTCGGTTACAGGAGGTCGAACATCATGAGAATGGACTCGACGGTGGGTCATGAGGTGGTACAGCCTAATCACGTCGCCGTCCTTGATGGGCTCGGTCAAGTTGCCCCATGCCTGGGGACCGGTAACGGTGACATTGTCTGGAGTGACAGGTTGAGTCTGGTTCTCAAGAAGGAAGATGTTGTTCTCGTCCTTGTGAGGGTACAGGGTGATTTGCTGCTGTTTGCTGCCCGCAGGGTACATGTGAGGGTGAGAGTGGAGATAGCCACCTTGAGTATTGTGGTGTCGCAAAGTTACCTCGCTCCCGAGGAGGACGTCCGCGGGAGTGTCGGCCATGCCCTTGTTGTTCAGTGTTGCCTGGAATTCGGAGGACATGAAACCATCTCCATCTCCAGGGTTGACCAGGCAGAGGAAGTGGATACCGAACATGCCGACGTAGAATGCAACCGGGATGACGATGAGACAGAAAACACGTGCAAAAAAGTGCTTAGCCCACCTTCTGGGAGGTACGTTCACGCTGTCACCAAGCAAGACCCAGAGCTGAAGAAGGGTCAAGCTGCCGACCCAGGCGATGGTGAACAGACCAACCCACTTGACGCTGACAGTTGCACCCAGGCCGAGACCGGTAGCCGCAAGCCAGAACCACCAACTAGCATCAAAGGCGCGTTCGGGGCCAAGCTCATTTTGATTTGTGAAACATACCCACGCCAGAGCGGTGAAGGCGGTGCATATGACCAAAGGCGAATCGAGAAGAATCAAGCGGGATTGTGTAACCAAGCCATTTTCAAAGATCAAGAGTGCTGCGCCCAAGCAAGCCGTGACTGTCCTGCACCCGTATGCTTTCAACGTCAAAAACATGGTTGGAATGGTGAGGACTCCGAGGATGGCAGGTAGCAGGCGCATCGACACGTACGGCACCTTGGGCTCGAGGTAATCCTTTCCGATATCCTTGAAGTCGAAGTCACCATTGAAGCCGGCCAGCCAGCCAGCAAGAGTGATGAGGAGCTTGGCCAGAGGAGGGTGGACATCCATGAAGAATTTGCCCTTGATGTATTTTGTCGCAAAACCACCAAAGCTACCGATCTGTCAGTGAATGATTTCCCAGCTCCGCATCCACCATGACTTACTGGACCTCGTCAAAAACGACACTGGTAGGCTGGTAGATCCGGAACAAGCGCACCACCGCAGCGAGCAGGGTCAGCAGCGCCATGACCTGGTAGTCGCTCATAGGTAACAAGAACACATCGTTGTCTGTGACTCCCTCTGATGCATAGCTCTGCTTCTTCTTACCAGGTTGGGTCCGAACGACATCAGCGCCGGTCTGACTGGCCGTTAAAGCAGGGGCACCTTTCTGGGAGGCCGCATTCTTCCGCGCAGATGTCGCCGCCATCTTGGGCAGACGCAAGTCCCGGTCTCGGTAGGATTGGATGGTGTCGTAAGGTGGTGGGAGAAGGCTGAACGGACGGGGAGGTCAATGGACTTTTTCGGCCCCTTCGCGTTAGGGTGCTCAGGGGAAAATCAGGATGAAAAGAAAGACGAGAAGGGAAGTCCTGGTCAAGGGACCATGGCCAGCAAGAAGAAGACAGCGCGAAGGAATAACATCCAAGGGAAGCTCCAAAGTGAAGACTGGAAGCCCAGGTACTCAGGAGAAAGTGAACAATTGACAACTGTTCGTTATTGTCTGTCTCCGCACCGAAATGCCGCCAGCCCTGCGCTGCGCTACACGATGCTGCACATGCGCGTCGTACCTCGTATGCTAAGTTTAGGTGTCCCTACACAGTAAGCGTCGGCTGCCCTCCCCTTTCAGAACCGGCTCGATCTCCACACACTCAAGCCTGGCGCCACAGGCTGCACTAGCCACATTGAGATTTCCATCAAGGTTCGCATTTTGGCCGACGTCCATGTCAACCTGGCTTCAAGCTTGAGATTCCACGCACTTCGCCTTTCAACTGCTGCCGCGGCACATTCACGATTGGAAGCCCTCCAAGAATCCAGGTTGTTGACACAAAATCCAGCAAAGCAGTGAGGGGCAACCATACCAATTCTGCCCACCACTGGGCTGGTTCGAACAGCCATGGCCGCCAACGGCGTACCCGACCTCCCAGAGAGTGTCTCGAAGCCTCCAGAAGGCGTGGTCCTACCACCTAAAGACATCCGGGCAATCATAGAGAAGACGGCAGGCTACGTCGCCCGCAACGGATCTGTCTTCGAAGACCGCATCCGCGACAAAGAGCAGTCAAATCCCAAGTTCTCGTTCCTGTCGCCTCAGGACGCATACGCTCCGTTCTACCAGTGGCGACTATCCGAGGTCAAGTCAGGACGGGGCACGGCTGTCTCTGCTGGCAGGGCAGGCGACGCGACGCCTGTGCCCGAGAAGCCCAAGGGCCCAGAACCGCCGCCAGAGTTCCAATTCAGTGCGCGCATGCCAAACATCAGTGCCCTCGACCTCGAAGTCGTCAAGCTGACGGCACTCCACGTCGCGCGCAAGGGCAAGAGCTGGATGACCGCACTCTCGCAACGAGAAGCACGGAACTTCCAATTCGACTTCCTTCGGCCCCAACACTCTCTGTACAACTTCTTCCAGCGTCTAGTCGACCAGTACACCATCCTCCTCCAGACGGGTCTCGAGGGCCAAAAAGCCGAGCAAGCACGCATCCAAGTCCTTCAAGCAAACCTCCAAGATCGCTTCCGGGTGCTGGGCTCCGCGAAGAAACGCTCCGAATACATCAAATGGCAAGAGACGCAAAAACAAAAGAAGGAAGAGGCGGAGGAGGCCGAGAGGATAGCATACGCTCAGATCGACTGGCATGATTTCGTCGTGGTGGAAACAGTCCTGTTCACAGAGGCAGACGAACAGGCGGACCTGCCGCCTCCGACGACGTTAAACGACCTCCAAAGCGCCAGTCTCGAGCAGAAAGCCATGATGAGTCTGGCCAGACCGGACATGCGCATCGAAGAAGCCATGCCGTCAGACGACATGAACGGTTACGCGTACAACGACCCCTACGCGAACTATCCGCAGCAGAACAACGGCCATGCTCCTGCTCCAGACGCAGCACAGGCATACCCAGCATACACGCCCTCCCCCTTCCCATCTCAACCGTCTCCAGCTCCAGCACTCGTGCCCGTACAAGCTTATTCGCCCGCGCCTCCCGCCGCCGTTGCCTCACCGCAACCACAACCACCGTCCACCGCGTCTCCAGCTCCTCAACTACCAGGGCAACCCCCCATGCGCATCAAACAGGACTACATCCCGCGCGCCCAGGCCCGCGCAGCGCAATCCCGCGTCGCGACGGCCTTGTGTCCCAACTGCGGCCAACAAATTCCCGTTGCGGAACTCGACGCGCATCTTCGCATCGAATTATTGGATCCACGCTGGAAAGAGCAGCAGTCCAAGGCAGCCGCGAGGTTCAGCACGACGAATCTGGGAGGCACCGATGTTGCTGCTAACCTCAAGAGGTTGAGAGCGCGCACGGATGGGGAGGTGAACGATCCGGTGGCAGAGGCAGCCGCCCGCGTGCTGGGCGAGCAGGAAGAGGAAGAGAGGAGGAAGAGGTTGAAGATGGACAATCAACCTGCAGCGGGACAGTATTCTGGTTTCGGCGCTGCAGGCCACCCAGTGGCTCAGCAGGGCCCGAAACCGGACGTGCAAGCACAGATACGCCAGATTCACAACAAGTACAAGTCATGAGACGAATAACTTGATTTTGAGGGACTCCGTTGCTCAGTCGTGAGCATTGAGCAGCCAGAGAAGTTGCCAAAGCTTCGTGCTTGAAGCCATTCAATAAGATGTATTATCGTATCCACATACAGTGTACCATGTGGAGGTTGAATCCATCTGATGACGGCAATAGCCGCTAATCCGACTCTTGAGGTCGTTCCTCAATACAGATGTTCCTTGATTACATATTGTGCCCACACACCTTGCAAAAACCGCAGTGTTCGAGCACTCCTTGAGGGCTTTTCAAGCTACCACAGTCCAACGCACATTGTGGTACATCAATACAACAGCAACAATCACAAGAAACTTGCTTGAACACGAAAGCAGCAGAACGGACGGGGTATCCGATAGTTCACACAGTGGAAATATAAAGAACAAGGTGGATGACTTCCAGAAGTCCTGGGCGATTTGGGTAACAAGCGGCGCATCCAGCAAATCAAATATGTTGCCTTCGAGATCACGTCGGAACGGTGGTCCGATCATGAATTGTGTTGCCATTCGCAGCCGGTCCTAGAGTGGTGTTCGTTGCACCGGAACCCAGTCGAGCTGGTTGATACGTGCCGGATCGCTCCTCCTTAGACGGCCGTGAAGCGACAGGGGAGATCGAGCGGTCAGGGATCACAGCTGTTGGGCTGACAACGGGCCGAGTAAGATCCTCTTCTGGCTTGTACGCAGAAGCTTCGAGGTCGTCAAAGTCCTGACCTGGGTTGGCAGTCTGGTATTCGCAGCTCTTGATGAACCAAAAGAAGCTGGCAGCTAGAATAGCTCCAAGCAAGGGTCCAACCCAGTAGATCCAGTGTTCACTTGGGAAGCGGCGGTTAGCCACGCAAGGACCGAAACTTCGAGCTGGATTCAGAGATCCACCGGTGTAGTAGACGCCTGCAAATTGTCAGGACTCATCTGTCAGTTGTGAAGATCTGCCTACCGCCTAGCTCAGCGATGAAGAGAGACAAGCCGATGCCGACAGGAGCGAGAAATGTTCCTTTGTGTTTCTCGGCCTGCAGAAAGTTGTCAGTGATCAATCGCCTCCGATTGTTGGGCCACTCACGGCAAGCATAATAATGGTGAAGACAAGCTGAGCGGTGAGGAACTAAGGGGGCATTAGCAGGCTCTTCTGGCTCTCCTTCCCTACAGGCGTACCATTTCAATGAAGAGACCCTGTGCCTTGCTTGTTCCCCCACTAAGAGATGTTGAGACAGCGAGAGGCCCGGGAAACAGCGCCTTGACAACTCCGGCCGATGCAATAGCGCCAAGTATTTGTGCGATGAAGACAAGACCACCTCGAAGGAAGGGGACGGCGCCGATCAGACACAGACCTAGGGTCACCTGGCAGATTATCAGTCCACATCATCTCTTCGTCTGGTTTGCGTCACCTACAGCTGGGTTGAACAGTCCTCCTGAGATTCTGAAGAAGATCCATGCATTGACGGCAAGAGAGAAACCAAAGCAGAGGCTGATGTAGAGGAGCTGGATTGGGTTCGGGCCCTGCGGCAGATCGGTACTCTGCGAGCCACTTGTGGTTTGAGGAGTGTTGGCGACCTGGGTGCCAGCAAAAGCAAAGAAGCTGAAGGACTTGTCAGTCTTGACTCGCAGGCGTGTCAGAGGTGACGCTCACAGGAAAAGAAAAGTGCCAACGAATTCGCCGGCCATGGCAATGAAGTGATTTCGAGGCTTATTAGGGATCCTCATGAAGAATGAGGATGGTTTTGGGCCTTGCATTTTCTCGTCTGCACCAGCAGGTGTTGCTCCGGTCCTTGGTCCTCTGTGTCGACCAAAGAGACCAGGCATAAAGCCAGCCCTCGCATTGATGTTGTCCATTGCCACGGTTCGTTCTTGCCCCTTGAGTCACGCGCACTTGATGACCACGAACGGGAGGAGGAAGGTGCGACCACACTTGGTGGGAAAGAGTCGCTCACACACGAGGCTGTAATCGCTCCCGTATCACTGCTGAACACAATGGATACGGCGGAACTCGATAGCCGAACGATTTTGGGACAAACAAGAGCGACAACGAAGCACAAAGCAAGCAGTCTAAGATATCAAGAACAACACAAGAACATGTTCAGCTCTGAGATGGTGCAGATAAGGGTCGTTTTGATCGACGCGGCATCAAAAAAGTCATGGTGGCGCTACCCCGGCGGCACACGAAGCAGCCGGTCATCAATGGAGCAAACTCACGATCCTAGGTGAAAGATTTGTGGAGGTTTGATAGTGCCTCGCGGAAATCGATGTGGTGATCGTCATATGTTAGCCGAGTGTCAAGGGATGAACCTAGACGAGCATCGACAGCTGAGATGGAGAGTCGCCGCAGGCATTCTGGATGACGAAAGAGGCACCCTTGTACGGTGTCAGTTGAGCATGGCGCCCTCCAGCCCAGCCTTAGCCGCAGACCAGTGGAAGCCAATGGCTCTATGCGGTGCGCCTAAGCTTGAAGCGGAGGCAAATGGGGGCGACTAACGCGCGAGCCAAGTGATCGAGAGTGTCTAGCGATCAAAAAGTCCTGCTATGGCACTTGACGTGGGCTAGAGGCACGGTCTGGAGCACGGCAGCATTGGAGACCACCAGTGGATGGCATCGGGCACAGGACTTTGTTTCTCGGGCTCGACTGCTGAAGGGTTCAGTTACACAGTACTCGTATGAATGTGCCTAGTGCACACCTCAGGCATACACAGTCCTGAATTGTGCATGATCGAGCGTGTCATACGGATCGCCGACGGGTAGCAATGTCATCACCGTTCGAAGTCCATACGCGGACATTCGCTGTACGACGCGCAATCTTTGGGTTGCCAAAAGTCTTGAAGTAACCCGAGCACGAGCGGCAGCACTGAGTGAATCGCTTAGAGCCCCTCAACATGATTAAGGTTGGAGACGGCAGCACACACGGAGTTAATGATTGTACACAGAATACGGAGTAGTAGGTACAGTACGTACTCCGTGCCCTCGCTATCCGGGTGCTCAGGGGCTCTACTTTGTACGAGCAGTTATCGCGCTCTGCGATGTTGTGTACATAATCCGGACTTTGTGGCTCGGTCTCGGCTCGTCGGGCACTGAAGTTGGGCGACATCACGTGACGCATTTCGTCCTTGTCCCGCATCTGATCTCCGTGGTCTGTTGATCCAGATCAGGCTGCATTGACAGTTGCCAACTTCAACTTGGAGAACCATCTTTCCTAAAGTCTTTGCCATACCGCTCCTATCCACCTCCACTGAGAGCCTCTTATCGACGGGGTGCCGTCCTCCTGCACAACGTTCGAAGAAGTGCCAATGCATCGAGTCTTATTCTGTGTCTCCTGACCTTCCGTGGCAATAGCCTCTTACTATTAACCTTACAACCATGCGTCCTTTTCGATTCCTACTGTTACTTATATTCTTCGTTGCTCTCCCTATAGCGCTGACCTTCTGGTCGTTCGTCGCGGCCGGTGCCGAGAGCCCTGCAGATTCATTTAATGCTGGCTACAATACCAGGCCAAGTCGCTTAAGGGCGCTCTTCTCATTCTCGACCCCCTCCTCCTTGTTTCCACCCTCGGCTGTCATTAGCCTTACCAACGACAACTCGACCTTCTTCTTGGCGCGGCCTGCTGCCTTCGGACCAAGCCTGCCATCGAGGGGGCTGAGTGGACAACTATGGGTAGGAAAGGGTTTTGGGGACGATGCCTTGTTAAAGGAGGAGAATCTCCATCTAGCAGGATGGGAACTTGGTTGCTCAGACGTTCCAGGTTGGGCTGAAGAAAAGGCACAGAGCATCAAACACGTGACGGCTGTCACACACGATGGAGGAAAGACAAGACTGCCCAGAAGCCTGGACAGTATTGGGACCGAACACGACAACGTCGCAATGGATGGGTCCCTAATCGAAGACGACGGTACTGACGACTATCTGCACCGTCCACTTCGTGATTCGAACCCTGCAACCTCTGGCCAACCTGGCGAGCCTGCAAAAGCCGAGTCGGACAAGAACAAGACGCCTACACATGCCGATATTGAGTCCTTACAGGAAAGCGCTGCTATCGCAGGCAAGATCGTCATGCTCAGTCGGGGCGGTTGCGGATTCCTGGAAAAGGTCAAGTGGGCTCAGCGTCGTGGAGGCATCGCCCTGATCGTGGGAGACAACGAAAAGGGTGCGCAGTTGACCATCATGTATGCCAAGGGCGATACTTCCAACGTCACAATACCGGCACTCTTCACGTCATATACTTCCGCTCATCTGCTCTCTTCGCTTGTCCCAGCTGAAGAGAAGGGCGATGAGGAAACCAACACCGTGAACTCCGGGAAAAGTCCAAACCAAAACCAGGAGGAAAACAAGCCTGTTTTTACATCTACGAAGCCCTCGCGCTCGCGAGCTACCACTGTACAAGGGGACAAGGAAGAAACAGACAACAGCTGGGTAGGCAATGTATTGTCAGCCATGGGCCTTGACGACAATTCTCCATTTTCGCAACACGAGGACAGCCGCCGACCTCCCAGCAGTGGAAATGTAGAATGGGTGCTAGTAGAAGACTGGAAGGAAGAAGCACGCCCAGATCCTTTGGAGGAGGCAAATACGGTCCCTAGTCTTCCCACCTCGTCTGCAACGGCAGCCAGGCCTAAAGCCACGAGCGCGAAACGCCCAGGCGAAGACGACTTCGTAATTGGTGTCCAAGATTGGCGAGACGCTGACCTCGTTGCACCGAAGCCCGCCACTACCTCATCGAGTAGTGCCGGAAAGGCCGGGAAGGATGTTGTTCAAGATACGCTCAGCTTGGTGAAGACATCAAGCAGTCCAGAAGCCACTCTCAAGGGCGGCAGCATCACGCCGGGAAGTGGAGAGTATGATCACGAGAAATCTGAACCTCTGAACCGCTTCAACCGTGGCAAAGCTCCTACAAATCAAAGATACGGCCATGACACGGACCGTCAAAGTAGAGAAAGGGCCTCGTGGCTCGATGTCTTCCGGTCTGGTGCGTCTCCAAAGAAGTCGGACGGAGGACCTTCTGCAGAGCAGAGCAGTCAGGGAGAGAAGGTTCCAAGTACCAATTCAGCAGCACCGGAACAAGACAACGAGCACACTGGCTTGTGGGTAACCCTCACACCTACCAGCGTCTCGACCAGCCCGTTCTTCGACACTCTACTGGTCCTGGTCGTCAGTCCGCTCGTGACTTTGACGGTTGTGTACGCACTTCTACTCCTGCGCTCGCGTATCCGACGAAGGAGATGGCGTGCACCAAAGTCCGTGGTCGACCGGTTACCAGTCCGGACATACCATACGATGACCACAGCCTCCTCGACAACATCGGCACAAGCATCCCCAGAGCATGCATCACCCACCTCTCCACTCCTTATCTCGACGAGTCAGAACGTCTCTCAGCGCCCTCGGCCACGCTCGCAGACGACTGCAGGCAGTTTCGCGGGTGGCACGAGCGCCGAGAGTCAATTTTCACAGCCCAGAAGCCCTCAAAACGAGAAGTTAACCACCTCTCCGAAACCTGCAAAACGAAAACGCTACACTGGCCGGCAAGTTGAATGCGTCGTCTGCCTCGAAGAGTACGTCGATGGCGAAAGCCAAGTCATGTCCCTCCCTTGCGGACATGAATTCCATGCCGAGTGCATCACGCCGTGGCTGGTGACCAGGCGGCGGACTTGCCCAATCTGTAAGGGCGATGTAGTACGGAGCATGGCCCGCCAGCGGGCACCACATGTCGCCGAAGGTGACGAGGAGGAGGATAGCAGCGCCGAAACCGGCATGCGCCACGACGAGAGTACGAGCGATGATATACAGAACCGCGTCGCCCAGACAGTCAACGAGGAGCCAAGTGCCGCCATTCCCATCCCTACCATCGGTCGCGAGGATGAAGATATCGAACTCGGCCAGGACCCGGATGTTCCCCTGCTGGGAGGCGACGAGTCCGTGGAATCCTCCAGCACAATCACAGCCACAGCAGGCACGCCCAGGGGCGGCCCTATGGCGCGACCACGGCATGGGCACGGGCGAGACGGTGGCGAGGGACAGTCCATGTGGAGGAACATTGTCAGCGCAAGCGTTAATCGCCTGAGTGGCGATACGCTATGGAGACAGACGCCCGTCGACCGGAACCGATGACATGATTAGGCTGAAAGAAGCGTTCTGTAGCAGTCACCGTGGCCGTCGCCGTCGTTCATATACCCATCTTTTTTCTACCACATTACCACAGTAGTCTGGACGGGTGGGGTGTGTTGGTGCAAGGCCCCCGGAACGAACCAGTCTACATAGCTGCAATGGAGTCTTGGATGCATGGTTGCATTGTTGCATCATCGTAAATTTTCTCTCCTGCATGCATGAATTGTCCTTCGCTTTGTTGCCGTACTATGCTACGTAACTCTCCTTCGACCCTGCGCCACATCCATTTACTGGGAATACCTGTATATCGATTTATGAGGGTTCGACAACGGCGGGATGGATAACGTGACCTGGATCCGATACCGAGACTAGACAGGATGAAAGAGACAGGATGAGATACAAGACAGATATTTGTTGCTCTTCATCGGGTATCGAAGGTGAATAATATACAACACGTGGTATAATATGGCAAGACAGAATTACATGATTTATCCGCTCCGGAAACATCGCAATGCGTCAGCTCATTTTCCAAATCCCCGTCTTATTATATCTCGTTCAGAAAAACGCTGATGATACAGATGCATGGCGAGAAGAGCAAGCATGCCGGACAAGTAAATTGCAACGTACACTGGGCGACACAGCGTCCCCTTGGTGTAGGTATTCACCTCACTTTCGGAAACGGAGTCCAACGTCCAGTCACGCTCGTCTTCTTCCGCAACTCGGGCTGCGATTCCCTCCGCAACTCGGGCTGTGATTCCCGCTCCTGGACGTTCGGTGGTGCCGGCTCGAGGACACCTGTGGGATGCTCGTCATCGACAAGGTAATGCCGTGTCTCTGGGGCTAGATTGCTGAGATCTGGCTTGTACGGGTGCATGTTGGCAGGCATAACCCAGCCCTCCGGCGGCGGGATCTCGACCTTTTCGCCGGTTTGTCCGTCAACAATGAAGTGCCGCGCAGGCAGGATTTCGACTGCTTTGATGGGCTGCGTGTAGGTGTAGTAGTGATGGACATGGATTTCTCGGGTGATTTCTTCTTGCACGATCTCTGTCCTGTTGTTCCTGATAACTTCGTGTGTTACTGCTGGCTTCACGACCTCCTCGACGTAGGTGTGTTCAGTCCTGCCTGGTCTGAAGCCAGCAGGGAGTAGCACGTGTTCATGCCTCAGCGCAGTGGCGCCGGGCGACTGCACCGGGGGCGTGGCTCCTGCGTTGGGGAAGTCCGAGCTCGGGATATAGTAGCGAGGGTTCAGAGGAGAGGGATCGTTCGGTGCTAGTGGTTGGTGTCGCGGTGTTCGGGGAGGGAAGGTGGGACTCTGAATGCTACCTGCCGATGATGAGCGGTCGCTGTCAGAGTCGAGTTTGGTATTGCTCTCCGTTAAAGAAGGTTTAGGTCTTATAGAAAGTAGTCCATGAGTAGGCGGTGCTGGCTTCAGCTCTGGCGGAGGGTCTTTCTTTGGTCTTGGTTGGTCTGTACTGCCAGCAACGGGCTTCCTTCGTAACGAAGAGCGCCGCTCGGGAATTGTCTGAGGTAACTGAGGCAAGGGAAAGGTGTTTTGCTGGTTGGAAGGTGACCCTTGCGAATGAGAGCTGGCTTGGGACATTGCAAGAGTGGTGGCAGTATTCTTCACAGTATGTTGCGAGGGACGCTTTTTCAGACGACTTCTGGACCGGGACCGGGGGACGGAATGGGCAGAGTCATGGTTGACGGTAGGAGCCGCTGTAGCAGGACGCTGTACGGGCTCTTCCCGCCATTGGTGTGTCGGAGAGTTGTCGCTATGACTGAGGCGTCGGTTGCGGTTGCGTCTGCGACTTCGACTCCGACTGCGACTTCTTTCTTGTTCGCTCTGCATGACGTATGGAGCTGGAAAGCACTTCCAATTGGCATGGCCCGTGTCTGCGAAACGTTGAGTGGGCGTCACGGCAGTGGCCATGACTCCTCCACGAAGCTTCTAGCAAAGAAAAGTGGTGCCCCTCCAGAAACTTTCTGGTGTTGACCTACCGAGCTGAGATACACGAGGCAGATCGAAAGGGCAGATCGGGAGCAGAGACTCACGGGACACACAACAGACAGACACCCTTTCCACGCTACCCACCTGTTCTCACGAGCTACCTCCTGTCTGGTATCTGCGTCGCAAGAACGGCTCACCCTGGCTAAGCTGAAGTGCTCGAAGCGATCCTCTCGTTTGCAAGCACGGATCCAAAGTCAAATCTTGGCCAACGACGGCCTTACCCAACGCGGCGTGAAAGAAGAACATGGCTCAGGGATACCCATGGAAACGAAGGTGAACTCAAGAACAGGGACCCTGGCGAACCCACCATTGCTGCGGCCACGCGTAAGGATTGGACCATGATCGACAAAAACTGGGCAGGTGGCTTGATCAGGAAGAGCAGGCCGATGCTCAGCACGGGCGAGCACGGGACGTGGCTTTAACTAACTAGGGGAACGCCTTAGGGCACGTCCTAGCTCCCAGAGCACGAAAGTGGCGGGTCTCTGGTGGCCTGTTTAGGGATTGGCCCGGGTGAAACTAACGGAAGCCACGCCCTGGAATGATGAGGTCAACGTCGACGGCTGCCACAGAGAACTTCAGGGAAACCCCGAGAGAGGCTTGAACGGCTGTCCGCCTGTGGCTTGAACCCCAACGTCAGCGAGTGGTCTCTTTTGACTTCAATCATCATCACTCGCCACAAGCCGGATTTGACCATGAGATGGATCATCTCCCCATTGCGGTTGGGCGTATCATGACGCATCTGGTGCACCATGCGCGCTACTGTGTGCGAGTAAGATCGAATGTGGCTTGTCCCCTCTCACGCATGGGGATGCACCACGACCTTGGAAAATGCAATACCACCCAGAGGTGCCTTCCCATGACGGCACGGTCCACGGATGAGGAAGACACCGTTCGATTCCGTGAGAGTAACTGCGACGGCCACCGTAACCTTCAGCGACCGTGAGTGTTTCTTAGGCTCCCGTGGAGATCGCTCTACGCCCTTCACAGGACGGAAATAATGAGATCTGAATCCAAAAACATGCAAAGCTTGTTCGGTGACGATCTGACACCTCTTTAGGTATATGCAGGACATTTTCGGCGAATTCTAGCTACCGCATCTGATCGACAGATGGAGGGAGACGCTGATAGCCGAGATCAGTCCCAATCACGTCGATTCCCTTTGTCGACACTTCCCTACTGTGTGAGTGCGATCTCTTGCGGGTCACTGACCTCACAGCGAGGGGCCCAGTCCAAGCTTAGCTTTGCTCAATATGATATCACAACCTTACGAGATGGGACAAAGTGTGGTAGCGTCTCATATCGTCTGGCTGTGTATAAATGGTCGCTAGGTACCTTGAACTTCTCTCCCCAGAAGTAGATCAGTTCAATTACAGTTTTACCTCTCATCAGCACCAGAAACGACCACCTACATTCACAATGGAAGCAGCAAGAGCAGCCGTTCAGAAACTTACCGGCAATCGGGGCCACCATACCACGGTTGAAGAAACCGTTGTCCCAGCCGTCACCCATGAAGCCGTCAAGCCTCACATCCACGAGGAAGCCACCCAAGCCGTCGACCGTGAAGTGCATCAGCACCACTACCACACCACAGTGCAACCTCTTACTCACCAAGAGAGGCTTCCAGAGAAACACACTCATAACATCCTCCCGGCTGAACACCGCGAGTTTCACCATGATGACGAATCAAGGACCAAGGAGAGGCTCGCCGCTGAGATGGCCAACTTCAAGAGCCACTCCACAACCCACGAGACCGTCCACACCCAAGCTGCGGCCCCCACCGTGACTGGCGAGCACGTTCACCACCACGTCCACGAGACCGTCGTTCCAGTCATCCACAAGGAAACCATCCAGCCCGAGGTCGTCCACACCACCATTCCTGTACACGAGTAAGTTTGTCCGCTGAAGAACGAACCTTCATGTAATGACTTTCTGCAGGACACATCACGCCGCTGCTCAGCATCACGGATTGTCTGCCTTGCCCATGAAGACCCTTGATGAGTTCAAGGCAGCAGGCGGTGCGTTGGTGGGTGGTCAACACTCAAGCCACGAGGAGTATGAGGGTGCACCCCGCCCATACAATGACAAGCTTTCCACGACCTTTGAGAAACTTGAAGAGAAGTTCCACGGCGGCCATCACACCACCGGGACCACAACCGGTACCACTGGTCTCGGTGGTATCGGCGATCACAACAAGACACACCGTCCTACCGACTCTGGTGTTGGTGGTGTTGGCCATGATCTCACCTCAGGTGGCATTGGCAGGGATAATCATCATCACGAAACTGGCACCGGAGTTGGTGACAGGCACCTTGGAGCCAGAGGCGCCGGCCCTATGGGCACGACCGAAGGAGCAAAGCCCAGCTTGGCTGATCGGATGAACCCTCGTGTCGATGCTGATGGTGATGGAAAGCGCGGCTTCATGGACTGAAGCGGATGTGCTATGATAGCGTGGAGTTGATGATTTTAACGAAATTTCTTTACGTTGTCGTCGGCCCTTGGAAAAGTACGACATGGATATACAGACTCCAGCAATGAGAAACGTCATGTACTGAACGAACGGCAATCGTACTATTTCTGTAACAACATTTAATTGTGAATGGTCGTTGCTGCCAAGCTCCTGCAATTCTACGAGAACGTAGGCGATCGCCTCGCCCCCAGATGCTTCTTCTCGCCTTACGCCGCGGACAATCGTGGCTTACAAATTGCGTGTCGGGACGAAGTCCTGAAACGCGCAGAGAACGTACATAGCCTGTGCAGGGCAATGAGGAACTGCGTCCTCAATGCGGGGTTGAAGTGTTCCTCACATTTCGCCCCCTCGCCGAGGAATAACAGCGTGCTCCATCACCTAGACATCACCTCGGAAGCAAGCGGTCGTACCTAGAGAACGATCGGGCAGAGATCCGTCATCATGCAGTACGGGGTATCTTGATCACCTAATAAGTACGCCCAAATGGTCAGTTCGTTTCCGTGGACGCGGGTTTGTGAATGTCTCCATGCCCGCGTTGCGACAGCAAATGAGTGATTGTCCATCTCGTTCGTCTCATCCGATATTTGATTCTACCTGACCTACACGATCCCAAGCACCCAAGCTATATGAAAGCCTTGAGGATTCTGTGATTTCTTCAACCCACCCTTCGAGATCACCACAGCGCGTCCTGCTGCATCTGCATCACAGGTTCCTTGACCACATCACTCCCTCACTGTCAGCTCTCGCTGACAACCGACCTACCAATAGCCTACCGCCATGTCGTCTGATGAAATTATCCTATATGATCTCCCCTCGAAGCAGGGATTCTCATGGAGTCTGAACCCTTGGAAGAGTAAGTCGGCGTCCGTGCGAGGTTTCGGTGTTTGGTGCTGTCGGTGACGTTGGTGAAGGAGATGCCAATCATGGTTTGCGCCCTTGCTAACGTCTGCGTCTGCGTCAAGCTCGGCTCGCGCTGAACATCAAGGGTCTGCCATACAGGACCGAGTGGGTCGAGTATCCCGATTTGAAGCCGACGTTCCAGAAACTGTAAGTGTGGGTGTGAACAAACACTTCAGGTGAGGTACAGATGCGTTTTTGGTCAAGATGCCGTCGTTCTGTATAGATACTCAGGGCAGATCACTTTCTCCGAAGCCTTTTGCCCCTTTCACCTGTTGAATGTCTGGGCCACTGCGTACTCCATGCGGCGTGTCTCAAGGGTGGTCGCAATTTCACATCATCACCGAATCCACTTGCGCAGGCACTCACTCACTCACTCCATCGCTCCCTCGCTCACACACTTCCAGTGGCATCCCACCCAACGACTCCGGCCCCTTCGAATATACTTCTCCCACGGTCCGCCTTCCGAACGGCGAATACGTGATGGAATCGCGCAAGATCATCGACCGCCTCGAGGCCCTCTACCCGGACCCCTCACTACATCTCGACTCGCCGTACCAAGCGCGCACCGAACAATTCCTGCCCAAACTCGTCGGCACGGTGCGTCCCATCTTCATGCCCTTGGTGCCCGTCACGTTCCTGAATCCGCCCTCCAAGCAATACTTCGAGCAGGACCGTGAGAAGACCCTGGGCATGCCGCTGCAGGAGTACCACGCCAAGAACGCCGAGCAGGCGTTCCGCGACGTGGAACCCTTGTGGAAGGAATTGGCGGGGTGGTATGCCGAGAATGAGGGCGGCGTGTGGCTTGAAGGCAAGGAGATTGTTTACGCGGACGTCATGGTCCTGGCTTTAATGAGGATGCTCGATAGGCTTGGTGTCGCGGAGAGGTTGTGGGCGCTTGAGGGGGGTGATGTCTTGAAGAAGGTCTATGATGCTGCTGCGAAGTGGTTCGAGAGGGATACCTACTAGAGGTTTGTTGCTGTATTATGGCTCAAGGGGTGGGAAGGAGCGGCCAAGGGCGAGGGCGAGAAGTACCGCGAGAAAGGGATCAGGAATCCCTGCGCCAATAGCACTTGGTAGAGATTACTGATCGGGCACACGCGAGTCAGTCCTGTCATGTATGAGGGGGTGTTGCGATTGTTGATTGTAAAGCGGGGATATGCGAATCGACCGCATGCCGTGGTGGCTTTCAGGCGTGCAATCATGTCATCTAAACAGAACATGCAGTGTACTAGATACTGCGGTTTACGATCACTTGGGCACTGAGGATGGCCAAGGACTTGACAACATGTCCCCTGTAGCCGTGTTGGCCTCTTCCGTTGAGCTGCAGGTGTGTAGTGTCGATACCTGATTGCACACTCCCAATCAACTTCGCATTACTCTACCGCCTAGAATAATTGTTGGCCTTTTCGGTCTCGGCTCATCCCTCCTTCTCTCCTAGAACCGGTCCGGCTAGCTGTATCACCACCTTTCCGAAGTTCTTCTGCTGCCACTGATACTCGAACGCATCGAGCGCATTGTCCAGACTGAAGATCTTCTCATCTACAACCGGGTGGATGTTGTTGGCATCGATGGCACGGTTCATGGCCACCAGCTGCGCCTTCGATCCAATCAAGACGCCGCGAATGATGCAGCCGGCGGTGAGGGCCTCGAGCGTGCTTGGTTCCTTCTCGTGGCCGGCACCGCCGAGAAAGCCAATCACGGAAATAACACCTCCGAGTTTGATGGCTGAAGAAGGAGGCACGGTCAGCACGGCAAATAAAATGGTGCGGGAAGCAATGGATCGTACCTTTTAGAGACTGTGCCATCGTACCAGGGCCACCGACCTCGATGACATGGTCGACGCCAGCTTTGCCGGGAGAAAGCCTCTTCGCTGTCTCTCCCCAGTTCGGGTCCGTTTTGTAGTTGATGACAATGTCTGCGCCGAGTTTCTCCAGCCGTTTCGCCTTGTCGTCTGACGAAGTCGTGGCAATGACAGTTGCGCCGGCGGTCTTTGCAAACTGTATAGCTGAGAGCGAGACACCGCCAGTGCCTTGCGTGAGGACAACATCCCCGGGCTGGACGGCTTTTGATTGCAAACCAAAGAGCGCGTTCCATGACGTGAGAGGTGCGCAGGTTAGTGTCCCTGCCTCGGTGGGAGATAGATTTGACGGAGCTCGAGCGAGGCCCCATGCTGGAAAGACGGCGTATTGGCGCAGAGTACCAGGTGCGCCGCCGCCCAAGGCACTGTCGAACATATCGGGAGTCGGCTCGCCGTGCTGGTGCTTTTGCGTGAACTGTGTGACGACTTTGTCGCCCTCTTCGAATTGAGTCACCTTGGAGCCGACGGCCAGGATCCGACCTGCGCCATCCGAGCATGCAACAGTGGGCAGATTTAGCGGCAGAGGATATTGGCCCTACAGACCGTCAGTGGAACCAGGGCTCGGGCATCTTCGCGAGATTGTATACTTTACCTTCGGAATCACCAGGTCTCTGTAGTTGAGGGAGACGGCTTGGATCTGAACAAGACAGTCGTTCTCGCCGAGTTCAGGGACAGGATAGTCCTTGACAAATTTCAAGTTCTCCCAGCCTGGCTTGTCCGCGTTGCTAGCCTCGACGACCCAGGCGGGTGTGGTTTTTGGTAGAGACATATTTGCTTTAATGGCTGGTCCTGTTCGGGTTACGGGAGAGGAAGACGATGATCTTGGGATACCACGCTCAGAAGGAAGACTAAAATGCTGATGAACTGGAAGTCTAGCAAGCGTGAGATGAGAGAGAAATGGGATAAGAACCTATGCCGATGTCAAGCTCACAGATGAAGTCACAACGCATTTATATAGCATACTAGTATGCTCCACCTGCCTTAGACGAGGCCACTGGTCGAACATGGAGTCTTTTATGTCCAATAATTGACACAGTGCCTGGGTCGCGACGTTCTTGTGAATGAGAACCGCAAGGAATGTGATCTAGCCTTACGCAAAGGTCATCTTGGTACCTCGATTGGTAGTTCGAGCTCCAATCTGCCGAATTTGAAAGCAAAAGTAATGTTGACGTTTTCTGTCTGACGCAACATACCTTAAATGGGCCCGTTTTAAGGCCCTCTTGAACAGGACGGATGAAGGCTGGATTCGTAGATAGACTGTCCCCGCATGATATGCTTGGCCGTCTTCGTCCGGGCTCTTGAGGATTGGTCCGGTGGCGGCTAGATTGCGACAAAGGGTCGGGAGGATACATTCATGACTCGTTGCTGAATAATGCAAGGACAGCAGTCAGGTAGGGTCAATTCATGTGGGCGAGCGGCTACTCCGGAAAGAACTTGTACAATCCAGCGTCGAGGAAGTCGAGTTTGTTGGTGGGGCTGCCCCTCGTGTTTCGCGAGCAGCCGCGGGATTTGGCGTAGGGTCGACCATAGGAGCAGAAGCGTACTCTATCCAGTACGGCGCGCCTTTGATAGCTGAATGGCAGCACACAATGCACGAAAATCTTGGCGGGCTTGGCGGCTGCAGAAGGAATTGTGGATTGGCACCTTCTCGTCGACATCGCTAAGGCACTTTCTACTGACAACCTTCAATCCTCGAGACGCCCCCTGATTGCAGAGACCACGTCAAGTCCTCGTAGCAATCATGTCTCAACCAGCTCTCAACAAGATCGCCCACAACAGCCCCTCGAGGCAACACCCTTCGGAGCTGGAAACCAGCATCGCAACCGCCCTCTATGAACTCGAGACCAACATCCCCGAACTCAAGGTTGCCTTGAGACCGCTCCAGTTTGTCTCTGCACGCGAGGTATGACAATATGATACCGGATCATCGTGAAATCTAAGCGTGGAAGTCCAAGACTTAGCACTAATACCTTTGATTCTCGATAGCTCGAAGTTGGCCACGGCAAGCGCGCCATTGTCATCTTCGTCCCGGTGCCCCTCCTCGCCGGCTTCCACAAAGTTCAGCAACGCCTGACCCGCGAACTCGAGAAGAAGTTCTCTGACCGTCACGTCCTGATCCTGGCCATGCGCCGCATCCTGCCCCGCCCAAAGCGCTCCAACCGCTCCCGCACCAGCCAGACCCAGAAGCGTCCCCGTTCTCGAACTCTGACGGCCGTGCACGATGCTATCCTCTCTGATGTGGTTTACCCGGTCGAGATTGTGGGCAAGAGATTGAGGACCAAGGAGGATGGAAGCAAGGTGTTGAAGGTCGTTTTGGACGAGAAGGAGCGCGGTGGCGTTGATTACAGACTCGACACTTACTCTGAGGTCTACCGGAAACTGACTGGACGGGTTTGTGGCTTTGAGTTCCCCTTGAGCAGCGCGTCGGATTACTAGGCGATGAGATGACGAGGGGACGAGAGCGCCACGCAGACATGGTACCACGGCGAAAGGAAGGCACAATCGGCGTGCGCGACGACTGTCGTTGTTCTCGATGACTATGCATGTACCCGCATCGTATGGAATGGATGGTGACAGGTGTGGCCACTGAGGCATTGTTCCCGGCTCGAAGACAGATGCCATACCACTCGATTGAGAGTCAACGCAGCATCAAAAGTTCTGGGCGGTTGACTTTAGCCGATGAATAGAAGACAAGATATGGTTCAAACTGCCCGAGAGTCCATTTTGTTGAATTCTGTACAGGAGTTATGTTACATCCCGAAGTCTCCTCCCCCAAGTACATCCTTCATGTTGATGCTCCCACTCCCTCGCTCCAGAGGTTGTGGCTGGTTCTTGCTAGTCTTCCAGCCGATCATGTAGATGACCCTGAAAGTGGCCGGGATTCTGTCCTTTTCGTCCTCTTTGCAATGCAATTCCCTGTATATGGCTTCATTGGCCAACAGAACGTCCCTCTGAATTGGCCCCCCCATGGACTTCAGAATCGCATTTCCTTCTCCCATTGCTTGGATATCCGTCATCAAAGTAAAAGTGTCGGGGTATTCCACGATGATATCGTCCACATCCACGGTCAAGAGACTGAACCCTGCTCGCCCAAGGAGGCTGCCAATGTCGCGCACATCGGCCAACGGTGATATATGCGGGGAGACGCCACCCCGGCGCTCCAGATCAGCCAACTGTAAGGATGAACGCAATTCGTAGAGTGTATCCCCTCCGAACATGGCCGCGAGAAAGGGAGCGTCAGGCTTCAGGATGTGGTTCACGCTAGCTAGCGCGGAGGGTAGATCATTGACCCAATGAAGAGACAACGAAGATATAACAGCATCAAATGTGTTCGCTTCGTAGGGTAATGTCTCGAGGGATGGTAAAACTTCCCGAGTGATTGGAACCGCGGGAGCGGGCAATGCATCGTCCCGATGGAGAGATACGGGAGAGATGTCTGCGCAGGTAAGGTGGTGGATCCGTTCTGAGAGCGGTATCTTCTGCTCTGTCGTCCCGTCTGGTAACTCTGGCGCAATGAGAGGTGGCTTTGACAGCGCATGTGCTATCTGAAGGCTGTTTGCACCCAGATCAAGGACCCGCGGGAATTCTCGATTGATGTCCAGCAGACGATCGACCAGCCTCTGTGCCACCTCATCTTTCAGATAGTCCACCTGCCTGCTATATTCTGCGTTGGCAGCAGTTCTTTCTTTCTGGAGGTATTTGACGGTCTCGTTGAAGACTTGATGGGTCGGACCTCCCGGTGCCTGGATTGCATAACATCTCCGAAAGTAGGGACGCCGTCGAAGAGCCGATGTTGGAAGCCACGGCCTCAGCGTCAGCGGCTTCATATCTGACAGTGTGTCTGGAGCTCAGGCAAGTCAATGCCTGGCTTGATAGAGAGAAGGGGAATCACCCAGGCATTGCCGCTCTAGTCGTCAATGATGCCAATACCTGTAGTCGGACATGAGGAAGGTTAGCCGCAGACGCGTCTCAACGCGATGTCTTCTGCTTGCCCCGATAGAGAAGCTTTTGGCGGGATAGAGCCCAATGAGATACTATCTTTGGAGAGGCAGCTATTGTGATGTGAGATCGGCAAAGCGACAGCCATCACAGTAATACCTACATCCTGCCTAACGCAGCAGCACAATCTTCCCGATTCTTCGGCCTTTGTCTGCGACCTAGTCGGGCAAGGTATCCGTATGAGAGGATCGCTGCTGTACTCTCGATGAGATTCTGCTTCTGCATGTGAGAGTGTCCAGAAGGTCATCATGGCTCTCTCCTTCCCTTACACCTTCATCTCCTGCCCCTGTTCAGATGCTTCACGAAGGGCCCTCAAGTCGGGGCGGCTTTCGAGGGAGGTCGACTTGGAAGAAATCCAAGGTGGAGAAGACACATTCGATCCCAGGGATCCTCGTTCAGCATTCTCTTTATTTCCTCCTGAGCACTTGTTGTACTGCGAAGAATGTCACGAGATCAAGTGCCCCCGCTGCGTGACTGAAGAAATCAACGCTACTTATTGCCCAGACTGTCTGTTCGAAAGTCCCAGGGCAATGGTGAGAGGGGAAGGGAACAGATGTCCTCGAAACTGTTTTCATTGCCCAATATGTAGGTCACAGATGATCACCACTTCTATTGGAGACACGAAAGACGGTCCTTTCATCCTAAACTGCAATTATTGTATGTGGAATACTCTTGACGTCGGGATCAAGTTCGACAAGCCGACAGGCCTTCGTGGGCAGCTTGACGGACTAGCAAACGGCGGCTCACGCAAACCCTCTCAGCAGAAGCCACACAATGATCAAGATTCTCTGGGCCGCAAGTCATCATTATCTCGGCCTCCGTTGTCTCAAGAAGAGCTGGAGGCTACCTCGGAAGACAAGCAAGAACCAACGACACAAATGTCATTGGACGCCACAGCAAGATTCAACGCTCTGAGGGCATTCTACAAGGACCAGATCGCAGAGTCGTCAGCCACAGATGCTAGTTTCCCAGCGTCCGCGCTCGACATTGCCTACTCATCACCATCATCCCTCCAACGAATCATGAATATCTATACCAACCGAGAAAACTCCATGAAGCGAGCGAAACAGAAGCTCACGATTATGCGCGAGGCCCGGACAAGCAGCGAAGGCCTTCAGCTCCCCGGTCCCTCCCACCCTAAACCGTGTCATTTCGACGAGACAACAACACCCTCACAGCGAAAATTCCAGTACCCATCCTTCATCGGCAACACGCAAGCTCGTACAGTCACTGAACTCCGACCTATGCCAACGCTCATGCGCACAAAGCGTTCCAAACGATGCGCAACATGCAAGCACATTCTCACCCGGCCAGAACTTAAAATCTCCTCAGCCAGATACCGCATCAAGCTGATCGCCCTCAGCTACGTCCCGTTTGTGAGCATCAAGCCACTTCCAGTCCCGGGCGGCCTTCTCCCATCGGGCCCAGATGGAAGTGACGTAGTCCTCTTCCCAGGGAAACCTGTGCAATTCATCATGACGCTGCGCAACCCCCTCTTCGACGACGTGTCTGTCAGCTTGGGAAGTCCAAATACCACGCCAGGGAAGCACGGCCACCGAGTCACAATCCTCTGCCCGCAATTTCAGCTCGGCAAGAACAGTGACGCCTGGGACGATGCATTGAACACCATGCCTAAACCGGCTCCATCGGGTGATGTTAACACAGCAGGCGGAGAACAAATCGCGGGTAAACTGTACGACCAAGGACGAAATTGGGCAAGCGTAGTCATTGAAATAATCCCAGCGAGTATCTTCAGGAAGCAAGGCGAGGAGCTGGACGAGGACGAGAATGTCGTGGAGATTCCCATCCGGGTGAGGCTAGAGTGGACGGTCACGGAAGATGCTGATGCAGGGATCGGTGAGAGGAGAAAGCGTGATAGGGAGAAAGTGCTTGATGAAGATGGGGAGGCAGACGACGGGAAGAGGGAGTTGAGTTATTGGATGGTTCTTGGGATTGGCCGGGTGGATTGTTGAAGGGAGCATAATATGAGTGGAAGGCTGGGCTCAGAGAAACGATGGGTGCTTGCGATACCTTGTGTACTAGACTTGATCGAGCTGGCCACGAAGGTCTTCCTGATGTGGATCTTAAAGCTCTGGTCGCGCACGATGGCTTCCTGAGCTGTTATGTCTTGCTCCGCGCGTTTGTCGTTGCGTCGTTGTCGACACACCTGGCCACCCAGTCGCATTGTAACCTGCTTCATACCGTCCGCCGATCGCTCATGACCCTCACTATCCCACCCACTCCAACTACTTCCGTCAGCTTTTCGTGCCAACTCAGCAGCACACTCATGACCTGTCCGCCTCCACCTTCTCCGAAGTTTCGTGATTGTATCTGACTGAACCCTGAACCTGTGGCCTGTGGACTCACTCCCTTGCCTCCAGCTCCTCCAGTACCGCTCGCCATACCCTTGTAGATGTACTTCATGAGTGTATCCCCCAGGGCCGTGCCGCCCGGTTGTTTCAGCATCTCCGCCAATATCCGGCTCACATCGCTCTGTCTGATCCCCTGCAGCACTTCCAGCACGGTGGTGAGGTGGACTTGTTTTGCGCCCTCGTCACCGGCGAAAGGGGCGGTCTCAAGGGCGGACTGTAGGGCGCCTACGCTGTCTCCGGCGCGAAGCAGTTGTCGGACTTGTTGGCCTATTTGAGCAGATTCAGACGATGTTGAGGGGGCGGGTAGGTTTGCGGGAAGGAGGGTGGAACGTGGGAAGTTGAACGCTGACTCCGGGTCGTAGGCGTCTATGTTTATTGTCCGCCAATTTATGTTGGACATGGTTGCCGGAGAGTGAATGTGCCGGCAGGGTCGCTTATGCCTGAACGACGGCGGGGAACCAGATTGGCAGTTGATGATTTTGAATACAGGTTTACTGTGGGGGTTCGGAGAGTAGTGTGTGCGTGCGGCTGTCGAAGAGCGCCAACAGACGCTGCCACGCGGACGAGTGTACGAGAGAGAAGTGATATAATGGCCTCTATTGAAATAGATACATGAGCACGCATGCTGCGGTGCGGGACAAACTAACGGAAGAAGCCTCCTCGACCTCTTACGTAATCGGCCAAGAGTCTTTGGTTCAGCCTCGTGACAGGCGCCTTGGCCAGCCTCGCCTGATTCAGGTTCTCGTTACTTCCCCGTCATCTCCCGTCCACCCTATTTCATAACCCCCTATGCTGGCGTTGCCGCCGTCGGGGCTTGGTTGAAACTGTTCACAGTCAATACGGCTCATCGTTTGACAGGGTCACAAGTCATACAGTGCGAAGCCCGGCCTCTCATCTTTGCCTTCCTTGTTCAAACCCCACGCCCACGGAGAGTCATCATGCACGGTCGTTCTCCTCAGGTCCCGACGATACTTGCCAGCGAAAGAACCGCCCTCAGCTTTATGCATGACACAGCTAAATCCACCAGTCAGCAATGCAGGTTCTGGCACACGACAAATATCTTCGAAGGTGCAGGCCACTTACGTGTTGTCCCAAATGACCAAGTCGCCTGGTTCGTGCCACGGAATGCTCAACGTGTATTTTTCCTGCGTCGCATGGGTCATGAGCTTGTCCATCAGCTCCTTCGACTTTTCTGGTGACACGTCCACAACATGGTCCATATGTGCAGCAATGTACAGATTCGTCCGGCCGGAAGGTTCGTGCTTCTGCACTATCTTGTGCTTGTGCATGGGGTAGTCATTCACATTGAGGTCCTTGAAGAACTCAGGGGCCGCCTTCTTGCGTGATGAGTACAACGAGTGAGCGCCGACATAGTCTTTCTCAAGGAGCTCGGCCTTCAACTCAGGATCCAGCTCGTCCCACGCAGTTCGAGTGTCAGCAAAGCCGGTGTTACCGCCAGTGTTTGGTGGTGGCAGCTCGTGCGCCTTCAAGAGCGAGTATGAGGCCCTCCGAGGATTGAACGACGAATCAACATGGAACAGAGCATTGCCTTTGTTGTATTGGGCTCGCGGGCTATCTGGCTGGAGCACTGTGTTGGTGTCTGGGTCGATATTGCCGGCATCGAACAGCTCGTAGTAGCCATATCGAGGCTTGCGTCCATTGGTCATGTACGGTCTGATGTCGTCCAACTCGCCGAATCGACGGGAGAACTCAACGTGGCCTGTGTCGTCGAGCCCCGTCTTGCGGAACACGATCACGCCATACTATGGAGCTGTCAGCAGGTCCATCACACCAACCAAGCATCCTTCAATGCTTTTCCTACCTTTGCTGATGCGGCGAGGATCTCCCTGAAAACGTCGTCATCGAGAGGCTTGGAGAAGTCCACTCCTTCAATCTCGGCCGCGAACGTCGGGTGCAGTTTCTTGATCTTTAGAGTCTTGAACTCCGTCTCCGGGGTCAGAAGAAGTCCAGGCATTGTGGTCGCTTTTCGGAATGAGCAGGCTACCTCAAGGGCTGAAGCGGTGGTATTAAATGTTTGATTTAATGCCGAGTTGCAAGTGCTCGGTACCCAACTACCAATATATCAACGCTTGGGGAGACATCGGCAAGTCTCCGCCTGCTTTGACTGCATCTGCCGAAGCCCCATGTACACTCCTGTCTGGAGAGAGTGTCAGCCTCGAGGTTCCCCACAGAGTATTTCAAGAAGTTGTGCGGGGAAGATTGGAGATCAACCTCTTCGAACGGAGAAGCGAGATACAACCAGACGTCTCCCCAAAAGCAACCATTGCATCTGCAGGTTTTCGAAAGAGGTTCTGATGCAGGTGGCAACTACGGCTGGGCGCGCACGCTTCCAAACTTGTACGCCCGTGCTTGGATCGATCAAGCTATTTTAGCTCAACCACCCGGCCTCTTATTCTCTTCCGACTCTTATGCGTCGCTTTAGCGCCCCATCAATCAACTCCAATATTGTTGCCCCGGTTGTTGACGTCATGTCGATGATGACACTCTACAAGTCATGCAGACTTTTGATGTGAGCCGAAGCTGGCGACAGCTTGCAGAGCAAGGTTGCGTCCGTCCGGCTGGGAGAGGGAGTCTTGTACTCTACCTCAAGGCTGCGTCTGGTTAACGACAGTAGGAGTCAGATTATCAATGCTGAAGGAGAAGGAGACGGAAGGACTTGCATTGTGGGTACCCGGTGCCTGCTGGCTTCCGAGAACTCTCAGTTTTGTCGAGCCAAGGTAAGCTTCAAATGGGCTGCTGGTCGTGGCGGTGACAGGTAAGAACCATGTTCATGCGAGGAAGTGGTAGACGGGTGGAAACAATAACCCAAAAGGCACCCCAACCATGACTTCTTCTAGGCTTCCCATTTCAGGACCGTCAGTTGCAGGAAAGAACCTTCATAAAACAAGTCTCTTCAGGTAACAACTGACCGACTGTTTTAATTGACAACCTCCCCAAGTTCATTCATATGGAAGCGAAAGGATTTCCCAATTCACAAATTCACTGCTAGGGATGTTTTTTCGCCATTTCTACCCAGTTGCTCTTCGGGGCTTGGTACCAAGTGACAATGAAATATTCACGGAAGGAAGGGGTCCGACCTACTCTTCACTGTCATGCCAGCGATACCCTGCTTCTTCCGAATATCACTCCGCCAAGGCTTCACTCACAGGCAGTGAGATTTTGTGCACAAAGTGAAGAACAGACAATCTGCGCATAAGTATGCCGTTCTTCTCACTCGCGACTTTTGGTCTTTTGTCTTCAACACATCTTCAAATCGACAGGCTTGTGACCATCAACACAACCTCACTGTTTTCGCCTTTCGAGGGCCCCTCTTACTCGCGAGCCATTATGGCTCCCTTACTCACCATCCTACTCTTCGGCCTGATTACGAGCCTGTGCAGTCCGACAAATGCGCGATGGATCGGCAGCAAGGAGAAACGCACAGAGCAGGGTGAAGATTGTCCAGCCTGTGGTGGTTCGCAATCGCAATCGCAATTCAGTAAGTCTTCCGCTTGCCACGTTCTCATTTACTGACCATTGCCTAGATCACGGTCCCTGGGAAGATTGGAGCATGACGAGCAGCGCTGAGATGTCCCCACCCACAGTCACGATCGTCTTTACGGGCACGGAGACAGTTACTTCATTTACTGGCGTTGATGTGACAGTCACAGGTGTTGGGACGCAGCCCGGATCAGAGCCTACCAGTTCCAGCCTTCCCATGCATACTGTCACAGAGACCACCTCAGAGATCAATACTTTCACTGTTACGGAAACAAGTGTCTTGCCGCCACCTGCAGACTCCTCAGGCTCTACTACCGCAGAATCTGCCTCAGTCACCGCAGAGACCAGTGTTGATACCTCTCCTGCACCAACACTCAGTAGCTCAGCAAACTCAAGCAGCTCTGCAGCCTCAGACACCAGCGCATCCAGTCCGACTGAAAGCTTTTCTTCTGCTACCTCCACGACTTCGGCCTCCACGAGTGTAGAACTGTCAACCACCTCATCCGGCGAATCACCGGCGTCTTCTGATGTCTCCAGTGCAACATCAGAAAGCAGCATGAGCTCTACCTCGACAGATCAGTCGGCATCGACAAGTGAGACATCCACGAGTGAGCTTACAGACAGCAGCAGTTCTAGCTCCACCTCGACAGATCAGTCTACGGCGACAAGTGGGACATCCATCAGTGAGGCTTCAGCCGGCAGCAGCTCTAGCTCCACCCCGACAGATCAGCCTGCGGCGACAGGTGGGACATCCACCAGTGAGGTGACTTCGACCTCGTCTTCACAGTCCCAGGAGGCGGTGTCTTCTACTTCAAGCACCTCCTCAACTGCGTCTTCGTTAGCGCAGGAATCAGTGACGGCCGTCCCGGCATCGTCCACTGGAAATAGCACTTTGCCCGCAGGATCCGTTTCATCACCAGCTTCTTCCAGCAATGAGACCTCAGATGTCGTCGCCTTACTCACGAGCACTGTCACTCTGGACTACACCACATTCGTAACTGTGGTTAGATCAACCATTATCTCAGTTCAAGTCTCGTCGAGCAGTCAGTCTGGCAGCGTTGGTCTCCCGAATTCCGTTTCCTCCACGACAAACAGCACCCAGGCTAGCGAGAGCGGAGTTACAATCGTACCTCTACCTCTGCCTCTCCCTTCCGACCTTTCGACTGGAACATGCACGGACGACTCCTGTACAGGCTCAGTTACTATCGCCTTCCCCTCGAACGTCCCGGGTCCTGTGTTCGAGCCGACGCTGACGCCGCCGCCAACAGTGTCCCTGCCTACTGTATCCTTGGTCGGGCTGAAGCCTACATGTTCGTACAGCGACTTATGGATTCCGGAAGCCAATATTTGGACGTGGTATACGTTGGAGCCATGGTGCTGGACATACCCACTGTCGGTTTCTGAAGATTTCAGCACGACAACCAATGACCAGAACGCCATCGTCGCTGTTCAGAGCTCAGCTCACTGCCTATGCCCGCAGTGTTGGCTTGGTTCAAACGATCTATGCCATGAGAACAGACCCTCTGGGTCACACTGTGGTGAGGGATGGTGGTGTGCGGTCACTGCTGGGCCATCTGGACCCTCACATGCGCTCCCCAGTGGTGTTTGTTACGATTCATCAACAACACAATGGGATCTGGTCAACGGCTGCCCTATCACGAACAAAGACTCTAGTACAACTTCGGCATCATACACGACCACACTCACCTACAGCACAAAGACCATCGCAGGTGGCTGGATCGTCTTCCCGTCATTGGACTGGAAATGCCTCGGCCCATTGTGCAAGGATAGCTGCGGAAATCCGATGGCAGTGGCTGGTGATGCAGTCAAATGTATCCTCAGTCTGTTCTCAAACTGCCACATACCATGTTTGGGCAAGTTCGGGTTCCCTTTCCCGCCATCGCCTCCACATTTCCCACCGATTCCGCCGTTAATCTCGGCTTCGTTGACGCTCCCTGTCACACATTGCACGGCAGCACCATGCACGACTGGCAACCCAGGGCCGGGACCCGGAGGTGAACAATCAGGTTCACCGGATCCATCACAATCATTCAGTACTTCCGGTACTTCCACCTCCTCCAGTTCTTCCGGCTCGTCCGGTTCATCCAGCTCGTCCGGTTCATCCAGCTCGTCCAGCTCGTCCAGCTCCTGCTCAGAGTCAGCGTACATCACGTGCAGTGAGACGGTGTCCAATGTGACGTCGAGCGGCACTGTCTTTACCGATTTGACCACCATTACTTCGTGCGAGACTGTTGCAACTTGCTCCGGCACAAACACTGCATCCACGACAACTTCTCTGAACTTCACGTCGGCCGCCCCTGCTTGCACGCTGAGTCCATGGTGGAACGACCCATCTCTTTCGTCCCAGATTGCGAACTGGATTACTCAGTTTCCCATCATCACAGAAAATGGCACGGAGTTCGCAACCTTCAACAACGCCACTCAGACGCCAATGGTAAATACCTCGACGTCTGCATTCTCCTCGTCAAGTTTCTCACCTACTAGCACGTCGCGTACATCATCCAGCACGGCTAGTCCGTCGTCCACACCGAAAACGTCGTCCACACCGAAGACGTCGTCCACACCGAAGACGTCGTCCACACCGAAGACGTCGTCCACGCCGAAGACGTCATCCAAACCTCCTGTCACGACTGCGTCTGTCGCAACGGGCCTGCTAGACTACACGGTGACCCGAACAAGTTCGGACGGCAAGGTATGGAGCGAGCTTGTCTCTGGTGGGCAAGTGATCTCAGCCACCGTAATCTCCACTGTGACAGGCTCTGTGCTGCCAGCATGTGGTCCGTTTAGCTTCGGACCCTGTACCACTATGTCGACAAGTTCCTTTGAGCCAGGCATGCTGACAGCCAGTGAGTTGTTGTACTACACAACTGTGCTGACAGACTCAGACTGCAACGTATGGAGAGATGTCGTGTCGGGAGGTACGCGTGTGACGTCGCAATTCATATCCTCCACCACTGGATGTTCGACCCCTGGAGGACCCTGGGACTTTTCAGCCTCAGGCGTGCCGTTGACGGGGACAGTATCGCTGCCGTCAATTCCGCCTGCCCCTTCAGGGCCACATACTCTGACTACGACGTTGGCACAACAGGGAGGTCGCAACAGTTTGACGATTCTCACCTGTGAAGGAACTGCATACCTCGGTTCCAGCACTTGTGACAGCGATTGGGCCATTCAGACGGTCATACCTGGCGTTCAAACAGGTACGGGACTCGGTATACTCTCGTGTGCCCCCTGGACGGCATTTAAGACAACCACACCGCCAGTTCCGCCACATACTGTGCAGTGCGCGACTCCTACATTCAAAGCGGATATAGCCTGGGCGACGGGCATGCCCTTTTCGCCGTTCGACATCGGGTCGTTTTCGAAAGAAAAAAAGGAGACCATCCTCTGGCGGTTCTGCGAACTTTTGACCGACAAGGGCTCGGACTTCACCATCCGCGAGGGTAATGGCAATGCTGCGGACCATGTGGTGCCCGGCATCTGCCAGCTGTGGGACTACCCCGGATACTGGGCGACGTTCTTCCAGAATTATCCGATCGTCTTTGCACTCCACTTCGACTACAACGGTTGTTCTTCCCCAACCGACAAGCATAGGAACGGGATCCACATGCCGGACTATGGTACCGACGATTGCTATCACAACTTCGAGCAAGTGCTTGTTGAGAATTGTGAGTATCACCGGTTTTTCTCCTCCTTGCATATCTACAATTACTGACTGGAAGTGGCAGGTCTGTTCACAATCAACGCGGTGAATGAGATGAAAATCGGGGCCTATCCCATAGTCGGCGGGATGCTATTCAAGGACTGTATGCGCTGGACAGTCATGGCGCCGAGAAGCGACCTGGGCCCGCAATATTAGATGGTTTGAGACAGAAGTTCAGTTTCCAAGTGAAGCAGCAGTCTTTAGATGGAGGAATGATCGAGGCGAGCACGATGAAATCGAACGGTGGTGTCGTCCCTTGGATATGTTCATGTGGTGATAGGACTTGATGCAGCCAGGCAGCAATGGCCGAAGGTATGCATCTGACTCGCGCTCAAATGTGCACAATGATGAAGAAGACTTTACACGACAAGTACAGCTTGAACCCTCTCCGATCTCACACTCTTCTCTCCTCGGTTTGGCCGTCGCCTCGCCTTGCAGGACAAAGGAAACTATCGCACTTTTCCGCAACGACCAGTCGAACCGAAGTCGGCTCGACACTGACCTTGTTAGATAGGAGTTTCTTTGTGTCCGTCCACGACAGCACCGCCTCCGCCGCGTCCTAGGCTGTCGTCGTCTTGTGGAATGTAAGTCCCAGGGTATTGACAACCACATTCCAACCCCACCGAAAGAGGCACAACCATGGCAACAGATTTACAGTTGGCCCGTCATTCCGCTTGTTTCGGCCGCTCGAATCCAATTTGATTGCACGAGCTTCCCATTTCCTGTTACTATGTTTGTTTACTCACCTTACGCTCCCAACTCATCGAAGTGTCGCGTTAGATTTTCGAGGGTTTGAATCCCCCATTCGTCTATCTATTTTCTGCGCCGGGACACGGTACTTCACAGACCAACAGACGGAGTAGCGGACGCGCATACAAGGCAAATCGAAGCGAGGATTCTCCAAGAGGCCAAAAAGGTCCAGAAGGGCCGAGCAAAGCCATGCCGTCTTCTTGGCTCGAAGACGATGAGTACGAGGCCTGGTGCGCCGAAGCAGAGCCCGAGGCCGATACACATGATGAAGCGCGGCATCAACAGAGCAACCATTCCGCGAACGTCAACGGCGGGCTTTCGGCCGCATCGCAGCAGCATTGGCGGCAGCAGCCGAGCACTGGGCAAGCCGAACCCACCACCCACTACGCAGGCTCTTACGCTCCGTACGCGGAATTAGACTCGGCAACCCTAGACGGTGCCCCCGTCACGCCATTCTCGACATTACCTCCTGACGACATAGGTGGTGGTCGCCCACCCGGCGTGGCTCGACGATATAGTGCCGAAGGCGAAGGCGAAGGCCAGGGTGACGCTGAGGTGTCTGTATCTGGATTTGGATCCCCCTCCGGACCTAGACCCGAACCTGAGCCTCATGACCGCAACCACCAACCCCGCCCCTCAGACATGGACTCCCTCTTCGGCGACAGCGCCTCGGAAGCGGCGATGGAGGAGGTATCGTCGTGGGTGAAAGCACGGACCCAGAACGGGAACGACACTGGGACTACAGCTGCGACTCCAGACACGTCTTTCCCTCCACCGCGCATTCCAGTCTCAATCCCAGTCTCAGATCCGAATATAGATGTGGATATATGTACCCGATCCAGCGACAGCGGCGGTGCGAACGCGACTGCACCGTCAAGTTCACCTTCGAATGCGACGGACACCGTGACTGGGGATGCGGGTGCAGGTGCGGATGCCGGAGAGAGTGTGGTTGTGGGTGCGAGTGCGAATGCAAGTACAAACGCAAATCCCCTCCGCAAACCCAATAGTTCGACCCTCCTCCGCGCACTGTTCACAGAGCAGGGGTGGGCTGAGCACGACCGGCCGTGCGTGCCCCCAGGGACCGAGAACCCGCAGTGGGAGGACGACCCATTGGAGCTGGCGAAACAGAGACGGGACGCGCGGAGGGAATTCCAGCCCGATCCGACGCTTGGCTTCGTGGACGTGCTGGGGCCAGTGGCAGTTGGAGGGGAAGAAGGGAAATGGAAGGGGAAGGGGAAGGGAAAAGATACAAGAGAGGCAGGAGAGCCGGGAGGAAGTGTTGGGTTTGGGTCCCGATCCGGAGACGCGTCATTCACCGCTGTCGATGACAGCGGCAATGATGGAGACGCTAATGATGACGGTGATAGTAAAACTCAAAGGGAAGAGAAGGACGGCGACGGCGGCGGCGGTCACGATGGTAATAAGAACAATGTGGATCAGCCTGGGCAGGAACGTAAGAATGGACGTGGTTCCCCAGCTGAGACGCAAGACTCAGTACACGATGAGGATGATGCTGAAAAGCAAGGCGCGGTACACAATGAGGATGATGCTGAAGGGGCGTACCATTGCATACCTGATGGTGGAGACGAAACGAAAGAGAACGAGCGGGATCAAGAGCAAGACTATTCGGCCGACGAGCACCATCACCATAACCACCACGTTAACCATGATGAACCACACAGTGAAACCCAACACCAAGACGAAGCCGAAAGAGGAGGAGAGCATCAAGATAGAAGTCAAGTTCCAGATCAGACATCTTCCGACGAAGATGATCCATGGCCTCCTCGGCGCCCCGAGACAATAGATATCCTCTCCGACTCGAAGCCCTGGGCACACCTCCGCGACCGATACAACCCCGAAGAAGACGACCCCTACTGGAAGCCAGCTGGGTCTCCACCACCCAAACCCAAACCCCAAGGCTTCGCCCAATACGCCACACAGTCCAAATCGACGTGGGCGCCGCTCCTGCGTCCCTTGAGCGCGGACGAGAAAGATTACGCCTGCCTCCTATATTATGAGCGTCTCAAACGGGAGGGACGGGGTCCCTACACGCGCGACAAGCGTGGTCCCGCGCTGGAGGGCGAGGCGGAGCAATTATCTGAGGCCGGCCCGGATGAGAGACGAGAGATGGTGGAGGAGAGGGCGTGGCGGGCCAGGGAGATTAAGAGGCGGAGGAAGGCCGTGTTCTTTGGGGAACATTTCGGCAAGGGCGGGCCTCATGATTCAAATCTTTGGGGCGAGGAACAGAGTTTATATATGATGGATACGATTGACTTGGAGGTTGAGGCTCTGGTGGAGGAGACGAGGGCGAAGAAGAGGAGGGAGAAAGAGACGCAGGAAAAGAAAATGCACGAGGAAGAGGAGGCCGAAGTAAAGGGGAAGGACGAGGACGACAATAATGGTCAGGGATCACCGGAAGGAGGGGACACGGGATCGTGTGTCTGTCCTTGCGGAGGCGAGACTTCGAACTGCTCCTGTCATCCTCTATACTGTCCGTGCTCAAGCTGTGACCACACCGAGCAAGCGGAACAGTTGCGCAAAGAGGCAGAGCTCAAATGGGGAGAGGGCGAGGGTAATGCACAAGCACCGACTGAGACTGCCAAACAGCACGGGGCATGTTGCGGTGGTGCCAACACGCAGCAGAGGTGTGTCTGTCTGCCTGGCCTTTGCAGTTGTGCGGGCTGCGAGGAGCATTATGTCGGCCACGGTCAGCCTCGAACGGAGACGGAGGCGGAGGCGGAAATGGAACTTCCATCAACCCATTCGGGTCTATGGCCACGGATTCCTGAGTCTGAAAGGTTATTCAAGCTCGCGCAGAAGAGAGTCCCAGGCGAAAACCACGACTGCCCTTGCAGCGCTAATGGGGCTTGTCACTGTCCGGCAGGTCGATGCAATTGTCGCAAGCCACTATCTGCACCAGATCAATGGGGACAGCCACAAGGGGACTTACCGCTTCCGACGTTCCCTCGGACGGCATCGACGTGGCCTTCAGGCCAATTCAATCATCCACCGCATGAAGGATTGACCCAAGGCAAGGCAGCCTCAAGGCTGCCAGAAGCACCTCCGTCGGTTACTGGTGGCTTCTTACATCCGACGGCCGCAGCAACATCAATACAAGCACCTGTCGCCACATTTAGTCGACAAAGCCCAGTACCTCCAAGTCGGCCGGATACTCCGCGTCCACCAGCCGACTCGGGCGCCTCGACTTCCTATGATGCTGATGTGCTGCGCGACTTTGTTCGACAAAGTGCGGAGCCCGAGCTGATGCTGCCTAGCCAGGCTGACGTCCGACAGAGCGTGGAACCGGAATACCCTCCACCAGATTGGACCCGGGATTCAACTCCGGCGTATGAGGATCGCTCATTGACGCCGTCGCCATTCTCAAACCACGGCGATGTGGAAATGCGCGACGCCTCTGGGAGCACGATTGTTCCGTCAACCCTAGGCCGGGATGTAGCTGTTACTGCACCGGACTTGGAACCCGATGAGCATCGATCCCGGTCTCCAGAGAGGCCACTCCCTCCACCAGTCCCCGAATCGCCGATCAAGCAGCCGAAACGAGGCGACAGGCGGAAATCAGGTGTGCAGGGCTCAAAGGTCAAGAAGCGCTCAACGACTGGCACGAAGACAAAACCGAAGAGTCGCAACGTAACGCAAAAGCCAACTCAGTCGGTCGGCAAACTTGTCGAGCAGGCAAAGAAGGGAAACCAGGATGCCGGACAAGAAGAAGGTAGTTTGGATTCGGACAAACCAATCAAGCCTGCGCCCAAAGCTGGTGGAAAGGTGGCCGAAGCGGTAAGAAATATCGAGCGACAGGTTCTGCAGCAAGAACAAGATCTGAAGCAAAAGGACGGCAGCCAGGTGAGGAGAAGTGCGAGGGCGAACAAAGGAGTGAGGACATCTCTCGGCTATGGGAGCCCAAAGTAGAAGGCGTATTGGCACGGCTTGTATAAGTCGGATAAGGCTAGGGCACTTGGTGGAACGTACCTAGTTCTGGATATCATCACTGGCGTGTCTAAACAGATGGCATTGTGGGTGCAAATTCTGAGCATCTCGGTTGACGTGAGGACGACGACTATTTGGTCCGCCGCATTTGGTGCCACTCGAGGCGCATCTGACGCATCCGGGTCCGGCTATGTCGCACTGTCGATACTTCATTAGCTCTGAGCGACTACAGTATGATGGAACGTGGCAGTGTACCTTCCTGCCGCGTCGACGACACTCATCGCGCCTCCGTGGTGTGCCTGGGTGACTGGCCATTGGTCAATACCGTCATTGTCGTGACTTGCTCGGACAGGCAGCGAAGGCACCCAGACCAGACATGCGCCTCCTCGACACTTGAAGTTGCTGGCGGGGACGCCATGGACGCCTCCCAAGGTGGCGTGAAGAGCCAAGAGAGGCCAGCCCTGGCCAGATATGTTTGTTGTCTCAGAGGCTCAGATTCATCTCAGCAGAATGCAGTGAAGGCAGCAGCCGCGGCTGAAGAGCTGAAGAGGTGGTGCGCCAGAATTGCGTGGACCAATCAGAAAATTCGGCAGTAATTGTTGCCAAGACCGTGGAGGGGCGCACCTACCAAGAAAGGTTAGTGAAGCCCCATGCGGCAGGACAACCGAGAGGGTCTGATCCTGAGACATTGATTCGCATGGCTCCTTCGTTCGATTATCGACCTGGCCCTTCAGCTCGTGGCTCTGGACTGATAGTATTCCGTATGTGGGATTCTGGCCTTCAATCACGACATAAAGGTTGCATAAACGGCGAAATGTTTCCTGCATTACCTCTTGAGATGGCGCCAAAGTTTCGGCTCCTTCCAAACTCCTCCTTCCAGCCCCGTGGCTCTGTCCTTCGACCATGGCACTAGCTACAGCAAAGGTGACACAATCAACTACATCATCGACCTCGACCATTCAGGCTGTCGATCCGAGGTTTATTCTACAAAACCTCGCTGCCAATGGCATGACCGTCAAGGACCCGTCGAGTGTAAAGTTGTTTGCGGCAGCCTCTGAGCTGGGCACCGGAAAGCTCAACAAAGACGACTTTCTCGAGATTTGCATGCCACTGGTAGCACCTATCCTTGGGATTGAACAGCTTCTCGCAGTATCGGATATACTGCAGGGGCTGGCGAACGACATCAAAGAGAGTGCAAAGCAGCTCGACACTATAGCTCAGACCGATGTCCTGCGACAGCGTTATCTTGGAGTATTCGAAACAGCAAAAGATCTAGAGCCAGAATCGATCCGCGTCGTTGTCGCCGTCAAAGAAGTGTTGGAGGACACTTTCGACGACCATGAGGTCACTTATCTACAAGCCGACTCAGCCTCCATCCGAGACTTTCTGCGAGAAGAAACAGTGCCATTCCTCAAGGAGGTGGAAACTAGAGGTGTCAGCAACGTTCCGATTGATCTTATCCGTCGGAAGAGGAACGAACTGAAGGTGCAGATCGAGAGGCAGCGCAAGAACGTGAACGTCCATTTGCAGCGTATCGAGCGGGGCATCGACAATCTGACAGACGGGACCTACTACATCAAGACAAACCACCTCCCTCGCTTCGTAGCCGCAGCAGCTCTAGAAATCCTTCTCCGTGGCTACTATGTCCTGCTCGGAAGGCTGGATAAGGAAGATATCATGATTGAGTCTGACTCTCAGAACCTGCTGTTGCTGGCGAAAGAGCGTGTAGAAGTCATGCAATCACTCCTGGAGCAATACAAGAATCGCCGAGAAAGTCTGTTGACGACCGAAACACTGTAAGACTTGGTCCGCGAGCGCCTTCCCTTTCTCCCGGATGCTGATCCTTGCGCGCAGATATGAGAATGACTTCCTTGTTCGCACGTTCAAATACTACATCAACGATGCGGGCTCTGCAAACGACATTTTGTGTCCAAAGATTCGGCTTGCCGACCTCGACCTCCTAATCTCAAAGCATAGAGACGTTGAAGTTTCGACACTGGAAAACGGAACCTTTAGTTATCAATACGACAGCATCACTCGCTCCCAGGAGCGCAATAAGACCCGCCCTTGTGGAGACAACCTGTCTAGCATGGCTCGTGCCGATATCCGCACATTGCTCAGTCCCGACGGCCTAGTCTGGCGAAACCACTTCCAGCCACATGTGGACCGCATCGAGATGATTCTGCGTGCTATCCTGGGTCCACAACGGGCAAAGGAATCTTCTCTTACTAGCGAACGACTTTCCAGATGGCCAAAGACTGTTCCGCTCTCACGCTTCAGGCCGGAAGATTGGGGCGACTCGGTCCCACATTTCATGGACAGTGTGGGTGACAAGAAGATGTACTACATGATATATCATGTGGGCGGTCGAAAGGTCGTCGGAGAGGTATGCCATGAAGCTCGTTACAGGACAGTCAGTTTGCTAACACCGCTTCCGTAGTTTCGGGAGGACGCCAGCTGGATTGCCTATCCGAAGCAAACCTGTTCTAGGCCCAAGGTTCTCCACCCCGAAGAAGGAGACTACTATCGCTGTGAAATTCTCGTTGATATCGGAAACTGCGAATGGGTGAGTGAAGCTGCAATTGGGACTCGAACGGTTTCGCTAACGGTAACAACAACACAGGTGCCCGTAACGGATGGCAACCCTCCTAAAAGAGCTGTTGACATGGGTGAAAACGAGGAATCCATACCATTTCTCATTGGCAAGGTCTTCTATGACGAAGGGGGTATGAAAGATCTCGCCAACGCCGCTGATGTCCACTATACCATGGAGGGGGATGACATCAAGACTCTGAGGTGGCCTGAAGCAGCATACCCGGACGATGACGAGGTGAAGACGAGCACGAACTACCACGTCTTGTGCTACGAGGAGGATCATTTAGTGGCGGCAATGTCGAGTCTTCATCTTCCAGATCAAGCGCAGAAAGTCACATAAGCAATATCTTGGTATCGCCGCACCGATAACACCATCAGCCAGACTAGAAAGAGCCCGCGCAGACTTTTAATCCTCTTCCTTGGCGTAGATGGCGAGACATTTGACAGCAGCCCCCCAGTCAACGCTATGCCGAACAAGGCAGTCGAGGCGTTGCGAGCCAATGAGCGCGTACAAGGCTGCGGATGGCTGGGAGTGTTTTCTTGCCAAACTCACCGCGTAGCTTCCCTACGATGGCCCCCTACAATTCCAGCATATAGCGCTCGGATTCTCGGTCCTTTTGGGCAGTCCCCAGAGGCTGTGGGACTCTCCTTGACCTTTCTCGGCCGGAAAGTGACTCGCACAATATGCATTAGGACTCAATCTCTAACTGGTATGAGGGATATATACCTAGGTAGGCATTGAATGGGTGCCGGGAAGAACAACCTAAATAAGCCTCACATCCCGATCCGGCGATCGAGGCGCCGAACAGACCTCGTGGGCCCGGACCAAGAAGTTGGCCACGGAGACTCGGGAAGAAGATGAGCCAAGGGGATTTGTTTGCCATGCGTGAATGCGAGCTTACGCCTTCAGTAGCCCACGCCAGCCGGAGCAGAGCATACGCCTCAACCGGGACACAAGCAAAGTCATGGCACTCATGAATAATGCTGGCCCCGTTAGTCATCAGTCATTGCATGATAAAATACCAATGCACCACCTCAACCAGTCCCTCTGTTCTTCTCAGCCTCCGCTACTCTCGCAACCTCCTCCGCGAACCCCCTGAGATCCTGAAACCTCCAAGCATAACCCACCACCTCCCTCTCCAGCGCGATCCGACTCTCCGCCTCCTTCCCCCACCGCGGCCCATCCCCCACCAACCACACCGAACTTAGCCCCACCCTCTTCGCGGGCGCCTGATCATGCCCCAAACTCTGCGCCACATGCAGGATTCCTTCCCCTTGGATACCCTGCTCGGCACAATACCTGATCAGAGTCTCCAATTTGGCATCGTCGGCACGGGAGACGTCACTGCCAAAGTCCTCCGCCGTGAACACTTTCCACCACTGTACCTCGCCAAGCCCGCTCGCACCCGACGAGGCCGTGATCTCCCAGGCGTAGCGATCGATATTCGACAACGCGACCAATTTAAAATACCGACTCAACGTCCGTAACGCGTCCAAAGTGCCAGAGAAGGTCGGCCAACTCGCAATCACGCCCTCGCTTCCGAACGCTTGAGCCTCGTCCTCGGAGGTGTCGACATTCAATTCCTTCGCCACGCGTCGCCAGATCTCCTGCAAGATCACGTCGAACCGCTTGACCGGCTTCTCGAGCTTGATGGCGTCTTCCTGTCGTTGGAAGAGTTTGAGGAACTCGATCGATCCCACGGTTGCCGAGTCGGGGATCGTGCTTGACAAGGGCTCCGGGTTGAGATATGGTGATGAGGGTGGTAGTCGGGATAGGAGCGGTTGGAAGGCGTCGAGGACGTGAGCCTTGTATTCGATCAGAGTGCCGTAGACGTCGAAGGATAGGACTTGATACTGTAAGAGGGGGAGAGGGGGGTTCGTGGGGTTGGGCATGGGCATAGCCATGGTAATTAATTAGCCCCAGTCGTTGAGGCAAGGTCTTGAAGGTTCCCACAGGCGGCCACAATGCTTGCAGAGTCAAGACAACCTCGCGCAAATAACGCCGCTCTCTAAATGCTCAATGCCGCTTTTTATTGCTTGTACGACAGTAATTGAGGAAGCCTTGTCAGAATGGAAACTTGGGTGAAGTTGGCTGTCCGTTCGAATGACGCTCAGTTGATTCAAAAGACGGATCTGACATTGGCGCTATTAGGTAAGCGAAGTGCGTCTCACGTGATTGATATTCGTCGCTGGTCGTGTACAAAGTATTGCTTGCGATCATATACGCACTCTTCGTCACGGCTCGCATTCTATCTCATTTGCAACTCAGTCGCTTCTCATTTGCTCTGACTCGACCTCATGGGACAACTACGTAACCACATAACTCCCCGCTCGTGCTTGCGTTTCTCATCACACTCGCATTCGCACCACAGACATAGCAGGGACACGCCCGAGCACAACCCCGTATCCCGTAGCCAGGTTCCCTTGCTCGCATTCACCGCTTGCCCTTCTTCTTAGTCGGCACCACCTTGAACTGAGCAGTCCCTTCCTCCTTCGCAGCGGTAACGTTGGCTGGGCCCTTCTTCGCCACTTCGGACCAGCCACCTCCCGCGGCACCTGCACCCTTCGTGTCCGCTCCAGCGCCGATACCCATCATCGGTTGAGCGCCAGCCGCAGATTCAACCACACCCTTGTCCGCAAGTTTTCTGCGCCGGACAAACTCCTCAGCGAAGCGCCGCCCATCAAGGATCTGTGAACTCGCATAGACACTATCTGATATGATTTCGATCTCAGGTGGGAGCTGAAGTAAGTCTTGCACAAAACTGTCAACTGTAATCGTGTCAGCATACAAGAACCAAAGCAGATAGTCAAGGGTGGACTCACGGTTGATCCCGGCATTCAGCCCCTTCCCGAGCGACCCTTTGATCCACTTGGTGAATTCTTCATTGGCTTTGCTCTGATTTGGAAGGGTGGTGCTTCTGGCCGTCTGTACCGTCGGTCGGGTCTTTGGCGTGTTGCTAGTAGAGACGGTCCGAGACACTGGCTGGGGTGTGGCAACAACGGCGGGGGGTGCTTTGGCTTTGCCACCAGAGCCCACCGTGGTCCACGCACCTCCGGACGTGGTTGGGACAGCCGGGACAGCTTTGCTGGCAAGTTCCGCGTACCTCTTGCCCACGGCAGCTGCAGCGGAGTTGGCAGCATTCTGCGCATTGGCTACGACTTGGGCCGCTGCAGCCCGTTGTTTGCGACTTTCTTCCTCTTTCTGGATCTGTGCTAGAGTCTTTTTGGGTGCCGCACTTGCTCCGGCTCCGACCTTTGCAGGTGTTTGCTTAGACCAGACGGATGCCGCCTGAGAGCCAGGAGTTACGGGAGAGGCTGCACTGCCCCACGTCGACGTCGATGGCAAGCCTGGCGCAGGAACCGGAGCTTGACTCTGCGCCAGAGCCAGTCTTTCCTGCTCTGCCTGAGCACGTCTTGCGACTTCCTCCTGGACTGCGGCATTCTTGGCTTCAGCTTCTTGAATCTCTTTCAGAGATGGGCCTTTTGGATGTTCCACGATCCGCTCAGCCCACGGAGCGACAGACGCAAGAGGAGTCTCGACCGGCGTCTGAGTAGCCGACCTTGACTCGGCAGCTAGAGCGTCAGCAACGTGTTGTCGGTTTCGCTGGGCCGCTGGGGCAGGCAAGGGTGAGATCGAGACAGGCGGGTGTTCAATCGGAGTATCTTTCGTCGCCCACTCGCTTTCCTCAGCCGCCGCCTGTTGACTAGCGGCAGCAATCTGCACTTGCTGAGCTAAAGAAAGTGACTCGGGTTCTGGTTTGGCAATAGCAGGTGGATGTCCGATAGGTGCAGGGAGATTAGCCGATGCCAACGGCATAGGCTGCTCGTTTGTGGGACGTGGAGCACCAATGGGTTGCTGTCGCGGCTCGTCAGGGCCGAGACGACCGGCCGGGAGGTCTGCTTGTCCACGTAGGCTGTGGAACTCCTCCAGTCGCTCGTTGCGACCCTGTGGGCCTAAAAAAGACTCTTGATGCCCTCGCATATCGGCTTGTTGCTGTTGCAGCTGCAGTCGAGCCCTATCTTGAAGCATCGTGTTGACTTGTTGGGAAGAAGGGCCCGCCTCTGGCGGAGGTGGACCTAAAGGGCCACTGGTAAACGGCAGACCCGCACGTTGGCTGAAACTCAGGCGTTCCATCAGATTCTGGATGTCATCTTCGCGACCGAAAGCTGGTCCCCCAACAGGGCCAGCGTGTTGACCAAAGGGTGCCGGCTGTTGCTGTTGGGGTTGCATCATTGGCTGGATGGGGGATGGTTGGTAACCTGTAGGGGAGGTGATGCTGCCGAAGCTGGGCTGACTCTGAAGAGAGTGGGCGCTTGAGTGGTGCTGCAAAGAATGCATGCCGTTTTGCATCTGCATCTTCATCGCCATTTGCTGTTGCGCAAGGTGCTCCTTCTGTCTCGCCATCAGGTACTGTTCTTCTTGTTTGCGTCGTTCCAAGGCATTCTGCTGTTCCGCGGTCAAAGTAGTGCCAAAACTGGGAAAGCTATTCGCGAATGGCGGCTGAGTAGTGCCGCTAGTCGGTGGTATGGCTGGGTTCGCCCAGGTGTTCCCTGGACCAGAGGTTGGCGGACCGTGCGGAACACCGATTTGAGGCACCAGGAAGGGCTCGCGAGAATTTCCAATACGTCTCACAAGCTGAGCAAGCGGCTCGAATTCGGCGTCTTCAAGCTTCTTCACCTGCAGTTCGGCAGTAAAGAACCCGGCTTTGAACCAGTCGTGCATCTCAAGACCTGACCATGGCCCTTGCGTATTGCCTTGAGGGTCCCGATAGATCCAACGCATACGGTCGGGCATGACCATCTGTCGCTGCTGTGCCGCCGGCAATTGATTTGAGGAACTGCTACCGCTCGATTGGCTAAGACCATGGCCGGATTGGTAGTTCTCCGATCCGCCTGCTCTTGGTCCTCCGGTTTGTGGACCTGCACCAGAAATGGCAACTGAGCTGGTTGGGGGTCCTGAGCCTGGAAGACCGTACTGCCCATTTCCCGGCTCCTCCACGCTCCTCATTGAGGGGGAGTCCTCGAACGCACCGGATCCACGAGGGAAGTCGTCTTGTCTGCGAGAGGTCACGTCAAAAGGATCGCGCATAGGATGCTGCTGAGCGCTTTCAGGTCGAGACTCGAAAGATCGCGCCTCATTCCTGCTATCCTCACGGACGTGTTCCTGCATGGCAGCCGGCAACATAGCTCCGAGTCGACTCGCACGACCGGCAGAGCCGAAGCCACTGAAGCCGCCTCCCAGACCACCGGGAGACTGTAAATCAGACAAAGGACCGAATACCGGATCACCAAATGCAGACGCGATGCCACGGTCCATGGCCGGCTTGCCAGACCCAATGCCTGCCGCAGACCACATTGGATTGCCTCCGAGACCACCAAAACCAGGTAGACCGCCAAAGCCACTGACGCTACGAAGACCACTCGCTGAATGTCTCCCTTCATCGGTGCTGGGATACATATTGCGGCGTGGTGCAGCACCACCAAAGTGTGGAAGACCTGAAGCTTGAGATGCGGAATCATTTGTATCTTGTTCGTCTTCGATACGGCCGTGGGGGCTTTGATATGGATTAGTGTTTGTCGGGCTCATCGGCTCATGGGGATTCTGTGCTCGTCCGTATGGTGTTTGCTGATATGGATCATCATGGGTGAAATCGCGGGTCCCGATGGAATGATGGGCCCCAAATGCAGACATACCCATCCGCTCAATGCCAGGAACGGCCGGACCGGGGTCTTGGGACCCACCGAGAGCTGCACTTCCTGCTCGCATAGGATCATCCTCGTACGGATTAGTCTCACTACGACCTGGGCGAGTTCTCAGCTCGTCGCGCAGCCTGGCATGCCTGGGATCGGCGTCCTCCTCAGGGAGGTTTTCCAGGGCACCAAACAATCCTTTGTCTTTGGCCAGCTGGGAGACATCTTCCGAGCTTGCCTTGGATTGGAGGATATCCTTGAATCGACTTGAACCACGAGCACTGCCGAAACCGGGTCTCTTGTCGCTCGATTCGGACGGCGTCGCTGTAGCGCCGATGGCGAAGCTGCCAAAGGTACCCATGGAACCAAACGTTGAACCCTGCCCACCTGCTGACCAGGGCGAGGCAGAGAGCTGGTTTCCTCCTGCACTTAAAGGACCAGTTGCAGCTCGTCGCAGTCCAGGTAATGGAGGCTGTGGTTCGGGTGTTTCCTCCGGCTCTTGATTTTCCTTGCTCGTCGGCGTGGTTTCCTCCTCTTTGTAGTCCGTTCGACGTCGTAAGAGAGCGGGCGGAGGTGTTGCAGTATTGGATTCGTTTCGGAAAAAGGTCTTTCCCTCTACAGGTGAGAGGGGGCCGTTGCCCATGAATGAATCGCTCGTTTCGCGCCGACGAGTGCCAGGTCTTGAAGCCCCCGGAGTGTTGCTATATGTCGATAATGACGCTTTGCGACCAATGACCCCGACCCCAGTAGACTCCTTGGTGATATTTTGCTGTGGTTTGATAGGCGAGTTGACCGATGATGAAAAGAGCTGCTCCCGACATCAGCCGTCATGTCCATGGCCCGCGCATGACTCGAGAATGTTTCTTACCTGCTTCTCCTCCTCGGTCAAGTTTGCCAGGCCGAAAGGTTCTGGATTCCCACCGTAGTTCCAACAAACCTCAGGTCCAGGCGTCTGATCTTTCCCGTCACTCGCAGCGCCTTGGTTCCCCAGCCCGTTCTTGCTGTCGAGAGGATCCCAGGTGCCAGCGAATATATCTTCCAAATTCCTGTCTAGAGCTGACGTCTCTTTTAAAGTTTGGAATATGTTCAGGAGCTGGTCTTTGGAATACCGCATATCGCCTGGAGGGGGATTGCGCGACATGGTGGAGTTCGCGGCGCTGAGATGGGGAGGAATGTACACGCCGCCGGTGTTGTTAGCTGAGGCACTGGCAGTCCCGCTTTCGCGTGTCTGTGAAGGCGTGGTGGCTAGAGAGGGTCTGCGGAAGGTCTGGGTGGCACCATTCACATTTCTTCGAGACCTGCAAATATGGCAAAATAGTCAACAAAAATGGTACGAGGGGTAAGTTTGTTGAAGATACTGTGCTTCTACAGTGAATGTGCTTTCTTAAAGAGTTTCGTTGTCATACCAATCACCCGAGCCACCGTTGTCCCTCCTGCTTGCCGAACTGTCCCCGTTAGTGCTCGCAGCCGCAGAGGCAAAGGTTGGTGCAAATGGAGAAGGCATCGTGTGAGTGTGTGAAGGAGGAAAAGCCGTATTGTGGACCGGGTCCGCTACAGCAGCTTCTTAACGGATGCGAGGACGAAATGCGGTATGTGGGCGCGTGAGTTCTCGAGTGTGCGAAAAGCGCGGGTAGGGTCGAAGGATGGACGACAGGTTTGCGGATATGGATGGTTCTACAGGGCGTAGTATACGGCTCGTGGCTAGATGGTTGGGTGTCACAGTTGGCTGAAAATAAATTCACGTCAGGTCGTTCAGTTCGGGGGAGGAACTGGAGGAGAGGAAAGACTGAACAGAAAGCAGTGACTGACGGTCTCTTTTCGACCAGTAGCAGGTGCATACCAAATTACTCCACTGGCACGGGCGAGCCTATGATTTCGTTATAGGTACCACTACGCTTAACTGGAAGGGGCTAAGGGCGAGGCACCGGAACTCGAATTCTCCTGAGATCTTTCCACGATTGTCGGGTTGCGCCCCCGACTGGACTCGATCGCCCCACGCCATACCCCCAAGGCCACGCACAAAACATTATGGATGCTGGTGCTCGGTCTCAAAATTGCAAATATCAGTGCGCCCTGCGGTTCTGTACAGTCCGTGATGCACATGCCAGCATATCCCGTCCCTCAGCCAAACCGCAGTCTACCCGCCTGTTTCTGTCGGAGAGCAGCGGCGATACCCACAGCCGCAAAGCTCAGGGCAGCCAGGCCCATGGTCTTGTAGCTAACCTGCGACTCTTCCACGACGCGCCCGATGTACGTCGGCTTTTGCCCGGCGAGCTTCTCTGCGCTGCTGCCGGAGAGATCATAGTCTGACCAGTCCACACTACTCAGTAGCTATCAAACAAGTCAGCATTACGAGCGTCTCGAGGTCAGTATTGATCAGATCTCACCTTTTGATAGTCGACCACCGTCCGGCTCCAGTTATTGGTGATCTTGCCGCTTTCTTTGACTTTGTACCAGCTGTTGCAGTTGGGATCGGCGAAACTGCTTCTCTCCAGCTCCGATTGAATCTCGTCATTGAATTCTTGAATCCTCTTGACCTTGGGCTGAATCACCAAGGTGCGGCCCTTTCGTCGGGCTTCGATGACTTCTTTGATGAGGGCATTGATGTATTTGCTCTGCGCCTCGATCATCAGGATAATGCTGTTGTGACCAAGGTTCGTGTTCGGTCCGTAGAGCATGCCGAAGTTGGGCAAGCTCTCGACGGTGACACCGTAAAGTGCCTGCCCGCCTTCTTTCCAAATGCTTGAGAGGGTCCGGCCGGCGCTGCCAGTGATGTCGATAGGGTGCATGAATTCCACCGTGCGAAAGCCTGTGGCCAGCACAATGACATCGTACTCTTCCTCTTTGCCATCAGTAACAATGCCCTTCTCAGTGATCTTGTCAATCTTGCCCGTTTCCAACCGGACATTGTCACGAAGGAACACGGGGAAGTAGTCGTCGCTGATGATGACACGCTTGCATCCAATCGAGTACTTTGGCTCCAGCTTCTCCCACAAATCAGGACGATCAGGGAGTTGTGCGCGCATGTGATCTTTGCTCACTTTCTCCATGAATTGCGCGGTCGCGGAAGCGTTGTCGAAGACGGCGGCATGGAAGCTTTCCCGGTAGTCCATCATGTCGGCACGTTTGCGATGTCGGATCAAGGGCATGTACTTGTACAGATTCCGTTTCCAAGGAGGAATGGAAGAGTCAAGACGGGGAATGACCCAATTTGGTGTCCTTTGGTGAATGGTGAGATGCCCAACTTCTTTCGCAATTTCAGGTATGATTTGCGCAGCTGTCGCTCCATTGCCGATGATTGCGACTTTCTTGCCTCGTATGTCGTAGCTCCAGTCCCAACGAGCACTGTGCATCATCTTCCCCCGAAACTCATCCACGCCTGGAATATCAGGCATCTTTGGCACGTTTAATTGGCCAACAGCGGAGACGAGGAAGTCTGAAGTGATTGTGTATGTGCTTCCAAACTCTGCATCTTTGGCGCCTTGCACGGATACCTTTGTCTTCCACTTCTTCTCCGCGTCGTCCCACTTCGCAGATTCAACAGCGGTGTTGAAGCGAACATAGCGGTATAGCTCGTATTTTTGGGCCACTCCCATAAGGTACTGCAAAATTTCCTCTTGGCCAGGATACTCTCTCGTCCACTCCGGGTTCTGCTCGAAAGAGAAACTGTACAGGTGCGACCATACTGACGCAGAGTGTTAGTGTCTCTCTGCCAAAATGTCTACCAGACGGATCTTACCATCACAACAGCATCCCGGGTACTTGTTATCGCGCCATGTACCCCCGAGACCTCCACTCTTTTCCAGAATGATGAAGTTTCTGCAATTGTTCCTCTTGATCAAGTCGATTGCTGTACACAAGCCAGAGATGCCGGCGCCAATGATAACCACGGCTGCCTCGGTGTGATCTTTGTTGCCCACAGGCACTTGAGGCCACGGCATGTCGCCCCCCATCGCTGCTGTTTGGGTAGCGTGTCCTGGTTAGATAGAGATCGAAGAGAAGGGCGTGTCCTTGAATTGTACTTTGGCAAATGGTACAAGACAATTCACAGCGTGAGTGCAGGAAAAGGCGTTGACCGTTTTAAAAGGTAGACTTGTAGATCGGCAAATGAAAGCAGTACCTGATCTAGTACTGCCCGGCACAGCTTGGTCCGAGGTAATTGAGATGCCCCAGCGTGAGCAACAGTGGACAAGGGACGGCCATGACAGACGTGGGCGGGTCGTGGCGAGCCAATGGACCAGCGTGGTGCCCAGGTACTGCGGGGAAGTGGTGAGAGCGGGTGGGCCGCGGTCTGGACCTCCGCGTCCGCCCTGCATGACTCGACTTGGAGCTCCCAGCCTGAGTCCTCTGTCGCGCGATCTTCCTGACTCGGCTTCTCTGACAAAGTAGCAGAGCGGAACGACTCGCCCATACGGAGTACTATGATGGCCGTGGGGAGACCGCAAAGCCAGCGAAATTGCTGACTCATACTTGCGTTGCATGTGCTCCCGTGGCACAGGGGTGAATGGAGGCCGCCCATTCCCTGGTGTTGTCAAGGTCTCGGACCGTCAATCCAGAATGAAATCATCAGTGCTGAGATGGATTTGCCTGAGAGATGCCAACTCCTTGTGAGCTTGCTGTAAAAGAAGCTTAGATCTCGGGGCCAAAGTCCTCGGAGCACTGCTCGCGGCCATCCCTTTTCTTCGACAATCTGGTCGAGTAGCATCAAGACTGCAAGCAGGTAAGGCGGTTGGCTGACGGATTCCAGCAAGAGAGGTGCATCTGGTTACATCAAGTCAAGTGCGCGGATTATCTCAAGAAATAAATGACCAGGAAACAGAAGGTGAAGAAGATAATGGCGCCGCCCCAAAAGATCCATTTGTCCTGCTTGGCTCTCCGTTCGACCATACGGATGGTGTCACCGCTGACGCCCAGCGTGTTTGCGACGCTGTAGAGCTTGCGCTGAGTGCCTTTGAGGATGTCGCGCTGGTTTGCCAGATCACCGAGCACTGCCCGACCACGGTCTAGAAACTCGTCCAGCTGCGAGTTGGCCGAGTCGAAGAAATTCTGTTCTCGAAGAGCATGTTCTTCGCGAGTGTAGTTGCTGGGTCCGGCTCCAAACGACAAGCCATCCTGGGTATTGCGATGCGCTGGCGCGAATGCACTTTGAGTCGAGGAGGCGTGAGCGTACGGGTTTTCTGGGGTGGCCGCATGATGAGGCCGTCTCCCCAACAGTTCGTTCCTGTTGTTGGCTGCGACAGCACTGTCTCGCTCTTTCTTGAGATGATCGAACTGTGTGCGGTACGAAGCTAGATCAGCGCGAAAGTTCTTCAGTCGCTCCGCAGCCTTCTCTTTCTTCTCTTCGTTCAACTCATTTCGTGAGAGATTCTGGTAGTCTTCGAGGGTCCGCGATAGGCTCGTCAGTGTCGTGGAAATCTGTCCTTGCAGAGCGGGAGACGCAGTAGCCGGTGCCTGCGCAAAGGCCTCAAGGTCTTTTCGAATAGCAGTAGACTGCTTGAGCGCTTGGTTGAAGACTACGTTCTGCAATGTGTTAACGAGGTCATGGCGCACAGGAACAACTGTCGGCTTACCATCTTGCTGAAGACTCAGAAAGGGACTGACAAAGAAGGCGAGGGTATCCGGTGATGAATGAAGAGGTTGAATCTGTCAAGGGATCATGTTGTCGAGAAATAGTCGAAAGACAGGCTGTCCTTCCAGCTCGCTTTCTTCGGGTTGAGCCCTGGAAAAATGATGCAGTCAAGTCATGGAGAGAATTCCGCCCACCAGCTGCACTGCACAAGTGCCAACTCACAGTACTACGTTGAATACACAGTCGGTTCAAGGTCTAGAGGTCACCTCTAACAAAGTCTATCTTCGAATGCAAGGGGAGAGTATTATAGTATCGCCATCGACTCTCGAGAGCTGGAGGCTCAGTTGCATGTTGCTTCGTGGTGTCGATGGGCTTCTCATGAGGATCTTCTTTAGCACTAAAGACAATGCAACTTCTCAGCTGTGACCTATTGTAATTATGTGAAGCTGAGGCAGGTATCACCCCTTGACCGCGCAGGAACAAACCATTCCTCGCTGTCTTCATTCATGTCTCTCACCTCAATTCACCCAATAGCAAATCCAGACCATTCTTTCCTTTCGGAAGTACTATTCGTTGCCAGTATTTGCACAAAATAGCCTCCCGACCCTTATCTCTCAAGAAGCAACCCGCATTCGTACTCCCAGCATGGCGTCCGGCAATGCAGAAACAAGTCCGCCTCGATCAACCCTGCCTGGGCCCAAGAACAACTCAATGGGTCACGAACAGACGTCCTCCGAGGACAGTCCCTCTTTTTCTCAACTGCTCCGAAAGAATCCTGTACTGCTGTACACCACGATCTTGAACCCGGTGCTAGTTCTTCATTCCATCAATGGATTCCTCAGCCTGCTGTATCCTGCCGTCAACCCACATTCAATTTTCAACACCTCAGTTCAGCCTCATTTCGACGTCCACGCGCAGGATGAAATTTGCAGGCTTTTCACTGTTGTCATGGTCGCATTGCAATCGTTCTTGTGTTCCTCGCATGCGGGAAATGTAACATGTCCTGACTCGAAGATCGACGAGGGTCATGACGGGCACTCCGACACATAAGGACAAGCACCACGAAGCGCAGGGAGACGGCTGTTAGCATAGTCAGATTTGCTGGACACTTGCGAGGTTCTGCAATAGAACCTTGGTTAGTGGCGGAAATGGAAGCACTGCAATCAGGAAATCGAAAAAGGGATATCATATTCTTCGGAGCAAAGAAACCTGGCACCAGAGGCTTGCACGCGAGAAGCCGCCCTGTCCGTCCAACCGAGTAGAGTGCCCATACACAATTACACAATTTCGATCCCAACCACGCGGAGTTAGGTCTCGCTGGCCATCATCGTCTATTTGGGAGGATACTTGTTCTCCAGGAGCCACCTACACCCGTTAGTTCAGGTCCACACAATTCAAGGTCATATCTCAAGCTTACTTGCTGCCGAAATAATCGGCCACAGCGAATGCGCCGACGGCACCAGCTACGGTCCCAGCCAGCTGCCAGTCCAATTTGCCTTCGGTATGTTTCTGGTAGGCGCCGTATCCGATGGCGACGGTCGCAATGCCCCAGATGAGAGCGTTGCCAATGACCACAGGATTATCCCTGTTCTCGTTCAACTTGTTGCCATCCTTCTTCAGCTCGTCCTTGATCTGCTTGCCCTTGGTGGCAGCCTTCTTCTTAGCGCTGTCGGCATCGTGAGAGATCTCCCTCGCCGCAGCACGAGCCTTGTCCTCCGCTTCGTGTTCGAGTCTCTCAGCTTGGGTGTCCGTCTTGACCGATTGCTCTCGGAAATCGGACGTGACGGAACTGACATGAGGTGAATCGACGTCGACCAAGCTTGCGGATTCAGACTCGGATGGTTCGAGCGAAGGAACTGGTGGGGCCCGCCTAAAGGTTGGAAGTCAGCTACGCACTCATGAAACGAACGTCCTGGCTTCAACGTACGCCTGTTGTTTGTCAGTTTAGGGACAGTCTCAACCAGAAGGACAGGGTGACGCACCTCCTCTGGAGACTGCTTGGGCCCTTTGGCAGCAATGTCGGCGTAACTCATCTCGTCGGGCGCCTGATGGAGAACAAGGCCAGCAAGTGAAGGAGAACTGAGCCGGACTCGAAGGACGAGCGCAGAGAATCGAAGTTGGTGATTGTGAGTAGAGTTGACAATGACGGAACAGGCAAAAGAGCAGAAGCTCCCACTGCCAGGTTTCCACGGCAAGTTGGAACTGCAGACCAGCGCAAGTGGAATGACGAACAGTGGGGCGCCGTCCAGACCAATGATTGGTCGGGCGAGTTTCCCAATTGCAATTCCAGCATGTGCAGCTTTTCGTGTTTCGTGAATTCCCTCACAGCAGGTCGAGCGGTCAAGCATGGTCAAGCCACTTTACGCTAAGCCGACCCTGGCCTGTGGCTGGAAGTAGTGGTGTGGCTGCTGAGAAACTCTATCCCACGGGCTGCAAGTGGTTCTATCACGACAATCTTCCCCAAGAGCTTACCGACCTTCCTCTTTTGGCACCAAAGGGTGCAACGTCGCGATAACCATGGGCATAACGAGCTTAAATGCCCACGGCCGTCAGGCGTCCACGACCGTCTTGCGAGGCCTTGACTCTTCCGGATTGTACACATCCTGTCCCTTTAATCCTTCTGTGGAAAGGCCCATCGGAGCCACACCTCGTTGCTCGTTAGGGAGCCGTCGCTGTTCGAGAGCCCACTGAGCGACGTCGCTCCACTGTCGTGAAATGTCCAGTTTCGAGAAGAACTACGACTATAGAGGCCCAGGTGATGATGTCGTCGAACCCAAAGGACTATCCGCTACCCAGTCAGGGAATCTAATCGACGGCGCGCCGGCCGGGTACCATGGTACATCAATCAGATACTATCCATTCACGAGTTGCGGATGGCTGACAATGATAGACCGGGATGTATTCGGCAACGAGGAAGGCGCCGATATCAAGTACAAGACGCTATCCTGGCCACTCGTGGCCGTCCTCATGATCGCCGAGATCGTTTCCAATGGCATGCTCTCACTACCAGCAGCTACCGCCGTAGTAGGCATCGTGCCCGGCGTCATCTTGATTGTGTTTCTCGGTAATATGACCGTAAAGCCCCGGTCGATGTCGCTGACACACGGCCGCATAGGGATATTTGCGCTATATACCTCGCTAGTCCTCATTGATTTCAAGCTCAACCACCCAGAAGTCCACAATATGGGTGACGCCGGCAAGATCCTAGGAGGCCCGATCCTACGCGAAATACTAGCTGCCGGAACTGTCATCTTCGCCATCTGTGCCACGGGGTCGTGAGTGCACCCAATCACCGAAAGCCGGGACCGTTTCCGACACAGTCCCCTGTCATTGCTCGTCAGCATCGGAAATGCTAATTGACCTGAACAGACAGCTACTGGCCGGTCAAATCACTCTCGGCGTGCTATCAGACAACAAGCTCTGCCTGATGTGGTATACAGGTGCGTCAACGAAGGCCATGGGCACGGGCATAGCCAAGACGAATCACTGACGACGAGGCAGGCATATTCGCCATCCCAACACTCATCCTATCTTTCCCCCGAACCCTGGATCAACTGTCCTGGCTCTGCATCCCTTCGTGCATTTGTATTCTCGTGGCGGGGCTTGTCGGCATGGCCGCAGCGGGAGCGCACCCAGCACCGGAAAGGCACGTCGACATAGCGCGCTCAGCGAGTTTCTACGATGCATTCGTATCCATTACGAACCCGGTCTTTTCATATGCAGGCCATTTCATGTTCTTCATCCTGATTTCGGAAATGAAGCGGCCTCAGGACGCAAAGAAGGCTGCCTGGGTGTTACAGGTGTTTGCCACCACGTAAGTTGACAAACCCCGCGTCAGGAAAAATGTCTCTCTGTTTCGGATCTGTACCTCTAGCCAGGTAAACAACTGACTTGAGGTCTGCAGGTTCTACGCCGTCTTCGCCATTGTGATGTACGTGTACCTCGGACCATCCGTCGCGTCACCAGCCTTCTCGTCCCTGCCGACAAAGTGGGCAAAAGCCACGTACGGTATCGCGCTGCCGAACTTCCTGATCGCGGGCTCTCTATACTCCCACACGGCCGCCAAATTGTTCTTCATCCGTCTCTTCCGCAGGACCCGCCACCTGCACCAGCACACGATGCTCGGCTGGGGAACCTGGACGGTCCTGATCATCCTTGCGAATGGCGCCGCCTTCGTGCTGGCCGTCGGTGTGCCTATTTTTGCGTACCTCGTTAGTATTGCCGCCTCTTTGTTTGCCAGTTGGTATACGTACGGCATCGCGGGCGCGTTTTGGCTGTACGACGCATGGCATGGGCTGGACAAGGGACACGTCAGAGGCACGTATGGGATGAGGGCATGGACAGGGAGCCCCGTCAAGACCGCTGTGAATATGGCAACGTTCCTAGCTGGGGCTTTCATTTGTGTTGCGGGTGAGTCTTTGGAGCCAACCAGGCTTTCATTATGCCCTTGAGCTTTGCCCGCAACGGGAAAGACTTTACTAATGACCTCCCACTAACTGTAGGAACCTACGTCTCCGTCAAGCTCATCGTCGACGCCTACAACAGCGGTGCTGTCGGCGAGCCTTTTGCTTGCTGATGAGCGTCGAAGAGATTGACATGGTAGGCACGACTCTGACGGTTAATTACAGTATGTAAAGTGGCTACTCTGTACCTATCAGGTGTGCTCCAAGTTTCAGAGGGCTTAATCTAGTCTAAGCGTTCTGCCTTTTGTTGTCCGAGTGATGAAGAGTAACAAAGACCCTAGAGTTCGGGACTCATCCCCATGACGAACGGAAGGAATCGTCGTTTTTCGACCTGCTGTGGTAACCGTAGGAATCGACGCTCTCTCTACCTCGTTGCCTTTTTGCCGAGTGGATTGAACGCCCCTGGGGCTGGCATGAAGCGTGAGCCCCCCTTGTTGCATCGACATGACCTCTGTCACTGCCGAAACAGCATTCCTCGCAGCTTCGATGTGTGCGGCATCGAGCAGACCTCCGCCCGCTCAGCTCCGAAGACGGCGAACACATCACTTGCAACATGCTACACGACCGACCAAACCCCCCCCCCCCCCCCACCCCAGCTGACAAGCCCATCTTTCAGCCGCGTGGCGTGTGGTATGTGTGTGTGCATGTGCCTGATCATGAAGTTTTGGTTTTGTCGCGACGCGAGTCCTCATGCTGGCATGGAATAATCATGCGGTTTCGACACAAGGGACGAAAACTGGGCTCAGCAGGGTACATAGGCCCCCCCCCCCCTCAGCAGCGGGCTTCCACGCTCGACACCCTTCTTTAGATCCTTCTTACACAAGTTTTCTGCCGAGAAAAAATCGCAATCGCAATCGCAATCGCCATTGCAATCATAAGGCATGTCTTTCAGTACGTTCAGAGTAAACTTACCTAGGTACTTTTGAGTTTGCTGGAATACTTGACCAGTCGGGCCTTGGTGCCTATCTAGGTACGCACCGATCAATACCTACGTACTGTAATGGCGGATGACCATGTTATGTTACTGTAGCCCTTCATGATTTTATCGTCTGGTCGTGACCTTGAATACGATAAGATCTCTGTCCACTTCATGTCATTACATGCTCCAATAAGTATGCGCCCTTAAGAAGTCGGGCGGACGAGATATTTCCTTCACTTCTTCAAACAGGACATTCCATATTAGCGCATTCGAGCCAGGACGAACGAGAGAACAGTCTACGGTCAAACAAGGGAGGTGGAAACCGTGGAAGTGGACGTTTATGTTCTCGACTTTGCCGTGTCGCCCCTGGCTAGCGATTCTCGCTCACCAGCGAAGCTGACGTCTCGTCGCTATGCATAGCTAGCTCTTTGACACTGTAGCTCGCCTCTGGTGCTGCGGCATTCAATGCCCTTTGTCTCCGCACTTCTCTGCTGCCCATGGTATCTGCGATCCAGTCATGAAGATAACAACATGCTCAACCCTTCTCTGCTACCCGTGGTAGCCTCGTACCCTAATCTCGACGACATGTCAACGCCTCTCTGCTGCCTAATTATGGCATCGGCAATCCGGTCATGACGATCTTGGGTACCGAGTCCTCCTTGAGCTTAGTGCTTGTCCCCTCGGCTTCGCCGACGACAACCTCCGGCATCCCTTCACTGACACTATCATGATGTTTTGCCGTGGAGCCCTTGGGCCGCCATGTCGACACGGCGGGGATATCTGCCTTGAACTTTTCCACTTCTGTGCCGTATGCCTTTGGCGTGAGTTTCATGAGCGTGTGTAGTGGCACTTCCATCCAGGGGGACTTTTCTTGAGGGATCTCCATGAAGTATGCGAATATGCAGCGGACGATGGCTTGGTGGCTGTGGGGGTATTAGCGTAGACAAATAGGGGAGGGAGGACTGGCACCTACGTGATTATCATGACATTCTCGCTACGTTCCAGTTCCATGATGATCGGTTCCAGACGGATGACGACGTCTCTGTACGATTCGCCGCCTCGGTACCGATAGTTGTACTTGTCGTCGTCTCGGGCTTGGAAGTCCTCGGGGTACTTGTCGGCGATCTCTTGGTACTAAAGTCACAAAGATCACTACACGGCAAAGTGGGGAAGAAGATCATGCGAAGTGCCAACTCACAGTCATGCCGTCGCAGACGCCGCTGTCGAGCTCGTCGAGAGCCTTCCATTGTAACTTCTCCCAGCCGAGTTCTTCCTGCAAATATCGCGCTGTCTGACCGGTGCGTTTGAGGGTGGAGGTCCATATCGTGAGCGGAGCGTCTTTCGGCAAGCCTGACTGTTTGACCAGCGCTGGTAGCAGTTTGGCGTATTGTTGGCCGCGTTCTGACAGGTCTGCGTCACCACCAATCTTCCCGTCTAGGTTGTACATTGATTCACCGTGTCGTGACAGCCAGATGCTTCGGGGCTTGATGTGGAGGTTCGTAAGATAGTACACCAGGCGTGATTGCAGGTAGTCTTGGATGAGGTTTATGACGACTCGGGCGCCGATGTTGATGATCTTCACGTAGGTCAAGTTTCTCTCCGACTCGTCGATGGTTTGGTAGACCTTCTCGTAGTTGCGAATGCGGTCTCGGAAGTCCTTGGCAGCCTCTTCGGGGTCCTGGCCGATGTAGTCTGGCGACGTGGTCTTGACTTCCAGGATGTTGGCCATGATGAGGTCCTCGTCGTCACATTTGCTCTCGACGAACAGGTGAAGGAGGTTGGCCTCGCTGATCTTGTCATGGATCCACTTGCGCCGGGATTTGGTGGAATTGGTGGCATCGAGAATGGCGACTTTGTTCTCTTTGTTCTTGAACCAATTCAACATGTCGGCGACGGCCGCCTCCGCTGCCGCCTTTCGAGCCTTCTCGCCCTCGGGGTTGTTGACGTCAAAGAACTTGGCGTCCGGGTGAGGGTTGTCTGTTCGTCGGTACTTGCCAACGTTGAACACCTCAGCGTTGACTGAGGTCCACCGCAGATATCGTTTGACTATACTTGTTAGCGTCTTCGATAGACTGCGATAGGCACAGCGTACCTTTGCCTGCTATCAGGCTCTTCCCTCTGGCCGGCAAGCCGACCATCACCACCACGATCTGGGTGACATCGCCCTGTAACCGACCGGTTAGCATCTGTAGGCTAGGAAGACGCGCAGACAAAACAGGAGCAACTGCATACTTGGTGGAGGGCGGGGAGAGCGTAAAACGCCATGATGGCGGCTTTGTCTACGCTGGTTGACGGCCAGCAGGAACAACGCAAGACACAACAGGAAGAGACAACAAACGTATCAACGAGGAGAATTGTGCGCGCTCACGTCTGGCCCCATCGTGGGTGGGAGTGTTTGAAATGGTAGAGCCTCAGTCGCAGGTCTTGGCGACGATGTCGTCCTTGTGGGATTCAACGCGGCTGTCGATGTCAATAGCGACGGCGACGCTCCTGGGGTTCTCCGACGACAACGACAAGTGGGCGTGCCAGTAGAAAAGGCGTCCTCCCAATGGCCAAATGCGTCCAAACTGAATTTTTGCCTGTCTCGGAAAAATCAGGGACTGGCCTAGGGCTGATGGGAGATCTTGCTTCCCCACAACCCAACCACGGAATGATCGCGGCTTTACTCCTTGCAGAGGGTAAACCAGTAGTCCGGTGTCGTTTTGTTGTATTGCTGTGTCGCAGGGCTGTATTCGTTTGGCGGGCACAAAAAGTATGTCCGGCGCCTGGCCGGGCCATCGGACCATGTGCCCCGATGTCATCGAGTTGCTGGCGGTGCGTACCAACAATCTGCGTCACACCTGCTACAGTACTCGCATTGTGCCTCGGTTGGCAGGGTGGGCGGCACCCCCCACTAGGTGCCGTTTTGAGGGGCAGTCTCCATCAGATCTTATGCCGGATCCGGGGATGGATTGTTGACGTCGAACAAGTATTCTCCCGTGGCCAGCCACGCAGCTGATTGTCCAAGGTCGGCGCAGTGAAATGCACAACGAAGCAGCAAACAGAGAGTCAAGGCCAATATGAGAAGCGATATGAAATGAAAGGTGTGCTCACTTCAGACGGTTGGATTGTTCTGTTCAATGCGCTCCTGCTCAACATGGCTATAGGGCTGGATTGGACGAAACTCATGGCTCCAGCCTGGGTTGCGGTGCGACTGAGCCGGTTTGTCCAATTCCGCTGGGTGTGAAGTTGGGCGTGGGGTTCAGATTGCCCGCAGTCGTCCTTCGCTTTGGGGAGGGGGAGTCCAGGGACGCGTTGTGGACGTCACATCCAGCCTCAATGGACAATGCAAGACGCAGGTCGTCTTCGGTAGCGGTTCATTCACCAGTATCAGGCTGTGTTGATGGAACGAGGCGTGCAGATTGATGGAGATTCGGAAGAAGAACAGACGGATCTCGTGCAGCGGTCGGTCGCCGCCTGGAGTCTGTGTTGTTAATGGACTCACGGGGAAAACGCGCCGACGGCAAGACAGGGACTTGGACGATGGGAGAATCACAAGGACGTACGGCACCTTGTCGTCTCCTAGAGACTTGAAGCCGTGTAGCAGAGTAGAGTCAGTTGATGGACGATTGTTCAGCTGTTGACAGGCGGTGGGAGGCGAGGTACAAGCCGCAGCTGCCCCCAGTTTCTTATCGCCCCCAGAATTTGCTTATCGGCCTACATACAACATGACAAAGTCCCTCAAGACGGTCACCAGCGTCAATGTGGGCATGCCATCATTAACAACACGAAGCAATATCTCTTGGAGCTGCGCTGAGGTAGTGTGTGCATCGAGATGCATGCCTCCCGAGATCTATTCGGTGGCTTGGGTCATCCGCTTTTGTCTAGTTCCAGGTGCCTTGCTGCAGCGATCATCACCGCTACTCTCGGCGGCGACTAAGATACGTGAAAAAGGGCTGTGGCCATGCCTCCAATTCTTTTCCAATTCATAGAGCCAAATCAGGCACACGATAAGACCTGTCCTGGATTCGAAGCTCTTCCAATGCTCCAATCGAATTCACCACGGGCGCTCCCCAAGTCATTTGTATGCCTTGTGAAGCAAGCTACCCGGGAAAAGAAACTCCATGTCAGCCCGGCGGCAGTCATGGCCACTGGGTTTCTGGACTGTGGTCTTCTTAAGGACACCGTTGTCAGCTTGAAGATTGCCAGAGCAAGACTTGCACAAGAACAATCCGCACCCCCTGCCCTTTCCCTCCCCCGCTCCCAACTTCTGCCCGTACCTATTTCGCGATTGGTCGGCCACACATCGCCAAAAGGCAGGCTGCGTACATAGCGAACAGGTGTAGTAGACGCCGAGTTTGATGGCGGGCCCGTTCGGATAGCGCTTGTCCAGTAACTGCCCAATGTACGCCTTGAACCGGGCGTGCTCGGGGTTGCCAAACTGGTGAACGAAGTGTTCTTTACACCTCGAAATGTGGAGACGCTTGAGTGAACACTCCACGCACATTCGCGTCATCTCCTTTCCTTGAAAACTGTGCCCTTTACCACATTCCTGTAGCTGTCCATCTTCCCGCTGTGCGACCTCAGCTTCAACGGGACCATACCCATAAATACCGTATCTGAAATCATCGCAGAAGTGGCACGACGGCTCCGCATCAACGGCATATTTGAAGTTAATGGGATGAGTCCAAGGCGTGGTAATGGTGAATGTGGAGAACGGCATTGGGGTCGCCAACCTAGGGGATGGACTGGGTGAGTCCAAGGTGATAGGGTTTTGGCGCGATGTTCCAGCCACCGATCCTGAGGTGCCCAGTATGGCTTGGAATTCAACATAATGTCTGCGCAAGTTATCGATAGGCCTCTCGGCCACTGGAGAGGGAGACGGAGTCGGCTGAGCCAACAGTGAAGACGGAGTCAAGGGAGGTGCAACATGTATGGTTTCAGTCCGCTTCGACCCTACGGATTCTCCAAGTTTAGTCGACTCTTCTTCGTTCTTGGATGCACCGCACTTGATATGATCAACATCGCGGTGCTTGCAGGATGAGTTTGGACAGTCTTTCGTCGCGCATCGCTTCTTAGATTGGTTGCAGGAAGGAGACCCGGGGTTCTTGGCTGTACAATCGATCTTCCTCTTGAGCCCACTGCGGGTGGTTCCCTCGTCGATCTTGCAGCTCTCCTCATCTTGGAGCTCCAGATACGTTTTGTTCGATCCGCGACGACCATCTCTCCTGGTCCTTCTGTCGCTCTTGTGCTTCACCTCATAGCCTGTGCCATGCTGAACTGCAAGCTCACCGAGGAGGAGTCTACCGCGTAAAGACCCAAACCGAATAGTCAGCAGGGTAGGGAAAGGTACAAAGCGGTCTTCGAGCTTCCCAGCTGTGGTATGTGTGGGGTTCGCTGGTTGTTGACCTTGTTTAGTGCGCTTAGCCCTAGCTGCTCGAGCGTTAAGAAGCCGACGCCTTTTCGGAGCTTCAGGATTGTACTCATCAGATGACGCGTCGTGGTCATCCCAAGTAGTGGCTTGATTGAGGTTATTGGTAGCTCTGACTTGCCGGAATTGGTAATCGTCGCGTAGATGACGTTGCACCTTGGGCGTGGTACCTTTGGAGGATATACGTGCTTCGCGGAAAGCTTTGAGGGCATGCTCAAGCCTGGCCTTGGTATATGTGGCTGCCATTCTGAATCGGGTGCCACCCTCGAAGACAATGAAAGGAATGATCAAGTGGTTCGTGTACAAGGAGGCAAAAGAGAGGTAAGGTTGAAGAATGGTAGAGAAAGTAACAAATAATGGATCATCCACATGTGAAAGTCCCGAAGCAGGTGAAAGTGAGCACTGCCACTGGGAAACTTGTCACCGGCTCAATGTGACATAGATATTCCCATAATTCAATCCCGTGACTATTTCCGCGCTGACAGAAGTTAGCTATGGCGCGAGCAATTGCTTGGGGAAGTAAGCAGGGTTGCGAAGCATTCAGATCTAAGCCCGGTCAAAGGCCGTGGTCGTCAAAGCATATGCTACGTTGACCGTCGTGATAAAGTAGAATAAATCATCCTCGGAGAGAAACACTGGGGGAGAACATTGAGGGTACTCACGCCAGAAGCATGGTACAGAACACATCTGCAAGATGCGTATCAGTATCCTGCCATAGTAGCTTTTTGAGGAGCAGGGCGACAATGATGGATATCAGGCTTGACAATTTCGTCTTTGCGAACCGAAGTTGGCTTGGACATATGCTTGTCTTTTGAATGTGTCGATTCATCACAATGGAGTCAAAAAGTTCGTGAATGTATCGACATACTTGTCTTAGAAACGTGTCTGGATTGAGGTGAGGTCAGTGGTGCATACTCAGAAGGCAGGAGAACTGTTGATGAGTGTGGGACTCAGGAAATGCATGAATGGTAATTTGAGTTGTGTCTGCATCAGCGTGCTGAATAAGACTCGTCATCTAGAGTGTTCATCATTGGGAAAGGGCCAGAGCATAGTGCCATGTACTCACAGAGGCACGGAACAATGCACCGTCATACGTGAACCCGACCTCACTTGAGACGATCAGCATGATTGCAGACGAGGTTGTGGTGACAGATATCGAAGCTGATCCAATCAGTGGGCTAGGTTTTCTAGGCCTGCCTCAAGAGGGCATTTCCATCAAGACCAGCCGTGTTTGGCTGTCGGAGCCCAGTGCCATTCATCAAGTAGTGGTGATTTGACAGCGACAAGGAAACAATCGTCACCGTACCTCGTTAGATCTGGTCAACTGTTAGCGCATGATTGCTGCCGAGCTGAGCGAGTAAGATTGCGACGTGACTGGGAGAATCAGATATAGCCATTTGATATCTTCTGCGACCCGAAGGCCTCAGCCGGTAATTTCCAGCGTATATTGTTTTGATATAGATCATCATAATAAACGGAGTGTGATAGATAACGTGGAAGGAACATACCCAGCAGAGAGAACTCAGAGAGGTCGAGGGAGGAGGTGGAGTCGTCTGTTGGATATCTGTACTCAAGGTTAGTTTTAGAAGCTCAGCGACAAGACTGTAGAGCGTGTGGATGGTTCCGTAGTATCAGACTGACGTGCGTTGCGTACTGAGTTTCATGTCCCGTAAGATCAAAGACTCTAGTTTGTTACGGTATGCAGATTCATCATTGTGGGAGACAAGGACCTGTGTGGGACGAACCATTTCTGTATGTTTATCCTGCACTCTTCCATTTTCTAGCTGAGTCCCATCGCAGGTCATGCTGTCAGGCATCAGACAAGCTGGAGAAGGTCGGTGTTACTACGTGTGTCGCGTAAAATCTGTCGGTGTCAGATCAGGACGGGTCTGGCGTTCAGACAGGGCAGCCTGCGAGTTAGCATTTCCTTTGGGTCGTTTGTTACAACACATTTGCAGTGTGAAGCTCTCGCTCCCTGCTGAGTATGATGAGAGTTTGGCATCTTTGTCAGAGATTCTTCTTGGAGGAAGAGCACGAAAGGGCAGGAGGTGTTCTCGAGGTGCAGGACAACAATGAAGTCGAACAGTACCAAATTTTCTCCAACTCGGAAAATCGCGTCGAAACCAATATCACACAGAAGTGAACAAGGCAGGTTGACCGAATACGCTAGGCTTGAATAAGTCTCGCTCGGCGGGCAGGTTCTGTCCGTTGACTTATCACGTGACTTGTGTTGGACCAAGCACCATTAGCCGCCTCGCCATCATCCATTGGTTTACTACCAATGAGACTATCCGACACCATCCCGCATCTGATCTAGGTTCCTGCACACCTGCCCGCATCTATCCTGTCAGCATCCAATCTGCTCCCTTAGGTTGGCGATGATACCTCGTAGTGGACAGGCAGCCCAGACCACGAGATATTCTCCGGCCACGAGCGGCCAGGTGCTCAGCTAAGCCGGCATGGCTCTAACTTAAGCTTGGCCTGCAGCCCTGGAGCAAAGAATAGTAACAACACCTGCCACTCCCCAGTCCCCACTTCTACAATTCCTTCTGGCTATTCCATACCTTATCGCCTGGGGCATCAACTGATCCAGACACAATCTGCTTGGTTTCTGTTCTCACTGCGTGAGGCTCGGTCTGATGTTGGAATCGTAATCGCAATCACCCTGGCCGACAATGGCGGAACAACACGATGGCCACAGTGGGCATATGTGACATGAGCCGTGTGGGCGCTTAGCCTACCAATCTCCATCAGGCATTTGGGCAGGACTACCTCTTTCACAACATGTCCGTGTATGTTGACCTCGTCTATTTTGTTTCTTGTCACAGATCATAGCGAGGCTAACATCTTTTCGCCAGCCGACCATTGCCTGCGGCTGAACACGCCCAATTTGAATATCAACAGTCCCCACGGACTCCCACTGTCATCGTTCCTCTTCCTCCACCACCTCCAAGGGATGGCCGACCTCCAGCCTCTCCCCTGCGGCTTGGTCACTTTCCAGCTCGACCACCATTGAACATCAACGTTGCTTCCGTTCGTGGGCTGCCGACCCATACGCTAGGCTCGGTGCCTGCCTTGCAGGGTCCCCTCTCTCCAACGTACCTTGCGTCGCCAGTGCCGAGTCCACGAAGTGCCTTTCCAATGGCTGCAAGAGTTACAAGCAACTACAATGCTCCGTACGACCCCAGAGAATGGGTGGGAGGAAGTCAACGGGCGTCGATGGTGCTAGATGGCCGATCTTCTGGGCCACAAGCAGAAGGTACGTTGACTAATTTGTCCAAGGTAAACACCACTCATTATTGATGCAGATGGAATACCCAATCCACCTCCGCCATACTCTGCCTCGTTGGCTGCTCTTCGCGAGGCAACAAGTGCTGGCTCAACCGTCTCGCCCACCGACTCGACTTTCACTGCTGGCAACCATACGCAGTCGAACACGCCGACGAGCACAGTTGGGGTCTTGTCGCCAACGAACCAGACATCAGTGGCTGATAGCGGTCAAAATCAAACTGAACCCAATGGACAGCCGTACTTCAGCCTGCCTCCAGGGCAAGCCGGCGGTTTTGATACTCGGCCGAGCCGATTAAGTATTTCTTCACAGCACCACGGATCCCGGCCAGGTTCTGCCTTGGGCATGACCAGGCCTGTCACTGTGACTGGTCTTTTGATCAATACGGCAGCGGCGCAACGAAGCATGGCTCAACCTCCACAAATAGAGCCGAGTCACGGACCACTTCCGGCACCGCCAGCTTCGAGGAGAGCAGCTTCAGCAGGCCCTATTTCCTCCTATGACGCCAGCGTTAACAACCACGATGGATCCTCCTCACGGTCGTCCTCAAAACAGAGGAGTTGGTATCCAGGGATGCCCCTGCCAGGCCCACCGCCTGGCCCGCCTCCGTCGTCGTCGAGGTCGCAGAGTACAGGCGGGTCTCGGAATCTGGCGCAGCCACAAGCTACTGGACCTAGCGGTCGACCAAGTCATCGTATTCCATTGCGGGCTCCACTCCTCAGTCCGATGCCTCCTACGCCTGCCAATTGGAGGGACCAGTCCGCGTCGCGATCAAACTCTAGAGCACCGGTTCCATTGCACATTGAAACTACCAACCTTGATCCGCCAGGGTCTCTTCCTGCAGGGCTGAGTAGAAGCGCTGCTCTTCGAGTCTCCTCGGCCAAGGGCCTGCTCGAACGCCGAAAGCAGCGTCGGAGTTTGCATGAAGGTCAAGTAGCAGATTTGAGTGCTTTGACTATTGATACCGACCCGTGGTTTGATGGTATGAGCCCGGCAGCCGCCAGTCCCGAACACTCGCCCACACTCGGACCCCTCGGTACTGGTCGAGCCACCCCAGAGACTGCGCGACGTGGCTTGCGCACGAATAGCAGGTCTCGATCTGGTTATCGAGGTTATGACAACGCACCCACGCCCATAGATTCGCCATACCCTCCAGGCTTGTCGAGAAGGAGTAGCCACACGCCACTTGTGCCATCGAAAGCATTGCCAACACCCCCATTGAGCCAGAAAAACCCTGCATCTGCCCACAGTGTCCGGCCGTCGACTGCCTCTTCGGTCTCAGAACCTGGTCGTGGTGAATATGATGCGTTCATGCAGGACACATCTAGAAGGCATCACGAATTTCTGCTTCAAGAGTGCCAAGCAAACAGCGAGCTCGAAAGACTGGAGATCTTTATGCAGTACGTCATCGAAGAGTCGAACATTCGACGGGAACGATGCCCAGGCCCATTCGTTGATGGTACTTTCAATGCGGACGAGGCCAGACAGCGTCTATTCCGGGATAGCACCAATAGGCGACCTGCCACGAGACAGTCGCCTATGCATGCGACTAGAATCGACCCCCCTCAACGATCAGACACGCTTTGGTCTAAGGAGTATCACCCCGATCTCTCTCCGATCGCGAGCATGAGTAACGATGAGTTGAGCTCTCGTGGAAGGACCGCAAGTCGGTGGTGGCAATCACAAACAGGTTCCGAAGCTGATGGTGCGCCTACCAAATTGAAAAGGTCCAAAAGAGAATCGAAATACATGGGCCTGTCAACGCTTTCATTGCATGAAGTGCTGTCCGAGGCCGCAACGCCAACAAACCTCGATGCGGTATATAGTTCAGCAGAGGGCTATCCGCCGGAAAAGTCCGACCCGCAGCATTTTGGTGTCTACGACGATGGTGAGCCGATACCGAGACCTGATGATACGCCAGCGAATCCCTCGACACCAATGGGTTTCGATTTTTCAAGATTCATTACCTTGCCGCCACCGTACCCGAGGCACTACCCCGCAGTGAACAACAACCATCCCAAGTTGTCCGTATACCGAAATCTTGTCCGACTGTTGAGTGACCTGAGTGAGTTGAAAGACAGGAGGTCGAGACACAACCTAAGCGTGGAAGCCCTCCGCACGGAACACAAGCGGAAAATCTCTGACAGACAGAAAAACTTCAAGGCCAATATCTCAGCGCAGATATACGATGGTAGCATTACCTACACCGAAGCAGCAGAAGCCGAACAAGTTCTCCGGTTGCAGGAGAATGAATCCGAGAAGACGTGCCTGAAGGCAGAGTTCGACACATTGCAAGATGTGGTGATTAATCCAATGCATGAGATGCTGAACGACCGAGTCGCCCAGCTGACGACGCACATCAATGGATTGACAGAACAACTCGTGGCTGAAACAAGCGCTCAGAATCTTGATAGACCACAACAGGAAGGCGACGCAGTACCCGAGATCCTGGAATATTTGACACAGCTCAAGTGGTTGTTCGAGACTCGAGAGACCATCTACAAAGACATCTTTGACCTTCTCACCGAGCGGAATGACAAATACAAAGCCATTGTGCTGCTTCCCTATCATCAAAACAGCAATTTGGACAAGATTCGCGATACCGAAAGCTTCTTCGCGCGTGATAACCTCCAGCGGCGCAAAGAATTCTTCGACGAAGCATTGGTCCGCTATCAAAAGTTTTCGGAACTCGTTGCAAAAAGTGTTGGTGGAGAAGTAGAACTTCAATCGTCAGCCTTCTGGGACATTGCTCCCGGACTCTTGGACGTGGTCCAAAGAATACCGGATGACCTGGACGATTTAGGACCGATCGCCATCCCGGATGCCGAGTACGTGGAGAACCCAGCGTACCGCGATTTCCCGCAGCAATATCTATACAGTCTGCTCGACCACGCGGAAAAATCGACTTATCAGTTCATCGAGTCGCAGACGAATCTCCACTGTCTGGTGCATGAGGTGAAGGTCGGCCTCCTCGCAGCTAGATGCCGCGCTGTCGAAGCGGGCAGGGCACGCGCTGAACTCGACGGCCCAGTGTCCGGGGACAACCCCGAGGACATGCGACGCGATCAAGAGACGGCAGCAACTGCGGAACTGAAGCAGCAAGTGGCGATGATTGAGGAGCAATGGCTTGAAGCACTAGGCAGTGCGCTTCAAGGCAAGAAAGCGCAGGTCAGGAGATATCTGGAAAACATTGGTGGTTGGGACGAATCTATACAAGAATAAATACCTGCCGCACTGCGTTCAAGCGATTTGGTTAGAGCTATGCTGGCATGATACCATTTGGGTATAGTACTATCTCAAGGATACGATTAATGATGGAACGACATGGATAATGACACTGGCGTATTTGCGCTTCCCTTGGAAACCCTCTTATGCTCATATTATCAGGGAACTGTTGGGAGTATGCGCACCGGGAATCGAAGCGGCTGCATAGGCAAGCCTTGTTACCGCCCCTGCACTGACGGTGGTGGGCATGCGAGCACAGCAACGTAGTCACATGTGGTAGATGCCCCCCTCCTCGCTTGTTCCCAGCGCTGCTCGTATTATGTACACACTTGATCAAGTACTGACCATAGCGCACATTGTGCAACATGGCTCATACCGAAAAGTCCGTAAACGAAAAGCATTCCGTTGACAGTGAGCGAACCGCCGCTGCCGTTGAAGATGCACGACCTCGCAAAGGGTCCTTCGTGGACGTTGATGAGGACAAACTGAGTGCTGCGTTCGAGAACCCGCTGAGCGGCATCCCCAAGGAGCAACTCCTTGAGGAGGTCGAGGCCTTCTGTCGGCGACAACAACCTTGCAGAGCATATCGATGCCTTCCGCCGCGGTGCCCCGGTGGCTCAGAACCCTCGTGAAACGGAAGGCATCCTCGAGTTGACGCCAGAGGACCGAGAAGTCCTCAAGAGAGAACAAACTCATCGGTGGCATCAGCCGAAGACGCTGTACTGGCTCGTAGTCATATGCTCACTAGCAGCAGCCGGACAAGGGATGGACGAAACCGTCAACAATGGTGCGCAAGCATTGTACCTAAAGCAATTGAATATCCCCACGGACCGCTTTCCGCCGGGCATGGTAGACAACCTGACTGGGCTTGTTGTGGGCGCTCGATACTGTAAGTTATGTTCTTCCAGCAGCAACCTTGCTCTTCGGGTAGACAGCTGACTCGTCCTAATGTGCTGTGCAATCCTGGGTTGCTGGCTGACGGAGCCGTGCAACAAGGTCTTTGCTCGCCGCGGCACCATTTTCATCTCTTGCTTCATTGCCGCTATTGCCTCTATCTGGAGGGCGCGCCAAACTCATGGGTCAACTTGTTCTTGGCTCGATTCGTGTTGGGTGAGTCCTTGAGGCTCCAAAGGGGTCGCCGCCTGAGATTCACCGATATGCAGGCAGCAAGAGACACTTACTACACCTACATCGGCGTCGAACTGGAACGCAAGGCTCACAAGGGCAAGAACCTGTTCAGGCAATTCGTCGAGCTCTTTACCGTACCGCGAAACCGCCGAGCAACCTGGGCCTCTTGGATCACGATGTTCGGCTCAACAATGGTACGGGCTCAGCGTGATGGCCTACTACTCGACCACTATCTTCATCGAGTCGGGTTATTCGACGACATCGGCCTTGCTCGCATCCATGGGCACCGGCATCCTCAACTGGGTCTTTGCGCTTCCGGCAGTCTTCACCATTGATCGATGGGGACGACGAAATCTCTTCTTGTTCACATTCCCCTTCTTGGCCATTTTATTGCTGTGGACGGGCTTCAGCTTTTGGTTCGATAATACAAAGGCAAGGGTCGGCATGGTTACCACTGGAATGTATCTTTTTGAGGTGTGTGGAAATCGGGTTTCCTCTCATCCGTCTTACTCATATTGTTCTCCCAGGTCTTCTACTCGCCTGGTGAAGGCCCTGTGCCTTTCACGTACTCGGCTGAGGCGTAGGTGCTTCCCACTCGGAGACGACGGCTGCGTTCGAAGCGACTGTTGAAACCGAAAACTGACATGGCTCGCAGATTTCCGGTGCACGTTCGTGATGTGGGCATGTCATTCGCTATCGCGACCACATGGTGCTTCAACTTCATCCTCAGTTTCACCTGGCCGCATCTTCTGACGGCCTTCAAGCCTCAAGGTGCCTTTGCTTGGTATGGCTCGTGGTGTATCATCTTGTGGTGTTTGATTCTTCTGTTTGTGCCCGAGACCCAGGTAGGTTCGAGCCTTGCGTTGATGTTCAGTGCGCGATGTTAACGTACTTCACAGGCCCTGACTCTCGAAGAACTCGATCAAGTCTTCAGCGTCAGCACCCGCAAGCACAGGAGCTACCAGATGAAGAACGCCGTGTGGCATTTCCGAGTGTTGGGTGTTGAGACAGAAATTAGAGCCACTGCCGCCGTTTTATCGTCGAGCCGAGAAGTTGAACGAGGCGTGATTGATGAGATCGTGGTGATCCTTTCAGTGTACCTCGCCGCTAGCAAAATCTTTGTGATACCCCCTGGGCTAAAGATTCTAGCCCTAGATACTGCGCGACACTCTCCGAAACCACCCGACGGCCGTAGCTCGGGTCAATGGTGCACCGAACATGGTGCGGAAATTGTTTGGTTGTTGGGCCTTTCGCCTTTGCTCTTTGTGAATTCTGTTTGCGGTAAATGCACATGGGCTGCAGCGCTTGTGCCTTGTGATAAAGGTCGAAGGAGACACGGTCGTGCGGCGGTAATTCTTATCTCTCTCGCGTTCCAGACGCAATCACGTGACTGGCCTTCGGGATGAGCCGGGCGAATCTTTCCTCGGCTTGCATCAGCTCGACTGCGGTACTCCGTAGTTGCCCCTCCATTCGCCCTGCCTCTCCCCTCCACTCATCTCCCATCAAATGCTTCCCATCCACCATCGCAAATGGCCAGCAGTCGGAGGCGGGAGTGGGTGGCTTCTCCGCAGTCGACGAGCCTGCATCATCTCCCGAACGTCCAGACTCGGACACCAGTGATGTTGACAATGATGCGCTTCCCCCTCTGCCACGAGCACCCGAGATGGGGCTGGTCGGAATTGATTGTCATGAACGTCGCCTTATTAAAAGAATAGCTTCTCCTGCTAGAGCCCTACGTCTTGGATTTTTGTCTGTGCTTGTTTCGTCTCCATCTCGATTTGTCTACAGCTCATTCTCCAACCAGTCTTGTCTGCATCCATACCGTCACTGCTTCCCTTCCACCGAATTCTCATATACATCGCGTGCCCTCGACGTCACCCTTACCAGCTCGACCTTGTCGCCTCTGATCTCCTATAACGAGCAATATGGCAACCAACGGGGATAGTAATGGCCATACTACTGGCACCGGCACCGAGAAGATCAACACAGACATCATCACCCTTACCAGACACTTGACGGAAGAGCAAAACAAACACAAGGAAGCAACAGGTGACTTCACGTGCGACCGGACCAGAATTTACCTGACCACAGGAACTTTGCAGCTGACTATCACGCAGATTACTATGTCACGCTCTCCAGTTTTCCTTTAAATCCATCGCCTACTACATTCGACGAGCCACGTTGATCAACCTCACTGGACTGGCCGGCTCGTCAAATACAACCGGCGATGACCAGAAGAAACTTGACGTGATTGGCAATGACCTCTTCGTGGCAGCCATGCGGGGCTCAGGAAAGTGCAGAGCACTTGTGTCAGAGGAAGAGGAGGAGGTCATATACTTTGACGACAGTCCTAATGCGCGATATGTTGTTGCCTGTGATCCAATCGACGGGTCAAGCAATTTGGACGCCGGTGTCAGTGTGGGCACCATTTTCGGCATCATGAAGTTGCCAGACAGCGTTGTTGGGAAGAAGCCCAGCCCCGACGACCTGCTGATGCCGGGCACGGAGCTGCTCGCTGCTGGGTGAGATCAGAAGACCACGACCCTGGTGCACACTGCAAGCGGCTAACAGCAGCAGATTTACCATGTACGGTGCCTCGGCTCAACTGGTCATCACCATGAAAGGTGGCACAGTCAATGGCTTCACACTGGTAAGTGAATCCTTGGAGAAGCCCAATCAGTCCTGACGGCTATGCGCGTACAGGATAATGCTCTCGGCGAGTTCATCCTCACCCATCCGAACATGCGCATCCCCAAGAAACGCGCCATCTACTCGGTTAACGAGGGCAACTCGCTCTACTGGACCGACAAGACGAAAGCCTACTTCGAATCGCTGAAATACCCGGCCAAGGAAGGCGGCAAGCCCTACTCGGCTCGATACATCGGGTCCATGGTTGCCGACGCCTACCGCACGCTCCTGTATGGCGGTATCTTCGCGTACCCGGCCGACAAGAAATCCCCCAAGGGCAAGCTGAGGATCCTGTACGAGTGTGCTCCCATGGCCATGGTCATGGAGAATGCAGGTGGTATGGCGGTGGACAGCAACATGACGCGGATGATGGAGGTCAAGCCGGAGCATATCCACGATCGGAGTGGCATATTCATGGGGAGCAAAGAGGAGATGGAAAAGGTTGTTGATGCGCACAAGTAAGTTGGAGACCAGTGGTGTAGGTCGAAACATTCCGGTGGCACCGAGGTAGGGGCGAGAATTGGACATACACGCGCGTGTTATAAGAACGACTAAGCAATTGACTCGGAGATGATGTCGGTTCTCACTTCTGAACTTGCCGATACTGTATGTACCCACCATTTGGCGTACGCCACGGCGTTAATTGGATGTTGATATGACGGACCTACCAAGTCACATCAAGTCACATCAAATCACCTGTCGTCTATTTCCTACGTCGGTCTATCTAACGTCCATGCTCAACGAAAGGGTGATGGTGATGGTAATGCTGTTGGTGTCGGCGTACCTATCATTGAAGAATACCGTAGTACAAGAATACGGAGTAAGTACCACGTACGCCGCTTAGAATATTCAGCTCAGCCGTCCAAACCCGAGGAACCGGCCCTCCATGCGATGTGATGGCTCCCTCGCGCCCCTTCAACACTGGGTACTTATTTGCCCGCCAACATCGCCTTGAACTCCTCCACCGCGCCGAGCACTTCATCAGCCACCCCGTCTTCGTTACCAACATCATCGTTCACGCTATTCCCGTTCCCATTCCCACTGCCTCTGGCTCTCCCGAACCGCCCATACCGCAAGTCACTCAGTCCGCCGACCGTGCCTTCGCAGATCCTGCGCAGGTCGGCAATCTCGGCTTCTAGATCCGCGATCTCGACTCCGAGATCTTGCGTCGCTTTGTCCATCGCGAGCAGGAGCGATGAGCCGTCATGGTACAGGCCGTGCTTGGACGGGCCCGGGCCTGTTGCTTGAAGTAGCGTGTTCGAGAGGGGGACTCCGTCGTGCAGGGCCGTGTCGGTCTGGATGTGGGTGTGGGTGTTGACGTCGAGGTGGGGTGTTTCGGCCCCGTCGTCGTCTGACGTGTACGAGTACGTGTCGTCGTGGTCGTGATCGGGATTGTGCTCGGTTTCTGGACCTCGCTTGCGCTTCCGTCTTCGGTTCCGATCCTTTTTTTGTTGTTGTTGTTGCTGCCGCTGGCGCTGCTGTTTGAAATTCTCTTCCCGGCGGACCTGTCTGGCTAGTTGGGCCGTGAGGGATACGCTCTTGTTGCATTCTCTTTCGATGCGGCGGCGGATGTCGTCGACGGTGACGGCCCGTTGGAACTCCAGGTCGCGGTAGAGGCGCTTCAGCTCGGTGGCGCGGGATGGCTGGTGTTTTGGCAGCAGGGCCAGGAAGGACGTGTATGGTACGATTGTGGGCAGGGGGGAGGGGTGCAGGAGGTAGGATTGGAGGATTTGGGATTCGGTGGGATGGGCCGTTGTCGGCGTTTGTGTCGGTGGCATTTTGAAGTCAGATCCAGGTTGAGGTTGTTGATCGAGTGTCAACTGAGTTGGGCCAGGCGATTGTGTTTGTGGGGGGGGGGGGGGGGGGGGGGGGAGATAGGGGGGACGCTTGTCGATGATGAGGTTGTAGGTCGAAATTGGAGCACTTATTTTCGTCGAGACTCCGTCTCCGAGTTTGGGTTCAAGGCACTGAAATCGGAGCTCTCTCTCCTGAATAATGTCCACTGGTGGGAGACCTGCTATGTTCCACTTGCTGACGGTCGTGTCGTGCTTGCGCTGCTTTGCTATCCTGATGATGGAAGGTATCTGTGACCCTCCTAACGTTCACCTCGCTCAGTCGTCCGCGTCGACGTCGACCCCGACCGAATCAGGTAATGGATTTGCCCTTTTTGGCGTCTGATCCGCTTGCTGCTCGTGTCGCTGCAGCGACAGTGCGAGTCCCTGACGATGACAAGCCTTGTCCTTGTACGCTGCTAATGAGGCCGTGCCTTGTTTCCGGAGAGCCAGGATGCGTTTTGTCCACTCTCTTCTGCTGGCAGGGGTATGACAGGAGTATCAGAAGCGGACGCCGCTTTTGCCAGCTGATTCTCCGTCGTCAATTGTTTGGTAAAGTTGGTGTAGAGGAAAGTCTGAGGACGTAAGCGGAATGTTCGGATTGATCTTAAAGTGCTGTTTGAACTTGTGCTCTCCAAGATGGTCGGTTGGCCGTTCACGTCGAGACGGACGACCTGGGTGATTAGGTCTCACAAGCTCTTCGAATTCCTCTCTCGTCAAGGGATTTTGCAACGGCTTGTACTCAAGTTCGGCTAGCACACCAGGGTCCCATGGAGTAACAATGGAGAATGCGTCGCTGTAGGTTTCTTTGTGGCTCTGTTGACGCTGAAGATCTCCCTATAATCGTTCACGTCGCTGTCGGCACACTTGATGGTCAGATCCCAGGAGGTTTTCTAATTCCAAGATGGTCAGAAACCGCCAGTTCGGTTCCTCAATTTGTTCGGGCTGGGCCTGGTGAAGTAGTGGTGTAGCGGCCACAGCTGGACTAATGTCTGCGGTTGCTTTTGTGGGAGAAGACGTCCGATGAGCAGGTCGGCTGATGTTTGGGTTCTGTAGAGATGAGGTTGGACGTTCTGGAGAGGGAACCATCAATGAGGGTGGTGCTGAGGATTCAGTGCCTCTGAGGTGCTTGTCCACAGAGATGCCGTCTTTAGAGCGAGATGTCGTGGCGTTCTGTCCCGGCATTATGGCAAATCCATCGCTGAACCAGTGATTGCTAGACACTCATACTGGCTGCGACATGCTTTTACTTGTCGTGCCTGTTTATTGTCGTCTGTTCATCGCCCTCGCCGGGGAAACTCCGGCAAATGGACGCGTTCTGGCCCGCCAATGAGCGTCGATCTTGGCTCGTTCTCTCACTTCGTCTCCTTCTCAGCCTTCGACTCTTCCACTCATCCACGACTGACTATCTTTCTTCTTGTACCTGCAGCCCTCTTCTCACAGTATCCCCAAACTCAACCCGTCTCGAATCGGATCGCCTCATGTCGTGAATCTCAGATCAAAGACTGTCTCCGCAATATCATGGCCCCACAGTCCGGTGAGAGCAAATCGACTTACCAGAACAACGAGAAGGTGCTTTGCTTTCATGGTGAATTTCTGTACGAAGCAAAGATCCAAGACTTGAGACGAACAGAACCCAAAGACCCCAAGTCTCCTTTTGAGTACAAGATCCACTACAAAGGGTGGAAGAACACGTGAGTCTCAGTCCTTCCGCTGTCGCTGTTGCATTGTCTTGCCTGCGAGTCCATGTCCTTTTCTGCCCTCCCCTCACTCACGATATTCCCGTCTTCCTCAAATCAGGGCCAATGATGTACCGACTGTGACCGCCCTCAGAAACACGCAGTTCGAAGTTGAGATTCACTTCTTGTCTTCGTACTTTTGACTGCCGCCGGCTGCGCGTCAAATGATTCGCCTTCACCTCGGCCCTATTGATGCTCAGTTGTCCACAAGCTAACCTTTTCTTCTCCAGTTGGGACGACTGGGTCTCATTCGAACGCTTGCGGAAGTGGACGGACGAGAACCGTGAACTAGCAGCCCAACTCCGTCGAGAACACACTCAAGCGCAAAAGGCCGTATCCAAGACTACCTCGAAGTCTCGTCGCGGTCAAGGTTCGGAGATCGGTTCTGGAAGAGGTTCAGAGGAGAGAACATCATCAGTCCCTGCTGGCGGTGGTAGAGGATCAAAGCGTGTTCGTGATAACGATATCGAAAAGGTTAGTGGTGATTCCCGTCCCACAAGTGCACTTTGTCGAGTTTGCCCCGTGATCAAATCTGCCCTGGAATGATGCCCCTATCGGACGACACGCGTGATCCTGCTTCTCTCGTCAGTCCGGATTCCTTGCAGAACGCTCTTGGCCTCAATTTGGATATCGGACACCAAGGACCCATCAATACCCCTGTCTCTAGCACTATTACCGACAACATGGATCCGGACAAAGAGTCAGAGGAAGCCGAAGAAGAGTATGATAACATGGACACCGTCGCACAAGAGCCAGATGACCCAGCTGGCCTGCGACAGTTTGTGTACCAGCCCCGCAGAGCCGCAATCAAAGCTGGTATGGCAATTGAGAGATCCAGAAAATTGATGCCCCTTGTCGCGAGCCGCTCACCTGTCAAAACGAGGAAAAGAAAAGCACCAGAAAGAGATGACTCCCTCAAGAGTGAAAAGCCTTCTGTCTCGGCACTACGCACCACCAAGGCGCCAAGTAGCCTGTCAGTTAGCGCAGTCTCCCCAGAACATTCGCCCAAGGCCAAGAAGCCCAAAGTGGTTGCACGAAAGGGAATTGCAGTCCGAGTAAACAAATCTCGCCGTATAGCAAGTCCTCAAGCTGCCCGCGCCCCGCTAGCACGTCGCTCCGTGTCGAAAAGTCGTCTTCGCCGCCCCGCCGCACCGTCTGAGTCCGATGGCTCTTCTTCTCCCACAAACACCGAAGATGACGAAACGGTCAAGCCAGAGTCTAGCGATCCGGAAAATGAAAGCAGCGGAGACGAAGGTGTCCCTCTTCTTCAGAACAACTCTCGAAGATCTTGTGTGGCCAGCTCTGCTGGAAAGCCCATTCCTAAGGCAAAGCTGGAGTTCTCTGGCAGCGAATATGGCGATAGTGCGGATAGCGAAATGACACCTGTCGAGAATGACCGAAAAGTATCTGCCAGGTCCAGTGCCAGAATCACCCTTCAGTCCCAGGCGGAAATTTCTGAAAATGGCGTGAAGACTGCCTCAGCCAAAGTCGCCGGTCGCGTTACAAGATCTGCCGCTGCGGCCTCAACCGGTCCTGCTATCAGAAAGACTCGCAGCGCCGCTCACGCAAAGTCACCTGCAAAGCCGATCAAGCGTCCTTCTTCTGGCACAATTGACTCTCTTCCCGGACAGTCTCATGCTGCAGATGGGCCAGATTCCGCTGGTTACACCTCTCCAATTGACCAGAGCGACTCTCAGGCGACAGAGACAGACGTTGAAGAGTCTGTGGAAGGCGCACCAGACTATGCTGAGCTAGAGGTCGATCCACCCGGGTCTGGCACACCCTTTGACGCTCTGAAATGGCCTCACCTCCTTCTTAAGAAAGTTAATCGTAGCGGCACATGCTTCCCAGAAGGCTGGGGAGATGAGGAAATCAGATTGATACCGGATGCAGTCTTCGAGGACATTCGCATAGATCTTCTTGCCCTTTTGAGATATGACCTCTTGCTCTACCGCCCCTGGACACTTCTGAAGAAGCTTCCCGACTCTTCACCTTTCTGGACCACGTGGCAGAAACACGAGGGATGCAAAATCATCCATTCGTTCATGGTCAAAGTCGAAACCGAACGAGCCAAAGAGGGTGCGAATACTTTGCTCAAACTTGCCCGTGTTTCCACCGAGCTTGCGCCTTCTAATCCCAGTATTGGGAGTGAACAGAAATACATTCGCACGACAAGTGTCCACAGCAGACAACAGGATCTCGCCGGTCTGGGTGCTAGTAATCTGCCATTGCCTCTTCGCGCCAGAATTCCACCGAAGCCAGAACTTACCACGCTGGACCATTTGGCGCTCGCAGGTGAGGTTGTTGGTTCTGGAACAGCTCATTATGTCCTCGGCAATCCAGGCAACCTTTCCAGGACCACTCAGGGCAACGGAGTCAAGACTGAACCAGCATCTATCTCTACTCCAAACACGCAGGATGGCCCGCTGCCCATGCGACCACGTTCCAATTAGCCTGATTCTTTCCCCCATTCACTGGACGTCGAATCCATGTGCCAGGATTGAATGTCCTTGCCCAAGAATTGAAACCCTTATTATCTTGACGTCGAACACGGAATAACCCATGCTTACTTGGTCATGTACGAACAGGAAGATGCATTTTATTCGCGCCCGTCGATCCGCATAAATGTTCCCGACCACCTGAAGAACCTCCTTGTCGACGACTGGGAGAATGTCACAAAGTCACTGCTTCTCGTCCCTCTTCCCAGTCAAGCGCCTGCGAACTTCATCATTGACGAGTATTTCAACGAAGAGAAGATTAACCGACGCCTCGGGTCTGCTGAGGCAGACATCTTGGAGGAATTTTGTGCGGGATTGAAAATGTACTTTGAGAAGGCGGTGGGAAAGATCTTGCTTTATCGCTTTGAGCGAAGCCAGCTGGCAGAGGTATATCATCTATCTGTTTCATTGCAACAGCACCATCTAACGGTTGCTCTTTTGACAACAGGTCCGCAAGCTCTGGGAATCCGGCAAGTACAAGGACTGGGAGGGCAAAGGTCCAGGTGACTGCTATGGCGCCGAACACCTTACTCGCATGATTGTCAATCTCCCTGAAATGATTGTAAGTCCTCCCTCTCTATTCACCATGTTCTCGGACTTTTTGCCAGGCTCTCACCATCGCGTTGTGTAAAAGCTAATGCCTTACGCAGGCCCAGACAAATATGGACGCTGAAGCTGTATCCCGCCTGAAAACCGAGTTGAGCAAATTCTCCACCTGGCTGTCCCGCAATAGCTCCAAGTTCTTCTGCGCCAAATACGAGAAACCGAGTGCCGAGTATGTTGAGAATGCCCGTTAGGAACGGATGCAAGATAAAAACAAAGATGCTCAGAAGAAGGAATCTCCGAAGAAAACTTCCCCGAAAAAAGACGCCCAGAAGGACACTCAAGTGCAGGCAGAAAGACCTGTCACTCGCGCTATGGGCCGAGGTGGAAAGGCGCAGTAGCTGTGAAGTGAATGGGCACAAGATGACGTGAAGTGATGCTTGATGCTTGGAGCGGAGGTGCATTGGGAAGCGGCGTTGCTGGCGAGCCTCGCTTGGAAATGGGATCGAGGATGGACTCAATTGGCAACTTGGTACCTCGACATCCAGAGAGTCATGCCCCCACTGGCCAGTTGGCGCTGAGCATCAATGATAATACACAATGCAAGGGCATGTCTCAACACCGCTTTCTTCAAGTTCCTTCTTGTGCGCAACAAAGCCGGCAATTAATAGGCTTGGGCGGCTGGTTGCAAGACAAGTTAACGAGTAGAAGAGGCCGCCTCCTTCACTGTTGCGTGTGATACTGTCTCTATTTGCACCTGCACATGGAATAGCGACGACTGGGACAAACATACACCTTTCTGGTGTCTGTGCGAGCATTATTGTACGTGAGAGCACAGTCAAAAGGCGAGACATTCGTCGTCTATACACAGTACGTCCATGGGCGCTTGATTTTACCCACCTCCATCGGCGCTACGGCTTGGCAGAGCACTAACAAGAGTGTGCTCTGTCTGCATATGGTACGCCGTAGTCAGTACTGTGTACTGTTTCCTCCGTACCGCAGTCGCAAACCCCACAGGCCGACTTGTGCTAGACGTTTCCATGCACGCACCCGTCAGTCCTCAGATATTTAGCTACAATGTCCATCTGATATACGCTCGCTATCCAAGCACTGCAGGTTGACCGCAGAGCAACCAGTTCAGCTAGTGTTGGCGATCCTTTTCATGCCTTGCGACGGCACCAGATTCTGATACACATTGGCTTGTCTTTTTCACGCATAGGTACGTGAAATTGCGCCATTCTGTTTTGTTTACAATGATGAGACACCAGCTGGCACCAGTCTGAGAAGACTTGTACTCTTTACATGCGGATCAGCATCATGGCAATTAGCCTACAGTCTGAATATTTCACTTGTCATACTCGTTTTCCATCAAGTTTCCTAGCCGAACTCAACACTGACTCGAGCCGAGATAGATATTTCCTGAAACCTCCTGAGTGCGGCTCCCGAACTTGCCTTCCGTTATGCTCCACAATCCAAACAACTGGCATTGGGTCACCAAAGATGCCGGCCCTTGGTCGAAAGACTACCTGGACACTCAGGTCAGACAAGTCTCGGCAGAAGAAAATGGAGTGTCGGCGAAGATCACAAAACTCATCTCAATGGACGGCGACGTCGAAGTGAGCCAGCGGAAAGGGAAAGTTATATCGATCTTCGATGTTTCGCTGCAGCTCGAGTATGAAGGTACGAGCACGCCGGTGGCATGATGCATGGACAAGAGAGGGCTCATACTTATGCAGGGAAGACCGACGATGGCACCGACGTCAGCGGCAGCATCAAAGTCCCCGAATGCGCATATGACACAGAGGCTGATGACTATGTGGTATGTGCTCGTCGCTCGACGGCGCAAGGCGTAGTTGTGAGTACTAACAACATCGTTGCAGTTCGATATAGACATCTATTCGGAAAAGAAGGAGAAACAGCCTGTCAAAGATCTAGTCCGTTCAAAACTAGTTCCGCAACTGAGAACAGTTTTCTCCAAGTTCGGACCAGCGTTGATCGAAGAGCACGGGAAAGATTTACAACACGCACCCGGCTCGAATCCGTCGAGCGGCTTTGCAACACCAACGTGGCACCCTGAGAAGGAACGCAAACCCTTGTCGCCTGCTCCCACCACCTCGACGTCGGGCAAATCATCCGTCAACACCACCACAGTCACCGCCACAGATGAATTCCGCACCACGGCAGACGAACTGTATCAGACCTTCACCGACCCACAGCGACTGGCAGCTTTCACACGCGCACCTCCTCGAGTATTCGAAGGCGCCAAGCCTGGAGGGAAGTTCGCCATCTTCGACGGCAATGTCTCCGGAGAGTTTGTTGAACTTAATCCACCTAAGAAGCTGGTTCAGACATGGCGATTAGCTCAATGGCCAGAAGGACATATGAGCACTCAGGAGATCGTCTTTGACCAGAACGATGTCGACCGAGTGACCAACATGCGGGTGACGTGGACTGGCGTGCCTGTTGGACAGGAAGAGGTGGTGCAGAGAAACTGGGAAGGCTACTATGTCCGCAGCATCAAGCAGACGTTCGGGTAAGTTTTACGTCCCGATAAAGGTTGTGTACGTCCAGTTGACACGGAAACAGCTTTGGCACCATTCTTTAGGTTGGCTCCTGGCAGGCTTTTTGTCAGCATTTGCACAAGCAAGGCGACTGGAGTGATCAACTGGCAAGCAATGCAATTCCAGGGTACTTGAGCTTCTAGAGGTCTTGGTGAGTTCTTGGGAATTGGCGAAGCCAAGAAGACGACGTGCCCACGCAAGGATAAGGACTGGACGATGGAACGATATCCATGAAGAAGTAAGAAATTTACACTTTTAAACACTTCCTCTCCGCTCTCTCGCTACCACGGTTCACAAACACCACAAGGTTCTCTGCAGCATATTGACCCTCGGAGCAAGGATCGTGGCTGCAGGGATTTGGCTTGTCGAATTCCAGCACCATTACAGCTTGTCTCGCGGTCATACGTCATTATCCTGCCAGCTTTTCGGCTCCCCATTAAATCGGCCTGCACCGCCACACCTCGACATCCGATTGCCTTGCTCTTGAGTTTAAATGTGATCGACTACTTCTCGCTTATCTACGTCTTCTATCTCGCCTATTCCGCTTCGTTGCCGCTGGGAATGGTGTGTGCTGACTTAACCTGACTAAAGCCGGCCTCAGCTGCCCCGAGTTTGATGAGCCTGACTCTCGTCCAGCCCTCGCGCCACAAAATCTCGCTAGTCTCCAGGTAGTTCAGACAGTTGGCAGTCGAGATGTCAGAGCGAAAAGCCTCTCAGCCGGCCGTCGAGGGCCAAAAGAACAAAGATGAGACGGACCTCAACACCATTCTGAACGAGAGCCAGCGCGCCGACCTGACTTTACTCGTTGCCAATGCGACCGAGTCAATGCGAAAATTAATCATCGACAACTTCGACGCAATGGCTGGTCTGGACAAGAAGCTTCTTCGGGCCGGAATGACCGAGGATGAAAAGCTAATGGCGGCGGACCCTGCGAACGCCGACGTTGGCGCCTATGACCGAGAGCGCAAACTCAAGGCGGACATGGAAAAGGACCTTACGACACTAAAAATGAAGAATCTGAAGAAGAACTCTCTCAAGGCCTTCGACGACTGGCGCGAACAGGTCATCTTACGGGTCGGACAAGTCGTGAACTCGGAAAGGACTGCTCAAGAGCAGATGCAGAAGGGTGCAAGGGCCGATAAAGCGAAGCCGCAAGCCCCGAATACCACCGGCAAGGTGATGGAAGCTGGCAACCGCACCATCAATCTCAAGTTCAAGGATTTGTTCCCGCCGACGAGGACTCCCTTGACCAAGATGGCCATGAGCGAGCGGACACTGATTCTCCATTCACTACTTTTGCTGCTCTTGTCGCTGGAACACTACAACGCATACTCTCGCGTCCTTTTGCTCAACCTAACTTCATCGTTGAAATTGCCACTGAAGACCTTCGAGCAAGATGAGTATGCTACAGCCAAAGGACTCCTCGAAGCGGCAAAGGAAATGTCGGCAGACGACGAGATAAAGAGAAAGGTCAAGGAGAACGAGGAGACGAGGAAAAGAAGGGTCCGGTATGCCACCGTCGCGGGAGCTGCCATTCTTGGTGTCACCGGCGGCATGGCCGCACCTCTTGTGGCTGCAGGTGTCGGTTCTGTAATGGGTGGATTGGGCTTGGGCGCAACATCTGCAGCCGCCTATCTTGGGTCTGTGGCTGGGAGCTCGGTTCTTGTTGGAAGTCTGTTCGGCGCGTATGGTGGCAGGATGACAGGCCAGATGATGGACTCGTATGCTCGTGAGGTTGAGGACTTTCAGTTCCTCCCGATCCACGGCAGCAGCGGCAAGAAGACGAGTGAAGACCAAGACCAAGGCGCCCAGGAAGCCAGCGAACACGACCACAAGCTTCGCGTCACGATTGGCATTTCTGGCTGGCTGACCGAGAAAGAAGAAGTTGTCAAGCCATGGCGGTCTCTTGGGACAGGCGCCGAGATTTTCGCCCTCAAATACGAGCTTGAAGCGTTGTTGAACTTGGGCAATGCCATGAACGGGATGGTGCAGTCGGCCGCATGGAGCTACGCTCAGAAGGAAATCATTGCACAGACCATTTTTGCCGATCTTGCAGCAGCGATGTGGCCAATGGCGCTGATGAAAGTGGCTAGGGTCGTCGACAATCCCTTCAGCGTCGCTAAAAGTCGAGCCGACAAAGCCGGCGAGGTCTTGGCCGACGCCCTGATCAACCGCGCCCAAGGGGAACGACCAGTCACACTAATCGGATATTCCCTAGGAGCCCGGGTCATCTACACCTGCCTGATGAGTCTGGCAAAACGTAAGGAATTCGGTCTCGTCGAAAATGCAGTCTTGATCGGCGCTCCGACACCAAGCGATACGAGCGACTGGAGAGTCCTTCGAAGTGCGGTGGCGGGTAGACTTGTCAACGTCTATTCGGTCAATGACTATGTCCTCGGGTTCATGTACCGCACGTCCGCAATTCAATATGGTGTTGCCGGCTTACAAAAGGTCGAAGGTTTGGCATCGGTGGAGAACTTCGACGTGTCCGAAGATGTGAGCAGCCATCAGCGCTACCGCTATCTCATTGGCGCGATCCTGAAGAAGATCGGGTTCGAGGATATCGATATGGCTGCCATCGAGCGTGAACAGGAAGAACTGGCGAAGATGGAGGAAGAAGAGAAGAAGCAATCTCTTGCGGCTCAAAGAAAGTGGCTTCTGAGACGCGAATCGAATGGCGGCAAGGTAGACGAGGCTGCCGAAGGAGAAGCCGAAGCTGACGAACTGGAAAAGAAGATCCAGGAGCAGACCAAGAAGAGCCTGGTGACGAGAGCGATCGAGTACTTCTACATGCCGAGCGGGCCGAGTGGAAAGGACGCTCAGAAGGTCGCCGGCAACCTCGCAAAGGCTGCTCGGGACCCTACCGAGGCTGGCGACGTGGCGGGTCAAACGGCCAAAGACGTTCAAACGTCAACGGAGAGCTATGCGACCTATATCTACAAACATTTACCTAGCATGCCATATGTTAACCGCACGACGGCGACTGACCCAGGGCAGAAATCCGTGCCGCTCGAATCGGCCAAGACGACCCAAGCGCAGCAAGCAACAGAGGGGGAAACGAGCCAAACGCAGCAGGCTACAGAGGGGCTAACGGGCCAAGCGCAGCAGGCTACAGAGGGGGTAACGAGCCAAGCGCAAAGCTACGCCCAGCAAGCCTCGCAGTACTTACCGTCCCTACCAAGCATGCCATTACTGTCGAGTCCCGGTAAAGGTAAAAAGGAAGCCAAATCGCGGCCGGTAGAATCAGCTACAAAAAAGCCTACGGAATCCGCGTCAAAAGGAGCAGATAGAGCCACCTCCGCCGCCAAAACCACGGCAGGGACCGTCTCTGACGTGGTCACACCGACTGTCGAGAATACTCTAAACCCGACCGAGAATCCCGCCGTCAAATCCACAAAACGCACAGCCAAACAGGCACCAATAATCCATCAAGCCAAAGATCGTACGCCTGCTCCAGTGAAGGAGAAGACAGAAGAAGTCTCCAACGCTACAGGCACGACTGTACAGAACGCGGCACAGACGGCACAGAATGCCACAAATACGGTGACGAACAACGCAGGCGAGTCCGGAAAAGTGGTAACCAGTGGTCCTCAGAATGCCGGCCAGACTGTCGCCGAGGGAGCCCAAACCACGGCCAAGACAGGCCAGGGCTATACCTCGCGAGCGGCATCCTATCTGCCCAGCATGTCGAGCTTGGGCTTTGGAGGCGGCGGCGGAACGAAGAAACCGAAACCGGAACCGAAACCTGAACTGAAACCTGGACCACCAAAACTGCAGAAACGACCCTCGGAAGCAAAGAAAGATGTCCCCGACGATGCAGCGAAGAGCGCGCCACCGAAACTCGAGAAAAAGCCCTCAGCGAAGCTCGATCGTCGCCCTTCCGGTATAGAGTCTCCTGCACCCAACCTGGAACGAGTTCCATCAGGACTAAAGTCCCCTCCTCCGAAACTCGACCGCCTCCCTTCTTCCGGCGTAAAGTCACCGCCGCCAAAACTCGATCGCGCCTCATCTGGTTCTGGGGCAAAATCCCCGCCACAAAAACCCGGTCGCGCAATGTCTGGTTCTGGGGTGAAATCCCCTCCTACATCTGTCCCGACACCAAACCTGGTAGAGCGAATAAGCAGCGCGAGCGAGAGTGGGATCAAATCGCCGCCGCCGCCGCCGCCAAAGTTAGGGCCCAGGAGGGCGTCAAGCCAGCAGCAGGCGCATACTCCCCAACCACCCACGCCGGCGGCGATTGGTGAGAGGTTAGCTAGTATACCGTCTGGGAGCACTGGAGGTGGAAGCGCCGCGAAGGAGGCCGGGAATGCTGGTGCCGCGGCCGCTGGCACGGCGAGTCAAGCGGTCGGCGCTGTATCGAGCGCGGGCAAGCGCGCGGGGAATAACATCACTGGTTCTGGATCTGGATCAGGGCCAGGAAAAGGGACAGGCACGGGGACGGGGAAAGGGACAGCAAGTGATGGCGCGTCCAAGCAAAGTGGTGGTCCCACATCGGCGCAACGACAAGGTGAAAGCTCGGCACCCTCGCTGCCTGGAGCTGGAGTCGGAGTCGGAGTCCCGAAAGGGGTCGCGAGCTCGGCGGCCAACGTGGCCGGCAGGGCTGGAGAGACGGGGATTAACGCGGCAAAGGCTGGAGGGGGATACCTCGCTGGCGTGGGCAAGTCCGTTGGATTGGGTCGATGAAGGCAGTGACGATATATATAATCGGAAAAGTCTGACATCGTGATTGTCATGTCTATGTGACGTGACTTTGGGTACTCTTGTGTGTATATAGACGATATATGCTACGAACAAGGCTGTGGCATACAGAGCTGCTATTACCGATTGGATATGCAATGCGATAGTGTGTTGTTGCTGTCACTGTCAGTGTTGGTGGGCCACAGGAAACAAGATTGAAAAAGGGATTCATAGTTCTGTCGAAACCTCCCGATCACTTTTGATGGTAGCCTGACTCGCTGTCATAGGCCACAACTATAATACAGTACCATACAATCACTACATGCATCCATCCCAGGTGCCAGGACCGAGGTGATATGCGTCTCTGCCCGCCTACCTTGACTCTCGGCCACGACGTTCGCCTTCGGGTAATGATAGTCAATCAGGCAGAGCTTCTCCTTTTCTGCCGTCCGCTACTCATCTCCGACGAGAATGTCCAGCTTGCCCCTGACAGACTTGACGCTGACGCTATTCCGGTCGCTGTCTCCCTGTCGGCCCACAAGACCTCCGACGACCTTTTCAACTGCAAGATCCTTGCCTGCAAGTTTGATGTCGCCCAAGACACCTCTCGCATCAATCGTGCCCTGGAAGTTGGACGGGTATGTGATCAATTGGTCGCCGTTGATGGATGTGTGCGATGATTCGAGCAGACGCTCGGCGGCGATAGAGTTGACGTACACACGTGAGTCTCCGGCCGCAATCTTCGTCGACAAGCTGGCGCGGGGGTCGGAGTGTTTGAAGTCAACGCCGATGTAGATACCGCCCGAGCCCACGTCCACGGTGGTGGAGTTGTAGACGGAGAACGTGCCTTTCAGGTGCCCGTTGCCGAGGTGGATTTTTGTGGCGCCCTGGTTGCCGGATGAGATGTCAGGAATGTCGAGGGTGACGTTGCCGTGAGCGACATCAATGTTGGTCTCGTAGGTAGCGTGGATAAGGGAGCCTTTCAGCGCGCCATTGCCAATAGAGATCGTCGTTGTGTTGGTGTGTACAGGCCCGGGTTTGACGAATCCTTGGCCGATGCGGACCTTGAACGTGTCGATCTCGAGGGACTCGGGAAGACCACTGAAGTCGACCATGTGACGAGGAACATCGACCTGGAACTCTGGCATTACGAACTTGCCAATGATGTTAGAGGGGATCTGGATCCTGGCGGAGGAGTAGGTCTCCATTTTGCCCGTGGTAGGTGTGTCCACGGTGAGGTAGCCATTCTTTTCCTCGACTGTGACTTGGCCATCCTTGTCCTTCTTGCTGGTCTTGATGTCCAAGTCGATGACGACTTTGTCCGATAGTTTGGAGGTCTCAAAAACGACTTTGCCAAAGGCTTGGGTTCCACGGACGGAGAAGCCAGACGCAACGGCGGGCTCGAATTCAAAGTGAGTAGTACCTTGAAAGGGCTTCCAGTCCCCAATTGGTGGAAATGGGTGCTGGTGACCACCGTCATCGAGAGGACGGTAGTCGGAAGACTTGTGCGCTCCCAGCCCGTGGCAGCCGCGGGGGAAGGCGTCGAAGCCGAGATGGAGGAGTCTCAGAACGAGCAGGACGCTGATGACGGCAAAGCCACCTTTGAACAAGCGGCAGGCCAGGCTGCTGCGTGTTGCTGGAGGCGTACGGGTAGACGTCGCTGGCGCCGGGAGCACCTCGACGACAGGCACCTTTTCGGCCAGATATCCATTGGTTGGGGTCGACATTCTGACTGTACGGTAGCTTGTGGATGTCCTGTGGTGGAGTTAGACTGGGAGGTAGAACGATGATGAGAGAGGAACCAAGGTAATTATCTTTTATTAGTAGGGAGGAAACTGGCATGCATTGGATGCTGCCTGCCAGGCACTACGAACGCGAGTTTTGTTTCACGATGAGGTCACGGTGACTCTTTGTCACTGGCGGAGTGAAAGTACCGGCGTTTGGCACTTGGCCTGAGTTGCCCACCTCCTGCTTGGTCCAACCTGTGGCGCCGTCGGCTCCACGTGAGGCGGGTGCCATGGGGCTTGTAACTCTGCATCACCTCCCGTTGGCTCAATGTATGCTCAAAAGCGGGACGGCGGAAACTCAAGTACTGTGTATGGGCAAATCGATTCCCATCTGCGGACTCCTAATACGGGTACCCCGCCACACTCGCCCGCTCCACGGAGACTTAATTATGCCGTCTACCGCTGTGTACTCCGTCAACAGGCGAAGTATGCAAAGACATGACTACTCACACAGATGCCACTGGCTGGGCAGCCCGACTCTTCCTACTCACGGCATTGTGCATCTTCAAACTCCCTTCATTCTCGTCTTCATTTCCTCTGCTAGACCAGCTATTTCGTTACTTGCTAGCTATAAAACTCGACTAGATGAGTTCCGTAGCACAAACTCTAAAAGACGTGAGAGATATGTAAGAGCAAACCCCAGTTAGAGGATGAATTGTGATAAGCCAAAACCGCCGACATAGGGCGGTCCGATCTCCGCACAGTACGTCTACAAGGTGTGATGCGCCGTCCCTTCCCTCCCTGCCTTGAGAATGGAAGGTTGCAACCTTGGATTGTGCATAAAGATGCTGCGGCAGATAACAGAGTCTCTCCTACTTTGTGGGAATACACGCTTTCAGATAGACGACCCGTGATGCAGCTCCCACAGAGGCTGGTGCTTTGCCAGCCAGAGAGGACGTGCTCTTCGTGGTGAGTTTGACGATCAGGAGAGGGTGGCTGGGAGGCTGCCGCTCATGGCGCCCATCTCCACCCCGCGGCCGCAAGCTTGGGTATAGACTCCATGGCGGAAAGCTTGTCACGCTAGCCCAGGCTTGAATGAGAATGTCTTGTGCAGACTGCAGGAGCGTGTGAAGACTTTGATCATCTGTGCTATAGTCCAGCTATGGTGAACGGCAGATGTTGGAGACTTGCGAGAATTAATATGTAGACCGTAATGGTGGTTCAGAACTGCTGTTGTTAATATTTGAAGACAGCACATAGCATCGCCGATCCGATGCATCATTATCCCAGGGTATGTTGTTCAATGATTCCATACTCCGCAGCTTCAGACCCATTGGAATCATCCCTCGTATATCCCAGAGTCGTTGCTCTCGTATATATCAACTACAACACGCCTGATCTCTGATGTGGAGGACTGGCTGCCGGGCTCCGTTCTGTCTCGATCTTTGTTCTCAGCATCTTGACATAGATGCTTTGACTGTTCGGACTCGCATTCAGAACATCGAAAAGGTAACGTAGCTCCTGGCTCTCAGACCAATTTGCGTTGGCAATAGTCAAGGCATCCATCAGCGTATATGCAACTTCAAAGAGCTTCTCGAATATCCCGAGGCCGTGAACGAGGATTGCACTGTGGCTAATATCCGCAATCATGGCATGCAGGCTCTTTGCGATGGTGATAGGATAGGTGGAGGAAAATATGGGATCAGGCGCACTGTAGCTGATTAGACCCTGACGCATAGAGGCCTGCCAAAAGATTAGACGCAACCATTGATGTGTGATAAGCACGTCTGCTTTTTGTATGTCCGTCATGTGGAAGTTCTCAAAGGACATCTCGTTTAGTGAGTGTTGAATCGCCGCTATGTTCTCATAAGGTTCGAACCCGGAAGACTCAGAGTCGAGTGATGTTGAGCTCCAGAGACGGACGAATTTCTCGTCCAGCACAGAGAATAAATTGACTAGAGCAGCAAAGCCAGCGAGGATGACTCCATCCTGGTCGTCGAAGTATTCCGTGGAGAGCGGGGGCAAGCGGCACATTTGGGCTGGTTTGTTGCGGAGAATGGCCAAGCCTCGTTCCGTAATAAACAAGAGCGCAAAAGTGCGCCGAGAGCAGATTGCTTGGACCTGGTCCATGCCAACATAGGTAGATTCAAGATGGAGACCCTGCTCAATAGACATAGAGATGGCCTCTCGCAGGTAGAAATGATGAGCCCGGGGTCTCTTGAGCTCAAAAAGCGCAACAGAGATATGGTAGCTAGCTTGTATCGACAAGAGGGTGGCTGTTTCGGCCCAGTCATACTGCCGACGTAAAAAGAGGCATAGTTCCACGAACTGCTTCCCTAGTTGCATCTTCTTGTCCAAGGAGAGGTCAGATTGCGGGGCTGCATGAAGAACTGTATTGGCACAGATCGACAGGATGAGAATCTTCTCTTCATTAGATAGTTCGTCATGTCGATTAAGTCGGAGAAGCAATGAACCTTCGTGGATCGTCGGACGTATCGGATAGAGATGTCGGAAGTATTGGCGAATGCATTGTGTCATCAAATATGCCGACAACTCGAACTCGGCAGCGAGGGCTTGTATCTGTGCCTGATACGGATTCTGGAAATCCCCAGAATCACTCCGATACAGGTATTTAGGTCCATATAGCGGGTTTGGCGAGCTGGCCGTGGTTGGAGATGGAGAAACGCCGCCGCTGGGAATACCGGTCAATAATGCGTCCAACGATGTGGGTTTGGTGAGTGGAGTGGAGGTCCTTGAAGGCGTCTGGATGATGGACCTAGCAGGGGGGTCCTGTGGAATTGAAGAATGCGGCTCTTGGAATATTTCATGCGCGAGATCACTTATTGACATGTATCCATTCGGCGACAAAGGCGCTTGGAACTGCAAAAGCTCGGAAGGCTGCATCTGCCACGAGGCGCGAAATTGGATCCCTGCTTGTGCAAATGCTGTATGCGAGGTAGGATCCAAACCGGTGCCATTTTGAATCACAGGAACAGAGCGTGGGACGTTCAAAGGATCTATCGTCGGTCCATATGTCTCGCCGAAGGGGGAAGTGGTTGGAGAGGTCAGTGGCGATTCCAATGGGACGTCGTTGGTCCCTGTCCGGGTCAAGGCAGGCATCTGCAGCTGCAAGGGAGATAGGTCGAATGGAGGTAGGGTCTGATCTTGCGGTGACGATGCCTGGCTCTCATCTCGCAGCTTTGCAATCACGGAGCCTGAACCCTTCTTTGGGCCCCTCTTCTTTCGCACAATGTCTCTTGTGCACCACAGCCCAGCCGCGACACATCGGTCGCAAGGCTCTTCTTTGCTGCACCTCACCTTGCGTTTCCTGCATGCATCGCATGGCAGCAGTGACTGGAGTGGTTCGGCTGCTGTTTGGGCTTCAGTGCCGGTCTCAGGCTGAGCTTCCCAACCGTCAGCCATTCATGAGATATCCGCGAGACCCGTCCTGACTCTCAAAAGACGAAAGCCGGGGAGCCAGGCCTGGAGATGTATGCTCAGGTCATGCGGCGTCGCCCAGACCGGCTCAGTGGTTCGAGAGACACGGGCCCAAAGCCATTAGCGACAGAGCATTCTGCGAAGGATCGGAGGGCAGGAAGTGTCTAGTCACCGCGACGGCATGAGGAGGCTTCAGGGTGCCGGAAGGGAAGAGCAGAGGATGACATCGTCCAGACAGGAACAAGCCATGTGCGTCGTGTGATGAGCTGAACGCGATGCTCCAGAATAGGCGTGCCAATACTAGGCTCAAGCCCCTCGAGCCCCTCGAGCCCCTCGTTCTGAGTGAAATGTTATTCGTTCTGCGTGGGGTTGCAGTCCCAACCGCGGGGCGCAGCCAGACGATGGGAGGCTGTTTGGCTGGAAAAGCTGGGGAAGGACTTCCTCCTAGGGCTTGGCCCGGCCTTGACCAAAAACAGCCTGGGGCCTTCCTTAGGTCTGGTTAGGCGAGCCCGACTTCTCCGTAATCACCAACCCGTTGGTTCCTGCATTTGATTTAGTGATCGGCCGTTCGACGAGGCAGTTAGAACGTCTGTCTTCTTGGAACAGGCTTCACTCAGCACATCTGGCCAGCTCCCCCTCTCCTCTCTCTATCGGCACTCCGAGCAATCGCGATGGCCTCTGCCGTGGTGATGGCCGCAAGCCCACCATTCAAGCTCGATGCCGGCACTGCTTTCTCTCTCGCCATTGCCTTTTCCCTGATGCCGTCGGCGCAGGTATTAGCAGCTTACGCTCTCCCCAAGTCCACGCCTAGGAAGCTGTACTTTCTCTTCTTGTGGCATGCATACGACTTTCTGACCCACTTTATCATCGAGGGCAGCTACCTTTACCACTGCTTCTTCTCCTACCAGCAGTTACCTGCCAGAACACCAGACATCTCGCACCCGGCGGCCTGGGGCGGGGAGCCACAAGCCTACTTGTACAATCGACCTGACCGACGCTACGGTGCCCTATACTCGCAAGCGCCAATGGCGAGGTTGTGGCAAGAATATGCAAAAGCCGATCGACGATGGGGTGGAGCAGACCTGACGGTCATCTCGCTGGAAATACTTACTGTCGGCTTGGCTGGACCTGCCGCGGTGTACATATGCTATCTGATAACAAAGGTCACCAATTCGGCAGACGAGGCTCTCAAAGGTCGATATCTACCGGCACTCTGGTTCACTGTCATTGCGCTGGCAACCGGAGAGTTGTATGGAGGGTTCATGACTTTTGCACCAGAATGGCTTAGCGGCAACACTGCACTTGCAGGAGATGATCCAGTCTACCTCTGGTTATACCTGGTGTTCTTCAATACGTTGTGGGTCTTCATACCCCTCTGGGTTCTGTACACGGCCTTTGTGGAGATCTCCTCCGCCTTCAAGGTTGCAACGACCATGAATGCCACGAAGAAGAGGACTTGATTTTTTGTGCTTGCAGAAATTGGCAATGGGACGTCCTCTCGCCACTCCCATTTACTCGGCGCGAAGTACTTCAGCCGAGCTTGTTCAGGATGTGAATCGCGCGAGAGCCGCACAGGTGTTATGCCTCGACTTACTGGTGCCGCACCCTTTGTGCTGATATGTGAGAGATAAAGCCTGAGCCCGAGAAACAACCGCATGTCTTATATCTGAACATCAGTCTCACTATCCACCGTGTCCGGCAGGCGGCCTTAACATCACCACAACAGGCGGAACTATCAAATCTTCGTCGGGTACGTCTACCTCAGTCGTAAGAAGAGCCTTCCACCCGTTTCGCTCGTACAGCTTATACCCAGCTGGCCGACAGAAGAGCCATGCGCCAATATTCTCCCGGTCGGCTGTCTCGATTCCCCAGTTGAGCAGTTTCTGCCCGATGCCTTGACGCTGATAAGAAGGGTCTACGATCAGGCGGTGGAGATCTGAGGACATGGATTTCATGGTCAGTTACGTCCGAGCTCAAGAATACGAAAGCGGACCAAGATACAGAGTGGGCCAGCCTGGACTTACACACATGCCTCTTCCCTCGCATAGTGCCGATATATGTGTTCATCAGTTTCCGTGCGAGTTCATCGTGTGGATTGGAGTAGAAGGGCTGTGTCTTTCGGGGGTTTTGGACTTTCGCACCAGCCACTGAACCTAGGTCCGTTGTATCCGCACCAGGTGTACCGTGCTCTTTTGCTTCAGCGCTAGCCACGCATGGTATACCTATATCAAGACTTGTATTCGTCTCTGGAGCTTTGCGTGTCGCGAAAGGATCCATTTTGGGGACTTCGACATAGCCACGCCGCCATTGCGCAAACCCTACGATGATCTCAGCGTCGTCCGCTCCAGACCGCTACGATGTCTGCTCTTTGCTCTGCCCCGACGCAATAACCGATGAAGCCGGCACGACGGCCTTGAGCAAACAATACTTCCCTCGATCGTCGCGCAGTGACTCGGTCAATTTCTGCAGTGTCTCTTCGTATACGTTCTGCGAACTGTACCGAGCCTTGAACTCATGGAATGGGTCCGGTTTCACGGCTCTGTCAGCCAAACGTGCGCAGAAGGGCAGGTCGGCCTCGGATGTGATCGGCTTGACTGCGACCTCGGAGCCGGGTAACAATGAGAGAGGCTCCATCTTCGGTCAACTCGGTAGCAGCGCCTGTCGACCTCGATAAGTTCTGTCTGAAGAAGCCGGTGGCTTTCTGGACGTCCACGTGGTTGCGGATTCAGCTTTGAACTATCCACCTCCTACCTGCTTGTGACGCTGCTCAGCGCCCGTTTCCAATCACCTGATCCTTCGTCTCAAGATAATTTGCGCAATGTCGACGCCTGTGTTAGAACATGAGTACCTACAATCCAACAGCGGGCGTGCCGTGGTTATGAGTCAGCGTCCAGAAAGCGAGGCGACGGAGAGCCAATGAAATGTTGAGAAACCGTCTCACTTCGAAATGAGATGGTAGAGGTGGTAGCGGTGGTGAATCTATGATAGCATATATCCAACTGGACCTACTCGAGTCGCTGAGAGTATAAGGCGGTTGTAGGGGACACGTCAGAGGTACAGCATCACATTCTCCGCCAATATGTTGTGTTCGATCAAGGAACCTGCTCACCTCTCACTTCCTTTGTATGTTTGACCAAGAGCCCAAACAGCCCGTGGGGCTATATGTATGCGTCCTCCTCTAGCTGGTCTGGATGAGGACAAGTCTTTCGTGCATACCTTTATGCATACATCCATTCACTGCATTCTACGGAGTACTTGTGGACTTAACACTTACGTCCCCGACGTGGCTTCTGAGCTATTACGCAGCCTTGCTCGGCCGGCAACAAGGAACATGTGCGCTATTTACAGCTCCAGTAGAGCAGAGTGGGACTTGAAGTTCTCGCTACTTCAGTCCCCGTTGAATCATTTCATATCCTCGCTTACTGTGTACACAGTAGGCGACACGTCAAACGCCATTGGTGGCAACAGACATGGTCAAGAACGAAATTCGGCATCGCAATCCCGGTCGCAATGCATCCTTTGCGGCTCGGAATCCACCAGAAGGGCGCTGCAGCTCGTATGGGATACGAGATCAGCAACGGCACAGTCACACGTGTGGACGATCCGGCGAGCGTTCGAAGGCTGCATCTCGAACCTAGTGTTGGACTAGGTGAATGCCCCTATGTGAAGACTGCCTTGATAGCTACGTAGTGGAAAATTTTTGCAGTATGGAGTCTAGAATCTTGGTCCTTCATTCACAGTACATCTTGTAGTCACATAATCTGAGTGACAGGGTCACTGCCTCGAGCGTAACTGCCTCGAGCGTTACCGCCTCGAGCACAGTGCCTCCCGCAGGATAAATATCTCTGTCCCCGTTCGTAGGCAATCAGACTTACCAATTGCTTGTTTCTATCATTTACCATAATGCAGTAAGTCTACACCTGCAAATCATGCCAGAACTGGAACTGAGATACCTCATATTGCGTTGCGCTGTGTACCTCGCACGCGAAGGAGTACCCAGTTAGCTTGTCTCAACCTGTGTCCAGCTCGAGATGGACCAAATACGCCGTACAACTGGTTTGGTCGCCAACATCAAACGACATCCGGATTGGAGCGCTTCGTCGCCGTTCACACTTGAGGTTGCATTGATCAACATACAGAAACCCCAGTGGATGGCAGTGCGGAGCATCCTTAAATGATCAACAGTCCGTTGCTGTCAGGCCACCATTGATGCCCTTACTGGAGCTGCCATGCCTTGTTAGCCGTGCCGAGCACTTGATGGAAGGTTTCCCAAGGACGCTCTCCACAACTTTTAACAAAGGAATGCGGTCAGTGGCGCTCACAGCGTGCTCGGCTTTTTCTCCTGGCGCCCTTTAGCCCCGGCAATCGCCAGCCTGGCAGCGAGACAGACATTGGGATTGGGCGAAAAGGCATCGATGGCGCCTGCAGGACAAGCTTCAAGTGGCTGACGCTTATTCGAGGCAAAGCCTCGAGCTCGGGACTCTCCATGCCTCGGACACCATGGAACCGTGCAATCTCCAGCTTCTCCTCCCATCTCTCCACAAGCGAAACATGTGACTGTTCGCCTGTCAGTTGGGTACAACCATGAGAAGCAGGGCAATGAACGCGCCATGTAACATTTCTCCGCAGATGGTCACAGGAACACCCTCGACACCATCTCGCTCATTGCCTGCAGCCGCAGGTCCTGGTCCAATCCATTGATATGGACGACGCTATTCCCCGCCTTGTCGGATTACAAGAGGCCCAACTGCCACCTGAGAGCTGTCCATCCTTCTTCTATCCCAGGTGACTCTCGAGACAGCTTCTTTGTGCCGCGACTGGCTTACCGAACCTCGTCGCCAACATGTACCAGATAGGGAACATCTACTTCATCACGGCCATTGCCGTCATTGGTGGTGGCCTGTTCGGTTTCGATATCTCCTCGATGTCTGCCATGTGAGTTGCACAGGAACAGTGTCAAGTGTATGCAAACTGACTAGATTACAGCATCGGCACGCAGCAGTACAAATGGTACTATTCCACCATAAGCAGGACCGGTTCGAAGCGTTGACTGACTGACTTTCAGCTATTTCAACCAAGGCCCGCATGGACCTCCGCAATGCTCTGGTCCCCGATCTGATGTCCAGGGTGGCATCACTGCGTCCATGCCTGGCGGTTCATTCGTCGGTGCTCTAGCATCAGGCTTCGTACGTGGCCGCGATGTTCACCATGACTGCTGATTAACATATCTGTAGTTGTCTGATATCTTTGGTCGCAAGAGAGCGATTCAAATTGGTGCCGTCATCTGGTGTATCGGCTCGATCATCGTGTGCGCTTCCCAGAACATTGGCATGCTTGTGGTTGGTCGTTTCATCAACGGATTCAGTGTCGGTATCTGCTCTGCTCAAGGTACTTGATGTCCAATCACTCCCTGGAGCCCACAATGCTAATCTTTGAGGCAGTCCCCGTCTATGTGTCCGAACTGGCACCTCCCAGCAAACGAGGACGAGTGGTCGGAGCCCAACAGTGGGCAATTACCTGGGGTATCCTGATCATGTTCTACATCAGCTACGGCTGCAGTTTCATCAATGGCGTAGCTGCCTTCCGTGTTCCGTGGGGCTTGCAAATGATTCCTGCCATCATCCTCTTCTTTGCCCTCTTCCTCCTTCCAGAGAGTCCCAGGTAAGCCACAGTCGCAGAAGCCGGGTGGAGTCACCGCTGATCTGGGTACAGATGGTTGGCACGCAAAGATCGCTGGGAAGAGTGCCACGGTGTTTTGGCTCTTGTTCACGCAAAGGGCGACCGCAATGCACCTTTTGTGCTGCTCGAGCTCAACGAGATCAAGGACATGTGCGAGTTCGAGCGCAGAAATGCCGACGTAACATACCTCGAGCTGTTCAAGCCCAAGATGCTCAATCGAACGCATATTGGTGTTTTCACCCAGATCTGGAGCCAGCTTACTGGTATGAACGTAATGATGTATTACATCACTTATGTCTTTGGTAGGCGGATCATCCTGGTCTCTTGGTCGCGTGCTGACCCCCGGCAACAGGCATGGCTGGTCTCTCTGGCAATACGAACCTGGTGGCCTCGTCGATTCAATATGTCATCAACGTCTTCATGACTATCTTCGCCCTCATGTTTATCGATCGTTGGGGACGTCGATGGCCACTGATGATTGGCTCCACCTTCATGGCTATTTGGATGTATGCCAATGCCGGACTGATGGCCTCTTATGGCTCTCCGGCCCCTCCTGGAGGAGTCGACCACGTCGAGGAAGAGTCCTGGCAGATTCACGGTGGCGCGGCCAAGGGTGTCATCGCTTGCACATATTTGTTCGTGGCGTCCTTTGCTCCATCGTGGGGTCCGGTATCGTGGATTTATCCGCCCGAATTGTATCCTCTGCGCGTCAGAGGCAAGGCAGTCGCTCTGACCACATCGGCCAACTGGATCTTCAACTTCGCCCTCTCATACTTCGTCCCTCCAGCATTTGTCAACATCAAGTGGAAGGTGTACATCATTTTTGGTGTGTTCTGCACGGCCATGACCATTCACGTATTCTTCTGCTTCCCTGAAACGGCCGGCAAGACTCTCGAAGAAGTTGAGGAGCTCTTCTTGAGCAATGTCAAGCCGTGGAACACTCGCGTCGAGTATAACAAAATCAAGAGAGAAGAGCATGGCGAGGTCGATGCTGAGAGGAAGCTGAGCTACGCTCTCCACCATGAGCGGCAGGAAAGTGACCATGCTGAGGTTGGTCACACGACTCAAACAGTCGAGAAAAATGAGGCGTCCTGAACAGGACGGCACTTCACTTGCGGAAGCAGAAGGTGTTCGACACTTGATTGCTGGTTTGATAGCGAAGACGTCTTGGACATGAGTTTGATGGCCAAGCAAGGGACAGGTCAGGAGAATGAGTGGCTCATGTCACACCCCCGGCAGCCATGCTAGCTAGATGGAAGATTGACCAGCTCTGGCATTTCTGTGACACTACGCGAAGGTCTCGCTAAGCATGATTTCGGACGGGAGTACTTGGCTAAGAGTGATATCCTCCTTACTCTCAAGGGTTTGGTCTTCAGTTTCAAGCCAGCAGCTGATTGCGACCCTGAACTCCTTTGCAGGTGAACGATCCTGGCAAGGCTTGAGCTGAGGACAACATCAGAGTTTCTGACGTGCATATGGAACCCCGATCAAGCTAGCCAAACGAGCTTCTCCAGATCCTATTGACTTGCGTCCCGAGGTAAAAATAGTAAAAATAGGCGTTGGTTGGGCATGCAGTTCGCCTTGACTCTGCTCAAAGTTGCCTCATCTCAACCTCACTGCGACGATGACTCCACAGTGTCAAGTGTCACTTTCCCTGTTTCCAGCTTGCCATGACTCTTTGGCGCATGTCGATATTTCTGCATAAGTGCTGTTCATGTACTGCCAGCTGAATCCTCAGGCAAAGACGGAAGATTGCGGGGTCGGATTCCAGAAGAATGGCCATTCGAGAACCATTGTGATACCATGATCGCGACTCCCCCATGGCTGCCACGACCGAAACGCCTGCGACGGGTCTCGTCAATCTAGAGAAGGAGCTCGTCTGCTTCATCTGTACCGAGATTCTTTACCAGCCTCGCACATTGCTCGATTGCCTACACACATTCTGTGGCTCCTGCCTGAAAGAATGGTTTTCCCACCAGCACCGAAAGGCTGCGCATACCCGTCCGCCGCCAGCGAACCCATATACCTGTCCGACCTGCCGTGCTTCCGTCAAGGATGTTCAGCGGAATGCGACGATCAACACATTCCTGGAGATGTTTCTCGCCGCAAACCCTGGCAAGGACAGGACTGCGGATGAAAAGGCGGAGATGGCGCAGGTGTACAAGCCTGGCGATGAGATTCTGCCAAAGGAAGAGGGCCATCACAGGAGGGAGAGAAAGAGACGCGAAGAGGAGGCACGCGCCATTGGTAGGGCCCCGACGGAGGGAGCCAGACGAGAGCAGCACTTGGATCCGGCCTCGGCCCATCGCAGACGGCACACTACCGAAAGCAGCAGAAGCCGTGAGAGAAGAGAGGCTCGGAATAGGCAAAGAAATGAGGAGCAGCAGACTTCAGAGTCAGATGGTGCTTCTCGACGCACGCGAACGTCTTCGAGTTCCGCCGACCTCGCCTTGCTGTCTCCCCCACCTAGTTCACCCCGCCATCCTGATGCTGTTGAAGCGCGACAGAGGGGAGCTCGGACAGTTGCCCATCAAGCGAGTCTGATATCCCTGGTCAGTGCTTCGGAGAATGGAACCGGCACTGGGGAAAGTTTGAATGAAGCACAGCTTATGCAAGAGATTCTGGACGCGGGCCTTCTAGATGGCATCAATGTTGACGAATTGACAGAACAAGAGCAAGATGAGCTCAGCGAGATCATCGCCCAGAGGTACAGGGAACTGCAAGCCGAACGCAGCAGAAGAGCAGAGGCTGGTGATGGTAACGGCAGTGCAGGCGCTCCCGCAAGACCTGCAGAGCCGCAGCCTGAGGAAGCCGAGCGTCGTTCTCGCCACTCTTCAAGGGGCAGCAATCGAGATGGTGCGCCTCCAAGTCCAAGGACGAGTCGCGGTATTGTCATTGGCGGTTCCGAAGGAAGGCCTCCAACATCGTTTGTTCAGTCGACAGCTGATCAGTCGTTGTCTCTACCTCAGCCCTCCGGACACCGGCGACGGACATCCAATGAGAGCAGGCGCAGTGATTCGTCTGTCGCCAGGGCAGACCGTGAGTCTGTCCCTCATCCTGCCGTCAGGTCTGCCACAGATCTCTCCAATAGGCCTCAATCGCATAGCAACGCCGCGAACCGCACACAGCAACAATCACACGCACACAGAGCGAATACAGAGCCAAGAACTCCACCAAGAGCTTCTGAGATATGGCAAGCCGCTGGTACCCGACAACCTTTGAGTCCTGCTCACGTCGACTCCCCTGGGCAACAGTCGCCAAGGATAGATTCTTCTCGACCGGTCATGTCCAGCGTAACCACCGGACCAGTACCTACCGTGATACCCACCTCAGACTCGCCAGAACTCACCGCATCAAGTGTTGCCACCGTCTCGAGTAGGTCTGAAGAACCTAACGTTGTGTGCGCGCGATGCTCCAGACAAAGCATCCAATATGAGGTCTACAAGCATTGTGACCCTTGTAAAGTGGATCTCTGTCTCCGTTGCTACAGATCTGGGCGCGGATGCAACCACTGGTTTGGGTTTGGGGATGCGGCCATGCGCAAATTCAATGCATCCCGTCCACCAAGCAGGCACAATCAACCTGTTGAGCTTCCGCATATAATGGTCGGACGACAGTATCTGAGGCCTCCGACACAAAGCAGGAGGCATGCCGCTTCAGATCCCGCATCTCGCCTACGAGAAGGCAATTTCTGTGACCGATGCTGGCGCTTCGCCAACGATTACTTCTGGACTTGCGACGTCTGCAACGAGGGCGAATGGGGATTTTGCAACGACTGTGTGAACACTAACCACTGCTGTACCCATCCTCTGCTGCCTGCCGCCCGTATATCAAACGATCCAAATGAGCTAGGCTTGCAGGTGGGCGGAGCAGCCCTGCGCCCCGGGAACGCCACCTTGAACACCTACAGTAGTGGAAGACGTGACCCGTCTCCGGCACAGAGCGTGGCCTCCAGCTGTACTTCGGTAACTGGACCTTACTCTGGCCTACGAGCTGATTTCCGACCATTGGTCATCACCACGAACTGCGACGTCTGCTCTCGGTCAATCTCGCCGGAGGAGACCCGATTCCACTGTCCAACGCATTCCACACCGTCACCAGACGACCCAAGTCTCAAAGGTGACTACGATATTTGTGGTAGTTGCTACGCTCACAATGTGAGGATAGGGCAGATAAATCGCGAAGATGGGCCCGACGGTTGGCGCCTTTGTTCGGAAGGTCATCGCATGGTCAGCGTTGTGTTCGACCGAGATGTCGAGGGCAATCAAAGAAGAGTGATCGTACGGGACATTGTCGGCGGTGCCAAAATGACGGACGACGACATGGCGGCTTGGAAGCTTACGATGAGCAACATCCACCGAATTGATCCCTCGACGCTGTCAGCTGCTCGGGGTGAGTGGAGCTGGCGAGACGACGAAGCTGGTACTCGGCGCACGACTCGAGCTCGGACGGCCACTCTGCCTCAGTCGGGCGTGAAGTTTCCTCCCGACGGCGGCTCAGGCAAAGTCTGTCAGGCCCGGTGGAGTTATTACCCTGTCGTCGACGATGGCAAAGGCACAGACGAGCTTGCATTTCCCAAGTACGCCGACGTCTGTGAAATTGAGGAGATCAATGATGAGTGGTGGCATGGAGTCTATGCTGGAGATGCTGGACTCTTCCCAGCTATCTTCGTGAGGGATCAAGCCTAGACTCCCTAAAGACACGAACACTATACGACGCGAACGCTACACGACACGGATCTAATTGGGACGAAATTCTCCATTGGCAAATTTGTGCTCGAGATACCCTGGTTCGGTATTATGTTTGGATGTCTTGACGGCAGGACCCGCGATTAAACGATACCGATGGTACCAGAACCAATATAACGGCCCACATCAGATAACCCTCCAGAAACCTTCTTCAGGGTATGCGAAACACTCAAGTAATGGAATACTGGCATGTGCGCTGGCATCTTGAACGCATATTCCTCATGCGGTTAGGAGTTTCGATGTCGAGCTTGGCGGTTCGTCACTAATCCGTCTTCTTTATATACTTTGTTCGTTTGTTTATTTTCCTGGGAGTGCCCGAACATATCTGCCGAGCTACTCTCAGGTGAGAATTTGAGAACTAGCCTCAGCAGAGTGGATGCCAATTATTTCGCCCCAATATTGCGTCGAAGTATTACCCTGGCATCGTTGCACGTTCCCCGAGAGCGAATACTCCCCTTTGAAAGCCCTTTAGCAGAGGGTCGGCCGTTGCTCTGACTGAGAGCAAAACAAGATGCATATCCAGCGGGTGAGCTTCTTCTCGCTCCCTTCTATCGCCGCCCGTTTCTGTCTGCATCGAACCAATCACCAGCTACCCCTGTCTATAGGTTGTCTAGCATGGCTAACTCGGTCGCCCTTTCCGTTGTCGATAGCTCTTCATATACCCCATCAAGTCTCTCCTGCCCGTCGAAGTGGACGAGGCGGAGATGACCCGGACAGGTCTGAAACATGATCGGTCCTTCATCCTGATCAAGGATATTGAGGCACACCCCAGCGAGCATCTCACCATCAAGACGCTGTCGAAGCTGTGCTTGTTCCAACCCTCCATCGACTCCCGCCCAACGTCAGGACCATCTCCAATACTGCGAGTCACGCATACACTCAGTGGCTCGGAGATCGAGTTCCCTTTGACGCCCGTCCCACAGGCTCTGCGAGACGCCAGAGAATTCACCATGGAGATCTTCGGCACAAGGGCAACGGGGCTTGATTTGGGTGACGACATTGCAGCTTGGTTCTCCAAACACCTGGAACAGAAAGCCAGGCTGCTTTATATCGGCGGAGGTGGCGATGACGGCGCTGGGACGAGGGAGATTGTCGCACCGCAGCTGATTCCGCGCAAGCCAAGACAACAGACAGGCATCCTATCATGGCTTAGAGCCACGGAGGGCGACCAAGACGAACTACACACGCACAAGATCCAATTCGCGGACGCGGCACCTCTGTTAATCACGACAGTCTCGTCGGAAGAGGATGCGAAGTCACGCATCCCTATCGACGCAGATGCAGGGGAAGGAGATGAGGCCAGTGACGACGACGTGATCACCCGCTTCCGCTCAAATATCCACATCGATAACGCTGGCCAACACATCAGTGACGACGAGAAGGAAATGCACTCGCAGTCAGCACCCTACGCAGAGGAGCAGTGGAAGACACTTCACATCATGGACATCGCATGCGAGGAGAATCCGACGGTGCCAATCAGACTCGACCTCGTCTTCAGTACCGTCCGATGCCAATCCCTCAATGTGGATTTCCGCACGGGCGGGCTCGTCACGCCGGAGAGACAGCTCTTCAAGCTCCTCGCTAAAGACCGGCGGGTGAATCCTAGTTTCCCTTACCGGCCGTGTTTCGGGCGGTATGCGTTTGCTGAACCGTTTAGTAGGAAGATTAGAGTTGGAGACCGTGTGGAGGTCGTGGAGTGGATTGAAAAGTGAGTGTGCGAGCGAATGAGTGAACGAGAGAGCGAGTGATAGTGTCAAGCTGGGCGGTATTAGCTTGCTGATTGCTGGTATTGTAAAGTGATGGGGGATGTTACAGGGTAGATGGTCTGGAGGGCTGAGGCGACAAGATATGATATGTCCTGTACGGACTCTCACGTCGACTGAGTCAACGGCGTCTCTACAAGATCGTCTTATACCAGCTCTTCCCTTCGTCTAGCGAGGTTATGGACATACTCCAGTATTCAGGAGCGCGCATGCTGTGTACGAGGGACACTGACCGGCGACATGTTAAGCAATTACTGGATAAGATGTACAGGAACGGAGGTGTGGACTTACATGAAGCGAAATGGCGGTTCTGGCAGCATCTTATTTTGATCCATGTGCACGTTTGGTACGTCTTCTTCTTCACACCGATACATATCAGCTTCCTTTTCTCTCTCTCTCGTCTGTTTGGAACAAAAGAACTCACGTCATCAGTTGGTCACAAGGCTGACGAAGCTGACAGTTGGAGTCAACTTCGGTAGGACTGTAACTCCTACCAGAGGGTTTACGAAAGGCTGGGTCGCAGTCGCGGACAACGTTGTCGCATGGACCATGAAGCTCCCTGTCGAGGTGACGGTGTGTTCGATGGTGTGGACGGTGGGAAGATTGAGGACCGTCGTGGTTGTGACCTCTATGGTGGTGAAACTGATCGATCGCTCACCTTGGGTTGTAATCTCCACTGGAATCACAGTGACAGTTTGGACCTCCGTTGTCGCGACTGGTTCCATGGTGGTGGCCGTCGAGGGTCCTGAGTAGGTCACAATGCTCACCGAGATCGAGGTTACCACTGACGTGACTGTCTCGGCGCTGGTTGCAGAGGACCCCACAATAGACGCGACCGTCTCAGTTGTGGTCGACATACCCGGCAAGATCGAAACCACCACGGCAGTCGAAGCTGCTGTAGCTGGAAATACCCATGAGGTCAAGGTCGGAGGTGCAGTCTGAAGCTGTGGCGGTGAGTGGGATCCCAACTGACCTGTAGCAACGAGCACACCGATGGGGACGAAGATGGCAACCAACAAGAGGACAATCCAGAGGAGGACGCCAGCAACCGATCCACAGCAAGCACGGCGATATAGCCTCTCCAGCTTCTCGTTGTGGGTTCGGTAGGGTAGAGCTGAGGTGTTGGTCTCCGGGTCAACCACGTACATGTTATGCATCTTGACGGGTTCTGCGGTGAGCTTACTTGAGGCTCTTGAGGTGTAGTCCGGCAGTGGTGTATCAGACATGGATGAACCTTGGAATTCGGTCGGAGTAGAACTCGAAAATTGTTGTTTGCGCAGCGGGTGCGCAGACAATGATACTTCGAGTTTCGCGTGGTTCGAGCGAAGCATGAGCCGAAACTTGGAAAGAAGTCAACCTTATGGTGGCGGAGATGAGTCCTCAAAGACGGCCCCACCGGCACAAAGGTCAAACAGAGCCTCACAATATCACAAAGGTCAACTTCACAAAGATTCAAAGGAAATAAAAGAAATGGCTGCCTTTAGTTCACTTCCTGGTAAGTGTCAGTTACAGTCCTTTGTACAGTTCCCCCAGCTCCGTGCTAAGGCCACAGCGTCATGATGAGGCAAAGACGGACATGCAGACGACTCCAACACAGGAGCGAACATCACTCGCGCCGGCGATGGTGTAAACACATTAAAGATAGGAAGGTAATAACAGGGCGCGGAGAATGAGAGCACTCGCTTTTCCGCATCGAATGCTCTTTTCAGTCCTCCGTACAGCGGCTGATTACGTGATGGTCCACCGTAGCTTCCAAAAGGGTTAGTGCAGCGATCGGTCCTCAAAGCCAAGCGCCGATTGGGGCTTGGAGGGGCTCCGTGCGCGACAGCTGGATTTGGAGCAAAAGAAAGAAAGGGCTCGAGCTGCGGGCAGCGGCTGCGGTCAGCTCAGAGAAAGCCCGAAAGGACAAGATGGCACTGTAATTGCTTCAGCTTGGTTTGAGCCGACCCTACAAGATCCTCGGGGAATTCAAGACCTGACCTGTCCATCATTACCTCGAGTATCTTTACCCTCTAGTCTAACTGCCCGAATCATGGCAGGCCGCTTTGTGCGCTCCTCCAAATACCGGCACGTGTTTGGTCGTCCGACTCGCAAGGTGCGCCTCTGCTTGGTTCCAGGCGGGACGAGCTACAGCTAAAATGTGGAAAGGAACAATGCTATGACAATCTGCGAGTGTCAAAGAATGCCTGGGACACAAATTTGGTCAAAGTGCGCTTCAGGTCCGGCTTGTGAAACCCTCCCTTGCTAACGACCTCAGGCCAATCCAGAATACCTCGCACTCAACTGGGACAGTAGCGGTGGTGGTGCCTTTGCTGTCATTCCCACAAGCGAGAAGGGGCGCCTTCCAGAACGAATACCGCTCTTCCGAGGACATACAGCAGTGGTCTTGGACACAGATTGGTGAGTGCTAGAAGGATACATGCAGCAAGAGTGTTTGGACTGAGAGAGTGAAGGAATCCTTTCAATGACTCCTTGATTGCCTCTGGTTCCGACGATGGGAAGGTATGGTTCCTAAATCATGTGTTTTGGACTGGAATTGACCTAGGCAGGTCTTCCTCTGGAGGGTCCCAGATGACTTCACGCTACATATAGACCTGCCTGCAGACGAGATCCAGGACATTGCCCCAGTCGGAAAGCTCAGCGGTCATCCCAAGTACGCTATCAAAGCTCCACGTCAAACGAAATATACTGACCGCAACCAGAAAAGTAGGGCATGTGCTCTTTAACCCTGCAGCCGAAAACGTGCTCGCTTCAGCTGCTGGAGACTTTACCGTGAAGATATGGGATATCGAATCTGGTGCTTCTAAGCTCTCCCTGAAGGTCGGCGAGGTCATCCAGTCTTTGTCGTGGAGCGCAAATGGTTCCCTCTTGGTCACCACTTCTCGAGACAAGAAGCTGCGGATATGGGACACCCGGCAGGAGAAGCCAGTCCACGAAGGGGCGGGCCATGCCGGAGCGAAGAACAGCAGAGCCGTATGGATGGGTGAACATGATCGCATCGCCACTACCGGCTTCTCCAGGATGAGCGACCGTCAGCTGGCGTTGTGGGATATCCGAAACGCCCAAGAACCCGTTGATGGCTTCCAGATGCTAGACTCGATATCTGGAGTCTGCATGCCATTCTGGGACGAAGGCACGCAATGTCTGTTCCTCGCTGGTAGAGGTGACGGCAACATCCGATACTACGAATACGAGCACGACAGATTCGAATACCTCTCGGAGTACAAGTCAGCTGACCCACAACGCGGAGTCGCTTTCGTGCCCAAGAGAGGCGTCAACCTTCACGAGAACGAAGTTGCGCGAGCATACAAGACTGTGAATGACAGCTATATCGAACCCATTTCCTTCATTGTACCCAGACGAGCAGAAACATTCCAGGAGGACATCTACCCACCCACGACTGGTTTGAAACCTGCTGTAAGCAGCAAAGAATGGTTTGATGGTGCTGACGGATTGCCACCAAAGATCTCCATGGAGAGCTTGTACGAGGGGACCGGTGTGAAAGAAATTCCTGCGGAGGAGGCCAAGCCAGTCAAGAAGGCTCCCGAAGCGATCAAGGCTGTCGAACCGAAGAAAGCAGTTGCCGAGCCGGCTCCGGAACCAACACCAGCAGCCATTCGATCTCCTCCCCCTTCAATGAAAGAGCAAGGTGCTACCATGGCGTCTGCTGCCGACAAGTTCAAAGACACTGAACCCACAGAGGAGGCGGACGAAGAATCAGATTTTGAGGAGGTAGAGAAGCCTGTCGAGCGAACCAGTGCGACTAAGCCAGCAGCTCTTGCGGAGAAAGCTGAGTCCTCAGCGCCACCTGCAAACAAAGACTCTACTGAAGCCGCTCCGAACCACAAGGTAAAGTGCTACAGCGTCTTCTTCGATACACCTGCTGACATCATTTAGATGACTGAAAAGGAACTACCCGAGGAGCAAAGCGCTGAAAACGGCGAAGCTTCCAACATGCCAACATCACCCTCGACATCAAACCCCACAGAACAAGAGATCAAGAACCTGAAGGCCATTCTGGCACAGCAGTCACGGCAGATCAGCACTTTAACCAAGACGGTGGAACAACTCGTTTCAGAGGTGAAAGCCTTGAAAGCGTCATAGAAGACACGGCGCCGCCCCTGGATACATTGCATTCTTCCTCGATGTTAGCGACATGGATAAGTGGTCAAAAGCATAGCGCCTGCCTGTTTCTCCCAATATTGTTGTTTTGTTGCGTCCCTCGAGGCCTCGCCGCCTCAACTGACAACTTCAGGAGCCAATGGCCTCGTCATCGTACCCAGATCCCGGCGCGTGATCTGGGCAGTTAACAAAACACGCGTTCATGGACAGCTTTCTTCTTAGACAATGTGACCTTTTACCGCAGGGTCCAGAAGGACGTCCGTGCCGAGCCTCTACTCAATACCACATGTGCATTTATTTGATGTTAGGTACCTCATTCGCTGATGGCACATCAAGGTGAGGAGAAGAAACTGAGACGAACCACATTTGCTGATTCGTGCATGGATTGCGTGATCAATATCGGAGATGATCGTCATGTGCAACCCATCTACTGTTCGCATAAGATCCTATATCTTATCATTGCTGATGTCCATGTCTGAGACAAGTACCTGTTTTGAAAGTCTTTTCATTGCGAGCTTGCCAGATCATTCCACGCGAAGTTCAATATGGGTTCACTCGGCGAGACGTACTCCAACAGCCATTCGAATGGTGATGACCATGGATACCCCAGGAAACCACTCCAGCAGAGTGGACTGCTCAACGAGAAGTTCGAATCAGACGATTTAACACCAGTCATTGGACGGGAGTTTCCGAAAGTCAACATCGTGGACGACCTGCTCAACTCCCCCGATGCGGACACATTGTTGAGAGACCTCGCCATCACCAGTAAGTGCTCCCCTTGCAATCATTAATGTGCTGCATTTGGCACCTCCGCTCACACCCCGCAGTCTCCGAGCGCGGCGTTGTCTTTTTCCGCGCGCAAATGAATCTTACCGACGCCCTGCAAAAGGTGTTCATTCAACGCATGGGCGAGTTGACCAACAAACCCGCTACCTCAACGCTGCACGTCCACCCCGTGTTGAACGGCACCAGCGAGTTCGGGCACGACAACGAAATCAGCACCATCAGCTCCGTGACACGCAAGAAGCTGTTCGGTGCCTATGGCGAGGTCAAGAATCCCCGGAGGTACGACGCCGCGCAGTGGCATTCAGACATCCAATTTGAGAAGTGTCCAGCCGATTATACCAGTTTGAGGTTGACGCAATTGCCGAAGAACGGCGGAGACACGCTCTGGGCCTCTGGTTACGAGGTCTACGATCGGTTCAGTCCAACGTACCAAAAATTTCTGGAAGGGTTGACTGCGACTTTCATCGGGGACGGGTTCATCAGGGCCGCTGAGGCAGGCCGAACGACGCTGTACGATCAGCCCAGAGGATCCCCCCAGAATGCGGGTAAGGCGTTGACGGCGGTGCACCCCGTTGTCAGAACCAATCCGGTCACCGGGTGGAAGAGTGTCTTTGCCATCGGGTCGTTCCCCAAAGTGATTAACGAATTGAACGCCGAAGAGAGTGATGAGCTACTCGCCAAGTTCAAGCGGATGGTGGCTGAAAACCACGATCTGCAAGTGCGCTTCAAGTGGAGGAACGAGCACGATATCGGTGGGTCTGAACGCGTTTCTCGCATCTTACAATCCCACACACAGAGAGAGAGGATATGACGCTAACTATACCATTGGCGGGATAGCTATCTGGGATAATCGGAGTGCGTTCCATTGTGCCACGTTCGACTATGATGGGCTGGGCGAGAGGTTTGGGAACCGGGCCGTGGGTATTGGGGAGGCGCCATACTTTGATCCAAACAGCCAGTCAAGGACGGAGGCTCTGGCTACAGGGTTGTAGGAGAGAAAGCACGGGTTTGAGATTGAGGAGCAAGCACTGTATAGCTCGTACTCCGTACACCTCGAGACCTCATACGGCTGAATTTTACACCGGTTCCGAGAAGGGCCAACTTGCGCCTGTGCTCGACAGTAGATGTGCTAACGCGTTCTAGACTAGCTCTCCTCACTATCTTGCATCTCTCCTAAATCAAATCCAGCTTCACGTCATCAGACGCGAGGCAAATTCTCATTTTGGAGTCACAGCCAGAGCATCCGTCTCATGCCGCTATCAGTGGTTGACGTCGAATTCTCGCTATGTCACTGGTTCATCGTGGTCTCCCGAGATAACAATGCGTAACAACGCCTCGGAACCGAGCAGCAGTGCCTGCTTCTGGCTGAGTGCACGTTGCGACGATTAGCGACGGCATGGCGGCTTGACTGATTCAAATGCAAGCCTTGTGATAAGCTCTCCCAAGCTTCATCCCCCCCCAGCATGGCTCCATCATCAGTGGGCCTCCTTCCGACTAGGTGCCGAGCCCCGTCGTGCGTTCATATTTGATCGACTTTTCCCTGGGTTGGCTCTTCGTTCACCTCGTCGACATTCCGGGGTTGGTTTTCGTCTTGCCTGGAGCACGCACCTGCTCCGCAATCTCCAGTGCCTTCAGTCCATATTGCACCTGACAGCCTGCCTGGTTCGTTCAACATGGCAATTACAGCCTCTGCCCCGCAAGGCATGGCCGACACCAGAGAGAAAAAGAAAACCATGCCAGCCAATGCCGACCTCGAAGCCACTACAGACAGAAACGATCCCCTGGCTCTCCTCTCCATGATCCAGACCAGCTCGGAAGCTCACCCGATCAGGTGGCCGCTCCGGAAGAAATGGTCCATCGTCTTTGTCTACTGTCTTCTGCAGGTGTTTGTCACCCTGACGTCGACAACTTATGTGTCGGTTGAATTCTTGATCATGGAGAAATGGACAAGCTCTGCGCAGGTCGCGACCCTCGGACAGAGCATGTTCATCATCGGCACTGCTGTTGGTCCCGCATTCTTAGGCCCACTGTCGGATATCAATGGGAGGAAGTGGGTGTACGTCTTTTCAATCGCAATGTATGCCATCCTCAACATCGGCACTGCGTTGGCATACAACTACCCCATGTTGGTCATCTTCTGCTTTCTGATCGGCTGCGCCGGCTCTGTCGCCCTGTGCAATGTGGCTGGGACAATTGCCGACCTATTCGGCGATACTGATGGAGCGGCGCAGCCCATGGCTCTGTTCGTGGCTTCTGCGAACTTTGGCCCGAGCTTGGGCAGCCCGATAGGAGAGTGGATCGGCATCAATCCGAACCTCGGATGGCGCTGGATCTTCTACATCAACATCATCATTGGTGGCGCGTTCGCGTTCGGCCTGTGCTTCATGCCCGAGACGCTTCCCAGGATCGTCATTGCGAGAGCTGTCAAAAGACGGGGTAGCGTCGACCAGAACGAACTAGACATTGCCATGGGTTCAAGCAAGCTGTCTGTCCTGCGGGAAATCAGGTTCGTGGCAACCATGGCTCTGAGAATCATGATAACGGAACCGATTATCCTCTCACTCGCGCTGTACAACGGCTTTGCCTATGGATTACTCTTCCTGTACCTCGATGGCGTCTTTGGCGTGTTCGTCGTCAACAACGGTCTCAGCTACGTTGGTGCGTCGTTGACGTACCTCAACTTCTGTGTCGGTTAGTCGTGGTCGTGCCAAGCTCAAAGGGCCAATCTTGAAGGCGCTAACGAGGGAACCAGGTGTCACCGTGACCTTTTGCTTTGTGCCGGTCCAGACATATCTCTTCCGACGCCATCGGCTAAAGCATGGCCACATGCCTGAAGCACGGTTCCTCACCTCCTTGGTAGGGGTGTGGCTGTTCCCTGTGAGCCTCTTCTGGTTCGCGTGGACATGCGACGGTGAGTACGGAGTATCTGCGGGACGACGATGACTCTATAGACTTTTTGCTGACGCATTCGATGCAGGCGATACTTCGTTCTGGTCACCCGTTGTCGCGGGCGCGGTCCTGGGCTTTTGCGATCCGCTCCTGTGGCTCGCCATGCTCAACTACATCACCGACTCGTATCCGAACGTGGCGGCCAGTGCCATCGCAGCCTTCTTGATCCCCAGTTTTCTCATCGCGGCAGGGTGCGCGCACGCTGGGGTCTCCATGTTTGCAAACATGGACGTCAGGTGGGCGTTTTCGACGTTGGGGTTCATCTCGATTGGCTTGGTCGTGCTCGTCTATGTGCTCTTCTTCTGGGGCCCGGTCCTGAGGAGATGGAGTCCGCTTGCGAAGACGTTCTAGAACTTGGCAACAAGAAGTGGTAGAGACAGGGCCTCGAGCAGCAGTACTTGGGTGAGCGCAACAGTTATATTCCGTCACGTGCTGGCAATTAGACTAGAGTACCTGTGCTTACCCTGTCGGGTACATATCTAGACTATCGCGGCGCGTCAGCAGAGCTGACTGAGTCAACCGTTGGCGTTGTGATTACGATATGAATTCCAAAACAGAGAGGTTTGCGAAAGAGTGCCTCGCCGTCATGGTTTCTGGCGAGATGCACACGCGCGCAATCAAGCCAATCAGAGCACAGCATCTCCGGTGAAGTGTCATATGGCGAGGCTGACAGCCAAGGCTGTGGCAGCGAACCGTGACATAGTAGACCTCTCGTGTACTCTGTACTGTGCAGTGGTTGCGATACTACCGAGTATTCGCACGACAGCGAATTACATCCTAGGCACGACGTAGGCACCAAGCTGCAGTAGCTACAGCAGCAGCTTCAGTACAAACGGCAGCGTGGGCACCGGTTGGAAGGGGCATGAGCACGACTACGGCCACAACCATGGCCGTGACCGTGGCAATCAGACCATCCCTCACCCCTCCATGAACACGGGTAGAGGAATGGGCATGATCACGACCACGACCACGGCCACAAGCGCGACGATCAAACCATCCTCATCCCTTTCGCGGTGGACAGGGCAAGATTCTCGTTTCAAAGTGCGTACATACTGTAGCTGAGCAGAGAAAGTAAGCGTACCGTGCCCTATAGTCTACTCTCTTCTCTATATACATCAGTAGCGTCGTATCTTCATTACACCATCACCATTACACCATACATTGATGGTACAAAGAAAGACTAGCTAGGTGGCAAGTAGTACTCTGTACCCTGTACCACTAAGCACAATGGCCACGCTATGCTAGGCCCCAGTCACTTTTGTCCTCAAACGCCCGCTCAAAAGCACCGACCGAGTTGAACGTGAAAGGTTCATACGAGGGGAGTTACGCCTCTCATTGCGCATAAGCAGGCGGAGGAGGATTCGCGTCTTCTTCTCTTGGAGAAGCCAGGCCAAAGCTCCCTTTCAGCCGTTCCTCCTCGTACCGCCGGGCCATTTCGTTTGCCATTTTCATCATCCACGCTTGCTCCGCGATAGAGGTGGCGTTGGTGGAGCTCGTGACGTACTGCATGAAATTCGGAAACCCTGGACGAGACGGCCCTGCTCGAGCTGGGACGGCTGTCTTTTCGCCTGCAGCTGTTGTTGTGTCACTGGCAACAGGTGCGGCTGGCGCCTTTTGACCCGCCAAGTACATCGATGCTCGAGGCGTCTCGTCATCGTCGGAAGTGGCGGGTATGGTTCTCCGCGAACGTAGGCGAATGGTCGCGTTGGCGTCCTTAGCCCGCGGTGTTTGGTGGACGTCCATAGGGGGCTCGTCACGGTCGACGGAAATGCTCGGCCCGGGAGCACCATCAGTAAGACTCTGTCTGACGGCCGCTAACGCTGCACTTCGCTGGATCGACGTGGGACTCCTCGGTGGCGTGACAGGATTAAGACCTTGGCTGGCATCCGAGGACATGGTAGCCGCGGGCGCTGAGAATACAGACGCCGCGGTGGAGGTGCTTTCGGAAACACTCGCCGAGTCCGCTGTGGAACCATCATCGACCACCATTTCCGGTTCTCCTGTCTCTGGATGCGGGCGTAAATCAACAACGCGCTTCTTTCTCTTCCGTGTTCGGTGGCCCTGTCTGCCACTATTCATGCTCAAGCCATGACTTGAAGAAACATGGCTGTGCAAAGTCGGTCTGGCAGAACCGCTGTCGAAGGTATAGCCAGTAGTGGTGCTGAGACTGCCTGCGTACGAGTGAGTCCTGGACAGGGCGGGGGTTGTTGTCCGGGTCAAAAGACCTGGCATCTCTCCCCGTTCCAGCGGCCCTGTCCAGGCTCGAAAGACAGCGTCGCGAATCGACGGCGTGAAAAGCGACAAAGTCCTATGCGAGTCGGTCAGAGTGGCCAGGCGGATGAGATTCTTGCGCGAGAACAGCGACTGGGTTTCAATTGACGAGTCGAGCGATAAGGAAGCAACCTCTGCAGGAGTCAGGACTGCTCCGGTAGAGTCGACGGGATCTTGTGGGGGGCTGGCTAGTGGATCAATGACGACTTCGTCCTTCGATACCGGGACTGCCGAGAGTTTGCGTTCTTCGCTCGCGTTGCGCTCTGGAACGAGTAGTTGTAGTGAGAGCCGATGGATGATCGCTGGCAGCTCGTCCATCAACAACCCTCTCAACTGTGTTTCGATCTCTTTTTGCAGGAAATTCGCCACGAATGGTATCGAGTCGAAAGTCGAGGACACGCGCAGTGACTCGAGCGGATCATTTCGAAAGACCAGTGTCAACCCCTTCTGCCGTGAGAAGACCAAAATGATAAATCCGGACAAGCGGAACTCGGATAACGTGATCTGGAGCGGTATAGTCAACCCTGTATCCGCAGCCAGCGGTTGTGGTGTCGCAAATGCAGACCGCGTCCGTAGATAGGTATTCAACGGATTGGCCTGAACTTTTGTCTTCAACGTCAGATATGCGTTCCCCTTGTACATCATCTTGAAAGTGCCGCGGAACCGATCCTCTGCCAAATCCCCAATCTCCAATATTTCCAACTCGGGAGGCACATTGCCAAGGTTGAGCTCATTGACAATGATGTCGTCGACAATGATGGCAGGTTTGGGGTCGGCGCGATTGAGGGCATTGGTGAGAAGTTCTTGGGCCCGGGGGAGGAAGCCTGCATCAGTCGAGAGCGGCGACCAGTTGAAGTTGAAGGCCATTGTGAAAGTCCGTTAGAACGTAGAGATCCTATTTGAGCGGACGTAATGAAGACCCTCAGTTGCGATTGTCCATCTTCTGTTTGTATGGTACGATGGGAATCGGTTGCCGGCCTGGTCACTCAGACGGCGCACATGCCTGGGGATGCGGCGGAGTTGGGGAGATTGACTGATAGGGTCGTATGACGCGCCTCTCACCCATCCGTCGGCAGTTCACAGCTGCAATGCTTTCACTAGGAAATCGTGGTGTGGGAAAGTATCGGCTCGTATGGTAGTAATACCGGTGTAGCAGTTAGGACACGACGGGAGCAGCGTGTATTTGTTGTTGTTATTGTGCTTCGGACAGGCATCAGTGTTGGAGAAGCGAGATTGACAATGTGAAGAATTCTTGCTTTCACGGCGAATAGCCGATCGCCCGAGCATCGGAAATTCAAGGAATCATGGAGCAAACCCCGGCACACATGCCTTCTTCGGCGCATATGCATCTCGACATCATCGTACATAATGTGGTTCGTCGTAGGTTCATCGAAGCTTCAGGGGCATCTGACTCTTGATTCTATCCCGTAGAAAACTGCAACTTTGCACAAAACATGACTTTGGAGCCTCAACCATGAAAATGCTGCTGGCCGGTCATTCAAACGCTGGAACCGTGCGCCCAGGCATCACGTGAAGAAAGCTTGGCGTCCCAATCACGAGCGCGAGGCTGTTCCCAATACCTGGTTCAGCCCAGGCAGCTCAGTGAATCTTCACTGTCCCCAGCAAAAGAGAAAAAAGAAGAAAAAAACAGATGGACCTCGGCAACCGAAAATCGAATGTTCATAATTTGAAGGGCAGAAATATGTTCCTAAATCACCAAGACCCCTATCTGGGCGAGGTCAGAGCAAATCACTTCGGCGACGGTCCAAAATCGACAAAAGTGATTAAGCGCCTCCCCAGATAGGCGAGAGAAGTAATAGTCTCGACAGGATCCGGTCAAACTGGCTTCGGGCCAGTAGGCGTTCATGTCGCGTTTCTCTTCTCACCGTCCCACCTCATCGATCGACTTGGCCGGAGGTTCGAATCCCGCCACGACTACTGTTTCACTTGGCAAAGTTCAAATCGACTCCCCTGGGAGTGAGATATGGAGTAGACCAGCTTGGCCAGTTGGGTATAGCCATATCTAGAAAGCGGCTTCGTTTTCTTTTTCCTTTTTTACAGGACTACACGCGTGGTACAGTTTACTTTTATAAATATTCTTTAAGATACGGCCGCCGGAGGAGTACTCTTATAGCTGCACTCCCTAGATAGCTTAAGGTTCATGCACATCGGAAAGAACTTTACATTATTCATTCAATGAGTGCAGATCTACTACACACCATCAACTTGCATTATGGCCTGGTACCACGGCTCGGAATTAGAGATTGGTCGCTCTGTCACTATGCTGTATATGCACCTGTCTTGTTCTTTCCTCAGTTGAAAGTTCTGCTGCCGGTATACCCGACTTGGGGCGGGCCGGCACGCGTCTAGACAACCGCGCGGTGCTCGACAGAACTTTCATTCTTCTCCATGCCCGACACGATAGCAGTCTTGTCGAAATCGACGTGACCAACCTCAGCGTTCTCACCGTCAAAGATCTTGGCGATCTCCTCAAGTGTAGGTCCCTTGGTCTCAACATACAGGAAGTAGACGAAAACGAGCTCGAAGCCAATCCAGCACTGTCAAAATGTTGTCAGTAGACGGTTCTGCCACTCGAGGAAGGGGAAACAAGACTCACAGTATAGATGGTGTACAGCTTCCAGTTGGGCTGCAGATGCTTGAAACCCAAGGGATTCACGTACTGGTTGATGACCAGCGCGACCTGGACCCAGAAGTTCATAATCATCAACCCCTTGGCGCGGATCTTGAATGGCATGATTTCCACGGTGTAGGCGACCAGCAATCCCGACCAGGCCAAGGCGTACGAGAAGTTGAAGATCCAGATGAATGCAATGACTGCTTGGCCGGCAGCCTTGTTGCCGGTATCTTGGTAGATGGCCGAGCAGATGGTCCAGATGATGAAGCAGAGAAGCATGCCCAGTGTTGCGGCGAGGAAAAGTGGTCGTCGACCAACCCGATCGCAGAGTAAGGCGCACGTGCATGATACGATCAGCGACATGATAACCATGCCGCCATTGAGCTCGAGTTGGGTGTTCGCGTTGGTGATTCCAATGGACTTGTAGATGTCGGTAGAGTAGTACGAGATCAGGCCGTTTCCAGACCATTGCGAGAAGAGACCCAGGGAGGCGACCAGGAGGAATCGGTATCGGTTGCCCTTGGTCTTGAGGAAGTCCAAATAGCTTGACGTCCTCTTCGCGATAAACTCCAAACGGAGGGTCTCTTTGATCTCGGCGTATTCGAATTGGACGGTGGGATGGGCGCTGTTGCCGTTGGCATGATACTTGGAAAGTACCGCAAGAGCCTCATCGCCTCGATCTCTCGAGATCAACCATCTGGGGGATTCGGGGATCCACCAGATGAAGATGATCTGGATGACTGAGGGTGCACCTTGGATAATGGTGGGGATTCGCCATGACCATTCAGAGCCGATTTGCTTTGTTCCGAATGACAGCCACGTGTTGATGATGGCACCCAAGTTCCAGAGACAGTTGTAGATGGCGGTGATACGACCTCTGTGTTGGGGGTGCACGAGTTCGGTCAACAGCAGAGGAGAGGACAGCTGAGCCATGCTGTTGCCGAAACCCATCAGGAATCGTCCGCCTTTGAACATTGCAAGGTTCTGTGAAGCACCCTGGATGGCCGCGGCGATGATCATGATGATGCAGCCCGCAATGATAGCAATCTTGCGGCCGAAGCGGTCAGCGACAAAGGGTCTGGCGCTTCCGTTAGTAGTGGATATACACAACGCTTGGGCTCTTGGACTTACACGACTGGCAAGCTTGCAATGGATCCAATACTGTAAAGCGCAGTCAAGAGGCCCAGGTTGGAGCCTTGAGGGTCGTTGAAGTATTCTGTCCATTGAGGCAGGATACGGATGTTGTTCAACATAGATCTGCGCACCATCAGCCCCCGAACCCCGATTGATGGTTCCCAGGAGACTCACCCATCGTAACCAGTGGTCGCGGAGGCGATACAGATAATCGCGGCATAGAAATACAGCTTCCTCAAGCCTGGATCTTTGTGCCAAACAACCCTCTCAAGTTCAGGTGCCTCAGCCTGAGCAATGGCAACATCGTCAGCGTGAGTAGGACCTTTCTTGAGATTCACCATGGTGACGGCAGGTCAATGTGACAGTGTGCTATGTGCCGTGCAAGATGTCGAAGCTGGTCTGGAGGAACAGATGCAACCCTGGCGGGAAGATCGTGGTATTATATATGCAGAGCATGGTGACCTTTGAACGCCAGTCTCCAGCAACAACCCTCGCAACCACGCTATCTGCCGATAATGGCAAAGGTCTCACGTCCCGGCTGAATTACGGTTGGCATGTTCGATGCAAGGTATGGAAGCACGGAAGTCAAAGCTTGGTTGGCTAAAGGTGACAAGCCTGGTTCCCAGGGTGTGGATCGATACCGAGTCGCGATCCCCGAAGCCTATGCTGAATGGGAGCATCGCCGAAGGACCTTCCCTTCGACCGTCTGAAAATGTAATCAAAGCCGGCTTGGTGTCAAATGGAGTGATCAAGAGGTTTGGTGGTGCATGTCTTGGTGCATTGCCAACCGCGCGGACGGATGTGTGATTCGCTCGCCTCCAGGTTTGGCGTTGCTAGAAGGCTGCTTACGGCATAGCTTGAATCCGCCAAGGTGACAGACAATCCCTTTCGATCGATGCTTGACCAGGGGTTGAGACTTGTCTTGTGGTGGTCACCGCTTTCGTGGCTTTCTGGGTGGCAGATGATTGATCATCCAGAGCCTTGCGGCGAACGCTGTCGGCCTCCGCTTTGGTGAAAGCATTTATCCTCAGCCTTGGCCTTGGGTAATTGAGACTCAAAAGACCGCCTGCTGACCCTCCCAAAAAGACGGGGTCTAGCTTGCGGAGTTGGATCGACTTGCGCGGCCCCCGCGTGTTTACGGTCCAATCGAGCCGGACGAAGACGCATCGAAGAAAAGTCTCCTGCATCATAGACTTCCCCCGTAGAAGCGGGAGAAGCTCCTCCCCCTTTCCCCCAGATTTCCCTCCACGTCTTTGAGATCCAGGCTCTTGCTGGACGGATAATAGCCAACGGTCCGCGTCCAGCAATGAGATGAGGAGTATTCCTCCACTAGCTGGGGCGGAACTCCAGCTTCCTGCATATCCGGCTAAATTCGAGGATACACGAGACCCATAGGCTGATCTTCGGACACGGCCCCATGGGGTACTGGATGCAGCTCCATTATTTGTTCATGTTTCTCCATGGTGCTCCATGAGACCAGCTGTGTCCGGTCGCGTGTTCTTCAAGTGGAGGTTGCGATGCAACACGGTGGCAGCAGGCATGCCACGCATCTTCAACACCCAAGACGGGTAAAGTCGATGCTGGGGTGTAGAAGGCGGCAGGCATGAGGCTAAATTGAGAGGAGACGGAGGATAAACGTCGGCCCACTTGTGTATCTGCGGCAAGACAGCGCCCTGCGTTCGTGGCTCGAAACACCTCCTTGATGTTTAGGGAAGAGAGCGTCTGTCATGCACCTGGTATTTGAGTAGGAGGCGCCATTGTTCCCTCGCCATGGCCCCTAAGGCAGTCAAGCATTAGCAAGAATGAGGAAGGTCGACAAAGTTGTGCCGGAGATGAACCAGAAATGAGGCAACGGTCAACCCAAGCTTGGTGAGCAGCGCCTGCGCCACACGGTAACAGACACAAGTCTCGGCCCAATAATGCTTCGCGCTGCTTCTCTCGTCACGGCACATGCTCGTCGCCAAACTGCCACCTTTCCAAATAACGTGTCCGGGTGATAGTCCAGCCGTGGAGAGCACCCGCTCGCCTGCTTAGTGCGTCCAGTCCATCAGTGCTTTGGCCAGTGATCTGAACTGATCGTCGTCCACGTGCGCCCGATCTGTCACGGAGCCTAGTAGATATCACGCGGCATTGTGAGAGCTAGTCAAGTATTTCGGAGATCGGTGGGATGACCTTTCCTGACTGGTGTGTCCGTTTTCCCTTTTGGACCGAGGCCGCAGTGAGCGCAGCATTGTGACTCTTTTCACAATGCAGAGTGCGCATTGCCGAGCTTACCATTCTCTCAAGTCCACATGCGGCGGTATGTTTGGCGAACGACCTAAGAGCGCCAGACAAGAGATGAGCCCAGGCAAGCATGGAAGGGCTGGGACAATGACTTTCTCCTCTCCAGGGTGAGAGTCGTGTCTGACTATGAAACTGGGTATCTTTCTACAACAAAATTCTTACACAAGCTCCTTGCCCGGCGCAACACTCATTTGGCCTTTGGTCTCAACGCCTTCAGCAGCCGAACTTCCCGCATCAGACCCGGGCTTCACAAGCATATCCTGCTGGGGCTCTGCGGCCGGGATGTCTTCGATCTCATCTGGCAGAGTCAGGTTGAGAATCATGCTCACGAACGCGGTAATAGCAAAGCCTGTCTCGCAGACCAGCACGAGCGCGTCATAGAAGCCTCGAAGTGCGTGATTGTCACCCTGATATGTGAAGACATAGTTGAACCACGTGGGGACAAGCGTGGCGCCGTATCCCAGAGCAAGTGATGCCGTCAGGATGAATCGAGTTCGCCGGTTGAAGGGGACTCGGTTGACAATGGCCATTCCAGACACCGCCACCGCACAGAAGAGGAAAGTGGTCATGCCACCTAGAACTGACGATGGAATGGCGACAAGCGCGGCCGAAAACTTGGCAAAGATACCGGCAACGATCAGAAAGACTGCGGAAATCGTTAGACAACCGTGACATTAGACGGTGAGTTTTTGACTTACAGCAGCAGAAGTACCCGGCTTTGCGATTTGCGCATCGTGTCAAGGCAATGACGCCGTTGTTCTGGGCGAAGGTCGACATTGGCGTGATGGTCATCAATGCAGCCAAGCAGCCGTTGAGACCGTCAGCCAAGACACCGCCTTGGATGCGAGACTCGAACTGACGACCCTCGACCTCGAGGCGGGAGACATCACAGGTGGCGGTGATGTCGCCAATGGCCTCACAAGCGCAAATGATGAAGACCACCATGATGGGCAAGACGAGTGGGCCGTAAAGACTCAGCTTGAAGGTTTTCACCCAGATGAAGGAGCCGACTGGGGCAGAGTTGATGCCCGAATTGTCGAAGTATCCGCAGGCTGCCGCGACAATACAGCCAGTCAAGAGACCAAGGATGACGCTGGTGGACTTCATGATAGGCGAACCAAAGCGTTCGCAGAGTAAGATGGTCACAAAGACCAAGAATCCCAATCCAATATACTCTGCACTTCCCCACGGGAGAGCGTGAGGAGCGCCCTCCTGAGGACAAACTTGGAACGGCCCGCTCTCCGGCCTGGCGGCGCACAGACCGGAACCGCCGGCCCAGTTTTGGAATCCCGACTCAATCAAGGACACACCGATGAGGATGACCGTCGGACCCGTGACAATGGGTGGGAAGATCTTCCGCAGCGCGTTCGGTGGCAGGAAAGAGAGCGCAATTTCCACCAAGGCGCACAGAGCGCAAGTGCCGATCAGTGCACCGTATGCGTCGGGACATGGCAGGCGGTTGCCATCGGCATCCAGCTGGCATTTACCGTTGGCATACATTTGAGTGAAAGCGCCAGTAGCGACAGGAATGATGGCGAAGGATGTGCCCACAACAGAGATCAAGCCTGTTCCGACGTAATATGGCGTCCTCCAGATATGGAATCTTGTGATCTGGATACAAGACAGAATGCCACAGACAATCACTGCAACAATCAGTCAGTCAGTCTATGCCTGCGTACGGAAAGCGACGGATAGGGGGAAAAGTCGAACTCACAAGAGGTCGAAACAAGATATTGTTGCCAATCTACAGGCAGGTTGACGCCGCCCGCGCCGGCCAAAATGAGTGGAGGTGTTATGATGCCCGCCAACATTGCAAGCGCATGCTGGAAACCTAGCAAAAGAGCAAGGACGACCGGCATCGAGTCGTCAAGGCCGAAAAACGGTGATGCCCGGCGAGTCTTGGTGAGAAAAGGGAGGTTCGGTCGGAAGAGGAACGCGTAGTCATAGTCGCCGACGAGACCCTTCCTCGTGAAGAGGGCCTTTCGCAAGCCGTTGGCACGGTCGGCGAAGGTCTTCTTCGGTCCCATATGAGGGAGGCTCTGTGCTTCACCCATTGTGAATGTTCTGGTGGCACTTTGAGAAAATCAGGTCTGCGATTGTTCGGCTGGAGGTGAGCAGGAAACAGAATTTGTGGTGGGCTCGTGTTCAATAGCTCCGTTCAGCCTGTAACAAGACCAAGACCGACAGAGGCATGGCACCGAGCTCTAATATAGAATCTTCTTTTACCGATCTGGAGTTTCTGACTCGACGGGCCATGGCCAGCTCCGCCGAGCAACCACCAACCGAATTTTCGCATATCAATATGGCGTATGGCCAGAGCTGGTCTGCAAGGACCGATCGTCTGGAGATCCACACCAGCGAGCTCCCAACCCTCGGGCGGCGGCGAAGAGTAATCAGAAGGGAGCCATAAATGGGAGGAGATCGGGAGCTGCTTTGACAAAACGCGTCGTCGGAACACGCCTTCCGATAGCTGCCCCTCATGGGGCCCGCCATAAAGCTTATCCAGGAGCGTTGATTGGCCCGGTGTCCACCGACATCAGATAAGCTTCCACCTTTACTCAATCTTGCCAGTCACAAGAATTTTCCACCTCATCTTGTTTCTTCCACGTGAATTATAGGCGCTCTTTGGTGTGCAGCTCGCATAGTTGCACGTTTGACGTAGCACGGCATGACCTAGAGATAAAGCCCTGCAGACTACGAGGTATGTTGCCGAGTTGCTCCTGATGTGCCTGAGATGATGAGCACGAGCACGTCCGATCTTGGTCGGCATGCGACTATGGGGCGATATCTCGCTACCTCTTACATTAAAAGCCCAGGCCGATATCAGGTCAAATAGAGCTCAAAGCTCGTGCAGCAAGACACATGTGTGCCCTACTGTGACCTGGTATTCACAGCTGACGCTCACTGCGTCGAGGGTTAGGGCACAACATACCCAGGTCCTGACATAGTTTTGTTTGTCTGATAGCTGTGTGTCTGTGTGTGTGTGCAGCAGCCATCCATCTTGCCAGGCCTTTTTGGCTTTTGTGAGTGCATACAGTAATGTACTCATCCCATTTAGGCGAGCTACTTAAGGAAGTTAGTTAGGTACGATATATACTGTCGAGACTGTAAATGAATTTTTTCCGCGGCAACACAGCACAAGCCGAAATGAGCTGGGCTGCGGATGTGCATTTGGATATGATGTACCGCCTACCCGGCGCTGCTTGCACTGGCTGGCGGCTGGCGGCTGGCTGCTGGCGCATCGAGATACTGTACAATGAACAAGCTGACTCTCGGCCTTGGAGGTATAACAACAAACAAGGCGACTCTGCTTCTTGGGACTATGCACAGAAACTCAAGACTTAGCTGCTCTACATAGCCACCTAACCACGGCGGGTCATCTTCTTCTCGTTCTTCTTGCGCTGCTTTTCGTTCTCGCGGTCCAGGAACTTGCGCTGCTCCTCGGCGCTCATGCCCTTCATCTTGCGGTCGCGCTCCTCCTTCTTCAACTTATCCAGCTGCCTCAGGCGCTCCTCTTCGGCTTCCTTGTCAGATATCTTCTTGAGTTTGCTCTTCTCCTGGTCGCGGGTGGCATTGATCTTGCGCAAGACCTCCGGGCGGAGTTTTGCGTTTGAGACCAGAAAATCAGGCAGGCGCAGGAAGAGGGCAAACAGCGGCAGGGTGTGCAAGTAGTGCTCCTCGGACGAGGGCAGGTTGAGGGCCAGGTGCAGCCGTTTCTTCTGCGCCGTCTCGTTCAGGTTGGTGGGTTTGTCGTGCGGTTGGTCCGTAATTATCAAATACTGGAAGTGGTCCGGCCCGGCTTCCTTGACGGCGTCGACGAGGTCCTTGGTGAGCAGCCATTCGCTGACTTCGGCGGACTCGCTCATGACGGTGGCCCACTCGGGGAGTTTGGCGTTGTCCTTGGTGAAGGTGAGGGAGAGGTCGTAGCGTTCGTCGCGCAGGCGACGCATTGCCAGCTTATTGACCACGGCGAAGACGAACGGGTCGTAGCTCGAGTTGCTCACGCCCTTTTGCTTGCCTGCCTCCTCGGAGCCGGGCACTGGAGGGGGCACAAAGTCCTTCTCCTTGCCGTCGAAGGCATAGATGACTGCTTCGATTCTTTCGGGCTTGGGCTTGATGCTTTCGATGAAGAGGCCCGTGACTTCCTCGGCGATCAAGACCAGAGGGTTCATCCTTCTCTTGAGGGAGATCTTGATGTCGGCGAAGGCCACGTTCTGGCGGCCTGTCGCATACGACTCGAACTCATAGGCAGATTTCTCCTTGAGCAGATCCTCGGACACGCCGTTCCCGCTCTTCTTGACCAGCTCCTTGAAGAGGCTTGCGTCTACCGGGGTGGACGCCGCTTCTATTGTCTCTTGTGGTGCCGGGCCGTAACCCACCAGCGCAAACTCTCGCTCCAGCAATGGTTCATGCACGGCGATCCATTTCCGCGCCTTGCGCCTGTTCGTCCTCGTACCCCAAAAGTGCACCAGCAGAGCAAGCAGGAGGAAAGGAATGAGGATGGCCTCCATGGTGAAGTCCGATAGCTGCGTTCGCTCCCATACTCGGTACCATTTCGTGTAGGTCAATTGCCGGGGTAGATCTCCTGCCGCGAGATTGGCTCCTGTTGGACTTGCTGCTTGCGCATCGGCTGGCGAGGCGGGGATGGAAGCCGGCGATGGAGGGGGAGCTGCCGCGAAGTCGGCGAAGTCTGAATGAGAACCGGGTAAGTATATGGCACTGGTGCAGGGGAGAAACAGCTTTGTTTACCTGCATCTTCTGCGACAATGGGCGCCTGCGACGGCTTGCCGCCCACAAGTGATTTGAAGTAGTCCATGATGGACGAGCGAGATTTGGGCGCGAATCAAGTGAATGACTCGCAAAGAGGTATCTCGGCTGAGCACGGTCGGTGGAATAGAGAGGCAGCCGGCAGAAGAGAATGAAGCTCCCCACAATTTGTTAAATGCACTGCAACGTAATCTGGAGCCAAGACGTTCGGTTCGGGGATGGACAGGGACGAGATTGCCCAGCCACTGCCACGCGACGACCACAGTGACACTGCGGGGAAAATGAATGGAAGGCAAGGGAGGGAAGGTGGCCTCTACGATGAGGTGACAACCAGCATAAGCCTACATTTTGTGACACCAGAATCGGTTCTGTTCGATTTGCGGCGGATACCTACGTATCTCTCATCGAGACTCAGGAAGAAGGACCCGGGATAGCTGTGAATCGAGGCGGGTTGCCTCCTTCGGCGCAATGAATACTTTCATGCATGGAATATCCCATCAATCACAACATATACTGGATGAGTTGCAACACTGTCAGCAGTGGCCCAACATCCGTGGGTGCCCTCGTCCGCGTCATCATTGACAAGTACGGAGAAGACGTCGTTTTTCTCGATGCCATATATTCCTCTAGCTGTCGCCTATGGTTTCCTTCTGGCATCGGTAATACCACAACCTAGCCCCAGCTGGGCGTGGAGGACCTTTGCTCGGTCTGCGCATCTCTTGCCGGTGTGGCTGAACATTCCCCAACTCTATCACAGCGCTCGAGTTGTCTCCCATGTTAGTGAGCCCCGTCAGGTCAGGCGAGACCAGCCGTCAGCTTTGTGGCGGGTAACCTGATCTGTGTTTTCCCCCTCTGCACTCTAGGGTCCGCAATGGCAAGTCGACCAGAGGACCCTGGTCCGGGCTTGAGGGAAAACGGTCTGCGACCGATGATCTGTCTTGTTCGATGGCCGCATGGACAAACATCCTGGACAAGTAGTGCCATCTACCCGGTCAAAGATGAGACCATCGTGGGCATTCCTGACCATAGCCAGTTGAATCTGTTGCCCCAGCATCACTTGCCGAGGATTTCTCACTAGTTGTACGTCGTGGTTGCCCTTCAGCTGTATGTTGATGCGCTTCTTCCATGCTGATGCACTATCCTTTGTATCTGCAACTAGGCTGTACCAAAACGGCCGTCTTCCTGAGCCTTGAATCGTTAAGAAACGGCTGAGGAAAGGTGCGATAGTTCCCAGATCGTTCCGGGCTCAACGCTATCGCGAGCTCTGTGAGCTTGATAGCGACTCGAAGCCGTATCTCGTATTGTGGTATTAGAATCCGTGCAGGCTCAGCCTATCCAAAACCATATCAATCACGTCGTGTCATATCATCAATTTCGGTCCCGCAACGCCGATAGTCGTCCATCACTTAGCATACGGTCGCTTTGCCCTTCGCAGATCGTTTCAGCTCCCTTGCCGGATACTCATGTTCATTCCAGAACATTCCCGCCACTTAGATTGATCCCGCCAAAAGTCCACAGCCCAGAAGCCCAGATCCATGCACCGACACTAGGTTTCTTCCCGTCTTTAACATCATTTACCAAATCCACGACACCTTGGAAACTCGACTGACTCCGATCGATATCCTCCCTGGTGTCTCGTGGAGGCAGAGGTGTCCGTCCAACCGGCGACGCCACTCCATTCAAGGCGTCCACGGCAGCGATGGCCGGTCCTTCGTCGAAAAAGTCCACAAGAGTGAATGTCGGTGGTCTGCCATATTGGGAATTACAGGTGGAAAGCGCGTAGCCGAGATTGCCAATGCTATTGCCCGGTGAATTTGTGACGTTGATCTTGTCCACGTCAGGAGTCTCGATGTCGAAGAGGCCTTCCTTATAGAGGAAGTGGTTCATGAGAGCCATGCGACCCGACGCGATTGCACCTTGGCTATTTCCTTGCAAGCTCGAGGGCCGGTCGGGGTCACAGGTGAAGTCACTCGGATCGACGTTTTCGAACGGGTTTTCGAATATAAACGTAAACTCGTCCATAAGGTACGCATATTCCGTTGGTATGGAGGCTGGGTTGTCAAGCGACGCGACGAAAACCATTAGCCGTTTATTTGCGGTGATCAACTCTTGCAGTGTAGGCCATGCTCCTGTGGACGGAGGTACGCTTGTGGACGGCGGAACGTATGCATAATCTGTGATTCCCGCCGTCGTGAAGTGCGCACCCAGTTCTTGTGGGGTGGCATCGTCTGAATTGACGAGGAGGATCGTCACCACTTCGTTCGGGTTGCTGTCCAGCCACGTCTTGATCTCTTCCAGCCAGTCCGACACAATTCCGGCATCCAGCAGGTCGCAGGATGAATGGCACAAATGGTATTCTCCGTTAGATTGGTGGACCTGTGCCGAGAGCAGACGCACGCCAGCTGATAGCTGGACGCTAGAGTTATAGTACTGATTGCCTGAGGTTGAGAATCCCGTCGAGGCGTCTCGAAGGAATGGAGAGTCGTGGGCGCCTAGGTGGACGATGCTGTTGTAGGGTTTCGAGCAGAGGGAAGGCGAATTGTTGCAGGAGGTCGACTGTCGTCCCGATATCGACGGTTTGAATGACGCTGCGGTACTGAGGCTGAGGAACGAGAGGCAGGATACTAGAGGCCGTAGGATCATCTTGGAACGGGAGTAGAGGTCCAAATTGAAATGCTCGCTTGCTTTTCGTCGACGATGTCGTGGTGATTGTTCCAATTCAATGAATATCAACTGAGCGAAATCCAAAGCACAAAGAAAGAGCAGCGACCGAAACAGAAACGCAAGCAAAGCAGTCGACAAAACAAGGAAAGGTTCAAAAGCCCAGCTTCTGACCTGAAGAGACGGATTGATTTGACTTGGTTGCGGCTGAGTGCTGAACAAGAACAAACTCGGTGAACGAAACATGCGCCCAGCACGCAGCCGCGCGTACGGGGACATCTGGGGTGGCAGCGCAGAGACGAAGTCCCCTCCGGCGGGCACAGGCCAAAGCTCCGCCCCACCATTTCTGGGCGGACGATCAGGACATCGTGAGGAATACTCCGTAGCGTCCGATGAATCAAGTCTGAAACCGCATTTGACGTGTCCAATGAAGTTGAATGGCGGTCGACCAAAACGAGGGTGGAGCGACTGATGTTTCGTCCAACTGGGTGGTTATTCAGGCCCGGGCCAGAGCCCGGAGAGCCCCATCTAGTTAGTCCCCAGTACCTTGCAGTCGGTCTAGGCACCGCTACACAGCCACAACAGCCTATTTCTGGCCACCTAAAGGAAACCTGGGGTATTTTTCCGTGGGCGAGGCAGGCGACCACAGCAACTGATAAAATGCTGACCATCACGGCCAGCACCGCTTCTGGAAGACTATCATAGATTGGAAGGAGCTCAACGGCGTATGACTAAAACTCTCGTGAGATGACAGACGCAGCGAAACTCCGTATTACTTATTGCCAAGCTGAACAATGCCCTGCCACTTCTCGACCCACTCGTTCACAGCCGCCATGCAGCGGGCTGCTCTCGTGAACCTTCAAACTGGACGTGCCCATACTCTCGATATCCCTTATTGCCCAATCCCAGAATGACTCTCCGATGCTCAAAGTGCTTGGTATGATGGTAGGCCTCATGTTTCTCGATACTCTCCCAGCCAACATAGACGATGTACGAGTTTTCGTGCCCGTCGACGGCCTCGACGACGGGGCCACCTGCGCAGCCGAGACAGCCATCCACGTATCTCACGACATGCGTCCACAGCGGCCAAGCACCTTCATGCCACGCGGCGTCCGTGGAAACGTAGATTGCCGACCCAGTGAACGGGGCGCCCTTTCCCAATGCTTGACAGTCGGGAGTAAACTCCTTAATGTACGCGTGACGGACTAATAGACTCGTCGGAGATTCGATCTCGTCTTTGAGGATGCTCTGGAATTTCGAAAATCGAGGCGAGTTGAGGAAGTCTTGGTGTTGAGAGAGTTGATCTCGAACTGTCATGCTCCCATCCATTAGTCGACGCCAAGATTACGGACATAGCGAGGAGGGGCATCCGGTTAAGTTCAGCTGGAGCAAGTTCCGCGCTCATAGAGTCCTTCCATGGAATCAAATGAAAATGCAATGGAAATTATACCGACCAACATGTAACTGGACTTTGGACCTGTCTTCAGGTGATCGACCCCAATAAAGGCGACGGAACCCGCCGTGCCCTTCCAGCAAATCCAATGCTTCGGACCATCTTCTGCCGGCTTCAGATCGTGGGTTTGCAAGATCTCTATCTGGATTGACTGTCAAGTAGATTATCTGTGTCACAGGGGAAGACATTTTGAATCCGACATCGACGCGCTCCTAAGAGGTCTAGCAAGCTAGCGATGGCTTTATATCGCCTGGAGGCAGTGCCTGCATACTTCTTAGAGTAGGTGCATCTTGTGCCTCGGATGTTCGCAGCCTTGGAAGCGGAAGGCCGTGGGAAGTTCATCCCCCGCATTTCGCAGCCCAAGAAAGATCACGATACCGACAGATGCCGCCTCACCTCAGCCTTGGTTCTTGGGTGTCATTGTTCACGAGGAGGTTTGGTAAATGCCTCCCCATGCTTATGAGAATGCTCTTGGTCGCTTATTCAGACGGAGTCTTCTTGGTGGCCGAAGGCTGAGATATATAAAAAACCTACTTCTCCTCTCTCGGATGACAACCTCTTCAAGAAACAGAGGCATATTATGTGTAATACTGCGAAACAAACATGGCGCCTGTGACAGACTTCGCCATCAAGGACAACTACACCTACCTACAAGGCTTTGGGAATTACCACTCGTAAGCACAACCCATGTGGCCTACCACTCAAATCCCATTTGACAGTGCGTATCAAGATCAGAGGCCCTCCCAGGAGCCAATCCGCTCGTGAACAATACTCCTCAAAGACCTCCCTATGGCCTTCGCACCGAGAGAATAAGCGGCAGCTCCTTCACAGCACCGCGTGATACCAACCTCCAGACATGGATGTACCGAGCCACTTCATCGCTGGATCACGAGGACTTCGTCCCGTATGACCAAGAATCCACAGACACAGCCACGCCGAAGACACCCAGCACGCTCACGCCCAACTCCTACATGTGGCCTGCCGTTCCCCTGCCAGACAATTCGGACTGGATTTCCCAGCACCTTCTCGCTAGAAACGGCGATCCGGCGACCAAGACCGGTCTAGCCATCTGGCTCTTCTCCACCACAGAGTCCATGAAACCCAACACTGTGTTCTCCTCCCTCGACGGCGACTCTTTGATCATTCCGCAGTCCGGCGCCCTGGACATCCACACCGAGCTCGGCAATCTGCTCGTCCGACAGAATGAGATCTGCGTCATTCCCCGCGGTATCCGATACCGTGTGAACCTGCCCTCAGGATCCTGCCGTGGCTACATCTGCGAGCTATTCCAGGGACACTTTCGCCTGCCCGACCTGGGTGCCATAGGCTCCACGGGCCTGGCCAACGTTCGAGACTTCCAGATCCCGACGGCGCACTTCGATGGCTCGCTCCAGGACGGTGTCGCCGTGGCACGGAACGCCGAGTATACCATCGTTTCCCGCCAGGCGGGACGCCTCTGGCGCTGCACTCAGGATCACACGCCCTTCGACGTTGCGGCTTGGCATGGCACATTCTACCCGTACAAGTATGATCTCGCGCGGTTCTGCGTGCTTGGGAACGTCGCTTTCGACGAACATGACCCCAGCCTGTACGTCGTCCTCACGGTACCGTCGCACCGCGAGCCCGGCACCGCCGTATTGGACTTTGCCATCATCCCACCCCGCTGGCAGGTCGCCGAGGATACATTCTGGCTGCCCTACTACCACCGGAATACGATGAGTGAGTTCTTCGCGCCCATAATCACCGAGCAGGACAAGAAGCACCCCTTCAATGAGGGGCGGGAATTCAAGCCTTTTGTGGCAGGGCTCCATCCGCCAATGACGACACACGGTACGTACCAGTATTACCCTTGCTGACTGTTTTGTTCGGTCTTGTCTTGTTGTGCTGAACTGTATGATAGGAGCGACGGAAGAGGATTTTGAGAAAGCGCGTAATGCGGACCTGAAGCCGACGAAGTTGATGACGGACGGAATTACCGTGTTCCTGCTCGAGACTGAGTCGCCGCTCTACCTGAGTGACTGGGCTGTGCAGGCGGCGCTCACGAATCCCAGGCCAAAGCCGACGAGGCCGTCCAAGATGTAAACCCTGGGTGCAGTGCTGCGGCGATGCTCAGTTTGCGCTTCTCTGCATGACCCTGAATCTGGAATATGAGATGCCACGTATTGTAGTCACCGTCCGATCCAAGCGGCTGCAAATGCTCAGCAATGCACTATCATCGCCATAGTATACGGTTTAAAAGCGCTGCGAAAGTCGTCAACTTCGAATACCCTTATATTCAGCATTCTTGTTCTGCTCTCAGGTCGTACCCTGGCCTTTGTATCACAGTCTCGCGAACACTCTCTTCAGCACCTCCCGTCCCTTATACAGATTTTCAACTCTCATCCTCTCATTATCCAGATGTGCATTGTCGCTTGCCTGTCCCATAGGGAACATTGCTGCAGGAGCGTTAAACTCGTGTTCTAGGAATGAGATTGCCGGAATGCTGCCGCCTTCGCGGATGAACAGCGGTTCACGCGGAAGTGCCGAAGGTGGGAAGGAACCAGTGGCCGCTAATGAGGAAGCTCGTCTATGGGAGGACCGGGTCGGTGTTGACGACGACGAGGAGTTTGGATAGAAAGGGTTCTTGGTAGACGTGGGCGACTTCGGCGAGGAAAAGGTGGGTGTAGGGCCAGGGCGAGAAGGGGTAGATGGGTTGCTCTTAATGTCATCGGCTATCTTGAAAGCTCGCTGATGAGATACTGCAACGTCAGGATTCCATATATCGACTATAGCGTCCTTGAGAGCCTCGTAGATCTCGCTTCTCACATCTGCAAGCCAAGGATCCGCTTTTGATGTAATGGCAACCGTGAGGGTACTGGAGCTCTGCAGCTTGGCGAACTCATCCTTGATGTACCGTGTCAATGATTGTGCAATCTGTTCGGCTGTCTGGGATGGCACAATCCTTATCGACAGTGTTGCTTTTGCAGACCCGGATATAGTGACAGCTGTCTTTGCTTCTGGGACTTCAATGCGATGTACAGTCAGATTGGGGTATCTCCATCGCTGCATAAGTGAAAGGGCGAAAGACTTCTCATTTTTGATTTCTGGATGTCCAGGTAGGAGAGATGAAGTGATCGAGGCGTAGCCTTTCACCTCGTCTTCAGAGAGTGCATCAACACTGTCGTAGAAGCCTGGAATAGTGACTTCGGTGCCGGATGGACCGACCAACTTGGCAAGAAGGACCGTGAGGTCCTTGAGCGGTTCGTGCTGTACGGACTTTCCGTCCATTCCAGAGTGCAAGTCTGGTCTGTTAGATGAAACAGTGATGCTGGCGTGGATGACACCTCGCATACCAAACGTGAGGCAGGGGATATGGTCATCAAGCCAATAGCTATTGGATAACAGGACGAAGTCAACAGGGCCGATAGCATCATGGGCTGATTCAACTGTTTTACGAAAACCACGAGAGCCGGCTTCCTCATCGCCCTCGATGAGAAAGGTCACATTGCATGATAACTTGCCATCTTGGACAAGGTCAGCCACAGCATATACGGCCGCCAGTATGGGGCCTTTGTTGTCGGTTACACCGCGACCATAGAGAAAGGAACTCAAAGGCTGCAGGACAAAGGGATCACCATACCATGTTGGATGTGGATTGTTCGAGTCGTATTCGGCATCGACAACATCGTAGTGCCCGTAAAACAAGATGGACCGGGTCGAAGCTGAAGGGTTGGACGCGGGAAACTTCGCCAATAGTATTGGATTGACACCTTGTTGAGGTGAGAGGAGGTGGGTATCAGCACCGAAAGTGTTGCATTTCTTCCGCAAGAACGTCACAGCTTCATGGCAGTCACGAACATGCGCTGAGGCTGATGCCACTGTACGAAAAGCGACAAATTCTCGTAGTGAGTTCACGAGTTCATCTGACCTCATCAGCACTCAAAGCAGGCATAAACTGCTGGTATGCTCACCGTTGCTTCTTGCAGATGCGGCACTGGGGTCGTCAGAGGCACCTCGACTTCCCCAGAAAGAGACGAGGCTATCATTGCCGCCTGAAACGAGAACATCGTGATCAGGTGTGGTAATTGTTCCCAAAGCAAGGATCTTGCCCTTCGCGGCTTGCCAGGATTCTGTCTCCATGAAATGGTCATTGTACCGCTGACGAGGCGTCAGTCACTACCCTTGCCCGTGATTTAGGGTTCGCACCTTGATCCATCCTTCACTTGTTCCGCACCAAATACTATCGATGCTCAAGATGATTTGGCTCACATCACCGTGGCCCACTTGTAACCTTTGGACGAGTTGATTTGAAGCAAGATTGTAGATATTGGCGGTCCCGTCCGACAAGCCGGCATAGAGAAACAAGTTCCGGTATGAGAGGCTCAAGACACTCAAGTCTGGAGTCTTGAACTTGGTGAATTGTGTGGGCCGACAAGAAGACAGGTTATCGATTGTCCAAAGTTTGATCGTCCCATCGCCACCTCCGGTGATGAGGACTTCTTCATCCTTGTCGTGGGCGCTTATCCCTTTCACCAACAGGACGCTGTAGATGTAGCTCTTATGAGCATATGGGAGATAGTTTTGGCTCGGAATCGTCAAGACGCGGCCACCCAGGTCGTTGTTTGGACCATCTTCATCCGATACTGCATTGGTCATGCCTCCAGGCCCAAGCGAGTCAAAGAATCGGTGTTTCCGGGAGCCCGGCGAGAATGTCGCAGGAGACTTCAACCCAGTTTCTGTGCTGATCTTGTACCACTGAATGCTGGAATTCTGGGCGCCCCAGAAGAGTGTCTGGGTGCGCAACGAATGAGCAGAGCAGAAGACATCACCAATATCAAAGTGCGAATACAAGGAGTACAGCCGCTGCAAGGACGCCGTGGCCCAGATGTTCACAATCGAGTCGGCACCACTCGAGAACAGGAGTGTTTTGTCCTCAGATAGAACCAGGCTAAGCACGCTTTCTTTGTGGGCGGACACAGAGGCTAGCAGCTCATAAGTTTCGAGTGACCAGACAACGATGTTGCCTCCTTGAGTGCCAGCGAAGAGAACATCATCATCGATTGCGACAGCCTGGACGCTACCGGGTGCGTTGACTCGATGGATTGGGTGTTTCACAGGGCCAGATGGTCTCGAGGTAGAGGAAGGTTCCTCAGCATCGGAAGTCGTGTCCTCATCTGAGTCGTCAAGCGACTGCGGTTCCCTAGACAGAGTAGGGCTTGAATCGAGTAGCCCAGTCTGCTTGAGGCGGTCAGCTGAGGCCATAGAAAAAGAGACTGTCAAAGAAACGATGTGACCATGAAGTAAGAACAAAGCAAGGGAGGAGTCGCTGGGACGATTAATTGGTCGCCCTTACCTGCTGCTTGTGGACGAGAGGTGTTGGATTTGGACGCGTCTCGGACCCTGATTCGCCAAATTGGCACATCTTAAGCGGCAGCTCCAGGTAGGCGGGGCCCAATTCTACGGGGACGAGAGGCCCCGGACTTTTTCTCAGTCTCTCTTTCACAACTCCGTAAAATAAGGTAGTGTCATACACTTTTTGTTGAGTTCATCCTTCAACACGTCAGGTTGAAGCTGAAGCATAGTCATTGCTCTGCCTGACTCACAGGACAAAATTACGGCTTCACATCACCGGGTACTCGGTTGCTGATGGCGTGATCCGAGACTCAGATTACGCGCTTCATAAAGAGACCTGAAGCTCATCTCTATTTCTCGGTACAGCCATCAGAATGACTGAAAAGACAACAAAGCTCGGTCCGTTCAAACCAACGCTGATTCTCCATGGCGGAGCTGGCGCCCTTTCTCGTGCCAACCTCCCTCCGGAGCTTTGGACACGATATCGTGCCTCCCTTTCCAGAAACCTGACCGTGACAAGAGAGCTGCTTGACTCGGGCGCCTCGGCGCTCGATGCTGCCTGTCACGCTGTTACGCTGCTCGAAGACGATGTTTTGTTCAACTGCGGGCGAGGATCGGTCTTTACTGAAAGAGGTACTATTGAAATGGAGGCAAGTGTCATGGTTTGTTCTGTTGATCCGGCAGGGCCCCCTACGGGGGGTATAAAGCGTGCTGCTGCTGTCAGTCTCATCCGGAACACGAGACACCCCATTCTACTGGCCAAAGAAGTATTGGTGACGGCTGACGAAGACGCTGGATTGGGAGGCACAAGTTCCATGCATTGCCATCTCAGCGGCATAGACGTTGAAGAATGGGGGTGGAAAGAAAAGGCACTCGAGAAGAAGCCAGATCGGTGGTTCTGGACCCAGCGACGATGGGAGGAGCACAGAAGGGGTCTCAATAATAACCCATCATACACTTTCGCCGATCTTCTTTCATCCGTCGATCCCCTGTCGGAGCGGGTCTCAGCCGCCGACGATGATTTGGACGGAGTGAAAGAAATCCCTAGCCAGGGAACCGTCGGGGCCGTGTGTCTGGATTCTTGGGGCAACCTGGCGGTTGCGACTTCGACTGGAGGATTGACAAACAAGAAAGCGGGTAGGATAGGTGATACGCCGACAGTAGGTGCCGGGTTTTGGGCCGAAGCCTGGCACGAAGATACGTACAACAACACCAATAATTTCACTCCAGGCTCGCAACCATCGCAACAATTTCTACTCGACCTACGTAGGAGGGCGCCAGTCCTAGACCGAATCTGGACGCATACCAGCAGCCTCTTGGGACCCTGCCTTGCTGTGATTGCAACAGAAGACTCACCGCCATACTATGAAGAACAAAGCCCTCCTCCCTCCTACACCACCCAGCCCACCGCAGCTTACCGCACCTATCAACCACCTTCCCTCCACAACCCGCATTGTGCTGACACTCGACAACCAGTTCGCCAACGTTGTCGCGCAGTCGCGATGAGCGGCACGGGCAACGGTGACTCATTCATTCGAGTGAACGCCTGCCGCACCGCTGCTTCAATCTGTCGCCTGGACCATCCGTCTCCGCCTCTCACTGATGCAGTCAGGGTTATTGCTGGACAACAAGGCCAGTTGCAGCGCTCGGCGGGCGATCGGTGGGGCAAGACTGGAGAGGGCCAGGGTGGAATTATTGGGATCGAAGTGGTGAGTGAGGAGGAGGAACCAGCCAGAATATGTGGTGACAAGGGGGATGGTGATTTGAAATCGAAGAAGAAGCAAGGACGCGTGGTATTCGACTTCAACTGTGGAGGGCTGTTTAGAGCGTATTTTGAAGTCGATGAGAACAGCGGAACCGAACAGCCGAAGGTCATGGTATTTAAGGAGGAGTACTAGGTGTCGAGCTTCGCGCGCGGCTCACGGAAAGACATAGACAACAAAGGCTGCATTGACGACTGGGGAAGCATAATTCATTGGGAGCGTCCTCCTGCTTAGCTGGGATCTGCTCGACCAGGATGGATAGAATGAATCGTGCTCTGGGTTAGAAATACATTTCTTCAAACCCAGCACTGTCAGAAATGCCCGATATTTGCCGGTCATGAGCAGCGAAGCGTGTTCGCTTGTCAGACTGATCGAACTGCATCGGCTCTGCACTGGTGCCTTCACTGTCTCCCGCACTACTTCCACTTCCCTTCCGTCGCCCGTGCTGAAAGAATAAACCCATCACCTTGCTTTCCGCTTGTCGGAGCGGATAAAATCTCCTCCGCTCGCGTTCCTGTGCGGGGCGTGACGGCCTTTCCCGTTATCCTGGCCAGTTACTTTGATGAGAAAGACTCGCTTGTCACTTGCTGCTTGCTGCTTTGCACGGCAATAGAAGTTTAATTGCTTGGCGTACCGACTGGCGCCTCGGTAGCTATGCTTGACCTGGCTTTCGGTCTGTAGGACTCCTCGAGACCAGCTGGTGATACCTACCAGGCTGGCGCATCCTATTACAGAGGAGGCGACTTCTGAGCGCCCCCCAAGTATCGCTCCCTTGTCCAGCAGTCGTCCGCACGGGACTCGGTTCATTTGAACTTAGTACTCCAAGGTTCTCTTCATGGCGTCGTAGATTCCTCGAGCACAGTTAGCATGTCTTACCCTACCGAAGGCCTGGGAGACTCACTCGTTATGTCTGGAACATTAAACTTCTCAAATATCAATCCGGGATGAGTACTCCAGCCTGTGACTCTTGCCACGGGCGCTTCAAGCCTGAGAAAGGCCCCTTCCTGAATACTGGCAGCGACCTCTGCGCCTACACCAGCATTGTACATGCTCTCGTGCACCACGACTGCGCGGCCCGTCTTCGTTACACTCTCCATGACCGTCGCCCGATCCCAAGGGTAGATAGCTCTAAGGTCGATAAGCTCAATAGACAGGCCTTTGATCTCCTTTTCTAGAGCCTCGATTGCGGCCGAGCAGAGATAAAGTGGTTGGCCGTAAGAGACGACTGTGAGGTCTTTGCCCGTCTTCAGGACCTCGGCTTTGTCGAGTGGTAACGTGTACGGGTCTCTCGGAACGAATTCCTCTGCGGCGCGATACAGGACTTTCGGTTCCATGAAGATGACGGGGTCGCGCGAGCTCAAGATCGACGCTGTCAAAAGGCCCTTAGCTTGACTTGGTGATCGCGGCATCACCACCCGCAAACCCGGGATATGTGTGAATAGCGACTCTGGGCTTTGCGAGTGGTACAAAGCGCCGTGTCCGACGCTTCCACATGGCATTCGGACGACGAGCCCGCCACAGTTTCCACCTGTCCCGCCCTCTCGATATCGAAACTTAGCCGCTTCGTTGACCAACTGATCGAAGGCTGGGTAGACATAATCTGCAAACTGGATCTCTGCAATCGGTTTCATGCCCTCGGCTGCACAGCCGATTGCAAATCCAACGATGCCTTGCTCAGTTAGGGGCGTGTTGAAAACTCGGCTTGTTCCAAATTCATCGCTTAGTCCCTTTGAACATCGAAAGACGCCGCCGAATGCGACGTCCTCTCCGAAGAGAAGCACATTCTCGTCAGTCTTCAAGGCGTGATGCAGAGAAGCGTTGATGGCGCCATGGAGATTCACCCAGTCGACTGGGGCATCTTGTGAGAGACCGAAGGCAGAGCGAGCACTGCTTTGTGATTGGTGTAGAATGGCTGTCTTTTTGAAGTCGATCGGTTTGTTTAGTTGGGCGGTCGAGGGTGCTTGACTCGCATGGCGAAGCTGTATTGATGTCGGCTTGAGCAGCCTGAGAATAGAGCCGTTCCTCCGGCATGCAAGCATTGTGAATGCTCGGGAGATTGTCTTGCGTCGAGGTCAACAAGTGCGCAGAGGAAATTTGGGCGTTTTGAAGACCTCCTTGTCCTCGTCGAAGAGGATGCCGAGGATAACCGCGCGCTGGTCAGCCACTCTGCCGCAAACGCTGATGCGGTTGTGGGGCACGGACAAGACCACCATTCTAGGTCGTTTACTCGTCCGTAGCTAGCTCGTCTACGGAGTACAGAGTAGGCCCGTCGAAATTGCCTCCTTGGCAAGCTATTCGCCTGCGTGCACGATGACGCGTTACGATGCTAGTAAAGGCGGAGATCGAATCAATCGAGCTGGGTGCAGCCCACTGCTTTCTTACAAGCTTCGTAGAGCATGAAATAGGCATATTAGTTGACATAGTACGGAGTACGAGTACTCGAGCTTGAATCTGTCGCTGAGAAGACGCCTGTACGCCGAAGGTCGATACTCGTAATTCTTATCAAAGCAATTCCACAAGCCTTCGATCGTCGTCCGCAGCAAAGCCGCTTGCTCCGCCAATCATTCAATTCTCTGCCCACAGCTACTCAACTGACTTCTTTCACATCGACAGACTCAGGTCAATATGCATAGCTTCTGATCTGTGGTACCGCTCGATCACACTCGCTGAACGGGCTACGAAAGGATCGAACACCGAAGGAAGCTCTTACCTACCATCGAAAATGTCGAAGTCGAACTCTCAGCTCTGATCGCAGTATGAACACACGAACCACGAACTCGTACCTGGCCCGACGGCCACTGGTCCTGGGTCTTGCAAAGGCCCTCTTCCTTTCAGTCGGACGGTTACCGATTGTACAAGCCGCACCCCTCCTCGCAAGAGACCTATTCTCTTCAGCCGACGAACCAGAAGCAAAACCTCCGGATGATCCAAGCCTATGGATATACTTGACTGTCGCAGCGGTGCTGGTGCTGCTAGGTGGAGCGTTTGCAGGTCTGACGATAGCGTTGATGGGTCAAGTGAGTGCAGGGACGTCCCCAATCGTATTCAGACACTAATATTCGCCCATAGGATGAGATATATCTCCAGGTCATAAAGGATTCTGGTGAAGGTAAAGAGAGGGCGCATGCTGCAAAGGTGTTAAAATTGCTTCGCAGTGGGAAGCATTGGGTTCTTGTCACTTTGCTATTGAGCAATGTCATCACCAACGAGACCTTACCTATCGTGCTGGATCGGTCCCTCGGTGGCGGATGGCCTGCTGTTCTGGGTTCGACTGTGCTTATTGGTATGTCCTTCCCACCTCCTCTCCATTCAATGAAGCCCTGTGCTGATGACTCGAAGTGATCTTCGGCGAAATTGCCCCTCAGTCCGTTTGCGTCCGTTACGGCTTGCCAATCGGTGCTTTTATGGCACCGTTTGTCCAGGCCCTAATGTGGCTCCTAGCTCCTGTCGGATGGCCAACCGCCAAGCTCCTCGATTACCTTCTGGGAGAAGATCACGGGACTACATACAAGAAGGCGGGATTGAAAACACTTGTCTCCCTGCATAGGAGCTTGGGGGATGCCGGGCAACAACTCAATTCGGATGAGGTGACCATTATTAGTGCAGTCCTGGACCTCAAGGACAAGCCGATCGGCAGCATCATGACACCGATGGACGATGTCTTCACCTTGTCGCTCGATGACGTCCTCGATGAAGCCACAATGGACGAGATTCTGTCCCAAGGATATTCCCGAATACCCATTCACCACCCAGACAATGACTCCAACTTTGTCGGCATGCTCCTTGTGAAGATGCTCATCACCTATGACCCTGAAGACGCCAAACCAGTCCGAGACTTCGCCCTAGCTACCCTGCCAGAAACTCGTCCTGACACGAGTTGTCTTGACATTGTCAACTTTTTCCAGGAGGGCAAATCTCACATGGTGCTTGTCTCCGAGTATCCAGGCGAGGACCATGGTGCGATTGGCGTGGTGACGCTCGAAGACGTGATCGAAGAACTGATTGGGGAAGAAATCGTGGATGAATCTGATGTCTTTATTGACGTACACAAAGCCATTCGCCGATCAATGGCAGCGCCGTTCAGGCGCATTCCAAAAACGTATATCCTGCCTGACGAGCCCTCAACAGTCAATGGCGCCGGTCCAGAGTTGGTCGATATTGCCGAAAGCGAGATACTCTCGCCAGATGATCTTCAACGCGCCAAAACGGCTGAAAATCCGCCCAAAAAGAAGGATGTTGTGGGCGCTAGGAGACGCTCAAGCGCAAACAGTATGGGTGGAGATAACAAAGCTGGTCGGAGAAATGCGAGCACAGACGAAATCAAAGAGCACCTGAAGCATCTTGGACCATCCAATCTGGCCAGCAGGCCCCGAACCACGCGATACAACACAGTGAAGATCAAGCCCGGGACAGCCACAGCGACGAAGCCAGAGGGTCGGCTAACTCCGGCTCGCCGCATATCAGAACCCGCCTCGGAATACCAGGGTGGCATTGGAGAAGGATTGCTCAGTTCTGGTGGTAAGAACGCCAGTGGTGGCGTGCAAGCCTTGAAGCAGGGTTATGATACCATATCGGGTTCGCCGAGTGAAAGAAGACCGCATAGTGCGAACAAAGCAGTCCAAGCAGGGCCGCCACTAGACAAAGATCTCGACCACAACGGCACTCCTGACCAAGACACGTATCAAGAACGGCCATCAGTCAGGACCATGGACAGTCAAAGCACCATAGGAAGCTTACCCGGATCCCGGCAGCAGTCAAGAAGCCCTTATTACCATCACAAAGGTCCTGCCAGGAGTGGTAGTATCACGGAAAACATTGTCGATACCAATGGATTTCGGAAGGTAGTCCTTGAGATGACATCGAGCAGCGAGTCGAACGAGGAGGACGAAAATTCCGGGGCAAACAAGGGGCAACATTCATATGACGAGAACGGAAACTCTACCACAAAACTTCGAGGTGGTAACCAAGAAAATCCAGACGACCATCCGGAAGATGACTCGAAGAAGAAAAAGCGGCGCAAACGGAAGCATGGGCGCGGCAACGGCAAGGGAGAACGCCAGCCACTGTTGGGCGACTAGTAGAGCTGGTGGCCATGGTGGAGAGCGACAACAGCAGATTAAAAGTGCTCACTTGAATATCGACATCATTTCTCAAAAAGGGGACACTCTTCAATTGTCGTCGACGACTGGAGCGCTTCGGGCTCGGTTTGGGCGGACTCAATAACAATAACAGCCATGTAATGTATTCACTATTGATGGAATCGGGTCAGGCAGTGGGTTATTCGGAGACCTCATTCATGGTGAAGCCGCAACAATCACACCGCCGCTTGGCAGCCTGCTGTCTTCACTTCACAACCCACAACCTGTCGAGGCAGTGCTGTGAGTGACCTTTCTCTTTCATCTTTCCACTTCTTCGAACACCTTCAACTTCTTCCACAACCCCTGCTACTGCAAGCTCCTCACTTGCATCTGCTACTTGCTTAGTCTCAACTTCTATGAGACCATCTTCTTCTCACCAGAGCGCTATCTCAGCCCTTCTCTGTGCGAGATCCTGCGTCGGTGACCTCAGTTGAGATTCAACCGCCGGTGACCTTTGGTCTGATTTCCAGCACAACCTTCCTCGAGCACTGCTCTTCCTCCTCAGAGAAAGACTGCCCCACTGTCCTCAGAGAAAGACTGCCTCTTGACACTTCTCAGAGAAAGGTCGCCTCTCCACCGCTCTCAGAAACGAGATCACCTCTTCCTTTCTCAGAGAAAAATCACGTCTTCACAGTCTTGAGAAAAAGACCAAGTCACAAGATCTTCGAAAGAGATCACCTCTTACAAGTTTCAGAGAAAGATCATCTCTTCACTGTTTCTCAGCGCAAGACTACGACACAATTCTCAAAGAAACACCTCATCCCTACAAATTTTGGAGACATGACCACGTCTTTACAGTCCTCAGAGAGAAGTCACGACTTTACAATCGTCAAAGAGAAATCACGTCTTCAGAGTTCTCAGAAAAAATTCAAGCTTTCACAGTCCTCAGAGAAAGATCATCTCCCAATTCTCAGAGCAAAAACACAAAGACACAATTCTCAGACAAAGACGTCCTCTTCACAACTCTCAGAGAAAGATCGCGTCTCCGCCTCACTCTAGGGAAAGATCACCTCTTCACAGTTTTCGGAAACAAGATCACCTAGACACAGATCTCAGAGACGACCTCCTCTCTACAGTTCTCGGAAACAAGACTGCCTCTTCACCATTTTGAGAGATGAATCACACTTTCACATTCCTCAGAAAACAGATCACCTCTTGAACACAGTTCTCAGAGAAAGATCAGATCTTCACAGTCTTCAGCGAACATGTCACCTCTTCACCTCGCCTCAGACAAACATCACCTCTTCACAGTCCTCAGACAACAGATCACATCTTCAACTCAGTTCTCAGAGAAAGATCACCTCCTCACAGTTTCCAGAGAAAGACCTCCTCTCTACACTGCGCGGAAAGAAGATCACCTCTTCACAATTCTCAGAGAAAGACCTCTCCCCGGCTTTTGGAAAGAAGATTTACCAGGATTGCCCATCATGCCTCAAAGACCTTTCGAACAACTTCTCCTTCCATCCCTCATGAAAGACTTTCTATCATTACTACCGGCCATTTTCCTATCACTGTCGATCTTGACATATTGGGTCCCCGCACTGCCAGAAGATAACTGGGTGGAATTGGCTTGCACAGTCCCCTTTTCGGTTGTCGTTGGCTGCTTCTGGTGGACGTTTCTCCCATTTCTAGGCAGTGTTATCTTCACCGGTGATGATAGCGGCACAGCATTTCAAGACGCTCTGATGGCATGGTTTTGGGACTCCGTCGACATATGGCTGTACTTGTTACTGCTACTCCACAACCTCGTCTACTCCGTCGGTTGGCTTGCCTCAAAGATTATCTGTCTTCTGAGAAAGCTCTGCGTCAACCCCGTCAACAATCACTATGTCACTGCCACCAGAACCACCCTCATCAATGCCCTCCGACATGGCAAGCGAGCAGTATGCACCGGCATCTCATTTGTGACGACCCCAATATGCGACGTCCTCGCGCAGAAAACAGCCTTTCTAGCCGCGCTGCGCGATGCAGCTCGGCTTGAAGAGGAGCTTTCACAGGCCAAGGCGGAGGCCGCTCAGCTGCGAGAGAGGAACTCGGTGGTGGAGACGATGTACGCTCAGGTCAAAGGCAACCTCGGCAACCTGGTCAGAAGAGGCACCCGGTCGCTGCCCTCGTCAGTCGACTGCGTCAGCTTCCTGCAAAAGCTCGTCCGAAGCAAGGACCAGCAAATCCTGGATCAAGCCGAGGTGATCAGAGCGTTGGAGGAGGAACTCGAGGCGACTAACAAGCTCAGCGACCTGGATGGTTCACGTGTCGCCCAGCTCACTGAACAGCTCACTGAGCTCCAGGCGCAGCTGGCGACCGCGAACGCTTCCGACTCCGATGCGACCGAAAAGCTTCAGGAGCAAGTCCGAGCTTTGACAACTGCCCTCGCATCGGAGAGAGCTGCAGCCAGCAACGAGAAGGCCGGTCTTCTTTTGTCCGTTGCGTCCGAGAAGGGGCGAGCCGATGCGCTCCAGCGTAAGCTGGAAGTCGCAAAGGCGGACTCTGAGAAGAAGCTTGCGGACAAAGAAGCGCAAGCAGAGGAGGACCTAGACGAGATGGCCAAGCTGAATGCCGACCTCCTCAACGACAGCCTCGCGAAGGACGCCCAGATCAAGGTACTTGAGGAGCGCCTTGCTGCAGCAGCTGCCTCCCCAACCGTCACCGCCGACAGCGGCGTGGCGGATATTGAGGCAGCTGTTCGTGGCAAGGCCGCTGCCAAAGAGGCCTTGAGAACCAACGTCCGGACGTTGGGAGAAGAAGTTGCCTCTCTGAAGGCAGCTAACTCCCAACTGAAGGCGGAGGCTGGGCAGGAGGTGTCGGCAAGGGCGGCCCTCAAGCAGGAGCTGGAATCCACCCAGCAAGAACTTGGGGCCACCCGAGGCGAGCTCAAAGAGGCCCGAGGACACCTCGAAAAGTCCAATGCGGCCGCTGGGCAGTGGCAAGCACACTGGAAGGAGGCAGATCGGTGCCGAGAAGACAATGCCCAGAAGCTGGTCGCCTGTGCCAAGGACCTTGAGCGGCTCCGAAAGGGCCGAGATGACACCTACCATCAAGCTCAAGAGGAGCTGCTGAAGAAGAAGGAGCAAGCCGAGAGAGATCGCGACAGCGAGAAGGCGAAGAAAGAGCAGCGGCAACAGCAGATTCAGCAGATTCAGCGCCAGGCCGACCAACAGAAGCGCGACTTTCAGAAGAAGCTCCAAGAGGCAGAAGAATACTGTCGATCCAAGGACGACGAGATCAAAGGCTATGTGGCAACGATCGCCGAGCTGACCATGCCCCCTCCGGAGGACATGGAGGTCGACGCCGCGAATTCTGCACCAGCATCTACACCAACTTCCGTCTCACGCTCAGACGACATGGAGGTCGAGCCTCCAACAACTCCAACTCCGGCAACCTCACAAACTCCCGTTGCACCGCGAACCCCTACTCTACATCGCCCCAGCGAATTTGGTGGAACCAGCATCTCGAGCTTGCCAAGTCAGTCGTCCACAGGACGGTCCACCAACACATCAATTTCAGAGCTTACCAGAGCAGCAGAAATGCGCCAGCGGTGGATTGACGACTTGAACAAGCGACTGAATGCCCAAGGCGACCGCATCGTAAGACTCTTGGACGAGATCGAGAAGCTCAAAGAAGAAAAAGGAACGCTCCACCAGCAAGCCTGGGATCACAAGCAGAAGATCTCGAAGCTCGAGAAAGAAAAGCAGGACCTCAAAGATCAGATCGAGACGGCGGTTGACGACGCTGACAACGAGGCACTGATTGACAATGCTTTTCTCAAACACGAAATCGAGGAACTCAAGCAGACTGTGTCTGAGATGGAGGAACTCAAGCAGCAGAACCGCGGTTTGTCGAACCAGGCCGAAGCTTCAAGTATGTCAGCAATGATGTACAAAGAGAAAGCAGACGCCGCAGAAGCAAAGGTCGCCCAGCTACAACCATCACCACGAGATGAAGCTCCCGGGAGTCCTCACAAGTTCGCAGGCGTGAAGCGCACGGCTGTGCAGAGTGAAGGTGTCAAGAAGCAGAACACGAACACGCACGCAAACCCCTTTGCGAATCTGCTGCAGCCTCACCAGCAACAACCGGGTCAGGTCCAAGAACAACAGCAACCGCAAGGCCAGACTCAAGCTCAGACGACCCAGCCTGCGATTGACGAACCGAGCGAGAACACGCAAGAGCCAGAGGAGTCAGAAGAGGACCTCTGGAAGTGGATCGACGAGTCAAAGTGCTTGTGAAATTACGGAGAATATGCCGCCGCAAGGCGCTGACCCAACCCGCAGCTGAGGGACAATCGGCAGGATTGCAGGGCAAACCAGAGGTGTCCCAAGAGGACATAATGGAATCCAACAAACGGATATGCCGCTTTCCCCTAACCCAGCTCGCGTCTCCGAGACAGCAACAGACCATGCAGGCAAACCAGAGGTGTCCCAAGAGGACATAATGGAATCCAACAAACGGATATGCCGCATTCTCCCGAACCAACCCGCAGCTGAAAGACGGCAACAGCATCGCAGCGCAGACCAGAGGTGTCCCAAGAGGACATAATGGTATCAACAATCAAGCGCTGCATTGAAACTACGACGAACATGCTTCAATGCCTCGAACGAGCTCGCAGCGAAAGGACAGCTACAGACCATGCAGGCAAACCAGAGGTGTCCCAAAAGGACATAATGGAATCCAATAAACGGATATGCCGCGTTGGAATCACGACGAGTCTGCTGTATTGCGCTGTGCCCAGCCCGCATCAGAAAGACAGCAGCAGAATTACAGGGCAAAACATGAAATGTCTCAAGAGGGACTCAACGGAATCAACGAAAGCAAGCGCTGCATTATATCTACGACGGATATGGCGCATTGCCCCGATCCAGCCCGCGGCTGAAGGACGGCACTACGAACCACGGGTCAGGAAGGGAGGACAGCACAGGAGACACAAGGCAGGCAGGGATGAAGAACAGCAACGGGAGACAGAGGGCAGGCAGGAATGAAGAACAGCAACACGAGACACAGTGGACGCAGGAACGAAATGATAGAAGAGGACAACGGGAATCAGAGGCAGGAAGCGGAGCGCCGAACTCGGTACGAATGTGCCATTCATCGGCGAATGCTGAACTCCTATCAATGCAGTCTAGGGAAATAAGAAAAGTCTTGTTCACTCAGTAGCTTCCTTCCGCTTTGCCGAAGAACCCATAGCAGGCCTTGTAGATGTGTCCGCCTCGGGCTCCGCAGTTATTACATTGCGGATCAAGGGGGCCGAACTTGAGTTCGGTGTGTCGCCTAGACCGTTATCCTCATCCTCCACCTCGTGATATTGCCGCTCGTCCCTCTTTTTCAGTTTCTCTCTCGCCTCCTCTCGCATCTTGACGACTTTCAGGTAGTTGTAGCTTGCGATGCTGATGATGGTGACGATCAGACCCGAGATGTTCACCACGGATAATTCATCGTGAAAGACAATGCCGGCGGCACTGATGGTGACGACTTCTTTGAAGATGCCGCAAATACTGAGCGTAACAACACTTGTGCGCTGGAGCAGGGTGAACTCGCTGGCGATCATGCAGAAAGCAATGCAACCCGGGACAATCAGCAGGAGCAGGGCTTTGAGCACTCCGTGTTCCCTAAATAGGAGAAATAGACCCGTGATGACTGCGGAGGGTGTCTCGGAGACGCATGCGATCAAGAATAGCGTGACGAACATGATTGGCGCGATGAAGAACATTGTCGCGAACGGATTCGACGTTGCGGGATGGCGAAGGAGGAGGATCTGCGTCAATGCCCAGCGGAAACCGGAGAAGAAGGAAGCAGAAATGGCTAATGCGAAGCCGAGGGCGTGAAATGCTGTCTCGCCAGCGACCATCATGAGAACTCCCAGCGTCATGGTGAGGATGATGAGTATGAGCTTGAGCGACGGCTTTTCCAGGCGGAAGAGGAAGGCGAACACAAGGACGAAGATCAAGACCGATGATTTACACATTGTGTAGAAGGTTAAGGTTATGTATCGGAGCGAGGTGTTGCCGAGTCCAATGTCGAGAGAGGTCGTAGTACCCGTGGGCACGAGCCGTGTAAAATAGAATAAAGGTGAAACGAGTGGTGTTGAAGGGTTTGACCCGTCTGGGTTCCTGGGAACGGATGGTCGTAATGATGGGAACGTCAAGAGGACGGCAGAAGCCAATATAAACTGGACCACCATGTGTAGCGAAGTTGCGAACAGAGGGAAGTGGAAGTCGAGGTGGTCGGATGAGAACATCATCTTGTTGTACTGCACCAGTCAGTCAGATGAATGCCAGGAAACCAGAGCACTAGACTCACGATCGATATAGCGAGCGAGAAGAAGTACCACAGGCCTATGAGGACGGCGTTGATGATCAGGTTGCGCAGGACATTCTTGTCCGCCTCCCTCGCTTCATCATTGGATATGCCTGCGGTGCCAGCAATCCTTGCACCAAGGCCATCTCGCCGCCGCTTTCTCTTGATGTATTTGCGTCTGTCATGTCGACTCAGGCCAGTCTCTGCATCTTGATCGCCTTCCACATCCGAGTCCAGCAGACCTAATTCATGTTCTTCTGATTCCGACATGGAGCCTGCCTCATCTTCTGAGCCTTCGCTTTTCGACTCGGACACGGAGCCTGTACCTCGCCGTCTGAACTTACGACGGGAGTTGATGACCAAGCTATTCTCGTCGGCTGTCGCAGGTGGTGCTGCGGAAGACGGTCTTGAAACGCGGTCGGTGTAGGATGGTGTGTCCATGGGAAGGACGTGAGACTGCGGCGAGGAACGATCGAGTCATGGAAGGTCAGAGGGAAGGAGTGACAGAGGATGAGCGAGCGACAGACAGCCTGATCTCCATACAGTAAGAACGATGACACACTGGGTCTTGTGGAGACGTGGAAAGCAGGAGACGAGGGTGTTGAGACAACTCAGGCAAGGGGTCAGCGGTACAGTATGTACCTCGTCCTCAGCCCTACTGGGTATCCGCGATCTTATCGGTTAATAGGCGTCTTTTGCTAGTGTCGGATATGCAGATCCGACACTCCCACCAGCTAATTATCAATTGCACAAAGAACCCGGGGACTCCTGGAAAAGTCGACATCATCACCACATTACGTAGTACACAGTAGGACTACCTGGTACTCATTGTACCATTAACACACAATTCTCCCCACAGTCTTATTCCAATTCGATGAAGTAGGTAAATTGCTTTTGCCTTACACACTTCGTATTGCCGTGCGTTAGTCATCCTCGTCTTTCTCTTTTTGTGCGTCCCCGTGATACACGTCTGAAACACTTCTCATAGCTTCATTAGGAGGCCTTCTGCAGTCCGTCACGGCCAGCTATCACTCCTTTGCGCTCGTTGGCACTGGGACAGCTACCTAAGAACGTTGATTGAACCATACACCAAGGAATCCCCTCCAACTAGTCATCATTAATCCGTCATGGGCGACGCACTACTTCTGGGGAAACCCCAGCAAATTGAGGACTATGGCCTGATAGGGGACATGAGAACCTGCGCACTGGTGGGCAAGAATGGGAGCATCGACTTCATGTGCTGGCCTCAGTTCGACTCGCCGTCGGTTTTCGCCAAAGTCCTCGACACCACCAAGGGCGACGGAGGGCATTGGAGTATTAGTCCGCGGGGTGCAACGGTTCGCAAGCAGAACTATCGCGGCTCGTCAAACATCCTGCAGACCAAGTGGATTGACGAGAACGGTGTGGTAGATCTGACCGACTTCTTTGCCTTGTCAAAACACAACAAGGTGCTACGGGACAAATGGAGTGGTTCAACCCTAGTCAGAAAATTGGAGTGTGTCCGGGGAAAGATGTCAATCGACATTGAGCTTTCTCCGCGACCGGACTATGCTCGCGACCAAGGCTCGATGAAGAGTACGCAGGTAAAACGCGAGGACGGCACATACCATCAGAAAATCTCTTGGGTTCCTCATGAGAATGACAGCACCGACCCCAAAGACATTCCGGACTTCTTCGCAACCTACTGCACGCATGACCAACCTCTCAGCCATACACCCGCAATGTTTCAACCGGCCAAATCCAAGGATGGAAAAGCAAGCGAAAACGAGACCCGTTCGTGTCGAGCTCACTTCGAACTCCAAGAAGGCCAACAAGTCTATATGATCATGTGCAACCGTCGTGTTGGCCCTCATCTTACAAAAGATCTTATGATCAATCTCGAAGACGAGACGTACAAGTTCTGGACTAGCTGGGTCCGATCTTGCCTGTACCGCGGTCGCTTCCAACAGGAAGTGGAAAGAAGCATGCTGATCCTGAAACTGTTGACCTACGATCCCACTGGTGCTATATGTGCCGCCCCAACCTTCTCTCTACCGGAAGCGATCGGCGGTCCTCGAAACTGGGACTACCGATACTCCTGGGTCCGAGACTCCAGTTTTACAGTCTATGTATTCCTGAAAATGGGTTTCCCAGCAGAAGCCGAAGCTTACATCAACTTTATCTTTGCCAGAATTGCCGAATGGCGTAAAAACGCCGAAGCCTCTGGGCCAGGAGAAATACATCACTTGCCCCTGATGTTTGGCATCGACGGGTCTACAGACTTGCCCGAGCTTACACTTGATCACCTCTCGGGCTACCAAGACAGTGTGCCCGTCCGCATCGGCAACGCGGCAACGGACCATGTTCAGCTTGACATCTACGGTGAACTTATGGACGCAATCTACCTGTACAATAAACATGGCAAACCCATCTGCTACGCCCAGTGGCTCGACATCCGCTATCTCACCGACTTCGTCTGCCGCGTGTGGAACCAACCGGACATGTCGATCTGGGAAGTCCGCGGCCGCAAACAACATTTCACCTATTCAAAAATGCTTCTGTGGGTTGCCGTCGACCGCGCCTTGCGGCTCTCCGAAAAGCGCAATTTCCCGTGTCCGAACCGCAACAAATGGCTAGAGACACGCGACACGATATACGAGGAAGTCATGCAGAAAGGGTTCAACTACGAGCTCAACAGCTTTGTGCAAAGCTACGAGTCGAACACGACGCTGGATTCGGCCGTGCTAGTCGCGCCACTGGTCTTTTTCATCGCTCCTAATGATCCCCAATTCGTCGGCACGCTCGACCGCATCCTCCGCACGCCGGAGAAAGGAGGTCTCACGTCTGCCGGGTTTGTGTTCCGCTACGACCACGAGCAAACAGATGATGGTATTTCTCCCATGCCACCTCTCACTTCCCCTTATGATGTCGCCCCTACCTACATCACCTCGTGTACAGACACTTACTAACAGATTGCTCAGGTGTTGGCGGCCGTGAAGGCACATTCGTGATGTGCACGCTCTGGCTCATCGAATCGCTCATCCGCGCAGGCAAATACGACCGCAAGTATTTCGACACGGCAAACAGCATGTTCGAGACCGTCACCAACTTCAGAAACCACGTCGGGATGCTCTCGGAAGAAATTGCAATCAGCGGCGAGCAGCTGGGCAACACGCCCCAGGCTTTCTCTCACCTCGCGTACGTCTCTGCGGCTATTAACCTGGAGAGGGTCACGAGAGGGGATTGGGCAGTCGGGTTTTGAGGTTGGTGAAGATTGACCGGCCCGAATTGACCCCGGGGTAATTACTGTCAGATTGGGGAGTGGGCGATCTAACCCTTATTTCACGAACAAGAACGGCCTGTCTCTGTAAGACATCAGCCATGGCATTAGATTGTGAAAGACGAGAAAGATTGGTCCTGGGCTTCAGATGGTCATTTGGACAGCGATGGGTCGAGGCCATATTCGCATCTAGTCGAGCGTTGCGATCTTCGTGTTGATAGACGAGATTACTGTGAGGTAGCGGACACTTGTAACCCGATACCGCCGCGGTGACTAGGTAATGGCTGGCACATGTTGACGTATGCAGAACACGACTGATTGCGCCCTCTCTGCTCCCTTCCTTCGGGTCGCGGCCCTATGGTGCTGGTTCACAAGTCACGGGCCGCTACGATAAAGTCTCCAGGCGGATAATGCCGAGGCTGAAACCTCCCTGACTAAATGGAAACAGAGACCTCCTCCATAGGGCGTACAGTTCCGTTGGTTGGACCTATAGCGCGGAGTTAGTTAGTTCCAATTTCCGAAAATCTTGGCTGTGGCTGTATTAATTACTAGTAGTAACTAAAATTAGTAAAATACAGGTAATAAAAGGTAGTAAAAAGAAACTTTATAAACACTTTACCCTTAGAATTTACTAAGTATATCTAGTAATAACTAGAAGTAGTTAGTTATATTAGGAATAAAGTTTATTATATAGCCTTTTATAAATTTTATTACTATACCTAGGGAATTATTAAGGTTATTACCGATAAATAAATAATTCTAATTCTAAAGGATTAAATAAACTATAATATTCTTAAGTATAATAGTAATATTACCTAGTTATCTCTTCTTACTACTAAAGGCTAAAGAATATAAAGTTAGAAAATAATAAAAGAATTACTTATTAGAACTAGGCGAGACTATTTAGTCCTAGACACTACTAGGTTCTCCCGTTCCCGAAGATTAAACTCCTCTTTACGAAGATATAGCTCCCTCTCTCTTAGCTTTAAAGCCTTTTCTTAATTTTAAAGTCGTAATTAATCCCGCTCTTTCTCGGAAATTACTATACTTTTAGTTATTTTACTAGCTTATATTCGTTTTATAAAGCTTAGTTTTAAAATCTTACTTAAAGAAACACCTTTAAAATTAAAAGGGATAATAAATAACTAAGAATTACTAAGGTTTTCTAGTAAGTCCGGAGAGAAATTATCGTCTTTTTTAATTAATTTTCGAATTCGAGTAGCTATTATATAAATTAGTTATTTATTGTTAGGAACAGCCTATAGCGATAGGCAGAGAGTAATAGTGGTGGGATTCAATGATATTAGGTGTCCCTAGACCTCTAGGTCAAACAGGACTCAAAGCATGAAAGGAGGGTAAGACTCTCATGCGAGCTGCATGAGAGATGAAGGCGTCCTCTTGGCAGGCTTAGTAAGCTCTGGTCGCCATTCCTGACAAATATTCTCTACTATACCTTCTTTAAAGAAGAAGCTACTAAAGGCTACTAGTAAACTTACTAATACTTAAGAGTCTTCCGGCTAAAAGAGCTCCTTATTAAAAGCTAAATTTATTCTTACTAACTCTTAAAAGGATTATCTAAATACTAAAAAGATATATAGATAACTAATATTAAGCGATTCTTAAGATTTAGCTAAATATACCGTTAAGAAGCTTTAAACTTAACCCCTACTAAAGCTTACTAGTACTATTAATAGTATTTCGAGGAAGCTAAATATTCCTGCTTCTATAAAGAAAGGAGCTAAAAAGAAATCCCGTGAGTAAGTTCTTAATAATTCTAAAACTAGATACTACTTAAAGTTATTAATACTTTTTAGGAAATACGTAAGTTATTAGCTTTAAGGGAAAAGATATAGCGCCTCTTTAATAAATAGTTCTTATATATATAAATAATATATACTTAGTAATTATTATTAGTTTATAGCTACCGAGGGGTATTTACTAGTATAGTATAAAGTTTATTAAGAATAGCTTAAGGATACTAAAAAGAAGTAGTCTTTTTTAGCTTACTTATAAATTATAAGTATACTCTTTTTTAGGATTTTCTATAACTAGTAATTACTAGTTACTAGTTATAAAGATAAATTTAACGATTATATACTAAGTATTATTACTAGTAACTAGTCTTAATAAGTATAAATCTCGTCGTTAAATATAGTTACTAGTTATTCCTAGTAACTACTAGTAACTCCGAACTCCGTAGGTATTTCTCCTAATTATTTCTAGTTATTTCTATAAACTTACACTATATATATTATTAATACTTACTAGTTATTACTATTAATAGTTATTATATCCTTACTCTTCACTAACTTCCTAGAAATTATTAGTAATAACTAGTAATATCTATAAAATAATATATACTTCTACTTTTTAAAAGGTTATAAGCGCTTTATAAGTAGTCTTTTATAGTAGTTTCTAGTAATATTTAGTATAGCTAATAATAATTAATATATAGTACTTACTTAGTTCTAGAATAGTTTCCATTATAAATACCTTTAAGAGATTAGTATCTACAGCTACCTTTACCTTATCTAGTAATTTATAAAAATTAGTAATAATAATTAATAAGTAGTAATAGTACTTACGAGGTATTAATATATAATATACTTTCGAATTATCCCTATAGGATATATATCTTTACTTATAAAAGTTAGTAGTAATAACTAGTAATAGCTAGTTATATACTTAATAATATATAAAGGTATAACGAGCAAGCTACTATATATACTAAGATCACTTAGAAATTATTAATAACGATAAGTAATACCTAGTAATTAGTACTTATAATTATACTATTACTAGTCTAAACTAGTAATACCCGTATATTCTTATAATAGTAGTTAACTATAAATAACTTAACCTTACTAGTAATTTCTAGTAACTAGTAAGTAGGCGTACTATCTAGCGAAGCTTAGCTATAATAACTAGGCGTAACTAGTAATACTATATTAGGTAGATCTACGCGCTCTTAGTAGCTACTATACTTTACTAGAGTATACTAGTTATTAATAGTTATATTGCTAGTATTTCTAGGTTTTAACTAGTCGTTTCTATTATTACTAGTAACTACTAGTACTAACTATCTAACCTAGTTATTACTAGTTTAGCCTAGTAACTCGGCTAGTATTTTACTATATAATCTTAATTAAAATTACTAGTAACTTTTAATTATAATTAGAAAGAAAAATTTATATAAAGGACTAGTAATAACTAGAAGTTAGTAGAGTCTTATAAGTATATATCTTTAATATTTTTATTAAGTATAGTAGTAAAGGTAAAGTGATTATAAAGTAAAAATTTTATAGTTAAAATTACGCCTTAATCTAAACTCGTGCTAATACTTAAAATTATCGCTTTTTAGTGCTTTTCAAGTCTTTATAAATTATAAAGTAATAACAGCAAATATTTAGAAGAGTATAGAAGAGTATAGAAGTAGGGATAGATAATAATAATATATATAAAATTATAATTAGTTATATAAAAAGAGGAAAAAGAGAGAGAGAGAGAGAGTAAAAGTTTTTAAAATAATATCTAGTGTAGTTGCTAAGACTTTTTCAAAATCCGTTCTTTCCTTTAAAATACCGGTAACTACTAGTTATACTACAATTACGCCACAGCTCGGAAATTGGAACTGACCAACTCCGCGCTGTAGGTCCAACCAAGGGAACTGCAACCCCCTCCTCCATGCCTGCATCTTATCAACTCTGTCGACTCCACCGGTGGGAACAACCAAGGGGCCCAGAAACCGCGATCCCGAGAACGGGCTCCCAGTGTTGGAACGAAGTACGGAGTACGGAGTAGAGATCCGATACTCAGAACCAACGCGTCCAAGCCGGTCCCAGCCCGACGATTGATCGATCCCTCCAACCGAGCTAAAATTGCAGGGCAGAGGCAAAGTCACCCTTCTCCACTTCCAAAATCCAGCCTTGTCCGAATGGGGAAACCAAAGATCGAAGATTACTCCGTAACTCGTAGTGCGTAGCACAGTGGCCTAGTGCAGTACGTACTCCGTAGCTGACCCGGCGCTGCATGCTATAAATTGCAGGGCAAGCACTTGCGCCTCTGCTGGATGGCTATCTTGGGTTAGGACCACAGGCTCAGAAGCAGCCTTCTAACTAATCACTTGTTCATAGAGAAAGAAGCTCGCGAGGCTGAAGTCGAAAGGAGACCCCAGCTCTGTCTCGTTCAATTCGTGGAGCAGCGGCACTAAGAAATTCTTAGCTTGTAGCGCTGATGGCCACGTATGGAATAGTTGGATTAGATCCGGCACAAGTGGCACGATAACGTGCGGCGAGGAAAGGTAAGTGAACAACAGAGTGAAGACAGAAGCCGGACGTTTTGTATTGTTTTCCGGCCAGCCAAACAAGACTGCTACACAGCTACCGTAAGTTACAGTCAGCCCGTGCGTGGCTCCTGATGACTTTTCAGTCAAAGCCGACACCGATCGACCACCATCCGCGGTGGGGAACCACATCCCTTCGCGATTGTGTGGTGGTGGTCAAGACGCCTGCACGGAGGCATGCTGATCGCGACACCACTTCAGGTTCTTGAGGCTCTGAAGAGCGCAGAGTGATATCCTGGTAGAGTCTCCAAGGCCTTGGCAGGTCGATAGCCTGTGAAAACACCATCCGCTGGGTGTATCCGCCATGAAGCTCAAAAGGCACCCCTCCAAGGATTTGTTGGTCGTATCCTCCAGGAGCGATTTCCAGCAATCACCTGGTAGTTTCTTCATAAAAAGCGTTGTTCTTCTCATCCACCCTTCTTCATCACGGTATTCGCAGCAGCCTTGCCAAGGGAAGAATCAGACCCGATTTTTCCATCAAGCGAGCCTTTTGCGAGCCTCAGTGTGATCTTGTTCCGCTCCATGTCGACCACCTTCCTCATCCGCTCCAGATCCCCAACGCTCTGACCATCAATGTGACGAACATTTGACTGGCCATATGGTTTCTCGATGAGGAAAGTATCAGAGATTATCATGACATTCCCTGACCAGCGAGCTGGATGGGTCCTTGAAAGCGAGTCAAAAAGAGCCTGATCGACAGGGCTGGTGCCCTTGGGACCAACGCGGGCTTGAGCCGCTTGCTGCACGGCTATGTTTTTAGCAAGCCGTGCTTGAACGGCATTGGTATCGATCGCGTTGAAGGCCGGACTAGGGGCGGGCTCGGACGAGGACTGAGGAAGCGAGAGGAGTTGAAAGCTGCTGATTTGCGAGATGGGAATGATTCGGTAGATGCCGGCAGGGGCAAGAAGAGAGGCGGAAGTCAAAGACGTGCCTACGGCGGCGTTGGTGTTGAGGACAAGTAGGTTAGTCAGGGGATCGGCTGTGTAAACGGTGCCCTCGACGGTGGTCTGGATCGGCGCGGCTGTGGTGACACGCACTCTGTCGGACTGTCAGCAAAAGCCGACCAGCCATCCTGCACTTCTGGTGCTGCCTTACCGACTTCCAATAGCTTGCTGCAGACTCACATCCTGCGACACCGAGGACGCTGCGGGCTGAGATGGCTCGCCCTTGGGCAAAGCAACCGGCACTCTAGTCCCTGCATTCTGGCGCTTAGTGTCGGCTGCCATCCTCATGCAAGGCCAGGCTGTCCGTCAGGTGATGGGGCTATCACGACGATGAGTGTCCTTTTGCAAAGGTGCCGCAGGTGGCGAAGCTGTCCGTGATGAGAGGCGCGCACGAGGTTGATTGACAGCCTCGACTCGTTGTCGGTATGATGAGGCAACGACAGTCCTGGCTCGTGCCGGCAGTCACGATGCTCGCTTGCCCAAAATTCAAAGCGAAACGAATACGCCGGGCGCCAAGATGCGAATGGTCGCAAGGCGAACGAGGAAGCAAAAAAGCAAATTACAAGAAGAGAAAATGAAAAGCGCGGGTCAACAACTTCAGGAAGTTGATGAGCGCGAGGTGCCGCAGTTGACAGGTGCGGGTGCAGGTGCAGGTGCGGTTGCCGTTGGTGTTGCGCTTTGAGGCATGAACTTATTTCGCTAAGGGGGAACTACGGACTACGGCTTGTTGATTGGCTGGCCGGATCTAAGTTACACCGCATTCCGGAAAGGGGCCAAGCTCGGCAGCATCACTTTTTATTGACCCCGGCACAAGAAAGCCCAAATATGAACACTATCTATGCCGTGGATGTACACCCGAAACCTTACGAAAACGGCTGCGCGCAGTGATGCTTCAAGCGCGTCCCTTTATCTCATCCCTTAAAGAGACCGCCAGACTGATGCCTGTACGGATGCACAATGCGACTATGCGTTGTAAGTGGATGCAGACACGTTTCCACCACGACCAGTCCAGTTGACGTGAATGTGGTCGCCGGACTTGTACTTCTCGTTGGCGTACTCGGGCTTGATGACGAAAGTGTGAGCGCCGAAGTAATCACGTTGAGCTTGGAGCAAGTTGGCAGGGAGATCCTTGGTGCGGTACCCGTCGAAGAAGGCCAGAGCAGTGCTGAATGCAGGCATGGGAATACCGGCCTTGACCGCATATGCCACCACGTCTCTCCAGCCTTCCTGGGCCGAGTGGATAGCCTTGTTGAAGAAGTCGTTGAACAAGAGGTTCTCGAGATCGGGCTCGGCACGGTAGGCGGCCGTGATGTCCTTCAAGAAGACTGACCGAATAATACAACCACCACGCCACATGAGGGCAATGGATGGCTTGTTGAGCTTCCAGCCGTATTGTTTGGCAGCCTGCACCAAAGTGTCAGTACATATGCATTTTGGATGCAGCTTATTGTCAACTTACAGTCTGCATCAACATGAAACCCTGGGCGTATGAGATGATCTTGGACGCGTAGAGGCCTTGTTCAAGGTTCTTGAGGAATGCAGCACGATCACCGCTGAAAGTGGGCTTGGGACCGCTGAGGACTTTCTCGGCACGAGTACGCTCCTCCTTGATGGAAGACAAGCAACGGGCAAACACAGCCTCACCAATCAAGGTGACAGGCATACCGAGATCCAGAGCATTGATGGCAGTCCACTTGCCGGTACCCTTTTGACCGGCGGAGTCGAGGATCTTCTCAACAAGCGGCTTGCCATCATCGTCATTGAAGCGGAGGACATCTCGGGTGATTTCGATCAGGAAGGAGTCGAGGACGCCATTGTTCCATTTGGCAAACTCCTCTCCCATCTCGGCGTAGCTCATTCCGAGACCTCGCTTCATGATGTCGTAGGCCTGAAGTGGAGTCAGTGGTGGTCCAAGAGCACAGTTGAGGATCAATTCACCTCGCAAATCAACTGCATATCACCGTACTCAATACCGTTGTGCACCATCTTGACGTAGTGGCCAGCACCCTCGTCACCGACCCAGTCGCAACAAGGCTCGCCATCAGATTTGGCGGCAATGCTCTGGAAGATATCCTTGATGTATGGCCAGGCCTCCTCGTTACCACCGGGCATGAGAGAAGGACCATAACGGGCACCTTCTTCACCACCGGAAACACCGGTTCCGACGAATCGAATGCCCTTGTCGGCAAGGTATCTGGTACGGCGGTTGGAGTCGGGGTAGTGGGAGTTTCCACCGTCAATGATGATATCGCCCTTTTCGCAGAACGGCAGCAGCTTCTCGATGAAGTCGTCAACGGCAGGGCCAGCCATGACCAGAAGCATCATACGGCGGGGCTTCTTGAGCTTGGAAACGAACTCCTCGATCGAGTGGGCCCCGACAATGGACTTGCCTGCGGTTCATGTTAGCCCAAAATCGGCCCCGAACCAGATGTTGCAACTTACCCTTGGCCTCATTCTCGAGGAAGCGGTCGACCTTGGATACAGTACGGTTAAACGCAACAACGGTGAAACCGTGGTCGGCAGCATTCAAGATCAAATTCTGGCCCATGACCGCAAGGCCAATGAGACCGAAATCACCACTGGGTTCCGACTGCGCAGGGCCGACCTTGAGGCCAGCCAGTCGCGCTCTATAGTCAGCATCCTGCTCGTCAATCGGGGTATCACCAAGGAAATGTATGACGCTCAAATGAAGCTTGGAAAAATCGATTAGACTTACACTGGACCCGACATGTTGACGGCTGAATGGACTATTGACTTGGTCTGATAAGAAGGTTGGGGTGAAGTAGAAGAAGACTAGGGCTTCAATCGAGTCTCTGTCTAATGCACCGAAAAAGACGAGAGTCACGAATGGTTAGAAAGAGGAAAGGAAGGAGCGAGACGGGAATTGGCAGTAATTATGTTGATTAGAGCTGGCGACTGGATTACCGCAAGCAACGGACAGGCATTTAAACCCCACCAAACAAATTCTCGCAGACGGGCTCCATGGAGGGGCAGTCAAGTCACCTAGCATCGGAACCTTGGGCACTGAGTCGCCCTCTGCTGGCTGACTACTCAGGCCATGCCTCTCGACCACTCATCGAGGCACGGTCGGTTCCCCAATGAAGCGTCTACTTTACGACTGCGATTACGCAGATGTCGGGAATGAGGCTTGAACAAGCCAGCGACAACCCGCAAGAAAGCCATGTGCTGCTGGGATTCGTGAATAACCACAAGCCGGTTGAGTCAGCAGTGAACAACGGGCAAGCATTGGTGATGGTGACGCTGCGATTGCCGGGATCGCGGTCCTCAGCAAATCCGAAAATAGCCGGCCGGGTCTGCCACCACCAGCTGCTGCTGTCGGCCAATTTGTTCGACAGCTTTCGAGTTAAATGCCTCCCGAACTGACTCCGGCGGTGCACACTCTCAGGCGGCAACGAGGCTCATTTGAGTTGACAGTCGCCCTTGTAGCAATAATCGATGCGGCAGGTAGCAAACTCCGAGCAACCAAATCCTGAAACCGACTTTTGAAAATTTGCTCGTGCGGAACGACTGGGCCGATTTGTCCCACTAGCTCATACTAGTTCTGTTTTAGCGCCTCGCTACACCTTCCCTGCGTCGTTGGCCGATTCCACTTCCTGTATGCCTGTGTACTTGTGTACACGAAGTCTCTCGATGTTGCTCCAAGGCTGCGGTGATTGACCATTTCGAAAGTCCTGCGACAGCAACTCTCTCGCCCTACTTTCGCCGTAGAAAAGTACACATACGCATACGCACCATCAACACGCTTCGCGTCTCTGTGGCCTCGCAGCGAGGATCGCTTGTTGCGCTACAAGATCAGCTTCAGGAGGGGCACCTGGTACGTCACTGACACCAGCAATCTCAGTTCCAGACCACATATTCATCATGTCGTACCCTCCGCCTCCAGGTCTAAACACCGCTCAGCCTCCTGCGTCGCTTCCTGCGCGACCGCCACCTTCAGCGTTTAGTGCGGGACCGGCGTTCAAACCAGCTACGAACAGCGTAACGAAACCTGCGATCACAGCGTTTGCGCCGAGGTCGGTCGCGAACACCTATCGCACGAGCAGCCCAGCACAATTTCCTACTCCTCCTGCAGCGACTTATACCTTGGGAGCGCCATATCAACCGCCGGGAGCGCAGTCTCAATATGACTCTGCATACTCCAGTGCTCCCCAAATCCGCAATCCCTTCGTCGCGACGTCCGATGCTGCCTCGTCTGCAAATGCATATGCTGATTACGACGCCGAATACGAAGCTCAAATACAGCAATGGCAATCCACCTACATGAACAACAATGCTGGTAATGCCACTAACACAAAGCCTACGGCGGGGTCGCATAACATTTCGCCCTCGGTCGCAACCACGTCCACGTCCCAGAAAGATCCCACAACATATAGCAAGGATGCCACGCCCAAGACAGTTCTCCGTAGCGGCGGTGGGTCAACGTGGACCGACCCAACACTTCTGGAGTGGGACCCCGCTCACTTCCGCATCTTCGTCGGCAACCTCGCGGGTGAAACGACTGATGACTCTTTGCTCAAGGCCTTTGCGCAGTACCCCTCGGTACAAAAGGCCCGCGTCATCCGCGACAAACGAACCACAAAATCAAAAGGCTACGGGTTCGTAAGTTTTGCTGATGGAGATGATTACTTCCGGGCTGCAAGGGATATGGCTGGCAAATATATAGGCAGCCACCCCGTTACAATCAAGAAGGCGAATACGGACGTGCGCCCCACGACAGTGAAACAGAACAACAAAGGCAAGAGTGCTGGCGGACATGGAAAGGTGCAGAACGATGGAGTGCAGAAGAAGCAGCCGAAGACGAAAGGCGGACTGAAGGTCCTCGGCTGAGCCACGCGACCGGAAGGAAGAATGTGCGCCAAGGGTCTCAGGAGGAGACTGAAGTCATTTGACCTGGGCTTGTAATGACCGATCGAAGGCTGAGGCTCACAGCTGATACACTTGTCCGCTCCACGCCAGGGACGACTAGTCCGCAGCTTCTCAACAATGTGGATGGAATCGAGATATAAAGGAGAGAAGGACATTCCAGTACGACGATATGTATACCACGAGGTGGCTGTTTCAACGTCTGGGCGACAATATGGTTGGACCGAAGTTTGTCTGCCGCTCCAGGAATCCTTGTCTGCCTCATACTTCGCCCCAGCTTAGTGGGGCTACACTGGAATCTCAAGTTACCAGATTCGCAGAGCAGCCATCAACATTGATGGCCGGCCCACTATCCGAATCTAGTTGCTAGTACCGTCGAGGTCTTGAAGGTGGCATTGGTGCAAGGCCAACAGCTCTGAGCTTGTGGGGAGCAACAGATAGATGAAGACCCGTTCACATCTGGGGCAAACCAGCCGGTTTAGGGCTCCAACATCGAAATTGGACTGAGTGCTGGCCTTCCAGGATGAAGCTAGAACGGGTGTGATGGTGATGAAGAGGGGAGCGATGCTGGGGATCTCAATTCCAGGCTCAAGGGGAACCCTTTTACTATGTACATGTCAGGTGGCCCAGCTGAGATTCACGTTCCATTCGAGATGATTGGTATTCCACTAGCAGAGGCAGGCAATGCATAGTGCAAAAGGCATTTCCAATGGTCTGCACACCGATCCTCCTACCACCGATTCTGCGGTGGAGTTGACCACGCATTCGGAGGACTGTACCATAATACACGTGGCTAGTTCCGTTTAGTGGAAGGACGATGGGAGGAGACGCTCTCGGGACGGCCGTTCGAGAGAAACTCGTCGAGGGATCGGCGGCAATGCGAAGACACAACCCACTGCACACCGTACTTTGCTTCTGGTCTCTTCATATTTGTCCCCTTGTTGCCGACGTACCCATGGCCCATGCCATTGTATGGGAAAATCATACGGCGAGCCATTGAAACCACCGCCACTATCTGTGTAGATCACCGTATTCGGCCAGATCGCAGTTTTCAGGTCGGCATCACACCCCACCATTACTTGTTTCATCATATCGCGCTCGTTCTCGATTTCCTCCCGATGCAAGTTGTCTGGGAAGCGGACACTGCGGCCTTTGCCAGCCGCAAGAGAGCAGCACGGGCATGTCAGAAATGTCGAGCTGCCAAAAAGCGGTGTCACCACACCTTTCAACGTCCGCCAGATCAGCAAGCCGACACGGATGGGCTGGAAAGAGTACTGCCCAACCTGACTCACAAAGAACCCATCCGCTTTGTCGGTGACCTCAACCCAGAGTCGATATTGACCGATCTATCATCACGCAAACAGGGCACGCAACGTATCAGTAGAGTCGGTACTTGGATTGAACAGTCGCGAGATGTCCAGGATAGCTTGCCGCCAGACGACCTGGGGCCTCCTCCTCCACAGAAGTCAGGGGAGAAAACACCGCTGAATGTCGAAAAGTATGGCAAAGTGGAGGGCGGCCGCAGGACGTTGACTGGCCACCAACGGAACTATTTACAGGCTGTAGGAGCCTTCCGGGTTCTGCCAAAAGCCACTCAGGATGCCATGATTACCACTTACATCGCATGTTTTGATGGACTCCTGCCGATACTAAACGGCATGAAGCTACTCAAAGACTATAGCGAAGGCCGATGCTCAATATTCTTGATGCAAGCGATATGTCTGGTGACTTGCAAGACTGAAGAGGCGGCAGCGTACTTGCGACTCTATGATGACGGGCCACTTCTCGATCCAATCCCGTTCGCTCGGAGCCTGCACACAGGCCTGGACGCCGCAATGAAGGCAGATCTCGAACCTGACCGAGTCACGAAGATCCAGATCCTAACTTTGATGCATCTGCATAATGATGGTCCGGGCGGAATCGAGGACTCTTCTCTACACCTGTCCATGGCGATCCACGATGCATGGACCTCTGGTCTACACATCCACACCCCTGGAAGAACACTCAAAGATCAGTCAAGCATGCTGTGGTGGACCATCTGGACGCTTGACAAGATTAACGCTTGTCTAGGCGGTAGGCCGATCGTGATTGCGAACAGGGATATTGATATATCCCGCCCGCCGTTGGAAAGCACGATTCCAAGAAGTAATGTTATCAACATGTGGCTTAGGCTGGGCGATCTCCTCGATGACGTTATTGAATTCTACAGACCGACTGCAGACCCAGATTGCACTGGATGGGAGACAGAATTTCCCACGTACGATTCTCTGGCGGAGGGGATTGATCCCGACTTACTCCATGGGTCCGAACAAAGTATGTGGTCTTTTTCTACATACCACCACCACCAAGGCTTGCTAACGCTCTTAGACGTTCTGGAGATCTGCTACCTCGTCATCTCGATTCTCTCGTGTCGCGCTGGCGGTCCGACAACTGCAAGCTACGCGCGCCGTATTTCCGCCGCCAGCCGAATCCAAGACCTTCTTTCTGATGGCAAGCACTTATCAGTGCCACCACTTCCGCTCATTCCATACGCAGTCGGTCTGACGTTGACCGTGACCTATCGGGGCCTTCGCGACAACGCCTTTGAAGACGGTGAGCGGGCTCAAGCAGACCTGGCAACGAGATGTGAAATGCTAGAAGCGTTAAGCACGTATTGGTGGACAGCCGACGCCATGGCCCGGCTTGGAAGGAAAGCACTCAAGAGTCTCAAGGAAACGGGTGTGAGGAAAGCCAGCGTCGCAAATATCGCCAACGCGATGGAAGCCGAAGTCACTGCCTGTAAATTCGGACCTTTCGAGGGAAAAGGCCACCACCCTAGCTACGCTGCTTCTCCTGCAACAACATCTGGAAGCACGCGTGGTCCTCCTACAGTTGCATCATCCGGCAGCGGCGGAGGTAATGGACTGCACGTCCTCTCTGATGCCGCAGCCACACACTCCAATGCCACACCAGGAGCGGGAAAAGCAGTCTCTCCCTCCACCGCACGCAGCGGCGGCCGAAGAAGTCGCACCGCTGCTACACCGACATTAACAGGCACGCCAACTCTCGACTCCCCCACAACAACCGCTAACACCGGCACCGGCACCGGCACCGGCGCGGCCACTCCCCAACACGTAGGGAATAACTATACCTCCGCGTATAGCCAGGTCCCTGCCTCGAACGGCCCAGCCACCTACAACATCAACTCGAATCGACCCTCCAGGCTACCCATGCCGGGATATATCTCACTAAACGGCAACCCCCACGCCTCTTCTACTGCCATCTCGTCGCACCCATTCACGTCCGGCTCCGGCTCCATGGCCGCCCCCTTCAATCCCGCTGCAATGGACTCGCACCCTTCCTTCGAGCTCTACGACTCTTCATTCAACGACCTCGACAATCTCTTCGAAGGCTTCTTCGACCTCTCCATGCCGACGATCTGGCAGGACCCCTTGTTCGACGGGGACGCCTTCTCGAGCGCGGACCTGGATCTGGCCATGGGCGGGGTGGATACCTCGTTGGCAGGTGGCATGCATGACGCCACCACCGGAGGAGCAGGTGGCTATGAGACTGGCGCGGCTGACACCAGCGGTATGCTCGGTGGTGGTGGAGGGACTGGTGCGATGGGCGGTGCAAAGATGACAGGGAGTGTCACTACGGGAGCCCAGTCCGGTGGGGGTTATCCTGAGATTGCTATGCATTGATGCATTGACGAGGGCGAGCACATACGCATATGCTTTCGCTGGCGGGGGCGTTAGTTTACAGGCAATGGTTGGGCCACGCAAGCTCAGAATGATCCGGACATACTTACCTAGGTACTACTTTCGTAATTTCGTACATGCAGATACAACCGACGGCAGTTATGCAGCGTTTTGCGGTTCGCGGCTCGACGGGGTTGACGGATTGATGGATTATGGGTGTTTAAAGGTCGAGATACACATATGATGCAATAACGGTTGGTTGAGGATAGGCTTCTCTTTCTCTGCTATTAATACGCTGAAGCCATCTCTTTGCACTCATCTTTTTAGATTGGTGCTTTACTCAACCTCGCCCACCCCGCCAGCACCGACGCCCCATCGTCCAACCTCCAACATGGCTTCATCGCCTCCCTCTGCCAAGACCCCCTTTCCTTCTCCCAGAAGACCCTCAAGGCACAGCCACGGATCTCTCCCACCACCCCACTTGAGGACCTCCTCTTTGAACCTCTCGCCCGCTCGCCTATCGACTGCGCCGGCATCCTCTCCACTCCGAAACACGTCCTTCCACACGCGTCGCGCAATCGCCGTGTCGAACAGATACGAGTAGTAGCTCGCGCCGTAGCCGTGCAAATGCCCGAAGAACCCCTGCCAGCTCGTGCCCCACGGCTCGGGCATGCTGCCGAATTTGTTCCACACGTCGTAGTACACGGCGGTGGAGTCGTACCTGCCGGAGTTGAGGGCCCGGACGGGCCCGTCACCGTGGTATATCTGGTCGAGGATACTCATCAGGATCTGAGATTCGTTGCTCGAAGCGCCCTGGCGGGATGTTTCTCTGGAAGATTCCGACGCGAGAAGAGTAAGTAGTTCCTCCGGCATGGGGGCGTCGGTTTCGTAGTGGCGGGCAAAGAGTTTCAGGACCGACGGGTCTGTTGCAAAGGACTCCATGAGCACGGAGGGCAGTTCGGAGAAATCCGTGGCCACGCGGGTCCCGCTGATGCCTTGCATGGAGGTTCTGCCTAGGATGGAATGAATGGCGTGGCCCATCTCGTGGAAGAGGGAGATCAGGTTGTATTGGCTCAGTAGGGCGGGTTCATCGGCGTTGTGGGAATGGGGAAATCCACAGACGAGGGCGATGACGGGAATCTGATGGTGTGTGGTCCTCCCAGAGGCATCATCCGTGGACTGGAGCGTCGGCATACCATTGTTCAATGGCTCGTCTCGTTCGGCGCAGCCGCAGATTTCTTCGTCGGAGATTTCGCGCGAGCATAGGAGCGTGAAATGAGCCGGGTGAGATTGTTTCCCCGGACGGGAGAATAAGTCGCAGTACATGGTGGCGATGTGTTCGTGCTTGTCGGTATAGACGTCTAGGCGGCGCACGTCGGGGTGCCAGATTTCTCCCTGGGCGGTGTCTTTCGGGACAAAGCGCACACCATAAAGCGCGTCGAAAAGACTAGAGAGACCTTGCATCACATGCCCAAGGGCGAAGTACGAGCGTGCGCTCTCTTGTAAGCGCGATTTGGAGGTTCGTGGTCCGGAGGCGCCTTCCATCTGATGCAATTTGGCGAGCAAATAGTTGTGGTCCCATGGATCGAGGTCTTTGGCGCTCGAGTCCATTTTGCGTTTGAGGTCCAAGAGTGGTGCGAGCTCTTTCTGGACATGGATCTTGTTGTTTGCGTTGATCGACTCGAGAAGGTTGTTTACTGCTTCTGGGGTCTTGGCCATTTTCTCGACCAAGGTCATTTGCGCAAAATTGTCGAAGCCCGTGAGTTGGGCGAGCTGAGCTCGACGGAGAAGCAGCTGTTCCAGAGTCATGATGGTCTTCTCCGAGGCACGTCGTTCGGCCATGTACATCTCTTTCCGGGTTGCAGGGTCCTTGGCCGAATGGAGGACCATCTTTGACCATCTGCTAGAAACTGGAATCTGAGCTCGTTCGCGGTATTTGAGGCTTTGAATCATGGTAGGGTCTAGGCCATCCAGTTGCCGTGCTGAAAATGATACATACTCCTTCGCGTGGTCCATCTGGTTGATGAAGTCGTTTCCGAGCTGTACAATGTCGTTCGAAAGCGACACGAACTGATGCCTCTGCTTATCTGGAAGATGAATTCCAGACTTGGCAAAATCCCTCATCAGGAGCACTGCAACCATTTTCTCTTCCTCGCTCCATTGTGACCGGACTTCTGGCATGTCCCAGGCTTTTTTGAGCTGCTCATTCAACCCAGTGGTCGTGTTCAACTCGTTCATGTACTGGAACATGAGAGAATACGAAGCGGATGCAGCGGCGGCAACGTCGGCGCTGGGGTGTATGCTCCTGATGAAGTCTGACAGGTCTATGACTCGACATAGCAGGTCGCTAAGACGATCCAAGTCTCTAGGGATCGTCTTGTATTCCTCAACTGTCGAAGCAGCGAGTGTCCTCTCTACCAACCTCTTGCATTGCACAACCGACGTCTCCGCAAACTTCTGAAAGCCTTTAGGGTTGGTCAGGAGTGTATTTCCTATCAAGCCGGATCGTCGTGCAGGGGTGGCCTTGGACAGGCTTCGCCGGTTGAACACCTCGCGCAAGAGATCATTGTCGCCTTTGCTGTGAGCAGAAGCGTTCCCATTCAGGTACGCAGAACGAAAGGTGTTATCGGCGGTTACAACGCCAGCAGCTGTGCTGTTGTACCTTTTCTGCTTGCGGAGGCACCTGGCACAAGTCCATGGCTGTCGCCGCAGCAGTTTGTGCATAATACAACCAGCCCTAGAAGCAGGTTCACTCTGTCACACGGTAAGTGTTACTCTACCCTCGTCTGCAGGTTGATTTTCGCGCGTTATCAGACCCTTGCGACTTTTGATCGCGCAGGCGCGAAATGACGTGACTTGCGGTATCGGCGTAGGTGGAACATTGTTGTTCCAGCGCCGCACTCTCGGGGCTCTTCCACCGTTGAACGCAGAGACACTATTCTTATTATAGGAGAGGCATACGTAGGCCAGCATTCACCTCACCAGGCCTGACACTTGCTTTTCTAGCGCTTGTTTCTGGCAAGGGTGTACAGTACAATTTACAGCGTTTTTGGACGATGGAGGCCCCCAGCGTCGCTGTAGGAACCGTCGCGATCGGCGACATCCACACGTCCGCTCAAGCCGCTCTCGCGCTCGGGTCGAGAACCCCTCCATGCTGAGCTCTCCGAAGTCGACCTGGCGAACGCCCATGACTTCGAAGCCATCTTTCGTACACCGGGGTTGACGACTTCCTTGCGTACCACGTCATGCTGGCGGACAGGAGGCTGAAGTCCGCAAGAGTCTTTGGAGCTTCCTAAAGCGGCTTCGCCACGAGACCGAGCCGCGCAGCTCATGAGTAGATGCCCCGTGTGTCAGCCAGACAATTCAGCAGAAGTCCCAGCAGATGGGGATTATTGGTAATTTGCAGCACGCGACCGAGGCGCTTGCCTGGGGGGCCGGGCGATGAGACAGCAGCAGGGAGGTGTCACGACCGTGGCCAGAATTCCCATATCACAGGAAATTTGTTGATGGTGTTTTCGTTGACATGACCTCCGGAAGCTGATGAATGGAGAGGATACAGCAAATCAGCAGCCTGCTCCATTAAGGAACCTGCTTTCTCTGAGGCTTCTTCAATCTCAAGGGGTCTTCTCCACCCAGGAGTCTTTCGTATTCATGGGAACTATGCCTTCTCCTTGCGAACTGTCGTCCAATGCGGTAAAAGCGTGACATTGTGTGAGAATCGCGCTCCCACATTTTGATCGGCGAGATTGGCCTACACGGGGACGAGGCCATGTTCTTCATAGCAGTTGTTCGAGATGAGGTGAAGACACCGATGCCAAGCCCTATGCCGATTGGCCCCAGCTGCGTCAGAGCTCCGATGCAAAGATTCTTGAACCGTTCCTTGCGAGCATGCGCCCGCAGCCACGACTGCTCAACAACCCAACAGCATGGCACGGATAAGGATGCTGCGAGCTGTAAGTTCTCCTGATTGAGCCAACTGACCTCGCTAACGACCAGGACAGTCGCGTCAAGCCGCAATATTTGCCGTAGGAGCAGCAGCGGGCACTCAAGTTTCAGCAATCCCGTCGCCTTTCCGCACAGCCTACGCTGAAGCTCCCTCTAAAGACGAAGTGCGGAACACCGTATGGGCGAATATCATGCAACTCTGCTGACTCTCTGCCAGCTCCCCGAGAAAAAGCCCATATACTCCCCATACCCAGTCGCGCCCACCACCCCCCAACCGTCGGCCACTTCACCCGTGTCACAACCTAACCCTACCTCACCCACACCAACGGACAGGCTCGCAGAACAGGTAAAGAATGCTCGGATCTTCCTCTACCATCATTCTCTCTCCGCCGAGACATCCTTCAACAACTTCCTTACCTGGGCGTTCCGCAAGGAAACAGACTTCAGCAACACCATCGCATCATTAGCTCCTAAGCCGGAGACAGGAGAGCAACTCCTCCCGGGAGCCATTTACGTCCTTGTCGCGACGCTTACAGGCTCGATAATCTCGCGGAACAGAGGTATTATCCTGCGATCTACATTCCCACTGGCCGTGGGTATTGCCGCGGGCTGGTATTTGATCCCCGTGACCATGCGGAACACTTCACACTTGATTTGGGAGTATGAGAAGAGAGTGCCCGTGGTTGCTGATACGCATACGCAGATCAGCGCGCTCGTGCAGGAGGCGTGGAAGCAGACGCGGGGCATCACACAAGAGGCCGTCGAATGGGCAGATGAGAAGACAATTGAGGCCAGGAAAAGCGTGGAGGATTTGGTCTCCAAGGGGAAATAAACAGAGAACACCAAAGTGCGGTTCGCAGACGGGTCCGCCGGCTTGTGTGGCAGACCGCTGCAGCCAGGCGAGCTGGGGCCACTGACTTGCCATATGTACAGAAACCAGGCGTCTGGTCTTTTCATGAGTATAAGCGCCTACTTGTCGTCAATGCCCAGTACCTATTGCGTGATTACCTCGCCGCCGATTATTTGTGACTCCGTGTCCTTTGACTGACTGTGCGTGTGTGAAAATCCATGAGAGCCAAAAGTGTGGATTTGAAACATGAGAACCGTGACCCTGTTCGTTTAAACTCGCAGAACAATGAGTCTACCACATCTTGTCTCGTGGAGAGAAATGTCCGTCCTATACCTGGTCCTCTGAAATCGTATGCCGAACGCATTTCAAGTGGAATATCCTTCCGCCACCAGCTTCCTGCACCACCCCGGTCAAGACTTTACTCTCCGATTCGAAACCTGACACTCCGTGTTGATATGCCTGCTGCCCATCCGTCGCGTCGAGATTCTGGCGGAATTTCACAAGATACGGGTGAGAGCCCGGACGTTGAGGTGACGTCCTCATCACCTTACCTTTCAACATGAATCTCCTTTCAACAAATAGGCACTAGTTCTCCAGAAGTCTCCGCCGGTTTGCGTCCTGTCTCGGCACCCTTTAAAAGGACTGCCCGACGAGCTATGAGACGTGTACCCAGAGACGAATAAATCTTGACTGATCCCTTGAGCTTACGTCTCAACTCGACTCCTCGACCGGCGCAGATCATAGTGCCCTTGTCGGCTCGTGCTATTTCTTCTGGGCCGTGCTTCCAGATTTGGTACTCCAATAACATCCAACGACCACCCGTTCCATGCCACGTCAAGTCGTGAACAACGTATCCTCCTCCCTCAAATACTCGCCCACATCGCCCTGTCTGAAGGCCACAATATTCGTAGGGTCCAGCTTCCTCGCCTCGGCCGTACTCTTAGCAGTCACGCCAAAACCGAGGGGCGTATCGTCCATGGCGAAAACCACGACGCCCGAATGTTCAGGACAGTCTTCGCTCCATCTTCCGACATGCGCCTTGAGGACGTGGCCGCCGTACAGGAAGGGCATCTCTCCGTTCGGTTTGATCCAGAGCTTGTATCGCGCATGCGGGGCGATCACGTCTAATGCGGTGATGTGTAGTCGAAACTTGCCCGTCTTCGTAAATTTGCCGATACACGTGCCCAGGGAGAGGAGGTTGTCACGGGCGATTGAGGTGGCGAGGTTCGCGAGGGAGAGACGCACGTAATAGACGCGGGATTCGTGCAGGCGGAAGACATGTCTGTCGTCTTTAGAGGAGGACAAGGAATCGGAAGGTGCAATGAGTTGGGTGAGCGAGCGGCCGGTGTAGTTCGCCAATTTGGTAAAGAGAGTCTGAGTCTCCGTGTCGGTAAGGGGCCGCATCTTGACTGTGAGAATGCAGAGCAGTACGGGTCTATGGAGAGCTGCTGGACTGGCGGTCGCAAGCAAAGGCGTGACTGAATAGGAATCCCGATTGTCGCATATCGAACGACAAAATAATTTCTGCGGGGCGGAAAATCTTCGGGCAAACTCTTGTGGAAATTTTGATGCTCGACTTCGCATGCTGTTGCAATGAAGCGACGGGCTCTCTTCTCTACGGGCAGATACAGCCATGGGTCACGGACGGCCTGCAAAGCGCAGGCGGTTGACGCCGCCGATCGACGACAGTAGAGTCTCCAAAACTGTCAAGGCAGCCGACCTCTTCAACCGAGTCGCGGACTGGGACCTCGAGCAAGAATATGAAGAAAGATCGCGGGGCAAGAAGACCAAGGAATCAACGAGGCTACCTATCAAAACCGCAGAAGGGACGGTCAGACAAGTCCAGGCGCCGCGCGAGGACGAAGATGCAGACTCGGACAGTTTTCTCGGCTCCGGCACCGACGAGGAGGCCGCAACCGCTCAGCAATCTACGCCCCCCACCGACCCTGAACCACAATCTGTACCGGTAAAGCAACAAGTTCTGTCGGCCAAAGAAGAAATCGCCCGTCTAGCGACCCTTCTCAACGAGGATCCGGAAGAACACTCCTCATCATTCAAAAAGCTGGCCCAACTCTCTATGCCCACATCTCCCGTTGCGGTGCAGAAACTCGTGCTCGCGGCCCAAGCAGCCGTCTACAAGGATAACATCCCCGGGTACCGAATACGGAGCTACAAGGATGAAGAACTGGGGAGTAAAATCTCCAAGGATGTGCGCAAGACGAGACAATACGAGCATTCCCTGGTTACAGGATACCACGCCTACGTGAAACAGTTGAGCAGTCTTGCCAAGAACCGCAAGGGCGACGTCGAGCACCGGTCGTTGCGGAGCGTGGCGATGAACTGCGTGTGCACGCTTCTCCTGTCCGTCCCGCACTTCAATTTCCGCACAGAGTTGTTAACCGTCCTGGTGCACGAGCTGTGCAGCCGCGAGGCCACGGCCGAGTTCAGCAAGTGCATTGACACGCTCGAGAAATTCTTTGCGAACGACGAAGACGGCGCGCCCTCCCTCGAAGCAGTCAGTCTGCTGACCAAGACGATGAAGGCCAAAGATTATCGCGTGCGGGAGGAAACGTTGAACACGTTCTTCCAGCTGCGCCTGTTGTCGGAACTCCCGCCCGCGACCAACACAGACGAAGGGGGCGCAGACTCTGCAGCGTCCAGGATCCACGGGCGGAAGATCAAGAAGGAGAAGTCGCAGCACGTGACCAAAAAGGAGCGCAAACTGCGCAAAGAACGCAGAGCCGTCGAGAAGGACATGGCCGAGGCGTCCGCGCTGGTGAACCACGAGGAGCGCGAGAAACTGCAGTCCGAGACCCTCAAGCTCGTCTTCGTGACGTACTTTCGCGTCCTCAAGCAGCGCGTCCCCTGGCTGATGGGCGCGGTGCTCGAGGGCCTGGCGCGCTACGCCCACCTGATCAACCAGGACCTGTTTGGCGATCTGCTGGAGGCGTTGAAGGAGATTGTCGCCAACGCCGAAGCCGCCGACGGGGCTTTCACAGACGAGGCGGAGGCACTCGACGCCGACGGCGCCACGCTGCGCAACCTGACTCGCGAATCCCTCCTCGCCACGCAGACGGCCTTTACGCTCCTCTCGGGCCAGGACGCCTCCCGCGCGGCCTCGGCCTTGAATCTCGACCTCAGCTTTTTCACCGCGCACGCCTACCGCGCGATATACCCGCTCGGTCTGGACGCAGACATCGAACTCGGGCCGAAATCTTTACGTCTGCCGGATCCGCATTCGCCGAGCCGCAACGGCGGTGATGGCAACGGTAGCGGCAATGGTATCAGCAGCGGCAACGCAAATGGCAACGGCGGTGGAAGGAGCATGATGAAAGTCAACATCAACATCTCGACCCCCATCCTCCTACTCACGCGAGTCCTCACCTCCATCTTATTAACTCCCTCCTCCCCTCCACCCACACTCACGGCGTTAGCCTTCTTCAAGCGCCTCTTGACGGTCTCATTACAACTGCCCGAGAAATCGTGCCTCGCGGTCCTGGCCCTGCTGGGCAAGATCGCGGACAGACATAGCCGCAAGGTCGAACCGCTGTGGTACAGTGATGAGCGCAAGGGGGATGGCGTGTTCAACGGGGGTAGTGATTCTGTCCAGGGGACGAATGTGCTCAGCGTGGGCACTGGGGTGTGGGAAGTGGAGATTCTGAAGAGGCATTTCTGTCCCAGCGTCAGGGAGGCCGTGGGGAAGGTTGAGGCTGTGGTTAGGGATTTGGGTCGTGAGCACTGATATTGGTGTGCATGAAGGTGCTTCGAGGGTGAGGGTATATGTTGGGGAGGTTGAGGCCGTGGTTAGGGGTCGCCAGACGTAGCTCAGGTTCGTAGGGACTTACAACAGTTTGATGACTGAATGAAAGTGCTTTGATGATCAGGTACCTAGATGTCTAGTCAAGCAAGTGTGGAGTCACGTTAACAATGGGCTGAAATGCCATGCGAGACTCACCCAGACGATATGCGGTGGGTGTGCAGCATTGGAAAAGGTCGCACTCGACTCAGGTGAGAATAAAACAGGTTGTGTATGTGTAATGTGTGCATATCAGTCGCATCTAGCGAGAGAGCATACACTCTCCTCAAGACCCGTCTCAACGCCTCTTCTGTGCAGGTGCTGCCTGTCTCAGTTCGCCGTGTCATGCTGTTGTTTCTGAAGAAGGCCCGTTCGATATAGCCCGAACGCCGTCGCTGTCGCTGTGACATCGTCATCATCATGCGCTGCCACCCGAAAACCCGCCATCGTCAACGTCTCTGGAATGCGACGGGCGGGATAAACGCCCACCGTGCCCTAGGATTTCTATGTGCCGTGAATGCCCGGCCAACGCCCACGAGCCAGCCCCAGACAGCGCCCAACCCCCGTCTCAGCCTCAGGATCCGCCCCCAGATCCATCCCCAGATGCCTCTGGCTCGCTCCTGTCTCATTTCTTCTGCTCTTTGGGCTGCTCGAACCATTGCTTGCTCGCGCAGTCCCAACCGCGGGCGTCTTTCAGCCGGAAGGTGAAGATCAATTCGTCGTCCCCGACCGGGCGCATTGCCCACCACAGGCCGTTCTGCCATTGTACGCAGAGGGAGTGATATTGAAGAGGGCTGATGAGGGGAGTGTTGAGCGTCTGGTTGAGGATGAAGGGCTGTCGGTCACCAAAGAGTTTGTGCTTGCGATGGAGGATGTGAGTGTGGCTGAAAGGGGGCCGGAAAGAAAGAAGAGAGACAGAACAGGAAATCAGATATTGCTGTCGTGGATAGAAGTACACCGCCAAGGAACGCCGTGGCCGGCGACATCATTGTTCTATCGACGCTACCGACGCAGGTAGTATGATACAGCGACAGGGACTGCGACCAGCACTACCACCATCAATAGACTCCTAGACGACGATTAGCGACAGCGTTGAGTAGCTGATGATGAAAGACTTACTTTGTGCTATATCCCAATGACTGTTTCTTCTGTTCTGATTCATCCTCGTTAGCTGCTGGCTTGGCTGGTTGCTTTTGAGGACCGGCTTCGGCTACTGGCGCCACTTGGACCTTATCACCAGACTCCTGAACGGCCCCAGTCGCAGAAACCGAGTATGGCGGAGGAGCGAAATCAGGAATAGATTCGCTCCTTGGCGTAACAATCTCGCGCGACTCCTTGCCAGCCTGCTGATTGAACTGGCCCTGCTTCTCGGTTTCTGCCATGGGCTCTTGTACGTCAACAGCTGGCTGCTTGGGTGTATGAGAGTCAACAAGCTTTGATACAACCTCCTCCGGTGGTGGATAGGGCTGTGAAGAGTGCTCATGGTTCGCGGATCCGTTCACCGTGGGCTCGTCTTCCATAATGTAGGCATCCTTTGTGTTCAGGACACGTGGAAGTGGAGTTGGGATGGCCTCAGCGGGTGGCTCCGAGGGGGCTTTGCGTTCTTCGGTTTCTACCGAAAGGACATTGTTCACATTGCCGAGCTCATCAGTCGCTATGATACGGTTAGTGGCGATAACTCCAGCTCCATGCAGAATATCGAACCTTTCTGCGCGGATTCATCCAGAACCCACCAATCACCAGGTCCCAACCGAAACTTGTACTGATACTCGCCTGGTTCGAGTTCGGTCCTGTAGGAGAAGACGTGCTTGAGTGAGCCGTTCGCTTCCGTCGTCTCGCACGTCATCTCGACGGGTGCCCATTCGGTGAAACCGCCAGCGACAAAAACCGGAGGTTGGACATGGTCCTTATCGAAAGTGATGGTCGTCGAAACCATTGTGTATCGTACCGAGTGGTTGTGTCGGTGGAGATGGACGGGACAGGATACACCCAGCTAGGTCAAGATCGTGAGATGGTGGTAAGTAAGCGTTTGCGACAGCGAAGAAGCGCCTGATGGTGACCCTGGCAAAAAATCATAGTCAGCAAGGGCTATGAGGTGAGTAACAATGAGGCCAAAGAACGAAAACGCTTCCCGACTGCGGTTCCAAAGGTGACTCAGGCTTGATCGAAGACAAGATTCTGACGCTGGATGGAGTCGTGACTGCCGGATTTTTGACTCGAGCTTGCCCATTCAGCGTTTGAAGCACCAGCATCGCTCGGCAGCAGCAGTGAGGCAATCTGTCAATGCGATGACTGGAGGCTCCCGGAAATTCGCCAGGTCCGGCACTTGCAGTACAGCAGTCCACGGGCAAATCCCTGGGAGCTTTGAGAGAATCGAACTCCAATAGCCATGACTTCATGAAAGCAGTTTGCCGGGTACGTCGATGTCGAAAACTGTACATGTCGAACAGACAGATTTCATACCGCAATCACGTACCCAGATATCTGGCTGTTGCCCACGCAGCTTTCCGATCAAGAGTTCCAATGAGCTTAGTTGTTCAAGAGAACGTCTGTCGAGATCAATAACCACCAAGCTCTGCAACGAGAGCGATAGCAGAAGTCGGGTTGCCACCACCAATAAAGTCTGTAGGTCCGAGCTCGATGATATCCCAATTTTCCAGTGCAAGAATTCTCATACAATGTCAGTCCGTACGAGACTTTCGCCAAACAGGTTTCGGACCGAGATCAGATAAGGCTCGCGATCGGGCCAGAGAAAAAGAAGCAGAAGGCCAACCGAGCGTCAACGAGATGCTATACACAAGATTTGCTGTGCAAAAACCAGGGCTTTCCGAAGCACGGCATATTCAAACACGAAGAGTCCCCAGATTTGGAAGTTGGAAAATCATATCATCATCCTGTCATACCACATTCCTCAACTTCCACCGAGCGTGCGGATACCCTTGCGAGTTCCTCCACGCCGAGCAAGCACAGTGCACGTCGTGCAGGCCCCATAAGACTTCGGACCGGGAAGTATGGCTGGTGCCCGCAACTTTCCAGGGCTGCGCATACATGCAAATATGGATCTCACGAGCGGCAAACATGTGTTCATTGGCGCGGATCGGATGCACATGTGAAAGCAAGTTTACCACAGTACGGCGACGACTTTTGTTGGGATGTCGAAAATCAAGACGAGTCTCGCTAACCGAGCCTTCATGCAGCCAAGGAGCGATGGGGGCCGCCATTAGCCGTCAGCCACAGGTGGCGGCTATGGGCTGATGAGGCCCCGTTGGGCCTCAGACAGCAAGTATGGCACAACTGTGTCTGAGCAGCGTCAGCAACATTGCGAGGATGATTACGGCCGTCCGAATGCGTCAATCTCCTCTTCACCTTCAACACCATGAAATGTGCACTCGTGAGTGTTTACTAGAAATGGTGCCCGATCCGTCCTTCGGTTTCATTACACACCTTCCCAGTCCTGGGCACGACAGTAGCATGGAGAGAAGTGACCACAACGGTGCGATTTGTTTCTCACGGAGATCAAGCACAGAAGATTCTATCGTGTATACATGCAGGAGTGTTGAAGGTATTGCCACTGCTGCGCCACTTGGCTTCCACAGACCAGTGGCGTTGTGCTACTCGTTGACGCGCCTCATTACCCGTCGCGTAACCCCCCACCCATATGGCGGACGCCTCGCTCCATCCAGTGGAACCGGTTGCCGGGAAGAGGCAGGGCTAGGCTAAGGACAATGACATGAACACGATGCCTGACGACAACGATGATGACCCGTCGATCGAGTTCGGTTTCCACCCGTCAGACCCATTGCGAGAACGTCTTCTTCGTGAGCGTGCTCTCACCGTCGTTACAAACATGCACTCCTCAATCCGTAATGGTCAACGTCTCTCGCGCGGTTCGCCAGCGCGAGTCACTGTCTGCATCATACATCAGATACGTAACGTTGACGTACGTCCTTCCACCGTGGCGGTAGTTCAGGTCGGCGAGAATATCATAGAAGCGAACGGGCTTCTGATCAACCGACCCTAGCTGGTCTTGTGAGTCTAACACAGCGAGACCCTCTTCCAGTGCGATGACTCTCGCCGCAATGCATCTTAGTTCAGACCTGTACCACAAGCCTTCTTTCCCTCCTGCGAGGGACATCAACTCGAGAGCCTTCCTCCGGATGAGTGAGTCCCGACATTTGCGCGCCGTGAGATAGAGGGCTGGAAGAAACCCAGGCTCGAATGAGAAGTTGTTCGCTTCGCAGTCCTGTGAATGCTGCATGAGACTTTCTTCAGCGACGGCCACGAGATTTCTGTAGTCTTCGGACTGATCTTCGCTGTCTGTCTTCGAAGGGTCCGTGCTTGCGCCGGCCCTGATTTTGGTGATCAGCCAATGGACGGTCAAGATCGACCAGGCTTGGGAATTGCGGAAAGAGTGCAGACCCTGTCGGTCGATCAGGCCTTGCAAGTCGCTGTGCCAGCTCTCCAACAGAAGTAAGACGGTTTGTTGCTCTTCCTGAAGGGCGGTTATCGTCGCAGACCACTCCGAGACGGCCATTGGTTTCATTTGAGCCCGAAACACTCGGAGCCTGAGGCTTTGGACGAGTATTATAATCCCGTGCAAGCGATCTCTTGCTGTCTGCACAGTGCCAGTAATGGGGAGCTCGGCAGCGGTAAGTATCGACGGAGCAGGTCTTTGTGACGGACGAGGTATATGGTGTCCGAACATGCTCGAAAGCAGCCACAGTCGGTCGAACTGATTCCGTAGCACCGAATCAACCGCGATGGTCTGAGTTTCCTGTGCTCTTGGCCTGGCTTCCACAATCATGCCGCATCCCTTTGAGATGAGAGAGATGGCTGTCTTGTCGTTCAGCCGATAAGATTCGATACAGATAAAGATTAGGCATGACAGCAGAGCCACATCAATCGCCTGCCGATCGGGTGGCCGTTGCATATATTCCGCAAAGGAAGAAATGGCCTTGTTGTAGTGCCGCAATGCTTGTCGACAACGAGGGCACACGCATTCTGACATGCCGTCCGAGACGCCATGATGCCTGAAAAGATTTCCGAGAGCGAAGACGCCGTGCCGCACGGTCGGCTCAGTGTCGGCGACTTGCATGACGAGCCCCTGCCATAGATCCGCATCGAAAGCGCCGCCCAGCATGCCAGAGATCTTATTGGTGTAGAAAGCGTATGCCAACCACTCTGATTCCGTGGCTCGAAAGGCCGAGAGAAGCGATGAAGAACTGCTGGGGCGAGCAAGAGTAATCTGTACAGACGACGGGCATGGCCGCGTTTCAATCACAGAAAGCTGATAGCCATCACACTTTCGTCCGGCCCTGAGGCACCTTGTACACCACGGTCGCTCGAGTCCGCATTTGACCCGTCTCTTCTTGCAGGTGAGGCACGCAGTACGTGTCTTCGGGGCGTGTCTGCCTTGCCCAGCCATGGCAGACGTACACGTTGTAGTAGGCCCTACAAAGGGCTCTGATACGAAGTCCAGCTCGCCGGTCGATGACTATACATTGGGGCGGCAGAAAGGACCAATGAAGCCAATGGCGAAGTGCCTAACTTCTTATGTACTGGTCATGGTTCATGCCGCCCATGCAGGGAGAGGCCACGGGCTGCCTAACTTCATCTTGCTCCTTCGTTGTTCGGCCTGCGCATTTGATGCTTCTGCACGTCCAGATGAATACTCAAGAAGCCCAAGAGGTCCTGCCATACTGCAGTGGCAAGCCGAACCAATCCAAAATCCGTCAGTCTTGCATGAGGCTGCCACGGCACGACCGATCTGGGCAATGTCCACCTCGGACATGTCCGCGACATACCTGTCATCACGAGCATAAAATCCTGTTCGTCGTTCCATGAAGCGCGAAATCGGAAGCTCAGATGAGTCTCAAGTAGAGCAAAAGACAGATTTCGAATCTGATCTTGGATAAAGGGTTGCATGATGTCCAGCCAGCTCTCGGACGAGGAACGCTTGAAGGCGAGAAGGCCTCTTCCAACACCGTATCCCGCGTATCTACCCACGGCGGAGTCACCCCTTACGGTGGACCACGACTTGTACACCTCTATCCAGCAAGGCCGAAGAGAGCTTGTCGACTCTTTCGTCTTGCCTATCCGCTCGGGACGTGCCTGGAAAGCTCCTGCGAAGAGCATTATAAGGATCAGTACACCAGAGGGACCTCAAGTCGGTATGTCGCGACACAATGTCTAATCTGTCACTTCCTGACCTTGTCTAGGCGATCTGAATATTTGGAACGCAAACAACCCTCGTGAGCGGTTCTGGGCCTCTAGAACAAAACAGCTCTACTCGTCCCACGTCACGACCTTCGATAGGCTATGGTCCTGCCTACCGTATATGCGACCGTTGGTCACTATTATCGCTGATTCCCTTTCTTGGTATGGAGTCGACGAGACGGGTGGTAGAGTCCACGACCTTCTCGGTACCAGATGCGACCCGTATATCAACACTGTGCTTTCCGGGCCAGAAGCATCGTACGACTATCACTGCCATTCCAATCTCACCAGAGCCGTACTACCGTATGGTCTCAACGAGTCAGACGTGCACGATGTGATCAACCTGTTCCAGGTCACCGGCTTGGACTCCAAGGGTAGATACTTCATGAATCCAAGCCCTGCACAACCTGGTGACCATATAGAATTCTTTGCGGAACAGGATCTCTTGATGGCACTGTCGACATGCCCGGGTGGGGACCTGTCCTTGTGGGGTTTTGGAAGTGATAGTGAGAAGGAGATGATCAAGTGCTGCAGGCCTCTGAAAGTAGAGGTATTCAAGCTGCTGGATGAAGATAAGGTCCTAGGAGGAAAGTGGAAGCCAGCGGAGCGGCCTGATTACCGTGGCGTCCATGGCATGGTTGTGCCTGAAGGAGAAAGAAGGCAACAGACGGTGTAAGTAGACGTGGACTCAGCGAGCAGCCATTTCCTGCTGACCAGCGGTGCCCTCGACTTCGCCTGCTTTCTGGAACACCACGCGAATGGCATCCTCGAGAACTGCAAGACCTTTGTTGATCTCCTCGTCAGAAATGACGAGAGGCGGCACGATTCTGATGACGCCGTCCCCTGCGGTTATTACCAGAAGACCTCGTTCTCGGGCTGCCGTGATGATCTCTGTGGCCTTGTCCTTGGCGGAGTCGCTGAGTTGGTAACCGACAATCAGTCCTCTGCCTCTGACCTCGGAGACAACACCAGGGAATTTCTCCTTGATTGTGTCAAAGAAGCTGAAGAATAATGTCGACTTGCGCCTGACCTCCTCTTGCATTTTGGATTTTGCGAGACGGCCGAAGACATGATGTGCCACGCGGCAGGCGAAGGGATTGCCTCCAAAGGTCGTGCCGTGGTCGCCCGTCTTTATGTGCGGTGCAACGGTCTTACCCGACACCATAGTTGCTCCGATAGGGATACCGTTCCCCAATGCTTTGGCAGATGTCAAGATATCTGGGTGGACTCCTGTTGCAGTGTAGGCCCAGAGATCTCCAGTCCTGGACAGACCACACTGAATCTCATCAAAGATCAAGACTGCGCCGACCTCGTCACAACGCTTGCGGAGAGCCTGCAGAAACTCGGCAGTAGCAACGTTGATGCCGCCTTCGCCTTGGATGGGCTCCACAATGACTCCTGCAGTGTTCTCGTTCACCAATTCGGGGACAGCCGCAACATCGTTGTACTGACCATAACGAAAACCAGAAAGCATTGGGCCAAACGGAGGTTGGTATTTCTTATTCGGGGTTGCAGAGAGAGCCCCATAGGTACGCCCATGGAAGGATCCATGAAACGACACAATATCCCTCTGCTTTGTGTTTGGGTCTTTAGCATATGTGACCTTCCTCGCGAACTTCAAGGCAGCCTCGTTCGCCTCGGAACCAGAGTTCGAGATGAAGACCTGAGTCAGCTGAGAGCCAGGAGACTGCTTCTGTGTCTCTTCAATCAAGGTCTTAGACAGTGTGGGGGTCCACGGATTGTGGTAGAGGTTGGACGCATGAATCAGCCTCTGAGCTTGATGCGCGATAAGCCTATTGAGCTCGGGGTCATTATGCCCCAAAGAGTTGACGGCTATCCCAGCAGTGAAGTCCAGGTACTGTCTATTTTCGTTGTCAAATAAGAAACATCCGTCTCCTTGCACCATCATAGGTGGGGGGCGAACGTAGGTAGGGACCATGTAGGGAGCGGATTGATTGAGGAACGCCGCGGTGGGCGAGTCTGGGGCAGGATCTGGGTTGGGAACGGAGGTTTCATGTCGGATTTGTGCCTGTTCCTGGGCCGGAAGGCTAGATGAGGTTGGAACGGCAGCAGCATGAGCATATCGTCTCAGGCTCAGAGAAGCTCGTTGTGATGGAGCCGACAGCTTCGAGAGCTGCGAGCACGCGAGTTTCCTGCCCGCTGCTAAGGCCATGTTGCAAGAGCAATGGAGCAGTTTGCCAAAGTGTTATGATGCAGCTCCAGGGCAATTGCGAGCAAGCACGGCTAGAGCGAGACAGCAAAGACTTTTTCTGTCAGCATGCAGGAGATTCAAGCGAACAACGACCGCGCCTTATCACATTTTTTCCCTTCGAGTCACCAGTGAAGTCACGAAAAGTTTGGAGAAAAGTGCGGGGAGTCTCAGCACATCCGTCATTGACTATGCCAAAGTTGGCCTAGAAGAAACCAAGAGTACAGAGTGAAGCAGGACCTTTCTGACCTTTTACAACGTCAGTTGCATACAGCAGGTACGCGGTACTCAGTAGGGCAGACCTCCTACCGATGATACCTAGGTATCGAGACTATGCTTCGTATAGCCAATCAGTCCTGCTATTGGCATACACGGGTTTCCGCTATCAGTCTGAGAGGGCCAAGTTGTGGATGCTGGCCTACAAAACTCAGCTTTGTTTTGTTCAGCCCTCATGCTGAGTGTACTGTGGTATACGGGACACCTTTCCTGCCACGATTTCAAGAGTTGCTCCAAACTCCGTATCACATCTCGATAGTATCCTGTCCCATGGCAAAGCTGAAGCGGACCTGCGAGATCTCATCTGAGACCTACATTCCCGATCCAGGAAATCCACTCAGTTACGGAAAAACCATGCAAGGGAGCCCCTCTGCGATTTGGCAGTTGGCGTTCGGACTGCTCACTTTTCAAACCGGTACTGCCACCTGAGATTGACTGGCATACTTCGTGTTCCTCTTACGCCACAACAGCTCTATTAGGACTCCTTGCAATACCGACCACATCTCCAAATTCTAGGCTCCCTTGGACCGTCCCTGATTCAGATGCGCCATCAATCCATCGACAATGCGTCGGCTTTCAGCAGCATTTTCGAAGCCAACTGATTTGCACTTCACGAAGTCGTCCGATATCCTGGACATCTCCCGTGACTAGAACCGAGAAAACATGCCCTCAGCGTCTATTTTTGCTCGACTTCGTATTTCGCACCCTGGTCCGGTCGCCGATGTCTGAGATTGTTTACAAAGTTGATTGAGACATCCCGTAGTAGGTTTGAATGCACGGATCCCTTTACCATGCTTGTGTTTTTCAAAGAACCAGAGATAAAAGACTTGTCTCTCCCTCCCAGCGGTCGTTGTGAGTTGAGCGAGGCAGCCTCTTGAGACAAGATCTAGGAAGAACATTGAACCCAATATCCCCTGCAAACCCCTCTCGACATGAAGTCCCTTCTCTTTGCTGTCTCCGCGTCCGTGCCCTTCGTGGCCGCCAACCCGTGGGGATCTAACCCGTTCATGAAGGAGCGAGGGGTCTGCGCTGCCGACAACTGTGCCAGGTAAAGGACTGGCGACCTTCCCGACCGCAGTGTAATGCTAACAGCTTCAAAGAGCCGTGACCGGCACGAATGCTCCGCAGCCACTAGCCACTCGTCAGGCAGACTGCTCTGCTTTCTTCAGTCCGCTGCCTACTCCAACGGTTCCATCATACGCTTCGGCTTGCGGTGGGAACACCCGTTACAGTAGTGCTTGCTCCTGTCTCGGAGTCGCTCAGCCGACCTACACCTGTCTCAGCTCCGCTCAAGCCGAGAACATCGTCAAAACCTTCTCTTCCTTGTTGACTGCTCCGCAAGCACCAGACTTCGCGTTCAAGGCGACTACCCTGTTGGCGGATGACTTCAAAGACAATAGCGACTCCATCAATTTCCTCGCTGGGTATCCTGTGAGTCTTCTGCTCGATCTTTAACCCATGCAGATTGACCAACCTTCTTTAGCTCGGAGGGGCTACCTTCCCCAGCAAGCAGGCCTTTATTGCCGGTCAAGGCAGCCAGCCACCTATTCCCACTGTGACTACCCTCGAGATCTTCAACACCTGTAACAAGATTGCCTGGCGATGGGTTGCCAAAGGGATCGGCTCGGGTCAATACGCTGTCAAAGGGATCGACACCTTCACGATCAGTCCTTCGGGACAGATCAGCGAGGTCAATGCCGAGTTCAACAGCGGTGCTTGGGCTGCGGATTTAGCAGGTCTGGGAGGTGCAGCCCCCTCTTCTGGCGCAAGCTCATCGAGCAGCACGGCGTCAACTACACGTGCAGTAGCAACGACAACCACTCCAGCAGCGGCTCCATCATAGTTCTGATTGTGCTGGTCTGGTAGCTTCGGAGGCGATGGGCCTACAAGGTGTTTCTCTTCTGTTTCAGGATTATGGTGGTCACTCCTTGATAGCTAGATATTCATCTCGAGCTGTTCTTGTCGTTGGAGGCATGATATCTCAATTTAATGGTTAGAACCTCAAATGGCGGTTCGTTCAATTACACCTTGCTATTACGGATGTACTTCGTCATTGATGGTGACGGATCTTGCCGAGGGATATGTTGCTCGCTGGGGCGACTTCGGAGACTCTAGGCTTTGCGTGGCGGCCCACGAGTTTATTTGCCATCTGGATCTCCCTCTTTCACTCCTCGCTACTCATACTCGACAGAGCACGAGTGACCACTCTACTCGTACTGGATCAAAGCCAAACACGTATCTGGCTCAGTATCACCCGCTCACTACAATGAAAACCGCAATCAGTGTGCCCCGAGCAGCTCACTGCGCGGCTCCCCGCGCTCATCTCTTCACACCTACTCTCGCCCGCTCAGCCACTCGCGAGCGCTCCCGATTCACCTCCCCAGCCCGCCGCCACCTGAGCACAACGCCCCGTGTCAAGAAAGACGAGCCATCCTCGTTCTCCTTCCAAGGCATGGCCGCCCCGCCGCGGCTGCCCAAGGAAGAGCAAGAAATCTTCGAGTCCCTCCAGCGCCAGTCGACCGGCGCATTCTCGACGCCCGTGTCAGAACGGCGCGCCCCGCCGCGGATCAACCAGTCTCCTGACTCGACGGCCGCGGAAGTCGCCGACGCGCAGACCACGGTCTCGCAGCGCGTCGACAGGATCAGTACCGCCAGCGAGGACTCCGAGGGCGGAACGGGGCCCTCAGTGCTCAAGGAAATGTACGACAAGGTGATTGAGGCGAGGGGCAAGGGCGAAGAATTACATCCCAATGTGGTCAGAGGGGCGCAGCCCGAGTTTGAAGGCGATGTCAATCCCAAGACGGGCGAGGTTGGAGGGCCCAAGAACGAGCCGCTGCGATGGGGCGCTTCGGGAGATTGGACTTATAATGGGCGGGCTACAGATTTCTAGCGTGAGATCAAGAGAGGGGCGTGCATAGGAGTGGAGGGCGATGGCTTCAAATATGAGCATTGGATTCCAATTCTAGCTGTTCGTCCGCGTGTCAGTGCGTCTGAGGATTTCGATGCGATGTTTCGTGCCATCCGATCAGCCAATATCCCACGTGCCGGACCATTCATGCAGATCTGGTGTTTTGACCCTATACTGTGGATCGCGTGCCATCCGTGCATCCACGTGCTCAATTCATTGTGGCCCCATGATTGCCATCATAGCTGTATCATCAGGCCCACCGGAATGGAGAGAAAAGAAGGTGTTTTTTTGATTCGTTTATAGAATTGAAGCCCATTCATTCCCCGTTCATGTCATGTGAAATCTCGTCAAAGCTCCGATCGACTGTCTTCCTAAGCACAAGGTCACCAGGCACTCGCCTATTGTGTCTTGACCTCTGAGTCCTGCTCGACGTGGATGTGGTCGTTGGTCTGGAGGACGCCGACCTTGTCTTCGGGGAATTCAACACTATAACACGCAGACTTGTCAGCTTCGCGGGATGTGAGAAAGAGAGTTCGAGAAGCCCTTACGTGAAACCTTTGATCAGGGTGAACTCGTGCTTGATCTCCCCGCCATCGGCCGTCGCTTTGTCCTTCGCCTTCTTGAGCTCTTCTGGAGAGGCGTTCTCTTTGAGTGTGACCTTGAGATGACCGTCAGTGTGGATTATCTAGATTTTGACGCGCAGAGCTCACGTTGAAGAGAGGCATCTTGGATGTGAGTGGTGGTAAAGAAGCAAGGGAGTCTGTTCGAGTTGTTTGATTGCTGGAAAAGCGAACTAGGATGTGGTCAAGACTCTGATTCAGGCTGGAAAAGCAAAGAAGAATGTGGCTGGGAAAGAAAGTCCTACTTATAAGACACAAGAGAATGGGAATCTTGGTCAACAGGTTACAAGATGAAGGGTGGGATGGTGACAGTGGGATGAACCTCGATTCTCAGGAGCATTTGATAGCGGCAAGGCGGCTGGCGACGGGCACGAGGACAGTGACAATGACGTAATGGTCGGGCATTACCGCAGCCCCTCGATCGGAAGATCTCCGGGGTTGAGACACAAATTCACAGGCATCTAAGTTTACGTACTCGGTGCATTCACTCTCTTCTCTGCCTCACCTCAATTGAACTTCATCTCCGGCTGGAGTACCTGATATTCACGCACAGTTCCTCCTGCAGGCAGACCGCAGTATCAACCCGAAATCCGATGTTCAACTTCGACTTCGAGGACAAAAACTCTCACTCGCGCTGCGAGCTGAGGCAACCCCGCCTTAACGCACAAGGCATGCCAGAAGGTTCTTGTGTATCATTGTACCAAGCCACACCCTGCTCTCTACCATTTCCTGTTGAGTCCTTGCAGTCCGCAACATTTTATGACTTCGATATTGGCCATTCAGGACGGGCGAAACCACCCAAAGCTCACGTGCGACTCACCCAACACGTGCCGCTTTTGTCGCACCCCAGCCAGCCCTTTCCGGCGGACCCCCGGGAAAAGCCAGACGTTTTCTCTCACCTTTTCGCTCGTACTCGCTGTTACCTACTCTAGCCTTCGCGTTCGCTCCATGTACCCCAGTATACCGGCTGGTCTCCGCTACCAATGCAAGCCCCGTCGAAGTTTCCCCGTCTTACACTCTGTGTAAATCTCTATCGTTGAGTACCTAGGGACCAATTGGAAATCAATGTAACTTTGCACGATGTCTTGTTCGGGGTCACAAGTATCGGGTTGTTATCTAAAATAACAAATCGTCCTAACTTCGACGCTTTCCCTTGGTGAGCTCCCTTCCACCGGATTCAAAAAGGCTGTGTGAGGACACCTCCAGCTCTGCGACCCACGATGTCTATCGGAGTCATAAAGCTTGAACGCCAGAACCTCGTCAATCTTCATATCTCGAAAATAGCACCATTGGTGCTCTGGGTTGTAATTGAAATTGGCACCCTCGATAAAATACGATGGCTGTGGCACCATTGGCAGCGTCTCGGGGATCTTGTCCACGATGATCATCGGGTAACCCACGCCCTCGTCGGCGCCGACGGTCCGCGCATCAATGACAGCCAGTGGCCAGTCCTGCGGCGGAGGCGACAACGCGCGCCAGACGTTGACGAAGATGCAGCGCGAGTACGTTATTCCATCCTTATCTGCGTGCCGTACTGCCGTCTCTTCGGCATTTGCGGGTGACCAATCCGTGTGCACGTCTGCGGCGCGAGGCTGATGTCCCAAGCCGACTTCGGCCAACGTCTTGCGCAGCACGGGCGGGCTGACAACGACCACGTCGTCCGCGCCAGTCATCGACTTGACCAGCGCGGCCATCTCGTCAGGGTAGATCGTGTCCAATTGCTCGCGCGAGTTCCATTCCGTGACCTGTCCATGTCAATTCGGCTCTACCGTTGAATGTAGTAATTAGCATACTTTGGAATCATGCTGAACTAACGCGAATCCTCCATTCTCCAGCGTATACTCGTCCTTGTTGGGCCGCGCGTCGTGGATGACGACGGATACATCGTCGTACTTGCCAATGTTCACCTCTTTACCCTTGCCAAAGTATCGAATGTTCTTCGACCCGGGCTGGAGATACTGTACTGTCGTCGTGACATCCCCGCCGTTGATCTCTGCGTACTTGGGAGCCTTCATCTTTCTCAAATGCCTAGAGTCGAGATGAATTCCGATCGAGGATCAGCAGTTCCAGATGATCGATTTAAGTATAAGAGAAGTGGGGACCCCGATGCTGGGGAACTTGTGTGGGGCTTCATTCATTGCCTCCATTTGGCTCATGGTAGGCTGTTCAAAGCCTATTATCTCTACTAACTTACCCGGCACGGAAACGGCACACAAGTCCAGACTCATTGTAGTCGACAGGACGGCATCACCCTCGGCCGCGTCCGGTGGCAGCTGGGAGTAGTTGCGAGTCAGAACCTTCGCTAACCATGGCCCGGAAACTATTGTGGATCTGGAGACATATCGTAGCATTGAGTCTATCGTTGTGCGTGCCACGGGTCTTCACGACATCAGTGGTCGAACGCACCGAGGCAGCGTACGAGATCGCTTTGGAACGACTTCTACAGTCTAGCGAACTCGAGCTCGATCTGCACACCGAAGACGACGACGCCACGCTGGACGGATTGGATGTGAAGGGTGAAAACTCCTTCTCGCCGTGGTCCTATGAACCCATCTGCACAGAACACCTTGCACGGATTCAAAGCAAGTTATGCGTCTATACTGACACCAAATTCAGTAACGGAAGGGGTATTTCCATCTTCACCACCCCTCAGCACGCCGAAACGGTAGCTTCACTCGTCGTCTCCCACCCTGTGGATTACGAGCCCTCGATCAACGTCCCTACCCACGCCTGGTACACCGAGACGACTCCCAGCAAAGGTATTGGTATGTTCGCTAGCCATGCCCTAAACCCGGGCGATCTGACCACGTCGTACACGCCCGTCCTGCTCGCGTACAAAGAAAACGTCCTGCCGAAGAACGAGAGGGAGTCGTTCCTCCACCACGCAGTGAGCCGCTTGCCGGCTCGGACAGGAGCCGCGTACCGCGCTCTCGCCACTATGTTCCACGATAAAGCGTTTTTCATGCAAGATGTCGCCACCGCGAATTCATTCGAGATGTGCATTGGTGGCACGGCGCATCTTGCCGTGATTCCCGAACCCTCGCGGATCAACCACGACTGTGCGCCGAATGCCATCTTTGGATTCAACTCGACGGCTCTGGCGCATACAGTCCGTGCGACGAGGGCGATCGCAAAGGACGACGAGATCACCATTGCGTACACGAATCCGTTGGATGGGTTTGCGAAACGACAGAAGTATCTCTCGGACTCTTTCGGATTCGAATGTACGTGCCCGCGCTGCCGGAGGGGCGAGGCCGGAGATGCGGCGCTCGCTGAGATCACGGCTCTTCAAAGGTCGCTCTCGCGCTGGTCGGATCCGACTTCTACGGCCAGCACCAAACAAGCGGAACGGCTCATTCAGATCCACCGTGAAGAAGGGCTGAACGGCTATCTTGATCCGGCGTACTGTCTCGCAGCACTGGTGTATAACTCCGTCGGCAGCGAAAGAGGGGCGAAGAGATACACCAAGTTGTGCATTGAGGCGATCGAACTGAGGCTCGGCCCTGGAGCCGAGGACCTGCCGAAATGGAGGGAAATGCTCGAGGATGTGAAGGGGCATTGGAGCTGGATGAGGCGCAAACGAGGCTGACTAACAGACAGATGAACAGGTGGCAGATTTGATACGGTTGGCCCGATAGGGGCCCATCCCTATTCGGCTCTCAACCACTCGTCGCCGAACACTTCACTCCCTTGCCGACATGCTCCAAGAAGGTCCATGCCTCCCGCTCGTCTTCGAAGGCGATATACCCGTCAAAGTTCCTGGCCTTCGTATTCTTCAGCACTTTTTGGACAACCTCCTGAACGGCCATGACGTCGCTAATCGGGCAGCTGTCGCTACCTCCAGCCTTCATTTTGATCTCCGGCGGGACAGGGAGGACCTGGAACTTGCTGCCCGTTGCACGGGGCAGTCGCATCAACTCGCAGACCTTCGGACACACAATGTTCGCCTGTGGAACCAAGTAGATGAGTTTGGTGTTTGGTTGGGACAAAAGCGTGGAGATGGTGGTTTTGGTCTGCGGATAGGTGATCGAGACCGGCGTCGGCGAGGAGAGGAGGTACGTCCTCGGCTCTAAGGTCTCACCGGCGTGTTTGCTCCGCTTCTTGCTCTTCTGACGAGGTCGTTCACCGTGCGAGATGTCATTTGCCGGCCCAACAGTGGGCGTGAGAAAGCGCTCACCCTGCTTTGATTTGTGCGACTTCGAGAAGTAACAGCTTTTCGTGGGCGCAGGGTCGCATTTGCCAGTTGGGTATGCGAAATCCCAACATGAGACGCCTGGGGTTTCCATCTGCGATTCCGGCTCGGTGATTTGGACTGTTATACTAGAGTGCTTGGAGACCATCTCTGTTGGTTGTTGGGCTGGACGTGCTGGACTTGGTGATTGTTTGGCTGCTGGATTTCGGAGATGCAGAAAGACAGATTGACGTTGTATAATGGTGTCACTCGAGGGATTTTTGAAGGAGTCAACAGGTCATCCAGGCCCTGTGATGTTCAGTGGTGGCGAGGAGTTCTTGTTGTAGAGCTGCTGAGAGTTGACTTCGTGATCACGTAGCCTCGTGGCCTCCCCCGAGTAATCGCCGATGATGGAAGGGCAAAGGAACAAGCTAGCAGGAAACGATAGTCGCGGTCGGCAAAATACCATCATTGACGCATTTATTGTGGTCGAGTTGGTGTCGCTCGGGGCTTGGGACCTCGTCGTGACGATAGACGAGGCATGCGTGGAAATGCGGATAAGTCGTGCCGACAAGAAGTAACACTCGGCGGGTTGGTTTCCGAAGCAAGGCACAACAGAAGAAAAGGGACAGATTCCTGGACGAGAACAGCTGCGCGCCTTTGATAATGGAAAGAATATTCTATGGACAGGTTGCAACCGGAAGACTGACTATGCTGCTGCTGGGCTCCTTAGGCGGCCTTTACCTAAGCCCAGAGGGCCTTTGTAAGATATAGCCCCAGCCAAACCCGGTGTGCGAGTGGTTTTCTTGGTGCGCCCGTGACCCTGGTCCCAAGAACCGAACATGCAAGGGAAAGGACAACGGAAGATCGGCAAGATGTGCTGGGGGGTGGCACGGGTGGTCTCTTGATTACCGTCGATGCGAGCTGGTATCAGAAAGACGGGAGCCACATTGCACCTCATAGGGAGGTTGCAGCCAAGGTGCATACGCCTTATGGAATCGCAAATTGGGATTTCGCTAGACGAACGGTGCCGGTGGCAAAGAAGAGGGCTGAAAGAGCGGCTGACTCTCAATAAGCGAAGCAGCGTCTCATTCCACCCCAGATATGTAATGGATATGAGGTGAGCTTCACGATTCCAGCGTGCCCAGCGTGCCTAGCAATGAGTCAGCAGTCTCACTCGTACAGACCGGCTAGACGTGCATGGTGAGAAATCAGCGTGCTATCCCAAAGGAAAGACGGCATCTGAGAGGAGGATGAAGCGCGGTATATCGAGCTGCGTGAAGCGTCGCAAGAGGGATTTTACATTTCCCGCATCTTCAGGAGACCAGCACTTTCGCGGGCCGGGTCTTTGCGGGTGGCGGCCTTGCGGTGGCTGGTGGGCGAGTCGCGGTACTACAAGTATACTCCGTACGGGGCAGCGTGATCGGGGCCAGCGATAAGTATCCCTGCATCCTCGCAAATGGTCACCAGTTCAAAGGGTGATAATTCGGCCAGATGCAAGGTCCAGTCTGCTTGCGCGGCAGCACTGGCTTAGTAAAGGGAAAAATATTGCACCCTGAAGAGTTTAAAGTCCTTCCCACTAGCGGCAAGGCTGGCAAGGCTGGCAAGGCTACTGGTGGATGTGCGTGTCTAACCATATGGCCTGCTGTATTCCGCCCTTGCGGAGTATAACCCCGCATATGGCAACTTCATCTCACCACGAATCTGATGAGTTTCCGTTGCTTGCTGGAGCCTTCTGCCAATCCTGGACTCTGAGAAATGAACTGTGGTACTGAATACAGTGGCTCTGCCATGTCCCAAGCTTGGATACCAGCTGCACCACTGTGAAAGGCTCAGTCGAAATGTACCTGCAGAGCATTCTCGTCAAAATCATGTTCGAAGCATCGAGTGACGCGACCTGACCGAAGCCTGCTCTGACGTGCTATTGAAGAGCGACTCTCCAGAGTCCAGTGAGCCATAGTTGATTTGGGGGCAAATGACGATCTGCCCCTCTCATGCACTGAACGAGACACATTGTCGCAGAGGACGCGGCTCGGTACTCCTTTCAACGGCATGGACTCGAAGAATTTGTCCCCCAGTGAAGACTTTCTGCGATGGCGGCCACAATATCATCTGCAAGCCCCTAGTGGCTGGATGAACGACGCGTGCGGACTCGGCTACGACCCCAGGACGGGCCTCTACCATGTGGCCTACCAATGGAATCCTGGATCGGCTCATTGGAAAAGTATATCATGGGGAAACGCGCGAAGCAGAGATCTCTGTTCGTGGGAGGTCTTAAGCACTCCTTCGATCATTCCAGAATCAGACGGTGGTAGCAAAGGCGTGTTTACGGGATGTCTTCAACCAACGAATGTGGATGGTCAGGCCGATGGAGTGCTGACCATCCTGTACACCTCTGCACGGAGACTTCCCATTCACTACACGCTCCCGTATGACCGCGGCTCCGAGCGTATCCACATGGCAACATCTCGTGATGACGGCAAGTCTTGGATACCGTACACAGGCAACCCCATTGTCCCAGGACCGCCTCCGGAACTGGATGTCATTGGCTGGCGCGATCCGTATGTGGCCGAGTGGCATTCCATGGACCGTGCCCTTGGCAGAGAGCCTGGCAAACGCTTATACGGACTTGTGTCTGGCGGTATCAAAGACAAAGCGCCCGCCGCTTTTCTGTACGCGATCGGAAAGGACGCGTTGAACTCGTGGGAATATCTAGGACCGTTGAGTGCTCCATGTATCAACCACACGCCGTCTCAATGGACCGGCGACTACGGCGTCAACTGGGAAGTCGGTAATTTTCTGTCCACGACTGACAAATCAGCACAACCTCATGACTACCTCATCATGTCCGTGGAAGGATGTCTGTCAGAGCAGGGAAAGCCGCACAACGCACAAATGTGGATGCACGCATGGATAGGAATAGACGACAAGGGGAAACCGACGATGACATTCGACTACGGAGGCCGTCTCGACCACGGCAGGAGATACTATGCCGCCAACTCATTCTGGGACCCGATCTCGCAACATCACGTAGTGTTCGGATGGCTGCAGGAGCACGACCTCCCCGAGATATGGCATGACAGGCAGTGCTGGTCGGGGATGCTCTCCCTCCCACGAGTGGTCAAGCACAGCGAGTTACACTCCGTCCACGGCGCGCTGGCGACCGCTTTGTCAAAGATCACCTCGATCGGAAAAACGCTCGAACCCAAAGGCACATACACCATATCCACCCTGGCGTCGGCCCCACATCCCGCACTCGAGAAGCTACGTGGCAACCTGTTACCATTTCCCTCACCCACACCAGCCATGAAGCACGCTACCAGTACCCGTATAGCCATGTTCCCCCACCCGACGGCGCACCTGGAGATCGACGTATCCTGCTTGCTGGCCCTTGACACCCGTCGCGTGGGCCTATCGATGCTGCACTCCGCCGACGCCAAGCAGCGTACGACCATGTACTTCGACGCAAGGGAAGAGACGTTCGTGATCGACCGGTCCCAATCCACGACCATTGCCGGGGTGGACACGACCCCGGAGACGGCTCCTCATACTTTATTCCGCTTTTGTGACACGTCTGGCACTGGCACCGTGCCGCAGGAACCGCTCGACGTGCGAGCCCTTTACGACGTCAGCGCGCTCGAGGTGTTTGTCAACGAGCGCACCGCGATCGCCACGCGCATCTACCCCGATCGGGCGACTTGCTTTGGGATTGAAGTGTTTCTGGAGTCCGAGCCGGACACCCAATCCCAACCGAAGTCAGCCGCAGAAAGGGGAGAAGTAGCGTGGACGCGCAGTCAATGCTGGGAGATCCTCCCCGACCAGCAAGTACATTATAGTAAGAATGAGAATGAGAATGTAGACTGTCTGTTCTGTTCTGCTCTGATCTAGCCGACTGATACGCCTACCTTCCTCGTTTTCATCGGCGACGGCGGCGCCATGACTTGCAGCTCGCTTGTTGACCGAAGCACTCGAACTTTTAGTCCAAAAGGTACTTAGGTACGTCTACTTGGTCCAGGTGGCTTACAGTGAATATTCCATGCTGTGCTCACCATGCTGTAGACTCCGAAACAAACGCTTGTCATTCCGAAAGCGCGTCACCGTGGGTAAGCCATCTCGAAAAGCAGAGCTAATACGCAATGATGCACGTGGACCTTGCATAAGCTGATGTGATTGTCTCAGTCTCATATACATTGCGTGAATCGCGTACCTGCAGGTATCTTGGATGCACAGATGATAAGTCGGTCGAGCCCTTAAATACCCCCGCGATCGACTTTTCTCCCAACCGACATGGGCTGGGCGTCCTGCTGGCTGGGCGTACTTGAGCTTACGCGACAGGAAGGGAGACCTTGAAGACCAAAACCTGATTATCCAGACTATACCCGCTCTCGTCCGCATACGGGAGTTGCCCTCCATTCATGAACCCATTCTGGGTGATGAAGTCGTTGTCACTTAGGCTGAAAATGAAGTATTCGCCCTGAGACCCAGCCTGCCAGTCCTTCCACCCAGCGTTCGAGGGCGGGTTGACAGGCGCAATGGCAATGGACTCCCATTTCTCGTTGAGAAGGCCGGCATCCTGCTCGCCACCATTGTGGACACCAAATCGGTTGAGCTGGGCGTTGACGTTGAAGTCGAGCCACGGGCAGTAGGTGGCTGGGACCACGGTGGATGCAAGGACGCCGTCCACGGAGGCGACGGCCGCGGTGGTCGCGTCGTACCCTTTACTGCTTCCGCTACTGGCGATGTTTGTGGCATTGGAGATGTCAAACACATCGATATGGCGGTATCGGGACTGGGAGTTGGATTGGCCGTGGCCGCGACCCGAATCACGCGCAAGCACCAGGAACTGGGTCGGGCTGATGAAGTGGATCTCCGACTGCGCAGCCACGAGGGTGCTGTTCGCGAAGACCGGCAACGGAACGACATACTCGGCCTTGTAGACGGGATGGGCCGCGTCGCTGATGTCGTATTCGAGCAGGCGGGCGAGACGGCGGGTCGAGGCGTTGCGACCGCCCTCCTGGACTAATGCGGACTGCATGAGTGCGTAGAGGGTCTTCCTGTCTGGCGAGGAAGTGAGGCCCTCAAGCCCCTGATTATTGGACCGCCCGCTAGTAGGATTCGTTGGGGTAGTGGTAATGTTGGGGTCATATCTTGGTGGACTGGCTGCGTTGAAGGAATCGGTGCCGTTGCGCTGGGGAATGATTGCGGGTGGTGGGCGAATAGCGACCGTCATTCGCCCGCTGTGGTCGAAGTGGAAAATGTATGGCCCGTACTCGTCTGAGATCCAGAAGCCGTCGTCGGCGAGAACAAGACCTTCAGTGTCGCCGACGACCCTTTGCCCGCCCGTCCCATTGCCGCCAAAGCCATCCCCGATGTAAGTGGCGGATGGAAGCTCGGAGAAGCCAGGAAATGAAAGGTAAGGCGGCTGTTGGTCAGGATCCAGGCCAGTCAGGGGTGTTCCCACAGGGTCTGTGAAGCGGATTGTGTCGAGATATTCCAAATGGAGGTTGGGCGAGCTCGAGTTCGACACCGTGTCAGGCTTGAAGGTGATTTGGAACTTATGAACTCGAGGTTGATAATTCAAAGTGCCTTCAGTATTCCAACCGCGATCTGTGAAGGCATCAGAGACTGTACCTTCGACCCCTAAGGCTTGCTCAATTGACAACTCAAACGCTGTCGACTGGAGTATATTTGAGACACTGGAATGGGATGTCCGACACGTCGTCTTATCTGAATGAATGTACGGGTCGACAAGTTCAGCTTTAGAGATAGGGCAACTCACCTGGAAGACTCCAGAGTATACCTGTGTAGACACCGTTGCTGTCGACTTCCCACGACTTCTGATCGATAGCAGCACTACTGCCGATGCCGCCAGCAGTATCGCCAAATTTGTCGCGAGAGTCCGATGGAGTGAACCCGTAGCCGGCCAGAGCCTGGTATACGTAGGTTTGCCCATTGCACGTAGTTGTGTTGACTGCCGTCGCAGCTCGCTCAAAAGGAGATGCCAATGAAAGGCTGGCAGCGAGTGCAGTGAGAAGTAGCGTCCTCATAACCATGGCGACTGGTCGTTTGGCTGATATTAGCTAGTACTCAGTTCAAGGATATGATTGGTGAATCTGAAGGCAGATGATCGATCTGAGTAGTAAGCTCGCCGAACGAGCAAGGGAGCAAACCCGTTGACACGCGAGAACTCAGGAACCATTGGAAGCAACAATAGACGTTCAAACCGTTCATGACCGAGCTTTTTAAATATCATGCAGAATATTTCGCAGGCAGATGAGCGCTGCATTACCACTACCACGTGTTGAGCTGAATATCTCTGATTCGTGCAACAGCTCGTGAATTGCCGATGTAGACATACAGCCCAAGCCGTTAGTGCAGCAGAAGAAATGCAAACTGCTCAAATTTGTACGAGCATAGATGGAAGGAACGAGACGTAGCTGCAAGCGCACTGGTATCAGTACACGTTCTCAGTCTAATACTGTTGGCGGCTGCTCGTCCTCACCCGTGTCGAAGCTGAACATCGCCGAGCTTGGCAAATCTGGCACGAAGCGTTGGCGCTCGCAGTCATCCGATGACTACATCGTTGCGCAGGACAAAAGAACTGCCGAGGCATGACATCTTCACATGTTCACCTGTTCCTGTGGCACGGTTCACTGTGACCTCAGGTCTGAACACGAAAACGGAGAAGCAGCTAGAATGAAGCACGGCCACGCAAGCGCAGATCGAGCCACGGGTGCCACCGCAACCGTGTCGATCGATCGCCAAATAGTGGCAGTGCCAAAGAGGCACTTGAGGCAGTAGTGGCGAGCGGAATTCGATGATTGGGCATGTCACAGCAGGTCATGGCACGATGAAAGGATCTGGGGCCGCCAACGCCAAGGCTTGTGCCTTGCAGGAATCCAAGCAACGTCAGTGACGTAGTTGGAGCCGTTCCGAAAGGGGAAACAAAGAACCACGAGTGACGTAGCCAGCCGTTGACGTGCTTCACTGAGAAGCAGCTGACCAGCGTGTTTGCCTGGGAGGGGCAACAAGGAGGGGCTCACGCGTCGACTTCTCTTGTGTATATAAACTGAGATTGCACCTTGCTTCAGAAACTTTCCTCCATCACGAAACATCAGACTCATACCAACTCAACATACAACTTCCTTCAAACAAAACAACTGCAAGACTTCAGTCACATACACCACTCTTCGCAATGGATTCCATCAAGTAGGTATCTCTCGCCTCCCACCTCCCACTGATGAATTCCTCACTAGAGACTCAAACAGCAACTGACTTTAATCTCAGGAACACCGTCAACTACGTCAAGGAGTCCGTCTCCGGCGCTGGCTCGACCGCTTCCAAGGAGGCCAACAAGAACGTCGCCAAAGATAGCAACGCTCCCCTCGACACCCGTGCCCAGGCTGGCTTCGATGCTATCGGTGACAAAATTGACGAGCAAGGACACAACCGCAAGGCCGATGTTCACAAGGAGGCTGCAAAGCACTAAACATGTTCTGTAACGACAACGAGATGTGGTGGACATGGCAGGAAGGCCGGCAGGAGTTCTAAGATACCCCAGACAATCCTTGCAATGAGGGCATTCATGAAAGTCTTTCAACAGCTGAAATAGCTTGGATCAATTCAATTCAATCCTCGAATGAATGATTAATCATACTTTGTTAATATTTCTTCTTGTACATTTTGTTCCTCGGCACAATTCTGCTCTCTAGACATCTTTCACATTTGCCTATGCCCCTCCAGTGCTTCTGCAGCCAAAGTCCTCATTCGCTCGCGCTCAAGAGGATGGATGTTTTCCAGTGCGGCCTCCACGTCCCTACTCTGCGCCTCAACAATCTCGGTGACTCCAGTTTCAGATAAGTAACTAGGAGGTCGGTATCCCATTGTCCGGTGAATCTGGCTAACTGCCTCATCATATGTAGGTGTTAATGGAGACGGCGACTTAGTCTGGACTTCTTTCCAGTGGACCAAGTCAGGATTAATCCTCATGCTGGTTCGAAGGTTTCCGTACACAGGCGGAGGTTGTTGAATAATTGGCTGAGCTTCCACATCTGGGCCGAAGCCTGTGTCAGAAGCCATGTGTATTGGAATCGGCTTCTCTGGGATGAGCTCGGGTTCGGCAGGTTTACGAGCACGCTGTCGTCGGGTTCTAGGATGACCTCTTGCATGTCCGCGTCTGGATCCGGGGGTTGTTCGGTGCCTCGATCTTCTTGGGTGCCGAATGAGCATGAACATACGGAGGAGTTGATGGACAAAGATTCCCGTTAACGTCAACAGGAAAAGGATGGATATTACATGAAACATGGTATTCTCCGCGACACCTGTACCGGCAAGGACCAGGTCTAAACACATTAGCAAGAGCAACAGCCGAGAGCGCTTGTTGGTGGCAGCTTACAGATTATCAGAGCAACTAACAAGGTAACACCAAAGGCGAAACTGATCCTAGCTTTTGCACTGACAACCGGATCGCGGTATGCCTTCCTCGAGAAAATGCCATGTCGTCTGCTGCTGCGCTTGGAAGTTGGTGTGCTGCTGCTACTGTCGCTTCGATACGACCGCATCGCTTGACGTTCCGAGGGCGTAGGCTCGTCGTCCATGTTTCGGGCCAGAGGAATAGGTTCAGGGGGCTCAGGGTGGTGCAAACTTCCAGTATACAGGTCGGAAACCTCAGATTGATTGTCTCGCTGTACCGCAAATGGTGGGGACCCACGGACTGCGTCCTCAATCACCGAGCGCGTCGAGCTTCTCGATCTCGTACTCGAGGATAAGGCGCCTCGAGCGAAGGCTTGGGTCTGCGTCGAAGAACGAGATAGAAACAGGGGCACCACAAAAGACTTCCCGGGAGCTGGAGAGGTAGCGGAGCTTTCGGGGACATGACTTGGTCTGAACAGACGCGACATGCTGCGTACCGCGCTTTGGCCGAACGTCGTTGCTGGCAACAGCTGCGGTTGGGATGGTTGAGTAGATGCTCCTTCTTCCATTGTTGAAAGCGCTTGAGGGGCTCAAGGTGCGATAGAGGAAGTCGAAGCTCGTCGTTCGTGCCTGATAGTCAATAGAAACACCGTTCATGGAAAGAACGAGGGAAGTCAAGGCAGAGAGGGGCATCCGGCCGGGAGAGACGCAGTGAATCTGATTAAAACCCGCTTGTTAAGAAGCGGACAGAAAACAACACAACAGAAGGGCCATGAGTGCCGCGTGAAGCTGTGTCTCAATCCTGGCCATGGTTTGACCATTTGTGGCCTTGAGTCCACGCTCCGACTGCGCATTCCCCGACTCACCACGAATGTGCAAGGAGAACAGAATTGGTGGAATGCATCCCCCGTGATGGGGGTGAAACATCAACGGCTTCCGACACCAAGGGAGCAGAGGCGTGACAGGCTGTCATTCCTGTTCATATCGAAAGGAAGACCGGTCTCATCCATGACGATCCGGTTGCTCGCGACGTTGTTGACAGAGCTTTGGGAACAAGCAGGTCGACAGGCTGGTCGGGAGAGGACGCGTTTCTGAAACATGGAGCCAATGCTCCGTACGAGCGCGAGGGGTCGACTCTCGCGTGGCTTCTGGCCTCTTGGCAGCATGAAGGCACGGGCTACTCTGGCTAGGGCCGCCCATGGCCGCCAATGGACGCCTAACTGCAGTGCGAATCCGGGCCTGCGATGCCTACAGGTACGCAGAAAAGCTTGATATCGCGAGAGCAAATCTGACAGCATTGAACAAACATTTGCCAGATTCACGACACGTCGCATTCCAAATGCAATCTATTCGTTCCCTTCGGTGCCTGCTACTCGCACTGCAAGATACAGCAGCTGGCCGAGACTTATGGCCAACATTGTCATAGGGTTCCGTCAAATCAGATCTTCTCAGGCAAGAAGACGCCAATTGAGCAACCATGGCGTCCGGCCACCATGCAAATACCTCTTCGTAACTAGTTCAACATCGGAAGCCGCAGTGCTGGTGCTGGAAGTATGGTAGATGGTATAACCCATTCCAAGGTTTATCATCTTGTACCTTTGATGGTATGTTAGCTATCTCGATTCGATTTTCGAACAAGAGATAGCCTTCAGTGCTTTATTTGCACGTTCCTGTCGCTGAGTGACCAAATCGCCCAGAAGGGAGGCGATATCGCCAGGCGGGAGTTCTTAAGCCTGCCTGTGTTGAAACATTCCCCGAGACCCTGCTTCATGGGTTGATTTTGAGCCCTCAGGTGAGGGTTCAGCTTGCTAGATTAGATATCCTAAAATACTTATAACAAAGGGCAGGCTCCAGTTTTCGAATCGCTTCAGCAAACGCGGTTGCGTCACATCGCAAGATGAACCACAGCGTCAACCACAACCAATTGCCCAAGTTAGCATGCAACCTTAAAAGCCCAGAATATTTGCGATCAGACTGGTTGCAGGAAGCGTGACCGGCGCATGCGGTATCACGAAAGAAGTGATAGCTGACCTCGAAGTCAACATGTCAGCTGATCATGAAGCCCGTTTGCATGTCCCTTAGCCTATCAAGGAGGAAGTGGCCTCCGATACCTCTTCTGCGTCTCCAGATGACGAAGTCGCCCACAAGAACTAGGTGAAGCGCAGTAATAAATGGCGCCGCAACAAAGGGCCGGCAGCTCGAGAAAGCCCAGGACGTGGGTCAAGTCCTGGACAACTTCATGGAAAGGCAATTCTCACCGGTATATTCTCCCGTGGCTAGGAAGCTCCAAATGCCCGTCATTCTCCCTCAACGCCGGCTGAAGAGCAGAGAATGGGGCTTTGTCCGGGCGTACGCACCTACATATGCTTCAGACATGCGGGATCGAGCAACAAGAATTTCTCGATTTCCTAGAGGGTTTGGCAAAGCCGTCCAGGTGAGACGGGTAGGAGCAACACACGAATAACATCAAGCTGATCAGTGACGATTGAACTTTTCCCGCTCCATTCGCCTTTCCATGCCTTCAAACTTGCATGCGCCGGCGCCGTCCCTGGTACCGACATTGCCGTGGGGCCTGTGTTTCTTCGTCCATATCAGCGCCTTGGTCGCCCTTGCGAGCGTGGAGCATGGCTGTCGCCTATACGTCAAGCACGACTCGAACAAGGATCTTGATGAGAAGAAGGAAAAATTCTTCAAGCCGCACGGCCTCTTTGCTTTGGTCATGGCCTACCAGACCGAGCCCGACGGGATCGTGCAGGAGGAAGTCGACATTGAACACACGTCTTGACCTCGACTGCTGGGCGTGAGGGCACCCACCGTAGCCGCTTCCTCAACTTCTCCGGCAAGACATTGGAGATTGAGATTCCGGCATTGGCGCCTCGCATCTTTCCCGAGCTGGATGCTCTGTTGGAGGAAGAGAAAGCCAACTTCTTCAAACGTAGCGGCAAGAACCTAGGAGATTACTTCAACTGGCGAGCGTAGGCAAAGTTTGAAAGCCAACATCCTAGATCCAAACTGGATGTGTGTGGAGAGCGGCACTTCGCTGCACGGTTCAACATACCAACCACCCTGCATACAGCGGCAGCCTCGTTGCTTTGCTGAGCGGTGGAAAGATTGATACCAGCGAGGCCGATCGGGGAAAAGCCGAGAGCAGAGCTCACAAGCGACATGATCAGAATATGAGACGGGTTGCCAGGGGCCGCGAGCCAAGATAAGATCCCTCGAGGCATGCACAAGAGGCCATCCCAGGGTGAATCAAGGGACTAGTGAAGCCGGAGGTGTTGTACCTGACCAGCGTCAACTATCCTCGCGAGGTCGAGTTGAGGGAAATGGCCCAGCATGGGAAACGTTTGAGCACAAGGAGTGGCTTAGTCTAGCCATAGGCCGCCTCCTGGAGGTAAGTGACGCCGTGTTGCCAGCCACAGGGCGTTTGAGAGTAGTTACTCCATGACCTTTTGGCCAGCTGTCCACGGTATGCTTCTGTAAATTCGAAATCTGTCTCAACTCCCTTATTGTGTGATACACCAAAGAGCTCGAAGACCACGCATACTTGAAAATCTCGCAGAATGGGTGCGATCCAATGAAAACAAAAAGAAAAATGCCTCCAACAAGAATTGAACTTGTGATCTTCGCATTGATTGCCAGAGGAGAAAGTATTCTTTCAGCTGTACAAGTGCGACGCTGGAGCACTGTCAGACTATGGGTGCTAGAAAAACTGCCTGAAGTGACTCACCGTTACCACTGCGCCATAGAGGCCATTTTGCAAGCAAATTTTCCGCTATTCGATAAATGTCGTTTTATTTTAGCTGCCAAGCTCGGCATTTAGCCTTCTGGTCCGGAATGCAAATACATAGTTAGACATAAACAATAACGCCAGGCTCTCCGAGCTTGGAGACATGGTCACACAGCTACACCTAGGTATCGAAAGGCTTACGGCTGTGCTCACGCTCGTCAGGACACAATCAGCCGAGCGGAGGTCTACAAACCTCATTCACAGCTCAAGTTTGCAGCTTCACAACCAAAACCAATCAGCGAGTGGTCAGGTCCTTTCCCCAACAGCCGCACAGCAAAGCATATGCTCGACCCATCAAGCTTGTCAACCGCCGTCTGTTCGATTCGAAACCTACACTGGAGTTCAAGCCATTCCTTATTTCATCAACCATAGAGGCTTCACCACTGCGCTTATGCCTCTTACACTCTTTCTTGCTGGGTGCGCACCCTAAGGCTCTGCAGATTTAAACCAATTTGTCGCTCCAACAGATTAGTCGGCACTGGGCAAACTACAAGTGCGAAACCGCAGATGGCACCGGTACCCGGTTCGATGCGGCTACAGGTTCTGCTGTTTTGCCGGTCCCATCACGCCCATGTGGTACCAACCCAGTCGAAAGCTGCGAGCGGTGTCTTCAATCAAATGTGCCCAATTTTTCAGGTCGAAGAAACACGGTAGATACTGATGTTGGAAGAGCCATATGAAGCACTCGATCCTTCCTAACTTTCCTAGAGTGCTCCGCCGCCGGCCCTGGCTGCCTAGACTTTGACCATTGGTAAGGTCTTGTCAGGTGATGGTGATTCCGAGCGCGTTTTTGCGTTAGCTAGGAGAGCGGGTGCTCTCTCGCGTGGCTCGCGTGACCCGTGGATGTGCACAAGGCGGTATCAGCCTCGTACTGACTGGGTGTGGGACGCGACCAGCTTTTACTCTGCTTGGACTGCTGTCCGGGCCTGAGGTTGGTGTAGAACAACGAGAAAGGTGCCTAGAGTCTAACTTCCGAGGTTGAAATCCCGTTGAGTTCGTAAGATCTTGGGGTGGTTCTGTCACCTCCCTAGTTCTCCCAGAAGGAGGTTCCGATCTGTCGAGCCAGAAACAATGATCGGCTCTTCGGTCGGCGAGAATCGAGTGTCATTCACCGCCCCTTTGTGCCCAGGCAACTTGTACAGCAACTTAGCTGATCGAGTGTCCCATACAACGACCGTTCGGTCACCAGCACCAGCACATATCTTGTCTCCTTTCGGACTCCAGCTAGCACGTATCAAGTTCTTCTCGAAGCCGGATGGAGCACCGTCGTAAGTCTGCACAGCTCGGTCGACCGGCGCAAAGGGCCTGATATCCCAAGTCCGTACCGTGGAATCGTGGGAGTTGGATAGTAGTGTTTGCGAGTCGGGGGAGACTTCCAGCGATGTGATTGTATCCTGGTGGCCGCTGAGAGTATATGTGACCTCCATCTTACGAGCATCCCAGACCTTTATGTCGTTGTCAATCCCACCAGAGTAGATCTCATGGCCTTGCTCCGCCAGTGCTACCGCTGTGATGGGAAAATCTGTCTCGATGTAGTCGACCGCTGCCTTTTGTCGAGGGTCCCATATGCCGATGGTACCATCGTCGCTGCCGCTGAGTAACAGATCCTGACCTCGTCGGCTTAGTTCCAAGCAGTTTATGACCTCCTCGTGACCGACGTGCTTGCGTATCCTCAGGCCCGTTTCGAGATCCCAACTTGCCACGGTCATGTCTGCGGATGCGGAGTAGATTGTCCTCGAGTCGCGCGACCACTGGAGATCTAGCACTGCACCCTTATGGCCGGTCATGACTCCATAGTTGTCGCACTGTCCGTAGGTGTTCCACAGCATAATGGACCGGTCCATGGAGCCCGAAGCGATATGTTGTCCTGTTGAATCAAACCTCGTCGCAAAGACCTCGCCAGAGTGACCGGTGAGTTCCATGATCGGGGCAGTGAGAGCGCTGGTGCGCAGAGCCTTGAGGGAGTTTGTTAGAGCGCCCTACATCAGATTGTGAATGAACGTACCGAATGCACGACAGCGCCATTCTGATCTTTCGCACCAACTCTCAGAGCTTTGCCGTCTTTGAGGTCTGAACTCGACTTCTGCCTCTTGACCAAGGCTTGCGGCTGGCTGAAGCTGTCGGATGCCTGCCGTTTGATCGACATGACGGCGCGGTCGCCAATTCGAGACTGTAGAGCGAACTGTCGTTCTCGTGGCCGAGAGATGCGTATCTCACGGCTGTGGCATACCTAGGTATCGTCGACTGCTCTTTGCATACTGAACTTTTTGGATCGGCAGCCGGCGACTCAATTCCCCGAGGATTTGACAGCCTTGGCGCGCGAGGCTGTCATCTCTGCTCGCTTCCCGGAATCGTTCTCTCCACCGTACATTTTCCCATGTCAGGGATATTTGAGATGCAACGTCTGCGGTAATTGTGATACCTTTCCTCGGATGGCGTCGAGTCAAAGAGCCGCCCGTTTGGGCGAAGAGTAAGCGCATATCTAACCGATGCTCTGCGACTCACTAACGGCGTCCGCTAGAATCTGGAAGTAAGCGGAGTCTGGCTAGTGGCAGCAGCGACTGACAGGGTCAGGACGAGAGTCGACAAGGTCAATGCGGAGCTGGTAACGCTCACCTATGGGACCATTGTCGCTCAGCTCTGTACCGACTATGATTATGACTACGCCCAAGTCAACCTGCAACTTGACAAGATGGGATACAACATTGGAATGCGACTCATTGAAGACTTTCTGGCAAGGTCAAACACCGGTCGTTGTGGCAATTTCAGGGATACAGCTGAAATGATTTCGAAGGTCAGCCTTTCCTGAACGTTGCAGACTAGTCGACTGAAGATCTCCAAAGGTCGGCTTTAAGATGTTCCTGAACATCACACCCACAGTCACGAATTGGACGGCAGACAACAAGCAATTCTCGTTGCTGTTTGATGAAAACCCGCTGGCGGATTTTGTGGAGCTCCCCGACGATGGCAGGGCTCAAGATGAGTTGTGGTTCTCCAACATCCTCTGTGGTGTGCTACGCGGAGCGTTGGAAATGGTAAGGCCAGATATCACCCGAGACTTTGAGCGCAATGCTCACCTTCTCCCTAGGTCCAGATGTCAATTGAGGCACATTTTGTGAGCGATGTACTTCGGGGCAACGACGTTACAGAGATGCGAGTCACGCTGAATCGATACATTGAGGATGAGATGCCCCCGGACGACGAATAAGAATAGCGTCCATCTACGCGGAGCAAACAATGTCGCATGCCAAGTACCAAACAACTCGAAGCACTGCCAGTGGACAGAGCACAAGTCATAATGGGGTGCAGGTCACGTGCTGACGACCCCTTTCCCCTTATCCCTGTTATCTGCTATCCATTATGCTGAAAGGCAAGAATTCAGGAGCAACCCCTGAGGCAGTTTCAGCGGCAGGACCGAGGGGTCGGCACTCCTATGTGTGCTCAAGCAAGCTCAGACGGAGGCCATTTGTTTCCACGGAATATGAACCGTTGTCGCCAATGGACGAAATGATCCAACGAGGTGTGGAATTTCGGTGATGTTGGTTCCATCAGAAAGTGCTTGTGGTGCTGGAAAGATGGCAGTCGAGGTGAGGTGTGATGCAAAGCCAAGCACCCCACCATGGGTAGTCCCATTTCCGGCATGGCGTGCTGCAATCTGCGCGGGCGCCGCTTGTAGGGCTGAGGCGAGACATGCTCTGAGTGGCCAGGTTGGAGTCAGAGTCAGAAATCATAGGCGGCCTTTTTGCGTGCAACTGCCGTGATGGGTGGTCGGCTGGCCTCTCAATATTCGGGCAGCGCCCTGACTAGAAGCTCATCAGTCATCACCCGGGTCTTTAGATTACCTTGACGATCAAGGTTGCTGATTTCTGGGTCCTGCAGAGCGCAGCCTACCCAACGCCGAAACCCTCCCCATACCGTACCCAAAACCAACCTCACCTTTCTCGCTGCCTTTTCGCCTTGCCCACGCCAACCCTGCCACTACCGCAATCATTCACTGTCGCCTCACTTTCTGACCGGGTCACTTTTACCTTTACCTCTGATATCTCATCCTCACAACCATCGTTCGAGTCTTGCATTGCATTGCCCCAACACTGTGATCTATATTGCACATCTTACTCGCCTGCGGCCCCAAAACTGGCTGCGCTTTAGCCGGCCTGCCACCCCAATCTCCATAATTTGTGGCGGTCGCGTTTCGTCGACAGGTTCTCGCTGCTGTACCTCCCATTCATTATCGCAGCCACATCAAGCTCAAGCACCCTTCAAGCAACACCGCCATTACCCTCCATCGTCACCTGCGGAAAATGAGGCTTTCGTGCATAATCTGATAGTCGCTGCCGGTTTGCGCGACCGAATCTCTCCGCACGCACTACAGCCTTCCGACACTGAACCCGAGACACCTCTTCGACTGAGGTTCTCTTGCCTTCTTCGCGCCTTACCAGCCTTCGTCCAACGCATCGAGCTTCTCTAGACCTTCCCACGCGCTGGTGGCCACGATGAATATGGCCGGCATGAACCCCGCGGTCATGGCAGCGGGAGGATCCGTCGGAGGTGGAATGATTATGATGAACAACGGCAGCCCGGCGACACAAGTCAACGTGGGCAACTCTCCAGAACAAGTCAAGGCGCAGTTAAACACCTATATCTACGAATATTTCCTTAAACTCGGCCACTACGATATCGCTCGAAGCCTGCTGCGTGAAAAGGAATTCGAGCTCCGTACAAAGCCCCCGGTCAAACAGAGTCCCGGCCGTCGCAAAGATGCAGAAGTAAACGGTGTTGATGGAGATGCCATGGATACCGATCTCAAAGACGACATTCCCGACGACCTGCCTCGCCCCATGCACGTGGGAGACGCCAGCACTCCCGGCGTCGGCTTCCTCTTCGAATGGTTCAGTATCTTCTCCGACCTCTTCACAGCGCATCGTTCAAGTAAGATGCAGGGTGGTCAAGGCGGGAATATGGGCACCGCTGCGCAATATTTGATGCAACATCAGGTACGTCACTAATGCTGTTCAGGACTCGACACGGTATTGACCCAGCTGCAGAATATCCAGCGCATGCGGGAAAACCAACAGAGCCAGAACCTCGCCCGGCCCGGCATGATGCCTGGCAACCGATTCATGCCAGCCAACATGCGCAACAACATGATGAACGGTAATGTCTCGAGAGAGATGACCAGCAAGATGTGAGTACCCGTACAATTATTATTTTCTGGCCCCCAACGCCGCTGACATGGTGTCGCGCAGGACTCCGCAGCAGCTGCAGCAACTTAAGCAGGCGCAAATGCTTCAGCAGCAACAGCAGATGCAACGAGAACAGGGCGATGTAGACATGAACGGTCGCGCCTCGTCGCCAGCAGAAGGCGAGAACGGTGGGTCGCCGTCCAAGAGACCACGACTCGACGGTCAACAGTTTAACGGTGGCATGATGCCTAATGTGCGGCCAGGAATGCCTAACGTGGCGCCACAAAACATGATGATACAGAATGCTTTCCAACCCAACATGAATAATCCTCAGTTCCGACAGAATGGTGGCATGCCGCAGAAGCCCATGCAGGTTAGTTGTGCAAAACCGCTGATGCCCCCTCACATAGCTCACACAGCGGCAGGCTCAAATGGCTAATGGCATGATGAACATGGCCAACGCTGGATCCCCCATGATGCAAGGCATGAATCCTCAATTTGACAACAACATGCAAATGGACATGTACAACCAAAGGATGGCCGGCCAGCAACTACAAGGCGCACCCGGCGGAGGCCAAAGCGGGAACCATGCTCTTCAAGATTACCAAATGCAGCTGATGTTGTTGGAACAACAGAACAAAAAGAGGTTGATGATGGCACGGCAAGAACAAGACAATGCCGTCAATAGAGATGGCGGTCCAGGCGGGCCTATGGTAGGCATGCAGCCTGGGGGCATGTCGCCAGGCAGCCGGACTGGCACTTCGCCCAATCCTGTGGACCAAATGAAGCGGACTCCACAACTAGGTCTTCCTGGTTCACCTTCCGCAGGCGACATGGCAAGGGGTTCGCCAGCTGCTCCAATGGCTTTTATGAACGGTATGCCCGGCGGCGGCGACTTCAACCCGACGATGTTCATGAAGGACAATCAAGGCATGGTACCCGGTGGTCCGGGCATGAGGCCGCCAACGTCGATGGAAATGCAGAACAACATGGCTCGCCAGCAGCAGGCCCGGATGGCCGGTCAGTTCCAGGGTGGGCAACCCATGGTCCAGAACCCGTCCCAAGGTCAACCACAGCCCATGGGTACCCCTGGACAGAGGAACGAGATGCCACCTCCCCAAGCGCCGGCAGTTAACAATCCTCCACGCAACCAGGGTGGCTCTCCTCAAAGTGGCAATGCACCTCCCACACCATCCACTGGTAACAAACCCAACCCCAAAACGAAGAAGGCCAAAGAGGAAAATACCAAGAAACGTCCAGCCAAGAAGAATTCCACGGCAAATGCTCCCGCAGCGGATGCTGAACCCCCTGCAACGCCTACGCCTTCCACCCCGATCACGCCGGTGCATCCGCAAGGTTTCAATAATTCGGCCGGTAAGGGTGCTGCTCCCGGCATGCCCAACCCTAACCAGGCACCACCGCCAAACGCAGTGATGCCACCCAATCCGCAAATGCATCAAACAGATCTATCACAACAGAGTTTCAGCGAGTTCAATGATGCCGGTAACTTCAACCTTGATTTCAGCTCTTTGGAAAACAGCGACGTTTTGGAGAATTTCGACTTTGACAGTTTCCTCAATACCTCGACCGAGGACACGTTCAACTTCGACAACCCTATGGGCATTGGAGGAGACTTTGGCGTCGAAACCAACGAATAGGGATATTAGATCGATGGGGACGATGCTCTGTACCAATTACTAAGCTAATGCTTTGGCGTTTTTGATGTGGGTCTCTGCCGGCTCATGCATGGTTGGCGGGCGCGTCTGTGCATGAAAAGGGCTGCGGCTGTTGGAAATACTTGCTTTTGTCTATTACAATACCCGCTGCTCAAGACGAAAATGATTTCTGTTGGTTGGACATATCTTCCTGGGTCGAATGTGGTAGTGGTTGACATAGGAATGGTCACCGGGTTTATTGCACTTCTTCCAAGTTTGTCGAAGCCTCGAAATCGGCAACACAGCTCAAGCACTCGCATCTTCCTTCGCTTTCCAATGCTCCATCCCGCAGATTCCCAGATGAAGTTTGGCGAGGATCTTGCAGGTGTCTCTCTGGATGGACCACGAGTCAAGCAAGGCTTCGATCCACGTCTGCACGGCGTCACCTTGGACAAGTTGGATTCTCATTCGCCTCAAGGGCTTCTGCGTGCTTTGGACAAGGGCTATGATCTCATCGTTAAAGAATAATCCCGCCCCCATTGCTGACTATCTTATTGATGCTCCAACTCCCTATGAGGTGTTCTTTATCGAAGTATTACCACATCTCCGAAAGGGCTAGCAGGACCCGAGTTAACCTACTGTTCCTGCAAAGTCAAGGTGAAGCTTCCATCTCATGTCGAAGCTGTGGGCAACTTCCCTTGAACGTGTCAGTCGAGTCCTTGCACACTGTCCCTCCCCATTGCTCCTGCAGGCATCAAGGCTCAATCAACTCTGAAGCAACCACGACCGGTGTAAGTCCAGAGGCGTGCTCAAGATGTCGCCCTTTGGGCCTTTCATCTCGCAGTCTGTGATGCTTGATTGCCACTCCACGTCCTCTGCCGATTCCCGCCATGCGGTATCAGAACTGGGACGTCCTGCTGTTTCCTGGTGACTGCAGAACCCCAATCCAGGAATTCGACACAAAATGTTTCGTCCTCGACCAGAGTTAGTGCACTGGTCCTCTCAACCAACAAGGATCCTGCTAACCTTTCCAGATGCGGGCAGCATAGGAGAAGTCGCCGCGGACAAGCACAGAAACCCATTCGAATCGATGACGCTAGTTCCAATCCTGACTTCGTTCGTTGCGAGCCTTGAGCGTGGCGCATCCTTTAGGATCTCAATCCACAGCTGGGAGAAGCCCAAGCCGTCCCAGCTTTTGCTCAGCTACAAAACTCCGGACGAGTCAGCTCTATTTGAATCTCGTGTGTACCTTGATGGGGTGTTGGTGGCGTAAGGATGCCAATCTTGACGCTGTGCCTGGTCTAATCGAGGACTGTAGTCAGCGTATGTTCGACGACAACGTCTGGCCAGAAGTCATCGGTACGATGTGATCAACCCGACCGCTCTATGCTTTGGCTAACTAGATGCAGGTGAATCAGGTTGTCCATGCCCCTCTCTGCTTCTCCCAGGACTTGCTAATGGAACAGACCGGAATGGCCAGTATCTTCGATTCCCCAAATTCCACCGAGAGATCCTGCAACAGCCAGACTGGGAACCAGGTGAGCTCATTGGTCGGATCAAGGTCGTGATCGCAGAAGGAGTCTTGAGGGAAAATACCCCCCCAGCACCGTCAGCAGCCAGGTTTGACCGACTTCGCGATGTTGTTGCCTTTTCCTTCCAGCATGCCCCCCAGGGTAAGTCGAGCAATGGCTTCCTCGGACGGTTGTTCTCTGACATATATTCAGATGTCCTCGAGTACTCCCAGATCGCTTGGCCGAATGCGAAGATGTTGGCCGATGTGCAGAAGAAAGTATCGCGACTAGGACCAATTGGATCTCGTGTCTTTGGCATTCCAGGCCATGAAGCGCATTCACATTCACCTCAGCGTTTACCGCCAATCGCCTCACGCAGCAAGCAGCTTTCTGCCAATGACAAGTATCAGAAAGTCTTGGATGCTCAGAACCGTTCGAGCTTTCAAGCTGGCCCAAGCGGCAAAGGCTTCGATTTGAACGGACTGAAGAACGTGTCAACAGAACAACACATCGTCGGCAGGGTTCTATTGCAAGACGACGACCCTTTCGTCAGTTCACACCAGAGCCCAGCGGCAATACAGCAGTGGCGAGCGATGTTGAGATCCACCAGCCACGATGTTTCGATGCCAGATTATACGTCCAACAAGAGTGTTTTCAATACGGAGATGTCTGGAGTCAGCGTCGAGCGAGCCAGCTTCGAGCAGCAAGTGAATGAAGCCAATCCTTACGAGATTGTGCAGGCGCTGAGTCCGGCTCGCCGAGAGCAATTATTTCAAGCTCTCAGTGCCTCGAACAGCCCGGCGAGGGGCATCGGCACTCGGCCTCCAACGAACACTCCTCAGTTGATCGCTGATCTCAACAACACCAATATTGCCCTTCAAACCGGGGCGGACGGCAGTACACTTGTTGCTACCCACGCAAAGCTTTGGCAGGAGCCACGGCAACGACCTCGGACGTGCTCGGAAAGCACAGCCAGAAGCACTGCAGAGTCAAGTATACATCACAGCAAAGGGAACATCAGCCCACGGAAACTACGAGAGATGAGCGTTCCTGCTGAAGCAAGCCACCTGCTGCCAGCTACGGCGAGATCGCAGTCGCTGAGAGTCAGTCGACATAGATCAGCCTCCAATGGACCGAAGCGGAAGCGTCGATCCGCTTCTCCGTCCGTCGACATAGCGGAGCCAGATACAATATTTGTAGTGGCCGATACCCCTGCCTCTTCCGCGTCAAATGACGAGCAAAGAGAGCAGGGACCACTGAGGCCAACTGCCTCGCCTGCAGGGACTATTGCTACAGGTACATACCACAGCTGAAAAGGTAACGAGAGCACGGTCTGGGACAGGACGGTATGGCCGCGCTGTGAGCTTTCGGTGACGGCCTCCGTAATCAGTATGGACATATGGTATTCTCGGCTGCGGGCTAGGTGGTTGAGCAAGGCCGAGTGGCAGCCACTGTGAGTTTCTGCGGGTTCATTGCATATTGATAGACTAGTCTAGTCGCCTTGTGATATGGCACATTGCTTACAGCGTAATGTGATACAGTCGTAGCAAATCCCAAAGCGGTCCTTAGAGTACTGTCCTGGTGCCACGGTCAGGAGGACACTAAGCCCCCGTGGATCCGCGTACCTAGCTCGCTGCTTGCACGGCCCGGGGTGCATACCCAGGTATCCTCAATTTGTCGCGCTCCAGGCCTCAGACCCTTGGGCCAAGGACTGGTACGTAATTGCTGGGGGCGTGCCCTGCTGTACCCCACACAGCCGCCCGCACAATCGGATTTTACCTGCAGACGCCATTGAGCCTGTCTGCACCCTGGACGTTTGCGTGCCCCGCCCCGCCTTGCGGCCGCGGTTCGAAAACTTTTGCCGCTTGAGCGTTTGGGTCGCTTGACTCATATTCTCGTTCCAAGCATAGCATTGCTGCTTCTTCCGCTGTCTGTCTGCTTTGCTTACTTGGCCAGTACCAGAATAACTTGGATCCTTTCGAATCCAAGACTGGCTCACGCTCAGCACCACCAGCAAGCCCAGTGGTTGAGACACTTATTTGTCGAGAGAATTGGTTGCAGAGAGAAACGCTCGGGGACGCTTTTCCAACATGCCTATGTATGTCATGACCGCTGCGAACTGCTTTCAACGCATTTACTGATAGACCCACGGGCTTCGTGAACCTTGGAAGAAATACCGCAAGTTCCGGCCACTTGACCTACCCAACCGACAATGGCCCTCGAGAACCAACGACAAGCCTCCACGGTGGCTCGCCACTGATTTGCGAGATGGAAACCAGAGCTTAGTGGACCCCATGGTATGCGGATACAGGAGGTATTTGTGCCGTCAAGCCTGACGCCGAATCTAGGACGGTGAACAGAAACTGCGCTTCTTCAAGATGCTCGTCGAACTAGGCTACAAGGAGATCGAGGTCTCGTTTCCCTCCGCATCACAGACCGACTACGATTTCACGAGAAGCCTGGTCGACACCCCGGGCGTCGTTCCGGACGACGTATACTTGCAAGTTTTGTCCCCTTGCCGCGAAGACTTCATACGACGGACAGTGGAATCTCTGAGAGGAGCGAAAAAGGCAATCCTACATCTATACCTCGCGACAAGTGAATGCTTCCGCAGGATTGTTTTTGGCATGACCGAGGAAGAGACTCTGGCTTTGGCCGTCAAGTGCACCAAATTCGCCCGGTCAATTACGAAAGACGACCCAAGTCATGCAGGGACGGAATGGCTTTACGAGTTCAGCCCAGAGACCTTCTCCGATACCTCGCCCGAATTTGCCGTGCGGGTATGCGAAGCTGTCAAGGAAGCCTGGGGTCCGACCGAAGACTCGATGATTATCTTTAACCTGCCCGCGACGGTCGAAATGGCCACGCCCAACATCTTCGCCGACCAGGTGGAGTACTTCTGTACGCATATGACCGAGCGCGAAAAGTTTTGCGTCTCTGTTCACCCTCACAATGATCGAGGATGCGCTGTCGCTGCTGCGGAATTGGCGCAGATGGCGGGCGCAGATCGGGTTGAGGGCACCTTGTTCGGCAACGGCGAGCGGACGGGAAATGTTGATTTAGTCACTTTGGCATTGAACCTGTACACGCAAGGGATCTGGCCGAATATCGACTTCAGCGACATCAACAAAGTGATCCGCGTTTGTGAGGAGTCGACTAAAATTCCCGTCAATGAGCGCTGGCCCTATGGCGGGCAGTTGGTCGTTTGCGCGTTCAGTGGCTCGCATCAAGACGCCATCAAAAAAGGGTTTCAACTCCGCAAGAAGGAAGGGAGAGGGCCCGAAGATCCCTGGGAATTGCCCTACCTACCTCTCGACCCGCAAGACATCGGCCGCACGTACGAGGCAGTCATCCGTGTTAACTCCCAATCTGGCAAAGGCGGCGTGGCCTGGATCATCCAACGAAGTCTCGAACTCGACCTGCCCCGTGGCCTCCAAGTGGCATTCAGTAAAATTGTACAGAAGGAAGCCGATGCCAAAGGACGAGAACTCCTGCCCCGCGAGATCCAAGCCTTGTTCGAGCAATCCTACCATCTTAAAGAGAACCCGCGCTTCACTCTCATCGATTATAACATCACAGCCGTGCGGTCACCGTCCCCTGCTCCGCCAAAATCCTCTCGTGGCCAACCCCCTCAGACCCAAGCGCCCGCACAGAACACCTCGGCCGCGAAGCGTCAATTTGCCGGTATAATCGCCATCGACGGTGCTCAACATCCCATCGTCGGTGTTGGGAACGGCGCCATCTCCTCACTTGCAAACGCATTGCATTCGCTTGGAATCGACCTCGACGTCGCAGATTACAAGGAACATGCGATCGGAGAGGGTAGGGAAGTGAAAGCTGCGACCTACATAGAGTGCACGGCCAGCGGTTCGAATGAGAAAGTCTGGGGGGTCGGCATCCACGAGGATGTGGTCCAGGCCAGTTTAATTGCGTTGTTAAGCGCGGCCAGCTCGGTAAGTACATCTCTGCACCGTGGCCTTGCCTGATCTCTCCCTTCTATCAGAGCTGACTTTGACCCCCAGTTCCTCTCCTCGCGCGTCTCAACTCCCGTCCCTTTCCGACCCAAGCATTTACGCCAATTCTCCGAAGCCGAACTTGAAGCACTGGAACGATTAAACCTTAATGGACCAGACAGTCCGGGCAGTCCCCTGCGGACGTCGACGACGGCGGGAGAAGCTGGCGAGGTAACCACAACCCCATCCAAATTGAACATGGAAACACACGCCGACAGCGTCCCGGCTAGGAAGATAGATTTTGATCTGTTGGAGAAAAAGGCTGAGCAGGCGGTCAATGGGCACACGGAAAAGCCTTGATTTACGATCCAGTAGCCGCACCAGGTGACATTTTGCGCCAAAAAATAAAATCTTTTGCATCACCAACAACTTCTCGACTGAGCAATTCGACGCAGAAATGTCTTCGCGACCAAAACTTAGACCTGCGTCCTGCTTTGTCGCCGGCGCGCTGAGAATCTCAGCCCCAGAATCCAGACTTCAGTTGAACATAGCATTTATTTCACACATCATTACGAGCCTCTGTAGCATGAAAAAGCACATGCCGCCTTTGAAAATGTCCTCGGCCGTCGCTCAACGCTTTACATGTGCAATCTCCGTGCCCAAGCTGGTCACGGGCCCTGAAGAGCTCGTGATCTCGCCCTTCATGCCTGAGGAGGCGCCATACAGTCACTTAAGGCACCCAATAGTGCCGCTTGGGGCTTAAGCCATGCCCCCACGAGCCCTCGATTGACTGGGTGCATTCAAGCCCCATGCTTAACTCAACCACTGACCTTGCCCGCTGCGCACCCACGTGCCCTGAGTTCGGTCTTCTATCACCGAAATGCATACGGGCAGAGTGCGGGCCATGAACCATGACGACGAGTTGCAGGCAGGCTTGAGGTCGACATCCACCTCCCTCCAACGACATCTGCCAGCGCAGGAAGGACAAGTTGACATCCCGAGACACTCGACTCCTGGACACCCGACTCCTGGACACCGTGTTTGTGTTCGCCTCAGAGTAATCGTGTCCCGCCTCGCCTTACTCAAGGCACTGCTGCATCTTCGTTCTCCCCTACGTCAACCCTTCGCTCCGCAGACGCTGAACCCAAACTCACCTCAACCAATTTACCCGCAATCCCGGCCGGGTCAAAAGCTTCCGGGTTGTTGAATCATCATATTTCAGAGCTTCGACATTGTCGACCAGGGAGGATGGCGTTGTGGGAGGAATGATTTCCACTGCAAGAAGCCCTCCCTGATCACGACCCGTCGTCACAGTTGATTGTTTGAAAGTCTGTGGCGCGATCGGGCCGAGACTCATCCTCTCTACCAGAACTCATGGCTTCTGCCGGACGCACCTTTTCGGCCCGACGCCTTATCAGGCCCCTCCTCTACTCCAGTGCCGCCGTCGCTGGGGTCGGCGGCACCATCTTCTATCTCTCCTACCGTCCCATAAACGTACCGGGCTCACAGGGAGCCATTGTTCCTGTTCCCCGCACGGAAGATGGCACCATCATTCCGCCGACGTTTCCTCCTATCAAGTCTCGCGCTGAGCAAATCTCTGACCTGAGGAAAAGTGGTGGACTCGTGGCAGGAGCTTCGCAAATACCAATCACCCAGCAATTGAAGAATAGCTTTGACCGGTTGAGAGGCGCAACAAGCGCTGAAAGAGACAGGACCTTGCCTGCGGAACAGGCAGCAGGCGAGCCATACGATCTCCTGGTCATTGGAGGAGGCGCCACAGGCTCGGGCATTGCCCTTGACGCTGCCACACGTGGGCTGAAAGTTGCCCTTGTGGAGCGCGATGACTTTGCCGCGGGAACGAGCAGCAAGAGCACAAAACTTGTTCATGGCGGTGTCCGGTATCTTGAAAAGGCTGTTTGGGAGCTTGATTACAACCAGTATGCCTTAGTCAAAGAGGCCCTGCGCGAGAGGAAGTATTTCCTCGACACGGCTCCTCACCTGTCCACCTGGCTTCCCATCATGATCCCCCTGCAGAAATGGTGGCAAGCACCTTATTTTTGGGCAGGCACAAAGATGTACGATTGGCTGGCAGGCAGTGAAGGCATCGAGACCAGCTACTTCTTGACCAAGAGCAAGGCGCTGGACGCGTTCCCCATGCTCAAGAAGGAGAACTTGGTAGGGGCGCTGGTCTACTATGACGGCGCTCACAATGACAGTCGAATGAACGTGTCGATCGCCGCTACGGCGGCCTTGTATGGCGCAACTGTGGTCAATCACATGGAGGTCACCGGCTTGACGAAAGACGAGAGTGGAAGACTCAACGGAGCAGTGGTTCGAGATGTGATCGCCGACAAGAATGGCAAGCCCGCGGCACCGATTACGATACGCGCCAAAGGTATCATTAACGCGACTGGACCTTTCTGCGACTCGATCCGAAAGATGGACGATCAGACCGTGCAGGAAATAGTCGCTCCTAGCTCTGGCGTGCATGTGGTACTACCGGGCTATTACAGCCCCCAGAAGAACTCGATGGGCTTGATCGACCCGTCAACATCAGACGGTAGAGTCATCTTTTTCCTACCTTGGCAGGGCAATACCATTGCTGGGACCACCGATGCCGCTTGCAATATCACTCAGCATCCCACCGCGGGAGAGGACGAGATTGGCTGGATCTTGAACGAGATCAAAGGCTATCTGTCCCCAGATATCAACGTTCGACGGGGTGACGTGCTCGCTGCTTGGTCTGGTATTCGACCCTTGGTCAAGGATCCGAAGGCCAAGAATACCGAATCGCTAGTTCGGAATCACTTGGTGACCGTGTCGCCGTCTGGGCTACTCACTTGTGCCGGGGGCAAATGGACGACATATCGCCAAATGGCAGAAGACGCGGTTGACGAAGCCCTCAAACAGTTCACCTTGCAGACCAGGCCGGTTACGACCCCCACACGGATCAGCGGCACCGAGAAGATCGACGATGCTGCTCCTCTTGATGGCAACTGCCAAACACACCAGGTTCGCCTTGTGGGTGCCCACGGCTTCTCCAAGACTCTTTTTATCAATTTAATCCAGCATTTCGGCATCGAAACAGAGGTTGCGAAGCATCTAGCCGAGGCGTATGGGGACCGTGCTTGGACAGTGGCGGCGCTCTCGAGTCCGACCGATGAAAGGTTTCCGGTTCGGGGCAAGCGTATCTCTGCGCTGTATCCATACATCGACGGAGAGGTTCGGTATGCCGTAAGACACGAATTCGCCCAGCGAGCCGTCGACGTCATCGCTCGAAGGACCCGACTGGCGTTCTTGAACGCTCAGGCCGCGCTGGAAGCGTTGCCCAAAGTAATCGACTTGATGGCTGAAGAACTAAAGTGGGACAACAAGAGGAAAGATCTGGAGTGGAGAGAAAGTGTCACCTTCCTCGCTTCGATGGGGCTGCCGAAAAGCAAGTTAGGTGTCTCACGCAGGGACGTGGAGACCGGAAAAGCCGGATTCACTGACGAGTATGAGCGAAAGCTGTATTCGAGATATGGTAAGTGTCCCGTCGTCGATCAACCGAAGAAATGTCCTAACGAGAGTTTAGATGGCCCAGCGGACACGCTCGAGAGTGACTCGAAGTTGATGTCTGGGCACAATCCCGTCATCGGAACAGAATCGCCGGCTAATAAATAAGATTTTCCTCCGCTGGTAAAGCGCAGCCTGACGATTTCACGTCACTGGCCCAAGCTTTGAGAACGCGCACGCCTGTTGGCCAACCTTCTTCGTCGCGGCCCGGCGGGTATCGAGCAACAAGCACGGGCTTAGCGACATTTGATCGGAAGCCAGTAGCTGGCCTTTACCATCGTTCATCGCGGCTATGGCTGCGCGAGAACTATTTGGCTACTTGACCTGTCTCAGGACAGCGCCTGACCAAAGCTCAAATGTTGCACTGGCCATCAAAGCTTCTGGGGTCTTGCCTGGCAGACGCTGCAGATCCCTCCTGCAGAATTTCTACAAGAAGGCGCGCCCTTGTCCCTTCTGGGCCTGCCCTGTCCTCGTCAGCTCTACTCTGCCCAAGCTCTTATTCTTCACACATCTGTTCCTAGGGCCAGAGCCGGCACCTTTCCTCGACCCTTGGCTCCAGCCATCAGCTACTCTCCACCCATCCTTAGAGCACTCACAGCATAAGGCTCTATCACATGTCACCATTCGATCCTAAGTCTACTTGACCATGAATAACCTTCCACATCCCCAGGACCTCCCTGGCCACGGCGGCAACACCGCTTCTTTCAGCAGTGAAGCATCCTCAAATTCTGGGCTGCCCGGCCTCAGTCCTGGCCTTACTGGCAACACGTTGTTCGACGGTAACAATGGCGGCAACAGCACTTCGCCCAAGGATGGACACGTGGATCCAGAGAAGCACGATCCCATGGCCAGTCGCATCGAAGGCGGTGTGGAATACAAGAGCATGGTCTGGTGGCAAGCTGGAATGGTCATGGTCGCCGAAACAATCTCGCTTGGAATCCTGTCCCTTCCTAGAGCTATGGCGGATCTGGGTATTGTCCCCGGCTTGATTTTGCTTGTCTGCCTCGGCGCAATGGCTTCCTACACCGGCTTCGTCATCGGCCAGTTTAAGATGCACCATCCTCATATCCACTCCTTTGCCTGTGCCGGCGAGGTCCTCTTTGGCAAATGGGGGGGCCGAATCCTCGGCTGGGGTCAATTTGCGTTCTATGTCTTTATCATGGGCAGTCACATCTTGACCTTTTCCATCATGATGAACGCCATCACCGGACACGGAGCCTGCACTATCCTCTGGATGGTGCTCGGCACGATCCTGAGTCTTCTCTTCACCCTGCCACGGACTCTGAAGCATCTCTCCTACTACTCCATCGCGAGTTTCATCAGCATTATTGGTGCTGTCATGATCACCATGGTCGGAGTCTCCATCACCAAGCCAGGCATGGTTAACGGAGCCCTCGTCGTCAGATTCTGGCCCCGACCAGGCCTCAGCTTTCATGCTGGCTTCAACGCAGTGTCCAACATGGTCTTCGCGTATGCCGGTCATGTCGCTTTCTTCACCTTTATTTCCGAGCTGAGGAACCCCCGAGACTTCCCCAAGGCTCTTGCATTCCTCCAGTGTAGCGACATCTCCATGTACATTATTACTGCGGTCGTGGTGTACTATTACGCTGGAAACAATGTGTCCAGCCCAGCCTTGGACAGTGCCAGCACCGTCGTCAAGAAGATCGCCTACGGGATCGCCATTCCTACCATCGTCATCGCCGGTGTCGTCAACGCGCACGTCGGCGTCAAGTTCCTCTACGTCAAGCTCTTGCACAAGAGGCAGGACGACCTCATGCATCAAAAGGGCTGGGCATCATACCGAATCTGGTTGCTCATGGTTTCTCTCTCGTGGTTCGGCGCTTGGTTGATCGCTGAAGCTGTTCCTGTCTTCGGTGACCTGTTGAGCCTTACGTCTGCGCTGTTCGCATCTTGGTTCACCTTTGGCTTGTCGGGAATGTTTTGGATGAACATGAACAATGTCCGTGAGTGGCGCAAGTGGACATTGGGCAAGCGGATTCTTTTCTTGGTCAATGTTATGAACATCATTTTCGCGCTCCTCCTGTTCGGAGTCGGCACCTGGGCCAGCGTATACAGCATGGTGAGGAACGGAACAACCACCAGGCCATTCAGTTGTGCGAACAACGCTGGTGGGCATTGATAGTGTTGCAAGTGGGTGCCTGAAGCCATCCAGTTGTGCCAACAACGCTGGTGGGCATTGATAGTGGTGCAGAGGGTGCCGGTGGAGGGTCGTTCGCAAGTATTGTTATCTACAGCTCGCTCGTCTAGACTATCCATAGGATAGTGGACTATTGTGACGAGCGTCGAGTGCTCGTCCAGAACTCCAATGGTGTTTATTGACCTGAAGTTCAGACACATGTGCGATGTCTCTTGTGTCTGACATGCTCCCTCGACGCACCACTAGGCTCGTTGTCTATTGTGCCAGCAGACACTGTTAGAGAAATGGTCTTCTAGCTGGACAGCTAAACGCAGAGAGCTGGATCCTAGGCGCCAGCCAGTGCTTCTAACAAGCAGTATGTATCTGTCGACCAGTGGAGTCTTCCTCGAGTGCATCTTCCCTGCAGATTCGAAGCTACATATTTCCCACCTTTACCAGCTTCATATGTATCCACCCGGCGCACGGAGTCAACTCTCGAAGTGCTCGAATAGTCTACTGTGAGGGTCGTCGAGTCACGTGAGATGACCTCTACACAGTAAGCCGAAGGAGAATCCACATGCACTGCCGAAGAATCGAACCGAAGCGCAGCTACCTACTGTACCCGGGAAGACTGTCGGACCACCGCCCGTCAAATAAGAGTTATCACAGACAGGTGGCGAGGTGATGGGATACGGAAGCCAAGCTACGAGTGTAAGTCTAATGCATGCATCGCGGCTTACTGTGGATTGTGTACTCCGTACTGTACGTGATATGCAAGGAATATTCCGATGGCGGTGCGGCGGCGGCGGCGGCAGAGTTTGCACAGTCCGTGGCGGGAGAAACTAAAACGCCAATTCGTGCCGGTGAGTGCGTCCACGGGCATAGTAGGCACAGCTGCCCTGCTCTCTACGGGCCCGGGATGTGCTCTGGACTGTGTACGAGTAAACCGGCATCCAAGGTACAAGGTCATGCCTTCTTTCTTGCTCTGTGACTGTTCGTCGCGTGTGCAAGCTGTGACTGAGTCCGGGCTGGCGTCGGCAGTTCTTCAGGGCAGCTCGGCGCTTCACCACTCGGAGACATGGCCACGAACTGCAGCTTCGCATCATAATTACAGCCCGGTCATTCTACCAGATCTGCCGCCCGGGCTGTCTAGGTGTGGGCCTGGGTCTCGCGAATGGTCTTCCCCACGATATTCCGTACCCAAATTCTTTTCCGCTGGGAGATTGGCGCGGTGACTTTCGGCACCCAGCACGGTATTGAGGTCCACTCGAGACTAGGAGGATATAATTAATTATCAGCGATGAGATCTGCTCCAATCTGCGACGCATGCATCACGCAAAAAACGGTGAACAGCACCGCTGACAGGAAACTTATCGGACGATTCCGAGATCTGGTTTTCGTGGTCTTTGCCAATTACGAGGTAGTCTTTGGCGAGTGTTTCGGAATTTTCCTCGACATTGTGGGGATTACGTCATCAGCCGCTTGGGTGCCCCTGATCAGACACAGCCTTATTACCGGCCGTCCAGACTGTTAGCCGCCACGAGTACGTACCTAGGTAGCCAGAAACCATGGCCAAAGTTCATCTGCACGTGTGTATCATTGGCGCGGGCCTGGGAGGCCTAGCTGCCGCCATCTCCATCGCCCGAGCCGGGCACAAAGTCACGATCCTCGAACAAGCTCCCGCGCTGGGGGAGGTGAGTTTGAGTTCACCCATCCATCACTTGTGACGTTCGCCCTTACACCGTTGTGTACCAGGTCGGGGCAGGAATCCAGGTCCCTCCAAACAGCACCCGCGTCTTATCGCGCTGGGGCCTTCTGCCCGCCCTGGAAGCCGTCTCGGTCCGGCCTCAAAACTTCCACCTGCGGTCCTACCGCGACGGTCAGATCCTGTCGACTCAGCCCCTGATTCCGCACTGCGAAGCCACCTACGGTCATCCATACCTGCACGTCCACCGGGCCGATTACCACCGGATCCTCGTCGAAGAAGCCGAGCGCCAGGGAGTCGAGATCATCCTGGACTCGTTTGTGACGGCCATCGATTTTGAAACACCAGCAGTGCACATCAAAACTCGACCTGAAGCTTTCGCGGCAGACCTGATCATCGGCGCGGATGGCCTGAAATCAGTCTGTCGCGAAGCCCTCCTCGGCCGCCCGGACCCGCCGCACTTGACGGGCGATCTCGCGTACCGCATGGTTGTCCCCGCAAGCCGGATGCGCGAACACCCGCTGCTCCGCGACCTCGCGTCCACGCCCAACATCAACTACTGGGTGGGCCCCGACAGCCACGCCGTATGCTACCTGCTGAAAGGCGGCGAGCTGTACAACATCGTCATCGCCTGCCCGGACAATCTGCCCGAGCTCGTAAACCAACAAACCGCAGACCGCGAGGAAATGCACGCCCTGTTTGAACACTGGGACCCGCAGCTCCGCGCCCTGCTGGAGCTGTGCAACGACACGTCGAAATGGCGTCTGCAGAACTCGCGGGAGATGAAGACCTGGAGTCACCCGGGCGGAAAGTTTACGTTGCTAGGCGACGCCTGCCACGCCACGCTGCCTTACTTGGCCCAGGGGGCCGCGCAGGCCGTCGAGGACGGCGCCGTGCTGGGCCACTTGTTTGAGAAGATCGAGCGGAGGAGCCAACTGCCCGATTTGTTGGCCATCTACGAGAGTGTCAGGAAACCGCGCACGACCCGCGTCGTCACGGGGAGTTCGCATCTCGGGCGCGAGATTTTTCACCTGCACGATGGACCCCGCCAGCGCGAGCGGGACAGGCAGTTGCGAGAGTGGGACGCGGACCCCTTCGAAGGGTACCAGAATAGATGGCGGGATCCGGTGTTTCAGGAGTTTTTATTCGGGTATGATGCGCTGGAAGTCGTCGAGGGCGCGTGGGCGAGATATCAGGAGGGACGGTTTCCCGGGACGATGGGGAGATTTGCGGAGGAGGAAGATGAGGTGGTGTTGGCTGGGGCGAGTGAGCTGGACGAGCTGAGAAGGCAGGATAGTAAGGATAGTGGAGTTGGGGCGAAGGAGGCGAGGTTGTGATTGATCAACGTCGAACTATGAGCCATGAGGATCAGTAATTTCCGGTTACAGTTCGGAGTTTGGTATTGGACATTCTCGAACGAGTGGGATAGATCGAGACATCGGGTGGCATCGCATCGCATTTCGTGGCAAAGCATAGCCTAGCATGGTGCGGTATGGCAAACGAGCCGTTGAGGGAGATTACCAGAGCTCCTAGTATAGCACCAACCATGTTCTTGATCACCAGTTTGTAGTGTAGTGCTGACGCCTGCAGGTAAAAAAGGGTTGGCTATTTACGGGTTCATATCCATGTCCATATCATTGTCTGCTTCATTTGTTCTTTGACGGCGGCCATCTATGAAGTGTCTTCTTAGCTTGAGCCTCCGACCCTATGAGCCTGCAAATTACGAACACTTATCGTGCCCGGGAACAATGGCGATGGCAATGACAATAGCACTGCCTGATCAAGTGCCATCTTTCATCTGGCGGTTCATGCTGTTGCATGACTGGCTGACTGACTGAATTGACTGACTGACTCGCCGGCTGACTAGCCTACCCATCGGGACCGATCACCGGGAGTGGCCTTACTGCCACCCTAGGCGGCCCAGCTCAGACTGAACACCGGAGCCGAGGCCCTCGACAAGCCAATCTCCAGAGTCCCATCCTCGGTCTTTATGCTAGGGGGAATGGTCTCGCCCTTCCGTTCAAGCACGATTTTCGACTGTCCTTGTCCTTTGGCGGCGGCAGTGTCAGGCAACTTGTAGAACCGTCTGCCAGATCGACTCAGGAACTGCTCGAGCGTGTCCTGCGTGACTTCGTCCTGCCCCAAAACGCCCCTTGCAATTGCCTCTTCAAAGGCTAGAATCACGAGCTGCGTGGCAAAGGGTTGCGTGAATACCCCTGCTGGGATTGCGCCTGCTTGGCCGCTTTGGGTCTTGGAGACGAGCGGATGCGGTGCACTATCACTGCCGCTGTGGGGTGAACAGACGCACGCAGTTAGCGCATGATAGAGCAGATGAGGTCGTACCGAGAGAGGAACGCGAGGTGGCTCGAAATTAGTTCATTAAGTGATCGACCGAGTGACTTACAAGAAGAACTTCGGGTCGCCGCTACAAGCAGCTTTGATCAGGGCATCGCGGTCTGACGGCTTTTTGGGGATAGGTTTACAGAACGCAAGGGGGTCTGTCTGGCTGTCTTGACCTGTTAGGTAGAGGTGATGTGCCGTTATCGTTCCTGCGGATCCAAAACTTTAGAAGGGCAAGACCAGCAGCGGCGGTCAAGATTCAGCGGACATGGAAAGTCATAGGGGATGAGGTTATCAGTGTTGAGGTGTAAAGGGATCAACGGACGAACCGGCAACGGATGGACCGCAAGCCCGTACGGCTTCGAGAGCCGCGGCGGTGGAACAATGCTGGGACATGTGTCACTATCGTAGTAGCATGAAGTTAGTGATCACGGTCTGACTACTCACCTCGAGTACGCATCGTAGACGTGGGAACTTCTCGTGAAGCCTCATCAGTTCCGGCAGAAACGCTTCCTCGAGAGAAACATCGTCGTTTGGCAGACGTCCTGGCCACTCTCCGTGCAGGTTGAGGACAAGGTCGTGCTGTTCCATGGCAGCGAAGACCGGGGAGTAGGCGTCCAGAAAATCTGCTGGCACACCTGACTCGGAATTCGTGGTCACGCCTGAGGAAAGAAACTGTCTCAATACACCATCCGGCACACCTCATTCACGCTCTGCTTTGGCTTACCTTGAGGATACATTTTGACGCCAGTAATGCCTGCGGCTGCGGCTTCGGCGATGACCTCGGGCGTAATGGAAGGATGGAGCTGGTGTCATTAGACTGCTGTGGCAATACGGGGTCGAGATGACCCACGTAGAGTGACATCAGGTAGTGGACTTTGGGTTCAATAGCCTGCAGACGCGACTGGTAGTCCAAAGCCTGGGCTACACTCGTGATCGGAGGCTGTAGATTGGGCTGTAAACCAGTTCAGCCGACGTGAAGATGAGGATCGCACGTCTAAAGGTATACATACCATGACAAAAACAGTGTCGACTCCGCCTTTCAAGATCTGAGGAACCACCAATTCCATTACCTGCGGGGAGGGGGATATGATTTCAGTCTAGTCCAGTACGGGATTTGGTGGGAGCTTCACTTGGTCCTGCCGCAAATGGACATGCATATCTGCCGATGGCGGTAGTTCTAGACTTTGGACATCTCTAAGCCGCATTTTGTTGGAGTCGTTGAGTAGAAGTTGAACTCGGCGGAGTCAAAAATTCGCGTGGCAAGCTTCTTGTCTTCTTCAGAACAAGGCGGACAGTATAAATGGACGGGGGAGCACGTGCAGGCCCGACTAAACCCACAGCTTGCTGGAATAAATCAGTATGAGGACGATGTGATGATTAACGGGTCAATGGTTCAATGGTTGAAGGCTGCGAGGGACTAGGCAGTGCCAAGATATAATAGCCAATATAGGTCTAGCTCGTGCTCAAGGGACAAACTCTTCTTGTTGCGCTTGTCACGTGCTTGACGATACTGCGGCCAGCGTCCATTAGCGACAGCTTGGTCTAGCAGTCGATCCTCCCTCCGTCTCTTCTTCAACGGGTTTCCTCTGGCTCTCCTCCTGCATATTGGGCGCTTCACAGATTCTCGGTTTCAAATGCTCCATTCAATCGTAAGAGCCAAAATGGTGCCAATACCGAATTGGTACTGAGAATCTCAATCAGCACGACATATCATGGCTGAAGACGAGTCACCTACTCTTCAGTTATCTGCTTCCTCCATATCGTCATGGAGCGTGATATCTATGCACAGTACATGCCATTCGCAGGGTAGCAGGCTTCCATCCCATCCAAACAATAACATAGCCTCGGATTCTTGACTATTGCATAAAACGCCTCATTAGGTCCATTTTTGCATCTGTTCCATCTCGGTTGGCCTCGAGTAGGCCCCTCAAATACCTAACTTCTTCTGCTATACCGTGAAACTCTCCAGACTCTGTTAAGAAAGCTGTTGAGCTTGCGTACATCATATCGAACCAAATTTCGCGCGGTTTCTCGACCACAAAGGTATCCCTCGTAATCGCCTTAGATGGTCACCGTTCACAACAAGTCCGGAAACATCGCATGCTGTTCCTTGCTAACGGATGGTGTCGCGACGATCGTGAGAAGGGAGCTCTTGGATTCTCAAGAATATCAACCCGGCCCATCGCCCTGATTCTTAATCACCACAGCACTCTAACGAGCTTCGTTCATGACATATGTCCATTCTGTTGACTTGTATTGTCTGCAACGCTCAGAATTTGGTCCCAGTCAGGAAGGCATCATGCGGCCATGTCGTGCCGTATCGTTCCGATCGCGGAAATAGGACGTGCTGACACACAGCTCTAAGAGCAGTTGAGGGCACGACTGGTACCGATGTGGGAATTGTAGTGCTCCCTGAGCTTCAGCGCATTAACCCGGTCTTGGATCGTGCGTTTCATGCCAGAGGAGTATATGCGCAACGAAAAGCACTTTTTCATCCGAATGGATTGGACGTGTGTATCTCCTTCCACAATTGCTGCCCGTCCGGGTCACTCGTATTCGGAAACCACAGGAAATCCAGGAGCAAGTCCTTCAACCTCTCCCAGCTCGGAATCTGCATCCTGTGCACAAGCCGTTCAAGCACGGTGATATACCATGCTTTTTCCTCCTGTGTATCTTCATCGGCCATAGAAGCCAGAGCCCCCATGAAGGTCATCCACAATACGAGCGGTGAAGGCTTTTGCCACCTGCGTGCAAAGTGCGATGAAGTGTGGACGAGGTGCTGCTTGAGCTGCTTGGCCAGTGTCGCGAAGGGAGCGTTCGGATGGGGAACGGGAAACACGGCGATCAGGCTGTACACCGCAGCAGCTACCCAACATGCCTCTTCCAGCTGGAAGGTGCTTGCGGGGTCGTCAGTTGCAGCATCGGCTGTGTGATCGCCGGACATGGCGCAAATCTGCATCAGGCGGTGCTGGACAAAGTTCCGCTGGTCGGCGAGGACTCTGAGGCTCGGCGCCTCTGGCCTACCCATAATATAGTCATATACACCAAGTGAGTAGGTTGCGAGATCGCGGAGAATTGAGAGGAGTCGTTGTGTGGATTCATCGTTGGAAATAAGATCACGCAGCACCCGAAACCCAGTGCCGAGTTTGGCTAGAGGGTGATCCGTCCGACTAACATCGGCTAGGGAGCGTGCCGGTGAGTCGCCGATGGGAACGAAGGGGTAGACCGGGTTGTGCAGAGATCGGGACGCTAGGAGCAGGTCTCCACTATGAACGAGTAATCAGTAAACCGAACGAGCAGGAAGTCCCAATCGGCGCGACAGGGTCAAATGGCAGGGAGGGTGGTCTCAGATGCACAGCGGTTCTTACTAGCTCAGCATTGCCGCCAGGCCGGGGAACTCGATATCGGCAATCCCTCCCCGCAACGCCAGCATTCTCGCCAATCCTTTGACGTGCATACCAACGGAGTTCAGTCGACCTGCATAGATGTCCAGGCCCTGCATGCTGTTCATGGGACCCTGCGAGGGTGATCTAGGGGTGTCGGCTTCGTCCGTGGTCGCGTCGCCATGGAACGCCAACGCCTGCACGGCAAAGATGGTCTCGTCGGAACATTGTTCCACAGGATCATTGAATCGTCTATTAACCTCGCGCACGACCTCGGCGTAGCAATACCAATATGCCTTCCGGTTGATCGGTTTCAAGCCAGCCTCTGTCGCTGACGACCTGGCTAGTTGGGCGAAGCAAAGAGCATGGAAGAACGTGCTGTCTTTCATGTAGCAAGATATCCAATGCTGCACGATGCTCGGCGTGGGTCGATCTGGATCTGGCAGGAATACGATATTGAGGAAGTGGTTGACTAAGAGGGGCGAGGCCGAGACACATCAGTACCCGCATAAACACGTGTCCCGCGAAGTGCTTGCATGCTGCAATTCTGGACTGCGTGGGAATTGGTGCCCCGGCTTACCTTGACTAATGACCGGAGCGGCCACCTCCTTGGGTAGCCGTGATGGATAGCTTGTAAAAGGATCAATGTCCCCCGCGCCGACCGTTCGGAGAGGGCTGGGGACATTGACCGGTCCGAAAATGGTCTGTCTCGCAGCCCTAGAAGGCACGACCTGTCGGGCGCTTGCAGAAGCTCCTGTTGCGTAGTCGGCGTTATATGGCGGGTCGTCGTCATTTGAACGGGATGCAAGGTCGGTACTGGCACTGGAACTGGCTGGCTCCCCCACGGAGCTTAGGCGGTGCTGCTGCTGCTGGTCAAGACGCGTACTGTCGCCTGAACCAATACCCGGCTGCCTTGGTTGCTTGCCCTTCTTCCGGATTTTAGCCCACGAGGCCTGCGAAGCGTGAGCCCGGATCGCTGCTTTAGCCTCCTGTCTGCCCTGCTTGGTGTCTGGTCGTGCCGTGACAAATGTCAGCCTTGGAGGTGCTTCACTCCTGTCAGGCTTGGTGGGTCCGTCCGCGGTTGGATCTGACATTCTACGTCAAAAAAAGACGGTGCATTGTGGTTGGTTGACACGCCGTGCGAGGTGGCCTGTGGTACCGACGGTAGGGCCGTTTCGATACCGGACAACCGGTCAGGAACCCCGGATGAGGTCGAAGCTAGCATGCAGAGTGATGCATGACGTCTGATCTCACGTTCAGTCAACATCACAGGTGATCAGTGATAGGAGTACGGCATCATGGATCTTGACCGAGTAAAGCAAAGGGAGGGGGTGAACGATAGGGCCAAGTGTGCAGGGTGTGCAGACCAAGACGAATACGGTTGTGTATGAGCACGTGCATGCTGACTAACCGCACATTCGCCTAAGCAAGTGCAAACGAGGCGCGCCCGCGGCAGCCACTTTGGGCAGTTGGATTTGCGACAGGGGTGCCTGGCTGGTGCCTGGAGATGCCCACTGCCTAAAAGCTTTTCCGATGGCACCGTTCCTTCTTTGCACGTCAGCCCTGGAGCGCCTCGTGCATGCATGCCACAGCGGGCAACAGGTTCATCGTCCTGTGTCTGGCTGAAGCTCCAGATATGGAGCCTTTCGGAGCCGCGCAGTACTAGGACTGTGTCTCGCACGTGTGACTCCGGATTGTCGGACCCGCTACTACTGTCCTTCAGCACTCGGATGCACCATGCAGGAAACCTTGCTCCCATTCACCTTCCGAGACCGGAAAATGATGGAATCTTATTATCTGTTAGGTGCCATCAGGGTCGGCGCACACGGGGTACGCATATGGACGTTCCAGTGAAAGCATTAGACGCCAGATCTTATTCGAGCCAAGATGTGCCCATGGGGTGGACGAGGTCGATTTATTAACCCCTTGCCACCGTCATTGCGAGCTGCGATCGACCTCAAGTAAGAACGAGACGCCTCCGAAGGATCATTTACCTCGCACGTCACAAGTTGACCGTTGAACCTCCTGAATCTGAGGACCTGGTTCTCTTGATTGCACGCCACCATGGGCTTCAAGCCAGCTCAACCTCCCCAAGAGTCAGTCGCGCAACCCGCTGAACGGAGGATGTCCACACCGCCAGCGTCAGACGCGGGAAGCCCACCCCAAGTCGGCGAGACGGAAGAAATGCGCGAGGTACGAACCCCTTTCCGCCCACTCGTACTGTAGGACCACCGCTGATTTGTGTCCAGCGCCGAAGAAAACAGAATCGACTGGCCCAGCAAGCCTTCCGCGCGCGCCAGAAAGTCCGGGTCGAGGCCCTCGAGGCGGAATGGGCGCGACTCCGCCAGCTGCACGAGGCGCTGAATCACGCCTGCTCGCAACGAGCCCAGGAGATCGAACAGCTTCACTCGCGCGTCGAGGAGCTTCTCCAGGACATTGAATTCCTGAAGACCTCCCAGGAGCTTGAGAGGGGGTGGCCATCCTCTCCGTCGGCGTCTACTTCGTCGTCAATATACGAGCAGCAGTCTGCGCCTGCGCAGAGATACCACCAGCGGACAACGACACCGCAGTTTGATCTGGCGAATTACCTAGGGAAGGGAGGGCTTTCGGATTTTCCGGATTTTCCGTTGAATCCGGATTGGTTCCAGGGCATGTTGAGGTGATGTTCCCCTTGGATTTGGAGTGGATTCACAAAGGCTGGCTAGCTACTGTAGCTAGGCAGCGAGCCTTTCTTCTGGTTATTTTATATACGTTTTTGCCCGGCTTGGACATGTGGACAGACAAGACAGTCTTTACTGCGTTGGATAGATACCCTTGGAGACGGGCGAGACACATGAGCAGACAGTCTTTACTGCGTTGAGAGATACCCTCGGAGACAGGCACTGTGGCGGCGAGTTTTAGGGTTGACGGTTCTTAGATTCCTGTTTCGAATGGTGGTACCATACTTCAAGGCCGAAGGGCGGATCCACCATCCATTGTACAAGATACGTACCTAAGTGGAAGCTTTAAGGTCCATTATCCCGTGAAATGTAAAGCAATATGTGCAATCTGATTCTTCAACTCCCTGCCGCAAGCGCGCACACGATAAATCGAAGATATGAGAAGCGCACCCATCTTGGTGTCTCTCTAGTGTGTTGATTGATTGATTTGAAGGTACAGACGTACCTACTGGTCGTCCATCTCAAGGCCACACCGGTGACAAGCATACCAGGTGCCACCCAGCAACCTGAGGTGGCAAGCACACAGGGTGCCTCCTACCACCTCAGAAGACAGCAACGTCTACTACAGGTAGATGTCAGGTTGCCAGGGTACAGATGTCAAGGCAAGTTTCCAGAGTTTTGGGCAGTAGTTTTATTGGACGCATGTTGTCATTGTGCTACATCCTGGATGTCTGCCTGCTGCTGAGTCGCTTTCCAAACGTCAAGTCCATCAAAGTCACTGGTCCGCGGATGCCACAGGAATGTCTTCATCAACGCTTTCAAGTCCTTCCAGTTTTGTATCCGTATGCCCACCTCCCCGAGCACCTCCATGACTCGCAGCAGGAACCACGGGCGATCCGGCAGTCCGATGGAGGCGATCGAGCCCATGATCAGTATCCACAAATGTAGTCGCAGCCTGGAGCCGTTGAAGACTGTCCAGTCTGTAACTTGTAGAGCGCGCTTCAGCCTCTCCACGAGGGTTTCAAAGGGTCCCACGACTGGGGGGACGGGGAATACCACGAGAAACGAGTAGACGATGCAGGCGAGGCGGCAGCTCTCGTACTGTGGATCGATGTCCTCGATGACCAATGCCTCCTCTGGCTGCAGAGACATCAATTTATGCTGTACATAGTTTCGCTGGTCGATGATTTCGGGCGACGTTCGGGGTATCCATCGTCCACTGGCGTGGTTCTCGACCACGACGGTGAAGTCGGCCATGTCTCGGATGACCTCGGAGAGACGATCTAGGTACCAGGCTGCTGTGGAGGAGGCGGCGTCCAAGCTCCAGACCTGCCAGAAGCCTGTGCCCAACTGGCCTAGGTCTTTTTCCACGGCCTCGCGTTCGTGCTGCGATACCGCGAGCCGGCGGCCGTCTTCCTGGACGAAGGTCGTCGTGTGGGACACGAACGGGAAAATCGGTCGCGTGAGATTGCGGACGGCACCCATGACACCGGCCCTGGCACGGAGTACGGACTCAGCCGCGCGGCACGAGGCTTGTTGGGTAGGTACAAACTTACCACGATACGGTTTGCGCGACTCCGGGGGTCTTGATCTTCCGCAAATCTCCCAGCAGCTCCATCATCTTGACCAGGCCGAGGACATGCTCGATCACAATGTCCATCTTCAGATAGATGTGGATGGATTGCAGCTCCCGCAGGAAGCTCTGCCGGGGGTAACTCTGCGCGGATCGCAGGTTGTCCTCCCTTCCCGAGTACGCGAGCACCAGAACGGCCCAGATGTTCGAGTCGGAGAGTGCTCGATCAGGGTCCGGACTGCTGATCTCCTTGTTGAGATGACGGATGGCTTCCGTGCCGACCATGAGCTCCGTTGCGGTTGGATTGCTGATACCTTGCTGGATGCGATCGTGGACCATCACCGCAAACATCATGGCGTGGAGTTGGGCCGGGTGCATCGAGAGTGAGGCCATGAGATCGCTCGAGAAAGCGCGGCCATAGGGGGCACTTAGAGCGGCCTTTGAGACCAGCTTGGCCAGCACTTCGGGCACTGAGAAGAGTAATCAGTATGCTTCCAAGTGGTACAGATCACCTCCGGTCGACTGACGACTGTGCATGTGTCTTCTGACAAGATCATTGGGAAACGGCGAGGGTAGCAGGGGATTGATCTCCTCGCCGTCGGGTTCCAGCAGCCACGACGGGCTGTCGTTGTACTTCACCACGGAGAGAGAGTCATCATGTTTGTCCTCCCCGGGAAGCGGCTTCCCTCGGTGGGTTTCGTGGACATGCTTCCTGCCCTTGACCGCACGGTTGAGATGAGGCTTCCTTGCTGCATGTAGCCGTGCAGTCGACTTGGACGGGATGGTTTCCTTTCGAGCACGGGCACGGGCACGATCTTCAGAGCTGGACGGTGCATCCTCGTCTATGTCGTGAGTCAGACTTTGCGGCTCTCTTGGAGGCACGTCTGCTCGGTTCCGGAAAGTGACCGAGCCCTCCCACAGGGCGGCGTCCCGGGGTCGCAGGCCGTCACGTCCGGGCATGGTTGCGGGAACCTGCCCGAGTCAGACGTCATGGAAGTCAACGCATGGTGCTGCAACACGAGGTGTCTTTGCACATGGAAATCGGTGATCAACGGAGAACTATTGTTGGGTGCGGACGTGAGGCCTCGTCCTCGATTATGAGGGGGGGTCGTTGGTTCGACTTTGCCCTGACCGAGTGGGACAAGGGACATGCCTGCCTGTAGTGCCCGGACAAGGCTGTTCCTCCCGGCTTCGACCTAGCCCCGAAATCCAACTACCCAAAGCGGTGCGAGGTGAGCGGCCACTCAGAGGCGCTACCGACTGTGCAGTGGTTAGTGATTACTTGCATTGAATTCGACTGAAGTAATTCCCTCTCGTGACTAGAAACTAGGGTTCCTGCCCCTTTTGGCAGATTCCAGCCGCCATACAGCTCATTCAGCACCTCGTTTGACCGGGTTGAAAGGGTTGCTCACGCAATGTGACTGCGTACGGCCACACAGTCTTTCGCCTGGAGTTTCCCGGTGCTGCGCGGCTGCTTTCAGTTAATATCGTGAGACTCTGGTTGGTTCCTTGCAGTACCAGCCGAAACGGACAATCGCGGTAGGTATCGTTCAGGTGGTTCTGGCAGAAGCTGTCCATCCCGATCGACGATGTCCATAGCCAGTACTCCGTGCATACTCCTGCACACAATACCGTTGACCTCGAGGCCAGCTCCAGCCAGTATTATGTTCCTGGTATACGTGCAGATCTTTACGGTTACGGTGGTCGCAATGCTAGCACCATGGCGAAAAAGCAACAGGTGGACTCGCACATGCATATTCATGTCTCATTTGACGTTCCCCCCACGGATACGTGCTATCTAGAGGTATCACTCAAGGGCGCCTCGGAGCAGGATATCCTGCCTGCCCAGGCTGATTGGACACTCCCCCGAACTTGATCCCAATGTCCGGTGTCCATATGCCGCCACCTGCAATAGTGCCACCAGCGACATTCACAGGCAAGGGCGCCGTTGACGGCATGACGCTTGCAGGAGGGTTTCTCGTCGGTATTGGAGCCGCCATGGCCTCTTGCCCATCTCCAGGCGGCTGTTGCTGCGCACGACTCCTCGTTTGTGGTGCGGCGGCATTCTGACTCTGATTCCTCAATTCGCGCCGCGTCTCCTGGAGGTTGAGCCTGCCCATATCTTGGCCAGCGAGTTCCGCTTCAAGCTGGCTGGCCTCAACTCTCCGCTCAGAGACCTGGGTCTTGCAGTTCTCCCTAAAACGGGTGACGTGGCTGGCGAGGTCATTGTAGAACTTCCTGCCAGTCTCGAGATTGCTAATGAGCTCCTTGTACTTTGCATAGCCCATGTCGAGAGCTTGAAGCGCCTTCTGCCGCTCTTTGGTACTCGTGTCACCTCGTCGAGCGTCCAAAAGGGCCTTATTTGCCTCTCGCAGTCGTGCTACGATCTGGTCTTGCTCTTCCTGTTCGGCAATCAGAGCCTCGCGATCCGGTTCGTAGGCTTCCAGACGCTTTTCGAACAGTTTCTCGAACTGTCCTGGCTCGATCTTTTGCATTGGGTATTCCCGCTCGAGGCGTGCGGCTTCGGCAAGCAAGGCCGGGCCAATGTCGTCAGCCTTTGCCTTCTCCTTCAGCGCCGCCATCCTGTTTTTGCGCCGCGTTTCTAGCCGAGAGACCTCGTTGAGAACTGCTCGTAAGCGGGAAGCGGCTTGGTCAATTGCTGGTGTCATGGTGACTTGGCTGGAAGACGGGACGAACCGCTCAAGATCTCGGTTCGTCCCAGTCAATATTTTGAGAATGTGTTCATTTTCTCGGAATTTTGTCTGCACCAGGCTGTCGCTTGAGCCGGCAGAATTGAGGTAGGCCTTCAGCTCGGTCGAGTTCTGGTAAAGCTTTGCCAGGGCTTGGGTAGAAGGCGGTCGGTTCCATCTATCCGTGCCATATTTCGCCCGAGCACGGTCATCTTCGACCTTTTCCGCTTCGAGCAATGCAACCCCTTCCTGGTAGACTGCGAGATCGTTGGTTTTCAGCTTGGTTGTATCTTCCATGGACCTCTTGATCCGATACAAAGCATCTTGTTGTCGCAGCTCTTCAGCTTTGGACACCAGGCTCCCTGGCAGACCAAGTGGCTTCTCCAATGCCTGTAGGGACCCAGGCAGATCGAGCGATTCGAGCACCTCTCTCAGCCGGGCGGTCATGGCTTCCAGATCTACAATGATCGACTGACTGACAAGACGGTCTCGCCGGTCGGCATATATTGACGCAGCCTGGTGTACTGCGTAAGGCACTAGCTTCTCGAACAACGGCCGACCGAAGGGTCTCCCCTCCCCCAGCAGGGAAATCCCGTTCTGCACATCGTTAGGCGTCTTTGCAGCCACCATGTTCGTCCGGTCCAGAAGTCGAAGTTCCGATCTGGGCGTCTCCGTCTGCAGATAGATCAGATCGTTGTCCTTCTCTGCTCGCTTCAGCTCCTCAGCGACTCTGTTCTTGAGACCGTTCAGGTCTCCGAGTACGGTGGGGTTGATCCACCGAGCCTCCTGCAGACCCTCGTTCACGCACGCGAGACTGTCCTTGAGTCTCGCAACCTCCTCGCCATATTGTTTGTTTTGCAAGCAATACTGGGACTGCCTGAATTGGGCCGCAGCGGCGAAATGGTGATGTTTTGCTTGAAAGTGATGAATCCACTCGGTGCTCACGGCCCTTGATCGCCTCGCCGAATCTGCAGCAAAGATATAGTAGTCGGACACCTTGGCGGCCAGTTTTGCCACAGTACCATCCGACATGTTCTTCTTGATAGCGATCTGCCAGAAGCTTTCCTGTGCCTGAGCCAGACATAACTGCTGCAGACTCTCCAGTGTTATTTCATCCATATCTTCAGGTGGGGAGGATCGCATGTCAGGCAGAATTTCCGTCCGGATGAACGCAAAGGTCCCCGCCGCGCCCATGCTATACTCAGCGGCAGACTTGAGCCCATCGATCGAGGTTCGATTCGTCCCGAAGGCGAGCTGCGAGTAGAGCGCACCCAGGTTGAAGAGGATATTCGCCAGCTCAAATCTCAAGTTGTTCTGCAGCGCGGGTTTGTCCCTATCGTATCCGATCGCAGGGTACCAAGGAAAGTCCACGCCGATGTCGATGGGAAACTTGCCGCCAAGGTAGCGCAATTGCGCGGCGTATATCTGCAGTCTCTTGATGCCACTGACATGAGCCTCGCGGACATTGATAGCGTCGTTCCTCAGCCTATCGATCTCTCGCAGGTCATCCTCAAACATGCCTGGAGACTGGTCATATTTTGTCGAGATGTATTGTTTGATGGCGGAGGACAGGTCGACCGTATGCGTCCGTCGGAACGGGATTTCGAGGAGGTTCCTGAGCATGTAAGCGTGATTCCGATCGTTGCGATGGCGCATTTTACTTACGACGCCATACTGCATCAACCTGGAGTGAGGACTACCGTGCCAGTGCTACGAGCGCCCTCACTTGACACAGAGTTGATCGCAGGCTGCTCAGCCTTGCCGTGACGTCACACATACTATTCCAGATCAGGGCTAGGTCGAGCCTTGTGGCAGCCTGGTCGAGCCCACCTCATCAGCCTCACCTTCGTGTCTTCATTTTCGGTTCGAGAGCCAATCCGGCGCATTGCCAGAGTTGGACCGTCGCATCTCTCCCCGGAACAGTCGACATGGTGAGTTGCATGCCACCAGTCGCCATTTGATTCCATTAAAGGGGGATCCTACACAACCCAATGGACGATAGGCGGAGTTCTCCACGGCATGCTGAGACCCCACGTCGGTCCAATGGAGATATCAATCTCTTGACACCGGGATATCTTTCACGCCTTTCAACATCTGAGCCTGCCACTTCTTTAATATCCGTTACCACCGTACATACATTGTTACAGGCACTCAAAAGTTGTTGATTGTGTTAGTACCACTCTCAGCCGTCGTGGTCTTTCATCCGTCCCCATACCCCTTGGCAGTCTATCGTTGCCCATCCGAGTATCCTAGCATAGATATCTCCGAGTAAACATGGCCCCTTCAGCGATTAGCGACCTTCTTCCCTCTGTCCCTGTCGCATCCAAGTCCGCCAACCCCCAGGATGCGGAAAAACACGTCCATGGCATGGAAGACAAGAGTCCACTGGCTGCCATCTCCCATGGCGACGTGATGCTGCCCGGTATCCCAAAGTTCGGCAATGACTTTGCCGCCCAACGCCAATGGCAGCTGGAACACATGGCCGCTGCGTTCCGCCATTGGGCAAGGGAGGGCTTCGTCGAGGGTATCTCTGGGCACATCAGCGTGCGGGACCCGGAGAGCCATGAAGTGTTCTGGACAAATCGTACGTCGTCAACTTCTTTTGCGTGGGAAAAAGAGTGTATACTAACGACTGCTAGCTCTGGGCGTCCACTTCGGACTTTTGAAAGCCTCGGATATGATTGCCGTGAACCTGGATGGTAAGGTCGTGGGCGGCAATCGCACGCGGCCACCCAATGCTGCCGGATTCCTCATTGTAAGTAACCCAAAGTATTCCTCCCCCAAATCACCAAGCCAGTCTCTAACACGAGCCTTTCCACCCACAGCACAGCGAAGTCCACAAAGCCCGCCCCGATGTCACGGCAATCTGCCACGCGCACACCGTCTACGGCAAAGCATGGTCCGTCTTCGGCCGACCGCTCGAAATGCTCACCCAGGACGCGTGCAAATTCTACAAGGCCCACAGCGTCTACAACTCGTACGGCGGCGTCGTGCTCGCGTCCGAGGAAGGCGCGCAGATCGCCCAGGCCCTCGGCCCCACGAACAAAGCGTGCATACTGCGGAACCACGGCCTCCTGACCGTGGGGAAGACGGTCGATGAGGCGGCTTTTCTGTTCACGAGCATGGAGCATGCGTGCCAGGGGCAGTTGCTTGCTGAGGCGGCCGCGCAGGGTGGCGGTTTGAAGAAGGTGCTGATCAGCGAGGAGGAAGCCGCGTATACGAACAAGATGGAGAGTGATGAGGAGACGTGTTATGCTGAGTTTCAGGTTTATATTGACTGGGAGGATCATCATAGTAAGGGGGATTTCAGGAAGTGAAGAAAGTATTGTCGGTTGATGAATAGGTAGTTGTTTGGCTGGTAGAATACAGGAGCCTGAAAGTCTCAGCCTGTTCATGGGTTGGAAAAATCGGTGCTATGATATGGGCTTTACCACGGCATTGCGTGGTGGTACTCGTGGCTGTGGCCGAATCAATCTGCGTGCCGGCTGTACCGAGTAATGGGGATCAGGCCAGTCTGAGGATCGGTGTAGTCCATATGATCCCTCAACTCTTGGGTTGTTGCCTCCTGCATCACAAGGGAAGCTGACACAGGCATAACAGCTTGCTTGGTTCGTGGGAGGCATTCCCTGTTTCAGCCTCCTCAATGCCCTGCATCTTCCTGAGGCTGGTTCTGGTTTTGATCCAGGAACTGATCCTGGATCCGGATCCGTTCCTGCTCCAGTTGCTGCTGCGCCTGCCGCCGAACTTCGTCATGGTTTTCGTTCCGCTCTAGTTGCTCCTGCAGTTGCCGGCGAACTCCGTCGATATCGTCTGGGTCCTGTCTGTCCTCCCGGCCCCAGTCATTCCAGCTACTGGTAATTGCACAGCCGACCAAAATCCACCTTGATAAGAAACTCCACAATGCGAGACGCCAAAGAATGGCTCTCTGCCATAGTGGCCTCTTCCATATTCCGGCACCTGTTGCAATCGTAGCTAGCAGGAGGAATGGACTTGCCTCGCAAGATAAGAGGAGAGCTCGCTGAAGGTTAGGATATGCACGGCCAAATGCTGTAGTCCTGGTGTGGTTGCCATTTCTGGATCGTCTGGGAGGCATGCTGTGTCGTGGGATGTGTTGTCCTTCGGAGGTAGGTGATCTGAAATGTGCCACTCGTCGCCTTTCCCGAAGTTAAGACTCGCGTTCTAGGTGTTTGTTGACGTGGCCTGGCGTATCGTCGCGCCAGGTGTCGAGAGACCGATGGTCCAAGGGCACCAGTGACGCGTAACCTTGAGCTGAGAAAGGCAAACGGCAGAGAGGAGAGTGATGGCGAGGTCGCCTTTGTTCGAAATCGACGCTTCTTTTCTGCGTTTCAATGATTCAATGCTCCTGCATCAAACGCTCTGCAATTGTGGAATTGATGACCGATTGGTAAATTGAGTTGATCTCGACTTGAACCCGTCAGGCTAGCCAGCTAGCAAGATCACATTGACATTGTCCGTTCAAGCATCACCGGTCCAACAATGAGATCAAGGTGACCGATGCAAAAGCTGTGAGCAATTCGGCAAGATGTTTGTTCTTGGATCGTAGAGTCGCAGTGCTTGCACTGTTGTTCCTTAAGATAATAGTGGGCACGCGAGCAGGAAACGAGAGAATGCGACGAGGCAGTTCGACATTTAGACTCGCTTACATCATCTACGGGGGAGCAATTGCACGTCATACGTCAATGTTTCTTAGCGGTCACGGCGGAGTATGTGGACCTTGGACTTGACTCAGAGGGCATGATAAGTGCGTCGTGCACTACGTGTCGTTGCCTAGGTACCTATGAAAGTCTATGTAAACAATACAAGCGTGTTCCAGAGAGGCGTAGCTGTGTCGGTGCAAGGCCTCGGATGGCCTGCTCTGGAACAGACGCATGAATGAATGAATGGCTGACAGAGTCTGTGTCCTGTTCACTTGTCTGTGCAACCCAATGTCGAACACTCGCCGAAGCTGACCATGCTCAGAAAGATTCCATCAAACAAGCACTTGCTCCGTATTCTCGAATCGAATCGTTCTTCTCGTTAACACGACTACCAGGCAAACCCCTCTTCAATGAGATCCAAGTTGACACCTTTGTCGAGCAGCAACCTCGAAGCGCGCCTCACTTCGTCAGCCAATCCGCCACCTGCACAGACGCTGACTCCCATACAGCCCGCCTTGTATAATGCTTCGCGCCGGACGATAGACTCGACATCGGGCCTGCCTCTCGCCATCTGAACCTGCTCGCTCGGACTCTTGATGACCTGACTTAGCCCCGCTCGCGTGATGTACAAGAGGACCTTGAGCACTTCTCTGCGGCCCTCGAGTGCCAGGATCTCGTGCATCCATGGTCGAACCCAGTCCAGACATTCTGTGGTGGGCACGACCCAGACCAAGGTGACACGCTGTGCCGCAACAGTGCCCTTGCCGTATCCTTCCACAAGTTGCTTGACGTGTCCCAGTTGATGGGTGATTCCTACGCCGCCCGCGAAGAGGATGACCGTTCCATAGCTGGACAGACTGTGTCCGCCACCGTAAGGACCCTCAACCAGAGCCGTGACTGGGAGGCTTGTCTGTCCAAGCATAGCGCTGTTCCAGAGCTTTTGTGTGAAACCGGTGTGTTTCTTGACGATCAGCGATATGGTTTCCTCTCCTGCGAGTCTTTCCATGTCCCTATTCCGCACGCGGATGATCGGAGCTTTCTCGTTGTAGCTAGACTTGCGAGATATGGGTTGACTCAAAGAGCCTACGTCACCGCACCAGGCAACAGAGAAGGGATGTGCAGTCCAGAGACCGATGGCTGGCACCGTCAGGTACAGCGACTGACCAGGTCGGTGATTCCAGGGTCGCGTGACATTGAGGGTAATTTTGACTGCGCCGCCACCGAGAGGCTCGATCTTCGCTTTCGAGCCACCCCTGCCAACGCTTCTGTAGAGCAATGTCGCAAGCCGCCAGGACCTCGATACAACCCATATGATGGCCGCACTCAGCAGTAAGCCCCGCTGAGGGAGATCCTCCAGGTGTCTCCACAGGAAGACCACTACCAAGAGAGCGAGTACAATGTGTAAGTGGAGGAAAAACTCGTAGACCAAGCTCCGGAAGACCTTTGGGCTCAATAATGAAATGGCAACAAAAGCAATAGTGGCAATCAAGCCGCTGTAGATGAACGGAGACTCCATCGACTCCGCCACACCGGACCAGCCGTAGCGTTTCACTTTAGCCACGAGCCAGCATACAGTGTGAGCGACGCCTTGCAAGACTGCCACACGACCAAACCAGCGGTGCATCATAATGAAGGTGTCATAAGAGATGTCGAGCAACGATATCAGAGGATTCTTGACTGAAGCCATGACCATGATTGGGATCAGGTTTACGACTGATAGTGTTCCGGTGCGGTTGCGCAGGATAGGCAGGACCTGCAGTTCAGCATCTGACCACGGTATGTTCCAGGTAGACGCAAACACATTTGTGCCGATGACGAGGGTGATGAAGAGCGCCTGGAAGCGCGTCGGAAGGGTTCCAAAGTTGACATGCTGTGAGAATTTGATTTCTCTCGCTCGCCGGTAGAATAGGAGGGGCGCGTACAGAAGCGTGCTCTTGACCATGGACAGGACCGGTGAAGATGAAGCGAAGTAACGCGAAGCACCGGTGCCGCTCATGGATGCCAGGTGTCGAAGGTGCGCGCTAAATCGTGTGATTGCCGCGTTCGCAAGGAGGAGGCTGACGACACCGAGCAAGGCCCAGAGGTAGTTGTGTCCCAACGACTTGTTGAGCCCATCGAGGTAGATTTTGGTCGCGTCGTTCTGATAGTGGGAACTGCCGCCAGTGCTCGAATTCCCCGATGTTGCTGCACGAGCAACCATGCCTACAGATGTCATCGTCTCAAATGGCGGAGGAAACTGTCTTTGTGTTGGAAGCAATCAGAATAAAGGAGGGACTGAAAACAAAGGACGAGTCCAGCTCGTGGGAAGTTGGAGAACGACACTGTGGACGGTCACTGACCAAAGCAGCTGTGCGAGACGAGCATTGGGAGAAGCGACGGAAAAGAGTGAAGGATAGTTGGGGGTGAGGGAGTGACAAGTAGAAGACGCTGTGGAAGGCTGTAACGGTCCCTGATGCTGTGGACTGAGTTCGATATCCAATTCACCCAAGATCTCTCGGCCTTTGCCGAAACGACGACACTTCTGGGCTTGCGCAATCCGAGTTAAGGTTAAGCGGACCTGGGTCTGAAACGAACCTACCATGGGCGACTGGGTACTGTGTATATCAACCACCAGTTGGCGATTTCTTGGTCTGGCGCAATCTCGGCCAGCGGGGCGGGCCATAGCTTGCCACTATTAATACCGGCCGGAATGTCCGTGTGGTACGGACAAAGGACCGCGAAAAGAAAGGGAGAGGATATCGCCGGGGCAGGGTGGACAAAGAACGTAACGCAGGCATACTGTGGACGCAAAGCTCACGATGGTGACGACGAGAACCTGGCGGTGGGAATTCCTGCAGAGCATCCATCGAGAAGCTAAGCGCGACGGAACAGGAATGTGGAGCAACGTGTTGACGCTGCTAGACTCTGGCCGTGGAAAGGGCAAAGAGCATATGGAGGGGAGGAGTCGTGAAGATGGTCGGCGTCCCTGGGCACAGCGGAGATGAAGCAGGAGCCGTTGAAGGGCCACGAGGTGGGCGGAGATGTGACTGCCAAGGAGACGCGTGGCTTCTCCCATCGGCGACTGTCGCCATCGAGTCGGACAAGATCAACAAGGATCAATACAGTATCCCACATCTCTGAGCAGCTGCTCTTCCCCGTCGCTCCTGAGACTGTACTATCACCAGCTATCAATCTCAACTGCTTAGCCCTGGTGTTGACATCGAGCTTGCGGAGAAATTAATGTGGACATCTACTGTGGCATACAGTATCCCCTGCTGCCTCCTGGCCCACGCCCATTTCTCCTGAATGAGCTTCCCGATGATGCTGAGTCGGGAGTCGTCAACGGAGGTCCGATCACGGGGCACATTCCTTTTCCGTCCCAAAGCATTCCGGCCCGGGTATGTATTGCATAGATAACGGCAGGACGCGCTGCGTTGAAAACACAACGCGCGATCGGCGTCGGTCAGCCAACTTCTGCAAGGGCAATGAAACCTCGTGTACGGTTGGCAACTGTACACAGCGTCTCAGTTGTGTAGCAACCGCACTGCTGGGCTACTCCGTCAAGCTCAAATCGTCTGCCAGATATGTCTATCTTCGAACTCTTGGTCCTCGCGGCCCCGCGTTCCAGGCTTGCATGCATTGGCAGCCTCTGCACAACATCGCAGAACATGGCAGCGACCTGCTCTCACACAGCATCTCCCGCCTGGGTTTCTTGGACTCACAATCTCCATTGGTGTACACCTCGAACTCGCCGAACGAATCTTGCGCTTCGGCCCTTTCCCACGCTTTGGCCCAGGCCCGCCCATGGCGATGGAACATTGGCCTCCTTGCGTGCCAACGCTGATGACCCTCGGCCAGACATTGACAAGAAAGCACTGGTATCTGGGCGAAACAAACGAGCCGTGGTCTTGTTGCACATGCGGTTGCCGTTGGCGCCGTCGAAGAGATGCGTATCGAGGCCACGTGATGGTTTGGAAACTTCTTCTCCAGCGCAACTCAAGAGGCTCTCACGCTTCGCAGCTCAAAAGATAAAACGTCTCAGGCTCACAATCACCCTCGAGTCACCTCACGCAGCATGCTTATGGTACAGACTAGCACAATACCTGCGTTCGATTTTCAGATTGCTCTGCATTTACAGTGTGACTATTCCCGACCCTTGGAGCCAATCTGATACACAAACTTCCTGCCTCCCGCCTGACCATTCCTGAGTCTGTTGAGACCCTCGGACACGCCATTGAGGCCCCCAGAAATCACTTCGAAGGGGTGACCTGAGTACTTTCCCTGTCTCAACATGTCTTCCAGCCAAACAAAGAACTCGCCAGCAAACGCTGGATCACCTTGCACATCTTCCACTGACGGTTGTTTAGGCATGCTGGGCCGATACTTAGCCTCATGTGCGGTTCCTACGAAGGTGTAGACGATGTCGACGTCCTTTGGTATGGCTTGCTCATCGTATTTCCTTGCCCCGGAAAAGACGCTGAGCCTGCCTCCGCCGTGAAGCATCTGGCTGACCTGAACCCAGCTTTCGTGTTCGTTGACCGCATCAAGGCCATTCCTGAGGTGCAGATGACGCTCCTCTGTGAGGCGCTTGACGTTCTCTCTCAACGTCTCCAGTCCCGTCCGATAATCCAGGAAAGCGTCCTGCGGAGTTTCGAGGAAACCTTTGACGTAATCACTGCTTCCACCTCCAATTGCAACGATCGGGCCGATTCCTGCCAGCTTGGCCAGTTTGATGGCATATGTGCCCAGCGAAGTGGTAGCCGCGTACACAAGCAAAGACTTCCTCTGATTCTTCTCCTGCGCGCCTGGCTGCCACGGTGCGAGGTAGCCTTGTCTTCTAAACAGAGTCAACCCGGCCGTTAGGCTGACAAGAGGAATCGTACTGGCTTCTTCGAAGCTCATCGAGTCGGGGATATGGAGCGCAGTGTGCTCCAGAGCGATAGCGTATTCAGCGTAAGCACCATACGGCTTGCCCATCGGGTGGAACGCCGCCACTCGATCATCAGGTTTGAATCGTGTCACTCCTTCCCCTACCGCGACAACGATGCCAGCTAAGTCATCGCCAGAGTTGAGGGACGTACCCGTGGCAACAAGATGGAGCCAGTCCTTTGGATTTGAAGCAGCGGCCTCGACTTTGATCAGGACATCACCGGGCGCCAGGCATTCTGGCAACGGCACCGTGGAAATTGTCGTCGTGATCGGACTGGTAGGATGCACCGTCACTGAAAGTGTTTGAACTGGCAATTCGTTTGAAGAAGCCATGGGGGTTCTGCCACTATGTCGCAAACATGGAAAACCCCGCTGATTCGTGGAGATGAGACGTAGTGTTCTTCTCCCTTGACGAGCCAAACCCCCTCGAGTCTATATACCTGAATGTCCATTGAGTAGACATGGGACGCAACGCACGTGCATTGCCGACTGTCAGCAGGCCTCGCAGGATCGCTGACACTGCGTAGCGATGCACCAATATCAGAAAGCCCGCACTCTGGTATCCACGCATCAACACAAGACCGTAATGTCCTGAACAATCGCAAACATCGGCATCTTGGATGACTAATTTTCCCTTATAATACGGAGTACCAGCGCTGCTTCATGTCTACCATGTCATACCGGAACAATTGCGACCTCTCCCATGTCATGCGGAGAGAAATCCGACGTCTACCATGTCAGTTCGCGTACTGGTGAGGCTGAATGTCACAGACCGAGAGGACTTGCCGAAGAGCGAGGACCGGGGTACAGGTGGTTACTGAAGGTGTACTGGTACGGGCTGACAAAGCTATAAGGAGCAGGCTGGTGTGTCGGACAAGCCACTTTAATAGGCCAAGCCAGGCGATTGCCAGTACTGGAAAATGCTGGAGACGCGGTATTGATTGTTAGGAGATTCGACCCTTCCTACCCCTGTAGCTACATACCAAGACAACATGCAAGGCTCGGACGCTTTAGCATCGGAGGAACGAGTACGGAGTATGTAGTGCACGCCTCTCGGGCAGTGGCCGACTCTCCGCTCGGCAGTGCTCTCATATCGTCTTAGGCCGTTGACATGTTCTTCAACGTCGACCTCATGCATTGATCTCAGAGAAGCACAAGCACAAGCACAAGAACACTGGTTTCGGCGACGGAGCTCATCCACACACGCACCCGCCGATAGTGTCCCGCTCGGGTCCAGCCCCCGGACTTCCATCCTCGCCCACTGCATCACACGCAAAACGATCGCGTCAACTAAATATGCATGCATGACCTTCCTCGGCAGATAGCAGGATAGACAGGGACAAACTTGACGCCCGGATCCACGACATTGCAGCTTCACAAAGAGACCATCTCTCCTTGTCGACCGGAACTCGGCGAGCCAACACCACATAGTCACGGTCATGCAATGTAGAGCAATCCCCGTCCTCCGACCAGAGGCGTCTCGGCTCCGTGAGAACCCCAATCCAGCTTTACCTTGTGTGTCTTCCCTCTGTGCTGGACTTGGTGAATGACCCCCCAGGGAATTGATCACCCACATTCACGCCCAACAGCGCCCGGGCTGAGTGCTGTGAGGATGTCCCACTCCCAAATCTGTGGTACAGTACAGCTCGGTTCGATCCAGTTGAGTACCTACCAGCACAGTATGCGATCACCGCGACGCAAGTCCAGCCCGGCAGTTTGTGGATGTCTTATGATAAGCCGGGAATGCCGTACTTCATACATACGAAGCATACAACGCAGTCGGTAAGTAATTGAGATCGGTTACTGTCAACACCAACCGTGACGAGCATGTGCGGAATCGTACCCCGTAGAGCACAAGGATTTTCTCGCCAAGGGCTCCGTATCAGACGTCAGCATGGTAAAGATGACTGCCACCACGAACGCCCTGATAGTCGCGTACGGTCGTGAAAGAATCTTCTTAATCTTCCTAACTCCGGCGTACGCTTCTTGTCAGGTTGTAGTGTCTGGTGCTTGGTGCTTGATGCTTGGTCCTTATGCGATTACCTGTATTTGGTACTCTCGTACGATTGCTTGGTCGACGAGGTTTTCTCGGAATATTCAACCTCTTAATACCCACCGTACGAGGTACGACGTCATTTTTTCGTCAGTGGTCTATTTGTACCTTAGACGCCACTGATGGTCGCAGCATGCACAACAGTCGTACGTGACTGTACCTCGTAGATACAATAATATATATCTAAAACCGGCATTTAAGGAAATATCGGCCTTGCGGATAGACTGGATGATCGGAGAGCTGGCGAGCTCCAACACGACTGCCGGGACTAGCTCACGCCGCCATTCAAGAAACACGATGGAGAAAGACGACGAGCAAGCGGTCGTTGGCCAGAACAGGCATCGAAAGTCCTCCGATGTCCTGCCAGACAATATAGGCAACTCTCCAGGAAGTACAGCGTCAGACTTGACCCGGAATGAGACCAACTCAGCGGCCTCCACCCTACAACAGCAGAACACGCTCGCACAGCAACCCAGTCTAGCTCAGACAGTGTCCCGTGTTCCCACGGCCACGAAAGCACCCTCTTTCTCAGTGGCACACGAGATCGCATTCATCGCAGTCATCAGCTCCGCGCAGCTTATGACTCAAGCAGCCCTTGCACAGTCTATTGCGCCCTTGCACGTCATTGGTCGTTCCTTCAACACCACGAATCCAGGCCAGTTGTCATGGTTAGCAGCCGGCTATTCTCTGACCGTGGGCACATTCATCCTCCCGGCTGGAAGATGGGGTGACCTGTACGGCCACAAGCTTCTCTTCATCCTGGGCTATTTCTGGTTCGCCTTGTGGTCCCTGGTCGCAGGACTCGCGGTCTATTCTCACTCGCTCGTCTTCTTCGCGTTTTGCAGGGGGATGCAGGGAATAGGTCCCGCCATCTTGCTACCCAATGGAGTGGCAATCTTGACCAGGACATACCCACCTGGCCCGAGGAAGAATATGGTGTTGAGCATATTCGGCGCCACAGCTCCCAGCGGCTTCGTGATAGGGGCGGCGTTCAGTGGTATCTTTACACAATTCGTATGGTGGCCTTGGGCGTATTGGGTCACAGCCGTGGTGCTGGCTATTATTGGAGTATTGGCCCTATTTGTTATACCACGCATGCCAGTCGAAGGACCCAGGGCGACATTCAAGGAGCTGGATGCCACTGGCACCGTTGTGGGGGTTGCCGGGCTGATATTCTTCAACTTTGCCTGGAATCAGGGTCCAGCTGCAGGTTGGGAAAAGGTGTATGTGTATGTTCTGTTGATACTCGGTGTCATCCTGCTGGTCATCTTCTTCTGGCATGAACGGTTCCAGGCGTCACATCCATTGGTGCCGATGTCACTACTTACAGTGGATACGAATTTGGTGTTCGGATGCGAATCCTTCGGGTGGATGAGCTTCGGGATATGGGTCTTTTATTTGTGGTGCGTCTCATCGCGTGACCTGCTTTCAACCCTTGCTGATGGATTCAGGCAATTCCTCGAGCTCGAAAGAGGTCATTCGATCCTTTTGGCGACGGCTCAGCTATCGCCCACGTGTATTGCAGGCTGTATCGCAGCAATCACGACAGGCTTCCTGATTGCTAGAATCCAGTCTGGGTGGATCATGCTCATCAGCATGAGTGCCTTCCTGACGGGAAACATTCTGCTTGGTACAATGCCGGTCCGACAAACATACTGTAGGTCTCGTCCATGCTTGTAATTGCGTTGCTTTTTCCGTCGCATAGAGGCACAAACTCAATCCGCCAGAGCTGACAAGTAGACAGGGGCACAAACCTTCGTTGCCACACTTGTCACGCCGTGGGGGATGGATATGAGTTTCCCTTCTGGAAACATTGTACTGTCCGATCACATGCCCCCCGAACACCAAGGTCTGGCTGCATCCCTCATCAACACGGTGATCAACTATAGTATTTCAATCGGCCTGGGCATGGCGGGGACAGTTGAAACGCATGTCAACTCAGGCGGAAGCGAGCCTTTGCAAGGATATCGAGGAGCCTGGTATCTTGCTGTCGGGTTTGATGGACTAGGCATAATTTGCGCCATCTGCCTCATCTTGTCGGTGAGAGCGAGGACGAAGGCTAAAGAGAAGGCTGGGAATCAGAAGGAAGAGGTAGAGGCGTAGGGTGGTTCCATTGCTTTTGTTGTCAACAAGCCTCCCACAACTCCATCACTGTCGGTGAAGCTGTTACCAGGACTCAAGCTCAGTCTTCCCAGCCGCACCTACTCACGAGCGAGTCTGCGGCGCTCATGATATAGGGGAAGGTAGTTGACTTCCACAGCAAACACCACATCGTGTGGCTTGGTCTGATCAGCGGAGGAGATTCCAATCACCATTTGGCGTGCGCAGCCCTGCAATCATCCACAAGCGAACTCGATCTCTGCTACACTGCGCTGCAGATCAAGCAATCTGTAGACGGGGCACAGCGGTGTTGTGTCAGTGCAGTTCAGTCCTCATCTGAAGGTGGCCCTGCATCGGCATCATCGTCGTCGGGGTGGACATCCGAGCTCTTGAGACCTTCATTGAGCACATATTCCTCCTTGACCAGAATACTGCGGAGTTCTTCTGTTCGTGGGGTGCATATCTCGGCGGGTTTTCTGCCATGTTTATCCTTGACTCTTGGGTCGCCTCCAGCATCAATCAACATCTTCGCCATTGCCTCACCGAGTTCGACTTCCCGCTCATTGGCATATTTAACGGCTGAATGAATTGGTGTTTCGCCCTCTCGTCTGTTCAACGGATCACACTCGAGAAATTCCACATTGAGTAGCTCGTCCATAACGTCGTCTAAACACGGGTCAGTTGAGGCTCGACAGAAGCACAGGGGCAAACCCACACGCTCCGTAATTGGCGCAGACGTGCAACAAATGGTTCCCCATGGTGTCTGTCGTAGTGTTGAAGAACTCGGCTATTTGCTCCTTGCTCTTATTTTTCATGTCGTTCGTTATTTCGTGAAATAGCTCAACATTGTCTCTGCGACATGCTTCAAGTATCTGTTCTTTAGGCGACGCTCCCTGCAAATGCCTGTTAGCCTTTACACGGACTGGGTGCGTGCCGCGCTTACATCAACGTGCTCGGCCATGGTGACCGTCTGCTAAGGCAGCTGGGACAGTGGAACGGCAGCGACACAGCACGACTGGAACAGCTGTGCGCGAGCAACTCGGATGCCTGGGTCGCTCTGACGGGTGACGGGATCGGGAAGCGTAGCCAGGAACCACCGATTTAGGCTATGTGAAGGGTCGGTAGGATAGTAAACAATTTGACTGTGCTCGAGTCAGGAGCAATTGAGGGCAGAAGAAGAAGCGCAGCAGGTTGTGCGTTCAAGGTCGGTGAGTTAGCAGCGTTTCAGGTCATGATAGATCAGCCAGGCCTCCGGCAACCCCTCGAGCATCGGCCCCGCGCAACCCTAGGCTAGCAAGGCTGCCAAGAATTACCGTGTACGCCTCACTCTTCTGTAACATACCCTCATATGCGGAGACCGAATGTTTTCTTCTCCGTACGATGTACACACTTCTCTCGTATTGAGACCCTGCCGCAACCTTGATCTTGGGGATTCAGCTCAAAGTGGGCTCAACTACATTCATCGCCATGCCTCCGACATGTAGGGATACTTTCCCCAGCCCCGAGAAGCAGCTTTGACCATGCACGACAGTCTGCCCGTATTGCTGCAACTGCTTGACGATCGCAAGAGCACCGGGAAATGACCAATATCCTCAGGGCAGGAATGCCTTCACCTGCAGAACGTGCCCCTACCAGTTCGTCCTTGACCAGCCGTACTACGAGCGGACACATATGAAGCAGAAGCAAAAGGATGACATCCTGGGCGAGGAGCAATCCGACCTGCCGGTCAACGAAGGTATGCTCTCCGTCGGAACGACGTCAGGAAACGGCAGCACTAACAGTTGTTTTCGTTCAGTTCCTGGAGGCTGTCCGAACGAGACTTGCGACTCAAAGAAGGCCTACTTCTACCAACTACAGACGCGAAGTGCCGACGAGCCGCCCACCAGTTTCTTCAAGGTATGCTACAAGACAAGGAGGTCGTCATCTCTACTTTGAGCACTAAACGATCCCAGTGTATCGAATGCGGCAAGCAATGGAGAGAATATTGATGATAAGGCCTCCTCCTGTGAACGTTCCCCAACCCACCGACCACACGACCCTTGCCCTCTGCGACGAACTTTCTGGCTGAGTGCCCGGCTGTTGGCATAAGATCTGCTGAGGCCCAGGCAAAATGGAGGCGACTGTCGACCAGCTCCGTCTACAAGAGGGCGCCGTGCGCCAGTCTCTAGAATGCGCCTGTCATAACTTTACAAGGCATAGGACTTAGTAGGAGTACAGCACTCGATGTGTGAGGGTGAGTCTAGCGCACTGCAATCCGGCGAGAGCTGCAACGCCGCCTGACCTCTTGACTCACATTGTGCAGTGAGGACAGAAGCAGGGGTTCCATGCAGTCATTCTCAACTAAAGGCTGAATGAGGACTCCCATCGTCCTACCTACAGGAAGCCAGGCAGCAGGTTGAGGCGTCGAGGAGAAGAGAAGCCTAGCGAGCGATATCATGACTCGGCGTCGCCAGAATACCTGGTTCTGCGCATGGGTTATCGGTACCGTGATGGTTTAGTCTCTGGCCCGTGTCAGATGGAGCGCATGACTCTTAACTCCGATACTAAAGCAGATGCGAACAGCTAGAGGGGCGACAATCGAATGCAAGCAAAGGTTGATGTTAAAATCTTTCTCTTTTGCTCGACATTGTAGTCTTCGCCGCCGGCGCGACCAACTCTAGGACTGCTGCTGTGGATACGCAAACAATCGCCACTATGATATACCTCGTACGAGGTAGCAAGCCCAGGAGGAATTTTGAGTGTCGGTCCAGATCATGTGGTGTTCTAATTGGCTATAAGAATAGATGCCAAAGTTCGATATGCAAGGATCTAGCACATGCCGAAGCTTTCAGACTACTTTTACCAATCATTCGGGCGCGAACCAGTGGGCTGACGGGAGAATCGCCATGATTGAGAGGTGAGTCGAGTCCTGTAGTGGGGCTCGGGCCGCAAAATACTCTGTGCCTTGAACAAACTTGAGACTGAGGGACAGCGAAGGCGAAGGCGAGTGACGGTTGCGTGCGGCTTTTGACTCACAGCCACTTCACTCGCAAATTTTGCCAAGCCGAGACTCTCCCGCAGGCATACAAAATCTTCCGCACAGTCTCTGTCTCTCACTTTCTCCTCCTTCGTCGCTCAGTGAGTTTTCAACCCACCCCCTACACTTCTCGTCAACAAATACTGACATTCATCAGCACCTCTACGCAAGCCGTGGTATCTGAGCATTTTCTCTGAACTCTTCTAGTATCTGCCACAGAACTACAAGACTTCAAATCAAACCGTCAAATCAACCGCCACCATGGGGTAAGTGACCATCTCAAACTGCCTGCGCGAGGTTTCGCTTTGCGAAATGGGCACCGATCTGATATCAATGAATATCGCTGACACGTCTCTTATCTCTACAGTAAGGAGAAGACTCATATCAACGTCGTCGTCATCGGACACGTCGACTCCGGCAAGTCCACTACCACTGGTAAGAGGAGACCCAGAAAATGATGGCATACGCAAAAACACTTACACCCAGTCAGGTCACTTGATCTACAAGTGCGGTGGTATCGACAAGCGTACCATCGAGAAGTTCGAGAAGGTTGGTCACCCTTTGCGATGTTCATCCCTTCGTTCTCGCTCTATCACCCACTCTGCCAAAAATTTTGGTGGGGGAGGGGCATTGGCCATCACGTGATTCACACATTTTTTTCCCGAGCCTGATCAACTAACACCCGTCACAGGAAGCCGCTGAACTCGGCAAGGGCTCCTTCAAGTATGCCTGGGTATTGGACAAGCTGAAGGCCGAACGTGAGCGTGGTATCACCATTGATATCGCGCTCTGGAAGTTCGAGACTCCCAAGTACTTTGTCACCGTCATCGATGCCCCTGGCCATCGTGACTTCATCAAGAACATGATCACTGGTACCTCCCAGGCTGATTGTGCTATCCTCATCATTGCTGCTGGTACTGGTGAGTTCGAAGCCGGTATCTCCAAGGATGGCCAAACCCGCGAGCATGCTCTCCTCGCCTACACCCTGGGCGTGAAGCAGCTCATCGTCGCCATCAACAAGATGGACACCACCAAATGGTCTGAGGATCGGTTCAACGAAATCATCAAGGAGACTTCCAACTTCATCAAGAAGGTCGGATACAACCCCAAGTCCGTCCCGTTCGTGCCCATCTCTGGCTTCAACGGTGACAACATGATCGACGTCTCCACCAACGCCCCCTGGTACAAGGGCTGGGAGAAGGAGTCCAAGGCTGGCAAGGCCAGCGGCAAGACCCTCCTTGAGGCTATCGACTCGATTGACCCTCCTGCTCGTCCCACCGACAAGCCTCTTCGTCTTCCTCTCCAGGATGTCTACAAGATCTCCGGCATCGGCACGGTGCCTGTCGGTCGTGTTGAGACTGGTACCATCAAGGCCGGTATGGTCGTCACCTTCGCTCCCGCCAACGTCACCACTGAAGTCAAGTCCGTCGAAATGCACCACGAACAGCTCGCCGAGGGTGTTCCAGGCGACAACGTCGGATTCAACGTCAAGAACGTCTCCGTGAAGGAGGTTCGTCGTGGAAACGTTGCCGGTGACTCCAAGAACGACCCCCCCAAGGGTGCCGACTCTTTCAACGCCCAGGTCATCGTCCTCAACCACCCTGGTCAGGTCGGTGCTGGCTATGCCCCAGTCTTGGATTGCCACACTGCCCACATTGCCTGCAAGTTCTCTGAGCTCCTCGAGAAGATCGACCGTCGTACCGGCAAGTCTATGGAAAACAACCCCAAGTTCATCAAGTCTGGTGATGCTGCCATCGTGAAGATGGTCCCCAGCAAGCCTATGTGTGTTGAAGCTTTCACCGACTATCCTCCTCTTGGTCGTTTCGCCGTCCGTGACATGCGTCAGACCGTCGCTGTCGGTGTCATCAAGAGCGTCGTCAAGTCCGAGAAGTCTGGTGGCAAGGTCACCAAGGTAAGCTACACTCTGTCCTCCTGAAAGCCCTTGTGCAGAAGCTAATTCATTCCCATCTAGGCTGCTGTCAAGGCTGGCAAGAAATAGATGTCTTGCGCAAGAATTCGTTCAATCCATCTCACTGGTATTGTTTCGTGTGGCGAAGGTTGTGGAAAATTCTCTTTCAGCACTCCTGATACCGGAGTTTTCATGGTTTCGCCATAAATCTTGCCATCCAACATCGACTTTCCCTGTGCCAACGATTCACCTTCACAACGATCACCAATCATGTACTTGCTACGACTCAGAGTACTGGAACACCAAAATGATGCGCAGTGACCTCATTTCTCGGCACGAAGAATGTGCTGCGCCATGACTAGTCATAGATAGATTTCGTGTCCCTGAGGGGTTATGCAGATAGCTCTTATTCAAAGGACATGAATGCCGCAGTCTTGTTGCTCCTCCGCTGTACTCGTTCTTCCGTGTCACTAATGTGTACCGCGTCACTATCAGTGGTGTTTTGCGTGCAGTCGAGGCCCGGCGCTGCTGTTTTCCATAACATTCATTCTCCACCCAGTATCCAGTATCCGCTTTTCGGTTCACGACCTTTCCGTCACCTGGGGTCCATCTAGGCCAAGAGCACCAGAATCTCTTCGGCAACCGTCACTACCACCTGCACATTCTACCCGCAAAAGCGCCACCCGTCTAGCATGCGTCGATGCAAACCTCCGATGTGCTGAGTTCCGTTCATTCACCACTGAGCGTCAATCAGCTTGTGTTACTCCTTCAAATCCAACAATGGCTGTTGGAAAGAGATTGCTCCCCGAAGAAGAGAAGGATACTCACACATGTATAGCCTCCATCAACGATCTAAGCTCTCGGTCAGCCGTGTCTCCTACTCCGCCAATCGAGCATTATTCTCGAGAGTACTCACCACGTCTGAACCATTTAGATATGAACTTGCTGGACCTTCCTACTGTAAGCATCACACTGACGCAGCGACTGTATCAAGCTACGTTGACGGGTTCGTGGGAAACTTACTAGCCATCCAGACAATCGTTCCTCTCAGCTCGTGCGGCTCCGCCATCCTTCCCATAGGTATATCCCTTTCCCAACTCCCTACGAGCTCTTTACCTTCGTTTTCCAGCAATCCCTTGATGAGGTCTGTCTTCATGTACCCGGGACTCAAGCTATTCACCCGGATGCCTCTTGAACCCCACTCGGTCGCGAGCGACTTGGCCAGCATTTGCACAGCGCCCTTCGAGGTGTTGTACGCGGCTTGTTTCTGGGGACGCACGCAGATTGTCGCAGACATGGAGGCGATCAGGATGATGGACCCCTGGATGTTGTGCTGGATCATGTGTCTGCCGGATTCGCGGGCAAAGAGCCACGAGCCACTAGATTAAGCGACCCCAGTCAGTATTTCTGCCTTCTTCAACGATCACGAAATGGCCTTGCTCAATATTTATATCCAGCATCTTCCGCCACCGCGTATATTCATAATTCTCCGCTTCCACGTTGTCAACGATGCCCGCAGCCGTGACTAGCACATCAACCTTGCCGAAGTCCTCGACTATCTTAGCCCATGTGGACTTAACATCGGACTCGATTGTGGCGTTACATTCGTAGGCTCGTAGCTCGGGAACGGGATCGTTCGGGTATGCTTCTCGTACTTGTGACGCTATCGATGCAATTGATGCCTCGCAATCTTTCTGGCTTAGGTCGATGCATGCCCCACGAGCGCCGGACAGGGCAAACGCCGTGAGGAACTCTTTCCCTAGCCCTCGTGCCGACCCAGTGACAACGCAGGTTTTGTTTTCGAGCGAGAACGATGGGAGAGTCTTGATTGTGCGACGATGGATAAAGAACGAGCTGAGTGGAAGGACTCGGTGCCGTATGCTTTGAGAGCACAAGGACCAGAAAGGAGTTGAACGCAGCATCATGACGAGGAAGAGTAACAACGATCAAAGCTCCTGCTGTACTCCGTACAAGGCTCTTCTTTTGCTGGAAGACTTACAGAATCCTCTATAGCTGTAGCTTCAGCAGCTCGCAGAGAATGAAGGCGCGGGACGCCTCGCACATATGCAAACATGGACGTTACTGCGGGGAGAGGCGCTTGCTGTGTGACACAGGTTCAACATGTCCGGGCCATCTCCCACCGACGCAGGTGCGCAGGAAACTTTGAAAGGCTGACACTGACCCGCAGTCGTTGAACGTACACAAACAGAGAGCGCAAAGGAAAACGGCCGCGAAAGGCGTGACTTTGTGGGGAGCCCTTGCCGAGGAGGCAGACCACGGGCAGCTGAAATCACTGCCCAGAAAGGAAGCAGTCGCTCAAAGGTGGCCCCTATTCGATCGCCTAGGGACCCTCCAACGCTTCCCAGCCCCCATGGTTCTTCCTATCTGCTGGCCTAGCGCCGAAGTACCGTTGAGTTTTGGGGGCCGTTTGACCTTCCTAGCCAATTGTACGCCTTTAGCTGAGGGTTGCTATGCCTGCCAACAGGGGAGCAAGCCAAATTGAAGGGAGCTGCATGAGTTCGCTGGCGCGGCTCTTATTCAGCGGCCGTTCCCCTTCACATATGTTCCGCCAGAAGCAGGCGGCGTAACTACAGTCAGGTAGGCGTTGTCGCTCATTATATCCAAACTGCCTTAAAATGTCGTCGTTGCTAGGTGTGAGGGACGATCGCCGGTCCAGATCGAAATCTCCCAGTGGCCGTGACAGGGACCGGTCGCGGTCACGCTCACGCGACACTCGGACCCAGGACGTGGACGAGCGGGACGAGTATGGCAGCAGACGCTCAAGTCGGATCTACTCAAAAGAAGAGTCGGGATCAGAAGGCGAGCGCAAATACAAGGAAAGGAAATCAAGCAAGAAATACTACGATGAGGATGACGACCAAGATACTCGAAGAAGGAAGAGTAGCTCGAAAAAGTACGGAGATGATAGCGAGGAGGAGGACAAATACCGCTCGCACAGGTCAAGCAAGGACTCTCGCGCGAGGGACGTCTCTATTTCCGACCATGATAGGGGATATGATCGCTCCAAGAAGAAGTCGGACAGTGACTCCGATCGACGCAGACACAAGCGAGAGACGTCGAGCAGGAACAAATATGACGACTCAGAAGACGAGACTTCAGACTCTCGTCGCAGATACAATGACAGCAATGGCCACTCCAATGGAACATATGGTCAACTCCCGGGCCCCTACCAAGAGATCCGACCTGCAGCAGCCCGCCATAGCAGCTATGGACCCGCAGACCTGCGGTACGCTGCTCCAGGAGCATTCCCTGGCGATGCTGGTCCTACCGCTCAACACATGCACTCGTACAGTGGTTCGAGCGCACCCCAGTACGCTCACGTCGACCAATTCAAGTACGCAGACCCAAGTCAAATAACTCAGAGAAAGCCGGAGTATGAACGGACTCGGCCATCAGAGCATGAACGTACCAGACCATCAGAGTACGAACGGTCACGACCCCAGGATACTAAAGACAGTGACAGCGACCGCAGACGAAATAAATACGAAACCCGTACACACAGAAGCGAGTCCGATGATGATAGATATGAGACTCGTGAACCCAAGAACAAGAAGTATTATGATGATGATGATGATGACGACGACAAGTACGACCGACGGAGCAAGAAGTACTCCCGCGACAAGCACGCCTCCTCGGTTGACGATGTATCACAGAGAATGGCCGGCCTGGCGGTAGGGTCAGCAGCGCTGGGCGCTGCAACTCTGGGCGTTGGTCGACAGAACCACAACGAGGGTGGCAAACCGCCGGCCTCACCCTTGTTAGAGCCATACAAAGGAACCTACCAATCCATTTCCCCCATGCCTTCAGCCTTGGTGCTGGGGAACCATCGAGATGACTCTGATCTGTCCGACTTGGATCTAGGACTAGACGGTGACTCGGACGGTCCAGACGCTGTCCTACACCGCAAAATTCGCAAGCTTGAAAAGGAAAAGGAGAAATACACCAAAGGACAGAAAGGCAGCCTCGCCTTCACCGAGAAGACCGAAGAAGTACGCTTGCGCCGTCTGCCTGACATTGACACCAATGTAATGATGGAAGTGCGTGAACCAGGAAGTAGCCACCGCAACCGCTCACCATCAGCGAGCATATTGTCGCCTGGAGGAGGCAACGGCAAGAGAAAGTCTGTGTCCTTCTACGACCCGACAGAAGACGCCAAACGTATCGCTGCTGCACTATCAGGGACTCGTACTCCTCCCGACCCCAGACCACTGGTACGAATCCTGCCAGGTCTCACGACAGATGATCTCATCGCCCTGAAAGCCGAGTACAAAAACCATGCCAAGGTGAGTGGCCAAGGCATCAACATGGCGAAGCACATCAAAATGCGTATACCCGGCAACTTGGGAAAAGCTTGTTACGCCACTGCGCTTGGACGGTGGGAGAGCGAGGCATACTGGGCGAACTCGTGGTACCAAGGAGGTGCATCCAGACGGGAGCTGCTGATTGAGAGTCTCATGGGCCGCTCGAACAGTGATATCCGTGAGATCAAAAATTGCTTCAAGGACAAGAAATACAATGATGACCTGGAGAAGTGCATCAAGACGTGAGTATCTTTTCCTGAGTCTGTTTTCGAATGACGACTAAATTCGTCTCGCAGGGAACTCAGAGCCGACAAATTCCGCACGGCGCTCCTCCTCGCCTTGGAAGAGCGGCGCACGCCCGAGTCCTCGCCCCTGGACATCAAGCTCGTGAAACACGACGTGGTGCAGCTGGCGGAAGCGCTAGAGTCCCCGGGTGGGGAGACGGCCATGATCAAGATCATCGTGGTCCGCAGCGACGCTCACCTACGTGAAGTGCTCAGGCTATTCGAGCGGACGTATGGCGTCAATTTCGCGCGGCAGATGATTTCAAAGTCACGGAACCTGGTCGGGGAGACGTTGGCACATATCTTGAATGGGGCGTTGAACCGGCCAATGCGTGACGCATTGCTCCTTCACCAGGCGATTAGCGAGACCGCTCCGGGAAAGGAACGAACCGAGCTGCTGATTTCCAGACTGGTCAGGATGCATTGGGAGCCCAGGCATTTGGAGAAGGTCAAGGCCGTGTACAGAGAGAAGTATAGACAGAGCGTGGAAGATGCGATCAAGCGGGAGGTCTGGTCGGGGATGAAGACGCACGAGGGCAGGCTTGCTGCGGACTTTTGCTTAGAGTTGGCCATGAGCAGTTCGCGGTATTGATGGGAGATGAGAGCGCTCCACGGTCAAGAAGGTGTACTTGCTCTTGGGCGCAAGACGGTGACAGTACTCAGTATCTGTACTCTGGGCGTCTGATTAATTCCGTGGTGCCAAAGCATTCATGGGGGCGCCCAGGATGAGTATGTACCTACTGTACCACCTGGTACGGGAAGCGGAAAGTCATGGCCGCGAGACCCGCCGGAGATTCGATCGCCCGCGAGCCGCAAATGGATCTCGAATCTGCAGTCAACAGCCGGTGACAGTAGCGTTTGAACCTCGTCATCGATTTTTGCCTCAGGCGGACGATTTTCTTCTCGCGTGCCTGCTCCGTCGTTCGCCCATGATGGTTCCACGTCTGGCGTCTCTGCATTTCCCTCAACAACTCTCCCGATGAGTGTGGGAGGACGGCGCATTTGCGCCCACTGTCTCTTCACTCTGACTCGAGGCCCGTCGCGCCCTGGTCGCCTGTCCTCACTACGGAGGCCCCCACAGCAGCCGCTGCGCTCACTCTCTCAATCCCACCTACGCGCCGCCTTTGCTCCTCCGACGCCTGCATCTCTCGGAAAAGCCGTGCCAGCAAAAGAGTTCAAGAGGACAAGGAAATGGATACGAAGAATCGGTTATCTCGTCCTCTTCGGAACCGGCGTGTACGTGGCGGACAAGAACTTCTACGCCTCAAGTCTCGCACGATGCACCCGCACATTTACCATGGGCCTGATCGCCGCGTTGGACTACAAGATCAACTTCCGGGAGAACCCATGGTTCGCCGATGACATTACAGAGGTCCATGCCCGGAACGCCACACGGCTGTTCCATCTTTTGCGATCGAATGGCGGCCTCTACCTCAAGATCGGCCAAGCCATTGCGATGCAGACGGCCATCTTGCCGCCGGAGTTCCAGAAGATGTTCGCCAAGATGTTCGATGACGCGCCGCAGAACAGCTGGGAGGATGTGCGGCAGGTCATTATGGAGGATTTCGGAGGCAGGACTCCCGAGGAGGTATTTGGGATATCCTTTGATGGGGATCCCGAAGCAGGTGTCATGGAGAGGAAAGCCCGCGCGAGTGCCAGTGTTGCGCAGGTTCATTGGGCGAGGCTCAAGGACGGGCGGGAAGTGGCCATTAAGATTCAGAAGCGGGAAATCGCACAGCAAGTAGGTTGGGATCTCTGGGCCTTCAAGGTCGTCACACGGATCTACACCTGGTGGTTCGACCTGCCGCTGTATTCTCTCGTTCCGTACATCACGGAGCGGTTGTTGCTGGAATGCGACTTCCAGAATGAGGCCAACAACAGCAAGAACATGGCGAAGCTGGTCCAGAGCGAACCCCGACTGCGTGACAGGGTGTACATCCCCAAGGTCTACGACGACCTGACCACGAAGCGTGTCATGACTGCGGAATGGGTCGAGGGCGTGCGGATGTGGGACAAAGACGCCATCAGTCGGCCCTGGCAAGGCGGCTGGCGCACAGGCAGTCCAGGCTGCCACGGCACACCGCTTGACCCGCCTCAAACGCCCGTCACCACGCTGCAGAAGGAAGCCCGGTCGTACGATGCGGAGCTGAAACCTGACAGGAACTGGTGGCGAGGCCGGGACGGCAAAGGCGGCCTCGGTCTAGATCTCAAAGAAGTCATGACCACGATGGTCGACCTCTTCTCGGCGCAGATGTTCCTCTGGGGCACCGTCCACTGCGACCCGCACCCCGGCAACATCTTCATCCGACGCCTCCCCAACGGCCACTCCGAGATCGTCCTGATCGACCACGGCCTGTACATCAAGATGTCCCCTGCCTTTCGGCATCAGTACTCGCTCTTCTGGAAATCGCTGATGACGTTTGACAACAAGACCCTCAAGCAAGTGGTCGGCGAATGGGGCATCAACAACGCCGAGATCTTCGCCTCCGCGACGCTCATGCGCCCCTACGAAGGAGGCGACCACTCCGTCTCGCGCCGCCTCAAGGGCATCTCGGAGCAGGAGAAGCGCAAGCGCCAGTACGAGATGCAGCAGGCCATGCGCAAGGGCATCAAGGAGATCCTCGGCGACGAGACCAAGTGGCCCCGCGAACTCATCTTCATCGGCCGCAACATGCGCATCGTCCAGGGCAACAACCAGTACCTGGGCTCCCCCGTGAACCGGATCAAAATCACGGGCAACTGGGCGTCGCGCGCGCTGGCCGAGGACCGGAACCTCACTTTCACGGAGCGGTGGCGGTATTTCGGTAGCCACTTGATGTTCAAGTTCGTGCTGTGGATGACGGATGCCTACTTTTACTATGCCAAGCTGAAGCAGGCGCTCGGCCGGGGCAAGGGCATGGACGACGACATGGAGCAGATGATGAGAGGCATGGCCAAGGATTATGGGATCGAGATGAACCATTCTGTGTTTGAGGGGTGATGTGCACGCGGCGTGCCGCGTGCAGTGTGCTCGGTACGCGGTCTCTCCTTCGTAGATTTCGGTTCCTGCACGGCCTGTATGTATGCCACACGCCATACGCATTCTATAGAAAGCACGCAGAACATGGAGGGGCATCATTGCGGCCGCTCAATCTGAACATTGACAGGTCAAGTGGTTACTTGCGCACCGGTTCAGCTGGTTCTCCAGGATTTGGATCTAGCTGGTCGGTTGTATGTAGTTTTACTGCCCTCCTTCGGGAGCATCTCTCATAATATATCGCGTCTCCTTGCGGCACGTCCATCTGTAACTGTGACTGTAACTGTAACTGTACGGTCTAAAAATGGGTTGTGCCGTTTCTCCAATGCGCTGAGCGCTGATGCCTATACAGACACCAAAGGCCTGTATATACACATACACATACATGTCCATCCTGTGTAGGAAGGCATACATGAAAGCACGGGGCAAGTGTCGGGTCGGATTCCCTGATTTGGGGGGCGGGATGATATAGATATATCTGCATATGCTGGATGTACTCCGTACAGTGTTTGTGGTCTACCGGCCGGAGAGGTACATACGTGGGGTTATGGGATGTGGGCTGTGGGATGTGAGCAAGCAGATATACAGTACGTTGACAAGTCCGTTGCTCAGTCAGTCAGCTGGGTGATTGAGGATGGTTTGGACGGAGTCTATCTCTGTGTATTTTGGTATGTATAATTTTTGTGGTTTACCGGTTGGTAGGTATGTAGGTACGTAGGTCACGGCCCGCGAGCCAGCAGATTCGCACTGACCAGTCCGTTATTCAGTTGGGTGATCGACCGGTTTCGGTGGAGGTTGCGCGCCCTCCGTACGCCGTACTCTCCCATTCTGTTCCGGCCCAACGACGTTTCTCGAAATCTGTGCACCTCCACAGCAACAGGACACGGTACATGTCTGTCGGTCTCCCTCGTCATCCGCCACTGCCATTCCCCCTTTCACTGTGCCAAGTGTCTCGCGAACGAGGACAATTGATGGCATTGTCGATGTTGGCAAAGCAAGCAAGCAAGCAAGCAGACGAGCCTGCCGTGCCCAAGGTACCCAGCAACATGGGCGGCCGTCAACAACAAAAAGACAAAACAGACACCCGACGCCCGGCCTGAATTCGTCCTCTCTCACGATGGTATCCTAGCATAGCATACGCGTGTAGCAAGCAGTCCAGAACGCCAAAGCACCCTGCCGAGCCGAGCAATAAAGGCAATATAAATCTTCTTGATTTGTTCTGGAAAATCACGAGTTGAAACCACCCGTTCAAGACTGGATCGAGTGCGAAAAAGACGACGGTGGCCAAAAAAGGAATAACAGAGCTGAGCTGATGATGATACTGTAGGCTTCGCGGGTCTACATCATCATCATCATTCTGGTCGCACGCTTGCTGCTGAAGCTGGGTCTTGGCGAGCTCTCACCCCCGGCCCAGGGTTTGGACAGGAAAGCCGCGTCGCCGCTCTGCGTGGTCATGGTGCTGCTTCGATTGGGGTTGAAGGCCGGCTTGGGGATGGGCATCAGGTCAATGGTGCTGCCCCGGTACAGGGGCCCCATGAGCCGATCCTTGACTGACTTGTTCCGTCGAGGCATGCCCGAGTTGGTGGTAGGGGGCGGGGCGAACTTGTCGGGCTTGTCTGTGCCGTCTTGATTCTTCTCGCCCGCGAGGATGGCGCGTTCTTGGTTGATGGTGGCCAGGTGGGCGCGGCGGCGGAAATGGATGACGAAGAAGGCGATGAGGCCGATGAGGATGATCGCGATGACGGCGATGCCGACGCCCAGGCCGGCTTTGGCGCCGGTGCTGATTTCTCGCTTGTACAGGTGTGATAAGGGAGCGGCTTGTGTGGAGGGCAGTGCGGCCAGAAGGAGAGCCAGGAGAGTTGGTGCATATGAGGATCGAGGCATGATTGATGACATGGCGAGGGGGTGGTGCGTGTGTATGTGTGTGTGTGTGTGTGTCAAAGCAATTTGCGATATGTTAGGTCTTCGTCCAGCGAGAGTATATTCTGAATTTGCAACGATGGGTTGTAGAACGCAGTCGAGTGGTGTGTCGAAAGACTGAGAGGGGGAGGGTGGTCTGGGGCACTTGGGTATATGCAGAAGATGAAAGGCGAACCGGAGGCTGTGAGTAGGTTGGCGGAAGGATGCACAGAGATGTCGGTTGTCGTAAGCACTTGTGGTCAAGGATATGTAAGGAACCGGGTCAAAGGTCACGGACGAAGAAGAGGGAAGAACTGCATGCAAGAGAAACGAACGAGACGCGATAGATGAGCTCGACTTGTTCTCTTCCCGCTGCCCAGGGCTGCCAGATCCAGGGCTGAGGTGCCACGATAGCCAACGAGCCCCAGAAGTCGGCGACACGGACAAGTCGCGAAGAGGGAGCTTGCCTGTGCTTGGACGCAGCTAGCCGGATGGGGTGCGTAGGGACCAGGTGGTGCAGGAGGCGTGCATGCTCCAGGTCTCCTGAAACATGAAGGTCGGGCGTGATTGGTGGGTGGTCGATGGAGATGTCAACTCGGTCAGGCTCGAGAATAGAAAACGGCCAAAAGCTGAAGGGTTGACAGGCCGCGGTGATTGGCTCAAGGGGCCTTCAGCAGGGACCATCCCTGACCTTTTTGAGTGCTCTCTTCCAGCTTGATTGCGCACGAGATTCAGCTTGGACAACGGGCACGAAGTCTTGGATCTTCCTGTGTGTGTCCCAGCTCCGTCATGGCGCGTGAAGCAGGCGGAAGGAGGATGGCGTCGAGCTCAGGCCACAGCAACACAGAGTACGGTGCTAGTGCTACCGCTGGGTTTCTTGGGGGTTCTTGGCCTGCGTTGCAGATCGATGGGCGCAGAATTGCGTGTGCGGTGAGCAAGCATGATTTTCAGGAGACGAGACGGTCACGATCGTGTTTCAGCAGGTTGACAAAGTTGCTGCCACTGTACGAGTCACGAGAGAGAGAGAGTCGCCATGCGCTCAGCAAGCGCAGTCCAGCGGCTAATTACTGTGGTACTGTACGCTGCGGACAAAAATCTCCATCTCGCCGGTGACGAGCCAGCGCGTCAAGCTCAGCCCTGATGGATTCAAGGTTCATGCGCCTTTCACGATTCTCCATCGGCCTTTGCTCTGTTCCTGTTCCTGAATCTCAAGAACGCGCTACGGACATTTTGGCAGCGCTGTCCGACTGGCGCGTCTGCGTCCCGAGTGCCGGGCCTAGAGATCGCGGATCACGCTAACCTCACTTCCACCTCACTGGAGATTCAATTTCCCCTGACACGTGATGTTCTACTTCCCAGGGGCCTGATGCTCGCGGGGCTCGTGGGATATTTGTCTTTCGGTGAAGGGCAATTGAGATTTCATCTCTGTTGCACTCGAAAGATCGATGAAGATTCGAGACTGGAACATGGTGCTTCGTATGTAGGGACGTTTGTGTGACCAGCTGTGTGAGCTCTCAGGTGTCTCCTGCCTGCAACAGCAAGGGGACGGATTTCGCAACGGGCCAGAATGGAGCATTTGGGCAAGGCGTGCCACAGCCTCGTCGATAGTCGCTCGAAGGATGTGCCGCCCTCCATTCTCCTGTGGTCCGCAGCACCCACATGGCCAGCAGAGTTCGAGACGTGTCTCGGTGCTGACAAGGCTGTGCCTCATAACACTTCCCACAGGCATCCACCTCTTCGAATACTTGGTGCAGAATGCAGAAGGTGCTTTCTTCGGCTTGTACTGCGGGCGGAGGGTGTGTTGCATGGCTGTCTCGAAAGGCAGTCCCACCAGAAGGATCGTGTCCGACCCCGACACTGCATATCAGAGCCTTCGTCGCTTCCTTTGGTTCCACGCCCCATGCAGCGAGCACAACGTGTCACAGACCAAAACCATCGTCCCCTGAGCACTCATCTGTTATATGTCAAAGTTCGAATTCTATATGTCTCCAAGCAGAAAACTCAGCAAACTGCCCACAGTAAGCCCGCCCACAAGCATCAGCCCCATGAATCCACCCGCGGCTTCTCTCTCCTCCGGTAACACCCATTCACCAGAGCCCATCATGCACTCACTGCCCAAATACCCGTTCGTCAGCCCAAACAGGAACTGTACAATGACCAGATAGAAGAGATCGCTGCTGATGGCTGCCCCTTTGTTCTTGATATTGCATAGAAAGTACAGCGGGATGAAGAGTAATCGTGCCATGGCGAGACAAAACAGTGCAAACGGGTAATGGGTGAGTGAGATTTTCGGCCACAGAGTCACGAGCCGTCCGACTAGGTCGCCGATGTTCCAGAGCAGGAAGGCGGCTGGGATGAAGATGGCCGAGTCGATGTTGTTGACGGACAAGATCGACGCCGTAAATACCGGGAAGACCATAGTCACCGCGAAACAGATAAAGACTGCGGCCGAGAGAAAGGGCATCTTGCGGAAGAGCGTGCTCAAAGGCACTGTGGGACGCTCATTCGCTTCCGCGCCTGGTTCGCTTTGTGACGAAGTCCTCCTCGGCGCTCCGGTCAGCGCGTCCCCTTCAGAAGCTTCATCCCCTGTGGCCTTAGCGGCTGATCGTAATGCTTGACTATTCGCCTCTCGCCGTAGGAGGTAGAAGAAAGCCAGGAGGGCGAATACTGAGATAGCGGTTGCAGTCAAGAAATAGATGAAGGCTGACTTGGGCGATGCATCCGCTGTGTCTGCATCATCACCGCCCTTGTTCTTCTTCGTGGGCACTGCGAGTACCGAGATGATTTGAGCCAACGGCGGCAGCACACCGGCAACCGCCTGACCCGTCATGATCGCCTGGGTATATTCGCTCCTCCCAAAGCCCGACGCGAAAGAAAACAGGCCGTTTTGTATGAGCCCCGTGGAGAAACTCGCGGAGAAGATGGCCACGAGGAGGAACCCGAAATAGACCCCCGCGGCCGTGCGAACGAGCGTCGAGAGCGCCAGGATGGCAAAGACGACAATGTTGATGCAGAGCGACGTCGAGATTCTCCTTGGATATGATGCCCCCTTTTGCAGCTTCGTCAATATTATCATCGATCCTAGGTTGGTGATGGTCGAGACCGACACCTCCGCCGCTTGGAAGTGGTTGAGGATCCACTGGCTCGAGCTGAATCGCTTCTGGAAGTAAGGTGCTGCAGCGAGAAACATGTTCCTGTTTTCAATTGTCAGTCATGGCTGCATGTCACGGGAGTTTGACGGTCTTTACCAGGCCCATAGCATGGCAACGCCTAGTAGGAGGAAGATCATGTATTCCACCCACGAAAATGGTGCTTCGGCCGTGGGTGGGGTTTCTGATTCATCTCGTATACTCTCATCATCTCTGTCTGCGACTGTGTCTGCGTCGCCTCGTACAGGCTGATATTCCTGGCGTGACCGAAAGAGGCCCATGTTGTCGGCTAAGGGCTGTAACTCGAATGTTGATTCTTTCGGCGTCGCTCTACGCATAAGTGAGGACGGTCACAGCCGTCTCAAATGAGAAAGGGCTAGGTCTTCATGCCTGATGTCGAGTGAGCCTCTGCCTGGAATGACACGGCGGTGCAACAGGAATACAGGTCGTGTGATGGAGGGTCGTGTCAATCAACGGACGATGCGTGTCGCGCGTGCGTCATCCACAAAAGCCCCGAGTTGCCGGCTGGGACCCCAAGCATCCGCCTGACTCAATGGCAACATCGTTCCGTCTTAATCAGCCAACAGACCATCATCGACAACAACGATACCTGTCGGCGGAGAAGGCAGCATCATGTGTAGCATCGTCATTATTCATTGCGCATGATTATATCGCGCGATGGCGCGCTCCAGCCCCAACGCCGCGCTGAAATGCTGAGACGAAATGAAAACGTCCCTCCCCTCTACTGCTCCGTCTGCGCCTTGAAGGCAGCGACATCCCCCTCCGCCAGCCACCCCTTCTCCACCGCCATACCGATGAGGTCATCGGCACTCTCTGGCAACAACGTCGCCGCTGTGCCTTTGAGATAGGCCTCCACTTCCTCCAGCCCCTTCCACATTTCCAACTGCAGCTTCTTCGCTGCCTTGCTGCTGCCGGGCACGTAGGCATTCCTCCCGCCGCCACTGCCACCACCACTCCTCGCCAAGAGGTCGGCCAGGACGTACCTCAGCCACAAGACGTTCGACTTCGGAACGAAGAGTTCGTACTTGTTGATGGCCTTGTACTCGGCCCCCTCCAACTGCGCAAGCGCCATCGCTTCGGCTTCGGCCTTCATCACCAAGTCCCTTACCGCGGCGTACGTCCTGAACTGCCGCTTGTCACCTTCACTATCCCCGTCCGCTTCCTCGTAACCATGGTCCCAGTATTTCATGGGGTCAAAGATTGTGATACCGCCGACGGTCGCTCGCGACAGCGTGTAGTCGATGATGGTGACTTCTAAATTTGAGAGACCGAGAATCACCTCGGGCTTCTCCTTCATTTCTTCAATCATGTCTTGCTTCACGTCAATCTGACCGTCTCCGCTAAGTGACTTCCAGCAAATATTGCCGTTGTGCAGATCACGATGTTCGAATCGGACTTCTCTTTCTGCGTGAGCGAGACTGATGGCGGTTTTCCAGAAGACGTCGAAGACTTGGAATGCTGATGCTGGTCTAGCGCGTCCCAACCTGCCCAGGGGTGTACCTGCATGATTCATCTCAAGAATAGCGTAAAGTGGTTTGTTTCTGAAAGCAGTGACGGATGGGTCAAGGTTCTGCGCACTTTCCGCAGTATGTGTCAATTTGAATGTGGAGAATGCCTCAAGGAGAACGTCTGGGTATGCGCCACTGACGATGTGAATACCCCGGCACCGAACGAAGCCATGCAAAGCGTCGACCGTTTGAAAAAGTTGGATCTCCCGAGTTATCGCATCAAGGTCTGCGATGTCGTCTTTGCTTGTGCTTTCCACTCGAAACGGAATCACTTTGATGATGAGGCCGCCACGTTTTTCCAGTTCCTGTGCTTCGTTCGAGTCCTTGGCTTGCAGTTCATAGACGTCGGCGTATGATCCTTCTCCGAGCTTGGTGCACAGGTATTTCTTTCCGATGCTTCGGCCAAATTCTTGAAAGTCTTTGACGCCATGCTGTTGGACGATCTTGAGCAGTGGATCGAGCGCCTGAAGTTTTTCTGGTGTGAGTGTCTGTCAAGGTGTCAGCCACTGGTTTCAGACTCTCACAGGGTCGAGGGACATACAGCCATCTTCTTCTGTGAGATTAGTTTCCGCCTTCCTCGAAGCCGTGGATTGTGCTCAGTTGGTTTCTGCTTGATGCTGAAAGTCGGCTCAGGTACTGGTTGTAGAGGAATGTCTCTGACAGGTTCCTCGATGGTTAGTCTTTCCATCTCGTTCATCATTTTCTCTTCATCTCTGGGCGCCTCGGTTTCCTGCACAATTTCGTTCTCGTCTACGCCACTTCCGAAGAGATCAAAATGCATGGCCCGTTTCTCAGCGGTCGGGGCCTTCTTTTTCCCTTAAGTCTTGTCATTGCGACGAGCTGGCCGCTGCTGATTTCGCAGCTCGTTCAAGGCGTCGAATTCCGCCATGCTGGAAGGAATGTTGCTCTCTCACAAACAAAATGAGGTGCTTACCAGTTTGTGGGCTTGTGAGTGTGAATTATGTCCTCTGTCCTCCAACTAATCCCGAAAGCGTTAGCGTTGTTGTTGCTAGGAGAGACAAGGGCGGCGTGGTTTGTGAATGTGAGGAAGGCGAAAATTTTGCGGCCGCTTTTACAAAATGGTGAACTTTGCTATGGGGGTCTGGCAGAATTCACATTTCCCTTTGTGCTCAGTCACCAAGCATTCACTTTTGATAGTCTTCCCAGGACGCATTGAACATGTCTCTGTAGCCGACGATGTCCCCCTGTACACTGTCCCGTCCATGGTCATCCGCAATGGGCTTGATCAACTTTTGTGCCGCCCTTCTGCTCATCCAATGCTCGTGCATGCGTCTTCTCTTTGGAGAGCTCAACTTTCGATGATGCAGACAAATTCTGACTCGGTCATCATAGTTGACCTTCCCAGCTGGCTTCATATCCCACATCTTGTCATAGAGCGTCCAGTAGCGGGTGATGGATACCCGATTTCGAGCCCGCATCGACGCATTGTGCCTCTTCACCTGCATCCCAACAGCAAAGAGCCGCCGAAGTCGTTTGATAAACTCCCATCGAATCACGTACTCTCTGACTTCGATGCCGTATCCGTCACGAAGTCTTTTCAGCATGCGAGTCCACCGAAGACACCTCTCCGCAGAAACGATGCGTATCCCCTTGCGTGGCCGGAAGCACCATGACATCACGGACTTCTGGAATTTGTCGTCGAAAAGATCTTTCCACTCCACCCAATCGTGCGAAATGGGCACATCTAGGACTTCGCGATGGAGGCCATCGTGCCTGAACCATTCAGCGACCCAGTAAACCAGCGCCTCCAGCTCTTCTAGGCGTCCTTGTCGGCCAAGCGCCCTCATTGCCTGTCGCCAGTACTTGAACTTCACATTAGTCCTAGACGCCAATGCTTTCTGCATCAAACCTATTATCAGCGAGCTGTGGTCGACACTCGGTTCCTGAAGAGGAGAAGGCGAGTGCTGGGCAGTTATGCGGAAGGAGGGTGCAAGGGCTCTTGGAAAGGCAGAGGAGAGCTGCCACCCCCGCTCTTGCAAAGATGTTGCACAGTTGATAACTGAGCTCCAGTCACCTGCTTCCACCATGGTAATTAGCAGGAGATTTGCAGCCCGGCGTTTGGATGGGTCGTCCAACCGGCCATTGTTAAGGATCGCCAGTGTCCGGTTCAACTGGCGCCAGTCTCGCTTTCGGTAATATTCTGTCAACAGTCGTTTTTGCACGTCGATATCTTCGAATACCTCATGGTGGAGGTCGTTATCTATCAATGATTCGACCATCTCCCAATAGCCTGCATCGCAAACATTTCTGAGCACTCGTACGAAGACAGAAGCTCCAGTGTCAATCTCGAGCTCTCGGAGTTTCTGAAATCGAGCTTGCAAAGTGATCAAGTCCGGCGAAGTCGCAGCCATTTGTCGAACCGCCAGTGGCCCGACTTCGATCAGCCCAATCATCCTGAGACTGTGGACAGCGAAGTCGAATGAGAAAGCTCGAGTGGCAAACGCACGTGCAACGAACTGATCGCTGAGTTTGTTCGGGTTCGCGCCCATGGTTTTGCTCGCCACAATGTTGAGTGACTCCGCTGGCACGCCGGTAACTCTACTTCTACCGATGGACCATAACCGCCTCGCCTGCGCCTCGAAGGAGATTCCCGCCGCACTCAGTGGTGACAAGAACTTGTCCAGACTTTCATTGTGAAGTGCCAGGTAGTTGATGAATGGTTCCAGCAACTCGAATCGGGGAGGCAAGTCTTTCCTCGAGATTAAGAACGAATGCAACATGAAGGCATCTTCTGGCCGTTCCTGTTCCCAGAGCATGGAGATGGTCGCTGCGTAGATTGAGGTTCGGGGTACCATGTCATACACCTGGCAGAAAGCTTTGAGAGCATCTGGGTTCCGTGATTCACACGCAGCGGAGAACGTAGCTAGCAGGCCTTCCCGTCCTCTGAAGTGCTTCTCTCCAAGAAAGGCTGCAAAATGGGGAGCTTCCAAAGGGTTGGAACCCTCCAAAGCTGCTCCGACAATTTCTGCGAATAAGTGTGGACGTTTGTACCTCAACAGTTTGGCTTCCTTGCACATTGACCAGAGAAACTGGTGGTCTTCGGCGCCCGCGGAGAGAAAAGTCTTCCATAGAGCATCAACGCGAGGATCGTCTCCTTCCAAGCGGAATGCTTCCCCTCGGAATTTCATTCCCCTCCAGATGGCTTTGATACCCTCGTGGCCATTCTGAAGAGCTTGGGCAATTAAGAGCATTTCCCAGAGCTCTATATCGTGACGATATTGAGGTCTGTCGGTCAAGCGAGTGCCAATACATGACATATCGCCTACATCTGCCTCCTGCCGCAACTGGGCCCTGGTCTTAATTCCATATGCGAAGCCACGGTCGAGAAGGCTTTCCCATTGGACGTCGTCCGACGGAGGACGGGTCGGGTCAGAAAAAGTGGCCAAGAAATAGTCGTTCTGTGGTCTAGGAGGGCCGTAATCACCTGTCCATTTCGAAGTGGTCGAGAGAACTCGATTCCTTGGTAGTTGAACGCTCCGGAAAGGAGTCGAGCCCCGGGTTATGCCTGAGTTTGCAGGCGATTGATGAGCCCGCCATCGTCTGGGCAAAGCTGATGAAAGATATCGTCGCGTCTTCGGGCTTCGCGCAAGTGGTCCCCAGAACAATCTCATGTAGCAACAAACATACGAGTTCAAAAGTCGTCATCTGCAAGTATAGATTTGCATGCTCGCAGGAGATGTGGGGACGCAGGACTGCAAGGAAATCGGTTTGTTGTAAGAAGATGATGGTCTTCCGTGATAGATGAATGAGGTCCTGGTTGCGAGGATAGAGTGGCCCCTGAAGGCCTTGGTGGCTGAAGAAGACGTGCCACGTAGATTCGCCGCGTGTTCTCAAGAAAGCGCTGGTCTGATAGGACCATAAGATATTGTATGTCCCAGTGTATTGATTCGCTGTCCAGGCCTTATGATAGTGTCCTTAAGAGCCTCTGAGCTTGAATCTGTGGCATCAGAGGCTGAGCATATCGCCTTGTCCTAATCTGGCTTAGTCATCTTGGCAAAGCAGCTCCTCTTGCTCCTGCGCTTTCCGAACTTCAATTGGACTGGGGCATCATCTTCGAAGCTGCTCAGCGATCTCAACTCTCCTCTCACAGTCCGATCGAGTCTCTCGCCGGCAAGATGGTCCACCCTACAGCTCTTCGAATGATGCAAGCCACGCGGGCTGGCATGTTCAGAGCAACTCAGCGAGCTCCAGCTCAAGCTCAACAGAAGTCTGGGTACGTCGCTCATACCACCCCGACTCCCTTTCACCAGTCAACCACACCACCATCTTGTGGTGTCAACTCGCTGACCGCTCTGCTTACAGCGTTCTTGTCTTCCGTGAGAACCGAGTGCCCTACTACCAACGCCTGTTCCAGAACCATGACGGCAAACGACAGTGGTGGAAGGTCAGTTGAAGCCCCTTCATTACCTTTATGCTATACGCGAGGACAAGTTCCATGTTATTCGAGATTTCGGACTGTGGCATTGCGAGCATGGTTTGAGCACGAGGCTCATTTTGAACCTTGTCGCCGAATTCGGTCATCCCTACGTGATACCCGGGCTTTATTATGCAATCTGGAATGGCTTCTGGTAGCAACTGTGTTGGACATGCTATCCAGTATGCAATATTGTGTTGCCGCGGTTGCTGATATTTCTCCAGACGCATCGGAGTCCATATATCCTCTACCCGTACTACACCCTCCTCCTCGGCAGCTTCGCCTTTTCGTTCGTGGGAATGATACGCATGTTGTTCGGTCACAAGTCGATCTGGTAAATTGAAACAATAGAGACGAGGAAGGGACCAAGCTGCATGATGGTCTTCATAGGACCTCAGTTGCGACAATTGTACATATGCAACCCGCAGTTCGGAAAGGAGGCACCTAGGTCAAGAGGTTGCGCTCAATTGGCTGCCAAACTGGCTTTACAGTCTCTGTTATACCCAGCATTGAGCAGCGACTCGTCTCGGTCATTTCCCTGCTCGTTAGTGAGTTTCGTTTGAGCCTGAATGTTGGTCGTCTCGATCATACCACCAGCATTTCCCACACGTGCCCCAGACTCGCCAAGCAATCTTCCAGTTCGGCCAATTGTGTCGGCTGGCCAAGGTCATACCACCACTATGCAACAATGTCTTTCCCGCATGACTTCGACCCGGCGAACATTTTGTTTCTCGAACACTTCTTTTTCCGCGAATGGGGCTCGGCCAACTCGCACGTTGATATATACCTTCCGACGAAGCGGTGCCCTGCCAGCATGCTCCCTCCAGGAACTGGCCTCTTTCGAACGTGATTGGCTCTCGTCCCTGAAATTGTCCCATGCCGGTCATCAATGCCAGTCCCTAAGCATTTCACTTACTGGAGTGAGCATCCTGTACCTCTGGCCGAGCCGTGCTATATCTGCTGTTGTCAACTGTCAAGGTCATCTCTGCATCTTCACGAAAGACCACGCACGTGCGCTGTTTATAACGCATGAATGGTCTGAAGACGTCGAGCAATGGAAGAATCAACATATTCATGGAGATTACATCGACATGGCCGCGTCAAAGTCATCCAGGTGGTCCCTACCACGAACCTGACACGGTCTCTCATGCTGTTCTCGAACATAAACATATGAGGCGCCCAAGCCGTGCTATTGTTCGCTCGATTGTAAGTCCATACCATCTACCAAGGTGCTCTGTCGCGTTCCCTGGGCAATAGCTCTACTTACTACTACGACAGCGTCTCCTATTGCCAAGATACAGAAGCGTGGCTTTCCGGACTATGTCCGCCAATACGGTACAGTTGGCTTCCCTCTTGAAATGATGGAGGCATGGGAATCGAAAAAGCATGTTACAAAACCGCTAATATACATCATCAACACTCAGCATCCGTCGCGTACCTCCACTCCCAAGAAGTCTACTTCCCCAGCTCCATTGCCGACCACCTCAGCCACACCCACCCCGAAGACGCCAACGGAACCAGCATAACGACACCCGCGTCCCTCACGCTCGACGACTTGGACACGCTCAACTCAAACGCCAACGGCGGGCAAGGCGTTTACTTATCCTCCAATGAAGGCATCCAAGCACTCCCCTCCTGGTTCCAAGGCACAAAGCCCTCCCCCCTCCCGGCTCCAGAGGCAGCACCATCGCGTCCGTGATCGTGACGGTCGCCAAGCCCAACAACACGCTCAACGCCTTCTGTTTCTCCTTTCACGCCTACAACCAGGGCAACTGGGTGCTCGGCCTTCCCCAGCTCGAGTTCGGCGACCACGTAGGCGAGCTGGGAAAACACGATGCTGCGCTTCGTCAACGGCACCCCGCAAGCCATGTGGTTCAGGCAACACTCTTCGGGCCAGGCGTTCGCGTACGCGGCCGTGGAGAAAGCATGCCGTGGCCACTGACACCGACACCACCGCCGCCGCCGCCGCCGCCGGAGTCAGACCCGTAGCGTACATCGCCAAAGGAAGCCACGCCAACTACGCGACCTCCGGATCCCACGACCACACGGTCCCCGGCCTGAACCTGCCCGACGGGCCCTTGGAAGGTCATACGGACAGGGGCGTTTTCTGGGATCCGTTCGGAAATACGTACATGTACGACTACGACGCCTCGACGGGCGTGTTTGAAGCGTATAACGACGGCGCGGATCCCACGGTGTGGTTGGCCTTTGCGGGAAGGTGGGGGTGACGCGCAGCTCCCCGACGACGCGGGAGGGGCAGGTCGATGCGCTTGGGCAGAGGAAGGATACGGCTGGGCCGACGGGGCCGCGGGATAAAGATCTGGGCAGGCGGACCGTGTGTGCCGGCGATGGGGATGGGGATGGGGAGGGGGAGGGGCAATGTGTGGTGAGGAATGTGTTGGGGGCGTGAAGCCATGGCGTGAAGGTGAAGGTGAAGGTGAAGGTGAAGGTGAAGGTGAAGGTGAAGGTGAAGGTGAAGGTGTACTGGTGGTTGGTGCGTCATATACAGGCTGGAATGCATTAGGTGAGTGGATGAGCATGGAGTCGATATGATGGAGTGCTCCGTACTAATTATGGCGCGGCAATGGGTCTGGATTGAGTTGGTTTCATTGGGACTAAATGGGATCACATGGGATTACATGGGATTCGGTGGGATTAGGTCGGGTTAGACGGGATGGGGAGCGGATTGGGTGGAATGGTGTTGATGGATCCCGGTACGCGGCCTGTATGTATACCTGTATACCTGTATCGACATGATCTTCCAATGGGTACGGTGCGTCGCGTCCGAGGAAGGCGGCGCAAGCAAGCATTTCTGCGTTGGCCTTGTCGGTGTGATGTGGAGGCTTGGTCTCATTTGCAGTACGGTAGATTCTCCTGCCGTTCTCAACATATCGTTTGAGCCAGCCGCCCCAGTCTAGTCCACTATAGTGAGTGGGAGTGAGTGAGTTGAGTGAGTCGAGTGAGTTGAGCGAGTTGAGCGAGTGAGTGCGTGGGTATGTAACTAAAGAAAGGAAGGAAGTAAGGAAGCTCTATTGGCAACAGAGTCGAGATCCCAGAGGTCAACCGTGCATCATTATTGTCAATGATTACATTTCATTATCCTGCAGTATATCAGTATACCCCAGCCGCGATCGCTCAAGGGAATACATATGAATATACGAATATATATGTATATGTTCAGACATCCTTCCCAATGCACTTCCTTTCCTCCCAGCAGCTATGATCTGACGAACATGACTTGCAATGATAGTATTCCCGTCGCTTCCGAACAGAAGTGTTGACCAAGGAGATGGGTGCCCCTTGGATGAAAATGACACGACATGACATGGCGGTTAGGAAAAGTCTGGATAGACTCGAAGGAACAGTATGGCCGGAGCAGTCGGCACTGGCCTGGACTGAGATTGACTTTCACCTGTTTGCACTCCGACGTCAGGAAGAGCCAGCTCCCTTTTCGTGGTGCGTCCCCATGCGTGCGTGCTCGTCGAGTCAGGAGAGCCCGCTCCCCTTGTGGTACGCCGCCCCGTGCGTCCATACGGACTCGTCGGGTCCGGGTAAATGTACCATTCCTCGTGCAGAAGGAAGCTGTCGTGGTCGTGGTCTCGTAATCACTGTGTCTGTCTTGAAGGTTGACGTCTTTGCATCGCTTTCACCTCCCGGAAAATGGGTACATTGCCGTCATGGCTATGAGGGTAAATGTGTCGTCTTTCTCGCTTGATCGGTTTGATGGCCAGGGCTCAGGTGGATGTAGTGTAATATTCTGCGAGGATCGAGTGCGCCGTACATAGTTCAACAGCGACCTCCAAACCAACCAGGTCGATCGCCCGAGTGACAGAATTGCTTGCGCGAATGATTTTATGTCCAACTCCAACGACGGTCTGGATACTTTTGTGATGCCCCGACTCCTGACTGTCTTGCCGGTAAATCGTGGCGATCTGGATACTTTGGTGAGGCCCAGACCTCCGACCATCTTAATGGAAGAAATGTGGCGATCTAAAAAAAAAGCAGTCGCTCAAGGACTTCGAGACGAGATTGTGCCCCCTGATCCCTCTCATATGAAGTTCTTCGTTGTGGCGATCTGGAAAAAGCAGTTGCGCAAGGGTATCATGACAAGCGACGATTTGGCCATTCATATGAAGTTCTTCGTTGTCGCCACTGGCCCTTGCTTGAAAGTCAGGGTGTTCCGACTGAAATTGGTCCAGCCCTCGGTGGGCTTTGTCAGTTCGTGCCTCTCCTCGTGAGCCGTGTTCAGCCTAGGTGTATTCAGGCCAGTCGCTTCGAGGCGGCCAGGACCGGATCTTTCGCGCGACCTGTTTGCGGAGCTCTTATCCGGCAGGAAGTTCTTGAAGAGTGGCTTGAGAGTCGGTATGCAGGCGCAAATGATACCCGTTCCAACCTCCACGACTGACCATTTCATTGTCGAGACCGACCCCATCGTCACGTCCAGACTGTTGACACTCTTGAGGACACTGATGCGTAGCGCTGACGCCACCGTGGCAAAAAGACCCACCGCGAAGAGGAGCGAGACAATGTACTTCTGCCGCGACGGTAAACTAAGTCGAAAGAAGACCGGCAACGGCAGGATACAGAGCAAAAAGTCCGTGAAGATGGAGAAGGCCGTGGTGAAGTAGAAGAACGAGACAATGTTGAGGCAGTCGCGTGCCAGTGTGAAGTCCCAGGCTGATCGGACCGGCTTGCATTGGAAAATGGTGACCAGGATACTGCAGATCCAGACGGCGATGATTGAAGCACTGAGGGCGTACATGACCCTGCGAAAAAGCGTTGTCGGGAACACTCTCAGGTAGGAGGTGACGATGGAGATCTTGACAAGCATCAACGCCGTTGCATACATGATCTGGCATATCCACAAGGTCTGCTGAGCGTTAGCTAGCAGGTACTCCGAGTCAGACTGAACTGGACTCGCCTGGATGACGTTCTTGGTGTTGTCCACGAGCTGCGAATTTTGGGGCAGGTCGTAGAGATGCTTTCCTAGGCCGTATCGGATGCCTTGGACAGTCAGTGCCAAAAACTCGCCTGCACAGCAGGATCAGGCACATACCAACTATGGCCAAGGCCGAAAAGACATCCGCACACAGACCAGCCGCCACCATGAGGTAGTCGTCCACGGCGACATGCTTGACCATGAACCCGCGAACGGTTAACCGCACGAAAATTATGACCGAGTTGACACAGATGAAGGAGATATTGACCCGGTAGATCTCGCCGACGTATGAGTCGTGAGGCAGGAATTCCGTTGGTATCTGGCTCATTGTGATGATGGGTGTCTTTGCCTCGCGTGGCCAATCGTCGGCCACAAACTCGCTTTAAGCGCTGTCTGTTTTATCGCTGATGACGAGGGAGTCGGTGCTGTACGTCTGTCAATATCACATTGGGCCCAAAGGCAAATGTTGCACGATGAGGCTCTGTCGGAGGAGGCAAGAGGAAGACTGAGCGCTATAAGGAAGGGCCAACGGCTTCTCCCTACCTTGACCTGTTCGTGCTGCCTCACGGCGTCCCGAATCAAACGTGCATGACGGAGGCATTGTGCAGCTCTGGGGCTGGCTGCCGTTGGGACGTCTCGTCCTTCCATTCCGGGGTGGCCAGCCAATGCCTAACCTGGTCAGGACTCAGTCTGGACGCCGAGCGCGAGCAATTTTTGACTGTACAGAGCGTGATCTGAACGTGTGTGGTGTGAAGCGCGGGCGGGCAACTGACGAACGACGCGGCAGAGGCTCGTGCTTGGCGGCGGCCCCTGAAAATGCGCGCGCGGTGAAATTGCGTCTGGCGCCTGTCATTCGTCGACGCGCGCAATTACAGTCTTGAAATATCGCCAGAACCGGGTGTGTGGAGGTCGCCGGCTCGTCCAACAGCCTTGACCCTGCCCGACCCCCAGCTGCTGCCCACGAGGCACGACGTTTGACTTTCGCCAGGAACCTTACAGCCCGTCAAGCCACATCGGACGCGGGCAGTTACAGTATCTCGTGCAGACTCCCTCGTCGCTGTCACCACAAACACCTCCTTTCCTGTGCTCCCCCTCCCCTCCTGTTCATGCACCGAACGTGTCATGGAAAGCACCAATCTGCATGAGAAGCCGGGCAGCCAGGAGCCTCTTCCACGCCTCATGAGTCTGGTGTCGTCTCCGCAATGGACATGCAATGCCGCCGACCATTATGGGCAGTCTCAGTCAGCAGCCACAAAAGACTGCAGGACCGCGCATCCATGTCAATGCGGCAGCCCTCTCCTTCGACGCCGTGGCGGGTCTTGAGCTGCATTGTGTACATACCGTAGTAAGTCCACTCGGAACGCCCCCTGGCTTTCCCATTCCTACATTATGTTGCCATGAGATCACCGAAATGAAGAAGCCTCAAGTATCACGCTAGTAACCTCGATGCTTCCACCACAAGTCGTGTGGGAGCAAGACCTCACCTCATCCTCGTCAGGAGAATAAAAGACACTACTGCATAAAACGGTCCAGGATCCATCTTAGTTGCAACCACCACGATTTCGACCCTAACCTGGATCAGGTACATGCTTCTTGACCCTTGGTGCTGAGAAGTCTAAAAGGCGCATTCTCCATTGGGCGCAGAAATAGTGAAATCTCTATGTGGCACTTTCAGGACCCAAATGTGATTACTGTTATTTGCGCTGCTATGCACCATGAAAGCCAGGGGACAACAAACACCCTTGGTTTCCAGGGCCAGCTCGAAGAAACCTTGCTTGTCAGTCGCTACTGCTGTCGCCACAATGAGCCAGACAGGTTGATGGAAAGATCGGCCAGCCATCGGAAAAATGCCTGCTTTTTCAATTGCTGGATACATCCGTGACGAACGCCCCAAGATTGGGGAACCACCGCCCGAGCCGCACATTGGCCCAGCTCCTCGTCCATCTTCACGCATCCCTTCGATGGATCTCCGGTCTCATGCCCTCCACATAGCCAGCTCGTCCTTCTCATCCTTCCCGCGACCTATGACGGTCCGAGCGTGTAGGAAGGTGCAGGATGGCGTGTCTCGGACATCTTGACTGGGAACTCAGGAGGCAATGTGGTAAAGTCTGGGATGGATTGGTTGTGCTCAGCCCATGTCGCATCGTAGACGGCTCCTTCGAACTGAGCGCGTCTCCTCTCTGCACTGTAACGCCACCCGTTTTCTGCTTGCCGTTCCGCAGGTGTTGCCGGCATTGGAAGCGTATACCCCAGACCTCTTACGGACGTCATCCTCGAGGTGACGGACTGCAGCAGCCAATCTAGCTTCGATTGGGGTACCGCCGCCACAGCTTCGCGGTGATGCAAGAACATGAGGCCATAAGCAGCTCCGGCAAGACAATTGAAGAGGGCGAGGAGCCCGAAAACCGCAATGAACGCGGTGGACAATTGCACGGCGGCAACTTGGACACTCATCAGACGCTGAACCGGCAATTTATTCTGAGTATCCTTGGTGGCCATATACACCTGATAGAAGCGCTGAAGGTCTCGGGGCGTGATGGTCGAGATCTCCAGGTCCTCTATTGCTTCTTGCTTAAATCGGGCAAAGAAGTTCCCTACAAAGCTGGTGGGGATAGCGCTTACATCGCCGGCATCGGGAAACGCGCCGAAAAATGCATCACCAAAGCTGCCAAGGTCACGCTTCACGCGACAATCGATCCGGCTGTAGGATGCTCGTTCAGCCTCCCCTTCGTCGTACCGACACATGTCCCAATCAGAGTCATTCTTGGGGACACCGTGCGCGTGCAAAGCACCCATTGACAAATCGATCGTGCGCCAAGTCCCGGTCGACTCCTCGTAGTCCGTGTAGTTAGCTGCATACATGATGACGAGGAGATCCTGAACATAGGTCTCGTTGATGTAATAATCCCCGTAGTTGTAATGGAAGTCCTCGCCGAAATAAGCTTGCGGGAACATTTCGAGCAACGATGGCGCGAACTTGGATTCGAATGAGGTGCAATTCGCGGCCAACCTCAGGTCCACGGGCTTGGACTCGGTAGGCTGGCAGGTCATCGACCAGGTGTTATTCCATTCCTCCGGGCGGTAGATCCAGGAATTTCCTAGGTCAGGCAAGTAGTCCAACAACTGGTCTGTGGGGAAGCCGGCGTAGTCAAGACTCTCCTGAGTCAGGTTCCAGAGAACCTGTGAATCAGCCATGCTGTTATGACCCAAAGCGAGGTTCCCATTGACCTCGGTTTTGATGATGAGATCGGTCATTTTCGTGGAGTATCTGGCTATCGGTCCTGAGAGAACGGTCACCAGAGACAGAGTAATGATCACAATGCACTGAATGAGGATTCTCCAATGCCGCAAGACATGAGACCTCAAAAGGTTCAAAACATCGATTGCTTCGCCAGGCGTGTTCACGCTGAAGAGAGACGTAACTGGCACAGCATTGCCTTTTGCAGCTAGGCGTCCACTGATTGACCAGCACGAGCGTGAAAAGACATAGACAGTGACGCCGCCGAGGGTAGTGATGATAACATTCAACACTGCCTGTACGTCCTCCAGCTCCCATGCTCTAGGGAGAGTAGCCCAGTAAACCATGCTGGACGAAGATGCGATTGAGACGACGAATATCAGAACCACTCGTAGAGAATGTGATCAGGCTGGGAGTATGAGGCATTATGAACACTATCCAGGAACTGTCCAAGACCGGCTATGTTGGCGACACGATATCCAACATGGGGTCCAGAATAATGCGTGGTGGTGTTCGCGATAGCCTTGTTCGCAAATGGGCAGGTCTCCAAGCTCAAGGAGGCTTTGTGGAGGGTCTGGTGAAGAATAGCACGGTCGATACTGGGAGCTCGCTTCGAATACGGGACTTGGTTTTCACTTTGTTCTTTGCCAAGGTGCAAGCTGCATTTTCGAGCCTCTAGAGCGAAATGTGACTCGATTGAAATTCCTCCTCAAGGCCTGGACTGCGCGCTCAGGCTCGGCAGCTGCACCATCTTTGGGCATTGGTTGGGCTTTTTGTGCTTCCTAGTGCGTCGCATCTCGTTGTTCTGGCAAGCTCGTCGTGCAACATGGTAGCCACGAAGAGTCCGGGGGAATCACGTCCTCAGCGACTGAAAGTAATGAGGCCCGCAATGTATGAAAATAAAGCACCACGGCTTTCTCATCGGTTATGACCTCCGGGAACGGGGTCAAGAAAAAGGAAATACAATTATTAGTGTAGTGATGTGACGATGGTATATGTGGTGACTGGGAGAAGCGGTGGACAAATACCTACAGTAGAGTGGGCGGATTGCACTTACAGAACCAGCCATGAAAGGCTCACTGTTGTACGTTTGATTCCCGCATGAGATTCCGCTGCTGTCTGAAGTGACAGTTCGGTAGGTCGATGAGGCCGATGAGGCTGTGGATGTGTAACTCTGGTAGAAGTAATTGAAGGGCGGGCTGTGACAATTCACCTGCACCTGCACCTCACCTCGCCCTTGCCTCGCAATCCGCGTCACTGTATCCGGTAAACCTTCCCGCCTTCCACCTTCAATCTGCAGCGCGATACGCGTGCGACATGTCAAAAGACCAACTCTTGGATTCAATTGAATTGTACTCGGTCCTCCCCCATCCACACCTCTCTACCCGTTACCGGCTTGATCCTCTCAACGGCATTTTGACACTCCGCTTCGTGCTGTGGTCGATATGGAGACGAAAGATACCCCCTTCCCGCCTGCTCACGAGGTGCCGCTACATCGCAACGCACCCCTCGCTCCGACGCAGGAGCTCGCATACCGCAAGAAATGTATAGCGCTGAAGCGAAGACTCGCCGAGATCGAGGCAAATAACGATGCCACCCGAAAAAAGATCATCCTGGAAACACAACGAGTCCAGAAGATGCGCCTCAACCGAACGATCCTCCTGAACAAACTGCAGGACATTATGACTACCCCAGCCAAAAAGTTGACACCTGAACAACTCGAGAAGCTCGGCATGATGGCAAACGCCAATGGCAACCTCGCAGATTTTGCAGGCAGCGGAGTAGCGCCTGAGCTACAACACCGGAGACCCGACGGAGAAGGACTGCTGGACGACAGTTCAGACGAGACTGATGAAGATGAACCCGAGGTTAGGACGCCCTTTGCTCCCCATGGCATTCGCTTACCCGACGCAGCCTTCGGAACGACCTGAACGGCGGCGAAGAGCCAACGCCTACCGCGAAACCGTGCTGAATACCACCGCCCCGAGCGAGCCAGTGCCCAGTCTCTATCAGCAACCATCCTTGCCGAACCTCGCTCCCGCAAACTCCTTCTCCCCAGCACCACCGCACGAGACGGCGATGCTCACATCCTCGTTCCGCGTCAACTCTTCCACTCCGCAGGGGGGCCCGACTAGCAGGATCCCGCCGCAGTATCCAGATGCAGGGTATCCACATTCATCACCTATGGGCATCAATCAGCAGCTAGGCATGGCCTATCAATCCCCCAGTCAACCGCCAGCTCCCAGTATCCCGTCCAGCGATGTCAACGGTGTTACACGGGGCGTTCCCCAGCGGCCTGAACGACCTGAAGACCCTTACACGCAATTTACTCTGCACATGCGACCACAACTCGAAGCCGATTATCCGCCAGGCGAGATCCCTGCCAAGATCCAGTACGAGTGGGAGAATCTGAGCGTCGACAACAGGAAGCTTTGGGAGGATAGATATCTAGGTCAGATGCAGGAGTACGAGACAGCAATGGATGCGTGGAAGAAGGCGAGGCGGGACGCACCAGGCGCCTTCCCCTAGAATCTGATAAGAGCAGATAATGTACTTTTACGCACCAGGGGCGCCCTGGCCATGAGCGACCACAGTAATGTATGACGATACCAACTCACGAGCGTAATGCTCACTAGGCCTTCTTTGTGACTTGCGACCCTATTACTATCGTCCTCAATTCCCACATCCTTTACCTTCACCCTGGGTGTACCGTGACCCATCCACGAATGAAAACCCAAATAGCCGTCAGCACTGCTCACTCATAAGAGTATCCCGCGCAGAATCCTCCATCGACCGACCAACACGCCCCTGTGACGAAACTCGCCTTATTCCCGCTCAAAAAGACGCACACGTCAGCAATCTCCTCGGGCAGACCGAATCGTCGCATCGGCGTGGCTTTCTTCACCGGGTTATCGTACATCCACTGCCGAATCTCCGGACTAGGGTTCGTCATAGGCGAGTCCACCACGCCAGGGAGGACACTGTTGACGCGGACGCGCTGCGTCGCGTAGTCGAGCGCGTCACTGCGCGTGATGGCCGTGACGCCCGCTTTGGCGCCGCAGTACGCCGGGATGCCGGACTGAGAGTGCAGGGCCAGGCCGGAGGAGATGTTGACGATGCTCCCCCTCTGTGCACGGTGGGGCGGGATATCGGCGTCCGGGTATGCTTCGGTGTCGAGGCTCTGGGTGCGCATGTTCCGCAGGGCTTCGCGCGCGCACAGCCATAGGCCGCGGTAGTTGACGTTGTTCTGGTGGTCGAAGGCCTCGAGCGTGCAGTCGGCGGAGGGGCCCTGGAAGGTGACGATGCCGGCGCAGTGGACCGCGTAGTCGATGCGGGAAAAGGCTTCCTTGGCGGAGGTGTAGGCGGAGATGACGCTGGATTCTTGCGTCACGTCGCATTTGTATGTTTCGACTCTCGCTGATGGATGGGCCTTTGAGACGAGGGTTTTGGTCTCGGCGAGGCCAGCTTCGTTCAGGTCGAGGAGGGCAAAGCCCGTGGCGCCTGCGACCGCGAATGCGAGGGCAGTTGCTCTGCCCATCCCGGATGCGGCACCGGTGATTATGGCGATGCCCGGCACTTCTGTCTTTGTCGCCATGGCTGATTTATTGGTGTGGGTATGGGTCGAGGCTTCGTCGTTCGCTGTTTTGCGCTAAGATGAGAGCGTGTGAAAGTTCCAGATGCGCGCCAAGGGCTCGATCGAGCAGACTGCGCTTGCTTTAATATATTGATCATATCTCTGTTGGTCATGCTTGCCACGTCAAGGGACGCATTGGACATGCACCTAAAGAAGTAGCGCGTGCGGAGTAAGCAGAAGTCGGTAGCTCACTGTATCCAGGCTCGTAACACCGAGAAGAAGAGGATGAGTGGGGTATCCTGTACAAGCCAGCGATATGAGTCCCAAACAGAACATGGTCTGGCATTCCACTGAAGTAGATTCTGGGCCCGTGTGAACGTCTATGAAGCGTGGTATGCGGATCGTAGCATATCCTGGGGAAGAGTGGAGTTAGAGTATTGCGGAGGGCTGCACTGTTCCGGTATCTGCGGTGGTCAGAAGAAATCGTCATCCTCCTCGTCGCCATTGCGCCTGGTCGCTAACGGTCGCTGGGGTCTCAGCTGGCCTTGCCGTCCTGACCGACCTAAAGAGACGGCCTCCTTGAAGTCGGCCGCGTAGCGACTAACAGATCCACAGCCCGTATCAGCATATATTCGCTGCGCCTCGGGGAGCCATTTCTTGATCTGCTGGGCTCGATTGTAATTGCTCGGATGAGTGGATATGAATTGTGGAGGCTCGAATTGTTCTGCCTTTTTCATGCGAGCCCAGAAATCCAAGGCTGCTTCGGGATCGTAGCAGGCTTCTGCCATCATGAGGAGACCAATGTGGTCGGCTTCGGCTTCCTGCGTTCGCGAATTTGGCAGGGACAGGATCAATTGGGCTATGCTGTTTCCAAACTGGCCGCTGACGTCGAAGATGAAGGAAACGGCAAAAGCACCTAGCATAATGAAGCTTGACCTTGAAATTCTCTCGGCAGCATGGTGGGCGACATTATGCGCAATCTCATGGCCCAGGACAGCAGCCAGACCGTTTTCGTCCTGGCAGATGGGGAGTATGCCTGAGAACACAAAGACTTTTCCGCCGGGCAGGACGAATGCATTCTTCTGTTGAGGGTCGTCGATGACATGGACTCGCCAATTGTCACCCGCAAGACCACGCGTCGTAGGAAGCAGCTTCTCCACGACACGGGCAACTTGCATCGTCAAGGGATGCTCGGCTGGAAGGACTTTGCCGCGAAAGTCTTGCAGGAGAGACTCGTACGCTCCGGAGTCGGTGACCATCTTTTCTTCCGATGATGGAGAGACCACATTGAACCGTCGGCGCTGGGTGACAGGGACTTCCTCAAGGTTGTAGACGTAGAACACACCACCGCCGACACCCACCACAATCAAGGGTCTTTGGTAATTCCGCCAGATGTACTGAGCACGGTAGACAGGGCCGAAGGTGCTCCATTGTTGCTGCTGCTGCCGACCACTTCCGGGCTTGTCACCGAACCGGGAGTATCGCGAGGCGAACCTCTTTATCTGTGGTGTACATGGTCTGGCGTTGAATACTGTATCGCAGCTACGCGCCCTAGTGAAGCCCTGGCGAGCTGCTCGGCCGGCAGCTTGCAGGCCTGCCCGGAAGGCGAACATAAGAATGCCAGTGGTGCCTGAATCGGGTCGGCTGTGGAACGGACACTGCCTAGATGGGACCGGTTGCGATTCGATCTTGACAAAGCCGATTTATAAATGGTTGTCTGTGATATTTATATCTGGCTCTTGGGGGCGAACATGGAGAAATGCGAGGCCGAAGTCGAATGACGCACCACAATTCAAGCCGCAACTGCATCATGTGACGTTGAGTTCATCGTCGTCGCCGGCCTACGTATTGTCCTCCACTCCCAACTCAGGCTCTACTTGACGACCCTAGCGTACATGGCGATGGCGCTCGTCGCATATTCAGACTCTGAGGACTCGGAAGACGAAAAGCGTCAATTTCAACCCAAGACCGACAAGCCGACAACGAAGCCCACAGCCACATCGACCTCAAATTTCACAGTCAGTAAGGCGAATCCTCGAAAGATCCAAGTCAAGCTTCACGATGTGCCCACAAACGGCGAGACAGATGGCGAGCCTGCACCGAAGCGACAACGGCTCGGCGGCGGCGGAGGTGCTTTCAGTGGGTTCAACGCAATGTTGCCTCCTCCGAAGCGAGACTCCGACACCAAAACAGCTGCGAAGCCTTCGACGAGGAAGGTGTTCAGTCTGAAAACCGGTGCTGAGCCAGGCTTCAGTCGAGAGGCAGACGCCGAGTTACGGCAGTTGTTTGCTGAGCAAGGGCGGCAAGACACAAAGGGTGGAGTCGACGTGGATGAGACGATACCTTCGATACCGAAGAGCACGAGCCCAACGGTATCTACAACGACACAGAAGGCTTCCCAAGGGAATACCTTTATGTTCAAGCCGCTGTCCGTGGCGCGCAACCACAAGAAGCCCAAGCGGAAAGTCGAACCATCAAAATCTGCGATAACACCAGCGCAGGATGGGTCCCAAACTCCTATTCCCTCTGAACCTGCAGCCTCAACCTCTCAGAATCCCAAGCCAGTTGCCGCTCTGAAGAAGCCGAGCCTATTCTCTATGACCGACGAGCCGGAAGCATCTGCTCAATCTCAACCCGACGATGAAGATGAAATCATCGAAGTTTTAGACGAACCATATGAACGGAATAGTCCTTTTTCACCCCTCGAAGAGCCACCCAATGCGCCCGGAGCTTCTCAGCCTCAATCGCTTGACGCCATTGCCTCCGATCTAAACCTATCCAAAGCGGACCGCCGCCAACTTTTCGGACGGCGTGGACCTCAAGGTGGCGCAGTGAATGTCGTAAACTTCAACACCGATCAAGAGTACGCAGCGAATGAAGCATTCCGGGCGAGTGGAGAACAAGTGCAGCATAACCCCGTGAGGGCAATTGCCCCGGGAAAGCACAGTCTGAAGCAGCTTGTAAACGCGGCAACCGGGCAGAGAGACGCCCTGGAGGAGAGTTTCGCTACGGGACGGAAGAATAAAAAGGAAGCGGGAAGCAAGTATGGATGGTAATACAATATGATCAAGTCGCCGTTTGAGCGAGCTATTGCATATACAGGTACGGTCTATCTTCGATGAAAGAGCATGAATGACAACATGTTAGTCTAGAAGCTATCGTGTCGATGAGCCAGCGACGAATTGTCTCAACAGGCAATGGCACGACGCTGTTGGTTTCTCGTGCTACATCTGCAGCACCCAAATCGTCATGCCTCCAGCGAGTCCTACCACCATTTCCAGGATACGGTCCCTATTGTCTATGACAGCTGATAGGATAAGCAACGTCCGTGTCCTCGATTGGCCCTCTATCAAGCTCCACGAACTTTGTCCACCCAGCTATTGCACCACCGGGCTTTGCTTGGAAACCATCAGGCCGCCCCTGGTCGCGTCGCGTCTCCGTCTTTCCCCCATCATCCTTTTATCCAACCGACTGGCCCATGCTATTTTGTCCCAGCACCAGTACCAGGACCTTCATCTAGATTTCTGCGCCGAGTATAGCTGATCTTTCATCTTCGTTCAACAAAAGTCGTGCGGCTGCCATTAGTGCGGGATACAGCGAGGCAGGGGGTTTGTTCAACCTCCTATCAAGTCGGCTGGTCGGGATTCGAGATAGTATGTGAAAGTGACAACTGAAAGGTTCCGAGCCCCAATATTCGTGTTTGGACTCACTAGTGGTTATCTTGGTGGCCTTTTGGCAGAATATCAAATGACGGCCCGGCCTTAGCATCTCGAACCCTGCTAGAAGTACAGTTGAATTCCCGCTTTTCCCACCACAGCTGTTGTCGACGCCTTGGAGAACCACGAAAGGAGCTATCTGCCCACTCTATCGTCCGGCAGGCGGCCAATTTGGACCTGCAACGCGGCATTGCCCTCCAGCATTCAGATACCGGGCCAATGACTCCCGATCCATTGCCCGTTCCGGGAACAGGCACGGCACCCACCTCTCCATGCTCTTACAGCGTGTGCAGCGAGGCGGACCGGAACAGCCTCGCTTCCCTTCGAGACACCTCACGCAACGGTGCCGGATACCCGTGTTGATTTGCCCCGATGGCTTCCCACTCTCGCTGCTGCGCATCTCAATGCTACTGGTGCTGTTGTTGGCCGTGCTTGCATAAGCCTGCGCATTGCTTGGAGCGCTTGATGGACGGTCATGTACGTTGCCTTCGTCTCTGCCGGCTTTGACAGGCACTTTGATATCTTCGTGCCGCTTCTGTACAGCCTTTGGAGTCTCCTCCTAGGAGGCCATGTGTCAGTTAGTGGTGCTGACGGAGTTGAAAACAAGGGGATGGGCTTACCGAGACTTCGAACTCATCAGCAGGTCTCAGAAGGGGCCCAGGCGCGGAACCTTCAACTTGCCATCTAACATGGGAGTCCTTGTGCAGACACACACCTTCAGCTCCGCAGGTCGGGCACGGAACGGCATCCTTCTGAGTCGACATCTTGCTGAATGCCCACGACAAAACAAGACAAGTCAACGAACGAGAACGAGACTTGTTGAGGTCTGGACGAGGGTTGTGATCTTGTCGAAAGGATCGAAACGAAGACACAGCTGTTGGTGGTAACGATGATGAGAGTCCTTGCGCAGGAAGAAATACTTATGCTGTATGATGGAAGAGGCAGTTCCTGCGCCATGCCACTACCTCTGGCTGCTTGCCTTGGTTGCTTTCTCTGATGGCCGTACGTGACAATCCCTTGTTGCTGCATACGTCTTTCACAAGGACAACCGACATATCCGCTTGCTCCTTCGCGTGCGTCAACCCAGCGGGGGAAGGAAACAATCACCGCGCAATGCGATTCTGAAGGAACGAGAGAAACAAACAATGGACAAGGGCTACAGGATATTACTTTCTTGCTGGCGACCACCCTCCTTCCAAGATCCAGAAGGCTGCAGAATGTGTATGTCTAGCAAAACGCCCAGCGACATGAGCACGCAGTCATGCTCCTCCCAGTAAGGTCACAGGTTCAGAGTTCGCCCCGCCGGCCTGTGCTTTCAGCTTTTGGAGACGTTCCCCGTGCAGTCCGCGGTCGGGCTTGCAGTCAGAAAGGAGCAACAAGATTGCTGCGTATCTGTCCCTCTTGTCATGGTGACAAGGCTACAGGCACAGTATCACCTGGTGCCATGTCTCTTGTTTCCAGTACATGCTGCTACTTGCTACTTGTTGAGGCAAGGTGGACGGTCCCCAGTGTCGCATAGCTGGGGAGAGGTCAGGTAGGCTGTGAGGAGTGGGGATGAAAACTGACCATGAGACGAGTATGTCACTAAGTGCCAGTGCACACAGGAGAGTAAGTATATGAGCTCTTACAGGTTCTATTCTACACACACAAGAGAGAGGTAGTTTGTTTGGTTGGACTGGAAAGCAGTTCATTGTTCTATCTATGTACAGACGCCGCGGCAGTCGCTGCACGCGAGTCATGGATCGCGATGAACGACGAACCATGTCCTGGAACTGAACGGTATGATCAGTTCATCTGAGCTGCGACCTCCTCCGCACATCCATTGATCCTTCGCGCACATCTATTGGTTCTTCGCATTGCATCTCACCGACTGTTATAGTCGTCGGCTCGCGATGGACTTGTCTGCTGCAGGAACAGGACATACGGTGTATCGAGATCGGCGCTCGAAACTTGGTCGTCGATCGCTTTGATGATGTGGATTGTACGCGCAGATTGAGAGCTGCAAATCTGTAGCAGCTGATAGGCGCGTTGATCACCGGTTCGGAGCAGCAGTTCACGCACCAAGATCCAGCCCTCCATCACCCATCATGGCGCTCTCGCCGCTGGATATCCCTGCCGCGCAGGTTCGCAGGCGCCTCCCCCATTCTCAAATTGCTCCAACATGGCCCGCGACATCGGGTGCGGTGGCCAGAGGCACGGCCTCCCGGTCTTCGAACACAGACTACAGGCGGGCTGGACTTCATCGCACTTTCTGTGCTGCTCCAGGCACCGTCTGCAGTAGTTCCCTCTGGTGACTCTGCCCCAGGGTCTTCCCATGTTGGAGGACTGACCGGGTTGGCCATCATCAGAGCCGCTGCTTGTGGGAGCGGGAGGAGCGGGAGGTGGTGGTGGAGGAGGAGGAGGAGGAGGAGGAAGAGAAAGAGCCTGTGTCTGAGGGCCGCCGGCATAGGTACCGGCCGTTGAAGGATATGACGGGGGGCCGGCAGGCGAACTGTGGGAAGGAAGTTGAGCTTGACGAGCGTCTGTCGCATTCGGGGACTTCTCTCCTGGGAGTGCGTGGTCCCGTCGCCATTGATCTCTTGGGGTGTTCCACTCTGCCTCGTCTGGACCGAAATCCATGTCTCGTTGGAAAAAGGGCCCCTGACCGCCATGCGCCTGATATTGAACATACGTAAGCTGATGCGCGCATACACCGGTGATCCCACAGATCGAGCACGGCGGGCCTCTCAAAAGATTTGTGTTGGTACCGGCATTGCTGTTGGCGTTGGTGTTGGTGTTTGAAGAAGCCATATGGGACAGAGAGCAATGAGCGAGCTGGAGATAGGAATTGCCGAAAGTTTGTCTATGCCCAGAAGCTCGTCGAGAAGGTTGTCTGTCTCGAGCAGGTCGTCGGTGTCGAGCAGGTCTTCTGTGTCGACTAGATGATCGGTGTCGAGAATGTCGTCGGTATCGGGAACGTCGTCTATGTCGCCGTGGAGCTCGAGGACTTGATAAAGAAGACGAAGCTGACAAGATATGTCGATACCAGGGCGGAAGGCAAGAACAGAGGCCGGAAGCCAGGGGTCTTATATACCCCGAAGACTCTCGCGACGACATTGTGCACGTCGCTGCCACTGCCACCGCCTCTGCCTTCACTGTCCACTGCCTCGACTGCCACTGCCACTGCCTCGACTGCCACTGCCTCGACTGCCACTGCCTCGAGGCCTCTGTTCATTCACGGCGGGTGATATACATGATATATATACGGTCATCCATCAAGATGCGCGGGCCGTCGTCACTCGTGGAGCGAGTGCGCATGAGTGGATTCAGGTCATCGAGTCACGTCGAGGTGAGTCGGTTCGAGACGTGATCTTGCAGTTGACCGTGGCTGGCCGACTGAATGGCTGGTTGGCTGCCTCTGCCGTGTAGATAGGCTCAGGCGAGAGAGCAGAAGGGACATGGCCATGGATGCGGATATAAAGGTGAAGTCTGGCTCCCCAGAGCCGGAACACTCAGGACATGATCGTAAGATATTGTATCCCCCCTTCGCTGCCTCATCTTCCAAAATTGGAAGAGCAAAGAAGGAGAGGCGAGGGCCGACGACCAAGGGAGGTACTGTCTAGAGGCAGGCTGACAGGTAGGTTGGCTGACCGAACGTCGAACTATCACAGCGGAGTGAGATGACAGAGTATATATCTTGAATTTTCCTGTTTGCCGTTGTCGGTGCCGGTGCCGGTGTTGGTGCTGGCGAATGCGCCGCCGGTGTTGCTTTGTCTACAGTAATCGAGTTTCCTTTGTGTCAAACAGACTGCAGGCGCATCCAACGGGCCTTTCTTCTACAATGCATGCTCGTTATTACCGCACGCAGGTTGATGGGTTGGCGTTTCCCTGTACAGTATTACACAGGATTTGCCATTTGCCGGGTCTTTTGTTTTTCATCGCTTTTCCCTGTAGAGGTTTATCTGCGATTTGGTCCTTGCTTGCTCGCTTGCTTGGTGCTTTGCTTTCCTTTGCTTCGGGCTTGCTGTCTGTCCAACTGCAGTACCGATCGAGCGTGCTGGTGAGTAAATACCGTAAGCGAGTGGGCAGTTTGCCATTTACCAGGTACCAGTTGCTGTTTTCGGGATCGGGCTTGCCCCGTTGTACAATGAGGGCGTTGGGATTCAGGCAATACATCTAGTGCTTCCGCCTCTGCCTCTGCCACTTCTTGGCCGAAATTCTGCTAGTGAAAGCGCGCCGTGTCCAGTGTGTTCTATGTATGAGACTCCGTAACCGGTGGACATTCGTAGCCAGTCACTTCCTGCATTTACACGGCACTCTAGGACGAGGCTAGGGCCGAGGACGAGAACGGACAAGACGAGGCTGCAACTCCCTTTACGAGCAACCAAGGGACAAGGGACGTGGATGAACGACAAAGACATCACTGTCCATGCAAACAAAAGCAAACATACGGATTCGAGTAGCCTCCATGCCTTGCTCTGACCCCTCTCTATCCTGATGTTGAAATTCTTTGCCAACTTAGCTAGAAAGCTACAGCATGCATACCAGCTTATCTGATTATCTGATCCATCAAAAGTAATCACTCGCCTGGCATGCCTTTATCCTGCACAGTCTCCAGCGCTATCCTTTTTCATCACTGAACATCAACCACACTCCCGAACCAGCCCTTCAACGCCGTAGCCAGCACGCTGGGCAAGTCCCTCACCTCCCTAACCACAAGGTAATACGGAAATGGGAACCCGTCAAGGTATCTCTTCATGCGAAGCTTCATCTCGTTCCCCACTGCACTCCCGTCTGTTGCAGCGCTCGGATCCCGCTCGTACGCAGCCTCCTTGAGGTCCAGAATACTCTCCTGTCCGGCATCGACGATGACAAAAACCACGACAATGCGCTCGTCGTCGTGGGCTTGTCGCAACAGCCGGGCGACCGCGTCGTGGTCGGAGATATGGCCGTCACTCACAATGAGTTGCAGCTGCCATTGCTCCTCGTTTCCCCTTGCTTGGTGTTGTTGTTGTCTTCTGGCATCGCGGAAGAGCTGGATGCTCTGCTTGAGGAGACTCTTGACGTCCGTGCCTCGTTGGCCGAAGCTGAATGCTTGAAAGGTGTTGGGTCCCGACTCGGCTGGCGAAAAGGGGACGCCGAACGGGTGAGCGACTGTGATTTTGGGGGAGTCGCCGAATCCGACGACGCAGATCTCGCCGACTTCCAGCATGGCGAGGGACTTTGTCAGCAGTGCGACCGTCTCAAACGCGAGGACGTCCGCGCCGGACTCGCTCATCGACTTGCTGTCATCCACGGCGATCATGATTTGGTAGTTCCGCTTGCTCGGCACGGAGCGGCGCATCCAGATCTTGTCTCGCTTGTAGTTGGATGCGATGTAGGGGATGATACGCTTGATGTTGAGTCTCTTGCCGGTGCGGTAGTCGCCGCGAAGTTTGGTCGCCGTGGTCGGGGAGAGGATGAGGCGGAGTTGCTCGGTGAGGATGAGCGAGAACTGATGTGTGCTCGTCGAGCATTCGTGCCAAAGTTGAGCAGCGTGCGTGCTGCTGGTCGGTTGATTGGTCGCGTCTGCTGGGTCGTTGCTAAGCTCTAGGTGTTCAATCTCAGGAGAGAGATCATCCGACGCAACATCTGTGCCATCATGTCGATCCGCGTCCTCTGGCTGTTGGAGCTGGCGGTCAGGAACAAAAGCACCGATATCTCTGCTCTCGGCTGGTTTAGCCTGAGCCTTGAGACGAGAGAATCTCTCCGTGATGTCCTCCTTTGCTTCTGGTTCCATAACGTCGGGTGGTGCCGTATTCTCGTCCATTTCAGCGTCATCGTCCTGGATGGCCTTGCTTTGGTCGAGATTCTGCGCTTGCTCGGGTCCCGCAGCTCCCAAGGCTTGTGCATCCCCTTCATCTTCCTCCTGGACATGCTCCAAATCTGCATCTGCCATATCCACGTTCTCACTCTGTATCTCTTGATTATCACGTTTGGACCTTGGCAGAATCTCACGTCGTTGATGCCACTGCTCAAGGACATCAGCCAACTTCTTCAGTGATTCGTTCTGCTGATGATCAAGCGACTCGACCCGTCCTTCACCACGCTCGACGACTCCTTCTCCACTCTTGCCCTCTTCCCCATTGTTGGGTGCTTTGCCCGGCTGGGACTGCTCAGGGTTTGGATCCTTGTCGGCTTGATTCATCCCTTCAGCGTCCTGCTCTGCATCAAGGTCATCTCGCAGCTCGTTGGCAGTTCCGGACTCTCCACCAGCGTTCTCTTCAGCGTCGTGCGCCGTGTCGTCTTGACGAGTATCTTGGTCGTCTGGGTCGTCTTCCAGTTCTTCGGGCTGATCCTCCATGATCTCGTCGTCATGAGCAACGGCATTGTCGCCGTCGGTCTCTTCGGCGGCGATCTCGTCTTTGTCAGCCGCGTCATCCCATGGCTGATCTTGCTTTTCGCTGTCTTCGGCTCCATCGGCCTCAGCACCACCAGTCTGCTCTGCCGAATCCTCGATATCCGACAGCTCATCCATGCCGTCGTCAGAAATCTCATCGTCCTTCATTTCGTCTTCACCAGCCAGGTTGAGCTCTTCGGGCAGGTCTAGGGCTTTTTCCTCGTCCACATGCGCATCCATCTGTTCGCCTTCAGGCCGTTCCCCACCTTCACCCTCCTCATCTCCTTCCTCCACCTCTTCTTGTTCTCCTTCTAGGTCACCATCGTCGGCGTTCTCTCCATCGGCAGCAGTGTTGTCGTCCGATTTCTTTCCCTTTGCTTTATCGTTCTTCATCTCCTTGTCCTGCTTCTCGGACTCGTTCTTCATGTCATCCCACATCTTCTCATCGACAGCATCAGGATCGAGGTCATCAACAGAGCCCGCTTCTTCATCGACCTCGTTCCCGTCTTCGTCTCCAGATCGATCCTCGCCATTCGCATCGTCTGAAGCCTTCTCATCCATATCACCCATCTCACCCTCCAGATCGTCATTTCCCATGTCCACGGCATCTTCTGCATGCTCCATCTCATCGCCTCGCTCCTCCTTCTGTCCCGCCCGCGCAAGCTCCGACAGATCTTCGTCGTCTTGCACGTCCTTGCTGATGTCCTCGGCCCCCTCTCCTTCACCTAGCCCTGTACCAGATTCGAGTTTTCCAGATTGCTCTTCTTGTCCTTCAGCAGGATCTGATGGACGACAAAACCCCTGGCTGACGAGTGTCGTAAAAGATCTCGCTAGTTGTAACGCGAGACGACATACTTCAAGGTAAGTCGCGGTCTGGCGATTGTGGAAATTTTCGTAGATGTGGTAGAATTGTGTGATAATAGGCATAGCGATGACCAGCAAGTTCTTCCCCGCTTCGAGGTCTGCAGGAGACAGAAATTGGAGCTTGCACATAACATGTTGATCAATTCGACAAGCGAGGCTGCCAACTTGTAGCAATCGAATTCCTTCCACGACGTGCTTGTCGGATCTGATTAACCAGCCCGCATCTTCCTCTGACGTGGGCATATCTGGCTGTCCGGCAGATAGTCTCTGCAAAGCCACGAAGATCTGATCCATGGTGTCTTTGAGATCCCGGTCGAACTCTTCAAGTGTGATTTGTGGCTGCAGGCTCTGAGCCACGTTCGGGACTAGTGGCAATCCCACTGTCCACACGAGAATCTTGGAGAGAAGAAACTCGATACGGGGCTCCCTGGCTTGCCAGTCTCGAAGAGTTGAATCCAATTGAGACAGAACAATCACAGTCTTGTCAAGGATGATGGTTGAAATATTCCACCCCATTCCCGGTGGAGCGTCAGGGACGTCACCGAGTGCTCTCTTCAGGTCCTCGGTCTGGCTCGCATAAGACTGGAGGGTGGTGATTAGGTCTCTCAGGTCAAGACTGGCATGCTCTCCCTGGAATATCAAGATGCGACATCCGACCGCCAGAATCTCAGTCAGCCATGCAAGACGTTCTTGTACCGCCTGAATGTTGTCGTTCGAGGTTGTCGAGCATACGAGCTCATCCGGCGATGCAGCCGCGACGGACTGGACCAACGCCAACTGTGAGCGAATCACACCCAAGTCGTGCGCCTGCTGCGGAATGGCCTGCCTTTGACTGATGGCGACAGATAACAGCCCCTCCAACAATCCTACACAGCGGTTGACTTCGCCATCGGTTAGGTCGTCAGAGTGTTCTGTCCGCGCCGCGCGAACCTGGGACATGACATCGAGCAGTTCATGGAATGTGCTGTCTGCAGCTGCCACGGCTGGCGAACGTTGTTGAATTGCGACATGGTTGGGCAAAGCCAAGATCGAGGCGGTCGAGGATTGTTTCTCGAGCTCAGATGTTGGGAGGTTCCTCCTGATGCCCATATGCGCAACCGCTTTGAGGGTATCGGCGAGCAACCGTCTCTTCCTCTCTTGCAAATGACGGACAAACGGAGCATTCTCCTCCGTTAGCAACGAGGGAGTCTGCGTACGTAACTCTTTGAGGCTCTCCGTCAGATCTTGACGGAAAGACATTATCTCGTCATGAACGTCAAAATCGGTGGTCTTGGACGTGTACAGGTGCTGCATGCTCCTGGCAGCTCCGAAAGGCTTGGTGAGACGGTCAGGCCGCCCGTCCCAGTCTTGCAGCCGTAGCCGGCATTGTTCAACAGCCGCAAAGACTCGTTCTTCACTGCTTTGAGGCCAATTTAGCTCCGTGACAAGCGGCGCTACAGGTATCTGCCCAATTGCCTCTCCTGGAGAACTGAGAACGACAGCCTGGTTGAGCAAGTTCCGATATGTTCTCACAATTTTGAACAACTTGTGATGTGACCGTCGTGCACTTTCGCGGAGCGCGGTGATGTTGGTGTCTTTCCAGCTTGCAAGCTTGATTTGCTCATTCAAGGCCTTCTCGAGCTCCAAACGAGCTTTCCGTATCGAGGCCTCTACACCAGCTTCATAGCGTTGGTAGTGCTCAATGACGGCTTGTACAGAAGCAGCGATTGTCCGCAATTCTCGGGAGCGGCCTTGTTGTCCCTGTAAGGTCCTGTTGAGTGTGTCAAGCAGTTTCAACCGTGACGAGTACTGGCCCAGGGTTGTCGACTTCAGAAACTCCTCCAGCGTTTGCACAAGAGTCGTCCGGTAATTTATTGAATCACCGTTATCAGAGTTGATGTTCTTGGAGTTGTAGATGACTGCTTCGTAGGCAATAAAGTACCATGCCTGGGCGGCTTGCTCGTGTCTGCGTGTCTCTTCGTCCAGTAGCCTCGACCATGATAACAGCTCCAGGCGCCGCCAGCTGATTATCTGGGAGGAGAGCTTCTCAACAAGTTCATGAACTGACCATTCTTTGCTGGCAACGCTTTGCCATTGCGACACAATCTCAAAGAGCTTCTCTGTCTTCGTCAGGAGCTTGGCAACCGGATCTCCGAAGCCCAGATGGAGGACCTCGGTGCAGAATGACAGGACCTCTGCAGGGACAGCATGCTCCGGCCACTTCTCCTGGACTGTATAGAACCTGGATTGGATCTGGTGCACAAGGTCAAAAAGCTTCTGACTCTGCGCAATGTCCGAGTCAGCGTAAATATTGAAAGTGTGGACTTCTTGACTGCCGTTCAGCTCGGTCATCTTGCACGACATTTGCAGCAAAATCGCAGGTAACAGCGCCATGAAGGAGATCTCTGGATTGGGAGTATTGGTCTCAGCATTTTTGGATAGGGCCTCAACCGCGGAGAGAATGAATGCTTGAATAGTTTCTTGCGCATTCTGCTCCGAGTAGATCTTCTGGTGCAGTGCACTGAGCTTGACTGCAGTGGCACGCGCATCCCACTCATTCGTGCGTACTCCACCTTGTCCCACGTCGTTATCGAAACTCGGGAACATTTCATTCATCTCACGCTCGTCCTCCTCTTCGAGCTGGGTCGAATCTCCACGATAAGAGTAGTATCGAGACTTTTCCGCAGCTTCAACTTGGTCACGAGCCAATCGCTCTTTCCATTCGTAATAAAAGCTGTCAAGGATTCCGAGGAAGTCATCCACTGGGACCCGACAAGGCTTCCGTGCCAGAGCACTCCTCAGCCGGATATAACAAAGCCAGTGCATTTTGAGGTCTGGAGGTGAGGTTGGACTGATGGTCCAATTGTGAAAAGCGACAGAATCTGTAGACAGCAGCGGGGTGGCCACGACGAGCTCATCCATAGCGTCGCTTTCCTTGACTCTAGGCTCCCCTGCTGCTTCAAGCTCCAGTCCCTGGCGCAGGCATTTCAAGAACCACAGTATCGGTTTCGCGAAGTCGTCGTACATTCGATCGACCTTCTCGAGGCGCTCGACGATAATGTTCAGGTTTGATCTGTCTCGTGGACTAGACCACTGTGCAACCCACTCTGCACTGCCTGGCTGCATACTCGGAGCAGCACCAGTGGCCCCAGGATGCAAGATCACATGCACGATCCCGTTGAAGACCTCTTGAAGCTTGAAGTGTTTCTCTTTGCTCGGCCTGAGCACTGCTTGTGGGAGCGAACTGGTTCCCAACTCGACTAGCTCCCGCTCAAGGATGCGGATAACAAGAGCTGTGTCTTGCCCGGTCAGCTCTCGATGGAATTGTCGGTGGCCTTCAATCCTGCTCCGAACCAAAGCAGTTCGGCATTCGTGAAGGTGGTGCGCGATAGTTGGACCCATGGCTGGGTCAAACACCTTGTCGGGCACCATCAGAATCAGCCCAGCCAAGGACAAGTCCACGAGGCATGTCTTCAGCTCTTTGAACTCCAGAGGGCCGGAACCGGAATCATCCTCAACGAGACGCAGTAGTACTGGATGGAGGAGGTATCGATATACGTCTCGGAAGGGATCGTGAACCTTGCCAGGGATAACTGTATCCTCAATCGAAAGAGCAGCCAAGCCAGCAAGATTAGATGAGCCCTGCTCAAACAAGCAGACTTGTGCATGTTCTGTCAGAAGATCACGATGCGAGAACATCATGCCTCCTAGTACCACACGTAGATTCTCAGCTATTGGTCGAACCAGGTTCCCGAAGAGGTCGGTATTGGAGGTGATCACTCTTGCGAGCACTTGCAGCTCTTCCTTGGCATGGTTCAGCATCCCGAGGGGCTGTTTTTGTACGGCGAGCAGCTGTTGGGCTAGTCTTGCCCCAGTGCAGCCACCGCTCAGCAAGATCGGAGCCCCGAATGATGAAAGGCGAGTCAAGGCCCTAGGAACGGGCTCTTCCACCCCCATGTCGAGTAGAGGCTTGTCGAGTTCTGGTATAAACATAGTCAGCAAATCGAGGTCTGGCTGGTTCTCTTGCTCTTCAACAGTGATGACCCTGTGAACAAACTGCATCGCATCCTCGAATTGTCCTTTCAACTTGTAACCTTGTCTTGCCTGGGCTTCCAGGTCAGTCACAGCATCCTCAAGAACTTTCAACGAGCTCTCCGGTTGCGCCGACTTGACAATTGACTGATAAGCACGCTGCATGTCTGATCTCACTGTCGACAAGGAACTTCTAGGTTGTGGAAGGTAGCGACAGATTCGGTCAAACCTCGCAATGACGCCTTCCAAGCCAAGCTGGATATGGAGCTGAGACAGCGTCGCAGCTGTTCTGGGCCGGAAGGTATGCCACATGAGCTGGAGCCCGAAGCCCGTAGTCAGGACATGGTCACGAACGGATAAAGCTCCAAGGGAATCTGAAAGAATTGAACCCAGTTCGGGGAAGGTCCGTCCAACGTTATTGGCTATGTGCGTCCCAATCTGCACGTGTGCGTGGGAGTAGGCGGTGTCAAGGTTCCTTTGGTTGCAAAGGACCAGGATCTGGTGTGCGAAAGCAAGAACTCGGTCGCATGCGCCAACCAAATCCGTCAGCTCCGGATTGTGGAGGGCGCTTCGGACAGCAGTAGCAATAGATGAGACCAGTAGCTTAGCAAAGGCAGCAGCGTCGGGAATGGCACCCAAATCCTTGCGACTTGTGGTAGAAACTGACCGCTCAAGGATCGTTCTATCTTTCAAGGCAACGGTACCTGCACGGCTCAATGCATTCTTTAACATCGAGTCAATCTCGGCCATTTGTCGCACCACGTACCAAGATCGTATGAAGATCTTGGCAAAGTCGACATACCCGTTCAGCAAGACCAGGGGCTCATTCAGGATCGCCAGTTGTGGCCACTCGGCGCTTGTGGAGACCTCTGTGAAACCAGATATCTGACGCACTAGTTGCGCATCGAAAGATTGCCTTATGCTAAGGTCCGCTTGACATGCTTTCATATCGGGGATATCAAGAAGCGTACCATCAGGAGTTGAGGTTATTGCCATGTCATCAACACTGAGGCTGTCAACCGTGGCTTCAATGACCTGACATGGCAGTGATCGACTGCCCGCTTCGAACAAATGTCTCAAACGACAGATTGCAGAAGAAAGTGGATACTGAACAGGGTGGGCGGTACAATGAACCTCGTGCCCCTCGGGCAAGAAGATTTCGACAGACCGGTTTCGCATCGCTCGTGATAACTCCCCATACCGTGGATCCATCGTCATGAAGATCCTGAAATTTGGGTGTGGCTTGACGACTCTTGTGCCGTTGCCTCCATTATGTTGCTCGCTTATGGTAAGCAGTCCATCTGGCTCCAGCAATGAGTTGAGTCTGTCGAGGACGGAAGGGTTGCACAGGTTGGCGTTATCGAGCACTAACCATGAGCCTTTCTCGATGGCATCGACGAGTACACCATCATTCCAGACAAAGCGGAAACCGCGGTGACCAGTTACGCGAACGCTCTCGGAGTACATTTTGAATGACACTCCGGCTTCTGGCAGAAGTCTAGCAAGCTCAGGCAACACCACTGGACTATCCTCGATCTTCAAATTATCACCTTCGAAGTATGTCCAGATCTTCAGCAGCTGCGCCCGTGTTTCTCCGTTGTCCTCAAGCTCGGTGGATGCTGCAATACGTCGTCGCAGAACTTCTTTGACTTGGTCTTGGAAGATAGTCACATCTCGGTGCGGATCGTACTGTTCGAAGCCGCCCACGAGGTCCATGGCGTCCACATCACCATTCATAGAGAATTCTATCAGCTCTACGCCCGCTGCAGCTGCCAGGTGTCTAAGCAGCGTAGTCTTTCCAGTACCGGAGGGACCGGCAAGGATAACAGGCCAATTCTGCCGGACGGCCGTGATAACAGAATTCGCAGCAGGAAGTTGTGTGACAAAAAGAGCCGAGTTCGGCGATTGACTATTCTGCAGGACACTATCTCGCGAGAGAAATGCGTTGCCTACTTGAAAAGTTGTCTTGGAGATATTGTTGTAGAAGCTCTCGGAGGTTATGCTCCCTAACACTGCTTCGGCCTCTTTCAGTATTATTTCCCGCTGAACAGGATTGCGGAAACGTTGTATGAGAATAGTCCGCAGGTGATAAGACATGGGAAGGCTAGGTTGGTCTTTGCAGAGTCGCAGCCACCGATTCACATCTCGCAGATTGAATTCCCATGGGCCTCCCTGTGCAAACGCCGACATGTGAGATATGGCGTTCTCTAGTCTAGTGACAGTGTTGATGAGTACGTTGAGTTGCTCGTGGTCGATATCGGGGTACCGTACTTGGCAGATGCGCAGTAAATCCTCGTGTTGAAACGAGTCGGCGTAGACGACAGTGAATCGGTTGACGAAAGAAGCGGGTAGACCCTTGCGACCGCCTCCTTGGTGATGAGGATTTTGAGCGGCGAACAACGTAAAGTCTGGGTGGCAGGCAAAAGACTTATCCAACTCTGCGATGTAGACTTCTCTGCGGTGGTCTAGACAAGCGTTCAGACCCTCGAGCACTGACTGGGATGCCAAGTTCATCTCATCAAGCAAGACCCAGCCACCACATTGCATGGCTTTGAGGAGAGGCCCGTCTTGCCATGAGAACTTTCCCATCTCGTCATCGCCGGAAGGCACATCTGCACCAAACAAGTCCATGAGGTCGGTCTGGTCGGACAGATTGATGCGCGTGAAAGGTTTTCCACAGGCTTCGGCAAGCGCTGTCACGATTGCCGTCTTGCCAACACCAGGACTGCCTTCCAGAAGAACAGGTCTCGTCATTTGAAGGGCTCGGACAACCTTCATGGTGTTCCGCAGGGTTGTTGGGGCGTCAAATACAAGTTCTGGGGCATCGCGGTTGGCACCAACGGTGCGAGGCAAGCAGAATGAGCCAACACAAAGGCGGTCAGCGGTGGTGGACAGCTCGGGAGTTTGCAGATACAGTTCGACGACTCGCAAGCCCACCAGGTTTTGCAGGCGGTCTAGGCACCTCTGTCTGGACTGATCTTGGTCTGTCGTCCCTGACGAAGTCATACCAGCGGGGTTTGCGCCGATCGAATCGATATAGACCATGAATGCACCATGTAAGAATGGCAGGTCTTCGGGGAGAGAACCAGCAAGGTTGACGAATTCAGCCCAGGCAAGCAGATCTCGCAGAGCTATGTTTGGAACCGTAACACCGTGAAATTCTGCGCGGAACCACGTGGCGAAGTTCAGCATCTTTTCGGCCAAGTGACGCCTCGTTGGGTCGAGCTTCTCCTGGAGAATTGGCAAGATATCAGCCTCTCGGGACAAAGGTGGAACCCAAATCTCGGTCAATCGATTCCGCAGCGCTGCCGACAGCTCTCGCTTCCCATAGTCGCCCCCGGGATTCATAGTAGCCAAGAATTGGAAGTCCGGATGGGCAATGACCAGGTTCTCGACAGAACCTTTCTCTGCCAGTAGGATCGTTCGCGAGGGCTCTAAAACGCTGTTCAAACGTTCGAGAACGGAATCCTCAGCAAGCGAAATCTCATCAAGCAGGAAATATTCGCCCCTCTTCATAGCTCTGACAAGACTGCCATCGCTCCAAGCAAACAGAGATTGGTATGCGCCAATGCAGGATCGAACCTGCTCCACCGCATGAGGGTCGTACCTCGCTTTGTCCAGCTTTGCGAATTCTTTGATGATCTGGTCCACCTCCAGATCCGCCGGTATCGTGTTGTCGGCCTCGAATTGAACTAGAGCTCGCCAACTTGCGGAGACATCGGAGGCCAGGTCCGAGCGGTTGCGGACTGGCCGTTGAGAGCCGATGAGATCTCCAGTCTCGGTGTTGGTATGCGCGTTGTAGATGGCCAAAGGTCTCTGAAACGCTTCCGCGATCACCTGACAGATCTGGGTTTTCCCACATCCTGTCTCGCCAACCAGGAGCACAGGCTCTTTGTTCTTCAACGCTTCAGCGACCAGCACGAATACTCGTCTCATAGCTGGAGTCCATACAAGTGAGCCAGGTTGCCGAACAGAATCCGGAATTTTCGTCATTCCGTACAGAACGTTCTCATCGAGCTTGACTTTGATTTCCTTTTCCAGCGTCTGTGTGACCACAGCCCTCTCTGCAGGGTCTCTTACTCGCTCAGCCAGGAGCATGTAGCCGTGGTATGCCAAGGACTGCCAGTCATCCACAGCTCTTGAAGCCCACCGAAACAGGTCCCTCAAGGTTGCAAAGCTGTTTCTCTGTTCGAAGAGTCGCGAGGATTGTCTGAGAAGGGACAAAGACTTGTACACTGCCACGATTTTCGCGCAGAACGGAGGTGCAATCTGGCTTCTCTCACGGAGGATTACCTCCAACTCTTTCTCCGGGATGTCGTCGAAGTGAATCTCGAGAAAGCGGTTTCGAAAGGCTCGTGAGAGACGTTTCCGTCCACCATAAAGGCCAGCCGGGTTCTGCGTGGCGAAGAGCATGAAGTTCGGATGTGGTCGCACAATTTCTTGGGACTCCGGTATGAGTAACTCTCTATTGTCGTCAAGTAGGCGGTTAAGCGCTTCCAGTACGTCACTCGGCGCGAGGTTCAGCTCGTCAAGCACGATCCAGTGGCCGAAGCGTAACGCATGCACAAGAACTCCTTCCTGGTACACTAACTTGCCCTCAGAATCAGAGATGTAGGAGCCAAGGTACTCTTGCAGGTCTGTGTGTTCATGGTTGTTAATTCTCACAAACTTGTTGCCTGATAGCTTTGCGAGGTATTCAACCATGCTTGTCTTGCCAGCTGATGTCGGTCCTTGCAGAAGGATAGGAAACCGTCCCATTGAAGCAGCTCGAGCCAAACTGAGCAGGTTGCGCTCGACTGATGGGGTCCTAATGTAATGTGGTTGGTCGTCGGGACTCATTGGACCCTTTTTGACAAGGTGGTGTCTGAAGGCAACGGAGTCCTCTCCCCCGTGCGGCATCTTTGGCTGGTGACTAAAGAAAGCCTTCCTGTTCTTGATGTTCGAGAGAAGATGCTTCTCAAGGTGAGGTAGAGCTAGGTCTTCCGACACTCTGCTCAAAACAGTGAAGAAGCTCATCGCAAACCCTTCCCACATGGCTCGTCTCAGCCCTAGACTTGCACCGTGCTGCGAGACGTATAACAAACATCTGACCAGCGACCGGATGCTGAAATGGGGGGTTTCGCCTGCTCCGTCGGTCAGTTGGTGCTCTTCGTTGAGCTGCTTGAGCGCGAGATAAGAATTTGCAAGGTCTAAAGCGGCCCGGCTGTCGCTGTCGAGCTGAGAGCCTAGATAAGTCTGGATGATCTTGGTCAAGTCTTCTGAGTTGTCGTCGCCGGATGGTACGTAGATCTCGGTAAACCGTGACCGCAACCCTGGTGGCAGATCTTTCTTGCCCGCGTCCGTTGCCGGATTCATTGCAGCAAAGACTCGGAAGTTCGGGTGGGCAATAATTGTCTCGATATTGCCTGCCTCAGCGAGGAGCAGCGTCGGTCGTCCTTCATCGCCGTTCCGAAGAAGACCGATGATGTGATCAAGCGTATCGGATGGTGCCAAGTTGATCTCGTCAAGAAGTACCCACTGGCCTTCCCGAACGGCTTGAACCAATCTGCCTTCAACAAAGGCAAAGGCATGGGTCCTGTCACCGCGGTCGACGACAGATCGAACTTGTTTCAAGACCTCAGAGAAGTCAGCCCATCTCTGGCGCAGGACTTCGTACTTGGGAGTTTCGAGCTTTCGCTTCTTGCTTGTATGAGCAACTCCGTCGGTGCTGGGGGCTTCAACAGCTTTGAGCGCGGTCGCAGCCATCTGGACGGCTTGCTCCCAAAGGATCATGAGCCGTGACCAGTTCTGCTTGGCGAGTGCCTTTGCCATAGCGATCTGGAACCTCTCATTCCGCTTGGTAGAAAATGTGTCATCGAACAGGGCATTAAACTTTTCCAGCACTGGAATAATCAGGGATCGAGTGGTCACAGGCTTCAGTCCACCCAGGAGATCGCCTGCCTCGCTTTGCTGCGAAAGATTGACCACGGTAAGTGTTTGGCCCACCAAGCTCGCCACGTGCTGGACCAGAGTAGTCTTCCCGACACCAGTTTCACCCACCAGGAGGGTAGGTTCTGAACACTCGGCGCTGGCCGCAATACGGCCAAGCGTTCTTCCCGCCGAGGTGGTGAGTGCAAAAGCGGCTTTCTTTGGCTGCCGACGACGGCTGGAAATCCGGTGTAGAGTACTTCGACCGACTTGGACTACTTGATTGTGCTCGACTACGCTTGCGAGTTCGTCGTTCAGGTAGTATCGCATTCGTTGCGGAGAGATGTCCATGGACGTAGCGATACTAGCGGCCACAAGTTCGTGTAATTCTTCGCTGTTCAAAAAGCCCGCGTAGCAGTCAACAGCGTCCTTGAAGATGTCTAGTTTAATCTGTTCTGGAAGCGCAGTCGATTCCGAGACGGGACCATAGGCGCGTAACCTGCGGACAATTCTCCTGCACAAGTTGAGCAGATCTCGCACCGTCGGCTGACGCGTCTGAAGGCCTTTGAGGGAGTGATGGACGTCATACAAGCGGAGAAGACTCTCGTGGACCTGTCGAACCATTGTGGTGAATACCGCAGCAGAAGGATACCGGGCACGAAGCAGGGACTCCACCTCCTCCAGTGGGTAAGGAGAGGTTTCAACTGTGGTCCAGAGCCGCGCGTTGAGTAGCCAGGAGTGCCGAGAAGATGTGGCAGAGGAAGATTGAGGACCAGTCTTCATCGTTGCCAGGATGCGAAAGCCAGCCTTTGGACGGATCTTCTCCTTGCGACCGGGCAGGAAAAGCTCACCATTTTCAAGGATAGGACGTAGCACTCCCATGACCTCGGCCGGCGCCCTGTCAATATCTTCTACCAGGATCCACCTTCCCTGTCGCATGGCTTTCGTCAAGACTCCGGGCTGCCAGGTAAAGGAGTTGCCATCGGCTGACGACGTATGCATCCCAAGCAGGCTTTTCGCATCTGTTTGTTCGTTGAGGTGCAGTGTAATCATAGACGCCTGTTGACCGAGGAGTCTCGCAACCTCATGGACGAGCGAAGTCTTGCCTGAGCTGGCCTGGCCTGATATAAAAATTGGTTTAGGTTCCAAGAGACATTGACCCAGCTGATGCAAGTTGCGTTTTGCCGTGGCTGTAAGAACAAAGGTTGATTCTGATATGGGTGAAGTGTGTTCAGGAGAACGAGGATGTAGGACTCCACCAATGTTGGTGGTGTGCGGCGAGAGGTCAACATGACCCATATTGCGGGTTGTTGCAGGAGCTTGGGATAACGATTGCCAGGACTTTTCGACTGTAGTGGCTGCCTTCGCCAGGTCTTTCCATCTTCTCTCTTCCCAAAGCTTTAGGAGTCGATAGTCGATACTTCTGCCTTCCCACTCGCCCAATATCGCTTGCTTGCCGATGTACGTCTCGACCAACTTCTCTGAATATGCATCTGCAAAATGCATCATCATGCACAGGCACTGGATAGCCAAGTACCTGAGTGGGAGGGACCGGTGCTGCAGGAACGACGAAAAGAAGAGGGCCGCGACAGCTCCCGAAAGAATGTCCCGGTCGTAAGACAGGAAGCGAAACAGCGACAGCAAAAGTGATTGTGCCGCATCATCCTCGAGCTCAGGGCCGGGGTCCTGCACGTCAAACAGCAGATGCCGTAACTGAGCTGTGCGGAGGAGTGACCTGACATGAGAACGGAGATAGGTAGCAAGTGGCAAGACTCGAGCTAGACAGGACAAGGTAGAGATGATCTCGCCAAGATTTGAAGATGAAGTCGCGACGTCCCATCTTGACAGCAATTCCGGAAAAAGTGGTTTGTAAAGCGGAAAGACTGCATCTGCGTATCGTCGGTCTCGCGATACGTCAGCAAGAATGTCGAGGTAATGTGGTGAAGTCGCCTGTAGAATGAGTGACCGAACTTCAGTCGGCAAAGCCCGAAGAAACGAATGGTCTTCCGGAAGTTGCGCATCAGCCCAGGAGCAATAGGCCGTGACGTCTTCCATGCTGCAGACGTGGTGCAGTCTCTCCGGATGTGTTCGTCCTTTCCAGGGCGACACCGAAGCACACTGCGAAGCTGTTGAGAGCGGTAATAGGAAGCAAATGGATTTCGCGAAATCTCTTGACCATGCAAAGTCGCGGCCAAAAAATTCCGCCTCGCCGCCATCCAGGCCAGGCAGTCTTGCCGTTTCGGGTATGGTTGAAAGCTTCTTTCTCGGTACGTGGCGGCGCTAAAGGGCTAAAGCGGCGAGGCGCCCACCACCGCCGATCCTTGCGGCTCCTGCAGATATCAAGCAAGTGGATTGATTATCAGTGCTACATATCGCAACACCACACACACCATATACACCACATGAGGGTCGACGCACACGGTAAGCACCACTGCCGAGCATGGCATAAATGAGTACAGTACCTAGTCAGGGAGTCTATGGACAAACGATCCGATCGCTATCACTGGGGCCGCAGCGCTTCTTTGTGACAAGACAGACATTGGGGGTATAAATCCTCGCCAAAAACATCCAAGTCGCTTAACTTGATCTTGGGACAGTGCAAAGGCAGACAGGCAGGCACATACCCGGACACACAAAGGCAAGCAGGCAGATCTCCTCCCTCTTCTTTACAAGACATATTCCCGCCGCAGACTGATACAGAGGTGGGGTAAAAACAACAAATGGACCACATGGGACGTACAGAAGGAGAAATATGTCCAACGCACACATGGGGAGAATCTCTACATCAAGGATCATATCGTCGTCCGCATTACTCTTCAGTCAGGGCGTCGTCGCCGGCTTCCCTCCACTCGCGAGAGTATTCTGTGAGTCTCTTGACTCCGCTTAATCGCTCGGCCCATAAGGATTCCGAAGCCGTGCGGAAAGTGTAAGCCCTCTGAGAGGATATGACGCCGATGGCTTGAAGCACCGCTTTGCGCGAGTCGCGCGAGAACACAGCCGGGTGGTTGATCCATTCCAGACTGGCTTCGATGTCGGCATCGAGCGCGTTCATCAGCGTTTGGTCGACATGGGCGGCGGATCTCGGAATAGGTGTACTGGCATCCGAGTGGGGGCTATGGTCTCGGCCACGCTCGGGTGTGCTGCCTCTGGGGCTCCCAGACTTGGACTGGGGACTGTGGCGCCTGTTGGTCGAACTACTCGCACTGGGAGGGAGGGGTGGCAGACTGCCTTTACCCAAGCCCTTGAGGATGGTCCTTGTTTCATTGAGCAGGTGATGTGCCCGGTCGTGCTGCCCGCGGTGGACGAGAGTGAGTGCTCGACTTAGCATGTCTGATGTCAACAGCTCCATCCGTCGTTGGACTATCGATGGATGAGGAGGAATCGGGGGGGTCGGGGGTCTTCCATTCTGTCGGGAGCGTCTGTTCGATGGTAACATGGTGATGGTGAGCAGTGATGGCCGCGGTAACTGTACCATGGAGCCATCTCTTTGTAGATCACCAAAGGATAAATCAGCCTGGATCAACGGCAATTCTTCCACGCTCTGGACCCTCTGATCGTCCACGTCAGCGGAGCCGCCCAAAGCCTCGAGGCCAGACACTATCGATTCCCAGGCATCCTGGGGAGCAGGCTCCGAGGTCGAGGTATCCGGATCAATCACGAGTTGGACGAGCACATCGCGCTTGTCGCCAAAGTGAAGGTCGCCCAACGTGGCTTCGGCGTCCCGGCCGGCCGCCCGCTTCGTCGTTTGTAGAGCGCCATTGATCTTGACAAATTTCGCGGGCGAACCTTCCGGCAATTTGAGCTTCAATTTCACATTCTGGTGCGAGGTCGATTGCAGTGCGCCGAGGACACCGGCAGCGCACTCGCGTAGCATCATCCAGTCCTTCACATAGAGATACGAGGCTTTTGTCCGGCTCGACAGCTCCAGCATGCTCTCGGGTTTGTGCGTGAGTCCAAGGCCAAAGGAGTAGATGCCGACCCTGTAACAATTAGCACGGTATCGCACGGGGAACGAGAAGAGACTTACTTGGCGGCTTCGGCCCTTTGGACGACGAAATCCACGCCGTCCATTTCCGAGGTCGAGGAGTCACTTATCAGGAGGATGGTCGAGATGGGGTTTGCCGCTTTACGTTGCATCAACAGATCCATCGCCACGTTCGCGCCATCAACCACATCCGCCCGCAGGCTCTTCTGCCCGACAGGCCGGATCGAGTTGAGCACTTTGTTCCATCCGCTCCATGTCTTGGTAGTCATCCCAACCACCGGGACTCCTCCGCCGCTCGAGCCAAAGGTGACGAGACCCATCCGATCCCGGTCACCCAAATTGTGTACGAGGAACCGGAGTGTGTCCCGCAGCAAGGTGATCTTCAAGCCTTGCATAGAAGAGGACACTGGAATGACAACAACGATATCCACGGGGACGTGCAGAGAGGGTGCCACCCGTCGCTCGACGACGTTCTTCGGCATCGAGTACTCGGTGGCTGCTGTCGTGGCAGATTTGGGGCCGCCGTACGACGAAGCCACGGAAGGCACCCGTCGAACGTGCCGGTTTCGGTGGCTGTCGTATTCTTCGTCTGTACCGGAAGTGTCTTGCTCGTAGTCGGAATTGAACCGTGGAGAGGGCTCGCTTGTATGAAGGTCGCGTAGAGCGCGTTGCCAGAGTTCTAACTTTTCTCGTTCCGGGAATAACAGATGGAAGGTTGGTAGCTCTGCGACCGACAGGTTCAAGGTCAAGATGCCCTCGTCAGGAGAAGCGTGTACCTGCCTCAGATGCTTTTTGATCAGGATCGAACCCTTGAGAGTGCACCTGGTCAGCCTGCGGCCGGACTCGGTGATGAGAGGAGGCTGAGCATTCTTCTTCTCCTTGACGCAGATGAGCATCTCGCCAAACAAGTAGCACTCGAGTTCCTGCCATGAGTAGCGGTCCTTGCCCACGCGGACCACGCCATGGAGGCGTAGCTTTCCGAACCTCTGAAACTCAAGCCCGTGCCAGTTATCCACACGTGCCCTGAGCTCTTGGGTGATTTCGTCCATGATGTCAGGCGACCCGTAAGTCATGGGGGATTGCTGCATTTCGTGCTGCCTATGCATTGCTGGCATGCCCACGGCAGAGTCGCTAGGCAGCGGAGGAACTGGGGGAGTATGCTGCGCTTCATCCATTTGACCATGCCATTTCCCTTCAGGCACCTCGACTGTCACAAGGCACGTGACGGTCTGCTGCTGACGTGACCGGGTCAAGGTTGGATATTCGCTACGGACGGTGACGATAGGTGCGGGTATTGGTTGCTTCGTCTCCTTGACCTGTGCGCCCGGGACCGAAGTCTCCATGGCGTGAAGGTCATAGTCGTGCTTCCGGGGCGGGTGACTACCGTGGTCATTTGTGTAGTCAGCCGAGGAGGCATTGCCGCTGTCATTACGTGAGTGAGTCTGAGTGTGGGTCGGAGTATGAGTTGGAGTCTGAGTCTGAAGCCCATAATAGCCGTGGCCAATTCCAAGTCGTTCAATGCGCATCCGTTGGCTGTCTCGACTATCCCGGTTCGAGGTTTTCCGGCTATCTCGATCTGTCGTTCCGTGGGCGCTGTAGGAATCTTCCTGAGGAATTTGTTTGCTGCCCGCGTCCCAGGGCATTGGTGTATTCTGCGAGCTTCTGGGTGAGGCGACGTCCTTGGAGGCGACCGCTCGAACCATGTTACTCAACTTGGCTGTGCGGCTCATGTCAGGCATCTGGTCAAGCAAGCGAGAAGGGAGTCACATACTCAGATCGAGGATGCTTCCCCCGCGGAAAGAATCGAGGCTGAGGGGAGCCTCGCATGACGGGCAGTACTGCGAGTCTGAATCTTTGATATACTCGTAGAAGCACGCCTCATGAGCGACGTGGCCGCATGAGAACTGCAACACCCGTTCTCCCCTCAATGTGTGCTCCAGCAGCTCTTCGCAAGCGGCACATTCTCCACCCACAAATGTCCTCTCACGTCGGTTTCGCGCGCGGTCCGTGTCGAGCATCCCGGCCATGGGATGCCCAGCTCCTGGAACGCTGGTCGTGGGCGAGGGAGGGCCTCGGTGGTCCCTCGTGCGAGGGCGATGGTCGTTGGGCGTATGCGGCCTTCCCAAGGTGCCGGAGGTGATACTGGACTGCTTGAAGCCCGCGCTGTGGGTAGCACCACTCAGCGACGAGCTCGCGCGCGGGGGGTAGCCGTCGTGACGGGCTCGCGAGACCTGGTCTGGGAAATGCAAAACCATGAGTCAGTCGGTCTGTCCGGTCGATCGAACAGAAGGGTCGCTGCGACGTGAGAGATGAAAGAGTGGCAGAGGTCTTACGGTGGGCCGACTTGGAGTCGGTCGTGCCTGTGCCTGTGCGAGACTTGGACGGAGGTCGATTCAGCAGTCCCAGCTCATACAGGTTTTGGGTAGTCTCTCTCGTCACGGCAGACACCGGAGTGCTGGAGTGGGAGTGGTCGTGCCTGGGCATTGGAAGAGATGCGCCCGGGCAGCCGTGCTCTTCTCTAGCGTCAAACCAATTTCATCGGCGGGGAGTTAGTCGGATCGGGCAGCACGTGGATGGCTCTCAATTTGCTTTGCTCTATGGACAACATGCGCGAGGACGGGGAAGCAAAATGAGTTCAGAGGGGGTTGCAATGGCAGTGAATCTGGACGTGGATGTTGCTGGGAGGAAGTGGTAGCACTGCTGCAGCTGCAAATTGGTGGATGCCTCTGTTTCTCAAACCCGAGTCAAACCGGGTCTGGGTTTGTGGGGACTACGACGCCGTACCCACGAGCGTGGCTAGTTGCGAGTCGCACTGACACCAGGAGCCACGATCGATGCTGGGACACTGACCGTGCGTGCCATGGCGCAACCTGGCGGGTCCACTGTTTACAACGGCCGGAGGTCACGGTCAAGCGCATGTCAAGCTGTGCCTGTGCGCCGTGGGGAGAAACCCATCAAGGTTCAGGCACTTGCGCCCATCGAGACTGGGATGACAATGGTGCTGCACCGGAGTGCCTGGGGCGGGTAGCGCCATGCCTGGGTAGGCAAGACCTGCAGCCGGCGGCATGACACCGGCATTAGGCGCAACAGGCGCAAGGGCCAGCCCAGCAGAGGACCCGTCTTGCTGCCTTTCGGGGCTGGTGAAGAGGCTTCGGGCGGTGCTAGCGCTGCATTGGACCGGCTACCATGGAGCCCTTGTCTACCCCTGTCGGAATCACCAGGATCTCTGGCTCAAGTCACGTAAGGATCTGCGTCGGCCCTTCTCGAGAGGGCAAGGGGCACCTGGAAAGCGGGCGTTGAACGCATTCAGAGGTGGTTTCCCGGGGGTTTGTTCTGAAACGAATGTCTGACTGAGTTCGAGTCAAGGCAAGCCCTCGAGCTCGTAGTCGCAGTCGTAGTCGTAGCCTCGGCCTCCTCTACCTGACGCAGTAGTCGCTGCACCTGTCAACCGTGCATGACAGCAGCGACACGAATGATGACAGGTCAACGTCCCGCAGTGACAAGCGTGCACGAGATGCTATGCTTCGGCTGGGTTGGTGAAGGCGACCAGCAGAAGGAACACCTGGCCATGCCGCAGCGGGCCAAACTGCTATATCTGACTGGGTACGTCATCTGTAAGGTACAACGTCCTGTCCCAGCAGGCCAAGGTGTGAATACCCTCTCGGACGTCTGCATCCAAGGGCTTGTGGAGCAAGTGGCATCCCTCAGCACTACGCTGCAACTTTGTGCTTCGAACATGGAAACTTCGACGCCGCGAAGGAAGCGGCTAATAATAATAATAATAATAATAATAACATCATCCCTACCACGTTTTCTCCCGCCCTCCAGAGCGCGCCGATCGATACACCAAGGTGTTGACATGCAGGAAGCAAGTGACTCTGTGGTTCCAGTCCATGGGCGTGCAGTGTGCCCCGAGCCGATGGTGATGTAGGAAGAGAGCTGACTTGTCGGCCTTTCTGATCGACAGCGTAATACGAGAATGGCGCGACTTCTGGATTCCGTGCTGCACCAGCTACTGTGCTACCAGATCTTGCTGCTGTATCACAACGACTACCGGAATGGTGGCTGTCTCGCGTCCGCCCTCTCTGTTCCTGGATCATCACCTGCCTACGCTCTGCCGTGGTACACAGTACTCGTGCGGTGGTGACAAGCTGCAGCAGCCCCGGGCTCCGAGCAGCATTGAACATTCAGGAAAGGGAGCAAACACACAAGTGACCAGTCACCACTCTTCACTGCCGCCTGCTCAACAATCACCCACGGCCCCTTCTGGGGTGGCTGCTTTCGCATTGCTTACAGCCGAGGCAGGGGTCCCCTGCCCCGCTACCATATGGCAGATGTGACCTCTCAAGCAAAACGTGACATGGACCCTACAGCCGGACATTTTTGCTCGCATCCGGCGCATGATTTTCTGGCTCTGGTGGGAAACTCTATGGCACGGGAACTGAATCCAGGCACCACCAGCGAAGCTCGAGCTCGCCTGGGTTTACCCACTCGCGGATTCCGCGTCGTGTGGCGCACAGAACCAATGCGAGGGACCCCAATCAGAAGTCTTCACCACGCCGGCTGATGTAACTGTCTGCATCATCCCTCAACTTGTCGCCGCTGTGTGCTGGGCAATGTCCCGATTGTTTTTACTGTATAGCTCTCACCCAGAGGTGTTGTTCATCCATCCATCCATTCAATTACTCATCCATGCAGGCGAGTCCTCCAGTCAATAGACTTGTGGTGTATTCTTTCCACCCAATCGCCTCTTCCTAACCCGAAACTGCCTTGTTGAACCGTGGCTAACGAGAGGGCTCCGACAAGGGCATTGGCACACGGGGAAGCGGCCTCTCTAGTGTGTACATGGCTCTTCCGATTTGATTGCCAATCCGCGGCCACAGGCTAGCTGTTCGAAGCAAATGACATGAGGCTTTCTCACACTGCCGGGACCGCCTAGAAACGACTATGATCTCTGGAAGGCTCGCTTCGACAAGCACACGAACTTCATTCTGGCGCGGTTCAGAGTCTATAGGCGAAACGGCGAGTCGGCGACACGTCGTTTGGGAGGAAAAGTCGTTCTCGTTGACAATACTAGTGGGAGACCTGAAACCGGCAGGAGACTTGGGTACTGGCCAACTTGGGAACACTGTCCCACGGGTTGGAATCCAAGTCCCTCCTTTGTTTATTGAGTTTGTGGCGCTCAGCCTTCGAATGTTCCGTCGTCTGAGAACCACGCAGCCGGTGGTCATGCCATACTTTTCTCCGTTCGCCTCTTACTCGGTTGAAGATCAGCGGTTTAGCATTCTGTACACAGCAGTGAGCTGAGCCAAAACCACGTTTTGATGTATGATTACCTCAAGATCTGCCACAGACGAAACTCAGCCCACTGCGTTCCCTCTTCCTACCACGCCCTACCCAAGAGGACTCTTATCCTTTTCCCCTTGTGCTGAGGCAGCCTGAATTTCGCGTGGGCAGCCTCGCCATTATCCCGGTCATCCATAGACATCAATTGTAGTTAACTGGCCTACAGGCCGTGGCAAGGACTCGCGAAGGGCTTGACGCTTGCGCTGCTCACCTCGTAGCTTCGGCGCACAGAAGAAACTCATACGGGATTCTCCCTTAATTCCTCTGCATGAAGGTGGGTATTATTTCACCTACGGAGCCGACAACGGAAGGGAGCGTGCCAATCAGGAACAGGAGCAACCGAGTCATAAAATGGTGATAACAAATAGTGGCCCCAGAGGCTTTTGTTCAAGGCGCAGCTACTGCCTTCGGGTCTTGAGGCGTACTGTGTAGATGCTTCCAGTGACTGTTTTCCTTTTGTTGAACATCGGCACATGTTAATTTGGATCGCCGACTACTTCATGGGTGGTGTACGTCAATTCGCAGAGATCGACATCCGGAAAGATATGGCGCCCGCTAGGACAAGCTTTGCTCATTTTGCTGGTCAGGGCAGAGTCGTTGGGTCAGCACGGGAATTTCGAAAGAATGGGAGTGCCAGATAATCCCAAAAGATAAACTGATCTTCATGCTGGCCGTAGCCAGTCGACAGTACTGTGCAGGTGGTTAGGTCATAAGGACCACGGCAAGATGTCGAGTGCTGGGGATTATTGAACGTGGGACCTGTCAGAGGCACCCAGCGGTCCCCTTTGCCCCCATCGAGACACAGGAGCAGCACCCAAGCCCTCTCCTGCTGGGCAGAGATAAGTGGCTTCTCGACTTTTCTGTGGGGGGTCTTTGCGTGCGATCTCCCGAGGCTAAAAGTTGTGACAGTGGAGAATGGATCCTGCTCTTCTAGAAGACAATACTCTTACTGTGTATACTATTATTCCATCCTCATGTTATTCGCACGTCCGACACAGACAATTGGTGAAGTTGGGGTTCGATGTACTGTACCACAAGACAGTGGATTTTTCCAGGATGTACTTCGTGCTGTGGACATTGAGGTGGTGTCGATATCTTTTCGTTCTCCGAGCCGTATCTACTCCACCGGCTTCTAGCGGATGACCGAGTCCTCGCTTAATTTCCTCGTGGCCTCTGTCGATCATGACCGCTTTTGATCATTGCCCCTAGAGCTGCTGGAGCTTCAGGCTTCAGGCAAATTCGGTGCAACTCTGGGCTTTGCAGCTGCACGGTACCCACTTCAATTGCATGGCTCACTTTTACCAACTCAAGCTAGCTCACAGGTGCGTTGAGAATCGCTGGCCATAATCAGCAGGAAAGTGACCGTGGGCACTACGGTGCGGTGTGTCGATAGTACGAGTGTTATTGCAAGCACGTTGAACTGCCGATCCGGCCTGCCTCGCCTGGAAACCCCAGGCGGCCCAGCACCCGCGGGAAGAACGTGGTGCTGATCATTTCGCTTGGGCAAAAGGGGATCGTCAGGAGGAGCAGGAGGACCCAAACAAACTCGCGGGGCTTCGGCTCACCTGCATCGTTTCCAGTCTCGAAGATAGTGGGCGAATTGGGGGCCCGGGACTTGACCACGACCAATGATGGGCGAGCCCCTTTTCTGTTGGCATTGAATGGCCCGAAATCAATTGCGTCTTTTGCTCGTGGCAACTCGACCGCCTGTAAGACTCTGGAGCTCGCCACAGCAAGAAGCGAGGGACTAGAGCATAGTATGGCGGAAATGGAGGCCATCAGTAGCGTGCTCGTGCTGCTTGAATACTGTGGTATGTCTCTAAGCGGCATTGTTCCAATTCTTTCTCGGCTGCGGGCCATCAGCTGAGCTCCTGCCCTTTTCTGTTCAAGGGCATTCCAAAGCGATCCCCTGAACTTTGCGAGATGCAAGTACAGCACTACTGTGGACATGGACAAGTCCCAGGGCGTGTGCACTACCCCAACATGGTTGGCCTTGAGGGAGATCAACGTGCGGGAGACGGAATCCCCCAGCAGTATCGCGTAGCGATGCAGCTCCCGCTTTCAGTGCGGCAAGGAGCCGGCACATTATTTTAGCTAGAAAGTCTCAGCTCGTGGTCTGACATATTGGCCGACGCGCAGAAGCGAAGGTCGAGGCTTCAATAGATAGATCAGCTTCACAGAAGCGAAGGGTCGAGGCTTCAATAATAAGAGAGACTGTTTTCTCTATCCAGGCATTCTTTGATGATGTTGGTCGCCTGAATGCGCCTGCAAGAGCCCCCTTGCTTCTTCTGGGCCTTCGTCGTCCCCTGGTTGCAACCCACTCTCATGAAGGGCTTCCGCACCAGGCATGAAGCCTGTAGCCTTGCTTCCACCTTCCGATGCAGACAATATCCACCAAACGTCTTTCTTGGTGAGAATGCCCTTGAAAGCACCACGTTCCACGAAGAGCAGGTGGCGAAGCCCGAGTTTTTGGAACATACTCACCGCCAGTTGCAGTGAACTTTTGGCGTTCAGTGTGATCGGAGTGTGGTCCATCCAGGGCCGCAGGTCTATACCGCGGCCTCGCGCGAGGTTCGCAAGGTGGCTGAAATAACATGGGGTACGTTCGTCCACGGGTTCAGTGTGAGGCCCCGACGCATTGCTGTTGGGGTTTGTCGCACGTTCCAGCGCGAACACCAGTTCGGCACGGGAGATATACCCGAGGAATGTGTTGTCGCAGGGTGCCTGGCGGTTTCCAGTCGACCCGTCGACTGTTTTGAGACTTCTTTCGCTGGTCATGTTTCCGAACGCTACCACGGGGAAGCCGCGGTAGGAAGTTGTACGCAGAATGCTCTGCAAGGACTTGACAGTATAGGGTCGATTGGCATCGAAGCACTTCATCTCCTCCACCCTTGTCATCACGCTAGACACCAGCACATGTGGCATGGTTGTGTCGTCTTTGTTTTCCAGATAAGGATACTCGTTGAACTGAATCCAAGATTCATAGATCCCTCGCGTAGAAAAGACGTCTCCAATCCACTTGGCAAGCATGACAGCTATCATGATCGGGAGGACATAGGTGAGTGCACCAGTCAGTTCAAACATGATAACCACTATGGAGGCTGTCATTCTTGTTACTCCGGCAAGGGCTGAAGCGGCACCGACAATAGCATATGTGCCAGGAGTGACACAGAGGCCCTCGGCCTCGCAAGTAGCGAATATGAAGGACGGCGAGAAGTGCTTGTGTAGTAGTTCCACAACTACTCCCAGCGCCCGGCCATAGAGAGCACCAATCGCCAAGGTAGGCAATATAATGCCAGCTGGTATCTGCAGACCAAAGGTAATGCTTGCAAGGAGAAACGCCAATTGAGATGCGGCTACCAAGAGCCAGACCATCGACAGAGCTCCGCCCGTTGTGGCCCGGCAGAGACCGAAGATGTCGTTGTTGCCGATAGTGTCGCACTCTGCGAAAAGATAGTAGACGAGTTCAGACATCTGAGCTCTCATGAACAGATTAGGATAGTTGACAACTGCCGATAGCGCAGAGACAGCCAGGACTTCCAAAACTGGCCTCTCTCGGAAGGGGTATGCTTGCGACTTTCGCAGCCGCGCGATGAACATGTTCAACTTGATAAACAAGCCGCCATAGATTCCACCGGTGACGCCGAGAAGTGTGAATGGCACCAGCTCGAAGCCGTGCCAGCCAGTGGTGTAGGTAACCTGGTAGAGGACAATCTTTCCGGTGTGAAAGGGGTTCAGCGCTTGGAGTGTCACCGCTGCGACCATAGCACAGACAAATGATTGCCACATCGTCTTGTCGGGAAAGTAATAGGATAGCTGCTCGAGTGAGAACAGGACTCCGCCAATGGGCGCACCAAAGGCAACCGAGATGCCCGATGCAGCAGCAGCAGAGAGGACTTCTCGCTTTCGGGCTTCATTTTGGCTGAGTGACTCGAAGGGTTTCATGATGATATTGGCACAGCAGCAAGCCAGATGAACAAACGGGCCTTCTTTGCCCAGCCACATGCCTGACGACACTGCCAGGGTCAGGCCCAGAGACTTTGTGACCAAAGTCCAAGTTCCAAGGAAGCGTCTTATGACGAAGCCGCCCAAGACAGTCTTAATCTCTGGTATGCCGCTGTGTTTGGCGTATGTAGAAAAGTGCTTGACCAGTACTGCGGCCGAAACGGCGAACAAGATAGAGAAAATGATGAAGAAACAGTAGCCCGTGACGAACTGACCTGCCTTGGCTCCGATACCCAGTGCCTCTGGCCAAGGGGTCCAATCTTGACACTGAGCGAACTCATCGTGGCCCCAGCAGCAGAACTGTTTGTTGAGGTAGAAGTCACCACCTCCGACACCTTTCTTGCAATAACCCGTCTTGATGTCTCCAAGCCAGTCTGAGGCAATGTTGATGAATGCGGCTACACATCCAACCGCTATTCCGCTGGCCACGAGTACAATCCACACATGGCTTGCATCCAGCAGTTGTCTCAGACTCCCGACGAAACCCTTGTGAACTGCCAGCAACGTCCGCAGCCGTTGCCGCTCCTTTGTGTATTCATAGATCCAGTCGATCCCAGTCAGGTCATCGTAACCTACTCGTCTGCCAGGTCCCTCCACGTACCAGTCAGGAGGCACGTCCTGTTTGCGGTCCGTGTCTTCGGCGCTCGCCACGGGGTCGACTTCAGCTGATTGCGGAGATGGGAGGGTCTTGCTGGAAGCCGCCGTGGGTGAGGAGTGAGGGTTCATCGACAGGTCGCCTGGTCCTGAGTGGCGCGGCCTTGGACTGGCAGTCAGGTGAGGCTAGCGATAGAATGCATAGAGGCTTACCTAGAAGATAGATCGGCCGCATCGTCTTCGTTCAGCAGGTCCCGGTCACTCTCACCACCGTCATCGTTCGTGTTGCCGGGCATGGTTGAAGAATTCCGCAATCGTCCTGGGATCGGAAAGCACAGTCATCCTCCTTGTGATCTCGGTAATGTATCATCAGTGAGACTGGCCGGTGATCGACGCTGCAGCCATCTCCCAAATCTGGGGAAGGAGGAAGGAAGCGCATACGCGACGGTCTTAGCGCCTTGGCGCCTCCAGCAGAGAAAAGGCTACGAGGCTGCCATGCCGCTCTTACCCGCGCCCACACACTACCAGCCCACTTGTTCAATTTACAGACGAAAGCAGCTAAAGGTGATCAGCCCGTGAGGAGCAGGGGTTGTGCTTGATGTATATGAGCACACCGAGACATGTTTCTCGGATAATTTGGCTACGAGTCAGTCATCGCTTGTATTTCTGAGTTGTGGTCTGATCTGCCGCTGAGCAAGGTATGCTGGATAGATACCCCGGTATCTTCACCAAGCGGCAGTACCAGACGCATTCCTCCTTTGAGCGGAGAAGGACTGCATGAATAGTCTCAGCAAAGTTCGTGCTGTCAAGCGAGAAGCGGGGACGAGACCATTCTGTCCAAAGCGGCATGTCCCCGGATTCTCGAATCCTCCAACTACATACCTGATACCAAGATCACGCTCACCAAATCGCGATGGAGAGGGCGAGTGTCGACGCGTCCGGAAGGAAGCGTCGTGTTCCGATTTTCTTCTTCGGCAGAGCTCCATGACCTTTATGGATTCTCGAGCTGACGACCGTGACAGGAGAGCAAAATGCGGGAAGTCGGTGAGCAAGAGAAGCGCCCTCAGCCAAGGACCGTGACTTGAATTTTGCACTCTGTAGGGAGTAGCACAGGCAGAGTAACTCCGTCAAATTCTGTAGAGACCTGAAAGAGCCATTTGATGTGGTTACCGAATCAGGCCGTGCACGGGGCGCTATATTTTTTTGTGGTCGAATCAAAGGCGCTCGCCGAGCTTTTAACGTTTGACACGTCCACCACGTCTCTAAAATAATTGCTTTGCTTCTCCGTAGACTAAAGCGGCACCTGATTTCCATCGCTTGGCAAGGCCGACATTCAGCCTTGCCATCTCCAACTAAATTTTGTCCGCCGCATTCGACTGTATTCAGTCGGCTTCGCTCGTCGCAATCACCATTCTCGATCCTGCCATACGCCTACTCCGGATGTCGCTCACAATACCGCAGGCCTCGCAGGCGGGGCTGTTCAAGCCTGGCTACAATAGCTACGACGCCGAAGATGGGGCCGTTATCCGCAATGTAGGCCTGCCCTCTCCTCAGGCGCCTCGTGTACTGACTGCTGTGGACAGATTGATGCCTGCAGAACGATCGCTCAGACGGTGCAAACCTCACTCGGTCCCTATGGACGCAATAAGATTGTTATCAACCATCTGGCAAAGATGATATTGACCTCGGATGCGGCCACCATCTTGCGAGAATTGGACGTTGTACACCCGGCCGCAAAGTTACTCGTCATGGCCAGTCAACAGCAGGAAGCAGAGATGGGTGACGGCACAAACATGGTCATCGTTCTCGCCGGAGAGTTACTGAAGAAGGCCGAGGAACTCATCCGCATGGGCCTGAAAACAAGCGACATCGTGTCAGGCTACGAAAAGGCCCAAGCATATGCCTTGAAGTGCTTGGAGGATCTTGAAGTCGACACCGTCGCAGACGTCCGCTCGGCCGAAGAGTTGAGCAAATCCCTTCGAACCGTGGTCGCCTCCAAACAGTCCGGGTCTGAGGACGTTCTCTCCCAGCTGATCGCCCAAGCCGTGCTCGCCGTCCTGCCCAAGAATCCCGTAAACTTCAACGTCGACAACATTCGGGTGGTGAAGATCATGGGGGGGGATCTCTCTGCCTCGAGAGTCGTCAAGGGCATGGTGTTCGGTCGTGAGCCAGATGGGACAGTGAAGCGCGCGAAGAAGGCCAAAGTGGCAGTCTTCTCATGTCCGATTGACATATCCCAAACAGAGACAAAGGGAACGGTGCTTTTGAAGAACGCACAGGAAATGTTGGACTTTTCCAAAGGCGAGGAATCACAACTCGAAAATGCCATCCGCGAAATCTACGACACAGGCGTGCGCGTCATCGTGGCCGGCGCGACAATTGGCGAGCTAGCCCTCCACTACCTGAACAGGTTCGGCGTCCTCGTCATCAAGATAATGTCGAAATTCGAACTCCGCCGGCTGTGTAGTGTCTGCAACGCTACACCTTTGGCTCGGCTGGGTGCACCCATGCCCGACGAGATGGGCAGCATTGACGTCGTCGAAACGACAGAGATTGGGGGCGACCGAGTGACCGTCTTTCGCCAGGAGTCCGACACAGCAACAACCCGAACAGCCACCATCGTCCTTAGAGGAGCAACGCAAAACCACCTGGACGACGTCGAAAGAGCCATTGACGACGGTGTCAATGTGATCAAGGCGGTCACGCGCGATCCTAGACTGGTACCCGGCGCAGGCGCAACAGAAATGCAACTCGTCGAACGGCTCAGCCATTTCGCAGACAAGACACCTGGACTGGCTCAATACGCGATAAAGAAATATGCCGAGGCGTTTGAGGTCATCCCGAGAACGTTGGCGGAAAGTGCCGGCTTAGACGCCACCGAGGTGTTGGCCAGACTGTACACGGCACATCAACGACGGATAGGCAGCTCGAGCGAAATGAAATCCCGAGAACAGACGAATGGCTCCCGCGACGAGAGTGATGATGAAGACGAGGAGGATGAATCATCTGGAAGCTCGGACGAATCCGAAGAGCCATATTGGACGACAGGCGTCGACTTGGAGGTGTCAGACCCGTCAGGTGTGCTTGACGCCACGGAGGACGGTATCCTCGACTTGCTGGTCACGAAGTCGTGGGCCATAAGACTGGCCACCGAAGCCGCCAGGACAATTTTGAGCGTCGATCAGATCATCGTCGCGCGCCAGGCCGGTGGTCCTAAACCGCCGGGGCCAAACCCCAATTGGGACGAGGATTAAGAAAGGGCGATAGTTCAACGCATGAAGCAGATGGACTGTGACGAACAATGAGAGCTCCTACACACGGATGTTTGCGAGAAAGACTTTGATCGCCTGCCGCAAGTCTCTCTCCCGCCCGAGCACCAATCCTACGAGGAAAACATTCTGCCATCTGACGCACTCCCACCCCAGGATATCGATAAGCAAGCGTTCAATCCGAGGATGTCGCTCTTCTAAGATATCCAGGGCGATGCTGACCTTGGAAGCTGGCTTTGCCGTGGCTGCCAGCAGCGTATGGAGGGAGAGACTAGCTGCCGCTGATTGCGGCTCTCATTCACGTAGAGGGACACGACACTGATGATCAGATAGCTTCTGTACTTGCTGGTACAGTAGAGCTAGCCGCCTGAGGCTAAAACTGAAGCTGAAGCTGGCAGAAGTACATTATGCTGTATGCAAAAGATTCGAAAAGCACTTTTCGTTCCGGCTTTGAAGCCTTCCTTATTCACGTTCTGTGTGTTGCTCTCCTTTCCAGCCTTACGTTCTTCTCTCCTAGCATCCGGCTTGCCAACTAGAGGCGCTTTTACCGGGCCACCCACCACGTCGTAGCACAGCGTACGCGTGTGTATCCGTCCCGGTCGGTTCTTCTGTCTAAATCCACCTACTACCCATCCAGCTACTCCGTCATTCTCTCCTCACCGGTCAATGGGTCGCTCAGTCGCTCGTCAATCTCAAGCCAACCCACCCCGTCCGCCCACTGCCTTCATCGCCTGCCTCTGCTCCTCACTCACTTTGACCTGTGGCAACGTCTTGACGCCGGCGTCCCCCTGGGCACCAGGCCGGGGCAGAAACCCAATCTCCACGAGATAAGCCAGATACAAGCCCACCTCGCGCTTGGTGACGCCGGCGCCCGTGCTGACGTCCTCGCCCGTCCACTTGGCATCCTCATACAACGCCCTCTCCGCATTGGTATCGTCGAGCTCCGGCGCACGCGTATCGCTCGGGAGATCGTTGGCCACGAACGTGAACAGCGGCATCAGCGCAAAGTCCTCGTGGCTGGCGACGTAGTGCTCGAGCGACGACGCCCAGGGGACATAGTCCGTCAGCTTGGCCTCGTAGCCGTACGTCTGCAGCGTGGCGAGGTATTGGTTGAAGCGCAGCCGAGGGTGGCCCGTGATCTGGGCGACTGAGACGCCTGCTCGGCCGTCGGACGAGGGCGCCACCTTTGGAGGGTGGAATGCGCACGCCACCACCGTCCTGGCCACATGGTCCACGGGCACCATGTTCACGGTGTTGTTGATGTTCGGGCGCGTGCCTAGCTGGACACACCCCTTCAGCATGCGGATCAGGAAATCGTCCGTGTTCGTGACGCCGGTGTGCGAGTCGCCCAGCACGTAGCCCGGCCGGACGATGCATCCGGTCAGCCCGCGGCGGCCGGCTTCGCGACACAAGTATTCGGCCACCCACTTGCTCTGGCCGTAGCCGGTGCCCAGCCCGGTGCGCGAGCCTGAGAGGTCGTCGTCCTCCGAGATGCCTTCCCCGCCGGCGGCGAGGATGCGCTCGGACTCGTGCACAAAGTGCTCGTGGTCGAGGACCGATGTGGATGACACGAAGGCAAACAGTTTGGGCTTCCCCTCCGCCGCGAGCTTCATGGCTTCAATGGTCCCCATTACGTTGGGCGCCTTCAACGTTGAGTACGTGTTGATCCAGTGCACTTGGGCGCCGTTGTGGATCACCACGTCGGCTTCAGAAACAACTTGTTGCCATTGTGGGTCTGGCAGGCCGAAGCGAGCAGGTCCCAGGGACCCCACGACGCATTGAATACGCGATTCCCATGATAGTTTCCAGACGCCGTACGCTTGACATGTCGTCTTGACACGGGAGGTGGCTGTGGCTTCGTCCTTGGCACGGACGAGCAAGATGACCTTCTGGACCTGGGGACTTTGGCGGTCGAGGAGGTCTTTGAGGATATATGAGCCGAGAAACCCCGTCGCGCCGGTGAGGAATACTACTGGCACGGTTGGCACTTTGGCTGATGCAGCAGGGAACGACGCTGGAAGTAGGTTGGCCAGCTTGAATGCGTCTTCGCCGTATTCCTCTTCAGCCTTGACGCCGTTGGTTTGGGCTCCGTTGGTATCGACTGCGTCTCCGCCTTCAAGAGAGTCGGCCGCTCGAAGGTTGTCGATGACTGCGGCCATCTCCTTCAGCGTGTGTCGGTTGTAGATCTTGCTGATTGCAAGGTTTACGCCGAGCGTCCTCCTGACTTGGTAGGCAAGTTGCTGTGCCTTCATACTTTCGCCACCGATCTCAAAGAATGAGTCACTCGGCTTGATGGTCTTAGGAATCAACCCCGGTACAAGCTTGGCCCAGATGTGTGCGAGAGCAAGCTCACCTTCCGTCAGCTGTTGCAGCATTGACGATTTTCGTCGGGTTCGTGCTGACAGCATACCCATGTCCGGGAACGGCAGTTTTGGCTTGTCGATCTTGCCATTGGGATTCAGTGGCATCGCCTTCATGGGCACGATCACTGAAGGAACGGCATATGCTGGCAGCTTGGTGCGCAGATACTCTTGCACCTCCCTCTGCAAGACTCGAAACCGTTCTACTCTTCCGACCAAGGTACCGTCATCGGGAATGTCCTCGACGCCTTTCTCCGAGAGAAACTGCGTCCATGCTTTCATCTGGGGGACAATGTAGCTGACCAGCGTCTGTTCCTCGAACTTGTCTCTTCGAACGAGCGTGACGTTTTCACGCACCAGCGGATGCTGGGACAGGTGCGTGTCAATCTCACCAAGCTCGATTCTGAACCCTCTGATTTTGACTTGGTCATCTGCCCTGCCAGAACATTCCACATCTCCCGTGGGCGTGTAACGGCCAAGATCACCACTTCTGTAGAGCCGATCGCGCGCTCCGAGGTAGTACTTCGCCCAGGGTTCGTTTTTGAATTTCTCCTCGAATCTCGCCTTGTCCAACGCCAGACCCCTCTCGTGACCGGGGAACCAGTTGTTGACGAATTTCTTGGCAGTCAGCTCTGGAGTTCCCAGATATTCTTCTGCGAGGCCTGAAGCTCGAACATATATTTCTCCAATTTCGCCAACAGCGCACAGCTTGGTACGGTCGAACCGGTTGACCACCAACATCTGGACATTGTACATGCCTCGGCCTGCCGGGATGACGTCTTTCATGCCATCAAGGAAGCCTTCTCTTTCATTTCGTGAAGGGATCTCGTAATAGCTGACGGCTCTTTGGGTTTCGGTAGTCCCGTACATATTCACGATCCGGACATTCGGGGCTAGACTCTGTAGCGATCGGCAATCTCGCTTAATCAGAATGTCCCCAACGAAGAAGGCATGATGAAGGCTTTCGAATCTGGCAGTCGCGCCTCCAACTAAGATCTGACCCATGGCTGGGGTCAGATGTGTGACGGTTGCGCCGTGCTCTTTCATCCATTCCGCCAAAAGCTCATTCTGGATGTCGTTCTTGGAAGGTACCAGCAGCTGCGCACCGAGGAACAACGGGGTGAACATATCCCGTTGTATCGGATCGTGCGCAATTCCACTGAGCATGGTGAATTTATCCCTCTCGGAGAGATTGAATGTCTTTGCCATCCAGTCAAAGTAGAATGCTAATGAGTAGTGACGGCCACGGACGCCCTTCGGCTTGCCTTCAGAGCCGGACGTGAATGATAGGGTTGGGGTGGAATCTGGCCCTACTACAACACCCGGGCTCCTCGTACTACTGCCTCTGACGGCCTGGAAGACATCTGCTCCATTCACCTCACCGCCCCGAAGTAGGCCGTCATCCTGCAGGCGTAAGGCGGGGACTTCAGTCTTCAGCTCCAGGTTGTCGTGGATGAAGCCTCGGACCTTTTCGGAAAGTTCACCGGCATCCTGCGTGGCTTTGTCGATTATCACGAGCGCTCTCGGGCGTGAGACGTCCAGATAGATATTCTGTCTGTCTGGTGGGTAGGCCGGATCTAGCACGGAGAACGTGCCGCCGGCCTTCAGTGTGCCCATCACTGCAACGACGAGATCAACTCCTCGGTAAGAGTAAATCATAACCACATCGCCTCTCTCTAACCCAGACTGGACCAAATGGTGGGCAAGGATGTTTGACGCTTCGTGGATTTGCTGATAAGTGAACCTCCGCTCTGGGCTGTCCTCCGACTTCGTCTCCACCACACACGTTCTGTCAGGGTGAGCTTCGGCATTTGCAGCAAATATGTCGTGAATGGCACCGCGAAATGAGGACCACTCAAGGTCACTTGTAGGATCAGGAATCAGTGCCTTTTCCTCGGTAGTGATAAAGGGAATGCCCCCAAGAGGGGCATTGACCTCCGCTGCGGCATTCTCCAGCAGTTTGGTGAGTTGAGCCAAAACACCCGCTATTCTGTTACTCGAGACAAGACGCTGGTTGTAGCGCGCAGTCAGGCGTAAGTCACCTGTGGATGAGCAATAATATGTCAATAAGAAGTCTGTTGTTTCTGCCCCACCACTCACACCAGCGCCATCAATGTCGCTGTTAAGGGCAGCGAATCGGAACAGGATAGGTCGTTGCAATCGCTTCTGAAGTGCATCAAGCGGGATGACCCTGTCCGCAGCTACAGCACAAAGCTCCTCTACTCGCTTTGCGAGCTGTGAGAAGGACTCGCTGGCCGTCACGGATGCCTTCAGCACAAAAGAAGGAGCATTCAGTCCTGCGTTGGCACCGATACTGATGTCTTCATCACCAGTCAGTCTGCTCACGAGGATAATTAGCGCTGTCTGAACGATAGTCGTCACAGAGCCCAGGCCCGATAGTGACTTTAGGGCATTTGTAGTCGACGCCGGAGCGGACAGTGACTCCACCGCCTCAATCGGTCGCTTAGGTACATTCTCTGAAGCAGCTTCAGGGTAATCTCTTGTCAACGGCGATATTGTTTGATCCTGTAGGCGGTGAGCCCACCAGTCGAGCGCGTCCCCGGAGACCTTTTCAGGATCCATTGTTGAACTTGAGCACGTGGGCCAGCAGTGACTCCATACAATATGAAAATATTCTTGCTGCCGCTTGACGAAATACTCGGCCGAGATCGGCTAGAGTGGAGGCAGTCCATTAGCTAACTCTCATTGGTCTCTGCTCGAAGCCTTGCAGCCCAGTGAATGCCGTCACCGTCAAGCCACTGTGGCACTTGTGGCTGCGGACAGGACCACGTGAGGAGTTACGGAAAAGAAATCCGTCTCAGTTGTTTACCCGCACGACCCGTCCCTGCTATGGCGGACTCTTGAAACAGGTCATCTTGGGAATGGGCACGTCGACAGATACAAGCTGTCCAACACGGGAACCAGATCATGGGCAACTTGTTTCAGTCGGTGGCCTCCACAGGTGCCAAGTTCTTTATCCCGTTGGTCCATTTGTGTTAGATCGTCAACGACACATGCCGGAGATCTCGGGACTGGATAGCCAGATGCTAGGAGAAGTCGCTTGTCCTTTAGAGACCCCAGAGATCCCACGGACGCATTGTAGTGCTTGAATCGACTTGAGCATCTGGTTGCTACTGCAAGCAAGTTGTTTCCTCTGTCTACATCTCTGTTTGCATGTCGTCGGGCGGACAGCAGTCAGCGGTAGCGATACATAAGCGGTCTCCTCACGGGTACAAGTACTATGTTTTAGCCTCCTTTCAGAGTAAGCATAATACGCAATACGCCATCTCTTCCATTGTGCACTACCAAGTAAGTAGACCTTGGGTGTTGGCCAACAATGGCGAGGCCAGACCTATTAAGGGGGACCTCGAGACGCGAATGTGGAGGCAATGTCGTGGGAGACCGGATAAACGTCACTCCGGTTTCGCTTAGCGATTGAATGATGGCTCGATGTTCGCGCAGCACTTTTCGTGCTGTGCCCATCTTGGGTATCCTGTCGACAGTAGAAATCTCAAATCAGTATCTTCGCCCATGCGATGGAGGGTCTATACACCTGCTTGAGATGCGCAAGAGCTATCTCGGGCGGCGGTCGGAAACTGACGACTTCTAGACTTGTCCAGCAGATACCCAATCGTCGCAGCTTCACCTCGAGCTCCTCATTAAAGTCACTCCCACACAATCACTCGAGCGCAGACTCAACGACGAGTCCGAAGAGATCGATCCGGTCAGCATCTACCGCAGCAGCACCGGCAGCAGAAGAAGATAACTTCGAGCGCCACAACATCCCGCCGAGTGACTACGGCGAATGGCGAGCCCATGGACGAACTGTCCTCAGCCCTGACAACTTGTTCCATCCTTTCTCCCGATCGCCCATAGCAGCGATTCGACAGCGAGCACGGTTTATGAAACAGCATGCGCTATGCCCTCATCCTGCACATCAGCAAACTCGAGTGCCCACCTCACCGCACGACCCTGAGTCGAGAAAGATCGAAGGCGTCAGTAACGAACCGCCGGCACATGTGTCTTTCGAATGTCCAGACTGCGGAATAGCCACATACTGCTCAGAGGCACACTGGGCCGATGACTTTGAAGCACATCTGGAGATATGTGATACCCTGAGGCAGATAAATGAAGACGATCATGATCTGAGGTCTGGACGATGGTTTCCCGAGTTTGAATATCCGGGTCCGCAGATCGATGAGGCCTTGGTCAACATGACAAACTGGGATACATTTCTCTACACGCGCCAGTTCGAGGCAATAAATCACGATAGGAGCATGCGGCAGGCCACGAAGTTGTTGACCTACCCTGTCACCCTTGGGAGTGTTCTCCACGAGCTAAGCCCATACACAATCCGAACCGGAGGAAGACTTACTGCAGAGGGGTTAAAGAGTTTGTCAGGTAAGATAGCGTTGTCCGGCTGGGACTGAGAGGATGTTCTGACGACGACAGCATTACGATATACTTTGCATCCGCCCAAAACCGGCCAAGGCAAAGACATTAAAGGTCTGAGGCTCTCGAGTCCTCCTGTCCGATTATTCGTACTAGGAGCTCGAGCTGAATCTTCACTGCCCCGTGAGGTCTGGGCTCAACTATCCTACCTTTTCCCACAGGCGCTCATCCATCTCATCTTCATCGGTCCCGAGTCAATGGTGAACCGGGACTCAGAGTTTCCACTTCCCGAGCGAACACCCAGTAATCCTTTCGGAGCGATTGTCGAGGACCGAATATCCACAAAAATGAAAATCACCACTTACGTCGACTACTTCCACACCCTACACGAAGCCAATACTTTCTACCCTTACGACCCCTACTTCGACTGCTTCATGCTCTTTCACCCTGGCCTGGGCCATCCGGCGTCCTCGCTCGAATGGGAAAAGACCTTGCCCCAGCTGCTTGAGACGAAAGTCCCTGTAATATGCACCGGGTATACGGAATGGGACATGAATCGTGACTGGCAGTGGGTCATGGAGAAATGTGCAGGAGAAGTCGACCTTCTGATGGAACCTGGAGAGAATCGTTTCCGGTCGTTACGATGGGACTTGAACGACCTGGATCCTCAGGACATCAGTTGTGGAAACTGGGGTGTCTGGGCTTTTAGAGGCAAGAGGTATGTCCTAAGTTTTCTGTGTCATGAGATTGACTACGTTCGGCTGGATTCCCGGCTGGAAATTATTCGAATACCCTTGCTGACCACGGTGACCCATAGGTACGAGGCAACGACACGGGACACTACCTGAAGCGAAGCAATCCCTCGACCCTGTACAAATATTTCAGGATACTGGGCCCGAGTGGGTTCAGAGTATCAAAATCGGCCAGACGCGCCTTGCGGTACTCGCGCAGTATTGAGAGTTACTATACGGACAATCCAAGCCGCTGTGTATGCAAGCCCCGCTTGTAGAGTCTTGCCTCTGTATAAGCATTTGACGCCCAGCCGGATTGCTTGTGCCGTGCTAGGACGTTATCTCGTACGATTCACCTTCGAGAACGCTTCAAGCTTTGATCTGCATCACAACCTGCAGGCTGATAGGGCCGCCGCAAGATCGTGATGTCAGGCTTTCCGCTGGGCAGATTCGGTCCGTCACAAGGCACAGGGAGGGCTTGCATAAGCCAAGCATTGGATATGTGCAAGATTCATCTCGTGGATCGCTCTGGAGTCGAGCTTTTCTGAAAGGCGAGTTTGGGCACTGCCTCCCGCTCGCTGGAATCCTGACGTTTTTGGCGTATTCCCGCACGTATCGATAAGTGATTAGTGATGTTAGCGTGTGTGCTGTGGCCAATGTGAGCCCTGCGTCAAATACACGAGCGTCATGCTATCCAGAATCTGGGGTGAAGCCACGAACTTGCCACTGATCATCCATCACGTTCCGTTCCCTGTTTGTCTAAGGACGTATTTGCATTTTATCATTAAGTGGCAGTGCCCTACATCGCTCTCGAGTTTTCGCTTCTTTGTTCATATACATCAAGTGCGCGTCTGAAACTATTGCTCATATTGCACTTCTTTGTTTACCTCGGGCAAGCGCAGCGAACGACACATTGCAGCACTACACGGAGTTGAGTCAGACGCAGCAGACATCGATTGACACCCAACTTCACGTCGTAGACCAAGCGCAAATATGAAGGTGCTACAACTAGCCTCCCTTCTATACCTTACCTCCCTCGTCACGTCCGCTCCACCCCTTGCGCCATTGACGGACATCTCTGTTCGCGACACCTCCCCGCTCGACCAGTTCGCACACCTCGAAAAGCGCAAGGGCGGCGGAGGCGGTAAAGGAGGCGGCGGCGGTTCTTCCTCAGGAGGTTCCTCAAGCGGACGCACTGGGTCTGGTAGCAGTTCCGGTAGCAGTTCGGGTTCAGGCTCAGGTTCAACACGGCCCAACGGCCAACCATACTCATTTTCCCCGTCGAGCAACGTGGGTGGACGAACAGTTTCGGGCAGTGGCACACCCAAACAGTTTGGCAATCGATACGCAGGAGGAGCGGTAGTGCCTTACACTGCTGGCGCAAGGAGCCCTTCACTAGGCGTTGCGCCGTTCTTCATCGGGGCCGGTGCGCTTGCTTTCTTCCCAGCAATCTGGCTCTACGGCAGTGTATTTGCCTACCCCTACGCTTATCCCTACCACTGGATCGACAACGATGGGCAAAATCGCACCTCGAACGTCACATGTTTGTGTCAGCGGTACCAAGTCTGCGGATGCGACCCGGACAACAATTCGACATTCTTGAATCAAGTAGTCACCAATGGATCTACGACACCTGGTGCGCCCGTCAACACGAGCACTGTGCGCACAGTGACTTTCGACAATGGCACGACGGCCACTTACATCAATGGGAGTCTGGCCAATGGAACGACCGCCAGCGGTGGCACCGATCCGAGCGATTCGAGCCAGGTCAGTCCCGCAGTGAGGTTGGCTGTGGAGATGAGTGGGTACTGGGTTATGGTTCTCACCGTGGTGCTGGGTATCTGGACCGTTACTTAGAGCAGACGATTCTGTTGAGTGGACGGCACATCCTAGACTGCGACAGAGAAGCCTATGTATTTCACTTGAGAGCACCTATATGCTTTTGACTTGGAGCCAGTAAATGGGGATCAAGCACGCCTTCAGGGATGTTTACCGATTCTGGCATTTCGAATTGAACATTTGCAATGACTCCCCTTATGAGGAGTTGAATGAAGGGGGGGTTATATGCCTCGGGAGCACACATGCAGAGCGGCAAGTTTGGCCTTTTCATAGCTTTTCATACCCCGAGTTGGGAACAGATTTGTGGTGTAAAACACAACATTGGATGCGTTGTGCCGTTTCTTCAATCTTGGTTTTCATAACTTTCTTGAAGCTTAGTTGGTCACGCTGTAGCTATCAGGGTCCCTACGTCCCTCCCGTAAGCGCGTCAAGACCTTTTCCCATGGTAGGAATAAAGTAACTGGCAGTGCTGAGCAGGTCGTCGCCACAGCCTAAGATTCATCCACCACCGCGGTGTTTGGGTTACGGGTGCAAGCGTTAACCAGGAAAGGGCCTATGAGATGCGCAAGAGACCCCAGCATAACATTGAATTTCCGAAGTCTTGACCTATGTACAGTTCCTGCCAACGGACACCATGTTAATGACCCAGACGGCCTAGTACTTTGAGTCCTTCAGACCTGTGTCTCGCGGTCCTGGTTCAGCACGACGTCTCGTGATATCTGGGGCTTGTGTTGGAGATCGCCGGTTACCTGTTCGTCGTCCACGGGGTCACCTGCCATGCGCGCCTAGTATCTGTTAGCTGGAAGACAAGATCGAGTGTGCGTAGAGGGGGCTCACCCGCACGGCGCCAGGACCCCCAAGCTCTTCGAACAAGCCGCCCTCGTATTCCTTGGGAGCACTTGGTTTGCCCGGATATGTGGCCGACACTCCATAGTATATGCCCAGCACGGCCGAGATAAAGCCCGCCCACAGAAGCAGACCTCGGGCGGTGGACATGAAAGTATAGTCGTGCAGTGAGAAGACACCTAGGACGTCATTGTCTTCGTGGACGGGTTCACCGAAATTGCGCATTTCCTGCTTATCGTCCCAGTCGGCGTAGGGATCGCGTTTCGATCGCTTAATTCGGGGAGGGTTGATGTAGTTGTTGTTCTTGAGTGCAGTAGTTAGCATACTATCCGCCCGGACAAGTCTCAAATGCGGTGTTTGCGCACCATTTCTGGGTCGTCCTGCTGGTTCTCGACATCGGCTGGCGCCGCCTTTGCACATGTTGTACTGGAGAATGGAGCTCGTGGGAGGCCGAGTCGAGGTTGGAATTGCGGTGGTGGATGAGGTCGGGCGACGGATCGAGCTGACCTTGCCGCGAAGGCCACGGCTCGTCGAGAAAACATGTTGGATCGAAAGGGCCCCGAAGGAGCTGCACAAGGAGTCTCGCAGTTCCCGATCAGTGCATCGAGAGAATTAATCCGACCGTCGTGATTGTGGAGAGGTGAGGTTGCGGGCTGGTGAAGGCAAAGGAATGGGCAATGCTGGGCATTGATTGGGCTGAGGGGGGGAGGAAGCTGTCATGCTCAGTGCAGTCAGTGCCTGTTCTTCTCGCCCTGCGCTCACTTCCGATTTCCCTTCCACCTCGATATTTTCCACCAACGCACCCAACTTGCATCGCCCGTCAGCAGCCGACCGTTGTCGCGAGAACACTCAAACTTCGTTAGCCGCGCCTACTCGACCGGCTCTACATTCTGGCCCGCGATTCGACTACTTTGGCCTCCTACTGGTGGAACATGCCCGTCGTCAAATTGGTCGTTTTGTGAGGATACAATTTTGCCATGCCAGGCGCAGGACGAGTGACCGCGCCAGATGCCGACCCCGACCGGCGATTCTCTAACGCACTCCAACACTGCGGATCAGCAACGACAGCAAGGTATGCCTCATCATGAAAGTAATAGTCGACCCGTGTAAACTGACTCTTCATCAGACCCGCTGCATTACAGATCTCAGTCGCCTGTTCGCGTCCATGGAACCCCTCCCAACTCATCGGTCGAACACCATGACAGCCACGATAATGCCAATCACGAGCCACCGGCGAAGAAGCGGAAGGTTGCAGGGCCCGAGCATAAACAATCTCCTCGACCCGTCTCTCCCCCATGGAGACGGGTCGTCGCAGAGGGTCCGACATCCTTCGTAGTCGATGGTCGGCGGAAGTCTGGACGAACAAACATCATCCCTCTTGATCTGCAGCCCCAGTCGAATAAGAGGCAGACCCGCGCCGCGTTTGACAAAGTCAAGGAGGAACATCAGAAGCATGTCAAACCCGTGTACAACATCAACATGTCCGCACGAAAGTCCAACACTGAGGTTGTCGTCCCTTCACGCTCACCATCGGCCGTCAAGCGCGCTACTGCTCCTCCCACGAAGAGCCGCGATTCCGCCACCCAGGTGCATATCGCCAAGATAGAGAGCTTGCAAAGACAGATCAAAGAACTCGAGAAAGCCCGCTTCAAAACTTCACATACCCCGCAGCCCAAGTCCTCCAAGTCGCCTGGTCGTCCGGCCAGCGCTGGCGGCCGTCGCCCTCGGCTGAATTCGCTCAAGGTGAACGGTGTTCACAAAGAGCAACGACCCATTGGTGGCACAGTCACACTCGAACCAGGGAGCGACTCCAGCGACCTTGACAGTTCTCTGAGCGAGCCCGATGTGTCGTCCAGAGCACCAACCCCACCACTGACTTTGCGCAAAGTCGTCTTTCGTGTCCAATTACCTCCGCCCACTGTTGCAACTCCTGCCAATATCCCACCATCAAAGAAGTTCGCAAGTTTGGAAGAGTTCTTGGAAAAAGATGACACAGAGCCACGGCTGGCGGAGGACACCTTGACACAAGACCAGATCAAAAAGGAAGCCATGGTGAGGACCAAAGTGAGACAGGCACAAAAGCGAGGAGGAGTACTGGACAAGAAGTTGGTTGACACGCTGCCCAAGCACCAAGCTGAACCCAAAAGACAATATGCCCATCATGACCACCTGCTCGCGCACGTATTGCACTTTCGGAGACTTCTCGAGGTCGAGACCAAGGATCATAGGAGAAAGGCCCAGAACCTGGCTTATGAGGCAAAGAGATATGTTGAGGACAAGCAGAGTCGAAACAAGGTCAAAACCGTCGCTGAAATCGTGCAAGAACAGCGGGAGGCCTGCATTGCGGCTTACCGGTCTGTGGTCAAGGATGTCGACAAACTTTGGGCCGCCGTCAGGGCAGAGGTTAACGCCATGCGACAAAAGGAGTATGAGGAAGAGCAGCAAGCCAAGATGAAGGGCCACCTCGCGCGAGTGTTGGATCGGACTGATCAGATGCTGAGTCGGGCTGCGGAGCAGGACGGTTTGACCACGGATACGGACACAGACATGTCTATGGATGAAGCCATGGACTCGGAGTCAGAAAACAGTGAGCAAATGTCGGACAGCCAGACAGAATCCGAATCGGAAACAGATGGCCAGGATGCCGATGCTGAGATGTCACTCGAGGAACTGAAAAAGAAGTATGACAATCTACAGGACCTGGCAATAGAAGCCAGCGATGCAGAGGAGCCACCGGGTTTGATTGAAGACCAGCCAAGTCCAGATCCAGCTCAAGAAGAGTCAGACCCCGAGACAGAGATGGATTCGGAGTTTGACACAGATGAAAGCGAAGACGATGACGATGACCAGAACAGTGGTGAGGAAGATGAAGGTGACGAGGACGAAGATGAGCCTGATCTTCTCTCAATGCTTTTTTCGAAAGCTCAACGCGCGAAAATAGAGAAGGAAGTCGACCAGGAAGTCGAGATGGGAGAGTCCGAAAGTCGCAGCACTCACCTCGTGGAAGAACTTAGAGACGAGCCGAGGCCGGATGGCGATCAGGAGGTCGAGGACGGAGACTCCCCAAGTCGCGGCACTCGCCTTGTGGAAGAACTTACAGACGAGCCGAAGCCCGATGGCGACCAGTATGGAGGGCAGAACGTGCCAGATCATGGCGCCTCAGAAAAGGTTGAAGCCGGTGTTACAGGGCGGCTCGATGTGAAGTTGGAAGTTGTAGCAAGTCAACAGGGCGAAGACGCTATAGTTCGAGACGCAACCTCACCTTCCCATCTAGAGATACCTCACCTTCACTCGGAGGATGCGGTGAGTCAGGATCCCAGCACTCATACTTCTCCTCACACGACAGCCACCAAAGTCTCCGAGCCCGACTCTGTTTCCTCAATTGATGCTCAAATCGACCCGGCCCCGCCTGCCACACCTTCGGACACCAAGCCGACCATCGAGACACCTGTTCCGAGTCTATTACGAGGTACCCTGCGCGAGTACCAACACGAAGGCCTGGACTGGCTGGCCAATCTCTATGCGAAAGGACGGAGTGGGATTCTAGCAGACGAGATGGGTCTCGGCAAGACGATTCAGAGCATAGCGCTTCTGGCTCACCTTGCTGAAGTCCATGAGGTCTGGGGTCCCCATCTCATCGTTGTCCCAACAAGTGTCATGCTGAACTGGGAAATGGAGTTCAAGAAGTTCTTGCCTGGCTTCAAGGTCCTGACGTACTACGGTGATCAGACAGAACGAAAGGAAAAGAGAAGAGGGTGGTTGGCAGATGACAAGTTCAATGTCTGCATCACTTCATACCAGCTCGTCTTGAAAGACAAGGATTCTTTTAAGCGACGGAGATGGCACTACATGATTCTGGATGAAGCCCACAACATCAAGAACTTTCGCTCTGAGCGGTGGCAGACAATGATGACCTTCAACACCAGGGCTCGGCTGCTTTTGACCGGAACACCTCTTCAAAACAACCTGACTGAGCTGTGGTCACTGCTGTTCTTCCTCCACTATGGCCAAGAAGACCAGGGCGAGGACGACGCTTTCGCGGGCTTGAAGGAGTGGTCGGAGTGGTTCAGAAGGCCCGTCGAATCAATCCTCGAGCATGGCCGGCAGGTTCTGGATGAGGAAGACCGCGAGCAGGTCGCAAAACTGCACAAAGTCATCCGGCCGTTCCTTCTTCGCAGACTCAAAGCAGACGTTGAGAAACAGATGCCTGGTAAGTACGAACATGTGGAAATGTGTCGCCTGTCCAAGCGCCAACGCCAACTCTACGATGGCTTCATGTCAAGAGCTCAAACCAAGGAGACACTGGCATCTGGGAACTATTTGTCCATCATCAATGCACTGATGCAGCTGCGCAAAGTGTGCAACCATCCCGACCTGTTTGAAACGCGGCCTATCAACACATCACTCGCAATGCCTAAGGCTGCTTCGGCCGACTTCGAAATTACAGATTTCTTGGTGCGCCGGAGACTTATGCTGGACGCCTCGAACGATCTAGACCTCGACTTTTTGCAGTTGGCTCCGGTTTCCAATGAGGGGATGTCCATGATTGAGGTCATCGAGACTAGTAAACGACATGCGTACCACCAATTCAAGGGTCTACGTGAATCTCAGTCAAGGAGGGTCTTGTCCTCTTCCGGTGTCTTCTCCGGCAACGCACCGAGTCCTTTAGCATGGCGTGGAGACAATCGCATTGGCGTGCTCGGGTCGCTGGAAAATGTTGGGCGAAGAGCTCGGCTTCAGGAACTCGACCGCACCATGTATTACGAAGCCTACAGGCACCACCAGCACCCCATCTACGGCCGAGGCCTGGTCCAACGAGTTACCATCAACGCCAAATATGAGCGACTGTGCAGGCTCTCATCGCCTAGAGCCTTGTCCAAATGGTGGGAGGACGAGATGCCCGTTCAATTTTTCGACATGGTCCACTCTGTGCATTCACGATCCGAGCAAATGCAACCTTTCGTGGAAAAGTATGCGTGTGTCACTCCGTCTGTCGTGGCAACCGACCTCGCCACCAGAGCTGTAACCGAAGAAGGCGCCCAGCTCATCAGAGAAGCATCACAGTCAGCCTGGAGGTCTGACCGAGACAATCCAGATCCGTTCCACCTCGCTCGCATGAAACTATCAATCGCCTTCCCGGATAAGCGCCTCCTCCAATACGACTGTGGTAAGTTGCAGAGACTCGACAAACTCCTCCGGCAACTCCAAGCAGGAGGCCACCGTGCGCTGATCTTCACGCAAATGACCAAGGTCTTGGACATTCTGGAACAGTTCTTGAACATTCATGGTCACCGATACTTGCGACTTGACGGGGCGACCAAAATCGAGCAGCGCCAGATCCTTACCGAGAGATTCAACAACGACAACCGCATTCTGTGCTTCATCCTGTCTTCCCGCTCCGGCGGTCTCGGGATCAATCTTACCGGTGCAGATACTGTCATCTTCTATGATCTAGATTGGAACCCCGCCATGGACAAGCAGTGCACAGATCGGGCGCATCGAATCGGCCAAACTCGCGATGTGCATATCTACCGGTTTGTAAGCGAACACACCATCGAGAGCAACATCCTCCGAAAAGCCAATCAAAAGCAAATGCTCGACGATGTGGTCATCCAGGAAGGTGATTTCACGACGGATTACATGGCCCGGATGAGCTATCGGGATATGCTTGACAATGGTGAAGGAGAGGGCGAGCAAGACGAGGCCGGCAGAGCCATGGATCGTGTCCTCGGCACCACAGGGGACAAGAATATCGTTGTGCTTGAACAAGCTGAAGACCAGGAAGATCGGGCCGCGGCCAAGGTTGCAGCAAAGGAGATCCAGGTTACCGACGATGCCGACTTTGAGGATCAAGCAACCAGAGCGACCCCTCAGACGGGAGATGCTCGCAACACACCTACGGCAAGTACTGGTGGTGGTCTTGCAGGAAACGGACTCTCCAATGGCACAGACACAGCTCCTTCCGAGGTGGCCGAAGAGAGCGAGAAGTGGCATCACATTGATGAATATCTGATCCAGCTCCAGAGATATTTGATGAAGGACATCCCACTGGAGGGCGGGACGAATTTCAAGAAGGGCAAGAAAGGACGGCGGAGAGACGAGCATCGCGTCAGAAGGAGATGAGACGAAGCACTGTTCTTGGTAAGGCCGGTTATGGAGCCTAGGAGACAAGCCTTCAAGTGAGATGGGAAGATGGGTTGAAGTCGAGAGCTTACAAGCTCATGTACGAAACAGATAGTAAAGAGGTGTCTCTCGATGGGTAGGCAAAGGGTAGAGGGCTCACTCGGCTGGTCGCTGGAGCTACCTTACCCAGTGGAGCCGAGAGAGAGAAGTACTTCGCAAGTGTATTACATACATACCTACGACCGACATGTTCATAATATTCAGCCTTGTTCAGTATGGCTTTGACGGAGACTAGATAAGTGAGATCTTTCCGGATCTAGGCATCCATCCCTGTGGCTTGTTGTTGTAATATGTCATATGGTTACGAATCGTGCTCCGCCTCTCTAACAACAGTGTAGTACGGTAACGGTAAAACGGGAGCGCGCGAGTGTGCACCAGGGGCGAGCTTCGTAGCCAGCTACATAACTCCCTTCCTTGTCTGGCGAGCTACATAGCGTCTACTGCACACCGCCGTGTCGTTGTGTCATGTTGGGCTGGGCTGGGCTGGGCTGGGCTGAGTTCGTATCGTATCGTATCGTATCGTATTGTAAAGAGAGGTACAGGTACAGGTACAGATGGCCAGATTTAAGAAAGGGAGGTTACATGATACGTGTTTCGGAGAGCAGAACCTGGAGGTCTCTCCTTCCAAGACTGCAGAGGACACAGTATATATTGGTGGCGATGCTTCTTTGGGTCCGATGCTTTCGACATATGTACAAGGTGTACTGTATGTACTCAAAGGGGAATAAGGATCCATGGCTTTTACCGTGCATTGACCCCATGCATTAGGCCGGACGGCCTTTGGTATGCAGCGGCACTGGCAGGACAACAAACAACCACGTCTCCCGAAGCCATTGGAATGTTCAATCTCCCGACTTACTCCCATATACACGGTACACTTCCTATACCGCCCAACAACATAGCAAGGCCTCCTATTTGGCTGAGGTAAACATGTCAAGTGTATACTTGGCGCCCACTACTCCTCCTTAACGACAGCCATCAAGCTGCGGTACGATGCCTCTGGCTGACCGCCCGTCTCTCTCTGCCGACCGACTCGCGCAGCACTTCTTCATCAATGACTGGGTCGAGAATGACCGTGGCGTGGAGGAAGAGTACACTTGGAAACCGCATCAAGTGCGCTTCGTCCTGTGGTATCATTTGACGACGTATATACCCAATGATGCTATAGCCACAGCGTTCAATGTCACTCTCGACGCAGGTGGTGATGATGTGCCGGAGATGAAGGCCGCCAACGTACAAAACATCATCGACGTGATAAAGAATCGAATGAAGCTGATCGACACGGAAATCGGGGAAAGAGGCCTAGGAAAATGGCCTCGACCGAGCGAACTAGGCTGGATCCCTTGCGACCATGGAATGAGTTGCGCGACGCTTGCTGAAGTGTCCCATGGTGCCATGACCAGCGTGATGAGAAGCAACGAATTGAGAACCAGGGGCGCAAGAGAGATAGCTGCCATGGCAACGGGACTGTGGGAGGGGAGTTGGGACAAAATCCTGCAGTGTCCGAGGAGGCACAAGGAGGTCGGCCGTGCGATACCCAACCCGGGGTATGCACCGGCTCCTCCTTCTATTGGGGCTTTACAAAGGACACCACTGCCAAAGGAAAGAAGGTGCACGCCCATCGACGTCGTGAGCTTTAGTGAGGGGTCGAAGAACTTGACTGATCCATCAATCGCCATCGTTCCAATCACAGAACTGCGCTCTTCGCCCAGGAAGTCGGGCGCGAACCCATCGTCCATGCAAGGATCCAATGCCACAGGTTCAGCGAGCAGGAAACCTCCAAGGTCATTACCAACCACGAAGAACCACAGTCCGGCCAATAAACTTCATCGCTCGCTGGGTCGGGCCCAACCGATGGCTGCAGTTGAAGAAGAATCCGACATTGACTCGGACGAGCTTACAACGGCGCGGCATGTTCGAGCTGCAACCAGGCTGGCGAGCGGCAGGTTAGCCTCTGGCGGTGGCGTCCACCAAGCAGTCGTCCCTACTGCAAGTGCCAGTCCTGAGATCATCGTGCCTCGGAGAGGCGACGTTGTCCAAGCAGTGTTTGCATTCCTTGGGACATGTGATGCTTTTTGGTTCGTGCTCGAACAAACCGTCCGAGGCATATGCTTGTGCACCATCCTGGAGCCGTATTTCGAGCTTCTGGGAGGGGACTCCGAGGACGTGCCGCACTATGTGACGGCGCAGCACGGGCGGCCTGTTCTGCATGCTGTAGGTACGATTCTGTTCGCCCAAGCAGTGGTTGGGTATGCATCAGGTCGAGTCCGAGACTATGCACGAAGACGCTGAAGAGTTGTCCCCAGTACCCCTGAAGCACCGTATTTGTCGCCCACCGGGTACTTGCTGTGGATATGTATGGCCTCTGCAGCGGCAACCTTGATCTGGCCCTGGTGGGGTCATTATACGTGGTATCTGATTCAAAAGATCGCACAGCGGCTCATAGCTCCAGGAGCAACCAGGGTCGTAGTTCCTGGTCCGGATGGGCGCATATGATGGTTCCCAAGACCCGAGCACTCAGATTTGGAGGGCATGAGTATCATGAGCCCCACCAGCGACTATTCCCTCTCACACCTCCAGTCTCAAAAACAGACTCCTCTTCCTCGAACTTCAATCTCTCGACGACTCGACGGGCTCGAAAACTCTTAACAAACTTCCAAGCTTCGGCATCGGCCAGGTTCCACGCCTCTGCGACGTTCCGGATTTTGAGCACAGCCTCGTCCTTGCTGTTGACAGTCTCCCTAGCCTTGCGCAGAAGCTCAACCTCTATGGCCGCCTGCTCTTCTGTAGGCGGGTCTGGCTCATGAGCTTTCTTGCGTTCGGCGGGGAGACCGGCCGGGATCTTAGCCCAGCGCTCGGGCCCAGGAACCGGAGGAAGTGACTCTCCATGAGAAACCGTTGTCCTTGGCACCGGAAACCCGAAGTGCCAGTCGAGGTGCTCCAACCAGTCTTCTGGGAAAGGTGCTATCTTTTCCTCCACCGGCCGGTCATTGGTAGGCGACTTGGGTGGAGGTGGCGGCGGATTGAACGAAGCAGGAAAGTATTCGGTAGTGAACCACAAGGAGCGGCTACCGCCATACTCGGATGCTACGGCATCTTTCAGGCTTACTACACGGCTTGGGCCTCCACGGGCATCTCCTAGTAGATCGCGAGTGACAGCCGTTATCCATGGGTCGCGGTCAGTATTTCGTCGTATGTGGGCAACAGATATGTCGTCCGTCTGATTGGTCAGAGTGATCATGGTGTAAGGGTGAGGCACAACAGCAATGGTGAACAGAGAAGAGGCATTGCTAAAGGAGGGTGTGGTTTTGACGCTGAGCTTGGAACCAGTACACGGGGAGCATTTTGGACGGTTTGGTGGACAGGATGATTGCAAGATGGAGTTGGGACATTCCGCAAGAAGCCGAGCCAGGTCTAGCGAGGGCTTAACCAGAGTGAAGGTGTGAGCGGCAAGAGGCTGTAACACAACAATACCAGTGCTAAAGGTGTTCTGCCACGTGACGTGGAGATGGGCTCGCATAAGTTCAAGTAACGAACGCCGGCCTTTGTTTGGGTCTTTCTTCATCAGTTCTGCCAGTACAGGATACTTCGAGGTAACCGTCTTCGAGTCGTAGCAAGCGATAGATGTAGGCTGCTCGGCTTTGAACCTACTTGCGTCGATGGCATCCGTGATTGACTTGTAGGAACTGAGTTTGACGTCGTTCAGAGTTGCCTTGATGGCATCTTCTACTTGAGACTTTTCGCCGGCGAAAAGCCCTGATCCCAAGGCTTGAAACTTGGTGAGTTGAGCATACTGTCCGCGGCGCAGGTGGGAGAGGAGGTCATCATCGTAAGCAGCCATAGGCAAGCAATACCAGCCAGTGAATAGTCCAGTACCCATATGGGCCCATGCGAGCCATTCTCGGAAATCTTGTTCCAGCGTTGCTGGCATGCCTTTGGTATGCAGAGTCTGATAGAGCGGATGGCTCATTGCTTCAGCGTCTGTAAGGATCACCGGGCGAAAGCCATGGGCCCACCAGGCTTGCCTCCAAGTCAACAAGAACTCCTTGTCGATCTTTCTCGTCTCTTCATCTTTCTTGGCTGACGCATCGTAGAAGGTATAGATGGGTGGCCGGTCAGCCAGCGGAGGCAAAACGACTCGGTCCTCGTCGAGAGTAACCGAGGAGGAGAAAGGGTTTAGCCATTTCCAATCGCTGTACCACGAGCTGCCTTCATGTGTGCTGTTCTTCTGCTCCGGAGGCTTGTGTGCAGAACTCTGGAACGACCAGCGCAGGCTATTAGGAACGTTGATTTTGGGGACGAGGTCGCGGATGCCCTCGGGGTATTGCAGTACATCAATTACGCCCACAGAGGCTGTGGCCGACGTGGACGTGTATATGAGGATGCCGATTAAAAAGACTGCCGCGACGCCTATGTATCTGGTGAAATGGCGCGGAGCCATGGCCGACCGGGTTACTGGTGGAAGCGAGCGACTGGAGGAAAGGGGCAACAAGTATACAATGCTTGAACGCGCACAAAACAAACTTTATCGCAGAACCGAAGACATCTCGACGGGTTATTATCCTGTCAGTGTCGTACTGTCACGTCGCCAGTCGTGATGGTCTGCTCTCTCATGGCGTCTCCTCATGAGTGCTTGCGTAAATTGTGTAACGTCGGACATTTGAACTCCGGGGAAGAACCATCCCCGACGAGGACCAATCGGAGAGTTTTATCATGGCCAAGACCAACGGCGAGCTCGTGGAGCTAGTCACGTGCCAGCACCGCAAACCCTCACTCACTCAGTCACTCGCACACTAGGACTTGATCACTGTTACAGGCAGCTAATTTTCAAGGGTCCTTCAAACATACATTAGCATGCATGATAATGGGTATCGGACGTCGGCCATCTGCCATTAATTGTAGAGCCCTGATTGCACGGAACCTGCCTTCCCCCTGTTCTTGTTCACTGATGGACCCGACGGGATCAACATGTGGGTAGCGGATACTCTGTCTTCGGATATCGGTGTGGGTTCCCTACTCCTGCTGAACGAGGTACCGGCTGCCTGAAGGGGCAATGATGAATTAGGTGGGAATGAAGTTGGAATTGCATTAGGGCTGACATAAACTCCTAGCTACCGTGCTCTATCCACAGTAGCTCAGGATGAGCATGTACGGAGTAGGGTGTCGGTCTATCCGCGTAGGGCACCGTGTAGGGCACCGTGTAGGGCACCGTGTACGAGTACAATACCTAATGACGTGGGGTAGTGGTCATCATGTACTCAGTACTCATTCCGGCAAGATGGGAACTGTGCACTACGTAGTGAAGAAAGTGTAGCGGCGCTGTATTTCAAGGGCTGAAAACGTTGGATAGGACGACGAGACAACGGGAATCTGAGATCGTAGCCTGGCTGCTATCGTGCATATTCTGTTAAACTATCTGCATACGTACGAACGTACCATGACGGTGAAGGGGGTATCTATCTGGTCGTCAGAAGTCCCCGCGCATACGTTCTCATGTCCTCTACGTAACGAATGACTGAATTCCTGGTTGCCTTTCTGGGCCAAAACCAGATGGCAGATGCATATTGGTCTTCGCTAGACCGCCTTGTCAGTTATGGAGACGTCTGGCTGAGCCCTCGACGGTTCGTTTCAGACATCGGCGGCAGTCTTTTCACGGGCAACCTCTTGATCCGAACTGCCGCGGGCCGCTGCGTACTCGTCAGCATCGAACTTGTACAATTGTGGTGGCGTGAGGCCCTTGCGACGGAGGACGTTGGTCTTGAACCAATATGGCGCAACCTGGTTGATTTGGTAGTGCATATGCGTGCGGGTGGGCACGGCGAAGACGTAATCCAATTCTTCGAGGGTGCGTTGTTTCGTCTCCGGGAGCCATAGGAAGATCATGACAAAGGCGACGGCGTTGAGAGCGGCATAAAAGCCGAATGCACCTTGGGGAGTCATGGCCTGAAGCATGCGCGGGAAAGTCAGGGACAAGACCGAGGCCCAAAAGTTGTTGGTCGCCACCGCCCAGGACATGCCGACTTCACGATGGGAGAGCGGGAAGACTTCGGCCGAATAGGTGAACGGGACGGGACCTTCTCCGGGAGAGTAGAACATGTCGAACAGGTAGATGAAGAATGCGATCAGGCCAAGATGGGCGTCACTGCTTTCCGGGATCCAGAAGCAGAATCCGGCCGCCAGCAGCGTCCAGCACATGTTCGGGAAGGTAAACAGCAGTAGGGCTCTCCTGCCGAAGGTGTCGATCGTCCAGACGGCGGGCCATGCAAAGATGAAGTTGATGAGGCCGAAACCCCACGACGCCAACAGTGACCCAGTAACGCTGGCCCCTGCTTGGGAGAAGACGGTCGAGGAGTAGAAGGCGATGATATTGATGCCGCACATTTGCTGAGCAATCATGACGATGCCGGATGCCTGGGTTGCGCGTCGGATGCGAGGGATGGTGAACAGCTCGATGAAGCGGGTGAAGATGTTGCCGTGGGTAGCGACTGCCGACTCCTCGACCAGAATATCTTCCTGGACAAGCTGTGCGTGGATGTAGTACAAATCACGGGCGGCCTGGAGGGGGCTGTTTCGGAGTCGGAGCAGAGCTTTGTAGGCTTTTGCGTGACGGCCTTTCTTCATCAACCAACGAGGAGACTCGAGAGCAGTCAGCTTTGAGGGAGGTAGACGATGCACTTCAAACTCACCTCCGGGCAGAAATAGATGCCAATAACGAGGGGCACGGCTGGAATGAAAGCCGATCCCACCTGCAGACGCCAGGCGATGTCGCCAGTATCCTTGACCGCCAGATTTGCGCCTGTAAAGACACTATCAGCCAACCAGGTCCATGGTGCAACTGCATTGCAGGTCTGAAAGGGGAGGACTCACAAGTGCCGAGGAAAATCCCGAAAGCCGTCCAAGTCTGCCATGACATGACAAGACCACCTCGAATATTCGTCGGGGACTATTCTGACGTTAGTCTGCTGGAGACTTCACCACAACAGCCCGAAATGTCAGGCAGAACTCACATTCTCGGCAGAGAACACCGGGACCGTGACTTCTTTCAGGCCCATGCCAATGCCTAGCAAAATACGGGTAGCGACCAGCTGGCCCCAAGACTGTGTGCAGGCCGAACCAATAGGAGCAAGGAGGGAGAAGATGGCGCCAATGAAAATGGTTCCTCGGCGGCCAAACCAATCGTTCATAGGATCAGAAATCCACCCGGCACTGCCAGAGTCAAAACTTATATCATCTCCAGCAAGTTTTGCTGCACTTACAACAAGGCGATTGAAATATATGGCGAGGAATTGACGAAACCGATCAACCAGGAATTGTCTTCGCAATTGCCACGAGCCTCGCATACAGGGCCAGAGTCTGGGATGCCGAAAGCGATCGGGAAGGTCAAGTTTGCGCCGTTGGACCCGGTCTGATCCCACCCCTGCACGGCGGCAGCGATTGAGTTGAGTATAATAGTAAAGTAGAGCATCTTTGGATGCCTCCAGCGATGGGTGACTTCATCGCGAAGAAGCTGCCGTTCGGGTTCATCCAGCTCGGAGATGTGTTCGATCGCATGAGGGCTTTGCGCCACCAATGCGCCTTTCTTGAGAAGGGGAAGAATGTCGTTCAGGTTGTTCTCGTTGGCGTAGTTTTCCACATCCTGTAAAAGTGCCTCTCTCGGTATGCCAACGAGAGCTGCCAACGTGTCAGTCTTGAGAAGATCCGCGGGAGGAGGTGCTGTGGGAGAACGAGGCGGTGCCCTCTGAGAATGTGCTCCGCCGAAGTATGCTGACCAATCAAACGGTATCACCCGGACATGCCTCCGTGTGATTAGTCCACCGAATTGTGCGGGCGTATTCTCAGGCATCGCCTCGTAAAGGAGGACATGATGGTTGCTTTACTCAGAGTCCTATCATGGGCTTGAAAGGGAAGGGCACTTACGGTTGCGAACTCTAGGAGGGACGTCAGCGACATGCAGACAGGCTGAAGCTTTTACACTTACTCTCCAGTAGTGTTGGCGGTCAGTTGTGCCAGGCTGGCCTTGCGTTTGCTCTCATCAGCGAAAAGCACACTCTGGTTCTCAGTTAGTTTGCGATGATTCCGACCACACTCTAACTACGTAGAAGGGTCTCCCGAGTATTGAGGCAACTCACAGGCCTCCGCTGTTGCTCAGCAATGGCATCTTTGAGCTCGGCCATGGTGGATTGTCAATGTCAAGAGGCGAAGAGTGGGACGACTCAATGCAAGGAGGGAAGGAGGAGGAGGAGGTGAGCAAGGTGGGAAGCACGAGAGTTTATGAACGTCCCGGAGCGTGAGTGAGCTTCACTAGCGCGCAGAGTGACTGACTGTACATTCTACTCACGCGACGGCACAAGTACTACACAGTACTCGCCAGGGAAGAGCTGCGATCGGCTACAGGCAAGCCGTGACGGCCACCGACCCAAACAGACTTCTCGCAATGTGGATGAGGCCTCCGTGTCGAAATAACCCCGCCGTCTGCAGTAGTCATGGTGGCCTGTGGCGCTTGCATATTAGCATTAGAGAAGGTGGAGAGGAGAGCTGGGAAGCCAGGATCTGGAGACAGCGCTGATCAAGCCCTTGTTCAGCTAGGGGGATCAATATTGGCCCGAGCATGGAGCAGGGGATGGTTGCGGAGACGTGCGAACCATCACACGACATGCGAGGCAAGGAGGGGGTGGGAGGGTTAGCGCATTGAAGCAGCGACGAGGGTCGTTGCAACACAACGGCTGGGCGTTAGCCAACGGGCAGCGATGTGAACTGGCAGATGCAGCGACAGACAGTAACTTCGAGGTGGACGGCGAGTAGAATGCAAGCAAGCGTGGAAAGCGAGCTACGTAGTACTGTGTAGGGACTAGCCTTCCTTGTCCGTGTCCTCGCCGTGCGCCCTCGGGAAGTATGATCTGACTGGTCACCCCTCTGTTTATTTCAAAGTATCTATAGGCGGCGATGGTGGTGGGTGGACGGAGTCGCGGCCCCGACAGAATCTGCCTGGTCACGCTTCTCCGGACTGTTTCGAGGCGATGGCGACTCCGGAATCACTCCTGCAGAATGTTGTACTAAATCAGCATACTAGGTGTCATCGACGCTGTCCAAGGCAACGTGGTTCTCTATTGACGCGCGTGCAGATTGTCGGCCTTTGACAGACGTCCGCTCTCGCGCCCTGGCCACCGTAGTGAACACAAGCCCTCACGTTGGAGATTTCCAAAGCTTCACAGTGCTTGAGAACAGGACAAGAAACAACAAGACACACTGGAGAGCCTTGGAAAAAGGTGGGCTGGTGATCGACCGGGGCTGCTCTGGGGTCCGTGTCTTGGGCTGACGGCTCAAACGCCGGCCAAGCTTGGTGGCGTCGCCTAGCTGAGGATGCATGATTGCGCCCATCTGCCTCCCAATCCTGCGATCGGCAGATGACATACTGTTTCGATGCCTGGGAAAGTCAAACTCATCTCCCCTCGAAATCATCGAATAGGGACGAGGAAATCAGAGCAGTCTACGAAGGTGGCAGTCTTGGTACCATTAGCATCATGCACCTAGTAGCAGCTGGAATGGCGTGTACTGTGGACTGAACAGACGCTGTCTACACAGTAGGGGACGTCCCGGCTCGCAGTGCGCAGGCCATCATCACCCGCGACCGCCGAGGCTGAAGATTCTGTGTAGCGCATGCCCATAGAGCCCTTCGACCTCAAATCGCCCCAGCCCAAGTGGAATTTTTGAAGTCGAGAACAATATTTGCACAATGGAGCTGGCCCGCCTGTGGACCAACGTGGTAGATATTATGGACTTGATGTCCGACCATGCGTCAGATGGAGCAGAAGGTCTCGACTGTGTACTGTGAAGGAGTACCTTGTGCCTGTCAGACGACCAGAGACGAACGCGCTCCGAGCCATCCGAGGCGATGCGAACATTGACCCATCAGGCTTGCCACAAGGCTCGAAATTCTCACGGTCTACTGGAGCCCACCTACTGCTAGGCTAACAGCCCCGTAGACAGTACAGCTCTCAACAAAGCTGCCTGCTACACACACAAGTTTGGTGGTCTGGCTTAGCATGGCGGCCTCAGAATGGGCATGCAGCCTCTTTGCGACTTCGAGCTGAGCCAGGACTTTTGTGAACTCGTGCTGACTCACGAGAGAGGAATTCATGCACGCCTGACGCCCAGATCCCCACGATCCAACCTTGTGGCGTCTGCCGAGTCGGTTCCCGCGAGGCTCGAGTCTGCCTAGCTACGGCATTAGTCTTAGCAGCCGAGGCGACATAGCAGTCGTCCTAGTTTACTCCGTACCGGAGCCAGCAAAGTCATTCGATTTGAATTTTGCCTTTTTGACTTCGCATACGTACTGGACGCATTGAATGGCCGACGAAGACGCCGCAACATTGGTCTTGCAGCTATTCAGCCAAGCGTACGGAGAAGGGTCGACTGGGTCGTCAGTGCTGTACACAGTACCACAGCGCCCATCACACATGTCGGGTCGTCCGTATACGTCAAGTCATCCACAGGCCTGCGTCTCTGAACCTAGCCTTGCCGTCCACATCTTCCCCGCGCCTCCCTCAATCAGTATATTCCAGCCGAACGGGTATCCCATGCCATGCGCACCGAAAGCAAAGTGCAACCCTGCGGTGCAGATTGAGTCGACATTCGGCACGAGACGACGGCATCTGTTCGTGACTCGGGCTCACCGAACCACTAGTCCTCACTTTGGCTGCCATCCGTGTACGAAGGACCTCAGCTAACGGATGCTCGAGCTCAGGAAAAAAATTCCCAGCGACCCTCCTCCCTACCCAATACAGGAAGCATGCGTTGACACCAGCAACTGCGCGTCGGGTCGGCTTTTCTTTGTTGCTGTTGCTGTTGACTTTTGCCCTGCGGCAGGAAGTATATACCGAGAAGGGTTGTTGTCACTAGTGCTCTCCGGTGGTCTCAAAGCGACAAAGAATCATGAGTCGGCCAACTCTTGGTCTATATCTTTAAAGACCTCTACAGAGTCAGCCAACAGAACACAAAATACGTGTGGCCCGGAAGCCTCGCCCTCATTATCGTTAGCACTTAATACAGGCGACATACACATACAAAACACAGGGTAAGTCTTCACCACTCCATGGTCGAACCAAAAGCGGTCACCTTTCGTTCAGCATGTCGAAAGACACTAGTTGGGAGAACACCCCTCTATCCTATGAGCACCGTTCCTGCAGGATATCGTCCACGCTTTATAAGTCCTTCTTGGAAAGGGAAGCGGAACGGGTACAGAACACTCTCCGGATCCTGATATCGTATTGCCCGCCACGTCTACGGATGTGGCTCGCGAACTAGGCTGTCAAACCACCGATAGTCGTTGTTCGAGAGGCTGCCAGGTCTAGAGGACCATGACCTAGCAATGTCGGAGCGCGAGCCATGTGGCAGGCTGCACGCCATATGCATCCAGAATTACCCGTGTACTATATACCGGTTATCCTCCGGGACCAGCAAACCGGCACCATGGCTCTCAGGCTTTACGCCAGGCCGACAATAACCTTCACACAGTGCAGGATTTATATTGGCAGGCGATTCACTCTGCTGCCACTCAGAAGATCCCAGTGGCACGATTTGATACAGTGACTTTGCGTGAGACAGCGAGCGTCACCACACGACCAACCCGCTTTCTATACTCGTAGATCTCGAGCACCCCCTAGAATGTCCACCTCTTCTATTTCCCTTCCTCGAGGTCAGTGGAAGAGCCAATTTGCACCGACTCATCCAGAATCCTGATCGTCTCCTCGCACTTGTCCTTGATGATCTTGTAGGCGTCCGGGCCCGACGCAAGCCGCATAGGAATCTCTTTGCCAGTAACTCCGGTCAGGATATCGACGCGGCCCCCTTCGCGGGATCACCGCGCTGGTTCTGGTCCGTCCGCTCCACTCGTTCCCTCGGTCCATCGCACTACCGTGCCGTCATAGTCCGATATGACATGTTCGTGCAGGATCTTTGTGCTCCTTGCTCAGGCAGTTCGACCGGAAGTACCCCGGCTCAATACCGCATACTTTTATATTGAACTCGGCCAGCTCGAGGCGCAGCGTCTCCGTGATTCCGCTGACGGCCCATTAGGAGGCCGCATAGATCCCCACGGCCGGCGTGCCGCGCCAGGCCCCAATACTGGAGAAGTTGGCAATGACTCCCGATCGTCTGGCGCGCGTGTAGGGAAGGATGGCCCTCGTGACGTTCAGCGGACCAAAGACGTTGGTTGCGAACCGGGCGTGACTCTCTACTGGACCGCGTCACGTCATGTAAGTAGGCAACCTATTCACGCACATGAGGCAGGCTATCGTACGTGAGCTTTTCTAACCCACCGACCTGACAGTACCCGGCGTCGTTGATGAGGAAGTCGATCCCTCCATGAAGGCTGTGCGCTTCTTCGACCACACGTGTGAGCTCGTCCAGCGGCGAAGTCACGTCCAAGCCTCAGCGTGTGGGCTCCAGCCCGGTTCAGCTCGTCGAGTTTGCTTGTGTTGCGTGCCGTCGCGATGACCTTGTCACACCCACGGAGGAGGACTTCGTGGGCCAATTCCTTTGCCGAAACCGCTTGACCAACCGGTGATGAATCAGATATTGGGTTGTGCCATGCTTGTTACGCGCGTGTCTCGAGAGAGAGCAGGGTCAAAGGGGGTAAGAGGATGGTCCGGCTTCGAGAATTCAAGATGAACAGGGACGACAAGCCTAGCTTTTTATCGTCCTCCTCCCAGTCCGGTGTCCTGCCTCGTGCCTGCACGATGGCTCATTCTACCTCAACCGGGTATCACCGCCCTGGATTCAGTTGATAGTATGACCTGCACGTGCGGAAAGTGGCCGATTGAGCATTCCACCACACCCGCGACATGGCTTCCAAGGTTCTTCAGACCAAATTCTGGCGGAATCGCAACAATGGCTCTATGCGTCATTGGTTGGCACGACTGTTCAATGGGTAATTGAGGGCGATGTTGCATGATAGAACGGCAGACTCGGGACGCTCAGACTGATATGTATCTGGAAGGAGTATCTCTGGTTGACAACAACCCTCACGCAAGGCGGAGAAGGGTGCGCCAAATGCGGCCGCCGGCTAACCTTCCGACGTTGACTTTGCGATTAGTCTCGCATTTTTGGTGCTGGCGGAGTTTTCTCAAAGACTTCAACTCACGTCGTACATCTTGTGCACAGATGGACACTTGACCATGAACATTGATTCCCGTCTCTCATGATCTCGGCCCCACGGTACCCCGTAACCCAAGATTGGTGTACCCTCATTTGTAATGTTTGTAAACATCTTGTGATCTACGCAACAAATCACTTTCCAGCTGCTTGCGCCCACCGGCATTCACACAAGCTCTTCTCACGAAGTCGCGGCCTACACGGTCCACATCCTGTGGTCCTGTAGCGCTAGAGCTGGTGGATTTTCATTCACACACTTGTGTTGCAATAGCAAAGGATTTGGACCTTCATAGTTCAACTTGTTCCCGATCTTGCGATCATGTCATGGACTGGTTGACTCCTAGTGTGCCTACATGAGTTTGCTGGAATGCACTTGTTTGGGACGGCTTAGTGGGCCGATTGAGTATTTATCTTGCGATTGGTATTGACATTGATACAGGATCTCATTTCAATCGTGGTCATTAGGTCATGATTGCTGTCTTCAGCCGCTTCGCTCTGAACGCTACAAACGAATCAATAATGCAAAGATCAAAGAGGGACTGTCATCTGGTGGTGTTTGCCAGGTCCAGTTTCTGAAGCAACGAGGCCACTTCCTCCGCCGAGTACCCGAAGAACACCGGGCCATTGAAGATAACCTGTGTGCGGTGGTCAGTCGTTTCGGGAGAATCTCTGGGTCGGCTTTCCTGCTGCTGTGGTTTCTGACCCTTCTCCGTAGGGCCCGTATTAGGCGTTGCGGCCGGAGTCGGTCGTGAAGTAGCGGACGGTAGTTTCAGATGCGCAGCCTCGTCTTCTTCCTGCAGAGCGCTCGGCGTCGGCTCTCTATCAGCGGGAACTGAGATTCCCCACGGTCGAGTGGGAGACTCTCCTACTCGAACCTCCCGCAGGGGTCTCTCAAAATGTGATTGTCTTGCGCCTTTGTCCGGTGCAGCGCTCTCTTGGACTGGAGGCGTAGCATCCTGGCTGATGTTCTCCGCCCACTTCTCGACGCCGCGGGTCGAGCCTTTATCACGTTCTTCGATCCTATCTCTTTCTGGTAGGTATGCTTTATGCTTGACCCCCAAACCTTGGATCATGTTCACCAGATTGCCATATTTGGCGTCCAGCTGGCGGGCGCTGCTCTCATTGCCTCCGTATCGCCGCACACATATTTCATGGCTTCGGGGAATCTCGTGTTTGTGGTTCTCGAAATATTTGGCAACCTCTTCAGGGGAATGTTGCTCGAGGAAACGGATGGGGCATTGGCCAGGGCGTTGGTCTACTGGAGGGGATAGTGTGGAGGCTTTGTCCTGGTGAAACTCGGCAGCTATAGGGTCATTCTGCACAGACGATGCCATTCCGTTCGCCATCTTCGCAAAAGGGCACCCCAGGGTTCCTTGAACACCTGGCGTTGTAAAATCTCGCTCAAGATCTTGAGGTGTCCTGCTCGGATGTGCAACAGGGCATCGTGCTATGACAGGCTGGGCTTTCGGTGTTCTAGACATCTTGTATAAGTCAATGGCTTTTTGCGCTTGACGAAAGAAGCAAATTCTTCGACGTTGGCGCTGGCGATAGGCTGATCTCGGATTTGCTTTACGACGTCGCTGTGAGCATTGGAGGATGCCGAGTGACAGCTGCCAGCTGCTAGGAGTCTCTGATACTGGATCGAATCCATCAGTGTCTGACTCAGACCACAAAAAAATGCGGGAAAAATCGTAAAGGAGAACGCCATTCAGGTAATACATGCAAAGTGTCGCTCATCGCCACAATAGTTGCAGCTCTTGATCTAGAGCTAATCAAATGTGTCTCATCCTTGGGTATGTGTAGTGGGACGGAAAATGAACATGAATTACTCACCTCATTTGCAGCAAATTCCAGCCTGTCTCTCAGCAGTTTTTCATTCTCGAGGGTTTCGCGGACATGGGAGAGCAGCGTCTCGAACCCAGTGACGAGTGAGCCGATAAGTAGCGACAGAGCGTCCTCAGCAAGAGATGCAGTCATCGGAAGGGAGACGGCGATGTCAAGAACGGGAACAGAGACTTGAACGACCAAGCTTGGTAGTCTTGGGCAAGGCGGCAGGGAGGATGGTGTCGGAAGGCGGTGCACAGCCAAGGGAAATCTGCCTGTAGATTCTCCGATTTCGCATCTAATCTTGATAAGATCATGGGTGGAGCCTGTCTTGGCGCGTGTCAGGCTTGTCACGTGCTAGTCAGTCTGACATCCGACCCCACAGCGGACTCAACCGAGGCATAAACACCGAGGCAGCTCATCTCATCCTGCCAATGGACCGAGCCCCAGCTCCGGAAGAGGATACCCCAGTAGATAACTTTGGCTGCAGTCGGTCCCCTTCTCGGTGCGAAGTGTAGTAACCTCTCTATCCTCCGCTCTGCAGACCAAACCGAAGAAACAGCCGAGAATGAAAGCTATCCAAGTAACGAAATATGTCTCCGGACCTCAAGACCTTTTTGTCACTACCCTGCCCACTCCCGCGCCCCATCCCACGAAATATCTGATCAAGATCCGCGCCTGCGGCACGAATTTCTTTGACCTCCTCCAGATTCAAGGCAAATACCAGCACCAGCCACCCCTACCATGGATCGCGGGAATGGAGTTCGCCGGTGTGGTGGTCGCAACACCCACCACCCGCGAAGGGTCCAAGAGCGCTGTCGCCAGTAGCCTCGATGGCACAGTGAGCACACAAACAGACCATCAGTTTAAGGTGGGCGACCGAGTGTTTGGCGCCACGCACGGAGCATATGCTTCTCATATATTGGCGGATGAGGGAGTTTTATTTCCTGTGCCACAGGGCTGGAGCTTTGCGGATGCTGCTGGTCTCTATGTGACTACTCCCACGGCTTACGGTGCGTTGGTCACGCGAGCAAAGACTCAGCCGGGCGAGTGGGTACTTGTCCACGCAGGCGCTGGCGGCGTTGGCCTGTCCGCGGTCCAGGTCGCAAAGGCTATGGGAGCCACTGTTATTGCCACGGCCGGTTCGGAGCGAAAGAGACAAGTTTGTTTAGACTACGGGGCGGACTATGTTGTGGACTATCGGGACAAGAACTGGCCGCAAAGAGTCATCGGGCTATGCGAACAGCATAGGTCAGGAAACGGCAAGCAGGGCGTCGACGTCGTCTATGATCCTGTCGGTGAGTACTTCTGCCAATTTGAATGCTGCGGCGGTGCTAACACGGTCTGAAGGTATGATTGATCCATCAATGAAATGTATTGCATGGAATGGTCGGTTGCTTGTTATCGGCTTCGCAGGCGGCACCATTGAAAAGGTCGCCCTGAACAGAGTTCTCCTGAAAAATATCAGCCTTGTTGGGTTGCATTGGGGCATGTATGCTACGAAAGAGAAGGAGACTGTTCCACAAGTATGGAAAGGCATTTTCGACCTGATCAATTCAGGCAAGTTGAAGGGCATCACTTATACGGACAAGCATTACAAAGGACTGGAACAGGTTCCGGCAGCCTTAATCGCTCTGGGTGCTCGAGATACATGGGGAAAGGTGGTTGTGGAGCTGGGCGAGAATGAGGGCGAAGAAGGTAGAAGTAAGTTGTAATCTGCAAATGTCGTGGGTGTGTAGCCGGAGAATGCCACAACATGCTAGATTACTCCCATTGAGTACTTTTAAGAGGCTGGGTGCCGTTCGCCAATCACTGCAGTGCAATTGCTTCGATTTCGACGTCCACGCCCTTCGGCAGTTCTCGCACTGCGACACACGTTCTCGCCGGCTTATGAGTAAAGTATTGTTCGTAAACACTATTCATCTCGGCAAAGTGCTTCATATCGGACAGGAAGACCTGGTCCTCAGGTTAGTTTGAGCTGCTACAGTCGCAAGGCGTCAAAAGCAGGATGGTTTGTCGAGCCGGAGAAGAGAAAGCACAGCCAGCAAGACTCACCCCAGCTTTAACGACTTTGCCTATACCACTGCCTGCCTCGTCCAATATGGCTTTAAGGTTCTCGCAGCACTGCTTCGTCTTGTCTGCGATAGAGCCTTCAACCAATTTTCCGTTCGAGTCGGCGGGGATCTGCCCCGCAACCCAAACTTGACCAGCAGCTTTTATAGCCTGACTGTATGGACCAGCAGCTGCATGACAACAGTCAGATACGCCTGTTATCACAGAAGTCTTAGCTATTGCTTACGAGGGCAGGCATTTTTCGTAAAGACCTGAGTCATATCGGAGGACATCTTGACGCGGCAGCAGTGGAGATGGCGTGGTTGTATCCGCGAAACCGCCGAAGGAAGGGGTCTAGTATACGACGATAGAGCCTTGAAACGGAGAGATCTGTATGGGAAAAGCGTTGACATGAGAGACTGATGAGAAGCCCGAACTTGACACCCGATCTGTAACATGAAGTCGGCAAAATCTGATCTGTAGGTGACATTTGATACCCCGCACCACTCCGGAGTTTTCCGTCTGACAGAGCCAGATCTTGACTTTCAGTCACGCGGTCCTTGCAATTCTGCCTAAAGGCGCGTGTCAGACGTAGGATATGAACTGGCCATCAATCGAGAGCAGCTCATCCTCCTTCTCACGCACGTTTTGTTTTCGAGAATAGTACGGAATGGTGGCATGAGGAGTCGAATGCTGACATTTCGCTGCTGGGCTCCTTCTCTTTGAAGAGCGGTTGTGGCTTACATCGGATACTGGACACCTTGTTTCGTCGTCAACTGCAGCCCTAATCCTTCATGCAAGGTACGCGTACGGAGCAGTCCTGGCCCAAGGAACAAGCCCGCCTCGAGTCCCGGCTATCAACTCCGGACTGCCCGCATACCGCCAGACCTGCTCTTTCATTTGTTTGTTCGATGCACGAGCCCATATCAATGGCCGCTAGAACACACGCATGCACACGCGCAGTCAGTCACGGCGACGGCCTTTAGGCTGTATCTCGTAGCTCGTGCCGCGGCGAGAAAGATATTGACCTGCCGAAAACGGAACAGCTCAGATCATTCCCCTGTTCGACGTGCCACGATTCGCGACGGAGAGCAGTTCCTTTTGTACACAGTACGTGGGTTCATTCCGATGTTTTCTTCTTGTCTACACCCATTCGAGCCGTACCCATAAGTTGCGGAGTACACGGTACTCTCGATCTTCGGCGCTTGAGGAAGGAACCAACGGGCCTCGACCTGTGGCCAAGCGCGCCACCGAGCTTGCTGGCTTGGTGCGTGGCCCGGGAACAACTCAGAGCACCTGCAACTGCCGCCTGACCGTTCCTCCGCTACACACTGTTTCCTCCCACAGATAGGCCCCTTACTCTATCTTCTCACCGTTTCCCGTCCAAGCTCTGTGGGTCGGCGAAGTAATTGAACGTGTTGAATCTTGATTGCTCAACTGATGTCGCTGGGGCATTACCCATATCACGCGCGCAGCTTCGAGACCCACAGCTCTGCGTCAGTTAGGAACGTCGTCTCACTCAGCTGTCGGAAACGGATCTATCCATCAAGCGAAGACTAAATCTTACATCGCGTTTCTTACATACTGTTCTTCGGGAGTATGGGGCAGCCTGCCAGTCACAATGTCCAAGCAGGCAGCGCCTTGGATAATATTGACGACCGAAAGGCCTGCGCTCGACGCTCAAAGCAGAAATGCTATCAACGAATGGTGTGGGATGGTCGGCAAGCAATCGAATCGCCGCCCACACAAAGACAACTTACAGTTCCCCTCGCGGGCTGTCAATTGGCAGGATCAACAACGAGCGAGTAGTGATCCTCTGAAAGTCGCAAATTTGTTGAATGATGTTGAGGTTCGAACGCCGCACAGCGCCAAACCACGCCAGGCCCGACGCACCAAGCTCAGCGATGGCACTTCATCGGAGGATTCGACCCTAGCATCTCTCACCAGACCTACTACGAGATCACCACACCGTAGTCCAAAGAAGAAAGGTGAGTCGATGGTCGACCGGTCGCTAGGATCCAACCGGAGCACACATTGTTGACGACCATGCAGGGTCGGTTTCTATCGAGACTGAACATCCCAGGGACGGACTGGATTGGAGAAGCCAGCGGGCAACATCCATGTTCTGCAAGGATGGTTCGATGGGCATCAGGGTAGATCCATTCGATTGTATCCCTGGTACGACAGCCGATGCGAGACAAGCAGAAATAGTGGATTATTGTAAGCTGGCTGGACGGTATGCGCAATCGGCTATTCATGCTGACATCGAACCTAGACAAGCAGATCCTTGACCCAGGCGTGGTGGCAACATTCTTTGTCTTCGACATGCGAAGTACATATGGCAGAATGCCGCTCGAGTGTTTAATGGACGAAGACTTCCGTCCACTCGGCCTCGCTTCCATTGCTGGTACAATGAGCTCCGTGAGACATGCAGCCGTGAACCGAGAATACATCCTCGCCCAACTGGGGAAGGGTATGCGCCTACTTAGACAGCGACTAAGCCGACCGGGTGGCGCCGATGCAGACATTGTCCTCGTAAGCGTCATGTTCCTAGCGGCAACAGCGGTAGGTACACTCTTTACACAAGATTGGGGCCTGCGGAAACTGATTTCGGGCCTGTTCAGTACGTAACGGGAGATTTAGCAGGCTTCAAGGTCCACACAAAGAGGCTCAAACAGATGGTCGCAGCACGCGGTGGTTTGGATGGTCTGGGCTACGGTGGCGGTACCAAGACTGTCCTGCTCCAGTGAGTACCCTGAGAACCTTTGAGCCGTGCAGGAGTGGTGACTGAGCCTTTCAGATGGGACGCCTCGTGGAAGCTGTCAACGGGTGGCAGCTTATGGGTCGACGATCGACCTCGAAAAAGGTCCACTTATCCATCATTACCTCTTGACGAACGGACTGTTGCGCTTGTCGATCGGTTGCCTTCTGGTTTCCGAGAGCTCTGCACAAAGGGTCTCATTTGCGTCGAACTCTTAGACATACTGGCGAGAATGACAACAGCCATGTCCTATAAATGCTCGAGGCACATCCCATACGACCAGAAAATTGGCCTGTACGACGACTACCTGTCGGTCGCGAGTCTCGAAACTCTAACGACTCCGAAGGAAGAAGGCAGCACCGCTCCACCGTCATTTGAGGCTCTACTGACGTTAGGTCTGATCTTGTTCTCATCTACGGCGTTCAATGAAATGCGAGCCATACCAGTGATCTTCCGAGGACCCATGGACGCGTTGTACGAATACTTCATACGTTTGGACCCAGCCACCCACGAGATAGGTGACGACTCATGGAACCAGTGCTATCAGTGGCTGTGGGCTGTCACTGTGGATGCTTGGCGAGATGCGTCTCGAGAGCTCATGCCGCAAGGACGTCACCTACAAAACCAGTTCTACGAGAGATACGCTTCGAATTGGGAGACTTCGCAAGATCTGGTGGACATGCTGAAGCAATTCTTCTGGACAGAAGACCTCGTACAATTCCAAAAAGCAAGCTTTGAGTCCTTCAAAGCTAACTGGGAAGAACGATAGCGTGCGGCGAATCCGCAAGCGCAGCGGCGGTGGACCTGTCCTGAAGAAGAAAGCCATCATTTATGGTCTGGTCAGCCTGGCCATGTCGCGAGACTCCATCCACCAAACATGACAGGCAGGAGATACTGGGTTCAAGGGGAATGTGGTTCCCGACCCTTGACGCCGTCCTAGGCCTTTTCTTCCGACGAAATCTGATTCTAGATCGACATGAAACCGTCTTACAGTTCGCGGCCACATTGACTGGCCCTTGCGCGCGATTGTCCGCAGATGATAAGTCGTCATGGAAGAGCGGGTATACTCCTCAATGCAGTATTGACGGATGACACAATACCGCAATTACAGAGTGCTTGGTTCTTGAATTTCCGAGCCTATGTTAAGTTAAGCGACAAACTGTGGCCGTGGTAACTTCCTGGCGATATTTATACTTTGTCAGCAATAACTTGACCGGTCTTTTCACCGCCTGGCTTGAACACAATCTTATGGACCTTTCTTGCCTCAAAGTCCTTGTATGCCTGTGGCGCGTCCTCCAGGGACATGGTCTTTCCGCACAAGAAGGCCACTTTCTTCTGCTCCTTGACCAGCACTTCGAGCGCATCTTCAAAGATACTCCGCACAGGACACCTTCCAAAGGCCATGGTGATGTTCTTGCCATAGCACAACAGTCCATTGAGAGGGAGCATTTCCGTATGCACACCGATGGACGAGATCTGACCCCACGGACGGATCATATCGAACCCCAACATGAACGCATCGGCATGTCCGACCACCTCGAGCACGACGTCGACGCCACGTCCGCCGGAAGCAGCCTTGATCTTCTCGACAGGGTTGTCATTCAGATTGATAGGGATGGCACCAATCTTCTCCGCTTCGGCGAGACGTTCGGGAACAGAATCTATGGCATAGACGGTCTTGACCATGGTCAGAGCGCAGGTGATGGCGCAAATGCCGACAGGGCCACAGCCGATGACGACGGTGGTGAACTCGTCTCGATCCCGCTGAGGAAGGTTCTTCAGGAAGCGGCTGGCGGCGAAGTAACCCGTCGGGAAGATGTCGGCCATGAGGACCAGCATTTCCTCCGGAATCCCTGTTCGCCCACGGTGTGAGTTTCCTTTCAGGAACACCAATCAAGCGGATAGTAACGTACCACTCGGGGTCTTCACAAGCGTGGTATTCGCCAACGGGACCCTGACGTACTCGGCCTGTCCACCATCAACCGTGTTGGCCGGCACAGAATTCCCGAACAATTCGCCTTTGGCACAACGGCTGGCCTGGCCCCTCACGCAGTAATAACATTCCTGACAAGCCGTGTAGAACGGCACGACGACCTTGTCACCGATCTCAAAGTTGGTGACCGCATCGCCTTTCTCCTCGATGACGCCGACAAACTCGTGGCCACAGATGAAGTTTGGTGGGCACTTCAGGTGGCCGCGGTAGAAGTGCAGATCCGAGCCCTGTAGGCAGGAAGTTAGCAGTGAAGGAATGTATTTTTGTTGTTGAAGGAGCGGGAAACTTACACAAAGTGCCGTGGACGTGACTTTCAAGACAGCATCCGTGGGCTTCTGGAGTTTCGGGTACGGTCTGTCCTCGACGGCGACCTGTGGAGAGCGTCAGTGCCAGGTGCCAACAATTGGCCTCCTCGGGTCCGGTCCTTGCAATTGTTGTACTCTGACTCTTGGTACACATTCAAGTGCTGAAGGCCCGGCGCGATGGCCCAAGCGAGGACACGACATGACATGACACACGAGCTTCATCAGATCATAAGGTACTCACCTCGAAGTCACCTTTGAGCACCACAGCGCGCATAGTTGAAGGAGGCATCTTCGGCAATGAAAATGAGTCCTGATTTAACGTCCCTTTAACAGCGTCTCGCTCGGACAGTAGTGGTTCTCTCGCGGGATTGAAGACGCCCCAGGTACAACACCGATGCTGATGTTGACGCTGACGTTGATACTGATCCTGACACTGATCTTGATATTGAAATTGCACGACAGATAGGTATACTCCAGGTGTGTTCCACCAAATAACGATCTCGCGTATATGTATATGTGCGTGTTGTGTATATGTCACGGCCTAGGAATCGTCCCAAGGACCGTTCGTTTTCTTGTCTCTACTTTACGCCCTACTTATCCTTTCATCTTCCACCGGGTTCAACCGCTCACACTCGGGGCAGTCGAGCGGGGTTACTCATGGAGCCATGGGGCCGTGTGGAGTGTGTGTGACTGTCTGAGTGAGTGTGGTCGATTCCCCTCGGTGGCGTTCCGTGGTTTGACAGCCGAGGCGCGCGCGGGAACATGCGGGGTGAGCCCATGAGACACACCACAGGGCAGGCCGCGTGCGAGGCTGAGCAATCCCCTTCTCCGTTTCTTCAAGGCCCAGCGAGATCGGCGTACCACCGGTGCTGTGCCGCAGGGTGTGGGTGTCCTGTACGGAGTACAAAGGCGGAAGATGAACGAGGTCGGAACGCATTGGAAGGGATGGGAAGGCAAAGGAACCGATGTGACAAGGGCGAAAGTATGAGAGTTTACTCCGTCCTGTTCTCCGCTATGTATGTGCGTGGAAATCAAAATCCGAGTTTGGATTTGCTTCGTTCCTCATTCTTCCTTCTTCACTTTCATTCTGTACAAGCCATCTAGATAAGTACCGAAACGTGGCTTGTGCATAAACTAGTTAAAATCGAGCTTGCACTTTGCTCTCGACGTCCTGGACAGCCCAGTCCGAAAACTGTTTTTGCGACACGGTCCTCCGGACCTGCTCTGTGGTAAACCCCTTGGCCTCTGTGGCCGGGTTGTAGCCCAGGCCGGTGGCCTTGGCCACCTGTTCGTCGGACACGGGGGTCGCGGTCTTGCCGTCGGCGCGCTTGTACACGGTGACGACGACGGCGCCGCCTAGGCCGAGGTTGTGCTGCAGGCAGTATTTGGTGTCCTTTACCAGGCGGTTGTTGGCCCAGCCTCGGAGGTGCCATGTCAATTCAGCGCATTGGGCGAGGCCCGTCGCTCCTGATAGATCTTGTCAGCTTGCGGGAAAAAAGTGTCAGAGTGCTCAGAAGGGCATACCGAGAGGGTGGCCCTTGGAAATGAGGCCTCCAGAAGGGTTGACCACGTATTTCCCACCGTATGTGATGTCGCCGTTGCGGACCAATTCGTGGGCTTTGCCCTTGGGACACAGACCCAGCGCGTCGATGACGCACATCTCATTCGCGCTGAAGCAGTCGTGGACCTCGACGACGGTGACGTCGTTGGGGGTGATGCCTGCCTCCTCCAATGCGCGCTTACCTGCGTAGGCGGACATTTGGTAGCCGACCAAATCCATGGCCGAGCGGCTGAATAGGTCCGGTGAATCGGTGGCGAGTTGCTGGCCTGCGATTAGAACGGCTTGCGACTTGAGGTGGGGTCTCTTGTCGAGGAATTCCTGCGAGACCACGACCACGGCGGCTCCGCCATCGGATGTGGGACAGCATTGCAGTTTCGTCAAGGGCGGGTGGATCATGGGTGACTTCATGATCTGCTCGAGGGTATATTCATCCTTGAACTGCGAGTATGGGTTCCTCTTGCTGTGTTCGTGGTTTACACGTGCAATTTCTGCGAAATCCTCCGCCTTCGCACCGTATTTCTCCATATATTCACGGCCGGCGTTGCCGAATAGCTGAGCCGCTCCGGGAGCGTTTGTGACTCCTCGAGTGGCTTTCATCATGGCATTGGTGGTGGATGTGGGATTCTCCCGATCGTTGAAGTATGCTTGTAGACTGCCGGGGGACATTTTCTCAAACCCAACGACCAAGACGCAGTCGGCCGCGCCGTAAGCAATGGCTTGTCTGGCCATGTTCAGCCCCGTTGAGCCTGTCGAGCAGTTGTTGTTCACATTGTAGATGGGGATCTGGGTCATGCCGAACTGATAGAAGACGCGCTGGCCGCAGGTCGAATCGCCATAGCAGTAGCACGCAACGCCCTGGTCGACGTCGTCGTAGTTGATCTGGGCGTCGAGCATGGCCTTGATGCCGGCCTCGAATCCGAGTTCGTGGTAGTCGACTTTACCGCGGGGCTTGATGAACTTGGTCATGCCCACGCCGAGGACGTAGGCTGGGGCTGGTTTGCGAGGCATGGTGGCGTGTGAATCTGGGGTAATCTGGGGTGCAGATAGAAGGACTGAGACACGGAGGGAATGGCGACTTGTGATATCGAGTCGTCTAGGAGGAGAGAAACAATGACAGCCAGAAGGGGCACGACTGCAGTTTATGTTTTGTGAACAGAACATTCGGAGAGAGGTGCTCGCCGGCGATTGATATTGCCTCGCTTTTCGGCTCAACGTGCAGCCTGGACCTCGGTCTGTTCGATTAGCCCCAAGTCAGCTGTGGGGCGAGCCTGCGGAGTTTGTTCCAGGCGGTGGCCACGGCCGCCGGGGACAATCAGCGAGGCAGCCACAGACGGGGGAATCACCAGCCACACACGCCACACAAGCCAGACTAGCCCATAAACTCAGTTGTAGTTGTCCGTAGCCAGCATACATGGTTCTTTGGTTCACCGTACGGACCAGTGGATTTCTGCACCCTCTCACGCCTCTCGGGCCTGTCTGCCCTCTTGTGCCTCTTGTGTGTGGGCCATCACGATCAGTCACCGCCATTTGTCGATCAGAGGATCGTCCCCTGTTAGTCTGACAAACAGTTATGCGCTCTTGCATTTGGAGGGGTAGAAGCTCGTGAAACAGCCATGTTCCCGGGTATGCGAATCATCGATAAGCCAGTCCCATTGGAAGCCGCTGTCGCCCAAGGCTCTCGACGTCATTCCTGCAGCATCGACGAGTAGCAATGCACGCTCAGGCGGAAGCGGGGTGCGCAGGCACACTATCCACAGCTCTGCCAATTGCCAATGAGCCTGCGGGCGACCACATTCCATGCTGCACCATCCAGTCAGTCTCCATGTCTTCTATTGCCGAGTCGTGTCGGTGCACATGCTGTCATTGTCGCTGAGACGGATATCTGAGTCTGGCCTTCATCCTGACTCCTGCCCGCCCTAACCTCGCTCACTGCTCTGCGGTCCCCATTTCTCTGTCGTGGAGGCCTTGCTGTCGACGCGTGTGTTGGCGTACGACGACAAGCTCTGGTAACCCATTGCAAAGGCGGACTTCGACTCATTCTCATTCGCAACGAGCTCAAAATTTTGGGCAACCCCTCCAAAATCACGTCTTCGGACTTCCCACGGTTACATATAGCCCTCAAATCACCTCACAAAGGGAGAAATTGTGCTTCAGTCGATAGCCCAACACAGGGGCTACCTCTACTCGTCTGTCGCAGCACCCATCTCGCTTCGAACGCTTCGGTGCCGTTTTTGGGAAGTGGTCTTGTGCTCAGACAGGGATTGTGTTCTGGTACTCTTAGAGGGGGGAGGAAAGGTTGAACATACCGGTCTCGGTGATGGAGTGTGGAACGCAGAGGGATCTTCTCGGTCGAATAGATTGAGAGATCTATCTTGCGTTCCATCGGGTTCCGCAGCCCATTGAGGACATGTGTGAACGACGCGGACACTGGAGGAATTGATTGTTTCTGCCACTGTCTGCGTGAACAAGGAAATCTACAAGGGCGCCGATTTTCTGCCCGACACTTGGTCTGTAAACGACCACCATCGCCGGGGCGATGAACCATGCCAGCAAAACTTCTAGCGACACCTCACCTTTTGATCATGATTCAACTTCCAAACTTCCATCCAAATCATCACAACCACCCTTAACGATGCCTTCGCACTCAAAGCTGGACACCGGCTGGACCTCCGCCGATACTCGAATCTATTACACGAAGAAATATCGACAAGTTCTTTCGTCAGGTCCCGCATGTGCCCTGGCTGTTATTGCAGGAGTGAGTTGGCCGAGACCAACCTCACAGACCGCAACGTTGACCCCAGTTCTAGGCTCCTCTCGAAAATATCAAGACCAGAATGCAATCGTCAGTAGCGGGCACACTCGATTGCATGGTACAGGCGCTGACTACTTTTAGACGTGATTTTGTCAATGCCTGGGATTGCACCAAATTCACCTATCGTACTGAAGGCATCCGTGGCTTCTGGGCTGGTAAGAAACAGGACTGGGCCACAGACGTTCGTCCATGACTGACCGCTCCCAGGCACATTTAACCCGCTGATCTCAATTACCATGTCTCGTGCTCTCGGATTCTCTATCTACCGCAAGGCAAAATACACCTTTGACAACTGGATCGAAGCCGCCACCGGCCGCTCTCCCTTACAACATGTCAACAAGCCAGGCACGTACCCGGACATGTATACCATGACCTGCTTTACTGGAGCTGGCATGGTCTCCGGTGCCGTCTGCGCTGTGACTCTGAGTACGTCTAAAGATCGAATTGGTAGATATGACGCGCTGACTCTCAAAACAGCTCCTGTCGAACTGATCAAGAACGCCACGCAAACCTCCGTTCTCATGGCCTCGGCTCAAGCTGACCACACCAACCCCACATCCGCTACAGAAAGTCCGAAGAACTCCGGCCGCGTCAGTTCCTGGCAATCCATGAAACGCATCGTCGCTCGACAAGGACCCCTCGGTCTCTGGACAGGTTTCCGTCTGCACATGATTCGCGACACAATCGGCTCGGGCATCTACTTTGGCATCTATGAAACCACAAAGCAATCCCTCAACTCGTACTACGGCGCTGAAAAGGCGAACTCTGCAGGAGCCATCGCCATGGCGGGCGCTCTCTGCGGCATCGGCGCCTGGGTCATGACCTATCCATTGGACACGATGAAGACCCGCGCGCAGAACAATCTCGTCGGCAATAGCTCGGCACCCAAAGCGACGCTATCGTCTGCTCTCGAGTCCGCCGCCAAGACCGCGGCCTCGTCAGTGTCCAGCGGCAGCAAGTGGAAAGGCGTGGAAATGATCATCATCCGCAGCACGCTGCAGAACATGATCCAGATGTCCTTCTTCGAGCAGGCCAAGGTGTGGATTGACGGGCTGGAGTTCTCGGACGGGAGCCGCACCTTGCCTGAGGTGGAGCGCCAGTTCGGGAGAGACAGCAAGGTCAAGCACCACAGTGGTGTTGGCAGAAACGATAAGTTGTAGGACGCCGTGGCGGTGGGTGGTCTGCGGTGCTTTCTGGAGCGGGCTGCGTGCATATCGAGCTTTGTTGACCAGTGTGTTAGTACAACTAGGCTTAAATGAGCTGAATAGGACGTGCAATGCATACAATGAGATACAAACAAATGTGTAATGTATTCCACCGATTTATGATCGATGTCGACCTGTGGTCAACGTTGGCCTGCCGCCCAACATAACACCCTAGTTCCCACTGACACTGACGCCGAAAGACGCTGGTGCTGACATCAGCGTGCACTGATGCCCCTGACGCCAACGCCTCGTTGATCGGAATGAGAACACGATACATGCAGTGCATTGACTCGGGTCTCTTCCGCGTCCAAGACACCACCAACGACATCCGCTGTTGAATACAGAGACAGAATGAAAGCAAGCTTCCCAGCAAACACGTGGAGCGCTCTGAAGATGAGTTGGCATAGTCATCAATTCAGGTGACAATCCACTTCTGCGGCTCACTGGTCCGTGTTCGGCATCTCGCACTGGTGCTCCTCCTCTCGTTGTTGAGTGAACCAGCAGGAAAACGGCCGCCACTGAATTCAATCCATCTACTCGTCTCGGACGCGTTGGTCCCGTCGTCCGCGTCCGCCGTCTTTTCATCATCAGGCTGCTGATGCTGTCGTTGACCGCACGAAGCTTGTATATCTCATCATGCATGCCAGCCAGAGACACTGTGCAAGAATTGCCCATGAAGAACAACCGGACGTCGAATCTCCAGGGGCTCTGTGTTCGATGTAATTTTCACCTCCTTCGGGTGTTTTGTACGTGCCCGCTTCCTCAACCTGCTACTCGTAGGGTGGCAATCCGACATGATTGCGTTGCCGCTGGGCAAGGATGATGTCCCGATGTTCCCTCCTCTCCGGAAGGCTCGACGGCTCCAAATGCCTTTGCTGCTGCTTTCACTCTTCGTCTTCCCAGTCCGGTTTTGCTTCAAATCTCGCAGTCTGGAGGCATACTTGGGGCGTTGGTATAGATCCTGCGCATGGCTCAGGACTCTTGGTAGGACGTCGGAGTTGGTGCCACGGCACGCACAATATCAGATAATCCTTGATCAGACAGCGACGGACTACGCTGACCTGCAGTCTTCAAGAAGCAGAAGCAGAGGGAGCAGCAGGAGGGGTTTGGGGTACATTGTAAGAACTCGCGGTGGGCTAGAACGAGTTTTATCTGTGATGAGAGGATCATAGTCGAACTTGAAGCTGAGCTGAGTACTCTTTCGAGGCGGAGGGTTGGGGGGCATTTTTGTCGATCGAACAATAGCCTCGCTCTTTGACGAGGCTCGAGCCTACAAGAATCGTAGTATTTGTGATGCCGTCGAACATAGATGAGCCTTGCGGGTTTATCGAGTCTCGAACATTGAAGTGACCTAATTACCTGTTCTCCGCGTCTATTACTAGAGGCAGGACTCCTTCGTCCGGCCACGCGGTGCCTCGGTTCTATCGCATCTTCACCAGGACCTGAGGTGATGATTCGTTGCGGGCAGGGGCGCCAGGCTACGTCTTCAGCCTCGGCCAAAGAAGCCAACAAGGCGCGCAGACTGTGACCGGAACCCTCGTGGTGAGTTCGCGATCAGCCGCGCAGGTGGTGGAGTTTTGTGGCTGTGCTGCAGGCGCTGGTTGACGGCCACGATTGCGGTCCGTACATACCCTGATCGTCAGGAAATTGTTGAGTCCGTCCCGCGCAGAAATACGTCTATGAAGAAGGCAAGCCAACGCAGAAAGCATGATTGAATCCTTCCATAATCCTCTGTGAAGGACATGTTCGATCGCGCTCATCGCAGCTACCATACTCCCTCATTACACAGTAAGGTCCGGAGTATGGACGAGTTCCCACGACATCTGCGTTCTACAGAGTACCGGTGTCAGCTCGTTCGGAAGCATATCCAGAGGTGGCTTGCGTCGGAGTCTGTGCCAAATGAGGCTTGACGGCCGCTGTGGCATCTCAATCTTCTCCGAATGCGAACCACGCCCATACACCTGATGATGAATATCAGATGGCCCGGCTTTGATTATCTACCCTTGCCTGTCCGAACGGCCATGGCATCTGCTCGGAAAAGGTCACAAACAACACAGCCGACATTGGGCCACTTGGTGAGGCACGAGGAAGCTGGTGGAAGCGAGCCATCGCCACCGACCGATTGATGACGGAGAATTCGGTCGGCGTGTCTATGACTTCAGATTCATGACGTTACAAATCCAAGCGACGCGGTAGTTCCGAAAAAAACTTATTGGACAATCAATCCACAAATGCCGAATAGATACTGGGTATATATGGACTGAGTCTTGTTCAGGACTATATGAAACGTCAATAGAATTAGAATTCGGCTAAAAAACGACGCTGACGAATTGAGCATTTACTCCGTCTATATTCGTATAACCACTCGCTCGATAATCGCAACCCTCCCAACCCTCGCAACCCTCGCAACCCTCGCAACCCTCGCAACCCTCGCAACCCTCGCAACCCTCGCAACCCTCGCAATGCCCGACCGCTGGCCCTCGGAGATCAAGGACGCGGGTCCTTTGGCCCAGCCCCTGAAGTTTGAGTTCAGCGGCAAGACCGCCCCTAATCGCTTTTTGAAGGCTGCCATGACGGAGCGCCTATCGTCCTGGGACCCAGAGAACAAGGAGAAACGAGGTGTCCCTTCGGAGCAGCTTATCCGGGTATATCAGAGATGGGGCGAAGGCGGATTTGGTGTGATTCTAACAGGAAATACCATGATCGACTACACCAATCTGGAAGCACGTAAGTCGCCGAGTTGACGAGAACTGAGCCGTGTGCTGACAAAAGTGTCGTTCAGCCGGCAATCCAATTATCCCGGGCGATGCCCCTTTCGAGGGAGAGCGCTTTGAAGCGTTCAAAGAATTGGCGAAACAGTCCAAAGCGCATGGAAGTCTCGTTGTCGGCCAAGTCTCCCATGCCGGACGGCAGGTTGCTCAGGGACTCCAGCCAGACCCGGTCTCTGCCAGTGACGTGCAACTGGAGGGCGACGTAATGGGAATGCGGTTTGCCAAACCTCATGCCGCTTCTCACGAGGAGATCCAAGACATTATTGCCCGATTCACCCACGCCGCCAAGTACCTGCACAAGGCTGGATACGATGGCATCCAGCTCCACGGGGCCCACGGCTATCTGCTAGCACAGTTCCTCTCCCAGACCACCAACAAGCGAACCGACCAGTACGGTGGCTCGCTACAGAACCGTGCCCGACTCATTCTGGAGATTGCACAATCCATTCGCCAACAGCTCCCTTCTTCGTCAGGCTTCATTCTCGGTATCAAGATCAACTCGGTCGAGTTCCAAGAGGGCGGATTCACGGCGGACGAGGCCAAGGAGCTCTGCCACATGCTGGAAGAGAACGAGTTCGACTTCGTCGAGCTTTCCGGCGGCACTTACCAGTCGCTGGCATTCGCGCACAAGCGAGAATCGACGAAGAAACGGGAAGCCTTCTTCATCGAGTTTGCCGACCAGATTGTCGGCGATCTGCAGAAGACCAAGACTTACGTCACCGGCGGCTTCCTGACGCTCGACGGTATGGTCAACGCTTTGAAGACTGTTGACGGTGTCGGGCTTGCTCGGCCCGTATGCCAGGAATTCCACCTCACCAAAGATCTGCTGGAAGGCAAGATCTCGGGGGCCATCGAACAAAAGGTCGATCGCGACGACTTTGGTTTGACGAACGTCATTGCCGGCAGCCAGATCCGGCAAGTCGGCAAAGACCAGGAACCGATTGATATGTCCAAGCAGGAGAACGTTGACGCCTTCATGACGGATATGGGGACATGGGGTGAGAAGATGAAGTCCCAAGGTGCCAGCGCTTACGGGTATGTTGACATTGAAAGTGCAAAGACGTCGCAGTATGGAGCACCAGCAGCTTAGACCGATGGATGTAGCATAGTCGACCCGCTCAGTCGCTCATCCACCAGCGCTGCTGATAGACCATAGAGTAGATGATAGAGCTTGACCAACCATCAAATACCCAACCGAACATGGAATGTGGCGCATATATCACACCGTGACCTTCTTCTCACCTTCTTTGTCCTGCTCCCTGGCCTTGTTGTCCGCCTCGTTCTCAACGACGAGGATGCTCCCCACGACCGCGATGCCCACGCATGTCACAGCCATCAAAGTCACCCCGCCCGTGTTGGGCCTGAACTTCCCGTCCTTCAACAACTCGAGCACACTAAAGTACCTGACCGTGCCGTGGCCGACGCAAAGACTGCCTGCCGCGACCAGCACGCCGGCAGCCAGCTTGGTCCTGCTGTCCTGGAGTTGTAGCAGCGTGGGCGACAGAGCCGCGAGAACTTCGACCTTCTCCAGTGCGACGCCGAGGGCGATGAAGCCCAGGCCGGTGCGCGCCCAGGCAAGGAATGTGCGCTCAGAGGCGAGGAGGTCGCGGGCCAGGCTGCCGGTGTTGGGGAGGGGAGGGGCGCGGATGAAGCGGAGGAGGGATCGGAATGGTGGCATGCTGGCTGGCGCGTGACTAGCGAGGAGCTCTATTAGGAGACACTCGTCTTGTAGATTGACTCGTGTCCTCTGTACGCCCTTTATAGATCTGCGCGCGTGCTCGAGGTCAAAGAAGATACGAGTAGGCAGGATTGCCGGGCGGAGAATCCGACCACCCCTCCAAACCCCCATGCACCACATGGCGCAAGAACCACGTGTTTCCCTTGCTCTGTACTCGCAAGGGATTCCGTGAGTCACTATGAGCTACGAACTATGAGAATATATCATCCCACTCAGTGAGTCTTGTCGAGCGAGGGCTTGACACCAGCTCGCCAGACAATCATCATTGTCGCGACATGCCGTCGACCGAAGCCCTCGACGACGACGACCTCGCTGCCCTCCTAGTCGCTGATGCCCGCCAATCCTCCCTTCGCTACGCATCGCAAGGTCTCTCGGCATTGCTCCCCAGGCGGCCCACAAACTCGGCTGCGCCAAAGCCCAATACTCGGTTTCTCAAGAACCTCGTTCGGGACGCGGATACCCACAATGCGAAGCTGAAGGAGAAAGAGGAAGCCGAGGCGCACAAACGGCTCAGGACGATCCGGGAGGAAGAGAGGAAGAGAGAGCGCGAGAGGGCAAATGAGTTGAGTGGGGTGTTACAGAGGAAACGGCGCAAGTTGAGTGATGAGGGGCACTACGACAGGAAGCAATCGAGGCGTCATCCGCAAGAGGGCGTCAACGTCAGACACTTAAATCGGGTGCAAAGTCCCCGGCGCGAAGAGAGGAGAGAGCACGACCACGATGACGAGAGCGGGAGACATAGGCGGCGACGCGAGCGGCGGGAAGGAGAGGACAACGCTCGGCGACGACGCAAACGAAGTACACCCTCAGACGACGACGAGGCAAAACACCGAACTTCCAGAGCCTCTGGATCTTCGCGCAGAAACCGTTCTCCGTCACGATCACGAACACGGTCACAGGCACGGTCAAAATCGAGATCGAGGTCGCAGAGCAGAGAAAGAAAACACCACCGCAAATCGGCAAGGCACAAGAAGGAGCAAAGCCTTCCCTCCGGCGTAAGGTCAAAATCCCCGTCACCGGCCAAAAAGGCCGAACGTCAACGCCATCACACATCGCCGGCCTCCATCGCCTCTTCATCCTCCTCCCGCTCCTCATCATTAACATCCGACCCGTGGTCCAGCCTCATCGGTCCCCAGCCCGCCTCCAAATCCGCCCCAACCTCGAAATTGCAATCTCAATCGCAACCTCAACCTCAGTCGCAATCCTACATAAGAAAGCGCGGACGAGGCTTCACCTCCACCTCCACCTCCGCCAGCTCCACGACCCCCCTGTCCACCTCTCGCTGCGACCCAACATCCAATTCCAACTCCAACATAGACACACACTTCGCCCCGACATATAACCCCTCGACCGACACCACCACAGACGCGGTATCCGACCCCTCCGACGACTGGCCAGCCGCCCTCTCCGCCCTACGCCATCGACAATCCCACCGCGCGAAACAGGCCCTCCGCCTGCGTGAGGCGGGGTCCACGGACGCAGAGATCTTGCGCTGGAATGGAAACCGTAGTAGTGCTCGAGATGTCGTCCTGGACGGGGATCTCAGAGATGTTATGGACGTGAAGTGGAAGAAAAGGGGCGAGGAGAGGGAATGGGACGTTGGCAAGGCGGCGCTTCTGGACGGCGATGAGAAGGATATCGAGCGGGAGCAGGAGCAGCAGGAGCAGCAGGAGCGAGAGCAAAAGCAGAATATCAACGCCGGTGGTGAAGCTAATGCCATCACCAATACCGAAACCCAACACGAGCGACGAGAAGACCGAAGGGAAAGAAAAGCGAGACTCAAAACGACAGCAGGAGACGAAGTCTTCGCGTGGAGACGGCCCCAGAACGGCCTATTGAAGCAGTTCAAGAGCGCCCTGCGGTAATTAACTGGTCCTGGCCTGGCCGGCGATCGACTGACTTCTGCATCTTGGCGAAGGGCACCACATTTTGAGTAAGACCGGAAATGGGCGCGTTTGGATCGGGCACTCGTCCTGTCCGTCTGGCGGTGGCAAAGGACAGGGCCACCGCGTGTCGGACACTTGTTCACAGGCCATCGTTCAATCAAGCATAGGTAGAGAGAGTCAGTCGATACTGTCTTGATCCATACAGTCCAACTCCATAGACTAGTTTGGGTAGTTTTGGCTTGCGGACCATATCCGGCCGCATCTCATCCATATCGTGCCTGCTGATCTTCAGTCGCCCCGGAGCTTTCCCTTTTGTACCATGTATGCCTGGCATCGTTGCGACAATGCTTCTCACAATGTGCTATGCGCACACTTCCCGTCATGCCCGAGTCATCCATCCTTATCATGCATCAAACGCGTAAAAGTCCATCAGTGGCCCATAGACGAGAAGTGGAAAATGCCCGACACAAGCCTCCTCGCGCCGTCGGTCCGCACACCCACGATACACAATACCTCCCAAGAAGCTCCATAGGCTCCAACACGTAACAGCGCTGTAAATAAAACGTCAATGTGCACTCCTTCTCTTTCGTCACCCCCCACTACCTTGGCTATCCGGCCTCTCCAACCCACCCTCCACGCTTTTGTCACTGCGATTTCGCTTCCAAAAGGCGAGACCCAGCTTCAGCTTGCTCCTTCTTCTGCCCATGGTCTTCGTGCTGGCTTTTCGTTCCTTTGCACTGCTGCCCTCCAGACTCCCATTACTCAGTATAGTCGTGTGAACGTCGTACTTGCTGCCTTCTCGGCTTGTGGTGCTGTTACTCCCCATGCTGAAGCTGGGCCTGAGGACTGGGCTCCCCGAATGTAGCGGTGCGCTCGCTGCTCGGTTGCGCACCGCCTGAAAGCTGCTCTGATGCCGTGATGCGTCTTCACTCTTGTCTGATATATAGCTTGTGGCGCTGCCACTAGGTGTCAGCACCTCTTCCCCACCGCCTCCTCTCAGTTTCGTGCCTGAGACAATCTCACTTTCGGACGACACTGGCCCATCGCTCCGAATCTCCTTGGGTTCAGTATCGCTTGCCGGCGCGCTAGCTCGAGTACCCGGGTTGGACGGACTATAATTTTTCTCCGGATCGAAAGTCCGAACTGGCTCATCCTCGTTTGAAGTCGCGAATTTGAACTTTTGCATACTCTGTGCATCTGAAATCCTGCTCCCGTCTAGGGCCTCCGGTGGAATAGCCTCCGCGCCTGCTCGCATCGAGACCATGTTGTCCCTCCGTGTGTCGATTTGTGCCATCAGTGACTCAGACGAGATGTCCCGTGCTGATAGTCCCTGCCGTGGTGTACTGCTGGAGGTGGGGCCGTCGTTCTCTTCAATAGGCGTGCCGTCCAAAGTCAGCTCAATCGGGATAGGTTCGCCGTTGACAAGTGCGGAACCTGATCGCACCCGGTCCGAAGCTTTCAGATCCTGGCTGGATCCCGACCCTGCCCCACGAAGATGCGGTGAGTCAACTCCCGGAATCACAATAGCTGCAGCGGCCGCTAGTGATGATGGCCGTGAAGCATTGTGCGCTGCAGAATTGGCACCTTTCCGACCCCGTCCAGGATCTGGAAACGATTTCTCTGGCGACTCGCCTCGGCCTCGCAAGGGAGATGTTGGGAGGTGCCTCTCCCTCACGGATTCTGACGCACGGCCGGTAGGACTTTGTGTTCTCGGACTTATCGAGCCACCATCGCCGCGTCCTGTGCCCTTTTTGACAAGCTGAACCTTCTTCTCGTGCTCCGCTCGAGTGAACCACACCCCCTTGTTTGTGAGTATCTCGTCGGCTGCGAAACGCATAGGAGGGATTATGTCAGCCACGTTGGCAAATAATGGATGGGCGAAGATGGTCATGAAGCCGATCTGACCGTTGGCCAGCTTCAGCATGTTGCCCAACTCGGGAGGACCGCCAAAGAGCGTTGTCTCCAGTCCGACCGCTTGCTCCATCTCGCCTTGATGAGCAAACTCCTTTTGCAGTAAATGGGTCCATTTCTCAGCTACCACCCACGGCCGTGCCTGTATGTGTCAGTCAAGGCTTCAGACTAACGAGGCCATGCTACGTACCACATTGCTGATGTCAGCGCATTTAATTAGCAATCCACAGGCCAAAGTTCGTGCCCAATCAACGTCCTTTGGCGACCATCCATCGGTCGCCTGGCTTTCATGGATCTTCTCCTGCAGGTTGCCCAGTTGTTGCATGTAATCGGAGTGGACCCCCATGTCAGTAGCGAGGATGGTACTGATCATCAGCTTCCGAAGGGCTTTGTCCTGGAATGCGACCGGCCAGTGGCGGCGGAGAATCTGCGAGTAGGCGGCACAGTGGAAGGCTTCCAAGACCGACTGGTCGTTGTACAGCTGTGCAAGAGGGGCATTGAGTTTAACCAGGAACATGTTGTTAACTCCAGGATGGCCAACGTCGTGTCCGATTGCCGAGACCAGAAGTGTCAATGCCTCAAAGGGTCCTAGCAAACGAGCGATTGGTGACTTCGAGTCTGCGAACGGAGATGGTTCGGCACCGGCAGGGTAGGGTGGAAGAGTGCCAATCTGGATCAGGAAGTAGAACACAGACTGCAGAACATCGACGGCATGCCTGAAGTTATGGTAGAGGACGAAAGAGTTGTAGGCGACACGACAACCCTGCATGAAATGAAGCAGGTCGCCTGGTAACAGAGGTCAGAGAAAGTTGACCGCGTTTGAGCGGGGACTCACGTTGGCTCATGCTCCACTGCTCACACGCTTCCATCTCGAGGCAGTGGTTGAGCATGTAGTAACCGGCGTACACCAGCTCGTCTTCGGTAAAATCGTGTCCTGAAAAGTCCCATCTGCCGACAGCGGCCGCGACGACTGGCTTCCGAGAATCCTGAACAAACAAATCACGGTGCTGATAGTCCTCGATGATGTTTTGCGGTTCACAGATTCCCTTTAGTAGCTTCTTCACCATAGCCTCTCGGAGGTAGGCGTATGGCTTCTCGTCTTCCATGCCGACCCATGACTGCTTGCGGTTCCGTCGTGCCATGGCCATGAAGCCTGCTTGTTCCTTCTTCGCATTCTTGTATATCCGATATGCATGAACTGTCAAGCCCATGATCCCCGCTTTGTCCAGTGGACTCTTCACCACGTCCAAGGCACCGGCGTCGAGACATTGGAGCATCAATTGAGTGTCGATGACGTCTGATGTATCCTCGATGGCGACGGGCTCGGCCTCGGGGCCATAGGGCGCCCTAGACACTTCGGGTTGGCGGACGGTATCGACAGCCTGGTCGTAGGAATCGTTTCGTTTGGGCTGGACAATCGCCACGGGAATGATCAGCTTAACGCCTTCCTCTACCTGCAGATCTGAGGCTATTCTGGACAGGAGTTGAAGACCGTACGACTCGTCGGATTCCGAGGAGAAGGTGATTTCTTTCCTGAGCAAGCTGGGCGATGGCAAAGGGGAATCAGAGGAGGGAAAGAATTTGGGACGAGACCTCAGGTGGCCATGTTTTGATTCTGAACCGACATCGATACAGGCAAGTATAGGCGTGCAGTCGAGCTTGACTTGGTCATGAAGTTCTGACAGCTTCGTGGAGAAGGCTCTTCCTGAGCTACACACATACACTGAAGCCTCCATGTGAGCCGCGACCGCGACCTGATCGAGGAATGGACGATACTCACCTTGATTAAAGACGGTCAAAAACGCATTGACATTGGTTTGTAAGTCTGGTGGGAGGTCCGAGAATTCGACTTGTGAACCTGCTCTTGCGGGCGTGGTAGGAGACAGCCCCTCCCTCGAGATCCACCTTTCTGTGTTGAATCTCTCGTCAATGTAGATTACCCGACAAGCAGAAGGATCCATCGTCTCGGCGCGGGTGTGAGGTCGGGAAAGAAGTCGCTATTGCTTCGACGCAGGCTTTAAGGGCCCATAATGCAATCAAACGGCCAGCGGGACGAGTTGTGAAACTTGAAGGTCTCTGGCGCAGGGTTTATTCGGGACAATAGGACAGGGTATCCAAACAGAGACGGCTGCAAACGCGGCTCGTCTGCTACAAACTCATCGCGCTCAAGGCTGCGAACGCGGGTGGTGGAACAAACGGCCGGCGTTGCGACTTTGAGATTCCAGCTGAGAAGCTACCACCGGAGGAGCTCGGCGGCGTCAACACAGCACGACTGTACTGAGTTGACGAGCTCCAACGGCGCAGGTCGCTCGAAGACTCGGATAGTGGACGACAACGGGGCGAGAAGCCGGAATGGTGGCAGGTCGCAGCTGTCAATCGAGGTGTCCGGGAAGGCGCAGACAAATGCACGCCTGTCCAAGGAAGGGTGGATTGCGCCTGCGGATTGGCGAGATACCGTCGCACTCCCAGAACTAGTGCAGCGTAGACAGTTGAGACGGAGCAGAGCAGATGCAGGCGCAGGTGGGAATGGTCTGTCTGGATTTGATCGACTGGGACTCTTTTGCGACTGCGCAGGTAGAGCTGAGGGGGGGATTGAGTCAAGCTTCTTTCGGTTGCAGCAGGGCAGGAAGAGTGAGAAAGGCACCCTAGACAGTAGGCCCGACTCCCAGGCTCGTTAACTCGACAGGGTTAGGCGCTCCCCGGGCCTCTGACTGGTGGATCGGAAGAAGCAAGAGAAGCCGAAAAGAAGGCAAAAGAGGCACTAGAATCCCCAGCCACGCCAATCACTTCTTGGCCCGGTCCTGGAGTACCTCGTACGGGCTCCGTCTGCTGAAACTCTGCTCACCTGTCCCGCAGCAGCATGCGCACGTTGCCAGTGATCGTCACCATCTCCTATCCGCTCGATCATTGAGCAGCTTCACCTCAGCCTATCTTGCAGGCTCCAGCAATGCTGCAGGCTTCACGATGTATGTAACTTGGGATAGGCATCTTTCAAGTTTGCCATCCCACCAGCCCTACTCCGAAAGGCGGGAGGGAATCATACGGAGTAGGGGGATTAGCGCTTCCAAAAAGCTTCTAGAACCCGCCTATCATTGCACTGCCATATGAGGACAGATGACCGTGCAGTTTATTTGCCGTCACCTTTCCAAACCACGTCACCAAGCCTTTACCTTCCAACGTCAGGGGTGTATACTAAAGCAGAAATAAAAGAGTCATCTCTGTGCCTCCTGGGATGGATGTGGGCGCTGTTCATTCCTCGGGCATTCACATTCGTGACCAGCTGACCGTGATGAATCCAGTTTCACCTCAGACATCTACTGCCTTCCTTTGACTGGAGCCTGGCCTCGGTGATCTGGTGGAAACATCACCTAACTAGGACCTCGCTTCTGTAGATCGACGACCTTCTGTCGATCCCTCCAAGGGTCATGCTCCTTGCCTGAGGACCCCTCGAAATGTGCGCCCACGGAGCAGGTTAGGTGATACGGCAATGTTGTGCCAACCCAGATGCATCTCCACTGTGCCTGTCCACAGGATTTGGCCCTCGTCTTGCCATCACATCATCCGCCCAGTCCCGGCCATCTGCACTAACACTTTGTTATACACAATCCTGGCATGTCGTACCACCTCTACCACGACCATGCGCCACCCACCACCCATTATGTAAAAGTGCCAGTTCAGTGGTGCCAAAATCCATGTGTAGCATCTGTATCTCGTCGCTCGTCGTCTCGTATAGCTCTCCTCATCGCTCGAGGCTAGCCGCCTGTTTGAATCGCTTAGCCAGGTTTTCTGACGGGCTCTCAGGGTCGAAAGAAACGTCCTCTGTCGACAAATTCCATGAACGCTTCAAGGGCCTCTCACCATATGATTCGAGTATTGCCAACAGGGTTCCCCAACCGGGAGACTCGGTCAAATGCGACGCATCCACCTGATCTCGTGTTGTCGCAACCCGACACAGAATCTGTTCTTCTTCCTATGTCCATTGTTAACGGGATTCAGCTGGTCGAGACTACCAGACATACCTTGCTGAAGACGCCCATGCCATGAAGGAAGCACAGGAGGTGGAAATCGGACACCGCCTCTACCGAATTCGAGGAGCGCAATTGTTTTGACACATCCTTGGGATCTTGACCCTCAGCCACGGCTTCTCTATTCTCCACGGGGAACTTGCTGTTCGTAAACAGCGGCCTGGGGCTGATAGGCATTCCGGCCGTCAGGGAGACCAATAGATACTCCACCGGGAAACTAGGCTTAGCATTTTCTTGCACGTTCGCGCCATACTCATTGATCCGGCGGTAGAACACCTCGGGGATGTATCGCTGTCGACCAGTCACGCTTTCATCGTCTTCTGATTGAACCAGCATCACCGAAGGATCTGCTGACGGCTCCACAATGTCCGCACGAACCATCTCTACTGCCTCGTTGGATGCCTGGTACGCTCTGATGGTGATGCTCTCGTCTTCGTCGCCAGTGACTACACATGTCACAAAGTTGGACCCGAAGCGACCGGTTTCACTCCATTTCGAAGGTCTTGAATACCGCGCCTGGAATCGCGCTGCGAATGCAATCTCGAGAGAGGATAAGAAGTACGAGTCGATGTGTCGTTTGCACACAGCTTGACCTTCGCCTTCCTCCGGTGGCATTAGATCGGTGAATATCACGCCCACCCGCTCCAGGCCGCAGAGTCTTGCAACATCATCTACTTCTGTCTCGTTTGGCCACTCCGACAAGCTGAGCCCGTCAACTTCGCCGATCTGAGGCGGCTCGTAGATCGCTTCGACGACAGCTTTGACGCCTAACGGCACCTCTGTATACTCTTCGTACCGGCCGTACAAGAAGCCGAGCCGCTGGCTTCCAGACTTTCTCCAGAAGTCAATCAGCTTATCGACCATGCCCGCGGATGAAAACTCGACATGGTCAACCATTCGGAATGGCTGCGGTTGGAGGGAGATGGCGCTTGGCTGACACTTTGAGCATATACCCTCTGGCCAGGGGGGATGACCCGCCGGGCAATCTTTCTTGACTCGGTAATAGGGTTCGGTGAGAGGTGGCATATATGAGCTCTTTAACTCGGGCTTGTTCGTTGCGAGGTTGATTTTGCGCAGGTAGCCGTGGAACGACAGATGCTTGATCTTCCGCTCTTCCAGGTATTTCTTGTCGTATGGTTCCAGGGGTTGACAGTAGTCGCACATTCCCTTCGGACCATGCCGGCACATCTTGAGATCTCGTGGCCTAGGAATCTTGCCATCGTTTTTATCGAGCCGGTCATCCAGTGCCGACTGTTTAATGACCTCCCATGGGTTCTTTATAAGTGTTGGCGAAGTCACAGCGACGGTAGACGTTAGCGGCGTAGGCTCCGGCAAGGCAATCGTGCCGTTCAGCCGCCGTGAAGCTGCAGGCGCTTCAGGATTTGAGTGGCCGTTGGACAGTTTCTCGAGCTCCGAGAATCCGATAAATAGTTTGTCCCCATGTTTCAGTCCGACCTGTTGCAGTTCGACTCCAGGTAGATCTGCTAAACGTCTCTCTCTTTCAGGATCCGGCTTAGAGCCTACCGGTCTATTGCTCAAGACTATCGAATCGGCATCGGTGTTTGAGGGGAGGTTGTCTAGAATCTGCCACCCCGTCAGTTCACCCGACTGCCTTGATCAGGTGGGAGAGTTCGTGCCTTTGAAGTGAGTGACGAAAACTGCTCTGTAGGCTCTACGTTCAGTCGAAACTGTCCCAATCTCGATTCAAACCGTAGTAACATGGTGGTGGTGGTGAGTCGCGCTAAAGGCAGAGTTGAGAGACGGGCTGTTGGTCTGTATTGATGGTCGTACGTAGTATGGGGTGGGCAGCACGATATCGGCCTCGGAGTGGAAACGGACCAAGTTACGAAATGGTGGAGGAGTGAGGCAGCCGTGACAGCAAACAAACAAGCCCGCTCGTGACTTCCGCAGAGCTGCGCTGTCGCCACGAGGCTCTGTTGGTGAACGGATGTTTGGACGTTTGGAGAAGATTCTCCACAAGGCGGCAAGGCTCAGTACGTCATCCCGCACTCCGACGATGACGCTGTACTCCGTACGATGTACCTCGTTAGGTGCCCGTGGTGCCCCCGGTACAAACCTACCCTGGTGCCCTGGCATGCCTGGACGGTACATACCTGGTCTTGGTCACCTACACAGGGGCGGCCATTTAGCCTGCGACACTCTTGAACACTCACACTTTACCTCAGTCGTGCCTGTAAGCACCTTGCCAGTAGTCCATGGTTAGGCTCCACCAGGTTGCTCGCCAATTGCCAGTCGAGAGATGGGTGCCTTGGAGGTCATGATACTGAACGATAGGTTGTTTCATTACAAGTAGTTTGAGATACCTGATCGAAGAGCCTGTAGCTATTGATCCCCGTTCGCTCGTCTGGACGTTCGGTAATACTGTGGAATCAAACGCCAACGCTGTCAAATTGAACACAAGAAGCCCGCGAATGCTGCCCGTCATGTGCTGGGGTGTGGACGATATTCGTTGCATGCCTCAAACGCCTTTCTTGCTTTTGCACGGTTGTCTGGAGAAAGCTCCACAGCCCATCATTATGAAGCTTGATACAATTCTCCCAGTCTCTTTTCCAAAACCTTTCGTCCTTCAGCGGACCTCCAGATCTCCTCCGAGGGTGCTCCCTTGACAATATCCCATGCAACCAGCTTTTCCGTCACCTTGGTCAGATCTTCCTGTTTCCTTTCCCAATCCTTGTCTTTTTTCAGATGGACGCCAGAAGTCACCACGACGAGAGGTACCTTGGGAGCTTGAATGTTTCGAGCGGTGACAACCTCGTTCTTGGTCAACGAGTTGGCCACAAGGTTCTCTTGCAACTTGTTCTTGATGAACTTGCCGCCCTGATAGGATGACTTGCCAAAGACGCGATCCTCCTTAGTGCGACCCTTGAAAAGCGCTCCGGCCAGGCGATCCAGACCTAAAGGTGAAATGATGCCGCGACCCCAGAGGATGAAGCCTCGACCCGGGTTGGCGATCTTGTAGAGCAGGTCCTCGTGTAATCCATCGATGAACATCATGCCCCTGATATCACGAGGGTGTCTGGCCGAAAAGACTCTGCTGTAAATACTGCCAACGCCGGCGGAAACCAGAATCCAGGGGCCATCTTCGCCTGCAACGGCCAACGCCTCCGAGATGGCATCTGCGGACATCCCGGCTGAGTGTGGCGACGGCGCATTGTCCGACCAAGCAATCCCGGGTCGGTCCCAGTAGCAGTAGCGGTCTATGGTCTTGTTTGTCCAGGCATCGTACACCCAGCCCTCGAAGCTGTCTTCTACAGGCATGTAGCCGCCTTCGAGCAAGACAGTGGGCTTTGGCTTGCCGTTGGGGTAATATGTCTGGTTGCCCACACACGCGAAATGGACGGCGTACTGGTCGTTATCCACCAAGTATCGCTTGCCAGGAGCGGGTAGGGTGGCATCTCTTGACCGCAAGACTAGTACTGCTGTAAGCAGGACAACAATGACCACATAGATGGACATGAGGAAGGTCGCCGTAAACACGGCGCACCACTCCCTGAGCGAACGGCGTGTTTCCTGACGCCCAGTCAGGCGCTCTTCTTCCTCGGCTTTGCCCCATTTCACGGTCTTGTTCGTCACCACGTTGTACAGGCCGATCAAAGCGGCCCAGATAACCGACGCAATCCCAATCCAGCCCTCCTCGACTCGGATTCGTGGGACAGCTAGGATGATAATCATGTCGATCAAGAGCAGGACGGAGGTCGCCATACTCAAGACGCTCATCGCCGTCGAAGGCGTGGCGAAGAAGAGGAGGGCTGTCAGGATATTTCCAATGGTGAGGGTAGTGTAGGCGACATCGAAGAAGCCCGAGCCTCTCGAATTGAAGTAAGGTGGGCTGACGAAGATCGAGATGAATAGCAGCACCCACCAAAGGCAGGTGATGAGCAGGAAAAGCACTTCGAACCAGCGTAGTGCGCGGACACTCCAAAGGTTGTACGGCGATACCTGCGCGTATCGTTAGCTAGATTCCGGTGAGCTCAACCTGCCAACGACCGGAAACATACAGCTGGGTCATCAGGACTGAGGTAGCCTTGGCCCCGATCATTACGAGGCAACAGCCTTGTCCTTTCGGTGGCTTCTTCTGACCTTCTGTTGGGTTGAGGTTGTGAAGTAGTGGCCTCTGTGTGGTCTTCCTCTCCGTCCTGCGTTGGACGGTCGTCGTCCTTGTTCTTGGATCCCCATAGTGAAACCATGGTAGCAGCTGTTCGGGGTTGAAGCTACAGCAATAGCAATGGATGCTCAGCTGTCGAAGCTGCCTGGTCCAGCTCGAATAGGTACTTTCACCTGTGGTCAGGATGTAGCTACAGTGAAGATGTGATAGATTTCGGTTTCATTGCTCGCGGACGGAAAGAAGGACTTTTCCAGGCTTCAGAGCAGTCTGGCTGGGAGGAGTGGCTCCAGAGTGGCTTGCACCGTAATGGAAAAAAGAGCTCCAGACGTCATTACTGTGTAAACGCTTGGTGGCACCCGCGGGTGGCCTGCACCTAGCCAGTTAGGTGCCAGTGGCGTCCCAGCCGGGCAAGCTTGCAGGCAAGCCACGGCGAGCCCTCCCCAAAGGCGAGAGATCTATTAGCCAGGAAGATCGGTTTCGAGAGACCAATGGCGCATAGAAGCGAGCCACGCCCACCCACTCAATTGCCCGCCTTGCCTATTGCGCACGCCCGTAGTCGTCACATGCCGCTATCTGGGTAACGGCTATCCTTACCGAGCACCCCTGTAGTTTCTGCCGATCCAGAAGCACCACACTGCGTTCGACTGGGAATCCCATCATCGACCTCTCCTCGATCCCTTGACGGGTCGGCTAGGTTTAGTGTACGCTCTGTCCCGCATCTCCTCCCAGATGCTGTGAGCAGTATGAGCGACCTTCAGAGATCGTTTGCTCGGACACATCTATCTCGTCTCCCACCTGAACCGCCAACTATCCCTGACGAACAGGCAGAACAACGGGATGACGTGGGGGATTTGAGGCCCGGCTCGCCAAATGACTCCTCTTCGTCCGCTTCATCGACGTCCTCTACAGGCACTATTGTCCCCTCGCCGAGCCGTAACCTATTCGAAAAACCCAGAAGGTGAGCCCGACGCTGGCTTTCCAGCCACACAGCTTCTGATCGTGGTGAAGTTCTGCCATAAAGTCCCGCACAGCACCTTTGCCGTGGGATGACTTCTTTACTCAGGATCTGTCTCTCGAGCACAAGACTCCTGCAGAGACCATAAATCACCATGTCTACCTAGCACCGCCTTCAGCTTCTGGACCGCTCATCGTCACACATCACGGAGCAGGATCGTCGGGCTTGTCGTTTGCCGCCTTCACTGCCGAACTGCTGAAAGTCCTTCCTAATGCCGGAGTGCTATCGCTAGACGCTCGGTGCCATGGTCAGACCACTATCACCACTGCCTCTGGCAGCCTACCTCCCAGCGAAGACCTCAGCTTGCCCACGCTAGCGGAGGATCTCGCCTTCGTGGTCAATGCCGTCAAAGCTCATATGAAATGGGCCACGTTACCAGATATCGTGCTCATAGGCCACAGCCTCGGAGGAGCCGTCGTGACCGAGGTCGCCCACGCGAGACTGCTGGGCAACTCACTGCTCGCGTATGGCGTTCTAGACGTCGTTGAGGGTTCGGCCATGGACGCTTTGAAGAGCATGGACATGTATCTGACAACGCGGCCCAAGTCGTTTCCTTCACTCGCCTCAGGCATAGAATGGCATGTCAAGTCCCGCACAATCCGAAACTCCACTTCGGCCAGAGTCTCTGTGCCCTCACTCCTTCAGGAGTCCAAGACAACGCCAGGCACATGGTACTGGCGCACCGATCTCGCTGCTACAAAACCATTCTGGGAGGACTGGTTTACGGGTCTGTCTAAGAAGTTTCTCGAGTCCCGTGGAGGAAAGTTGCTTCTGCTAGCTGGAACAGACCGGCTGGACAAGGAGCTTATGATCGGGCAGATGCAAGGGAAATATCAACTTCAGGTCTTCCCTGACGCAGGGCACTTCATTCAGGAAGATCAGCCGGCGAAGACGGCGAGTATTGTCGCAGACTTTTATAGACGCAACGATCGTAGTGCGCTGGTTCTACCACTGAAAGTGGATGATCTAATCAAGCAGGGGAAGCTTAAGCCTGCTGGGCAGAAATAAACCATACCTCTCGATCTCTGGAAGCCCTGAGAAAGTGACGATGTCTCGTGCGAAGTACGGCAGCAATGATCAAGAAGGCGCTTCGGGCCAACCAGTGGTTTGAGCACTACGGGACTGGCGATCTACAAAGACTGGGACCACCTATCTTTTCCCCTTGGCTTTCCCCTTGGCTTTCGCCTTGCCCGCCTTGCTGCTCTTCTTCCTTGCTTTGATGGCCATCCTCGCCGCTTGTTCACTTCCTTTGCCCTTCCTCCACATCTTGCCCTCCTTCCTCTCTCGAGCATCATCAAGCCTCTTCTTGTCCTTGTTGCTCAGTTTCTTCTTCTCGCCCTTGATCTTCACCACGCCATTTGGACCATTCAACTCCAGCCGGCCTTTGGATTGCGCATCGCGTTTCTCCTTTTCCGTTTCGAACCATGTCCTCTTCGGGCGGGCCATGATCTCATCTTGATGCTTGATCAGGTTTACACCGCGTTGCAACTCGGCCTCCGTGGTAGCAAGTTGCTTCTCTTCCTTCTCCTCCTTGAGAATCTCCTCAATCTCGGATTCGAGGTCGTCAAGATGTAATGCCATGTCATCGACATCCTTCCCGTCCACGACGCGAGACACGACTTTAGCGCCTTGTTGTCTCGCGCTTTTCACCGCCGCCTTCACAATCTTCCGATCTGGCTCTGCTGCAATGGTGCATGCGCGACCCGAGCGGCCTGCTCTTGCCGTTCTGCCCACACGATGGAGGTAGATCTCATGCGTCTGCGGCGCTTCATAGTTAACCACCGTCGCGACATTCTTGATGTCCAACCCTCTACTCGCCAGGTCCGTGGCAAGTAAATGCGTCGTCTTGCCATCTCGAAACGCATTGACTGCACTAATCCGCTGTTCTTGAGTCATACTGCCGTGCAGTTCTCCTGCTCTGAGGCCCAACAAACCAAACACAATCCTCACGCGGTGGGCCTCTTTCTTCTGCCGGAAGAAAACGATTGTTCGCTCAGCGAAGAACTTTTGACAGAGAACGCAGAGCGTGGCGAGACGCCGGTCTTCGCGACCTTGCCTTAGGCGCACAAATTCTTGGGTTAGACCGGCGGTGGTGGATTTCTTTGCATCGACGGACAGCCGCACAGGGCGGTTCATGCCCACTCTGACGAGCTTGTCCACGCTATCTGTCATTGTCGCTGAAAACAGCATGGTCTGGCGACCCTGCGGTATGGTCTTCAGAATCTCGTTCAGTTCGTCCTCAAAACCCGTTTCAAGCATGCGGTCTGCTTCGTCCAGAACCAAGATCTCGATGTTTTCCACCGCGAAACTGGCTGAGTTGCGCATATGGTCGATGAAACGGCCAGGCGTGGCGATCACCACGTCAGGTCGTTTCTTGAGGATCGTTTCCTGTTCGCGGAGCGAGAAGCCGCCTACAACTTGTGCGAATGTGATGTCCGTGTAGCGAGCGAGCGCGGTCGCGACGTTGTAGCATTGAACTGCCAGTTCACGAGTCGGCATCAGAATGGCTACTCGCGTGGTGGGAACCTTCCTTGGACGATAGAGTAAGCGTTCCAGGATGGGGAGGAGGAATGCTGCGGTTTTGCCGGAGCCTGTGACGGCTGAGCCGACGACATCCAGACCCTGTAGGGCAATGGGTATGGCGCGGACTTGGATTGGTGTTGGTGTAGTGAATGACAGGCCAGCTAGACCGCGGAGAATGGGTCGTGATAACGAGAACTGTTGGAAAGAAGACATGGATTTTACGTTTGGTTGGGTATCCTTCTCCTCAGGCGCAAAGAAGGCAGCTCTTTTGGCTGCCTCTTCGGCATCTTCTTCAACGGAGGTCTGGGATGCGGCGTCTGAGTAGTCCGAGGCTATATCGTCGGGATGAGCTGTCGGTGAAGCGACGGAGTCCGTATCAGAGACCTGGTCGTCCGCTTCCTCATGAGGCGGTTGTTCTTCGTCGGCATCTGAAACCTGCTCTTCGCCTTCAGACTCTGCCTCAGCGCCAAAAACATCTGCTGCAAGGAGCTCGTCGTCCCCCAGGTCCGGTAACTCGACATCATCATCCTCATCGTCCCCATTGGACATCGCATCCTCTGCTTCAGGATCCGCCGCCTCTACTTCTTCCTCATGTTTAGACGGTTTCGATTTCTTTCCAGCTCGGCGGGCAATGATAGCGTCAATATCAACCCCCCTTCTATCTCTGTTTTTTGCAGTTGTGATATCTTGACCCCAACCGTCAAACTCCTCTATGTCTTGAAGGACGGTGTTCGTGCCAATGTCGAACTCGAACTCGGGGTCAAGAGCGTCGTCCTTGATGCCCTGCTCGTCGACATCGTCATCATTCGGGTCGGAGTACGCGCTCGCCGTCTCAAGCTCCCCGTCAGGACCATTCTTCTGTCTCTTGTTCTTCGCGTCCTTCTTTACCTCTCTTTTCCGTTTAATGCCTTTCTGGGGTTGAATAGCCTCAATGTCGCTTTCGGAGACCGAGAGATCGGCTTCCCGGTCGGAGAGTGTCAGGACAAACTCATCCTCTTGCTTGTTTGGGGCCATTGAGCAAAAAGGCCTAGGGGAATTCGTAGAGGAGTCGCTGTTGTGGTACTGAAGGAGAGCCGCAACTTTTTTCAGTTCGACAGAAATTCTGCCAGGGCGGTGAGTGACACTAGTCAAAAAATGGGAACCAGCCTCCCTTCCGACAAAGGCTTCTTCACGATAACCACATGATTGACCGAAATACTCGGTCCACGCTTTCGTGGTTTTAAATTCTGGGCTCAGTGACCAATCTTCTATCCGGCCGCATACCTGCGAAATGTCGCTGCTAGCACGAAGCTCAGAATACCTGTAATGCCACTACGCGCAACTGACAACAAGCCTTACATAAACCGATCGGCAGATACCGCAGTCGTGGTGCTCTGACCTTCCAGTGTCAGCCCTTCGGCATGACTCAGAGTATAGGAAAGAATTGTTCTGGACAAGACCGCTTACACTGGGATTCGTACTTGTGACCTCTCATGTATGCATACAATATGCATGGCTGATGCTCCTCGGCTCAGCCTCTTCGTAATGATGACAGGATCTCGCGTGGAAGCTCAACTCCCGAAACATGAAACCTCCAGCTCCCGTCCTTAACAGAGCTCTCCCAGGTGTCGGACTCTGGGTCGCAAACTTGCGTCAAGCTGGAAATTCCCATGACAGAGCAGCGGACGACACTCGACCAATGACTACGTTGCGATCCCCCAGTGATCCAATGACTATCGGGTCTCAGCATTTTACATTTTTCGCGGAAAGACGCTGGGCACGGCCCGGCAGGAAGGATAACATTGACAGTTTTGGAACCTCAATACCTATTTGGCACGGACGTTTGATGCAAGCTGGCAAGAGACCCGGCGTGACATTGCGAGCATTGCGGCATCCAAGTTCCCGTGGCTTGCGTTGACCTCTACGGTGACATTATTGAAGCGTCCCAGGCCGGCGGGTACAATCACTCCACCACGGTTTGAATCGTGTCAGAGGCCACAGAATGCTGGACTTGAGGCGGCTTCGCCGTAATATACATATCTTATAGTAGAATTCAGCCCATGAGTAGTCCGTGTGTAGGCGGCTACCTCCGGATTGTTGAGCCACCTTGCTTATCCACATATTCTGGAGCAGTCTGGTCGTGTAACACCCCAGGGATCAAGGTTGAATTTCTCAAAAGGTGGCTTGCAGTAGCTTGTCCCCCAAATCCTTGTTGATTGTCACCGCTTCTTTAACACTTGTGATGAGTCGCATAAACATCGGGATCTATGAATGCGGTCTCCCTCGAGATCATCAAGGACCTAGACTTAGGCCTTGCGATTTGGGCAGATCACATATGATCATCGATATGCGCGAGTTGGGGTTGATCTTTTCGTCTAGAACATATCCTCTAAGAGAGCAGCGTGCGAGGCTCACTCGAGACGCTAATGGTGACCTCGATGCGGGCCAAGATGAGGTGATGGGAATAACCGCGGTCGTGCGGTCCCTTTCTCGCTCCAACAACACGAGTCGCAGCACGCATACAGGGCCGAGGAAAACGGCTCAGGAAACATTCCCACAACGTCGCTTCGCCAGCTCGTATCTCGCCTGGCCGTCTGAGCACATTCTGTTGCTGCAAGCCTGCGGAGACAGCCACGAATCCAAGAGCACTGATGACAGGGCTCTTGGACATCCCGCCCAGTGCTGCTTGGATTTGAGCAAGTCTACCGCGTCTACTTCGTCTGGATGTGGTTGCACGATATCGAGAGACCAGGACATGTTGGTGCCACCAAAACTCCAATCCCCACTCTCGCCGACGACTACCGGGTACGGAGTAAAGACAAGGGAGGACAGTGGCTAGGCGGGTCGAGTAGGGGTTGTTTCTCGAGGGTTGTCCCCTGTTCATCGGCGTGGGCATGGCAGCAGGGGTCCTCTTTTTGTAAGATGGTGGGTGAATGATGATCGTGGATGCTCCCCCACTACTCTTTGTAAAATACCTTATCCAATCCCTCAGCCTGCCGTGAGCATTCCCTTACCCACGCTGCTCGTTCCTTCTATCAAGTGTCCTCGAAGATGGCACAGGATTGCTGGTTGTCCAGAAACGTTATCTTGAGACATCCCACTTTTTGTGGCCTTGCCATTCACATTTGCATCGGCTTCTTGATCGGGATGTACCCGTATCTTAGTTCTGGCTCCTTCGAATCGAGGTACCTCCCTCTATCTCAAGGTGTAGCGGTACGTATGCCACGAACTTTGGAGGCCCTTTAGTCAACCTCTCCTGGTCCTTGTCGAACTCTGATCAAGATCCTGAGTGGATCGGTTGACGACACTCACCGCCGTCTACTCGTATGGAAGCGCTGGAGGACTCAAGTCGCACTTCGCCAGGTGGCTAGCCAACGCGAATTTGTCGGCTGCAGTCACGTCAGTTCCGGCTCGCGCAGGCTGACTGCTCTTTGTAACATAACCACATGCAACCACAAACAAAGCCTGTCACTAAGCCGCCTGTTTATTGCACCACTGCTATTCAGCCACCTGGAGACTTTCGGAGGCGCCAGGCGACACAGGAATAGTGTCCCAAGCTACATCAGCTTCCCACCAGATCCCTCCCGAAGGCGGACGGCCCTTGCATGCGCAACTGATTCGTCGTGCGCGTTCGTTCTTGTGCGACGCTTCGTCGTTGTCATCTTTTTTTTCCCGTGCCCATATTTATCCTACTCTCCCGCCTCCCTCTGACTGTTCTCCTCCCTCAGCATGACTCTTCCTGGAGACACTGACCCTAGCTATGGCACCGCGCGATCAGAGCCCAATGCCGCCGCCTCCAGTATGTTGAACCCCGCGTCTCCAACAAAAATATTTTTCAGCCTCGCTAACGGCCACAGCCTCCCAACTCGCCGGTACTGAAGCGTTGCCGGAATTAAAATCTCTGCTCAAGGCGGGCTTAAAGACGTACCCAGATTTCCCCAAGGTGAGCCTATCGAATTTCATGGCTGGATCTCTCACTGACAAGGTGGTCGAAGGAAGGCATCCTCTTCGAAGATATCCTCCCCCTCTTCGCCTCTCCTTCTCTCCACCAAGCTCTGATCCGAGCATATGAGCTACAAATCATCGAAAGCCTCGGCCGAGACAACCTTCCAGATGTGATTGTCGGCCTCGATGCGAGGGGTTTCCTCTTTGGACCGACGCTGGCCCTGCGATTTGGAGCGGGCTTTGTCCCCGTCAGGAAGGCTGGGAAACTCCCTGGCAAGATCGAGACGGCCGAGTTTCAGAAAGAATATGGCACCGATACGTTCGCCATGCAGACCGATGCCATCAAGCCAGGCCAGAAAGTCCTCGTCGTCGATGATTTGATCGCAACGGGGGGCTCGGCGGCCGCGGCAGGCACACTGGTCGAAAAATGCGGAGGGACTCTTCTCGGCTACTTTTTCATCATCGAGCTTACATTCCTGAAAGGCCGAGACAAGCTCAACGCACCTGTCTATACGTTGCTCGAAAGCCAATCGTAATGATGGACCGTTGCATACACCCTCGAAGAAACGGAAGGACTCAGACTCTTTAAGTCACCCTGCTCGAGAGTGAACGAACGAGAGATCGCACCCAACATCGGGTGCTTGCCACGTCTATGTCGACGGCTATTTGGAGCCCTGCTACCAGTGCAGGACTCAGCCTCTGGCCGACGGAGAGCCGGTCATTACGAACATCTAGGTCTTTTCCTTCCAGCGACTGCTGTCTTGTTACGAATCAAAAGGTTAGACAAAAACCATAATACTTATGTCAATACGGATGAGTCTCGCGAAATCAACAGTATGAGCTACACGATCCAGAGCAGACACCCCTGATCCCGGACTAGCTTCCACGGCTGGCCGCAGGGCTTGTGAAGCCGGGTGAGAAAATTGTGTACGGAGTATTCAGATTAATGCTGGTGGAACGAATGTTGCTATCCACGATGGCGCGATGGAAATTATTGCTCGTAGCGTCCAAGGTCTAGAACTAGAGATGCTTGTGCACCAGAATTTCAACACTGATCGTTCAGTATTATCGGCGGTCAATAGAATAGCCGCAAAGCCATGTTGAACGATACAAACCAGCTGCCACATGAATATCGAGTGAAGTGTTCTTGCTCTGTTCCGGGTGTGTCATCCGTCACAGCTCGACCCTCACCAAGTCTCTAGCTAGAAACCCCAGAATTGACACGGGCGCACAAGCACTCTAGGCGAAACGGAGGCACCACCGCCGTTGAACAAACTCATCCGGGCGCCTGCATCTCCACATGCGCCACCACCGCCGCACACCACTACCGACACCACCATCTTGGGGCTACAATGTTTCGGGTTGGTCTCAAAATTCCTGGGGAGTGACCTTGTCGCTATTACTCAACGTCCCTTGCTCTCGCTCTGGCTCTCGCGCTCGCGCTCCCTCGTTCAAGGCCTAGCCTGCGTTCACTGTCACTCGCTTATGATCCGTGTCCGTCCATCGCACCCTCCCCTGCTCCAGCGAGTGCCTGCCGTTTCGTCGTATCCCCGGTGCGGAATTGGACTGTGCGGGCGATCTGCGCGGCCCGACCGATCACATATGAAGCGCGGCCAAAATGTCGGGCATCAACCCTGAACTAGAGGAGGCTTTGCGCAAGCTGGACGAGGAACTCGAGGAAGGAGACATCACCAGAAAGGGCTACGAAAAGAGGCGGACTCTTATTCTCTCTCAGTATATCAATCCCCAAGCCCCCACGCCGCAGTCGCCTGTGCAGTTACAACCTCAACCGCGAGGAGGTCTCCGCGTACATTCGCCTGATGACAGCGACCATCCCGCTTCCACCAACGATGCCTCCAGAGCAGCCTCGCTTGCGGCCCTCACCGGCCAATCCGTGCCCAGCCCGTCAAGGAGCGGAACCCTCACCGAGAGTTACCCGAGCATGAACCGGCGGGCCTCGATGCTGAGGGACGAATTCAACGAGGCCCGGAGAAGCGTCACTCCTCAAAGCCATGTTCAGAGGTTTCAAGAGAGGGAGGCAGGGGGCATGCCGCGGGGATCAATTTCAGGAACCTCCTATGACGGGCGACACGAAACATTCATGACTGCCAATGATCAATCCCGTAGTCAGACGCTCTTGAGCCAGAACTATGCTTTCAATCCCGATGTGCAACAGAACTATGGCCCCCCGGAGACCCGCAATTCTACCATGCTCGATTCACAACAAGGCTACTTTTCTGATTTTGCAGGCCAACAACGAGAAGACAATCACGAAAACTACGGAGGGAATCTGCACCGATATTCGCAGGGTGAGGTGACGTCGCCAACAGCACAGACGATACCGCCTTTTCTCGGCTCTGGGGAGTTAGCAGGAGGCGCCGCTATTCATCAAATGCCGCTTGAGCCACGCGAGGTACCATTCGCCATTTGCGACCCGCACGATTCGCATATTGAGATGTCGAGGTTCGAGAATATTGCTGCAGTGCTCCGGCATCGCGCAAAAACAAACCCCAAGCAGGCGGCGTATTGGGTTCTCGACCAAAAGGGCAAAGAAATCGTTTCCATCACCTGGGAGAAGCTGTGCAGCAGGGCCGAGAAAGTCGCCCAAGTCATCCGCGACAAAAGTAGCCTGTACAAAGGAGATCGGGTTGCCCTGATCTATACCGAGAACGAAATCATTGAATTCGCAGTGGCGTTGCTCGGCTGCTTCATCGCCGGTGTGGTAGCTGTACCGATCAACGACATGAAGAATTATGTCAGATTGAATGTCGTCTTGACCTCAACGCAGGCACATCTTGCCTTGACCACTGAAGCAAATCTCAAGAACTTCCAGCGAGATATCACTGCGGCGAAGCTTAACTGGCCTCGCAGGGTGGAATGGTGGAAGACCAATGAGTTCGGCAGCTATCATCCCAAGAAGAAGGGCGAAGAACCTCCTCTTGTGATGCCCGACCTTGCCTTCATCGAGTTCTCCATGGCTCCTACTGGTGACCTTAGGGGCGTTGTCATGAGCCATAAGACTATCATGCACCAAATGGCCACCCTCAGCGCAATGATCACGTCGGCCACGAGTAACACAAAAGCTGATACCTTCAATCCCTCTCTACGTGACAAGCAAGGGCACGTCATTACTGGTTCAAGACACGGCGAAATCATGCTCAGTTACCTCGATCCAAGGCAAAGTGTTGGGATGATCCTCGGAGTTCTGCTGAACATCTACGGCGGCCACACCGTGATCTACGTCGATCAAAGGACGATCGAAACGCCGGGTCTCTACGCCAACCTCATTACAAAATACAAGACGACATTACTTGTCGCTGACTACCCTGGGCTCAAGAGGGCTGTCTACAACTACCAAGCGGATCCTATGACGACGAGGAATTTCAAACGCAACTTCGAGCCTAATTTCTCCAGCGTCAAGTTGTGCATGATCGACACTCTGACCGTAGATGCCGAATTCCACGAGCTCCTTGCTGATCGATGGCTCAAGCCACTTCGCAACCCTAGGGCGCGAGAGATTGTGGCTCCCATGCTTTGCCTGCCTGAGCATGGAGGAATGGTGATAAGCATGCGCGACTGGCTTGGAGGAGAGGAACGTATGGGCTGCTCGTTAACACACGAGATGGACCACGACCGTGAGGTCGAAGAGAAGAAAGAAGAAAGCTCAACCATGAAATCCGGCTTCGGCAGTAGTCTTATCGGAGGTGGTAGTGCTAAACCATCCAAAGAGCGCTCGACAGAGGAGCTGGGGGAGGTGCTCCTAGACAAGGAGGCTTTGAGGACAAACGACATTGTCGTCTTGGCCATGGGATCTGAAGCCAGGGCGAAAGCGAGCTCTTTCCCGAACGCCGTCAGGTGCGGCGCGTTCGGTTATCCTATCCCCGACGCCACTCTTGCGATCGTGGACCCCGAGTCTGGCCTCCTATGCACTCCAAATTCAATTGGCGAAATCTGGGTTGACTCTCCCTCGCTCTCAGGGGGCTTCTGGGCGTTACCCAAGCACACGGAGACAATCTTTCATGCTCGTCCTTATTGTTTCAAGGAGGGCGACCCTACTCCGACCGCGATTGATCCCGAGTTTTTACGCACTGGCTTACTGGGCTGTGTCATCGAAGGCAAAATCTACGTCTTAGGCTTATACGAAGACCGACTCAGACAAAGGGTTGAATGGGTCGAACATGGGTTGGCGGTGCAGGAACACCGCTACTTCTTCGTCCAGCATCTCATCCTCAGCATCATGAAAAATGTGCCCAAGATTCACGACTGCTCTGCCTTTGATTGTTTTGTAAATGACGAACATCTTCCGATTGTTCTTCTTGAGTCGCCATCGGCGTCGACCGCTCCACTATCGTCCGGCGGTCCGCCCCAACAGCTTGATATCGCGTTGCTCGACTCTTTGGCGGAGAAGACGATGGACATTTTGTATCAGGAGCATCATCTCAGGGTGTACTGCGTTTTGATTACAGCGCCCGGAATTCTGCCACGAGTAACGAAGAACGGCCGACGAGAGATCGGCAACATGCTTTGCAGGAGGGAGTTTGACAACGGCGCACTTCCCTGTGTTCACGTAAAATTCGGGGTCGAACGGGCGGTGCAGAACCTGCCAGTCGGTGAGGATATCAACGGCGGGATATGGTCCGTCAATTCGAGTGCCACACGAGCTGATCTGCTCTATGGCCAAGAGACCCAATGGTCGGGCGTTGATCCTCGCGAGGTCGTCATCGACGACAGGACTTCGACGGCGTTGAGTAATTTCACCAACATATTCGACCTGATGCAATGGCGCGTAGCGAGGCAGGCGGACGAGCTTGCATACTGCACAATCGACGGCCGGGGCAAGGAAGGCAAGGCTCTGACATGGAAAAAGTTCGACCAGAAAGTGGCCGCGGTGGCCCTCTACCTTCGAAACAAGGTCAAAGTCAAGCCAAGCGATCACCTCGTCTTAATGTACACGCACTCAGAAGATTTCGTGTTCGCCATCTATGCCTGCATGGTGCTCGGAGCGATCGCGATCCCAGTGGCGCCACTGGATGCGAATAGACTCTCGGAGGATGCACCAGCATATCTACACATCGTCGCCGACATGGGGGTGAAGGCTGTTCTCTGCAATACCGACGTCGACCACTTGTTCAAACAGAAGATCGTCTCACAACACCTCAAGCAGTCAGCCCAGTACTTGAAGGCACACATTCCCAACGTCTACAATACCACGAAACCTGCAAAGCAGTCTCACGGTTGCCGGGAGCTGGGCCTAACAATCAATCGCGGGTGGATCTCTCCGACAAATCCAGTCATAATCTGGACTTACTGGACGCCTGACCAGCGTCGAGTCTCGGTGCAGCTGGGGCATGACACCATCTTGGGGATGTGCAAGGTCCAGAAGGAGACCTGTCAAATGACCAGCTCAAAACCAGTGCTTGCTTGCGTAAGAAGCACAATCGGAATCGGCTTTCTGCATACAGTCACAATGGGAGTCTACAATGGCAGTGCCACCTACCTGATTTCGCCGCTTGACTTTGCGCAAAACCCCGGCTCGCTGTTCCTCGCCTTGTCGAGATACAAGGTCAAGGACACATATGCAACCAGCCAAATGTTGGACTTTGCCATGGGTCACGTCCCTGGCAAAGGTTTCTCTCTCCACGAGCTGAAAAACCTGATGGTCATCTCCGAGAATAGACCGCGCCTGGACCTGTTTGCGAAAGCCAGGACTCACTTTTCTCAGACCGGACTGGAAAGGACGGCTGTCAACACGATTTATGCACACGTCCTTAATCCGATGATAGCCTCTCGCAGCTACATGTCGATCGAACCGATCGAGCTTTGGTTGGATGTGCGTGCATTGAGACGAGGTCTGATCTATCCGGTCGACCCAGATACCGATCCCACGGCTCTTTGCATTCAAGACTCGGGAATGGTCCCCGTGTCGACTCGCATTGCTGTTGTCAACCCGGAGACTTGCCAACTCTGTCACATAGGCGAGTTCGGCGAGATCTGGGTGCAGTCAGAAGCATGTGCCAAATCATTCTACATGTCGAAGCAGGTCTTCGACGAAGAAAGATTCAACGGCCGCATTGCTGGCGGTGATCAAAAAGTCACGTACGTACGGACAGGCGATCTAGGCTTCCTCCACAATGTGACGAGACCCATCGGACCTGGCGGTCAGCCCGTGGAAATGCAAATTCTATTCGTCCTGGGCAGCATTGGTGAGACGTTCGAAGTCAACGGCCTCAACCACTTTCCCATTGACATTGAGACCACAATCGAGAAGAGTCACCGGAACATTACACCTGGTGGTTGTGCCGTCTTCCAAGCCGGCGGCATGGTCGTAGTCCTCGTGGAAGTCTTCCGTAAATCCTATCTTGCGTCGATCGTGCCGGTCATTGTCAACGCAGTGCTTCACGAACACCAAATCATCGTTGACATTGTCGCCTTTGTTGGCGAGGGCGACTTCCCCCGAAGCAGACTATCAGAAAAGCAGCGAGGCAAAATCCTGGCCTCATGGGTGACGCGCAAACTGCGGACAATTGCACAATTCGGAATCCGCGATGCCGACGGCGACAGCCAACACACTGTAACCCTTGCGGATCGCAAGGCCCCGAGCATTGCCAGCAAGGCATTGTCACTGAGTCAACACGATCAAAGACGCACATCCATGGCCTCCGAATCGAGGGCAAATCATCAACAAGCGGATCAAATGTCCAGCCGCTCCAGTATCGTGCCCGAAGTCCCTTTCTCCCTACCTCCAAACCACTACCAAATCGACCCGACAGGCCTGTACAACCCCAGCGCACCATCAGGCGAAACCAAAGGCGTCTCCCTAAGCGACAAACCATACACCTTCCCCGAAGGCGCCGTCGAAATGCCCGCCAATCAGTTCGACGACGGGGATGAAAACGAAAACCCCTACCTGACGGATGAAAAGTTCTTCGACCCAAATGCTGACCTGGAGCGGCAGTTTGACGACTATGTCAGCCCCGTGGACCCCTCCCTTTTGGATCCCGCGCCTGGCGGCCCGCCGAGATTGTCACTCGTCAACCCGGACGACTATCCCCGCAACGGGAGCAACGACAACACCCCGACCTCGTACACCGCGACCGTGACGCCCACGTCGGCAGTTCCCCACGCGCTCCGCACGCCCGTCGACATTGGTGCCGAATCCCCCTACGAAGACCAGGGCAACCCCTTCAGAAACTCCATCCCCGCGAGCATTCCTAGCTTCGACTTCATCACCTCGCCGTCCTTCACCACGTCGTTGACGAATCCCGCCGCCCAGACGCGGAGTCCTCTCTCCCCCGGAGCCCCCGCTCGCGATCAAATGGCCTCTGCCAGCGCGGCCTACCATCGCATCACGTCCCCGCCCGCCGCTGCTCCCGGCACGGTAGGTGCGACGGGCGGGCGCGCCCTCCTGCCAAGTCAACAGGCACGATACCCGAAGCCCGCGCCCCCACCCGCACCCGCAGCTGTGTCCGGTACTGGTACCGATCTTGCGCGCTACCCCAGCAATAATTCATACGAGTACGAGGTTCAAGACCTGCCGCGCGAGGCGTTACAGTATGTCAATTCGGCGCATTCACAACAAGCCCGGGGCCACGGACACGGGCACGGCCACAAGCGGTCCGGATCCTCGAATTACGTGGCGGATCAGAATAGTTTGCACCCCGACGACGCCAGGCAGAGCATCGACCTGAGCAGTATCTCCGGGAGTGTGCGGCGGAGGTACGATGGCAGCGCGTATGATGATTATGACTACTAAGTACCTTATGCATGCATGCATGCGGCCATGTATGCGTGTCTGTATGTGTTTGGTGAAGTGGATATCTAGGACGGGATGAGACGGCAGGCAGGGGCCCGACAACACGGTGTGAGCAAACACTCAAGTTCGGGTCGAGTCGAGTCGAGTTGTCCAGCGGGACACGAGCGAGTGTTCGGGTGTACAACACAATATATGCACATGTCGATACGTACATACGTGATGGTGGGCCACCGGTTGCTGGCCGTTTATTGTGCTGCTTGAGCCCCCTGATGCTTTCCCAACTTCGATTCCATGGACCGTGATATAGTCTGCACAAAGTCGCACGAGTGTGCACGAAGAATCAAGTAATGATCAACTGTCCTGCCTGCTTGTCCAGGCACGTAAATCTGGCCGCTATGGAGGACCGGCCGTCCAAAAAGCAAGCGACCTCGGTGAGCTGAGGTGGTCAAGCGACGCACTGAGGTGAGGATGAGGCGAGGCGAGGCTGGGGATTCGCGAGCCTCGTCCGGGCTACAGTAGGTGAAGGAATGGTACTGTACATAGGCGGCTGGCACGATCAGGGGACCTTTGAATGCTCCGGGTTAGGGTTACTACGGAGCAGTCTCTGCACCTTCGTAAAGAGGCCGCGAAGCTACTCCGTACAGTATGACGGTCTGTGACCACTGTGGAAGGAGATCCCTCATGAATGTTTGTTTGAGAGACAGCGTGCGATGTAATATGCATCCCTGTTCAATCCTCTTCGCAACCTTATGTTGGGGGTATCATATTCTATGGCTGCAAAACCGCAATCCGTGGTTCCGTGGTCGGGGCAGCTCAGCTCAGGCATCAAACATATCAATAACCCACGTCGGGCGTCCGGGACGCAGACACCATTCCACTGCATTGCAACCCTTGAGAGGTCTTTTCGCCTGTCAGTCCAACCCCAAATAGCCCATCATCCTCATTTGCACCGAGCTATTTCTTCTCCTTCTGCAAGTCCAAAGCCTCGCTCACATTGGCCAAAGCGGATGGAGACATGTACGTGCTTCCGGCCGCTGCATGCCCATGTCCATCAACCATCGGGCTCGTAGGGGCTGTAACCATGGCGGGTGTGCCTACGGTCTCATCCTCCTTCTCGGCGTCCTCTTTGACTGCTTTCTCTTTCTCCTTCTGAGCCTCTTTTTCACGGTACCCGCCTGTAATGCTCCCGCTCAAGCTGTCATTCCTTCCGTGCCCACCGCTCGCCCCTAGAAGGCCGCTCCTCACACTGGCCGCATCTCCGCCATATTTACTGCCGATGTAGCTGTTCCGTTCGCTCGCCAGCGCTGGAGCCGTCACACCCGATGCGGATATCAGACTTGCTCTTTCCGCGTTGAGATTTGACCTTGCATAATGTCCTGTATTTTCGCCACGGAGAGAGGCTGTGTCTCCTGCTCCGCTAGAATGAATGACCGTGCCCGAAAGGACCGAGAGCGGGAGAGACTCGCGACTGCCCCCGAACATAGAAGCAGGGGCGAGGGCTTTCATGGAGGCGTTGGTGTCGACGGAATTTCGACGGCGTCGTTTTGATGAGGATGCCAGGGTGAGGATCGAAGCGTCGTCGGTCAAAACGTTATTGGCAGTTGCGGAATGGTATGTTGTCGGGTGGCCGTGAGGCGCGAGATGTGCTGGCACGGCAGTGGCGGGTTGGACAACATACTGTGTGGGATTGCTTGCGGCAGTCGATGAGTGCGTGAGCCCCAGAGCCTGGTTGTTATGTGCTGGCACGGGGATGGATTGCACTGTGGTTAGCGTCGTGGCCATAGATCGGACCGAGGGCGCCGGAGATGAAAATGTGCTGTCTCTTCCCCCATCCGTCCTCGTAGTCGTCGTGGCTCCCGTTCCCGCCCCAGAAGGAGCGGCGTCTGAGAGAGCCGTCTCTGCTTGCGTGGCTAAGGTGGGAGCTCGTGACTTGTTACCATTCGTTTGACTGTCGTGGGAGGTGGAGATCGAGTGTTTGCTGTGCGACTGCGACAGAGAGCTGTGCCTCGATCTCTGGGACGTTGTGACAGGCGTGGAGAAGGAGAGGTGGCCGTTTGTGTGGTTACTGTGGCTGTGAGGCTCACCTACACGCCCGGACAGGGGATACGGATTGTTTTTGGCAATATTCCCCTTCTTTGACTTGATGCTCATGGGGAGGGTTGCGTAGCGTCGTGGAGCACTACCCGCGCCATCGTCATTGGTGTCTGTGTGCAGAGTCTTGAGGTTCGCGAGCCGGCGCATCCAGGTGGTGAAGGGTCGACGACGGCCATGCCGGTCTGATTTCGTTAGAACCTGTTGACACATCTGTGAGTCGGCACTCACCGTGAGGTCGCAGAGGCGCTTCGGTCGAAGCCATAAGCAAGAACAGCGACGAGCTTGTTGTCAGAGGCGTGTGCGAACTTGGCCAGCGTTGCGGGTGTGTGTGCGATCGGGATTGGTGTGTCGATCCGGGGCAAGTTGGCGGATGCGCAGGAAGTGGGTTGTACAAATGAGAGGGAGGTCAGGTCAGGCAGCCAGGAGTAAGAGTGCGTGCAAGGCCGTCGTACAGGGAGCTGCGTATTCGTGAAATTTGCTAACGAGAGTATACGGGTACTGGGTACGAAGGATCTAAGGAACTAGCAGCAAACACAAGAGGAGAAAGGAATTGCAGAGGCTGGCAGACACTCGATTGTTTGGTTGAAGGTGTAGCAACAATGCGCGGCGCGGCGGTTTCAGAGCTCAGCCTCATCCACTCGTGGCTCCCTCAATCCCCATAATTTAACCCCGTACTGTACCACAGCCACCCACACATCTCGATACTCGTCCGTACCTCTACATGAAATCGTCCTCGTAGAAGCCGGCATCTCTGTCTTGATTGCTCACCATGTTGTCCTCTCTCATAAAGTCATCGTAGGCATGGTCTTTCTGCCACCTCAGCTCTTCACGCCGCTGTCTCTCCTCCCGGTCTTTGGCCTTCAGCTTTTCTCGCTCCATCCTCTCAGCCTTGCGCTTTTCTCTCTGCTTCGCCTCCCTTTCCGCTCCAAAATCAGGAAATTTCTCCTCGCGGGTTTTGTTCAATCGGTTGACAATGGCATTTTGTCGTACGGGGACGTGGACTTTCTTCACCATTTTAGGGTCGTGGAATGACACTTGGCCAGTTGCCATCGATGCATCTTTACGCAGATTCGACCACGGCGTGTAGATGACTGTTATGTTGTCCTTTTTGTTGCCTGCCATACTGATGATCAGGACATCTCGACCGCCTTGCAGATTTTGTGAATACTCCTACCTTCGATCGAGTTTGCCTTGGTTAGCTGAGCACAGTCCTCCAGTAGCTCTTTGGGTATTGATGTCCACGATTCGCCAGATTGGAGTCTTAGATAAACGTGTGCACTCGACAAATTGTCCACGTGAAACTGCTTAGAGTGAGCGACAGATCTCGGAGTACCCTCGACCTACAGTACCCTGACGAAGTAAGTGAGTTATTCAGCATGCCTGTGGAGTTGACCATACCAAACATCTTCATCCCAGCCAAATTTGATCAGGTCCTCATCTGTATCTTCAGTCAGAGTTTGTGCGCAGCAGCATCGGTCCTCAAGGAGCTTACTCTCTTCTTTGTCTTTACCCACGTACAGGAAAGCAGGCGGATCAACCGCAGTCGACTTGAAATAGTACACCATTTGAGGGTTCCAGGAATCAAGACTTGGAAGTGCTGGCCACAACGTAGAGCAGGTGGTTATATGCCTCAATCAAGTGCCAGGACTAGACACATAAGCTCACATAAGGTCCAGAACAGTAGCGTACCAGCACTGTTGTTGTATGCGCTCAGCTTGTCAAGGAATCGAAAAGCCTCTACGGAGCGTGTGGGTTCTAGATTGATCACTTACAATCACTTCAAGCGAATGACGGATCGAGGATAATTACTCCCCCCTAGTCAGCCGCATGTTAGTCTGGCCAGTCCGGTGGAGTATTTGTTCTTCCCACGACGGTGTGTTCACGGCGTTCTGGCTTGTTTGCTTTGAGTTCGTCACTCCTCCGCTACCCATGTGTTGCGCGCGCTGCTCCCAGCTATAATGAGGGTTAGTGACGATGACATAGTAGGGGACTTCAGCCTAGGGATTTGAGCACCCGTATCTGAAGCACCGACACGGGACGAATTGACCAAATCGAATTAAACAAAGTCCTACATACAGCACTCGGTTCAAGGATCTCTCAAACGCCTCCAGTCTAGGTCAGCTTATGCCCATGATTCATCCGTCTTTCGAAGATCACCCTGCCACTGCTCGATCCAATACAGTAACGTGGCTCGGAAGAGATACTAATCGTTCCCGTGCGGCATGTCTAGGTCCCGTGCCTAGTCCCTGCAGCCTAGAAGCGGCAGACTTCATCATCAATCTGAGTCCATCGCACGGATTCAGATGGCAAGCCTGCGGGCTTCAGACAGATGGCAACAGCTTAGGCGACTATTAGTCCCGCAGCGGAAGACGAACGACTGTGGTGATGCTGTAAAGGCTGCCGTCCTTTCCGGTCTCTACGTAGAAATGGGAGAACCCGAAGAGTCGGGGAAAGGTATATTATGCCAGCCTTGTCACGTCATGACGCTACTGACGCACGCGTCCTCATCGTCCATGCCTGCAAGCGGCAAAGCTGTGTTGTGTATGTAGGGTAAGCTTTGCGCTACTGTAAACAAATCTCGGCGGCGGAAACCCGTTTTAAGCTTAGCCCAAGTATTGCCGCAAGTTGTGCTGGAGAACTGCGTACACAGAACGCAGAATGTGGCTGAATCGTACAATCGGGGATGGGTACCTGTACGGAGTAGGTCGGTTAGAATTCTGCAATATGTATCGCGAGTAAGCGTGAATCTTCCCCTCGGCTTTTAGAGAACGGAATCTTCCATCAATGTCAATCCGAGGAACCCGGTCCGCGTAGGTGTCTGGGCGGTCTAGTGGAGGAACTGGGAAGTTTTGGAAAAGCTCATACCGCAATGCGTAGATTCGCGCAGCAGAGTGTACCCCGATTATTGAAAGCCATATTCTCGGAAGAAAACATCAATTTGCATCGATCCGCGGGACAGCAGGACAGAAGGCCAGAGGTACGTACCTTCTATCCGTCCTCATTGACGTCTAAGAGCCCTCACAGTACCAATGGCCGCCGCTGAGCTTGACTTTGTTGGTCCTAGCCGCCTGAGTGCCCCGAGAGCCTTGGCGCTCTACTCATGCAAAGGTTCCCTGCAGCTCAAGACGCCAGCTACAGTACGTGAATCCCGTAACCGATATCCCGCTCTTCCGTCTTGCGATATGGCCATGTCTGCATGGGCTTGCAAGCTATCGTTTTGAAAGACAATGCTCAAGAGTTCCCATAGGGGCGTTCTGGCCTAAGCCATCGTTCTGATCCCGGATTTCACCAAAACTCTAAATTGCGTGCATGAACCTCAAGCCAGACAAGGGAAGGCTGAGACGTAGCACTCAACGATCGCATGACATGTACGGGGTACACGGGAAGGCGTGCTCATCCCAATAGTCGTTCATGGCGACGTCATTCACAAAGCAAGCCTGATCCAGTCTCAGTCCACCCTGCAACTCCGCTCGGACAGCGATTAATATCAATTGTAGAGCCGCAGCACTGAAGGCAGCGCGAAGCGAGTCGAACCACAAGTCCTTCTGGCTACAAGAGCTTTCTCTCCGCACCTTGGACAATTGGAGAAGGTGAGGGTGAGGGTGAGCGGCAGCTTCAAGGTTGACGTGCAGCCCCTACTGTAAGTCTTGCATTGCATCAACCTTTGAGTTTCGGTTCGACATCATTCGGTCGCTGCCTCCCTCGTCCATGTTGCAGCCCCGCGGATTATCGACTGGCACTGGCCGTGCTCGACTTTAGGAATTGGGTTCGCCTATCCCATGCCATCCGGAAGAGCCGCCGGCAGCTGGGCGGCTCGAAACTTTCCGTCGCCTCCGTACATGTGCACGATCTGAGCATCTCCTCACTTACCTTTCATTTGTGTCGTGCAATCTTTCTACAATCAAGGAAAGTATCACAAGCTCTTATATACCGCGGCAGTGCTAATATGTCCACTGTGAGGCGGTCAGTCCTGACACCATATTTCGCTCGGTTCATTCTGTCGTCTGCATTTATCGCGAGCCTACGATCACTTTCTTCTCATCATCGCCGTTCGTGCATGCAGTCTCCAAAGAGCATGTTTAAGTCATCCATGCGATTGGTAGCAAGGGAGGTAGCCTGTATGGATACTTATCAGATCCTCATTCGGTGAGACAGTTCAGAGAGGAAAGAGAGATACCCTCCCTCGCCTCGAAAGGTGAGAAGGTGAAGGATCTAGAGCAAACTAAGGCTTCAGAAATTACAATTCCGGATGGCACGCGCAAACTTTCGTGCATTCGCTGTGCTCGGTTACAGGCTAGTTAGCAGTCCTCCAGTCCGGAGCATGACATGAATTGGGCAAGCAAAGCGTCTAACAGGCGCGTATATATGCTCTGTGCAGAATCCGAAGGGTGCCAGCGCCTACCCTTGACACCCAGAGCCTGCGCTTGCTGCATCAGTATCCGTTAAATTTCAGCTGCGCCCCGCCGAGCGAGTGTGGCATGTTGCCAGGATCAGAATGTGCCGAGTGAGCACGACCAGTACAAAACGCATGCCTTCGTCATCCTGCAGATGATGCTTTTTTAGGTGTCTGTCATTCGCTCATGATCATTGGGCGATTCGTGTTTGACGCCCTCGGACGCCTTCCGCTACCTCGTACCGCTCCAAACAACGGTGAGCACGGGGATCGTCTTTGCATCCTCGCCTAGCTGTGACCGGCGGAAGTGTCCTGCCACTGCATGCAACCAGCAGTCAGTCACCAATAGCTTCACCTACATGCACTGCTACAAAGGGTTCCCAACATCCACCCTCTCAGTCTTCTCCCACTTTGGACCCCCCGGTTTCTCAACCTCAAGCAGGAATCCACAAGTGCGCTGCTCGGCATGCGTACTACTGTAGCTTCGTTGATCAGAGCAGGCGGCCTGCTCGAGTCGCGATGCCACGACTGCTCCGATACATGTTACAGCTTCGTGTGACTGTCCAGTTCTACGAGGAATACCTCGTAACGAGGAGTGTTCATGCACCCCGTAGCCGACGCGCATTCTTACCGTCAAATCGACATTGATCGGTGAAGTTGTGATACGATGTGCCCGGGGCGCTGGTAGCTGAACAACACACAGCAACAATGTCAGTACGGTCTCCTCCGAGAAGGTGGTGCTTGGGCAAACAGGGGCACCACCAGAAGGGGCTCAATGCATTAGCCTCCCGTGATACATACCCGGGTGAACGAAACACCTGGGCATGACTACTTATGGGTCTCCGAATTTGCGCAGCGATTGTGTTTTGTCGATTATTGCCGCGTGAATGTCCGTTTTGACTACAGCCAGACACCAGAAACACGCAACGAGATGCGTTACCGATACTCTTTCCAACCCGGTATGCAGGCGGCTGTTATACTAGACAAATAAGTTTGTGGTTGTCAGCCGGTAGGCCCGATATTCCTGACCGGCATGGGGCTGAGCTCCCGAGCTCCTCATGCCATGGTCAACCATCCTCGGCTCTGGTGGTGGTTCACCAGGAATCCGCACCACAACCATAACAGCTACGTCAAGTTTCCAGAGGTCAAACTTGTGCTTTTGTGTGGGTCGCAGCCGGATAGAGTTCAAAGGCGAGCTGAAATTACCCGGCCGCGCGCTCGATTGGACGGATCAGTCAGGAGCTGCACCATACAAAGTCAATCCCAGCTTTCGTCCTCGCTCCCACCGTTCGACGCGCCTGTGAACTCTTCTGGGCAGCAGGCTGCCCTGAGTTCAAGGTCCGTCTTAACGGCGCGCGACTAACGCTTCCTCTGCTCTTTGAGTTTACCTGCCTCCTGCCTTCCGCCGCTCCGCCACACGTGTCCTGTCCGAACTGCTGCAGTGACTTCGCCAGAAGTCTAATCTAAACTCAATCGCAACGCAAAAATCCCATCATGTTGAGCCTGCTACCCGGCTTTTGGCCGCCTATCACGGCTCTTGTCACGGGGACGCCTCAGATGGAAGTATCTGCCATGGCCAATGGTGTGCGTTGAGCCTCTTCTCGGCCATAACTCATCTTAGATATAAGTTGCAGCCCCCAGCAAGATGGTGCCATGTGAGGAACTACCAAGCCAATATGCACTTCGTTGTTCCGACCGATTTTGTCGAGTCGTAGCCTTCCAGGTCGCATGCGCCCAAGCACCGACTTGACCCAAGCAACGCCATGTTCATGCTTCGCTAGCTGATTAGCAGGTTACGGTTGGGCTACATCAGTGGGGTGCTCCATCGTTCATCCGCACGGTGTTACCAAGGAAGCGTTTACCCCTCCACAGCATTCATCCTTTACCAGTGCTCTTCCACGTCTGTGTTTCCAGCATGTCGCTCTAAAAGGCTCTGACTCAGCTTAGAAAAGTCCGGCCATGGACTCGTCCGCAACTTGAAACGCCTCTTTTCGTCGCTATCCCTCCCCTTCAGCTGGCCATTTGCACTCACACAGGCCCTGGAGACTGGCACACCAAGCTCTTTCTTCCGCTCCACAAATCTTACCGAAGATGTCGCGATCAATCGAGGTCACGGTTAGACAAGCCCTCCAGATTGTCCAAAACAGCAGTACAGGAGTGGTTGACGCACGTATCCACCAGATTCTCGAGGACTATCTTCGCCAAACCTGGGATCGAATACAGGCTCAACCTGACACCTACGTTATGACTGGCCTTGAGTTCGCTGTTCTCAATCACTTCCGAGCCAGGGCCGAGTTCCAAAATGAGACTGCCAGGAAGGCAATCTCAAGATACTGGGACAGCATACGTCCCAGTAATGGAGTGGATTCAACCTGACTCCAGGTGGACAGCTAGCCGGGCGTTCAGCAAGTGCCGGAGAAAAGGAAATACGAGCCGAGTGTCTTCGATGACCGGTCCCCTTTCCATAAATCTACCTTCGCAGGAAAGCTATGCTCCCAACAGGGATCAAGATTAAAGTCGCCAATTCCACCCAAACGCCAATCGTTCTTTGAAGACACGAAAGAGCCATAAAGGTGGAACTGATGGGGAGCAAGCTTTAGGCGTGCTAGGATGGAATTCGAGAGCTCGGTGGCCAAAGCACTCGTGGAGCCGATAAATGAGCCGAGCGAGTCAGAAAAAGGAGGCATTATCGTTCGGGCTGATGCCTCCAGGTGTTCGGGACTGGTCAGGCTACCTTGCAATCTCGCAGGTGCCGATATCGTTCGCCATTCTGTCCGAGGATGTGCTAGACAAGCCTTCACTTCCGTGCTCTTACGCAAGCCCAACAGCATTCATTGACTTTCCTGTACACTCTCCTGTTTACACTTATCACAGCACTCAGCTCCGCACTCCGACGAGTCTCTGGCACCCAGTATCGTGCACTGTGTAGGCTCTGCGGCTCTGCCTCGCTCTCATAGAGTGAGTGAAGGATGATCTTCCTGCAGGACATGCCCACGCTCACGCTGCTTGGGCCACAGTCCGTCAACCTCAAACAATGAAACGTTCTATGTGGCAGCTTTATCACTTTGACGGCAACTGCCCACTCCTCGGAGAGGTTTATTGCCTTCGACGGCGATGAGCGAAGACTCTCGATTGGCCAGCAAGGGGAGGCGTCGGAATGGTCCAAGAGCTGGGCGCCCAGAGAGGTATGAGGCATGTTGACGGCCCGCATTCCAATGGTAAAGCAACGAGTATAGGACCCTGCGACCACCAGATGTACCTTTCCCGGCTGTTCACACGACTCTTACCTCTTGTCCCGATGCTTACGGTCTGCACACGATACACAAGATGCTCTTCTCCATCCTTCTGAGCCTGCTGGCTGGAGCCCCTGCTGCACATGCTGCATTGGGGTCACAAGGATATGATGTTCTATCACCGTATGGGTTGGGCAAAGCTTTCAACGCTCATGTGAGGCGGGAGAACTCCCAGAGACATCAGCTGAAGGTCCGCACATCTTCTCAACTCGCACAATATACACTGACAAGATCTAGCTGGTGACGCGACAATCGGCCCCTCCCATCACAATCGACCCTGATTGTGCCTTATACGACGGCTATTTCTATACGACGGCGCGGAACTATACTTGGCAATTGCAATGCTCCAACTCTTATGGCGGTACCATCCTGGCGCAGACGACCGACACCACCGACTTGGGCTCATGTATCAGCGAGTGCGTGACCTACAACCGCGACAACACACCGGGAGCGTGTGTGGCCGTCACATTCTCTGGTTCGTATAGTGGGTCAGATACTGTCTGCACGCAGTACAGCAGTGTTGACGAAGTCTACCTTGCGTCTGAAGAAGGAGGTGAGTGTTTGTTACTCAGGACATGCCGCACCTCTCGCCCACCACAATCAAGATTCGCGATTCTTTTGAAGTACTATTACACCAAGGCTGACCAAGGACACAGGCTTTGTGAATTCGGCGCTGCTAGTCTTGGGCCCAGAAGGAGAAATCTTCGCGACGGTAAGTCTTTTGAAGAGTCGGCGGCTATTTCAAAGCCACTGGGCGCAGTCCCGAAACTTTGATGAATTTTTGCTAATCAAAGAACAGCCGCAACCCGAACCAACTTTTACTGGAGCACCGACTCAGCCACCTGATGTCGACCCAGTGCCCAGGCAAACGACGACTTCCGTTGATATCACTCCAACATCGACGCTGCTCTCAACCACGACCCCGGCCGCTGTGGTTACTTCTTACCTTGCCTTCACCACCACCACTGTTTCGACCAGTACAATTCTTATCACCTCATGCCTACTAGACCAGCCGTGTCAGCCAAATACGACGCCCACCCCTTCGTCATCCGGAACGAGCACGCCAGATGGTATTTCTTCGACCACAAGTACACGGGCCGTCAATATCAGTGACGGCGGCTCAAGACCAATCACCTCAATGACAAGCACTACGAGCGTGGGATTTGTTCCCGGAAGCACTATATCAGGCGCATTCACTCTCGATGCCGGTCAAAGAACATTCACAACAATTGTTCCTTTCACCGAGTATCGAGTCCAAATCATCGAGATATGTGCAGCAACACCTACCCCTTGCTCCCAGTCATTCAGCACGGCCACCAATGTTATTTACAGGACGGAGATATCTTGCTCGCCAGGCGCATGTTTAGATGTGGTGCCTACAACGGGGTATTTGGTCGATGCCATCGCAGCAGCAACCTGTGTCGTCGTTCAGTAAGACATGTTTTGATGTGGTGGTTTATTCTGGTCCCAGAAGCTGGCGTTGACGTTTTCCTCTTCAGTTGTACTTTCTAGCTTGCGGAGACGAACCCTGCAATCTGGTTGGATGATTGTTCCACGTGCTCAAAGTTTCATCATGATTTCCTATCAAGCCGAGATTTTGACGCACTATTGTCATTGTCGTGAAAGAGTTTCGGAATGATTTTAGCACTAGACACGTAAAAAGCTTGGTATGTCCGGCGCACCTAATGCGGCAAGCGTACCGCGGCGGGATAACTTCGGTTACAACGCGCCGCACAACTGGCACAACGCGACTTCGATGTCAAATTCTGCTTCCTCGTGACTTGTCCCTGCGAGTTCAATCTTCAATTCCAGATGTCCTCATACTCGCTGTAGCGCGCTGCACTACCCTCTGAGACACACCGAGAGATGACCTTAGCTGAGAGCTCACGAGGCAACTAGTATCCCCCCGAATAACCTCGCGATCCCACTTCCAACTTCGAGCCGCAGAGAATTGTTGAGCCTGCAGTCATAGCTCGTCCGACGAAAGGCCATGTTCCTGTGCCATTCAAACAATGGCGTCTCAAAAACCTTGAAGAGTATGGAGCCGGATGAGCCAGAATCCGAAATAGAACTTCTCTAGCTGTGTGCAGCCGGACCGCTTTTGTTCAATGTCCTTTGTCGAGGTTCACTAGATGTGCAGGTAGGTGGAAGGTGAGGTTCATTGTCTGCCGCTCCCACAACATCTGCCTCACCCCTACTATTCTACCTCTAGCAAGCATCACCAGAACTGTGACTTCGAAACTCCGCTAGATTCTTGCCACTTCGGTCCTCGACTTCTCCTACAACGATGGCGCGTCCCAATTTCTTTCTCGTAGCCTCAACACTCATCGCTGGCCTTCTTGGGTCAGTGGCAGCAGATGCCATACCATGTAATCCACTCAACGGTTAGTACACATGACTGTCCGGTATAGCGTATGGCTGATCTTAGTAGTCACCGCAGCCTGTCCTCCGATCCCTGGTTTAACCACCAGTACATATTTCATGGATTTCACCCAACAAACGACGACCCCTCCGGACTGGATCCTTGCGGACTATGCAAAGGTGGATTACGCCTCCCCCAACGGTGCGAACTTCACAATCGCCAAACGGAAAGAGGCCCCTTATATCTGGTCCCGCTTCTACGTTCACTTCGGTCGCATTGAGGTCGTGATGAAGGTTGCTACAGGTGGAGGCATCATTACAGGCGCAGTGATGATGTCTGACGACCTGGATGAGATCGACTGGGAATTTTCGGGCAACAACTTCGGTAAAAGTAGCGGCTCCGTCTTGACCAATTATTTCGGCAAAGGTCAAATTGGTTGGTCCGATCGCGGTGCTTACCCTGCAGTTGACGCTCCTCAGGATAAATTCCACACATATGCTCTCGACTGGCAACCTGACCGCTTGGTCTGGTCCATTGACGGTGTCACGGTGAGGACGCTGAACAACAACGGGGCAACCACTGGTTCGTACCAATACCCACAAACGCCATCTCGGCTCCATCTGGGTATGTGGTGCGCCGGAGACCCAGACCAGGCCCCGGGTACGGTCCAGTGGGCTGGTGGCTACACCGATTTCAGCACCGCTCCATTTTCTGCCTTTGTCAAGTCCGTTCGAATCACGCCCAGGAACGCTTGCTCCAGCTACAACTACCCTTATCCGTTCGATGGGACGTACAAATCAGTGCAGTGCTCAAATCAGACAGTTACCCTGCCTTGCACATACGCAGTTGTCGCAGGCGACGACGGCGATAAGATCGCGAAGAAGTTGACGGTCAACTTTGATACTCTGAAGAGTGTTAATCCCGGGGTTGATTGGGATAAACTCTTGATCAGGCAGGTCTTGACGGTTCCTGGTGGGACCTGCACAACATCTTCGACCACTACTTCGATGCCATCGACAAGCAGCACTTCCTCTTCAGCCACTCCAGTCTCAACTACTTCCTCATCAGTGCCAACTACCACCACATCAGCACGAACCACATCGACTTCTTCGAGCAGAACGATTACTTCTAAGTCAGCGCTCACCACTTCAACAAGTGCATCCCTGAGTACTTCAAGCACAACGATGGCGAGTTCAGCAACGACTACTTCGACAACTCTAAGTTCTGCAAGCACGACGGCTACCACAAACTCAATGCCCCTCTCCTCGAGTACAACAAGCCGCGTGACTTCAACGTCAACCTCAGCAATGACCACCTCAACCTCGACTACGGGCACCAGCTCAAGCACGGCTGCGGTCACCAGTTCCACTTCTACAAGCAGCACTACTACCTCCACTGCTCCCACCCAGTCTTACACGGTGGTCGCAGGCGACTTTGGTTGGGCCATTGCAGACAAGAATGGTTGTTCCTTTGATGCCCTAAATGCTGCCAATCCCGGTATCGACTGGGACAATTTGCAGATTGGGCAGACTCTGAACCTGCCTGGGCAGATCTCTGACTCCTCAAAGATGATGACAGGTCCGATTGGCTCAAGCTCGGGCGTCGCTTCTAGTTCGACAACTACGACTCAGCCGTCCTCTTCCTCGACAACGTCGTATGCTCCTGGCTGCATCTCTGGTTGGGGTTGCGGCTGGGGTGGCTATCCTGTTCCCCCGGAGTCCTCGAGCACCAGCAACGCCCCATCTGGAAGTCTGGCAAGCACCTCTGACTCAACATCTACTGGCTCAAGCCCCTCGACTTCAACGGCGTCCCAGCAGAGCTCATCGTCAAGCATAAGTGTCTCAATCTCAACATCTCCATCGGACTCTGCCTCCAACCCGGTCATCACTAGCGTGAGCACTGTCAGCTCTTCTGTCAGCACAACCACGAACTTAGCCAATACTAGCACGCCCACTCCGACTTCATCTGGACCGACATCAACGTCAGCCTTGGGACCGCTAACAACCACCACTAGGCCCGCGGCGACCTCTAGCTCGCGCACAAACGCAGTCAACCCTGTGACACCGACCCCACTGGCCACGCCCAGGATGTTCTGCAATCAAGACAACTGCCTTCGTAACATGATCGATCCACGCTACTCGTCCTCCATGCGCAACTTCTGCTCGAAGTATACAACCACGGCCTCCAACACCACGCCCCTGCCTAATTTCTTGGGTGGTTGCGTTGCAGATGCCAAGAGAGTCAGCAGCGCGTGCAGCTGTCTAATCACGAGCTTTGGCACGGGCACGGCCACTGCTTCGAGCTCGGCGTTGACAGCTTCGGCCTCCCGTTCGGGGAATCCAGCATCGGGGAGACAGGTTCCTTCTTGGTTGTTGAAGCGCTCGCCTCTGCGATGGAATCGCCTGGCCGTCTAGACGTTTATCGGGTTGTGCGATTTGTATTATGTGTCTCGAACGTTTCTGTAGCACAGGACAGGGAGGCGCTCCGGGGCCTTCGCGCCAATCTCAATAGTTGGCATAGCAGCTTCTGCGATGATCAGATCAGCGACGTGCATTCTTCTTTCTCATGGTGCGCGGTGTGACCCTCCCCAGCCCGACAACATGATATCTAAACCCAGCTTGCTCGTTACGTGCTCGATAAATGTCGCACAGTCCGCACAGGGCTCCTGGCTGACCAGAATGAGCGCCCGTCTGAGCATGACTGGTGGTACCATGGAAGCAAGCCCTCGAAGTGATCGGTCAACCGTAGGATGAAATCCCCAGTTTTGCATTGCAGAAGCCAACTGTTCCACGGCGTCGTCGGTTGCATCTTGCTTGCCGAGTTCCGGTTCCAAGAAAACATGATGGTTGATGAAATATGCTATCATTTGCTTCTCGGCGTGCGAGGCATGGTACCGTCCTGATTTGCCGTTGTCGTAAATGTGAGGCATGAGCTGATGGTTGACGAGCTGACATATCCGCATGACTTCAGCAGTCCAGTCCTTGCCCGATATCAAAATCACTGTCTGGTTGTGTGCCCATCCGCTCATGGCCGAGACGGAGGGATACCGTCCTCCTCGTTCAAGTCGAGCAACGGTTTTCCATTGGGTAGGAATAGGATACTCACTGATCGGAGCAAAAAGTCTGATATTGTCCGTCGACTTCACGAAGACGTGATGCTGGTAGTTTGTCCGTGTGATGAGAGACGGGACTTCCTGGGCGCCACTTAGAAGATGGACAATCATTCTTCGCTGCTGGTTTGCCGTGTGCGTGGTTTCCTTGTATGCCTGTACCTTTCCTCCAGAGCGGTCATATCTTTCTTCTTCATTTCGCGCAGAAGGCTCGGCAAACTGCAGGGCAATAAAGCCATCGTGGTCTTTGAGACTTCTATCTGCCCCGTGTTTAAGAAGGACCTTGACGTTCTGGCAGCGTCCCCAGAGCGCCGCCTCCGTCAATGCCGTCCTCCCGCGTTTGTTCTGGAAGTTGGGGTCGGCGCCTCGCTCGAGTAAAAGCCGTACGATGCCAGAATACCGCTCAGCAGCGGCGGTATACAATATGGAATCTCCCTTTTCATCGACGCCGTGGAGGAACAGCTCCGCTTCAGACGAAGTATCAAGATACTCCTTCACGTAGTCTTCGTCCCCGAAGTGAAGCATGCGGCTTGTAACATGATCGATCCTGTTCGTAGTATAGGGTTCATCACTCCCTCCAAACGCCGCGGTTAATCTGCTAAGAATATGGTCGCTTGCATCAAGTGTAATCGTTTCACGCGCGTCTCCCAACTTGGGCGGTGTAGTGGTAGCTTCTTTGTCCGACTCGTGGTTGTCACTGCTGTCTCGCAGGGGCGGTAGTTCCAAGGCGGTCGGATCAGCATCAACGGCCACGTACCTCACATTTATCTTGTCGATTTCATACGCCGTCCCTCCTGAGGATGTAGAGAAGGGGAAAGTGAGCCGGTAAGAGGGGAAGCCCAACTCCTGGCTTGTGTCACAGTGCGTGGCACGCAGATTTTGGTCGTAGCTTCCAGAAAAACCATGCCTATGGAGCTTGAGGCAAATAGGGCACTTCACCTTGACTGTGGTAACATCCCACCACTGCGCGGCCGCAGAATAAAAGCCGTCCTCTGTGTCCATTGTGACTGAGGCTTTCCGGTTGACAAGTTTCGCTGGCTGCGAAAGGATGATTAGGAGGGACAGATAGCTGTTTGCAAGAATGATGCGCAGGTACGTGAGGTCGAACGGCCAGCCTTGTTGGCCTGGATGGTCAAGCCGGTCAAGGGTCACTACCGGCGAGTGGTGGGTGAGAGGGGACAAGGCTGCAAGTGACTAAGCAGAAGCTTGGCAAAATATCTTGGCCGCACGAAAAACGGCGGCGCTACCGAACTGCACCCTGCGAAACGAACTTGGAGTCTTGAGATTGAAACATTTGTTGCAACGTCTCTTACCCGCACAACCATTTCCCGTACGAATCTCCCACATCTCAGACGCGTCCGACGACCCGTTGACACTTTGCAGGTCGTCTCCTCAGATAATCCGCCAACATGACGAAGGGAACAAGTTCGTTCGGCAAGAGTGAGCAATAGACCAGACCTCAACCTAGGTTGAAAGATATGGAAGACATGGTTTTCTGACCGGAATGCGTAGGACACAATAAGACTCACACCCTTTGCCGGAGGTCAGTGATTGCGATACGTCCCCTAGCCTGCTTGGCCTTCAATCCAACCCCAGAAGACTGTAAATTGAGGAGAACAAAATGAACTGACTCGGATTGGTACAGGTGCGGTCGTCGAAGCTTGCACATTCAGAAGCACACTTGCGCGAACTGTGGAGTACGTTTTCACACTCTTTCCTCGATCTTGCCTAGGCGACAACCGCCCGCCACCTTCTTCTCGGTGACTACCTCCGAGGTCGTTGGAATATCGAGACTGACTCGATGCGCCGATAGTATCCTGCTGCGAAGACCCGCAAGTACGAATGGAGCGAGAAGGCCAAGAGACGCAAGACCACTGGTACTGGACGGATGAGGCATTTGAAGTTGGTTGCAAGGTAAGAACGGCACACTACATCTATTTCCTTTGGCCATGCAATACGGGGGCCGACACAGCTGGGTCTGTGGCAATCGTCAGAGACGAATGTGCGGAGAAGAAAGCGGCGAAGCCAGATGACCTTTCCGCGAAGGCCGTTGCGAAGCTAGCCTTGCGAAGTGGAAGAGAGGAGGCACCAACAAACAGAATACACGAGGATAGTGGCTAACGCGATATCGGCAATACAGGAGAGCTAGCAATGGGTTCCAATCCGGCGCACCCAAGGGAGCACGAGGACCTGCCAAGGCATAGGCACGGTGACGAGACGCTGTTGTGGATGGAGGTCAATCCGCCCATGAGGCCTTCTCCGAACGCTCTTTCGGCGAAAATCAGGAGCAGTGCACAGGACCTCGAGGACGTGGGAGGTGAGGTAGAGTTGGGCTGATGCCGCGTGGAGGGGAGGCAGATAACCCGGGCGCAGAAGCAAGGACATGACACCAGAGAACTGCTCTGTCTCTCGGCGGGAACGATGCAAATTTCGTCAGCGCACCGCCTGTTTTCGGCCTGAGTTCATCAAGTACTCTATCCTGGCCGTTATGCGGCGAATTGGCATGCTAGCTATAGAATCTGCGAAGTGGGCCAGGTCGAGAAGGCCATGAATGAAAAATATTCAAATTGCAAAGTCCGTACTCCGTACTTGACCTTGCTTTCGTCTTTCTCATTACAGTAAATATATCGCCTCAATCTTCATGATATGATCCCCACCACCACCCATGGTTTAGGTAGTCATGGGATGCCAATCGCCTGGTTGAACCCATCTTGAATTTGTGGATATTCTTGGGGCGTCCGTGATCGCTGTCGTTCAGACGCAATTTTGAGGCTTTCTCTTTCTAAAGCCTTGAGGCCGCGTCTGGCTTTTACCTTACTTATCGAGCGGAACGCAAATGCCCCCAGCAATCCCTCCGCCGCTAGTCTCTTACCTGGAGTCCAGCCTTGCTTCACTTCACGGCCAGACCCTCATCACCTCAGTGCTTGGTACGCCCTCACCATGGCTGCTGCTACGATTCGTCTACGGGGCCATGTACGGCGTGGGGCATGACTCAGAAGCCAGACAACTCGGCGAGGACTCAGCAGTAAGGCCGGGGGAAAGTCCTGTGGTCTTCGTAAGTCTTCTGCGACCGCTTAGTTTGTGGGTTGAGATGGGGAAGAAGATGGTATGCTCTAGCTCTCTCCTTTGCTGAAGTTTCGACCTTTTAGCCTTTCAGCATTTCAGGCCCACGTTGGGCTGCCGCGCGACGTTTTCTAAACCGGGCGTCTGGCTCTCATATCGCGTGGAGTTGGAAAGGCTCACATTCTTTGCAGGGACTTGATTTCCAAGTGCTGCTCCGGGGCAAGAAGATTGTCTACGTCGACGGGCTTACTGATGGTTCGCCACCAGCAGGGCCTGGAAACTCTTCGCTTCCACCGACGACCAAGCTCAAAGCTCTGACTCTGGACGAGCTACGGCGCTCTATGGATGTGGCTTTAAAGAGTTGGTTTACTGCTACAACGGACACCTCTACATCCGGGGTAGGCGCATCTTCGGGCTCCTCTTCGTCTGCGGGATCTGCAGACGCGAAATCACTTATTCTTCTCGATGGCATTGATTTCCTCCTGGCTTGCCAACCCTTCATCTCCACAGTCTCATTGCAAGCGCTCCTTTCAACATTACGGACGCGGTCTCGCGCTCTGGTACTCACCTGCAATGCCGATGCTCCGCTGCTGCAAACTGCTACATCTGGCAATCATGATGGCGGGACGCCCTTGGAACGCAATCATGCGCACTTCTTGACGTCCATAGCCCATCAAAGTCGGTGGGTGTTCCAGCTCAGAGGGTTGGACACCGGCAGCGCGAAGGATGTTTCCGGCGTTATCAGGGTTAGTAAAGGTGGTGATGGAGGAGACGGCGAGAATGAGATCTCGACTTCAGGCCGTACAACAGATCTGCCTGATACAGAATGGTTGTATCAATTGAAAGGAGATGGTTCGGTGAGGGTCTGGGGGCGTGGAGAATAACGTGTGACACGACATGAGTGCGATATCAGGTGGCTGCTGTGGACAGCCCTTCTAAGGATAGCATGGCACAGTGTGGATGCATTTGAATCACCCTCTCGTACGAAATCCTAGCGAAGACATCTCCCTGTCTCCTTGCTGCCAGCCGCAAAGAATTCGGTGGTCGGAGCCAATTCCGGGTGCGAGGGCGAAGATGCGGGATCCGGAGCATGTTGACATAATTCCTGATTGATCATCTCGGCCGATAGCGGGACCTCAGTCCAGCGGTTTGTGCGTCCCCTCCAAGATGAATCTACCACAAGACGTCTTGACAGACTGCAGATATATTACTCTTTGCTGCTGCTGAGAGTCATACCAAGCTCAGAGCTCCAAACCATATCCTCGAGCGTAATGTCTGATCCGTTCTTGTACAGCTTTCCTTCGCCCCTAGCAGGGTACGAAGACCACGCCCCTCTTCCGGACGAGTTAAACGAGGATGGGAAGTCTTTCAAAAATCCACAGACTGGTGTTCTGAGCCCGAGCTATGACAAGTTTACCTCTGGCATTATGAATGGTCGTCGGGGCGGCTTCGATATTCACATATATTACCATCACAATAGTGAGGAGCAAAAGGACTATGCCAAAGCGCTATGGCAGAGGATCCGCCTCGAGTTTCCGGAGCTGAGGTGTGTAATCTCCCGTGTAGATATCCATCTGTATTGATCTGGCAATTCAGGATCTATCGACTGTGGGATAAACCTGTCGGGCCCCATACAATGGCCATGTTCGAAGTCAACGTCTTCACACCTGCGCAATTTGGAGCATTCATACCGTGGCTAGTCATTAATCGTGGACCGCTATCTGCGCTAGTCCACCCTAACCATGAGGATGAGGATGCATTGAGAGACCATAGTCAGAGAGCCACCTGGCTTGGTGAACGGGTGCCAGTTGATCTGGGATTGCTGAAGAAAGTTATGAGTAAAAGAAGCGAGAAACAGAATGGGTCAGCGAATTGAAGAGCAGAATCAAGTCCATGTAAGCAGGTGCAAAGCTGTGTCTTTGGCGGCTCTGGCTTGCACCCACCTTCCATCATTTTCTTCACTTCCCAGTATCTTCATTCTTCCAGCTTTCCAGTCTCGACCTTCACCAGATCGCCTTCCTGTTCTTTGTCACACTGCACTGCTACTGCCTCTGTTGCTGCTGGGGACAAGTGATCCTATGCGGCCGACACAAGAAAGTAATGATGTCTCTGTCTCCCCAAATGGCACGTTTACCAGCATTCCTTATTTATGAGGACGATATTCTGATCGCTACCAAAACAATCACACCGACCCAAGGCGACGCTCCGCTCAGTCCGCCGACTTCTGGGCTCCCAGACTTCACTGGAGAATCCGATGTCATGTATTCCACCGGCTCAAATTACTTCCACTCTGCGACCAGAGTATCCGCAGAGCGAGAGTTTGACCTTAGTGATGAGTTCGGTGCGGACTGTGCAAGTCAGCAACAGGATCCCAGACCCTACCAACCTGCATTTGCCATCAAGGAAGATCCTGCCCATGTCAACGACGTAGAGAACAGGAGATCCTCGAAGTACGACACTAAACCACCACCGTCTGGACCAACTCAGGTTTCAATAATGGCTACGCCAACATCATCATCCCCAATAACCGTTCGCAGAAACCCAAGACCAGATCGCTCCGAGGCCACTCCTGCGCGTGGAAAACTCACTGCTTCGAAGTCCAGGCAACTATCAGCAAAGCCTCCACCTGCACCCAGCAGCAGGCGCCAAAATCTGCAGACCATGACCGACCTGGGTCCAAAGGTCGAGGACGATCCTTCCACAGATCATAGTGATAGCGAGGATGAGGACAGCACAGACGAGAAGGGAGACCACTTTCCGACTGAGCGTAACCTTAGAAAGAGGACTGTTCAACAGACAAACCCTTTCAAGTTCGACAAGCACAAACACATAGCACAGAAGACTGGGCAACAAATCAACACGAAGAAAATCGAGAACAAGGTGAAACAAGAGATCGAGGGAACTCAAAAAGAACCGGTAAAGAAGAGAGCCCGGGTCTCCAGTGGCAGCTCGACCAAGAACAAAGCGAAAGCTTCTGCCTCCCGAGATCAGAGTGCCAGCAAAGCACGACGCTCCAGCTCGATCTTGTCCACGACCGTGTCGCCAGAGGCTAGTAGCGATCATGACTTTGACCCAGCGAGAACCATCCTCCGTGTGAGATTGGATGGCTTTGCTGATGCCGCTGCTCCGATCCCTCTGATACAATGCGATGGGCTTGATAAGCTGATGGACTTCATCATTGACAGCTGGAGATGGAGGTTCAATGGCGACCGGTTCTCCTACGCCATCGCATCTTTTCCATGGCTGTCCGATAAGTCAAACATTCTACTCCGGCCGGGCATGGACGCGAGTTTCCAACTCATGATGACCGAAATTGAACACGCCCCCATGTGGACAGAAGGTTATCGCACAAGCTGTTTCGTCGACGTGACGGTGTACGTACAATGATGTGTGGTCGTTCATATCCCCAAATCCAGATGAGAGCAAAGGAGAAAGTCAACTGCCGTGGTCGTGAAAGCAACACGGATGCACCCGCATCTGGCCAGGGGGCCTGTTCTACAGGGTGCTGTCTGACTTTTTAAGTCGATAGTTAGTGTTACAGAAAACTTGAAACAAGCAAGGCTTCCGTGCCCCGATCAATCCCGTCCTTAGCCTATGACCAATAGCAGATCCTTGTTGCATGGCCCACCGCCAGTCGGCTTGCGGGTTGCGACAGTAGGGGGACCACCAAGGCCATTTGGGAAGAGAGTGCCCCTGAATATTCTCCGACATAGGGAACGATCAGTAGCGAGTCGTGCGAGTTCACAAGAGATGAGGAGGAAGCGAAGAGGGAACACTTGATCTCCTTCTCGTCTATCTGACACTTTTCTCTTCAGTTTCTCGAACTTCAGTTCTTTACTTCACGGCGTTCGTTCGTTCGTTGTTGATTGACGCCACATGCGGCCGTCTTGACTTTTAACTTCTGGGTCTGGCCGCTGTCACCCTGTCCACGTGTGCCGCCTCTAACGCAGGTGCAGTTGCAGTAGTCGACAGTGCTGCTCTCTGGTCTCGGCACGTCACTCAAAGCTTACCCCATATTCGGTCCTCGAGCATCCAGATTCCCATTCAGTTCGGATTGCCGTGCGCTCGAAGGGAGAGTCAGCCGCCATTGAGAACTTCACTCCTCTCTCACTTTGCTTTGGTCCCCTACCAGTGTCCGTTGTACTTCGTACGACTGAGACAAATCTGACTAAAACCACTACAAGCTTGCGTAACGCTTCATTCACGGGTGTCGGTTGAACTGCACATCTGCGCTGGGTCCCCTGACTTCTTCCACCTAATCGAGACCATACCCGTATCGCACCTGCATCTGAGCTTGTCCTCGTTGTGCGAATGATCGAGCACACAGCATCTCCAGTGCACCCCCGAACCGACCAAGCGACAATCACGCGTTTCTCCTCACGGCAGCGCCTGCACCTACCCGTACTTGCCGCCAGAACTCAGTCGGAGTTGCTCAACCAGCAACAGCCCTCCCCGAACACTGCGCTGGTTTCTCCGACATCATGACCTCCCCAGCTGCTCTCTCGCGCAATGAGTCGCAAGCCTCCAGCCGCAGAAGCACTAGTCTTGGTTCTCGCCTGTTTCGCTCAAAGAGCGGCGAGGCCTTGGGTGAACGCAAGAGCTCGGCAGGCCGAATGAAGAAGAAGATGCATGACACGGACGAGACCGCGAAGGTTGCTCAATCTCCTCCTCGCCTTCCGAACTACAATCCTCAACCACTAGGCATCCAGTCGTTTGGCGGCGAGAACTACAGGCCTCGCGCGGCGTCCAAGGTGTCCACCAATGGCGATATCCATGCACCCCCGGTCCCTCCTTTGCCTGCACACATGGAGAAAGAGGCTGTCGACCCATATGCTCGTACGGAAAGCATGACCCATCGTGAGTTTGCATCAGTCCCCCGGGAGGACATCCGAGTTGACATGATTCTTCCAGGTGGTCGATATTCGTACGCAACCTCGGTCGTCTCTACCATCAATTCTCCTCGAAGAGTCCGCCGCCGTAAAGATCCCACTCCATATAATGTCCTCATCATCGGTGCTCGGGGGGCGGGCAAGACGTCTTTCCTCAACTTTCTGAAGAGCTCATTGGCTCTGCCATCCAAAAAGCAACCGACTCGGGCGCCTGATGTTGACACACCTCCGTCGTCAGCAAGGCCCAATCCCAGTTTCACCCACCACTACCAAGAGATCGATGTCGATGGGGAAAGGATAGGTCTGACGCTGTGGGACTCTCTTGGGCTGGACAAAAGTGTGGTAGACCTCCAACTGCGAGACATGAGCAATTTCGTGGAAAGCAAGTTTGACGACACTTTCATTGAAGAGATGAAAGTTGTTCGTGCCCCAGGAGTCAGAGACACCCATATCCACTGCGTTTTCTTCATTCTTGATCCAGCAAAGCTCGATGCAAATATCAATGCCGCACAAGGCATCACGACTGGGACGGAAACCAGCCGGATTGGAAAACCACCTCGAATTGTTGGTGCTCTTGACGAGGACTTTGATATTCAAGTCATCAGGACTCTAGGCAACAAAACTACCGTCATACCCGTCATCAGTAAAGCAGACACGATAACAACAGCCCATATGTCGTTCCTCAAGCAAAAGGTCAGCAGAAGCCTGAAGAAGGCGGGGCTTGATCCACTCGAAGCTCTCAACTTCGATGCTGCAGATTCGGACGACGACCGTCTCGATGAGCGGGATGAGGATGAAGATAGCAGCAACGCAGACTCAGAAGAAGCCACTTCAGCCAGGAGTGATGACTCAGAAGGCATTCGGAACTTTTCCAGAAAACGATCAGGAATCCACAACCGTCAAGTCTCTGGTGAAGACGCCGCTCTGGATGGTGGCTATGTCCCTTGGTCCATTCTCAGCCCGGACAAATACTCTCTGGAGTCAAAAGATGGCCCTGTCGGTCGGCAATTCCCCTGGGGATTCGCTGATCCGTATAATCCGGTCCATTGCGACTTTGTCAAACTGAAGGATGCCGTGTTTGGTGAATGGCGGTCCGAGCTGCGGGAGGCAAGCCGGGAAGTGGTGAGTGTTGATTTCCTCGTGCTTGTCGGGTCATGGATCCCTTTCTAACTGCTTGCTAGTTCTATGAGCGCTGGAGAACCAATCGCCTCAATCGACGGACGCTACCATCGAATGCAGCCAATGGCCTTCCGTCCGGACCGCGTCGGAGTCATGGTTCAATTCCAATCCCTCTCCAGCCTCGAGTACGGTAGAGGGGACGGTTACTGTACAATAGCCGCACTTCGGCAGGGCGCCCAGAAATTATCAGCCAGTATCTATTGACGCGGGCAATTCGTTGAATCAACGACATTCTTCGTGGGCATGTTATTCGATAGCCACTAGGCGAGGATCAATTGAGAGATTGACAAGCGGCACTGAAAGACAACACGGTTAGGATTGGGAGGTTTGGGTGGCGTGCGTGTTTGTTCTCCATCCCTTGCATTTGCAGTGCCTTGGTTTTTCACGACCTGACACGAGTCATGACACAATATAACCTTAGCCTTGGGACAACGTGGACTGTTGGCTTGCATTCGCCAAAGTAAGCACAACAGGCTCCGGGAGGAACCATTTTCTTTTGTCGACTTTTGTTGTGTTGGGGGAAGGAGCATCGCAAGCGAGTGAGCCATCAAGCGGAGCGGTGAGAGAAATCACGTACATTGAGCTGAGCTCAGTGGTGGAAATGACGTCTTTTATCCGTTGCGGGCCGAGTTGAAAATTGTAGCAAGCAGAGTTAGTACGCAAATACCCCTTTTTGGCTTCAAATGATAGCTCTTGAGACGATGGATGTCGTCGCTGGCTGGACCCTTAAACCCTCCCAAAAACACGTAGTGCTTTGCAAGCAACGGGAGCGCCAACGAGCTGATGACTCACCCCACTACAGATAGAGAGCACAGCAAAAACACAATCGCACAAAAACAATCAACAGCCAGGATTCCCAAGTCGTCACCGACCTCAGTACTAACTGACCGGCATCTGGCTTGAGTACCGCTGAGCAAACGGGAAGCGCTGTTTTCCAGATCCTATGGTCGATTGTGGGGGTGGAAAGTGTTGGTGACAAATATAAGGCTAGAAATTGTGGTTTGGGTAGTATATGTATAGGCAGTCAGTCAGTGGGATGGTACTGCTACAAACAGCCATCAGGTAGGTACTGTAGTTCGACTTCGCGGCGTGTTTCGAGCCCAGTGCCTTCAATGCCATGCTGTCCGGACTTCCATTGGACGTTCGAGGTGCGATGTTCGGTTGATACTTGGACGGTCAATCGTTTTCACTCCAAGAATATTGCCACCGTCTCTGCCCCTACGTGTACCATCGAACGCTCGGCATGGCCACAGAATGCCCGTGCGACACGATACGCCCATGTTACGCATCCCACCATACCTACTCCGTGCGCACAATCAATAAAACCAACGATACTCCGCCGCCGCAGGCCCATCCCTCAACAACTCGGTCGGCACATCGCGGGCGCGGACTTTCTTACCAGGCGTGAGGGCGTCCCGCCGCTTATTGTCCACGATCATCCACGCGCCGAGCAGTAGCGTGAAAAGGCACCCGACGGCGCCGAACGTGGCCGTGGTGATGAGCGCGGGGAGATATTTCGGCGCGTCGCGGTTCTGGAAGATGTTGGAGCTAACGACGCCCATGAGGTTGGCGACGGGGACGCCCACGCTGGTCAGCATGACGCGCTTGTTCTCGTCGGCGATGTTGTTGTTGTACCAGACGTCGAGGATCACGCTGGGCGCCGAGGTGCCCCATGTCATCCTGTTTGTTACATTAGCTTTGCATTTGACCAGCCACAGGCATCTCATCTCGTAGAGCTACTGTAGCTAGGGAGCTTAGCTGGCTGTGCTGGATTGGAGATGGGATAAGGTGCTGGAGCTTGACTTGACTTTTCATCGGGCATCACGCAGGCAGGGCAGGGCCACTTACATGAAACAAGCAAAATACGCGACGTTGATCTGCGTCTCGAGGTCCACGGCCGCAAATATGATAAAGCCGATGCACGTGAACCCGAACCCCAGCGCCACGAACGGGAACCGCCAGCGCGTGTAGTCGGACGCGAAGGCCAACACCAAAAGCATGATGGCGCCGGTGATGTTGGGCGCCACGGTGTACAGATTACTCTTGACGGTCGAGTAACCGAGCTGCTTGACGATGACCGGTAGGAAAAGACTGACGGACTGTAAAGGCACGCCTAGGCAGACCTCGATGGCCAGGATGACCCAGCTGGTTGGATGCTTGAAAATGGCCAATGCGGAACGCAGATTAAACTCCTCGTTCACGACCGAGGACGAGTCGACTTGGATGCGGTAGAAGGCCAGCTGTTTCTCTTCCTCTGTGAGGAAACGCGCCGACTGCGCGTTGTATGGCAGCACCCAGAACGCGAAGAGCGAGAAAAGCATCGAGCACGCCCCCTCGATCACGAACAGGTACCGCCAGTTGGCGAGGCTGCCGGAGTGGATCTGGAAGACGCCAAAGGAGAGGAGTCCGCCGAACGCGGACGCGATGTTGGACGCCGCGTAGAAGATGGCGAGCCGGCGCGCGAGTTCGCCTCGGCGGTAGAAGACTGAACGCGTACACTGTCAGGTGGGGGTCACAATCATCCACGTACAGGTTCCAGTAGATCGATCCCAAGCTTGGATTAGATGAATGGGTAACTCACGAGTCTGGTAGAAGATGATGCTGGGGAAGAAGCCTCCTTCCGCCTGTCGGATATGGTCAGCTAGAAACCGCAGATAATATCCGTCAGAGGTGGAGCATACCATGCCCAAGAACCATCGGCACGCAAGGAGTCCGCCGAAATTCTTGACCGCCACGACCATCAGCGTGCTGAACCCGAAGCAGGTCATCATGAGTGGGAGCGTCCGACTGGGCCCGAATCGTTTACTGGCCATTCCGACGAACGGGCCGGACAAGACGTAAGGCACAAAGAAGACGGAGAGGATGAGGTTGTAGTCGTCTCCCCTCAAGCCGAGATCCTTCTCGAGACCTGCCGTTTTTGCGTTGCCTAGGTTCGATTTATCCTGAGCGTCTCGTGGTTAACTTTGGCATTGAGTGCCGCATCGGCCAGGTCGGGGAGATGTGTACCAGTGCGTTGAAGAGATACATGATCGCCAACGTGGGTAGGATGCGGAGGTCGAATTTCCACACCAGGTGTCGTTCTGCCACCGGGTCGATGGCGGCACTTGCAGACACGGTTCTGCCGTCTCCGATAGAGGTCACTGGCACGACGCCATCCTCTGTGATGGACACCTTCCTATCTCCAACGCTGAGCTTACGGCTGCTGCTGATTTCAGAGTCCATGCTGGTGCAGAAAGTTATGCAGCAGGACTGTCCGATGAGGACGACGACGTATTTTCAATAGTCCATCAGTATCCGTGCCTGGACTCGGCCAAGGGTGAGAGGCCTGCCCTTAAATCAAGCGTGACGGAGAAGGACGACTTTCCTTCGAAAGGATCTGCGTCCCATCCTGGTAGATAGAGGGAGGCGCTCGACGCTTAACAAAAACCTCGGCCAGCGACCTTTGACGTGGGATGGAGATAAGAAACCCGTCGAAAAGACATGGTAGCGAGACAATCAGCGAGCAGCATCGCGTCCAGGGACTTACTGTAAACAGAAGCAAAGTTGCATTCGCGAACTGAACGTGGCATCTGTTGAGGGGTTCACCTCCCACTGCTCCTTTTAGTTTGTCGATCATGCTCCTTGCTTGCATGGTACCTCATACTGCATGATCAAAACAGTGCTGTAAAGGGTCAAGAGAGATGCAAGCAGTCAAGTTCAGATAAGAGCAACCCGAGATGTTGCAGAGTGTTATCGCCCAGTCATGACCGACGTCACCCGACGAAGCCTCCAGAGGCCCTGTTGGAGTCGGGCGCATCATCGGACTGCTGGAAATGCGAGACGAAGGCTCGAACCCCGGCGAGTTCCGGATGATGGCCGTAGCTAATTAGCGTTCTCGGTGATCTTCAGTGCATTGGGGCGAGATTCACGACATTCTTTGCGACACTCAGCTCGGACACCCTTCTTGCGCCGGGTGTTCTGCAACCAGCTTGCCAAACTAATTTTGGCTTGGCCGTCGTTGTGTCATGTAGCCGTACAGCTTACTCTACTATCTCCCCAGGGTACTGTATGTTGTGCAACGTGCCCTTGGTGAGGCGCCCGGTACGGCCAGATATGCTCACCGCACCTATCTCGTGTTTGATATAGCTCGGAACATCTCCTTACCTCCACAACACGTAAATGGTCCCCCTGCTGCAATGTCCATACTCAAGGGGTGGGTTATGGTAACTCATGAAGTAAATGCACGAGGTGATCGGTCGCTGAACTCGAGCAAGGCCATCCAGCACCGTGAGGTCCGCAAAGCCTTGCAATAAGGCAAGACCAAGCGGAAGAGAGCATCTCCGTTGGAAGAGGTCCCCTTACGTCCCGTCCTTGCAGGGCGGAGCGGTAGGATAGGTACCACAGTACTGTATTAGAGAAATATATTCCGTTCGGAGTACCGTAGCACTTCGCCGACGATTGACGCCGAGTTTGCGATTGGCCTTGTCGTTTTCCGAATATGCATTCAACTGGGACCCCAGAATCTCTCAGACATAAACTCATCCATCTCTGCTATGTAGCGCCGCGGGTAGAAGAGCCACTTGCTACCGGATGGCGATGTCTCACAGCATCGACATTGCCCGAGGGGACGGGCAATGAATCACGACAGGAGCACCTAGCAGCTCGTTCCCTCCTTTTCTCTCCATCACTCCGATCTCCCCATGTCCCAAGCGATCGGAACATGATTCTCAGCTTCTTCGGCGCGAAATCCCTCAGCGCCACCTGGAGCAGTGTGAGTTCACTGCCAGTACCACCGAGCTGAAGAACATGGCGCTCATAGCACAGAAGACACAACCGCGATCATGTGTCGGTTCGACCGACGGGCGAGCAACGTATCACAAGTGGTTGAAACAACTGAACCACCGACCGCACAGAAGAACATGAGGGATGCGAGCACAGAAACAGGCGTGCCGACATATTCACCCGCGGAGACCCACGCAGAGGGCATACTGGAAGCACCGCTTCTCGATAAGTCACACAGCCTTCCCAACAAGTGAAGAATTACCTCGCCACTACTATTCTAGTGCAGAAAGGTCGCCCCGTCAGAGATATCAAACAGCTGGCCTGTAATGAATGCCGCTCTCGGGATTGGTGAGAGAGCAAAATCATTTCGACAACATCGGTGGGCAACCCAAACCGCTTTACACACTGCCGGGCCAGAGCCTTTTCGAACATCGCTCTTGAATTGGGGTCTGTCTACGTCGACTCATCGTATATCAGCCCAGGACATACGACATTTGCCGTGCTTCCCGGACCGGCCTCGACAGCCGTGCTCCGAGTGAAGCCCGCAACCGCACTGTTGGCCGCGGCATAGACTCCCAACCCCGACTCAGGGTGCAAGATTGCGCCCGCGGCAGTGTTGATGCTCCGGCCATAGCCGGCTTCCCGCATGTGAGGCAGGACGGTCCTCGTCAAATAGAAGCAGCTGTCCATGTTGGCGCTCATGACTCGTCCGTAATTTTGAATGTGTATCGACGGAGTGTTACGCAGTGTACAGTAGGTGGGAGTCTTGAAATTCGATCAGCAGAAAAGGGCCAGGTGCAGATGTGTCGCTCCGGTCGGGTGGCTGGCATTCCCGCTTGACTCTTTTAGGCAGCCTACAATTACATACTTGCGCTGCTTGGCCTCCGGGCCACCTTTACCTGCACGAAGCCCGGGCAGCTCTAGGAAAGTACAGAAACACGAGCTTGACCTGCTCTGGTAAAAGTTGAGATACGTATCCATGGGCTGGTCTAATCGCCAGTTCCCTTTTGCAGGCAATCCAGCATCTCGTGGCGTTTTGCCCATATCGTCGTTTCATTCGCTCAATTGCTGCATTTGCCGAAATACCTTGTTATCCTGTATCCGCTATAGTCCTACACAGGCCGCCGACGCCCATCAAATCCAAATCACCTGTGGGATCGGTCCGTAACCTCTTTCCATCCGTTGAAGTCCTTTCCATCCGAAACACCAATCCACATATCCCCTTTCCCCTTACCATCGCTTGGAGGAGAACACTTCAGGATCGAAACATCTTGACGACTTGCTTCACCGTCTTCCTGCAGATTGGGCACAGCTCGCACTGCTTCGCGCACTCCACACAGGCGCACACGTGTCCACAATCAAAGAACAAAGCATCAATCTCGCTGCCGTAGCAAATCTGGCACAAGTCTGCCTGCTCGTCGGCGACCTGCCAATAAGTCGTACCCATGCCCCAGCGCTTGCCGTTCTCGAAGCCACCGACGTACTTGTTACCCGTGCGGGCTTCCACGAAAGTACCCTGGCCATGACGCTCGTCTTGGTGCCATTCGCCCTCATATGTGTCACCATTGCAGTAAGTCATTTTGCCTCCTTTGCCCGACTTGACGTTGCAGACAAGCGGTCCCTCATACGTGTTTCCCGAGGAGCTGATCCTCAGGCAATGCGCGCCATGGTAACGTCCATTGACGAGTGGACCTTTGTAGTAGTCGGTACCGAAATCGGCAAGCTCGATCGGTTCGGCTGTCGTCTTGGACTGGATGGGATGCCGTCTGTCAACCGCTCGCAGATACTTGGACAGATCGTGGGGGTTGGTGAATTTGCCATCTTTCTCGAGCTTTTTGATCTGAGCCTCGGAAGCCGGTTCATAGACGACGATATCCGAGCCATTGGTGAACCCGGCACCCCGGAACGTCTCATCAGCCCCCAACATGGTCCCGTCCACCGTCGATTGGCGACGCCACGCAGCAAAGTTCTTTTCGCCATCGTAGCCAAGACGCTTCTGCAAAAACTCTCTGACTCTGTCATTCGTCTTTGCAAAAAAGGTGCCCTCAACGTGGAACGTCTGTTTCTCCTGATCGAAGACCTGAATGAAGCCATAAACGTTGTCAACCAGCCTCCCTTCTCTCTCAGGCGGTGGGGACGAAGACTGCGATGACGACTCGCTGGACTGCGAGCCTAGGGGATCTGTGATTTCGGAGCGTGACTCCATCCCGATTTCCATGACTTCGGCATCTCCTGCGACAACGGCAGCAATGACCGCTTCTTCTGCAGCCGACAAAGCTGACGTCACAGGCCTTGAGGCGGTTTGCGCCACTACATTCTCGTGCGTCGCCGCATCGACAAGGTGCCCATGAGGTACGTCCGTAGAAAACGGTTCCTCGGCAGTCGGCGTTGTGATGTTGAGTTGCATGGTCGTGTCCTGATCATTGATCTCGACCGTGACAGTGGCAGGTTGTGGGTCGCCGCTTGATGTGCGCGCCAGGTCCGCAATCACCGCTGCTTGAACCGAAGCCTGTTCGGCGTCAGGAGCAGAAATCTGCTCTTCAGTGCTGTTGGAGTCACTTTCCGAGACCGATGTATCACTCCTGGATTGAGCCCGTTGTACCACCACCTCAACATCTGGCTTATCTGGTTCCCCAAACACCTCAAGGTCTTCCTTATTTGTCAGAACGGACATCCACAAGCATATTGGCGCGCCAGTCGTATCCTTTTCGCCAACAGAATCTTTCAAATTGACACCCACCAGCTGAGCAGTGGCGTAGTTACCAATGCCGCCATAGCCCATCACGAACAGTCGAATGTGATCAGGTGTCTCGAGTTCCAGGATTTGCGCCAGTCGGGACCTCAGGTCCTGATAGGTCGACTTTCGTGGCGACTTGAGAATGTGGAAGAGACCTTTGTGTTGCGACTGTTGCTTGATGTTGTACATGTCCAGGAGCCCATCTCTCCCAATAACACCTTCATCGGAGTAGACTTCCACCTGGACCTCATCCGATTGCGCCAAAGGGGCTTCTTCAGCAATATTACCGGGAGCCTCTTGATACGAAGATCCGAAGTAAGTGGCAAGCCACTTAGGCAGCTTGTAGGGTTCCAGATCTCCAGGCAGGTAGTCGCTTAAGCAGCTGGTCCTGATATACATCGCCATGTAAGCAGTTGATCGAGTAGAGTTGAAGTCTTTCAAAGCCTGGCCCTCGAGGCCCTCAAATGTTTGCAGGCGCTTCCTGCTGTAGGAGAATACCTGATTCCCATCGCCGTCCTCAAAGGCCAGCCACATCGTATCTGGCCCATTAGGTCGCAGAACCGCGTAGAATTTGCCGGAGTTTCTTGCACCAGCATGAACCATGAATCCATAAAGGGTGTACTTGGCATGCTCGGCATCGCTGACAAATTCTGATAGGTCGAGCTCGTCGTTCAAGACGACATGGTCATGGAGCAACTTCCATTCCCGGATCGTTTTATCAAACTTGTCGCGAGCCAACATAAGAGGCAAAAAGTTGGGCAGCGTCCCCTGGAAGTTTGTCTCGCGTAGGGAACGACCAAGTGTTTGCTGGATGTCAAGCACATTTTCCACCGATAATGGAGGGACAGCCATAGGACCATTGGGGCCGTCGAAGATGGCGCTCAATTCCCGCAAAGATTGGTTGTCACCCTCCAACTCCAGCTCGATTGATCTTCGGAACACCTCCCAGAAGGTCTTCACATCAGTATACTCCTCTCCGAGCTCGGTCAGGGCTTGGATCGCCGGATAAAGATCAACATAAGTCTCCCGTTCCTTCTTCATTGTCCGCATCAGAAAAAGGATGATTTGTAGCTGAGCGATGAACGGTTTCGGCCGGACCTGAGAGTCCCGCAGCCACCCACCCGTGTCAATCGACTGCAGAACTTTGCGGAAAGGCGCCAGAAGAAGCCACGCCGTCATGCCTGCCACAGCAGGGCTGTGGTAGAGAGGAGGAGTCCCCATGGGAAAGTAGCCGGCAAGTGTTTTCGAGTCCCAGTGGGGCTCGCCATCGGAGCTGCGCCACCACAAAGCTTTTGTTGGATCGTCAAAAATGCGGATGTAGGCATCGATTGCGATTGTGTCGTTCTGGAGAAGAGGGGCTCTCTGCAAGTGCTGGCGCAGATGTGTCTCTTTCCACGGTCCGACAACGTTGGACCAACCCCAGTCGTCGGTATGCTTGGAGAACTGGTGTTCGCTAGTGGTGTATGCACACGTACGCGGTTCTTCTGGATTGTACATGACTACCCCAAGCTGAGCAGAAACTCGCCAGTCTTCTTCGGCCTCTTGAGCGATTCGGACCTCGTGCGCCTGCTCATTCTGGCTATCAGACTCATCCGGATGCGACGCTTCAGGTGTTGCAGGGCTGTCCTGTTTCTGGGAGGAGCTAGAAGTGGCAGATGAAATCGAAGAGGACCGTTCGATTTTGCTTGCAGCCGGCTCGACCCTCAAGGTCTGGCTCGGCACAGCTCCGGGGCCAAAGTGGGCGTCGGGTGGACCCTCAAAGACGGAAAAGCTGGTGCCGCGGATCTCACGTTCTGTCTCGGGTGGTCTCTTGCTGCATCTGATATATGCGCTATAGGACGAGGCTCTGTTGCCGCGCGGGTAGAATTTAATCTGCCAGTATGTCCCATCGACAAGAGCAGGGGGCGAAATCATGACTCTTGCATAGTTCGGCTTGTCTGTGGTTCCTCGGACCCCTTTTATAACCCAACTCAAACGTAACTTCTTGACTGGACGCATGTCTGGGTCGTGAACGTCTGAGTAGATGCGCTTCTCCACGCTGGGCACGTCCACCGCACTCAATTCTGTTCCTCTCTGCTCTCGCAGTTTTAGCTCTTCCTCCTCTTCCGGCGTCGGCTTTGACGTATCTTCATCGTACATTACCCACTCTGGAGGACCCTTCCGCGGGTCCGGCGGCGGCGGTGGTAGTATCTCCATATCTTGGATGAGGACCTCTGACACTACCGTACTTTGCGGTGCCGCGGGGACAGCTGCTGGTTCGGGATGCACATCGTCTTCAGGTGATGGTTCCGGCTCTTCCCCAACGATGGGAATTTGGTCTTGTTCTGGTTCTGACAGTGGCTGAGGCTCAGACTCCGTGGGAGCAGGGATAGGAGCATCGACCATGGGGGTATCAGGCATCTCGGGAGCGGATGAGGGCTGTTCAGTCTCAGGCTGCGGAGAGTTAGACCGGACTGGTTCGAATAACACAGACTCAGGGACAACTGAGGGCGGGATGAGGTGTTGAGGCTCTTGTTCCAGATTGTACGGCGAGGTGAAGGTATGAGGTGGGGGAGGAGAGTGTTGGACGAGCACCGAAGCGGAATTCTGGGAGCTTGACATGGCTTCGACTAGCAATCAATCAAGGCAGCGGATGGATCTGTCAGGCGGTGGGTGGCTGTATCGACGATAGATGGTCAAGTTCACTCACAAAAGCACAAAGAGTCCCGACTACATCTTCATATGTACTGACACACTGGGAGGGCAATGTCAGGCTGGTGACTCAGTAGCGACGGCGATGAGGGAGCACGGGGTAATATGGTTGTGCGAGAAAACATTCGTGCCAGCGAAAGAGCAGAGCACTGCCTGCAAGCTAGCAGCCTTGTGCGCCTCGTTGCCAACCGGTAAGAGGAGCATTGCATACATGGAAATGGGGAGTAGTCAGTCCGCTAGGCAGCACAGGCGCCGGGACTCACTCTGATAGGCCTGGCTCCTTCGGTGGGGTCGCCTGTCAGCTGGAGAGAAAGTCCCGCGAACCGAATTGGGCGAAGCTTGCCAGGCCACACAGGCGCCCCCCACGCCGCCGGTTACCAGAGGCTAGCCTTCCTGGTCTGAATATCGCACCACTTGCGCCGTATGACTCTAACTGACTCCTGCGCTCTCAGTTTTTACACAGTACTTCCCCCACCGTGCTGAGGGACGCGGGTGCCACCGGTGTACAGTCTGTTGGCGCCGGAGAGCCATTGCGGCCATTGACGCACGAGTTGACTGTTGCAGGAAAACCTTCCCCAAGCCGGGATTTCAGCCTCAATCCTGGGATCCATCCAGGCAGCGACGACCAAGTGGCATCCAATTTCATCAGACACGTCTCTTCTTCCACAGATTTCTGACGAATGCCCGCTGTCTACGAGTAGACACCCTATTAGGAGGCTCCATCTGGTACCTTGTTGCTGTGATTAGATTCCATGGTGTGGCCCAACTACCCGACTGCCTAGAGGGTGCCTAGTTTACTCCGCACAGGCGTTCGACTGGCGCACATTTACGGAAAACTTGACCGACATTGGCATGATCACGTGCACTCCGCCTCTTACCCACTCATCTTTGCCTTTGCCTTACCACAACGTCACTTTCATCTTGATAATTCTACATTTACAGTCATATTTGACTGAGACCGATATCTTCGATGGTTGCCAAGTAGGCACTGCAGAGCTGCAATGGCATTACTGTTGAAACACACGTGCGCGGATAAACCCCAGGTAATTTGGTCGACTTGTCAACCCATTGGGCCTGATCAGCATGATTTGTGTGAGCGTTGCAGAGCTTCTACTTCTTCATCCCCTGCTCTAGTCCCTCTTTAAACATACGCTGAACAGACTTGCGTTCCTGGGGGCCACCTGATTGAAACATGTCCGGCAGCCAGAGCTCCCATGGGCCTGCTGTACAATACCTCCCACCAGCCACCGAGACGACGGCTTTCAGGTTATCAGCGTCTCCTCCGAACTCGGGCGACTTCGGTCCAACGTTATGCATTGGTTCCATGACGGCTGACAGTGAGTACAGCAGTTGCTACGACACCCTCCTCAGTGCCTCGACTCAGCCAATCAGAGCAACGGAATTCCGAACACACCAATGGCGATGGCAGAGTCAAAGGTCCACAGTTAAGGGCATCCGGGTACCACACTAGTAGCTTGATATCCTCGACGCCTCAACGCTCGTCTTAGGTATCTGGCCACCATGCTTGCAACACACGAAGCCGGGAACATGAGCACCCGTCTCTAGAACTGCTGTTGGTTGGCTTCCATACAGCACCCTTCACTCCAACAGGCATAGCACAAAGAGAAAGCGGACAGGTGAGCGAGCGATGTGTTCCTAGTGCCCAAACTTATCCTGGTGCCTCTCTCTGTCCTGTGTCAGCCCACTCGACCAGACGACGCTTAAGAAGGGAGGTCATCCCGTCCCTTGATTCATTATCTCTACCCAGCATCACATTTACCCTACCACTTTAAACAAACGTGCCTGCTTCGTTCTGTCCCTACCCAATCACTGCAGCCACACCGCCCCTTGCATCCTCTCTGTAATCCTCAAACAGCGGTACAGTCTTATTTCCCTATCATGTCGACCGACTTCGGGTTCGAGACCGAAGGGCTTGCCGTCGCGGCTGCCTTCCCGTCCTCCATCAAGGACCGCACGATCCTCATCACAGGCGTCAACAGAAAAGGCATAGGCTACACCACGGCCGAATCCTTCGCGTCACAATCCCCAAAGACGCTCATCCTGGCCGGCCGCTCTGTGGAAAAGCTGCAAGAATGTATCGACGATCTCAAACGCGCCTCCCCAAACTTAACCAGTGTAGACTATCGGCCCCTGCAAGTCGATCTCTCGTCCCAGGCATCCGTCCGCTCCGCCGCCCAGCAAGTCCTCTCGTGGACCGACATCCCCACGATCGACATGGTCATCAACAACGCGGGGATAATGAACATCCCGACCCGCACCATCACGCCCGACGGCCTCGAACTCACCATGGCGACCAACCACGTCGGGCACTTCCTGCTGACGAACCTCCTCCTGCCCAAGCTCATCGCCGCAGCCGCAGCCGCAGCCGAGGCCTCTCCCATCCGGATCATCAACCTCGCAAGCATGGGCGTGAACGTCTCGGGCGTGCGCTTCTCGGACTCTACCTACGAGAAACCGGCCTCGGAGCTAAAGTCCACGCCGGACGAGTACCCCAACATTGCGATGATGCGCGCGTTCGATTTGCCGGTGGACGACTCGACGACGTATTTCCCCACGATCGCCTACGGGGCGAGCAAGACCGCGGCCGTGCTGTTTAGCGTCGCGCTCAACGACAAGTTGTACGCCAAGTACGGCATCTTGAGCTTCGCGGTCAACCCGGGCGAGATCCGCACCGAGCTGGGCAGGAATACAGAGCCGCAGATGTTGGCGTCCATGATGGCCAAGGCCGAGGCGCTCGGCATGAAATGGAAGACGCAGCAGCAGGGGTGTAGTACGACTGTGAGGGCGGCGGTGGACCCTTCTCTCGACTTGCCCGCCGAGGACGGGATGGGTGTGTTCATGTCGGATTGCGAACCCAAGCCGGCGCCAGGGTATGCGACGAAGAAGGAACTGGCTAGAAAGTTATGGGACGTTAGTGAGGCTTGGACTGGCGAGAAGTTTGAGTGGTAGATTCTAGTGGATACTGCATGTAAGCGCAATTAGGGCAGGGCATCTGGACAAGACGAAGTGTTGCACGTTTGTGCTTGTGTCGTTTCGCCCAGTCTACCAAAGGGCCCACTGGCAGAGTTAGCCTCGGGCATTTCATCCCGTGTAAGCGCCAGCCACGGTCGTTGTAGCGCTATAGAGGGTGTCAGCTTCGGAATGTGATATTGTGCTGTCTTCGGGCTGTATGAGGCTTGTCACCTATTTTCAATGTCGTTGTGATTATCTCGGGTGGCTACCTCTGACCCATCTTCTTCCTTCACTGCTTCTGCTTTTGCTTCTTCTTCCCCTTCCTAGTTCTCCTCCTCCTGTCCCCCCCTCCTCCTCCTCCTCATCACTGTCCGTGATTTCCCCTTCAGAGCCATCGCTTCCCCACCCGTCATCCTCATCACCGCCGCCGCCATCCCTCGCAAACGGATCGAACTCGCTCGCTTCCATATCCGACTTTCCCCATTCCTCCCACTTGTCGATCAACATTGCCGGGAATTTGTCCACACCCAGTCTCGGGCTCATAATGCTGATGATCATCTTGCTTGCTTTGAGGTATGCCGTGCGGAACCTCTGCCACAGATCAATGTCTAGGCGTGGGTGCGGGAAGTAGGGATCGTTGCCCGTAACAGCAACGAGGTACTTGTTGACTACCGCTGATGCGGCATCTTTGGCGTCGAGGTCAACCTTTGTGCATTTGTCGTAATCCAGCATCCACATCTGGGTTTCTCTGTGTGTGAAATCGTCCACGGTCGAAGTAGGGGGCGGCCGGGCGTCGTGGTCCGGGTATGTGGTGCGGAAGGTAGTGCTCGTTGAACTGCCGATGACGAACTCTGTATCTGCAGCATCAATCTGCGCTTGCCAGTGTAAAATTGCAAACCCGATTGCCATCTCCTCAGCGTACGCGGTGATGTCGAGGCCGATCAGCTTGGCCTGATCGAGGTAGAGAGGGAAGTTCCGGAGTGTGGTTGTAACGTCATAGGCTTGGGTCGAAGGGTTGTTACTGCCCAGGTAGACGCGGATCAAGCAGTCTTTGTTGGCTTGGTTGCTAAGCACGCTATGCTGAGTCCGCCTGCTGTCTTGGTAGAATTCGCGAACCAAAGCCATTCGTGTTCGTTGGGGTACTGGCAAGATTCGATCGATGTGAAAGGCGGCGGCTCTGGTTCGATCGCCCTTGGGGAATTGTTTCAAGGCCACGTCCCAGAAGTCTGTAGAGGCAGGCCCGTTGAAGAATTGTGCCCCTGGTACCCGAGGTACTCGCCGCCCAGGGAAGCTGTGGGTGAGAAGGCCGGCCCAGGTGAGGTAGGAATTGTAGGCGTGATTGGTCAAATTGAAGTCATTCCAGATGGCTTTAGTATTTGCACCCTTCTTGATGGCGAAGGTGGTCCCAGGGACTTCGAAGACGCTACCGCAGCTACCGCGTCCGATGTCGCGCAGTTGACGTCCGTAGCAAGGTAGAAATCGGGCTTCGTTCTTGGGCCCTGCAGAGCTTGACGTTTCCAAGTTCATCGTTCCAAACGAGAGCGTCTGCTTGAGAATTTCCTTTGCCCGGTCCCGACCCATGAGCTCGTCTACCATCGTGGAGCGTAACATAGCCTCTTCGAGAGTGGTAGCAGTGCTTTCCCTAGACATCCTGAAGTTCGAATAAGTCTCCGGCGAGGAAAAGTTTTATACAGAGATGTGAGCAGACTCGGAAACAAGGTGCAGAGAAAGAAAAGGTTCGAAGGAAGAGGACATTAATCAGTGTGAGTCATGGCTGCTCACTTGAAACCGCCGACTCAAGGGAAGAGCGATCCAGTACCAATTAATATCGAACTCTAATCGAAAGTTAGTAATGGAAAGTGAAGGGGGGAGCTTGTGTGAGGACCTTCCTCTACATTCGTGAACTTTCTCATTACCCCGTACCTCATTACATCCTAGGCAACATTCTTCATGCCTGCGGATATTGGATGATGATCGGTTATTCTAATATTGTAGTAGGCTCCCACCCACAATTTGTTTGTCGACGTTCGTCCACGTGTGTCGTCGGACGGCTCGGCGCCCTGGCTACCACAAATATTTCTCCGCCGTCTGGCCATCCGCGCCGTTCTACATGACAATACAATCTCGATCCTCTCGCCTGCCGCCTTGCCGTCCACTGGGCCCCGCCATTGCGCTCTGCGGGTGCAATCTGCCCGGGCTCTGATAGAACGCCTGCGTCTCATTGTACGCGCTCGTCCGTCGTCTCGGATCCCTCCGCCCCGCATTTGGGCCTGGCGGATGTGCCGGTGGCTCATAAGCACCTGGCACCGACGCAGATTGTGTCGACGCGTTGCTAATCGTGCCCGTCAACTGTGTGTTTGAGTTCATTGGTGAAGGCTCGGCTGAGGGATGTAACGGACTACCCAGGGGAGGAACATACGGTCGTCCTTTGGCGGCTTCTTCGTACGCCGGAGGTGCATCTTCCGCAAGGGCATCGGCGGGTCGGTTCACGCCCGGGCGTTCTTGGGCGTGGGAGTTGCGAGGAGGGATGGGTGGTCGCACTTCGGGGGGTTGTTGCGGCGGCGGCGGCTGCTGCTGAGTTGACCGTAGAGGTATAGGGATATTTCCGGCTTGTGGCCTTCTCTGTTGAGGAGTGTTGGTGGCAGCATTTCCACTAGCCCGTCTCCGATTGCGGTCCGCTCGTTGCCGCTGTTCCTCTTCTTCCTGGAGCTGGAGGGCCATTGCAAAATCAGCGTCGTGTTGTTCTTGCTGTTCTTGGGGCGACAGTGGTGTTGCCAAGGGAGCATCGTTGCCGGCCAAGAGTTGCGATTCCCGCCGAGCAGTCGGGTGAGCAGAGGAGTCATTGACTGTTTCATTATGGCTCACAGGCATGAAGTCGCCAGAGAAGAATTCGTTGTGCTTGCCGGTGATGTCGACCAGGCTCTCCCAGATGATCTCGTCTCGGTCGGCATACCCGGCATCTGTGATCAGGGTAAACAGTTGACCACTCTCGGGATGCTTGTATATCGTGCTGAAGTGGTCATTACGGAACATGATGGCAAACGACCCAGACGGAATAGAATCTTGGACGGCTTTCAATCCTGTCGGAGTCAGTTGGGTGGGATACGCGTTGAGGAAGTTCTTGATTGAGTTGATGTCCTGCCACATATTCTCCTCCGCAACTGAAAGACCCTGATGTGTCAGCTTGTATTCTAATTCTTCTTCTCCGAATTGTAACGCTTGTGCATCTTCGTATGTCTGGGCCGAACGTGCAAAGGCTCTGGCAGCGTCCGAGCCAGGCGCTGGGAGCCAGCCGTGGACTAGGGGCACTTGGAAAGCACCGTACAGCTTCATGTCAGGTGTTGCCTCGAACGTTCCCAGCCTCTGTGCCGCGCGTCTGTGGCGAGGGACGTCCAGCATCGACTCGTCTGCATCCATGAGATTGGGCGGTGGTGTCGGAGGGGGAACAAATCTAGGGTTTGCATTCATCCCAGTTCGTAGGCGCATCAAAAAGTGATTCAGTTCGTCCACATCTGGCATTACCTCTCCTACAGCATCCAAGCCCCTCGATAGCAACTCGTCCATCAGTGTCTCAATGATGAGGCCAAGAGAGACTTGCTCTCGTGTGCGCAGCGCCTCGTCCAGGGCAGCCTGTGATTCATCCTTTGCTCCCAAAATCAGAGCATTCACTAGCGCCAGCAACGGACAGGGACCGTTCTTGTTCTGCGTCAACATGGATGATCGTCTCAGCTTCCTCGAGCTGTGGTCGAACCAGTTGAAATGCTTGATCTGGTATGTTTCATTTCGTTGTTCTATCATCCTTGCAACTTCTTCATCCGATGGTATAGTAGTGCGAAGGATTGGTCGGGGAGGTTTTGGCGGCGGGGGTCCTTCGGGCGGATCGAAGTACTCCGTTTCAGCACGTTGTGCCGGTCTGGTAGGTAGTGGAGGTCTATCTGCGTCGTCTTCTAGTAACGACGGCTCATCAACTGCCACTGTCCCTGTCTGCTGTGCCGCATCCGGGAGAGTCTCCAACTCTTGGCCGAGGGAGACGACTCCACTCTCCTGTCCACGGTCGAGCAGCTCGTCCGTGTAGTTGGACACTTGCTTTTGTGAAGGCGCAAACGGAATCGGAGAAGGAGTGGGAGCTCCCAGATTAAGGTTGGATGCCCACGGATTGTCGTTCGAGCCATGATTAGGAGAGACCGGAATCAGAGGGGGTTGCTGGCTGAAGGGCGATGGGGGTTCCGGCGGCGCTGGAGGGGGAGGAGCTTGCGGCATAGGAGGATGCACTGCGTATGGTTGCCTGCCTGACAGGTCTGCCGAAGACTGAGGCATCGAATGTGCACCGTAAGATGCCAGCTCCGGCACGGTATGTCTTTCAATGCTAAGGCCTTCAAACTCTTTGGCTGGCGGGATATTATTCCCTCGATCTGGCTCTTTGCCTTTAGATTGCGGCAACATGTCCTGACCCCAATCGGGTCCCTGTAGCTGCCCGGAAGGTCGTCTGAAGGGGTTGTTAGATGCGAACCCCGAGGGTTGCGGAGGCTCGGGCCTTGACTGCGCGGGTGATACGCCTGAACCCACGGGTTTCCTCTTGATGCCAGACGACCTATCCTCGAACGACTCGACTTTAACCCATGGCTCTTCGCTCGGATCAGTGTCTGGAAGAGCAATATTCCCCTTTTTAGGACTCCTGCGGCCCTGCTCTTGATCGTCATCCGAGTCCTCCCAGAAACCCTTGGATCGGTCGCTGTCGAGGGAAGATCTCGGTGTATGCTCCTGCGAGTGGCCGACTCGGAGAGCCTGGGGGATTTGGGCTAACGATTGACCGCCGGAAGCGGCATCGGCATGCTGAAGCGGACGGGAGGGGCCTGCTCTAAGAATATCGGGCAGAGGTCGGTCAGACCTGAGGTCCTTCTGAGGGGTATCCGACCATGGATTCTCTGCCTCTTGAAAGCTGAGACTGTCCGCTGAGCCGGTCGCCGGGTTGAACCCTGAAGAGAATGGATGCTGCGGTGGAGGGCTCGCGGGATATGGTAGAGATGTTTTACGAGTCATGGTTTGGGGTGCTAATGGGCGCAGTCGTTGTTTCACATGACAGAGACAGGCTGCACAGGTTGAGCGAAAGGGAGAGTAAGAGTGAGAAACAAGCGCCGCAAAAGACGCAATGTCGTGCGATACGGTACGGGAACAGACAGATTAGAATGCCTGTTCAAGGTCGCGAGGCGGTTCTGTGGTAGCTCAAAGAACGGCAGACCGCGTCAGCTTTCAATTGTGTCCAACGACCCTTCAGACTCGAGTGTTGGAGTTGCGGACGCGGCGGTGGGGGAGGCACCATGGCAGCTTCTGAGGATGGACGTTGGCTACCTAAGAGTGACGTATGCAGGCCTGTGCCACACCCTGTGGCGGTGCATTTGGTCTCCCTCACGCTTATCGAGCGACTATTACTCAGGCAGCAGAATTATTTTCAGGCAGCCTTGTCTTTCTACATACGCCACCACAAGCCTACATGGGGCTGACAGCGGCGCACTCCTCCGTTTCATTGATACATTTTGCTCCGTTAAAGCATGCACACCGGACCCAAGTACTCATACATCCAATCGTCCTGCAGTGCGCACCAGAAGCCGTTGACATCCGCGATACCGCCTACCTCTTTGCTGACACCGCTGATCCACACAGACCTTTCCCTATCCCCGTCCGTCGCGTCTCGCGTCTCCTTGACTCTGGTTGCGAAAATGTCCTGGATGTCCACCTGGATGGAGTTGAGCGTGATGAGGGTGATGCAAACTCGGATGGAGAGAAGGACCCCCTGGTTGCTGTTGGTGCGGAAGGCCATGCTGGAGCGGGTGTTGGAGACCATGCGTCCCTCCTGGGCCAACTGGGCCATGACCGGCATATTGCGAGTGGGAGTGAGAGTGAGTATGGCCATGACTATGGGGATGGGGCGGCGTGAATGTTCGAGGGATCTCACGTTGAGTAAAAGCCATGTGGCTCTGGTTTGCCGTAGCACCCAACTGGTTTTGCCGAGAGATTTGCGTCCCAAGTTGATCGATGCCATAAATGTCGCGTCTCATCTGCTGTTGATGTTCTCGTTCCCGCTCCCGTTCCCGCTGCACCACTACGTCCATTTCTCGCTGTCGCTGGATGTGTCGCTCATGCTCTCGCTGCTGTTCTTGTTGCTTCTGTTGAGTTTGCTGAGCCATGTGTTGTTGAATGGTCAGTCGCGGTGGATAGTCAAGCGAGGGTTGAGGACGATGGTGAAGGCCTGATACTGGAGTTGAGCCCGCCGATTGTGGATGACCCTGTGGGGCAGGCGGATTGCCCAGCGACGAGGACTGGCTTGTCTGCGAGCTTGGATACCCAAGTGACGCAACCCGGGCATGTTGAGACGAGCTTGACGCTGAGCGCAGAGGTGGTACAGGCTGCGTAGGCTGCTGAGGTGGCGGAGAAGGCACATGAGGCATCTGGTTCACTTGGCCCAGTAGAGCCCGGCGATGATCCAGTCCAAGTCGGTCCAAGCTTCGAGGTGTGTCGACCCGCATACCGTGGAGAGAAGGAGGTTGCGAGCCCGGAGGCACAACAGAATATGGAGAGGGTGCGGGAGAGTGCCGGTGATTCCGCTGTTCCGCAGGCGCTCCGTGCGTTCGCGGGTCGAAACGGTCCATCCACGTCTCATTGCTTGGGGTGGTCACGGGAGGAGTGGAAAATGCACTCGGAAACTCCGCGGATGTCTGCTGCACCACGCTCGCTGACAGGACACTGCCGTGGCCATACGGCCCTCGTATAGCCCTATTGAGCAATGGATCATCGGAATGGAGCTGACTTCTTGGCTGCTGTAATGAATTCTGAGCTGAAGAAAGGGGTGCGATTTGCGGCGAGCGGATCGAAGTCCGTTGTGGCGTTTCCAGTGATGGCCGCTTCGGTGGTGGAGCCGGCGGATCGTCGTTGAGAAGACCGAATACATTGGACCGCTTGATAGGAGGCTTCGGAGGGTCTTGTGGAGGGTGTGCAACGCTCGGCTGGGGAATTTCCTTCCGCGGGTGTTGAGAAGCTGGCATTGGTGTCGTTGATGGCGCCGGAGAACCCGTCATAGCGCTTCCAAATGTTGGGCGTTGACCTTCGAGACGACGTAGCGACGACAGCTCCTGAGCTGCCTCTAGGGCAGAATGGTTCGGTTTTGCCAAGCTGTTATCTCGACTATGACTAGGGTGAAACACAGCAGGTTGGGAATACTTGTCAGCTTGCGAGTGAAGTGCTTGAATAAGAGGTGCTGTCGGTGCCTGAGTTCGTTGCGCGTTCTGTATCAGAGGCTCGCGGGGACCCAGCAGGCTCTGAGCTAGAGGAGGCATCGTCGGTTGTTGACTCATATCATTGCGAGGTAGTTCCGGCGGTCTCTGCGGGAGAATCTGAGGCGAGCTTTCCTGTAGCTGTGGTCGGAAGTTTTGACGTGCGTTCTGTAAACCAATATCGTCCTGGAAAAAGCCAGCTTTAGGACCATGCGGCTTCGGCCCAAATACAGGGATCCGGTCGTTTGATGACCTGGAAAGCTCTTCTGTCTTCGTGGACAGGGAACCGGGTAGAGGCGCCTCGCGGAGTGTTTCTCGGATAACTGGCCGAGGTTTTGGTATAATGTCACCCGTGGAGTTCCTCTCGAGAATGCTTTGTGGAAAGTCGTCTATGATGCTCGGTTTCATTATCGGAAGCACTGCATCGCCGTCGACATTCATCAGATCTGGCTGTATGGGAGGCCGAGACGCTGGCGCGAGCGACGGCGTTGTATCGTAACGGCGCTTGGCAGGAGCGATTGGACTCGGTGGCTGCGGTATGACTTCCCCAGCCATACGTCTCTGGTCCCCTACCTGAGCGATTTTCTCGAACTCGTCTTTCCCGTCATTGATTTGCCGTGAGTAGTAATTCTTAATCTATGCAATGTTAGGCCAAGAAAATCAGTCGCATTGGGGACACTCACCATAGTCACGCTCTTCGTCTTCATAAAGTCTGCAATTGCCGCAAAATCGCGGCCGAAGTACGCCAGAAGCTCTGGGAATTTGTGCTGCTCGGGGACAGACCAATAGCTGGTCACTGCTGATGTGGTTGCGGCTTGGGCTACCGCGGGCATCAAAGGCATTTCTGGTAGGGGATACTGTGGTAGAGTGGCGTCAACGATACGCTGTGGCTGGGGGACTGGAGGTCTATCAGCTCTCATGGGCACTGTATCGCCCGGACGAAGCGCTGTTCGTCCTCGTTCGGCCTTGGTAGCTGTTGCAACTTTGCCGGGTGAAGCCTCAGCCGTTCCCAAAACGGTGGCCTGCTGTTGTTCAGCCTGTATTTGCGCTTTCGTCTTGCGAGTCTTGGCGCCGGTGCCAGTTTTCCGGCCCCTACTTGTCTTGGTTGCAGTAGCATCCGCGTTAGACAAGGCCGCTGTAAGCTTCTTGGATTGGAGTACAGGAGTCGAGGGGTCGGGTTCATTGGGAGCATCTCCGAACGTTGGTGCTGCTGCTCGCCTGGGCCGACCACTGTCCGTGACCGCAAGAGGTGTGCCCTCGGTGTCATCGCCACGCTGCAGCTCTGACAACAAGGCGGTCGATCGAGGTTTCGTTGCAGCTTTTCCTCGGCCACGCCGCTTGGGCTGTGATCGTTTGAAAATTTCCTTGTATCGAGTTTGATCCTTTGTCAAGTAATAGTGGGTGATGCAGTCCTGATACGTTCTTCCTGGGATGGACTCAGCAATCTTACTCCACTTCTTGGGATTCTGACAGTAAGCTGTGATGAACAATTCTTGTTCCTCCGCCGTAAAATCATCCACTGGCGGCCAGTAAGCATACTTATGCTTCACCAATCCGTATGGAATGAGGTTGTTAGTGTCCTCGAAATGGGACATTTCAATCTCTGTCGCGGTCAGCATTGGAGGTATTACCGCCTCTGTATCGTAGTTCGGCGACGACGTGGCAGCAGCCTCTCTTTCTCTCCGCTCCTCCTCTTCCCTCGCCGACTGCTTGGACAATGCAAGCGCGACTTCCAGGTCAGCCTCAGTCGTGTTCCGCGCGCCCCTGGTACGCTCGTGTGTCAGTGACGGTGTAACAGATGGCGCGGCCGATGGTGCAGGAGAGGCAGGTGCAGGACTGGCTTGCTGCTCGCGTTTTTCTTGTTCTATTTGGTTGATTTCTTGCTTCCACAAGGAATACTTGAGCTTGAATTCTGCGTGCTTTTCTTCAAGATCAGCCCGCAAGTCCCATGCTTCCCGCTCAAACTCCTGCTGCAGGAGGATTGCAACGGCTTCATGTTCGACTTCGTTGTCGGATTCCTCAAACACAACCCTCTCAGGAGGCCCTGATTTGAGATACGGTAAACTCTCGATCGGAGGAGTTGGTATCGGGTTTACCGGCGTCTCCTTAAGAGGCCGTCTCCAAACGTCTGCCAGCTGTTGTTCCGGCTCCGGTGTTGTGGCTCTGACCAGCTCATCTGGCGACGGCAATTCCCTTGGGACCGCGATGGTGGTAGCTATACCCTCTTTCCCGGCCTCGGTTTCAAGCTTGACAGGTCTGGGTGCTGTCTCCTGCAAGATCATCTCAAGGAACTGCAGCTTGATCAACAACGCCACCAAGGTCGGATCTTCTAGCAAGGGTGGCGGTTTCCGAGCCTCGAGCAGTTTCATCTCCCGCTTATGTGTTGCCTCGGATTCCGCAAAGTATTCTTCGTCAAACGAATCATCCTCAACCTCATCTTCGTCAGCACTCGATGCAGACGCTGACATATCAACGTCCCTGGAAGCCTGGATGTCCTCCACGGGCTTCCTAGGCGGTAAGAGTGTCATTTTCGCTTCCTGGAGTCTGGGACTGGTCGCTATCAGCGCCTTAGGCCCGGAGGGTGCGCTGAAGACAGGACTACCAAAAGCATGCAGTGTGCGAGGTTTCTGTGACTGGGATGGAAATGCATTTTGCTGTCTAGGACCGGTGGGTATGAAGCCTGGTCGGTCGTTAGGGGAGATCCAGGCCTTCGGGGCTGTGTTCAACGGGGGTCTGCCCGCTTCCCGGTCAAGACGAGGTCCGGTGGGAATGACTGGTGCGCGGCTGTCTCCTCCAAATGGCTTCGAACTAGTTTCCCGTGACGCGGAAGGAGGTGGAGCTGATCCTATTGGTTCAATCGAAGACAACCTCTGTTTATACGGCGGTGCACTGCCGAGACGGGGGCCTGAAGGGATATTCGGGGGCAAAGAACGTTCATTGGCCGGGGGAGCAGATGGTTTTGGTTCGGAAAAGGGCTCTTCTTTCTTTGGATTGATATCCGATGATTGAAGACTCGTAGTCGGTGCAAGACCCACGCGTGCCGGTCGTGACGGCGGTTCGGAGCGACCCCAGCTCTCCTGGTGCAGAGACTGCTTCCCAGCTTGACCGAGATTTGTCGCATTAATCGCTCTTCCAGCCTTGGGCCCACTAGGCGGCATGAAAGTGGTTGACGACGGCGTGGCCGGCTCCGGCTTGGGAGGCTGTTGCTTGGTAATCGCAGGTCTTTCAGCGGCAGGCGTCGTGACTGGTGGCAAAGAAGGCGGCGGCCCATAGTCAAGACCAACAGCGGCAGGAGGCTGTTGCAAAGACTGAGGTGGATCACGGCGAGAAGTGTCCAATCTTGAAGGCCCAAAATAGTCAGACGCTTCAACATCACGTCGACCGTCTCGTCCGGCTACGGTCTGGGTGGGAACCACTGATGACCGTCTGCCAGCGTCAAGATCGAGCTTTCCAGGTCGATCAGTGGCGCCAGCCGAAGAAGCGACGGCAGAACTGCCCGCGTTCAGGGGCGCGGCTCTGGCAGGAGATGGCTCCCTCTGCCAGAGGTCGTGCTCTCGTGGATCCCGACCCCTAACTTCGCGCTCTCTACTACGGTCATAATCACGGCGGTCATACGTAGCAGAGCGATCCGCATCACCTGGTAAAGGACGCCCTCGATCAAAGTCACGATCGCGCCAGCTCTCCCGTGAACGACTTCGAGGGTGGAAGAGATCCCGCTCGCGCTCTCCTGCATAGGAACTTCTCCCTCGGCCTCGGTCCCAATCGCCTCTTCCCCTGCCTCGACTAAGCCCTCCCCGGCCAGTCGGGGCATAATAGGACGCTGCAGTGTCGGGAACACGAGGGAAAGTGGAAGGAAGAGATTCCCGTGAATCCCGCCTTGAACGAATAGGGGAAGCTGAGCGTTCTCTGCCAACGTAAGATCGATTGTCTCGGGCGGGTGCTACTGGTCGATCGGCAGGAGGAAAATCGCGGTCGCGCCGAGGCCATTCAGCGCGGTCATCGTCCCGTCCGCGGTACGACTGTGGCGCGGGCCGAGTATCTCGTTCACGGTCCCAGTCTCGATCCCGGCCATCGTTGGGACGAGGGGCAAACGCACCGCCACGACCACGTGGAGCGGAGCTGAAGGGGAAATTACCGCCACCTCGAAAATCGGCCTTGGGGCCTCTGGGAGGATCTCTCTGAGACGAGGCAGCGAAATTCGTTGAGGATGGACGTCGATCGTATCGTGGTGGTGAGCGTTCTCTTGCCGGCGGCGGGTACCTGGAAGACATGGGAGTCAGGTGATGAAGGACATCACGTGGCGTAGAATTAGTGGGCTCCAGTCAAGTCAGGGTATCCGCACCGAGCACAAGACCCAGGCTGTACACGGGGAGCTGAAAATTGGCCGGGTTGTTGCCGCTTTGCGCCTGGGTCTCAATTGAGCACTGCTTGAGATTATTGCTGGGAGGAATGGATTGGGTGTGATGGTCGGTAGTGCGCAATCTCCAACGCGCGAACGCGTAGTCAAGTGCGCGGTAAACGAGGTCGATGAGAAGAGGAGCAAGGAGGAAGAAAAGAGACGTGGATGGGTCAGACACAAGAGAACAGCCCAGGCGCTTGTCGCTCCTGCAGCTTCAATCTTAGCCGCAGACGCAGATCCGGCCCCGTGCATTGAGTGGCAGATGGCACCGTGGCAGTGGTGGCAGAGGGTTGCCATTGCGTCAGCTAGGGAACCCTACTTAGGGAGGTAGCGCGGACAGTCCCACCGCCACAGGACCACTGCCTAGCGAGCACCAAGCCGGCTCTGCTGGGTGCTGCGTTAGGCACCGTGGTCGCCCACGCTGCCGGAGTCGTCTATTCAAAGGTGCACCTGGCCACCTGATAGGCCACTGCCAAAGGACATTAGCGAATAATCACCTGCATAATTACAGACTTCCCAGTACGAGTGTACGTACCAGCCCCAGTCCAACGGCTCTGCAGAATTTTAACCCTTGGTCATGTACTGTACACAATTCCCGTCAACGCTGCTATATCTACAAAGCCGAAATGGGTTCCGCGCCGCCTACCAAAGCCACTGATGCGGTCCTCCTCTCTTCCGAGCCCGTACCGGATGGTGTGTTACAAGTTAAGGGTATCGACTGGGCGGCTCTGCCCGATGAGCAGCGAGCGATGATCTCGAATTTTGTTGACCAGCTTACCGGCCAAGGCTTTCAGTCCAGCTCAATCGGCGACGCCATTCGTATCATCAATGACATGGTCGGTGACTCCTACATGCGCCTACACGGAGCAGTCCTGACTGCTTTCAGAGATCATGGAGAGACCCCGAGACCGGTGACAGAACAACAATCTTCCTCGGATACACATCCAACATGATATCGTCGGGCCTGCGCGAAACATTCCGCTATCTAGTCCAGCACCGCCACGTGTCTGCCATTGTGACTACCGCAGGCGGTGTTGAAGAAGACTTCATCAAGTGTCTTGCACCCACATATGTGGGCTCGTTTTCTGCATCCGGGGCTGCATTGCGTGCGAAGGGCCTCAACCGTATCGGCAATTTGGTGGTGCCTAACAACAATTACTGCTCATTCGAGGATTGGGTAATCCCGATTCTGGACAAGATGCTGGCAGAACAAGAAGAGGGGTTTGCAAAGTCCGGCGAACGGTTCATGTGGACGCCCAGCAAGATCATCCATCGACTGGGCAAGGAGATCAACGACGAGTCATCCGTGTACTACTGGGCATACAAGAATGATATTCCGGTGTTCTGTCCGGCTCTGACAGACGGCAGTCTGGGCGACATGATCTACTTCCATTCGTTCAAGGCTTCCCCGTTGCAGCTTGGCATCGACATTGCCCAGGATATTCGAAAGATCAATACCATCGCTGTGCGCGCTAAACGAGCCGGAATGATCATTCTGGGCGGTGGAGTAGTCAAGCATCACATTGCCAATGCCTGTTTGATGCGTAATGGGGCCGAAAGTGCAGTCTATATCAACACGGCACAAGAATTTGACGGGAGTGATGCCGGTGCCAGGCCAGACGAGGCAGTGAGCTGGGGCAAGTATGTCACTCCGCGGTTTTTCGATCCCTGCCATGGCCTATTCTTTGCTGAAAGAGAAGTGGAGCGCTGACATCATCCCAGAATCAAGGCCACTGGCGACAGTGTCAAGGTAAAGAGAGCACATATGTGTTTGGTATATAACACTAACCTGAGGATTCATAGGTGTACGTCGAAGCTACCGTTGCCTTCCCTCTCGTCGTAGCTGGAACATTTGCAAAGCCAGACGGGAAGTCATGAAGAAGATTTCTTCGCAAATCCCGCTCCATTTTTAACTATATGAAAGCGAGCTCCTGGTCACACCCACTGAAGTCCGCTCCTCATGCGCTATGCCATGGAAAGGTGGCTGTCCGCTGTAGGGCGTCCTCCTGGTCTTATCTGAGCTGCTAGTCTCGACGGGACCGTCTAGATCCCGGCTCACCTCCGGATGGCCTGCCCAACCCGCTCCTCGAGATCAGTCAAGCACCGGCGTCAGCTATTCTGCACAGTCGTTCGCGACGACACCGTTTTTGAGATCTTGCCAGAGCTTCGATTCGCACCCTTATCCTCGAGCAACACCCCGGACGAAATCCCGTCAGGCCCCGGAAGGCTTTCAATACCGAGAACGGCTTTTGCAATTGCCTTTACGCTCTCCCTTCAAATTGTGCCCCGTGCAGTCAGAAGGATAGATATCACTTACGACGAAGTGATGTCCCATCACTCCTCTACACCCTATCGAGAATAGTCTGGCCCGACTTCTTCGAATCCGTCAGAAAGCGCACTGTATGTGTCGAGGACGCGCTTTGTCTACTCGCTCAGCGCGGAGCGGAGCAGAGCAGTGCAGTGCGGCGCTGAGACGGCCGGGCCTATGAGGGAAAAGAAGGACGAGATTCCAGTGCCTGTAATCGGTCGGCATTTGAAGACTCCTCCACGTGATACCTCCGGCATCGGATCGGAGAAAGACCGACCCCTCCTTCTCCACGCAACACAATCGGCCTTCGTGCTTCCAAAAGCGAAGACAGCCGTCCGCATGCTGCTGCATTTGGGGGTAAAAGGCCATACATAGTATTCCGTAAGCCTTTTCCAAATCGATATCCTCCTTTTTACCCCCTATTACTTCCTGGACACTTCCCCTGCAGCCGCCTTAGAACAGCCGAGCCTTTAATTCTCAGCTGCAGGAATACCAGTTGGCGTTTCGACTGACGTAGTGTGACGTGCGTCGTGGGGGCCAGCCCGGCATTAGATTCAGGCCCAGTGTTCAAAGGAAAAGGACATTAAACGAGGGATCCGAGTCTCGAATCCAGCACGAGCAGACAGTTAAAACCACAAGCATACCTCTCATAAAGAAGAGAAGCCTCGCCCCTTGTCGAAAAGATCACGGTCACCTGTCTCGAGGTCTGTTCACCATTCCCTCAACATCTCTTCACAACCACCTGAGCTCAGCAACCACCACAATGGCCGCTCCGGTCCTTGAGCACCTTTCTGCCACTTCTTCTTCGACAGCAACACCCCAGCCCCAAACATTCCGCATTCTTGTCATCTCTGGCGACCATGTCGGCCCCGAAGTCATGGACGAAGCCCTTCGAGTCCTCGACACCGTCGAGATCACATCCCAGGGCCGGATCAAGTTTGACCTGAACCATCAACTTGCTGGGGGTTGCAGTATCGACAAGCACGGTACGCCGATCACGGACGAAGTATTGAGAATCGCCAAGGAGGAGAGCGATGCGGTATTGTTTGGCAGCGTCGGGGGCCCGAAATGGTGACTCCGCATTTTCCTACGCTTCGCATTGCACCACTGTTGTTCCTGCCTACCTAGTTAGTAAACCGGTGTCTGGTTCGCGCTAACGTGTTTACCGAAGGGGAACAACCTACCCGAACCCGGAATCTGGTCTCCTCCGCCTCCGCCAACACCTCGACGCATTCGCTAACATTCGCCCCTGTGCATTCTACTCCAGGAGCCTTGTCCACCTGTCACCGCTGAAACCCTCTCTCGCCGAGGGGACCAACTTTATCGTCCTCCGCGAGAACACCGGCGGTGCATATTTCGGGCCCAAGGTCGAGGAAGCGGACTTTGCCAGCGACTCGTGGGCGTACAGGAGAGATGAGATTGAGCGGTGCGCGCGCGTGGCTGCCGCGTTGGCGACCACGCTGGGCAAGGATGGGAAAGGGAAAGGAAATGGTGGTCCCGCTACGGTGTGGTCGAGCGACAAGGCCAACGTTCTCGCGTCAGGACGCCTTTGGAGGAGAGTCACGAGCGAGGTCTTCGAGAAGGAGTTCCCGCACATTGACCTGAAGCATCAGTTGGCGGACAGCCTGTCGATGATCATGGTCAAGGACCCCAAGGTGTTCAACGGCGTGATCCACACGGACAACACCTTTGGCGACATGCTGTCTGATCAGGCCGGTGGCGTGGTTGGCACGTTGGGGGTTTTGCCCAGTGCAAGTCTTTGCGGCATTCCCGATGGCAAGACGCGATGTAACGGCATTTACGAGCCGGTGCACGGCTCCGCACCAGATATTGCAGGAAAGGGCATCGTCAATCCTGTGGCTCAGATTCTCTCCGCAGCAATGATGCTCCGGTACTCATTCAACCTGACAGCCGAAGCAGCAGCGATTGAGGCCGCTGTTGAAAAGGTCCTAGACGCAAAGGATATCGGTGGTCTGGAGATCCGGACCGGCGATCTGGGTGGCAAAGCAACCACGAAGGAAGTCGGCGACGCGGTATGTCGCGTTCTCGAGCAGATTCTCATGGAGGACTCGGCCGGTGCACCGGCTGCGGCAAGTGGGAACGCAGTGCCTGGTGCACCACCCGCGGCCCCGTCCAGCATATCACACGCGGACGAGAATAAGAAGTGGGAGGCCAAGCTGGTACAAGAGAATGTGACTACAGGGCCCAAGACCGCGATTCCTACATCATGAGGGAGGCGCGGCTTCCCCCGCATTAATTGCACTGAAGAAGTCTCAAGACTTCTCTTTACTGCGACGCAATCAACGAGAGCGCATCTCTGGACGGCATCAGAGGACGGCATCAGGAAACTCCTTGCCACATATATACTCAACGGATCGCCTGCCAAGTAGAGCCAAAAAGTTTGTGGTACTGTGGCTTTGAACCCCCAGTCTCTCGCTCCCACCTCCATGACGCTGTACTTGCCCGTTGCGCTATCGCGTTTTCTCAGTCTTCGACCCAGACGCATTCGACGCCCTGTCAACTTCTCCTGTGAGTTAGATTGGTGGGATCGAGTAAGAAACAAGAGGGTAAGGAAGGCAAGAGAAAGCGGAAGGCCACCGCTACACAGCGACGCCTTTCATGACCGCCTCAAGCATTGTTTTGTCTCATGTCATTCATCGTGTTCGTCTCGAACATGCGGTCTGCCGCAAGTCGCGCCTCCGACATCGCAATGCCAATCCCTAGAATTGGTCTGCACCACGTCAGCCTGTTGATCCACCAACTCAACCCGCATCTTCAGCACTTACCTAGCGTCATACTCATACTAACGTCCGTGCTCTCCACCATCTGCGTGAACTCGGCGAAGCTGATCTTGCCATCGCCATCCTTGTCCGCCTCCATGATCGTCTTGTCCACAATCTGCTGCAGTTGTTGGTCCTTCAAGTTCGAGCCAACCATCATCTTGAGCACAATGAACAACTCTCCGTTTGAGATATAGCCGTCCCGGTCAATGTCATAGACCTTGAATGCAAACTTCAGCTTCTCTTCTTTGTTGCCCTTGGAGGAGAAGGCCGAGAGCCCGAGCACGAATTCTTGGAAGTCGACGTCGCCGCCACCATCCTCGTCGAAGATGGCGATCATTCTGCATGCGTTAGAAGCGGACACATGTAGACACAGTGGCGCTGCGCTGCGCGTACCTCGTTGCTAGGGGGTTGGACGACACTTGAGGTAATGACAGGAACTCTTCCCGTTCGATCGTACCGCTGTTGTCCTAAAGTTTCCAATTCTATGTCAATGACCTTTCCATTTTACGGGTTCGTTGGGAGCAGACGTACTTTGTCCAGCTTCATGAACCGTTTCCGTAATCTGTCCACCTCGTCGCGATCAACTGTTTGGGCATATCCATCAGCACGTGCTCAACCCACGGCCTTCGAGCGCCAGATGTCCAATGGCCTCGTGCTCCCTTAGAGGGCCCAAACGTACAATTCGAAAAGGAAACAATGTTATCGAGGATCTGGGAGCCGGTGACTTGCTGCCGTCTCCGGGCATCATAGAGGGCCGCATTGTTGGGTTCGGCGATGGTGGAGGATTGCGCGCCAAATGCTGGCGTCGCCATAATGGCGGGCGGCGGGGCAAGTGAACAACAAGTCAAACAATGTGGTCGCTTTCGTGCAGAAGTTTAGGACTCGTTGATGAGATCGCGGGTAAGTAACGAGGTGTTAAAGTGCGGTGAAAGAGCTAGGAGTGGTGTGCGGAGGTTACAGTCGAAGTACGCAGTAGAACTGCAGTGGTTTGAGGGCTGAAAGAAGTGCACAAGGGGACAAGGGGAGTTTCAAGGACTGCGATCTTTCAAACGAGGAACCTGGTTGGTCGACCGGTGACCGGATGGGGAATCAGGCTCAGCTCGAGACACGGGAGGATCGTGGAGGATGCAGCCCAGGAGCCCCATGGCAGCCGCACATGCTGACTTCACTTGACCATCACTATGATCCGCCGAGTACGGCAAGTCACTGGGCCCGCCAACTGCAAGCCAAACGTCCGCCCGTGCCAATTTCTGTAGGCACCATGGCTCTTGATGGCACGCCTAGAGACGGCAGCCTCCAGGGGCGTTGGCCGCGTCACATAGGTTGCCAATCCAAGTGAATGACCGCCGCTTGCGAAGTCACGGCTCACCCCCGATTCCCTCCCATCCTGCCTTCTTCCGCCCAAATCAACTCGCAGTCCCTTCTGACTTTGCAACCACACGCAGCTTCATCACACAAAGCCACCTTCACAAGGGCACCGCAACGGCAACTCATCAATTTTTAATTTTAGGGTTGCTCAACTAACTGCAACAAACTCCCCTTTCATTTTAAAATAATTTTCAAGCAAAATTGACGAAGCTGCACCTCGATCTGTCGCCGCGACTGCCCCTTGATTTTGGGGTGAGGGCAGAGTGTGCGGCAACACTTCACCTCAACTTCGCTTCACCCTCTCCCATGGGGTTTCACTAAAAAAATGCTACGCGGCCGCGCCACCAGACCCAAAAAACTCAACGCCAAACAAAATGTCCAGATTTTTCGTGAGGATCAGGTTGAATCCCTTCCCGATTACGATACACAACGTTCTGCGATAGAAACCGGCGTCGAAAAGGCCGAAGAATCAGTGAGTCTTTCTTCACCTCCCCATGCTGCCTGACTTTTTGTCGCCGTGTCCTCTTTCGTTCAACTTAGTCATCGAATCTCTTGGCAAAACAAACACTTACGATTTTTGCAGGAATACCATCTTCAACAGGCCATCAAAGCGTCTGAGGTTGCCAAAGCAGATGCAAAGATTAAAGATGCATACATCCCCACGCCACCTACCATTGCGAGCGATGTCAAGTACGACGTCCTCTACCCGAAAGGGTTTCAGCAGCCAGCCACATACATCCGCTCATCAGCCACAGTCGAAGACTGTGCGGGAGTGGCGTATTGCATGGACGAAGAGGATGAGCTTGCTTTGAAATTGATCAATGGCAAGTTGCCTGCTGGTCAGGAAACATGCAGTGAGGACCAGTTCGAAGTGGTCATGAACTTTTTCGAGGAGACCGCTCAGGCGAAACAACCTTTCGCTGCTGTCGATAGTCCTCCCGTCTTACCTTTAGAAGAACTCCAGGACCAGATTGATGATACCGTGCCCTCGTTCGTGAGCAACCTTTCCAGATTTATTTACGAACACTGGCGGACGCGGCGAACAGCCACCGGTAATCGTTCCTTGGCTCCTCGCTTGAAGTTCGAGACTGGTCAGGAGACGGACGACAGCGATCCATATGTTTGCTTCAGACGACGTGAATTGCGACAAATCCGAAAGACCAGGAATCGTGATGCCCAGAGTGCCGAAAAGCTGCGCAAGCTCCGTATGGAGCTGGAGACCGCGAGAGGCATGCTGCTGATGGTCAAGAGAAGAGAACAGCTTCGTAAAGAAACTCTCGAGATTGATCGACTTGTTTTCGAACAGCGACTGGCGCTTCGCGACACTAAGAGAAAGTTGGGCGTCAAGGGGGATGAGGATCTCCTCATCAATCAAAAGGTACGGCAAATGCTGCTCAGTCAACGGACAAATCACTCACCTTTTTCTCAGAAGCAGAAGATCCCTCAAGGCATGACGCCCAACCAGGCCGCCATCGCTCAGCAACTCAGAATGCCCATGGCACCTGGGCCTGGTCCCGAACTCCGTACTCTCGAGGATGTTGCTGCCGTCAGAGAACGAGAGATTCAACGAGAGATCCAGACGAACATCGAGAAACATATTCGGTGGAATGAAGGGTTCGTTGACAAGACAATGGCGCCCCTTACCCCTGAGCTCGAGGACGATTATCCTTCGCCTGGGGAACATTTCCGTGAGGCGATGGCCGCGACTGAATATCTGCCTACACCTCCGGCTAGTATCTCGGATGAAGAGTCGCAGGAGTTGCCGAATGGAACTGAGGTGGTCATGAAGGATGTATCTCGACCTTCGACGCCTTTCCGGTATGCCAGTCCAGCGGACGAGGAGACCGTCAGTCATATGCCTTCCTTTAGGCGGCGAATAGGTCGTGGTGGACGAATATTGATCGATCGGAGACTGCCTCGTGCCGGACGAGGTTCATTGAGAGAAGACGATCGATGGAGATATGATTCGCCTGACGAGAACGATTTCTCTGACGAAGAGCGGACTTTCCCCGACCTGACCTTTGCTCGCATGTCACAGCGAGCCTACCTCATCGGCAGTAGTCGACCATCGGAGAAGACAGCGTTGCTGACAGCCAGAAAGCCGCAGTCCGATATCGCCGGTCCCAGTCATTCTTCACCTGCGGGGCATACCCAGGCGACCCCTACTCCTTCTTGACCGTGTCGTTCTTGTTGTTGGATATCCACTTTTTTCGTCTCAACGAGAGTACGATTCACAAGACTCTCTCAAAGAGCCCGACTACCCTTGGGCTCTGTCAGTGTTGCGACAGACGCAGACGCCACATTTATGGACTGTACGATGACATCGATCGATGGGTCCGATTGAGAGCCAGCCGTTGGACGATACAACAAAGCTGTGCTGTGAGTGGTGGTGACCAGACTTGTACATATTTTAGTGAGGCCAGCGCCTCCCAATGGAAAAGACAAGCCCGACATTGATCACGGGCCTCTTTCTCTCCGTGCAGTTTTCTTCGGTCTCGAACTGGGGCCGTGGTCGGACGCTCGTTTAGTGGAGGCTGAAGCCATCTCCGCTGTTTCGCCTGCAATATGATCTTGGCAGAGGCGAAGAAGCTGGTGTAGAATCTCCTTTTCTCCGATCCTCACCTTCAAGGCCATCGTGTATCGAGGCTCACTGCAGCCGGATTCGACCAGCAACTGCTTCGATTCAGCCGTGCCTAGTGCTCCCAGGGCGGACCTGTCAGCGTCGAGGGAAGTCGCGTACTCAGAGAGTCTTTTTGTCAGCACGGCTTGTAGCAGCGCCGCCTCTTTGATTGTGACAGACTCCTCGGGCTTTTTGACGGTCTCCGTACACAATGCTCGCAGGAGCATGTGTATTTGTCCCGGTATAGCATCCTCTAGCTTTTTCACATCCACTGAAGGGCGCGGGATAGCATAGCCGTCATCGATAAGGCCCAGCTCCTCGAGTTGCTCTTCACGTTTCAGCCAGGCTGCATCTTTGATGCCGTGCTTTTTGCCGGCAACTTCGAGGAATAGGTCATGGGAGATTTCCACGACGTCATATTGAGCATAGTTATCTGTAATGTAGCCGTACATGCGGAGGAGGTCTGATCGAGGCAGGGGACCATAGTCGTTGAATATCTGCTCGCCTGCTTTGATCGGTTTGGTGGACTTCATAATGAGGTAGTCAGGTTCTTGGAAGAGACGAGCCTGCACAAAATCACAAGTCAGCTTTCAGAGAGCCAACAACTATGACACATACAACGCACATTGTTTCGATCAGCATCTGCGTTGAGCATGTCAGCAAAAGGCACCATGCCCTTGGAAGGCTCGTCTTCGTCGTCTTCCTCAAACTCGTCGTCGGAGTCGTTATCTCTGTCGTCCTTCTCGTCGTCTCTGTCGATATCGAAGGCATAGGCCATAATCAAGCTTCCAGCCATATGAGCGAGTTTGATCAACTCTGTCGTCTTTTCCGACTCGTTTTGGCCAGCCACACCAAACAAGTCCGAGTGTGAGAGCATGACTGGGATTATGGTGTCTTTCCAATTTTCTTCGGCTTGATCTCGTCCAATCTTGCCGATTACGGCGCTCGCTTGCAATGCCTCAAGTTCTGCTTTGTTCCAGAACATCAGACTGTCGAAGAAGGTGGGGAGTACTTTAAAGTAAGGGTACCATGGCGATTTCTCGTTCCGGAGATATTCGTAAATGACGGTGACTATCAATGGCGGCCACGCTCCTGTCTCGTTTAGAGGCTCAAGCACTGTGGAGGGGATGCTGGAGGTGGTGGTTGCAAGCACAAGTGATCTGGGGATAGCGAAGAGTTCTTCGTCTTCTTCGATGTCCTCAGTTGCGACTGAAGAGGACGATCAGCAAAAGGCTTACGGTCAAGACGCAGAAGGCATACCAGCTCCTCTTCCCGCATTGCCACTTCTGAGATCCTTCAGTTGCACCTTTGAACTTAGCCGAGTCCCGTCAGCCGACTTGAACCATTTGACAAAGTCAGCGGTCGCCTGGGCGAACTCGGGCAGATCAGCAGGCTGTGCTGGCTCTGCCATAATCACAGAGTCAGCGACGAAAAGAAAACTCTGCCAGAATTAACAGGACAAAAAAAATCGGTAAGTATGGAGTAGTCGTGCTGGATGGGGAGAATGCATAGTGGGATGAGGGAATGGCTGATCGCAGGGCCAAGGCCGGATTAAGTTGTGCCCATCTCCGATTGGCTGGTCCATTCACCACGACTTGAGCGACTGTTGCGTTCTCGTACCTCGTACTGTACCGTGTGCAACTTTCCATCATCACCCAATTGCTTATCTGTCCGCACACACCGAACGAAGTACTCCATACGGTATACTAACTATACCTTGTAGACATCAGTGGCAAAGAGTACCAATGTGATACCCGCGAGAGGACATCAAAGGTCAGCCAGGGATACAAACTTGTCCTGCTTGTTGGATACCCGCCAACGCGAGCAAGTTTGGTAGTATCCCTTCCCATGCTCATCTAGTCAGGGCCTTTGTCTGCCACCGCTATACTGGTATCTGGCGCTGTGGTTCCTCCCATTTCTCCCTCCGCAGCATATAGTGCCGACTTATCGCTTTCCATCCGTCGACGTTCCGCACAGTTCTAGATCAGAGATGCAGCCGGGCCAAGAACAAGACTCGGAGCCGGAACTGACCTCCTGAACTGCCAAGCAAGATGCCCTTTCCACCTGAGACTTGAAGTGTTCCATCATCGCCGGCTACCCCCATCCACCCTTTCAAGGCGGCTTCCGACACATCGAATCCGGGGTAGGTACCTGTCAGGCCGAACATCTTTGGCAGCCAAAAGAGCTTCCAAGCTTTCCAAGAACTCTTGACTGTTTGGGATATGTCGCTCATCACCAGTGAACGGTTCTGATCAGCCGTGGTCCAGAGCTAGATCTCCTTTTTGGCATTTGCTTGCTCGCTAAGTCTGAAGCTGGATATGTTGCGGACCTTTGCAGGCCCTGCGGTCTGCGCATGGATGGGCGCCTCTCCCCTCCTATTCCAAGGCTATTGAGGATTTTCAAGTTTGTTCAAAAGGATTGATGGTGGCGCGAAAGGCTGAACGTCCCACTCCTCCTTCACCGTTCTCTCCTCTCGTTTCTGTTTTTGCTCTTTAACCTCTTACCTCTCATCGACGGTACTACATTAGGGCCGCGGAGTGCTCACTTTTGAAAACCACGTGGTCAAGTTCTCATCAACAACCGTCATTGCACTCAGCGCCCACCTCACCTGCAAGATGGCGACTCGAGGCTACGAGATCACAGGTCCCCTCCAACGCTCCCGGTCCAACTACTACAAACCACCGGCCCAAACTTCCTACGAAAGCGACTTGTACATGGACGAGAAGATGGGTTATCAGACCCAAACCACCACCATTCCTGCTCCACTGAACACAAGGAGGGATCCTTTGGCAACAACAAACGCACCACCACCTGTTCCTCCACCACCGAAATTCGAAGATGCGACCATGGTTACCATACCTGCAGACATGTTCGACCGCATGTTCCTGCAGGCCCAGGATCAGGCTAAGCCGCATGTTGGAACCAGTGGAAGTCATCATAGACAATTTGCGAACCCTACGCCCCTCAGTATCGTGGGTTTTCTCCTCGCGCTGAGTCCATTGAGCTGCGACTTGATGGGCTGGCGAGGTGCGGGTGGAAATGGAGCTGCGTCGATGTAGGTTGCTTCCTCTCCTCGTCCTGCCTTTCTGTTCCTCACGACTGACGATTCGATCTTTCACAGCGGGGCATACTTCTTCATTGGTGGCGTGTTGATGCTTCTCGGTGGCTTCCTCGAATATCTCGCGGGCCCCGCCAACACTTTCCCCTTCGTGGTCTTCGCTTCCTTTGGTGGCTTCTGGATGTCATATGGCGCCACTTTAGTCCCTTTCTTTAACGCCTTTGGGGCGTATTCGCCTTCCACCGATGATGACGATATCCAGCTCGGCCTAGCAACGAAAGGCTTTAATGCCTCGTTCGGCTTCTTCATGCTTTTCATGGCGGTGCTGTGTCTTGTGTATCTGATCTGTGCTCTACGCACGAACGCCGTATTTTGCGTCATCTTCGCCGGCTTGTTTGTCGGCTTCGTCTTCCTCACCGCGACATTTTGGTTCGTGGCGGAAGGAAACGCGACTGCGAGTAGGATGCTGTACCTGGGTGGCGCGAGTTTCTTCCTTAGCTGTATGGCTGGCTGGTACTTGTTGTTTGCGCTGTTGTTTGTTGCAGTGGACTTCCCGCTTCGGTTGCCTCTGGTCGACCTTGGTGGATGGGTCAGAGGCTACGAAGAAAAGAAGAAAGCTTTCTGATGGGTTACGGGGCGATGCATAAAGCAACGAATATACTGACGAGCAAAATTCAAACACGATCTGCGGTCTCTCAGGGGGACATTCTGTATAAGCACGACGTACTGTAACACTACAATGCTCTGATCAATCCGGAATATATCTACAGCGAAATCTGGACGACTAAAAAGCACCCCGCGTTCGAGATTCTCGAGTTGAATTCTAGATATAAGCAGAGTGACGGGACAGACGAGAACTCAGTTCCGCTTCGAGGTATTTTACAAGTGCTGGCTCACAGCAACATGCTTGACTGCTTTTTGACTACTGGCTTGCATTCATTGTCCCTGTCTGACAAAATGCTCAGCCGTATTGACTTTATTCACGATTTCGCTCGCCATCCCTGCACGTCAGAGCCTCGAACGACTGTTCTTTCAAGCGGTCCAGTCAATCATAATTAATTAGCTGATTCCGCGATTCAGAAACAAGAATTATTGTGTGTCAGGGACTTGTCCGCTCCGCTCACATCAACGTTAGCTCAATCAACGGTACTTCCGAAGACTGTCGTGGGGCATTCGATTTCTCATCCTCCTTGAGACTGTCACTTTTGCAAACCCTGTGACGACGCCATCACCCAACCACTCCAGACATAAAGAGTCGCCAGTCCAAAGCAAGGGGACACTGATACCGTGAGGCCGCTGCTGGTAGGTGGAACATCGAGGGAGGCGCATTCTGCCTGGGCCCATTCCGCCTCTACATAGGAGTGGCCAATTCCAGCGAGAAATATTTGGTGTAAAACGCAACACGACCAAGCATTCAATATCATTCTCCTCCATCGACATCCACCATGCCCATAGCCCTCGGCCTCGAAGGCTCGGCCAACAAACTCGGCGTCGGGCTCATCTACCACTCGGGCATCCCGAACATTACAACCTCCACCCACCCATCAAAGCAACCTCAATCACAATCACAACCCGAAGTCCGCATCCTCTCCAACATCCGCCACACCTACCACGCCCCCCCCGGAGCGGGCTTCCTCCCCAAAGACACGGCCCTGCACCACCGCAGCCACGTGACGGCCCTCGTCCACCAGGCCCTCAAGGAAGCCAACCTCACCCCCGCCGACCTGGACTGCATCTGCTACACGCGCGGCCCCGGGATGGGCGCCCCCTTACAGAGCGTCGCCCTCGCGGCACGCACATTGGCTCTACTTTGGCAGAAACCTCTCGTCGGCGTCAACCACTGCATAGGCCACATCGAGATGGGCCGGAGCATCACGGGCGCGACCAACCCCGTGGTCCTGTACGTGAGCGGCGGCAACACGCAGGTAATCGCGTATTCGACGCAGCGGTACCGCATCTTCGGCGAGACGCTGGACATCGCCGTGGGCAACGCGCTCGACCGGTTCGCGCGCACGCTGGCGATCCCCAACGATCCCGCGCCGGGGTACAACATTGAGCAGATGGCCAAGGCGGCGGCGCGTGGCGAGAGAGAGCCGATCCTGGTGGACCTGCCCTACGCCGTCAAGGGGATGGACTGTTCATTTAGCGGGATCCTCGCGCGGGTTGACGAGCTGGCCGTGGCGTGTCTGCGCGGCAAGCTCGTCGACGCAGCTAGTGGACAAAAAGTCACGCCCGAGGACCTGTGCTTCAGTCTGCAGGAGACGGTGTTTGCCATGCTCGTCGAAATCACGGAGCGGGCGATGGCGCATGTGGGTTCAGCCCAGGTCCTTATCGTGGGTGGCGTCGGGTGTAATGAGCGCCTACAAGAAATGATGGGCCAGATGGCGCGGTCGAGGGGCGGCGATGTCTACGCGACGGACGAGCGGTTCTGTATCGACAATGGCATCATGATTGCTCATGCTGGACTGTTGGAATTTCTGAGTGGGGATAAGAAGGGGATACAGCTAAAAGACAGCACTTGTACACAGCGGTTCAGGACGGATGATGTGTTTGTCAGGTGGAGGGATGACTGAGTCGAGTTGGTCCGGGCTTGCAATTGATGTTGACATGCTATACGAAGAAAGAGCGATTGATGACCAAACGAAAGAAATTCTATCATTTGACTATGTCAAGAAGAGTAGAGTGGTTTTGTCCTTTGTCCCCGTTCTATCAAATCGCCTGGAGCTCCTGTTCTTCTATTTGTTCGTAGGCGGTCATACAGAAGTTGCAATATGCAAGATTTGCTGCCACCGTGCCCGTGACAACGAACAAGTCAATGTGACGCGATAGGTTTGTGGCCACACTAGCCAACCTCAGCACAGTACAGCACATCCCATTCGTCGTGGAGTCCCAGGTCATGAACAGTGACACATATCCACCAAGTGGCCGAAGAAGAGAAATGTCCCCCGGTGGCTACTATTGATCGATCTGGATCGCCTTCGGCACGGGCTTGAACGAGATCGTGGTTACATACTGTGCGGAATCAGTACTGATCAAGAACTCTCAAGGAAACCTGAACCCACCTTCTTCTTGTACCTCGTAGTAACACTCGTCGCAAGCACCCCGTTCTTCACGCTGCTCGTCATAAGGTGATTTAGAACAGTATGATTCGGCAATGTCAAGACGCTATTATCGTCCTTGACAGGCAAGATACCGTTCAGAATCGACCGGCTCAGAAACAGTGGCAGAGCTGGGGGATGGCCGAACTCCGAGATACACGCAGATGCCGCCTTGTACTTTGGTTCTTCTTCGTCCAAGTCGATGTCGATCAAGTAAGGCGGAATGAGTTGACGCCAGTCACCTGCTGGGATCTCTTCGAGCTGAAGCTCAGAGAAGTCGGAGTCTTCGGGCGTTTGCTGCCCGGAGGTGGCTTGTTCACTTTGTTCCTCGGGCGCAAGAAGAACCGTTGACTTGGTCCCCGGTTGAGCGCTCTCGCGACGTGGCTTGGAGATGTCCTCGGTCGCGATCTCGATGTAGTTGACGAGGAAATTGTTGAAGTCCACGGCGGTCGGCAGCTCTGAGCTGGTGACCATCTCGCCGTCCACCACAAACTTAAGATGGTGGGTTCCAGAAGGAAGGTTGATGGTGGTAAACATGCCGGGACCATTCTTTCTACAATATAGAGTCAGCAAAGATCGCAGAGGCAGAAAAACTAGGAAGTTCTTCCCCATGTAGGGCACGACATCCCCGGGTTGGTATGGACTCGGTCAAAATTCCAACACCCATCCGAGACGTTGAACAAAGAAAACCGGCTATGGAAGGCATACCTCGGATGTAGTCTATATTTCTTTTCCCAGTTGGCAAAAGTACCTGTCACGTAGACCTTGTTGCCGCCTTGATTCCATTCGATGACCGTAGGCGTAGTCTGGGTCGTCGATTGGACTGCATAAGGCTGCAGTTCGTCACCGACCTCGTCCTCGGACTGCGTGTTGGTGCTCAACATGGAACTTCTTCGTCTTGTGTGCGGCTCTGCAATAGCGAGGGGGCCATCGGTCTCAAAGAGAGGCACATCGGCATCACTACTTTTGTCTACTGGCATCAGCGTAGGCGAGTCGGGTATAGGTACATCGGCGATCGGGAGAGGAAGACGAGGCGGTCGGAGTTGGGCAACAGGAGCATATCGTCGGTCGTCGTAGGGTTGACTGTGCGCAATAGGTCGCTCGTCGAAACGATCCTCGTCCTGCTTGCTCTTCGATATGGGAACATCCAGGGGAGTGGCAGGCTGAGGCACAGCAAGTGGTTGTTGAGTGGGAGGTTGCGGTTTGGGTCGATGCTCCAACTCATTCTTCTTTTCCTTTGACTTCCTCGAGGATGACCGCTCTACCCGTCCGGCCTTGGCACTTTCCGGAGAAGCAGCCTGCAAATATTGTTGCAGTTGTGGCTTCTCGAGATTATGGGAGGTGGTCTGGGCAACAGCGGTGTCCTTGGTCGCAGCAGCATCGACAGGAGCGCCGCGACCTTGAGAAAGGGCTTGAATCGAGATCCGGCGATTTATCTTGCGGTCTTTCTCGGCCTGGGGTGTCCCAGACCTAGAGCTCGAGCTCTTCTTGTCTTCGGAGGACTGTTGATTGCCCATCGTGATTGTTGTGTTGCGGAAATGTCGAAGTGTCGTGCGACACGATTTAGTCGGGAATGGCCGGTTGGGGAAATGGAGGGAAGAGCCGCTGTCAAGGAGATAGGAAGTCGGAGCGAAATCTGGTAGGCTCCAGGTAGATGAGCATGTATACAGACACTGGGAGATGGTAAAGAATGTAAGCCAAATCGACCGACTTTGACTTTGTGGAAATGAATCCGAGCTCCGGTGACGGTGAAGTTTAAGGCCTCGAGGGCAAGAGCAGAAGAGGGGTGGGTTAAGAGAGGCTGAACTGACTTTGGCATGATGAGTGGGCGTAGAGACCCTTGAAAAGAGAGCCTAATTTCAGGAACAATTGCGGGGAGAAGGCGTCATTGTTGGCTGACTTGCGGCTCAACACGAGCGGGCGACATTCACAGGTTGCTCAAGGTGTTGTGCCCGGTACGAGTCCCATTTATCACCACTACTACCACCTACAGAGGTCGATCGAGTGCATCATGCATCTAGCTGTCATGCTTCCCAAAATACGCCGACGATGAATACTACCGCCAGCCACTCAGCTTGGGTGCATGCGTTCGCTGTGTCGTATCTCGCGCTCTCTGCGGCAACAACACTCCTCTCCTACGCGCTTTATCCGATCGTCCGACTGTTGGCGGTGCTATGGTACATTCTAGCTTGTCTATCAAATCCATTTATATACCTCGCCGGAGTGGTAATAAAAGTCGCGTCAATCCCATGGCGCATATTCGCAGCTTTCGAGGTCTGTAGACCCAAAAACACCTCAAATCTGCAGGAACTAATAGCTCCTATACAGCCACTCTGGTACTTCCTCGGTAGCGCAGTCTTCATAGGCCTGTTACTCGCACTAATCTTACACTTCACCCTCCGCGCCATTGTCGTTGTCTTCCGCATTGACAAGCAACCCGCCATGAAGCCGATTCCACCTAGAGGTCATGACGCAATATCGTACAGGAAGGCAAGAGAAGAGAAGAGGAGGAGACAGCTTGAGGAACAACAGAGACTGGCGACACAGGCCAGACTGATTGCCTCACAACCGCTGTTACAAGAAGTCGTGCGGGAAGCCAGAAAAATGCCATTGACCACGCCGCCAGGGCCATTGAGCCCAGTCAGTCCTACCAACACCCTACCAGCACGGCCAGGACTGTTGCAGGAGACGATTCTGGAACACAGCGAAGAAGACGACGATGACTCGGTCTTTTAAGCGAACGCGCCATCACCGTAAGCCAGCTTTGGTGAGCGCCTTCGCGAACAACTCCTTGCAGCGCACGCGGCTGCCCAACCTGGCGCATAACAGGAAAGCCCCGCTCAGTTTGCGATGCAGGCTGTACGTCTCCTCGGGTGGAGGTGCGAGTCGCTCCCTCAGCATGACTGGAATCAATTCTCGTACACGGTCGGTGATTGTCTGGTCCTGAAAGTCATAGACATCGGGACTGAAGTCCATGAACGGTTCAGCCAGAGTCATGACAGAGTCGATGTGAGCGTTGTACATGGCCTTCGATTCATAGCCAGTAAGGTAGCCCAGCTGTACGGATAGGTCTCCGCACGCCTTTCTGTCCTTTCTCGAGGCCGCCATGAGAGTCTTGACGTACAAGTTGATGAAGCGCTCTGGGAATTCCCGTGATGCACCAAAGTCCAAGAGTTCCAGCTTGTTCGTCTTTGCGTTGTAAAGAAAGTTCGTCCAGTTGGGGTCCGTCTGCATGTATCTGAACTCGGTAATCTCTCGCAGACAAAGTCGAAGAATCTGCGAGCCAATCCAGTCTTTCTGCTCCTGCGTGAAGTTCTGGACTCTGGTGACTGGGATTCCGTCCATCCGCTCCATCGTCAAGACTCGCTCTCCCGACGCTTCATCAATGATCTCTGGCACGGCGAAGACGACCTTCTCGTCTGCCAACAGTCTGCCAAATCGTTTAGCTGCATCTGCCTCGCGGACGTAGTCGCATTCCCAAGCGAGCTCTGTTCGGGCATTCGCTATGGTCTTCTCAAGGTACAGGCCCTTGGGCAAGAGACGAGACGCGCTGAGCAGTAAAGAAAGGTTATTAAGGTCAGATGAGATCGAGTCCGCCACACCCGGGTACTGGACTTTGACGGCAACTCTCCTCCCATCCTGCAGCACGGCACCATGGACTTGTCCAATTGACGCAGCAGCCATCGGCCGCTCATCAAACTGCTGAAACAATTTGTCCCGCCAATTCGGACCTAGATCAGCAGCAATCACCGCGTCACGCTGCGACGCAGGCATGTAATCGGCACTATCCTGGACACGTTGAAGCACATCATGAATGGGCTTGGGAAGCAGCTTGGAGTCTTGAAAGCTCATCATTTGGCCTAGCTTGAGGGCAGCGCCTCTCATTTTGGACAACTTGGCAACAAGACGTTCCATGTTTGCCGCACTCAGCATCAGAGAGCCATTGGCTCCTCCTGAGCGGCTGATGCTTTCGCTCACTGCGCCAAAAGCCATGGATGCGGCCAGCCCTCCGAACTCGAAGATGCGGCCCACTCGTGAGGAGGGCACTTTTGACTCCCGCATCTGGTAGGGTTGCTGTTGCTGGGTCTAGGGCATCTGTCAGTCTGATCAGTTCAGCAAAGCACAATCTTGGGCCAGGTAGACTCACATTGATTTTCTGGACATCCTTGGCCAGGTCAGCACCAAGCTGCTTGAGGCTCTCTGTATCTGTGTCAGATGCCTTTTGATGCCTAATAGTCATGGTGTGGAAGTTGCGAGGCCGTCTAGTCGAGGCTGGATGCACCCCAGGCTGAACACCACCAGGAGCGTACTGGGCTTTCTGCGCAAACATTCTAGCGTGTTTGGGATTGTGGAAGATCTGAGACAGCTGTTCTTCCGAAGGCTCATCCGCAGCCACCTCTCGAGTTGAGCCGTGGTAATACACGTCGGCATTGAGGCCAGGCTCGATGTGTGAATCTCCTTCCTGAACATCGTTTTCTGTTGTGGGTACTCGGACTCGAGGCAATGCTGACAAGACAGGCGTCACACTGTCGGGCGGCTGGTAGAACACATCCTGCTCTTGCTCCACGCCAAACTCTTTGGCAGAGTCTTCTGCCGAGGGCGGTTCAGCGGTCTGCGCAGGGATTGGGTCTTCGTTTCTGGCTTGGTTGGGGGCGAGAGACTCGGCGGGCGTGAACCCTGATATATTGGGCTTTGTAGACGATTGGAAGTGTATATCTTGAGCCCCTTGTGACTCGACTGGATGCTGCGCTGTTTCTCCCGCGGGCACCTTGTTGAATGTCATACCGTCACCGGCCTCGCCTCCTATCGCACTGTCCTGCGGTGGAATTGTGCCATCCGGGAGCGGCGCCCTGTCTGCCTGTGCTTGTTCGACATTCAGATCTCCACTGGCGGCAGACTCGGTTGCTGTGTTCTCAGCTGAAGGCTTGTAGAAATGGTCCTGCAGGATACCCTCTTTCTGCGGTTTCGAAGAAGACTGGGATGAAGCAAATCGTGACACTGCCGTAGATAGAATAGGTAACCCTTTCCTCCGGACGGCTTTTGCAATAGAGGATGACTGGCTATACACCTTGGCCTGACCGAACCGAATGTCGAAGTGCTTGACAGCGATGTTCTTGGAAACACTCAAAAGCGCAATCGCATCGAGTATCCGCTTGCCGGACATGGTGACGGAGGATGGTGATGGGTCGGAGACCCTGAGAGCTCTCAAGAAGACATCTACTGCCAGAGGAAAACAGAGATTCCGGCGTCCTTTCTCTTCATGTGTGATTAGCAAACGGAGTCTGAAGTGACGCGGCACGACTGTAATTAATTACAGGAAAGAGGATTTGGATGCGATCATCGACCTGGAGAAAGTACAGTAGCTTCACGTTTCCCCACATGGCTGTTTAGCTTCATGCCACAATGTGCATAATCCGCTGTCACCCACGTATATACGCTCATCTTGCGTGCCATGGAGCCGGGAACTTGCGAATACAGTCGGATAGCTACGAGCTTGGAGAGCAAGCCTCGTGATTTTCGTAGGTGAGTATATGGGCTGGCTCAAGACATGAATGGTCATGATGAGGCACCCGCCCTGTACGCACGAGTGCTGGAGCTCGAGGCAGAACTACAGTCAACTAGAGCTCAACTGAACTCTGTGAAGGGATCCGGCTCGAAGGTGGTGACCGAACTCCATAGCAAGGGAAGTGTAGAGGCTGTCCCTATACCCATTTCCCTATCGCTCGACTCGTCAATCCACAACCTGATGCTTCTCTCCGACTCGGCCCTGCCACTAGGCTCGTTTGCCTACTCCAGCGGCCTGGAATCCTTCCTGGCTCACCACAAAGCATCAGGAACGAGGGAGACCAACCTTGCCCTCTTCCACAAGTTCCTGAAGCTCTCCATCCAGTCGATGGCATACACCAATATCCCCTACGCTCTTGCAGCGTTCCGCGACCCTATGGCGCTGTCAGGTCTCGACAACGACCTCGACGCATCCACGCCCTGCAACGTGGCAAGGCGGGCCAGTATTGCTCAAGGTCGTGCTCTTCTCAGCGTGTGGGAGAGAGCCTTCTTCGCGACAGCCAGACAGGGCCATAAGGACCACGTCATATATGAGGTTGCCGCCACTGCCTTGAACGTCTTCTCCAGGGACCTGAAAATCTTATCTATCACCACCGCCCCATTGGAAATCCCATCCATCAACGGACATTTTGCCCCGCTCTGGGGCACCGTCTGCCGAGCCTTACGTCTCTCTCTCGAAGATGCGGCATATGTTTTTCTTCTCAACCACGCCAAAGCAGTTGTGTCGGCGGCCGTTAGGGCGAGTGTCATGGGTCCCTACATGGCGCAGACCGTACTTGCGAGCAGAGATTTGCAGGAGCTAATCAGGGAATGCTTGCGGAAGGTGTGGTGGTTGAGCACGGAGGAGACGGGACAGGTCGTTCCTATGCTGGATCTTTGGATTGGGCGGCATGAGTTGCTTTACAGTAGGATTTTTAACTCGTGAATGGGGGCCTAGTTGGGTTTCGTTCTGGAAAAGGCCCTATCCCCCGATATGGTGTCTGGCCAGATTGAAGAGGGCCTGGCAGTGTGGGCTTCATCGTGGAAGGAGGCATTGGCATCGAGCACCTCCAGATCGGCTACGACGCCAATATACGTGTGTATTCCCATCGTGAACATCACCGCCGGCACTCATGGGCATACTTACCTCAGCGACCAATACCACGCGAAAGGTGGCATCAGAAATTTTTTCACGGTGCGCTCCTGCCTATTCTCGTCTCCTGCGCGCCCACGCAGTCAAAGAGCACAAGATCCCTACCGAATACACCGTTTACGGTGCCTGCTCCCTTTACTCACCTTGAGCCTACTACGTACCTGCAAAAGTCAGCGGAGTGGCCAGGTTCTTGCAGATGATCATGTCCCCTCCTGGGATCCGGACGGTTTCGGGAGATGTGGGTGTTACTGCGTAGGGAGATGTGAGCTGTATGGATGAGCTTCTTGTGTAGGGTTAAGTGGTATTCCATGTTCTTGGGGAGGATCAGGTGCCGAAGGTCATTGAGAATCCGTAATGGGGACGAGACACGATGATCATGAACTACACCTCACCCAGAACCTCGATGACGAAAGTTGGCGGATGATCGTCACCATTCGAAAGAATCGCAAAAGGGGTATCATCAGTCAAACAGACCAGCCTAATGCTCCATCTCATCAAGGGGGCCTATCCTCTCCTCAATGCCCTCGGCCGCTCTCTTTCCTTTCTTGCCACCTCGCCCGGCGCGCGTACCACCGGTCGATTCTCGCGTCCTTCGCTGCTGCTTCTTCTTTGGCGCCACAGCAGCTTGAACGACCTTCTCGGCTAGAGCATTAATGCGCTGGCTTCTGGCTGTACTGGGTGGTTGAGCGCTTCGAGCAGACGCAGGTATGTCAGGATCCTCATCTTGGTCCTCATCTTCCACGACAGTCTGAGCTCCAGCATCGTCGGTCTCGGTAGACGGTAGTGGAACATCCGCGCCGTCGTTTGTCATGACATATCCCTGGTCCGCTCTCCTCTTTTCATCCTCCTCCCTCATTCGCTTCCCTTCTTCCTCAAGTTCTTTCATGAGCTTCTCCGGATCTTCAAACTCCATGTTTGTCATGGCGGCATACTTGTCCAGACTGACTGTTTCTTTCGCGGTAACGCATGTATCGACTCTCGCAGGGTCGCTTTGTAATTCGGCTAGGTACTTCCTCTTCACCATGCCACGGTCGACGCTTTCCGGGAAGAGGTTGGCAATCATGCTAAAATCGGTGCCGAACATACGGAGGCCTTGATAGAAGAGATTGGTCGTGTATTCATCCCATTTGCTCCGTTTATCACGGCCTGCGTTCTTGCCCAAGGTGGCTTGGTTCACGTACTTGTAGATCCTGTCGTCTTCGATTGCGACGTCCGCTTGTTCTCTGGCAGCTTGCTCGAGGCCGGCACCGAAAGCAACCTCTCGCGATTCATTTGCGACCACGATTACTCCATTCACGATGATTTGCTTGGGTACAGGCGCCTCCTCAAGCTCCCGGTCTTCTCCATTGGCGGTGTTCTTTCCACGGGCGGCTTCACGGCGCTTTTCAACATCTTTCTTCCGCCGCTCCTTGATTTCCACCCAGTTTTCTTGCATTCGCTTTTCTGTTTCGGATTTGCGACCAACCTTGATGTCCTTTGTCAGCTCAGACATGGAGACCTCCTGAGGGTCAATTTCAAGCTCTTCAGCATTCTCGGGCGTGGTAAGTCGTGATCGACGACTCCTCCGTGTGTTATCTTTGTCTTGACCACCATTGACGGCCTGATCGACAACTTGTTGGGCGAGCTCTTGAATCTTCTCTGACTTTGACTTTTTCTTCTTTTTGGACTGTCTGGGCTGCGGGTGGGCAATTGCCTGGGTGCTTCCCTCAGTCTCCAATGTTTGCGAGACAGAGCGGACCTCTGAACGAGACCGTTGTGATCTTGCGCTGTTCTCGATATGCTGCGCTAGCTCAGAGACGTGGGCAGCTCCTGTAGTTGCATCTTGTATGAGTGCATCCGAAGTACGAGACTCGCTCCGTCGGTATCCAGAGCTGTGTCTCGACGTCAAAGGAACGGTATCAGACGCAGAGGGCGCTTGAGATTCTGGCTCTTCCACATGCTGGGCGGCAGGTGTTGTCTTTGGACGCTTCCTAGGCTCTTCTGTAGTTTCCCTCTCTGTAGAAGAGTCTTCCGAAGCAGCAGGGGTTGGTTCGTTTGTCTCTTTTCGTTTCTGCGCCGTAGAGGACGGGGTATTACTAGAGATGGTGGGGATGACGTTTGGTATAGCACTTCCGTCGCTCTGGGTGATGTTGACAGGATGGATGATTTGAACACCAGTGCTCGCATTGCCGGGCACGGTTATCTCGACGGATAAGGAGGGGGCGCGATCCGTGGTTGGTGCTGCGTCCCCAACTGCCTGCTCATAGGTCTCTCTTGCTGTTTCTACGGACGGAACAATCGCAGGAATCGAAGGTGCAAGGGAAGGAATGGTCGAGGGGATTTCGTGTCTTTCGCCTATTGCTTCTGCCTCTGCTAGCTGCAGCTCGTTTACTGTTCTCGGTGCTTCTTTATCAACAGCCTCAACAGCGGGACTCACAGTCTGGCTCTCCGGCGTCAACGATGGAGGCGCCGCATGGCGGGCCGGGTTTCTCTGCACATTTCTTTTAGGGCCCTTGGGCTGGATCTTCTGGCCCGGCTTGCGGACCACAGAGCTGAAAGACGGCATGGCAGTACAAGCGACATTTGTCTCCTACAGGAAGGACTCGAGCGTCGGTTTCAAGTCATGTCCAGCCACCCAGCTTGCTGGCTTGTGGGCATCACTTTCTGAGTCGCGTCCCCTCACCTTCACTGTATCCTCACTTCCCATTCAGTTTTGGTTAGTCGCGCCCCGCCAAGACTGCGCTCTGAGGCTAAACCGTGTTCGGCGAAACCTTGAAGTTCCTTTGCCCTGCAACGTTGACTTCTTTGCATCTTTGCCTCAGCACAGCCAACTTGTCAGCAGACTCATCACATTCACGTCGCCCGCTTTGACGGCCCTCTTCGATCTTGCTGCCGACTTGGGTCGCTTCAAGGACGTTTTCTCCGCGGAAGCCTCGCCCCTTGGAGCAGTAGGACTGATGACGGCCGTCGAATCTCTCCCCCTTTCCCTCTCTCAACAGAGCCTAGTCAAGATGGAAGATCGCAAGAGACCCTCGCCTTATGATTCCATCGACTCTGCTCCTCCTCTCAAGCGACAAGCCACCCAGGCGAATGGCGCGTCCAAAGCCCACAAGGACGATGACATGCCGTGGAAAGATGACCTCGAAGTGAGCCCAATCCCACTCCTGCGCCCTGTTTGTCCCGGATCACGCTGACGCGAGCCTACGGTGAACAGAGATTCCAGAAAGACGCCATTCTCCGGCAGATGCAAGAATACAAGAGAGAAAAGAACACGCTGGAGGGTCAAGTAAAAGAGATGCGCAAAAAGGCTCGATATCACGACGATCATCTCCGTGTCATTGACTCGTGGTTCCAACAGGTCATTGACGAGGTCAGAGTCATTGCCAAAGGGGACGACGATGTGGACATGGATGCCGAATCATTGCCCTCTTCCTTGCTCTTCGCGGACCAAGACCAGTTTGAAGAACATCTCCGCAGCCGCTCAAGGCAAATCAAAACAGTTATATCAAGGTTATTTGGCTCTACCAGACCCTCCTCTCCCGATGTAGCAGAGTTACAATCGCAGATAGCAAAGTTACTCGCCGCCGAAAAGGGTCACGTGGCTGAGCTCCAAAAATTACAGTCGGAAAAGGAGGAGCTCGAGCATCAGCTAGAGAATGCCTCTCTCCGTTATATGACCGCTGAGCGCAAAATTGACAGAGCGAAAAGTGTAACTGTTGCCAAGCTCGAAAAACAGGCGCTTTTAGGCGCAACAAAACCCTCAGAAGATGGCGGCTCTGTCAAGCGGGAAGACAGTCAAGTCAATGGCACCTCCGACAACTCCGAAGAGCTGGCCGATCTGGAACAACAGTTGAACAAGGCTGCAGCCGTTTCGGAAAAGCAGAAAGAGCAACTCGAGAAGTTGGAAGAGGAGAATGCGGCATTGACGAAGCAGTTGACCGAATTGCAAGCGAAGTCGGTAGTTTTAACAGATGAAGACTATGCAAAAACGGAACTGTTCAAGCAGTTGAAGTCACAGCATGAGGACGTCATTAAAAGAATCAACAACCTTGAGGCCGCCAATACCGAGTTGGGGGAAGAAGCTACAAAATTGCGGTCGGAGAGGACAACATATCAGCTTCAGCTGGAGAATGAGCAGCGAGCGGCCATTGCCGAGAAAGATTCCCTACTGGCGGCATCGGAGGCTAATCTGGCGCGGATACGGCACAATCGAGACGAATTGCTAGCAGATCAGGCGGTGAAACAGTCCTCGCTCGACCAGAATCATGAGGCTGTCAAGAAGATCACAGAACTGGCCTCCGCCCAAGAGGATCGCATTCGAGCATTGGAATCCGAAACTGAGCGGCTGACTGCTCAGTCAGGTGGTATGGCTGTGGACAATGCGCTATTGGATGCCCTAAGCCTTGAAGATCTGCGGGCCAGGTATCATGAACTCGATCGAAAGTACAACATCTTGAATGGGGAACTGGCGTCTATGTCCACGGCATTTCAAAAGACCTCGAAGATCGCAAGCCAGAAAATCTCGGAGTTCGCCGCTATGGAGGACAAAGTCCTGAAGCTCTCGATGGATAAGACCAAAGCTGATCAAAAATTCTTTGCCGCCATGAAGAGCAAGGAGACCCAAGCCGGGGAAATTCGGACATTGCGGCTACACAACGCTAAGTCTTCAGAAGTGATTTCAGCCTTGAAGGAGGCAGAAGCCTCCGCGCGCGCCCTACTGGCTACGCTGGAAAAGCAAGTATCTGAGATGAAAGACGCGTTAAGCCACAAAACAAACGACCATCGAGCTATTCAACAGCAAAATATCACTCATACCCTGGAAATCGCTCGTCTCAACACCCAAGTCACCGAACTGAAAAATCAATCCACCGCCAAAGATGCGAAATTATCGTCTACCTCTTCCGCCTGCCGCGTGGCCGAACTTGAAGTGGAGGAACTCAAGTCCACGCTGAAAGACACGCGCCGCCAGCTGGAAAGCTGGAAATCCAAATCCGGTCAGTCAGAGCAGTATGAAATGCTGAGGACGATCGCCTACTGCAACGTCTGCAAGCGAAACTTGAAAAATACCGTCATCAAAACTTGTGGCCATACATTCTGCGAGGATTGCGTGGCGGAGAGATTGACGTTGAGGGCAAGGAAGTGTCCGAATTGCAACAGGGCGTTTGGCGCAAGTGATCACATGCGCATTACGCTGTGAGAGATTGGCATGACTGCTCGGCTGGCTTAGCTACCTGGATGACCCGCCCCTCGTGTGTACGACTACTTGGAATTACCATATTAACATCCCCCAAGCGGCCGCCAACCACGACTTCCTTGGCCTGTAAGTATCATCAAACTCGGCTCAAGTGTTGGAAATCTTGTGATTGAGCGGAAAAGGCCCGAACGTGTGATGTGAACGGCGGGAAGATGGCGAAATACCACACGCCACCGACCAAGATCCTTTACTGGCCAGTCGAACAATCCGCGACGAATGCGGCCTTCATATGATATCACTGGCTCGCACACGAGTGCGGCGTGGCCGGAAGCCGGACGACGTGATGGAAGGTCGAGTTGAGCTAGACCCATGTGGAGTGCTGTAATGTCGAACAATTACACACTAACAAAGATGAAATTCAAACACGAGACCAGAAGTCATTTCTTCTTCTTCTTCTGCTCTCTTGCGAATCCGGCTCCCATTTCTCAGAGCGCACTATTCAGCGCAAGAACTGAGCCGAGTATAGCGAGGAGCGATGACCCAGGCATAGCAAAGGCATGCTGCTCAGCCCGGCTGTTCTCGTCGAGTCGTCGGTCTGACGCTCCTCCTCTCTAGCATCTTCGTCGCCTTTTTCAAGCAATTCGGCGACCCCTCTCCTAGCGATTGCTCAATGGCTTGCAGGGTTGCACGTGGAGGTGCCCATCCCTCAAAAGACAAACAAAAGGCCCTTGTCGAGCAAACCAGTGTTGTGATGATCTTGTGGTGTCCGCGTCTCGGTGAAGTAGTGGCAGCCACAGGGGCGCAAACAGTACGTGTCCGTCGCAATAGAGGCCGGACGCCCGGTCCTATTCACTCATCCAACTCCATCTGACTTTCCAGCTTGACATGTGCGTCTCTACTGGCGTCTTCGTCCTTCTTTTGCCCTTCTATGGGTTCTCCGTCTGCTGTTTCGTCTTCGCCTTCGCCTTCTCTCTCCTCTTCTTCCTCTCCTTGCTCGGCGCCTTCATCCTCTTTGACGCCCTCATCCTGTTCGTCTCCCTCCTCGTCATCTTCCTTCTCCTCAAACCCTTCCATCGGCGGGAAGCTCAAGTGCTTCCAGTCCTCGATCTCCTCGATGATGCTCTTGAGCCGGTCGCGGATGCTCTCGACGGCGAAACTGCCCAGGAGTAATCGAACCGGCGGGTACCGACAGTGGCCGAGTTGCCAGACCAGTTCGGCGGCTTTGACCACCGAGGTGGGCTGGTTGGAGCCCATCCATTGTAGCGTGCGTTGCGTGTGTGCTGCTGGAGAATCTTTGGTCGAGTACGGCGAGGATGGCCGCGCGACTTTAAAGTGGCCGAAGAGAGGAAGGTCCGTTTGCTTGGGAGGCTGCTGCTGGGGCTGAGTCTGCCCTGGTCCCTGGCTCTTCCCATTGGTCGGTGCGCCCGCGGCATTGGCGGTGGAGGTATTGGTTTGCGACACCGATTGTTGCGGCGGCGGCCGCGGCGGTAAATTAGTATTGTCGTCTCGTCTCAAGTGACCAGGCTCTACTAGCGTGAGGTTGATGTTGAATGGTGCGACTTCGTAGAGCATGCTCTCGATCAGCCCTTCCACGGCGTATTTGGACGCGCAGTACGGTCCCAGGCCCGGGACGCCGAGTGCGCCGCTCGTTGAGCTGAAAATGAGATATCTTCCACTTTGTCGTTTCCGAAAGTAGGGCAACGACAATTGAATAATGTTCAATGTGCCCATGAAGTTGGTTTCGAACTGATTCCGGGTCTCGTGCTCGTCTTGGTCTTCACAGGCGCCAATCACGCCGTAGCCCGAACAGTTGGCGATGATGTCGATGCGGCCGAACTGCTGCATCGTCTTCTCTATCGTCGAGGAGACGCTGGACCGGATGCGCACGTCGCATAACAAGCCTAGATAGCGGTTCCTGTCTTCGTGCCACTTTTCCATGCTCGACGGCGCGTCCTGGTAAGATTGGCCTACCGCAGCGACTATGTCGTCGTGTGCCAGAGCGGCCTTGGTCACAGACCGGCCCATGTGCCCTGTTGCGCCGAATATGAGCCATACTTTCTGCTGAGCCGGATTTGAGGGGGAAGGCGGATCAGTAGTGTATGGTAAGGATAGTTTGCTGAGATCTGTGTTTGAGACATGAGGAGAGCGGTGTGCTGCTGGAGACAGAGGGCTGTCAAACGAGGTCCTATGCTTAGTTTCTGTCATCTTGACAGAAGGCCTGACGATACCTCGAAACTCCGGTACGAGTACCTGAGTTGGTCGATATGGCTGCCAGACAAGGCTGAGAGGTGGCCCATCCCTTTTCAGCCTTCCCGGGAGGACATTGGGCGATTTGCTGGTTTCCGTCTCAAACGAGTTACGCCAATTCGCCGCCTGCCCAGTTACATGCCCCGTTGATTGCTTTTGACCAGACAATGGCACAAGTCGAGGAGGGAGAGCGTCCTGGAGGCCGGCAATTCCAGGTTGGATCGGCTCAGTCAGCCACCAGTAGGGGGTTCGGATCAGGATGAAGACGCCCCCTTGACCTCCATTGAATAGAGCCGAATATCAAGCTTGTGGGACTATTAGGCACCAAATGCTTACTCTCGACGTCAGATATCAGGAAGATTTCCGACGCCTCCTTTAATCAGAGGACCGAGATTCGGGCCAAGTGCAAGCAGCTCGGTATTGTCTACCGTGATCGAAGTGTGCCTGGTATTGTGGGTCCTGTTGTCCTGATAGAGGCAGTGAGGACGCAATGGAAAGCAGAGACAGGACGCCTTGGCTGACAATATTGCGTCTGATCAGCCAACTGGTGAGCTTATGATGTAGTGGGGGAGTGGTGCTTTGGTCGTCAGTCTTCAATCTTCAAAGGCGATCGCGTTGAGGGCACGGATTCCAGCTGAATATGCCTTCCATGTCGCCTCGTTGCGGATTAGAGAGGCGTACGAGTAATGTGAAGGATTTTTAACCACACACCGTGGTTGGACTGGATTGATTGCGTGGAGGCAAGTGACCCTTGTCGAGCAGTGGAGACCAGCGACGGTTCAAGCCATTGTGGGGGAGAACGGACAATGTCCAATTGCGCAAGCGGCGCCTATGAACGATGGTGGTGTGCGGCGATTTGTATCTGACCAAGGGCAAAAGAATTTCTCTCAACGTGCACATCGCCGTTGAAAGTATAGCAATTATCACCGAGTACTGAAGTCTCGTCGAAACCTCTGCTGCTGCTTCCTTGGATCGACACTCACACAACTGCCATCTTCACCTGCACCACTCGGACATTACCACCGATCACAATGAAGGCATACTGGTTTGACAACCGAGAGGTACACTAAACCCTCCCACTCTCTAGATTGATCACCCCACTCATTTCTCTGCTCAGGGCGACCAGCGTCTGACGCATGACTCCGGCCGCGAAGTCGACGCCTCCTACCTTGCGAAGCTCGGCGTCCTGTACCACCACTGCCCCGAACTGTCTGCGGTTGACGCCATCGCGAAAGACCGACACTACAAGAATCGTGATGAGATCACCGTGTCTCCCCAAGCCATGGGTAACGTGTACGAGGACAAGGTGAAAATGTTCTTCCATGAGCATCTACATGAAGATGAAGAGATTCGATACATTCGCGACGGGGCGGGATATTTTGATGTCCGATCAGAGGGCGATGACTGGGTGAGAATCCGGCTGGAGAAGGATGATTTGATCATTCTGCCCGCAGGCATTTACCACCGGTTTACAACGGACGAGAACAATGTGAGTTGGAAAAGACGACAAGGCAGAACGTGTACTGACTTGCGAACCAGTATATCAAGGCAATGCGCTTGTTTCAGGACGAGCCCAAATGGACCCCACTGAACCGGGGCTCTGAGACCGACACAAATCAGCACCGCAAGAGCTACTTGCAATCTCGGACCGTCACACCGGTAGCATGAATTCTTTCTCGAGGGTGTTCTTCGAAGAGCCACATCCAATGTTCAAGTACACTTCGGCGTGACATTCCAACCAAACGGAGTGCATCCTCGTGCAGAATCTGATCAATCTTATGAATGAGATGTCGTCAAATACTTCCACGCCTGCTTGTTCTGAGTCCTGTATACGGATTGCTACCGAGGTTCAAGAGTGTTCCGTGCTGAAAGGTTCGCATACAAGAGGCAAAGCTTCGAAGTGTTCTGCGTGATGGAACCAGCCCTGTAAGGCTGACGCTGGATTGCATACTACCCACTTGTGTTCGTAGGAGTGCCATGTGTAAACATGCTTGAACATTGTACCTCAGCTTGAGGTGATCAATCCGCCAGGCAGAGGGGGAGATACACCATCATGACACCCTGCGATTGAGAGGTGCCAAAGCGGTCTATCAGAATATCCCAGTAGCGGTCACGTTGGCTTCACTCACTTGCGTCGTGAATGCTTTTGGTGATCCTGCCCATGAGCTGGACGTCAATTAGAGGGTCAACTTTACTTCGTATCTCAGCTACAGAAACGTGCTACTACAGCAGGACCACAGTACGGTACGTGGTGCCGAGATAGCTCTTATCAAATGGCGTTAATTAGATCGCGTGAATAAGTACTACACAGTACCTAGTGTTTGAATCTGCACACTGGATCGCAATGAGCGGTTTAGTAACCCTACCGCCTACCTAGCGCTGATCGCTCACGGTGCTTTTCCTCGGCCGAGTTGAGCCGGACGACTCTCGATACGCGACGAGGCCTCGCTAATAGCGCTAATGGACCAACTTTACCTCATGCCTACCACGCGACCACGGTGAGTAAAGCAAGGCCAACCCCCAAAGCCAAGCCACACCAATCGAAGCGAAGGTGCCTTTCTCGACCTCATCCAAGATGGTTCTCTCCGCGCTGACACATCCTTTGCCGGAATTTCTTCGCCTGCTTGCCTGTAAAGGTGCTTGATATCAACACTACACATCCTAAACTATCAGGTGGACCGGCGATTGAGCGCCTCGAGCGCACGAACGAATATACCTATAGGTCCCCGACAAGAGACGCGGCATTCCCAGAACACCGCGCCTGTGGATGATCACTCCGCCAGGATGGCGTGCAACGCCCAAACAGGCCGATTTATGTTTGTCGAGTACTCGAAGCCGGTAGAACCAGCCAAAGGACAGAAGAAGCGACGGGGAGGCCCGAGCGAGGTCCGCGCGGTACGTACCTCCGCGCTTACAATGATCCAATCTTTCCACCCAGTGCACCAATGTGGCCAAGATTGATCTGGAACCTCTCCGGCTCCTACGTCTGACAAAGAGAACAGCACATCACGAAAAACTACCACCGAACCCTGCGTGTCAAACGCCTGGAATCGCTGAAGCAAGGCGAAGTGCCTGCCTCCTTTGGGAGCGAGCACAAATTACTCCAACGCCAGGACTCGTCGGAGGGGAACGACGATGACGAATATCTGGACTCGGAGGTCATCAACCAAGCTCCCTGGTCGATGGGCGATGTTAACCCGACGATATCACCGTCGGCGCCAAGGCCAGCGTGGACAAAGCCATCCCCTAGCACGAGCGCGACCACGACCACTACGTCCTGGTCGTCAGAAGCCTCACCCCGATCCTCGACGAACGAAGATCTCCCCTTCCGGCTGAACACCTCGTTTGGCCTGCAAACCGTTCTAGGCCAGGGACGATTTGATCCATTTGACGTCCTGCCCGTGCAGGGGGTGCCAATGTTTGTGCATCAAGTTCTCGATCACGTACGTGTGCGCCTGACTATCTCGGGATCAAGCACCTCCAACTCTGCCTTCCCCACCCCTGTCATTGCCTTCGCTCTTTCCTTCCTGCTTGCTTTCTTCTCATCATCACGTCTTGTGTAGGCGCTCGTCCACTCATGGCCGAACACGGTCCCTGTGAAACGGTCTCTCGCGCCGATGAACCCCGTCAAGAGCAGCTGGCTGAAACTCGCCATGGAGCATCCTGTGGCCTTCCATGCTTTTCTCTGTAAGTAACGAGCATCGGTCTGAGAGTTCTCACATCCACTCCAGCGCCAACCCGGAGATGTATGTCGGCGGCACGATATCAAGTGCTGTGGCTAGTCGCAGAGCTGAACTTCACCAACACCCCTGTCCGCTGATCTAATCCCTGATCTACTTTCCTCATCGCGCCATTTCGTCTTTACTCTCCCTTCTCTCTCCTTCTAAACACAGAGGGCCGGTTGACACCTCAGCGGTGCGAACCGGCTTCCCTTTACCCTTCCTTACAAGATCTGACCCCACCTAACTTTACACACTAATTCCAGACGCCACATCGTTTCACATCCTCTGCGCCCACCAAGGCCAGGAGATCGACGACTCGGCCGCACTCCTCCGCCTGTCCCACAAAGTCGAGACCATCAAACTCGTCAACGAACAGCTGCAGAATCTGAGCCTCGTGCCTAAACAAAAGGCCAGCGGCAGCGAAGATGAGGGAGGCAATAAACCCCCTTCCAAGTCGGTTGGGACGGGGACAGGGACAGGGCCAACCGATGCGTTGATCATGGCTGTCACGATTCTGAGTATCCACAGTCAGAGGGACGAGGTAAGAGATTAATGACTGAATGAATTCTCTCGAAAGTTCGAACGAAAGGAAGGCTTTGCGGCCAATTTATCAGCAAGACCGGGTGTTTGGTTATCCTATGGTATGATATGGCATGGATGGATCGCTGACTTTGCGGGTGGTGGTAGTCTGTCTATGCCAAGGTTCACGCGCAGTCACCGCTCGCGAGACTCAATCATCTCGATATTTACGGCTCCATGATAAACGACGAAAAGCACATCCAAGGGATAAGGCTTCTGGTCGGTCAGAAGGGCGGGCTGGATGCAATCGAATGCTACGGCATGGCTGACACGATGCAGTTGTATGTTCGCTTTCTTTGCTTGAAGCTGCGAGTTCAGGCTAACATGTGTTGGAGATGCGATCTCTATTTCGCCTCCAAATACTCATGCAGACCGACTTATGCGTGGCGCAAGCCCGTCAAGTCCCCTGTCATGGGGGGGAAACACGTGCTCGATCCAGCCGCCATCGAGTTGGACTCAAACCTCGGATCCGGCTTCCGCTACCTGCGTCACACATACACTGGTCAACAGCTGCTCGATGTACTGGATGCATATTCCGAGATCACCGTGGCACTGGATCATCATGTACGTGGTGGTCCGACAGCGCCGGAACTGGTCGATCTGATGGAGGTGCGCAACTGCACGCAGCATCGCCTGTTGTCTCAGCTGCCGAACCCGGTGGACCTCTCAAATTCAGAACTGTGTCTTCATCAGGCGGTGCGCTTGGCGAGCCTGATATTCAGTGACATGGTCATCTTTCCGCTACCACCGACACAAGGAGTGAAACCGAGGCTTGCTCTGATGTTACGACAGACCCTGGAGACGTGTCATCTACACCGGTCTTGGGAACTGCACAATCAGGTGTTGTTGTGGGCCCTCACTCTTGGCGCCATCGCCGCAAGTTACACGGCACAGAGACCCTGGTATATCGGCCAGCTCCTGCAAGAAACGTCCGTCATGCAGATTGAGGACTGCTCGGTACTGGAAGCAATATGCTCCAGATTCTTGTGGTGGGAGCCAATTTGCAGCGAACCGCTGCACTGGGTGTGGAACGAGCTGATTTCACCAAATCGACGTGACTTGACTGCGGACAGAGGGGAGCCTTCTACAGGCTCGAGTCTGGAGGCAGCAAGAAACCGAGCTGCAAGCCCTAAACACCTAACATCTCGATCTGCTGGTCGTTGGCCGCCCGAGGATGGACGTTCACCGTCTAATCAAGCCGGCAAAGCCCCAGGCATAACCCGAACTGCTTGAGGTATAGGAACATCGCCTTCCTGTTCGATTACTTGACTGTTGGAACGCTGATGGCGCCATCGGAGGCCTCTAATCAGTTTTTCGGCCTCCTCTTGTGAAGGGAAGTTGTCATTCGAAGCCACATCTTTACGATGGTCGAAAGATGAGGACGATTGATGCTCGTCCTGGGTAGGAGGTCTGTCGTCATCCTGCCCTTCTCTCAATCTGGTCTTACCCATGCGTGGCCAGAGACCTGGTAGAGGCACCACTTGAACCCTCGGTTCGACGACACGTTCCTCAAACCAAGCCTGAGTACGTGCTTCCACAAGCTGGGCTATTTTGGGGACATCTTGCAACCGGGTGCGAGAGCCGATCAAGCTCCTGACGGAGAGATCGAGTCGATAGTCGGGAAGAAAGGAGAAGGCGAGACTAGTTTTAGGCTTACCCGAAGTAGATTGTTTCGTGTCTGAGGGATCGTCCTCAGTGGCAGGAACGAAGCTAATGGAAAGGGTTCCAGAGAACCTCACGACGGAAACCGCAAGTGCAACCGGCAGGACAGCAGAGAAGGGTTTGGGGTAGTTGAGGATCAGGGCAGTCTCAATGGCCAGCGTCAGGTTGTCGTCGGAAAGATCGACATCCATCAAGGCCTGCAATCTACCTCCTGTAGCACCCGAGAGCTCGTCATCCAGGGAAATGACCCGGACGTTGCTGAAGATGGGGAACTCCTCGCCCATGGAGATCTCTGTGATCTTGATCTTGTCGATATAGGACGGTCTCTTGGCTGGGTCGTTGATGGCCGCCTCCAAACTCGCCAGGATGGTGGGTGTACCACCTCCCGAGCCATCCCGCAGGTTGTACGCCGTCTGGCGGTACTGGGCTATCGTCTGGGCCAGCAGCACATTAAACCAATCCAGACTCTCGGGCTGATGTGTGGAGTGATTGTTCTTGCCATGCCCACCTCGGCTCGGGATCTGATAATATGTCCTCCGCAGGATCGAGGCAATGTCGGTCGCATTTGTGGGTATGGGCCGAATGACGTTCGAGGCACTGGCCTTGGTCCGCAACGACTGCGGGACCGAGCTTTTGGACGACGCGATCCCATGCAGCGAGGTCGTCCGCATGTGCTTCGTCGGCTGCGTCCGCCGCGAGGTTCGGGAGGGTGGGGAAGGCGCTTCGCCAAAGATGAAGAACTTGATGAAGCAGCCGAGGAAGATGACGACGGAGAGTTGACCTAGCAGGAGACCTTGGGTGAAGGTGAGAGACATGGTGAGAAGGAGAAGGAGGCGCCGAAATCCATTCCTAACCCTAGTCGGACCCTGCTCGCAGCTGGCAAGCACGGCTGTACACAGTATGTCAGTTGTAATGAGGATTCCCGCGAGTGGGATGAGCTCCGCTTCGAGATACTGCTATGTGGGCGTACTGGTTCGTCGGAGGAATTGTACGGTGGAGTGCGGAGGCTTAGACAATGTTCCCAAGATAAGAATTCGAACTCTTGTAGCAATTACACAGCAGTTTCCTTGTCAAGCAACTTCGAGACCCTTGGTACTTGGTGGCCATGCCTCGCTCTGTCGACGCGACGCCCAGTATCGCCTCGCACTCTGGTCCATGGCAAGAGACTGGTCCTCAACAAGGCGAGACGAACCCGCTCAATCCCCTAGTGGTATCAACCACTGAACAAACCCAGTGGTGCCCACCCTGTGCCAGGAGTACTATTTTCATCTGCGGCCGCCTGCGCTCCTCGCGGCGAATCCGTAGAAATCGATAGCTCGCGAATAGGTCAGATTCAAAGAGCCTTGCTTGCGTTACAGAACAGGTGGCATTGATCACGTTCGCAGGAAACGTTCTTCATAGTTGAGATCATCTCGCACGACCCATAGGCCAGATTCACGTACTTCGTTGACCATCAGACTCAGCAACGACGTTGCGCGGCTTCCGGGGACTCTGAAACACACCTGGAAGCCGTAACAGAAGTGCGATGCAGTTCGGATGGGCCCTCCTCCTTGACGGTCACATGCCTTCAGTATGTCACGCTCACCAGCCATATGCTACCTCATCGTGCGAAGACCAGCACAAAGGCGAGAGCGAAGCCTCAACTTGAATGGCTCTTACAGAATTAAGCGTGCATCAAGGGGAGAACCGAGACCGAGTATCATCACAGTTCTGTTCGCATTCAAATCAGACAGACCCGACCTGTTTGCACATCCCCAGTGACCAACATCACCCTTCCACCGACTTCAAGCCCACATCATCTGTTGACATCTTGGCCGCATTGAACCTGTCGGACGTAGGCAGCTCGATATGCACATTATTCACCGTCGCAATGCCCATCGCCACCTCCTCATCGGCCTGCAACTCCAACACATGACCGCCGATCTTGCGTTCCCCATCGATGAAATGCATGTGCTCGCCCGCAACGAAGAACCCCTGCCACGCCGCAGGCGAGCGGAAGCCCACGATCGTCCCCTCCACATCGCGATACTCGGCGACAAACTGCTTCTTTCCCAGCTCGCTCAGCGGCTGCCCGTCGTACTCCTGGCCCTTGACGGTCCGACACTTCAGCCGCGAGAACCGGCCCTCGACCCGATACGACATGAAGAGGTTGCTCGCGTGGTCGTTGAACCGGTCCAACACGGCGTCAATAGACTCCTTGTTCTCCAGCTTCACGGTCACGGTCTGTTGGGAGCGGAAGTGTGTGGCTGCCGCGTACGGGATCTGGTCGTCCGGCTCGGCGACCCGAATCTTGCCCTCGGCTTGGAGTTGGTAGACTGTGCCGTCGAGCAGGAGGAGCTCGCCGTCCATGCGGACGAAGGTGCCGAGGCCCTGGTTTCCTTTCTCGATGAGTTGCGAAACGGTGATGCCCGAGTCGGAGACGCCGGACATCAGAGCGTTGACGAGGCTGTATTGGTAGATTTCGTTGATGGCCATGCTTGGCAGGTGTAGTTGTAAAGGTGAGACGGGGTTGAAGCTGGAGAGTGTCTAGTCGTGGTATCTACAGTACTTTCGCGAGCTCGCCCGTTCTTGAGTAGGTAGTGGTTCGTTCAGACGCGCGTCTCCTTCTGTTGTTGAACCGTCGACGGCTTTCTCTTCTAAAGACCTCAATTGACGTCGCGCAACTCGGTGCCAAGTGGGGGACCTCGTCTCCTCGGGCCTGGTCAATCAACTCATTCCACAGGCATGGACAGGCTTGCATGCGTGCGGAAAGCAAGGCCGAATCGAGAGTATTGACGGATGAGGTGAATGATATCCAGCCGATTACATCATCGCGACATGCATCCATGTCACGTACCTGTCACGTACCCGCGAACCCGCCTCATATCCCAATGGCATTGGGCCTGGCCGAGTACATAACGGACCATGACCCTCATCCCGGGCGGAGGATAAAAAGCTTTCTTCATACAGACTTCTCTAGACTGCTTGCTTACTTTACTATATTCTCAAAAGTCCTTCCTTTCTTTCCTTGTCTGCCTCCCGCCCTCCTTGAATCTCTTCCTGCCCATCAAAATGAGCGAAGACACATCCACAGCCAAAGACGCAGAAACAGTCGCCCAGATCATCGTCAACAGCCTGTACAATGCGGGCGTGCGCGTGGTGTTCGGCGTACCCGGCGCCAAAATCGACGCCATCTTCGACTGCCTCATGGACCACCCGGAGATCAAGCTGATCGTGGCGCGCCACGAACAAAACGCCGCCTTCATGGCCGCCGCAGTGGGCCGCATCACCGGCGTTCCGGGTGTCTGCATCGGCACCAGCGGGCCCGGGGCGTCGAATCTGGCCACTGGCCTCGTCACCGCCACGACGGAGAACGACCCCGTGGTGGCCCTCGTGGGCTCCGTGCCCCGCCACATGAACCTGAAGAGGACGCACCAGAGCATGCGCGCCCTGGACATCCTCGGCCCGACCGCCAAGACCGCCGTGGGCATCGACGTCGAGGACCAAGCCGCCGAGGTTGTGTTGAACGCGTTCCGTTCGGCCAGCACGTCGCCCAAAGGGGCCAACGTCATCTCCATCCCCCAGGACGTCGCGAGGGGGAAGTCCAAGGTCCTGGCGTTCCCGTCCCACGCGTTCACTCCGCCACGGTACGGCCCCGCAGCGCCCGAAACGCTCGACCAGGTGGTCGAAATGATCGAGCAGGCCAAGTTACCGGTGCTGTTCCTCGGCATGCGCGCCAGCAGTCCGCGGGTCGTGGAGGCGGTGCGCGCCTTGCTGGGCCGATTCCCCCTGCCGACGATCGAGACGTTCCAGGCCGCGGGCGCGGTGCCCAAGGAGTTGGTCCACCTGTTCTACGGCCGCGTGGGCCTCTTCCGCAATCAGGTCGGCGACAAGCTGCTGGCCAAGTCGGACCTCGTGCTCGCGGTCGGGTATGACCCCGTCGAGTACGACGCCAACGCCTGGAATCCCGCGGGCAGCCGCAAGGTCGTCCACATCGACTACACGGCCTGCGACTACGGGACGTACTACCACCCGGTGGCCGAGCTGGTGGGGTCCGTGGTCGAGAACGTCAAATACCTGACAGGGAAGATGACGAGGATATCGGAGCCATCCATCTCGGAGCTCTGCCGCGGCCTGACGCAGGAGTACACCCAGTGGCAGGACCGGCCGGAGGTGCACCGCTCGGAGGGCCTCGTGCACCCTTTGCACTTTATCAGGGCGCTGCAGGGGATGGTCTCCCAGGACACGACGGTGTGTGTCGACGTGGGGAGCGTCTACATTTACTTTATGCGGTATTTCTTTGCGTACGAGCCGCGAAGGTTACTTTGGTGAGTGCGGCGGGCGAGCAAGCCAGCGAGCCCACTAGTCTTTACACCCTTTCCCTCTTCCTTCACCAATTTACATCCGTTTTCTGCTATCTAGCTGACTGAGGTAGCTCCGACGGCCAACAAACCCTCGGCGTAGCCCTCCCCTGGGCCATCGCGGCCTCTTTGACGCAGTCCCCGCCGTGTTCCGAAAAAGTCATCTCGATAAGCGGCGACGGCGGCTTCATGTTCTCCTCGCAAGAGTTGTCCACGGCGGTCCCCCAGCACTGCAACATCACGCACTTCATCTGGAACGACGAGGCCTACAACATGGTCGAGTTCCAGGAGGTCATGAAGTACGGGCGTGCCAGCGGCGTGAAGCTGGGCGGCGTCGACTTCGTGGCGCTCGCGCAGAGTTTCGGGGCCCGCGGGTTTCGGATCGCGGACTCGAGTGAGGTCGAGAGCGTGATCCGCGAGGCCCTGGATTATCAAGGGGTCAGCCTGGTGGATGTACGCATCGATTATAAGGGGAATAAGGACCTCGCGGGGAATTTGATCGAGGATGAGTGGAATTGATCATCAGGGGTGGGTGGGTGCTACTGTGGTTGGAAGCATGGGGCATTATTAGGAACGGGCATGGCAGTGGAAAAAAGGGGAACGCCGGGCTTTCAAGGACTCGGCTCCAGCAGGAGGCGAGATGCGTATGGTACTCCGCTTGCCTGGCAGCCTGGAATGTGTATGGCAGACACGGGATGATGGGATGTGGTGTGACATGACAAGTCATGACATGACCAATTATTACAGGACGACACAGGACGACACAGGTTCAGGAGGAGTGAGCGGCCTGTCCATTGAAAGAGAGGTAAAAGACCAGTAAGACTGTGCTGTTTACTATGCGGTATTCGTATATTGGTGTTTTGCCTACTGTTCCGCACAGAGCTAAGTCGTCTTGAACCTTCCTCAACCGTCAGTCTGCGGTGCGAGCGATGGTACCACCACACCATACTTTCCATGTGCGTGTAGTATGCGTTCATCCCTGCTCAGCTCAGATCGGCGTGTTGGTTGAGCAATGGATCATGGTGAGGGAAGCTTTGAGGTAGGCTCTTGTACGAATACCAGTTGCAGAACTGAACAAGACGGAATCGAGACTGAAGCTAGGTATTTGTTGATAGAATGCCTTCCTGTTGTTGCATTTTCTGGAGATACTAAAATATTCGACGCCTAGAAGTACTCGTAACAGACCTCTGCCGACCAAATCGACAGTGGACACCCAGTCAAACCACCTTGCTCACAATCCATACATAAAACGTCACACTGTCGGCGCTGGAGGCTCTCAAGACCAGCTCGTCAAACATCCCACAACAGCTCGTCCTCTCTCACATTGCCGAATGCCGCCAAAATTGCGTCCTTGGTGTCATCGACGAGCTTGCGTTCATGCTCCTTCCACACTGCAAGCTTCCCGAACCGCCTGCCCTTAACAATGCGGTCCGCTGCGTTCAGCAGCTCGTTGGCGAAGCAAATGCAGTAATCACCCTTGCCAAGATGCTCTTCCTGATGCATTCTGTCCGATATTGTCGAGACCACCTGCACACATCTTTCGAACATCGCAAAGAGGTTCACCCGAGCCTTAGGCAACACCTTCCCAGAGCCGGCAAACAGCCCTTGGGTTGTCATAGCCAGAGGCAAAAGTCTCTGCTTCTCCAGCTGAGCGCTCGAGGTTGGCACCTCCAGGGTTGAAATGTCTCCAGATCTGTTCTTTCGCATGTTCTGTACCTTCGCATACGAGTCGTTGATCTCGTTCCACTGAGCGTCGCTGATGTGGTACTCTTGCTGTTTAATGTTGAAGAGTAAGCAGCCGACTGGATCCTTCTGACGATGGTCCGGGATGCCGATGCCCGCGGCCATCTTTGCCGCATGGGCTGGAATGGCAAGACACCAGTTGTCGTGCGTGGTTTTTCCTTTGTGATTCTTTCTGAATTTTAGCCTGGCGCCAACGTACCGTGCCCAACAAGCGTGAAAATTGCTCTTTGGTAGGTTGCCGCCAGGAAATAATGTTTCCCGGTACTGGCTGCCGATTTTGTCGAGTAGAGGCAAGTTTTCAAGCCCGCCCAACTTGGTAAGAGCATTGTAGGAGTGCACAATCGCGCCCACATAGTGCCGGTACTTGAGTAGGTAATGTCCATAGTAGTTGCAGAGGTCGAGGATCTCGAGGACATGATTCCCAGCGACCCATGGTGACTGGAAGACAAGGTCCCAACAGTTGTGTCTCGCATAGCATTGGAGGTCGAGCGCCATGCTCTGCAGGTGCCATCCAAGCGTCTGAGAGCAGCGGCACGGAAAGCAGGTTTGATCTTGCAGTAGTGCTGTAACCTGGCAACAAGCCTGCTGTGCGAGTTTCAATGCGATTATGCGGTTCTTTGGAACCATACTCGGCTGCTTGACATGATGCAGGTAGACTCTGTAACTCTGGGTCAACAGATTCAACCCAAGAACAGCGGCCCAAGACTCCCTGTTATTCTCTGCATGCGTAACGAGGTCCGCCGCCACGTCCGAGTAGACAGGCGTACCCTTTAGGATTGCATTGTGTGGCATGATCTCGCCAGAAACCCAATGCACAATGTTTTCTATCATGGCAGAGGAGATGAATCGACTTCCACCCGTTCCCTTGATGACTATCGACTGCACCTGGGCGGCAAAATTGTGTCCGCACCTGGCGCACGATGGATGATGCGCGAACAAATCGTCATCTTCGCGGCAGTCGGATAGGTTTCGTTCGATATGCTGAAGACGGCTCAGTAGCGATGTCTTAGTGCCGATGATTTTTTGACTGCGCAGTTCGGCCTCGAATGAGCTGCGAAACGAGCTGCAGACCCTCAAGAACTCCGAAATGCTAAGGTTTTCATCATGCTGAAGCAATTCGTTCACCATCTGCCGGAGCGCCGCCAAAGCAGCATTGGTCATGAACGAAGCCACCACGAACGAGACCGTGCCCTTCCCCGCGGCTGCCCAGTAGCCATCGATTGACGTAGAGATGTCTTGGATGCGCTGATCCGGTTAGCAAAGACTAACTCACATGGTCGGGATATACGTGCCTGTGCTGCAGCCACCACCTCGAGCGCATTACCGAGCTCATCGTCTGCAAGGTGGACGTTGGTATCTCCACGAGCGGCGTGACGCGGAGTCGATGTGTCAGCAGTACAGTGAGTCAGGGTCTCGGAGTCTCTATTGTGGTGCCCTTCGTGGTCAATGGCTTCCTCGACCATCAAGCCCTCGTACTGGTTGACCGCCTGAGGGGCTTGGCTTGTGGGAGATTGTGATCTACGCTTTTCGTTTTTCTGGGTTTTCGGGCCGCCATATCGGGCGCAAAGGTCGCCGTAGATCTTCTCAAGACTGCGCCAAGTCAGCATCTTGTCCGGGTTGGTGCCACTGCGACTCACAGAGTTGTGAAATGTTCATGTCCAACAGTATCGTCGTCGTCGGCAGTCTCGTCAACTTCGGTCCGGTAGTACTTGCTGAGTCTGTTCCTGTCTGCAATGGCTTCTCGGAAGTAGAAGTGGACAATATCAGGGAGTGACTCCAGCTTCATAGAGACTTGCTGCGCCAATGATTCGAGGCCTTTGATGGTCAGGCTTTTGATGGGCTTGTCGGGTGCCGAGCTGCGCTGCTGAAACCAAGTGAGTAGACCACGCGTGCTTCTCTTATAGCGGACGTATGCATCCAACAAATCCGGCGGGAGACCGCTAGAGGTGAGTTTGTGGGAAGCGTTGAGCAGCATCGTGTTCTGGGACGCTCCGGCAGCTCGCACAAGGTTGAAAGGGTCACAAGCAGCATTCGTCGAGGCAGAGGGCAACCTCAATCTTGTTCAAGAACAGGAAATGTTTTCAGGCAGACGGAGTCAAGCAAACATGAGAAAAGAGCGAGGGACGGGAACCTGCGTGGAAAGCACGGCTTGGGACCAAGTTGTCTCTTTTCTCTCCACACGCGGTTTCCATGTGGAAACGTGTTTCATCGGCAGGAAGGAAGGGTCATCATCAAGACGTGGAGATGGCGGGCTTTGGAGCACGCACATGTGCTCATCGTTCACGCAATCGGCAAGAGAAAAAGGCCGTCAGTCACGGTTCGGTGCGGAAAGGGACTTGTCCTCACTGACATCAGTCATTCTTGTCTTGAGGAGGGCGGATGCTATACAGCGGAGAATGAAGTGAGATTGGTCGAAGGATGCGTAGAGATGGGAGAGAAATTTGAGGACCTTAACGTGGTTGAAAACCGTGTTGGTTCACGTGATCTTCACTCCCCCACTCACCTCAATGTTGGTCTAGTATGTACGCTGTATGGGTATGTTGAGAGAGGATCGATTAGAGCAAAGTGGATTTTCTACCCTGTTAAGATGAGCAGGCTATATGACGCTGAGCAGTATGGCGGATGTAGCGGTAGACAAGATAGCTTCAGCAGCCTGCCGTCGCCCTTCTCTGCATATTGTCGCAAGCTCCCTTGCAATCATGGCCCTGAATAGTGATCTTAACCCTCGCGGACTTCCTCGACCATCAACGGGAAAGGCAGGCTCTGCTTGCGTTTGACCGTCTCCTCGAAGGAACTGGCATACCTGTGCTTGGAAGGCTGGGACATTGCTCGGGCACGTGGGGTACTCTTCGTCGGTGTCGTCTGGTGTTCGTATGGCGTGCGGCTGCGCAGATCAGCGGCGGTGTCGCTCGCCTTCACGAAGTTATCCATTATGGTATTGTGCTGAGTTGATGGGTTCACGTGCGAGTGACGTCTGTCGAGAGGGCATCTGGCGTGGTCGACGGTGGAGACAGACCCTATAGAGAAGAGCCTTGATTTTGGTGACAGGGTGAATTGGGCTCTGAGGTCGTCCTCCGCAATGTACATGGACCAGAGCACGTTGCTGTCCTTCCTTGCCCAATCACTGGGTGTGCGCCAAAAACCAGCGGCTTGATTTTGAGATTCTCCGGGAATTGCCGCATCGCTCCTCCGAGTGATGTTTTTCTTCCACATCCGGGACAGGAGCAAGATTGCACTAGCAAGCAGTAGTGTTGAGAGTACCGAGACCACTATGATTGTTGCAATGAGGGGGTCCGAGGGAGCCGAGCGATGAAAGAGTTGCCGAGCCGAAACGCGGGAGGCGTACATATTGAGGACAGAACCGACATTTTGTCTCGGGGCCATTTGCGAATCAGCTAATGAACGTGTGCAAGTTATGCAACTGTGGAAACGAGAGTGTCAGATAAAATGAAGGACAAGTCGTTGAGGCACGCGAAGTTCCAAGGAGTGTCGAAAAAGATTGTGGAATGGATGGACTTGATAAACTTGCTTGCAGTATCGGGGTTATTGGATCGAAGAAATAGTCTTGCGACGCGCTCGATCGCGACGCGACAGCAAGGGCGTGCAGGCGCATACAGGATTGCCGCATTTCCCGGAATGACTTCCTGGGGTCAGGGTTGAATTCCTCCTGCCTCCCCGAAGCCATGCAGCCAGAAGGCTGGGGATCTGGAACCCTTGCTGATCCGAGCGTCCATGACCGTGCGAAGAATCCGCGATGAAGCCACATGGGTCCCCACACGTGGTAGCACCACACAGTATAGTGGTAGTGGTTGTCTCCGCGGAAGCATGCCATGATCTGGAGTCTTTAGTGCGAGCGATGTTGCAGCATGGGATGACTTAGTAGACTCTCCAGCGTAATGTTGTTTTCAGAGGCTGGCCGATGTCTCATGGCCAGATATTGGAAATCCAGCGTGTTAAGGGGCGAGACCGGCGTAGGTGGCTGTGGCACGGCAACGGTTGGTACGTCGTCAACTGGCCTCCTCATAACCTGGTTTCCATTACCGATATAGTCGAACGGGTCATTCAGCTTCACATAGTGCGTCGTGGGCACTGGGGGAGGCTGCGATCTCGATCGTGGCGGGGAGGCCAATGCTGATGGTACATCATACCGAGAGTACGGCGGCGGAGGGTCGAGATGGTCTGGGGGAAGGGCTACAGCAATATTCACGCTTGCTTCCGCAATTGGGAGCTCGGTTTCACGGCCATCAAGTCCCGGCCACCGTATCTGCGCTATCTCGGTCGACCTCGTGCGATGCGTGCGTGGTGCCGGGACTCTCAGATTCCCGACATCCAAACTTGCTCTGACCTCGTGGACTGGTTGAGGCGACACCCTGCCAGGACGCGGAGGAGGTCCTGGAGGGGGTCCCGGCAGAGGTCGATCCAGATAATACCCGTTGACGACTCGGCATTCGGCTCTTTTAACAGGTCGAAATGCTGCGGGGACGTCATCCCAGCGATGGTCTCGGTATTGGTATTGAGTCGCGGTGGTCAGCATCACACTGGATCGAGACTGTCGTAGTTTCGTTCGGACATTGGTGAAAATGCCATCCCCCGGCAAGCTCATCGTGGGACACGGTCTGTCGTTCAATCAGTTGAAGACGGAAGCGAAGTAGGCGACAATGTCCGATGCGCAGTCCTTCTGCTGCTGGCGACGAAGAGGAGAATGTCGAGGTCGGATAGAGACCGTGGATCGCGTGGTCCAGTTGATGGTTGGAGTTTCCCCCTTCAATGCTAGATGAGCCGCATGGGAAAGAGACTTACCAGAAGATATGGCAATCCACCAGAAGCTCCGGCTGGGCGAATTGGACACCGCCCTGTACCACGGGTGGACGCCTCATCTACCAGAAGGAACTAGATCATGGTATTCGCAGTTTGGCGGCATGCCTAAGTGTCGACGACAATAATCGGTTCCTAATCGGCCACCGACGAAAGGTCAGACCTTCACTACATGGAGCATAGGCGGTCGATCAGTCCAGTGATAGTATCGCATGGGGAGCCATTGTGAGTTAGCGGTGAGCCTTCAGAATAATCATAGTAGAAGGGGCCGGCTTGTCGCAGGCGCAGACGCAAGCCTGAGTATGCGATACCGTTTTCGACGTCGTGAAGCAGGCGAGACGGGCCAGAAAAAGCCCGTGTTGGCTGTGCCAGCGGTCTGACCCAGTAGGTAACAGACTTGAGTGCGCCGGTCGATATGCAGTGACTTCGGCTTGTTACGATGGTGAACAACAGCGTTGGGCGAGGATGCTCATATGTCGTGCCCGGCAAGATCATCGTTCATACGGTCAAAGTAGGCGATATCTTACGGCTGGAGAAGCCCGCAGATCGTTAGCATCCCAAAGCGCATCTTTCGCCAAGCCGAGTCTGATGAGCAGTCGACCGCACAAAGCTAGAGCTGACAAGCTTGGGGCCATGTAGGGAGTATGTAAGCCTCCAAGCTACGCCCTCCAAGCCTCCTTCGCCCCATGCCGGCCGCACAAGACCTCCCGAAAACAGCTCGGGGTCGACGTTTCAGCCTTCGACATGCGTTCAAGCGTCAGCACTCCTACACAGTAGAGTCTGCATGTGCCGCTACATCCTTCGTGGGTGGGCAATAGATGCAGCAAACGGCGGCGCTATGCCCGCAGCGGGTTTTGAAACGAGGGAACGACAAGTTCGTTGCCTTGCCCCCTCTTGGCTCGCACTTCGGTGTTCGACTTTCTCCCCTTGGAAAGGGTCCCGGAGAGGGACATATTACTCCTGATTGTTGACAGTGGCATATTTCAGCGTGAGGCAAGCTACTAGTACTCCGTGCAGAGCACTGTTCGTCCTGACTGTGTAGTCGATGCGAGATTACGCTTCGCATCCGTCTTCTTACGTTTTGGGCGACAGGTACGGAGTACTGTGGACGCAGCCCAATGGCAGATCCCTGCCAGCCAGTGAAGCTCGCCTTTCTCCGCAAAATGTCAATGGCAGTGACAATTTGCCGCTGGGCTTCCACATGGCAACCATCTAATTAGCTGCAATGCTTAACTAGATCTGATCGGTTGGACGCGTCACAGCTACAAAATCTGTCTTTGGGGTCGACGGGTACGGTAGCTTTGCCCCCTCGAGGGGACTCTGTGTATGCTTGCGCACTCAAGCTTGCCTGGGAGGGTTTGAGTTTCGATCAGTGCAACTCCGTACTCCGTATGACTTATTTTCCCCTGCTTTCATACTATTGCCAAGGCAGCCTCAACGGTTTCGCGTCACCACACAGAACAACTGTGGAGGCGTCGCGGAGGCCGAGGTGCAGCACACTGGTGAGTGGGTTTGGTGCCAGGTGAAGAGTGCAGTGCCAAGGGCTTGGTGGCGCTGGGGCGTCGTTGTAATGCTAAATTCGGTAGCAAGCAATTTCCCACATGGAGGGGTCTCCATCTGGCTTGTTTACTCCGTACTTCCGAGTTGATTCTGCGAACGCAAACACTGGTCATGAAACCAAGACGTGTTCAAGCGTCCAGCAGCACGCAGAGAAAGGACGAGCAAAGGATTCGGTAATGAACAGGTATTACGCAATGCTAGCTACAGTGGTCTAGCCAGCATCTCCTTGATGCGTCCAAATAATATGCAAAGAAGTTCCCGTTTTGAATCATGCAACTTCACAGCTAATGTACCGTTGCGGACAATTACAACACGCCTCCCCCGCATATAGACCTCCCCAGACATGCTGCTATGTTCTTTGATATCAAGCAGGACTTCGCTGCAGATGCCGTGGCCATGGAACTCGTGACTGAAAAATTGTTCAAGCGCGTCGTGAGATCAAACCGCTTATGCGATGACCATGGCGGCGGCAGCAACAAGACCGGCAAGAGCGAAAGAACCAGCGTTGGCGTTGGCGGCACCAGTGAAGGTGGCAGGAGCAACACCGGTGGCAGAGCTGTTTGGCACGTTAGTTTTCAGGATTGCTTCTTAGCTAGAATCAGAAAATGCTTACCCAGAGTACGACCAGACACCAGTTGAGGCAGCAGCAACGGGGGTTGATGCGGCGCCGGAGCCGTGGCCGGTGGTAGCAGCGGCGACAGCAGTAGAGGTGGCCAAGGTGGTGCCGCTCGCGGCCCAGTCAGACCAGGTGGAAGCAGAAGCCGACGAGGCCGGGGCGACGGGGGTGCTGGTGGAGCTTGCGGACCAGTCACTCCAGGTTGGGTCCCAGGAGCCGGTGGTGGAAACAGAGACGACAGGCTTGGAGCTGGTAGAGGTGCTGGCGCTCTCGGTCCAGTCGCTCCAGGTGTGGTTGGGGTCCCAGCTGGAGCTGGTCACCTTGGCGGGAGAAGAGGTGGTGGAGGCAGAGGCGCTCCAGTCGCTCCAGGTGCCGCTGCCACCGTTACCGCCCTTGTAGGGGCAGTTGGTGACGGTTGGCTCGCACGAGGTGATGGTCACATCGGCGGTTTCGGTGATGGTGGTAGTACCAGCCGAGACGAGGGCGACAAGGCCGGCAGCGAGGGCAATTGAGGAACGCATGTTGTTGATTGTGGTGGGTTCTTTGGTGTAGATTACCGAAAAAAGTAAGAGTAACTTCGAAAAGCGAAGGACGTTGGTATGGTACCGAAACGAGTGTGGGCGAGTAGAACTCGAAAAGAATGGACGACCGAGGTCAAAGGGCTTGCTTGGATACTGAAGTCACAGCTTGGGTATAGAGAAAGATGAAAAGATGCGAGTCCTGGGCCTTTTGACCTTCTTGTAGTCCTCCCACTAGCATGGGGAGATTGGGAACGCGGGTCGAGAAGCCATGCGACCACCTGGAGCTAGACCAAACTGCTCAGCTTAATTTCCCCATCACCGCTCCATCAGACACCATGTCTGCCACTCCCGTGCAGCCGCAAGCCGAGTGTGGGAAAAGACGACAAAACAAACAGGTGACAGGGGCTTGAAAAGGGGAGCCACCAATTAGCGAGCCGGAGAGGAACAAAAGGCTGAAGTAGGCTCAAATTAAGGCATCGGGGACTGCTGCAGGTACCACGCCCGTGGGCCATTTAGAGTGGCCCTCTAGAAGCCACAGAGGGGCGCCGGTCAACGCTAGAAGCAGGACACGACTGGGAATGGCATGGTGTCCTCCACTGGAGCTGCTGAGGCCGCCATCTCTTGCGAGACGCGGCGCCTGAAAAAGTGAAAAGGAGCCGTTTAATTTTGGTGTCAGGTACCACGCGAGGATGCAAGCCACCTGTCAGTGACGCGCTGGCTTAAATTGAGACCTGGCTTTCAGCAGAGACGCAGGTGCTGTTTGTGCAATTTGCGCGTCGTGGAGGGCTGACTATGAGATGAGCCAGACTCAGCCTCCACGGGAGGCAACATCAGAAGTTTCACACTGCACCTGCTCAGGGGTTGGTGGGCGGCTCCCAACCCGTCGATCGCCGCGCTTGTACTCCGTAGTGGTGCTCTTCCTCCTCACTTCACGCACAAAAGGTTCACTCGTGACAGAGGCGATCTCGCAATATCATCTTGTCTCGTAGATTGCTTACTCTTCGTGTCTGTCCGGCTGCCTGAAGAAGTAGACAGAGTGGGAAGGCTTTCAGTGATAGAACCACTATGTTCCATGGATCAAGAACTCAAAGCTGCATTGTCGCAAAGATTATTGCAGCAGGCACTCGAGGCAAGAAGATACATATTTCGACTTTGCGGAGAACATCCCCCAACATGCCCGGCTGATCTCGGCCGTCCAATCCATACTCGTGTCCAAGTTGGGCAATCACCATGCCTGCTTCTGTCTTTTCTCAGACCGTCTTCTCTGCTTGCCCAGTCCATGATGTCTAACACCTGCTGACGCTGATCGATCAAATTTTTCCTCCCTATGTGAGCGCACCGAACTAGCTATTCCGCCAACAGCCGGTACATCAGGCCCCGTCGTGACGCGACGGACGAGCTTCTTGCCACGATCTCTCAGAGTCCTGTCTTCCCAGCACCATTATTCTAGACCGAGGACGTCAAGGCTTGCAAAGCTATACTCCATACGGAGTAAGTGCAATTGGTTTCTATGGTCCGTTTGTCACGTCGACCCTTTTCAAGGCACCAGTTACGACGAGTCTGCTCGATGACCTCGGCCCGGCAAGAGCTAACGGGTCTTGCAATTGCGCAGAGACTCGGCAGTTAGGTACCTTACGGAGTGAATTGCTAGATTCGTTGATAATGAGCGAGATGCTGATCGACAGAAAATCTAGGTAGACAGCGAGGTGAGCTACAGTAACGACTACGCGTACGACTACCGAACGTCGATCCGAGTTACTGTTTGTGCGGAGCGGGGATGCCAAGGCCAGCGCGATCTCGAATACCCAGACGCTCGAATCGCTTTCCGCCACTTGAATCGTAAATCATCTCTCAACAGTCACTGCGATCTGAAGAGCGCTGCCGATTCTGGGAGTGGTACGGGGTGCGAGTAGGACAAGGGCGCCTCATCGCGTCATGGTTTCACCGGATTTGCCGCGATTGAAAGTGGTGATGTTATAACGATTTGACCTTTCCTCCGATTGGTGGAAACTCTTTGCCGCCATCTCAGCGGATCCTGAATGCGGACGAGATGAGGGACAGACTCTGGTGACTCTGGACTGGGAGATCGGAAAATTTCTTAGTGGCGGACATCACCAGTGCGAACAGCTCGCCTGCAATCGCTGTCCTACAGGCGGCAGCGACTCGACTTGAGCCATGAGCACATCCACTGGCTGCTCCCACTTGCAGACTGCGTACCTTGCAGCCATTCAGTGGACCCGGAAATGGTATTGCGGAGTTCTGAAGCTCTAAAACAGCTTGGCGTCGGTGCAGCGACTCGACAGTTGGGAGTGAGCAAAATTTTGTGGAGAATAAGGTGTCCCGGCATCGCAGAAGCAGCTCACTTTGCAGGGATCAAGCTGGATTAATGACCCGAAGCAATCGTGGACATCATGGCATTGGTGGCAGAGCTTCAACTTGAGCTGTCGCCACAGACATAGCTTGCTCATACGACTCTCACCTCAGAGCTCCTGTGGGTCAACCGACATGCTTACCAGCCTCGCCATCTCCTCAAAGCATCATTGACTACGTCACGGACTTGGAAGCTGCCCTGCGTCTTCTCACCAGGTATCGACCTCGTACACGGACTTTTCGACCGGACATGCTGATGCGGCGAGCTATGACAGGTGTATTGCCCGGCCGCGAACGCATTATGCCGAATAACGGGGGAACCGTCACGCATGGGTGACGGAAATGCATTCCATGGATTCCACTGCATCCTGCCGACCTCCACCAGCTGCACAGAATTGGACAAGATGGAGCTCAAGGCCGGATGCTTTTGGCAGGGATTGAGGTCATCAGCAGCTCTGAAAATTTGTTGGCCGCAGGTATATTTTGGAGGAGAACCCCAGGATGCTGAGAGAAAGTCCAAGCTCATCCATTCAGCCTATCCATCACCTCAATTCCTATCGACAACATGAAGTCCTACGCTGGTCTTCTATTGAGCTTCGGCGCTCTTGCAGCGGCCGCCCCTGCACCTGCACCTCAAGTCACACTCACACCGTTGAGCGTCCCAGCTCCTCCGCTACGCAGCAGCGAGGTGACCGGTCCGACTTCCCACGGCCCATACAACGGTCCAGCACCGACAGTCACTGGAGCTTTGTCGGCACCTGCCGCTGCCCTGTCAGCAGCACCTGGTGGTCTGCCACCTGTCACATACACCAACAACAACGGGCTGCTCCAGGCTGGGTACGAGCCGGTTCCATATCAGCCGGCTGGTGGTCAGGGCACGAACGGGACCATCCCGTACTATCACCCGCTGTCGGACTTCGACTACGAGTCCTTGACGCTCGCACTGTACCAGGAATGGATTGAGCTCGATCTCTTCCACAACGGTCTTGCTCAGTTCTCCGTTGCCGATTTCGAGGCCGCTGGCCTGACTGCCGAGGATCGTTTCTTGATCCAGTTCATGGCTGATCAGGAGACCGGCCACGCGACTCTGCTCAGCAACATTTTGGGACCTGCGGCGCCTCCTCAGTGCACATACAACTACCCCTACACGAACGTGCGCGAGTTCATCGACTTCAACCAGAAGCTGACTCGCTTCGGCGAGAGTGGTGTCTACGGCTTCCTCGGCCACTTGGACTCCCGCGAATCCGCAACCCTCCTTTTGGAATCGATCGTCACAGAGGCTCGCCAGCAGATGATCTTCCGCCAGTTCAACGGACTGTTCCCCATGTCGTTGTGGTTCGTCCCGGGTATCCCGCAGTCGTGGGCATGGACGCTTCTCGCGCCCTACATCTCCAGCTGCCCTGCCAACACCACCCGCCTCGCGTGGCAGAACTTCCCAGCGCTGACCATCGTCAACAACCCCAACGCTGCCAAGATCAACCCCAACATTGGCCCTATCGATAACACTACCGGCTCAGACCCGCTCAGCACTGCCGGCATCCAGAACAGCAACTTGTGCGCGAACAGCAGCAATGAGCTCCAGGACTGCGGCCCTGCCATCAGCCAGAACAAGTCTATCCCTCTCTCATACCCTGGCCGACCCATCCAGCTCTCGTGGGGAAATGTCAACCAGACCGTTGGACCCAACAACAGCTACGTGACGTCGCGCAACCCTCTTGCCGATGCTCCCCGCTATGCTCTGTTCGTCTCGCAGCTCAACGCGACATACGTGCCAATTGTCAACATCAGTGGCAACACTGGTTTCGTCGTCCAGCCCAACGCCTCGGTATTCATGAACGACCCTGCCGTCAACGACACCAGCTTCATCGCCGTGACCAGCCAGAACCCCTACGTCACACCGTTCAACTTGTCGCTTGTGAACCCGTAAGTTTTGAACCTTCACTTCTCCTTGTGGGATTACGTTGCTAACTTCATTACAGATACGTCTATGCCGGTCCTGCCTTGTACCAGTCTGGTTAAGTGTTATGCTAGGATGGATGAAGTGAGAATGATTATGATGTACGCAATGTGCGATGTTACGATTGAGATATCACTATCAACATGCAGCACGGAGGAGAATACTACCGGGATGAGATGGAAGGTGAAGAGATCCGAGTAATGGAGGATGAATGTAGCGGAATGTGTGACTATCCACACCGCGTGTACAGACCACCCTCGCCAAGGTTAATATAATGTCTCATTATATCATTAATCTTCCCTTGTTTTCGTGGTTCCTAAGTGTGTCTTCAATTGATGTGATTATTCTGGCTTGCACCGCATCCATCAGTCATTTCGTGGATCTTCTAATCATTGCCTCGTTACTTATAGCTGTACTATTTAGCATTGCGGTCATCAGTCATTCTCATCAGGGAACAAGAACGGCTGAATCGGGCCAGTGACGAAAATGTGCCTGCTGCTCCATGGGTCCTCCGTTCAAGCACTCGTAATCCAGTTTCCCTTGCAGCTCAGCTTATACCACATGCCGTCATATGATATGATATGATATCAAATCATGTCCCCTTCCCTCACCCAAGCCCAATCCCTCTCAAACCGCGCCCAACCCCCTTCCGGCTCCTCCAGCATCTTCATCTCATGCACCACGAAATCATACATCCCCTCCCTCGGCACCTGACCCTGACACACGTTCCCGCCCATAGCAATGTTGAGCAGTACAACAAAATCGCTGAGCGGCCTATTCATGTCATGCGGCACCGGCGCCTTCATCACGGCCTGCCCATCAATCCACCAGACCATTCTGTCCTGGTGCCACGCGAACTCGAACCGTACGGGCCGTCCCGTTTGCATGCCCTGCACGGGCGTTCCCACGACGCGATGCTTCGCCTTGTCCTCGGGCGAGTAGAAGCCCCAGTGCAGGCACGTGTGGTTGATGCTGTCGCCGTTCCAGGTCTCGGCGATGTCGACCTCGCCGTCGGTCGGCCAGGTGAAGGGTTCGTACGGCAAAAGCCAGAAGGCCGGCCAGATGCCCCCGGCGCAGGGGAGGCTGAGGCTCGCGACTAGGCTGCCGCTGGGGCGGCCGAGGCGTTGACGGGAGACGAGGCGGGCGGAGGTGTATTTCTTGGTCGGGTCCGGGTGGGAGGGCGAGGAGATGGCGCGCAGGACGAGGAGGTTGTTGGGCGTGCTGGGCGGGAGTACAGGTAAGCTTGTGATGGCGTAGTGTATTGGGTTGGTCTACTGTAGTACAGTACACGGGCGACAAGTTTTCAATGCAAAGACACGGAGGCGGGGCAGGCAAGGCAGGCATGCAGATACAATGGTTCCCCCGTCATCGAATCTGAATATCCGAGCAGATGCAGACATTGAAGTGACACAGACCCATCCAGCACAACACCAAGTGATGACAGTCGGGTGGTCCAGGTCGGCTTTAACAGCCAGCCCCTCGTGGTACATGCCAGCATTGAGTTTCAACGAAGATTGCCAGGAAATATACACAGTCCGCAAGTACATGTAAATGCAAGATTCAAGATTCAACTTACTAGAACGAATTGCTCGCCTCGGCGGTATAGTGCTGCATCTCATTGTTGCCCCACCCGTTGTTGTTCCCCAGCTTGTGTTCCCATTCTTGGCTGATGGGCGTGGCCGGATCGAAGCGCGGCTGCCAGTAGACTTTCGGCTGCCCCGGGAGTGGCTGTTGACCGGGCGGGCCTCCTTGGGCCTGGAAGTTGGGATGTGTTGATGGCGGGAGGGGAGGAGATTGCTGGTACTGCTGAGCTGGGTATTGTTGTTGCTGGTGTTGGTGTGGTGGCTGTTGCTGATGCTGGTAGTGCGGTTGAGATTGAGATTGAGACGGAGGAGCCGACTGCTGCTGCTGCTGCTGCCCGAGAAACTGCTGACCCTGTTTCTGGAGGTCTTTGACCTGCGATTTGATGTCGGAGAGAAAGTTCTTGAACGGCATGTCTGATGAATGCTTGGAGGACGTCCTGGGAATTGTGCAGGCGGTGGCGTGGAAATCAGGAACTTCTTTCACAGATTGCCAGCACGCTTGACAAGGCTTGGGGGTGACGTATGCCGTGCTAAACGCGCACAACGCGACTCGTCGGTGGTGGTCACTGGCTCCGGACGCGCGCGCATCTAACGTGCTGGAGGGGTTTGAGAAAAAGAGCCTCCCCGCTGTCAGCGTTGCTATTGCTATCACGGAGATATGGCAGTTGAGTATCTCTGGGACGGCAGCGAGTCAAGGGGGAAATGGTGCCAGAAACAGGATGTGGATTTTGATTCATTCAGTCGCATATAGCGACAGAGCACATGCCCTCTTCAACAGGGCCTCCTTTCCAAAGCACGAGAACAGCACGCAGACAGTGTCGCCATCCAGCCATTCTTGTACAGGGTAGACCATCTCTTCAATCGCCCTACTTGGCCTCTGTCTCCGCGGCTTGCTCCGCCGCCATCAAGCTCCAGCGACGCATGACAGCCTCCATGGCCGCATGACGAAGCTTGCCTCTCTCCTCTGCTGTCAGCCCGTCAAGGGGGTCGGACACCGCGTCCTCCTCCTCCTCAATACCCGCCACATCCTCCCCCTCCATCTCCCACGCCTCTTTCTGTGGCGCCCCAGCCACGCCTTCCGTGACGAGCCATGGCTCGCGGAAAACCAGCGCGTTCAGCTCCTTGATCACGCCGACGATTGTAACACACGTATGGCAGCGCTTGAGCTTGTGACCCCAAGGCTGCTCTTGCTCGACGTTGCACCAGCGGCGTCCTCCCCCGTAGTTTTCCAGGTATTCTCTGCAGTAGTCGTACTTTCCGCGCTTGCAGGCGTCACACTTGTACTTGAAACACATGTTGTTGTCGTTTCAGGCGGAGGCCTCAAGCGTCTAAAACTACGTCGTACCAATCGATTGTGACAGTGTCGTATTGACGGTAGAGTTTGGCAAGGGTCGGTGGTCGTGGCGTGACTGTCTCAAAAGAACTGAAAGAGCTGAAGAATTGCTGCGACAGTGCGTCGAGCACTGCTGCGGTGATGTCTTGATAAAACAGGTCGTGTAGACCGACAGAAGCCGGTGTGTCTGAGGCAGAAGGTTTCCAGGCTTTGAAAGCGCCCCTGATGATGATATGTCTGAGTTTGTCCTTGAGGGTTGCTCGGCAGACTGTAGAGGAGTTGAAGGCGAAGATAATGTTCTGCAGAGTCGTGTCGGCTCTTGGTTGGCCTTCCTTGGTTGTGGATACCAAGAGGGTACGGTACGAACTTGAGAGCAGTGTCCTAGACGGGTAGCCCAAACGCGACCGCTTTCCGTCTGGTAATGTGATCTGCCTCATTCTGACTGATGGCGAGGTTGGTCCCTGGACGAATTTGCATGCAGAACGAGGCACTGGTCGCTGGCGAGGACAATTACCCCTGTCCACTGTGCGAAGTCGGAGTAGAAGACCTACGTCTCTTGTCGTAAGATCGTGATGAGGATCAGTTGTGTAAGAAGCTTCTGAACAAGAGCAGAGTCTTCAGGAACAATTTCTTGTGATTCCAGCGTCGAGAAAGACAGATCTGTAACCAGCGACATCATCGCTTAGTCGTCGTCGACGCCATCGACCAATCCCGTCGCAGCGCTGGCAGTGAGGTCTTTGCGCATTTAGGGCATCCTTCATCCCTCCTTCATCTTCAACCAGATCCTAACACCCTTGCGCCAACCATAGACATTGCCTGTAGAAGCGGACACTGCTTCAAAAACCCAAGGTCTGTGGCACCATAGGAGCCATTGTTGTAGTGGACAGGACACTGACAACGATCTGAAGTTTGCAGGCAACAATCAACGATATCCAGTACGGTCACAAGGACGGACGACGCCATCACGTCTCAGCAAAAATGCCAGGAACCGAGACTCAGGAGGAGCCACAATGTGAGGGTTGCCATGTCTGGGGTCAACCACATATTGTAGCGAAGCCTGCGTGGTGGTATGAGTCCATCGATGAGTCCTCAAGCAGCTCGGGCGACTGCTTCATACAAGATCACCACGTGGAACTGTTGGCGTTCTCAGAAGAGTCGTTGGTGGTATCTCAGATGGCGCGGGAGGAGGAGGGAGAGGAGCAAAGAGAGGTGAGTTATTCCCCTTAACCCTCGGACCAAGTGTGGCGCAATGACGCAATCGCGCCACATATTCCAGCCACACATCAATATGGTGCCACTGTCTGGTGTCGACAACGTCCTTTCATGATTTCGCATCCCAGACATTGTCCTTCATCGTCCTTCATCGTCATCCAGCACGCTCCTTAGTTGCGCAACTGCTAATCTCTCTGATAGCCAGGAGGACCGCTTACCGAAAGCGACCTATCCTCGGCCAGCTACACGACCGCCATGACTCCGCCCGAGGTCGAGAACCACTTCACCGTCTTCGTCCGCCTGCCATTCAATCGCGGCGATTTCGTCGACCCGCCTCCTGTAAACTGGTCGGCTGCAAAAGAGCGTGCACTATGGGACATTTTGTCACGTCAAACCAACAACCAGATCGACTGGAGGGCCCTCGCTGAGAGATTCGAAGTGACTCAGCCTTTCCTCCTTCAGAAGGCCGCATGGCTTTACGAGCGACAATTGTCCCAGGTGCGAGCTCAGATGCGACGAGTCGGAAATAGGAATTCCGCCACGCCCTCTCCTACGCCTGGATCGCTCTCCGGCAGCATGGTGGGAGACCATGCGATGAGGAGAGCTGGAAGCGGCGGGTCACGGGTGCCTTCTCGTCTGTCAACGCAGCAAGTTGGAAGCCCAGTCACGGGTGGAGGAGACAGTACGCCGGAGACACCTGTTAAGAGCAGGACGCCTCTCCCGCTCCGTACTGCTCCCACTGCCGCTGCAGCTGGTGTGGCTCAGCAGGCCCGAAACGTCTCTGGGACTTCGAGGCCGCTATCGAGACAGTCATCCCGAGACGTCGACGCACCAGCTCCTGCTTCGCATTCTAGGAGAGGCAGCATCCAACACCAACTTGCTCGATCGCCAGCCCAAACACGTAACCCGCAGCCGGAATCGTCGGACTCTGAAGAGGAAATGACACAGTCTCGCATCACAGCCCGCCGGCCGAATCCATCTTCTCTGCATCGCCGAGCCCTCTCATATCGTGGTAATGCCATGCAGGCTCAGCGAGGACCCGCAACCAGCCCGGATGATAGGGCCCCTATACACCGGTCGCCAGTCGGTGAAGACGAAGACGAAGACGACGAAGACGACGAGCCATCCTTCCTCCCCTTTGCGAATCCTCCCACTGAAAGCAAACCTCGCCCATCATCCTCCTCTCAGCAGCAAGACCCAAGCGCCACTCTTCGAGGGGCCTTGCGGCCGACCATGCAGCGTCGAACCACGTCTGAGCGCGTCGTCTCTTCACCAACCGTCGTCGAGCCACCAACACCGGTCCAAGCTCGCGATGTAACCTCTTCAACCTCATCGCTCTCCTCGCCTACTCAGGCCACTGGCCCAGCGACTACTAGCAGAGGTGATGTCCAGCCTCTCGCTTCTCATCTCCCACAGCAATCGCAAGCCGCAGTTCCCCGACTCGGCACACCCCTCTCGCCTTCTCACCGCGCGCTTCTAAACAACTCCAACCAACCTTCCGCCACGGCCTCGCCTCGCCGCGGTCCCAGTTCCGACAGCGCGTCTCCTAGCATGGGCTCCTCGTTCTCGGACCTCGACGACACAAGCGTGACGCAATCGGCTCTGGAAGAAGCATTACTCAGCGGGATGGGCAACACTACAATGACGAATCTAGGCGGGTTTGGAGGGCGAGTGACGAGTGGGATTGGCCAGGCGTTGAGAAGCAGGTATTTCGACGCGAGGGGTGATGGGCAGGGCAGGAACGGAGGTCAAGGTGCTACTAGTGAGAGATAAGATATGTTGGAAGCGGGTGTGTCTGTCGTTGAGACGGCGACCAGAACCACTAGATTGTCGGTAGCCGAGCTGTCCTCGTTGTCTTTCAAAGTACCGAGTTGAGCTGAGTCGAGCTGAGCTGGGTTGAGGCTGAAGCTGAAGACCGCCATCAATCTCCACAAGCGAGGTGCAATGGGAAGCAGCTCAACTAAGTAAATGAGGGGCAAATGAAATACAGACGGCTGTCAAGTAGGAGACCGTCCGGTCTCGCGCACTCCCATCACAACAAGAGCGACGTACTCGGCATCGCCATGGGCATCGACATCAACATCAATGTCAGCATCAACGTCGACATCGACATCGATATCAACGCCTGCAAAAACCTGCATAAATACACGCACGGCTTGTCATCAATATCGTTATTGCAAACCGTTTCCTCGAGTGATATGACATGACCGCCAGAAATGCTGGCACTTTACATGTATGTACCGTCCACCGCGCACCACGCACCACGCACACCACTTCGCCTACACCTCGTCCCTCTTCCGCTCCGTCTTGCCCGTAGTCGAGCTCTTCGCAAGGTTACTCTGCACGCTGCTCGGGCGCGAGTGCGTCTGCCACTTACTGTTGGTCGTCGACTTTGCAGCCTTTGCGCCGCCACTACCGGAATGCGTCTTCGGCGACCACCCCTCGCCCTCACTTCCACTTGGCTTGCCCGTGCCAAACGCACCGGCTCCCTGCGTCGCATTGCCCTTGAACTTGCCGTGGGCGGGGAAATCCTCGACCGTGGCATTGTGGCCGTACCCACGGTAGCCGTGCACGCCGCGCTTGCGGTGCTTGTCCAGGTGCGCGGCGTGGTCCGCGCCCTTCATGTAGTCGACCATTTTCTCGCCGAGCGTGCGCTTCCGTAGAGCATCCTCGATCTCGACGCCCGGGTTCGCCGCGTACCAGGTCGAGTAGCTTGAGCAGGTCTGCGCGACGGTCTCGGGGATCTGGATCGACGACAACTGCTCCGGGTGTTCGAGGAGCATGACCACCATGCCGGCCGAGAGATGCCATGCGATGTGGCAGTGCAGGGGCCACAGGCCGGGGTTGTCCTGCGTGTACTGCAGCACGATGTAGGACGGGTTGCTTGGCGAGGCGCCGGCCCAGAGCATCTGCACGTCTCGGCGCTGCGGGTTCTGCGGGTTCGTGATGGTGCCGTCCCACGTGCCGAAGCCTTCGGCCAGGACCTGGAAGTCGTGCCCGTGCATGTGCATCGGGTGCGGGGCCGGTGTCACGTTGATGATGACGATGCGCACGGTGGTGACCGCGCCCGTGTTGATGACGTTGTAATGGGCGTCGAAATTGGTTTGGCCGGCCACGGCTTGCGGGAGGAGAGGATTGGCAAGGTCGCCGTCGTAGGACACGCCGTTCATGGTCCAATGGTAGACGCCTGTCTCGTCGGGCGCTCCGGCAATCGTAATGGTGATGGTCGTGTCGGCTGCGGCGGCTGGGATCGCATACTGCGGGATTGTGGTGGTCAGGGGGTCGTTTTGACAGTTGGAATTGACCGCCCCTGGGGCGCTTGCTGTCGAAGTCGGCGTCACGCTGGCATATGAACCGGTGTAGTAGATGATGCCGCGTCCATCAGGTCCGTTGCTGTCTCCGCAGGGCGTGTTGAATGCACGAAGCCAGTAAGTGCCTGGGGCTTGATTCGCAGTAACAAGCACGTCCGTCCGCTGACCCACGCCGATGGTGATGGACTGGGTCTGATAGGGCTGGACGGGGACCATGTCGTTCGCAATGACCGTCATTGTGTGGCCGTCGATCGAGATCGACTCGAACGCCGAGGCTCCCGTGTTAACAAAGCGCAGGCGGTGCGTCTTCCCGGGCTGGAATTCCCACGATGCGTATGGGACGACGGAGCAAGGAGCACCATTGGTAACATTCGCACAAGGATATTGAGCGGCACCCCCGACGAGGTTGGAGTCTGAAAACGGTCGGAATGGCGCCCCACTTGCACTGGGGGCCATGACGAGGCTGACAATATCTTCGTACGAGTCATGGAACCAATCTGTAACCAGGATGGGTCCGAGATCAATGTCGTATTCAGCGTCGTTTGGCCCATGGACCACGATGGGCCCGAGAACACCTGAAGAGTACTGCGCCGAGTAATGGGCGTGCCACCACGTCGTCCCGTACTCATCCGCTCGGAATCTGTAGGTCAGATTGCCGCCAGGAACGATCGGGCACTGAGAAACAGTGACAACGCCATCGTAATAAGGTGTGCCGGGTTGGTTCAGACCGTGCCAGTGGATCGAAGTCGGTTCTTCTGGTCCATAGATCTGGTTGTGGACATTCACCTCGATCCTGGTTCAGAGTCAGCCCAAGTCGGCTACACGTACTGCTTGTTGTGAACCTACCAGTCACCCCAGTTTGCCTCGATGAGAGGACCCTGGCGACCACGTTAGCTCCTGTCAAAGACAGCCAGGCGTGAAGGCTGCCGGGGCTACTCACGGGATACTGCCCATTGACCACGATGACTGCTTGTTGCACTCCGTCAGGTGCAAGGGTGTTGCGGGCAACAGTGAAGTCGTAGTATCTGGTCACACCTGCACCGGTCTCAGCCTTGCCTCTCCACTGCCCTATCGCAAGCTACCAACCAGTATCTGGCATATCCGTCGTAGGATGAGATCCAGAAGCAGTTTTGTCTCCCCAGGGGCAACCACCACCCTGGGAATATTAGCGAGGAGCCTTGTGTCCGTCTGAATCGCAAGCTTACTCCCAACCATTTGCCAAGAGGGCCTGGGTGATCAGCGAGACCGCTGCCCACCAATGCGGCGCCCACTAGGGCGGCCACGAATCCTGTCCTCATCGTCAAGAAGAATGAGGGCGGGGTTGTCTCGAAGGGATCTGTAACTAGGAGGGGGAGATCTGTGCGACGCTCGTGGCCACTGCATTTGATTTATACTGGTGGACATGGACAAGAGCTGACAACCAAGCGTTGGGCCAGTATTCGGCCTCCTTTCGTGAAGCAGTCAGATGGGCCAAAATAACCAGGCTAGCCCATAATAGCTGTATAATCGGACTGAAGGCGCATGCAAGCTTTCAAGCGAGGACGCTTTAAGCGTCAAGGGGCTTAGGCTCACAGCCGTATTTCAAAAGACTAGTTATTCTTTGCGCATGGCTTGGGGCGGCAGCGTAGATTTGATTGCGCCTTGCACCGGTGCCATGGGGACCCAGTCACGCATGAAGTCGGCAGTATTGCTCACCGTGCAGACTGGAGTCTACCTCCATATAAATCAGGTGTTTGGCGCTTCGATGATAAAGGCATTGCGGGTTGTTGCGGTCTCGTTAGCCAGAAAGTTGGCAAGATATCGAGCATTGAGGCGGTCAGACATGTAGGGTGTCCGACGAGCAACGCTCGTCCTCGCTATACGGAACAGGGAGGGGCCAACCGACCAGCCACTCACAGCATGAAAATCGTGACAAGCACTTCTATGTGGGCTTCAGCAGACCTCAGGCTTCCCAACTCTCGGACTCTTTGGACCCCAACAGACAGAGGCTGAGATCCGTCGAGGTGACAGGAGCTCCGGGACTCCCTTTTAAAGTTCGGCGTCCGTTGCGAGCTGAAAGCGTAAGGTGATGAAGCATGCTGGCCGCACTCCGACAGTCGAAGGAAGCCTTGGAGTCTCTGTCAGCGCCAATAAATGGGCACCTATCACACCGCGCGGCCTGCGAGGAACACCCCACATCGTCACAGTAAGCGAGGCTTTGCCCGTCAGGGACGAAGACATCAGCCGGTATTCCGAAACTGTCCTTTGTCCGAACCGCGTCGACGGGCTAGGAGAGAGGGAAAGCCGAAGGTACTCTGGGAAGATCAGGGAGCCAACCGAGACTGATGGTACCCATGCCTGCGCGCAGCGGCCAATGGCCGTTCATGTCCTCATACGAGCTACAAGATCTCAAGTCCTGCGGCACTCGAGGGTAACTGTCTTCTCTCTACGGTGTCACTATCTCGATTGATTGAGCGGTGTGGGAACAGTTAGCCATGCCACGAGGATATAATGCCCGGGCATAGCTAGGATTGTCATGAAACACGATCCGAGACCTAACAGCTCCTAGATCTGGCGTGTATCCTCAGAGCTCGGAGCGGCGTGGAGTGAAGCGACAGTTTGCGTCGTACGGCGAGAGTTTGACCACCGTTGAGGTCCGCGTTGGCGAGTTGCTGGCTTCGTTGTAGCCGCATCGTGGCTGCTCGATGAAAGCAGCTACGAATTGGAGGATGCTATTTAGATCGGACTTGAATCTGAAGGATGCAGGCCAAGTTCGTGCGCGGGACCGGCTGGGTATGTGGCAAGAGTCCCTCTCGAACGTTACGAGTTTGCTCATTCAACCCATTCCTTGGGGTACTTGAGGACTTCCATCAATTTCATCTCCTCTTCGTAGGGCTCATCGTCTACGTCAACGGACTCACGAGAGACACCAGTGCCACACACAGGATCTGCGCATCCTCATTAGCATGTTGAGGGAACAATGGTGATAAAGCTCCATGAAGCTATCGAACGGACTTGGCAATGGCAGGGTAACTTACGCATGTATTCCCAGCGTGCCGTCAATGGCAAACTCATTAGGATGCTCTCAACTCGAGCGCCTGGAGTCCGCAGCCCGAAACTCGTGCCACGGTCGTTGATGAGGTTGAACTCAACATATCTGCCTCTTCGAATCTGCTGCCACTCTTTCTGTTGCGGTAGGTATGGCATGTTCATTCTCCTCTTGATTATGGGAAGGTATGAGGGCAGGAATGACTCGAGGCCACTGACGACAAATTGAAAGAGCTTCTCCTGGGGATTGCGGGAGTTGGGCCGCGAAGTTGCCTCGAGGTCGTCGAAAAAGATACCGCCAATTCCTCTTGTTTCGTTTCTGTGCGGTATCTTGAAGTAGCTGTCGCACCACTTCTTGAACCTAGGATAATAGTCTTTGTCATGCTTGTCACAGGCGGATTTAATGGTCTTGTGGAAATGTTGTGCGTCATCTTCAAATAGATAGCATGGTGTCAAATCCGTGCCTCCCCCGAACCACCAATTCTGTTGCGATGTTCCGGTCGCATTGACCGGGTCTCTAGGATCAGACGTCTCGAAATATCGATAGTTCATGTGGACTGTTGGGGCCATAGGATTGTGAGGGTGCAGCACCAAGGAAATACCCGCTGCAAAGAAGTTCAGTTTCTCGACATCGGACGCTACAAACGACTTGTGGTCTGCCCTCATCTTCTCCATGGCAGGACGGGACAGCTCGCCGTAGACGACACTGATGTTCACTCCAGCTTTTTCAAAGACATCGCCATCCTGCAGAACACAGGATATTCCGCTTCCTCCTGCTGGCCTCGTCCATTCGTCCCGTCTGAATTTCTTTCCGTCTATGTTCTCTAGGGCAAAAACGATCCGGTTCTGGTGTTCTTTTATCAAAGCCTCCATTCGCAATCGCATGGGAGATTTGCGTGTTATTTTCTCCTTGCTCTTGGTGTATTCATCAACTTGTGCCAGTGAGATAGGCTGGATAGGCGGCGAGTCATTGGTGATGGTTTTCCCAGAAGTCATGTTATAGATGAGCGTTCCGACAAACACACTCCCCAGGGAGAGCTGGAGGTAAAGCCATCCATGCTTCTGTTTGTCGACTTGCAAGCGACTTCGCACAGTTCGCAACACACCAGTCGAATAGCAGGAGCGTAGGCAGGACGGACAGACTCTTTTGCTAGGCAGCGATCTAGAGACTGAGCTATGCGACGCTCGGAAGACGCTCCACGCCGACCTTGATGTAGACATGATTGATTCGTATGGGGACCCGAGGAAGAGGTAGGTACGGAAGGGAGGTGCAGCTCGAGACGCTCAAAAATTCACATACAACACCGAACGGTAGAGCTTTTGATCGTACACGCGCCTCATTCGAGAGAAGGTCAACTACTCATCTCCACTGTCAGCCCACTGGCGGCAGAGGTGTATGGAAAGACATTGCTGCGGCTATTCGTTTTTTTCTGGGAGTTGGAGCTCGATCGTATTTCTCCACTAATTATCAGATGACGAGGCTCGCCCATCTGTCGTTGCCGCCGGTGTGGCCGAACAGCCAGCAATCCAGCACAACTGGCAATAGACAATTGAGGCTCCAACGCGGCTGAGCTCCCACGCTGAAAGTCAATGTGTCAACAACCCATATCACAAGGTGTGAGGTGAGATAGATTCAGACACAGCTTGCACGTGACCATATCTACATTCTGGTATCATGTTTATGGAGAACCGCGTATGAATTGATCGTGGGATTCAAATGTCACTTGCATTTACTAGGCCATATCCCTGGTGAGTCAACAAAGCAACGCAACAAAGAGAGCAGCACCTCGGCACCAGGACCTCCTTCTGCTGCTCTCGGAATGAATGACGTGACTCATTCATCTTATTTAAGATCAAGCCTCGTGGCAAAAGTAGTCAGCTCATACTGTCCCGTGATTCAAGCGACAAGTGACTCGACAGTGAGTGAAAGTTGAGTGCCTGGTGACGCGGGTTGCGCGGGGCAATTTATCAGTCTGTGCGGGCCTGTAACTCCCATTTCGGTGCTGCTGTGGCCTACCTAACTAGTAGCACCGGCCACTGCCACCCACTCGAGTTCTGCCTGCTGCATCTCGACGTGGACTTTGGACCTCATTCACCGATCAACCAACTTGCCATCATTTATTATCAACCACCAACCCTCAAAGCCCCATCTCAAAACCCAAGCGCCGAACCTCCTATCTGAACTTCGACTCGTACCCTCATATATCAACTACATCCGTCATCATGCGTTCCAAGTTCAAGGACGAGCACCCTTTCGAGAAGCGCAAGGCAGAAGCCGAACGCATTCGCCAGAAGTATGCCGATCGCATTCCAGTACGTGATTCCCCTTAGGTCTCAGTCTCTCTAGGGGTCCGACTGACTGGAATGCATAGGTCATCTGCGAAAAGGTCGAGAAATCGGACATCGCTACTATCGACAAGAAGAAGTACCTCGTCCCTGCAGATTTGACCGTCGGCCAATTCGTCTATGTCATTCGCAAGCGCATCAAGCTCAGCCCCGAAAAGGCCATCTTCATCTTCGTCGACGAGGTCCTCCCTCCGACCGCCGCCTTGATGAGCAGTATCTACGAGGAACACAAGGATGAGGATGGTTTCCTGTACATCACGTATGTTGGCACCGAGGTGAACAAGTCGTGACTCCATACTGATACGTAAACAGATACTCGGGCGAAAACACATTCGGTGATATTTAACGGCGCAACCCCGTCAGAGCGAAACGGAAGCTACATGTGACACGACGCCGCCGAGAGCCACGATGGATGTATTGACCGGATGCAACCTCTTATTTGTTACACCTGGCGTTTTCCTACCTCCTTTTACCAATGAAGGTCCAAGCATACCAGTGAGCAGACGAAGGTACGATGGGGAGACGCGATGGATTGTGGTGGATCCGAAGTACAAGGACACCTGCGAGCCGCGAGGAGGTTTTGGAGCCTTTTGCTGATTTGTATTTGTGCTTGGTCACCAATCAATACAGACACCCTGTCCTCCTAGTCTGCGTAGGACTCGGTGCTGCTCAAATCCCCTGAACTTGCTGAAGATGCCCAAAAATCGATCCCTTCAGATGCGCATCGGAGGTGGCTAATCCTTGATCAGGCGATTGCCTTGAGCCATTGGGCTCATATACCCAGCTGGAGAAAGAGTGATGCGTTGGGGAACAAGCAGGCGCACAGATCTAACTGAAGTGAGCCGTCGAGGTGCCTCCCAATCAGTCTTCTTTAGTAGCCTCAGTGACTGGATGCTTGCTTCATGCAGATCCGTCCGGTTGCATTACGTGTGCAAGGGTGAATTCGGACAATTATCGTAAGAACTTCACCATGTATTTCTGTCTGATGTCGATGCATCATCAAGACTGCTTCGCCATCACGAAAGCGCCGAAGGAGAGGGCAGGGATCCCCGAATTTCCCGTCTAGGGCGTCTAAGCGAAAACTGGTGAGTTCAGATTCACCATCATACCGTGTTAGAATGCATGCCATCTTCTTCCACGTGCGATAATGATGCATCTGTCAGCACGTTGCCCAGGCCTCTACGGACAAACACCCCTGATGACCCTCCCAGGAAACCTATCCTTATAGCAGAGAACGTCGGACATATGATTCATTACTTTCTGCTGCAGCCAATGTGACTTCGATGAAACATTATCCGAGCTGCAGCCAAGTCAACGTCTGTGCCTTCCATCGTGCCACGGCTTGTATGTCTCTCCCCGTAGCATCGGAAACGTACAGTCTCCTCACTTGTAAAGCCACAGGTCTTGTTGCGGATTTGATGTCGCGAGCAAACAAGCGACCTCGTTGGAGGAGGTGTGGAACCAAGATGCCATACGAGCTCGACAGAACATCCGGCCAATGCGCCACCCTGATAACAGCGTACTGTGTATGTCTTGAGGACGATTCCCGAGAGCACGCCTTCCTCGTTTTCAATCACTACAACCTGGAGCTCATAAGGCAAGCGCAGCTCGAGAACACCTTTCCGCAGCTTTGAGTTGAGCCTTCTTTCAGCCCACTTCGACACCTGGATATTAGCTCCCGTTAGCACAGGCCAAGTTTACCGTTATACGGAGCCGTTAGCCTTGATCATGTGTCAACTCGAAGTTCTTGCTCAAGCGGTGAGCACTCAAGCACAAACCTTGAGCCGGTCATGGCATGAAGGCAAGGACCACGCTCTCTCCTCGTGCGACAGCCGCCGAACCACCATTCCCCCATTGGATCCGCAGGGCGAGGAAGCAAGGAATCAGCTCCTCGCTGCCCTACGTACCCTCGAGCAACTCGTTCTGGGCCCGAAGGATACCATGCAGAGCTTCTACTACAGGGTGAGTCATCACGAGCTCTCGCACATGATCTAGTATTGTCGTTGACAGGAAAGTAGACGGCAGAAGCTGGCGTAATCCAGGCTCTCTGTCAACTGCAAGTCCCGCGACACGTCCCTTTGTATGGCTCGATTTCCTATGCAGACCTCTCGAAGAAAGTTGGCGTCTCCGAGGACCGCCTCAAACACCTGATCCGAATTGCAGCCGTGTGCTCAAACTTCCTCGCCGAAACAGAAGACGGTCTGGTTAAACATAGCGATAACTCACTTATTTGGCAACTCGATCCTTTGGCAGCTACTGGGATGGAAGTCATGCTCGATCATCTGCCGTCCTCATCATTCAAGCTTGGCGAGGTGTGTACCCAAGATCCAATGGACGAGAAGCAGGAAGTCTGTGGGTTCAGCCTGGCGCGTCAACAGCCGCTTTACTTGTACCTGGAAACGCATCCAGCCGAGGGTCGAAGCTTTGCTGCCCACATGCGGGCTCAAGCTGCGCAGTACGGTGACTCGGCTATTCAGGCATGCTACGACTGGAGCAGGTTGAAGGAGAAGACCATAGTCGATGTAAGTCGAAGCACCCGCGCCAAAACCTTCTGCATGTCACCGACTAAACTTTCTCAGTGTGGGGGTTCCTTTGGCTCTGTCGCTGCAGCGATCGTCCGCAAGGAGCCTACCATCAAGTGTATCGTGCAGGATCTTCCGAAAGTCGTCGACTCGGCCATCAAAGCTACTGCACAAGATTCCAGCTTCCCGCATGACTCAATTAGCTTCCAAGCACATTCGTTTCTCGAGACGCAGCCGGTGGTGGCAGACGTATATCTCTTCCGCATGGTCTTCCACAACTGGTCTGATGCTGGGGCTCGTCGCATTCTTCAGGCGCTGCGTCCTGCTCTCCGACCCGGGGCTCGAGTCGTGTGCGTTGAGTACGTGATGCCTCCGATCGGTACCGCGCCAAGTTATGCGGAGCTGGCCACCCGCAGACTTGACAATGTCATGTACACATTGATGAAGGGGAAGGTACGGGAACTCAGCGAGTTCAAAGACTTGTTCGAGTCTGTGGAGCCGGATCTGGTCTTTGCAAGCTTCAAGCAAGGACAACTCAGGGCAACGCATGATCCTAGATGCCATTCTGTGCTGGAATGGGTTTACAAACCTGCGAGCGTTCAGGGCGAATCCGAGGCTCATTCGTCCTGAAGGAGAGGTTAGCCACTTTGCCAGACAAATGGTGGTTCGAAGTCATCATCGTCACAGCTTTGTCCAATAAGCTGGGAGCATCAACGAATCAATACCGTTGGCCAATGCTTCACACAGCGCTATCGGTCAGGTTGGCCAGCCGCGGAGGAGCAGAGATACACAGTACTGGAAGAATGTACCATTATTACAGGTGCAGACATACATTTTATGAATACGGAGTATCGCAGCTTTCTTTCTCGCAGCTAGTCCGGCACCTACCACCGGTAGTCTGCTTCGTTGCGTTCGGTGCCCTGTACAGTCATCCACAGTGCATGGTCTAGTCTGGGACCCAGAAAGCAACCTGGGGTTGTTTAGCGGATAAAGTGAACGATGCTCACACTCTAGCACCCCTCGTTGTATGGCAAGAATGCTTGTAGATTTCTTGCCCTGACTTTGGGTGGAGATCGTAGTGGACTTTATCACCAGCCAGATCGAGCTTGGTGGGTTCCAAACTGTTGAGACCTTCTACCTCGTAGAAGATCAACGCCTCTCATTTCACAGGCTCGAAGGGTGCTCGCTGATGCCTGGTTGTGGCATTGCATAGCGATCGACAGGTGCATCCGAGGTAGCACGGGTACAACGTAGTATGCACATGCCTGGGTAGTAAGAGGTCGGGAGTACAGGCAATCCCCTACTACTCGTACGAGCCGCGCACTGTTCCTACCAGTATGTACCAATGGTGATCCTAATTAGTTTGCACGATCACTTTCTCCCTGTCTGACTCGCTGCTCATCTCCCGGGCTGGACTGCATGAACAGACTTCCTCAGTCCGCAGACGCCCCAGATGCCCCTCGGGGGTCCGTCGGAGGCGGTGCTGTGCCACCTGGAAGAAGGGGGGTGGCACGTCTCGGTGGAGCCTGGGGTTTGGGGCGTCGGGGGGCTATCCTGTTTGATCGACGCTGCGCGCCATCGCTTAAGGTTGTTCCCTGCGCTTCCATTCCGAGAACTCCGGTGCGTACATGAATCCACCGTCAGATAGACTGTGTTAAATCATGCAGGCTGTTGGACGTAGCCTCTACGAGTACGAGGTACACCTTACTTGATCAACCCTGGCTGCTTCTCAGAGCAGTCTCTGCTAAGCGCAGTGCCCACAATACTCTGGGCATGGGAGACCAAGATGATCCCCCTGGGTGCTAATCGCTTATTCAGATTTCGATATGTGTCACAGATGCCGTCTTGCCGTCTTCCACTAACAACTGAACCCAAGGTCTAGGATCCGCAACGCAGGCCCTTTCCAGATGGCATCTGCCGTCTGAGAGCGGTGGATTGTGGGCAACCACCAGCCGAAACGAGACAGCTTCCACCATTAGTCATCGCCCAGCGAGCCAGGGCAAGACAACATGAGCACCAGCAAACCGGTGGCCAGCACCGTTGTGGAGCCAACACGCGGTCGAGGGGAGACGCCTGTACAGTACTGCGTACCACAGTAGTCAGCGGTAGCAAGGACAGGGAACCGCAATGCCCAGACCAAGAGAACAGTTTGACTCTTGACTTAGACGGACTGGGTAGTCGGTGGTGGTCACGTTCCTCGCTTCGTACGAGAGAGAATTGATTCCTTCCCGTCTGACATGACTGACCATCGACCAGTGACTAGCGACGAGTGACCACTGACCAAGCGAAAAGCTCCAATTCTTACGGAGTATTTCTTACCTCCCTCCGCGTTCCACTCCACAGCTTTGCCTCTATGCAATTGGTCATCGAACATGCAGTGCTGGGCAGTATCCAGGTCTAATCGAAGTATTTGAGTTGTGTACGTACGAGATGTGGAGTAGGTATCAAGTACCTCGGATTTAAGAACAGCGCGACGTAGCCGCGACTTGCAAGGTTGCGACGAGCATGACTACGAGTACCGCTACCCCAAAGAGCCTGGCAAAGCTAGGGCAATGGCCCAAATAAGCTGAAACAGGCGCGCGAAGCCTAAAGAGCTGTCACCTAGTCCTTCCGAATTGTTCCTTAGCAGCCCGTTAGCTGCCTCGCCTCGTGCGCCTGCTCCGTGGCCGCGGCGCCTGGTTCACTGGTAGAGCCGTTTTGTGGCAAAGCAACGCAACTTTGACTTTTCTCCTCGATTCCAACTGACGTGATGTTCACCTCTTCACCACTTCACTTTGAAGGTCTCCTCGCATTCGTATGCCTAGGTCCAGTCGGCTCACGTCCGTATCATTCGCTTCACCCTCTTGCCTGCCGCAACTTTCTTGCCGGTCAGCAAGTTCTACGCATTTCTTCGCATCACCGGCATCCTTCTTGTCTTCTCTCCTCCTTCCTGGTCATTCTTGGTCCCGGAATCTGGACTGACCGGCCGTCGTCGCAATTTCGTACTACCGCAACTTGAGTCGTCAGCAAATATCACCTTCCAGCGCGACCACAAATTTTGGGTTTGTCGAAGTCGCAATTGTACCAATTCGCCTTCTAGACCCGTCACCTTTTTCTGCTTTTACGCCTGAGAACCGCGCGGTCTGCTGTTACACCTTTCTCTCTTTGCCTGACATGTGCAATTTATATTTGGCTGAACAATGAAGAAGCCTCGCGATCGGCCTACCCCTGCAGACGGGCAAGTCTTCCTCTTCGTAAACAAGACCTCCAAGTCAAAATCTCTGTCGAAAAGCGATGGCGCGGTCGCTAAGCAGATCAACCGCCACGCGCAACACTTCCGGACTCGCAAGCTCGAGGCCCAAAAGGTGACTTCGGCACGAACTAATTCGTCCTCAGCACGTCGCATAGCTTTGGATGGATGGAATAGGAAAGAAAACGGGTCAGGGTAAGTCAACTCGACCGTGTTCGCCTCAAGCCGGGAAAACGTTCGACCCCGTTGCCACTCAACCAGGCCAGACTGACACGTGTCTAGCTCTGGTAGCGATGAGTCCTCGCCGGTGTCATCGCCGAACGAGGAGTCAACGGCTACATCACCTCCGCAGGCTCCAACACCGGCACGTCAAATCTTCTCGCCTGTCGTCGACTCAGTTGCTGAAATGCCATTGGAGGTCCAGACTTTGCCACGCAGACCGCTTTCTGTGCGAGATCTGGCCGGCTTTGGCTATGCGGATTCGGACCCTGACCAACGTCCACAGGAAGACGAGGATGGAGTCCTGGAATTGTCGTCACCTGTCTATCGGGCAAACTTCACTGCTTATGACTGCATTGATCCTTTCGGCAGCACTCCAGTGCGAATTACCCCCAAAATACACACGGTGTTGCAGTACACGCTCCGGATCTACCCCTACGCGGGCAACAATTACAAGCTCGCGTTTCTGCCGTCGCATGTGAGATCTACCATCACCCAGTTTCCGATCAGGACGGTCGTACAGCGGGCCGTCTACAAGGAACATCATCTGTACTCCCTGATGGCGGCAATGCTAGCTCGGATGAAGCACGTTTTTGTCGTCTCGCCGACAGGGGATGATCCGGAGGCCGTCCGAACCCAAGCCGCGAAGTACCTGCGAACGGAGCTAATCCGCTGTTCCCGCTCAGGTGATGTGGACAAGCAGACCATCTTAGATATCCTCTTTCTCTGTGTCAATGAGATGCAATATGGCCGGTACGAGGATGTGAGGAAACACTTGACCATCGTTGGTAAGCTGCTACATTTGCTTGACACCAATGAGCATCTCGATCGCTGGATCTCGGAGACAGCTGCTCACGTCGACAATCAACTGGCCTTGTCAACAGCCAGACGGCCTGTTCTACCCAGTACCTTTGATCCCGGACCAATGCTGCCTGAAAGAATGGCAATCCTCCGAAGAGAAGCGCACAACCTAAAGTATTACGGCTACCCCAAGCCCACCGCCTTGGTTGTGCCTCGAGGACCGAGTGGCTCCATGGGACTGACCGATGCGATTGCCGACCTCGCTGCCACTCTCGACATACGAATGGGATCACAATTTATCCAAGCTCTTAGAGTCGGCGCCTTTCCTGGCGCTATCGGCCGTGTTGTGGCAGACTTGATCGACTGTATCGAGATCGCCAAGGTGGTGTGGCTCTCCCCTCTGGCCGTGTGTTTCGATGCGGAATGGCTCTGCAGGAAAGCTAGAGCAGTCCTCCGCGCGTTGCTCGCCATCGCCCCAGAGCACAACGTCGGGCCCATGGATCTCATGTGCAAATGCACCGAGGTTGTGCGGTTATGCTTGATGATCTTGATGACGCATGCTTGCACACTAATCGGCTTCCAAACAGCGAAGAGCAACGTCCGGCGACTAAAAGGGGCCATCCAGTACGCACTCAAGTATTGGTGCCCTGCCATCGGTTGGACAGAGGATTGTATACCAGTGGTGCCCAATTCGCGTCTGGATCCTTTCTGCGAGCTACAATCGGGATTTGTCCTTTGGGCTGCGTTGACGGGCTGCTGGTCGTCAGCAGGTCTCCCTGAAGAACATTTCTTCATGGAGCGAGCATTGAACATCTGTCACTATTTCAACTACACCACCTACGAGGACCTCGACAACCATATGTCAGGATTTCTCTATTCAAGATCCTTGCAGGAGAAGAGTCTGAGGAAAGCAGCGGCGCGCCTCCAAACGCATAGAATTTGCGACCCTACGGGATCGGGTTGATACGCAGCTGAAAGGGGAAGTGGCTGTAACCCTTCGATTACTTAACTCCGGCTCCGCCACTGTGCTTTTCTTGGCTTGATCAGCAAGGAAACGTAACACGAACGCCGTTGTGGGGATGGGTCTGGAACATTTACTTTACTAATTACCCACGAGCCAGGTTTCCGCAGCATCTGAGCAGGCGTTTAATGCCAGCTTGCGTCACAGTTAGATGCGCGCCACCTGTGAATCTCGGCTCACCCTCTCAGCAAAGGAGCCCCTGATGTTGATCCAGTACCAGTTGGGCAACTCTCATCGTATAATCGGGGCGTGAGAATGGGGATCGCATTGCATGGCACCATACGGCCGTCGAGCAGGCGGCCCAGGCTCAGAGAGACCGGTACTCTATTTCAATCTGACTTGATCAGCTTTTCCCTCAGCTTGGTATGACCAGCTTTCTGCAATCCTTCGCCAGCAATCGCCGATCCTGCCTCGAAATTGTCTCACATATCTGGAGGGCATCCTTATACGAGTACAATGTAAGGACGTGCCATCCTACCCATCGCACTCCCCTCGAAGATGGATACGCCAAGGTGGAGTTGCTCGTGCGAGTTAGGATGACTTGGCTCACCACGACAAAACCGACCATCTACACATCGGGAATGTCCGCCAGAACCCGAAGATCCGCAACCTAGGCCAGGGACGAGTCTCTGTCCATGTTAGGACGACAACGATCAGAAGGCGATGCAGAGGCTATACAGGGGCATACTGAAAGAGATGTGCTGGAGAGATTCTAATGCGCTCAATCCCAGACGGATGGAGGTGACCTATGGGCTTCAAAACTCCAGCCTGTTCATTTGGAGGGGGAAGGGAACGAGAACAATTGTGCAGACTGTTCGACATTTGCATGTTCTCAAGATGCGAAAATGATAGGGACCGGGGTTCGATCAGCACATCTGCACGCGCAGGGTCGACTCCCTTGTATCAGGCAATGCCAAAGACGAGCAACCCGGTTCCTGCCCCAGCAACAGTTGTCATCCCGCCAGCCCACGAGTCGCTGGTGCGGAGGATCCTGGTTATTGAGCAAGAGGACGACTGTCGCCATCTTGAGTCTGACCCGAGTACTTGTCCACCACAGCATCGGTTCTTCCACACCTGAGTGAGGCACTACCCGCAAGTCGCTTTTGTTCCCGGCGCATCAATGAGCAAGCTGGGCTGGGGCACGGGGTCCTGTTCAAGGGGCAATCGCGGCAGGCTGTGGGTTGAGATGAGGTGAAGTGAGACAAGGAGAAAGATTGACTTGTGGTCGACCTGGCGCTGAGACGGGGAAAGAGATGTGTTCGAAAGGTCATGGCCATTCGGATACGATGCATCTCCACTGGCGTCATGGTGTCATCGACATCATCTAGGGGAGGCTCCTATATAGTGGAGGGTGTCCCAGCGGACAGAACGAGGTCTCCAATATCTCGACATCTTTGAGCCATCGACGGAATAACGAAGGAATACGTGGAACCACCACGAGCATGGGATGGAACGGGCGCGCCTCGATGTTCCTGACGCAACGATGGAAATTGAATGAGCATGTAGCGTCCGGAGCCTGGGTTGTTCTACCCGATCGCATGCTCTCGCATCCCATCGTACCTAAGAGGCTCCGAGCAAGAGCCGTTGCCAAACCCGTAACCCTCGGGAGCGGTACGAAACCCATATTTACACCGCGGAAGCCCGACAAAGCCACAATGGCTCCTTAGGTTCCAATTCCCAAATCATCCCTGCCCAGGTCGCCGCTCTTCCCCTCGTCTAAGACTCCAACAATGCTGATCACCGCATCCTTGTCCCGTGGTTTGTAGGGACGGATAAATGATGTGGCGGCCACCCTGCTCTATCACTCGATTACTTGCTTGATCGGATTCTTGTGCATGTGTGGATGAACAGATTTGATGGTAGAGTCCGGCGTGGCTGGCTGACGAGACGGGTGACCAATGAATATGAGATGTCCTGGCTCTGTCTGGCCACGAACGAAGCGAAGATATAATACTTGGAGTAGTCCCTCGGAGCACCATGTAGCATGTCTGGATGTGAATGAGGGCTGATTTTGTGCGTGCAGCGAGCAACTGTCCTACAGTGCTACAGGACTACAGTACAGTCCGATATCCCCCCTTTTCTGCGCCTCTCACAGCTTCTCGCTCCCCTGCTGCTGCTCATCCAAGATCTTCCACACCAACTGCACGTACTCCTGCGAGCGACTGTTCCCCAGAATGCCCTCGCCCATCTTGTTCATGACATAGGTGAAAGTGACTTTCCGATGCAGGTCCATGACCTCCAGGCTCCCGCCCCAGCCTCCCCAGAAACACATCTTTTCGGTGGGCAGCCAGGGCACGGACTGCGCGGTCCCGCCCCCACCGAGGCCATACCCGATGCCAAACCTCATGGGCAGACCGATGACGAGATCCGGCCCGTCGCTCTGTTCGCGGAAGATCAGGTCGACGGTCTCTTGCGAGAGCAACTTGACGCCGTCGACGGTCCCGCCGTTGGGGATCGCGGACAAGATGCGGTTCAGCCCCCGAGCATTCGCGTGCCCGTTCACGGCCGCCATATCGGCGCGGCGCCATTCCGGGAGGAGCGCCTGTCGCGCGTCCAAGGGCGGGTTGCCGAACGTCTTGACCAGCGGGCTGTTCGGGTCCATCTTGCTAAAGTCCCAGGGGAACGGCGGCGGCGGCAGCACGGGCGACACGCGGGGCCAGTCTTCCTCCAGGGCGCCGACCTGGAAATCCGCGCCCAAGGGACCACTGATCTCGTCGGCCACAAACTGTTTCATCGTCTTGCCCGTCGCGCGCCGCAACACTTCACCCAGCAAGTGGCCCATGGTGACCGCGTGGTAGCCGCTCGCCGTGCCGGGCGTCCACCAGGGTGCTTGCTTCGCGAGCCGCGCCGTGGCGGCGGGCACGTCCATGACTTCTTCAGCGGTGATGGGATCTTCCCACCCCGACACGCCGGACGTGTGGGACATGAGGTGCCGAATCAAGACACTCTCCTTGCCATTCTCCGCAAATTCGGGCCAGTGTTTCGCCACGGGGTCGTCGACATGCAAGAGACCGCGGTCGTGCGCGACGAGCAGGGCGAGTGTCGCGATTGTTTTGGTCGACGACCATACGTTGGTGATGGTGTCAGATTGCCAGGGCTGTGTTTTGGCTTCGTCGAAGTGGCCGCCCCAGATGTCGACGACGTTGGTGCCGTCGATGTTGAGCACGATGCAGGCGCCGAGTTCTTCGCCGTTCGCGATCTTGTCTTCGAGCAACTGCTTGAGTTGTGAGAAGGGGGGTTTGGCGTGGCCTTCAACTCGTGCCATTTTGGACTCGCTGCAATTGCTTGCTGCTGCTGCTGCTGCGTTGTATTTCTTGATGGAGCTTGCTAGAGCTGTGGATGTCTTCCGGACTCCGCCTTACTTGCCACGATACGGGGGCAGTCTAAATACTCTGCCTGGTGATAGAATATACCGTAGAGAGGGAGTGTGGTATGAGTATTTCTGTGTCAGTCGATGACCGCCCTACGACGCCTTATATCCCTCGGTGGGCTCAGACGGGGAGGGTATATCCGAGCGAGCGAGGCAGCCAGCCAAGGGGTACGTCCTGGACTGGACCTCGACTCCTGGCGCCGAAGGTGGAGGCGGGCAGGCAGTGTGCATTGTACGTACCGAGGCAGACTCCGCTTGGACCATACAATACTGCGGCTGCGACTGCGACTGCGGTACATACAGGCGGGATGGGGTTGATTAATGCAGCCATGCGGACGAATGGGCCTACGGTAGGCTTGGACGTGTCGAGACGTGCTCCGACTCAGCAAATAGAAGGCCAACAGATAGCCGTACGAGGAGGTAGGCAAGCAGCTACACCGTATTGCGACTAAGCCTCTGCGCGCCACTGGTCGGTCACCATACGTAGTAAGTAATTATGCATCCAAGAGTCACGGCATTACGAGTCTCAAGCAATGTGCTCGGTGTGGGTATTGTGTTTTCTTTCAGGCCATCCAGATTTTACGGCTTTGCATCTGCTGCCGTCACCGATCTTGACCTGCTACCCTACTGTGGACATATTGCTATAGCATTTTGTGATCACTGATAGGAGGGCTCGGAAGACGTTAGCGAGGATCATGCGCGATCAGAGTGTGGGTGAGGGGCGGGCCTGACTGGGGGCCATGGGGCCTGAACCGAGTCTTGTGTTTTATGCACTGGGGTTGCTGAATAATGCCACCACAGTAGTATGGAATGAATAATAAGACGGCCTCGCATCACGAGGAAGCAGGGGTAAGGTTCGGCTATGCGCATGTCTTTTCACCACTCGTTTTTTACGGGGCGAGAGAGGAGACGAAGGGCAAAGGCATAGCCCGCTTGATACTGCAGTACCAATGGGTGTGCTGTCTTTGAGCCGGTTGGAGGGCGCGACGATGCTCATTGGCTCACTGCATATGTACCAGAAATTTGTCTTATGTTGTGCCAAGAGAGTGCCTTGACCACGCTCCTACACCTTCTTCCTGATACTCTGTTCGAGCTTCAGTCTTGCCACCAAGACACAACCTGCCGACAGCAATGCCACGCCGCCGGCATAGAAGATAGCGGGCCGATAAGGCGCGATAGGAGTGTCGGATTTAAGCCTTGTCGAGGACGCCGGGTCGACTGCCATGCCTGAGGCTTGGAGAAGATATCCTGCTATAGGACTAGCATGGCGGTGTTAGTCATGACAGTCACCGAGAGGGAGTTAAGTAATGCAACGCAATGTCAAGCAAAGCAACACTTACACGCCCATCAAGTAACCGCCCGTCCAGCCAGTAATCGACATGCCCATGGCGATGGCGACGCGGCTGGAGTCAGCGTGCTCCACCCGCGCCGCCGTGCTGGCCACTACAACGGGGTAAAGCGTGAAGAAGGCCCCGTTCGCCAGACCGTTGAACATGGCAAAAACGACCAGCGGGCCCAGAGAGTTAGAGACCGGCCATATGGCCAGCATGCTGACCGCGTTGAGAGCCATGGCCAGGAGAAACATGTTGACCGGCCCGATTGAGTCGCTGAGCCAGCCGGACAGGAATCGGCCCACAGCCGTGCATGCGTTGAACCCACCGACGAGACCGGCCCCAGTCGACGAGCTCAGTCCCACACCCTGCGCCACAAGGGGCAAAAAATAAGGAGGGATGAAGAGCGAGAACGTGCCGATGGCGCCGGCGAAGAAGAGGGCCGTAAAAGCCAGATTGCCGAAAATCGAGACGTCGAGAAACGGCACCTTGCCAATAGGGACGCGCTCGCGGATGAAGAAGGCCGCGGGCGCGCACGTGGCCAGGGAACACAGCCCCAGGAACCGAAAAGTCCAGGCTATGCCGACCCGGTCGATCAGTGCGTCAATGGCGACCGCAAGGACGGCCGCGCCGATGCCCCCACCCAGTTTGACGATCCCCGATGCCAGCCCCAGTCGCGCCCCGAAGTACTGCGTCGGCAGGATGTTCGAGATGGAATACAGCAGACATGCCCCTAAGCCGTAGAGCACCCCCGACGAGCCAAACAGTCCGCCCACGTTGGACGTGGTGAATGAGGAGACCACCTCGCCCGCGGCAAGCAGCCCGAGACCCAGGAACGCAGCCACGCGGGCGCCGAGGATGCGCACCACACGCACGCTGAACAGTCCGAACGCGACGACGCAGGCCAGGCCCAATGTCCCGACGAAGGAGACGGTCGACGTGGATGTCGTTGGGAGGTCGGAGCGTAGGAGGGCGGCCTGGACGACGCCCCAACTGCCCATGATGCCGTTGAACCAGAACGTGAAGAGGGCGCAGATGGAGATGATGGTCCAGCCGTACCCTCCTTCGGGTAATGAGGTGGCAGCATTTAGTGGCGCTGCCTCTTGGAGGAATGTCCTGCCATGTGGCTGACCGTCTGGTGTTAGTCTGGAGGAATCCCGATCAAGTGCGTGCGAGGTCGCGTCTTGCGACAAGCCATTTCGGTGCAGTACGTCCAAGTGCAGCCGCTCCGGCTGCACGACTGTTCGAAGCTCGACGTCGGTTACTGTAGACATGATAGTTGGCTGTGCACGATCGAAGTAGAGAGGCGCCCGTTGGCGACAAACAGTCGAGTGTGCAGAGTCTTTGATCCTCTGGTAAGCCCACCGTCAATATCAGATGAACCATCATCTGTGCAACATCAGGCCTGTGTGAGTCATCCACCCGTTCGCTTTCAGCTTCCCGACGGAAAAACCTCCGGTGGGCCAGGCCTGGAGTCGGACTCCACATCCGTACGGAGTATCCCCTGCTGCTCGGTGTGGGCAAGTGCGCATCTCCGAAAGGGTTGGCCTCTAGAAAATCAACCCTCAATTGGAGTGTCATAGAATGCACCCTCGGTCCCGACAGGATGGGCTCTCGGGATCAAGCCTCCATTGGAGTATATAGAAGGCATCGTCGGTCGGTCTCAAAAGGACGGGCTCTAGCAATCAAGCCTCCATCGGAGTATCATAAAAGGCATCGTCAGTGCCTGGAAAGAACGATTCCATTGCAATGTCGTCCTCGGGCTGTGGCTGGAGCATAGGGAACGACAACCTCCGACTATCGATCGAGTCGGCGGCCTTCAGCAACGACCCCACCGCCGACTCGAGGATGCCGCTGGCGATTTCGAGAAACTCGGCGCTCTTGTTGGACACTCGCAGCGTCCATCGATACTCCTGCAGTCGTCGCTGGTAGAACTCGGCTTCTTCCTGGCTGACCGAGGTGACGAAGCATAACCCCGCAAACGTACCGATCAGGGCAAAGTTGAACTTCGACGCAAAGTACCAGAACGACTGCAGATGCTCCGGTTTCAGGCGGTTGAAGAAGTCCATGGCGCTGATGAGCCGGGCTTTGGCCGCAGACCGGCAGATCTGGATCATGTATGGGTCCGTGTTGTGGGAGAGCGAGCGGAGGATGCGCCGGTGCAGCGTGATTTCGGTGGCGAAGTAGGCCAGGTGCAAGTAGCCCACCGAGCTCAGCTTGCCGACGCGCGTGGCATCCATGCGCAGGGCCTCGGGCATTTCGGCGTACCAGGACCGCAGTTTGAGCTGGATCGGCTTCGCGCGTTCCAGGATCGCCTTGGTGGTGTCGTAGGAGCTCTTGACCTCCATCTCCGCCTTGAGTGAGTAAAGCCCTTCCAAGACTTCGGAGAGCATCTTGGTGAGCGTGATCATGGCGCTGAACAAGGTTCTGCCCTTCTCGACTTCTGTACTGCCTTCCTCGCCATCCTCGTCGGCCGCGCTCTCCGGGAAATCACCGCCGACCACGGGCTGCACAGCCCAGTTGCTGGAGCAAATGTGGGGAGGACGTCCGTAGATCAACGCTGACCACGCGTCTTGCAGAAAGAGAGCCCAGGCGAGGCGTTTTCGAAGCCCCTTCTCCCACGTTGGTATCCGCCAATTCGTGCAGTCCAGATGCAAGCCAAGGTCTTGACCGATGGCGACGAGCTGCGAAGTCAGCTGCCACGCTTGATTGCTCCCCGGACGTTGGAGAAGGAGGAGGCCCGCCTGCACGGTGGACAACTTGGCGCGATGTGACACGTCCTGCAGTGTCCGATAGGCGATGTCTTCGAGTTCGACCACGTCGGGCTTGGGGAGTTTGGCGAGCTCCGAGCTGTACGACCACCAGTTCAGCGCCAGCAGATAGACGGCCGCGAGCAACGGGGGCGAAAATTCTCGATGGGTCCGGCCATACTTCTCCAGGTACACCTTCTTGTGCAGGATGGGGAAGCTCGGGTGCACAATGCGAAAGTAGAGTCTGATCAAGGCCTCGCCGTGAGGGGCGACGATGCGCTCAATGTTGTCGAGCTCCTGGACCTCTCTGGCGTGATTCGGCGAGTCGGCATCGGCGTACTGGTGGAAGAACTCGTTCGGTCCAACCTTGCGGAAAGACCCTTGGTCGGCAGGGCTCTCCCCTCGAAGGTCGTCGTACAGTCGGAGATCTAGAAGTGCGAAATCATGTTCGTCGGTCGGTCCGATCTGTACACAAATGTTAGTCGAGGGGCTGTCGGCTAATTAGGTGGAAGAGGACGGCCTACGTATTTTGCGTATCGGTGATTTTGGAGGCTGGCCATGGTCAGCTCAGAGACAGGATCTCGGAGAAAAGGGCACATTGTCGCTGGCTGGTGTCACTCAGCTGAAGACATACCCGAGCGTCCGCTTCAATAAAGAGTCGCCCTGCAGGTTCGCATAATCGTCAATAACCGGGCCAGTGCGAATAGACTCGGCAGACTGCCGTCGTGGGGCGTGGTGTCCATTGCCCTCGGAATCTCTGTTATCTCTAGACTTAGCCCGATGATAAAGAGCTGCAGGACTGAGGAGTCCCTCGCGTGGAATCAATTGATAAAGGTGGGAAAGCCTCACGATCGTCTTTGACGGACTAGGGGGGCCGCCGAAGCAGTGTCTGAATTGGCGGCCGGATTCGCCTGTCTCCGTCGCCGGGGAGCTTCTTCGACAAAGGTGCATGGCTGCTTGTGGAACTGGCACATCACACACGCACCTGCATCGGGCGAGATGACGCAGCGACTCTTCCTCCTTCGACACCCATCACACGGGCGATCCGGCCGAATGCTAGGCCCGCGGGGACTGGGGGCATCGAGCGATGTCATAGCGCTCACGTTGCCTGACCCGACACCTATCGAGGGACTCCTGGTGGTGGGAGCGGTAGGGTTGATAAGAGTAGGCGGCATCGAGAGCATGACCGTTATGGGGGTGTCCGGAGAGCGGTGCCTTTATTGGCGAGGGCCAAGCGTCCACGCCAAAGCATATCAGTGTCTGAACAGATGTTTGCTTTTTACCTTAAGATTTCGTTTGTGGGCACGTCGCGTCAGGATAAGCTTCTGTTTTCTGGTAGGAGTTGGACATTTGTACACAGTATGGCAGCACGGGCAGGCCAGAAAGCAGATCTGGCAAGCCATGCTGGGATTCTCGAAGCGGAGCCCCAGCAACTAATGGGCTTCCAGCATGTGCCCCGACTAGCCCGGTATAGCGAATGAGCCAGCAATTGATTGAGTAAGAAATAATAGGCACCGTGGATTAGTGTCGTTTCCGAGTGCTGGGAGAGATAAGAAAGGCCGCCGTTCGATTGGCTGCTGGGGGGGATCGGGCTGAAGAACGGGGCACACAAGCGGAGAAGGCGGTGCCACCGCGTGGGCGTGGTGGAGGGCGGGTGAGATGGAGGCTTGTCACCTGTCATCTGTCCCTATCGTTAAATGCCAAAACATGTCATCGAAACCGTCCGTCGTCGAGCACGTCTCCTGCTTCTACTGCTTCTACTGCCCCGTCATCGCCTGGAACCGGCTCGCTATTCCCAGCACCTCGCTATCGGAGCACCGGCAGCCCAGCAACGTCACGCTGAAGGGCAGTTGGGGTCCAGCCTCGCCATCTCGGTATGTAGAGGCTGGCACTGCCACGGCGCACATATCAAGCACGTTGCCGAAGTGCGTAAAAGTGCCCATCTTCGCATTCAATCGGATTGGGTCTGCCAGCATGGCCTTGATGGTCGGATGCTCAGGTACAGTAGGCACGACCAAAACGTCAATTCCCAATCTGTCCGCCGCCGCGAACTGGGATGTCGCTTGGCGGGTGTACAACGCTTTGGCCTGAAGGTCCCGGAATAATTGGACCGCTGTGCTCTGTCGAGCAACCACTTCTTCGAACAGCTCGAGAATGACCGGATGCAGGTGCTGTCTGTTCCTCTCCAGCAAATCGTCTGGGAGGCTAGCTAGTCGCTCCGAGACGAAGGTGCCTGCGTACAGCAGGTCTCCCGCCTTCTGGAATGGTGTCCAGTCGATGGGCACCAGGCTGCCACCCATGCTCTGCAGCTGATGTACAGCTTCATTGAACAGCTTGCGAAAAGTGGGTGAGCACACCTCGAGAACATCAGGCGGAGGGATGCCGAATCGAAACGCCTCTCGTTGCGCGCCCAGGGAATTGACATGCCGTTCCGCCGGGAAAGTGTCTCTCGAGTAGCGATCATTTTCGTCATATTCCTCACAGAGCTGCCATAGCGTGCGGGCATCGTCGACGGTTCTTGTGGCGAAGGCCATGCAATCCAGGGACAGGCATGCAGGAGTGATGCCTTCAAACGACACCAGACCACGCGTGGGCTTGAACCCGACCACCCCATTATAGCCAGCCGGCACACGGCCAGAACCAGCCGTGTCTGTTGCTAGCGAGAAGCTTGCCTAGCCGTGAGTGTCAGCAAATACAAATCATTACTCGCAACCCGGGTGAACCAACCAGATCAGCGCCAACGCTGACACAACTTCCGCTACTGCTGCCTCCCGAGATGTGGTCGTCACTGAATACTGAGTGAGTGACACCAAACGGGCTTCTGCATCCGCTGAGACCAGTCGCCAGCTGATCCAGGTTCACCTTGCCCAGATACAACGCGCCCTGAGTGATGACCTTCTGGTACACCATTGCGGATTTGGTAGCTACGAATGCTAAGGGTGGGCATGCCGTTGTCGTCTCGACCCCCTGGACGTCAATGGAGTCCTTGACTGTGAACGGCACACCGAATAGCGCCGGGCGCGAATGCTTGTCTGGATACAGCTCAAGGAGGCGTCTGGCTTGCTCCAACACAGCATCGCGCGACTCCCGCCTGATCCACACGGCCAGGTCAATTTTGTCGTACTTCTCGATTCGGTCATACAATGCGTTGACCAGCTCCAAAGGCGAGAGGCCGTTTTTGTATGATGCCTGAAGATCGTCAAATCCCAGTTTCCCATTCCACGCTGGAGGTGTCTGTGGAGGTGTGCTGACTCCGTTGCTCTGAGTCTGCCAGGGCGAGAGCACATCCAGAACTGGTTGAAGATCAGCCACGAAACCGAAAAGACCTTGTGACCAGTATATCATGTCGAGTGAAGCCGTCTTGAACGCGGGATTGTAGCCTGCCGTGCTTTGGACAATGCCGCAGCATTCAAACCCTCGATCATTGGCCTCTCGGATGCTGGTGGAAAAGCAGCATTCGGTCGTCACTCCCGAAACCAGCAGATGCGTGATTCCGCGCGCCTTCAATTTGTGGAGGATCTGCGTATTCCAGAAGGAGCCCTTGCCCGGCTTGTCGATGACCACTTCTGCAGGCAATGGTTGAAGCTCGTCGACAATATCGTGACCGTACTCTCCTCGAACCAGGAGAAGGCCCATATCGCCCTTGTCCCCAATGACCTTGAGGTGCTGCTTGTTCCCAGGCGCTGCGGCCTGCCGGATGAGCTTCGAAGACGGGCAGTCCGCCAGTGAAGGAACTTGGCCTTCCCTCGTGTGGACAATGAGCATGCTAACACTCCGACATGCCTCAAGTAGCTGCTTCGTCGGCGCGATCGAGGCCTGCACGGCCTCGAGATTCCCACCCTGGATCTCGCCGAAGCCACCAGAACAAATAAAGTCGCGCTGCATGTCGATGACAAGCAGTGCCGTGTGCTTCAGTGGGAAGGAAAAAGGGTAGGGCTTTGCCTCGATAGTGAGGAAGCCCTGCTTGTCCTTTGATACACCCATGACGGCAGTATATGAGCCCGGGTCTAATGATTTTATTGAGAAACGCGTGTTCTGTTCAAGCTGTACGAGTGACGGAAAGAGGTGCACCTACGGTGGTCCGGAACATCTTGGTCTTATAGACGAGTGTGTCATTCATACCACGGCGGCGGAGAGCAACGGCTTCGACAAGGAAACGCTGTTTAGTCAAGCAAATCTCCCGGACGGTCAAGACCGCTGAGCCCAGACGAAGACGCAGTGCAACGTGCCCCAGACAAATCAATACCTACTCAGTCCCGCAGGCCGAAGTAGCTCAGTATCGTACTGTGTATTGCAGATAGCTGATAAGGCAGAACAGGCTAGCCCCGTATCCTGTATCCGTAACATTTCACCTACCGCTGGCCGCAGCCTCGAGTTTTGCCCTGGGGCCGTCGGCCGTTTCGTAACGTCGTGTCTCGCAGGAGGCCGTATTGACGCAGTCGCCGCCGGCGCTCCTCTCACTGCCGCCGGCACTATCTGTCCTGACCCTCACACCCGCGGCTCTATCACTCCCCGTATCTGGGATCTCGCGTGGCCCAACGTCTCGCCAACCCCAGATTCTGGTCTCTGCGGGTCTGGACAGGACTGGAGTTAAAGATCCGATGAGATTGATGGGCCTCCGACCACCGCCGGGCCGCCTATCTCCCCCGACTGCCCCTGCTCCCTCGTGGCGCCCGGGTCTATCAGTGCATTTCAGGTGCACTTCGTCTATCTTGTAGGATTCCAGCCTTGAGGGGGGAGCTGCCAAAATGAAGAACTGGGTGTCTATATAGAGCTTCTTTTTCCTCACGTTTGCGTTCAGGATCTTCATCCTTCAAGTTACAGGTTCTTCATCCTCCCCGCCTGCCTTCCAAGTTCAATCCTTCCCCAAGTCAAAATGGTCAACTTCTCAGCCGAGCGCTTCTTTCCGAAGCGCCTCTCACCCCAACGCATCAAGGCCAAGGTCGGGCCTCACATGCACTGGAGGGTGCCCATGGAGAAAGGAGTCTACCAAGACTCCCGCTGGTCGAATCCGGACCTGGACCCCGTGGCACCTGAGGACCGAACATGGGGAGCCGTCGTATGTGAATTGCAGAGGGCTTGCATCGTACCTCGAACAGCTGACTCATGCTTTCACAGGATTACTGGGCATACTGGACGAGCGACATGCTTGCTCCGCCCCTTGCCTCCACGGTGTCATCCGTCATGAGCTTGGGATTCACTGCTCGAGAGACCATTCCCATTGTGTTCTGTGGGTTTGCTCTGTGCTCCGGGGCGTTGACATTGACCGGCAAGATGGGTGCTCGATATAGCATTCCATTCCCCGTGCTCGTCCGCTCCATATTCGGCATGTAAGTTGGCGCTCGCGTTCTTGTCGCGGGCTTTCCTCGCCATCCCCCGAGAAACATTTGTTCCGACCCGGTGTTGATGACGATGCTAACTTGCTGCGGCCCACAGGTATGGCAGCTATCCCATCATCGTGCTCCGCTCATTTGGTAAGTGCCCAGTGTCTGCTGGAGAGAACAAGGCTGACAGTCTACTTACAGTGGCCGCCATGTGGACGGCGATCCTCTGCGTCCAGGCTGGTGATTTCCTCAACAACTGCCTCACAGCAATCTGGCCAAGTTTCGTAAACTTCCCCAACCATTTGCCCGAAAGCGCTGGCATCACTTCAGCTGGGCTTCTCTGCTTCGTGAGTCTCAACTGTAAGACAGTTGCAACTCCGCCTGACTCCGTACCACAGTTCATCTACTGGATCTTCCAGACCGTCCTTGCATTGATGCCCATCAAGAAGCTCCGCATCCTCTTCCTGATCAAGGGTATCGTCGTACCTCCTACATTCCTAGCCCTCTTCCTATGGGCAGCCATCGTCACTCATGGCGGCGGGCCGCTGGTCACTGGACATGCCAAGATCACTTCGCCATACATGAATACGGCATACTCTGCCCTGACTGGCTTGAACGCCATCATCGGTCTCTTCTCGAGCATGGCCGTGAACTTTCCTGATTTCAGTCGTTTCAGCAAGAACAACCTGAAGGGATACAACCAGTTCTTCGCGCTGCCCGTCATCGGAACCCTGGGTGCGTTGACTCCCATCTTTGTCACCTCGGCCCACAGCTACATCTGGGGGGAGTTCGAGTGGTACATGCCCGCCGTGATTGCCAAGTTCGACTCCCGTGCCGCCAAGTTCTTCACTGCCTTCAGCTTCATGTTGGCAACAATCGGCAATCAAGTTGCTGCCGGAACGTATCCCTTCTCCAACGATAGTGAGTACCAATCGCTCCGATCGCTGGCCAAGGGGCAAAAAGCTGACCCTGCCCCTAGTCTCCGGTCTGTGTCCCAAGTACATCAACATCTTCCGCGCGACATTGATCATCTCCGTCTTCTGCGTCGTGTCGAACCCATGGCAGATCATCAGGAATGCGTCCGGTCTGCTCGCCTTTCTCAGTGGCTACTCGATGTTCATGGGCGCCATCTGCGGCACAATGTGTTGCCATTACTACCTGATCGTCAACAAGAAGCTCAATATCCATGAGCTGTACAATGGCCATGGCATTTACCGGTACAACAAGATCGGCATCAATTGGAGAGCCTATGCGTCTTTCGTCGTCGCTGTGGCGCCACTGTTGCCCGGTTTCAGCAAGAGCATCGACAACAGCCTCAACGTCGGCGGTGCCTGGAAGATATACACCTTCTCTTGCATTTACGGCTTCGTGATTTCCGGCCTGGTATACTATGTCATCTGCAAGTATATCTCTGACGTCGGTGTCGCCAAGATTGAAGAGGCCGTCTACCCGCCACAGAAGGTGGATTTGAGAGATGTCGAAGTCGGAGTACCTCCATCAGATGAAGACGCAATCCATGAGAAGACCGGTGTCGCAGTCGCTATTGGCTCCAAGGGGCTTGGTTCCGAGTAATGGCAATCGTTTGTGTAGTTGTCGATATATAGGATGATCTGTGTAGCACAGCGGGGAGGATCCGAAGATTGATTGATGAGTTGTTGTTATTGCCGGAGTTTCATGAGAAGGAATGACAGGTGGAGCACGATACCCAGATAATTTTCCCGCATCAATACGTTTTTGCTGTTTCACCGATATGTCGAAGAACATTATCCATCCAGATTCCATACAAGCACATAATTTGATTTCCAAGAAACCACCGCAAGCTGAGATTAGATTCTCAATTGGCAAAAAAGATTCATTCATCAGTCATCACGGTCATGATTCTTCAGCTACCGGTAGTATTCCTTCGTGGTCCGCTTAACCACTTCCGTATCGTAATAGGAAGATCTGTCGTCATCATCATGATGGTGCCTGTGGTGTCGTCGCCTAGAAGTTGCTCTCTGAGGCGGATACGCCGATCGTCGATCATCTTCGTACTCATACTGTCTCATCGTTTGCTCGGTAAAGTTGCGTCGATCCTCGTCCATTTCATCGTACTCGTGAAGTCGCGGGTCGCTTCGCTGGGGACCGTATCTGCCCCGGGAGCGGCTCCTGCTCCGATTCCGTCGGGTATATGCCGCGGCGTAGACGTCGTCGTCCGCCAACGCGTTGCCCTGGAGATAGCGACCAGCCACGTGTGCTTCAGCTCCTGGTCTTTCGTGCCGACTCTCGCTGGCATCATGGTTACTGATCTGATCGCGGTAGAACCCTACGCTTGCCCGTCTTCGCAGATGGGGAGGCGAGTCGTTCCCACCTCGCATTGCGCTTTTGAGCCGCCGAGGCGGAGGAATGTCCTCGGGATAAGCTTCGTGAGCCCGGCCGCGGCCACTGTAGCGGGCGTCGTCGATCTCTTCTGTGACGTGCACGTCCCTGTAGGCAACATCGCGTATCGTGCGATCACGACCTGCACCGCGAGAATCCTCGTAAAACATGTCGTCTCTCCTGGAGGGCGGTGGTGCATCACGTCCTGAGCGAGACTGCCTGGAGTCCAAATCAATTGCATAGTCTCGCGAGTAGCCACCGCCGCCGCCAATGTCGACGACGTAGGTGCCATCGTCTCTCTTCTGCGGCCGGAGGACTTCATACTCGTACCGGCCTCGATCGGGCGGCAGATCCTCAATGATCACAGCGTCCGAGCGCTTGACATAGGCTTCGGCATTCCTGTCGCGGCCGACCGAATACCTTGTCTTGGTGGTTCCAGCGGCTGGGACTATGTTGCGTGACTCGCTCGTCCTCGGCTGCCAGTCACCTTCGGTTCGGTCGTCTCGAGAACCACGCGAGTAGACTCTCTCTTTGCGGTAGTCGTCCTCATATTCAAAGTCGCGCCTTGGCCTCCGGCTGGGCGTTGGGTCATCGGTCTCTTCGCGCCTGCGGTTGGAATAGACGACCTTGTAAGGCCGGTCACCATCCCGTGTCGACATGGCACATCAATGTGATTGCTTGATGATAGAGACGGTTGCTGAAGAAATTCAGCGAAGGCTGAGAAACTCGACAGTGAAAATTGAGATGGATGGCCACCCTGCCGCTCGCTGGTTTTCTTTTTCCGCCCAGGCCCAACAGAGGTGCAGCCTGAGCTCAGCTCGAATGAATGAGTCGCTAACAATTCTGCTTTCGGTCAAAGCTGCAGCTGGAGCTACAGCAGCGGCTGACGTCATCGGCGTGGTCTGATCTGCCACTAGGGGACCACCTATTCGCCGCCCGTCACTGAACTTTCACTCAGCGGTCACTACTTACCTTTCCTTCACTGGTCGCTGATCGAGCCTTGTGGTGCCTCTGCAAGTTTATGCCTGTTACACTCTTTATCCATCGACGGGTCAGTAATCGGCCAGCAGAAGAGGAGTGACTATCTTTTTGCAGGGTTCTTTTTTTGCAGGAAGAACCCAGGGCTGAGGATTCAACAGCTCCTTGAAGAACTAAGTTAGGCGCGGCACGGAGCGCCATCCGGGCATTTGTGCCTGGCTTGCTGTACATAAGGCCCGTGTTGTTCCCGACGACTCACACCAGACGTCTGTACGAAAGCTACAGTATTTCCCGCCAGCCTACCCCGTATACCAGTGGCCGTCCTTCTCTTTATGTGCCGTACAGGGTAGTATGGACTCCAATATGGTATACTTTGAAGTGGTGGCACCTACATAATGCTGTTATGTCACACTCCTACGACCATGCCGATGTCTTCTCTACTTCTCGCGCACCAGCCGCCGCTACTTGTCCATCCTGAATACTCCCACGTATTCCCACCTGCTGTCACCACGGTCTTGAGTCAAGTCCTCAGTATTAGCCGCCTGACTATCATTCTTATCACCGGCGTCATCTTCCTTCTCCTCTTCTCGGGCCAATCTACCGTTGTCATCCTCGGCCGGCGCACCTCTGCTCCGCGGATAGTCACCGAACTCGTTATGCTTTACCGACGACGTCGATCGCTTGGCAGGTATCGGTAGGGGAGTAACATATGGAGGTGGCAGGCTCGATGGTTCGAGACGCTGCTCGCGATCCATCGCTATCTCCAGACGTTTCTCTGTATCTTTGTCCTTGATGGTAGTCGTACTCAATCCAGATGTGTCCACCGTCTTTATTGCTTGTCGGCTTGACCTAGGTTGCTGCCCGCAAGGAAGTATGCGGTCGCTATGAACATTGGCTGCTAGTATGAGTTGTGTTAGTGCTCAAGCGGTCGCGACAGGTCATTCAAACGTGCAGCAACGTGACTTGTTTGGCAGAAAGCTCTTCATGAGCCAACGGAACTACAGAGCATGGCACGACCATTGCGAGTGGAAGACGATGAGGGACTAACAGGCGCTACAAGACATTGGTGCAACATTTGGGGGTCGAAGAGGGACTGGGATACGAACATACAATATCAATCACACAGCCGTCTTTCGTAGTCCCTCGAGTGTCACGCAATACTGAGGGTATCATTGCTCTATAATCGTAAGCTCATGCGTCGTCCTTCTTTCTCTCTTCCTTCTTGTCAGCCTTGTCGCTTGACGGCTTCATCTTCGAGATGACGAGAGCGGCCTTGGCTAAACCCGCCTCCATCATATGTCCGGTTTTTGTGTCTTGCCTACCTCCAGCTTTTGGGTTGGTAGCACCGTGAGAGTCGGCCGCTTCATCTTCCGGTACAAATGGCTTGACCCCCTCGTCTTCAGAATGTTCCACCCGATGAACGTCACTGCTGACCTGTCCTGAGGTAGACTCGTCCTTCACACTCGAAGCACGGCTCACATCTGCACTTTCAGGGTGGGATTTCCTGAGTCCAAGCTCTTTGCCTAGCGTATTCGCCCCTTGGTTGATCACGGCTCCCATCGTCAGGGCAGCAGCGCCCTTCCGGCCACTGTCAACGCCATCGATTGGTCGGACTTCAGTATCGTCAACGCCACGCCAATCTGCGGGCTTCCCCTCGGGTACAGGCTCTCCCTTCTCCGGCTCCGTTATGATTCTTTCAACGGTTCCACCATCACCTTCTTGTTTCGCATATTTCCAGACGACCTTGAGGCGGTCCAGTGCTTTCGTGCCCTTTCGGGAGCTACCCTTGATACCGTCCATGGCTTCCCACTCGATTTCAAAAATGCCGGAATCGTGGCCTTCGTGGCCGCCTTCGAAATATGCATTAAACCAAACGTGAGCAATTGCAGTGACCATTGTGAGGCCCGTGTACCCTGCCTTGTTTCGTCGCTCGAAGTCAATATTAACATCGCTGGTTGGAAGTATCAAGAGCTCAGACGGTTTGAGGATGACAGACTGAGAAGAAGGTCCCGGGCTAGAGCCTAAGCTCACCGAAGATGACTGCGGGGTGCCGTTCGTTGGACTGGTGAGTATTTGGTCGTGCTTTTTAGCATCTGAAGCTGGCCTTTCTGGTCTGTTGCTGTCCTCCACGATGGTCTTTTCCTGCCGAATAAATGTATGGAATGCCCGGATGCGCCGTCCGTTGTCGACGAACCCTTCTACAGACACCTTGACCCCGTCCCTGAGGCCCCAAACATGGACTTCAACGATCTCTATAGGCCTCTCGACATATCGTTTGCCCATCCTGTTCGCCCATCGATCCACATAATCAATCCAACGCAGCTGACTTGGAATACTCACGCCGAGGCCAAACCCAGGGCGCATTCGTCTCGTGGTGAAGCGTTGTAGGGCATCTTCTTTCTTCCAACCTTCCTCGCTGATCAAGTATGAGCAGGCGGCCGTGCCACTCCTGCCTTTCCCGGCCTTGCAGTGTACGACAGCTACTCGCCTCTGATTGTCACCACCATCTTCGCCAGCTTTCTCGTCTACGCGCTGAATCCAATTGCGCATGGAAGCCATAAGATTTGGGATTATCGCGAAGGGAGGAGGGTGGTGGTCCGGCCACGGGAAGTGGTGTACTCTGTTGTAAACCTCTGAATCAGGATATCCAGTGCCTTCTGCTCGAAACTCGAATATGGACCAATCTTCCCCGTGCTTCCGATCGAGGAAGCCAACGAGCTGGTCGAGGGGATTCCGGTAGGCTTTCTTTGGCCATACTGAACTCGGACCCGAAGTAACGACAACTGCTAGGCTTTAGCACCTCACTTGAGCCTAGTCTTGGAGCTTACATACTGTCGTCCGTCACGTAGCACAGATCCAATCCTGCTTCTGGACTACGGATCTCCGTCAGTATTTAGTACTGAGGGCAAATAGTGACAACAACTCCGGCAGACTCACTGTCGCGCTCGCGGCCCAGCGACAATCTGTCGTAAAAGTGAAGCCTTGTGTTGTTAGCCAAGGTTCGGATACTACTGTGTTTGACGAACCATCGCTTCGGAGTCGAGGGAAAGACTATTGTATCATTCTGAGAGCACTTGCGGTCTCACACTTCCTAGGATCCGGAGAGAGTCGATGATACTGTCAATACCTATTTCTCCTTGGAACATTGTCAGATTTCAGGATCGAAGGGGCACCGACGCGTTGGTCGAATAGACTGACCACGACTGACGTCACTTGTGACTTCCGTCGTCTGGTGCGTGTCTGCCCGAACTCACTTCTCGCTCACTTGCATCTGGCCTAATCTAAGACAACTTTTGCTCTCTTGGTTGTGAGATCGGGAATGGAACTGACCTGTTCCATTCGAGAGCTCGACGAAATTATCCAGTTCAAAAGTCTCTGCGAAAGTCTGGGGTTGGGACCTGAATATTGGCCTTGCCTTTTCTCTTGTCTTGACTTCAGAATTTCTCATCGTGTACGCCAATCGCCGGCTCCTTTCTATCCAAGGCTAGTCATTGGACAATCCCAGTGTTCGTGCATGCTACGGGGAAGATTACACAGACGGCCACCGAGCACAGCAGAGGTGCGGAACATCAATACCGTCGGCTCAGCCGCTGAATGCTGTTGACATCCTCGTCGACGTGTCAGGCAGCGGAAGGACACCGCGATATACTCGTGATTACGAGTTACCTCCCACGCGGATGGCAATGGCAACATGCGACCTCGCTCAACGACGGTCTTGCGCGCGAATCCCGGCTTCACGCGCCGGCGGCGGCTCGTGTGAGAAGCCGATTCACGTCTGACGAGTTTTCTCCGTTGCAAACCACCCCCTAAAAGTCTGGTCAGACAGAATACTCTCCGAATGAAGTAGCTGGGGAGCGAGGCGAGGGGCGTCTCCACATCCATCAACGGTCGTACAAAAAATCGGACCCCTGAAATTCCAGGCTCGTCAATCGTGCTCGAATCATGCGTTTGATCGCTAACGTCGTAGGTGCAGATGCGCTCGTACGAGTACATTAGTTATCTCTCCCTGTAATGTTATTGTAAGAGGCGCTGGGAACGCCCCACAGTCTTTGAGATGTCGCTTATTAGCACGCCGCCGGGCTCCGTAATGGCATCCCGGACATCAACCACGTACCGTCCTTATGAGCTGGAGCTTAATCTTTCCCTTGTACTGTTGGACAGGATTCTCATACACCTCAGCCGCGTGACATAGCGGGTTACATTCGCAGACAAACATAACATGGCGGTTGAAGGAGAGGACGTGCAACACAAAGCATCAGGGCCCGGGTCTGGCCCTGGCTCTGGACCCGACGCTGATGCCAATCCTGCTTTCGACAACCGAGATGTCAACACCTCGCAAGAGACATCTACGGAGAAAGGAATCAAGAGCTATGGTAACCCACGACAGCCATCCAGTCCAATGGCCTCGGATATGGAAACACAAAGCCAAACACATCCACGGAGGGTACGCATTTTCCCCAACGTTGATGACGCTCTCGATAAAGACATGACCACCGAGAATGCTGTCTCGCGCCAGATCTCGACTCCACTGGCCGAGACGCTTTCGCTGGGCCACGAGATCCTCTTTGTCGGCATCATCTGCACTGCGCAATTCACCACGCAAGTTGGCTTCGGGCAGACGCTACTCATCCTCCACGACATTGGCCGTAGCTTCCACCTCAGCAACGCCGGCGAGTTAAGCTGGCTAGTCGCCGGCTACAGCCTCACTGTCGGGACTTTCATCCTCGTCAGTGGCCGTCTAGGCGACATGTTCGGGTACAAGCGCATGCTGCTGATCGGGTACGCGTGGTTCTCGATCTGGTCCCTCGTGGCCGGCCTGGCCATCTACGCGGACCATGTGCTGTTCGTCTTTGCGCGCGTCCTGCAGGGCATCGGGCCGGCGATCCTTTTGCCCAACGGTGTAGCGCTGCTGGGCGCAAGCTACGCCAACGGCAGTCCCAGGAAGGACATGGTGTTTGCGTTATTCGGAGCATGTGCGCCAGGTTAGTTCCCTCCCCTGCCCTAGCACCATCTATCGGATCGCATCACCTTTTCTGCGAAGCAAACTACTTGATACATACTTAATTCATGATCCTCAACCTCTAATCATGTATCCGACTCTTCTGCAGGCGGGTCCATCATCGGTGGTGTCTTCGCTGGCCTCTTCGCCCTAACGTGGTGGCCGTGGGCATTCTTCTCCTTCGCCATCGTCCTCGCCGCGATCGCTGTCGTCGCAGCGTTGATCATTCCCGAGCCTGCCGCGAAAACCCGACCCACCGAACCAGCTGTTCCTGTTCTCTCTCTCAGCGAGAAGATCAAGCTTCTCGACATCCCAGGCGCCGCCGTTGGCATCACGGCCCTTGTCTTGTTCAATTTCGCTTGGAACCAAGCACCGATTGTAGGTTGGCAGAAACCATACGTCTACGTCACCATGCTGGTCGGGATCCTCTTGGTGCCGCTGTTCTTCTACATCGAGTTACGGGTTGCAAAAGCGCCGCTTGTGCCGTTCGACTCACTTACCGTCGATGTGGGCTTTGTGCTCGCATGCATCACATGCGGGTGGTCGTCGTTTGGTGAGTCATTCGCTCGTGTGCTGAAAGGGCTTGCAAGTCCTGAAGTACCAAGTTGATTAGAACTGACAGATTGTGGTCCAATAGGTATCTGGGCCCTCTACCTCGTCAACTTCCTCCAAGTGCTCCGCCTGGCCTCGCCTCTTCTCACCGTAGCGTACATGGCGCCCGTGGCGGTGTCTGGCTTCATAGCGTCCGTGGTAACGGGCATTGCCCTGTCGAAGCTCAAGCCGCCCATGGTGATGGCTCTCGCCCTGGTATTCTTCACCATTGGACTCATCCTCGTCGCCACGACACCGGTCCATCAGACCTATTGGGCGCAGACATTCGTCTGCATGATCGTCATCCCATGGGGGATGGACATGTCGTTCCCGGCCGCGACGATTATCCTGTCCAATGCCGTGCGGAAGGAACATCAGGGCATCGCCGCCAGTTTGGTCACCACTATTGTCAACTACAGTATATCCCTTGGCTTGGGCTTCGCCGGGACGGTGGAGGTGCATGTCAACAATGGCGGCCGTACGTCCGAGGACCTGTTAAAGGGATACAGGGGAGCGTGGTATGTGGGGATCGGCTTCGCAGCAACGGGTCTGTGCATAAGCATCGCCTTTCTGCTGAAGGGATATCTGAGGGGAAGCATCGGCAGGTGACTTCAGGGCGATTGTGGTCACGAATGCCGCTGTTGGCACCTCATTTAAGACGAGGATACATCCACCCTGGACCACCTCACGACCGCCGCCAAAGCTACCGTGGAAGTGGCCTGCTTGTTGGTCTTCTTCGCCTTATTAGCCTTCTCCACATGGACGTCCAGATCACCGGCGTCGAGCTCCGCGAGCATCGGAGCATGATTTGGCAAACGTGAGGCCATGGAGGTGGCGGCCTTTTGCAGTCCCTGAGCTCTCCTTCGACCCTCGCGATGGTCTCTTTCAAGGGATTTTCCGAGAAGTGGTCGAGCTCGACGATCAGGTCGGACCGGGAAGTGAGCATGATGCGCAGTTACTGCCTGAGCTCTTGATGTCTTGGGTCGTGTCGGGGGGGTCGAACAGACGAGCACGAGCTCGAAGCCTGACTCCTGAGCCATGGTAGAGGTGCGGTTGGGATTTCCATCCAGTATTCCGCCCAATGGACCGAGATGTCTCGAAGATAGACAGAATACATACTAAGTACCATAGATGTAAACGCAGTTCGGAACAGGGTTGATGGCCGTGGCGACCACAATGTCGTCCCTTGGAATTTCTCCTTGGGCATTAGTGGGATGGTCTCGCTGAACAGGACCAGTGAATTTACCGGCAGAGGAGATAACCAACCGGAGTTATCAGATTGACCATTACCGTCTTTGCCCGCTTTATGTACTTGCCATACATGGTCCTCATGACTGGAGACCACTCCTAGCAGGGTCCGCACTTAACAGCCACTGAGCTACGGTCCGAAAGCAAGCATGCACGGAAATGTGATCTAGCGCTTGGGATGAAGGTCGGTGCCTGGGAGCCTCCAGGCATCAAAAAAGCAAAAATCGAAATATGGAGCTAAGTCTAGCCGGGACTTCGTTCGGACCGGATCATGCTGATCCCGTGAGTCCTCTCTAGCTTTTCTTGCTTTTATGGCTTTGCCTCACCAATGTCTAACTCCAAGCGTCGAATATCTTGGTGTCAAAGCGAGGCCAAAATGGTAACCGACGAAACGATGGTCTTCTCGGGTCCTCCGTTCCACGTGGACTTGGCAGCCCTCGACGCTCTCCACCCCATCCACTACAGTCGACGTCTGCTTATCTTTCGTTGTACGTCTCCTGCTCAGCATGATGCACAGCTCAGCGCCTTGAAGACTGCATCGAAGGAACTTGTCCAAAGATGCCCGATACTAGGCGGTATTGTCGCTCCTTTGCCGCTCGAGGAGGGCAAAGATGTCGAGGACCCGAACTGGCGGACCATCCTTCCTGGTGATGGCATGGAGCTCGTCGTGAAGGACCTCCGGCACGCGCTGCCCTCATTTGAAGAGCTCCAGACAGAAGCCTTCCCGGTCGACAAGCTCCCTTATAGTCTTCTCGTCCCTGTGCCTCAAGACATTGGGAACGACCGACCATTCGCCGCGTGCAAGTTGCAGTACACGGCCATTGAGGGTGGTTCGATCCTGACATGGGCAATGTCGCATTCCGTGGCAGATGGTAGCGGCAACAACGAGCTGATGCGCATTCTGGCAGAAGAGACGCGCCTCGCCCAGAACCACTCCAAGGAAGGCACCTCCAGAAATGCTGCTCCCGGCTTGTCGCCCACCGGGCTCGATCGGAGCGTAATGCGCCACATCACAAGCGACGCTCCCTTCCGGATAGAAGACCACCCCGGGTATATAGCTAATGCACCAGATCAACCTCCGCCCCATCCATACGAGGCCAGCTCCGCAGAGGTATCGGTATTACTGCACATCCCGGCATCTCGCGTTGCGCAGCTCAAAGCCGACGCTCAACAGCCTCACTCGGCCCCGATATCGACCCATGACGCAATAGGCGCCCTGATTTGGCGCAGCGTCATTCTCATCCGGAGCAGGCGCTCCGCCTCAGCACAAAGTATACCTCCCAGCACGGAGGTCAAGCTGTTCATGCCCTCCGACGCACGCCGGCACCTTCACATCCCAGACTCATACTTCGGCAACGCCGTCTATCAGCTCTCCGCCTCCCTCAGTCTGGGCAAGCTACTATCCCCAACAACCGGACTGCAAGAAGCAGCCAGTGCCATCCGCGCCACCATAAACGCCGTGACGCCGGAAAAGGTCCGCAGTCTACTGGGCCGCACGAATCAAGACTGGGTCGACTGGGCGTTCTTGGACAGTTACACCACCACGGGCGTGCCGATGGGCACGGACTGGACAAGTTTCGGCCTGTATGAGCATGACTGGGGCAAGGCCTTTGGTCGCGTGACGAGGTTTCGATACCCCGGTGACGAGGGCTCGACTTGTATTCTTCCAAAGTTGGCCGATGGGTCCGCCGAGGTCATGGTTGCTGTGATGGAGAACGAGGTGGAGGTTCTCAAAGGGGAGGAGTGCTTTGGGAGATACCTAGGCTGAAATGCACGGTGGATGGGGGATGGCCTGGGCATACGGGCAGAAGCTGTTGGGAATCGGGATCCGTTCACTATGTCCAGCGGATTGCACCCCACCTATTGCTGCGCACACCGACTGGGACTCCTTAGCCCCAGGTATGTGTTGTGGGTGTCTGTCAATACCTTTTACTCATGCCTAGGGCATTTCAACCCAGACCAAACGATGCAGCCGCTCTCGCCAAAAAAGATCCACCGGTAGAGACTGGACCTGCACAGACCCATTGGAACTCGTCAGCCAGGATACGAACAACACCTGCAAAGCGAGCTCCTCAGGCCAGTATGTACATATCTCATCTTGATCGCTCAGGGTTGTCGGTCAAATGCACACCTCTGCCCGGCCTGTTTATTGTCGACGGTCGATCGGCAGATGAGAGGCTTGCGGTTTCCTCGTTTTCAGAATTCGAGGTGCAGCAGCAAAAGACATCGACACCCCCTTCAGTCGAAGTCGTCTTAACCTATGAACGACGATGGCTCAAGAACACTGACTTGTAGTCCTTGGTCCTAAGCCACATCAGCCGCTCTTCAGCTCCACCAAGCAACCCAATGTGAAGACACATTGCCTTTTGCTGGTCTACCACCGCAACTGTGTCACTCCGCGCCGACGGTACCCAGACTTCCTTCCCCACGTCCTTTGTAGACGTAACCAAGGGTTCATTTCCGCATGAATAAAGAAACATCAGAACAGTCTCCCTTTTTTCCTTTGCAATTGCAGCTGAGAGTTGTCGTCTTGTTCAAAGTCAGACAAAGCGCGCCTTGTCTCGCAGACAAGCCGCATTGTTCTCCCTTGCTGCCTTCATTTGCTCGGCACAAATCTACTATTCATTCATGCTCTTTCAACCGCCTCAGTCTTTCCTTCAATGGCATCACACTCTGCAGCGAGGACAAGGGGTATAAAGTGCCTGTCCTCCTCTCATTTTCCGTGACTTGCCCATCATCATCATCATCATCATCATCACCGGTACGGAGTACTCCGTAACAGACTTCATCGCAACCGCAGAACCCACAGCCAAGAAAGCGCATCTTTACAAGCTTAGTAAGTACTCCAACTTCACAATCACAACGATAGTCAGAGTCCGAGATTCCCTCGAACAGCCCCGTGAAAATGCACGCTGAATTTCTTGGCAAGGAGCCTGGCTGGCCAACCTGCCCGGACTGCGGTGAAGGCCACGATCCGTGCGAGGCTTGCTTTTCTTGAGCGGACTCGCTGATTGAGGCAACACGATGTGAAGCAAGAAGATGATGATGCAAGAAGATGATGATCAAACCAAAAAAAAAGAACACAAGATCAAACTCGGTATGTAGTTGGTTGTGAGTGAGGAGCTTCCTTTCTCCATGCAGCTAGCTACTAATTACCGTACTTACCCTCGTGTTTCTGGCTCCTGGAGGGTCGAAAAGACCAAGGTAAGTCGATACTATTCAACCGGTAGTAGAGTGGTCATCCTCCTAGGAGGAGAGCATGCCGACGTCAGGTACAGTATTAGGTAAGGAAAGAAGCATATGCGTCTGAGAATAGGCCCGCGCTGACAATTGACATAACTTCCACCTCCTGAAAAGCTCCCAAGTAGAATCCTCATCTCGTGTGTTGCTTTGCATGTTGCGCATACTTTTTGGTCGCGCTCTTTGACACTCTGTACCCTGTGCAAGTGATCGTCGAGTTCGAAAGGCTATCAGAGGCGATCGTCGACGTAAAAGACCGTATGTTTTAGCCAGCGTATTTTGCCCAGAGGGAATTCTTCCTGTCGGCGGGTATTGCCACCGGAATCATGGACTGGTTCCATAGGACACGTGGGCGAAAGGGCGGATTTCTGTCGAAGCAAGCCTGCCACTCCCACAGTTCGGTCTGGAGCATCGCCAAGAGGAGTCGCGAGACTGCGTGTTGACGAGGGAGCTCTGGCCACCTGACGGACGAACGAACAAATGGAGCCCCGCGACACCGCAAGCATGCACCCAGCAAATGGGGTCACGCTCCCTCTCGATCTTGTGGCATGCTTTCAGGAGAGCCAACGGTTGAGACTCCTACAGTGGTCAGCCAGTAAACCAGGAAACAGCCAGTGAAGGCTTCAGAGGTAGTGGTGCAAGAGAAAGAGCATCGTGAAGCGCTTGGCAGGTGAAAAGAACATGGTCACGGGTAGCTCAGGGCTTGCCCAAGCAGATTCTCATTTCTCGTCCATTCACAGCTCAGGGCTTGCCCAAGCGAAGTATCGGTTATTGTCCATTCACAGCTCAGGGCTTGCCCAAGCAATTCTCGGTTCTCAGTCCTTCAAAGCTCAGGACGTGTCCCAGCGAATTTTCAGTTCTGATTCATTCAAAGCTCATGAAGCCCTCTGAATGCAATCTCCTCTTGTTGCTTGCGCCAAACGCCAGTCTCGCTATGCGTGTCACAATCATCGTTACCGTCACGGCCATCTCTCAAGTGACTGTTGTTGACCAACACTTGTCTCTAAGATACGTGCTGCTGAACTGCTTCCTTGGGGATGACGCCTTGTCGCACAAAGATGTCGATCAAGTCCTGCAAGGGTTCCATGTCCTTCTTACTGATGAGGTCGTAGTACATGGCGACAGTGCAGAAATGAACGAAGCAGCTGTTCAGCTCAGTATAGCGACCGAGGTGCCAGAATGGATCGGTGAAGTGGTTGTGATAGAGATGGGCATAGCATCGGAACATCTGCTTGATAATTGCCTTGACATCCGCATGGTAGTGTTGAGGAAAGCCTGAAGTCTTGCCGACCCAGTCATCCTGAACACCAGAGAGCGTAGCCAAAGATTGATTGAGGTTGGTGGGAGGTGCAGCAATCGCACCAACCTGAGTAGCTGGACCTGGTGTGCCAATGTCGCCTGAGATGTAGGTGTGATCGATCGGCATCGGAGGAGCGGTTGGGAAGGTCTTCTCGTCGTGAATCTTGCCCACGATCCAGCGTTGAACTCGGACGATGTACTGAGGCGCAGGGATCTTTGCTGGGCGTCCGTTCTCCAGCCAGGTGTAAGTGAGGCTACACAGGTGTCAGCTAATAGCAAACCGCTTGCCAAGAGAGCGGCGCACCGTCCAGCTGACATGGTGGGACATTGCTGCTCATTGCAGAGAGCGAGCCCAATATTTGTGTCAACCTCTTGAATAACCTGGATCATGCCGGTAAGGAGTCGGTTCATCTCGACCACTGGCTCGGATTAGCCTTAGGTCGCTAGATATGTGGGAAAGCTCCTTGAACTCACACTGATGTGCCAGCCATTCACCGAGTTCGACATTCTTCGGTTGCGCCGCCAAAGTGAGGAAGTTACCCTTGACTGAGCACTTTGCGTATCTTTCATCCAAGAATTTCTTGGGCTGCTCAACGTAGGTGTTCTGCTCGCTGAAGGTAGAGGGGACGGAGGGAGAATTTGTTATATGAGGGAGAGGAGGAGCCTGCTGAGAGACCGGTGACTGGGCCTGCCCATTGTTGTACTGAGCCTTGAGGTTCTGGTTGGACTTTGTGTTGGCGCGGGTAAAACCCTGGCGACTGGGATCTGGGTCAGCCACTACAGCATGTTTGGTAGGAGAGATGGGTCGTCTGAGGGCTCTGATGGGGATGGTGAATCTGAAGGGCATCTTTGTGTGCTCGTGAAAGAGAGACAGGGTGAGGACGGAGAAGTTGCTGGCACAGGTGAAAGCAGACTGAGATGTCGGAGAACTTGAAGACCGCGAGGGGAACGTACACGCTTTGGAAAAACGTCGCCATGACGCCGAGACTGACCACAGAGGATAGGGCAGTTCACACAGTTAGTCGCAAGACAGTTGCTGGTCGTCGACGTGGTGATTGTTGTGAGAAAGGAGTTCAGTTTCATCTTGTCTCGACGGCGAGGAGGAGTATGCATTGATTCTCCCTATATCGCAACTTAGCCGGATGACGCTAACGCTCTTTGGCAGTGACATCTGCGACTTCTCCAACTCGTAACTGTACTATTACCCTTTACGCCTTGGACACCACAAGATTCCCCTTCGACCCTACCGCGGACCCTAGGTGCTCAACATGTCCGCGGAAGTCGAGTCTGCGGTGAATCCTTCTCTCGAAGAGGATGACCTCCCAGATCTGAATGGAGATGGAGCCTCAGATGACGATGGAGACCTTTTCGGAGATGATGAGGACGAGGCGCAGAATAAGTACGGCATAGTTTTCACGTCTTATGGATCCTTCAGCTAACTTTGGTAGCGTCAACAGAAGGTTAGAGGACACGGAGCTGGACTCGGGCGACGATGAAGGCCGAAACGACCGCGTTGCAGCCACAGTTGAAGACGAAGAAGCGATCTACGAAGAACAGAAACAACTCAAGCTCCTCGACGTGGACGTCGCGCGGATCAAACCCCCTGAAGGCGACGAGCTCTTCCTTGTTAACATCCCCGAATTTCTCGGCATCAAACACAGAAACTTCGACTACGCGACCTACGAGCCACCCACGAAACCCCACGATGGCAGCGATGCCAAATTCTCCGCCTTCTCTACTGCAAACACCTCGCTCTTCTGGCGGCGAGACCCTCAAAACCGCGATAACATACAGTCCAATGGGCGCATCATCCGCTGGTCAGACGGCAGCTTCACCCTGCAGATCGCGTCCAAACCCACCGAGCAATATCGCATCTCCACAACCGCCATGCGCCCAGGCTGGCCCAGAAAGACCACAAACCAGGAACACTACGATCCAGCCAGAGAGTCAAATAACTATCTAGGAGCGCCCCATCAGACGATAGGCATGGACCTCCAGATCGTGGCTCCCTTCGATGCAAGCATGAAGATTCAACCAACAGGCGACATAGCCGACGCCGCAGAACTCAAGCTGCGCCAATCCATCGCGGCCAAGGCAGAGCTTAACGACGTCCCCTCATCCTTCAAGTCTGTGAAAATCGATCCCGAGCTCGCGAGAAAGAAGGCAGAGCAAGCCGAGAAAGATATCGCCCGGAATGCGCGGAAGAAAGAGGCCGCGGCGGAGAGACAATTCACGCGCCGGGACAAGGTCCTCGGACGCTCTGGTCTGGGCCGATCAACGGGTCTTACGATTGGAGGCCTGGAAGACGATATGCCCACTGCGCGCGGCGTCAAGGCGAAACCCGCACGACGCAAGTCCAACCGACGAGGAGATATCTTGTCCGACGAAGACGAAGACGACGAGGCATACCGTCGCCGCGGCCGAGAGGACGAATACGACCGCGAAGACGACTTCGTGGCCGACAGCGATGAAGAGCCCGAAGTCTACGAGGACGACGGCGCCGAGGAAGCCGAAGCAGAAGAGGACGATGATCCCGATAACGACGACCTGGAAATCGAAGGGCGGCAGACGGTCGTGGAAAATCGCACGAGAGGCGGAGCACGAGATCGGGAAAGAACACCCAAGCGCTCAAGGGACGACGAAGATGACGACGACGCAGAGGCCGAAGACGACACAGAGGTGAGGAGACCAGCGCCTAGGAAGCAGCGGCGCATAGTCGACGATGACGAGGAATAGACAAGCCAAGGCGCAGATCTTGATCTTGATCATCATCATGATATTGGCATTGTTGTTGACGTTGACATCGATCTTGACATGCAATCATACTACAAGCGTACCTAGGTAGATACCCACCTCAAGGACTGACCTTGGGGAAAAGCAGTACCCCAAGAAGGCCAAGACAAACACAAGGACGAGCACAACAACTGAGCATCCTTCGTAGGAGCCGTCTACGCTCTCGTCCGAACATCAATCATCGAAGCCGCTCTATTCTAGTCCTTCGCACTAATGCTTATCCTTCGTTTTCATTCTCATTTTACTCTCCCAGTCCCCATCTCTCATCTACGATACCTAGGTTACGGGGAGGACCGATGACTGATAAATGACGAATAATCCAACACTGTATCTACATGATGCGGCCACCATTCCAGTGGTCTTGATCTTTATCCTTGTTTTCATCCTCATTCGTGCCACAATGGTACTACTGCCTATCTGTACGAATGGCATGGCGCGGCGTGTATGGTACAGTAGTCCGCGGGTGGTTCCAGGAAAGTAACTCGAGCGAGCAGGTCAGGTTTGCTCCCTTGTCGGGTGCATAGTTTCTATCATAGTAATTCAATATTGAGGGTCGCAGCCGGTTAACCAGCACGCAAGCCCAAATTGGTATTCTATCAGACACATGGCAATTGCACTGGAACATTCATAATCTCTTTGGAGTTCGCTACAGGACAACTCAGACCCAAACATCCCCGAGCAGCCCTTGCCGTGGCTCGAGTATCCATACTCACCATCGTCGTTATGTGCTGTCACCCATGCATGACCCACCCCTGCTTAAGAGAGCAAGTTCTTCACGCTCGGGCTCGCGCTTGCGCCTAAACCATCGCGCCGCTCTTCCCTCCTGTCAAGAGTCCCCGCAGATGCAGATGGGGTTAGCGGTCTGGCCTGCGGACTCTCTGGCACTGCTCTGGGTCCGAATCTTGGCGTCCCTGTACCTGTCATTTCCACACTTTCATGGCGAGAATGTGGTCGTGTGGCTGTTCCGGCCTGATCTGTAGCTGCGTGCGCAATCTGAGCCAATGATGGTGTAGAAGGGGATTGGCGCATCGAATGCGGTGGTGGTGGCACGGTCGTGAAAGGCGGAGGATGTCCTGGCCTTGAATAGCCGTTGACCGGCGAGCCTGAACTAGGCTGCCGTGGAGGTTCCGGATATGGTCTCGACAATAGACTTGACGAGCCGGGGCCGAGATGCGGTGATGGGACAGGAGGACGGTCAGACGTATATCGCGGAGGTGAAAGTGGCCGGCTGACTTGTGGTGAAGTACCGATCGATGGTGGCCCATGATGGTGAGGTGGCAGGGGCGGCGGAGGATGTCCATACGGTGCTGGAGGTGGAGGTGAATGATGAGGATGATGACCTGGCCCAGGTGGCGGCCCTGTTGCGTACGGGGGAGGATGGCCTGGCCGGCCATATGGTGCGCTGTACTCGGGTGGTGGAGGCGGCCTGTACAAAGGCTGTCCATAGAGTCCTGGGACCGGTGGAGGAGATGGCCGGCCAGCCGCTCGTAGAGCAGGGGAAGGCCACTGAGGAGGACCGTTCGACCAAGGTGGATAATGGGCGGCCGGAGGACCAGCGAGATGAGGATGTGTATGTGGTGCTCCTTCTATGGGAGGGCGACCCAGCGCATAGACGTTCGGCGGTGGTGGAGGGTAAGGGGGCTGGATATTAGCCACGGGCTCCGGTGGCTGTTCGATCGCTGCGGGCTTTTCTCGTGGTTTGACTTGAGACGGTGACGAAGGAGGAGTCCGCTTCAACACATGACATTTGTGGCACTGGTACATGGTGTGGTCCCTCCCATCGGTGATCGATGCGAGAGCGGTGCCGTCTGCAGGCTCAACCTTGACAATGCCATTGCTCATGACAGATTCAACCCGCGCCGGTGCTTGGGGATCGGGATGCACTCCATTCGACACCGGAGGCTGTTCCTGCGGGATCGGCCACCACTTGGGACTTACTTCCACGAGACAGGTACAACACTTCCTTTGCCTGCCGCTTTTGTCCTTTGAGCTTTCATTCGTCCTAGACTCGCTCGGCCCTTCGTCTGAGTCGAGTGGCGACTGCGCTGCGGGCGAACCTCTTAGGCTCGTACTACCAGGGCCTTCCGGGTGCGCGAAGGTACCGTTTGGCCGCCCATTGACGGTACTAGGGCGTCTCTGAGGAGGCTGAACCGCCGGCGCTGAGCTTGCAAGATTGGTCGTAAATTGGGCTGCCCGTCGTACTGTCCCAGTGACAGAGTTGTCTACCTGCTTATACGTCCGAGCGAACAATTGCAGTGCGGTCAGTCCACCTTCGGTGATCTCCAGCATGCTGTGGAATTTGGTCGCAGGCGCATGGTTCGGACACCAGATGGCTGCGTTGACTTGTCCACTTTCCGAGTCGAGTTTCATGATGTTGACTGAATCGCGTCGACTGCCCTTGACCGGTTGCACGTCGAAGCCGAAAATGTATTCCGCTTGATGTGCACAGCCGACGTGGAAGTGATTATTGCAATTGGCCAGGTGGCATTTGACGGTCGGCAATCCAGAGACTTTGCAAATCTTGCAAATAGGCTCGAATCGTTCCGGTGGAATGAATCCCACACCTTCGGCATCGTCAAGCAGTTCAGAGTTGCCAAACTTGATTTCTTTAGTCCATAGAGCGCAGGTGATGTGAATCCAATTGTTCCAGGCCGTTCTTTTGAGGGCTTCGCGAGGGTTGACAGGACGTCCGGCTGCTTCTTGCTCCATGCGCCACCTTCGGCTCGCTTCTTGAATGATCTCTCGCTCGATCCGTTCCTTCTCGCGCTCTCGGTCCGTCTTCTTCTTATGCGAAGATCTCAGAGGTTCCATCAGCTCCTGGGCGGTATACTTGACAGGACAGAGCACACATTCATAGGTTGTAGACACCTGAAGATTGTGGTCGTTCCTGCACATGTCACAAAACCATGGCTTGGTGTTGGTCTTGTGCCCGACACCATAACATGAACCATGGACATGAAGTCTGCAGTCCCGGCACTTGAGGAGCTCCTGGCCAGGCACATCAATGACGCGGCACACAGCACACGGATGGATTTTGACCTTAGGGGGGTCCGGTTCGATCGGAGGCGGCTCTTGCGGTTTCTCAGGCGCCTTCTTCTTCTCCGGTACAGCATCTGGAGTAGCACGCGCCCCATCTTTTTCTGTCTTGCCTTTCTTCTTTGGCGGCTCTTCGGGTTGGATGATGTTTTGCGGGACCTCGAGACCAGCTTTATTGACCTCATCTACCGCTTTGGGTGGGAGAGGATCTCCTGACATCTGATGTGCTTCGAGAATGGTCCGAAGAAGCTCTTCGTCGACTTTTCGTTTAGCCGCCCTGCTCCCCGAAGCGGCAATCTTCTTGGATACTTCTTCGATGTCCTCATACTGGATGGCATATTTGCGCCAGAGGTAGGCACATCTCCCACACAGGGCCAATGTACACCAACCGCTCTTGTCTTTGCTGTTCCGTGAAGCTGCATCTTTGGGAACGAGGGTGCCCGGTGCTGTTGCTGGCGCACGTCGCCATTGCCGAGAATGGTGCGTACCACAGAATTTGCAGGAAAATCCACGTTTCTTCTGTGCCGCCTTTTCGTCGTCGAAGGCCGAATCATCGTGGTCGTCGGCAACATCGTCGAGTAGCTTGCTGGTATTGCCATCTTTGTCCGCCCGTTTGGTTTCTTTCTTCGAGCGCCTTCCTTCAAAACTGCCCCAGATCTGCCGGCCTCTATCAGTCTTCTTCCACATGTAGTAGAAACGGACAATTCGGGACTCTTTGATGTTGCCGACATGCCGGGCCACAGCATGGAGTTCACTCCCATACTTGGCCACGCCTTCCTCGAAACGCTTGAGCTCTTCTCGGGTGAGTTCAGGCTGTTTTAGGTCGCCCCTCGGGGTGAGTTCTGTCATCGATTTAAGCGCCTTTTCGACATCGTAATTGTGTTCTTGCAACTTCTCAATTGCCTTGGTGAGGAAATCCACAGACGAATCGAGCAAATTATACTTCGCTGCAATCGGTTTGACTCTTTTCATGTAGTCGTCCACCAACTGCTCCGCGTCCTCTGGTCTTACGCTGCTGTCACCCCTCTCTGACAACTGGTCCGATTCTGGCATCTTGAACAGTAGTTGAGCGGTATGTTCCTTTTTACCCTTGATCTCAACAGGCTCGTCCTGCCCTCTAGCAATGTAGCCGACAGGCTCGTCAATAACCCATTTGGGACGTTTGTGACTCTGATCTCGGTCCGTATCGGTGCCAGTATCCTTGGATCCTTTGGCGCCTTTGATATGGTGCGCATTTTTGTACTTCTTCTTGATTTCGGCGGGCTTCACCAATTCCACAGGACGTCCATGCCAAATATTGACATTGGCTTGATGACGAGGACCAAGTCGAGAACTAGCTCGAGGGTATATCCGGTCATCATAATCCAGAGCGTCTTCAACTCGTGAATGGATTCCGAGATAGCGCCACGGCCACAGGTTCGCTTGCGCAATCTGTTCTTGAGTGGGTTCTGGATGATGTTCAGGAACAGCGCTACTCTCACGCGTTGCCTTGACATGGTTTTCATCGTCGTCCTCGTCCATCGGATCATCATCGGTGCCCAGTCCGACCTCAGAGCCCAAGGGCGTGCTTCGGGAATCCATCCTGAGCTCCTGTGCTCGGCTACAGGCAGCACAAGCCCAAGCAAATCCCCTAGCAGGCTTTTTGAGTAGCGGTGGTCTGACACACTGCATGTGGTACGTTCGTTTGCAAACAGCGCAATCGACCGAGTCATGGTTGCTGGCAAATTGTTCACATTTTGTACACTTCTTGCTCTCGCTGGTCAACTCCCGACCTCGACCGATTTCGACCAAGACAAACTTCCATCGCGAGTCGAGTACCGTTTTCACATGCTGAGGTACATTGACAACCCTGCTGGTAGGAATGACCTCATAGTATCGGTGCATGTATCGGTCATACAGTTTGTCAAACCAGAAGGAATCTGGGTGGCTACGGTATTCGTCCATATTAGATATCTCGGCGAGATGGCGTATACTGCATTTCCCTCGAAGAGAGGTAAGAGGACAGGTGTCTGAATGCATCGAAGCAAATACGACTCTTGTGTCTTGGACCCTCCTAGCAATGTCTTTCGGTCTATAGTACCAATTCACTCGGATGGCATCGACAAGACCTTCGGGGTCGTTCTTCGCATGTAAGAACTCCATGATTCGTGCGAGATAGTAAGGTTCCCCAGGCGGCTCGCAGATCAAGTAGACATGGTCTAAATATCAGTCAGTACAGCTGCCAACAACGTCGAAGCTTGAGACTCTGGCATACCATTAGCCTGAATCGTCGTGCCATCATCCGCGACCAGTTGCTTCTTTCCGTTCAACCTGCTCCCACCGCGTTGGAAACTCATCATGTTTGTCTCGACATAGCCTTTGAAGGGGACGGAAAGCATAGGTTTTGCACGGGAATTGCTCGCTGACGAAGGGGTAGCGGCCACAGTATGATTGCTGCCAGGGTGTTTCCTCTTCTTCGAAGGTGCAGGCGCGGGCGTGGGCGTGGATGCGTCCACTGGCGCAGCTATGGCTGCGGGCACGTTGTCGGCGGGTTTGTCGGACAGGGTGCTGCCGTTCTCAGATGCAACTCCAACACCCCCAGGCAGTTGTTCGCTTGCAGCAGCAGAGCGTTTGCTTGACCGGCTGGGCTTGGACGAGGCCTCGATTTCTAGGTCCATCTCCTTGTCTTCTGCATAGTTGGGGCGGGAGCCACCTGTCCTATTTCTCGAGCGTGTCCCGTAGCCAGATGCGGCATTATCGGCATTGTCAAGGGCGGGCTGCAGTAAAGAGGAGGAGGGGGAGGCGGTGGCGGTCATGGGTTGTGACTGGGAGTTTGTTTCGGAGGGCAGCACGGTGGTGTTCTGGGGTGGAGGTGAAACACTTCGACTGCCATTCCCCGATGCGCCTGCGTTGTTGGACGACGCATCGGGGGGCGGGCGGTGATCCAGCACCTCTGCCACGATTGGAGAATTGACGCTCGACATGATGAGTCAGGATGCAGCCAGCGTGGGCAGTCAGATCCATCAGCGCATGGTGATCGTGAGTATAAGGCGGCCTAGGTGGCAGATGGCACAGCGAGCGTGGCTCGGTCTGTTTATTCAGGTGAGGAATGTCTCCGCGCCAAAGAAATGAGGCATCAGAGACTTAAAGACGGCATGAACAGCAAACGATGACGAGATGGTCAAGCGTCTGCGATCCAGGTCGCAAGTAGTCGAGGCGATGCGGCCGCGAGGCGTAGTGGAAGTGATGACCGAAGGAAGGGAAGTGCCTTGTGGACGAAAAGAGTCAGGACGAACGTGAAGATGGCACGCGCCAGGTGCGGGCCTTCGGGTTAGCGCCTGGTGGTTGGATGCTTCACACCAAGAAATGAGGTTAAGCGTGCTCAAAGGGTGACAAGCACGAAAAGACAAATACGCAAAATCACGGTGCTCGGGGGAATCTTGAATGTAAGGAAGCCCTCGGAGGATGAAACCAAAGAGTAACAAGATATGGGAAGGCTGAAAGTGGAAGAAAGAGAGTGGACGGGGTGAGGGCAGGAATGGGTGGGACAGACGAAAAACGTAGCAGGCAAGCATGAGGGAGGGAGGAAAATGCGGCCCAGTAGTAATCGAACAAGGTTTAGTCTGGAGACTTGATAGTGTCTTGTGGAAGAAGACCAAGTGACAAGGGAGGAAGCCCGGCCGTGATAGGGTTATGATGCAGCGCCGGGTCAATGCCGAGATATTATTGCAAGTTTAAGAATGCTGGAGGTGACTGCGGCGGATGAGCTAAGAGAGTCAGAGCCTGCCAACACATGTATCGGGCCTGAAGGGCCACAGCAGCCCAGTCACCCAGTTCAGAGCGCAGGGCAGAAACAAACGCAACGAAGCGGTCGTGCTTGCGACGTTGAAAAGGTAGGACGTGCCTTGCCATGATGCTGAGAGAGTTTGGCTGAAATCCCAGGACTCGTAATGGGGGAACTAGGAGCCGGGGGGGGAAAACAAGACAGTGGTGAAAATGTGGACTGCGGTGTGTGACAAGCGAGTGGGTAGGCAGTCGGTGGATCGTCATCTGCAAGGCAAGGAACCGCTAAAGATGGACAACTTCGAGCGCGAACGTCAACTTGTACCAGACCGGATAAAAGCGGTTTGGACTTGGGCGTCAGACATCAACGATGCAAGCTTAAGTAAGATGATTCACGCAATAGGCTGATGACCCTCACTATGCGGCAAGACTACCTCAGGCACAACGGCTCTACGTTGTATCATTGTAGGCAGCACCTGCCTCCGAACTCCAGGCCTTTGCAATGGGCATGAACTTGTGGCCACTTCATCCGCATACTTTGAGCCCAGTATTTGAGCTTTGTCTTACCTTCTCACGGGCCACTTGCCTCCACGCGCACTTGGGTCGCTGACCCGGCTCGGTAAATCTATGCGCAGAAGCGAAAATACGTCGTGTCTGCAGACACCACATATCCGCATTACCCTCCGATTCATATTCCGGCAGCTTTTGGGGCTGATCAGATGTATGAATAATTCCGGCTCGCTCGATGAGAGAAGACAGAAGATGAGATGAGGTTCGTTCGGTGGCGACTCGCACGTTGGAGCTGCATCGCCCCACAGTTTAGTGCCGGAGTTCCTTGGCGTCACCTGACCAGCTTCTCCCTTAATTTTGACCACATCTCTGCTTCGGTATTCTTTTCTCTGGCAGCGATATAAATTCAGACAAGCGACGGCAGTTTAAACAAAGGCCGGGAGTAGAATCAGCGACATCAATCTGCCATTTGACAACCTCTTCTGAGCTCATTTTCTGTTCTGTCCGTATCTGATGGGTATCCGGGTATCAACATGCTGTGACTTCGAAACGGCTCCGTCCAGATGTTGCGAACCAACCACTTCATAGCTGAGTCGTCCCAGGACTCTCCATGCTCAACAGAGGACAGCGCTACTTTGTCCAGGCACTAAGCACCGAGCTCATTTTAGATACCTTTATCTCATGTCTCGCCCCACGCTCCCACCTCATACCCGGTCATCCTGCCGTCCGATCTTGGTACCGCTGTAATTGCTTTTCCGTCTAGCTATGAGTCTAGAGAGAAGATTGTTGCAGCATTGGTGTTGTGTGGAAATGCACGACAATGCTTCGCATCTGACAACATTGTTAAGGTCTCAGCTGTTTCGGCAATGCCAGACACCTACCAGGTGGGTGTCAGGCCCGATTACCCGGGCAAAGCCCCTGGGCGAGGCAACTCAGCCGAACTGCAAGCGTGATTTAAGGTTTGGGACTATTCCATATTCGCGGTCGACTATTTCCTGATTGTCACTTCTCACGCATCTGGCTGCCTTGTAGGTCGGTGCCAAACACAACACATCTCCCATCAGCATCTACCGTCGGGCAAGTGGTGCCCTTCGTGTCTGGCCCTTGTCCCAATCGCTACACAGCGGATGGCGGCTTTCTGGCAACAGTTGGCAACATCATATGGCCATAAGACCTCGGTAGACCTAGCCCGCCGACAAACCTTCAATACGACAACCACCGCCGGCGCGAAACGAACCATAGACGAAGTCCGCAACGCCCAAGATGACCAACCGGATTTGCCAATCCACCGCCGCACTGTATCTAACAGCGTACAAGCGCACATTCAACTCGAACGCGCTGAGCATCGTCCTCCCCGCCTCCAGCCAAGCCGAATTATCTCGCCTGTGGGAAATGGTACTCAGGCCGACGCCCGATCGACTGCAGCTCCTCTGGCTGCCACGAGATCAACGCCAGGTCCGTCCCAAAATCCGCTTCTGAGCCTCCGCCATCCTCGGTACGCTTTGCCCGAGAGAATGGTCGAGAACTTCGAGGCTCTGGGGGTGCGTGCCATCTATCCTTGGCAGTCCTCCTGTCTCCTTGGCAAAGGACTCTTGACCGGCGAGCAGAACTTGGTGTACACTGCTCCGACAGGCGGTGGCAAGTCCCTTGTGGCAGATGTGCTTCTTCTCAAACGCGTTATCGAGAATCCGACGAAGAGAGCGATCCTGGTACTCCCGTACGTTGCGCTGGTGCAAGAGAAGCTGAGATGGCTCCGCGCGCTGGCCGATGGTGTCTTCAAGCACAGTGATGAGGTGACCGACGGCTCTCCCTTGCCCTCCTGGCGACGGCCGAGCACAACTATTCGGGTCAGCGGATTCTTTGGTGGAAGCAGATCTAATGTCAACTTCTCAGACTGCGATGTAGCCCTCTGCACCATTGAGAAGGCCAACTTGCTTGTGAACACAGCTATTGAGGAAGGCAAACATGGTGACATCTGTATGGTGGTACTTGACGAACTACACATGATTAATGACGAACACCGGGGATACCTGATGGAGCTTCTGGCAACAAAGCTGATGGCCTTGGAAACGTCAGACAGCAAAGTCCAAATGGTCGGCATGAGTGCTACCCTACCGAACCCGCAATTGTTAGCACAATGGCTCAAAGCAAAATTCTACGTCGCAAAGTACCGTCCTATACCAGTCGAGGAACATCTCGTGTACGAAAATGCAATCTATCCAACGGCGAATGCAAAAGAGTTCTCCCGCACAGCGAGTCAATTGACCACTAAGGACGCGATATCGACACCACGGCCAAAGCCTCAAAGAACAATACAGAGATCAACCCACCACGAAATGGGGAACCCTCTGACCAATGCTGTCGTGGCACTAGCAGTTGACACGGCCCTTGCAGGTCATGGCGCTCTGGTATTTTGCAGCAGCCGCCTGGGCTCCGAGAAAACTGCTCTCTTGATCAGCGACGCATTGCCTACTGATCACGTCGACCAAGATACGCTTGACAAACGACAAGATCTTCTTGCTTCCTTACGGGCTCTTCCGGGCGGCTTCGAATCTTCTTTTTCCAAGACAATATCCTGCGGGGTGGCCTTCCATCATGCAGGCCTCACCACAGAAGAGCGAGATTTAGTAGCCGAGGCATACGACAAAGGCGTTCTAAAGGTGATGGTGGCCACATGCAGTCTCGCAGCTGGCATTAATCTGCCTGCAAGAAGGGTGATTCTTAACGGAGCTCGGATGGGCAGAGATTTGGTGGGACCGGCAATGCTCCGACAGATGCGAGGGCGAGCTGGGCGCAAAGGCAAAGATGAAGTCGGAGAGACATACCTCTGTTGTCACAAGAACGATTTGGAGGCTGTCGCCGCGCTGCTTGAGGCAGAGCTGCCTCCGGTAGAAAGCTGCTTGACTCCGGAGAAGCAAGGAATCACCAGAGCCCTACTCGAAATCATTGGCACTCGAATGGCTTCCAGCAAGAGCTCCGTGGATGACTATGTTCGATCTTCATTGCTTTGGCGCACGATGGATCATTCCCAAGTGCTGGAAATGGTCGAAAAAGCGATTGACGACCTCAGAGCGAAGCAATTGATTCAGGGAGGTCAATATGACGACTGCTTCGAACCGACGAAGGTGGGCATGGCGGTTGTTGCATCTGGACTTGGTCCCGAAGACGGAGTGTTTGTCCATTCTGAGTTGCGCCGCGCGCTCGAATCGTTTGTGATGGATGGCGAAATGCACATATTCTACCTCTTCACGCCTGTCCAGACGGCGGGTCTCGCTGAGATTTCTTGGTTGACTTTTCGGAATCAACTGGAAGGGCTGGATGACAGCGGCATGAGAGCGATGCGACTTGTGGGCGTCGATCCTGCTTTCGTCAATAGACTGGTGAATAGTGGTGGTGAGCTGAAGGAGAACACCGCGGATGAGATCCGCTTGGCGAGGGTGTACCGGAGGACGTACTCGGCTTTTCAACTTCGCGATCTCTGCAATGAGATGCCTGTGCATGAGGTGAGTCTCAAATACTCTGTACATCGCGGACAAGTCCAGAATCTGTCTCAAACTTGCCACGGATTCGCCGCCGGCATGATCAAATTCTGCGAACGAATGGGTTGGGGGATGCTTCGAGCTGTACAGGAACATATGCTCGACCGCCTTCACGCAGGAGCTCGAGAGGATCTGCTGGAGATGGCGCAAGTCGCCTTTGTCAAGAGTCGCATGGCTCGCATTTTCTGGGAGAATGGATTCAAGAGTATTCGCGCTCTGAGCGAAGCGGACCCACAAGCTTTGGTGCCTGTCATGGCGCAGGCTCAGGCAAGGAAATTGAAGCTGCAAGGTGAGGCTGCCACTAGGTTCATGGCGAAGCTGCTTTCAAAAGCAGAGGTTATCGTCAGCAGTGCGAACAGGTTATGGATGAAGCAGCAGATGGCACAATGGGAGGAGGAGTAATGAGCTGGATATTTCATTGCTCCCAGTCTTTGTCGAATCCAGCAAGACAATTGGTCCGATCAGCAGCCTCTCCCCATTGAGCTTCAACGATCACGATTTGGTGCCTTGCATTAGCCTTCTTGGAGGTTTTGGACGAAAGCTTTGGGGACGCGTATGCAAGCAGTAACAAGTGGTTTCCGATTGTGGACCAACTGGTGTCAGTTATCGCTGGAACTGGTGAATCTGGAGGTGAAGATATGGATAGTGTTGTGGTACTGAGCACTGTCCCTGTCCGCTTTCCAGCTAGGTATGCAAGCGAGGTGACCGCTCGTCCACATGATATCGTCCTAAATCGGCATTGAGGTCCTCGCCGAGACGCCGACGAGCTTGCGTCCCAATATCTCCTCAACATCGTGGGGGCCCGGAAGGAGGCGGCTGCGTCGGCTGAAGGCTTGCATATCATGGGAGACCAGCAACACGACAAGTGGCGAGGCGCGTCTTGGGTCATACGATGTTCGCCTGTCCGGGTGAGGCAGAGAAGCAAGAGAGCTGCGCAAGAAGATTTCGCTGCCTCATGGTCTGGTAGATTACAAACGGTACATGCGAGTTGCTGGTTAGCAATTCCGCACTTCGAAAACAGCAGCCTTGCCGTCATTGGCTGCGCTGGGGCTGCTTTGGCAATCCTCTGTCAGCTTTTCATAAGAGTCTTTGCAGGGCCCCTCACCCACCCCTTAAGGATCGGAGAGCCGGCGGGCACGGCCCCATTAGCGCCCATAGCCTACCACAGTAGTGAAAGTTTGACCCGCCCTTGGTACTTGGAAACAGCGCGGCAGCGCGCATTCATGGGAGAGGCTGCCCAGCATGGCACTGTGCAGTACTACCTAGAGTGCGGTCTACAGAGGCGATATCATGATGTATCCCAGAGGCGATGGAGAATCCTGGGAGATTGTTAGATTTTGTTATCCTGCTGCAATGCAGCAATGAGGGACCTCAATGCCTAGACCCCTCCAGGCATGCCTATCGTGCTTCAGTAAGCAGCAAAATAGCCGCCGTCCCTGGCGTCATTCCGTGCCCCTCTGCCCCACCTAGCCACCTGGCCACCTCCCTGCGAGTCCAAATCCTGCAGACATGCCATGCGGGGTTTCCGGACATCCACCTGGCTGTCGCCTTTCTGAAACCCTGGGTTGGATTGGTAAAGACCAGGTAAGCTCCAGCTCAGGAACGACATTGACCGTGTTTCTACCCAGTATGAGTCAGGTAAGTGGCTCGGGTAGATGTACGAACTAAGAGTAAACAAATGCTCCGAGCCTCGAATCAAGGTCGATCTGAGCAAGGATCATGAGGTTGAGCTCCATCCCTCATCACATCACTTAATGGGAAGTCACTACGTATACAAAAGGCTCGAGACGCTCCCCCAAATCGTCCCGTCTCTTCTGCTTCTTATCTCAGACACAGACTTTACCTTCCCCTTCGTCGTTGTCCGTTACTTGCACAGCTCATAACTCACTTTGCAAATCAGTCACCATGGCTCCCAGAATCGCCATCATCTACGTATGTCTCCTGCTGTCATTGTCAACGATAGCCTTCTCGTCCGGACCCTTCGGTACAATCGCTAACTGCTGTTTCTGAGTCTACAGTACTCCATGTATGGCCATGTCGCCAAGCTAGCTGAAGCCGAGAAGAAGGGTATCGAAGAAGCCGGCGGCAAAGTGGATATCTATCAGTATGTCGTCTGGCAGTTGCGGCGTCTGAGAGCGACAGCTAACCATGACTCGTGCAGAATTGAAGAAACCCTCAGTGCCGAAGTTTTGGGCAAAATGCATGCGCCGGCCCAGGACAAGGCTATTCCCTTCGCTACCCCTGACATCATGAAGCAGTACGACGCATTCCTCTTTGGCATCCCGACTCGTTACGGCACATACTCTGCTCAATGGAAGACATTCATCGACAGACTCGGCCAACTTTGGCAGTCTGGCGCCCTGTTTGGAAAGTACTTTGGACTTTTCGTCAGCACTGCCACCGCTGGTGGTGGCCAAGAGACCACAGCTATCACAGCTCTCTCGTCCTGGGTTCATCAAGGCATGATCTACGTTCCTCTGGGATACGCCACGGCCTTCCCTATCCTGGCCGACTTGAGTGAAGCCCGGGGCGGCAGCCCGTGGGGTGCGGGCACATTCGCTGGCGGCGACGGCTCACGACAACCTTCGAACAACGAACTTGAGTTGGCCAAGACCCAGGGCAAGTCGTTCTACGAGGCCGTTTCCAAGGTCAGCTTCGCGTGACTAGATGGCGGTGTCCAAGACACGAAGCCGGCGGCTGCCACGGCCACTACAGACAACGGTGCCAAGCCAGCCGAGCAGAGCGCAACAACAGGAGCAAGCACGACGAAGACGACGCAGCCAGCGCAGCCAGCGCAGGCGAACGAGAAGGACGAACAGAGTGGGCCGTGTGGCCTCCCAAAGAAGTGTGTGATATTATGATGGCTAAATTGTGGATGCAGAGTGAGGGTGTGTGCAGCAGCAATAGACATGAGAATATCCAAAACCCAGTGATACCTCATACCTTTCTGTTAATTGTTCCTACCCATCTTGCGGGTTGACCCTGCACGCACCCAGCACGAACGGACTGCTCGCTGACTCAGCGCGTCATGATTTGCCCTGAAGAACGGTGTGGGTGGGTGTGCAGGCCTCCCGCACCTAGAATTAGCCTTCCCCGCATCGACTCGGGCGCTGATCGAAACCAATGAAACCTGCCAGTTAGAGCCTGAGGCCAAAATTGGGGTCCTCCCGCTCAATGGCTTTGGGGCACATGTGACTCCGACCCAGGGTCTAACTGGCAGATCCCAAGTCCCCGCAAGGCACCCAGGGAAGCCTGAGTTAGGTAGCAACTTCCGAATTGGTCGCAAGCTACAGTAAGTACTGTAGCCTCTCAAAAAAGGTTGGGCCTCATTGTCCTCAAATTCGAGGAGACCATATCTATGGCGATCTACCAGTCCCATGCGAGGATACTCGTAATCTAGGTTGCACCTCAGTAGCAACTATCCATCCATGTCGAACACGGACATGGCGGCCACGATGCTGGCGGCGTATGGCAGTTTCCCCATCGCCAGCACTTTCGACATTACAGACTCGAGCCCAGGACTGCACGAGTCCGAAGTTCCTGCCTACAGTGCTGCGTTCGACGTTGAGCCCTCGGCCAAGAGGCATGCTGCGTGCGATGAATGCAGTGCGTCACAAGCTACGATGCTATCCGCTTGTACTCACGAAGATTGGCAGGAAAGCGCAAGCTGAAATGCTCTGGCGAACCCACAGGATGCGGACGATGTGTCAAGCAGAAGCTGATCTGCCACTACTCGGCACAGAAACAGATGGGAAGACCTAGAAAGAGACAGAAGACTGGCGACACTCGCAACAATGATGAGGATCCTCCCATACGATTGCTCGAGTCTGCTGGTGCTCGGCCGCAACAACCAGTCAATGGACCTCCTCCAAGTGTTTCCGAGCCCGTTGTCGACCCGGAGTTGACGGAAAAGGATATCGAGCGCACAAACTTCCAGAATATATGCAGTGCTTCGATAGCGCAGACTGTCAAACGGAACGCAGCCGAAGCACGGGCTGCTGCCGGAAGGACAGTTTCCTCGGGCAATAACAACGGAAACGTCCAGCCAGGCTCGCAGAGCTCGAGCAATACATCCCCATATGATGTTCCGCAGACACCTGCAGAAGGAGAGGACATCACGAACACCACGCTCTATCCAACAGATGTATCTCAATGGCCTGATTTTAGCGATATGACCATGCTCCCGGTGGTGGTAACGGACAGGAACGAGCGCGAAAAGCCGTTTCTCGCAGGGCACAATGGCACAAACAGCGATCCTGTGCCCGTCACAGGCTCGACGCCCTACTCAAACTACCTTGCAGGACTCGATGTGAATCCTAGCACACTAGGGCAACTTCCCACCGTACCAGCTTGTCCATGTCTACCCAACCTATATCTTACCCTCTCGACGCTGTCCACTTTATCTGCCTTTCCCGTCTCATCTGGTATGATTGACACACTGTTGAATGCTCACCGCACCTGCCGATCCGTCGTATACTGTGCTGTGTGTCCTCAGAAGATGCAGTCTGGGTCGCAGAATGTGTTCTTGAGTACGATGCTGGTCACTGTGCTTGCAGACCACTGGCACCGAGTTAAAAAGGCCGGTGCAAAGGAGCTGAAACTCGGCTTTGGAAGCCCTGACTCCGAGTCGATGGAGACCATTGTACCCATGGGCGTCCGGGAAGACCTTGAATGGCGTACGTTCGGATACCACTTAATCAGGGCATTCGTCTTCGGTGACCACCAAATCCCCGACCCTCCCAGCTCTACGACATCATCCTCGAGGAGAAAACCGCAGATCTTACCAACCCACGTGTCCTCCGAAGACAGCGACGGCTCCGCGGTCTACACACTTGATTCGCTGGTACACGCCCTCGAGCGGCGCCAGAAACAATGGCACGACGTTGAACCATACCATAACTCACGGGAATTCCCGCCAAAGTTAGGACAAGACAATTTGCATCCTGATGCCTCCGCTCACCAGCATGGGTTGCCAAGGGGGTACACCCCGGGAATGACGCTGGAGGACATCAAGAAATGCGAGGATGAGCACCGGGCTAGTGGAGGTGCGGACGAGGGCCTGTTGTGTTTCAAGATTGTTAAGCATAGTAGGATCATGATGAATAGCCTGGAGGGCGATGTTCCCCGAGTGGAGGGCTGATTTGTCACAAGTAAGCCAGAGGTCATTGATAGAAGAGGAACTCTACTGCTCGTACACGGGTAAGGACCCCAATTCGCGTAAAGACAGGTATATGCTTGTGTATGCTCATGCAGATTCGAGCTTCCTGTTCACGCGGCGAGGTCAAGTCAGCCCAGTAGCAAACCACCAAGCAATGCCAGAGCTGTGAAAGTGCCGCCGAGATACTTTTGCGCCGACCGCCTTCTTCTCTGACTCGGCCCTTTCTACCTCGGTGCAACTCGGCTACCACTGAGCATCTCCAAACGACAAGGCCACTCTTACGGAGTACCGTATGCATGAAATAGACATGATGACCTTCTTCTCCCTTCCGCGAATGCGAGCCGCACTGTCGTGCCGGCATATGTATACCCTTCCATCAACACTGCCATCGACCTCGCCGAGATGAACCCCAACCCCACCGCAAAAGCAGGGTCACGACATGATCTTGACGACCTGTCGCTGGGCCGATACCTCGCCGAGTCGAAATCGATACCGGGCTTGAAGGTACCCGTTGTGACGACCAAGATAGGTTATGGACAGAGCAATCCGACTTATTTTGTCGATGATGCCGGGTAAGTGACTGAGTGAGTGAACGAGCGGGAGTGCGGGCGGCCAGCATGCGAAGAACGCGCTGGTCACCTCTCAGGAGCGATGCTCCATCCAATGTTCCGGCACACTGACTCAAATCTTGGCACAGAGGCACACGCTACATTCTTCGCAAGAAGCCCGCCGGTACGATCATCAGTCCTGTGGCCCACCAGGTGGATCGCGAGTACCTCGTGCTCAAAGCCCTGGGCACTGTCGACGGCTTTCCCGTGCCGAGGGTATATACGCTATGCATGAACTCGAATGTCATAGGGACACCATTCTATGTATGTCTGTCTGCCTGCTCCTGGTTCTGGTTCTTCTGAGGGTGTGGTCATGTTCCCTTCGGCCTGCTGCAATGAGGCCACCGCGAAGCAACGTGCCATGCTTGCTGACAAGCCACATCTGCATAGGTAATGGAGTTCGTCAAGGGAAGGATAATCACAGATCCGGACCTAGGCGAGTTGTCGCCCTCGGATCGGAAAAAGGCGTGAGTAGCTACCCTTTACTGGCCGGCCTCCCCAGGGTGCCATATTAAGGGACCCCTGGGCCACGGCCCTGGTCGCTTACCACACCATGCCGACACGAAGGTCTATACTGATCATCTACGTTATATCCGCCTTAGTTGGATCTCCCTGGTCGAGACGCTTGCCTGGCTACACAGCATTGACCCTGACGCCATCGGACTGGGCACGTTTGGCAAGAAGACCGGCTTCTACAAACGGCACTGCAACACGTTCTCGTGAGTCTTGCCACGAGGACCGTCAATCACGCCAGCATTCACCCCTTGTTTGCATGTCGAATGGTCTGATCCCCTCACTAACGGCGATGCAGCCGCATCGAAGCCCAACAATCCAAAGTCAAGGACGCAAAGACAGGCAAGGTCCTCGGCCGAGCACACGAGCATTTCGACGAGATCATCGACTTTGTCAGGCACGAGATGACTAGCGAGAGGTATGCCGTCGTGCACGGCGACTTCAAGTTCGACAACGTGGTATGTGACGGATTTCTATTTTTGTGATTGCGATCCTGGTCCGTATTTCCGGCCTGCAACCGTTCAGTTCTTCTTGTTCTTATCCTCGTCCCTGCTCCTTGCCTTGGCCTCGCCACTCACATTGTGACTTCTCCGACAGATCCTCCACCCGACCGAACCGCGGGTAATAGCCATCCTCGACTGGGAACTCTCCACGATAGGCAACCCCCTCATGGACGCCATCTACGTGATCTCGCCCTTCTGGATCGACTTCCACAAAGCATCCCCCCACGACTTGTCGAGTGGCCGGGGGCGTGAGAACGTGAACGGGGGTGGCAAATCCTCGGGTGGTCCCAACGTCGGCATCTCCAACACCCATGCGCCGGCGTCCCCATACGCGCCCGCCAACCGCGCCACCTCCGGCATGCCCGACCCGGACGAGCTGCTCGACCGGTACACTCGGATCACGGGGTTCGATCCGCGGCTCGAGGGCAACCCGCCGGGCAAGGACTTTGAGATTGCAAAGATCTTCCACTACATGCGCGGCGGGACGATCTCCCACGGGATCCAGGCAAGGACGTACGCGGGCCAGGCGAGCAGCGATTTTAGTCATATCTATTTCGAGAATACACGGAAGATGCTCGACGCGGCGTGGGGGATGGTCAGGCGAATGAAGGGCCAAGAGAGTGAAGAGAAAGCGAGGTTATGAATGAGAACTCGAGCCGAGGAAGTTGGAGGTAGGGAGACAATGTTGAAGTGAAGTGAAGATGATGATGATGATGAGATTTGGCCCTGTGGATGCCACCTCGGCCATGCCAGCTCATTCCATGCACGAGCGACGTTGTCTACTCCGCGGAGGTACAGTACATATGTGCGATGGATAAATTACTGTACTCGGGGTGGAAGGTACTCGCAGATGGCGGTCCAGGTTAACCGCCCTGCGAGGATACGCAGTGGTCGATCAAGCCTGCACAATACATGCAATGCAATGTTTCTGTGGCCACTCTATTACCTTTGTACCGCTGCCAAATTGTTAAACAGCTAGGAACACATAGGTTTGTCGTTGTAAGGGGAGCATGGACACCCGGACGTGCTTTGTGCAGTTGTGTAAAAGTACGAGCACGTACAGTATCGGTCCCAGGGGCAGTCCAACCAAGTGTCAAAGATGGCCTGCATAATTACAGTCTAATTAATGCACCCGGCTTTTTAAACAGACCATCACAGTTCTATACCGGGTAAAACAACTGCTACAGCTGTCTGCTGGACGTCCTTCCCGGGTCCATGCCCTGCCTAGCACTGCATACCTTCACACAGCCAGACCGCGGGAATCGTGTTGCATGCTCAGATCATATGGTCCGAGTAGATAGAACGTAGATGCGTAAAAATCAGCTGTGGAGGCGGGAATTGACTAGGCTTCGTATATGGGGAGCTATAAGAGTGAGGCGGCCAGGCAGCCAGGCAGCCAGGCACTCTCCCACCCCTTCATGATCACGACTTGAGGGTTCGCTAGCGGTTGGCAATGAAAGCAGTAGTGGCCTTGTCTCATTGCCTTGCCTACCTGCCCTCCGCTATCGCCTTGCCAATTGCCAGCTGGTTGATATCTGAAGCGCTTTCCACCCCAACTCCGCATAGCACAGACAGCCAGACACAACAGGCTTCGTGCTTTGCGTACAGACGATGCAGCCACGACGCCGGGATACACGAACCGACAACCCGAACTTAGATGTCGTTGTGGAAGGTCGGCGGCTTCTGCCAGGAGCTGTTCCTCCACTGGACGCCCTTGAAGCGGAGGAGGACCATGGGAATCATGAAGACAATGTGGATCATGGTGAATGTCAACCACGCGTACTGGAATTGGATCTTTTCGCCCAGTGGGATGCTGTTTTGGGGCAGTCTGGTTAGTCTGATATTTCATCCACATTCAAGCCGGCTGATGGCACTTACGCGTAGAATGAGATTGTCATGGAGAAGACGTTGCGGAAGACGTTGAGAATACTGGAGATTTCGGAACTCTGGGGCTTGTAGCACTACAGAATCCGCGCGTTAGCTCAGTGGTCCAGACTCGGGCGGCGCGATGGAAGAGGGAAGGCAGTCGAAACCTACATCTGTGCAATAGGTGTAGGTCACCGTCGTGGCGATCTGCAAGCCGAAATTCGCGATTCCCATGCCGAAAGCCGCTCCCACCCACGAGGTGGTTCTGTAGTGCGACAAGCAGACGCCGTCGATGATGATGCCGATGGGGCAGAGCGCAGCAAGGACAAGGGCATTGATACGTGGTTCGGGCTCGCGTCGACCTCCGTTCTTTTTCGCGTAGCGGTAGACCATCCAATCAGTGAGCCAGCCAGCATTCATCTCGCCGATCAGACAGCCGATGAGAAGTGGTATGCTCAGCAACATGCCGGTCTGCGCGACGTTGAAGTGGTATAGTGAGCGGAAGAGCTGTGATCCGGTGGCGGCGAACATGACGGATCCAAATCCGAAGGCCGTCATGTAGTAGAGGCCTGGAATCACAATGGCGACATACTTCAGCATGTAGAACGGCCGTAGGAAATCGCTGAATTTCAATTTGCGGTCATGCAGCGAGGATTTGCGGAAGAGCAGGAGATCCATGAACGAGCGTTCTCGTTGGTTTGCGATGGTTCGGCGCGAGTAGATTGTTTCCGGAAGGCAGAAGATGGTGACCACACAGAAGCCAAGTTGGATGTAGCCCTGTGCAGACAGCCCGGTTAGTATAATAGAGGATCGTACTGGGCAGGGACTTACTGGGATCAAGAAGCATTTTCTCCAGCCCAGATTCTGAGCGATGAAACCACCAAGCAGGGACGCCGCGTGCGGTCCGTTAGTGAGGAAGAATGTGAAGATGCCCATGTAAAAGCCTCGCTCGTGCATGAAGTACAAATCGCAAATGGTCGCTGCGCCGATGGCGGTGGGTGAACCAGCCCCGATGCCGTTGAACGCCCGGGTAATCATGATTCCAGTCCATGTGTTGCAGTATCCCGCGGCAATGTTGGTCACGGCCGCCAACAGGTTGCCCAGGATGTAGACAGGTCTTCGGCCATAGACGTTGGCCAAGGGCACTGTGAACAGCGGCCCGATGCCGGCAAAGACAATATACACCGTAAGTTCATAAGAGGCCTCGACGATGCTGATGTTGAACTGCTTGCTGAGTGGTACGAAGGCTGGGTTGACAATGGCACCTGCCATGGGCCCGAGAAAGGCAAGAAACGAGACCTGGAGGAGCACAAACAGTTTGAGTGACGGTGACCAGTTCTGGCAAGTGTCAGTACGAGGTGGTAAGCTCAAGTGAAAGCTGCGGTTGTCCACGTACAAGAGGATCATCCTTCCGGTCTGTTGGCTGTGGTGAAAGGGGCAGGCCGTGTTTGTCGAGCTTGAGGTCTCCCGTTGCCTCTCTCTGGACGTCAACCTCTGCAGTATTGTCTGCTGCGTCGTGAGATGACCCCTTGCCCTCCTCCATGTACGTGACTTCTGTTTTACCCTGTGAGGACTCCATCCTGTTCCGACTTTCGCAGCGATCAAGGTAAGGTGAGAGAGGGTGGATGACAACGATGTGGGATTCTACCAGAGATTAAGGGCTCCAGGAGATTACCAGCACATGGCTACCCCGGGGCCACCCCACCAGAGGCGTGCCCTCGGTAGATTCTCGCCAAGGACCCAAGGCGCTGGTAGCCTCGCAACAACAGAATGTACCCTCCCAGACAGGGTACCGAAGGCGTAGATCTGCATGGTCGGTAGTTGGGGAGAAGCGCACGCGAAGTTGGTTTATGGCCGAAATGTTGGGGTGTCGTGTGGGGATTGGGAGGATGAAGCGGCTGTATGAGCCTCGTTGACCTTTTGTGCCGCTCTTCGCCACGACGGGAAGCTGGATAAATCGGCAATATTATTGTGGCCCGACTGCTCAGCGAGGTCGGAGAAGCGACCTGATCGCTTAACAAACCTGCTACAGCCAGTAGTTGTTGTCGAAATGACTTGTCACGGTTGTGGTGGTGGAGGGACGTTCGCAAGCAGGACATCTCTCCAGCTCGTATTCGTGACTTTACAAGCATTTTCTCCGCAGGCTTGAGAGTCTTGTCCATCGGAAGGCGCACCAGCTACGAGGTACCAGCTTGATCCTCGGCGAAGACCCCGGCGCTGCCCAGGCTTTATAGTGTGGGGCACAAAGAATGCCAACGACAGCCTCCGTTACATACCCGGGAGGGTGGGTGGCGGCCATTTGCTTCGAACTGGTCGATGGGCGCTGTATGTAACTCGAGACTCTTTCTAATCGTAACAACTGTGACCACTACACGTACTGAGTGAGTATACGAGTCGAAAATGCCGTCAGCCATCGATCGTCCCCCTTTGACTGTCGCCGTGATAGGCGGCGGCATTGGTGGCCTCTGTACGGCTCTGTCTCTCAAACATCATTGCGGAGATCTCGTCGATATCGATGTTTACGAACAAGCGCCGCAATATAAGGAAATCGGCGCTGGCGTCGGCATTGGTGTCAACGCCGCAAAGCTGCTGCATAAAATCGGCCTCGGCGAGAACGTGGCGCACATTGCTGGTAAGCGTAGCGGCATTTGGATTATGTTCCGAAAATTCGACGACGGATCAGAAGTCGTGACGGTACCCTCGGTCGACACAGAGGAAGTCAAGCAGCTGCCGGTCCATCGAGCGGAGTTCCTGGATCTGCTGGTGGATGTCGTGAAACAGCGAAATGCCGCAAGGATGCATACCAACAAGCGTTGTCGAAAACTCACAGTACGTCCGTTGCAGGACACCTGGTTTTCACGCTGACAGATGCACAGGAACAAGGAGAAGAGGTTCTGATCGAATTCGAAGATGGATCCGAAGCAAAGGCGAACCTGGTCATTGGTTGCGATGGCATACATTCTGCCGTCCGAGCACAATTCACGAGTGACAACCCCGAGTACAGTGGGAGAATTGCATATCGAGGATTGGTCCCAATTTCTGAAATCGAGAGCTGGTGGGGCTTTCCAACATACTCGGTGACATGGTTAGGGAAGAATAGGCATTTCCTGTGCTTTCCGATATCGCAAAACCAGACGTTGAACATTGTGGCCTTTGTTGCCGAGGATGAGGAGAACCTGGGCGACCTCAGGGAGAGCTGGACGGAGATCGGGAAAAGAGAGGACGTCTTCGAGGCATTCAAAGGATTCGAGGAGAGGGTACAGAAGGTCATCCAGCTGATGCCGGAACAACCATCAAAATGGCTGATAAACGACCGAAAACCGCTCGATGAATGGGTGTATCTAGGTGGCAAGGCCGTGCTTCTCGGGGATGCTGCTCATGCAATGACTCCTCACCAAGGTTAGTCGTCACGGCCACTTCTGTTTAATTGTGCTGACACAACATCCAGGCGCCGGTGCAGGTCAGGCTATTGAGGACGGATACATCCTTGGCCGGGCACTCCAGGACTACTTTCAATCTTCGTCTCCGAAAGAAGGCGCCCTCGAGGCTTGGGCTAAGCTGTACCAGGACGTGCGCCTTCCCAGAGCACAAAAGGTCCAGCGGGGATCTCGCGATGCCGTTGAGATTTACCAGGCGCAAGCGGATGTTATGAAGGATCTGCCTTTCGATGAGTGTGTGCCAGAAATACACAAACGGGTCATCAACAGGATGAAGTGGATTTGGACCGACGACATCGATGCCGAATACGATGAAGCAGTCAAGACTCGGAAGGAAGCAGGGACATTGTAGACTAGGACGGAGTACGATCACGGTTGTGAGGCTCAATGGAGACAAATCACCAAGAAGGTCGTTTTCCACCCATAATCTTATCACTCCAATGTTGTTACGCTCTACCCTACCACGCAGCCCTGGCTCATGTAGCACCTCCACTGAAGAAACCCAAGGTCGTCTCAAAGGGTTTGGCTAGAGTATGATCGGCCGAGTCATGGCTCGAGTGTTGTCCGGCTCTTTTGTAGGATGTCATTTTTTGTTCGCCTCTGTTGCGACCAGGCCTGAAGCATTGACATCTCACGGAAGCACAATAGCGGTGGGGAATCCCAAACCCCTCTTCATGCTCGATGCTCGGTAGGACGGAACGCGAGGCCGACGGGAGCATCCTGACCATTGGGAGCACCGGGAGCACGTAGACCTGTGGGAGCACCAGGAGCATGTCCACCAGCGCGAGCTCTCGGAGCACCCCAAGTAGTGGCAGCTCTAGAAAATTGGCATGTCTCACAACTTGGTACGAATTTGACTGCCGCTGGCTGCGGGATGTACTGTAGAGTAGTCTCAGCAGACACCAAATCGTAGAGGTAGAAACTTTTCCCGTCATCTGTCCGCCTGGTCACCTGCCGCCCAAACCTGTCACGGCTTAGGTCATCCTTGCCACGACCGGCTCTCCACAGTCTGTCGTAATAGTCTTTCCACGCATCTTGAGGATCCATATCTAGCGAACGAGGCAGCAGCAGACCGACCTGGTCTTCCCACCCAACGTGAACCTCGACCCTCAGCTTGGTTGCGTTACTCTTCAACACATTTCTGTCGAACCAGCGGACAATCTCTTGGTCATCATTGCGCGTCGCGACATGGAAACTTTTGTGCCTGTTGCCATGTCTCGTGCCTGCTGCCGTCTCTTGAAGAACGAGAGTTGGCTCGAAGTGGGAATCCTGTCGACATCGGCCGGTCTCGAAAAACCGGCCGTCGATCATTCGAAGTCCAATGTGAGTACGGAGATAACTATAAAGTCGTTTCGTGTTCGCGGCTTCCATAGCGGGGATCCTTATGCTCTCTGTAACCCATAGGCCATTGCCGACCACGCGACCCTCAATTTCAACATCCTCAGGATTGCGGACGGACATCCTAGCGCGAGAGGGAGAGTGGTGAGAGTGATAAGGGCTAATACGATGGTCAGCGGCCTGTAACATAGGTGGAACAGCTAATACCAATGGTCTTACCTATAACGCGTGCTTTGAGGACTTTTCTTGTCTGGCCGTGGTCTTGCGGTTGGCTGACTGAGTCGTGGTCGAAGTGATACCAGAGAAGATTGAAAGTTGGGCGAGAGAGAAGAAATGTTCTGATCGAGGAGCCAAAATATGCGATGCTGATTCACCATTAGACGTGAATACCATTCCCATCTTCACTTTCACAGCATGTGACCCATATTCACTCACATTTAATATGCATATAGCATGAATGAGCAAAAATGTTTCCTAAATCACTTCCCAGTTCATCTGGTGCTTCATGAGTAACGCACTCGAAATATCAATCTCTCTGAGAGAAAAACATTGTCTCAAGTCCGCATCAGGAGTTATTGGTCGCTCCAAGAGGAAGATGGCCCCATTACCGCTGAGGCATTACCGTTGCCTCTGTGTTAGCACTGGATAGTGCGATTTCGACAAACACAGATCCCTCCGGGGGTCTCCTCAGTTGTTCTGGGTGCACGCACCGTCTTCCGCCCTTTTTTTCCACCTTTGGACGGAGGTTCGAGTCTCGTTGGTATCGTTGGAGCTCCATTTCTGATCACAGTATCCGGAAGAATAGAAGGTCAGTGGGATAGTACATACTCCGTTCTTCGCTGTCTCTGCACTGCCATCTCAGCTCACGAGGCGGCAGAGCAGATCGTAAGTTAGGTAGAGATATGCATCAACAGACAGCGCTCCAATACTTTCGGCATGCCTTGTCTCAAATTCGACGTGGGGTCGCATTGTGCTGTCAGAAGATACCTACCTGCCTTCCCAGCGAACCACCTGCTTACCTCAGTATTACCCACAGCAACAGCACGAGTATATGTGCAAACAGGTTATCTTGTTCTCCTGGACGGGCACCTTGAAATGAGTCCACTCGGGTGTTACATCTATGACATGACCTGTATTGCCTTTGAGCATATTTGTGAAAGAGGCTATCGCACTCCGCTCTTGAGTGTTCTTGAACTGAAGAATAAAGTCCCCCGTTGCCAAGACCTGGTACGGTGAGTCGTATGAATGAATGGCCACATACGGTAGAGTGAGAAGTCGCTTCATCCGCTTCAAAATATCGGGAATTTCTCCAATTTATTTGCCTGTTACGAAATTTTGAGTCCTGCAAATCGGTGAGCGCTGGGAGCCCGCCTTGCTCGCGTTCTACAAACACTGCCACCTTCCTACGCTGACCTATCGCTGCAAGCAAAAGGAGCAGTACCGCACATATCATGAGTAAACACGCCCTCGAGGATGTGGCAGCCGCCTCATCGCACGCAGAACGAGACAGCAAACGCCGCAAGAAGAACAAGGACAAGTCCCGCAAAGAAAAACTCCGCCTTCAAGACATAACGCCCTCGTCGACCGAAGCCACCGCCTCATCTACACCCGTTCCGGAGGATAAACACAAAGACAAAGATTTCCACGATGACGGCGCCCAGTCATACCAGCCTCATCCATCACTGAGTGCGCTGCCGCAGCAGGAGATTGAAGCCTTCTACACGGCACAGGCTGTGCAGATTGCGGATCCGCGCAAGAGCGTTTTGAGACCTATCCTCACGTTCTCGCACCTCCCCACAGCCCTGGGCTCCCAGTTCGGGAGTATCGTGTCTGGCTTCCAAAAACCGAGCAGTATCCAATCGGCGGCGTGGCCGTTCCTCCTCTCTGGACGGGACGTCGTTGGCGTGGCGGAGACGGGAAGCGGCAAGACATTAGCATTTGGACTTCCCCTCGTGGTGCGTCTCGGAGGGCTCAAGAAGAGAAAGGGTATCAGAGCCGTGATTGTCGCGCCGACGAGAGAACTTGCCATCCAGGTATTCGAACAGCTTGACAAGTTGTGCAAGACCGCCGAGGACAAGAAGTTGAAGGCGGCCTGTATCTACGGCGGGACAAATAAAGACGAGCAGCGCCGGTCGTTAAAGGATGTGAACATCATTGTCGCAACGCCTGGACGGTTAAAGGATTTCATGAGCGATGGAACCATCGACGTGGCGAAGACCCGTTACTTAGTCCTCGACGAGGCGGATCGTATGCTCGACAAGGGCTTCGAAGACGACATCAAGCAGATTGTCTCGCAAATGCCCGGGTCGAAGAAGAGGCAGACGGCCATGTTCACGGCTACGTGGCCGAAATCAATCCGCGAGCTGGCTGCCACGTTCATGAACGAGCCTGTCAAGATCACCATTGGCCGCGACGATGCCGATGACACGGGCGAACTCCGCGCCAATACACGGATCGTGCAGAAAGTCGAAGTCATGGATGGGGCGTTGAAGCAGCAACGCCTTCTGCAGCTGTTGAAGCAACACACCGCAGGGAACAAGAGGAACGACCGAATCCTGGTGTTCTGTCTGTATAAGAAGGAGGCTCTTAGGATTGAGAATTTCATTCGTACTCGAGGGCTCAATGTTGCCGGCATCCACGGCGACATGTCCCAGTCGGCCCGCATCAACAGTCTTGAATCGTTCAAATCTGGCACCACCACCATTCTCGTCGCCACGGACGTGGCTGCCCGAGGACTGGATATTCCCGAGGTGAAGCTCGTGATCAATGTCACGTTCCCGCTTACCGCGGAAGACTACGTCCATCGCATCGGCCGAACGGGCCGAGCTGGCAAGGACGGCCTGGCGATCACCATGTTCACCGAGCAGGACAAGCCCCTGGCCGGAGCATTGATCAATGTCTTGAAGAAGGCCGGTCAAGAAGTGCCAGAGAACTTGTTGAAGTTTGGCACTACGGTGAAGAAGAAGGTGCATAGCGAGTATGGCGCTTTCTACAGGGAAGCCGAGGAGGGGGAGAAGAAAGAAGCCACCAAGATCACGTTTGACGACTAAAAGCCCCAAAAGTTTTGTGCTATGATAATGCAATCTTGTGGTGTCATTTTGTCTTGGGCTTGGGTTGTACTCGGAGGCGTTTCTGCAAGACGGTGGGAATTTTCTGAGCAAGGCGTTCTGGGAGGATAGACTGGAGCATTCCCAAAAGGAAGATGCCGTCGGTGTACAGCCTAGACATTGACCACGCAGACTTTGTTAGAAAAGTTTCGTGCACGAAGAACATAACAAGCAACGGACAACGGGGCAACTCACATCGTAGACACCAAGATCCCAGCCCCTGCCACCCACACCAAAACATCCCCGAAACTGACCTCGCCAGTATTGACAGCACGAACATTCATACCCGACCATCGTGAAGACACAGTGACCGCAACCACCAAGATCACCACCCCAAGAACAGCACCCACATTGGGCATCACCTCGCGGAGCATCCCTCTCCACAACCCCAACCCCAACCCCTTCTGGCCCATCTCCGTCTCCGTTTCCTTTTCGCTCTCCCTCTCGCGCACCCACGCCCGAATATACCTTACGCTCCACCCCACCCGGAGCGCCATATTGAGCATATTCGCGCCCACGAGCCCGACGCTGCCCATCTCCCAGAGATCCATCATCATCCACGCCGCGGCCGCGTATACGCCAGTGAACGCCAGCATCCACAGCGATTGGCTCCGCAGCTGTGCAGGCGTGGCCACGGAGGTGACGAAGGCGTCGAGGATCCCGTTGACGGCCATCAGCGGGATGTAGTAGCAGTACGTTTGCAGGAGGGTGATCGTGGATGGGGTGCGCCATTGGGGAGAGAGCACGAAGGGGACGAGAGCGGGGAGGATGGCCGGCGCGAGGGTGACGAGTGGGCGGGCGAAGAGGAGGTATAGACGGAGTGTTGTTGAGAGGTAGCCTAGGGCGGCACGCGTGTTGGTGTTGGTACCGTTGGCGTGCCTGTCGCTGGCCTTCCGTGACTCCGGTCTACTAAGTTCGCCCTGGTCATCGTCGATCGGATTGGATGTCGATGCAGCCACGGGGCTGGCATTGTCAACCGCTGGCCCCCGCGCGAGCAGTCGTCCGAACGTGTTTCGGCTGCTTTCCTCGACGGGTTGGAAGACCAGCCGGGCTAGTAGACCGCCGTAGTTCGAGGCCAGCGCGAAGGCGCCCTGATCGGCGAGCGACGATAGGAAACTCATGATCAGGGCGTCGCCTTGCGTAAGGAGCAGCTTGAACACCGATTGCATGTACATCGTCGTGGCCAGGGATAGGATCTCCTTGTGGAAGAGACCAAAGTGGTACTGCGCTGAAGCCGTCGACATGGACGAACCCGACCGTACCACTGCCGCGGGAACGAGGTGGAAATTCTCCACCTTTGACAGTCGCAATACCGGCAGAAGATACAGGCCCAGCAAGGTGGCAGCGTAGGCAGCCTGGCCCGCTGCAAACGGCAAGATCGAGGGGTCCACGCCGCGTCGATGGCCGAATAGGGCAATGGCGCAGGCTGCAAAACATCTCGCCATGGCGGCACTCGTTTCTGCGCGGGCCCTCTCCTGGAAGAGGCCCCTCTGCTGGATCACCACGAAGGCCGGCTCGGCCAGCAGTTCGATGATGGTCGCGGTCGCGTAGATCTGGAAGGACGGGCCGAAGTAGGGACTTTGTAGAGCCTCGTGCGCTACGCCCCGTAAGTAAAAGTAGCCGAAGATGCTCGAGATGGCGAATCCCAGGAGAACAGCCAAGTAGGACAGGTTGACCACCGTCTGTGTCTCGCGCCGTCGGGCAGCAGTTCCTTTGTCGCCTGTTGTTGTCGAGGTCGACTCCTTCTGCGTGGCTGGCGATAGTGATGGCGGCTGTCTCTGCAGGGCCACGCGCAGACTCTCCCTCGCGAAATACAAGCACGTCACGGAGACGAGCTCGAGCTGGACGGCTATGCCGAGCAGCGAGGGCGACAGGAAGCGGAGCAGGAATTGGTTGCCAATGAAGGTAAGGCCCCTGGAGGCCACTTGGACCAGAATGAGTAGCAGCGTTCCGCTTCCCGCTTGTTGTGTGTTAGCCATCCTAGCTGGTGTCCTTGGGTTGATTCCTCTTTCTGGTCCACAAAAGACGCTTTGTGGTTGGTGGTTCAACGGCTCAGCTTCATGTTGACTCTTGACGGATGAGACTAATCGTCGCCTCCTCCTTGACTGTGTAGCATTGCGAACGGAGAAGCCAAGAAGGGCGTATGATGATCTCCTAGGTTTTATGATATACCCCGTATTTACCGGTTAGTCTGCGGTAACGAGACGGTGGGATACTTGGTGAGGAGAGACGGAAGAGGTGGGATGTTCTCTCGTCTCCACAAAACGAAACTCCGCTCATATGAGCAGTTGCATTGAAGCGTCCTGAAGGGATGTAGAACCCATAAGCAGCGTGGGTACCTGTAGAGTATCAAAAAGATCTTAGAGTCCAACGTGGAGAGAACAGTTTCTGCGAACAACCCCGAGAGGTGACCATCCAGCTTTTCCGAGCAACCGTACAGGAGCCAGCCGAAACGCCATTGATCTAGCAACCGGTCAAATCCGCGCCTTTGAGTTGATGGTCCTTTGTCAATGGCCATGGAACACCCTGAACCACGTGTTGGAAGAGCATTTGGACGATTGACTTGATAGCCTGAGGCAAATGAAGACCTTTTCTGGATTCCCAAACACTGATCTAGAAGCACGATTGCGCCTTTGGCCATGCCCATATCGCTGCCTGCCACCCTCAGAACCATATCACCAACTTTGCCAGCGCAATGTTGTTACACTTTTGAATCCTTTTCCCTCCCCCGACTTCCACGCTCATACATCATCCACATCCATCTTCTCCACAACAACCAAGCTGTCTGAATCACTGCCACTGCCGATCTCATGCACCGTAGCATACCGCCCAATCTCCTCCTTTGTGATAAGCTTCTCATTCAACACCGCCGTCGTGCCCCGAGCAAACTTGTAATTGCGTTCCTTCCTCACTCGCTCATTCGGCTTGATGTAATTCCTCCGCAACTCAGTCGGCTTGTCCTTCTCAATCACGCAGACGTCAACGTTACTTCCCGAGCCCAGGTCGTTGAAGATGCCGGCAAGAATGGCTTCTGAGCAGATCTTGACGGCTTCGTCCTTGGTACAGTTCTTTTTCCACGTGGATTCAAAGACAGACATGGCGGCCAGGGAGCCGGAGCCCATGGTCACGTAGGGGAGTTTGTCTGTGGAACCGTGGGCGTGGACAGTGAAGAGACCGACTCCCGTAGGATCTACACCCGCAACGACGAGGTATGCGCCAATGTGGCCCTGGTGGCGGAAGAGGTGCTGTTTCAGCATGGTCATGACGGTGACGACACGAGGTGTTCGGCCGGTCGAGAGGGAGTGTAGTTCGAGGTTAGAGGAGATCAGCGCGGTGGTGAACTCAGTGTCCGCTGCGGTACCGGCGCCGGCACACCAGATGTTGGGAGAGATGAAATGTAATTTCTCGCAGTTCTGTCTGTGTCAGGAGAAGATCTTGTACTGGTGGCTTCCAAAGTATCAACGGACCTTGTCAGCAACTATGGGTCCACTCGTTGCTCGTGTATCTGCAGCAATCTACCAAACTCGTCAGGTCCTCCAAAGACGAGTGTGAGTCCACCACGGAATTTCAACATACCACGACCCCGTTGTCGAATATACAGCCCACGATTGTGGTACCCGTGCTCGTGGCTTTCGGTAACGGGACTCCTCGTGCGTGCAGGGCAGCATTGCGATTGTAGTTACTGAAGTCGAACCCCGGCATCGTTGCAGCGAGGCGCGCGGCCTTCAGTTGGACGAGTAGGAAAGGAGGATTGTATCGTGTTGGTTTGACCGTAGCGCTATCTAGGCCGAGATGAACGATCGGAAGATATGAGTCGGACCGTCGACACAGACCACGAGAGCGTCGATGAGGGCGGAAGAGTGATTGTTTGAAATGGACGGTCAAGACAATCAGCACAGCACTTGCAAGGCAGCTTTGAGAGACGCAACCGCGCCGCGAATCCTGCTCGGTCATTGGATCGGCTGACTAGCCTTCTCGAGCCCGAGGCTGAGCGCCAGCCTTGCCGTGCAGTCTCCTCCATTGCCAGCCTTCTGTACGTAGTGCATCAGCTCAATTCGAGTAGTAGATGTGAACTTCTTGCTGGAAGATCTCCCGCTGATACAGCTATTGTCTAGCAGCTTAGGAAGACAGAGACCGTAGACGCCATCAGTGCATGCACCGAGTCTTCAACCTCAACACTTCCATTCAATCCCGTATTCCTCGACCTACATTCCCCCCACACTTCCCAGATGCTATGCAACCCAGAACCTCGCCTCTACAAGATTCGCTGCGACCTAACCAAGCTCCTTCAGCCGAGCCGTGCGGTAGCACAAGATTTTTCCCACACAGGTAGCAATCCTCAGCCGTAGAAGATCTTGATATCATTGGGAGCTAGTTGAACCGGAGCATTGATGAAGCTCCCTAAGTGGAGACAATTGTGTACCATGCATTGCCGACCTTGACTACACCGGGGGCTTCTGGTATTGCTAGGGAAGGAAGGTAAGTGACGGCACGGACAATCGCACACCGAAGATCTTTGCAGCACGCGAAGTGCATGACGATTGTCCCTGGAACACTCAAAACAACGCTTTTCAGTCTAGATGATAAACGCGTCCCCGAGAACAGGAACTAAGGCCACAGATGCCTCAAGCTCGGCTCCGAACCTTCAAGCAGCTTCAAATGGCCCTCAATTTGAAAATGCTTGAATCACAACTCATTACCATACCACCCCCTAATTCTGCAGATACCGTAATAACGCATTCCTTTTCGCAAACAGACGAAAGCATACCTAGCTCAGAAGAGAGGATACAGCTGCAGCGTGCAGCGTGCAGAGAACTGAGGTACCATAGAAATCAAAGAGGCCCGATAACAGCAGTCTCAGACCATATGATGTGCTTCCTTCTTTCTAGACTCGGTGCTTTTCGCTTTCTGTACATGGGTTAGTCAATTGCCATTCTAGAGCGAGGATCAGTCCAAACTTACCGAGCCTAGAGTACAGCATGTACAACGCCATTTGGTTGCATTCTTGCGTTCCAGTAATGGTTACCAACCTCTCGTTGCTGTTGTCCTGCGGTTCATTGATCTTGATAACACTTCCGCTGAGATGTCGAATCTCATTGATTTTAGCACCACCTTTGCCAATGATGGCGCCGACCATATCATTGGGTATGAAGATCTGCTGGGTAATAGGCTGTCCAGGCATTGCATGTGCCGGCTGAGCAGGCTGCCCATGGGCGGCAACAGGCTGAGGAGGCATTTGGCCATAACCCCCTGGCTGTGGTGGCCCCGCGCCATAGGTCGGAGTACGTGGCGTTGCGGCGTAAGGTTGGCCATATTGAGGATACGGCTGCGGTGGAATGCCATGGGCCTGTGGAGCACCGTAAGGCTGTGGGGGCATTCGCTGAGGAGGGTGGGTGTTGTGTCTCTTGTACATGTCTGGATGACCGTACTGGCCACCTGCCGGCTGCGGTACGTACGGCACAACTTGCATGCCACCTGGAACGACACCAGCAGGGCCTCCACTTCTAGTGGCATAAGCAGACGCAGCAGGTCCACCAAAGCGTTCGGTGAGTTGCTCGACTAATGTCACTGCAATGTAGTAAGTGGCAATGTGAACTGCGTCGGCAACGCCCAGGACGACCAGAGATCGCTCGGTGGAGAGAGGTAGGCATGAATCGGAAGCATTGAGACGAGCACCCGAGGCTTCCTGGATTTCTCGGATGCGGACACCTGATTTGCCGATGATAGAGCCAATAAGGATATGTGGAATGAGTAGGCGGAGAGGGTAGGTCTTCGATTGAGCTGTGGAAGCAGCTTCCAAAGGTTCGTTGTTGAGTGTGCGAATGATGAGCCCAAACGCCTTTGCAACAGCATCTTGAGCACCACTAACAGTCAAGATACGCTCAACAGCGCCCCTCGAATAGTCACTGACAGTACATTTCGCCCCGGAAAGTCTTCGGATCTGAGTGACATTCTCACCACCTTTGCCGATGCAGGTTGCTGCTTCTGCACTTGAAATGACCGCACGAATATGGACCCAGTTGGTCTCGTCTTGTGGCGGAATGGAGGGAGCTTGAGAAGCAGCTCGATCATTTTGAGTTGTTAAAGCAGGAACCTGTGGCTCTGGCACAGGAAGCGATGGGGCTCCATTGGCACCCGTTGCTGCCACAGCCTCGACGGCTTGGGCTTCAGACGCTCCATTCGTGACAGCTGCTGGCAATGAATGTTCCTGGGTAGTTGTAGGAAGTTCTGCAGAGACAGCACCAGTTCTGGCTGCGCCATCACCATCAGTGTCTTCCTTGACTAGCTTGTCAAGAGCCGGGCGTTTTGCTTCTGGCAGATCAGTAGGGGCTGAGGGAGATGAAGGGTCTTCCAGAGGGCGTTTCGATGAAGGCATGGTGGAGGTGGGTGAGGCAGACATGTCGCGCGTGATCCGAGGGTTGAGCGGACAAGTATTGGTTTGTTCAACCTGAGTTTATTATTGTACTCTGCGAGAGAGCTTTATGTACACCAATGAGCTGTCGAAGGAAAACTTGATGGTGTAAGGGAGATCTGGATGGGAGTGCGATGCCAAACGTGAGGAAGGAGAAGGGTGTGTGCGCGTGCGAGAGGACAATGTCAATGACTCGTGCTGGGGTTGATGGTGGATTGGGACGTGCTGTGCTGAGGGCGCTGGAATATCGACTGGGTGCAGAAAAGGATTTGACCAGGTGAGACTGAGACCGAAGGTGTGAGGCGCTCAGCGAGGATGGCGTTGTGTGGAGGATTGAGACTGTGCTGGTGATGGAGGTGCAGGCAAAGGTAGGATTGAGTAAAGCAACGCTTTGAATGCGGTCTTGATCCCACTGCCCTCCCCGTATCCAGCAGGAGAAGGATGAACCTGTACTTAACTCGAATGCCCAATATCCGTCGGTCGTCCTTGGGCTCGCAGGGACAGGCAGTCAGCGCCTCGACTCAACGAGAAGAGCGACTTTAGTTTGAGATTCCACAGGCAGCGAGCGTCGGAACTGCGAAAGAATGGAAGCATGAAACTGCGACGTCAACGTCGCTGCACAGGGTTGAAGCCGAGGGCGAGCGAACGCAACTTGAAGATGAGGAGAAGCGCAGATGCAGGAAGAGACGGAGAGGTGGTTGATGGCTGAGTTCGAAATGAAATAGCGTGAGTAGGCACCACCGGCGGGCTCCTGAAAGATGCAACAAGTGCGACACTCGCGAGCTTCGAGACACGCAAATCTGGGGGGCAAGCGAAGAGCGAGAATTTGGAGACCTTTGGTCCTCGAAACTACGCTAGGCCTAATTAAGTTGTCACATGACATCGCTCTGTCACACCCAGTCGCGCGAACAGTCAAGGTGGTGATGGTGGCGGCCATAATTAAGAGAGGGGACATGACGAGTACCATTGACGCAAGGCACGTCCCCGGTTGTGGCTCTATCATACAATAGTCTCGCAAGCAAAGCAGCTTCTTTTCCAAGGATATGCCAACGTCGAGTGTCATCAAGCCGGGGCGTTTTTGTTACACATGCAGCAGCCAACCTTTTAGTATCCCACCACCGTTTTCTTGCGCTTTTCCTCCAATACGTCCTTTAACATGCGTGCCACTGCCTTACGACGCTGTGCCTTTGCTTGCCATCGTTGCATATCTTCTGCGGAGACTGCGGGCAGGCCTCCATTCTGGCTAGTGCGAAACCCTCGCCTTGAGCGTGTACCGCTTCCGAAGTTCGAATCCGGGGTATGATAGACACTCCCAGCACTGCCTGGCGTCCCTCCGTTCACCGATTGTTTATTGCGCGGTGGCGTCGCAGGCACCTCTGCGTCACCGTTACTGATTGAAGACGCGCCTGCATGAACGTTCAGCTTCTTGAGCTGAGCCTCAAGGACGTCGATATCTGCACTCTTCTGCTCGGCCATAGACATCATCTTGCCTACAGTCTTGGTCACAGCCTCAACAGTTGGTTTCTTTTGAGACGCAACTCGCCCGAAAGCACCCGTTTGCGTGTTTGCTGATGACTGTGCCAGTTTCGCACGAAGGACCGTAGTTGCATCCTCGAGCTGAACCATCCTCGTCTGCACCGAAGTAAAACATTTACGCAGATCATGCTGGACAGATAATTGCTCGGCTGATAGAGGAGCACTTGCTGCACCATCCCATGTTGAAAGGCTGTGGATTGTCTTTCGAATGGACATCAGCTTGTTTCTGAGGTCAAACACCTCTTTCTTCAGGGTAGCTTGCGCTTCGCCAGAGTGTTTCAGATATTCTTCGACGTTGCAGCCTGCGAGCATACTACCCAATACGGCTTGTCCTTCGTGAAGTCTGGTGATATCTGACAAGAATCGCTCATCATTCAGCGCGTCCATGGGGGTTTCGGACCTGAGCACACCCGGCCACGACAAATTGGTAGCATCGGGGTGCTGATATTTCATGTAAGCTGACAACGACCGGCAGTTTATCCCTAAGGTGTAGACCATCGAGTTGATGTCTGAGTAAAGCCGCTCAATCTGCGCTGGTATGCCACTTTTACTTGTTTCCTCAGGATCTCTGGGCTGGATAGGAACGAAGTCGTCCAGAGTTGGAGAGGGAGCAATCGGTTGGCCCAATTCTTGCCGCATTCTCTCGTCTTCATCATCTTCCAACGGGGCATATTGTTCGGCTTCGGCTTGAGTCTTTTCCCGGGCGAGCGCTTCACGACGTGCTTTCTCTTTCAGGGCTTCCTCTTCCCTCATCCTCGCTGCCTGTGCAGCCAACCCAGACTGCTGATACTGGGCCTTTCGCTGGTCGATGACTGATCGAGGATGGGCCGGCGCACTAACCGACCTAGAAGGGTCTGGCCGGAGCCCATCTGCAGAGAAGGCTGATCGGATAGGGCTGGGAGATCGGGGACTTTCGTGCGGCTTAGGCGGTGCGAAAACGGGTGCGGCGCCCACCTCGCCAAACAAGGGTCGAGCAGGTTTCGGCGCCGTAGAGGTCGAGGCCACCTTCGTGAACAATCCACCTGTCGGGCTGTTATCGGGACTTCTGTCGCCACTCTTGAACGAGCTCTCTGGTGAGGTCTGTAACTGTTCGCCTTCTTGCAACTTGACATATTCTGACTGGCTATCCTCATCTTCCTCTTCTTCGCCCCCCTCTTCCTCGCCTTCCTCCTGCTCACCTTCCTCGTCTTCTGGTCCATCCTCTTCGAAATCAGAGCTGAACTCGTCTTCATCCTCTTCGGGAAGCGCTTGATTGTTTTCGTCCTGCCCTGCCTTGGGGACAGGGAGGAAATCTGGGGGGAGGGGTGCATCGTTTGATGTTGCTTTCGACACATTGGAGGACGCCGAGGTCTCGCCTGAGGCATATCGTGGCTTGCTAACTGGGTCTGGCGGTAGAGGTGCTTCAGGGATCGTACTCATGTCAACCGACTCGTCGTCACTTGGAGGCTCCTTCTTGATCTCCGGCGCCGGACGGATAGGCTGGAAAGTTGGTGTTGGTTCGCTCTTCTGGATTACTGCAGGTGACTCTTGAGCAGATGTCTTTGTCCCGAACATGGCCAAGTGCGCGGGATTTGGTGTCTCTTTAGGAGTGGTGGAGGAGAGGGCATTGGATGGCCAACCCGGGCTATTTAATTTGTGGTCTGGCGTCGTCGCATCCTGCTGAGGTGGACCGAAGAGGTTAGATACTGGCGGTGCTGGAGTGGCCTTCGACTGCGTGAGTGTAGAAGGTGGAGTTACCAGCGTCTGCGGAGTTTTGGTATTAGCTTGAGGTGAGAATCCATGGAAGGAGGTGTTTGGAGCATTGTCAGAGTCAGCTTCGCTGGGCGCGCTCTCTTCGTCCATCTCAGCCTCTTTATCTCGAGTTGGCGATACAGCACGCTTGCTTTCTCCCAGCATATCGCCGAACGCACTTCCAAAGCTGAAGCCGGGCTCTTTAGGTAGAGGTAAGTCGTCTGTCGCGCTTCCGTCGCCAGTGAACGACGATTGCAACTTGAAGACGTTGCCAGATCCAAACGGGCTCGGAGCCTCAGACGGCTTCTTACTAGCGAAGGGAGACCCTTGAGCGCCAGGTGATGCGAAAGAGGTGAAGCTACCTCCGGGCGCCTTGGCTGCAAACGGTGATTGCTGAGCTTTATCGCCACCAAACAAGCTGCCGGATTTCTGTGAAAAGGCGGTTGCACCACCGGTAGCTGCAAAAGGGCTCTTGTTCTCCGGCCCTGTTCCCCCACCAGCGAAGGAAGCGAACCCTCCTTTCGAGAACGAACCAAAGCCAGAGCCACTCGCGCCAGCACCTGCGCCAGCAAAGGGACTAGCGGCTCCCGAGGCACCAGCGACAGATGCTTGGCCGAAGGAAGGGGTTGCTCCAATTGTTGAGGGCTTGCCAAAGCCTCCAGCGAATGCGCTCGGCTGTCCAAATGCTGTAGTCCTACCGCCCACAGCGCTTGGGGACCCAAAAGCTGCAGTCTGGCTGCTCATTGGGGTAGCTGAACCAAAAGCTGGCTGTCCAAAGGTCGTCGAGGCTACTGTTCCATTCGTGGAGCCGAAACCAGTACTGGTCCAGGATGGCTTGTCTGATGTGATAGGTGACGAGGCCCCGAATGGCTTCGTAGATGGGACACCAAGAGGAGCCTGGGTCGTCTGGGTGCCGAAGGCCGAACCTGTTGTCTTGGCAAACGCATTGGCTGTAGCAGGTGCATCAAAGGTAGATGTGGTAGCGGTCGATGGTGGAGACGGAGATGTTGCATTTGGTGCCGTGGCCTGCTTTGCTGCTTGAAGAGAAGCAAAGCCAGAGAAAGCAGTCTTCTGTCTGACGGAGTCGTTGTAAATGACCCACCAAGCCACAAGGACACCCTCGTTGTTCAAAATGAGTAAACAGGGCACCGGTCCGTTCGTCTCTTCAATTTCGGGGTCTGATGGAATCGGGTTCGGGACTCTTTCGGAGCTGGACAGATCCACAACCATGCCAACGGGAGAAGTGTCTTGCATCGTTGAGGTAAGAGGAAGCTGGGCGCGCCTGGAATCGTCTTCAACCATGGTGAGCGTGAAGGCGCCAATGACTGGCTCATCTTGGGAGAGTGCCTGGTCGGATTTTGAGACTAGTCCGACATCCGTGGCTGCTGTTGCCGCTAACAGCAGCAAATCCTGGAGATGCGGAGGAAAGTTTCGCAGCCTCGAGATGAAGTGGAAAGACGGTAATCGCTCTACGCCGTATGGTGGCAGAACCTCGGGCAATTTCTGGAAGGTGTAATTAGTTGTCTTGGGCTCTCTCTGTACGACGTAATATTCCGAGGGTTGGTTGCCTTCGCTTGTGTCAGTGGGAGTGTAAATGATGAAGAAAGTATCGTTTTCGAGCCATGAGATGCCTGAGACATGCGAGCCTGCGGGTATGCTTGTTGACTTGGGGATATTTGCGACCACGGTACCATCTGGCTTCAGCTGCACAGCCGTTCCAT